CAAATACCAACACCCTTTAAAATAATATAACACCCTAACACCCTAAGCTACACCACTAACACCCTACACCCTAACACCCTAACACCCTAACACCCTAACTAACACCCTAACACCCTAACACCCTAACACCCACCCTAACACCCTAACACCCTAACACCCTAACACCCTAACTACACCCTAACACCCTAACACCCTAACACCCTAACACCCTAACACCCTCTAACACCCTAACACCCTAACACCCTAACACCCTAACACCTAACACCCTAACACCCAACACCCTAACACCCTAACCCTACACCCTAACACCCTAACACCCTAACACCCTAACACCCTAACACCCTAACACCCTAACACCCTAACACCCTAACACCCTAACACCCCTAACACCCTAACACCCTAACACCCAACACCTAACACCCTAACACCCTAACACCCTAACACCCTAACACCCTAACACCCTAACACCCTAACACCCTAACACCCTAACACCCTAACACCCTAACACACCCTAACACCCTAACACCCTAACACCCTAACACCCTAACACCCTAACACCCTAACACCCTAACACCCTAACACCCTAACACCCTAACACCCTAACACCCTAACACCCTAACACCCTAACACCCTAACACCCTAACACCCTAACAACCCTAACACCCTAACACCCTAACACCCTAACACCCTAACACCCTAACACCCTAACACCCTAACACCCTAACACCCTAACACCCTAACACCCTAACACCCTAACACCCTAACACCCTAACACCCTAACACCTAACACCCTAACACCCTAACACCCTAACACCCTAACACCTACACCCTAACACCCTAACACCCTAACACCCTAACACCCTAACACCCTAACAACCCTAACACCCTAACACCCTAACACCCTAACACCCTAACACCCTAAACTACACCTAACACCCTAACACCCTAACACCCTAACACCCTAACACCCTAACACCCTAACACCCTAACACCCTAACACCCTAACACCCTAACACCCTAACACCCTAACACCCTACCCTAACACCCTAACACCCTAACACCCTAACTACACCCTAACACCCTAACACCCTAACACCCTAACACCCTACACCCTAACACCCTAACACCCTAACACCCCTAACACCCTAACACCCTAACACCCCTAACACCCTAACACCCTAACACCCTAACACCCTAACTACCCTAACACAACCCTAACACCCTAACACCCTAACACCCTAACACCCTAACACCCTAACACCCTAACACCCTAACACCCTAACACCCTAACACCCTAACACCCTAACACCCTAACACCCTAACACCCTAACACCCTAACACCCTAACACACCCTAACACCCTAACACCCTAACACCCTAACACCCTAACACCCTAACACCCTAACACCCTAACACCCTAACACCCTAACACCCTAACACCCTAACACCCTAACACCCTAACACCCTAACACCCTAACACCCTAACACCCTAACACCCTAACACCCTAACACCCTAACACCCTAACACCCTAACACCCTAACACCCTAACACCCTAACACCCTAACACCCTAACACCCTAACACCCTAACACCCTAACACCTAACACCCTAACACCCTAACACCCTAACACCCTAACACCCTAACACCCTAACACCCTAACACCCTAACACCCTAACACCCTAACACCCTAACACCCTAACACCCTAACACCCTAACACCCTAACACCCTAACACCCTAACACCCTAACACCCTAACACCCTAACACCCTAACACCCTAACACCCTAACACCCTAACACCCTAACACCCTAACACCCTAACACCCTAACACCCTAACACCCTAACACCCTAACACCCTAACACCCTAACACCCTAACACCCTAACACCCTAACACCCTAACACCCTAACACCCTAACACCTAACACCCTAACACCCTAACACCCTAACACCCTAACACCCTAACACCCTAACACCCTAACACCCTAACACCCTAACACCCTAACACCCTAACACACCCTAACACCCTAACACCCTAACACCCTAACACCCTAACACCCCTAACACCCTAACACCCTAACACCCTAACACCCTAACACCCTAACACCCTAACAACCCTAACACCCTAACACCCTAACACCCTAACACCCTACACCCTAACACCCTAACACCCTAACACCCTAACACCCTAACACCCTAACACCCTAACACCCTAACACCCTAACACCCTAACACCCTAACACCCTAACACCCTAATGTCAAGTCCAATCAAGATGCTAATCAATTAAATCCTCAAGAGTTAAATGGTAAAGTTTCAAAGATCTTAAGCGGTGCCAACAATACAGAAATCGAACAAGATTTTAGGAAAACTTGCTTACTATATGAGAAACAAAATTATGAATCTGATATATTACTAGCAAGGGTTTATCATGATTTTATTAGCTCTTATCATCATATCTCATCCCTTTATCTCGTTCAAAGGGGAGATGATATCGATACTGATTTGATCATTTATGACACTGAAACTGAAACTGAAAAAACGATAGTCTTGGATTCTCCAAATCAGCTAACAGCGAACGTATGCCTCACTCAACTTCCGAATGGCGAATTATTCTGTTTGAGTAATCTTTATTTAGCCGCTAGTAGTGCTTTGATAATTGGCAGGACTTTTAAAACTCGAGTGTTGCCATCTGGAACATTCAGATATTATTCATCAGCTATATATTTCAATGGAAGTGTCTACTGCTTTGGAGGATATGATAATGTAAAAATTTTAAACTTTTCTTGCAGATTTTGCTTAGATGAAAATCGGTGAATTAAAATAGCCCCAATGCTGATAGCTGATTCATGGTGCCATAGCTTTATATATAAAGGGAATATTTTAATTTCTGGAAATCGATTTACACATATTTTAATATACTCACCTGAAATTGATTCTTTCTCTATAATTCCTTATGATTTTAAAGAATATAAGCGCAAGATCTTGATAAATTCAGAGAGACTATATTTAATTGAAGACAGAGACTGAGAAAGCAACGGATTTATTTACGAAAGTGAGATTGGAGATGAGTATACCTGGAAACGAGTAGGAGAATCATTAGTTAGATATGAATATGATCAGGTATATTGCTCATATAATAAAGAAAGTATTTATATTGGTTGTTTGGAGACTGGGAATCCTGAAAAATTCTACTATAAATTTAATTTAAAAGAAAAAGTAATGATTGAGCTTAAAGAGGTCCAGACTGATGCTACTTAAAGATTTGATTAAAGTCGTCGCAATAAAATTCTCACAAATTTCGATAAGATTAAATAATTTTAAGTTCATAAGTTTCTGCCAATTATAAGGTTGCTCATCGATGGTGAACTTTTCGCAATCGGATTGATATAATGATTTTCGACTCAATTTTAATTATAATATCATTAATTCTTTAAATTATAATTCCTAATTCTCATATTGCTTAATATTCAATGATTTCTCTCAGCCAAGATCCTGCAAATAAAATATTTTCTCAAGATCTTTCAGCAAAAATATCTGCAATTTGAAGAAGAGCTAATGACACAGAAACAGAGAAAGATTTCAGAAAAACTTGCTCATGATATGAAAGCCAGAGCTCTCCTCCTAATCCTTCACTAAAAAAAGCTTATCAAGAATACCTTGCTCCACCTCCTGTAATTGGAATAAATATTAATAAATTTTCTATTTTTGTGAAGGTTAATCCCCTTTAAATTGGAAAAAAATTGTTTTTTTATAAATAAATATGAAAATTTTATATTGGTGAAAATATTTTTTTATAAATATATTTTAATATAAAAAGCACAAGTAGAATATTATTAAAGTAGCTTTAATACTAAATCGGCTTACTTTTAAATTAATTTTTCATAAAATAATTAAAAAATCTAAATATTGCGTTATGTCTTTAAATTTTAGAATTTTATTTTCAAAGACAAATAACCCCTTTAATTTGACAGTATTTTTGGTCCAATTTAAAGGCAACAATTAGTGCTTATCATCAAATCACTTCTATTTACAATATTAGAAATGATACCAGCAGAACTTATTTGTGCATTTACGACTCAGAAAGTGAAAGAAAAAGCACAAAATCACTGGATTCATCAAAATCATTAGACCACGGTAGCTGCATTGCTCTGCTTCCAAATGGAAAATTATTCTGTTTTGATAGGCATCATCCGCATTCAGGGATCACTTTTATAATTGATAAAAATTATAAAGCTAAAAGATTACAATCTGGAACAATATAAAATTTTTAATTTATTTTTTTTAATTCGAGTTTTTTAATTTTTTTAATAAATAAAAACTATCTGTAGCACCTTGCTGCTTATCATCAGCTATTTATTTCGGCAAAAATGCTTATTGCTTTGGAGGATTATTTATTGTTCATGTGCTGATCAGATTTACCTAAATTATTCTCGTTTACCAAATTCATGCATTTTAATAAAATGGGGCATTTTGAAATCAAAGCACAAGCCACCAAATCGAGTGACTATTCAAATACCAATATCTAAGGTACTAAGTCGTTTATCAATAGTAGGGATCAGAAAACTCGCATTTGTGGGACTTATCTTTTAATCACTCTGTCCGTGCTACTCCTCATAAGCATTATTCAGCACTATTAGCCATTAAAATTCACCTTGCCTTAACTGGGTAAGTTATCCCTTTAGGCCTAGTGAATATCCAAAATCACTTTGATATTTTTACTAGTCTAAGAATTTATTTCTCAAAGTTTTTTACTTAAGCCCGCTTAAATAACTAACAGAGTCAATCCTTTGCATAAATTTCCCACTTCATAAAAATTACTCCTTATGCTGCTTTTAATTAAATTTTTAATACTTTAGTAATTAAAAGTTTTATTGTAAGACATCTTCTAATATTCTTACTCCCCCCCCCCTCTCCGTGAGTGAACAAAACCATTAGAAACATCGCTATTTTTTCCCAAAAGCCCACCCTCCGTGAGTGAACAAAAATTTTATTAATAGAAAAATTTTTTATGGAAAAAAAATTTGATATATAAATGATAATTAGTATAATGAAATTTAGAGCTAATTCTGTTTAATTTTGAACGAATTGCTTTTTAAAAATATAAATTTTATAAATTAAATTAATTTTTGCGAATTAGGATTTTTTTAAATTTCGAAAAAAAATATTTTTTATAAAATTTATATATAAATTTTTTTTAAAAAAAATAAATTAACCCCCCTCCGTGAGTGAACAAAATTTTTTTTGTTCACTCACGGAGGGGGGGGGGAGTTAAGGTAATTTTGTAATTACTGCAACTATTAATATCAAATCCCTTATTATCAAAAACTAAGTATTAAGTATTTACTATATTTTTAGAATTCCCAAAGTCCAAAGCATAATAGCGTATCTTAAGCTTAGTGATATCTTTAATAAATATATGGAAAGATCAGCCAGTCTCCCACACTCCGACCTCAGTGGCATCAGTGGGCCTCTTCAAAGCTCAGTGAATGAAACCAGCGAGAAATTCAGCTGTGAAGTTCAAGAAGTCAACCAGGGATTCATCAGTCTCAGCACTATAATCTCGAGTGCAAAGTCAGCATGAGATGAGATAAGAATAGAACTCATCAGAAAAGTAAACGAGCCTGTTAATGAAGAAGAAGCCTCAAGCATTGAAACTAAGCAATCAGCTGCTTCCGTCAAAGTGGACTCAGATCTTGAAGCAAAAATAGCTTTACTTGACGAAAAACTCAAAGACGTGGATGCTAACACGAAAATAGTATCACAGCTATTGAATCATTGCTTGGAAATCGAAATAGATCAGAGGCAAAAAATTGAAGAGCATAAGGAAGATGCAAATGAACTGAAAAGACTAGCAAAAAAAATCAGGATGCTCGAAAAAGAAATAGAAATGCTGAAGGCAGATAAATACCAATTATTGAGAAATCTTGAAGACGAAAAAAGGAATAGAAAATGAGAAGAGGAAGTCCATGAAAACCACATAATTTCCTTATTGGAATCCATGGAGGAGAAAATAAATAAAGCAATTGAAGAAAACACAATAAAAGAAAGAGCCGAAACTGATAAGAAAATAAAAGCAGAAAGAGCCGAAATGGATAAGGAAATAAAAGCAGAAAGAGCCGAAATGGATAAGAAAATAAAAGCAGAAAGAGCCGAAATGGATAAGGAAATAAAAGCAATTAAAGTCGAAACGGAGAAGGAAATGGAACTAAATCAAGAATACAGAAAAAAAGACAAAGAAGAAGCGGCGGCTAAAAATAAAAAACTAAAATCGCAGGTGAAATCGATGAGAATAGAAATGAGCAAGTCGAAAACATTAGAGAACGAAAACGCTATGCTAAAGTCTTCATACTATGAAGCATCTTTTAAATCTCTACATAGGCAATTAATAGAGCAAGTTGAGCAAAGCCTTTTTCGTCACTTATCAGTTCATTTAGGCCGGAAGCCGAAAGATTTTAGAGATATTAAAATCTTAACCAAGCAAAACAATCTTGAATCTCAAGAGATTAATCAAAAAATTGAAATTTTTCTGAACCAAAACTATGATTTTGGATTAAGAGAGTGGAGGCAATTAAAAGATTACAAAAAAAGACTCAGTAGCTACATCCATCATGTTCTTTCAAAAATAGATGGAGTTGAAGAATATATTTCAAAATTGGACGTAAACAGTGAGAGCTTCGCTATGCATCAACTTCTTTACAGAGTAATTCCTGAAAGATAGCGCTTCTCAGTAATTAATTCTCTTCATTATTTCTTTTTCATATTAATCTGATATATGCTAGTTAAGGAAATTGCTGTTGAAGAAATTTTAATAGATCTATTTTAAGGACATTCTAAATATCTACCCAACATGTCTTACTTATTTTATCCTCTTTTACGAAATTCCATAATCTCGCATATGATTTTGAAACAGGAAATGACCAAATTACATTTCTTTAATCATTTTACTCTACAGTAATTAATATTGATCTAACCAGCAGTAAATAATATAACCGGCCTTATAATTCTTTAACTCTGTTCTTGAAGTGCTCTCAGCAGAATCAGCAAAAATATCTAAGCTAATAAACTCCTCATATCTATTCATAACTATAGCAACAGAAATTAAATTTCATTAAATTTTAATTAACTTTAATTATTTTGATTTAGATAGATTTTATGAAACAATTCTATTGATAGCTGCTATGCAGCTGAATCTTTCCAAAAATAGGAGAAATAGAACTTATGGTCGAGCATATAGTAGATTTTTTAAATGGTGCTTTATTTAATCAATATGGAGGACTTGAAGAATTGTCCTTGATTTTGTGAAGGATAAAAACAATACTGGTTTTATTAGACCGTAAGGAACATTTGGTAGATTATTCTATTCATAGCAAGCCAAAAATGAAGCTTGATATGCCCAAAAATCACGACCATGAGCATTTACTCTCTCATCTATGATCGAACAACCAACTACGCTTGATCAGATGGTATAAGTAGAAAAATATATCAGTCTAGATTTAACTTGTGTAATTATTTTTTTAAAACATTTATTATATTATAGATAGAAAGTGCAGGATTAGAATTTGCTTCAAAAGGAATGCTCCAATATCTCTACTACCAATTATTATCAAAAACAAATACCTAGAATATTGCAAAAGTTTTATACTCGGTCCTATGAAATTCATCATTAAGAATTGATTATTTTCCAATTTATAAGCATTACTTAATCAAGAACGGAGGAGTTAGAAAGAGCAAAAACCGAGATTAGTGATATTCCTAATGAAGAATCCAGGCCTGTTTCTACCACTTCAATGAACCCAATCAGCGAAAAAGTTGAAGAAGTGTTGTCATGCCCATTCAAAATCCGCACAAAAGCTCCAAAAATCCCTCACGAACTGACCTCAGAACAAGATATTATAGAAAGACTAAATAAAGTAAACATGAAAATCGACCGACTTAATGCACAAAAATCCCCTAGAAGAATAAGTCCTATAAACAGAGAAGAAAGCATTCATGAATATTTAGAAAGCTTTAACCACACAAAAGCTCCTATGACCCCATCACTGGGGCATTTTTCATCAAAAATGTTGCAAGACCAATCTCCAGGTGACGAAAAACGAATTGATGACGGAATCGAAAGAAAATGCATTGAGGGAGTCATTGGGACTTATGATGAAATGACTATGAATATAAAAATCGCAAAGGTAAGAGAACAAGATATCGTCATAAAATACGGTGGAGAACAGTTTTGGGAGAAATTCATCATAAGTTTATATAACAAAATTTTATCGTGCGATTTATTAAACAAATATTTCAAGAAATCGACCATGGAAAGTTTTGAAGGGATTGTGACTGGGATGTTTAAAATTATTAATGGGAGCTTGAATTTAGAACTTAGGCGAAGACTTAGAGCGGCACATTATTTAAGGGGAATTACGCTTGAAGAGTTTTACTGCTATGCAGATATTTTTGATGTGACTTTGACTGAGTTTGGGGTTGATGACGATGATAAGCAAGGAATTATGTCACAAATAAGATCGTTATTCTCAATTAAGGTTTTAATTTCTCTGAAATTGCTCGGCTCCTGCCTAAATAAGCCGATAAATGACAATAAAGTTTTTTCTCAATCTCTTCAATCAATTGTCTATGTAGAAATTTAAGACGTCCTTCATAGGATGAAGACTTTGACTTAACAATTTTATTCTGAAATGTTCTTGATTTTTGATTTCTTTTCTCAATGATCTAATTTCCTCTTCCAATTCTCTATATTCAGCCCTCATTTCTGCTCTATCTTTTTTTAAGCCTTCCTCAAATACTTTCATTTGATTTTCTAATTTTGTTTCAAATTCTACTATGTATTTTGTCATCTTTTCTTCCAATTCTGTTTCAAATTCTGCTAAGTATTTTGTCATGTTTTTTTCCAAATCTGTTTCAAATTCTGCTTTATCTTTTATCATGTTTTCTTCGATTACTTCCATTTGCTTTTCCATTTTTTTTTTCATTGCTTCCTCTTTTTCAGTTACGAATTTCCATACGAGATTTATTTGTCTTTCCAGTTCTTCATTGTGCAATTTTCTAAGGCTTTTTTCATCTTCAAAATTTCTCGCTAATTGGTTTCATTCTACCTTTAGTATTTCTATTTCTCCTTCGAGCACCCCTATTTTCTTTTCTAGTTTTTTTAGTTCATTTGCACCATCCTTATACTCTTCATTTTTTTGCCTCTGATCTATTTCGATTTCCAAACAATTTTGTAGTAACTCTGATTCCATTTTCGTGCTGATGTCTACGTCTCTGAGTTTTTCATCAAGTAAATCGATTTTTTCTGCATGCTCTGAGTCCACTTTGACGGAAGCTGCTGATTGCTTGGTTTCAACGTTTGAGGCTTCTTCTCCACTCACAGGCTGGTTTTCTTTTCTGGTGAGTTCTATTCTGATCTCATCTCATGCTAAATTTGCATTAGAGATCATAATGCTGGGACTGATGAGGGTCTGATTGATATCTTGAAGTTCACAGCTGGATTTCTCGTTGGTTTCTTTCACTGAGCTTTGAAGAGGCTGGCTGATACCGCTGGGGTCGGAGAGTGGGAGATCAGCTGATCTTTCCATATATTTATTAAAGATATCATAAATTTAAGATACGCTATGCTTTGGACTTTGGGAATTCTAAAAATATACCAAATACTTTGTATTTAGTTTTTAATAATAAGGGATCAATTTGATTAACCAAACTAATAAAGGACTGCGATGATCTCGTCAGTAAGCTTTCAAAACATTCTGAATAACCCTTTTCTCATTAGAATCTCTTTGGTATAGCCTATAGAATTATTGGGACACATCGCTGAACAAATGATTTGCCCACTCAGCACTGATCCATCCATTTATATAGTCTCTTTAAAGCACCCTTAGTCAGAGACTGTTATTTGAACTCTAAATGTCCAGGATTTCTTGCAGAAAAATATATGCAAATTTGAAGAGTTTTCTGTTTCGGGCTCAAAATCGCTGAGTCTCTTAGGGTGTTAACTTTCAATTGTCTCTTGATGATCTTCAAAATTGTTAGATAAATCTTGCCATTAGAAGAATTTGAATTTATGTGATCTCTTAATTGAGCTTAAAAACTAATTAATTTATTCTAAGGATTCTATTATTTTCGTCATTCAGTTTCTTTATCCACGTGCTTTCCAGAAACAGAGGCTAAGCACTTGGCAGATATTCTACCTTAAAATTTAATTACAGTTTATTGCGTCTGCCTATTTTAACTCAGTCACCAAGATCCCCATAGGGTATTCACCCAGTTTGCGATGTCGAAAGGGAGAACTTCTTTGAGTAAGATGACTCATCAGGTGAATTTAGGCTCTAGCACAACATTTCCTTTTCTTCACAACCTGATGTCATAGCACCTGTCTGTTTCTCCGTCTCCTCCCAGCTTTGTAGGCTTCAGTATTGAGTGAAAAGGCTATGGGATTTTGCGGCATGCTGCATGGGTTGGCAAAGACTTATCTAACAAAACTCCTAAAAAGTGGAATTTTGTGTGTGAACTATCGGCAAAAAGAAAAAATTCAAAGCCTGGGGCGTAAAACCCAGGTAGTCGCCCATATCGTCTAGATGTTGCCTACAGACTTTGCTGTGCTTAAACTTTATAGCTGTGAACCCTCCTTTTCCCTTGAGGTAAATCCAATTCTGAAAGCCGACTTAGGCTAGGCTCTGCACATTATCAGAATTGCTTGCCTAGCATTGCTGTCCTTCTGGATTGGCAAAATTTGCCAGATCTAATTAAATATATGCTCTAAGGGAGTCGGCATAGCTGACCATGAAGTTCTGAGATAAGATACCATATTTAATTATGGCAGATATTATAGCAAATCTAAAACTTTTTCGTAGCTTTTTATATTTTATGCAAATATCTTCCTTCTTTCTTGTAAAAGATTTATCAATAGGCTCAATTATGTGAAAATAGTAAGCAGCACTTCTTGCAAAAACGACGATAAATAGCCTTCATTTCAATGGAAGACCTATCACTTTCCACAAAAAATAATTACAAAAAATCTTTAGCAAAACAGTCCAAGAAAGCCAATAATTAAATACAATAAATACCAGACCTGAATGGAATTAAGGTGCTTTAAGATTTGAAGCTAATGGAAACAGAAATTGTTAGGTTGCTTTATAAATTTATTTGGAGAGTTTTCTGTTTCGGACTCAAAATCGCTGAACTTCCTAGGGCGATAACTTGAAATAGTCTCTGGATGATTTTCAAAATTGCTAAATAAAACTTGCCATTAAAAACTCTGAATTTATTCGGTCTCTAATCTATTATTTCGTCATATTTTAATTTTAGGACACTCTGATTTATATGCTAAATATCTAAACAGTCTCTAGAGCTTTTGCTTATTTATTCTCTTTAACGAAATCCCATAATCTTGCATGACTCTACGGCTATTTATATTGATCTAGCCAGCAATAAATAAATATCGCCAGTCTAGAAATTCTCCAATTGTGCCTTTTGAGGTTCTCTCAGCAGAATTATCAACAAAAATCATTAATTCTAATATACTCTTTATATATATTAATTACTATAGAAATATCAATTAAATTTCATTACTTCCCCCCTCCGTGAGTGAACAAAAACCATTAGAAAAATCTCCTCTAAGAGCGAGCAAGTTTTTTTTTATTCACTCCAGAGTTAACTTTCTATTAATATTTAATAACGCTAAATTAAACTTTACTTTTTTTTTATTTAGATAGATTTTATGAAAAAGTTTATAAAATTCTACAGGATTTTATTAATTTGCCATCATTTTGATTGAAAAAAAGGTACCAGGAAAAATATCCTGAGTTTTTTTTTGACAACCCATTTTTACCTAAAATATTTTTTTTTTCAATTTTTGTTCATGGTGTGTACAAGACTTTTGCTCACTAACCAAGAGGAAGAGTTAGAGCTAAAGATTTAGTCATAAATATGCTAATTTAAGTTACTAAAAACTTAAGATGTTTAAAAAATATGGAATATTTGTATTTTTCTGATAAGAAGTTTGAGCATAAACTGATAATTATTTTAAGGAAATCAAAAATACGCAAATAAATAGATAAGAAAAGATTCTAACTCCCCCTATCCTCTGTCAGTAAGGAAACCATTTAATTATTTTTTTTTTGGGAAATTAACTTTCTCCTTTAGCAAACAAATGTTTTAATAAAAAATATATTGATGTATAAATAATTAATATTATAAAAAATCTATAAGTTGTTCTATTAAATATTAAAAACTTGCATTCTAAAATATAAATTTATAATTAAATATATTTTAACCTTCAAAATTTTTCAAGTTGTTATTTTTTGAGATTTATTAATTAGGGAAAGGGAGCAAGCGATATTAATTTAAGCACAAAATGGTAATTTTAACAGAATTTTTTTAGGTATCTAATAGAATGTATTTTAAAAAAATTTTGAGTGATACTTATTAGCTCTACATAAAAGAAATCTTGGAGTCTCAATTTTTTTAATTCTCTTTAAAGTTCATTTTAATTCGAAATGTTGACTAACCAAATTAATATTTAAAATTATGCAAAATATCAAATTTTACCATAAATTGAATTTTTACTAATAGCTATAATTAATGAAATCCAGACAACTATTGGATTCCTGGTACCTCAATTAAATCAATAAAAGAAGGATTTATTCAAAATTCATGTAAGCTATAGTTTGAAATGCTCCTCTGAATTTTCAAGCTAGAGCATTCGAAATATAGGCTTTTAGGCTAAGATGAAAATTGTGACATCCATCCATCAATATAGTTTTATGCTAGTTTTGCAAAAGTTAGTAAATTCAAAAAACATTATATAAACTGATTATTAATAGATGATCAAAAATTAAAGAGCATTTAATCTCAAGTTGCTCTAACTTGATTTAAAAAAAACCAATTAAAGCTAAATTTTTAATTAGCGATAATAAAGAATATCACCAGTAATGGATTTTTCTAAAGAACTTATAAAATTAAAATTATTGAAGCAGTTTCTTTAAGTTTTAAAATGTTAATTTTAATTGTCTTATTCTTGAATTGGTTTCTTTACACAAAGATAACCATTTGAGCTACTCAAGCTTTTGCTGAGTTTTCTAATGTCATCATTGGTAGTCTGGGACATCAAATATAAGCAATTCTGAGTCCTAGGAATGCTTATGTCTGGGCCTAAGAAAGGCTCCAGCTTAATCAAGCTATTTCTTAAGCTTTCAAGTCTGCAGCAAAGATCTCGATAAGCTTGTTGGTCAAGGTTTTGTATAATAATTTCAAGGTTCGGGTTGTTAAACATATCGAACTCTTGGTAAAACTGATCGCAAGCTTGAGCGCCTGCATCGAAGGAAGCATAGGCACTTTCTTTTTTCAGATTTTCCATGCTCATAGTATTGAATTATTATATTGTTACTAAAGATGAGAAATGCTGGATAATAATTATCGAGATCATAATTGAGGTGCTCATTAAGGAATTTTCAGATATCAGCTTATATGCCAAGGGCTAAGATCTTTTGCTAGCTTGCTTCCCTTGAATAAATTTATTTAACAAACTATAAGAATTTTTTCAAATTAAGAAGCTAGATCAGGTTAAAATTTAACAAAAGCTTCAATAGAGCCATTTTTTTAATCGGATTATTTATATGTTTTAAATGAACTCGTCAGAATTCTGGAAAATCCACTTTTAAATTAAAATTAGCTGATCTTTTACATATTCTATTATTAACATTATTTTATAGTCTAAATTTCACATTACTGTTCTATGCCTTCACTAATAAAATCAATAACAAATATAGTCTCATTAGTGCCCGACTCCACGTCTAGGGTTGGCAGCACACTTCCGGAAATCTATTTTCGTGGAAGGCAATCCATACACATCATTAGTTTTAAAGTTTATTATTGCAGGATAAATTTTCAGTGAAATTAAGTCTCATGATCAAAATAAACAGGAAAAAAAATTACTGTCAAATTTTATTTGAGGTTAGTAAATCTATCAGTGAAGCCTTTTTTTTGAGGTATTAATTGCATGATAATTTATTAAATTTCAAACAACTTACATTCTAAAGTATATATTTTAAATTTTTTCTTTTAAATATTTGCAAATAGAGTTTTAAATTTTTATATAAATTATCGAAATATCTCTTAGTGAGCTACCCCATATGCAGGCAAGAGTTAGGGACATTCTTGAAAATGCTTATTTGAGCTCCCTTTTATGTTTTCTATCCTCCTGCAGCTAATTTTTACCTTAAAATAGCATTAAGAGGCATAAACTCTGATGCTAAATAGACGATTATGATTATCTGTTATCTGATTTCTTCAGAAATCAGAATAAATTTTATATTCAAAAATAGCAAATTTATGGAGTTTAGGGGCAAAAGAAAAATTTTTAAAATTTAAAATTGAAAATTTTTGCTTAAAATTTTTTGTTATTTGACAGAATTTGTAAAATTTCATAGAGCAATCAATTTTGCGAATTTTGCTCTAGCTTGTTGGAGTATTTGCCACAAATGAGAGATATACAGCCAAAGCTTATCAGGCAAGCATTCCTATAAAAAAAATTAAACTGTAATTTGTGATATTATGGACAAATTTTATCCATAAATAATCCTCAGCAGATTGCGAATTTCAAATAAATGAATAGCATTTAAAATACTAATTTAAGTCGATTTAATTGATAGTATACTAAATCTGATTTATGTTAATATTTTTTATTAGATTAAATTGTTATTTAACTCTAATGATCTTTAAACAATTTATCAATAAAGTATAATAAATTTTATCTCAATAAGGAAATTGGCATGACTAAAATTGCAGTTAGACAAGTCTAAAAATATATTGAACACAAATGTATATGTTTATATATTTAATGCTGACTATAGGGCTCTTAAAGTCATGATTAATGAAAAATTGCATAAAAAGCCAACTTTTGATCACCTGTGAATCTTATAGCATCACCCAAGTTCTGATTTAGCTGAATAACTCCAACTAGTCTCTTTAAACTGGGACAAATATTTCTGCTACAGGGTTCATTTTTTTCAAATAAATAATTTTTTAAAAAATTATGTGAAGGGGAATAATTTTAACTAATTTTATAAATAAGTTATTCAAAATATTAATAAATTTCAGTCTTACAACTGTTTAAATAGCATTTATTAAACTACCTCCTTTAAATTTAGGTCAAACTTATTTATATAAAAATTAGACATTTTACCAATAAAATTTTGTTCTAATTTAAAGGATATTAATTGAAATTTTACGGATATTTTGCTCCAATTTAAATGAGGGGCTGTAAGCAAACTATTATAATCTGCATTTGAGCATTGAGATTTGTACTAATCATTATAATTATATTATAATATGCTACATTCTATTTAACAGCCTAATTCTATATTTTAATAAGCTTGACCTTAAAGCCATATTAATAAGTTTACATCCAAGTTTATTATAAACCAAGAAATTTACTTTAGACTTACACCCTACTTATTTAGCCTTCGGTTTATATTATGCGTGGCATAATTTTGGGAGGGTCACCACACGCCAGTATTTTCCCACGTGTGTAACCAAGATAAGTGTTGAATTTCCACATGCGGGATTTGGCCACTCATGGGAAAATGTCCTGAAATTGAGACCCACCAAAAATTATGCCAGCACATAATATATTAATCTCTTCTTGGGCTTTTTTCAGTAACTGATATAAATCTTGGAATAACTGATATAATAATCTGAAATTTCTGAAGACTCTTGATATCAACCAAAGTATATGGCAAGTAAAACACTAGATACATTAATACTGAAATCATCAAATACCCAAGTGACGTATAAGTAATAATATTCAACTTTTTTGTTATCATATCTTTGGACGTTTTATCGATAATTTCAAAATTTAAAGACATCGCCTCTTCCAAATTCGCTATTCTTTTCCCCAGATTTTCCATATTTTCTATCACATTATTCTCATCGTTTTCTATCAAAAATGAGTCAAAAATCAATAAATTTGTATATCAAAACGAGCCATATGCAAAACCTTCATCTGGAATTTGATTGGATTTTTTTTGAAATAATGAGACTTTTAGCTCTGAAGACATATATTTGAGCTGGCTTAGGAGGTTGTGGTTTGCGTCTCATAATTTTTCGACTGTATTTATCAATTCCTCTGCAGGGTGCTCAAAAATATATGAATTATTTAAAACAATTTTCAAGCCATAGTCTTGCTCAAAAGTCCCAGTTTCTTTAGCTCAAAAATCAATCAATGGGATTAGGGATCGTCTATTTATATAGTTTGAGAGGAGTTTTGGCCTCTCAATTAAATATCGCTCACATGAAGGATATAGGTATTGGTGAATGACAAGATAGTATGCTATCGTCAGCCCAATAAAAACAAAAAGTCTAGAGAAATGCCGAAAAATAATTTTGAAATTAACTTCCTTATGCTTTGGCTTGTATCTTAATAAGGAATTTATTTCTTCTTGGGTTAAATCGGTACCAAGAACTGAAGACAGCCTGTCAAAGCAATGTCCATTTAAATCAAAATAAGCATCATGGGTAATTTTTATCACAAAATTCCAAAGCTGATCATATCTTTTATTTATCAAAAAAATAAATAAAAACAAAATCATCATACAAATTCCTAACAAAGCTGATCCAGAAACAGCTAAAATAATCACCTCATTGCTATTTTCATAGATTTTTTCTATTTCACAATCAGAAAGCCCATGCAGCGACGAATTTGTTTTCTGAAAAGCTCTTCCGAGTCCATTGGCAATCACAAACTTTAAATCTTGTGTGTAATCTTTAAAATTCTCTACATCTGATATAGTGAATAAAATTTTTTATGAAATATAATCTTTTTTAGCGCATTAAAATGCTTTAATTTTAGACCTCCGCATGTAAAAAAAATCGAGAAATAGAGGTATGTTTAAAAATTGCTTTACGCTCTATATAAAACTTTGTGTCTAAATAAAGCTTACATGGTCAATAAACATACTGATTTCATCAAAAAGATTTTTCATTAAAGTTTTTGGTACTGCAGAGGGTTCCTTCATACGAGGTCTACTCCATAACGACTTTTGTTTTTGGGCCTATTTGTTTTTGGCCTAATTTTTTTTTGGGCCTATTTTTTTTGGCCTATTTTTTTTTGGCTATTTTTTTTGGCCTATTTCATGACGACTATTTTTTTTTGGCCTATTTTTTTTGGCCTATTTTTTTTTAGCCGATTTTTTTTTAGCCTATTTTTTTTGGCCTATTTTTTTTTAGCCTATTTTTTTTGGCCTATTTTTTTTTAGCCTATTTTTTTTTAGCCTATTGGTTTTAGCCTATTTTTTTTTGACCTATTTTTTTGGCCTATTTTTTCTTGGCCTATTTTTTTTTCGCCTAATTTTTTTGTCCTATTTTTTCTGTCGAGGATAATTCATGAAGCTGCTGAGAGAACTAAATAAATTATTGGATAACGGATATATTTCCTTACACGATTAATATTGAGTAAATTAAGTGGAAAAAGCCTAATTAAATTTAAAATTCTCGAAATTTAAAAAGCAATGAATTAGCATTCATGGAGTAAGAGATCTGTTAAAGGTGTATTTTATTAGTAAAAAATAGCTAAAAAATGGCCAAAAAAAAGTCAAAAACAATTAGGCCAAAAAAAATAGGCCAAGAAAAAATAGGCGAGGCAAAAAAAATAGGCTAAGAAAAAATAGCCCAAAAAAAATAGGCCAAAAAAAAATAGGCCAAAAAAAAAATAGTCGTCATGAAATAGGCGAAAAAAATAGGCCAAACAAAAATAGTGGTCATGAAATAGGCGAAAAAAAAATAGGCCAAAACAAAAATAGTCCAAAAAAAAATAGGCTAAAAAAAAATAGGCCAAAAAAACATAGGCTAAAAAAAATTAGGCCAAAAAAAAATAGGCCAAAAAAAAATAGTCGTTATGGAGTAGACCTCGTGTGAAGACACGACTGCAGAGTCATAGTCTCTTACGCCAATTAGATTTTTATCAATAATGTCTGAGCTTTTACAGTAGCTTCAGGACTGTAAATTTGAATAAAGGGCGTCTTGGGAGATCGTGAGTAAGGAAAGTGAATTTTTAAGCGAATTTAGATAATTTGTAGTATTTTGGTCTTGAAAAAGATTTTTTGAGTAATAGACTGACCGAGCGTTTTCAGCAGCAAAAACGGTCTCGTACATCACAATTCCAAGGTCTTTGTAAGTGTTCACAGACAAGGAATGGTCAACTGCTTGGGAAATATAAATAGCTATAGCTATATTTGTAGCTGTTACTGATAATATCTATATATTGCTTACAGAAAGCAGCAGAACTAATCTAAACTGCTTCAAAATTTTCACTGATTTATTAATAATATGATTTCCGACCCCTAAATAATAAGTACTTATATAGTCATTGGAAGAGCTACTTTGTGTCATTGAGCCTGTCCTTTCTTCAGATTGCTGAATATCTTGCATTTTCATAGATTCATGAGTCAGCTCAAAATCCGATGCGACTTCAGTTGCCGAAAAGGAGCTTGATATTCTCTTTTTTTGGAAAGTCACTTTAAGGGGGATGTCAAGTTTTACAATATTCCTAAGCCAAATAAAATTGAAAAAATAAAAATATTTTTTAAAAAAAATTTATAAAAAATAATAAAGTATATGCTTGCTTTCATTGTAATCTTTATCAGAAAAATCCGGATCTGATAGATCATATTGATCAGAGTCTTCATTTTCTGTCCATTTTTCTACTTCTTCTTGGTCTCTTATTATAAGAACATAGTTTATATTTGTATTTTTCATTGGCTTAACACAATGGATAATTGTTAAAATAATTTCGCCTACTTTAAACAGAGTCGGCTTTGATTTAGGTAAATTTGCAAAGTCAACACTCGGAATTACTGACTCCCCCCCCTCCGTGAGTGAACAAAGCCATTAGAAAAATCATATTTTTTGCCTAAAAACCCACCCTCCGTGAGTGAACAAAAATATTTTTAAATAGAAAAATTTTTTATGGAAAAAATTTTTGATATATAAGTGATAATTAGTATAATGAAATCTAAAGCTAATTCTGTTAATTCTAACCAAATTGCTTTTTAAAAACATATAAATTTTATAAATTAAATTAATATTTGCTTTTCAATTTTTGCAAATTAGGATTTTTTTAAATTTCGAAGAAAAAAATTTTCTATAAAATTTATATATAATTTTTTTTAAAAAAAAAAAATTAGCCCCCCTCCATGAGTGAACAAAATTTTTTTGTTCACTCACGGAGGGGGGGAGAGTGAGGAAATATATTGGAATTTTAAAGACTTTACCTCTGGCTCTGCGATGTCCTTGCTGAAATTTTGACTGTGGCAGTAGATAAGCCCGTCTTCTGAAATTAAAGCGACTTGGCGAGTTGATAAAATAGGCCTCATAGAGACCATAAAGTATAATCGCTCATTGAGGGCGGTCAATCTTATAAGAAATTGGCACTCGCGCACATATCCGTAATGGTCTAGTATAAAAAATGAATTGCCTTTGTCTACTTGAGGGTTTTTACAAGTACTGACGAAGCGCTTCATATATTTTAGGTGATTTTTGTTATAAGGAGCTGGTATATATTGGTGAATATTGTTTTCTATGACATTATTTATGGTTTCATTTAAAATTGTAGCTGCAAAGTCATTAACGTAAACAATAATTCCAAATGTTTTAATATCAGCCGAAATCAAAATATTTGCATAATTTTCATCAAACTTGGATAGTTTTGGCTCGTATTTTGACATCTCTTCTTCACTTTTTAGAGCACTGACTTTTCCTAAAATGGTTTGTCCTTTATCACTATCTCTTAATTCTGAATTCTTATAATGAGCACCTATTTATTATAAATTTTACAAAAATTATTTTTTTTATTTAAATTAAAAATCTCTATAAAAACGGAAGAATTAATTTATTTAGAAATTGAATTGTTCAATATCCATTTGATGAGTCAGAATTTGTTGCAGCAAGCTACCATAAAGTTCATATGCTTTTGAATGGTTTTGGATAATTAATTTCTTGTAAAGCCTGACTACAAGTTCAATTTGTTTGGTAACATTTTCTACTAAATTTTCCAAATGATTTAATCTTGGTTTACTAGAGCACACTTCAATCCAAAGTCCTATTAGATGTCTGCATAAAATTTCGTCTTCTTTTTTTGCTTGCTCAAGCTCAATTAAATAAATCAAAAAATTATTAGCAATCTGGTCAGTTCCTTCATGGTGTTTTTTGATCCATTTATTTATTCTTCATTCCTGTATCTCCCCTTCCAGACTAGAATTGGCATAAGCCATTTTTGAAAACCTCAATTTTGCCAGCCTAACATCATTTATAGTATGCAAATAATAGTAAACTTCTCAAGCCACCAGCAATTTATCTCTTTGAAACATTTTTTGCTTATAAATTTGTGCGAAAATTTTTACAACTTTGCTTTCTTCCCTTAAAGACTTGTCCATTAGAAGTTTTCTGATTTTTAGCTCAAAAATATGCTGATTGGCTGCCAAATAGTCTGTAGACTCTGGAATGAGCAATAGCCTATAAATTCTCCTGAAGACTATAAGAGATAATGCTGGGATTGCTATTAGCCAGAGCAGCAGAATTATCCCTGCATTGTCCATTCATACCCCAAACAAAAAACTTGCTGAGCATGATGAAAGGACGCATAATTTCGAAACTTTAAAAGCATTTACCATTGGGTTGTAGTAAGAATTGAATTTGTGTGTTAAATATGCTAAAATTGCTGAAGAAATTATGATAAATATAAGTAGCCATTCATGGTGGCTGCGGCCATAAAAAATATAACGATGACCCCCCCCCCAATCTTCATGTCTATTGAAACAAAAATGCAATTTTTTAATATAAAATTTTATATAAAAAAAAAAATAATTTTCATGTTTCTTGCAACAAATTATATATAAAAAAATAATAATTTTCATGTCTCTTGCAACGAATTATATACATTAAAATGGCGACACGTGCCAACCTGCCCTCTTGGCGCAACAGTCCAGACCTTATGGCTACAGCGAACTGGAACAGACTCCGAGCCGAGAATCAGACGCAAGCTCAAGAAGTGTGTATCCGGGTAGGTTTTTGACTGCTTTCCTGTGGTTGGAAATAGATGTGCTCAACAAGGTCCTTTGGATTCGAGGACCCATGGGTATTCCTCTACCGAGAAACTGGGGGTTTCGGCCCAGGCCACAGGGGAACAGTCTTTTTGCTGTAGCTGTTGAAGGAAGGCACTTTGACACCCGATAGACTCCAAGGAGCTGATCCTTGGAATCAAGCTACTCCTATCGCCCGTAGCAGGACAAGAAATCCAAAGCCGCCACTCAAGACTGAAACCTCAAGGCAAAGTAGGAGACAGAAGGTACCGGTAGGGCACTCGTAAGGGATAGACCCTCTGGGCTGGAGTCGAAAAGCGGTAAAACCTTCCGTACGGAAGATTTTTGGTGACTGCGTCACCAATATGGCTAGCGCATGTCTTTAATAATCCTAATCCTCTTGCAACAAATTTTTGATGCGCATCTTAAATTTTTCCGCACTTTTTAGCTAGATAAGTTTAATAAAATGGCGAGCGATGGCAATAGCCGTCCAAATCTCGATGAGAAGGTCATTGACACACCTACAGTAGCGCTGTTTTATGGTTTTTTTGAGAAACTCACCTAGAGAAAAATGCATTAATTTTTTTTATAAAAATGTTGTGTTGCAGTAGGCATGAAGATTTTTTTCGAAAAATTTTTGTTGCAGTAGACATGAAGATTGAGGGGGGGTCATCGTTATATAATGACTAAAATAAGCTTGTATGTTGAGATAGTCATGTCTAGATTTGAATCTGCCCTGGCTTTGATATTTACATCAGAATAGGAATGCCTAATATCTGCTGTAAATAATTCATAGATTATGCTTAATAAAAAGAGCAGAATTGTTGAAATGATACCAAAAATGGCTCCAAAAGCACCTAACTCTCCAAGATTATTTTAAAAAAAGAAAAAATTATTTTTATGCTATTTTTTCAAAAAATTAATTAATATATATAGCCCGAAATCGATAATGATTGACTGGAGATGCCTAGTAACTCCCCTATTTGATTCTCCAGCTAGGGGAGTTGACAGATAGGCTCTATATAAGGCATTAGTCAACAACCTGAGTTGGCTCATCAATATATATTAGACAACCAAATCGGGGAGTTACAGGCATTCTCCCAACCTAAGCCGATCAATATCAGCTGTAAGGCTATATAGAAAAAAAAATTGGACTTTTTTCCAAAAAATAGTTTTTCATCATATTTTGCTAATTACTGAAGGGATAAGTTGATGCCATTATCAGGCATAGGACTATAAAGATCATCCTCTACATTTCCTAATAAGGAATATTTTACAGTGACCAAAAAAATCATCAGTGTCGGCAAATACCCAATTGATGACAAAAAAGTTAAAATTTCACTCGGCAAATAAATCAGCATTCTGTAAAACCTAAACTTAAACGTTTTCAAAACACTTGTCAATACTACAAGAATAACACAAATTCATAGGATTGCGATTGAAATGTAAAAAGCCAAGACATAAATATGGAAACTTGACAATATTTGGTCAAAGCAGGGGTAAGACATAACTTTTCAATATTTTGAGTATAGTCCAGGACTAGTTTTTGCTGCCCTTTAGCTATGAATTTTCTTTCTGAAAACGCCGAACATCCTTATATCTCATGGTAAGCTAAAAGCAGACCTTGGCTATATTGTTTTCAATATCGGAGGTTCATGTCTGGATACCACGTCAAGGACAAAACTTGGAGAAGGTTAATAAAATTCGTCGAAAATTCAATTGCAAATTGTGTCTTTCTTCTCGTTCTTGGATTGAATTTTGGTTTGAAAAAATTCTCCACATACTCTATTGCTGCTGCCTTGATATAGTCTGAGGCAGAGTTATGCCGCCAGTTTAAAGCTTTTATTGAGAGGGAAGCTTTTAATCCATCATTTGAGTCCGATAACATTATTAAACACTAATTATAACAGATAGTTTATATAGTCTGAGAGCTCGTTTGAAGATAAATACCCTATAATATATCATTTTTTGTTTACCACTTGAATTTGATCAGCCAAGCTTGGAAATTTAGCTGACATTGGCTGGTTTTTCAATTCGATTTTTTCACTTTCTCCAAGTAATAGGTCTAAACTTGAGACATTTACCTCCAAAGTCTGATTAAAAGTTGATACAAGCTATAATGCAATTTAGAAAAATCGCTAAATTTAAAGTTTTATCTGAAATGTCCTTATATATAGACTATTCATGAAATTGTATTGATTTTGGTACTTACTCACATTTTTAGGAAGCAAAACCATTTAAAAAAATTCTATGTTTTCGGGAAAATTAAATCCATTTGTTTGCAGATAAAGCATTCTTGTATTGTTAATTTTACTTAAAACATTTTGATATACCTAATTATAGCGAATATATGTATTTATTGTTTTTACTATCATATTTTCAAATACTCAATAGTGCAATTGTTAACCAATCAATGCTTTTTATTCCTTTTATTTATTTATATATAAATAATGTTGTGTCATAATGAGATCTCGATCTAAATTAGACTTTATTTAGAAGTTTGCATTCGAAAACATTAATTTTTATATAAATAAATTAGTTTTTCAATTCAAATATTTATTATTTTAAATCTAAAATATTATTTTCATATAAAATTATGCTTCTCATGAGCAAACTTGTTTGATAGAAATGGGAGTTATTAAATTGTAAAATTATTGCATTTCGATATAAATTATAAATTAGATCAAAGAATACCCCTTTAATAATTTTTTTTGATCGTATAAGTAAATTTGAAAATATTTTTTGTCAGTTTTCAATCACAAAAAAAAAATCATAGCCTATGATTAAGCTATTTATTATATTATTTTTCAATTTAATCGTTTCTTTATAAAAATCAAGAAAATTTAAGGTTATAAATGATATTATCTTATAACAATGAGTTTTGCTATCTATAGCAACAAAGATTAATAAAAGGTGTATTTTCAAAACAAATCATTACTCTCTTGCTTCCTCTCTAAAATTTTTTTATAAAAATGTTTGATTTTCAGAGCACAGAAACCGGAATTCCAACATTGAAATGATCAGAAACCTTAAAATTTTGAAAATAAATGGTTTCAAAATTTTCAAGAAAAAAGATATTAATAACTAGGCATTAAAAATATAGTTTGAACTTATATTTAAGATTTAAAATCAATATTTAAATTGAAAAAGAGCTTTAATTGTATTAATAACTTCCTGGTGGCTATTTTTTCGTTTTGATTTTATATAATTATTATACCTTGCAAGTATTTATGAAGAAAAATTCAATAATTAGATATTGAATTATAATGCAAAAAATGCATTTTTATTATTATAAGAGCATTTTAAATATAAATTTTTTAAATTTTTATGCTATCTCGCAAATAGGAGTAAGAGAAAATTATCTAAATTTAGAATATAAAAAAATATAAAATGGAAATGTTTTCAAAATTTCTCAGAAAAATATTATTTTTTGATTACTTCTACTACCGAATACAAAGTATGCCAACATTACGGTTATATTTTTTAATTCTGACTGCTTATATTTATATTGTCTCAAGTGCAGATGGATGCTTATCGTTACTCCAATCAGAAAAGAGATTTGCTGTATAAAGGCAATAAAAAGCAAAAATTTTATTTACTGCAACTCTAAAGCATATTTTTTTAAAGTCTTTTTGAAAATTTTCAAGTCAAACAAAAAATTATTATTTTTGAATTTCCAAGTTTCACTTTATTATCAAAATACAAGACTTTGTTTTAAAAAGATAACAATTTAAAATTTTTATGCTATATTTTTAAAACTAATTTAATTCCTTTTTCTTTGATATTACAAAGAAAATCATGGACTTTCTTAAAAAGATGCTTAATCAGGAAATCCCTCCAAAGCAAAAAGCTCTGCTTCTTTCCGTCCTTGCCGCAATAACTTTTTACTCAGCCTCTCAAATTAAACGCCGAAAGCTTTCTAAAAACAATCCTTCACAAATCAAGAAGGCACAGAATAAATACAACTCCACGAAAGCTGCACTATCCTCTATCTCAAAGCTCCCAAAAGTCTCACTCTCCCCCTTTGTGAGCGAATAAAACCATTGGAAAAATCTAATTTTTTGGTAAAAAACCCACCCCCGTGAGTGAACAAAAAATGTTTTTAATATAAAGATGTTTTATGAAAAAAATTTTGATATATAAATGATAATTAGTATAATGAAATTTCTAGCAAATTGTTTTAAATTGCATTTTAAAGCATAAATTTCACAAATTAAATTAATATTTGCTTTCCAAGTTTTTCGAATTGGATTTTTTAAAAAACATACTAAAAAATTTAATTATATTATTTTTTTAAAAACTAAATTAGCCAAGTGAGCAAATAAAATTCTGTTGTTCGCTTACGAGGGGAGAGTCAGAAGAAAAAATCTCAAAAATCCGCTCTTCAAATATCCACGAATTACGTGAAAGTCTCGACAATGGCGATTTTTCCTGCGAGGAATTATTAATCACCTACCTTAATCGTCTAAAGACTCATGCAATTTCAAGAAATCTAATAAATGCAGTCAATATTGATGAAGCTTTAGCTTGTGCAAGGGCTTTAGATGAAGAGCTTAAGTCAGGCCATAAGCGGGGACCATTCCATGGAATTCCCATTAGTGTTAAAGACATGATTCAGGTCAAAAATTTCCCAGCTACAAAAGGCTTTACTATGCTCAGTCATAATTTACAAAATGAAGACTGCTTAATAATTGACGCACTTAGGAGAGGAGGGGCAGTATTTTATGTGACTGGAACGGTACCTCAAGGGCTAGGAGCTTTTGAGACAAATAATTGGGCTACAGGACAAGCTGAAAATCCTTGGAGGTATTTGAGGACACCAGGTGGGTCCAGTGGTGGAGATGCAGGCTTGGTTGCTAGTGGATGTTGTGCATTAGGGATTGGCTCTGAGCTGTATGGGAGTATAAGAATTCCTTCAGCATTTTGTGGGCTGTATGGTATTAAGCCGACTGCAGGCAGAATTTCTAAGTTTTGTCCTAATCAATCTTCGCACCCTTTTCCAGTGCTGTCTGCTGCATATGGACCAATGGCAAAATCCACTGAAGATTTAGCGTTATTTTTCCAGGTGCTTTGTAGCGACTATGTTTTCAAAAAAGATCCTTTGACTCCACCTATATTTTGGAATGAGGAAAAATACAGAGAAAAAAGAAAGCTTAGGATTGGATATATAGAAAGCAATGAATATTGGCCGCTACCATCTTGCATGCAAAGGGCTATGACCTTAGCAAAGAATGCCTTGGAAGACTGGTTTAGAGACAAAAAATTAACAATCTTTTATTCGTTTTTTTAATAAAATTATTTCTTCAGGTAAAAATAAGCGAGTTTTTTAAAATCAACCTGGAAGACCATGAGTTTATCAAAATCGACCTCCCTGATTTGGATATTTGTAACGAGCTCTTAGTCAGCATCATGGAAAATTCAGATTCAAAAGAAATAGGAGAGCCAGATCTCTTTAGACAAAAATTCCAAGCAGGAAAATCTTGGCTTGCACAGCTGAAAAAGAATTTCTCTAAAAATAAAGAGACATTTTACGCTAAAGGAAGCTGTTTGAAATCTGCATATGACTATGTTAAAAATCTTATCAAAGCGACCCAAATAAAAAATGAATTTATAAAGAAATGGATAGACCTTGGAATTGACGTAATTATAGGCCCATACCCAGTCCCAGCGATACTTCACGGCTCTTTCCAAGAATTATACCCAGGCTTTATATACTCTACATTTTTCAATCTATTAGACTGTCCAGCAGGAAATGTCCCTGTAGGGGTAGTCAATGAAAATGAAGAATTTTATCCAGAAACTGAAGAACACTGGACTAAAGTTATGAATAAGAACATGCAGGACAGCAAAGGACTGCCTCTTTGTGTCCAAATTATGGCACCGCCTTATAGAGAAGAATTATGCTTAAATGTTATGAAGCAGCTTGAGGAAAAAATCCCATTTTGGAAGACATATCAGGATTGTCTAGAATTAGTTAAAGAATAAATTTCTATTTCACAAAATTTAAGGGTATAAAAATTAATATTAGAAATAATGAAAATTGAAGGGGAAGTTTTTTCTGAAAAAGACATCATAGAAAGCTGAAATCAGTATACAGTAAATGGGCATATTGAAAATAAACAGGTCACTTTGAATGTAAATTCTAAATTTAAAACAAGAAAACTCATAAATACACGAGAGCATTTTTCTCGCTGTTCATGCTTAGGCCAGCCGCCTGAAAATGAGCTGTTTTTTGTAAATCCTGATAGCGCAAGATTTACAATTATTATAAATGCAAAATCAAACAAAAAGTAGATAAAATTAATGTCATTTGACATTGTTCAGGTCTGGAGTTGCAATTGCGAGCATTTTAAAAGCTCGATTTTAATATCAAGTATCGATATGAAAGTAGAAATATGATATTAATGTGGATTCTTACTCACTCCCCAAATCCGTGAGGAACAAAATTTTTTGTTCTCTCACAGAGAGGGGGGTCAGCAATTCCTATTGATCTCCCTACTCATAGTGTAAAAATATTACTTGCAGGAATTCAAGAGTCTATATATTTAACCAGTTGTCAACTGCATTTATGAAAGTGGGGCGAATGATGAGTATTTTTGGAATAAAATTTCAGGGAGCATTTTTAGGTACTTTAATGCTTATTGCAACACTATTATAAAAACTCGTTATTTTTTGGGGTAATTGAAAATTCTAATACAAAAGGGAAGGATTAATTTGGCTATTATCAATTTTCGTTAAAAATGAAAAAATTGAAAAATATTAAATATCGCCAAAATCTCTGCTGATTATTTTAAAGTATTAATTTATTCTATTATTAGTTTGATACTTTGTTTAAATACTCAAAAATGTAAAATTACATTAATATTTACATATTATTTATAAAGGAAAGAAAAAATATGAGCAAATGCCCTGATTAATGGAAAATACAGTTGAAAAATGAAATTTTTATAAGGCTTGATATTTTTTAGAAATTAATAGAAAGAAGTCAGCAATAATTTATAGTAAGAGTAGTGAAAGCAGAAACTTAATTTAAATTTTGCAAGTCTTACAATAACCTTTGGATTTAAACTAAATTTGAAATAGGCGGTTTTTCGATCTTCCAAGCATCCGATATATACTCATCCTTTATTATATAAATAATAAATTTGAGCATCACTAAAACCAACATCTCCATAAATTACCAGCTTTCAATTAGATTTTCCCTTCTATTCCGCACGCAAGCAAGTACAATCTCTCTGCATTTATAATGATCTTTGTTTTACAAAATGAAAACACATATGGGATTATTGAAAAAGAATCAAGTTCAGCTGAATTCATAAGAATGTGCTGATTATAATACCCAGAAATCAAAATATTCCTATTAAATATTATGGTATGACAATTGTAATCAGCTTGGGGCATTTGACTAAGGTATAAAGATTGAGAGAGCTTAAAAAAGAATTTAGGTAATAAATCTTTAAGTGAATCAGATAAAAAATATAGAATCTTCATTATAAGTAGCAATGCTCGAATCTCTTAATCAATAAGCTTTTGAGGACATAAAAAATGAGTTTTTGATAATTTATCAGCCCCTGTAGGCAAGAGGTCAACCAATTCAACAAAAAACATTTGTTGACAAAAGAAACTTAAATCAGCAAGATGAAGATGGAATTGGTGAGAGAAGAAATAAAAGAGCTAAGAAGAGCATTAAAGAATGAAAAAATGAGCTAAAGTCTTCTTCTATGAAGCACCTCTTAAATCTCTACATGGGCAATTAATTGAGCAAATCGAGAAAAGGCTTTATAGACTTCATGACACGATTTTTAAAGTTTTAAAATGAGTTCTCAACATGGGTTGATGAAAAAATTAAAGGGTATAAATTTTCTTAACAGATAAAAACCTCGATACTGCTAATTAAATTACTCCCCCTCCGTGAGCGAACAAACCATTAGAAAAATCCTTATTTTTGCCCAAAAACCCACCCTCCGCGAGCGAACAAAAAATTCTTATGAAAAAAGATTTTGATATATAAACTATAAGTAGTAAAATGAATTCTCTAGCAAATTCTATTTAATTTTAAAAAGTTTGGATTTTAAAGCTTAAATTTCGAAAATTAATTTAATTTTTGCTTCTCAATTGGCATCAACCCTCCGTGAGCCAACGAAATATTTTTGTTCGCTCACGGAGGAATGGATTTAGCAAAAATGTAAAAATATTAGTAAAAATGTCGAGTACTTAGCCCATGCATTGGGAAGCACATGGATAAAGAAAATAATAGAGACTTTAAAAAGAAAAATAAAATGTTTTGAAGCTCAAATTAGAAGCCGCAATAAATTCAATTTCTTCATTTAAGACTAATGGCAAGGTATATTTTATATATACTTTTTATTTTTCTGTACCCTTATAAAGATTTAATTTGCAAAAATTTCAAAAATAATTTTAATTATTTTAGTCTGTATTTTCTTTATTTACTGTTCTCTATTTCTTGTTTGCATATTAAAGTTTTCATAGACCTTATTTGTGACATAATTCCTTGCTTATCATCGTCATCAACCCCAAACTCAGTCAAAGTCACATCAAAAATATCTGCATAGCAGTAAAACTCTTCAAGCGTAATTCCCCTTAAATAATGTGCCGCTCTAAGTCTTCGCCTAAGTTCTAAATTCAAGCTCCCATTAATAATTTTAAACATCCCAGTCACAATCCCTTCAAAACTTTCCATGGTCGATTTCTTGAAATATTTGTTTAATAAATCGCACGATAAAATTTTGTTATATAAACTTATGATGAATTTCCCCCAAAACTGTTCTCCGCCGTATTTTATGACGATATCTTGTTCTCTTACCTTTGCGATTTTTATATTCATAGTCATTTCATCATAAGTCCCAATGACTCCCTCAATGCATTTTCTTTCGATTCCGTCATCAATTCGTTTTTCGTCACCTGGAGATTGGTCTTGCAACATTTTTGATGAAAAATGCCCCAGTGATGGGGTCATAGGAGCTTTTGTGTGGTTAAAGCTTTCTAAATATTCATGAATACTTTCTTCTCTGTTTATAGGACTTATTCTTCTAGGGGATTTTTGTGCATTAAGTCGGTCGATTTTCATGTTTACTTTATTTAGTCTTTCTATAATATCTTGTTCTGAGGTCAGTTCGTGAGGGATTTTGGGAGCTTTTGTGCGGATTTTGAATGGGCATGATAGCACCTCTTCAACTTTTTCGCTGATTGGGTTCATTGAAGTAGTAGAAACAGGTCTGGATTCTTCATTAGGAATATCACTAATATCGGTTTTTGCTCTTTCTAACTCCTCCGTTCTTGATTAAGTAATGCTTTTAAATTGGGATAGTGATCAATTCTTGATGATGATTTTCATAGGCAAAGTATGAAACTTCTAAAATATTCTGCTTCAAATCTAAGTCGTTATTTTTGGTAATAATTGGTAGTAGAGATATTGAAGCATTCCTTTTTAAGCAATTCTAATGCTGCACACTCTATCTATAATATAATAAAATTTTTAAAAAAAATAATTACGCGAGTAAAAACAAGACTATACCATCTCGTTAAGAGAAGTTGGTTGTTCGATCATAGATGAGAGAGTAAATGCTCATGGTCGTGATTTTTGGGCATATCAAGCTTCATTTTTGGTTTGCTATGAATAGAATAATCTACCAAATGTTCCTTACAGTCTAATAAAAACCAGTTATTGTTTTTATCCTTCACAAAATCAAGGACAATTCCTTTAAGCCCTCCATATTGGTCAAATAAAACACTATTTAAAAAATCTATTATATGCTCGACCATAAGCTCTATTTCTCCTATTTTTTGGAAAGATTCAGCTGCATAGCAGCTATCAATATCTTTAGTAACAACTAAGTAATTATCCATTGGGTTATCTGTGTGGTCATCAACCATAGGTGAATGTGAATTTTCCTCAAAATTAAACTCATTAGACAGAGTTTTCGTAATTTTAATATCATCACAGTCCAGACTACGTTTTGCTGGAAATTCTTGAGGCTCATATGGTACAGTTAATCTTTTATTTTTTTTTGTAAATTTTAAATTCTGCTTCAGTTGGTTATAAGTGAAGGCTTGCGGAGTGTTTAAAACAACTGTTGCATGTCTACCGTCATGAGAATTTAAATTTGGCTTACTTCTTCATGATATTGATTAAGACTTTTCACTTAGGTTCATTTCTTTATTAAATAAAAAATTTAAATTTGTGAAAAAATTTAATATATCTAGTTCTCATTGCTATATCCATTATTATATAAAATAAGGAAAGCTAGTTTTCCTGAAGATAAAAATTTTTCTAATGGCTTTGCAAGTTACATTGGGGAAAGTTAGCTCTTTTGAATACAAAATTTGGCGAAGACATTGTGGCGCTTTTTGCAAGTTTTTTCCCAACCCTTTTCTTATTAGTTATAGTGAAATATTTAAGTTTTGCACCTTTTCTCCAAAGAATTCTTGTAATTGTGGCTGGATTTGCTTTGCTTTGGATAAAGTACTGAATTAAGGCTGGATCATCTGAGGAATGCCATTTTTTGATAGCGATTTCTTTTGAAAGTAGTCAGGTAAACATTAATTATCCCTAAAAAATAAATTATTTTCTAAAAAGCTAATATAAAAATAATTATCAAAAATAAATAGCCATGGGTGGTAAATCATAGTCACCCAAGTAGACACATAACTTCACCAGAAATTTTAATGCAAAATGTAGGCATACTATAATCGACTTTACCTGCAAAAACCAAGTTAAAAAATTCCTCTGCTGACGATTCTGTTGAATGAACGCCTTCATTGTTGCTGTTAATCAAATAAAGCTTTGGCATATGCTCTATTCTTACTAATGTAGTCGGTAAATTTATACGAAGCCTTTTTGAACTCGCATGTTTGGCGAAAAGGTTAAAAAGGTTAAGTTTTTGAAAATTTGGCGGCTTCGGCAACAAATTATTGACCCTGTTGATCATTTGGTTTGTTGGGTTTACCTCAGGACCAACGTAGTGAAGATTCTTGGTCGACTCAGAAATTAAAGTCTTTAAGTCTTCAGTGAAGTGAATAAGTTCTTTTCTTTCATAGTTATTTTGATGGAAATCGTTGAGATTTTCAAGTATTTTTGGGACATTCATTTGAGGATATTATTACGATTTAAATTCAGCGAGGGTTTTAAAAAGGCATGGCATGTGGAGAGAAAAATTTAAGAAGATTTTTGGAAAAATAAGGTTAAAACATATTTAGTTAAAGGAAGAAAAAATAGAATTTGAGAATTTATAGGCAAAAACACTATAAACTGCCATATAAGGGCGGAAATTGGAGATGGAAATTCTCCAGGGGCTGGGCAGTCCATTTGCCAACTCTCCAATTGGTTTGGTTAGACTGAGTTGATCTAGCCACTGGAGAGTTTCCAGCTCCAATCTCCCCCCTTATAGGGCAGTTTATAGGATTTACCTATACATGGAATTGGTCGAAGCTGTGGAGAGTATTGTGAGAGAAATTTATAGGGATTTTGAAGAGGTCAATAATGGGAAAAATGCCAATAAATTTTTCAAGATTTATATAAGGATAATTTTTTGGGATTTTAGTAAGGAAAACGGATTTGAGTGCAATTATCTTTAATAAATATGTAGAAAGAAATTAAATATTTATAAGGAAGATAATTGCCTTATGAATTTTAGATTTATTGCTTGGATTATTTTTTGTCCTTTAGGAAATCAAGATTATGTCTTTTCCTTTATCTAAAGAAATAATTCGTAGATTAAAATCAATTTTTTGTAATAATTATCATAAATTGTAAGGCTAAAGAGCTATTTTAAATAAAAACTATAAAACTAGGTATATTTGCCGTTTTATATTTCTAAATTCTGCTATTCCATCTAAACAAGATTGACTTATCTAATTTTCGATTAATTCTTTTCCCTTTTGCTATTAAATATTCAAAGGCTACTATGAAATGTTTTGTTCGGTTTTATTTTTAAGAATTAATAAACTATTTAACGCAAAATTCGGAACTCCTTAGTTCAGGTTACAGAAAAAAATGCGATGTGGAAGGAATTTAAAGGCTTCTTTTTATGGAGGAGTCAGATCGTCTCAATAGAAAATGCTATATGAGATTTAATAGTTTGTTGTTGCATTTTTATGTAGCAAGACTATAAAGATTCAAGTTTCAATATAATCGAAAGGTAAACGAGGCTATCAATTGTTTTGATAATTTATTTCCCCAATAAATTTATTAAACTTTTAGCTGAAGCAAAAGCTTATGTTTTAAATTTTGCTTTTTTCTTTAGTCTATTATAGTTCAACTTTTTACTGGCAAAATCATCAACTAACTATTTGATTAATTTATCAAAAGACAAGTCACATACATTTTAATTTTTTTACTTCAAACTATAAAGGTAAGTAATTTTATTAAAGGTGAATTTTTTGGTGACGTTTTATTTCATATTTATTAGTCTCAAATGAGTGCCATTTCCATTAATTTTAGTTATAAGATTCTTAAAGCACAATTTTAACCTTTGTGCTCGCTTCTGAGTAGTGTTTTATATAGCATAATTCGCATTTTCCTTTAGCATAATGTTTTCTGTCTGTATGCGGACACTTCCATGCGAATGAGTCTCTGCCAAATCTGTGATAACAAGAATTACACATCCCTTTGGCGTAATGTTTTTTGTAAATGTGAGGACATGAGGTGATTCCTCTCGGCTTTTTTCTCCTTCTTTTAAGTTTATCCTTTTTAGGACTTTTTGATTCTTGAAAGGCTTCTTTTTCTTCCCTATTTTGGCTGAAAATATTTGGCAATACGAGACTAGGGAAATCGTCGGTTACCAGAAATTTGGAGTTTATAAGTGAATACATGCTCGAAAAAACAGTATTGTTGACGACGCTGGTTTCAACTGGAGGTTCCATTTTATAATCAGCTGGAAAATAATTGATGGCGATCCATTTTATATAGTTTAGGAATGATTTAATTTAGTTTATATTTTATATAAAAAGCTTCTCATGCAAAATTTTAAATTAAAGATAAATAAAATTAAAGAAGTCTTGTAATAAAAAATGAGGCTGATAGTTTTATGTGGAAATATTTTCAGAAATTGAATTTGCTCATATAGGTAATTTTAGTTGATTATCAAATTATTATTGTTAATATAGAAATTAAGCTGATTTCAGGTATTTTTGGAATAAATTTGATATTAGCAAGAGCTGATTTATAAAAAATTTCATTTTTATATTATTCCTTTTATCAAGCTTTCTTTATGTTTCCCGAATTAATTCTAGTTTATCAAAAAAAATTAAAAATATATTGATAATTTATTAAAAGATTGAATTTGAAATTTAATCAATTTTTATCTTAGATTAATTATAATTAAAAATAAAACGAAAAGGTAAAATATTATATTCTATTTTTAGCATACTTAGTTTTCTGCTTGATTATTTAATAGTCTTTTATTTTAAAACTCTTTTGCTTATTGATTTAAAGTGTGTTATTAAAATGGATTTTATATAAAAAAAAAATAGTCAATAAATTGAAAATGATGTTAATTCTTATGATAAAAGCTGCTAAGCTAAAGAATTAAGTCTTTTTTTATTGAATATTTATGTTTAAAGAATTTTTAGTTCTTTCCTAGAGTATTTTTCTTATTTTCAGTCGTTATACAGCTAATTGCTATTTTTACCATTTGACTCATGTTGTTGAATATAAAAATACTTGAAATTCACTGGTCTATTTTTGAATTTTAGTGTATATTGAGTCAAGATGCTAAGTGAAGGAGTCTACTATGAATGATTTCAGCTATTATTGACTGAGAAAAATATTTTATTCTAATAGGAAAATAATGTTGAGGTAGAGCATTTCTAATTCATTATATTTTATGGAGCTATCCAGCTGAAATTGTAATAGTATGATGCCTTAAATGTAGTCAGCTAATACATTCTAAGAACATAATATTTAAGTGCGTGACTAGAGAGCCTTACAGTATTTACTTTGCAGTAATGTTTAGATATATTTCAGGGAAATTATGAGAATAAATTAATAATTTATGAAATAAAATTTTTTCCCGAAATGAATTTAAGATTATGTATTGATTTATTATTTACCCAAATATACAACTGAGCTAGTACTTGAAACTCAGATATTCATATGAAATTATTGCAGCTATAATTTCAAAAGTTTATTCTATATGCAATTATTGTTTTCTTGAGCTAAAACATTAAAAAAGTATTTATAACAAATGCCTAGTGTCCGTAGCTTTGACTAGTTTTAATTTGGATCCATGATCAAAAATCTTTAAAGGCACATATTCCATCATTATTTTTTGTTTTATTCATATAACTATAAATTAGTATTTTTTTCGAATAATTTCTTTACTTAATTCTGCAAAATTAAAATCCACACTTAATATTTTAATTTTTTTTCATTATATTCATTATTTTTATCTGAAATAGGTATATTAAAATTAAGTTCTTGCGGAATGTCTGCTAATTTAAAACTAAGAAATTTGAGTGTCTTAAGTAATTAAGAAAAAAAAACCTTTTTTTGAAAGCCTCTTAACGCATTTAGACAGTGAAATTTTGAATTAAAGCGCTTAATGAATTAACTGGCTAATAAAACAATCATATTTACTAAGCTCGATTAAAAACAAGAATTTATGAAGCTCTTTAACTTTCAAAATTACCATCTTAAGCTACCTTATTTATTAAAATGATTGCCATGATATAATTAGCAGCAAGCATCAAATTTTTCTTACCCCAAATTACAAATAAATAAAAAAATTTTCATACTATAATTTTATTTAAAAAATATTTGTTTTCGAAATGGGGAGTTATGAAATAATAATATTGTTCAAGCAATGCAGTCTGATTGTTCGACAACAGTCCATCTAACCGTCTTTTCATCTATGTTTTCACTTATAAACCCCAAATCTTCCTCAAACAATCCTCCAACATCATTGAGCCTTCCTCCCATCACTAACCTCTTCGATGAAATTCCTGAAGAAGCCTCTACCTTAACTCATATCCCAGTTTTGAAAATTAAGAAGCGTCGAAAAAAGACTCAAAGAATTACAGCTTGCCAGCACATAAATAAAAAACACTACGCTAGAGGGATGTGCAATTCTTGCTACCATCGATATGGAAGAGACACCTATGCCTGACTATGTGAGCACACAGATAGAAAGCTTTATGCAAAAGGAATGTGCGAGCTTTGCTACAATAAGCAGCATGCAGAAACGACTACAAAGATAAAAATAATCTTAAATTAGTTATCTATATAAATTAGAGTAGAATTATGATTAGAAAAAAATGGAATAAGTAATCGTATATAACCAATTAAAGGAAATGCATACATTCTAAGGTTAAAATTCTAATTTACAGATTAAATTGATAATATAATGACAAAAAATTAATGGAGTCCACAAATTAAGGATAGCAATTAAGGTATTTTAATACGAAAATTTAAAAAGTAGGATGGAGCATTAAATATTCTCATTTAATAAGTTTTTAAAATTGTTCCAAGGATCAGTTTTATTTTTATATAGAAATTTAGAAATAAATTATAAAATATCAAGATTAGTCAAAAATATGGCATTAAGCAAATCCTAATATTATCTTTTATTTCTGAGTTCAGAATGTCCGATTAATAGACTCTCATAAGCTTGAACTGATTTCAAAGTTAAATTTGTTGATAGATATTAAAAATTAAGAAAATAACTAGCTTTTCTTATCAATTAAATCAACTTTTTTGTCGCTTTTATTCAGATATAAAATAAGATAGCGGAAAGTAAAACTTTTTTTAAAAAATCTATAGGTTTTGGTCATTATTAAATGGATATAAGAAAAATATCATGATTTATAATAGCATCATAGTTTAATTTATAGTACTTCTAGGATACCTGGATGAGTTGGATGATTATGTTTTTCCTAAAATAATAGAAGTATTAGATGGCCTAAAAAAGCTTAAAAAAGCTTAAAAATGATCAATAAAATTCGAATTTGAATTTATTTCGAGGAAATTAAAACAACTTATATAATTAGATTTGTAATCAATAACCTTGAAAAATCTGAATAGCTTAATTTTATTTAAAAGCCAGAAAATCCTTGCGGTTACTTGTATTTGATAAATAGCTATCGTTTTTTGCTTGCTCTCCACCTCCGTAAGCGATGAGCAAAAATGTTATGCAATTATATTTTTGATATATAATTTATAATCATTAAAATAAAATCTTTAGCTAATTCTATAAAATTTATGCAGCTTTCATATTAGACATATAAATTAAATTAGTTTTTACTATCCAAATTGAAATTTTTAGAAAAGCAAATTTTTAATATAAAACTTTAGGGAGTTAAGACTGTGAAATTGGGAAAATAAAAATTTGATTTTTGCTTGGGATAATTTTTTTCATTTTATGGGATTGGTCTGGCAAATATTTAGTTTTATACTAAATAGCTAAAAAAGCTTGTGCATTTATGAATCCATACATTAAAATTGCATTACAAGCAATTTTAAAAATTTTCATCGATATAATTTTTTTCTATTCTTTTGGTCACCATAGAAGTTATGCTATTTCTTTCAAAAATTATAGGATAATTGATAAAAATACCGATTTTCAGTCAAAAATGTATCTGGACCTCTTGAGCTGGTTGAATTCACTTTTCTTTAAAAATATTGTTATTTTAAAAAAATTTGGGCTTTTAACCCAGATGAGCTTGATCTTTCCAATAAAATTAGGATGCTAGCCCAAATATTATAAAAAAATGCTTTTATAGCCTTGATAATTACATCTTCAAAGTTTTTCTTCTAGCTCTATTGCTTTCATATACCCTTATAAAATTGGATTAAGGAATGGGGGAATTCATAAATATATTGCATGCTTTTAAAAAGTCTGACATTTCCAAATACCAAAACCATGAATCTTGTGCCTATAAAAATAATTTTAACCATGAAATCTTTGATCTTCAAAAGTGAAATAAATATAGCTAAAAGGGATTTTGAAAGAAAAATGTAACTTGGATAATTATTATAGCTTCTTTTGTTTTTAATAGAAGCTTCATGGATTTCTTAGCTTTTATATAAGAAATAAAATGGTCATGCTGACGGAAATAGGACTCCTAGGTGGCGCTCCTGATGAATCGGTGGATGACTGTGATGGGTTGCGCAAGTAACTATTCGTCCTTGGACAGATGGCTTAGGTCGGATATAGCGCCTTCCTATAGATGGCGCGCAATGCGCCATCTAATAGAATTCACTATATCCAAAAGGGCAGCTTTTTGGAGCCAAGATGGGTGACGGCCAGTGGTATAGCCAGCATAATGGTTTGAATTTAATTTAGCTTTTATATTAGAAGAGAATTGAAAAAAATCTGATCTCAAAGTGCCCTCTGGGGTAAAAATTTTTCTGATTTATTTTGATAGACAAAATCATTTATTTGCCTTATGATAATCTAATTTAATTCTAAAATGAAATGAGTAATTTATTAAAATTAAGATATAATGTAAATTCTTTCAAAATTTAAATTAAAAATAATCGTAAATTTAAATTTAAAAACCTGTACGTTCCTTTAAGAGAGCTATTGATCCAAAGCAATGGATTTGATTATAAAATTTAACCAAAAAATATAAGGCCAAGAAGCCATTTTCTTTTAAAAAAATTATTGTTCTCTATAAAGCCAGCCTAATTGAGATTAGGAATTTCCTTAAAATATTACTGAATTAAATTTGTTTCCTTGTGAATCTAATATTAGAGACCTTATCCTAAGAAATAAAAATTTTTAAATTAGAAATTGACTGTTTTAATGGCTGTAGGCCTTGGCATCCATCTTGTAAAAGCCAAAAAAGTCGTAGATCTTCCTTTCGTCGAACGGTGGCTTCGTTTATTCTTTTTACCCTCGCTCTTCCATCTGGTTGGGACTAGCTTTCTATCCCAAACAATCTTTGACCCTTTGTGTGGAGACATTAGTCAGGGCCACTGGCTTAGCTCCCTAGCTCGCTCCCTGGACTGTAGATCCACATATGCAAGTGATAGTCTGGAGCTTTGAATTCCAGGCCCATCCTAAAAACATCTAAAATTTAGAAAGAATTTCGTATTTGAAATTTTTACTAAAATTATAAAAAAATTGTAATTCCTTAATTTGACAAAAAATAATCATTCTCAAAAATTACTCATAAGACTAGATTTATTAGTTTTACAAAGATATTGATTTCATCTGCTTAACTCATGCATCAATTTACAGGAATTTAAAATTCAGAACATAAAAATTTAAATCATATTGATAAATCATTTTTGAAAATGGTTTGCCATTTTATTAAAGTCTAAGAAAAGGACACTGCTTATTCGAACTATCAAAATTTTTATTACCTTAATGCTTGATAAGGTCCTAAAAAGCAGCTGCGATTGTAAAAGTATTTTATTATATAATTCAAATTTTTTTAAAACATACAATTAAAACTTTTTAATGTGTGTAATCAACAGACCTATGCCTGAAAATGTTTCACAAGAATTTTAAAATATTAATGATAAATGACTGAATTAATTTACCCATTTTATTTAGTTTTTACATAATTACTGATCTTCATAGCCATTTTATTAAGTGCATGCAAAACTTTTCTTCGACCTGGACGTTATAAATTTTTTTGTTGACTCAATAAAAACTTTCAAAATTTTTATAGCATCTGAATTCATATGACTTTTTAGAATTTAATTAATTAATTGGCTATTTAAAAAATTCCATGTGATAAATTCAAGGGAAGGAATTATTTCTCTACCTAGATATATTTGAATCGAAGCTCTCTTGCCAAATTTCTTCATTTTCTTCCGTTCAGTAAGAACGCCATTGGGAGAATTTGCGATTTCCATTTATGCTCTACCAAAGGCAAATAATTAAGTAAATGCCCGGAGAAAATTCTAAGAACGCAAACTTCAACATTTTTTCAGGAATGTTTTCCCTGCTAAACAATGTTACAACTGAGAGCCAATACTCATCGCCAAAAGTTCTTCCTCTTATTCACGGTTTAATGGAAGAAGATAGTAGTCGATTATTGATTCAAAATGAAATCAAGCCAGCAGCCAAAAAGTCCAAGAAACGAGTCCACAAGAAGCAACGGGTCACTGCATGCCCTCACATAACGAAAAAGCATTACGCAAGAGGGATGTGCAATTTGTGTTATCATAACTATGGGAGAAAGGCCTTTGATTGGAAGTGCAAAAAAGAAGAGGAAAAAGACTTACCAACTCTAAGTACAATCAACTAAGTAAGTTTATAAAATAATTTCTAAATAAACATAGGTTCGAACTGCTTTCTGGAAATGTGGGATGTAACCCCTTTAAGAAAAAACTTAACTAAAAGGAATCAACAGTTGGAGAATGAAAGAATTCAAAAAGCAAGTGGATTCTATAGCTCACCTTTGTTAATTCAATAAATCTAACTTAGTAACAGCACAACTTATTGCTCGGCCAGGCATCCATTTCGAGAATATTATGAAATAAATACATAAGACGCTTTTAAAGAAATGAAGCGGTTTGATAGAAGCTGACTATTTCAACTTGGAAAAAAGAAAGTAGGATTATCGGACTCCCCTTAGGTGCACCTCTGAGCATAAAGATAGCACTTTTGGCTATTCTTTTGCCAAAGCTCTAAAATCAATTTCTATGTAACAAATTCCTTCGTTTCATTTCTTGAATGTTAGGATTTAATTCTTGTCAAACTTTATTTAAAACTTTTCACAATTAAAAGTGTCAGCTAGGGGTAGGGTCAGGTCCTACACATCTGAGAAGTTCACGACTTCTTGAAACTCTCAGCTCTAGATAATGGATCTACACTGTGTCTGATATAGATTAGAGAGGTCCTAAGGGACTTGGGACAATAAAAGTTTGACGTTTAAGCCTTACGTATGTTATTCAGAGCTGTGGTCTAAGCGTACAGGACTTAAAGAGTTATCATAAACTTAAACAAAACTTAAAACTTTTTCCCAAACTCTTAATTTTTCCTAATTAAACAGCTACTTTTCATAAGTCCCAATAAATTTCTAAGAAGTGCTCTTTTCCATCTAAAGACATTTCTCTGGGTCCCGATATTAATTCATGTAAGCGCTGGAATTTTTTGTGGCTTGGAGGAGTTAGCTTGAGGTTAATTTTATGGACAAAAATTAATTATTCCATAGTTTAATTGTGTGGAGTTTATTCATCCATCATTTTTTCTCCAACGGCCTCAATATAGACTTTTTCGAGATTTATGAGTAATGTCTATTATGGGAGGTCGATTAGTGATGTCTTTGTCAAGATTCTCTCAAGACTTTTAATTATTGATGAATAAGTGGGAAGATATAAAGCAATAAAATTTTTTATGAGCTAAAAGGTCGGAAATTAGTTAGGAAAAACAGAAGATTTCAGCATGAAAATAAGGATCATTATTTTATCTATATTATTTTTAAATTTTAGCTGGTTATCCAGAGTCAATAAGCTAATTTAGAATTTACAAAATTTTTAATTATTTTTATTTGAAAATTAACTTAAAATGTCAAGTTAGCTAATGTTAGAGACTTTCTTATAAGTAAATTATATTTAAAAATATTGATAATAATCCCAGACTCCTCTTAGCTTTTATAAACTTTTTATTTAACTTAAATCAAAAGCGTTAAATCAACTTATATAAAAATTTGAATTCTTTGAAGTTTTGATAATATTTAATTTCACTAAAAGTTTTTTAGGCTGCAATTATATAATTCCAATAAAAACATAATTTTATAAAGGCGATTGGTATGCCCTGTACACAGTAGGTGCCTTAATATAACTTTATCCAAAGTCTCGGTCTCTGCTAAAATTTTGTGCCAGAGAGGCTCTCATTCGACTTTCTGCCCTACCTGGTTACTAATGCTACTTCGGGATTTTGGAGAGTTTAGTTTAGGGACTTGATGGCTGCTAATTATACTAAGGTTCTAGATAAAGCTCGGCACCCTAACTAGCTTCAGTGCCTGTGACTTCTCTAGCTTAAGCTCCAAGAAATCCAAAAATATTCCGTTAGACTTAAACTAAACAGATATACATTACGATCTAGAACTATTCATAAAAGCACAGAGCTGACTACATAATTAGGCAAGGATCCCGACGGTTGTCCATGCCACCATTTATGTATATTTTATTGTACACAGTCAGTAAATATAAAATTACGGGTAAATAAGTCATATTTAATTAACTTAAAAAATGGAAATTTTCTAAATTAGCAGACTTATCTGAATGAAACCAAATTCTTTCTTATCTTAAATGGAACCAAATTCTTTCATTATCTCTTTAAATCTATTATTAAACGCTGACACATATTCTCCTTCTTCAGTAACAGCCCCACAAAAAAATTCAATAATTTCATCCCTTATGTCTTGAGCTCCATAAAACACTGCATTAAAAACCTCGAAAAAGGTCCTGACATCATTAGCAGTTCTCGCAAAGTGTGATGGTAAATTTTCAATACAAATACTTAAGGGTGAAATTTCTTCACTTCCCCCTTTAATAGCCATAGGTTTTTTTTTTCACTATTAATTGATTTATTTTTTTTAATTTTAATTTTTATGAAACATTCCCATTTAATATGATATAAATTATAAATTTTTTATATATTTTAAAAAATTTATAAAATAATTTGGATTTTAAAAGAATTTTTTTTAAAGGAAGAGGAAGCAGGCTAAAATATACATAAATTAATACAAGTACTTGGATATTATAAGCTTTTGCAATTGCAGTTAAAATCAATTAACTCCCCCTTTAAGTTGAAGCAAAAAATCGTGTCCAATTTAAAATAGTGACTAATTTTTTTTAAAAAAAATTTATATTAAATTTTCTATATCGCAATTTTATAAAAGTTTTAAAAATTATAAATTGAAAAAAATATTTTTGGATTTTAATTTATTTTAATGAAGATTTAATTAAAAAATAATCAATTCAGTTTGATAATTGTTTAAATAACTACTTGTACTTTTTCCATTAAATTAGGTCAAAACTAATTTATAAAAAATTAGGATTTTCATCTATGAAATCTTCCTATTTAAAACACCCCAAAAATGAAAATTCTGTCTACATTTTTTCCAATATAAAGGACGGGGAGTAAGGAAAAAATTTAATGAAACAAAATGACTGTTTGTTCATTATTAAATAGGGGAGTCAGGGAAGCTTGCAATTATTTTATTTATTAAATCCACATCAATATACGACCTCAAAATAAAGGGATAATTGTCTGTAAGCTGCTTTACCTTCGCTATAGGTGTTGCAGCAAGAATAGAAAAAATCATCGTTGAAGGATTTTTTTCTTCTTCCGTAAACGTAAAAATCCCTTTGTTTTTGTTAGACAAAATGCTGCGAATTGACGAGCAAACTGAATCTATTTGGTGAGGTAAGCAGGCTAAAATAATAAAATCGCATTCTTTAGCGACCTGCTCGTTATCTCATATAACTCTTAGCCCTTGCTCTATGAATTTTCGATGTTTATCAGGGGTTCGCGTTGATACCAAAACTTGTTCTGGGGATAAGATTTGCAGATGCAGGATTTCTTCAAGAATTGACGTGCCTATATGGCCTAGGCCGATTATGCCGACTTTTAAGCTTTGCAATGTGCCTTGAGTTTTGAGATAATTGGAGATATAAGCTATTAAATGAAAAATTGTCTCTTTCGCTATTAAGGTATGGATAACTTGGGCAGATGCGTAGAGTTGCCGCATTTGAGGATCAGGGAAAAAAGTCCCAATTAGGTCTTTTGAAATAAAATTCGTCATTGAAAAATTGTTATATTAAATAAAGTTGTTTCAAGATGAGAAAAGATATCTATGAAAAAGCTATCGAACTTCTTATAGGACACTAGAGAGACTAGGAACATTTTTAAAGTGAGATCTTGAAGGCTTGGATTCTAGGAAACCGAAAGGAATAATTTTAGAATTTTTATATGTGAAATTGATTTGATGATATACTCTAGATAGAGCGTAGCAAATAAAAGCACAGAGATTAGGGTTGATTTTTTATCAAAAATGATCGTGAAATGATTTTTCATATCAAAAATTAAGAAAACAGGTTATGATGCGAAAAATTAAATCTGGCAAAAATTTAAAAAAATTGATTTTCTTTAGTTTTCCTCAAAGTAAAAAAGATTAATTGATTATCAAAAATTCCAAATTATCAAAAGCCCCATAATTATTTATGGAACCAAAATATATCGGACTCTGTGCAATGTTCCTAGGAGATGAAATAGTAGCACATTACACCAAAACCCCACAAGACGAAGTCCGAGCCTTTAGAACCCTCGTGAGCTTCGAAAGTCTTGCCTTTTTTGAAGAACTTCGAGTCTCCATCTACGACGTCATCGACAAAGTCGGTCTAGACCGTGCCTCTGAGCTTCTTTCTATTCCCCCTAAATCCCTTATTCTTATCAACGATACCAGCCGCTACCGAAACGCCACCAACAGAGAGTTCTCCCCTCGCTCTAAAAAATTGAACCTTATGAGATCCGAAAGATACGAGCTAAAACGAAATCTTTATGTTAAATATAGCACAAAGCAAAAATCCTATGAAAATCCAATATCAGACCTCCACGATATTGAAGAATTAAAACAAAGAGTTTCCAGACTTTACAATCATGGAGTCAATATAAGGGTCATTCAGTCACTTTTTGACATAAGAAATGGAGGCTATATACATTCTTGGGGAGGCTGGGAAAGGTCTCCTGCATTTTATGCAAAAGCTGATGAGCTAAAGCAGCAAATTATTGAAATGAGGGCTCAAGGAATATGTGATGAAGAAATAAGGAAAACTTTAAATATAGAAGCGCGACATTTAAGTGAAATTATGGGAGAAATTAACAGGAAAAAATTATTTTTTATGAAAAAAGATATAAAGCAAATCCTATACTAATTGACCAAGAATAGCCCACTAAGGAGCCATTCTTGGTCTGCCAGAAAAAATTTTGACAAAAGATCCTAATCTGCCATTACCACTGAGTTTTGGTGTTTCCAAATTTTTTGGGCAAGCCAAATGCAATAAAAAAATTGTTCTTTTGCGATGATGCATTTGGCTTGCCAAAAAAATTTGGCAACATCAAAACTCAGTGGTAATGGCAGATTAGGATCGTTTGGTGTTTCCAAATTTTTTTGACAAGCCAAATGCATCATCGCAAAAGAACAATTTTTTTTATTGCATTTGGCTTGCCCACAAAATTTGGAAACACCAAAACTCAGTGGTAATGGCAGATTAGGATCTTTTGTCAAAATTTTTTTCTGGCAGACCAAGAATGGCTCCATAGTGGGCTATTCTTGGTCAATTTGTATATATGAGTACGCGACCCAAAAAAGAAAAGAAAAAATAGCAAAATTGCATGGGATCACAAAAAAACAAATAAATTATTGGCTGGATAGGTGTGAGAGAAAGCAGCTGGATACGGTTTATGACCTTAAAGTAATGAATCCTATTGAAATTTTGAATGCGCTGGAGACTTATTATATATGTGAAAAACTTGAGGCAGCTGCCAATGAGCTCGGAATTAATGAAGAGGTGCTGCAGATGATAGTCAAAAAATTTGAAGACAAAATAAATGATTATTATGGGGAAAATAGTATAAGGACTGAGTGGAATAAAAAATATGATATTATCTGGTGCAAAGATATAGGAAAATATTGGGTTTCGAGAGGAGGAAGTATGAAGAGGCAGAAGATTGAGGATTAAGGTGTTAAAATAATGCAAAGTAGCATATATGATTACTGGTTTAATTTAGATCTGCATTTGATATGAATAAATCCATGATTTAAATAGAAAAATAAGTCTTTATTATTAAATGCTGCCTGAAGACTTAATCTATTTATATGCGATAATGATCAAAGCATCAAACATGATAATTTCTTCTTTTTCAACTAAAAGTGCTACTTTTTCTCTTATTTTGCTCAATATATTTAAATATATTTCTTCAGACTTCTTTTTATATTCCCACAGGTTAGGATTGACTTCGTAAAATTTCATAGTCTCCTCGGATCCTGTTGGCCCATAAGGAGTTGATGTATAATATGTATACACTTTTCTATACCCAGCTTCTTTGATCAGCTTTTTAAGTAATTCTTGATCATTTAGATAAAATGGGGATCTTTTCTTATTATCTTCCTCTCCCAGGACTTCAAAAACTGCTTCATCTATAATATTCAGGCAGTTACAAATTTCTCTTCTTCCCCATACAGAAAATACAGAAATTCCATTTTCAGCCAAAACTCTATATGACTCTCTCAGCATTGAGCTCGCATCTGGGACCAACTGAAGGGAAAAGTTTGCAATATATCTATCAAAAAAATTATCCTCGTAAGGTAAAGCATCATTTGCGGCTTCTATTAAATTAAGTTTTGGTAAATTCCTTTTTTGAGCCTTAATCTCCTGCTTTATATTGGAACAAAATACAGGTCATTTTCAGTAATAATTTTTATAAAATCAGTTAGGGTCTAAATCAACCAAAAAAGTCAATTATTTTAATTCCCCTTTAAATTGGAACAGGATTTTGGTTCCAATTGAAAGAGTGGAAGTTAGCAAGCATTGCAGGGCTTAAGTCACTTGCATAAATTTCTGCTTCTGGTAGTATATGACTCATAAGTAATGATAGACCTAAGCCAGTTCCACATGCAACCTCTATAATTTTACTGGAACTTTCTAAATGAAGCGTAGGTAAGAATGAATGATAAACAGAAGCTGTTAATAAGTCAGCATATTCTTCGTATCAATCAGCGATTTCATTGTAATGCTGCTTAATTTCTTCTTTCTGCTTATCCTCCTCATCCATTTTTACCTTATATATCTTTGAGTTACAATCAAGAAAAATTTTTGATAAAAATATTCAAAAAATGCATTAAGTTGTTGAGATAAGGTCTTTTTTAATATGGTAGTCATTTGAAAAATAGCCAGCTAGTAAGACGCCCAGAGATGATATTGTATATAAGGAAAGGCCATGATAACGTCTTTCGTGGTTTTAGTAAGCAAAAGGCTTTATGCATAATCAAATACATTAGAAAAAATTTATTAAATTACGATTTCTTTCAAAGCCTTATCTATTAAAAACTGTTCACGAAAACATATATAAATGACAAAAGATCTTATAACTATTTTAGTTAGAAAAGGCAGATCAGTCCATTGCAGTAACCAAATTGCTACGCTAAGCCCACTTATATCTGAATTAATTACTGAATACCAAACAGACGAAATCCCATTAACCCATCTATCAAAAACCTCTGTTGAAAACATTATAGTGTACTGTGAGCATTATTCCTATGCCCTTCCCAGCCCTCTCCCAAAGCCTCTTCCCAATAAAAGGTTAAAGGGAATTATCGATTTTTTTGAATATGCTTTCTATAAGGAGTTAAAACCTCATGACCTATGCAAGCTGTTAGAAGCTTCAGACTATTTAGGTATCGAAAGATTATATCAAGGATGCTGTGCTTTTCTTGCATCTCAGTATATGGAGAGGCATCCAGATATATTAAAAGCAAAACTTGGCTTATCAGAAAATTATAATGACCAAATGGAAGCAAAAATTCTAGAAAATTTCCCATGGGTAAATAATCCTCAAGGTGAAGAGCCTTCTCCTTTAATAGACTCTGGGATTTTACAAAAATTCTTACTCCCCCCCCTCCGTGAGTGAACAAAAAAATTTGTTCACTCACGGAGGGGGTTTAATTTTTTGTTTTTTAAAAAAATTTATATATAAATTTTATAAAAAATGTTTTTTCGAAATTTAAAAAAAACTAATTTGCAAAAATTGGAAAGCAAATATTAATTTTTTTTGTAAAATTTATGTTTTAAAAAGCAATTCGTTTAAAATTAAAACAGAATTAGCTCTAGATTTCATTATGCTAATTATTATTTATATATCAAAATCTTTTTCCATAAAAATTTTTTGTATTAAAAAAATTTTGTTCACTCACGGAGGGTGGGTTTTTTGGCAAAAAATAGCGATTTTTCTAATGTTTTGTTCACTCACGGAGGGGGGGGGAGTTAGAAAAAATAAAAAAGCTGTTTTACAGGTAAATTAATTATTATTTAAACAATTTATATGTCCATGGCTTCTGCACACAATGCAGGTAATTTCGGAAAATTCTTCGCTTTCTATTGAATTTTTGCGGTTTAGGCAGTCAGAACTGTGATGGCCCCTTAAATCACAAAACTCACATTGTTTTATACTCATAACTGCGTCAGGGTAATTTTTAAAAATACATCGGCTTGCTAAATGGCCTATTTTATTGCAAAGTAAACATAAAGAAAACTTGCAATGGATCAGGGAATGACAGGATTCTCCACATTGAAAACAGCGTTTTTCAAGTCTTGATAAAGGACGAGGGGATATAAAGCTATTGGATTTAAAATTGAGAGAAAGAGGGTTGATTTCTATTAATTAGACTAGATTAGATTAGATTAAAGGATCTCTGCGGGATTATGTCAGCCCACTATCCACTTCCTCCCACTTCAGGCTTACGCCCTAAGCATGGGTAGTACTTACGCCATTTTTGCCCCATGTTACCAAAAAATGGGTACGTCGGCGCTCTCGAGGTGAAGCACCCCAGGCACTTCCTTGGACAACCCTAACGGTCAGCCCGTCCTTCTGGAGGTGGGAGACGGTAGGTATCCTGATTCTCCTCCTGCCTCCATTGATACCTTCGCTGTCAGGATTGTGGGGTTGTCTTTACGATTCTGGTCAACTTGCCATAGGTCGAGGTAAAAAACCTGCCTTGGTCTCCTAGCCAGGGAAAAAAAAAAAACCTACCCCGACACAAATTCTCCAGGCCCCAGCCCTCTTAAACCCACAAGCCTGAGGTTGTGGGAGAAGGACGGGTCAGAGTGGTAGCCATTTCATTTTTGTATATTTCTATTGAAGATATAAGGGTTTTTATGGTCTCTGCGATTTTATCGAGACGGTTTAGCTCATTTAATTCTTCTTCTGTCGGGGCTCGGTTTTCAAAATTTTGCTTAATCTAAGTGTGAGTTACTATTTCTGGGTAAATTTCAAGCCTTGGGTCTAGGATTGTGATTTTTTCAGGGTTTTTGATCTTTGTAAAAATCATTATAAAATGAGTGAGCCATTTTTTAAAACTCAGAGATTTATTGGGGAGGACAGGAAATTAATTGGTGAGAAAACATAAAAAATTGATGCATTAATTTAGAGGGCTTGTATTGGTATTAATTTAAAATAATTGATTGCTAGTGTAATTATTTAATTTTAAACTAAAACTGAAATATGGCTAATCAAATAAATAGTTAATACCCAAAATGGATATAATTAACTTGCAAAAATTAGAAAGGCTGCGTACTTATAACCATTTCCAAAGAGAAAAAGATATTTTCAACGACGAAATTGGTGGGTCGAAATTTTACGACAAATTCCAGCCTTTCCATATGCCTCAGTTCAGCCCGAAACAAAGATCCTCCCTTATTAAAACCCGTCTGAAAAAATCAAAAATCTCGAAATCAACCAATGCTCCTCATTCTTTATCCCCTCCAAAATCCCGATTTCCATGTATAACTAATGAAGCTCCTAAATCCTTATTTGTTTTAGGCTTAAAAGGCCAGGGTGATTATAAATTCAGTTCAAAATCTCCATTACCATTTGACCCTTCAAAAGAAGAAGTTGCATATGAAGATTTTTCCAAAGAAGGAAAATCCCCTTCAAATGCACTTAAAAATCTGCAAAAAAACCAAATAAATTTGCAATATAAAAAAAATTATATCATAGGCCCGTGCTAGTGAGTCGCCATTATCCCGATGTCTCCTTATGTGTTTTGCCAACTTTATATGTAAAGCCAATCATTAAAGTTACGAATCTGATATACCAAGTAGATTTGCCAATTAAAAGACTAGTTTTAAACTTTCCGAGCGTTTTATTAAGATAGCGATCCATTGGCATGGACACACTATATCTGGAAGCTATTTTTGTATGACTTAAAATTATTTTTTAAAAAATGATAAAGGCAGCTCCAAGCTGAAAAAATATGGCTTCTGAGTTTTATCAATTTCAGGTACAAGCTGCAAGGATATTGACTATTAGCAGTATAAGGAAAAATTGACTTAATGATCAAAAAAGTGCCTAAGACATACTTCGCTGAAAGCTTTTTGGGTATTCCACCAGAAAAAAAGCTTATAAATTGCGTGGGAAATTACAAAGAAAGACTAGCAAGATCTACAGGAAGAAGAATTATAAATTTAGAAGAAAAAATCTGCGAAGAAATGAGCAATGATACTAATCGGTCAAGCATTTCCGGCTCTGACATTTTGCTTCCCAAAATAAATAATTAACTGTAAATCTGATTTTTATAAAAATAACTTCTTCTGCAAAGGATTTTTGATATTTTTCATATCCATTTATAAAGGATTAATATAATCTTATAATGGATAATAAGTCTTCTACTGGCAAACATTCAAGTGTCTTTATCTTAATTATTCATGCCAATTTCAGGCACATTTTCTTCTACTAAAATGTGGGCATTTTGATTAATTGATAGAGGCTGTCTTGAAGTTGGGCTTTAAGGACTCTTCTTTGAGCTCAGAAACTCACTCAGATCAGTTAGAGATTTACGAAATGCAGCCTTTGCAGCTTGGGGCGAGCTATACAATTCGGAATGCACGACTCCAAGGTGCGGCCTAATGGTCTATGCAATTCATAGAAGAAAATTCGGCCAGAAATTTTTTAAATGTACGAATGTCTCAATATCAAAAATTTTTCCCCAAGGCAATTTCGCATTGTATACAATCTTTTGGCATTTAGCCGATTTCCAAGGCTAGGGACCAAAGAATGTGCACCTATCTCTAAGGGGCCATCCACAATAAAACTAAACCAATTTTTTAATTATAATATGGAAGTCGAAAAAGCTAGGGAAAATCAAGAAAGAGCTGCTCTTGAAGAAAGACAAAAACAAGATCATCGAAGAGGGATCCAATGAGATGAAGAAGTAATTAAAGAGCATGACAAAGAAAGAGGCACCAGAATGAAGGTAACTGAGCCAAAAACCCCATATAATTATATGGACATAGAAGAAGTATCCTTTATAATAGCCATTATAAAATAAAAAAAATAATCATTTTTTTTTTTCTTATTAATTTTTAGTTCTAAATCAAAAAATAATTAAAAAATACCTATATAAATCCTATAAACGAAGAAATAAGAACTGAAGAAGTCCTCAATGACGCTTCTAAAGAACTCGAAAAAGTCCGAAAAAAGCAAGAATTCGAAGAACGAAGAAAGCAGCATTATCACGGAGAAATTTCCTATGCAAAGCAGCTGCTGCAGCAGCACAAGTTCGACGAAGAGCTAGATGAAGATGAGAAATTTGAAGATGCATAATTAATTTAGTCATATTTATGTTAATTTTGATTAAGAATAGGCCTTTCTTCAGGCTCTTTGTTAAGTTTCAGCTTTTCTGAGATATAAGGGATGATAAACATAAATAAAAAGCCATTGACATATTCAAAATAAATGATAATAAAAAGAGCAAGGACTTGATAAGTGCCGTAGATGAAGATAAAGAAAAAGAAATGGGTGATTAATATGCCAAGAATGAGGAGGCCAAGCCTACCTAAACTTTTTTTGGAGCTTCTTACGTTATATCATAAGTCTAGGTGGTATTGGTTGAGGCAGTAGTAGCCTAGTGAGGCTCCACATGCATAAAAAATAGCGCCGAGACCAGCTAAGGTTTCGAGAGCGGCGTCTCATTCGTCGATGTCTTGGTCACATTCGTCGTCAATATTGTCAGTTCAGTCTTCGCCCCATCCAGGGAATCTTACTAGTAAAATAAAAGCGCCAAGAGTGTAAATTCCTGTGCAAGCTAAATGCAGGATTATAACCGGCTTTACTCCATATAGGTAATTCTTAAGTTTTGCCCTTATTGGCAAACTTAGGAATTTCTATAGTTTTTTAATTAAAAGATTTGGGAGAATTTTATATAGAATCTAGGAATATTTTATTTAAAAAGCCCAAGTGCACCCTTAGTTTTATTTATTACCTAATTTTTTATTATGATAGAGTTAGAAGTATTCAAACTGCTTACATAATCTCCTAATTCTTTTTCATAAACAATCACTACATTAATAATAAACACCGCAAAAAACAATGCTAAAACCACCTGTGAATAAAAATGTTCCCCAAAATACACCCTTATATAGCCCACATACAAAATATAAACCCCTACCACCGGATATTTCCAAATTCCAAGATTTTTCAGCTTATAAGCCGCATATATCAAAACTGTACAAATTCCTAAAGTATGCCCAGAAGGGTTTCCCCAGTCAAAATTGCACTCTTTCGCTTCAATATCGTCATCATACCAATACGGCCTTGGGTCAGCATACAAAAGTTTCGCAATATCCGTAAAAATTCTCGACATAATCCACACAATGATAATTTCCATCCCCAAAGCAGGCGAAATTTCATAGGTCATGTACCAAATAAGCAAGGTTATAACAACCCTTACCTGCACAAAAATAAAGGAAATTATGTCTTGGCCTAAACTTTCGCCGTCTTGGATTTCTTCTGTAAAGCCAGTCCCACTGTGTTTTAAATCGTATTTAAACCCAATATCAAGCCCAATTGCAAGGCATAACAAAATTAATGTGGGTAGGATCGAAAAATGCTTCTTCATGAGTTTTATTGGAAAATGGGTTCATTTTTATAGTTGATTTAAGAGCCGTTTCTGCCCCTTTATGAGAATCATTTATAATTTTAATTAATAAATTCTATTGCCATTATCAGCATTTTTCTTACTTCTTCTCTGACGGCTTGGTCTTCTACTTGGATAAGGTCAACAATTAGCCTTCCCATTCTTTTCATTACTGTTTTTAAATCTTTTGAAATTCCTGGCAATAAGGTTCCAGCGACTACAGGGTAGAGAGCAAGGACTTCGTCAGCTCTGTCTTTTGACAGTTTGCCTTTATCTAAAATTTCTGCAATAATTTCTTCACTTAGACAGTAAAGTTCTTCTTTGCTTTTCTCATCTCTTGCTACAATGGCTAACAAAATATCTAAATAAACTGCCAAGCTTTCTTTTTCTTGCTTAAAAATCCCTGGTAGCGTTTTCATGTGTTTCAATAGTCCAGCTTGCCACAGTCTTTGCCTTAAGTCTACCCTGCAGTTAAATCCTTTGGAAAACCTATAAGATTCCTTTAAAGTTGTTGAGAGTTCTTTTAGTGACTCATCGCTAAATATTGATAAATTTGCTGAAATTATAATTCTATACATAAATAATAATAATTTTTACCATATATTTTCTGAGCTTAAAATAGCACATTCTAGTATATTTTACTTGACGCAATTATATGGAGCTGAATCATGCATTTTTCTATGCATTTATTTGCATCAAACTGTAGCTCATTATTTATTGGCTCTATAAGCAATTCTTCTGGGAGGGTTCCTTTAAGGCAGTTTGATAGAAAAGAAAGCATTAAGGCTGAGAATTCTAAAGAGTCTGGCAAATTGGTGACGAGTTGGTTAAAAGCATTGGTGCAGACTCTTGCAATTTGCTCTTGGCATGTACACACCCCAGTTTGTAACAAGTTCAAAAAATCAGGAATCAAGAACTTTAAGCTGGAATAATGATCGACAAGGAGTTTTACAAATAAAAGCAAAATTTTTTGGCAGGTGGAGCTTATCCATTGTTTACTAGCTTGTAATCCTCCTTCAAAATCGTCAAAAACAGGCAGAATCACTCCAGTGTATATTAATTTTCATTTTTCCGAGTCAAAAACGTCTCCCATGGCATCTAAACTTTCAAATAAAATTATCAAGGCTTTATTTTCTATATCTTTTTTTTATTGATTTTTTTTCCAAAAAAAAATCCTATTTTTTTATTTTTTTAATTAATATTTTTAAGGTATATATTTGTATTTTCAGCTAATAATTTTGATGAAATTTCTGATAATAAAGGCAGCCAATAGTCGCCTTTTATAGTCCCTCTTGCAGTCTCTTGTAGGCAGTTCCCTATTAAATCCATGCTTCTTAAACAGTATTGTTCATTTCCGCTTGAAGCAAAAGCACACAAACAGTATACAAGTTCTTGCATGTTATTGGAGAGCAGGCTTAAATGAGTACTTACTACATATTCTATTGCAGAAAATGCAAGCTGAGTAGCTGCTTCATTTTTACCTCTTAAAGCGAGCCTGAATATTTCAAATATAGAAAACCAGCCTGATTTTATATTTTGGGACAGCATTTTTATACTATATTAAGCTGAATTTTATATTTTTTATAAATAATTTTTTTATTAGGAATATTGATGAAATTTATAATACAAGATTTGCGATGCAATTTACCACAAGCTCTTTTACATGCTCACTTGGAGTATTCTTCATTATCAGCTCAAAAGCTTCCAGAAAGCCCATTTGGAAGTGAAAATCAGCCATTTCTTCAATTTGCAAAAATTTCATAGCCAGTTGTTTAAGAGAGTCTATTGCAAAAATAGCTACAGAAATATCAGGATGCAGCCCAGCTTTCGAAAAATGTTCTTTTAAATGGTTCCAAATTCTTCCCCAGACATAGCGAATCCTATTCATATTCACATGGGCGACATTTACTAGAGCTTTAATACAAAAAGTTTGAGAGGTATCAGAATTTAATTCTGCTTTAGAAACTTCAATTAACTGAATCACAAAATCTATATTTTTCCCTATAAATACCCTATAATTAAAAATATTTTTATTTTTTTAGACTATTTATTTTAAATTAAATATAATTGAGTCATCATCCATATATTCAGAAGCACTAAATACATAGTCAATATCATCTGGGATTATTTTGCTTGACACGTTTTCTGAAATTGTATGATCCATTTCACTTACAATCCCATTATATTCTACCCCAGAACTTATCATATGTAAATGGTCTAATTTTGATAGACATTTTAGTACGTGTATTCAAGATTTTTTTAAAAAATTGGCTTGGTATCTGGCAATTTCTAGTAAGGCTTTCATGCATTCTACGTTTTTATCAGAAACTGTGCTGTGGGTTTGCAATAAAGAGGTAGATTTGGCTAGAGAAGATACTAAAATTTCGACTTCTAGATTAAGTCCAAAGCGACAAGCAATTCTTATGCAGGCTAAATAGCCTTGGAGAGAAAGTCTTCAGAAATTGGGGTCGGTGGCTTCTTCCAGCACTATTGAAAAAGTTGCTATAAGAGGCTGCCAGATAGCTTCAAATAGAGTTTTTATATGTTCTACATCGTTAGAAATATGATAGGTGTTGTTTCTTTTGGTTTTCCTCATTAGTTCTTGGCCTTTTTTCATGACTAGTTGTGATTCTTTGGCAAAAATTTCATTTTTCTTTTTTCCTGTGCTTTCTAATTTCACTCTAGCTTCGTCATCTTCTTGTAATGTAAATGGATTTTCTTTGACTTCTTTATAAATAGCTTCTAATAAGTCATCAGGGAAATTCTGCCCATTATTTGTGCCTTCATTATTTTTTATTCTAATTAATTTGATAAATTTAAAATAAATTAAAAAATACTATTATTTTTTTTAAAAAATATGAAATTTAACTGACTTTTTAATAAATAATTTTTTGAAGAAAAGATATATATTATTAATTTATAGAGAATATGCCATAAAATTATTTTATTCTATATCTTAGCTAAACAGTAAATAGATTTATTATATTCATTATAAAAATGTATATAAATTGATGCAACTGCATTTTATCAGTAACAGCTGGATTATGCAAATTTGTCTGCAGCATCATAATAGAAAACGACAAAACATAAGCTGCATCAGCATTAGAAAAAATATTTGGGTTATCATTATGAAATTTCGCTGCAAAAGTCTGCATGATTCTGTCAACTTTTTGTCCTTCTCCTGGAAGTCTAAAACTTGATAAAAATACTCTTAAGCCTCTCACCAGTGAACAGCTCCTAAAATCAAATAATTGGCAATACTCTTGAAGGACTTCTAACTCCCCCTTTTCAGATTGTGAAAGATTTTTCTCGCGCTTAAAGGACTTAATTAAATAATTTTAAAAAAAAATTCAATTTTAAAATGAAAATTTTAAAGAATAGGCATTTTATATAGACTAAAGAGGGGTAAGTTAAACTGTTTGAATTCTCCTAAATAGTCTCCAAGCTGAGTTTTGTCTAATTCTGAGCTTTTAAGGTAATCAGCAATTTCTTTTTTATTAGTAGAGTCTAATAAAGAGCATTGAGAAAGGTAATTGATAGCTGACGATGGCTTTATCTTGAATTTTGAAGCAGCTCTAGCATATATTGCTTTAAGCTGTTTAGCTTTTTCATAAGGGTCTAGCGCAATTATAGGGATTTCTGAGGTCATGTCGCTTGCTGACTCACTGTCATCATGACTGTCATCATTTTTGGTGTTTGAAGGGCTTTCTTCAATTCAAGCTACAAGAGAAACCACGATTTTTTCAAGAGTTTCTAATGCAGTAGCACGAAGGACAAGATCTTGAGGGTTTGTCTGGTGGTCTCCTTTATGCTTCCCAATAGCGATTTTTCCTAAATTATCGATCATTCTGGTAAACACATCTTTTTCATCAATATCGCAGTCATAATTTAAAAACAGCTCGAGCGCTACCCTAGGGTTTTGAGCAATTTGATAGAAAACTTGTATTACTAATAATTTCTGTTGATAAGATGCATTATCGCTTTCTATTCTTTACAAATTAAATAATATTTTAGCTGTATTTTTGTATTTATAATTTTTTTCTAAAATTAATTTTTCCATTGTTATTAAAAATCCCCAATTTCCTATTATTTTATAACAAAAATATAAAAATTTGATCCAAAAATACCCCGATTTCTGTTTTCAAGCTGCTTCTGAAATTATTTACCAGTGCAACAAAAATAGACAAAGTTAATGCAAAGGTAGTAGTTTCATATGAAAATGAGTTCTGTAATAAACTTTCGCATAAAGTCCCTTTTAAGACTTCTAAAAACTGCGGATGAGACGAAAATACAGGCCCAGGGTTATCAATAAGTGTCAATAAGAGCTCTAATGACAAAACTTTAGACTTAAACGTCAAGTTTGGGGTTGTGCTAAATATTTCTTACTTTGACAATTCTTTTTGGCTGAGTTTGCATATAGACCTAAAAACTACTAAAGCGTCAGTAAATCTTTCATTTTCGCTGCCAATTAAGCACTGGTCTGCAGAATCTATGTTTTTTAGGTTGACTTCTTTGCAGGAGTCTGAACAAATAGGGTCAGAGGTCAGGTCACATAAAGACTCTGCAGGCTTTCTGCAGACTGTGCACCACCCATAGGTTCCAGCTTCTATATCATTTTCATTTGTAATTTTGGTATCAGCTGAGTCTTGGTCAATTTGCTGTAGCTCTATTTTGTCGACCATTAGCCGGACTAAGGATTTTATCATGTAGTCTACTGGCTCTTTATTGAAGCTAGTTGAAGCTCTTTCCATTTTTTGGAATAAGGAATGCAGCATTTGAGTTAGGGTGGCTTTACCCTATCAGCTATTTATTTTTTTTAATTTTTTTTTTAATTTTTTGTTTAATTTTTGTTTAATTTTTGTTTAATTTTTGTTTAATTTTTGTTTAATTTTTGTTTAATTTTTGTTTAATTTTTGTTTAATTTTTGTTTAATTTTTGTTTAATTTTTGTTTAATTTTTGTTTAATTTTTGTTTAATTTTTGTTTAATTTTTGTTAATTTTTTTAAATTTTTTTTTTTTATTTTTTTAATATTTTTTTTTTTTATTTTTTAAAAAAATTTATTTTGGAGATTTAGATGTTGTTTGGTTAACTAAATTATTGCTGGTAATGTGTATATGATAACAAGCTCTAAAAGCTTCTAATAGCATTTTGTCATGGATCTCACAGTTAAAGCTAGTAACCATTGTTAGTAGTGTTTTTATGACTTGCAGCTGAACATTGTCGTCTCTTTCTCTTACACAATTACAGACACTTTCTACGATTGAATCGACCAATCTTTGTGAGGTCGCTGGATCAATGGAATTCCCAGTCATAAATCCATGTGAAATTAATTTTTGAATGTAATACAGAACGGTTTCAATGATACTTGTAATTTTTGTGTCCAAGGCTTGCTTACTCCCCCCCCCCCCCTCCGTGAGCGAACAAAAAAATTTTGTTCGCTCACGGAGGGGGGTTAATTTTTTTTTTTTAAAAAAAATTTACATATAAAAATTTATAAAAAAAATTTTTTTTTCGAAATTTAAAAAAATCCTAATTTGCAAAAATTGGGAAGCAAATATTAATTTAATTTGCAAAATTTATGTTTTAAAACGCAATTTGTTTAAAATTAAACAGAATTAGCTCTAGATTTCATTATACTAATTATCACTTATATATCAAAATTTTTTTCCATTAAAATTTTTTCTATTAAAAAAATTTTTGTTCACTCACGGAGGGTGGGTTTTTGGTCAAAAAATGGCGATTTTTCTAATGGTTTTTGTTCGCTCACGGAGGGGGGGGGGGAGTTAAGGATTGGAAAATATTGATCAGCGTTTAAAGATCGGTCTGTTTTGGCTTTTTCTAAAGCAGACATGTAGCTTTCATGCAGTTCTTTGTGCTTTCAGTTTTGTAAGTGCTTGTTTATTTTTTCGAAGGCTGATGTAAGCAGCTCTGAATATACCGCATAAGGATCGCTTAGCTGGTCCATTTTATCCTAACTCTTTCCTTTAAATAGGAACAAAATTATTTTTATATGTAAAAAAATAATTTATATGGAAATTCTTTGATACCCAATTTATTGTCTCCAAAAACAAAAATTACCTATGTTGGGAGTACTATTTAAATCGATAAATTACTAAAAATTTTTTTTTTTCAAAAAAATACCCTTTTTAAATTGGAACAGGACTTTTAAGATGAGGAGTAAGTGTACTTAAAAGAGATTTGAATTTATTATGTCAATTATAAGTAATTATCTTTTTTCTTTTCAAACTTATCTTCTTTGAGGGATTTGATATAATATTTAAAATTCTTTTTTTTCTTATGACTTTGATAGAAATCCGGATTGGCGTCCGGAAAAAGTTTCATAGTCAGCGCTTCAAAATTTGTGTCCTTTACTTTTTTCGTGTCAATTAGAGGGGTGTTTTTAACGCTCTGTGCCTCTGCCATATTTGTTTTAGTCCTTTTTAACGACTTCGACCAATAATTGATATTTCTGTTTACGATTTTTGAGTCAAGTTCTTCTTCTAGCATTAAATGGTCCATGTCAGTCAATAAATCGTCAATATTATCTTTATCAATCATCCCTATGGGCGTAATAAGAGAGCTTCTTCTTCTCTCAGTCGCAATAGTCGAAAGATTGTCATGAGTCCTATTGGACTTTGAAGAATGGACTACAATGCTAGCAGTTGAGCTCTGGGTCATGAGCGATGGCCGAGAGTTCTTTGATTTTGACGTCATTGGCCGAGACCCTGTCATTGGTCTTGACGCCCGTAGAGACAATCTTTCATTTTTTTCTATTGAATTGTCTTCAGGGTTGTTGTTTCTTAATAACTTATAAATTTCGTAGCATCGGTCACATACTTGTACAATGTCGTAATAGTGAAATGGGTTTTTAAGACCTAGCTCGTTTAAATTAAGTCTGTCTTCGAGGAGCTCTTGGTCTTTTATTAATAAAGACCGACGTAGCTGATTTGCATCAACTTCGACTAGCTGGTCTTGTTTTTTTATCCCTGATTTTTCTAATAATAATTTCCCAAATAAAATGTATTCTCATTTACAATAAAAATGATGGCGATATTGGGCAATTTTATATAGTATTGTTAGTTGCCTGTTTTTGAACATTGCAACCTACATGTGGAATCTTTTCGACATGTGAAAAGATTCCACATGTGAAATCATCTTTTCACACGTGGAAAAGATTCCACATGTAGGTTGCAATGTTCAAAAATAAGCAACTAACAATAATAATTTTGAAAAAAATAGCCTAGTGAGCGGATAATTATAGTCATTTTATTATTTATTTGCTAGCAAAATCGGTATATTTATTGAAAATAGGTATATTTATAAGGGATATCATTTTTTACTGCTTTAAGCTTTTTATTGGAAATTTCTTTAACTCTCCCCTCTGTGCGCAAACAAAAACATTGGAAAATCCTTAATTTTTGGGTAAAGCCCACCCTCCATAAGTGAACAAAAAATTTTTTAATATAAGCAATAATTATTATAATGAAATCTCTAGCTACTTCTGCTTGATCTTAAATAGCTTGCATTTTAAAAACATAAATATTACAAATTAAAATAATTTTTGGCTTTTAAATTTTGAAAAAAAAATTACTATAAAGTTTTTGACTAGCTACCATCCATAACAAACAAATTTTTTTGTTTCGCTCGCGGATAAAGGGGAGTAAGCAAATAATCAGATCTAAGGGAAAGTTTCATCCTTGTGTACTCTTTTTCAAGACCATTTATATAGATTTTTCTGACCTCATTTAATAGATCGTCATAGTCCATTTCATCTTTTGTGAGCTGAGCCTTACTTTTTATAACAAAATTGCAAAAACTGCCTGGGCAGCCTCGTTTTAGGGTTGTTTTAAGGCCAAGTCCTGCTGCTGAATAGCTTGCTTTTGTATAAAAACCGCCAAGTGTTTGATTATACACACTTGGCCCTCCAAAAGAGTATGTGCTGGCCATAGGGTCGACGATGATTTCTTTTAAGCTGGGCTTTGGTTTAATTGTCACATGTTTTCCATAGCAGTTTAAGCTGCCAAGAAACCAGAGATTGAATTTTTCATCTTCCACAAAGCAAAAAGTGGCTTGTAAGATCCTAAATGACGTGTTTTTTTGAAGTGCTTCAATAACAATTTCGCTTAAATCAGTCAAGAATTTTTTGTATTTTGCCCCACAAACGACAATTTTTTGCTCGACTCCTTGATAATTATAAGTTTTATATCTTTTTAGATTGATTTTTTAGTATTTATATGCATTTTTATTGATTTTTATGTATTTTTATCGTTTTTTTTATGTATTTATAGAAAGCCAGTATATAAAACTTATAAATATTTCTCCCTTCATCTTTTCTAACTTCAGCTAAAAACCGGCTGCTATAGTCTCCATTTGGCCTTGGCAGCATTTGTATAGCTTCTGATGTGCCTACGCCACTTGTAATTTTAATAATAGTCTGCTGCTTTGTAAGTGGGTGAAAATCGTTATACGAGATATACGAAGAAATAATAGGCTCAGAAACCTTATGATGATGTAGATCCACCTGTGGCTGTGACGAGATTGTATTTAGATCTTCTCCTATCCTTTTATCTATAATATCCAATTATTTATATTTATTCCCTATTTAATTTCTATTTATTAACCTAAAGTTAATAAAAATCGATGCAGAATGGTCTCGGTTTTTGTGCTTTCGTCGCATTTCTTTTTAATAAATCCGCTGGAATCTGTAAATAATCACCTGACTGAGTATCTTGCAAAGGCGTCTGATAATAAGGTGTCAGGGAGGGGAAGCTTGGTTTTGAAGAGGGATTTTTCTTTTCATAAATTTGATAGGACTCATATAGAGTCAAATTCTTGGACTTTGGAATCCATGTTATTATGATAGGATAGTGTAACTTATTAAAAATAGATAATAAGTAGAAATGAAGGTTAAGAGCCTTTTTATGGGGTTATTTGTGATACACTTAGAGGTTTATAGTATAAAACCATGAAATAAAGCATCAACGATATATAAAAATAGAATTTAATTAGCAATTATTATAGGATGTCTAGATATTTAAAAAATAATTTATTTCTATATAGAACTGATTACCTAAAGCATATTAATATGCTTCTAATATTATTATACTATTTTCCATTATTTTGCAGATATGAAAGATTATTACTGTTATTAAGACTTTACCGCTGATAGATATCAGACTCTCTTTCTTTCTTGCAAAATTGCACATCTTTCACAAGCAAAGTTCCAATTGACCAATTTATACTTTCTATTGCAATTCCGCACTTCTAAAATGCTTTAGATCTTCAATGAATCACCAACTTACACATTACTAATCCAAGGTGGGCCGCCAAAAATCCTGAACTTTTTGGTTAACAAAATCTCATCTTCAGCTTCAAAAAACTCCATGGCCAATTTCTATTTAAGTTCTCGATTTCACTTCATCGATCTCCAACACTCATCATTTCCCTATACAGCTCCGCACAAGTGGTTCACTTTTCTCTCCATTAATTCAGAATTTTTGATGGAAAATCCACAGGACAATCTCTTTTTACTTTGGTACGAAAACGCTATTATATCTAAAAAAATATTATAGATATGACAGATTATAATTATCATCCTATACTTAGTAATCTACATTTCTAGCATTTCTAGCCCTAAAACGACTCAATTTCTTATGCCTACTTAAGCCAACCAAAAATAATAATATTGCCATCAAAATAATTCTCTATGGACTCTCTCTTAAAGTCAAAATCCAAAGACGATATTCTTACAGAATCAAAATCCCCTCTGCTAAAAAACCCAGGCGCCACAATACGTGACCAAATCCTCCGTTTCCAAAACCAAATTTCTGACCTCCAAAAAGAAAACGACGCATTAAAACGCGAAAACCTCAAACTCAGCACCCATTTGGAATTTCTTCAAAAGAAAGACAGCCAAGCCATGAAAGCAGAAATAAGCTTCAAAAATTTAATCAGAGGCTACCAAGACGAGCTCTCCGGACGCAAAAGCATTTTCAAGCTTTCCAAAGATGACGTAAAATCAGTCTCAGGCTCCTATGAGAACCTATTCGACAGTATCGAGCTTATGAAAGACAAAGTCCAAGAAATGTTATCACAAAAAGAAGAAGCCTTAGGGGCTATTTTTAATACAAAATTAAAAGAAATCAGCAAACAGCTGGAAAAGGAAAAAAAGGAAAAATTCGAGTTTATTGACAGCTTGGCTGAAAAAGAAATAAAATTGACAGAAGAGCTTGAGCTGCTAAAAGCGTCAGTTTTTATGATAGAATCAAAGAATAACAGCTTAGAAAGAGAAAATAAAAAGCTGGCAATAAATTTAAAAGAAAGAGATATAGAGATTAAAGGACTCCAAGACAAACTTTTTAAGCTGAAAAAGAAAAAAATGAAGTTGCCACCGATTGAGATGCCGAGAAGCCTGAGCACGATCCCTCCTGACTGTATTTCTGACAAAAGAGTATCCCCTGCTATGGTAAATAACCCTATAAATACTGAAAGAGAAGAAATCAGCTCTTTAAATACACAAAATTATGTGTATAAGCTACAAAGACAGCTAAAAGTGGAAAAAAATAACGCAAGGGCTGCTAGAGAAGCGTATAGGCGAGAAGTGGAAAATAAAGGAGAATTGTTTAAATTGATACAGGAATGCTATGAAGATACTAAAGAGCACGTGCAGCAGGTCAAAATGAGCTCGATTAAGAAGCTTAATGACTATTTGAAGCAGAAGTTTATGGATGAGCTGACGAAAAGAGAAAAAATTTTGGAGCTGATCACAGAAAAGCTGTACCAGGGATAAATATTTTAAAATTAATCTGTTTTTTAGTGATTTTAGCAGTAAGAATTAGGAGTTTAGAGAGATAGGAATGGATAAAATAGTATAAAATAATTGTTATTTAAAAAATAAACAATAAGAAAGCAAGTAAAGGCAAGATAGCTGCGCTATTTATATTCAAAGGAGTTGGGTTTGGCTTCTTACTCCTCTTTGAATTGAACAAAATATTAATAAATTTCCACCTTTACTTAAAAAAATTATTTTTAATAGGAAAATTTATAATTGAAAAATACGAACTTTTAATAAAATTAGTTTTGATTAATTAATAGGGAAAAATACAATTAGAATATTACTTCACATTTTCACACTAAATCAATTAATTTTGAATTAAAATTTACATAAAATAATTAAAATTCGAATATATTCGTTCAATTTATTTTTTTAATTTTAGAAAGTTTATAAATTATTTTAGTTAATATGATTTTTTTTAAAATAAATAAATCCCCTTAAACTGGAATAGGATTTTTATTCCAATTTATCGGGGAGAATTAGGCGTTATATGTATAATGGTGGCTACTCCTGAATCATACGCAACGTCAGGGAAAATAGGATAAGTATTCGTACAAATCACATTTAGAGTGTACTGCGTGTATTGGGATAGGCTTGAATATGTAGAATTCACAGCCACTCCTGCAGTAGCTTGTGCTTTAATACTCATAGCAGGCTTATTCGCATAATTATTCCCATTAAAAACTTGAAAAGAATAAGGGACCTTTTTAGAGGTATTAGTGAGTTCTAATATAGAATAAATATACCCATCATTTTCTAGTGCAGCTGAAAATGATATGCCATTTGCAGTTAATAATTATATTGCCATAAGGCAGTACGATAATGCTCCTGGTTTTTGAATAGGGACATTTCCTGATAAAAATCATTACTTTTGCCTATGTACAAAGAAAAATATCGAAAATAAATAATTTTGATCAAACCATACTATAGGAACACTTATATTCATTATAAAAAGATTATACTTTTATAGTCACTTGAGTTTAAAACATAAGGATAAGTCGAAAATGCGCATTCCTTAATCACTAATTCAGTCCCTGTAATAGTTTGGGCAGCATTAAAGTTATTAAGGCTAGAGCTCAGCTTACCTTTAGCTGCAGATAGAATTGGAACCATATCAATAGGCTCTGGATAAGCATCAGAATCTGGCTTGTCCATTATATAAAAAGTAACACTAGTACTGCTCAGGTTTTCTACTTCCGGAACTGGGACATTTAGCACCCTCCAAGGATGAATACTTAACAACAGCGAAATTTCAGCCGCAATTGTAGAAATTTCAACAGAATTTACATAAGACTGGCCAAACTGCAGCGAAATTTCTGCTGCTTTATACCGGTCATATGTCGTAAAATCCGCATTTGTGGAGGTTTCAGTCGAATTTCCTAACAAATCGATACCCCACACATAAATTGTATAGTAAGTTTGTGCAGTTAACCCAGTAATTACGATTTCTTCTGATAAAGAACTAAATATTCTGACACTGCCATAAATAGTCCTAGTAGTTGATAATGGGGTTATCTTATCGACGACATCAGAAAGGCTTGGATTTGTGGTGCCTTTTAATGAATATTGATAATAGCAAGTACATACCTTGGTCGTCGAAATCCTTATAGTCGCAGTTGCCCTTGTATTATTTATAGGTGAAACACTCAAAATTTCCAAAGTTTCAGTATCATTAAAGATTTCAAAAGTCTGAGAATTTGCAGTAAAAGAATAAGAGTCTGCATTAGTCCCACTTACTGAATAATGGACTGTGCAGTTTTTGACAGTCACAGTACTGGATACTGAAATGGTAAAATTTTGGTCATAGACCTCAGCTTTATAGGTCAGGCTGTTAGCTGATAATGTTATCCCTGTAATGGAGCTGTCAATTGTAAGCTGAATTGTGATGTCAGAGTCAGGGGCACTTTGAAGGACAATTTTTATAGGAAAAGAGCTGCCGCCAAGCGGGATTGGCATGATTTCTTCAGGGGTGATGGCGACTGAAATGTCTTTGGAGACGTTAAAAGTGGATACTAAAATTTGACTGTAAAAAGGAGGGGTGTAGTCTCCTGTGGTGGTCCAAGAAATAGCGTATTCGGTATCTTCAGTATCAGAAGGAATCGAGACCCTAAAGCTAGCTGAGGTGTCGCCTGTATTAATATAAATATTGGGAGGGTAGAAATTATACTATTTACCAAGAATAAACAGAAAAAAATTTTAATAAATCCTATATTTTCTATAAAATAGATTTTTTTAGTAAAAAATTAACAGTAAATTTTATTTGATACGAAATAAACTTATTCGAAGCTGGAACAAGGGTAAGATTCAGCCCGCATGGATAATCCAGTGTAATTGTAATAAATTCTGACATACACCCTCTCCTTACCACAAAATTTTCATCACCGTTTACATGTAGCAGTGGCCCAGGGTACGAATAATTAAACCGATTTGGATTCAAATTCGGGTAGCTCCTATCAAGAATTATATAATTAAACCCATCATAAATCTCTACATCAATAAACCCTGCAAAGCCTTCTTGTAAAGGATGCGGAACATTGTCAATATAAAGCCCTAAATTCCCTTTATATTGGGCTGTTTGGCCTTTTACCCGAATTGTGTCATATTGTAAAGTGCAATTGGGAAGTCCATCAGCCCAGCTATTGGTAGAGCGACAATGGAAATTTGAGTCCATTAAAACGTAATCAGAAGGGAATTTTACCCAAATTTCGCCGCCGTTGCTGGAAACTGGGATGCTGCTAGTTGTGGTGAAATTGAAGAAAAAAGTGCCTGTATATCGAGCGTAGAGGTTATCTGTGGTGGTATTCATTAAGTTGTTGTACTTTGGAGCTGCAACTGTGGTTATTGTGCCGGCATATTCATTGTATTCTTTATAAGAGCTTCCACTTAAAATTCCTATTTTTATTGAATCTGTGGCTGAGCCGCTGTAATTTGGATTTTTTATTCCATAAGTATATATCCTTTTTTCCTTAATTCCTACCTATATTAATTGCAATTTTTTATTTTTATAATAAAAATTAAGTTTTTTTCAAAAAAATTTAAAAAATATAAAGATAATTAAGAATAGCACTATTTGGCAGCTTGAGCACGCCTTAAACGCGTCATGTTTTGACACAATCAAGTTATACGACCTAATCAAATAGCACTCCAAATACCCAGTCATCCCTGTCGCCCAGCAATAAAAATTCTCCCCCAAATCATGGTCAAACTGAAAAGGAAAAGTTATCACAATACTCTCATCTTCCTCAATATCATATTTAGGGGTAAAATAAAACTGATAAGTCGCCAGTTCTCCTTCATTTTTAGGGAAAAAAACAATAGAAGTTACAGTAAGTGATGGAGACTGAGCCGTTGTAGTAGCAAAATATGTAGAAGAAGGCGTCTGTTGAAGAGTAACCCCATCATAAGAAGTTGTGACCATAAATTCTGAGCTTTGGCCTTGGTCGAAATTTCTGATATTTAATATAGAAATTAAGACTTTTCCTGATATAGGGTCAGTCCCAGTAACTATAGTAACAGTACTGGCGGTGGCTGAGCAGGAAGAATATCTTGATATAGAGTTTGTGATCCTACAGATAGGAGGAGTTTTCAATATCCCAAACTGAGTTAAAGGGAACACTATTTGGATAGTCCCTCCAGCTCCTAAATATTCAGAAGCTTGAAATTCAAATGCGTAGATTGCTGTAGCATTAGCAGAGGATGGGTATAAATACAAGCCTAGGTCTGTAATAGATTTTGTACTGTAAGCAGTCGTAAAGGTAATTCCAGGGATTGTGGAGTCCATATCAATAGTTCTGCCTGATGAATTTTTGGTTTTAAATGTAAAAGTCCCTGAGGAAGAGGCAGAAGGGTTTTTTACACCCCGGACTTTGATGTAGATTATGTTTTGGGAGTAAAGAGTTTGAGGGATTGAGATTGTAATGGTATTAGAAGTGACTGTACAGGTCGAGCCGGATTGGTCAAGGATTGATAAAAAGACGGTGCTGCAATAGGGGGAGGGAGAACTGCTAGATAAAGAATAAGAAGAAGGGAAAATTACTTGTGCAGAGCCGCCAGCTGGGATGGCGTGAACAGGGGAGAATGTAAATGTATATTATTTTATATTAATGACAAAAATATTTTATAGCACTTTTATAAACTTTATTTAGAGAAAAAAAATATATATTGCACAAATACGTAGCCTTGGCCATAACTTGTAGGCTCCACATTTGGATTCATGAACCCTCCAGGGGTCAAAGTAGGTATTTTCCCTGTAAAAGTAAAACTTTCAACCATAGCCTGATTTCCACAGGTATATAGTACAAGATCATCTTGAGTTGTAGGGACTGATTCAGGGTTGTAAAGCCCAGCAATTGAATAAGTATGTGTCCCAGCCGCCAAGCTTGCAGTTAAAGTCACCATAATCATGTCAATCCCTGGGTAGCATAAACAGGTCTTTGCAGCCCCATCAATGGTACAGGAAACTGTGGCGTATTGACAATATCCTAAATCATGGGTAGGTGTTATTTGGAATAGTAAATAAGGAAGGGTAGATCCAGTCGCGGAAGAGGTTGTAAAAGCACTGCCAGACGCCAAAGTTGAGGTAGACTGGACTGTAAAACTGGACAAAGTCATAGTTACACCTGAAGTAGTGGAGGAAGGAGGAGAAGTCCCGGCGCTTCCTGTATAAGTCCCTGTGTCTAAATCTGCTCGAATTCGGTTGGTGACTTGGTAGGTTGTGATAGTGTATGTAGGAGAATTGGTGGTCTGGACGTATTTTATGCCTGGGAAATGGATAATAATGCTTGATGTCTTACTTCTTTTTGTAAAAGCGAAAGATATAAAAAAATTTAATGCTTTGGGTAATTAACCTTTACCAACAATTTTTTTAAAGTATTTTATATATAAATAGAGACAATTATAAAGCTAATTTATTTAAATTTAAAAACAATTTTTAAATAAATATAAAAAAAATAGCTCCATGAGGAAAAAGTTCATGAGGAGGAAATTAGAAATTGCAAGAAAATTTGAAATTGTAATGATTGCAGGGGTGCTTGATGAGGCTGAGCTTGGCAATGTTGTAATTATACAGCTTAGAGAAGATCCAGATGCAGGAAGAATACCAGAGACCCCTAAACATGGAACTGAAGCCCCAACAGAAACTCCTAGGCCTAAATCAGTTCTAAAAAGATTGTTCCCCCCTGACATACTAGGGAATTTAATTTCTACAAAGCCTTGGGCATTATAAGGACTACTAGAAGCAACCCCGCTGGCCACATCTTCTTGGGCGGTCCAAGAAAAAATAATGACTGTAGGAGTATCAAGTCCTGTATGAGCTGAGTATCACCAAAAAATTAATCAATTTTTCTTATAAAATTAGAAAAAAAAATTTCAATTAATTTTAAAAAATTACATTAATTTACCTATGAACTGCAGTTACAGCAATCGTAGATTGTACATAAGCTACCATATTTACAGTAGCCGACCCAGACTCCAAAAACCCGAAATTATTATCATAAGTCCCAAAATCAAAAATAAACCACCCTGAGCTCTTTGGGGCGTAAATATTGGAAATTTCAAAATAGCTTGACACCCCAGCTTGGAATTTTCCATAAACCCCAGCAGAGTCCGCAAATAGCTGAACTGCAATTTTGCTTCCTACCACAAAACAAGACTGTGCAGTAGCCGCTGTCATATAAGTCGGCTTTACTTTACAAATAGGTGCAACTAATGAATTTATAGAAAAGCCACTCGGAAGTGTCACCTGGATTCAGCCACTAGCAGGGATTTCTAGCTGTGGAGAAATGCTTATCCTTATATCAGTAAACGCCCCAGTAGCTTGATTTGTAGAAGATCCTGGGTAGCTGACTGATACTGATAATGGTGAGCTTAGGGTAGAAATTTCTACTGTAGCGTCTGATATATTTTCGTCAATAACAGTGTTTCCGTCCGCTTTAAGAGTTCTTATAATTAAAGGGCTTGTTAACCCAGATACTGAAGGATTAGTAAACTGTAAAAGGAGTGATATAAGTGCTGGTTTTGAATATTCCGCAAAATTTGTTATAGATAAGGTATAAGAGCTAGAAGAATAGCTAAAAGACAAAGCCTGGGATGTTGATAAATCCGATAATCCATATTCAAGCTGATATATCCCCAGCCCATTCATATTAAAGCTACTCGATCCAATAATCAAAATTTGTCCACCCACTTCTATAGGATTCGAAGGCATAAATTTCAGCCTATATACAATAGTTTTACTAGTCGTCAAATTTCAGGCCTCCTGTGGCTGCAAACTTATCTGTGTGATAAGCCCTGGCTTTATAGGGATCCCACTGATCCCTGAGCTTCTATCATATATAGAATTCGTCAAATTGTGCCCAGTTTCTATAGTAAAAGTCCCAGTTGACGCAATTGTATAGCTAGGATTTGTAACAACCACCCTGACCCCATAGTCAAAATCAGCTTGTAGATCGGCAGCAATCCCAGTCAATTGGACCTGGTTACCATTGTTGACGCACCATAGGCTGCCTTCTACAATATTTCCATTAATAGAGTATGAGGAGCATGTAGGGTAAGCGTCAAAAGTATACCCATTATTAGGAAAAGTAAAGCGAATTCAGTTCCAAGCACCTAAAGGACGATTTAGCTTGAATTTAAACTCATATTTGGTGGATACACCTGCTTTAGCGTCTTCTCCAGAAGCGACACTAACCCCAGAGGAGATCATACTGCCTATAAGGTTTTCTATTCCGATTACCCCAAAAGCAGAATTTGAGTCAATCATATTGGCGCCGTAAAAGGTCTGGATTTGGAAGTTTCCGACACCTCCAGGCGATGACGGATTTGTAATATTCTGTTACAAATAAACCACTAAATAAGGCAAAATATGCATTTTTATAGTAAAATTAGGTAAAAAACTATACCAGAAATAGTTAAAATACTAAAGGTGTTAGATTCTAAAATTTTTGATAAGGTTGTTGTAACAGATTGGCTAGATACAGAGCAAGACCCAAGATTGCAGGTAGGAGATGTGGTAAACCCTGAGGTATACTGTGAAGGGAAGGTAACTACTATCGTACCTCCGCTTGGCACTGTGTGATCTGCTGTAAATGAAAAAGAATAGTCAGCAATTTCGTCAGCGTTATTTATTGATAAAGAAATAGGAAGATGTCCAGATGGGACAATCGAGCCAAGATCGTCATATCCAATTGCAAAAGTAGCTGGAATTATCAAAAGGAACAAGAATTCTTTCAATGCCATTAGGATTTTTTATAATTTTTAAATGTTTTTGTATTTTTATCAAAATTCTTTTGCCTAGTTTTTCATAAGCTTTTTCTAATAATGCAAAATAATGTCAACTAGTCAGCCTTCAATACGTGAATCTCAGGGTGTATCCCGAAACCTCACATATGAATTTAAGAAGCTAAGGAAAGAAAATTCCACAAAAAAGTCCCGATTTCAACTGTCAGCAGCTGAGCTTTCTACAAATGGATCAGAAAAGTTACTTGAAAATATTGATTCTAATTACATATCTCGGCATTCGTTGCCTCCATTATGGGTCGATATTTATGACCAAGTTATCGATGACTTGAAAAAGCTGGAAGACGCTGTCCCAACGCTGGGGAAAATACAGCGGCAAAGGCTAGCAATCACATTTGGGCAATTGAGAATTTTTATATAAAAAAATAAAAAAATAATCTTTTTTTTAAAAAATTATTCTCACCATTTGGCAGCACTAAATCTAAAGACATCGAAATCAGAAACATCGGAGAATCAATTTCCCAGCTAATTCGCTCAATCGACAAACAAATAAAAGATCTTGAAAACCAGTCAGGAAACGTCGAAGACAGAATCCTCAGAAAAAACATTTCTCAAAGTTTTTTCCAAAGACTCCAGCAGCAGTCCATAAAATACAAAAAAATCCAGCAGGATTTTGTAAAGAAAATAAAAAGCCAAGAAAATCCGAATTTAATATCAGACTATAATGAAGATTTTTTGGCTGACGATAAAGAGGAGTATGATAAGGACGATTTAATGGAGGTCAATGTGGCTATGGAAAGAAATGAGGCGATTATTGATTTGGTTACGAGTATTCAGGACCTTGCAGATGTATTTAAAGAGCTGTCGACACTTGTGATGAATCAAGGGACGATACTTGATAGAATTGATTATAATATTGAAAAAACCCTTGAAGAGACAACTAAGGCTAATAAAGAACTTGTGAAAGCTGAAAAGCACCAAAGGTGTACGAGGGCGACAGGGTGCATTGTAATGTTAGTCATATTGATTGTGCTGCTGATTTTGGCACTAGGGTTGAAGCATTTTATAATGATATAGCTAGTATTATAATTCTAAAATACTTATAAATTGATTATCTAATTATATGTAAGAGCCATATGAAGCAGCCGATGTCGTTACTTTTTTCCTTAAAGGAACTTCAGTTGCAAAAGGAGCTCTTGGCTGATAATTGCTTCCTCTTCTAATTTCAGTGCTATCATTGAAAATATTCCCAGCCCCAAACTGCTCTTGAAGTTTCCTTTCTCTTGACAAATTATTTACAACTGGCTCCCCATAGCTTAGGTCTGGCTCTCGGTTCCTACTTATAGGTGTTTTTCTTCTATTTCCATCACTTTCTTGGAATCCTCCATTAAAATATCTCTTACTCCCCCCCCCCTCCGTGAGCGAACAAAAACATTAGAAAAAATCGCCATTTTTTGACCAAAAAACCCCACCTCCGTGAGTGAACAAAAATATTTTTAATAGAAAAAATTTTTAATAGAAAAAAATTTTTGCTATATAAGTGATAATTAGTATAATGAAATCTAGAGCTAATTCTGTTTAATTTTAAACAAATTGCGTTTTAAAACATAAATTTTGCAAATTAAATTAGTATTTGCTTCCCAATTTTTGCAAATTAGGATTTTTTTAAAATTCGAAAAAAATATTTTTTTATAAAAATTTATATATAAATTGTTTTTAAAAAAAAAAATTAAACCCCCTCCGTGAGTGAACAAAATTTTTTTGTTCGCTCACGGAGGGGGGGGGGGGAGTTATATATAGTGAAATTATTGTTTTGAGGGACAAATTCGCTTAGTCCATAATGTTTTCTCATGAAGCTGAGCAGCTTAGGGGAGGGTCTGTCAATTGCTATTTTATTTGGTTGAGAATTTTCCTCATAAATCATCCTCTCATAGAGTTCTTTTCCATATCCGCTTCTTTGTACGGACTCATGAACATAAAAATCTAACAGACAAAGCGGGGTAAGCTCAGTGATTTTCCCAATTTCATTTGTATAGAATAATTTCCTATACCCAGTTTTTAGCATCCCTAATAAATCATATAGAAATAAAATGGTGATGTTGATGGAAATAGGACTCCTAGGCGACACCTTTGATGAAAGATGGACTGGCGTGATAGGTGACGAAAGATACCCTCGTAAGTGAATTAGGCAATCTCAGTTGGAAGCTGGCGAAGCAAGGCGTTTTGTTTCTCCCCGAAGGTTTCCTGCCAGATAGGCTAGACAGGTTCTGCCGATAACATGGTCCTTTTCTGTCGAGACCATCACGGCACTCTACAGACAGTGGCTCTACCCAAGGTCGCTGATCCCCCGGACAGATGAGTCATGCCGGAAATCCAAAATGGCGTCCTTCTATTTTCCTAATTTGAACTCAGAGGCTATGGAGGCTGCTGCCTTTGGATTTGAGACGGAGAAGAGGCTATTGGGTTGCCCACTTATGTCCAGTTTAGCAATTTAATTTATTTAATAAACCATAATCAATATTTTCCTGACGTGCTGTAAGAATAGATCATATTTTTTAATAAAAAATAAGAAATAGCCCTTAATTTATAGTAACCTATTATTATAATGCATTTTACTCGATTTCCTTCAGTTTTGAAGTACAATTTATTATCGTTAGAGCCAAAAAATTTCGTTGAAGTTGTAATAATCGCTCTCAGTCCTTGTGCGGTTGCGCTTAATTTTCCTAGCTCATCAATAATAAAACATAACTCTCTGCTAGGCCGATATTGCGAGTTTGGTGCTAAAATAGCAATCCCACGAGAATCAGGGCGTAGGACAGAATTTAAGTCAAATTTGAATTCCATTTTAATATTCAGAAACCAAAAGGAATTATGTGTATTATCTAAATAACCAAAAATAAAATATACGAGGATATATACATTTATATATAAATTTACTAGTAATTTTCTTTATAATTAATATATTTTTTATGCGAATTAATTAAAAAAAATTTAAAAATAAATAAAAAAGAATAGTCAACGAAAAGAATGAAAACGCGTACATCCAAAATAGTACAACGCTTGTATCTTCTATTCCTACGTCTAGGATCTGACACAAAACTGATGCGATTACTGTACTTGGAGTTGCGAAATTCATGAAACTGACATAAGCCATTGTTTTGTCGCCTAAAAATATATCTGCTGTCCATAAGCCCCAGATGATCAGAAGTCCGATACTTGTGATTAAAATGCATCTTAATGCGACTATTGAAAAAATATGCCTTTCCTATATAAAAAAATCGTATAATTTTTTTTGAGTTTTATTAAGAAAGTATACATTTAAAAAAGTATATAAAAATTTTGAAACCAATTTTTTATTTTTTCTTGACAAAAGTAAGTTGCTGCCCAAAATCATTTGTGATAAAATCACGCCGCTGTATCCTACAAGGTATCCGCCGTTGTATAAAGGGTTTAGAATTGCATCACTGTTAGTGAAAATATCATGAATCCCTGGAATACAGCCTAATGCTAAGCCTAAGTAGCAGGAAACTGGGACTGGTCTTATAAGTTGTGACATTAAGATATATAGGGGTTGCCCGATGATGGCGCTCTCAATGCGCCATCATCTGGCAGCACCAGAAAAGGGTCCACAAGGGAAATGGGTTCCACGTGTGGAGCCCTTTTTAACATGTAAAGAATCCTTACTTCCACGCGCCAAAAAGAGCTTCACATGTGGAACCCATTTCCCATGTGGACACTTTTCTGACGTTGCCCGATGATGGCGCATTGAGCGTCATTATCGGGAAATTTTTATATTTGTTTTAATTAAAAAATTTTGAGCCGATTTATTTTACAATATTTTTGAATAAAAATTCTTTAGCCATATATTTCAATGTTTTCGGCTTTTCATCTTCTCTTTTTGGAGTGTCTGTATAATTAGGAGGTATCAGAATTTCCACATTATTTCGCCCAAGATTTTCCGATTCCAAGGCTTCTTCTTCTTCACTTTCTTTATGCTTTTCTTCTGAATTTTTCATAACTTTAAGCAATTTTCTCTTTTCTAAATGGTCAGTATATACAAGAACAAACCCATAAGTTCACGTAATCACAGCAAAAGGGATTAGTTGTATATAAACATAAGACGCTGCATTATCACAAGTATCATCCCCTTTAAGAGGTCCATATTTGCACATTCCTTGCGTCAAAAGAAGCGGAATGCTTCCTGAACTGGCAAAAACAAGGACATAATGCATTGTAAACCTGATTTCGTGAGGTGGTTTACATAGTGGAATGTGGATAAAAGACACAATTGAGGATATCAGAATGGTGATAAATTCATATATAAAATAATATATTTTTTTTTTAAAAAATTATTTATAGGAAAATAATTGATTTTTTTATGGTTTTGTCATACTTACCCAGCAGAATGGCTAAAATTGGGATTACCAATAAAGGCCACTCGTCTGAAAGCTTGTCACTGTTGGTCGCTGCTATTAAATTGAGAGATATAAATAAGGGAAAAAAGAACTTGTAGCAGGAATTCGCTATCATGTCGTTTGTGGATTTGTCGAAAGCTTTGTAATAAGTCATTAGAGCACCTGTTGCTGTGATTATGGAGAGAGGAGCCATTGCGGAGACACAGGAGGAGAGGACTGAGAGGGTGTCCATTGTATTTTATTTTTAAATTTGTTGGGATGCTAATTTGGTGAAATAATAATATTTGGATTAATAGATATATAATAAAAATTATCCATATCGGTGAGGAGATAATCTTTATTGAATTTTTTTAACTTTTGTTCCTTTAATTGAACAAAAAAATTCTGCTCTAATTTAAAGGTTAAAATATATAAATTGAAAAACTCTTTAAAAAACATTTTTAGTAGTCCCATCATCAATTAATTAGGTCAAAATTATTTTTATATATCAATTTAATATTAAAAACAAATGCTGCTGCAATTTAAAGAAATTTAATTTTGCTCAAAAATGGAAATTTTCGCGATATTTGTTCCAATTTAAAGGGGGGAGTAAGTGAAATGAGTTTTTTAAGTCATATTATGTTAAGGATTTCTTATGGTGAAAAGTATGATCTAAGATTGTATACAGCATTTAAAAATTCGTCAGTTTTTAAATCATTTTTTATTATATTTAATTCCTATTATTTCATAATTAAACCTAGAATTTTATATAAAAAATTAAAAAATACTTTCTCAGCACACCAGTTTCATATATAAATTAATTAATAGATCGTTTCATAAGCATTTTTATCGTCTTTTCTAGCAGAGAAACTTTGTATATCTTTATAAAAGCAGAATATAAGCACTATTGCTACATGCCCTGTAAGAGTCAAAGAAGGTATCCAAGTTGCAGAATAAATTTTTGCTGTAAGTAATGCTACAAAGCAAGGCAACATTAATATGCACAAAAGTTCTTGAGCGTTAATATACATAATTATATTAAAAACATTAAAAAAAAATTATCTCAAAAAAAAAATTAATCGCCAGATTACGGTATATTGAAAGCTCCTGTGGTGCTTTTTGTTTCTATTATATCCTTCACAATATGCATAAAATGGTTAGAAGTGAGAGCTCGGTGGAGGGCCAATGATCGTGCACCTTTGATAGTGTGCATTTCACCTAAGTAAATTTGGTAGAAAATTGGTTGAGACTTTTTGATAGTGAGACATTTGACCTAAAAAACACGTTAAATTTTGACCAAATGTCGCATTATTTAAAAATTTTCGAACAAATGTATTTCGATGAAATGTGCACTATTAAAAAAGACACTGTCATTTGACATGGAGCTAGCAGCCAATCCTACCGAGGTGTCTTTATGTATACCAAACGTGATTTTTGGGATTCAATTATGGCTCAGTAATGCTCAGTCTGACGTGGGGACTCTTTTCCGCTAAATTGAGTCCTGAACCTTAGGACAGTTAATTGCGTCTCTTTTTTCCAGCAGTACCTAGCCCCGTGGGGATCCGTTATGGAGCAGGATGGTTTATATCCGCTCAAGCTGCTTTGGTGATTTCCCAAAATGGCGAAAGCTGTTGAGTTTTTCTTTGGGCAACAATAAAAGGGGGCAAATTAGACAGCTCGCGCGCACCAACAAGTGAGTCTCCAGTCGAAAGTACCTCTCATGGTTAAAGCGATCTGGTCTCTGAACTCAGGGTTGGTTTAAAAAAAAGGTGACGTCCTGTGGTTGAAAATGGTGATGACCAGAAATGTCCTTTGGACCCTTGGTGATATTACTATCGAGAAACTGAGGGTTTCAGCCCATGCTGCAAGAAGAAAACACTCTGCCTCACATTGCTAAATGGAGCGATCTATGAATTGGGAACTGTAAATTAATCTAATCTAATATCCTTCACATATAAAAACTATTAAAATGGAAAGAAAGCTGGAAAATTTCACTTTCGATTCCTGCTCTCATTGGAGCAGAAGAAACTGAATTACAACTCCTGCCTTCAAGCATCATATTTTACTATGATTCAGAAACAGATCCTATCCAAATTCCTAATGAGAAAGAGCTTTTTACAATTGTCAGTGAAAATTTACTTTTCGAAATTTATCAAAAAAGCTGACCAAAAGAAGAAAAAAGAAGTCTTTGTGAAATTTTGCACAGTTCTTAATGAAAACTTCCCTCCAAACACAGACAATTCCAGCAGATTCGAAAAAGAAAAACTCGAATTTTATGGCCTTAGACCCAATGAATCTTATGAAAAGAAACGAAAATTATAGTGTCAAGCTAAGGAAAGACCAGAGAAAAGATTTTTTTTCAAAAGAAAAGGCTTAGATTAGATGATAGAACTGAAGAAACAGAAGATGAAAATGAAATGCCCAATTTTTCTTTGCTAAATCCCAAGAAAAACTCTTAGAACCTATTCAGGAAAACTTCAAATACTCCTATAAAGTCTCGGTGGGCGAAAAAATTCTAAAAACTCAAGTTCAAACTAAGTATTAAGCAAGAACAAACAGATATGAATTTAAGAGAACAAACCAATAATGAAATAACAAATTCAAAAAAATTCTCTGAAGAAACTGAGCAGGAATTCAAACTACCATCTAAAATTGATGGAGATGGAAAGGATAAAACTGATGGAAAAAAAGATGCCTGAAGAGAAATTTATATGAAGAACATGGAAAACAAAGAAAAAGAAAAATTAATAAATTGGGACTTGGCCCTGGAATAAAGGCCTCTAAGTAAGAATAATCTCTCTCTCTCACATATAAAATTATGTGAATAATATTTGCAATAAATATTGGAGCTATAGCAAATAAAAATGCTTCTGGATTTGTGTCTATTATATACTTATTTTAATAATTTCTGCTAAACTTCTTCTATTATTTCTCTTATTTATGTAAAAAAATACAATTCTTAAATTATATTTCTCAAAAAATAATTTATAATAGCATATATCCCATCCATAAGAACGAAAAAATATACCCAGCGATTGGCCAGATAAACAGCATAAGGGCTGCTCTTTTGTAGCCATTTTCTATAAGTACTTCAGCTATAAACACAGAAAATAAAAATAAGGACGCAAGTGCAAACCAAAGTGGGCTGAAAATAATTGTGAGCGAAATTTTTATAATCCCATCAAGAAATAGGCAGCCTAAAGCAGAAAATATTATAACTGATAGAGAAATTGCATAATTCCAGAATAAAAGAATAGGCTTAGCAAATAAATCTTGGCCTCGAGATAGAAAGTCAAGGAAAACATGAATCAAAATTGGTATCATTATGAAGGCAATTATGAGGGGAATTATAGAGAGTATAAAGCTTGGAAGAATCCCATCACATGTACAGCCAAAAGTAATAGTTCCTATAAGTAAGCATGACCAAATTCCTAGTTTTAGAAGCTGAAGTGTAGCAAGGGTACCTTGGACTATTATCATTTTTATTTTAAGCTTTTATATACGTTTTTCGCATTTTTAGCGACTAAAGCTTAATTTATTCGAAAAATTCAATTAAGCTTATTTCTTCGCTTTACTGATTTTTCTAATGAATTGGGAATTAAATTATATAATAGAGAAATTGTTTTGAAACCGGTATTGATTTTCATATAAGAGAAAGAAAAAATTTAAAAAGAGTAAATTTAAATGAATATTTAGTATCGTTATTTGCTGATTTTTGAACTTTACCACCTATATGTGGAACTTTTCCGCGTGTGAAAAAATGGTTTCACATGTGAAATCAAAAGGGCTTCACATGTGGTATCATCTTTTCACACGCGGAAAAAGTTCCACATGTAGGTGGTGAAGTTCAAAAATCTGCAAATAACGATAAGTGGATATGAAAGAACAGTTTTATGGAGAAATTTATTTGAAATTTGATGATTTGAGCATTAAATATTCTTTAAATAGAAGAAAATTTTTAAGGTATTCTAATCTTACTGTAAAAGAAATATTGAATAAATGGTAGGATATAAAAGATAACTGAAACTCAAAATTAAAGAGATTTTGATTAAAAGTTAGGACAATTTTTGCCAAAAAATGATCAATATCAAAATTCTATCAAATTGATATCTATTAAAATAAAACTATATGGATTGTGCATTCATTATAATGAAATAAGGATATAAAAAAATTAAATTAATATTTATAAGCCTGTGATAAATTAAAGTAGTAATTACATAAATAATTAATACTATGCTGAATATTACTTTTAGATAAACTAATCTTATATATCAGCTCCAAGTTTCACCTTGATTTCTTTCTTTTCTTGAGGAGTCAGCATTGAAATTTTTTCCAGGTATTTTTGCGCATCTTGATTATATCCTTGAACAATTAATTCCTCTAACTCTCTCCTTTTAATAATCAACAAAAAACTACAGCATTAATTTTTTAAAATTTTAAATAAAAGATATTTATTAGGTTAATTTTTAATTATAATCATTATTAAAATTGCCAGTGTAAGCACGCCATAAAAATTTTTGATAAAGCTTTATTTCTTCTTCCTTTCTTAATCGCTAAAACATTTTCAATAATTTCTATTATTTTTTCTTTCCCTTCCGTTTTTACCTGTTTCACACACTGAATCCCAGCTTTTGAAATTAAATTTCACATAAAAAACGGCCTTTCCATAAAAATCTCAAATTCACTTTTGGCTTCATATGAGCCTATAAAATTGTTTTCAATAAGTAAAGTATATAAAGAATTGCTGTTTTTATGGTATAAATATTTGCAATAATGATCATCTTGAAGGTTAACAAAAGCTAGGTTTTCTTGTGTAGGGTTCATTTTATAATTAGCAATTTCACTATAAGGGGAAAGCCCTATTAAAATATGGGTAGATTCTGGGTTTTTAGATTTGGTCAGCATAAGTCCGTATATTACACATATAATATTTGAATGGATTTTATATAAACCATAAGCTTCGTCAACTGATTTTAGTGCTTCGAAAAAATATTCTTTGTCTATTGAGCTTAAAAAGTAACATAAAACTGATTTTGCTTCATAAATGTACTGTTTATTTTTATTTTCCAATTTTATTGCTATATTGTAAGCATGCACCGCTTCTACCCCATCTTCAAATTTTGCGAAATATTTATCACTGCTATAAAAAATATCAAAAAATCCCCAAATTCATTTCCAAAACGAGATTTGGCCTAATATCAGCCAATACTCGGAATTTCCTGGACAAAGCTCTATTGCTTTTATGATAAATTTTCTGGCTTCTTTTAAAAAATCCATTCTCTTTTTCAGCTCGTTTTTTTTAGATGACTCATAATTATAGCAAGCCATTCTTTTAAATGCTTCTGAAGCAATTTCTCTTTTTTCTTTATTACAACAGTCCATTAATATTGGTATTTCTTCACTGTTGACCATATGCAAAAAATTATTATGCTTTGGGCAATCAATAAATAAAGTCTCTTCTTTCTGGTTAAGAATTGTTAAAATGGCTTTATTTGACGTGGCCTCTGGTTTTCCGTGGGTTGATTCAGGCACAGAGAAAAGAAGCCACATTGTGGTAGTTCTCTGGGTGGAGTTTTGGTTCAAAGGGCTGACACTTAATCCTTTTTTCCTGGCTTGCAGACGTACATACCGGCACAAGGTCCCTCAGTACTTATGGGAGTATTACCGAGCCTGTAATATGGCTCAGACGGGCTATAGAGGAGACAAAGGCGGCCATCCAGACTCTAAGCCCTGTGAAGAGGCTCAGGGAGTCTTTTTCGTTTGCTGGGACCAATGATATGTATAGGACGGTCTCTCAAGAGACCCTCTAAGTCACCATTTTTTGTGACATTAGGAATAAAAGGGCAAATGTGAAGATAGCGCCGCCTAGTACTAGCACGAAGCCTATCCGTGAGCTGCAATAATCCCTCTCGACCCTCTAATAATCTAATCTTTCTGGTTAAGCACTTCTAGTAGAGTATAGCATTTTTTATTTTTATATATCTCAGGGGATTGATATGAATAATCCTCATATTTTTCTTCTGAAGTCTTTAAAAATCTTAAAAGCTTTTCAGGAGAGTTCGGCAAGGCCAGTATATTTGTCGATATTTTTTTCCCGCATTTGCATACTTTATCTCCTAGTCCATAATTCCATCTATAAATAATTTTTAACAATTTTTCTTTTTCTTGGTCAAAGCAGACTTTTTCAAAATGCTGGCACAATTTTTGATGAAAATCTTTTTCGAGATCATTTTCAAAAAGTTTTAAATTTTTATGAAAAACGTCGAAAATTTCAGGGATGATTGAAGGCTTTATAACTTTGAAGACTCTTTTTAGGAAAAAAGGGAGGTAGTTATAGAGCTTAGGGACGTACCTCATGAGAGTTAATAGGGAGATAGACAGTTTGCAGACTTGAGATTTTTCTAAGACATTAAACGGGGATAGCTGTTTGGTTAGGGTTTCCATTAGTAATGGAAAATCGTAATCTTTTTTTAAGGAAACTCCTTCTTCTGCGTTGAATAGGAGAACAGATACATATCTGGTTAAAATTGTGCAGAGCTGGTTTTTTTCTGTGTCATTTAATGAAAATTTTGTTAAAATTTTTAATTGGATTTTCATTTTTTTCCAATAAAACGATGGATCATCATTCGCTGAATGCACAAGCAGCACTTTGCTCCATGTGTCAAGCATCCTTAAAATCGGCTCCACACTCTTTTGTGTAACTTTTGCTAGTTTATCAAAATCCAGCAGCGCATAATCCACTTTTACATCATTTCTCAGCTTATTAAGAGTACTCTCATTCAAAAGAGTATCAGTTCACCACATATAAATCGTCGCCCCTTGGAGCTCATTTATAGCTTTTTCTGCCAAATGTTCAGCATGCATTAATTCTTGAATTAAATCTTCTCGATTTTTTTCAAATTTTTCCCGTGACTTAAAATGAGAGAGTGCCAATGCTGCAAAAGTTCTTGCTTTTATTTCTTTATTATCAGACTCAGGCAGATTCATAATTAATTTTGTCCTTAGCGAGATTCTGAAATCTGCAGGAATATTTTCTTCATTAGATAGCTCTATTCTTAATATTATAAATAATTAATTTTTATATAATTTATACCATTTTCAGTAGAAATTTTGCTAATAGCAGCTGCTGCTATTTTATTTATTTTTTTTAAAAAAAAAGAGCAATTGCTTATCGTCAAGCTTTTTATTTGATGAAAAATATATAATATATTTTGAGAATATTTAACTCCCCCCCCCCCTCCGTGAGCGAACAAAACCATTAGAAAAATCGCCATTTTTTGACCAAAAACCCACCTCCGTGAGTGAACAAAAATTTTTTTTAATAGAAAAAATTTTAATGGAAAAAAATTTTGATATATAAGTGATAATTAGTATAATGAAATCTAGAGCTAATTCTGTTTAATTTTAAACAAATTGCGTTTTAAAACATAAATTTTGCAAATTAAATTAATATTTGCTTCCCAATTTTTGCAAATTAGGATTTTTTTAAATTTCGAAAAAAATATTTTTTATAAAAATTTATATATAAATTTTTTTTAAAAAAAAAAATTAACCCCCCTCCGTGAGCGAACAAAATTTTTTTGTTCGCTCACGGAGGGGGGGGGGGAGGGAGTAAGTAAAAAAGATATAATAAAGTTAACAATTCGTCAGATAAATCAGTCCAAGCTTCGCATTGGAAATAAATGTGCAAGATTTCAGGGCCAATTTCGTTTGAAAGCAATGTAGACGGTCTTGGGTTGTTTTTTAGAAGCAAAGGAAAGAGATCTCGGCAGATGTGCCGGAGCAGCATTGGGGAACTGAAAAAAGGCTTAATTTCTTCTTCTAGCATAGCTGTAATTTTGGTACTGATGACAGATAGTTGGAAAGTCTTATCCCAAACTACAGCTAAAAATGTTTCATTTGTATTATCAAGCACAATCTTTTTTACCTGCTCACAGAAGTCTCAGCAAGGATTTATTACAACAGGAGCAGGCTTGGCTGTAATAGCTTTTTCTGCAGCACTTGTAGAGAGTTCGAATTTTACTTTAGAATCCCATTTTCCTTGGTCAACTATCCCTTTACCTAAAATTTTACTTCACTTTTCTCAATATAAATCCTTAATTTTAACTAAAATAAGCCAAATCTACCCATAAACTTGGCTCTATTTATCAAATATATCATAGAATTCTTGCAGTTGTAATCAGTGAATACAGATTTGATACCTTTTTCACTATACTTTTATATGGCTCTTCCTGTTTCAGCGCTGGCCATGCAATTTTTATAGGGCTTTCTGCAGCTTCTTCATTTTTTATTTTTGACATAACAAATTTTTTCAGATCTTGGGCGGGTTCAAAGTTTTGAGTCTCTATTAAAAAATTTAAAATCGCCAGGGAATTTACATAGTCATAAGATAATGCTTTGGCAAGGGCTAGGCCATATATGTTTTCTGGGGCATTTTTAAGCTTCACACAGGCTTTATAAGAATAAATTGCTAATGGGAGTCTTTCTAGATGTAAAGCGGCTTCGCCTAACTCTCTCCAAAGATTGTCATCACCGTTGCTAATTTCTAGACACATTAAAATGTATTGCAATTGCCGCTCTTTGTAGCCTTCTTTGCCATATAAGTCTGCTAGGGATTTTAAAGCTGCTAGTTTTTGGGCAGGACCTATAGCTTTTTCGACCTTTTCCATTAAGTCGTCTTCGAGCTCAGGGTGTTCCATTTATTATAAGAAAATAAAATCCCCTGGTTTCCTAAGATTTCCATATTAATTTCATATTGCGCCTAATTAGTTAAAGGTTAATATATGACTCATAAAATTAAATCAGAAATAAGTGATTTTAATGCAAAATCTCTATTATGCCAAAAATAATGTTTTAAAAATATATCCAAAGTTAATAAAAAAGCTATAAAAATCCTTAATATTAAAATTAATTTTATGGTAAAATTAATATATTCAATTTAAATTTGTGCTTTCGATGATAATTCTGTGTTATTATCAAAAATAATAAAATATGTCATCAGCTTCCTTTAAAGATTTGCCACACACTCGAATTATCTATTCACAGCCAATGATTTCTAATAGAGCAAGCCTACCATATAAAAACCTTAAGCCTCTTCCTCTCAAATTAAATGAGCCTTTGCATGATTTTACCTTGAACTCTACCCCATCCACAATAAGCTGTCCTAAAAGCCCTTTTAGCTCATTGCCAATTTCTCATAAAAGCTCTTTTTATGAAAGTCCTACCAAACTATGCTCATATAAAAATAGCCTTATAAAGCCAAGCTCAAGCTGCACAATTTCTCCGACTATTTTTACTATAGAAGTCTCTGACAGGTCAAATACATTTTTGAACACTTTTAAATTTCCGATATCTAAGCAAGGGTCAAATTTATTAAATGGGTATGTTGTAAAAGAACGCACAGATTTAATTAATAATCAAAAAGAAAAGAAATTAGCAAGGCTATCTGTGAAATATAAACCAATGCATAAAAAGAAAAGCATAATGAGCCCTGAGCCATTTCGAACCAAAACAAGTAAGCAAATAAGCGATCATGAGGTCATAGAGAAATATAAAAATTCGTTTCCTGAGAGAAAAGAAAAATTTATGCAGCTTTTGAATAATGAGCCTTACATAGAGTATGTAAAAGCTTCAAAAAAATCCCATTCTTTAGGATATCATGCAAATTATATATCGAAGCAATCAAAATTTTTCAATTAAAAACTAGCTGTAATTTAAATCAAAATTTATAATAATTTTTCAATCATAAATCCATAAAATTACAACTGTAATTTTGATTTTTTATTCCTTTTAGCGAACTCTTTGCAACTTTTAACACTCTGACTATACACCGGCTTTTCCACAAGCTCTTCATCGCTGCTTTCTTTTGCTTTGTCTTTCAATTTTTCCACTGTATTTAGCATAATTTCTCTTTTATTTTCTCCTTCTTCTTCTTCTTCACTTTCCTCATCTTCTACAATAATTTCATCTTTCTCATAAATTCCTTCAAATTTCTCTTCTTCACTTTCTTCTTTATCTTCTCCAAACCAGCTGCTGCCTGTGACTTCTTTTCATTCGCCTGGCTTGGCTTGTTCGTCTTCGTCCTCTTCTTCATATTCTTGATAATTGAATTGGCTTTGAGGGTTATTTTCTTGAAGACTTTGTATAACTTCTCTATCAAAATCTTCGTCTAGCAAGCCAACTGGACGATTTCTCTGCATTTTCCCGCTGAGTTTGTTTTTAAAATAGGTTGTGCCTGTTGTTTCGTCTTCAATTAGGGCCCAAATGCCTTTAGTTTTGGATTTTGTTATAAGTGCGTCGTGAGGATTAAATAGTGCTGGGCCAAGCTCTTCTGGTGCCATTGGCATTTTATTAGAAAAAAAGGCATCTGGGTCGTCTTTGAATTTTTTGTAAGGATTTTCTTTAGATTTAGCTTGATAAAACATTCTTGCTGCTTTAGCTCGTAAATGCTGCTGGCAATACTGATGCTTCGGCATAAGCCACTGTGGGATGCTTTTTCTGCAAATATCACAATAGACTTTTCCTTGCTCTTTTTTTCCTGATTTTTTGTCCATTTTGAACAAAATTTTTATTTAACAAAAATTTTTCATCAAAAATTCTAGGGGCTTAAAAATTTATTTCCATGAGTGTCAATGCTCTCCAGCTCGACATGCTAAAAACTAGCAAAATCCGAGAAATTTGCAGAGACCTAAAAATCAGGACATCAGGAAACAGTGAACAAGTAAAATCCACCCTCCTCTTATACCTCAGTACCGAAGAAGGCCGTGAGCGTGCCTATCAAAAACTTAAAGTGAGTATGCTAGAAAGACTATTTGGTGATGAAGACCCCATAAAGACCTTAGTTTCTTCTTCAAGGCCAGAAACAGTCGATACAAGTGTCATGACAAACCCTACCCTAGCCGACAGCTTAGAAAGAAAAGGAAAAAATATCCGCTGTGTCTGCTTATCAGGCTCTTATCCTTTAAAACAATGTGAAACCTGTGGGACTTATCAGCATTGGGGCTGCATGGGCAGAAACGTCACAATGCTCAATTATGAATGCATTTTCTGTCAAATGGCAGCCTTAGACCTCAGCCAACAAATACTCGATGCATTAGTCATGCCTTTTTCTTTACCTAGAGAAGACCCACAAATTACCAATAAAAAGATGCAGAGAAAATTTTCCTTTACTTCCGACCATTTGCGAAAATTAGAAAGTGGTCAAGGGACTGTCAGGGTTTTTTTATTTTGTATGAAAATTGATGGGATTGGGTACAACAACATCTGGCCGTCCTCTGGGGCTGTAATTTTAAATGACAGAACTATTTTAGAGCCTCACAAAATGCAGGAGCGGCAAGATGTCCCATTAGACATTACAGAACTGCTGGTAGGTGGAGAAAATTCTTTATCAGTCCTAAAATACAACGACTATCAATACTACGTATCTGGTATTTTTCTCGTAAAAACCTTAAGCCTCCCAGAAGTCAGAGAAAAAATATACAGTTCTATTAAAATAAAAAGTGAAGAAGAAGGAATTGCATTTGTCAAGCAAAAGTTCACAGAAAGTGAAGTCGATATAGACACAATTACAGTCACTTTTAAATGCCCACTATCTTTAAAAGTCCTTGACGACCCTGTCCGAGGGGCCCATTGCACCCATTTAAACTGTTTTGGGCTTGAAGCTTATATAATGTACCAGACTCAGCAGATAAAAAACAGGTGAAATTGCCCAATTTGTCATGAAAGGTGCAATAAAGTGGTTAGGGACGAATATTTTGAAAAAATTCTGATGGAGGCGAAGATATTTGGAGCGAACTCTGTAGAGTTCAAAAGGGACGGAAGCTATGTACTTTGTGCATCAAAAAGCGGGAATATTAAAGAAATCAATGAGAAAAAGACGTATCAGAGGGTAGAAAAAAGAAAAACGGAAAATAAGGTCGTAGCTGGGACTATTGAAATAGATTAAATTGTTAAGTTATTGTAAATAATTTATGGCTGATCATATACAAATCCTTGCGAAAGCTTTTCCTACACTTACAGCTTCGGAGATAAATGATATTAATTTCATGTATCCGACACTTGAAGAAAAACAACAAGCCTGTGCGAATTTAGCGGTAAATAAAGTTAAGGTAAATCAAAATGAATTTATTTTTTAGAAAAATAATTAATTTTTAGATAATTTTATATAAAATCAGAATATTCAAGAGGAGCACATTTCTCAAGCCCCGGCTGAGGCATCAATGGATTATCATGAAACTATTCAAGATATCCTTACCGAAATCCTAAGGTCTGACTGTGGAACTTCTTATAATCAAGCCATTTCTGTCATCAAAACTATATTAGAAAATATAAAACGCGACCCAAATAATGACAAATATAAAAGAATTAGGCTCAACAACCCAAAATTCCACAGCTCACTAGGGCAATATGAAACTGGGGTAGTTTTGCTTGAAATTCTTGGGTTTCGGAAAGAAATAGATGGAGAAGAAGTCTTATTGATGCAGGAATACAATGATTAAGATTATGCTCTAGCAGGTCTTTAGGGGTTTGTTTTAGCCCATTACCGTCCCAGCGCAGGCTTCAGGTTCAAGTGTCCCTAATCGCCAGTGTCAAACCTCCCTTCGATATCACCAGTCTCTCGGAGAGACTCACCCGAAGTTTGTGCCTGGGTCTCACCTTGCAGGACCGAATCTCTCTAACACTGGTAGTACTAGAGTATGGGTAAAGTGTCTTAGTGCCTCATTCTGGTCTACCTGTATGATACAGGAATAGAATAGTTCCGAGAATGCGTGCCGACATAGCGCTCTCATATCGAGTTTCAACCAGGCAAAAATCAGCCCGGACTTCCCAAAAGTATTGAATTCACTCTACGACTAAAATCAACTCATCAATCACATTGGACCTATCACAACTCGCCATTTTTTACAAAATGGAATACAATGAGGAATATATAAAATATGCATTAGGCATTATTTCAAGGATAAATCCTGCCCCACCTCAGCCGCCTGTCAGTCAGAATAGAAATGAATTTTTAGCAAAAATTCATGAAGACAGAGCAAAGCAGCCATTTACATATGTGAGACCTAACAGGAATTTGAATATGCCAAATGACACAACCTTGCAGCTGCAAGAGTACAGGAGGCAGAAAAAAGGGGCTTATTTTCATGAAAGGCCAGCAAGAGTAATGACACTTGCTGATTTAAATAGACAAGCCCCCTCTGCGCCTTATCATAATTCCCCACAGCCCCATTATGATTCTTTATCAAGTTTTGATAATCCTAGAAATATTGCAATCAGAGCCTTCCAATTATTCTTTATTTATTTATATAAATCATTATTTTTTTTAAAAACAAAATAACCCTTAATTTTCAGTAAAAATAATTTTATTAGATATATCTAATGAATTCAGAAAAAGCCAAGGACTCTGTGAGCTTGTATGGGATGAAGGATTAATGGAAATCGGAAAAGTCCATTCTACCAATATGGGAGATGGAAGAGTTGCATTTGGCCATGACGGATTTAATGCTAGATTTAGACAATTTCCTATACCTTATGTCAGAAGTGGCGCTGAAAATGTAGCCATGAGCCATGGGATGGGAGATCCTGCCAAAGTTGCAGTAGACGGGTGGATCAACTCTCCAGGGCACAGGAAAAATTTGCTGGGGCATTTTAATTATATGGGGATTGGTGTGTATCAGAATCAAAAAGGAGCTTGGTACTTCACTCAGTTATTCGCAGGAATCTAATAGCTATATACCATATCTCTATAAATGTATAATTAATTTATTAATCTCTATAAATTAATTTATTAAATAAAAAAATATATATATTTTTTTATAAAATATTTGTAGAATTCCATTAATTATAATAATGAATAAATGCAAAAGCTGTCAAAGGCTGACATTAAGGAAATGTCGCGAGTGCCGATATATTTGTGAAAGTCACTCATTAGATTGTAATGCCAAAGGACATGTTATGAATTCTGACTTGAATTATGCTGATCAGTCTAATTTAAAGAAGCTAGAGGATTCTTTACAAGAAGCAATAAGGAAAATTGAAAGTGACATGAAAAAAGTAAAGGAAGAAGGCATTCGGCTTATAAACTATGCTCAAAGAATTGTTTTTGAGGCTGAGCTTTCTCTTGATGCACTGCGGAGAAGATTTAGTTGCCATTTAAAGGATATTTTAGATTTTAAGCAACGCGTGAGAAATATTTCGGAAAATGATGAAAATATTGGGTTATTCGTCCTAGATGATATATATTTAAAAATGATTAAAGACCCAGCTGCATATTCCTCTTTTATAGAGGATTTATATAAGTTTGAATTTAATGAAGAAATTTATAAATATTCTGTTTTTCTTTAACTCTCTTATTTTCTGTAAAATTAATTTTTTAAAAATAAATTATTTATGTTTAAGAAACTCTTACAATTTTTTTATACAAAATTTTTGAAATTTCCTCATTATGGGACGAAAAATTCCAAAATATTGAACAACGGGAACTGAAAAAATCCCAAGAATTATTGTCAGGCTTTAAAGCGCCAATAGAAAAAATTCGAGGTTTTCTCGACGAAATGAAGCTAGAAGAAGGGCCTTTTCAAAATGTTCTTCTAGAGTGTTTATATCTAAATAGCCATGGAAAAATTCACGAGTACTTATCAATGGAAGAATTTTTAAAAGATATCGACCAAGACGACCCCGAAGGAAAAAAACGAAAAGACACCAACCCAGAAACTTTAAAAATTTTTTTTAAAAACGAAAACGAAGAAGAACAAAAACATGAAGACACCGTTTTTGAGAGCGTTTTAAAGCTAAATTCAGAAATAACGCAAATTAATATGAAACAGTACCCACACATTCAAGCTTATGGAAGCTGAATTTTGGGATCATTAAAAGTCTTGCCAAATCTAAAACACCTGAATTTAGAAAATACAGATTTGTCCCATAATTTTCAACAAATTGTGAATGGAATGGGGAAGTTGGTTAACCTTGAAATTTTAAACCTTGGGTCGTGCAATATTAATGAAGATAGAGCTATTATTTTTTCAGAAATTATGCCGAACTTCAGAAATTTGACACATTTGTATCTTTCTCATAATGAAATAAAAAATAACGTGGGATATATTGTGAAAAACATTGTTAAGCCACAGAAAATGGTTTATTTGGACCTTACTCCCCCTACGTGAGCGAGCAAAACCATTAGAAAAATTCCTATTTTTTGCCCAAAAGCCCACCCTCCGCGAGCGTTAAATTTTTTATGAAAAAAATAATTGATATATAAGAGATAATTATTATAGCAAAATCTCTAGCTAATTCTGATTAATTTTAAAACAGCTTGCGCTTTAAAATCAAGTTAAATTAATTTTTGCTTACAAATTGATTTTTTTTTTAGTTCTGAAAAAAAAATTCTATAAAATTTATATATAAATATTTTAAAAGAAAATTTTAACCCTCCTCAATTAGCGAACAAAAAATTTTGTTCGCCCCTAAGGGGGGAGTTAGCTTTAATAGCATAGCGGAAGGATATTTCGATATCTCTGATGCTTTATAAATAAAATGGCATTCGATTCGAGAGAAATTAGCTCTGCTAATTTTCTCTACCTCATGAATTTATTTAGATGGAGGTTTTCTTTCGAAAACTTCTGCACAGCAGCAGTAGTTTAACTCTAGGGATAACCAGAGGAACTGCTCTTCAGTGCATCAAGAGGCCCAGGGTTTTACCTCTCAGCACATCTCTACGGAAAGTTGCAATTAGGCGAAACACGCGCAGGAGCTGAGTCAGGGCAGGGTGACGGCAGCGCACCGAGTGAGACGTACGGCGAGGACTGGTGACGATACTTTGATAGAAGGCTTGGCCGGTGGGCTGACCACCTTGTTCCAAGATGGCTCAGTGACGCCACTAGTTTAGTTATATCCCTATTTATTAGGGTGGCACTAGACATCTTAAACACCAGATTAATTAAGATTAAGATTATATATCTCTGATGCTTTACTCAAAATGGCTAATCTAGAATACTTGCATTTAGGAGGAAACAACATTAAGAATGGGCTAAATGAAATAGCAGATTCTTTTCTAAGCTGCAACAGCCTTTTTCAAGCACAATTTTCTAATATAGACTTTTTAGACGAAATTTATGCGCATGTTGCAGATGGGATTTCTAATCTAAAATATCTAAAAGTACTGAGGCTGGCTAACTTAGGAGAAGAACATGAGAGAAGGTTCAAAAGGTCTCATACAGATTGCCTTGTGTATAGGGAAAAAATGAACCCTAACGACAATACTCATGAGGTTTTATTAGTTAGGTAATTAATCAACAATATTTATTAGTTTTTATTATCAAAATATAGTTTTTGTCTTAAAATTGCCTATAAGTTTTTTTTTAAAATTGTATTTATTAGCAATTTGTATGAAAATGTATATTAAATTTATAGTAAAATTTCTAAAGTCTCCTCATAATCATAATGGAAGGCAGAGTAAAAAAGCTAATTGACTGCATTACCAGCAATAAATCTTTCGAATTGTCCCAAATCGCTTCTTTTCAGCTTGGGGAGCTCTCAAAAGATGACTCTGATCTCGTCTGCGAAGAAGTCTCAAATTTATTTTATCATGTTAATTGGGATGTGAGGATAGCAGCTGGATTGGCACTATCCCAAATATTGCAAAAAATCCAGTGCCTTTGTATTACTTCTGCCAGCTCGTTTAAATTAGAAAACCTCAATTTATCGTATGAGGAGCCAGATCCTTCGAAAAAAAGAAATTTAGAATTAAACGGATTTCAAAAATTACTTGAAAAATCTAGAGAAAAAATGCTGATTGGGAGCTGAGATGAGAAACATGGAGCTTGTATTGCTATGAAAGAACTTGTAAATTCACATTTTCTATGCAAAGAATGTTTACTCCCCTTATGGGCTAGCAAAACAATTTAGGACATTAATTCATTCATGAAATATTTTTTATAAAAAAAAATTTTTTTTCGTGCTAATTTTATTAAATATAAGCAATTTGCATTCTAGACATAACAAAAATTTTTGAATTAAATTTTGGAAAAAATAAAATAAAATTTATTATAAATAAAATTAAACCTCCTCCTAAAGGCAGAATTCTTTGCTTACTTACAAAGGGGGAATTAGAAGATGCTATATGTAGGTGTTTAGTCATCATCGGAAAAGACCAAGTCGCTGATTATGCTGAAGATTTGCCTGAATATCCTTTAAGAGATTTAGCAAGCGACATTATATCAATTTCCAAATCAGCAGTCCGAGAAGAAGCCCTTGAGAACTTTTTATCACAGTTAATAGAAGTAACAGAGCCTCAAGGACCTTTAATATGTCTAAGAAAATCCAAGATTTACACACAAAAAGCTTATAAAAATATAAAAAATTGGTAAAAAATATTCAGCTTGGCACAATCAGAAGATATTGTACTAGAAGCTTGCCATTATTTGACAAAATATCCTTTAGACCAAGATCAAGAGCTTGTAGATATTTTGTGCAATATTATTATTGAGTCTGACGACTTGTCAGCAAGCTTAAAATACGCGATTCAGGTTGTTGATAAATTATTAAATTTAGGGTGCAGGATATCTTGCGATATGGAAAAACTATATGTAAATCTATATAAATTGTCCTTAATATCAAGATAAATCTGTATGATTTTAATTTTAATATATAAAAAAAATTATTTATTTATAATAGCATATCATTTGTTTTTTCATAAATTACAAGCGGTAAGGTATTCCACATATTCTGCATTTTTAGGAATTATAAAAACGCAGCAAATTGATCATGAGTCTTTATTTCGAATTATTACTCAAGGGATTATTTTAGAAAACAACAAACAAATAATCCAAAAATGTTTCGAATTAGCCGATTCTATATCACAACAATACGGAATTAGCCAATTTATTATAAAATTTTGGAATAATTGGGTTAATTTTTTAAAAAATCGAAGATTTGAGGATTACTCTTTTATGCTGATTTATGGGCAGCCTGGTGAATCCCCAAAAGAAGTCTATAGCTTTGTTGATTCTGAAAGTACAGATGATATTAATACAATACCTTATTTAGAAGCAAAACAATTTCGCGGGATATGAAATATTTGCAAAGCAATAAAATATGTGAGGAGAAATGAAAATTTTACGCTGGGGAGGGTAGGTGCGAATTTTACTTCTATTGAGAACATTTTTCATGTTTTATCAAGTGAGAATGCAAATGATTATAATGATTTACTTAACGTAATTACGACATTTCCAGAGTCATCTGATGGAAAATTAGGATTTTTAAGGCTTCGTGTGCTATCTTGCTATAGAGTAGCAAAGTTAGCAATTAAAGAAAAAATCCCTTTACCTGATAAAATTACCCCAATTTTGCAAGTCATTGTGACTGGCTTTACTAATGAATCAGTCCCTTTTTTAAGATATAAAATCGCCAAAACCGCCGCAAGAATCACCTTAGCCGCAATTGGTAGAACCTGCAACGAAAAATTTGTCCAAAATTTAATGAAAATAGACTCACTTCCCCTTATAAAAGAATTACAAATAATTCATAAAGAAGCTATAGTCAACAGATTTCAATTCTATAAAGCTCTGGTAGAGCAGCCTATATTGAATTCCTTACAAAATTTAAAGATTTTGACCGTTTATATTCATCAGTCACTATTTCCATTATTTATCCAATTATTTTCTCAAATCCTTCAAGCAGTTGATATAGAGGAAACCAATGTGATTATTGTAAATATAGCAATTCAAATCGAAGAGTGTCTTATAATGTTTATTACCCATTTTTTAAGGGATGCAGAGGATAATCAGCTGAAAGAAAATCTTCTTTTGGTGCTGCAAGAATTACTGTCCCCAAAATACTCACATAAATTAATCCCATATTCAGCATGCTTTGTGCTGCCTCTGCTTAAAAATTTGAATTCCAGCCTAGGCCATGCAATAACTATACCAAATCTCCTGATTTACTTAAAAATGGATTTTTTATAATTTTTATAGGAAAATTTCTTATATATAAGTATAGGATTTTTGGAGAAATTTTAAATTTGGTGTTATTAGATTCCCCTATAAATGAAATTTGTGAGGGCTTACAAAGGTATAGGGAAGAAGGGCTTCATTTCTTAGGGCAGCTAAAAGGTAGTTATGAACTGCCTACTTATGAACAAAGAGTAAAAGTTAATGGAATTTCACTGAGAGAGTACCAAAAAGAAGGAATTGCATGGTTAAGATTTTTAAATATTTTTGGGCTATGTGGGATGCTTTGTGATGAAATGGGTCTTGGAAAAACTATACAAACCCTCTGTGCAGTTGCAGAAGCTCATTTAGACTACCAAGATGCTATATCGCTTGTTGTGTGCCCAACATCTGTGACAGGCCATTGGAAAGAAGAAGTCCATAGATATTTTGATAAAAACATTTTGGATGCTGATGAATTTGAAAATAATAAAAAATTCTCCCAAGGATTATTATACCTTTTTATAAAAATAATTAATATAATAAATTATATAGCTTTATATTAAAATCACCTCATATAGGATAGTGATTTCCTACAACTCTTTAAAAAAACACATAGAAACCCTTAAAGAAATTGAATTTTTATATATCATTTTGGATGAAGGCCATTTAATTAGTAACCCAAATACCCAAACATATAAAGCTATTCTGCAGCTAAAAGGCAAGCACAGATTAATCCTTACAGGAACCCCTCTCCAGAACAAAATCCTAGAGCTTTGGCCTTTTTTTAACTTTTTAATGCCAGGATTTTTAGGGACTTCTGCAGAATTTTCCAATAATTATGAAAAATATTTAAAGCCAAAAAAATCAGAAAAACAAATCCAGTTCAGAGATGAGCACGCAGCGCTTAAAAAACTAAATCTTTTGCATAAAAAAGTACTACCTTTTATACTGAGAAGGCTGAAAAAAGATGTGCTGCAAGACCTCCCTGAGAAAATAATACAGGATTATTATGTCAATTTGACAACTTTACAGGCATTTTTATTATCAAAAATAAAAGATGAAAAAAGTATGAAAAATGACCCTTTGAAAGAAATTATAGACATAAGGAAAATTTGTACACTAAATTATAATGAAATTAATTATTTATTTTATATAGAAATTTCATATAAAACGCATATTAATTATTAATTACAGAATAATCATCCTATCCTAAAAGACAGCTCTGCAAACCCTTCCTATAAAGAATCTCCAAAACTAACAGCTCTTAAAGAGCTTTTAATTGACTGCGAAATCCCTGAAGAATCAGGTAGCGGCCACAAAGCATTAATTTTTTCTCAAATGAAAAAAATGCTTGATCTTGTTGAAAACGAGCTTCTGGCTAAGGAATTTCCATTAACTGCTTATAAAAGACTAGACGGGAAAACCCCACTGCAAAAGCGAGCTGACATTGTAAACGAGTTCAACCAAAACCCAAAATTTCGATTGATGCTCCTTACTACAGAAACAGGCGGACTAGGCCTAAATTTACAGTCAGCTGATGTTGTGATTTTTATTGATCACGATTGGAACCCAGTGAAAGATCTGCAAGCTATGGACAGAGCTCATAGAATTGGCCAAAAAAATGTAGTTAATGTATATAGATTAATTACAAAAAATACAATTGAAGAAGAAATACTTGGGCTGCAGGCATTTAAATCGAAAATTGCAGAAACTTTGGTAAATGTAGATAATGCGTCAATGCAGGCAATAGATACGATATCTTTATTAGGAAATTTATCTGAGGCAAAGTAATTAAATTTATTTGGTACAATTAAATTAATTATATAATAGTAAGATATTAAAAATAATTTCTAAAACTCATTATTATATGCTAAAAATAATTTTTAATAGTCTAAAATAGCAATTTTTATTATATATATTTACAATTCAAGGTTTGATATTATTCTCTATAATAAAATTATTAAGCTGTATTAAATTGAATAAGAAGATAAATATTATTTTTTTTTAAAGATAAAAAGTTATTAGGAGTAGATGCCAAATTTCGGTAAATAAATATATTATTAAATTAGTGAATTTTTTAATGTTAAATATTAATTCTGATAGATAATTTATATGTACTTTGCGTCCATTTTAAATAATTTATTTTTGTCAACAGTCTTCTTTATTGAAAAATAAAGTTGAGCCTTTCTTTACCCCATCTCTGATTTTAAAAATTCTATTTGGCCCGTTTTCCCACAAAGCGTGGTTTCTTTTGAGGCAAACATATTTATTCTTTTTTAATTAATTTGTCTTGGGCTATTAGCCATAATTTTACTATTTTTTTTTTAAATCTGCAATAACTTTAATATTTTTTTTTGATTTAAAAGAGCTTATATTCGAATTCCGGAAGTTCGCCTTCTCCAATTAGTATAGAAATCTCCCAATAATCCCCAGCCCTTCATTCTAATTCAAGTCCTTTATTCGGGTCCCAATCACCCAAAAATTCTTCACCCCCTACAACCACAAGTTTTTCTTCAAATAAAGTCTTATAATGCATACGGAAGCGAAGCAGATAAGATGTGGGCCTTATTTTTTCGTTTTCAAGTTTTATTACTTCGTTTAGCATTTTACGATACAGTTCTGGATTCTTTTTAAGTTCTCCGATGTCGCATTTGTTGTTATGTGCTCCTTGATAATTGATATTTTGCTGCTGTTCAGAGAGGTGAACTATTTCTTGGTGGTTTTGATATGGCAGCTCTGCTAAGCTGCAATTTTTAGTTAAATTGTGATTATTTTGGGGTATTGAGATGGTCTCTGCTGAGCCTTGGAAATTCGGGGATTCCGAATTTGAATTTCCTAGTATATGGTTTTGTTCCATTATAAAATAGATTAGCTTCTAGAAAAATAGGTATTATGAGATATGACATTATGAAAATTTTGACAAGAAAAAATTATAATTAGCATGCATATTTCAGATGGAGACTTATATATGTTTATTTTTTGGTAATGGCATATTGCTCTGTTTTGGGTGAAAATAGAAAAATTTTAATTATTTTTGTATTAGCATAAATTTTATAACTTGCTCCTCCTTTAAATTGGAACAGAATATATCTTAAGTTTCCATTTTTTGGGTTAATAACCCCTTAATTCTACAGAAATTTCAGGTAAAAATGCTAATTTTTATATATATAGTTTTGTCGGAGTGACTAATATTAAAATATTTATTCAATTATTATTGTCTAATTTTTGAAAATTTTTTATTTGGAAAATTTTATATTGCTTATTATTTCTGAAAAATAATTAATCCCTTTAAATTAAACAAAAGTTTTATTCCAATATAAAAGGGGTGAGTCAAAATAAATTTGGATGATTTTTTTAGCTGAGAACATAATTGGAATTCCATTACAATAAAAAAATTAATAGCTATTGTTATTATATGATACAATGATAGATTTTATAATAAATAAAAAGTTTTGCCGAAAAGCTTTAAAATGCAAATATTAATAATTTGATTTATTTAAAAAATAATTACTATTATAATAAAAACTTAAAACTCCTACAAATCCGTTTTTATTAAATCATGAAATAATAACCCACCATTTATCTATGAAAAACATATACATAAAAATGGTGACGACAGACCACCCGACCTCTCGACCCTATTTCTTCAACACCAGCAGGCAACGGCCAGTGATGGAGATTTAGGTGGAAAGGGGCCGGTAATCCTTTATGTATAGTCGGGCTGGGTTTTCTTTGAGCCCGAGGAGCTAATTCTCGGACTTGGAGTTTTTCCTCCGGTACAACCATTGGAAAGGGCAAGGTCGGCCAATATTTGAGGGCAATATGACCCTCAGACCCAGAAGACGGTATTTGCCCAACGAGAAACTGGGAGTTTCGACCCAGGTGGTTGGCCCTAGACTCCAGAAGCCATGGAAGTCAAGACTGGTTGTGCGAATCCCTTGTTTGAGGCAACAAGGAGGGTGTCCGCCGAGGCTCCTCTGGGGCGATGAGCGTGTAGGGGTGAGAATCCCCGGCCCTGCAAGGCAAACGGCTTAATCTAATCTAATCTATGAAAAAACGTTCTGATTAGACACAAAAAATAACTCCTTATAATAAATAAGATGCAACAGCAACCAACTCTCCACTATTTCGATATGATGGGCACAGCTGAACCAATTCGTATGATGTTCAAATATCACAACACCAATTTCAACGACCACCGCATTACTGAACAAGAATGGACCCACCTCAAAACCACTGGCTTTTCTGAATTTGAGACTCTTCCAGTCATGGAAATTGATATTTCCTTATCATAAACTCTCTCTAATTTTTTTTTTCAAAAAATCTTTATTTTCACCAAAAACTATTTTCCTTATATAATTATCCTTATATATCTCATCCTTAATAAGTATAATAACAGACTAGTTGAACCATTCGCCATCTCAAAATACATCGCCCACAAGTTCGGCTACCTCCCTAACACCCCAATGGAAATGTACATGGTCGATTCCATCTGTGAATATTGCTGCAATATCAACAAAATGTATATGAAAATGTACGAAGAAAGAGACATAGAAGGCATGAGACGATGTTGCATGGAAAAAATGCCGACTTGGCTCAGAAAAATCGAAACAAGACTAGAAAGAAATAACAATGGGACTGGCTTCTTTGTGGGGAATAACGTAACTTTGGCTGATTTCTGCGTTTTCCAGATGCTGTGGGATACTTGTCTAAAACCTGGTAAGATAGAGCAATGTGGAACTATGGTTAGTACTAATGCACCAAAGCTTATGCAATGGCACAATAGAATGATGAATAATTGTCAATGTTTCAAAAATTATTTGGAGACAAGACCTCATAGGGAGTGTTAGTCTTAATAATTAATTATTTCAAATCCTGAAAATTGAATTATTTCATATATATATTATTAGCTCCCCCCCCTCCGTGAGTGAACAAAAAAATTTTTGTTCACTCACGAAGGGGGGTTAATTTGTTTTTTAAAAAAAATTTATATATAAATTTTATAAAAAAATATTGTTTTTCGAAATTTAGAAAAATCCTAATTCGCAAAAATTGGAAGGCAAATATTAATTTAATTTATAAAATTTTATGTTTTAAAGAGCAATTCGTTTAAATTAAATAGAATTAGCTCTAGATTTCATTATACTAATTATCATTTATATATCAAAATTTTTCTATTAAAAAAATTTTTGTTCACTCACGGAGGGTGGGTTTTTGAGCAAAAAATAGTGATTTTTCTAATGGTTTTGTTCACTCACGGAGGGGGGGGAGTAAGTAATTTAAAATTATATTAGAAAAATTATTATATTAAATTTTAGGATTTTAATGATATTTATTGTGAATGCTAGATATTAATTTTTGTTTATTGATTTTAGTATCTGGCAGACAAAGATTAGAGCGCTTAGGTGCTATGATAAAGCAGACTCTATGCTAATTTTATAATAAATTATAAAATTAAATTTTTTAAATGTTGTAAATACATAATAAATAGCTAAACATTTGTGTTTAACCAAAACGTTGCTGATATGTTATTTTTACGTTTAAATCAGCATAAAATTAAGCAAAGATCACGATTTAAACTTTCTTCGTTGCATGCTTTGCATCTACCATAAAATTAACACCACAAGCTTTGTTAGTTTCATTGAAAAAGCATTCTTCTAAAATCTCTATTCAATAACAGACTTCATGTCCAGTAATTAAAAATTAAAAATTTCAATGATAATAAAGGCTAATCACGCCATAAGTACATTTAATGACAAGTAGAATTGCTAAATCTTCACTTTAAAATATAAATATTAACCCAGAATTGCTTATTTTTCTAATTATTTATTCTAAGCTCATATTATAAGCCAGAAATATTAATATAATTAAATAATAAGGAAAAATAATTGTTTTTTAATTTAGCAAAACTTATATTTTTAATTGCAGAAATTTTATTTAATTAAAGCGTTAAGGGATTTTGGAGGAAAGTGAAAATTTTGGGCTTAGCCGTATCAATCGGCCAACCAAAGAAAGGAGTTGAGTGAACCCCGCAGATTTTGCTTGACAGCCAAATTTCGAATCTGTTTCACCCTCAATATGAAGCTGATTGGATTGGGATTCTTGATCAGCAAGTTCTGATAGAAGAATGAAAACAAAAATTAGCTTTAAATTCACCAAGCATAGAATCACCTGAAAATACACTACTCCAAGAAGAGCGCCCGCCGAAAATTAAGAATCTTGGAGAATTAAACTACTATATGGAACACCAATATAAGTCAATCTTGAAGAATATCTCTTCAACTGATTTCTTATTATCAATAGGTGGAGACCATTCGGTTGCGAGCGCCACTATTTCTGCTTCCCTCAAACTCCAAAAAGGCAATCTTTCAGTTATATGAATAGATGCACATGGTGATTGCAATACCCCAGATATTTCACCTTCAGGAAATTATCATGGAATGCCACTCGCCCACGTTTTTGGTCTATTTAAGAAAAATCCCTTTTCTTGGATGTCAAATTTTCTTCCAATCCAGCGATGTGTACAAATTGGAATCAGAGACCTGGATGGCGAAGAAGAAAAACTGATGAACTCTATAGGACTCAAATATTTTACTGCAAGCCAGGTAAGGAACTATGGGATACAACAAGTAATAAAAGACTCATTAGCATATGTTGATCCTGAAAATAACAGAAATATCCATCTTAGCTTAGATGTGGATGGATTTGACCCTACTTTTGTTCCAGGTACTGGCACTTTGGCTCCAAATGGACTGTTTATAGAAGACTACTCAGTAGTGGTTGATTTTCTTTTAAAAAAAATATATTTTTAGCTTAATTTTTATAAAATGATAAAAAAATGTCCAGTGGTTGATGAAATCAAGAAATGTGGGGAAAGGTTTTCGTCAATGGATCTGGTCGAAGTCAATTTTCAAATTGAAAAAGAACAGACTTTAAAAGCTGTCAAAGAAATACTAAAAACAACCTTTTCTGATTAACTTAACTTCAGAACCTATAAATATTCAGGCTAATTATTTTGATAAATTAATATTTTTGTGCTAATTTGCCATAAAATTAGCATTGGGCATTGGGTGTGCCATAAGAAAATTTGCTTCTTAAAATATTAAAATATTCCGATCTTTTATGATAGTTTATAATACGTTGGAAGAATTTCTTAACGGGCTTGATTTGACCAGACATAAACGATTAACGGCTGAGTTCTCATTTTACCATCAATATGAATTTACTTGCTCCCCCCTCCGTAAGCGAACAAAAATTTTTTGTGGAAAAAAATTTTGGTATATAAGTAATAATTAGTATAAGGAAATCTCGAGCTAGTTCTATTAATTTTAAACAAATCGCGTTTTAAAAGCATACATTTTACAAATTATATTAATATTTGCTTCTCAATTTTTACAAAATTAGAATTTTTTTAAATTTCGAAAAACAAAATTTTTCTATAAAATTATATTAAAAAACATTAGCCCGCCTCCGTGAGCGAACAAGATTTTTTGTTCACTCCCGGGGAGTAAGTAAAAAGTTTATTGGCAAAAATAAGAGGATAAGAAAATTTTGCAACAGAGTATATAATTATGTGGAGAAGCGAAAATCCAACATGGAAAGTAAGCGAGCCTGACAAAGTTGCAATGCTACTTCGAGGAATTAAACACTTGGCAAGCCTTTCTGAAATCATCACATTTATCGTCCGCCCAAAGCGCTTGGACTTATTCGCAGAAAGCCAAGACCAATCATCAGCTTTAATATGCACTTTTGAGTCATCCTTTTTCAATGACTATAATGGCGCCAACCGTATTTTCGCGATTTATTCAAAAAATCTTATGCTGATCACAGATTCCCATAAAACTAGCATCATTAACCTACAGTTTGCCATGAGACAAGAAGAATTTATATATTAATTAATATTAAATAAGGCTTATTTATAAAAAATATAACTTATTATTGTATTTTTATAAATAAATAAAAATAGGATAGATGTTGTAATTGATTACAATACAGGGGTCTCCGCAAGCTACGGATGCCCAACGACAGATAAAATCCATGACTGCTGCAGAATGGGTGGGCCAGAAATAACGATCTACCAAGGCTGGATAGGGCATAATATCAGTTTTTGGGACGAAAAAATGATGAGACTTTTCCCTGGCAGCTATGATTTTTTTGCAATAAAAATCACTAAAGCTGGCATTGAGGTGAGGAATTTTGATTTCGAAAAAAATCAGACTGGGACTGCTGGACATCCTATAAAGATCCCAAGAGCCAAAATCCAGCTGTTTTCTCCACTAGAAGAAATAGAAATTACTATAAAATTTACCATAAATATCACATATAAAATTTATAGCATATTTAATATGCTATTTATAAGAAAAAACAACACAATTCCATTCCCAAGACTCAGAAGCTTTATGGATTCAGCCAGAAAATGCCGACTTGGCGTCCAAATGAGTCCTGAATACAGCGAATCCTGCTCCCAAATATTCTGGCAAGGTTTCACGGAAAGCCAAAATGCTTATTTTTCGCTTCTTTTAGGGTGTGAAATTAAGCCAATTTCAGAAAAGTACATAAAGCCAGAGGAGACGCATGACGTAAGAAGCGTAAAAGAGTTTAGAAGTATAGCGTAATAGGTCTTGTTAACATATAAATTATTGCAGACTTGATATTAATGGCCGCTATATTAAAACTTACGTATTTCTAACGAGGGCTAAGTTGTCGTCTTTAAGCATTATTCTTCCTATAGGTCTTCTGGCGTTTCTTTTCACTAAAACCTCAACTGCATCGTCTAAGACTATATTGAAACGGATTAAAACTGGTAAAAAAAGGGTGAGAGATAATAATTTTTGGAAATAATTATGGAAAAGTGATATAAATTCATGTACTCGTCGAAGCCAATTATTTTTCCTTCAATGCAAAGATCTGTGTTCTCAAAAAGCCAAATTTGTACAGTTACGCCATTTCGTAAAAATCCAAAGAGCAAGCCCTATGTAAATTTTACCAGTGGTTTTATCATGTTTTGCATCTTCTTTGTAACCCTTGGGAGCTCCATTTAAGAAATTTTAATTATTTTGGATTTTTACTATTCTAGTTTCAGTGAGTGCAAAACAGCAGGCAGTTTTATTTTCTTATGAATTATGAATATATTAGGCTTTTTATTACTTATAACTTTTATGCTATTTTTTTAATTTCCAAAAAGCTATCCCAATTAATCAAATTTATCAAAACTAAGCCAAATAACTAATAAATCATTGAAAAATAATTTAAAAACACTTTCCCTGCTTACTCCCCTTTTTAAATTGGAAGATAAAATTTGCATTTTTTTTGGTTAATCTGCCTTTAAACTGGAAGAAATTTGTTTTTCAATAGGAAAAATTGCAGCGATAAAAATAAATAATTTTTATAAAATTAGTTTTGAATAATTTAATAAATAAAATGCAAGTATAATGTTATTTAAAAAGTTTTCAAACTGAATCGATTAATTTTTTATAAAACAGTCAAAATTTAAACAATAGTGATCAATTTATATTTTTTTTAAAAAATATTGATAAAATGATTTAAAAGCAAATTAAAGATGAAAATTCTATTCTATAAATTATTTTTGACCCAGTTTAATAGATAAAACTCAATTAGCATGTAATTTAAACAGTTTTCACACTGAATCGATTATTTTTTTTATTTAATCTTCAAAAAATAAATTAAATGCCAAAGCACCGTGCTGAATTTTTACTAACTTTTATAAAATTAATATAGACCTTATATAATAGAAAAGGAGCATTTATATTTTTTTAGATTTTTTTAAAATTTTAAAAAAAAATAGCCCCCCTTAATTGAAACAGGATTTTTTATTCCAATTTAAAGGGGAAGATTTAAAAAAATATTTTAATATAAATCCATTAATTGGGCTCTAACCTGATCTGATATAATAGAAATCCCCATCTTCTCACAACTTATCACATAATTTAATAATAAAAAATAATGGTGAAGCTTGAGAACTACAGCGGATTGACTAAGAAACAAGAAGATTTACTCAAAAAACACTACTGTTACGGCAGCTTTGCACTCCTAAACATCAACCTTTCCCAAAGCGACTTCGTTTTCCACACCAGAGCCGCTGCCAAACACCCTAACACCCTGGTCCCTATCCTTGCATCCAGTTGGCTCCAAATGCGTAACAACAGTTTATCCTTAAAGTCAAAACTCCGCACTGACGGTTTAACTCACTTTATTTTCGAAATGTCTCCTAAATCTATCATAGAAAACACCAAACTTAAAGCAGAATGGAAGGTTTCCCAAGTAAAAGGTGTCCAAAACGCAGAACCAAGCGCAACTCTTGAGTATTCTCATCCTTCTGCCAAAGCAAAATTAACCTTTGTAGAAAACCCGCTTCAGCTAAAAGGAAATTTGACTATTGGAAAACCTCAATACGGAGTCGGTCTTGATGGAAAATTCGACCTTACTTCACAGAAACTGTCTGGGTATAACTTCGCCTTGTGGTTCTTCAGAAAACACTCAAAAGTGGTTCTAAAACACGTTGGGACTAATGCAGACGAGCTTGCCCTGGGAAATGTTGAGTTGTCTTATTATCAGAAATTGAGTCCTTTAGCTCATTTTGGCTCAAAAGTGACGACCAAGCTGGCAGGAGGAGAAACTAGTATAGAGTTCGGAGGGGATTATAAGTATGATGAAAATACTTTATTGAAAGGAAAATTAAACACTGATGGAAAGCTAGGGCTAGCAATGTCAAGACAGCTGAATAAAGCTATGACATTTACAGTGGGGTCTGAAATCGATACCAAAGAAGTCGCTGCGAACCGTTTCCATGACTATAAGCTCGGCTTCCGCTTGGATTTTTACCATCAATAACTAAAAATACTTAAAAAGATTAATAAATAGAAAATTTTCTATAAAGGATTAAATTTCATTTTACTTTAAATTCTTTAACGTTCTGTCTGTATTGATTTCCACCTTTCCTCTTCCCTTCTTTTATATCTTTCTGAGTCAAAATCTACACTTCTATGGTCCCTTACCGTTCTGGCTCCATCATCAATCCCTAAATAGTAATAAGGGTCGCATTTTTTTAGCAAGTTTTCATCCCTCACTAAAAATTTTTCAACCAGCTCTTCTCTTAGCACCCTATGTGAAAAAGTTCGATAAGTTTCAAAACCTTGTGGAGGCTCTTCATCAGTTTTGTATCTGGGCATCTCTTCAAGCTCTTTAATTTTCTGTTTGAGTCTGATGTTTTCGTCTTTGACTTCTTTGAATTGGTTAGCCCAAAAATCATTATTCTTTATTATACTTTGATAATTTAATGGCTCTTCAAGACAGAATTTAAGAAAAATAGATATTTTTATTAGAAAAATTAGCCTAATATTGTATATATAAAATATGTGTTTAAAAAATATTAATTTTTTATATTAATAATAAACGCAAAATTGGATAATTTTTCTCAGTCTTTCGCTTTCTTCAGCTTGATAAGCTTGCAATTTTTCAACTTGTGTTTTTAAATACATCTCATCATCTGTTCTTCCTATTAAATTTGGATCAATGTATGTCTCTTTATTTAAAGCAAGCTTGGAAACCTCAAACTTCTGCATCATTTTAAGGGTGTCCATATCCAGGTCTGTCTGAGTTGGCTTATTTTGTGAATACTCGCCTTCTGTTTGTACCGATTTCTGCAAAACTTGTTTAATTTCAGTCTGTGCAAAAGCGCCTTGTACAGAAAACTCGTTAGTTTGTGTATATTTACTGATATTCCACAGTTGGGCAAGATTCTGATTTTGCATCACAATTTCTGGCTCTTCCTTTATTTGCTGCAGCTCTGGATCCCTTACAATAATAACTTTATCAGTTTCCTTGGTTTCTTCTCGAATAATTTCCACATTTTTTGTTTTAAAAATGTCAGGTGGTGCCGTATGCACAATTTTTGGGTTAGGAGAAGCCTGAAACCCAAGGAAGGCTGGAATTGTCTGCATAGAAGGGGTGGAGTCTTCCAGAGGGTCTGGAGGTTTTAGCTCTTGTAGCTTTGGCTCTTTAAAAGTCGGCGACCCTACAGGCTCCACATTGATTTCTTCTTCAATTTCTATATTTTCTTCAATTTCATCTCCTTCTGTATGAGAAATCACCACTTCTGGCTTTTTAAACACATTTTTAGGGGGAGAATGGATTTTTGTCCATTCGAAGTCTTTCAGCTTGGATTTAATTTGGGATAAGTCATATAAAATAAGGGTTTTTGGAAGCGCAATAGTCCGGGGTTCTCCTTTTCTGGACCTATACATCCTTTCAAATGACCTTTGGAGCTCGATTTTCCATTTAGGGATTTCTTCATTAAGCCAGACTAGCTCACTGAGATCGCCGTTTTCTATTTGTTTGCCGACCCAGCAGTGCTGTATGATTTTTGCTGTATATGTAAGTAGCTGTACTGCATTTAAATCAGCGTACTCTACAATTCCAGCCATCACCGGGTTTGATACATAAGGCGCTAATAGCTTTATCCCTTATTTCTCTAAAATAAAAAAAATTATTTTCTATATAAATTTACCTTAAAATCATATAAAATTTCTATAAAATTAGAAGGCCATTTAATTCATTCCAGTAATCCTCAGTCCCTTTAATTTCTGTAATAATATTGCAGACTTCACATATGAATTTCGATAAATAAGGAGATAAAGAGTGCATATTTTCGAGCGTGTATTTAAAAAATGAAATTAATTCGACGATGTAGGTTTTGTATTGAGGAGATTTTATAATGGCTCTAGTATCTGATGTTTTTAAGAGATTTACTAAGGCACGGACACAAGCCCCGACGATGCTTTCGATAAAGGTAGCTGCGTGCATTGTTACGAAAACTTGAGGGAAAATGGCAAGTTTGTCACTTCCTATGTTTCTGAAGACTAAATTTTTGTTATTTTCTGATGTCAGCATGGACACTATGCCTTTATCTATAATAATTGCCTTAAAAATCTAAGAAATTATATATTTTGGCATTAAAAATTCATTGGCTTATAAAATTATTGACAAATAATGATATAAATATTGCCTAGTTATATTTATAAGTATTTGCCATCCCTCCGCATTCGTATAATTCAAAATCTGGTGCCTATATGGTTCTTTATTCGGCTCAGCATTTCTAAACGAAAATTCCCACACTCTCAGCATATGCGTTGCCACAGCTTCTGTAGTATTTACCTTTAAATACTCACTCCCCCCCCCCCTCCGTGAGCGAACAAAACCATTAGAAAAATCGCCATTTTTTGACCAAAAACCCACCCTCCGTGAGTGAACAAAAATTTTTTTAATAGAAAAAATTTTAATGGAAAAAAATTTTGATATATAAGTGATAATTAGTATAATGAAATCTAGAGCTAATTCTGTTTAATTTTAAACAAATTGCGTTTTAAAACATAAATTTTGCAAATTAAATTAATATTTGCTTCCCAATTTTTGCAAATTAGGATTTTTTTAAATTTCGAAAAAAATATTTTTTATAAAATTTATATATAAATTTTTTTTTAAAAAAAAAAAATTAACCCCCCTCCGTGAGCGAACAAAATTTTTTTTGTTCGCTCACGGAGGGGGGGGGGGGGGGAGTCAGAAAACCCTTCATTTACTTCTAATAAAGTATTATGGACATCTTTAAGGTTAACTGCTTCTTTTTCTTTGCGTTCCATAAGTTTACAAATGCTTGGGGTAAGTCTGTTTTCTATTTTATAGTTTAATTTTCATTCTAAAAGGGTCTTGCCGAGCTGGTTTTCCCATTCTTTTCAGTCTCTTGATAAATGCCTTTCCATGACATCAAGGCCTAGATCTAAAATTTTTCCTAAAAATTCAGCGTCGGCTGTGTCTTTGGAAATTAAGCGAAAGTTATTCTGAGGTAAAATATTCGATTTTTATATAAAATATAATAATAAAGGGATTATTATAGAAAAATTTGGTATATATACAATGGTATTAATTATGTGCAAAACCATAATTGCATGATTTTCACGTTCAGTTTCAAGAGCGGCTATTAGTAATGCTGCAAAAAGTTCTTTATACTCTGGATTTTTGGTAATTATATTAGTTAGCCTGTTTAGAGCTGAAAGATCTAGCAGCTGCTTGTCAGTTTTTGAGGTAAGGTACCTAAGTCATGTCTCTGCGTCCTGTCTTACACTTCCTTCTTGCATATTTATTCAAATACATCTGCAATCAAAATGTCCTAAATGAGCATAATCCTATGAAACCTACTATTTTTTCACTAAAAATCCTTATTTTCTCAGTATTTCTAATTAAATTTTTAATTACGATTTATATTTAATTATTTCGTTGCCAATGGATTGTGACATCACTGTCGCGGAGAGGTCACCCAAAGGTCGATTTATAAGAAATAAAGAAGAATTAGGCAGTGGCGCACAAAAACAAGTATATAAAGCTTATGATCTTGAGCGTGGCAACGAAGTAGCCTGAAATGCTGTAAACTTGTATACAATCAGCGAAAAGAGGAGGAAAAGACTTACCGAAGAAATTACGTTAATTAAGATGTTAGACCACCCAAATGTCTTAAAATGCCGAGGAGCTTGGGTTGCAGCTGGCCAATGCATTTTTATTATTACTTTTAGGCTATTTAGCAATAATAATTTTTGTGTATTGTCTATTTATAGTAAAAAGGATACTGATCTATGCACAGGTGGTTCTTTAAAATCTTACATAAGAAAAATTCATTCACTAAGACGTCGTGTTATTAAAAATTGGTGTAAAGGGATTTTAGAAGGGCTGAATTATTTGCATACACAAAATCCTCCTATTATCCATAGAGATATTAAATGTGAAAATATTTTGCTGGACTCTACAACGGGGATTGTAAAAATAGGGGATTTAGGACTGTCTACTGCCTTGTCAACGTCTCAGAGAAGCTTTAAAGGGACGCCGAGCTTTATGGCGCCTGAAATGTATGATGACAGGTATGGCCCTGGGGTGGGATATCCTATATATTATGAATAATTACTATTATTTAATAGTTAAAATTTCTAATGCTTTATATAAAAAAATATATTTATTCATTTGGAATGTGCCTACTCGAGATGTGCACATTAGAAAACCCTTATTCGGAGTGCCAAAATGCGATGGAGCTTTTTCAGAAAGTAATAAACCATAAAGCTCCAAATGCACTGTTGCGAATAAAAGACTCACAAATTGTAGAATTGATCAAGCAGTGCTTACTTCCTGCTGATTCACGTCCAACGGCTGGAGAGTTGTTAAGAAGTGAATTCTTAAACTCAGAGACCAAAATTGATAGAGAGCCAGTAACTGTCGAGGATAATATTTTGCCAGAATCTGTTACTATTAGTATGAGCCTGGCGAATTATTTACAAAATTCTCAAATAATCAGTTTTGATTATTTTTTAAAAAAAGACACACCAGAAAATGTTAAGTTAATGCTATAAGGCTATAAGTAGATAGGTCATTAGCCTGCAAATCTAATCTAAAGATTGCTCCCTAGGCTTGAGCCACCTCTTGCAGGCCCCGTTAGTCCAGATAAGAAAAGCTAACTGGGAGGCAAAACCTGTCTAGCTCATCTAGCAAGAACAGGGAAAACTTTCGGGGAAGAAGAAACAAACCCCCTCTTCAAGTTAGAAGACCTACTTCAAAAAGTGAAGAAGCACCATTTTCAGCCTCATCAGGACGGGTTCTACCTGTTTCATAAAAAAATGCATCTCGAAGTCCATCTTCTTTCATCATCATTTTATTTCTAAACACCCCAGAAGGCATTGCATTGGAAATTATCAAAGAATTCCAAATCCACAAAGCAGTTTTACCTCAGTTGATTACACAAATTACACACCTTATCAATTGTAAAGTAAGACTTATGCCTCAAACCCACATACAAGAAGCAAAACTAATAGAAATTTAGATTTATAGACTAATAAATAAATAAATAATGGATCATAGACAACAAGCAGCAGACTCCCTAGAGCAAGCAGTGGCCAGCAAAAACACGGAATGAGCAACCGCTTTAATCGATTATATAATCAGTAACAGAATACAAGTAAAAATAAGCCCTTTAAAGTTCCAGTGCTCGTCCCACATTTTTATGTTTCCAGGCATGCCATCATTTTTTCTCGAAAACCCTAACAATTACCATGTTCCTTACCACTGCGCAAATTCTCATAAAATTTGCAATGATTGCTTAATCAATTTCATAACTTGACAATTTGGGATGTCTGGGTTGGGAAAATATTATGAATGCCCTGCATGCGCTGGGCATAGAATTCCAGGCTCGATTCTCTATCACCCAGACTTAGAAGAAAAAAAAGTAGCTAGTTACGTTGGGGAAGATGCAGTAAATGCAGATAAATGAAGTCGAGCTACGCACGCTCAGTGTAATAATTTTTGCAATAATATAAGCAGTCAGGCTTATTCTGTTTGTGCTGATAATCATATTTTCTGTGAAGTTTGCATACAAAATGCAATTGAAGCGGCGAAATTCTCGTTAAAGTGTCCTAATAAAAACTGCAAGAGGATAATGGCAAGTTGAATTGCAGAGCAAGCTTGTTTCGAAAAGAAAGATTTATTGAAGAAAATTTGGGAGGATTTAAAAATTGAAGGATTTTTGTTTAATTTGTGCCCAAACTGTGACGCGAGAATAAAAACACCGACAGCTAGTGCTGAGATTAAATGTACAGAATGCGGGAAAAAATATTGCATTGACTGTTTAGAAGAGTCGCATATTGGGATTTCGTGCTTGGCAGCCAGTGAAAATCGGCTCAATTTTTAATGAAAAATTTTTATTATATTTTAAATTAATATAAAAAAATATTTTTTCTGTGAAGATCAGGCGAAAGTTGTAGATTTACCTGTCCCAGCTGATTTTTCTAACTTCCCCCTCCGTGAGAGAACCAAAAAATTTTGTTAGTTCACAGAGTGGTTAATTTTGTTTTAACAAATTTATATTAAATTTTATCGTGAGTTTTTTTTTTAAAATTTAAAAAATCCACATTGTAAAAATTGAGAAGTAAAAATTTAATTTAATTTGTAAAATTTATAATTTAAAATGCAAGCTGTTTAAAATTAAATATAATTAGAGATCATTATAATAATTATTACTTATATATCAAACATTTTTTTCATAAAAAAATTATATCGAAAATATTTTTTTTGTGTGGTTTTTTGGGAAATAAATAAGGATTTTTCAATGGTTTTATCACTCACGGAGAGAGGAGTAAACCAAAAAATAAATTAGAAAGAGAATATTTAAACGCAAAATTTGTATTTGAGCAGAATGCGCGTGACAAAGTAATGGTGTCTGCAAAGATGATCATTAATAAGGCTGTAGAAATGAGGTATAAAGCAAAAAAAGAAGAAATTTCAAAGACATTGGCTGATAGAGAAGACGATATTTATGTATGGCATGGCTCTAGTGCTGCTGCTTATGATAATATTGCAAAAAACGGGTTTGGCATTGGTGGGGTGACTCCAGGGGTAGCAGTTAAGACAAATACAGCCTTTGGGTATGGAGTTTATACAGCTACAGATCCACAACTTTCGTTTTCTTATGTTGTTGGAGACACTATTTTGTGCTGTAAAGCTTTTATAAATTAGGCTGGGTATTTATAGCCCACATATCCAAAAGCACCACTTCGTGAAATTAGCTCCAAATGCTAATTCACGGGGTAGTAGAGGTATGTAGTATCCACCTTAGCAAGAGCTAGGCAGAAACCTCCGGTTTTCGGTCGAGGATTCTCCCCATGCGGATTTTCTGGAATCTTCAACTCAAGCCTTCGCCTATGTTGTACAGGTCTTGAGCCTATAGTCAGATCACCCTTCTCATCAAGATTTTAGACTGGATAGACTCACCCTTGAGAATCTTGTACAGTCTACCTTCCTCTTTCCTTGATTTATCTCAAGTCAAGAATTCAATGGCCTACACAATTCAGGACTGGCCACAAAGCAGTTTAATCAGTAAATCGCCTGCTTCTATCTGAGATTCAACTTGAGGTGGGTGCTACTTTTAAAAATATTCAAAAAGAGCCCCTCGAGGTTAATAATGAGCAAGGCCTCTTACCTCAAAGCCAATCTTAAGCATCTCTTTTACACAAAATAACACATCCAGATATGCATAAGGACATTCCGCCACAGGAAGGATTGGTTGCTCTTCAAAGACCATTTTATATATAATTGTAAAGTTTTTAAAGGCAATTTAGGGAACAATACTGTAGCTGCAAATCCAGCTGATTTAAATAACCCAAACCAGCATGCTTATCTGAAACTTCCAGAAGGCATCCTTGTGCTGTTTTCTACAGACCAAATTGTCCCAGTGTATCTAATTAAATATAGAAATGCATAAAGAAATGCAAAAGAAATGCTGAGATCATAAGGTAAAATTTATATATTAAATATGCCATTATAATTTCAGAGGATTAATTAGCGAGGTCTGAGATTTTATGATAAGCTTATATAACATTTTTTATGGATTATTTTATTTAATTTAGGATGGTTTAGATTTGAGCATTATTTTTATCATTTTCACTATTTTTTTAAAAATTATTTCAGGAATTATACTTGAATTTTACTTTCATGAAATTTTGGTATGATAAAAATGATTTTAATAGAAAAATGCTTTTGCGTTAATAGCCTGCTTCAAAAAACACTAATAATAGTATTTAGTTAATTATTTATATAAGAAATTGAATTTTTTAATAGCTCTGAGGATGATTATACCTTTATTTCATTTAACTAGAATCCTCTTGCGCCAGATACTTAAGAGTTAAAGGACGAATTGATTCTCCACATATTTAATTTATACAATTAAATGCAAGTTATATGCAAATTATTTTATGGCACAAGGATAAGAATATCAAGGAATTTCAGAAAATCGTGTATAAATGAAAAAATTGCATTGAATTCATAAAAGAAGAGAATCAAACTCTAATACAAATTAGCAAGCTTCAGGATGAAATTTGTCATTTTATTATGCATCTAATAAAATATATTTTTTTCAATCACCACGAATAAGCTTCTTTTCTTGCAATTAACCAATTTAATCTTTTGGCATTATAAATTATATAGCAAAACCTTACTAATAGCTCGATATGAGCTTCAGGGTGTGAAATCCAATTGAGATAAGACTCGTCCAACTTTGTTGGCCAAGCATGCTTCCATTTAGTAAATTCACTAACTCGCCTTTAGATTAGTAAGCAAAACTAATAGAAGCATTTTTTTTGGAAAAAAAAATCGCAATGAGCAATAATTTTTTTGAGGCATGACATAGAAATTGCAAAAACGGTGTACAACTATAAAAATCAAATCTATTACTTATTTTAGGCTTAAGGGCCTATGCAAAATACGGTATGATTTTTTTAAAATTCTTTTTAAATGATATTCGGGGACGTAAAGCTTATTATTTGCGACTTTTGGGCAATATTTGATAATTACTTATTCACCTTATCATTCTGATATTAGTTTCTTAGAATTCTGTAAAAATAAATTTTTAAAGAGCGCAAATTAAATTGCATGCATAAAATACAAATATTTATGAGAAATTAGATCAATATTAATTTTTGCAGGCATTTAGCATTAAAATATCTATGAAAGAGATGCTCTGCAAATAGGGCACATAGCCCTCCTAGCCCCATTTTCTATCCATACTCTCAAACAATTTTCATGGAAAATATGCATGCATGCTGTAATTTTAATCTCGCTCTGATCAATATCATCTAACTCCTATAAAATTCTAATGCAAAATTATTAAAAAATATTTTTTAAATTTTAGAAAAAATATAAAATAGTCAAAAGATTAAACAAATTGGGCAATTATGCACTTCATGCACTGAGCTTCTTCTTGAACTAGCTTCAGAAGCTTGAGGAGCTGATGGCTGAAAAGGGTTATTAGCTTGACGCTGCAAATTTTCAAGTTCCTGCATTGCTGACTGATAAAGCTGACGTAAAAACTGCCAAATTTCTTGAGGGCTTTGTAATGGTCGCAAATTTGCATTTTGGTTAAAGAGGACAACAGCTTCTAGAATTTGATAAGGATTTGGCAATGGAGGGAATCCAGCAAATTGATTATTAAAAAATAATTACTTAATTAAAAAGGTATTTGAGGTGTCCTGTGCAGCACCGTTTCTAAGGAATTGGTGACTTCGCAGGCCATAGTGCCTCCTATAGCACTCACACCTGGGCAATTCTGTTAATCATATCGTAGCCCGCCCGATCGCACTTCTCACCCAGTTCGCTGCTGTCGCCTTGTCAGACTTAGCTCTTGCGCGTGATCTGCCTTAGGGTTACCTTCTTCAGTTTTTCTGAGTTTCAAAAGCCTAAGCCTCTTGCCGCACTGTGCACTTTATCATCCCCAAAGTTAAACCGCTGCTGCTATTCAGAAATTCCCAAGGCAAGCTAATTTCTCTTGATCGATGCTATTTTTTTTATGGTATAAAAATAGATAGCCTGCTGAATTTCTCTTAAATTTTGTATAGGAGGTAATCCGGCATATTGATTATAGAAAATAATTGCCTGCTGAATTGCGAGAGAATTTTGTATGTGAGGTAGCCCAGCATACTGATTATAAAAATCAATAGCCTGCTGAATTTCTTGCAAATTCTGTATTGGAGGCATTCAGACATACTGATTATGGAAAGCAATTGCCTGTTGGATTTCTTGAGGGTTTTGTATTGGAGCTAATCTGACAAGCTGAACCAGAGTAGAATTTTTTTATTTTTTTAAAATTGGAGGATTTTTTAGATTATTTTCATTATCAAAAAATTATAAGACGAGAGAGTTACAGGGGCTATTCACTGAGAATTTGGCCTTGAATTTTGTTCCAGGCTAACAGACTGGTCTATTCTTGGCTCATAATTATTAATTCCAGAAGGCTGATGTCTGCTCCTATTGTTACGAGACCGAGAGCTGGGCTGATTATCCTCTTGTCTTACAATCAAATTACGACGAGAAGGCTGCTGATTTACTTGTGGATTTTGCCTTGAAACTTGTCGATGATTGGCAGAATACTCGTTTTCTTGCTGGGCTGGTCTTGGTGCTTGTATTGACTGTGCAGGCTGGTGATATCCACTTGAGGCTAACTCTGCTGTCTGATTTTGAGTATTTTTGTGAATATTTTTTTCTTTATAATATCGACGGCAATAAATTATTGACAAAGTGCATGCAAAAACTCCTACTGGAACTAGAATTGCTATAAGGATTGTTGTAGTGTTGCCTGAATCAGAACTTGAGTCTGATTTTGAGTCTTTTCCTGAGTTTGAACTTGAACCATGCCCTGGGTTTGGGTTTGATCCTGAGTTTTGTCCTGGGTTTGAATTTGAGCCTGGGTTTGAGCCTGATCCTGGGTTTGAATTTGAGCCTGGGTCTTTTCCTGGATTTGAGCCTGATCCTGGGTTTGAATTTGAGCCTGAGTCTTTCCCAGGGTTTGAATTTGAGCCTGAGTCTTTTCCAGGGTTTGAATTTGAGCCTGAGTCTTTTCCAGGGTTTGAATTTGAGCCTGAGTCTTTTCCAGGGTTTGAATTTGAGCCTGAGTCTTTTCCATGGTTTGAATTTGAGCCTGAGTCTTTTCCATGGTCTGAATTTGAGCCTGAGTCTTTTCCATGGTTTGAATTTGAGCCTGATCCTAGCATTCGTGCTATATTTCAATTTGAGCTTGAGCCTGATTCTGATTTTAAAATTGTCTTTTCTTCCAATTTACAGTCCTCGATATCATACGCACAGGAATCTGTTTTGCACCGAGAATCACAAACATGATCATCTATTTCCATCATATAGCATTGGCTGCTGCACCTTCCACTGCATATATCCGACGAAGGCCCTAAGCGTCTACAAATATAATCTTTAATACCGTCTATTTCCAACACCTCTGTATTATCAATATAAATCGCATTGTTATCTTTGATATTTCTTTTTGCCCAACTTTGTATTTGGCTTGCAATAATTGAGTCTCCATTTATTTCTTCTTTAATCGACTTTATAATAATAGTATTGATATTCAGCAATTCAAGAATTTTTTTATGGCAGCTGTCTGTGTAGTCGTATTTGCAGTAGCTTATAGTAAAGTGTAAAAACATAGCAAAATCTCCAAAATATGCATTATTTTTGACAACATAATCAAGCATGGCTTGCTCATAAAGAGTTCTATCAATCATTAATTTTTCTTGATTTTCATCATATATACCTCTTAGACAGTAATATTCGGCACAGCCTTCAGCTTTACAAGCTTGGCAAGTAGAATAATTGAAAAGAAGCTCTATATTCACCTCACTTACTTTTAAAGGAATTAAAAATTTATACAATTTTTCAATGAAATCTTTGTCAGTGCAATAATCTCCACTAAGTGCAATTGTAAGAGTTGGCTTTATAGAGATTAAATCTGGCTCGAAGGAAATATTAATGGTCTGGTTTGAATAATATTTCCATTTATCAATATATTTATTTGAAATCCCTACAATAAATATAGAGCCATTACCTTTTCAAGGTATAGAAACGGAATTTAGTTCTGAATCGATTACATTCATAATTAAAATGCCTCACGGACCTGAGTAATAGCCTGAGCCCAAAGAAGAGTCGTCGAAGTCCAAACTTCAAGACTAATATCCTCATCATGCCAAAAATAAGATGGCCACGCTTTGGCGGAATTGGGTAAAATAGCTCAAATTTCCCCCAGAGCGGTATTAGTGGCAGCCGTAGCATCAAACAACCTGGCAGTGAAGGAATAATTAATCTAATTAAATTGAATCGCTTACATTCAGAACAATAATAATGCCGGTTACATTTGCAGCCGAAGGAATTCCACAGCTTGAATTTGTAATTATATTTATTTTCGAAGGATAATAGGTATAATTACACCCTGAGCTTGGTAAAAACACAGCATTCCCATTAATTATGCTTTTGGGTATTTTTTCTAAATTTGTTGTAATAGATGGAATAGTTCCATTAGGATAAAGCTTAACTAGTTCTGGGGGAGATAAAAGCTTTAAAGTACAAAATGCTATAGCTAATAATAAATTGAGGATTTTTAGCATGAGATTTCCTAATATTTATTATTATGATAACTGCTTTATTAAATATTCTATATTTTTTTTTATTTGCGTGATGGCTTCATATAAATAAACTCAATAGCAAAAATTCTAATTTACAGTAAAAATAGGATGCTTATATTTAGGGATACTCGGATATAATGAACTTTCTATTTTGCACAAAAATATTAAACAAAAGGCTTAAACTCAGGCAGCTGAGTATAAAAACTCTAAATGAAGAAGAATTTTTAATAGGAACTTTCGTTATCATAATGCAAAAATTACTTACTCCCCCTTTAAATCAGAACAAAAAATAGGTAAAATATGAATTTTTTGGATAATTTAGCCCCCTTTAATTTGGAAAAGAATTTTTTGTTCCAATTTAAAGGAGGAAGTTAGGTTTTTAGCTCTTTATATGATAAGCAATAATTTGCTTATCAATTTAAAGTATTTTATATTCCCAGCAAAGAATTCGTAGTAATAAAAAAATAAAACGGAAATAGTAAGTCTTCAATGTTTCATTTTTATTATTAAAATAAAATTGCCTTTCTTAAAAACACTTTAAATCAATTCATTTTAGTATCTTTTCTTTAAAAAATTAGCTTAAAAGATTATTATTTTAAATATATTAGCCTTTTGCTACATAAGAGCATCATGCTGCAAAATTTTTTGTGGAAAATATTTTATTTTGGAGATAAAATTAGGCAAATTTTGTAAGCAGAATTTCATAGAAATCATAATTAACTTCTTTTAGATCTCCAAAATGTGCTACACAGGATCTCCATAGAAATCATAACCCATGCTTTTATCATTTTCAAAACGGCTACTTCTTATGCCCATTCTACACACAATTGTTGGAAGCTCTGCAGAACGATTTATCTCTTCACCATTACCAATTATATCTGGAATACTCCAAGAATAACGTGATAGTCACCAAGATTGCTGTGCAACAATCATTATTATCATATTATCTTGATTTTCAGGCTGCTAAATTTCTTGATTATTTTGATTATTAGACTTTCAGCGTCGTTTTATGCATCAAATGCAGAGAGCTAGAACACAAATAGACCTAAATAAACCTTATGCCAGTGAAAAATAGGTATCTCAATTGTCAAGCTTTTCCCTCTGACTCAGAATCATCATCATTACGGCAATGAATCCATTTATCACAAAAACCATTATAGTTGCAATCACAAAAATAGTATGCGCATCCATCTGTTCAACATTGAGTTGACAGATTCAGTTTTCTATATCACTATTGAAGAACAGATCATACTCGCTCCAATATGAATAGGAGAATATCTTTAAGCAATTTTAAATACTAACCAAGCCATTTAGATATAAACTGCCATTTATTGAGATTGATGGGACAACTTGTATGTTTTTTCCCTTCCGTTTACTTGCTTGGCTTCTGAGAAAATCATTGTCTGCAAATTTGTCATCAGCCTGCCAAGATGAGTCAACAATTTTTTTAATTTCTTTTTAGTGCATATACAACCAATTTAAGACATAATCAGTGCAATTTGTTCAATACTTGTAGCTGCAATAGTCATTTAAATGTTTGAAAGAACTTGATCACAAAGCTAGAGCCTTTAGTGATCTCAATCGAAATTAAAATTCCATTTTTATAATATAATAAATAAAATGAGTTTTTGGGGAATTTTTCAAAATATCTTTAGCAGGACTACCAATTCCAATATAAATCTAAAAAAAGACGATGATTATGAACTTCGGCGCCATTTAGTTGTTATGAAAGAAATTGAAAAGTATAAACGTTACCACATCAAGAGTTTGAGTGATTCTGATATCGAAACAATTGCAGAAAGCATATATAAACTTATAAAGGAGTCTGGAGAAATTTACCCACGAACATATATGCTTTATGAAGAATTAAGAGAAATAAAGAAAGTTTTGCTATTGGAGGATGCAAGAATCAGAAGGGTATTGGAAAATCTTTGTCGTAATACCCCAGAAGTGGGCGTGGATTATAAATTTGATGGGTTACGTAAGTTGCAATCATTTATTGACGCCGCTCATTATCAGGCTAATTCTGGAGAGAGCATATCCTTCGTAGACGAATATGTTTAGGTACATAAAAATTTATTTCTATCAGAATTCATCTTCAAAGATATTGTAAGCATTCTATATTAATTATATTTAACCATAATTTTTTAATTAGACGCTAAATCACTTAGACTTTTGCTAGTCGCGATGAGCTTCAAAAAGCGAACTTTGGTCACCTGCATAATAGCTTGAAGCATTGAAATCTTTGTATCTAGACTTAAAATAGTCATCAAGTAACTCCTGATTCACTTCCCCATCTCTTCATGGAGTTCATTCAAATGCACCATCTGCAAATTTTCTCATAATACCTTTCTGGGCTATCTATATTCGATGCTGATAGTGCCTTAATATATGATCGAACTTTGCAATAACAAAAGCCTAAGAACAAAAGAGCAAGTGCGATTAAACAAATCCAAAGCCACCCTTTTCAATTTCAAAATGACAATAAAAGTAAAAATATAGTTATAAGTGCCGAAACTGTTGAAACCAAATAGTTGAGCATCTCGAAATAAAAGCCAGTTTTGAATTTTTCTTGATTTTCTGATGCACATCTAACCATGAAGTGAAGTTCCAAGTTATTGAAAATCTCAAATTCTTTCAATAGGCTTCGCTGTAGTAACTTCAAGTAGATTAATGCATTGCTGTAGGGGCATGAGGTGATAAGAGATAGCGTGTCTGTATTTTTGTCTCAAGATTCTCTTAGGTCAGTTTTGGTTTTAGATACAAGGAGTAAGCTAAGAAGCTTATTAAGCTTATTCTTTTCGTCAGTTGCATCTAATGCTGGAACAGACTGCATTTTATTATAAAAAGACTAGCCCCCTAATAATAAAATTGAATTTAGTTAAAAAATGGAACTTCGTTCTTCCCCAATTCAGAGCTCTTTTCTTTGTGCATCGAGTAATTTGGTATGTCATCACGTTGTCCTTCAATTTTTTCGCCAAAATCGTCAATCTTCTTTCTCTATATTAAAGCACAATAAAAATAATTAAAAAGTTCCATTTATAAATATTAAGATTACCTAGGCAAGTCAAAAATAATTGGAGGCTTGTCGGTCTATATCTTAATTCACAGGTAGACTCATTTATGAATTGTGAAGTCATTGCTATACACCCCGTACGCTTCATGAATATGTCCAAAAATATTGACTTTTGGCTTAATGCTTTCTGCAACAGTCTTCAATTCTTCACATCCTGCATGAAAACCATCATCACAACCATCAAGAATTGTATATGGCGGCAATGGGTAGTCAAAATTTTTGTATCTTCAGATTTTTTTTCTATTTTACAGCAATAGCCCTCCTTTTTTCTGGGTCCATGGACTTCCCCAAATTTTTTACCCAAAAATTTCTACGCTAGCTTCTAAATAAATACAGTTAGTTAGCAGAGCTTTGGCAGCCTCTTGGATTCAAGCTAAAATTATGAATAAGGGTTGGAAATTTTTCTTCATCAAAGAGCAAGTCATGGTTCCCAGTAATAGCAACTTTATATCTGTGTGGCAATCTCCTTAAAAAATTATTAAAATTAACTACATCATCTGGACACTCACAGTTAGGACTTATAGGCATATAAATCTGATGAGTTATTCAGATTTCTCAATCTCGCCTTTGTGAACTCTAATCTGTTTTGACTGCATATTTATTATTTATTTCTACGAATTTAATTTCTTGGTTGAGATAAAGCACTTGCATATGAGATTGTTGGCTTCACCATTTCTGAACCTTTTTGGACTACTAATAGAGGCAGCTTTTTTTTACTGAGCACAGGGACGCTTAAGGTGCTTCTGCCTGACATAATTCCAGGAGGGATTCCTGTAAGTTGATCTTTGTTAAGTGCGAGACTCTATTTCATCATTAGAAATAGCAAAAATCCATAAACTCACCAAAATATACAGTTTATATATTATAGCTAATGATAAAAGTATAAACTCAAAATAAATAAAAGCATTCTAGGTAAGAAATCTTGAAGAAATAAATCTGAGGCTTTTTTTTGAGCTAGCAAGTATGGCTATCAGTGAAGACCAATCAATTTGTCTCGTTATTCTGCTGCCATGCACTAATGTATAGTATCCGTTGCTATTATTTTTTCCATTGATGACTCAGCTTTATTCTTTCTAAAGTAGAAGCAATCCATTCAGACTTCTCAAATGTCCAGACCTTTACCTGAAAGTAAAGCTTTAAGCAGCTGAATAAAAAAATTATAATAATGAGGGGTATATCTTATTAAAATATTCTAAACTTAAACTAAAACAGGTAAAAGTTACTATCTTCTAATGAATTTCTTCATTACAATTAGGACATTTTGCATTTCTACCTTTCGCATCTGTCCATGCCTTTAAGCAATCTTTGTGAAAAATATGCTTGCATTTTGTGACTTTCATATTTTCCTCTGTGATTGCATTAAAGCAAATTGAGCAAGTCGCGTCTCCAAAAAACCCATAATCTGAATTATTTTCAGACTCGTTTTGAATACTAATTCTGATCTCAGGACTATTGTCAAGTGGCCTGCTCCTCTCTGAACCAATTTCGTCTTCAGAACTTGAAGGGTTCTGATTTTCTTGTTCCCTTTTGCGCGCAGCCAACTCCCCTCTGTGAGGAAAAAAAAAAACTTGCTCGCTTATGGAGAGGGGTTAACTTTTTTTTTTAAAATTTAAAATAATTGCAATTGAGAAGTAAAAATTAATTTAATTTACAAAATTTATGTTTTAAAATGCAAGTTGTTTAGAATTAAACAAAATTAGTTAGAGATATCATTATAATAATCATCACTTATATAACAAATTTTTTTTCATAAAAAAAAATATATATTAAATAAATTTTTGTTCGCTCAATGGCTTTATTAGCTCACGAAGGGGGAGTAAGTATTTACAAAAATAATTGCAATAGACACAACAAAAAACAAAGCTGAGTAAAAATTACAGCAAACAAAATCCAAAGCATCCAAATGCTATAAGAATTATAGATTTTTTGCTTAAACCTTCATCGCCACCATAACTATAACTACAAGCATGATTGTGCACGTCATCACAGAAATCATGCAAACTATTGCAGTCTTGAATATCATTAAAGCAAGAATCTGTTTTACAACCTACATCACAATAGCCATTGTTTAAATATCATATAAAGCAAGTATAAGTACATTTATCTTACTTACTTACTTACTTCGTTTAGCATCTACTACGGGGTAGCCGTCTCCAGACCTGCCACCACATTTGTCCACGTGTCGGGCCCATGGACCTCTGGATCGATCCACTTTGTTGCACTATGGCACGGACAAAATACAGCGTTCCGGCTTCGACGGGCTGCGCTGTCTTGCTATCCTTACTCAGCTCCTGCGCGCGCTCTGCCTAAGAGTCACCTTCCTTGGGTATACTGAGAGGTCAAACTTCGAGCCTCTTGATGTACTTGGAGCAGTGTCTCAGCTTATCTGCCAGAGTTAAACTGTACAGAAGTTCTCAGAAGAAAGCCTAACTCCATAAATAAAATTGCTTGAGGGAGAGAAAATTAGCGGAGCTAATTTCGCTCGAACCGAATGCCATTTTATTTATATAAGTTCATTTATCATCACATAAATTTGTTGAAGATGAATAATAAAAATAAAAATAATTGCATATATATGTTTGGAAGCCGTAACCTTGATTTAAGCCAAGCGTAATATCACCTATGGTAATGCTTGGTATAGGTTTAAAATAACTTTTATCTGCCCATCCGTCATATTGTTTACTGAGTATAGAATTATCTGCGTATTGGTCATTCATATCCGATATTCAGGAACTTTTAATTCTTCCCTGAATTTCTTCGTAGTCAACTTTTAGCCAATTTAAAACATTTCTACTGCAATTCTCAGAGTAATCGTTAGAGCAAGAATTTCCTAGTTCATATAAAAACATAGCAAAAACGCCTAAATATAGGTCGTGATATTTTGTATAATCAAGCAAAGCCATTTCCAATAGTGTTCTATCAATCATATCTCTTCCTTTAGCATGATTTACGCCATCAATCATACAGTATTTATTATTAGAATAACAGTCATTTGGGCTGCAATCAGAGCATGAAAATGAATAATTAAAAAACAAGTCTATATAAACATCGCCTTCATAAATCGGAATTAGAAACAAATATCATTCTTTAATAAAATCTGCATCATAGTTATAATTTCCGGTAAGTGATATCGAAATTGTTGGTCTGTGCCATGTATATATCCAGTCGCGATCAAACTCAATAAATATTTCCCCCTCTTTAATTTCTTTTCATTTATCAATATGCTCATTTGAAATACCTGCAACAAATTTATAGGTTTCACTGCCTGCGGATATCAAATGTTCGTTTAATTTTGAATCAGGCAAATTCAGTACAAAAATGACACCTATAGCTAATTTTTCTTGGGCAATCCTAATAACAGTTGAGTAATCACAAGTTATATTCTCAATAGCTACCACTGTGCCATTAAAAAATTCAGGGGATGAGTCTTCGTCACATGGATTTATATCATTTGGTAAAAATTTTACATTACCTTCAGAGTGTCTTGGAGATTTTCTAAGATTAGCAGTAACAGAAGGTACAATATTACTAGGATAAAGCTTATATAGTTCTGGAGGGTATCAGATTCTTAACCTGCAAAAGACCGCAATAAAAAACAAAAGTATAATCTTTATCATATAATTTTATAAACTTTAATTAAAAGTTCTATAAATTTTAGATATTTGCACATATTTAAACCATATTAGCTAGCTTTTAAAAGATATTGCTGTAAATACATGGTTTTTAAAGATTTAATTAGAATCACAATGACGATATATCCATAATAGGAATAAAAAGCATTTGGGTTGCAATTAATGCATCAATATGAATAATCAAAAAAGAAGCTCTATATCTACTTCGCTTGCGTTAATCAGCATTAGATAGTATCAGTCCTTTATAAAGCTAACATCATAAAATAATTTCTTCTATCTTCTCCCTTAAAAAGATAAACTTAGCGCTCTATTTTAATTTATGTAAATTAGATTTTACAATAAAAAAAAATTTATCTACTTAATTGCTCTTGATAAGCAAAGTAAAATTTTTGCCAACTCATTATAAAATATTCTTAACTTAAGCTAAAACAGGTAAAAGTTACTATCTTCTAACGAATTTCCTCATTACAATTAGGACATTTCGCATCTCTACCTTTCGCATCTGTCCACGCCTTTAAGCAATCTTTGTGAAAAATATGTTTGCATTTTGTGATTTTCATATTTTCCTGTGTGATTGCATCAAAGCAAATTGAGCAAGTCGCGTCTCCAAAAAACCCATAATCTGACTTATTTTCAGAGCTATTTTGAATACTAATTCTGATCTCAGAACTACTCTCAAGTTGACTTCTACTCTCTGAACCAATTTCATCTTCAGAACTATTTTGACTATCATTATCAGAAGAAGAATCTGGCAAATTTATTCTAGGCATATGTATAGGAATCTGTAAAGGATCACCCAATGGATGGGCAGGGAGTGAGGGAGGTGAGATAAATGAGGGAGGCAAAGGAAAATCTTGGATTTCTAAAGAGTTCCGATTTTCTCGATCCCAATAGCGCTTTTCTAAGTATTTAGAAATGTAGTGATAAGGGACAGCAAAACCACTTAAACTACATAAAAATTACCAAAAGCAAAATCCAATACTGCTAAAAATTGAAATTGCTATTATAGAGCCTGTGTCTAAGCCTTCATCACCGCCATCAGAGATATATTTACAAACACGATTGTGAATGTCATCACAAAAATGAAGCAAACTATTGCAATCTTGAATATCATTAAAGCAAGAATCTGTTTCACAATTTTGATCACAATAGCCATCGCTTAAATCGCCAATTGTGCAATTCTTATTACAGGTATCATCACAGACATATGATGTATATGAAATATAATTGCATATATACGTTTGGAGACCGTATCCTTGATTTAAGCAAAGCGTAATATTACCTATGGAAATGCTTGGTATAGGTTCAAAATAGCTTTTACTTATCCATTTGTTATATTGGCTTCTGAGTATATAATTATCTGCGCGTACTTCATTCATATTTGATATCCAGGATTTGTCAATTCTATTCTGAATTTCTTCTAAGTCAACTTTGAGCCAATTTAAAACATTTCCACTGCATTTCTTCGAGTAATCATATTCGCAAGATTTTCCTAGTTCATATAAAAATATAGCAAAAGCGCCTAAAAATATATCGTGATTTTTTATATAATCAAGCAAAGCGATTTCCATTAGTGTTCTATCAATCATATTTCTTCCTGAAAAATGATTTATGTCATCAATCATGCAGTATTTATTATTAGAATAACAGTCATTTGGGCTACAATCAGAGCATGAAAATGAATAATTAAAGGATAAGTCTATATCCACATCGCTTTTATAAATAGGAAATAGATAAAAATATCATTCTTTGATAAAATCTGCATCATGAATAAAACTTCCCGTAAGTGATATCGAAATTCTTGGTTTTTCCGAATATATCCTGTCGCGATCAAGTTCAACCAATATTACACCCTGCTCGAATTTTCTTCACATATCAATATACTCATTTGAAATACCTGCAACAAATATAGTGGTCTGACTGCCTGGAGATATCAAAACTTCTTTTAATCTTGAACTAGTTAAATTCAGCACAAAAATGACACCTTGAGCTTTTCTTTCTTCGGCAATGTGAACAACAGTTGAGTAATGGCAAGTTATATCCATAATAGCAAACACTGTGTAATTTGCAAATTGAGGCCATGAGCTTCTGACACATGGATTTGTATCGTTTGGTAAAAATCCAACACTACCTTGAGTGTAAGTTGGAAATCTTCTGAGATTAGCAGTAACAGAAGGGACAATATTGTTAGGATAAAGATTATATAGTTCTGGAGGGTATGAGATTCTTAACTCGCAAAAGGCTGTAATAAAAAAGAAAAGTATAATCTCTATCATATAATCTTATAACTTTAATTAATTCTTCTATAAATTTTAGATATATTTACAATATTTAAGCCATATACAACTAACTTTTATAAAATATTGCTGCAAATTCATGATTTTTAAAGTATTCACTTAGAATCACAATGATGATATATCCATAATTAGAATAACAAGCATCAATATGAATAATCTAAAAAGAAGTTCTATATATACTTCGCTTGTGTTAATAGGTATTAGATAATATCAGTCCTTTATAAACCTAATATCATAAAATAATTTCTGCTATCTCCCCATTAAAAAGATAAAATTAAACCTCTATAGGAGACTATTTTAATTTATATCCATAATAGGAATAAAAAGCATTTGGGTTGCAATTAATGCATCAATATGAATAATCAAAAAAGAATCTTCACTTGCATTAATAAGTATAGGATAGTATCAGTCCTTTATAAAGCTAGCATCATAAAATAATTTCTGCTGTCTTCTCCCTTAAAAAGATAAAATTAGCGCTCTATTTTAATTTATATACTCTGTTTAATAATTAGAAAGCAGTGCTCTGGAGATCTTGAAAGTCTACTCAAAGACTTATTACTACTCTATGAAAATGCTATGATACCTAGGTTTTTTTTTAAAAAATTTGCCCATTACAGTTTATTTAAATATGATGTTGGAGCGCATGGCTTCTGCAACTTGATTAGTCAAAATTAGATTAATTTCTAAAAAATTTTGCCAACTATTATAAAATATTCTTAACTTAAACGAAAGCTGGCATATCGATATTATCTTGTAAAATTTCCTCATTACAATTAGGACATTTCGCATGTCTACCTTTCGCATTTGTCCACCCCTTTAAGCAATCTTTGTGAAAAATATGTTTGCATTTTGTGATTTTCATATTTTCCTCTGTGATTGCATCAAAGCAAATTGTGCAAGTTGCGTCTCCAAAAAACCCATAATCTGAATTATTTTCAGAGCTGATTTGAAAACTTATTCTGATCTCAGAACTACTGTCAAGTGGCCTGCTTCTGTATGAACCACTTTCATCTTCAGAACTATTTTGAATATCATTATCAGAAATAAGATCTGGAAAATGTATGATGGGGGGACTAGGAATCTGTAAAAAAGGGAAAGGAGATGGGGGAGGCAAGGGAAATGAAGGAGGCGAGAGAGGCAAAGGAAACCCTCGGATTTCTGAAGGGCTCTGATTTTCTTGATCCTGGTCGCGCTTTTTTAAGTATTTAGACAAAAAATGATAAAAGACATAACTAAGCGCAAAACTAAATAAAAATTACCACAAACAAAATCCAACACAGCTAAATATTGCAATTAGTATTATAGAAGTTTTGCTTAAATCTTCATCACATCAAAACTATAACTGCAAACATGTTTGTGCGCGTCATCACAAAAATCATGCAAACTATTGCAGTCTTGAATATCATTCAAGCAAGAATCTTTTTTACAATTTTTATTACAATAGCCATCGCTTAAATCGTCTATTGTGCAATCCTTACTACAGGTATCATCACAGACATATGATGTATATGAAATATAATTGCATATATATGTTTGAAGACCGTATCCTTGATCTAAGCCAAGCGTAATATTACCTATGGTAATGCTTGGTATAGGCTTAAAATAATTTTTACTTATCCATTTGTTATATTGACTCTTAAGTATATAATTGTCTACGTGTTCTTCATTCATATACGATATTCAGGATTTGCTAATTCTATTCTGAATTTCTTCTAAGTCAACTTTTAGCCAATTTAAGACATTTCCACTGCAATTCTCTGAGTAATCGTTAGAGCAAGAATTTCCTAATTCATATAAAAACATAACAAAAGTGCCTAAGTATAGGTCGTGATCTCTTGTATAATCAAACAAAGCCATTTCCAATAATGTTCTATCAATCATATCTCTTCCTTTAGCATGATTTATGCTATCAACCATGCAGTATTTATTATTAGAATAACAGTCATTTGGGTGACAATCAGAGCATGAAAACGAATAATTAAAAAATAAGTCTATATACACATCATTTTTATAAATAGGAAATAAATACAAATATCATTCCTTAATAAAATCTGCATCATAATTATAATTTTCCGTAAGTGATATCAAATTCTTGGTTTTTCCTGAAATATCCAGTCGTGATCGAATTCAACCAATATTGTACCCTGCTTGAATTTTCTTCATATATCAATATACTCATTTGAAATACCTGCAACAAATATAGTAGTCTGAATGCCTGTAGATATCAAAACTTCTTTTAATCTTGAATTAGTCAAATTTAGTACAAAAATGACACCTTGGGCTCCTCTTTCTTCGGCAATGTCAACAACAGTTGAGTAATCGCAAGTTATATTCATAATAGCAAACACTGTGCAATTAGAAAATTGAGGCCATGAGCTTTTGTCACATGGATTTGTATCGTTTGGTAAAAATCCTACACTGCCTTGAGTGTAAATTGGAAATTTTCTAAGATTAGCAGTAACAGAAGGGACGATATTATCAGGATAAAGATTAGATAGTTCTGGAGGGTATGAGATTCTTAACTTGCAAAATGCTGTAATAAAAAACAAAATTATAATCTTTATCATATAATCTTATAACTTTATTTAATTCTTCTATAAATTTTAGACCTATTTACAATATTTAAGCCATATAAAACTAACTTTTATTAGATATTGCTACGAATTCATGATTTTTAAGTATTCACTTAGAATCACAATAGCGATATATCCATAATTAGAATAGCAAGTGCTTGGGTTGCAATTATTTTATCAATATGAATAATCTAAAAAGAAGTTCTATCTTTGACTACGCTATTAAGCATTAGATAATATCAGTCTTTATAAACCTCCTTCATAAAATGATTCTGCTACCACACCCATTAAAAGATAAAATTAGCCCTCTGAAGGAGACTATTTAAATTCATATACTCTTTCTGGCAGTCAAAAAACAGTATACTAGAGATCTTGGCTCTATTACTTGATTTAGGCTTAATGATTTTTAAAGTGCCGATACAAGCGCTAAAACTAGTAGCAAGGCATTTAATAAAACTTATAGAAAAACAGCACGATGCTTCAGAAAATGTATAGGCAAAACGTCATTAAAATAGAACTGCATTGCACTCCATACAATAGCGCATAAATTGGATTTTACAAATAAAAAAAATCATCTACTTAATTGCTCTTGATAAACACGGAAAAAATTTGCCAACTTATTATAAAATATTCTTAACTTAAACTAAAGCTAATAAAAGTAGCATCTTCTAACGAATTTTCTCATTACAATTAGGACATTTCGCATTTCTACCTTTCGTATCTGTCCACACCTTTAAGCAATTTTTGTGAAAAATATGCTTGCATTTTGTAATTTTCATATTTTCCTCTGTGATTTCATCAAAGCAAATTGAGCAAGTCGCATCTCCAAAAAACCCATAATCTGAATTATTTTCAGAACTGTTTTGAATACTAGTTCTAACCTCAGAACTATTGTTAAGTTGCCTGCTACTCTCTGAACCAATTTCATCTTCAGAACTATTTTGACTATCATTATCAGAAGAAGAGCTTGGAACATTTACTCCAGGTATATATCTACGAATCGGTAAAGATAGGCGAGATAAAGGTGAGGGAAGTGGGCGAGGCAAGGGAGGTGAGGGAGGCAAGGGGGGTGGCAAGTGAGGCAGAGGAAACTCAGAACTATTTTGACTATCATTATCAGAAGAAGAGCTTGGAACATTTACTCTAGGTAAATATCTACGAATCGGTAAAGATAGGCGAAATAAAGGTGAGGGAAGTGGGCGAGGCAAGGGAGGTGAGGGAGGCAAGGGAGGTGAGGGAGGTGAGGGTGGCAAGTGAGGCAGAGGAAACTCTCGGATTTCTGAAGGGCTCTGATTTTCTCGATCCCGATAGTAATCTTTTATGAATTTAATACAATAGCAAAAGTAATAACAACAACAACAACAACCAAAACTAAATAAAAATTACCAACAAAATCCAACACAGCTAAACACTGCAATTAGTATTATAGAAGTTTTGCTTAAATCTTCATCGCCACCAGAGCTATAACGACAAACATCATCGTGAAAGTCATCACAAAAATCAAAAAAACTGTTACAGTCTTGAATATCATATAAGCAAGATTCTGTTTTACAATTTTTATTACAATAGCCATCGCTTAAATCGTCAATTGCGCAATCCTTACTGCAGGTATCATCACAAACATATGATGTATATCTAATATAATTGCATATATATGTTTGGAGACCGTATCCTTGATCTAAGCCAAGCGTAATATTACCTATGGTAATGCTTGGTATAGGTTCAAAATATTGTTTATTTATCCATCTGTTATATTGCCTCCTGAGTTCATAATTATCTACGTATTCTTCATTCTTATACGATTCTCAGGACATGTCAATTCTACTCTGAATTTCTTCTAAGTCAACTTTTAGCCAATTTAAAACATTACTACTGCAATTCTTTGAGTAATCGCTAGAGCATGAATTTCCTAGTTCATGTAAAAATATAGCAAAAGTGCCTAAATATAGGGAGTGTAATTGTGTATATTCAAACAAAGCCATTTCCAATAGTGTTCTATCAATCATATCTCTTCCATTAGCATTATCTATGTCATCAATCATGCAGTATTTATTATTATAATAACAGTCATTTGGGTGACAATCAGAACATGAAAATGAATAATTAAAGAATAAGTCTATATCCACATCATTTTTATAAATAGGAAATAGATACAAATATCATTCGTTATCATAATTATAATTTCCTGTAAGTGATATCGAAATTCTTGGTTTTTCCTGAAATATCCAGTCGTGATCGAATTCAACCAATATTGTACCCTGCTTGAATTTTCTTCATATATTAATATACCCATTTGAAATACCTGCAACAAATATATTGGTATGAATGCCTGGAGATATCAAAACTTTTTTTAATCTTGAATTAGTCAAATTCAGCACAAAAATGACACCTTGAGCTCCTCTTTCTTGGGCAATTTGAACAACAGTTGAGTAATCGCAAGTTGTATTCATAATAGCAAAAACTGTGAATTAGAAAATTGAGGTCATGAGCTTTTGTCACATGGATTTGTATTGTTTGGTAAAAATCCGACACTACCTTGAGTGTATCTATATACATTAAAATGGTAAAATGGAGATGATCCGGCCATAGGGGAGTAGTCTTTTTCCTGTAGCTGTTGAAGGAATGTACTTCACCATTCAAGAGACTCCAAGGAGTTAATTTTTGGAATTAAACTACTCCAATCACCTGTAGAAGGGAAAGTTCATAACTCCACTCAGGACTGAAGCCGCAAGGAGGAGACTGAAGGTAAAAGTGGAATTTATTTCGGGTAGAGACCTCTGGGCTGGAGTCGAAAAATGGTAGAGCTTTCCGTGCAGGACTTTAAACTTAAAATTACTTAGAGTGTTTAACGTTCTTCTCTGGTTCCGTAGGGTGATTTAACTAAGCCACAAGGGCTCACCCCAGTAGACACCAATTGGTGATGTCACCGGGGATTACGACGTCACCCTTTTTATCGGGTCGAGGACAATCCTAAGCAAGTGAAAGCACACAGCTGGTTGCCTCGCTCGAAAATGGCTAGTGCGAGTTGTGCCACCTATGGGTCCCCTTCCTCGGGAGTATCTAGCAGTAAAACCCTGTGCCAACCAGAGATCCTTAGATCAGCTCAGTAGACTGTATACCCCTCTAAGTTGCTTACCTGATGCTACTGGATAAGGTCTCATCGGAAAAGCTGAATCCTATAATAATAAAATTGCCTGGAGAAAAATTCCTCGAAGAGAAATTATCTCAAACGACGCCATTTTATTATTATTTTCCGTATGTGGCCAGTATGGTTAACTTCTGACTTTAAAAATAACCTAGCCTAGCCTAACCTTGAGTGTAAGTTGGAAATCTTCTAAGATTAGCAGTAACAGAAGGGACGATATTATCAGGATAAAGTTTATATAGTTCTGGAGGGTATGAGATTCTTAACTTGCAAAACGCTGTAATAAAAAGCAAAAGTATAATCTTTATCATATCATCTTATAACTTTAATTAATTCTTCTATAATTTTTAGACATATTTACAATATTTAAGCCATATAAAACTAACTTTTATAAAATATTACTGCAAATTCATGATTTTTTAAAGTATTCACTTAGTATCACAATGGCGATATATCCATAATTAGAATAACAAACATTTGGATTGCAATTGATGCATCAAAATGAATAATCTAAAAAGAAGTTCTATATATACTTCGCTTGCGTTAATAGGTATTAGATAATATCAGTCCTTTATAAACCTAATATCATAAAATAATTTCTGCTACCTCCCCATTAAAAAGATAAAATAAACCTTATAGGACACTATTACTCTATATGAAATCAAAAAGCAGTGTACTAGAGATCTTGGCTCTATTATTTGTTTTAGACTTAATGATTTAAAAGTGCCTAACAAAATAAAGTATAATTTTTTTAAATTCTTTTTAAATAATACTCATTTGCAATTTTTGGACAATTTTTAATATTTATTTATTCGTCCTTTTTTATATTGCCTTATCATTTTGTATTCGTTTGCAAAATCCTTTAAAAAATAGAGCGCTGCTTAAATTTCATACATAAAATGCAAATATTTATCAGAAATTAAAATATTAATTTTTGCAGCCATTTAGCATCAAAATATGCCTATGAGAGATTTTCTGCAAATAGGGCATTTAGCCCTCCTCGCCCCGTTTTCTATCAATGCTCTCAAACAATTCTCATGGAAAATATGCATGCATGCCGTGATTCTAATCTCGCTCTCTGATTAATGATCTAACTTTTATAAAATTCTAATGCAAAATTATTAAAAAAATATTAAAAAGTCAAAAGATTAAGCAAATTGAGCAATTATGCACTTAATGCATTGAGATTTTCTTAAACTAGCTTTAGAAGCTTGAAGAGCTGGAGTGAAAAGGGTTATTATCTTGGTGCTGCAAATTTTCAAGCTCCTGCATTGTTGACTGATAATGCTGACGTAAAAAACTGCAAAATTTCTTTAAAGCTTTGCAGTTGCGCAAATTTGCATTTTGGTTAAAGAGGACAACAGCTTCTAGAATTTGATGAGGATTTTGCAATGGAGGGAATCCAGCAATTGGTTATAAAAATACTTAATTAAAAGGTATTTAAGGTTTCCGGTGCTCCACCGTTTCTGGGAGTTATGACCAACTTGGGGAATTAGAGATTTCGTTATAATAATTGTCACTTATATATCAAAAAATTTTATATTAAGGGATTTTTCCAATGGTTTTGTTCGCTCACGGAGGGGGAAGTTAGAAAGATACATAATAAGTCGGAGAATAATTATCTCGTAATGACCATTTTTAAATAATTTTTCAATTTTATAGTTATTGACTATTCTGTCAATAAACATTTAACTCAAAACGAAATGAGAAAAAATATAAATATTAGAAATAATATTAAATTTGCTAAGACTACTAATTTACATAGACAGAGCTGCTTTTCAGTCTTCATCCTGCTACCCTGGTTCAAGGATTCATAGACTCATGCCGCTTTGAAATCTTATCAACCTTCTCCAAAGCATCCTTAAAAAACTTCGGCGATTTTACCCTCAAATCGTCTATCTTCTTCAAATTTCCTCCTTTTTTTCCTATCTCCTTAATTTTCCCTTTATATAGTTTTCCTCTTATCCCTCCCTTCTAACAAAAAAATTTTGTTCGCTCACTGAAGGAGCTTAATTTTTTTATTAAAAAATTTTCAATTTGCAAAAATTAATTTAGTTTATGTTTTAAAATGCAAGCTGTTAAAATTAATCAAAATTAACTAGAGATTTCATTATAATAATTATTGCTTAAATATCATATAGAAGTTTCCTATGTTTGGCGCTGTAAGGCCGATAAATTCTGATCGGAATTTATCGGTTGGTTGCACCAAATCAATGCCTTGGTCGGACCAAAAAGCGATTTGGTCCGACGAACTTGGAAAGCTCCTGGGAAAATGTCTGCGCTTTCAGCGCTATATAGAGGAAACCTCTATAATTTTTTTCATAAAAACTATTTATATTAAAAAATTTTTGTTCGCTTACTGAGGGTGGGCTTTTGGGCAAAAAATAGAGATTTTTCCAATGGTTTTGTTCGCTTACAGAGGGCAAAGTTAGCACATTTTTAGGCATAATTGTTTTATTCATATGAAACTTATAAGTCCTTGGTCTATCAAAGCTTACATCAAATAGAGAAACTGGGGTTTGTCTTTCAGAAAAATTGTGACTTTTTCTTTCTTCTTTATATATCTCATTACTCCTTTTGGCATCTTATAGAAAACCCTTGCCTTCGGCAAGACTCCCTGAGGAAAAGTACTCGCCCATAAGGCGAGTCGGTAGGGTCGGATTTCCAGCCCCGTTTAAATAACGCTCCCTCCCCCTTCTTTGAGGAAAATTATATCCATTGACTTTCTAAAGAGGGCTTGGCCAAGGGTAGGAAACTTCCTATGAGGCGCTTTTTGGCTCACACACTATAAACTGTCGGGTTCGCCCATTTTCTTAAAAGCTGATTAGTAAATTCTGAGTCTTCACTTTCATAAGGATCTTCATGATGAAAATATTCATCAATTTGCGTTGATTCATTATTTAAGAATTTTTTAGGAAATTCTACTCGAAGATGAGGGATTTGGAGATCTTCAGAAGGCAAATCTGGAGTTTCGTTTGTAGAGAGAGCAGTGCAGCCTTGAGAAAATAGTCTATGGTGTTTTCTATAAAGATTTCTGCCTTCATTAAGTAAAGCTTTGATAGTTGATGATGCACATCGGTCAGGGAGTTGCTGAATATCACTATTTCGTTTCTTTTTATAAAGCTGTATATATGGCTTCATTTACTTTTTTATATAAATAAATAACTTTTAATTCTATAATACTTAAAATAAATATTTAATGAATTTTATATATAATATAATTTCTAGCTTATTTTTTTAATTTTTAAGAAAATACCTTTTTACTATAAAAATAAGCTATTAATTATAAAATCCAAATTTATTAATCAATATAGCTTATTTACTTATTAATCTAATTTAATTAAAGATGGACGACATTACAATGAATTACATCTTCTTGTTCAGAAAGAATTTTCACTATCCCTTCCAAATACAACGGATTATTGCAGTCAATATTTATGATCGCCTTAAAGGAAGCACCATCTTTGAACGCTTTATTTTCAAAATCCAGAATTCTGAACTCCGCTTCTTTTAAAAGTTCCATAAGTGTGGTAAGCGCTCCATGCTGCCCATAGTGTCTGACTATGACAGAATAATTAGCAAGTGGCCTGACTTGCATGTTTATACTATTTTATTTAAATATTTTCTGCAAAATTAATTTTTTTATTATTATTTTATATAAATTTTTTACTATAAAATTATAATTTTAATAGTAAATTTAGAATACTAAATTACTAGGGTCTACTTTTCTTGTACGATAATACATAAGGATCATTCTCAGTGCTTCTTGCCCGATAGCATTTTCTGCTTGTTTTGTAGAAGCCCCAATATGATGAGTTCCATATACTCTAGGATGCTGAGCCAGGGCATGCATAAAATCCCCCTCTTTAGCTGCTGGCTCACCCTGGTATACATCACAAGCATATCAAAGCCCTGGCCTTTGATTCAGTTCATATAGCAACTCTTGTTCATTTGCAATGTCTCCTCTAGATGTATTAATTAACGTCACATTTTCTTTACAATTGGAAATAAAGGCAGAATTAATAAGTCCTCGGGTTTCTGGGGTGGCTGGGACGTGAAAAGTTATAATATCACTGATCCTTGCCAGGTCTAAGGCTGAAGGACAGTATTCGATGCCGAGAGATTGGGCTTGGGATGGGGTTACAGATGGGTCAGTCCCATAGACTTCGAGACCAAAACTTTTGGCTCGGACAGACACTTCTTTTCCAATCGCCCCTAGACCAATGATTCCTAATTTTCTTCCTTTTAGCCCAGAACATTCAGAAAACATGCCTTTATTTCATTTGCCTTGCTTTAAAAGGGATACTCCTTCAGGGATTCTGCGGTCAATAGCCAGCATTAACCCTAGCACAAGTTCTGCGACCGCTATTGAGTTTTTCCCAGGACAATTTGCGACATAAATACCTTTGCCACTAGCTGCTCGACAGTCTTAGAACTTAGATTACTTAGAGTGTTTAGCGTGCTTCTCCGGTTCAGCAGGGTGATTTAACAAAGCCACAAGGGCTCACCCCAGTAGACTCCAACTAGTGACGTCACCGGGAATTTCCGATGTCACCCTTTTTATCGGGTGTTCAGACCATCCAAAACAACTGAAGGCCAGTCGAAGGCCAGATCACACGGGCTGCGTTGCCTTGCTCAAAACTTGACTCCTGCGCGTTGTGCCGCCTATGGGTCTTCCTCCTCGGAAGTATCAAGCAGAAAATCCCTATGCCCACCAAACATCTATGGATCAGACCAGGAGGCTGTGCACCCTCCCCGTTGCTTACCTGATATTGTAGATAAGGTCTCACCGGGAAAATTGAACCCTATAATAAAATGGGCAAGGAGAGAAATTCCTCGGAAGAGGAATTTCACGACGTCGCCATTTTATTATTAGCTGCTCGACAGTCAATATTATCAGTTCCGGCGCCTGCTCTAATGATAAATTCCAAAGTTGGGGAAGCGTTAATATGCTGAGATGTAACTTTGGTTGATCTGACGACCAGGATCTCAGGAGCGAAGCGGGATAATTCGGATGCCAAGGAATCTCCATTGAGCTGATGTTTATAGACAAGTTCGATGCCACAGAGCTGGATTTCTTCAATGGCTGATTGACTGAAAAGGTCAGCTATTAAAACCTTCATTGGCTATTATTTATAAATTCCATTTTTAAATGGTTTTTAGTTAAGATTGTGGAAAAGCATTCTGTAATAAATCTGAAGGTATTTTTTCCTGCTTTACTCAACTGCTAGCTGTCTGTTTTTGCTCGTTTCTCTAGAAATAGGAATACTAGTGGAGTGAGTATGGGCCATCATACCGCGCGTCAAATCTGATAAAACCTGGTCAGATACACATTTACAAATGATATCCTTCTTCCACAAGGTTCTGTGGTATCCCAACTGCAAGGGTTAAGAGGGTAATTGGTTCGCCACAAATTTTTATGCGTAGCCCATTTTTAAATGGTAGAATGGTAAGTAAAATGCCGAATTCAAAATATTATTGAGAGAGATGATAATAGAAAGTGATGTGAAAGACATAGGATTGTTTAAGGCTAGTTAAGAAATAAATGAAGAAATCAAGCTGCAAAAGCAGATATTAATTTAATTAAATAAAATTTGTAATCAGAAATGATAAGTTATGAAAATATTTATGAATTGAATGATAGAAATTTGAAGGTTATAATTAATTATTTATAGTTTAAATAAATAATTCAAATAGTTTTTATTTATTATTTGTATTTAAATAGGTCTATTTTATTGAATTATTTTTGCATATTCAGCATTAAATTTACTATATTTTCAATTCTTATTTTTATTTCTGATATAAAATCTTATTCACCTCAATTTATTTAAAATTAAGAAAAATCATTACTCCTCAGGTTTAATACAATCTCATTATTATTTAGCTCACGTATACTAAAATCCTTTAAATAGCTCTATCCAATTAAAGGTTTCAGTTGTCAAAATCCTTTAGTTGCTTAAAAACAGCTTTTTATAGCTATTTAAAGCCGTTTAGTATAATTGTAAATTGATCTATCATTTTCATCTCTACTCAAATAATCCCTTTCAATCAAATTCTCAATCCTCTTCTTTATATCAACAGGCTGCAGTGTAAAAGGCAGCTGTGCCAAACTTTCCGAAATAAGCTGGGTATGTGTCAATCTTTTCCTCGACTTCATAATTCTCACAATAGCTGCATCAATTATATACTGTCTCTCATTCAGCACTTTTTCAATAGTTTCATGAGTTTCCTGCACAGTCTCTTTAATTTGCAAAGAATTTACCTTAATTCTCATCAATTTTGATGAAAAATTCTCGTTTAAGCTAAATTGATGGGTTTTATTTATATCTTTTCCAGCAGGGTTCTTTAATAAAATTTTATGCTTGAAGACTATTGGGATTATTTCACGCTTTATTTCTTCTTCAGGAAGCCCAGTAGCTCTCATAATGTCCTCCATTGTACACACATTTTTGTCATTGAATAGCAGAAGAATTAAGGCTTGATGAAGGGAAACTTGTATGTTTTTTATTCCTGAGTTGAATTTTGCCTTTAAATTGCAGTGGGACATGGAGGTTTGCCAAGTTAAAATTTTCTTTTTGATATTGGTGGTATAGAAATTTGTATAGAGATCTTGGATACTTTTGAGGTCTGGGGGTAAAATAGCTTTGACTTGGGAAACTTGAGGTCAGACTGAACCAGTTAAGGTCCAAACGTGGAAGCTCAGACCAGTCCTCTCGATTTGGCTTCCATAAGTTTGGTTGAAGGATTCCATAAGGGTGTGGGAAAGTTCCATATCTTTGTACATATTGTGAATACGGGCTGTAAATGTAGATCCGCATTCAGCTTTTAGGAGAGCAATGACTGATTTTTCAGCTTCGTTGGATTTATGGTATAATTCAACAAATTTACTATTTATTAAGGTAATAATTTTTTTTTGCCTTTTTAAAAAGTAAAGGTTACTTGAATCTAGTAAAAGCCTTTTCGCTAATTTTTTGCAATAAAAAGCTTCAAAAATGTCTTTAGCTGTCACATGTCTGAATAAGTCTATAATACTTGTAAAATGTGCTGAAAATTCTTCGTCACGCATCTTGATTTTTGAATTTTTATTTAAATGCTCATCTAGATCTTTAGCTAGCAGCTGGGCTATGTCAGGCTTTGAGTTCATAAACTGCTCCCATGCTCTTTTATTAGCGTATTTAATTTTCAAATTATTTTCAAAAGCTTGGCTTTGTATTACATTTTTCATTATACTGAATATTTTTATAATAAATATAAAAATGTTTTATTTTTTATTAATTTGATAAAGAATATCAACTTTTGACTGAAGCTCAAGCAGCTCATTTATAACAGACTCTCTATTTTCATTGTTTTGGACTATAGAATTACCTTTACCTAGCAAAACTTTTTCAAAGCCTGACTCAATCAATGAGTGGCACTCTACACGCTTAAACAAGACATAAAGTCTTTGTAAATCTGGTACTTTATAAGCTTCAAAAAGCTGTAATAGTCCTTTTTCAATGACAATTTCTGCTTTTTCTTTTATAAGTCTGATTTCGAGTTTCTGAATTGTCGGCTTAGAGGTGCTTATATCTAAATAATGGTTCAGCCTATCAGATTCGTCTTTAAGCCTTTTTTCTACATATGCTAAATAATCAGACACAGAGAGCTGGTTTATCTTGTCTAAGCCTTCGTCTTGGTAAAATTTATCAGTCTCTTCTATATATTTTTGTTCAAAATCTAATCTGTATATAACTAAAGTTTGGAGAATCATAATAATTCTTTTAAGAAGAATCCTATGGTCCATTTCTTGCATTCTTTCTTCATATATCATCCTTAACGCTCCATTGATCATTCTAGCATAAACCGGCTGATTTTCTATTAGATTTGCTTTGAAAATGTTATAGGCTAGATCTGTAATGGTTTTATTCACTTTTTGGTTTACCATATAAGCTCTTTCTAAATACAGAAAAATTTGCCTTATAGTGGATACTTGGGACGTAAAATCACTCCATTTGTTATCTATTTTTTTTTATTATAAATAATTAGCTTTATTTATATAGAAACTGATGAATTTTATTTAAAATAAAAATTTCTTTTAATAATTGATGATCGAATTTCTATAAAATTTTATAATTGATTTAAGAAATCCAAGTCTGAGCCTTGAATTCCATTAAGTCTTACGATCTCTTCTCTTATTCAGCCTTGAAGCTTCTGTACAAGTCTCTCATAAAGCCATTCATTGAGATTCTGAACACAAATGCTATTGACAAGCCTATAGAGTTCTTCTCTAGAAATGTTTGTTCTAGATGCTGTAATTATTGCGTTCAAAGCATCTTCTAATTTGACCCAAGAATCATCAGCGAAGTTTTCTGAGACTTTAGGAATGTCGTCAAATGGCTCAATGACCATTGTCTTTTTAGGCTGTTTGCCTAATTTCTCTGGCTCCAAATATTTTTATTTTTTTTTTTTAAAATTATTTACAAAAAAAAATTTTATTAAAAATTAATTTCCCTATTGCGCTCATATTTTATTATGAAAAGGATTAGCTACAAAGCTTCATTATTTTTATTAATAATTCTTAAAAAGATTGGCTTAATAATGCTGAAGATATGAATTCTTGTAGAGCGCTATAAGAGGAGTCTTGGTAATCTATTGCTAATTTTTTGTAAAATGCAAGGACACATTCAAAATCGTTGTTTTGAGAATAAAATATAGAAAACAACTGTGAAATCAGCTCTGGCTTGTTTTGGGAGATACAAAATTGCAGGAGTTTGAATAAGATCGTGTTTTTCTTAATTCTGTCTTGTTGATCTAAAAACTGAGGAATTATAATTTCTTGGGTTTCAATAAACTTCTCTGGAGTACTCGCACTCCCAATCCAGTTTTCTATTTCTTCAGGGCTTGCAGTCCCTAGCTTTTTAAGCCAATTCCAAGCTCCACTTTCTAGCTCATGTGCAGCTATCTGCCTTTTTGTATATAAAACTAGCTTTGGAATTGCTTTGATGTCTAAGTTGTAATTATAATAATCTTTCCCTACAACTTTTAGCTGTTTGACAAGATTTAAAGGCCTTAATAAAAATGGGGAATTTTCTGTCCTTGTGCCTATATCAGAATACTCGACTTCTATAGGGACATGGGCAAGGATTTTTGTGTCAGCATCTTTGGTGACTAATAGCCTTTTTTCTAAAGCAAGTACATAAAGGTGTCGAAATGCTTGCAAATGGTGTCTGTTATCTGCAGAAGTCGCTGGGAATTTTGGATAAATTGAAGCTAGTAATGCAGCTATTGCAAAATTTGAGCTAGAAAACGAATATTGGCAATTTCCCATAAATAAAAACCCAACTGCCATATGATGAGCCATATTAAACCCATAGTCTCCTTCCACACGTTTTCTAATCAATTTTATGATTTTGAACGTCGACAAATCCCCAGTCCCAGCCATTACCAATCCTAATGCTAAAGCTCCTGCACAAATGACAGTAAATAACGCATGTTTCTCTACGGAGTTCTTATTTTGGTCTGTAAAATCTACTGGTCCTCCTAAAACTGTCGCTTTTAAGTCTTTAATTTTCAAAATTTCATCAGAAATCAAGGCTGCAACCGTAGTATCTCCACTTCCCACATATTTAAAGCCAAGAGAAAGCAAGGCACCTCCAATTATATAAAGATAAGAATTGGAAATAGCGTTAAAATCGATTTCTCCTCGCTCTTGGAACGAATTTTGGACTGTTTTTAGGTCATTTTCAAAGCAAAATCTGATTATTTCCGGAATTTGAGAATAAATTCAGTCTTTTGTAGCTTGTATAGAGTCCCATAAAATTAAATTTTTAGCTAAAATTTTGATCATAACGTGTTCTGGCCTAACCCACTCCAGTGCATAAAATGTTGTCGGAATTTCAATTTTTTCTGCAACTAATGCATTATTTGACTTCAAGTGTATCAGGGCATATGCCAGCAATGCTCCAGGCGCTGTGATCGTAGTAACAATATTATCGCCTTCTTTTGCGACACTACATTTAGCAGACTCACTCATAAGATAGCCAGTCTGCAAAATTTTAGGAGGCGCCATTCTTCTTCCTCCTTCAAAAAGTCTAATAAGTCTTTCATCAATTACCAAATCTTCAAGACCAGGTGTTTTCCCTTCAGAAGCCAAATTTACGATTCCTAAAGCCAAACCTGCAGCCAATGATAGCCCTTCTCTTTCAATGTCTTTATTAGTCAATGCTTTTCTGCCCAGCTGTACCAGCAGCATTTCAGTTACCTGGCGATTTCCTGATTCTTTATATAATAGCCCAAATCCCATCATAGATGCAGCCTCTTGTGTAAGTTTTATATCAATATCTACAAAAGGAGGGTGTCAAGCATAGGTCGCAACCCCACAACCCCACCCCCCCTTTTTAACGGTACCCCCACCCCCCTAAAAAAATGGCACCCCCACCCCCCTTATATAGCATAAATATATGTCAAATGCTAATTTAGAGCAGACGTCATAAATAAATTATTATTTTAAATGTTCAAAATTACTGATTTATACAATATCCACATAGCGTAGCACAATCGATTAAGGAGTAGGTGGAATGAGGTGAGAATTTCCTATAACTACTAAGCACACCACATATGAAAATTTGTTAGCAAGCATAATAATGATCTTTGGTATTAATTAGCTCCGGCAAGGTTTTAACAATCCAGAAATGGACAGCAATGCTAGGTAAGCAATTCTGGTAATGTACAGAGCCTAGCCCTCAGTCCAATTTCAAGGTGGGTTTTACCTCGAGGGAAAGGAAGGTTTGGATTTGGAAAGGGCAAGCCCAGCTGACTCTGCAGGTAATACCCAGAGCGATCGGGCAACTGCCTAGCGTGAAACCGGGTGTTACGTCCCGGGATCCAGATTTTTCCATTTGCCGAAAGGTTGAACAGAAATTCCATTTTTTGGAATTTTTGGTTGGCCAACCTCGTGACTCATGCAGCAGCCGCAGAAGTCCATAGTCCGCCCACTCAAAACTGGACCCGAAAGGGAAGGAGGAGACGTACGAAGCAGAACCCCACACTTCAGAAGTGCCATGGCGTCAGGCGCTGAAGGAGAAGAAAGACGGTGTCAGAGCTGAAATTCGCCCAGCAAATCATTGTCCCAATTCAATCAAGGCGAAGCTGAAGACGGCGCAAAGCGGATGAACCACCCGTATGGGTAGGTCCTTGGTGACTGCGTAACCAATAAGGCAGACGCCACCCTGTAAGTTTAAGTTTAAGTTTAAGTTTAAGGTATTAATTAGCAATATATCCTGCATATATTTATGAACTTTGTGGAACAATGGCTAAAAGTCGAATTAGAGATCCAAAAGTAAAACTGACAATAGCAAATGCTATTTTTATTACCACTATTGAATCCTGTTACCAATTCAGTCCTGCAATCCTTGCACAATGGACATTAGATTAGCTTTAATGCATGAATCAATAAATTTAATGCAAGTTATTGTGTTGTGCTTGGCTCATTTAATAATTAATGCCATTATCTGTGTCTTTGGCATTATATTTATAAATATAAAAAACAAATTTAATATATTTTCTAATTAATCATAAATATAAAGTAATTTGTGGACTTAATTTATCAATATAGTGTTTTAATTGGGTTATATTTAATTTATTTTGCTTATTTCCTATCAATTACTTCTATAGAATAAACCCGAGAGGGGGGGTGGGGGTGCCATCTGTGAAAGGGGGGTGGGGGTGTGGAGTTGCTACCTATACTTGACCAGGAGGGATTAAAAAGGCTATAGAAATCCTTAGAAGCCTCATTATTTTTTCGTCCATTGAGCCTAATGCAGAGGCAGCTGTTCCTAAATAAATTGCAATAATAATTGATTTTTAAAAAAAAATTCTAAAATTTGGCATTAAAATTAATAAAAAAATTAAAAAAAATAATTGATTCTTGTTCAGCTCTTAAATAACGGTAAATGTCTAGGTCATGCAGAGCTTCTAGCTGCCCTAATAGTCCAAGGGAAAAAATAAACCCAGCATGCTCATTAGATTCTTCTTCTCCTCTATGATAAGTAATCCATTGCCGATTTTTTACATAATCTTTAGGATTTTCTGAAAGCATTTTTAGACCAGTTGCTACACCTATATGAAATTTCGGCCAAACCATAAAATCTTTTTCTCGGGTTTCTAGCTCATTTTGAGGCATATTCATTTTTACGTCAAAATTCGGAGGCAAAAAGGCGGAAAAATTAATTTGAGGGACTTGGGACGCAGAGGTAGGGGAAGCTTTGGAGGTCCCTAAAGTGAGTGCGCCATATCCAATAGCGGTAGAAGCTCTTTTTAAGCAGATTTTGTAGAGTAAGTTGTGCTTTTCAGCTTCAAATTGTTCTTCAGAGACGACATTGTCGGGGAGTCTCATTTTTATAGCTCTTGTTACATCAAGCATGCATTGGGCTTCTTCAAGTCTCAAATCATTCGGAAAAATATATACCGAATTTTTATTGGATTTACTATAAAAATTATAGAAATTTTATCATTATTTTTTAATTTAGATTACTATATTCTACAAGACCACTCCCCAAGTCTTCTTCTTTGTCTAGCTCTAGCTTAAGGATCTGTTCATATTGTTCCTCAAAAGGCTGCCCTTTCAGTGTTATATGTTTTTCTTCAACCAGCTCATTATTTAAATGTATATCTACCCTATGTATAAACTCCAGGGCTTCTTTTGGCCACGTATTTGAGCTAGCTGGCGGATTTAATTGGATTTTTCTAATAATTTCATATATAATAAGAGAAAATGCAGGCGGTAAACTTTGTAAATCTTAACTTAACTTAGAATTTATAACACTTAACGTCCACTACGGGTTAGCCAACTCCAGAGCTGCCGCCATATTTGTACACGTGTCAGGCCTGTGAACCTCTGGATCGATCCCTTTTTATCACCAGGGCACGGACAAATAAGGCGTTTCAGCTTCGACGGGCTTCGCTGCCGCCACGACTTTATTTCGACTCAGCTCCTGCGCGTGTTCTGCCTGAGGGTCCACCTTCCTTCGGGTGTGCTGAGGGGTAAAAACTCAAGGTCTTGAGTGCACTGAGGAGCAGTTCCTCTGGTTATCCCCAAAGTTAAACTGCTGTTGCTGTGCAGAAGTTCTCGAGGTAAAAACCCAACCCCATAAATAAAATTGCTTGAGTGAGAGAAAGTTAGCGGAGCTAACTTCGCTTGAGTGAAAGCCATTTTATTTATAAACTTTGTAAATTAAGCTCAGTAAAATTTTCATTGACCAAAATTTCAATGATTTTTTCAAAAGGAGAAGAGGAATTAAGGGAAATTATTTTCTTCTGGTAACTCCCCCCCATCTTTGATCGAACGATTGACTGTAAAATTTCTTAAAAATTGGCAAAATTAATCCCATCCTCACAATTAAAAATGGAGCGCATGAATTAGGGTCATTGTCCCCTAAAGGTCATCCTAGTGAGGGAAGTTCAGTCTTTCTGAAGGATATTGGCGCTGGAACTGCTTCGGCAGTTCCTGGTGTACTTGAATCAACTTCAAGGGAGGAAGAGAGACTCGTCTAGGTCATAGGCTACTGCAACGGTTCGACGGTTAGGCCGATTCCACCTACCGTTGTTCAGAGCTGTTAGCCAGTGATGGAATTCAGGAAGGATGAGCTTGTATTGTCAGATCCTAAGCTAAGTGGGGGTCGACAAAGTGTTATCGTAATCTTAAATCTTAAATCCCCATCCTTGATCGAATGATTTTCATATCATGCAAATTTTTATATATATATAAATATATATTAGTTATCAAAAGCTTGGGAAGATGTACATAATGAAGTTGTTTTCAGAAGCTTTGAGACGACAGAAAGCTTCGGAATCAACCATTCGAAGTGATTTAGTCATCAGCCTAGGCTTAAAAACTCAATAATCTAATAAAATAGAGATTCTTTAAAATTTTAAAAAAAAAAATAAATAATTTAATAAGGAACAAATTAAAATTTATACAATTTAAAGGGGTAACTAATAAATTAGCATATAAAAAATTGGTATTTTTATGAAATTAATTCAATTTTTTGCTGTAAAAATAATTATTAAATACTCTTAACACTCTTATTTAAAAGTAAATAAAAACAATATATATATATATTTTTTTTACCCCATCCTTGATCGAACGACTCACCGTCGTTCGATCAAGGATGAGGGGGAGTAAGGATTTAAGCTGTAGGTTAAGATAGGGAATGACTGGGAAAGAGCCAAATCGGAGTCCATGTTTGTGTCTTCTTTAGTGCTTGATATGAAATTGTAGGTTAACGGGTGGTATATTGATAGACATTCAAAAATTCGGCAGATTTTGCGAGTTTTCTCTAGGAGAATTGGCATTTGCGGAGGATTTTGGTTATTTAAGACAGATTTAAGCCAGGAGTAAATATTTGGAAGGTCGAAATCTTCGATTTCGACATTTGCTTCTAGGTATTTTTCTATGTTTTCCCCACTTTCTCTATACATTTCTTTGGTATCTTTTATTTCACTATAATAATATTCAGCTAAATTTGTTCCATATTTTCCTAATTGCCTTGAAATCACATAAATCAAGCCACCTAAATCTACCATAGCTGACCTTTCAAACATATCTAACTTCATATCTTCATACAATAAATGCCACGCTTTTAAAATTGTAAAAATATGCCTTGTAAAAGTATTATTTTCTAATAAAATTTTACAATAAAAATTTAATTAAATCTTATATTTTTCACAAAATTTCTATTTAAAATTCATTTATAATAGAATACTAGGGCATGTTTTAAGCTCAAGGCTAATCCCTTCATTCCCTCTTATCAAAGTTTCCGAAAAATGTTCAGGGAATATTTTCTTAAAATGTGGTTTATTTTCAAAATGAAATCTAGAACTTAATAAATTATCCCACAAGCTGTCACTTTCTCCTGCAGCTTCATTGCTATATGCAAGCCTTGGCCTTTTTGAGTCAGTTTTATTTTTTGATTCTTTTAGCAAGCTTATAATTAGTGATGAAAATAAGGCTCATTCGTTAGATTTGTCTTTTCCTTTGTCTGGAAAATTGTCATTTTCAGTCCTTATCCTGCTTGTGAGGAGCCTATGAATGAGATCTGCTTGGATGGTTTGGTAAAGAGATGGAGGGAGGATTAAATAGAGAACACCCATGCATTTTTTTATTAGGGAATGGTTTATTTCGATTGGGATTGTCATGCAGGAGGTCAGAGAATTTTCTGATGGGGAAAGGGTGATGTCTGAAGGAGATAAGACGCAGAGGAGGTATTGGCCATCATAAATATGAATTTCGTGGGATTTTGAGTAGACGTATAAAAATGACGAAAATTCTTGGGTTTGGCTTAAAAAGAATGATAAAGTAGGGGTTTCTGTATTTATTGGCTGCTTGTGAGAAATAAAGCAGCTTCTTTTAACAGTTTTGAACTCTATAGCGTTTTCTATTGCAGAAATTTCTTCAATGCAGTTATAAGGAAACCCTTTATCATTTTCCAATCTATACCTTAAAATTCTGATTTTTTCTTGGCTTTGTAAATAAATCATCATTTCTTGAGGATCAGTTGGTACCGCTATATCAATATGACTAAACCTACACATGCTATCAGAAATTTCATAAATTTTTTCTACTACAAGTAAAGGCTCACTTCCTACATGTTTGCTGAAAAAATCGTCTCTTTTATTAGGATCTAAAGAAGCCATATCAATGGTTTCTTTATTAAGCAGCTCTAAACTATATCTATATGATTATAATAATTTTTAAAATAATAAGCCAAATAGCTAATTCTTATAGAAAAAATATAAATTTACCCTTATCAGATAAATAGCATGACTATTTATAGAGCTATCATAAGCAATAAATAATGGGAACCTTTTACTTGTATAAACAATATCAATGTGTGTAGACACCCACAAATTTTTTTGGATATCTGCCAAAGGGTATAAATCACTATAAGGATGCTTGGTTAAGACTAAATAAGTATATAAAGGGGCTGTAATTGCAGCGGAGCCAAGGACTTGAGAATGATGGAATTTCTTTTCAGCTTTACATTTCAATATTAATCCGTCTGAGATGTAAAAAACTTGGACTAGCTGCTGGGGAACTGGAACTGCGTATCGATTGCCGTCTTTGCCGTATAGAGAAATCCCTCCTTCACAAATTTCTATTACTTGTGGGCCTGCTTCTGAAAAGTCCGCCATTTATTAAAACAAATAAATTTAATTTTCATTTTTAAGAGGAGGATAAAAGTCTGAAGGATTATGAAGAAATATGATTTTTAGTGTTATTTTGATATAAAATAACAAAAATTAAGGAAATATCCATTGATGAGTGTTATATACTGTCTTTGACAGCTCTTGGCACATCAGTAGCTCTTCTCACTCGTTTTACAGCTTCAATTACAGATGCCCTCCGTGTCGTTAATTTTCGATTGGAAAGCTTTCTGATTGTTCTTCTTGTAGTTGGATTTGGAGATTGCAATGTTGAATTTTCAGCAGTTTGGACTTCTGAAAAGCCTATATAAAGATTACAGCCCATAATATTTTTAAATTCTTCATAATCTATAGAAGTTTCCTATGTTTGGCGCTGTAAGGCCGATAAATTCTGATCGGAATTTATCGGTTGGTTGCACCAAATCAATGCCTTGGTCGGACCAAAAAGCGATTTGGTCGACGAACTTGGAAAGCTCTGGGAAAATGTCTGCGCTTTCAGCGCTATATAGAGGAAACCTCTCTATAATTTTTGGCAGTATTTAAGCTGAAATTCTTCTATTATATCTTGATATTCATTGTCAGAAATATAGCACCCAGCTTTTTCTAATGCAAATTTCAAATCAGTCAAATTTATAAATCCATTTCCGTCCTATATATGATTTACATGATCGAAAACTCTGAAAACTTCCCACAGAATTTCTTCTTCGAAAATCTTTTTTCTATCTAATGCAGCTATTAAAAACTGTGTATAATTTAATCTTCCTCGCCCTATTTCTTCTATTTTTGATGTTAGCTCAATAAATTCTTCTCTTGCCAACTCATAGCCATTTTTATTCATACAGACTTCTATATATTTTTATATAAATTGCCCAATGCATTATCAAGTTATTTTTATTAAAATTCTTAAGCGTATTCTAGGGAAAGTCTTATATGTCGTGAGCTGTCACAAACCCAGTTTTCCTTTCATCAATTTCAAAAAAGATATTTTTCAGATCATCAATTTGTTCAGAAGATAAATTTCTTACAAGAACTTTCATAGCGACTTGCCATAGCTTGCTTTTAGCTTTATTTCGTTTTATTGATGAAAATATTTCTAAATCTCCAGTAATAGACAAACTTGAAGATTATTCTAAAAATTAAAATTTATTTTATTATTCTAATACTTTAGAAATATTTCTAAATTTTTTCTATTCAAAATTTTATAAGAATATTATAAAGACCAAAATTACTTTTTATGACTTGGTAGAATAAGCTAATTTTTGGCTCTGCATTTGATTTTACAATGGTAAATCAATCATGCCTAAGAGCTTCTGAAATCGTTATCCGATTATTCGGATTTTTTGTAAACATTCTCTGTATAAGATTTTTCGCCTGGTTTGATATTTTGCTTCATGTCGGCTCTGAAAAGTTGTATTGACAGTTATAAATATGGCGGAAAAGATTTTTCATAGAAGATCCTTTAAAAGGATGCTTTCCTGACAGCAGCAAGTACATCATCACACCTAGAGACCAAACGTCACATTCTTTACTATAAGATCCTTTTAAAACTTCAGGAGCGAGATAGTAAGGAGTCCCTACAATACTTTCTAATAGCTCATCTCTATATTTTGAAGAAAGTCCAAAGTCAATCAGCTTCAGCTCTCTGTCCTCAGACTTGTCAGTAAACATAACGTTCTCTGGCTTGATATCCCTATGGCAAATTCTCATAGTATGCAAATGGTTTACTGCAGTAAAAATTTTCATCATAATTTTAGCGACTTCTAGCTCATTTAAGCTTTCTTTTTCCAATATATTTTATTAAAATGAATTTTCGATAAAAAATTTTTATTTAGATTTTTCAGCTAAAATAATAAAAAAATATAAATATTCATATAAATCACCTCCAATACATAATTCAGTGACCAGATGGATGTATAAAGAATCTTCATAAATCTCATAGAGCTTTATTATATTCGGATGATCCACCAATTGGAGGATGGACAATTCATTTTGAAGCAGCTCCAAATGGTCTCTAACCCTGCTTTTACTGATGGATTTTATAGCATAATGCTTCGGATTTGACGTTTCTGTGTTTAATCTGTCTATTTTGGTAGCTTCCCTTACAGTACCGAATTGTCCATAGCCAATTACTCTTATAAAATCATATTGCTCTGTGATGCCTTTTTTTAAAATTACTATCAAGTCTTGAAGTTTTTGTTATTGAAGATTGTGGTAAAAGTTTGCCTTTTAAAGGCTTAACTAATTCACGCTCTCTAGGTGCACACACTCCCATATTTTTAAAGAAAAATTGAAATAAAAAAGTCTTTATATTAAATAAAGAAAATATATGGGAAAAAAAGTTTATAAATACTGGTAAAATTAAATTAATTTAATTAAATAGTGGAGGTTTTTAAATGTAAATGAGTCATTTTCTAGTTAATTTTTAAAATTTTATAATAAATTAATATTTTTTATAAGAAATTGAGTATCAATTTATTTCAGTTATAAAAATATTGAACTATAATTATTTAATATTTACTATTATTCGAAATCTTTCATTGTTATCATAGTCCTGCGCCTTGGTTTACTATTTCTATTCTGTGCTACCTCGACATCTAAATCAAGGACTTCAATATTTCTGTTGTTTTCTTCTTCTATATTAGTAACTTTATACCCAGGAGCGATTTGTTGTTTATCACTATGCTCTGCTGTCCATACCTCATTTCTTTCAGTTTTAGGTATCTCCTTATTATATAATTTATATATCTCATGGCTTTATAAGAAATACCATATTTTTAAAAAAATATAAAGGCAGATTTTTAAAATAAAAAATCCTATATTTATCGTTAAGAATTATTTCTTCATAATCAATCATGCTTTGGCTTTCGTCTAGTGGGGTCTGCACTTTAGCTACTGGCACTTCATTTGCTAAATAAATTCATTTTTTTATAAGTTCGACCAAGAAAAAAGGGGCCATTAGGAAAACCCCCAGGTATTCAAAAACGACGGAGGTTTTTTCTTGCTTATTTCCAGGAAAAAATCCCAATGGTTTACATGTTAAAATTAACTGTTTTCATTGATAAACCGAAAAAAGACTATATAGCTGTTACAATCATCGAAATTAATAGCATTATTGATGCTATATACAGTCCTCCTGCATATCATGGGATTTCGTCTGAAATTTTAGTCGAAATATCATCACTGCAAGCTTTATCCAGCTCAGAGCATAGCCTAGTCGAGCACTCAGAAATCCCGAAAGCCACAATAAAAATAAGACATACCATCAAAATTGACAGAAAAATACTTGACTATTTAAATCATACAATTCTAATGAACATAAGCTTCAATTTATTGATTGCATAATACCCACACCCAGAAAAACCCAAAATCAGAGCAGAAACTGCAATTTTAAAAAATCATGATCAATGCTCCACATAGCCTTTAAAATAGAAATAAGGCACTTGCAAAACCACAACAATCTAATTAGGATTTACAAGTAATACTGCTAAAAAATATATCTTGATCATTTTATTTGTTTATTATTTAATAATAAATAAAATGGATAGTCTCGGGAGAAATTTTATTTATGGGGCTTGGTTTTACCTGGTGAACTTCTGCACAGCAATGGGGGGGTTAGCTTTAGTTGCATAGGTCTAAATGAGCTGCTCCTCAGCGCATTCAAGAGTTTAGGTTTTTTTACTCACTCCCCCCCTCCATGAGTGAACAAAAAAATTTTGTTCACTCTCAGAGGGGGGTTAATTTTTTTTTAAAAAATTTTATATATAAATTTTATAGAAACTTTTTTTTCGAAATTAAAAAAAAATCCTAAATTCGCATAAATTGAAAAGCAAATTAATTTAATTTATAAAATTTTATGTTTTAAAAAGCAATTTGTTTAAAAATTAAACAGAATTAGCACTAGATTTCATTATACTAATTATCACTTATATATCATTTTTTTTCTATAAAAAAATTTTTCAATTAAAACAATTTTTGTTCACTCGCGGAGGGGGGGTTTTTTGGGCAAAAAAAATAGCGATTCTTCTAATGGTTTTGTTCACTCACCGAGGGGGGGAGTCAGCATGCCAGGAGGGAGACCTTAGCCTGCAAGCACGGATTTTAGTCTGACAAGGACGACATCAACGTGCCGGATAATATATGGCCAGACTGGCAGCAGCATGCCAAAGAATGCCTATGTTATGCATGCTAAGTTAGAGGGTAACCCACGATGTCACTAGCGACTTAATCCCTTTATATTTGAGTGAGTACTTAGCCCTTAAATCCCTAATGAATCGAAATTAACATTTATACTTTAATAATCAAAACAGTTAATAAAAATTTCACAACCCACAAATAATATTTTTTTATTATTTAATTTTTCTTAATTTTAAAATCATCGTAAATTTAAAAGAGAAATGCCTGCGATTTTATATGTCGAACATTTTGATAAATAACCAAATTTTGGGAAAAATGGGATGCGTGATGTCTTGCCTTAAGAAAAAAGAACCCGAAGATGTAGATACGCCTTTAATTTTAGAAGACATAACCTCAAGCAACAATACCACACAAATTTATTCTTCGCATCTTTCGCCGAATGACTTCAAAATTGAAAAAGTCATAGGGAAAGGGTCATTTGGAAAAGTTTTATTAGTGACAAAAAAAGATACAGGGAATTATTATGCTATGAAAGTGTTGAGAAAGCAGCTGATTGAACAGAAAAAACAGATCAGCCATACTTTGGCTGAGAGATATATTTTGGAAGGGGTGAAATCGCCATTCATAGTGCAGTTGAGATATGCTTTTCAGACTTCTGATAAGCTTTATGCTCATTTTAGCTGAATTTTTTCATTTATAATAGGGATTTTAAGCTATATCATAGAGAAAATTAAATTTTAGCTTCTATTGAGCACAATTAATCTATCCTAATTAAGTATACACCTTAACACCCTAAAAAGTTTAAAAAAATAAAAAAACAATAATCATAATTTTAATCAAAAATTATTCCATGATTACGATTTTTTTTAGGATATAGAACTTGCAAAGCTTTATATGGTAATGGACTATATGAAAGGTGGAGAATTATTTTTCCATTTACGAAAAGAAGGTAAATTTTCTGAAGACAGAGCAAAATTCTATGCCGCAGAAATTTTATTAGCTTTTGAATCTTTACACAATGCAGGAGTAATCTATAGAGATTTAAAGCCAGAAAACATACTTCTAGATGTAGATGGACATATAAAGCTCACTGATTTTGGGCTCTCAAAGGTAACAGATTCTGATAAAAAAGCTTTTACTTTTTGTGGGACTCCAGAATATCTGGCACCAGAAGTACTCAAGAATGAAGGGTATGATAAAGCTGTGGATTTTTGAAGCTTAGGGGTGGTTTTATATGAGATGATTGCAGGTGAACCTCCTTTTTATGCAGAAAATAGGGTTGAGCTGTATAAAATGATATTAAATACGCCTGTAAGGATGAAATCCAGGTTTTCTGCACAAGTAACAGATTTATTGAGAAAATTAATTGAAATTGAGGTAAAAGATATGTAGGTAAGTCTTAGACTTTCGAATGTAAAAGAAATTAAAAAGCATCCATTTTTCCAAGGAATTGACTGGGATGCACTTAGTAAATATTCTAATAAAAAAATTACATAAAAATAATTTTTTAATGGAGAAATTAGTAAAAAGGAATGCCTGCTCCTTTTAAGCCAAAAATTATGAGCCCTTTAGATACTCGAAATTTTGACTCAGAATTCACTAATGAGCCTCCAGTTGACTCTGTCACAAAAAGTTCCTTAATAGGTACTCAAAATAACTTCATCGGCTTTACCTATCAAGAAGAATCATTGAAATAGCTCTTGCAATGCTTATAGTAATCCAAAATTATTATTAATATATTGTGTATAATTTATTAACTAAATTTAGGCTTTTTGTAAACATGAGAATTTGGTGGCTTTCTTAGTTTTGACAAATCACCTTTTGGGATTGTTATATTTCGATTTTTTATATACTTATTAATAATAAATTGATTTTTTTTAAATAATTTTTTGATTTTGCAATAATTTGTCATTATATTTAATTTAAAATTGTATAATTCCACTTGCATGTAGTCGAGACGATAAATCAGGGCTGGGAGGTTTTGGAGGAATTCAAATCGGTGGAGCTATAGTAGGAGGGAATTGTGGAATTCCTAACAAATTCCCTGGGAGCGGCAATAAAGGCTGTAAACTTGCTTTCTCTCTTGCATATTGGTTGTAGTATTCTCCTAGATTTGTATACCCTCTTTGCTGCTGAACTTGCTGTAAAAAGGCTTCATTATCTTTAATAAACTTCGGAATCATTTCAGGTGTAAGCCTTATATGGGAAAAACGACAATTATCACCTAGATGGCATGATCCTACACCGTGGAAAAATTTGCAAGGAAATTTTTTGTAGCAGGAATTTTTTTTACCATATAATTTCTCAGCAGACATTTTCTTATGCCATTTTTTTTAAGTAAAGATTTATGATTTTGCCTGAAAAATGTCTATTTCGAGGAAATTCAATTAAATAAATTCCTCAGGGAGCCAAATTTTTTGGTATCGTGAGAATAAATACAATCATCTCCTTTTACACATGTGTCTGTAACAAAATACTTGCAGAGCTCATCTTTTAGTAATTGAACTCCTTCGTGAAGGTAAGTGCAGTCTTGGCCTTTATGGCAAGTCCCTCCAGCTCAATACTTGCACTTTACCTTTTTAATTTTTGATTCATCTGGCCTTGGGCGCTTAATTCGCTGTACTTCTTGCTTTCTGTTGTCTTGCTTATTTTGTATTGGCATTATAAGCTGATTTGGGGGTTGTGCTGACTCTTCTTGCTCTAAGACTTCTCCATCCTCTATATCGGACCCTTCCATATAATAAACGAAATAAAATATTAAATGGTTTTCTTTTTAATTAGTAAAGAAAGCTTATTGCCTTATTAGCTATTTATTGCTATAAATATTTAAAACTTTCAAATTGTTGTCTTCAAAAATCATAAAAAGCTTAAAAAATAGCTAAAATCTCTAAGATTACTTTTAATGCATAGTCATTTTTGTGTCTAGCAATATTATACCTTAAAACGAAGATTCTAAAGCTTAAAAAAGTACGCGGATCTGAATATTTTTATATATGATTAAAATTATTTTAATAAAATCTTTAAATTAATAATAGCTATATAAGATTGAAAAAGATACTTTAAAGAAATCAGCAGATGAGAAAAGGATAGAAATAATAATTTGCATGCAGAAATTAAAGGGCAAAGTTAAAATTGAAAATATATGCGAAGGGAAAAAGCCCTTCTAAATTTTCATGTCGGGATCAATTCGATGTAAGTTTTAAAGCAATTGCACCCATAAAATCAGATATGTAAAATTATAAAATCTAAAAAAGCTTAATTTTTAGATTGATATTACACCTTTCAAAAGCTTAGAGTGCATTCTTCAATGGATCTATATGGCTTTAAAAGTCTAGGTTTTCTTGGCAATTTAAAACCCATTAGCATGATTCGGAAATATTAGCTTGAATTTATGACTAATTTTAACTTTATTATTATATTTTCTTTATCTTATAGCTTTTGCACATTTTCTTATATAAAATTCACACCATAAAAACAGCCTAAGATAAACCACCAATGCAAATTCCTTTTTTTAGTTTTTATAAAAAATATATTTGCAATCTCAAATTTCTTTATTTGCGTTATTTTAATTCATAATTTTAATTTAACTTTAAATGAAAAAAATCGAGCACAAAAGAGCTTACTCAGACATCCCAATTAAAGACATCTTGTTTCAATCACTCCCTTGCAAAAAACCAGCGAAAATATCTGATTTAATTCAACAAAAAAAATCTAATTTCAACCGTAAATTACAGTATATCCCGAAAAACTCATTTAAGCATCTTCCCGCATTGCCAAATCAGCATATTCGATCAGTATCATTAGGTGCTTTAAAACTTCAGCCTTATTTAATTAATCTCGAAGGTAAAGAAGTTATAAAAGCTCCAAAAATCTTTTCTAACCAAATTTTTACAGACTGCTATACCCTTTTCCCTTAAATTTTTCTATTTATTTTATTTTTTAATTTTTAATAAGGCATAAGTTTGGCTTACCAGAATAATGAGAAATTTAACCTGAAAAATTATATGATAAAGAAGGACATCATGATAGAATAATCGATAATAGTGGACTTATTGAGGTATATGAGGTAAAATTTCCAAGCAAAAATTTTCCGAATTGGAAAAATCGAGAAAAAGATTTTTGCAAATATCAAGATGTGAAACCACCAGAAAACAGTGCTTGCAGTAATACTGAGTCTACAAAAAATGTTATCCAAAGGCCAAATATGAATTCTGATGAGGAATCATCCAGATTGGCATCTGAAAAATCAACGAATATTTATGATCTAATTCGACCTTTAAGCTTGGAAAGAAAAAGAACCCAGAAACGATTTTTCTAATTTATCATAATTTATATTTTCTAAAATTATATTGAAAGATACTTCGTTAGCACTTGAATATTTATATGATTTTTGGCCTTATCTTACTCATTGCTGTTTCATAGTCATTATATTAAAACTCTCCATAATAATTTAAATTTTCTATTTCTCACAATTTTAGTCAGGCTTATCATTATCCTTTAATTTACTTGTAAATTCTAAAATTCTTTATATTTATTATCAGTTAGTTGATATTCTATTCAGATAAAAATCTTCATGTTTTATTAGGCAAATTAATTTAATATAAATTTACCGATCTACTTTAGCATGAATCTAACGATAATTATTTTTCCCCATTATTACAACCCTTATTGTTCTCCAATCGTTTATTTTAAATTTATCAAAAACCCAGAAATTTCGCATTTTACGCAAGAACTTCTAGGCTTTCATTGGATTCTTCGTAAACCGGAAGGACCAGTTTTGACATTTTCGAGTAATGCTTTGCTCTGTTTTCTTGTAAAACGTCACCAATATAAGGCAAATTTTCATAATAGCATTCCAATGGATCATCTTGAGGAATCCTCTTATTAAAATCGTTCATATTTTTAAATCTCTTCTTGATCCTGAAAACTTTGACTTCTTTCTTAATTGTGGCTGGTAGCTTATCACCAAACAAACTTGAACTTAATTTCCGTGGAGATTCAGGAGAAGCGGGAGACAATGGTTCTTGTTGAAACTTACTTCTTTATTTATTTATTATTTATTTTTAAAAAATATATCTATTTATAGACTATTTTATAATAGTAATAATGCTAGGAATTTTTTATTATTTGTAATAGGTTGAGTTAGCATGTGAAATTATAAGTTTCTGCTTGTCACGCTTTATGCATGGAAATGTCACGCTCCGACAAGACAGTTTCCTCTTTGGCATTTCAATTGGCAATTCTGGCAACAATAGTCTTTTATTCAAATGAAAATTGCTCAAAGAAGCTCCAATGATTGAGTTCCTACTTTTACAAAATTTATATCTTTCAGCCATTTAATTACTATATAACTCCCCCCTCCGTGAGCGAGCAAAAAAATCTTGTTCGCTCACGGAGGAGGGTTAATTTTTTTTTGTAAAAAAATTAAAACAATCCCACTTCTCGAAAATTGGGAGGCAAATATTAATTTAATTTGTAAAATTTATGTTTTAAAACGAAATTTGTTTCAAATTTTAAACAGAATTAGCTCGAGATTTCATTATAATAATTATCACTTATATATCAATTTTTTTCCCCATAAAAAATTTTTCTATTAAAAAAATTTTTGTTCGCTCATGAAGGTGGGGTTTTGGGCAAAAAATAGGGATTTTTCTAATGGTTTTATACGCTCACGGAGGGGGAATAAGGCAATTATCTTCTCAATCATTATAATTTCGACATGTTTAAGACCTTTGCAAAATTTCCAGCTTAATCTTCCATAAATGGAAAGGCTTAATATCAAGCTAATTAGCTTTAATAGTGCCAAGGAATAGCATCAGGAAAGGTATAAAGCTGATTAGCCGTTGAAGCTGTAGGCTGCAATAAGACACAAAAGTCTTGAATTTTAGACTATGAACACTTTAGGAAGCAGTGTATTCATGGAATCATCAGATACATCCTCCCCTAAAATGATAAGGCAATTTAGGTGCTTTAATTAAGAAAAAATTATTACATTTAAGTGCCGATAATATATTTTATGTATTGAATTTTTTTATACTTAAGGCGCACCAATCTTTCTATCTACAGTAAGAAATTCTATCGCATTGTTCCAATATAAGTTTGATTAATTCAACAGACTGAGATTTGTGTGTATTTAAGAGAAATATTCTTATAGTTGGAGCCGGTTAAAGAAATCAGTGATTGCTCTTTATGTATATTTTATTATAAAAAATCCTTGTAATTTTTTTTACATTAAAAAGGAAATAAATGAAGCCCATGATGCTTATTTAATAGAAACCTACCCTTGAAACCCTTCAAGATAAAGGGCATCATACAATAAAAATGATTGACACTATAGACGAATCTAATGATTTAATTACTGCATTTACAAAATTTACATCTTTCAGCTATTTAATTACTACTTAAAGGTATCCTCTCACTCATTATAATTCTGAATTTTTACTCCCACCAAAACCATTAGGAAAATCCCTAATTTTTGGATAAAAATATCGCCTCCATCAGTAAAAAACAATTTTGTATGAAAATATTAAACAAATTTTTGCTTTCCAGTTTTTGCTAATTGGGGTTATTTTAAATTTTGAAACAACAAAAATTTACTATAAAATTATATATATTTTAAAAAAGAAATTAACCCTCTGAGCAAAAAAATTATTTTGTTAGCTCACAGAGGGGAGAGTTAAGATCTTTGCAAATTATCCAGCTTAATTTTCCATAAATGGAAAGGCTTAATATTAGACTAACAAAAGGAGAGCATGTAAAGCCTTATGAGTGCCACGAGATTATTGGAAAAGTCGAAAGCTGTGTATAGCTGTTTCACCATAATAGGTTGGTATATAATTTTTTCTACCAAAAGCTATAAAAAGCACTGCCAATTTTTTAGAAAAATTTAACCTTATTTTTAAATTTTATCATTTTATTAGCATAATGATTTATGTCTTTAGCTGGAAAATATTACTCTAAAATTATCTATTATAGTAAATTGATTATAGTCTCTGAAATTAAATATGGTGCCTAAGCCTGGGAATGGCCCCCCATACAGCTTCGAGAGCATATTTAATGATATCGGCAAGTTTTGCTATCTCAGAAATGGGCAACTATACTAGTTTAAGAAATTCTGGTAATGCTCAGAGCCTAGCCCTAGTTCTTTCAGAATTGGATTTTACCTCGAGAGGGAAAAAGAAAGTGTGGAGTGGAAGAGAAGCCCAGCAAAGCCTACAGGCAATGACTAGAATCAATCGACGGTTCTCTAGCGTGAAACTGAGAGTTATGCCTTGGGCTCTAAGTTTTCCTTTTTTTTGATTGATATGGGAACAGCCTTAGTTTGCCCATTTCACATGCCACAAAAGTCCATATATGCCCACTCAATACTGAAGTCCATGAGGTAAGGATGAGACGGCGACAGAGAACTCACTTCAGAAGACCATGGCATCAGGATCTCAAGGAGAAGCAAGAGATTTTTCGAGCTAATTTGTCAAGTGAATTCATCGTCCCTGTTCGTTCAAGTTCTCTCTGGCCACGTCGCAAAGCAGATGACTCCCTTCATGGATCCTTGATAACTGCATTAGCAATAGTCCGCAGCCAAATCTGTAATAAGTTTAATTTTAAGACAATAGTCGCTGAGTTTTCGCCATGTGGAGAATTTTTAGCTGTTGGCTGCAACAATAACGCAGAAGTCTTGATTTTTAGTTTTATGACACATAGCATCATTTTACGAGTAAAGCCTGAAAAAGCATGAGGAAAAGTCCTCAGTCTAAAATGAGGGTATGATTTTATATATGTGCTAACTGATGCTAATTTATTGTTTAGGTTTCAGCTACAATGCATAGAAGAAACCCCAGTCCAATTTTCTTTTAAGGTTGGCGGGATGGATGCCGTGGTTCCATATCATTTTTCAGGACTTTTTGGTCGCAAAACATTGGGAATTTTGTCTAATATTTTTTCCCTCTTGGAGACATTTGCTTAATTTCGATTGTCTCACGAGGAAAAAAATTTCGTCAAATATCGCAGAGAAAAAGATATCTCTCTACAAAAAGTTCAGAGGAAAAAGCATTCTATATGTCGTAGATTCTAAGGTTTTGGTTTATGGAAAATCTGATATAGTAGTGTATTCATGGAATGATGGGACACAGCTTTCGCTAAAACAAGATGAGATAGCTTCAGAATGGTTTGGATGCTTCAACCAAGAGAAAATTATTATATTCGGGTCACCAAACAATGTTTTTTATGTATTAACTCTTGATGGACATCTTATTTACACACAAGAAGTCGCATCAATTTTTCAATCTGCAGTTCGAGATTTTCGGTCAAATCGCTGTAATATGATTTTAATTAATTCCAAAGACCGAGCCTTGCGTGTATTTGAGGTGAAATATCCTTATAAATTCGAGCTGGTTAAAGAAATTGGAGATTATTCTTCTCTATTTATTTTATTAAAAATAAATTCTATTATTTTTTATTAAAAATTCATTTAAATTCAGCTTACATTGAAAGAAAAAGATGAAGCGCCTGCTGTTTTTTCAAAATTCAGAACATGGACACGTGCTTTGTTCTAGGAACTCTTCAGGAGACAGGATCCCATACAATAAAAATGTTTGACACTGTAGACTCAGATACCCGAGTAAGTATGGCTAAAAATATGCATTCTCCTTTAGGCGCGGCCGCTTATTTGTGTACCTCAATAAATACCCATGTGCATCCACTTATATGTGTAGTTACTCAGCCTGGCGCTGTTTTATTGTGAAGCAGTGGGACTTTTATAAAAACAGAAAAATGAAGCACGTCTTTAGGAATCCCAAATTTTGTGGAACTTCAGCATGGGAATGAATATTATGAAGAGCCTGAAGACCAGTTTGATAAATACAGATCAAGCCAAGCCCAGTTGAATTTGGCAAGCCAACTCAATATCCAGCCTTTTAGATTATTCTGCTGCTATAAGAATAGATTGATAAAAATTATTCTATAAAAAATCATGTATATATAAAATTATACTATAGATTTTTAATATAAAATGTGGGAGATTTTATTTTTGCCTTTAGTTCTTTCTCAATGTCCTGCATATGAATGCAATAATAACCAAAAACCCTTAACCCACGACACATGTGTCTATTATGATGATAATACTTACTATCTCCAGCCCTGCACAACCCAAGGCACTTATTGTCCTCCAATAACTTCTCCAGGAAATTCTACATGCACAACAACTCCAGCCCCAGTCGCCAAAGCTACATCTTGGCCTGGCGAGCCTTGCAATAACCTTAATCTTTGTGCTTATGGGACTTGCAAAAATGGAATTTGTGTGGGAGCTGACAATGGCAGCCCTTGCACAATGCATGATGATTGTAATCCAGGATTGAGGTGCAGTAATTACCATTGTTCGCCTCAGCTTAATTCAGGTGATACTGGATGTTCAACAGATTATGACTGCCAAAACAACGTAGGCTGCGATCAAGGGACGTGTAGGACTTATCTGGGAAGAAAAGGGACTGATTTATATAATTTTTTATAAAAAGCCTTATAAAAATTTAATAATTATTTTATATCAAATTTAATATAAATCAGGATAATAGCAAGCTGCTCAACTTATGGGACTTCTTTGCTATGTGAAAGTCTTCACTGCTACAATAACGTCTGCATTTCTCCTTTAAAAAGCTCTCAGCCAATCCCTACAAAATGCACAAACACCACATCATGTTTAAGCCAATCATGGGATTTCTTTGGACAGCCTCAACAATTTGAAAAGGATTGTACCTGTGGCTATAACTCAGGAAATGGATATGGGTATTGCCCATTGTTTTCTAATGATCCACAATTCCAAATGTATAGGAAATGGTTAACTAAATGGTTTAACAGCAAAGCTATTAAGACCTGTAGCACTGTAAGAAGACTGACTTATACATGTATGCAGGATGCTTGGGATAAATCAAGCGCTCAAGCGTTTATGTATTATGAATTACAGATCAAAATGTGGCCACAGGTTCAAGAAAATGATAAATGTGTGCAAAGTATTTATACAGCAACTTATTGGGCTGAGGAAAATAATTATCCAAATCAGGTTGATGGGGCTTTTGGTATTGCAGCATTGGGCTTTATTTCATTAATTATTTTAAGTTAATTTTAGCTCGATTTATGACATAAATTACAACTTTTTAACGTTTAAGTCTTGAAATAGCTGCTCATTTAATAAATGCAAATTAATTTTCTCTTTAGTGGCTTTATAATATGAGTTGAATTTGCGGTGCTTTTTACTTTTGGATTTCATTAGGTGGGTATGAATATTAATCAAACTGGCTTCTTTTTTGGATTTTCTGGATTGGCTTTCAGAAAAATCTATATATGGATATCGGGAAACTCCTAGAGAAGTTCTTTGCTTTGGAGACTCACCTTCGAGTATTGACAATTTTACGACAGGACTGTCCATATACCACTTTTTATCAAATGATATGCTTGGAGAATGAAGATTTTTAGGACTTTTAGCATCAGTTTCTTTTGAAAATGATGAAAATAATGGGGGGTTTAGTTCTTCTATATATAAATTTTTATTTTTTGATGTATCTCCGATATCAGCAGAAATATTAGAAAATTGCCTGTTTTGTCTTCGGGAACTAAGGGATTCTTTGACTTGCGATGAAATTGTCGAAAAATTGAATTTAGTTTCATTTTGGTTTAATTTAGGCATAGATTGATCAGAAACATCAGAAGTTATAATTGTACTAAGGCTTTCGTGCCTTTTATTTGAATAGATTAATCCTTTTTCATTGCTTTCTTTATGAGGTGATAATAATAATGTTGATGAATTTATCATAATTCTAGGAGATAGTGCCTTTTTTATTAAAGCATATTTCGGGGATGTTAGCTGTGGCAAGCTTTCAATATTTTTATCATTTTTCTTATCCAATGATATTATTCCGGAGTTCATTTTCTGAATTTTTATTTTTTTATCAAAAACATTCTGCCTTGTTTGCAGTTTTTTTTGAGTCCGATTTTTTATAAAATCAATTGCATCATCATTTTTCAAGATATAGCACAAGCCTCATTTTAGATCCCTGAGGACAAGTGCTTTTATATAAAATATTTAGTCTTTAAATTAATGAAAAATCTGAAAGTCAATTTTTAAATTGACAAATAGGACATATATAATGGCATTTTTAAATTGATATTTGACTTTTTAGAATTTTTTTGGAATTTTAAATAATTTTTTTCTTTGAAAGGCATTTTCCTTGAAAATCTATAGGGGAGCACGCGCTATATGTTTTTGGAAATTTTCTTTACTAATAACAAGCAATAATCCATGATCCATGTGCACATGCATGTTGTATTTCTTCTAGCTTCACCACCTGAAGTAATTTCTTCTTCACCAAACATCGTTCCTTTAGAAAGGATTGAAATTGGACTTTGTTTAGAAATATTCTTTGTTTTGAGTGGAGAATTTTCAGGGAATGCTCTAGAAGATGTGATAGAAATAGTAAAAGCTTTGAATAAGCTGAATTCCCCTTCTTGTATTAAGTATACTTCTTCAGCTGTGTCCCCTTCTTGGAAAATAACTTGTCTCTTTTTAGTTTTTCTTGATTTAAAATAATCCTCCATAAATGACTCTAGGATTTTTTTATAATCCCCAGCTGTCAGAACTCCAAGTGCACAGTCATCTGTAGCAATAACTGTAGCAGCCCTTAAAGTTCCTAGCAAAAGCGATCTTTCTCCAAAGGATTCTCCATCCCCAATTTCTGCAATCAAAGTGGTGCTTCCGTCACCATTTTCCCTTATCACGCTTGCTTTACCTTCAATTATAATGTAAAATTTCGACCCTAGCTCTCCTTGTTTGATTATAATAGAACCAGCTTGGTGTTTTTCAAAATATAAATATTTACAGCACGAGTAATGAATATCCTATTTATTAATATTATCATCTAAATTTAAACAATCCAGTGCTTTATTTCCTAATTATTATTAGACTTTAAGCCATTTATAAATATCAGCCTGCTTAAATGTGGATATCTTCTGTATGCTCTTCCCTAATTGTTTGAAAAAATTGTAGATCCTTGGTTAATGTATACAATTTCTCTATCATCTCTGGTGTACGTTTATCGGAGGCAAGGACAAAATGAATTTAATCATAACTGATTTGTTACCTTGCTGATTAAAATAAGACAGAGTTTCAGCTGTAATGTCTTTAGCGTTAGATATTCTTCTTTCATAATGCGCAAACATAGGCCACTCAGCTTTTGGTGTACGCGGCGAATGATCATGCATTATATTCATATTAATAAAATTACTCGCCATAAATGAATTTTCTATAGTCTCTTAAAATTATTGAAAATTTTTATTAATTTGCTAAAGTTTAAAAATTTTTATTTTTGTAACGAAAATGAAAATTAAATACAATTTCAAAAATTCCAAAATTTTTTATTGCAAATTTATAAGATTCTGTCCAGCTAAAACTTTCATTTAAATGAATTTATCCATTTTCCGTAAAAACTGCATAATTCTTAATTGTCGTATAAATGAGAGCACAAACTAAGCAAGAAACTTTCCAAGACCTCGACTTGACCCAAGAAGAAGTCGACTATATGCGTGAGCAATTCCATATAATAGACCGTCAAAATATTGGCTACATCAATATCCATGAGCTAAACGGTTTATTTGAAGCTGTCGGTGAAAATCCATCAGAAGACAAAATGTCCAAAATTGGTACTTTTATTGAAGAAAAAGGCGTGACCAAGGTCGATTTATCGACGGCGCTTAAAGCTTGGAGCTATCTAAAAGAGCTTAACTTAAAAGATGAAGAAGAAGTCGACATTGATATTGTCAATACTTTTGTGGCAATGGGAGGAAATATTGACAGGTCTGGGGTCGTGAAAAAACAAAAACTTATTGATATTATTAAGGTCGAGTTTGGCCTGACAATTGATATTGAAGCGATGTTTGAGGAAGCAGGACTAGATGTAGAGGACGAGCTGAATTTTTATGATTTCACTTGTTTGTTGGAATCTGGAGGATCGCAGAGAGCAAGCAGAATTTGCTCGTTTATATCGATGGCATCTTTAGGATAACTTTTAAGATATATTTTATAACAATTATGAATTTCTATATATATTAAGTTAATTATTTAGGAATATAATCCTAAATTTCTCGGGTTTCCAAATCGATAAATATCGGAAGTCTTCGCTTATGAGTTTCGCATAATTTTTTTAAATCTGACCCTTTGCATGGGTCTGGTGAATTTTCAGCCGTTTCAGGCGAAGCTTCTCTATGCTGAAACTGGCACCTTCCTCCATAAATGCAATACCCTTGCTCATAAAATTGTTTGCACTTTTTTGTTTTGTATTTTTTTATTGCCCCAGACCTGCTTCTGAGTTCAGCTTCTCCATGGGCAAATGCACATTGATCACCGAATTCACAGCACCCATTTTCCCAATTTTTACACATTTCAGTTTTGAATTTTGCCTTAAAGTCAAGTTCAGTAGCCTTTTTCTTTTGTAATTTACTTGATATTGGGGTGTCTTGGGTTTTATTTGTGTTTGAGCTGCTTAGAGATGGGATAGGGCATCCAAGATTGCTTGAGGTTTTTGAATTACTGGACGACATGATGTATAAATTTAATTATTATGCATAATTTTTTTGCGAAACTTATGCGTTACTGACCTTGTTATAAAAATGGTGTGAGTTTTTTTTGTGAACTGACAATATGTTTAGGGGGAAATATATGTAGACTAATTATTTTTAAGAAATAATTCTTTAGCTGCAAGATAAAAATAAAGATCTATATATTGAAATTATCAGTATTGAGAAAGGTGAAAGCTAAATAAAAAATAGAAATAATTAAAGGTTTGTACAAGTATGCATAAAATATGCAATTTTGATATAATTGTCTTATATAAAACAAAAAATGATAGACTTAATATTCAGAAAACTTGAAATTTTTTAAATTTGTTTTAAATTTCATATTTAAAAAATCTGATACTAAAATAAAATTCTCGATATTCTTTTAGAATGCCCAAACTACCTAAAACTTTAACAAAATAATCAATCTATTCTTAATAAAAAATATTCGACCAATTTTTTCTAATTTTTCTTTAATTCATATACTAGAAGAAATAACTTTAACTTAATGAGAAAGCTACCTGCCAGCAATTAAGGTAAGCTCCAGCAGTATCTTTAATCTTGGTAATAACACCGTATTTTCCATTAGGAGCAATACCAGGCAAAAATACCTTAAAAATGACAGTCGCAGTCTGTCCTTGCTTATAAGTGCCTGACTCCTTTACTGTTTCTTGATAGAAGTTGACTCCGTTAAAAGTGACAAAAATATCCATCTCTTGGAAGGTCACAGCTTGGTTGACTGTTCCTGTCATATTAAGATTTAGGTAGACATTCTTTGTAGGAGGCCAAGGAGTCACAGCAAAAGTTGTCACGCTGTATGTAGTTAATGATGGGTCACAGTTGCTGCCAATGTTCCCTCCGAGGGCTTCAAGCTTTGTTGAGACTATACCGCTTGCAGAGGCAAGAGCAAATAAGCATAATCCGAAAAGAATTGCTTTCATTTTAGATTATAGTAATAATTTCACCAAGTAAATGGAAATTTATTAAAATCAGCAAGGCCGTGCTTTTTGCTGTTGAAGAATCTGAAGCATAATTTAATATACTTTACTAAAATCTCAGAAAATTTTAGAATATAAAATTATGTTTAATAGGCGAAAATTGATTTTTCATTAACCAAAAATGTAAAATATAAAATGACAAACGCAAGAAAAATATCTAAAATCATGAGAAATATTTAATTTTATATTTTATTTAATTTTATTGTAATCAATAATTATTTTAAAAACAATTTTGCTTCTACAAATAAAAATGATTTTAAGACTCTTAAAATTTACTTTGAAACCAAATTGATCTTTTTATTGCACTATTAATTAAAATAGCCAGTTCCTTTTTTACCAATATTAAAATATGGCTAAGCTGTAAAATATTCGATTTTTTTTCAAATTTCGTTTACTCCCCCCCACTCCGTGAGTGAACAAAAAAATTTTGTTCACTTACGGAGGGAGGTTAATTTTTTTTTTTAAAAAAAATTTATATATAAATTTTATAGAAAATATTTTTTTTCGAAATTCAAAAAAATCCTAATTCGCAAAAATTGGAAAGCAAATATTAATTTAATTTGTAAAATTTATGTTTTTTAAAAGCAATTTGTTTAAAATTAAACAGAATTAGCTTTAGATTTCATTATACTAATTATCACTTATATATCAAAAAATTTTTCCATAAAAAATTTTTGTTCACTCACGGAGGGTAGGTTTTTGGGCAAAAAATAGGGATTTTTCTAATGGTTTTGTTCACTCACGGAGGGGGGGACTTAGGTGATTTTTTGAGCTTATATAATTTATTAATTTTATAATTACTCGTTCAATAAAATCCATTAAATATAATTAATATGGGCTGTGGTGTCGTTGTTAAAAGTGAAAAGCCAAAGAAATCGATCGAAGACGAAGTAACTCCTGTAATATCTCCTGACCCAGCACGCAGAGGTCATTTAAAGTTTTCATCATATGTAAAAAATTTTAATTGCACAACTTATAATGCGGGCGGGGAGGTTTACTCAATTAAAGTTGAATATGTGGGCACTCCAATGGAATCTCCTAATTTATCTAGGAGTCACTAACTCCCCCCCTCCGTGAGTGAACAAAAAAATTTTGTTCACTTACGGAGGGGGTTAACTTTTGTTTTTTAAAAAATTTATATGCAATTTTACCCTCACCATAAACAGCAATAGCTGCTGCTTATGGGAAGAAATTGCCTTGGAAAATGGCTTTTTGGTTTGCCAAAAGCAATTTTGGCAAACCAAAAGGCCATTCTCCAAGGCAATTTACTCCCATAAGCAGCAGCTATTGCTGTTTATGGTGAGTATGACACTGTATATGTAAATTTTATAAAAATTTTTTTTTTCGAAATTTTAAAAATCCCCATTTCTCTAAAATTGGAAGGCAAATATTAATTTAATTTGTAATATTTATTTTAAAAACGCAATTTGTTTAAAATTAAACAGAATTAGCTCGAGATTTCATGATAATAGTATCATTTATATATCAATATTTTTTCCCCAACATTAAAAAATATTTTTTGTTCACTTATGGAGTGTGAGTTTTTGGGCAAAAAATAGGGATTTTTATAATGTTTTTGTTCTTCACTCATGAGGGGGGAGTAAAAATTGTTTCAACTAATGTCATATTTTAATAAATTTTATTTCTGTAAGTGCTAGAACAAAACTATTGAAGATTAAGTGGCAAAAATAAAGCCATTTTTCTGTCCAAATAAGTAACATCAGGTTTTACATGCCAGATTGGTTATTATAAGAAAAATATTGAGAGATCCATATCCATAAATTTTGTAAAATACTTTGCTAATTTAATTGAATACTTCCAATGATTTTTTTAAAAAATAGATAATATAGAACGGTTGATAAATGTAAAATGTCAACAATAAATATTTATTAGAAATAAGTACTAAGCTATATATTAAGAATATTAAATTATTTAAAATTAAATTTGATATCAGCTAGGAATATTTAATTTTAATAGATAGAGGATTTAATTAATATTAAATTTGATTATTTTTAATGTCTATCGTTAATTTATTCAAAATTAAAAGCTCCTTAAAATTAATAAATTCCATTAATATAATTGGCTATTTTAGCTATATTTTTGGACTAGCCCTTATAAATATGAAGCCAGCAAAGTGCTTTATGGATAATTGTCTAAATGATCCAGAGTATATATGCAAATGTACACCTGCTCGCACTCTTTTTTGCAGCGCACATGCAAGAAATCACATGGTTATGAAGTTTAAAAAGCCTCATGAGTGAATTGATCTTTACTTTGAGCCAAATCCAGATTCGAAAAAGATAATCATCAAGAAACTCAATGAAATAAAAAATGAAATTCGCTCATGTCTTGATAAACTTATGCTGCAGTATGGAGAACTATTAGAAACAATTGAAAAATCTTTGAGCATTGCTCTGGAGAAATATTATAAATTAAATGATGAGTGCGATGAAATCATTCTTTTTGCGTCCCAAGAGAGGATACTTAATGTTAAAACAGAAAAGGGGGTGGGAAAGTATCTTAAACTTGGGCCTGAAGAATGCAAAGAATCAATACAATATTGAAAAATGCCTGAAATAAAAGAAGATTTAAGCAAAATCAAAGAATATATTGAAGAGCTTTATGGAAACTTGGAAGTGAATCCATTCAAAGAAAACGAAAACGAAATATGCTTTATAACACAGAATAACCCTGGGCAATTTAATTCAGTAAATTTAGCTTCAATGACGATCTCAACCAAAACTATCGATCTTTTACAAAAACTACATAATGCTAGCTCTATTTTAATCCCTACCAATAGCTCAGTTTTTTTTCATGGAAGTAACAGAAATAATAACATGCGCTATCCAGATTCTTCCGTGAGTATCAATTTAATTGTCGATGAATTTAAAAATGCTAAAATAATTTCATCAGGAACACCAGCAACAAAGCCATTGCTAGCATATTATAAATCATGTGTTTATGCCTTTGGGGGGTGAACTAAAGAATATATATCAGAAAAATATAATTTAGAAGAAAATAAATGAACCAAGCTTAAATCTCTTCCAACTCAATACTGTTGATGCAACTCTCATTCTACATTATTTAACAATTTTATTTTGATTACTGCCTATTGCTGAACAAATATGCAGTGTTATGATATAAAGAAGGACACTTTTGAAATTATTCCAAACTTAAAATTAAATTATTCGAGATATAAATCAATCTTTTCTTATGATAGAAGAGCCTATCTTTTTGAGTTTGGATTAAATATCTATCAAAGTGAAAAAGATGACTTTTCCACATGGCAACTTATAGGAGACAATCGAATTTGTAATTCAATACCTCAGTCCTATAGCCTAATATTTAAAAGCAATATTTATTTTATAAATGAACAGAATAGCTTAATAGAATTCAATCTCAAAGCCAAGGAGCTAAAATGTGCTCAAAATTCTGTTTATAATCTAAAAAAAGCATAATAAATTTATATATTTTGTTTGGATAATTGAGATAAAAAGCAGCATGAATGCTCATTTTATTAATCTATAAAATTTGATGACATAATTGAATGATAAAGTTTATTATAGCGTTATTGCTTTATATCAGGTTCTAAATTAACTGGTTTGCCGATTTTAAGATCAATCTTAAGCTTTTTATTAAATTTATATGCCAAATTATTTAATATCAATTATTCCCTAGAGCGACATATTTAATATTTTTATCAACTAACTGACTTGAATAGAGTCATAAAGTATTTTTAACGATCTCTGGATTTAAATAATGTTTTATTTTTTATTTTTTTAGAAATTTAAATCTTCAATTCATAAGAACTTTAAATTTCCTTAATTTTATTTCTATGTAATTAGGATTAATAATATTTTGGCTTGCAAGATACTCAAAATTTTTTCATAAAAAACTAGTGCTAAAATGAAGTAAAACTGGATGAGATATCTGACCATTTTTTGATTCTTTTATTGAAAGATTTTTTGCAGAAATTATAAACCATAAAATGGGATGCGGAGTCTCTACTATAGCTCTAGTCCTATTTTTGCTTGTTTAGGAGCAACACCTTTGTCTATTGAATAGGCAACGAAAATACCAATTTCTCTTACATGTATAATTGAAAATTGGCAAATGCAAATTATAGCTTATATTTTTTAATTTTTAACTACTACCCCTTTCATGATATACATAAAAATGTGACGATAGATCACCCGACCTCTCGACCCTTTCCTCAACAGCAGCAGGCAACGGCCCAGTGTTGAAGATTTAGGCGGAAAGGGGCCGGTAATCCTTTATGAATACTCGGGCTGGGGTTTCCTCGGGTCCAGGGTGCTAAACCCTGGACTTAGAGTTTTTCCTCCAGTACAACCATTGGAAATGGCAAGGTCGTCCATGGTCTGAGTGGCAATATAACCTTCAGACCCTGAAGACGGTATTGGCCTAACGAGAAACTTAGAGTTTCGACCCAGGTGGTTGGCCCTTAGACTCAGCAGCCATGGAAGTCAAGACTGGTGTGCGAATCCCGTGTTTGCGGCAATAAGGAAGGGTGTCCACCGGGATCCTCAGGGATGATGAGCGTGTAGGGGTGCAAATCCCTGGCCCTGCAAGAGTGAACGGCTTAACTTAATCTTAATCTTAACTACCCATTTCATAAAATTGGCATTTTCTTGGTCTATTAAATAGTCACAAGCATTATGCTAAAGAATCTTTAAGGAGTCTTAAGCTATAATAATAATCACCAAGACGCAGAAAGCGAAGAATCCTCAATCGATCAGTCAGTTGCAGAAGTAATAGTAAGCAACTTAAACAAAATAAAAAGTGCAAGAAATTGCCGAAATTCTTTCCTTTTCAAATCTCAAGGCGGGACTTACTGTATTAATATCACTCAAGCTAAAACACCAGAAACATCATTAGCCTTTGCCTACAACAGGGACTCAAACAACAACACCACATAACTTTTTAACTAAAATTTTAATTATTTTATATTGTCTAGCTTAAATTGATCCTAGTGTTAAGACGGGATAAAAGCGCATAGGTCGTGAAATTCTAAATATTAATTATTAATAATGCAAGCATTAATTAGCACTTAAGTAGTTTTTACTACTGAAACCCCATTTATAGACAAAATGTATTTAAAAGATTTGAAGAATTTATTATTTAGTTAAATTTCATATTAATAAATTCACCTAGCTTAACAGTTTTTCATAATATCAGCATAAAGAATCCAAAAAAAATATATATATAGCTTTCCAATTAATAAACCATTATAAAAATGGCTTGAAATTTCTACAGGGCAATCCATAAAAAATCCCAATACTGCCATCTCAAATAGTTTAATTATCAGATGGCGCCATTTAGCAGCTAAAATTCTTTGCAAGAAAAAAAAATTATTTATTTATTCATATAGTCCAAAAACTATTTATCAAAAATTACCTTCCAATTTGCTTATTTTTTAAATAATAATTCCTTACAAATAAAACCCTGAAACTCAGCACCCATTGTAAATCCAAATCAATTCCAACTAAACCTTTCAAAATGCATAACTTGTATATACAATATGGAAGTTCCTCGATTATTTGAGTATTTTGCTGTATATGGACTCAATGAAGACCTCCCTATAACTACATTTACTCTTCCTTCTGACAGAGAAAAAGCTGAAGTTTATACAGGAAGTAATTAATATTCAGTCGAAAATGCCATTTCAAGCCTCAGACTTAGAGTAATTAACGAAGATGAAGTCCTTATGTCGAATAAAACAGAATTTCTTAATTTTTATGAACTTGCCTGCAGAGATGGTAAACGACTTTGGCTTGAAATTGTATACGGACGGGTAAATGGTCACACTCGTGCTTCATGGACAGGCCGGTCAATATCAAGAATTGAGCTTTACTATATGCAGTATGAAGGCGAATACATAAAAATCCCAGTCACACATTGCTTAGAACCGGTTCCCGTATTAATAGGTAGTATTGTAAATTGCATTTTTTAATATTAATTTATCTTTTTCACTGATTTTTTGACTGCCAAATCTATCGAAAAATGAATTTTTCTATACAAAAATTCATAATTTTAATGAAAAAAAAAAAAAGTTTTTACTATAAAGCTGCACAGCATAGGTACAGTCATACAGAAAATGACCATCATTATTATAGTGGAAATTATGATATCACACTTTTATTAAATGCGAAACAAATGGATGGGCTCAGGCTTGTAATGACGTGTACATATACAGATACGACACCTGGAATGCCGATAGTTGATATTAAAATGGTTGCTGCTTCAATACAGCAAAACGCGAAAGGAGAACTAAAAAAAGTGGCTGTTATACCTGATAATTATCAATATATATTCAGCAAATATCTGATTTCTGCTATCATAAGTAATTATAATATTCTTTTTTTATAGAAATATACAAATATAAAATGCTAAAAAATCATAAATTTTATATAAAATATCATAAATTTCCCATTAGGCAAAAGTAAAGACACATTTCTCTGCTTCAAAAATCTCAAAGACCCTCTCTCAACTGTCCTAAAAGCAGAACTAATAGAAAAATTTCCTCGAGAAGACCATCCAGACAACCCCTTATCCCAAGCAATCAATATGTTTTGCTTTAGTGAAGGAATTATATTAACCAAAGAACAAGAAGCTCCAAAGGTATTTTCTTTTATTTTATCATCAGCAAATGAATCTACCGGGAGGGTTAAAAAAATGTATGTGACTTGTCTAATATTTTACGAACAAATCAATGAAAAAATTTCAAATATTTTATACCTTTACCTATAAAAATAAAAAATTATTTTATTATTAATATAAAATCCTATTTAATTATATAGAAAATACATATTCTACAAGACGCCACAAATAAAGTGTATATGCCCAAAGCGATTTGTTTAATATCAAATTGGCCTTTTATTGACCAATACCGAGAAATTTTGAAGCAGATTTATAGGCTACATTTATCCACTTATGAAGTTCCAATTGAAAGGGTTATTTGTAATTTAATACAAGAAGTGCCATTACCAGATCAAGGAGTGACCACAGTACAATATTCCATTGGTAACAAAAGACTATATTTTTCTCGGCCTCCTCCTAAATATTTGCCTTATTTGCCTGACACCTGTCTAGAGTACCTATTTAGGTGTCTCCCTATAAATGACGTGGTTTCAGTATGGAGCTGTGTACTTGTGGAGAGAAAAGTCCTATTGATTTCTCAGCACAAGGCATTATTGACCTATACCTCAATAGCCCTAACCCAGCTGATTTTTCCATTCAGATGGGAACAAGTCCTTATCCCAATTCTTCCAATGCCACTGAAAAATTATATAGAGACAATTTTCCCTTATATTATTGGTGTATCCCCATCTATGATTACTAAAGAACTTGAAATCCCAGTCGACGCTGTTAAGGTTGATTTGGATACAGGCAGAATTGAAAGTAGAGAGCCACTGCCAAGGCTTCCTGATAAACTACAAAGAGGCTTAATAAGCAGACTAATGAAGTGTGCTAATATTTATTCACCTAAAGATCCTATTCGAGAAACAGCTGATGAAGCTTTTGACTCTGTTATAAGGGACTTAGAAGAGTGTAATTTTAATCCTTATCAGATTAAAGACGCATTTATTGAGTTTTTTGCACATTTGTTGAAGAATTATCAGAGGTATTTTTTGATGCCGAATAAAACAGGGGATAAAGTAGCGGATTCTAGGCAGTGTTTTAATACTGCAGAATTTTTAAAGGAGTTTTGGGAAATTATCCTTATTTTTCTGTCATTTTTATCTTTTTTTTATATAAAATTTAGCTTAAGTATAATAAAATAGTATTTAAATTAATTAAAAATGGTATAAATTATCACAAAAGTAACAAACCTGAAAACTTTTTGTTTAAGGTAACAGAAACCTCACTATTTGCAAGCTTCATCGAAAGCCGCTATTTTCCTACTGACAACCAATACGAGCTTAACTATTTTGATGACTCAAGTCGGTTTAAAAGGACTAAAAATGACCCATTTTTCGTAAAACCATATTATCCTCAAGAGACCCTCCCAGCTTTATACGCCAATGATATCGGCTTTGAGCCTGGAATGGTCTTTCAATACGACAGTTTTCCACGTCTAAATGAAAGCAATTTCATTGAGCCCCGGCGCGTCCAACAGCTTGCTGTAAACGCAGCCCCAAAGCCCACTTTACTACTAAAAGACGACATGTTAATGAGAATGACCCAAATTGAATGAGGAAAATTCTTAATGACCACAATTTATCGAGTCTGGTTTATGGCTTTCACTGCTTGTATGCCACGATATAAACAATACTCCGACCAACTAATGGACTTAGCCCTTTGCATTATGGACACTATGAAGAAAAACGCTAATAAGCCTGACGAAGAAATCTATAGAAAATTAATTGAGGCATGTGGGCATTGTGGGCTCAGAGAAAGGGTTTTATCATTATTTAAAAGAATGAAAAACCAAGGGATCGAGCCTGATGCCTGCACACATGGAGTTTATGTAACTGCAGTTGCAGAAGGCCAAGAACTGCAAAAAGAAGCAGAAAATGTTCTGAGTTTAAGCGATCTGCCACCAGGAAGTATATGTTTAAGCTTAGATATGAATAATTGTATGTATGTAGCTGAGGATAATTGTCCTAATTGTTCAAATACCTTAGAACAGGAAGATATTATGATGGGATGGGAACGGTCATATTCAAATTATACTACAAAATGTCCACAGCCGAACTGTGAAGCAAAATTTGTGGCGAGGTTTTTAGTGATTTTGGATAAAAATATTGAAGCTTCTAATACAGTTTCGGTTGAGTTTTTAAGCCCACCGATTATCAGGAAAGAGCTGGAAAATCTTATATATACTCATGGAGAGCGAGCTTTGCTGGCTAAAGACTTGTGTGATAGACATAAAATTTTATTCTGAAACATGGCCTTAAATTTTGATTTGCTAAAACTCCCCAGCTTTTTCTTAAACCCTGGCCTTGATATGGAATCCCTTCCTGAAATCATCGCTGAAAGCTTAAAGCAGCCAAAATACCCTTCAAAAGAGAAATCCCCTTCAAAGCGGCCAGAAAAGCCTAATCGTGATTATGCCTCAAATTCAGTTGACGAGTCTATCTCTGACTCCAGCAGTATCAGTGGGGCCAGCTCCACTTCAAATGCTTCATATACAGGTTTTGTGGATAATAAAATCTTTGGATTTATGAACAGAAGAAATAAATCAAGGACCTCCAGCATTGCAAGCGACAACCAGTCCACTAAAAGTTCGATAAAAAATATGAGCTTGAAAAAGCTTTTCCAGCCTTATATAGAGAATTTCAGGAACGAAAATCATGAAAAAGTAATGAAAAGTCCTTATAAAGAAAGAATGGAAAATGAAGGATATGATGAGCATATAAATCAAGAAATCCCAGAAATGCCACAGATGAGGAGTATGAGTAGGTCGTAAGCAGTTTTATGATAATGTTAAGGTTAATTTAATATGATAAGTTTAAGCAATGCTTTATTTGTGAAAAATAAATGAAAAATTCATATTTAGAGTGATAATAAAGTTATAGAGAATTTTCAGCTAATAATGGCATATTTAACTTGAAAGTTTTTATGCATAATAAAATGGCTCAGTGTGGAATTAGTTCTCTCTGAGAACTATTCCTTCCTTCGCTTTTATTATTATAGGGTTCAGTTTTCCACATGGACCTTTATCCACAACACCAATATGGAGTATTGCATAGGGTATTTCTTTGGTCTAGGATATTAAGAGGCATATGGTTTTCTGCTTAATAAACCCGAGGAGGTGATCCTTAGGTGGAACACGCGCAGGAGTCAAGTTCGGGCGAGGTAACACGATAAGTGTGCCTTCTGGCCTGACGGGTGCGTCTTCTGGAATGCTGGATAGACAAGATGGCTGCTGACATCACCAGTTGGAAGCTAAAAGATGAGCTTATGCATGCCTAAATCATCCTGCTGAAGAGAAAAGACACTTTGGGTACTTTAGCTAAGTAGTAAGAAAGTTTTTATGCACAGAGCAAAATTCTATTAAATCGCTTTAAGGGAAAGAATTTTGCTTAAAATGATTTAGTTATTTCTAATAAGAAGAGTTGCTTATTATTCAAACAAAGTGATGGAATGGTGGATGTTAATAAATATGATAACTAAAGTATTCAGACGATTTAGTCTTCTCAGTGATCGCTATGCACAGACAATTTTTAAAGCAGCTGGAGAACATGGAGAAATTGAGAAGGTTTCAGAAGATATGAAGTTTATCACTGAACTCCACAATACATCCCCTGAATTCAAAGCAATTCTTGTTGACCCAACCATAAAGAAAACTAAAGTCAATGAAATCTTACTCATTATCATATAGAAAAAGATTTTTTTTTTTATATATTTTATTTAAGAATTATTTATGGGTTTATTCGAGATTCTTTTATAGCAAGGTTAGAAGAACTCGGAGACAAAGCTAATTTCACTGATACCACTAAATCTCCCTTCCGCTAAATTGGAACAAATATCAGTAAAGTTTCCATTTTGGCAGGAATTACTGTGACATTTTTCATTTTTCACGGCAAAATAAATTTTATTTAAATAACTCCTGCACCAACTTGACGCAGCAAAAATCTAATTAGCATATAATTATTCTATTTCAAATAGTTACGTAAGCAGAATTTATTTACACAAACTTTGCATCTTTTATTTCATAAACAATTTCTTTTTAAATAAAGGTAGTAAGAAGCTCATCCAACTTTTACTAGTCAGCAAGCGTCTATTTGAAATCCCAGATATCGCAAAAAGCTTTGAGAACCAATTAAAAGAAAGAGAGAAAAAGGAAACAGTCAAAGTAGTATCAGCCACTCCTTTATCTGACACTGAAAAGCTTGATGTCCAAAAAGCTTTACAAGATCACGATAAGACAAAGAAATACGAGCTTAGTTATGATGTTGACCCAAGCATCCTTGGTGGGCTTCAGCTTTATTATCCTACTGCTTTCATGGACTTGTCTCTGAGATCAAGATTAGCGAAGATCAAAGAAGAAGTCGGCAACTTGGCCGTCTAGTAGTTAATCTAACAAGAAGATTAATCTTGAATTAAATATTAAGCTAGCTACCAGCATCTCTATGACAGCTTATTATTCGCGATAATTAAAGGAATAACCTATTTTTATTCATGAATTATAAGAAGTAGTCTGGAGTTTTTCTTACTTGGTTAGGCTCATTTTGCTTACTCCCATCTTTAGAGGAGCTAGATTTTTATATTCCTTCTTAAAAGGGGAAAATTATTTTTTAAAAAAATCCTATAAATATCAAAAAAAATTTCGATATATTTTTTTAATTTAATTTTATTAATTTATTTGAAATGCAAGATGTCTTTAAATACTCTTTATAATAATTAATATATATAAAAATATTTTCTCTAAAAACTTATATTAAAAATTTTTCTTTTAAACATTTTTCCAATGGTTTTACTTACTCATTCTTTAGGGGAAATTAGGATCTGGGTCAAACTGAAGGAAAGTATATTTCAAGTTTTCATCAATTTCTAAGATGCAAGCTTGGTTTCCACATCTATAGCAGTAATTAGGCGCTGAAAAGATCGTAACAACATGTCTTTCATGCTGCCAGTCATAGCCTGGCATTACTAGCTGATGAGCCCTCGCTATTAAAGTCAGGTTATTGGTATGGTTGAATTGCTCTGAAATATCTTTGCCAAATGTATATCCAGCTCCACGAGGTGAAATACCCCATCCGCATCTCCCATCTGGGTCAGACCATAATAAATCACACATTGGCCCTTCGTGTGGGACTTCTTGTATTCTATCGAGCTGTCTGATATGATCTAACGTATAAAATTTTCCCTTAAATTTCCCAATATGATTTTTAAAAGAAATTTTTATCAATTTATTTTAAATACAAATTTATATCAATAGAAGGCGACAATCCTCCATGGAGACAAAAAATTTGGCTTTCAATAAGCGCTGTGACCGGCAAATAATCAAAAAGATCAGTGAAATATTTCCAGACCGCTGCATTTCCGTATTTCCTCATACATTCATCATAAAACCCATAAACCTGCGTAATTTGTCTTGATTCGTGATTTCCACGGGTAATGGTAATGCGGTCGCGATATCTGACTTTTAAGCAGACTAACAAGGAGACTGTTTCGACTGAGTAGTATCCTCTGTCAACATAATCGCCAGTGAACAAATAGTTAGTATCAGGCGCTTTGCCACCAATTCTGAATAATTCTAGCAAATCAAAGAATTGGCCATGAATATCTCCGCAGACTGTGACAGGACATTTGACAGCTTGGACATTTGATTCTTCAGCAAGGATTTCTTTGGCTTTTTCACATAAAAGTTTGATCTCGAGCTCTGCGAGAGGCTTGCATTGCATGAGATCAGTGATGTGGCGATCGAATACGTCGATCTCGAGGCTTGAAAGTCCTGACATTTAAATTATTATCTCCATTGAAAATGCTTATTATACTTGGATAGTGGTTAAAGGAATTTTGCAACAAGTAAGGAATATTTTTATATATGAGCTTGAAATTCATTTTAATAGAGAAATTTGGTATTATTACTCTGTTCTTTTAAATTGGAACAAAATATCGGTAAAATTTCTAATTTTTGGATAAATTAATCATTTTAAATAGGAACAAAATTTAATCTTTTAGATTAGGTTAGGTTATTAAAGACAGGTGCTAGCCATGCTGGTGACGCAGTCACCAAAAACCTCCAATACGGAAGGTTCTACAACTTTTACAATCCAGCCCAGAGGGTCTATCCCCTGAAAGTGGGTGCCACTCTGGTACCTTCTGTCTCCTCTTTGCCTTGCGGCTTCAGTCTTGAGTGGTAGGCTATGGATTTAGCCATGTGAAAGGTGATTGGAGTAGCTTGACTCCATGGATCAGCTCCTTGAGTCTATTGGGTGTTGAAATGCTTTTCTTCGACAGCTACAGGGAAAAGACTGCTTCCTATGGCCTGGGCCGAAATTTTTCATTTTTTTTAAATTTTGCATAGCTTTGCTTTTTTTGAAATTGTTTGCACTTCTTCCCAGTGTTTTTGCAAAACTTGCAAAAATTTGCAAGTTTTGCATTTTTTTGCTTGGCTTTTCCATTTTTTTATTGGCCTTGCCGTTTTTGCAGCGCCTTGCAATATTTTTGCCGTCCCCAAAATGTCTCCAATTTTTTTTTTTACAAAAATTTTTAATCCGCGGTCCTTGATCGAACGACGGGGGTTAATTCGATCAAGTATGGGGGAGTAATTAAATTTGATACTTAATTTGATTTTGCCAAACTAAAATTTTATCTATAGATAATTCTATATAAAGGGAAAGAGAAGTAAAGCACCATATAGGCAAAGTTATCATTTTGGGTCGATTAATTTCTTAATTGATTTTTTAAAAATTTTTTATTGATAATTGATATGGTTGATTAAAATTCAAAAAGTGCCCCATTTGTACTTTTTTCATACCAAAAAACCATTTTTGAAAAAATTACAGTAGGTTTTAGAAGGGGGTTGAAAAAAGTACAGTGTGCTTCATTTAACTTCACTCTAAAATAAGTCCATAAATTGAGCAGTTCCAATTTAAAAATGGGAAGCTAGGGAATTTTTTATATATTTTAAGATGTATTAGAATTATTTTGCCAAAATGTATAGCGATGAGAATGGATTTAATATAAAGAGCACTTTATAAATTAAGCGGGCTCCTTAATATATATCGATAGCAGCCTTTTCTCTATTATTAAATTTATGCAAGTTATTTGCTGACACTGACACTTAATAATTATAAAAAAAGATCATTGTGAATAAAGATGCTGCATTATGCAGCGATTGGCTGAATATTTTTCAGGATATTTAAGCTGAAATATGGCTATTAGCACTATTGGAGACTATATGAGCTATTATGATAAAGATTTATAAATTTCTTTTTTTTAAATTATATTTTATAAGAAATTGATCCTCTATCAAATAAAAATTCATAAACTCCTCCATTTTTATGAGTAAAATACAATTTATCATCATAAAAAATCCTTTGAATCGGATATTGCTTTTAATACATATATTAATATTTTTTTCTTATTAATCTAAATAAAAATCAATCATTTCATCAAGATATAGCAGAAGTTGGGCAATGAGGCACTTGTTACAGAAACCCATATGTTTTCATCACCTCTATTACTTTCATAAATTAATCCTTGGCAATCAATTATATAGGCCTTGCCTCTAGCTGACATCAGAATTTTTGTGGAATCTTTTACTATATCTATATCAATAATTGAGTAATTTTCTTCTTTAATATTATATCGGTATAATTTGTCATGGTTTATACCAGAAAATAGCAAATTTTCATTAAATGGCAGACAAGAGCATAGGGATGATGGCTCAGGAATTGGAGGTAAAAATATTCATTTTCTTTCAATTAAATCAAATTTTAAAGCAATTGGCAAGTCTCCAGTAGTATCTTGCCCTCCAAATATATATACAGAATTGTTATAATAAGCTGAGCCTGAATTATATGAACTAGGACCTTCAGGAAGGATTTGGATTCTGCTATTTATTACATTATAAATAAAACAGAGCCCACTGGGTATCCCGTTTTCTTCATTTCCATATAAAAATAATTCATTGTCTGGCATATAAGCTATTGAAGTGCTTAATAAATTTTTTTGAATTTCCAGTTTTATTTCCTCTTTTTCTAGTTTTTCTATACATTATTTTATTGAATTATAATATAAAATAATCAAGCAATCGTGCTCGGAATAAATATTTTTTATATACAAATTAGTCTATAGCAATATATATTTATTGATTGAAGGAAAGTTTCTCTAGATTTTTCTCCATTAGCCAATACTTCTCTAGTTTTAAAAGAAAATAATTTTCCCATATTAAACGCTTGTATATTCCTGAAATTATTTTGATAAAAAAAATCTTTATATCTCTGCACTTTCTCATGACTATGAGAAAAAGATTTATCAAGATTTTCACAAATTGCTAAATCGCTGTCTAGGTCATTTAGAATATTTATTGCTCCTGTAATTTCCTTATTTTTTTTGGCTTGGTTTCTATAGCTTTGAACCCATACTATATTGCTTTGTAGTTCACCTTTAATTTCTTCCAGCTTACGAAAACAGTAATAAATTCTTTCTTCAATACTTGGGATTTCACACATTTCTTGGCTATTTGACATAGTAATAATTTCATGCAAAGATCTAGTCCACTTAGTTATATCTTTTTCAAGAGCTCTAAGCTCACTTAAAGATTTCTTTATATTTTCAGAAGATTCTACTAGGCTTGCAGCTAATATTGAAAGTTTGGCAGGGCAATTGATTTTTACATCAACCCAAAGGGTAGCACCACATCTTTCTGTAGCCATATGGTCTAAAGCTTGTGAAGAAAAATTGTATCTTGTTTCTAATGATTTTATTAATCCTTTTTGGTGGTCAATGTAGCCACTTAATTTTTGGATTTTTTCATTCATTTCATCAATATAACTTTTGTATTTTTTCTCAATTTTTTCAATATGCAATTTTTCTTTTTCAAATTTTTCTATTTTTTCGTGCAGTATTTTATTTTCGTTTTCCAGCTTGTTGATCCTAGTATTAGTCGATTCAAATTCTTTTTTAACTAGGCTTTTTACTATATAATCGATTTCTCTATTTTCATCCATTTCATTAAAATACTCATCATTTTGAATTAAATTTTTTTATTTATTTTATTATATTTATGCATTAATTTATATTAATTTTTGCATTATTATAAGAGCGAAATAGCTTTTTATTTGCCAATAATAATCAATAAATAATTAAAAAAGCATAAATTCTCTAGAGCTTCTTCAGGCGAAAGGACTAATAATTTCTTTAAAGGATCCTCTTCAAACTTGGTCACATTTTCTGTATTTCTGATCATTTCTATTATATTTTTAAGTTTTTTGGAATCTTCATGAATTTGTTTGCTTATACTTGTTCTTAGCTCCATAGAACGATTATACTTTTCAACTTCTTTCGCATAAATTTTTCTTGACATTTCATTTAATGAATTTATCTTTTCATTCAAAAAATTCACAATTACTTTTTTGGAGGTCTCATTTGGAATAAAATATAATTTTTCTATATGATGATTAGATGATGTTAATGATATGTGGTCTGCTATATGAATAGAGCATATAAAAGTTATTGGCTCAGCGCATCTGCAGATAAATTCAGGATGTTGGGAGCAATTTTCCTTAAAGCATAAGAAGACCTCCATATTTTATATACTTTTTATATAAGAATAGCTCTGTGTGTAGAGACCATCAAATAATTTTAAAATACTAAAGGTTTATTGATGCTGGTGAGCTATTCATTTATAGAAATTACATATTTTTTATATTAAATAAAAATAAATTCCCAACAACTCTATTAAAATTATAATTCACTTCTCATAATATATTAGATCAGATTATAAAAATCAGTTATATATATCATAACCTCTTAACTCCTATTGCTATAAGTCCTCAATTGTGGTAGCTCTGGAGGATGCTGAGGTTTATCTTCAACATATTCTTCTACTTCAGTCGAATCCATAAAACTTCCCGATCTCTCTCTTCTGATATTTCCAGTTCTAAACTCCTCAATAAAAGGCCCAAATAATTTTTTAATAGCCATATTATTCATCAAATTTTTTGTCGACATGTTTTCATTCCCTGCACTTGATTTTCTTTTTTTAATTAAACTGAAAAACCTTTCTCTAATAGTCTGAGGATTTGAATGAGAATTCGTTTCATTCGAATTTCCTTCTGATTGGTCTTCATTTGGCTTAGTAGTCTTATCCATTCTCAATTGACTACATATTTCTTATATTTCTATTAAAAATTATAATAAATTCATCCCAAAAACCATAGACAACTGATCATTTTTAGCTTCTTTTTCTTTACTGTCATTTTTTACATAATCTCTCACAAATTGTGGCAAATTATCAGAATTGAATGACGGGTCTATAAAAAAGTAAGGAAGCTTTAATAATTGAAAATTAAGGACCATATTCCAAAACAAGCTTTTGTATTTTTCACAAAAATCTTTAGAAAGCAAAATATTTTCACCGAAGGTGAAAATCAAGTTTTCTAATTCTTTTTGAATTAAAAGTGGGCTTAAATATTCGACATGAAGAGATCTATTGGTATCCATAAGTTTGTCAAGAATCACAGTGAACTTTGCAGTTAATTTGCCTTCACAGAAGTTTTTAGGGCATGCAGTGGTTGAGCTTGTATATGACCTGTCCCAGCCCATCATGATTTCTTCTTGGCTTAAAATGTATTCACAATTAGGACAAGAATTATGGATCATATATTTGCAGTTTTTTAAAGTCAAAGACAGGCATAAAGAATTTGCAGGGAATTCTTTAGAGAGAATTGTATTAATTTCATTTTGGAGTTCTTGGCTTTTAGCGACTGCTGTTACATAGACTCCATGAGTGCGCGCATCAGGCTCGATACCTTGATTTTTCATTCTTTTGAATAATGAAAGGACTCTTTCGTTTAGCTCGCAATGTCCACAGGCTTCTATGAGTTTTCTATACATATCTTCGTCAGGCTTATTTGTGGATTTTTTCATGCCATCCATAACATACAGAGCTAGATCAATTAATAAGTTGGCATTCTCTTTATATTTAGGCATGCAATGAGCGAATACAGTAATCCAGATTCTATATATAGTGGTCATTAAAAATTTTCCCCATTCAAGGGAGGATAATCGTACTAGCATATTCTTGATGAGATAAATAGATAATTGGGAATTATAGGTAGGATTGTATTTTATTATGGATTGAGATTGGCAGATTTTTAAAAATTATAGGTTTTTTTTTAATATCATATCATTTTTAAAAGCTAATTTAAGCTTTGGGGTAATAGTTGTAGCTAATACTTGAATAGGCCTTGGATCAATAAAATAAACATCATTTAGCCTTGGGAATCTTTCATATCGAAAAGAAAAATCAGACTCATAGCCAGTGTTATTCACAAAAAGAGACTGTATTGTTTCTCTATGACTGTAAGGTTTTACAAAATAAGGATCATTTTTAGATGTTTTGAACCTTGAGGCTTCATCGAAATGTGCTTTCTTTGATCAAACTGATCATTATATTGAAAAATTCATTATATTCTATAGAAAAATACTATAAATTTTATCTTACATTTCAATTTAGCCTTGCATATTCCAGCTCAAACTGGTTAGCTGATGAAAAAAAACCTCATAATTAAAATATATGGCGACCTCGGATTTTCTGGTCTTTCTTGACCGAAAATTTATCTCTTGAATATTTTAATTATGAGGTTTGGTTTCTATGGTGAAATTATCCAAGCTATGATAGGGAAGCAAGAGCCGGGCCGTTTTTCCTACAGGACTCCTGACCTTAGGGGATGGAATTTTCCAGAAAGGTACCACTTACCTAGGCCGTGGAGACTCTGACCTTTAGAGTGCCGTTCGGACACAAAAAGTGCCTGAGCTCAAAGAGAGTCGTCGAAGTCCAAACTTCAAGACTGGCTCCCATTAGATCAAAGCCTGACGTGGTCACACCTTTGGCAAGCCCTGAGGAGAATGAGAAATTCATCCCAGAGCTGTGTTGGGGGTAGTTGTGGACCAGCAACCTGTAGTGGACTTTGAATGTGTTATAAATAATTAAGATAAGATGAAAAGAACCTCGACTCAATAAATCCCGCAAATAAAGAAGTCTCAGTCAGCTTAAATAGTAGAGATTCCGGCTTATTGCTTTTATGAGAATTCAAAAAATCCTCCACGTTGAAGCAAGACCTCGAATTAATAATTTTTTCTATCGCTTTTGCCGGCAGTCTATAAAATTTTGAATAATTTTTCAATAAATGGGTCAAAAAATGCAAAAACGCATCCCTCACCTTCAGCACGTCAAAAACTTTGCTATCGTCTTCTTCTTTAATATAAGTGTCAAAAGCTTCATCAGCGACATATCTAATTCCATCCTGAAGGGAAAAAATATTTGCACAGTTCATTAAGGAATTGTAAAGCTGCCTTCTCAGCTTTTCTGGGAGTCTAGGGAATTCTTCTTTTGAGTCAATTCTCCCTTCATCTAAATAAACCCTAACTGCATCATAATGTTAGTTAAAACGATTATGCTGGCCCATAAGTGGATCTAGCCACTAGCCGCCTACCTTGACTCCAAAAGGTCACATTTTGGATTTCTGACCAGAAACAACTGCCCAGGGGATCAACTTCCTTGGGCAGAGCCATCGTCTATGAGATGCCACGATAGTCCTGATGAAAAAAGACTGTATTAGGTAAAAACCAAATCGGAAAAAGCCTGTGGCAGGAACAGAAAAACCTTTGAGGGAGAAACAAAACTTCCCTTTTCTGCAAGGCATCCCCAAGCCTCAAGGCCTACTTTAAAAAAGAACAGAGGCCCTGCTTTCAGCATCATCAGGATGGTTTCTACCTGCTCCAAGGGAGTTTGCCTCAAAGTCCACTTTCCGTCCCCATCACCATTTTATTTCATCTAGCCTCATCATAAGGAATTTCTACTTCTGACGTCAAAATTGATGGAGAGACTCCTATGATATAAGGGAAAATAGTTTCTATATAATTTTTCAACGATGCTGGGAGGATCGGGATAAAAACTTGTTCCCATTTAAATGGAAAAATTAAGCACTCCAGGCCCATTGCTGCATAAGTTAATATTGATTTTTGCCTAGAAATTAATAAAATTTTTCTTTCTGATAAGATGCAGCTTCATACATCAATGATTGAGTCTATTGAAAGAGATCTGAATAAATATTCTAAGCAGGAGCCAGGGAAATAGGGAAGATATTTAGGAGGAGGCCTAGAAAACTGTAAAGTTTTATTCCCAATTAGATTAGATTAAGCCGTTTGCCTTGCAGGCCGGGGATTCTCACCCCTACACGCTCACCGCCCCTAAGGAGCCTCGGCGGACACCCTCCTTGTTGCCTCAAACAAGGGATTCGCACCACCAGTCTTGACTTCCATGGCTTTTGGAGTCTAAGGGCCAACCACCTGGGTCGAAACTCCCAGTTTCTCGTTGGGCAAATACCGTCTTCAGGGTCTGAGAGGGTCATATTGCCCTCAAGCATTGGCCGACCTTGCCCTTTCCAATGGTTGTCCTGGAGGAAAAACTCCAAGTCCGAGGATTAGCTCCTCGGGCTCGAAGAAAACCCAGCCCGAACATACATAAAGGATTACCGGCCCCTTTCCGCCTAGATCTCCGACACTGGGCCGTTGCTTGCTGATGTTGAAGAAGAATAGGGTCAGAGGTCAGGTGGTCTGTCGTCACCATTTTTATGTATATGTAAAGCTTTATTCCCAATTGTATATTCCACAACAGTGATACCTTGGTCTGGCAATGGAATTTCTTGTATTAAATTACAAATTACCCTCTCAATTGGCAGCTCATAGGTAGAAATTGTCAGTCGGTAAATTTCTTTAACTCCCCCCCCCCCTCCGTGAGCGAACAAAACCATTAGAAAAATCGCCATTTTTTGACCAAAAACCCACCCTCCGTGAGTGAACAAAAATTTTTTAATAGAAAAAATTTTTAATGGAAAAAAATTTTGATATATAAGTGATAATTAGTATAATGAAATCTAGAGCTAATTCTGTTTAATTTTAAACAAATTGCGTTTTAAAACATAAATTTTGCAAATTAAATTAATATTTGCTTCCCAATTTTTGCAAATTAGGATTTTTTTAAATTTCGAAAAAAATATTTTTTATAAAATTTATATATAAATTTTTTTTAAAAAAAAAAATTAACCCCCCCTCCGTGAGCGAACAAAATTTTTTTGTTCGCTCACGGAGGGGGGGGGGGGAGTAAGAATTTCTTTATATTGGTCTATAAAAGGCCAATGAGAAATCAAGCAAATTGCTTTAGGCATGTAGACTTTATTTATTTCGTTTTGCATTATATACAGCTGATTTGATAGCTGCTCGCTTATTTGCTCATAAAAAATCAAAGCTGTAATATAAATTTTTGAGATTTGGCCTGTTTCTTCAGCAGAACTCAGCATAAATGAAAAGACTTTGGCAGTTTCTTGCTCTTTTGAGAGTTTTATACCTTCGCTGAATATAAACATAGGAATAGCTTGATTAAGCTCGTTATTACAGTGGCCTTTTCTTGGAAATTTTTCTATAAGTTCAGCTTTATAAGTGGTATGCATAGGGTCAATTTTTCTGAAGCAAAGCAAAGAGTCTTTATTTTTCCCCAAAGCGACGTTTATATAGGAATAACCTATTGGGATTTCAGCATTTTTATAGGACTGGCCATCTTCATTGATTTTGATTGTTGCAGTTACTAATTTTATATCAGAAATCGGGGGTTCTCCTTGAGAGTCAAATGTACTGAAAGTTAAAATAAGCTTTGTCCCTTCGAGGGGCTGGGCATTTAAGATAGGGCTGATATCGTAATTTCCTATATAACAATTGTATTCGTTTTCTCTGTGGCTGAACTGGTGAGCAGATTTAATTCCAATATAAATTGGGACTGGCTCTACACCCATACTTGCAGGGATTTTAATATAATCGCCTTCATATTGAAGGTATCATAAATCAATCTTACTTTTCTTATATAAAAAATGATTTTTTTTTTTGTTATATTTATATATATTATAATTAATATTTCACAATTTATTTTATTAAAAGAGTTAGAAATTGCTTTTCCATTCCACTCCGGTCGAATTTTTCCATTAAACCTTCCAAAAATGACTTCAAGTCACAGCATTTTCCCATCTCCATGGCCAATTTCAAATCTTTTAATAAATTCTGAATTTGGTGGTGAAAGAATTTCGTTTTCGTTGATAATTCTTAGACGGAGATGGGAGACTATATTTTCATTTGCAGACACTTTAGTTGAAGAAGTGCTTTCTGACTGTTTACTAAAGGTAAATGTAGGGGATTGAGATAGAGGGAGTTCTTCGCCAATGCCGTATACAGCAAAGTAATCAAATAGCTTGGATGTATCCATTTTAGTAAGTACAAGAGATTTATTATTTCGTCTTTTTTTAAATTGGATCTGATTTATCTTGTTTGTGAATATAGTTTTTTTATGTGAATTTATAAAGGTTGTAGGAAAATGACAGTGCGATAATTATTTTTAAAATAGTGAACGATTTTTGACTGGGCAGAAAATGAAATTATAATCTATCAATGGAGTTATATATTAAGAGCTTGGAATAATAAGTTTTCTTTTTGTGAAATCATAACTAAATATAGTTTTATGATTCTATATAGTGAGAGAGATAGGATTATTTTTATTTTATGACCTGTAGAGCTCATGCTCATATGGTGTTAAAAACTAAAGTTGTATAGCACCCTTTTGCTATAGATCCATAAAAAAATAAATTTGCCAATCTAATGGTAGACTTATTCAGGCCTGCTTTAGATAAGAATTTGAAGTAAGGTCTCTTTTGACCCTGATAATACTCAGTGAATGATTGAGATGCCCAATGCTTCATCTGAAATATCTCGCCATTTGAGAAAAAAATGCTACTTCAGAAGCGTGTGCTGATAATGTTTCTCTGGTATCTTGCATGTCAGTCGAAGAGAAAAGCCCAGTTAGCAGTTAAAATTTGCCCTTTACCATTCTCCAGGTATGAGCATGTAGGCCCTTAGGTGAGGAATCAAGTCTTGCAAATCGGCTTAGAGCCATTTCACCAAAAAGGTCAATTTATTTGATATAGTCAGAGAGAACAAATTAATTACTTGAGGTTTAAAATTTTTTAATAAAAAATTCTTGATTTGTGACTCAAAGTTTTTAAGATCCTTTTTAATTTTTTGAATTGATATATTGAAGAATAATAAATCTCAGCACCACCTATTTATCTGTTTAAGAAAATAATATGAATTTATGTCATTTTATTTAATTATGAAATATTTATTTTTTAGATCAGCTAATTAAGGGCATTATCTAAATTATTATATTCAAAATCTAATTAAATCTTTTTGAATCATTTATTCCTCGTCTGCATTCTTCTAACTTTCAGCTAATTTTACAGTATAGAAAAGTATTTTTATCAGACTGACATCATCTTGCCTTTCATTTCTCTATTATATAAGCTTTCTAAATCTAATAAAAGTCTTGCTTCTTTTGATAACTTTTTTCTTAAAAATTTCCTTTCACATCATAATTATTTCAAGCTTCTACCAAATTAATTGCATCTCGCCTTATATATATATCTTCCACATCTTTTTAAATTTTTATTCTCTAAAGTAAATATTTCTTCATTTATAAAAATAGCACGTGTAAAAATGGCTCTTCACATATGAATTGCATTTTTCATTTTTGGTTGCGCATATAGTCAAGATTCCTCCTCAATTGAACCAATCAGTGAAATTTTGGAAGAAAATGACGTTTGGGTTTTATCTGATTCAAATTTTGAAGACGCCTTAAATGCTCAGCCTAACCTCCTAGTAGAATTTTATGCCCCTTGGTGTGGCCATTGCAAAAACCTAGCTCCTCACTATGCCAAAGCCGCTTCTAGACTAAAAGATAGCATCCCTCCTATCAGAATTGCCAAGGTAGATGCTACAGTCAGCAAAAATCTCGCCGAAAAGTATGGTGTAACCGGATATCCTACTTTAAAATATTTCGAAAATAAAGTACCAACTAATTATGATGGAGGAAGAACAGAAGACTCAATTGTCACTTGGGTTTTAAAAAAATCAGGCATAACTTATACTGTTATTAGTGACTATTTCCATTTACAAAGAAAGCTTGATAAAGCTAGAGTCGCTGTTGTATTATTCTCAAAGCTTGACTCTCCTGAACTGAGGCATTTTGATTACGTCACAAAATACTTAGAAGGCGTCGAATTTATAGTTTCTACAGACCCAGTAGCACTGGCCCGTTTTGAGACCAAAGAGCCTTCAATTATCCTTTTCAAACAATTTGACGAAAAAAGAAATAATTTTGATGGAAAATTCAAACATGCAGAAATCGCTAAATTTATAGAGAAAAATAAAAAACCACTTGTAAATGAGTTTAATGATGAAGATTGGAGAAAAAGTTTTGACGAGAAAATCCCTGTTTTTCTTTTAATTTGTAATAAAGATGACTATGAACAGTATAAAGAAGACTTGTATGCAGTTGCCAAAAAATATAGCAAAAATATGATGTTCTTGTATGGGGATATTTCGGAACAAAATAATGAAAATTTAAAAGACTTTTTAGGATTAGAAGCCAGTGCACAGCCAGCAATAGCAATTATAGATAAAGGAGAAATAAGCAATAAGTTTATAAGCTCAGAAATCCCAACTGAAGAAAGCATGAAAAGCTTTATTAAAAAGTGGAAAAAGAAAGAAATTGAGCCAAGCTATAAGTCACAAGAACTGCCTGCTAAAAATTATGTAAAAAATGTCAGGGTTTTGGTAGGTAAAAATTTTGATGAAGTTGTGCTTGATAAAACTAAAGACGTTTTAGTGTATTTTTATTCTCCTTATTGCAGCCACTGCAAAGATTTTGAGCCTGTATACCAAGATCTTGCTAAAAAGCTCAGCCATGTCCCATCACTTGTGCTTGCTAAAATTGATTATACCCAAAATGAAGCAAAAGATCAAATAATTAAAAGTTTCCCGACTATTAAATTCTTCCCTGGAAAAAAGAAAAAAGGAATTGAATACGAGTCCTCAAGGAACCTTGAAAGCCTTTTACAGTTCATCAAAGAAAAAGCTAGCTTTAAGTTTGATGAGTCTAAGCCAGATCTTTAAATAAATATATCCATTATAAAAAATTGGCAGATTTACCTTATTTTCTTATATAAAATTGTTAGTAAATGCTATATTTATTTTAAATAAAAATTTTTTTTAGTAAATTTTTTTAAATTAATAATGAAGCAAAAATTATTCGTTTAATTTTTGCTTGCGGATTAATCTTGGATCTTTTAATTGTAAGGCTAAACCAGTAAAAGACTGTTTAGCGACACTAATGTATTGGTTTGGGTTGAAATGTGTAGGAGTAATAGAAATATTTTTATGAGTAGGACTTGGAGTAATATATTTATTTGACTTTGATTTAAATTCTCTTTTGGTTGTTGATTCATATTGTCCGTCATATTTGTACATAGAAGGAATTGAAGTGGATTGCTGGACTTTCCGCTTGTGGTCAGGAGTTAAACTTTTGCATATGTAGCTTTGATTATAAATAGTAGTTCCATCAAATTTTCGCTTACTCCCCCCCCCCCCTCCGTGAGCGAACAAAACCATTAGAAAAATCGCCATTTTTTGACCAAAAACCCACCCTCCGTGAGTGAACAAAAATTTTTTTAATAGAAAAAATTTTAATGGAAAAAAATTTGATATATAAGTGATCTAGAGCTAATTCTGTTTAATTTTAAACAAATTGCGTTTTAAAAACATAAATTTTGCAAATTAAAATTAATATTTGCTTCCCAATTTTTGCAAATTAGGATTTTTTTTAAATTTCGAAAAAAATATTTTTTATAAAATTTATATATATAAATTTTTTTTAAAAAAAAAAATTAACCCCCCTCCGTGAGCGAACAAAATTTTTTTGTTCGCTCACGGAGGGGGGGGGGGGGGTTTATGATAATTAATAATATAAAAAATATTTTTTAATATAGCTCAGGAACTTATTTAGATGGTCCTGGGCTGGGAGAATACAGTAGAACTCCTCAAGTTAGTTCTCCAGTTCAAGCTGGCGAGATAGCCGGGAGGCAAATAAGCCTTATACTAGGGAATTTTGTTAACTCTTCGAGTTGGTTTATCAGCTTGAGTTAGAGAATCAACTCGATGAGTTGTGCTGCATTCTCCCAGGCCAGAACCTTCTAAATAGGTTCCTGGGCTATATTAAAAAGCTAAAATCTTTATTTTATAATAAAATGATAACACTGCAGAAATAAAAGCATTTATCTTTTCTAAAAAGCATAATTATTTTTGGTTTTTTAGGTGAAACATCTGACGGGCTTTGAGTTGGTCCTCAGTTAGGAAAGTCTGCTTGGTATTGAGATCTTCCTAAAAACCTTAAAGAAGCAGAAAAATCATTTTTTATTGGCGTTTTCGATGTTTGTGATAAATCATACGGCTTGTAGTCGATTTCATTCGTAGTTTTTTCTGTCATTTTGTAAAGTGTTGGCTTAAAAGCAGAAGTCACTCTTTTTGGAGGACTGGATGGACCTGGCGACTTAAAATCTTGCTTGTACTGAGAAGTAAACGTAGCTTTTGGGTACAGTTTTAGTCGTCTTGCAGGGCAGGTATGATTACCACAGCTGCACAGTGAACAAATGCATTGATGATTTTTATGGTCTGATTCTGTTATCAAATCCAAGGATTCATCATCAAGTATGCATTTTTGTGCTCTTGCTGTCTTTGGAGTATTTTTGCTCATTTCTATTGTTTACTACAAATGAATTTTAAATTAAATTTTGAATCTCTCTAAGAATTGACTTATAAAGTATTCCTATTTATCCACAAATGTTTTTAAAAAGATGGCTACTGTCTTATTTTATATACAAATAATAATCTTAATAACAATAATAAATGTATTTTATCTTTAAAATAAGCATAATTTATTAATTAAATAAATACAATTGATGGAAAACTATTATAAAATCGCATTTTCCTCTCCATCTAACTCAAAAAACTTATATTTTTTTCCACAATGTGGACAAGTTTCTCCATCAGCTTTTCTTGTTCCACATGATAAACAATGAGTGCGAAATCTCGCCAATAAAATCGGAGTTAATAAATTTCGGTCCTCCAATAACTGAATTTGGTCTATTCCACCAATACATATATTTTCTACCAAAAGAATTGGTAAAAGATCCCGTTTCCAGGCTTCTATTTGATGTTTTTCTTTTGATAAATCAATTTCTTTAAATTCGACTCCTTTTGCTATTAGAATTGTTCTTATCCATTCAGTTTTAGAATTCATAAGTCTATTGCCACTCATAGAAGAAAATACAAGGGTTGTAATGCAGTTTTTTGGCTTTTCTTTGGATTTGGTTTTTCAGGCTCTTTGAATTCTTAAAGCTGAGAGCTGCTCTTCTGTTAGAAGGGAATTGAAATGAGATTTCGTAGATGGCACGCTATTAGATGAACCCATTTTTCTTTAAATTCTCAGAACTATAATAATTATGGGCTTATTGGTCAAAAAATTTTCTTATTATTGTCAATATCTTCTAATTAATGAATTATTTAAATAATTAAAATATATTAACTATTGAAGATCCAGGGTTGTAATATTTCTGATATTTAATTAATATACCATTTTTAACATAAATACCAACATTTTATTATCATTATTTTATTTATCTATCATACAAAGCCAATTTATTATTTCATATGTTTTTTATTAACCTTAATTCTGTGATTTTTGGCTTTAAATTTTCTCACTTAATTTTGCTTCACAAATTTTTAAAATTGTACGATGTGAAATTATTTGAATTATGGATTATAAAATGGAAGCCTCTCCTTTGAAGGACACAAGCTTAAAGCTGTCTGACGATGAAGTGCATATATTGACACCAATTCCTAAGAGAGCTTTTTCCCTGCAAGCTTCCCCATTTTCCCAATCTGTACTTTCTTTGTCCCCAATAGGGGCATTGCCATCTCAAGCTTCTTTTTATAACCAGCTGTAAATTCTAATCAGTAATTTTACCCCAAAAACCTTATGGGCTCCAATCGGTAACCTATCTCCTCTTAATCAAGAAGACTCAAGGCTTGATTTAATATCAACCTCGACCCGCTTTATTCAAAAGCTGGATTTTTCCAAAGTTATTGACGGCAAAGCTCGTTTTCGAGCAAGCTCACTAACTGTTGAAGTTAACGTACAAGACGAAATCAAAGATGATAAGGCCAAGTTTTTTTAAAAATAATATATAAAGGTATTTTCTAGATAAATAATTAAAAAATTTAATAAAAAATAAGAATTTTTCTATATAAATTATTTTAAGCCCAATGATAGCATACTACTTACTTCATTATCGACCTCAAAACCTAAAAAGCGCCCGCGAAACGAAATTAAAATAGAAACCAAGACTTGTTGTAATTGCCAAAAATCCAGATGCTTAAAATTATACTGTGACTGCTTCGCAGCAGGATCTTACTGTGAAGGCTGCAACTGTGTAGAATGTTATAATGTTTTTGAGCACGAAAACATAAGAGCAAGTCACATTAATGCAATTTTAGAAAAAAATCCGAAAGCGTTCAAGCCAAAGTTTAAAACTCTTTTAATAAAAGGAGAGTCTAAGGCTGTACATAACAGAGGCTGCAACTGCACAAAATCAGCCTGTTTGAAGAATTATTGTGAATGCTTTCAAAGAGGAATTATATGCGGGGAGAGTTGCCAATGCTCTGGGTGCCAGAATGACGTGCCTTGTGCAAAGAAAAAAAATCAAGTTGATAAGGCAATTATCTCGTAATTAAATTATGCAATTACATATATAATGCTCTGATGAAATTTATATTCTTAATTTTATTTTAGATTTTAAAGGAATTTTTGATATCTTTTATGTTATCATCTTTATATCTATTTAGCACTCCCGAGATATTTTTTTTAAAAGAGGATGCTCTTTTTCTTAGAAACTTATCACCGAGTTTCATAAGCTGATGTCAATCTTCTATTTTAAACTGGGCTTTAAATATGCTTAAGCATATTATTTAAAATTTTTTATCATAAAAAATTAAAATGAAAGCTAATTTTTAAGCATTCTTTAGTTGCAAATCCGAAAGTAGAAATCTAGAGGCTCTTGATTGCTTCGCTATTTTTAAACAGTAAACACCTTTAAAATCAGAAAATTTTAGCTTAAAATTCAATATTAGAAAATTTAGACTATGCAATTTTATTAACCAATAATTGTTCATTTATCAAAGAAGACGTTTTCCTTCATAAACTTAGTCTCTTATTAAATAAGATTTCTTTTCAAAAACGATGCTTTGAATATAATATTTTAATATTCCTTATATCTCGCCTGATTCATAATTCTTTTTTCCAAAAGGCAAAGATATAAATCGTGATATGATTTGTGGTATATGGTGCTTTGTCATGCCTTATGGCAGAAGAATAAAATTTTGATAAATCTATGATAATTTTAAGCTAAAATATTACAATCAATGAGATTGAATGAAACTGTATATGAAACTATAGTCTTATTGGACCCTAATGCTTCCCTTGCAAATAATTCAAGGTATGGAGAGATTAATAATTATACTTGCATAATTGAATTAGGAGCATATGACTCCCCTCCATACATTATCAAAATTTATTTGCATGGTCAAGGTGAGTTTTTTCAATTTTTTTTAAAAAACATTGGAAAGCAAAATTATTCTTTGAATACAAGTCGTTTTGAATTCAATAGATTCATTATAATAATTATCACTTAAATGCTAAAATATTTTTTATAAAATTTATAAGATGAGTCTTTATAAAATATAGGGACTTTTCTTATTGCTTTGCAGGTAGGCAGGTAAGTTAGAACAAAATTATATATTAGCTTTGAACTATACTTATGCAGATTTAATACAACACATATAATTAATTTTTATGGCTAAATATTGGCCTTATCTAGCTAAATTTTATTAATTAAGCTAAGACAGCTGAAATAAGATGAAATTAGCTGTTTTTCAATAATAAAAATTAAAAATGCATGTGGACACTCGACTTGAGCGGTGACTAAAAGCTTTGAAATTTATTGGATGGGCTGGTGTCGTAGCATCAACTATTTTGGCTGCTTTATATCTAGAAGAAGTTATTTCAATATGATGGAGTATCATAGTCCTCCCTTTATTAATCCCGCTTATTATTTTTCCTATCTACTTAAGCTTGAATTTTACTTATTCTCAACCTCAAATGAACACTACCTCTGAATGGATACTTATGCTCCTTGCCTATAACGGAACTGCGTCTCTAAGGATTTTTTTAATTTTATCTTCATTTTTACTTGATGAGCTCATAGATACTCCTTGAACGGTTGTTTTTATACCATTTTGGTACCTATTATTTATTTATCTAGCATTTTGTATTTATATCTGTCCGGGACTGACACATAAAGATGTGAATATGAAAATTGAAGCATTTTTACTTTTTGGGTATCTTTGTGGTACTTCTGTGTCAGGATTTTTATTTTTATTTTATGCAGACCAGTGGGACTATAAAAACTTTTACTTTGTTTTCATCCCATTGTGAGTTGTATGTGGGATACATTTATTTCTATTTTTTAATGAAAACCGATTTTCTAATAACCAAGAGGAATTGGTTCTGCTAGGATTTTTGGTTTCATTTACAATACTAATAACGCTATGTGTAGAGATTTCAGAAATTCCGCCGAGTGTCGCTATAGTCCCGCTATTTCTGCTTGAAATAGTGTTCTTTATATCAGAATTCCTGAAGATTTTCGAGCCAAAGGGGTATTCAGCGCTAGAATAGGTACATATTAATTAACAAATAATGCCAGATTCCATCTCTGAAACTGTAATAATTTCCTATTTAAATAATCCTTTCTATATAAATTATACAATTTTATAAAATAATCTCATAATAAAAAACCTATAAGGATAAGTCATAAGTAATATGTCAAAAAAGTCTAGTGTCAAAGACTTTGAAATTATGGGCAAACTAGGCCAAGGCAGCTTCGGAAGCGTCTATAAAGTAAGGAGAAAAGGTAAATCATAAAAAGTGGACAGCAATATCTATGTCATGAAAATGATTAAAATTTCACAATTAAATAAAGCCAGCCAACAAGAATCTATAGGCGAGGTAAGAATTTTAGCAAGCCTCGACAACCCTTACATCGTAAAATACTATGACTCTTTTATAGAAACCCAGACACTTCACATTATCATGGAATTCTGCGACAAAGGCGATCTCAGCCGACACATAAAAAATCAAATGGGCAGGCTTCTTCCAGAAAATAAAATTTGAAAATATTTTATACAGATGTGCCTAGGATTAGAATATTTGCATTCACAAAATGTCCTTCATAGAGACATTAAAAGCATGAATGTGTTTTTAGTTAGAGAAGACTCTATCAGAATTGGCGATTTAGGCGTCGCCAAAGTGCTGTCTAATACAGCTGCATTTGCCCATACAATGGTAGGGACTCCTTATTATCTTTCTCCAGAACTGTGTGAAGAGAAGCCTTATAATGTAAAAAGCGATGTATGGGCACTTGGGTGTGTTTTATATGAAATGTGTACGTTGAAGCATCCGTTTGAAGGGGTAAATCAAGGAGCTTTAATATTGAAAATAATTAGAGCGAGTTTTGCTCCGATTAGTTCTCAGTATTCAGAAGAATTGGTGAATGTGGTGAATTTGTGCTTGGCGAAAGATTATAGGAATAGACCAACAGTTTCTGAAATTTTGCAACGGCCTGGGATGAAAGATAGGGCTTTTTCGCTTACTCCCCCCCCTCCGTGAGTGAAAAAAACCATTAGAAAAATCGCTATTTTTTGCCCAAAAACCCACCCTCCGTGAGTGAACAAAAATTTTTTTAATATAAAAATTTTTTATGGAAAAAAAATTTGATATATAAATGATAATTATTATAATGAAATCTAGAGCTAATTCTGTTTAATTTTAAATGAATTGCTTTTTAAAACATAAATTTTATAAATTAAATTAATATTTGCTTTCCAATTTTTGCGAATTAGGATTTTTTTAATTTCGAAAAAAAATATTTTTTAGAAAATTTATATATAAATTTGTTTAAAAAAAAAAAAATTAACCCCCTCCGTGAGTGAACAAAATTTTTTTGTTCACTCACGGATCGGGGGGGGAGTTAGTATTATTATTCCATCAGGATCTATATTGTCAGATTCTTATATTCCTGCTAGAAAAGCGGAAAATAATATTTATCATAATCATAGGATGGATGTTATTGAAGAAGAAAAAAATTCGCACTTTCATGATGATAATGAAATAAAACAAGAAAAGGCTATGATTAATAAAAAAGAAAGGCCTGTCACAGGAAGACCGAGCTCTGTTATAAATCTAGCTGATATTGTTAGGCCACCTAAAGCTCCTGTTATACAAAAGGTAGACAAGGCAGTTATCAAAGAGTTGCAAGTTCCTCTTAGCAGGCCTACTTCTGGAAAACTGCTCATAAATATTGATAAACAAATCCAAAGCTCCCCTAAGTTAATTTCTCCGATCATTCCTAAACAAACTAAAGGAGATTTATTACAAAATCAAGAATTATATAAAAAACAAGCCAAAAATTTATCGCCTTATTATAACGCCTTAAAGCCTAAATTATTATTGCAACCCAAAAATAGACTATTAAAAGCAGTTTCACGTAAGAAATAATTAGATAACCAAGAAGATATTTTAGAAGTACAAAATCTGCCTGATATTCCTAAGCCTAAAAAAGTAGGAATAAAAGACCTATCTCCCCCTCCGTGAGCGAGCAAAAACATTAGAAAAATCCCTATTTTTTGCCTAACCACTTTCCGTGAGCAAACAAAAATTTTTTTATGAAAAAAATTTTGATATATAAGTGATAATTAGTATAATGAAATCTCTGGCTAATTCTGTTTAATTAAACAAATTACGTTTTAAAGCATAAATTTTCCAAATTAAATTAATATTAGTTTCCAATTTTTGTGAAGTGGGATTTTTTAAAAATTCGAAAAAAAAAAATTGTTTTATAAAATTTATATATAAAATTTTTTAAAAAAAAAAAATTAACTCCCCTCCATAAGCGAACAAGATTTTTATGTTGCTAACGGAGGAGGGGGAGTAAGGGAAAAAGAAATAAATCTTAGACCTTTGACCCAGCCTTCTAGTGACCAAAAACTAAGTCCACTAGCTGCACAAAGCCAAAGAATTAAATCAAATGAGAGGCCAGCACAAAAATCTGCAGCACAAAAAGAACCATTTATTTTACCCAAAAAAATCCAGCCGCATATAAATATATCTTATCAGATTCATGACGAAAGCCAAGTTAATGCTTTTGCTATTTCTAATGCAGAAATAAGCAAAATCCAAAATGAATTCAGACATAATGAATCTGTTGAAGAGCAGCCTTCTCCAAATCAGTCTAATTTATATGAAGAAGAAAAAATTTTTGAGCAAACAAAAAGTAGCTTGCAAAAGAGACTTTCTGAAAACGAAAAAACAGAAAATGACTTGGAAAATATAATTGCAATAAATAAAGCAGAAAATATCAAAAAAATTGGAAAACAGAATTTTATGGAAATTTATGGACTTTTAAAAGCAAAAGTTATTGTAATTTTTATTTAGAGTCAAGATGAACCTACAAAAGAAGAGCTTGAGGTAATTGATGGGATTATTAAATCAAAAGTTTCCAATAATTATGATTAAGATTAAGATTAAATTCTAGAGGGTCTGAAGGATGATTGCAGCTCCTCGCGTTTCCCATGGTAGCTTCGTGTTGATGCTAAGCGTTATCCATACCCTTACATTTTCATTTCTGACGTCACTAAAAATCGTGGCGTAGAAGGTCTTATGGGAAATCACCCTACCAGTCTCCTCGATCCTAACAAGCAGCAAAAATTCCATGAACCTCCGACAGGGCCCAGAGTATTGGTCAACCGCCTTTGACTTCTCTATGGCCTGTCTGTGCTTATTGCATTGCAAGCTCGGTAATGCTCCCATGAGTGCTGTGGACACTGTGCCAGTAGGTATATATGGAAAGTCAGGATAAAAAGGTTGAGTTTTACCCTGGATCATCAGAGGCCACGTCAGATCATTCCATTTTAGCAATTCAATAATTATGAAGAAATCCAATATTCTCTATTTAAAATTCTAAGTTTAGAAGAAAAGCTTGCCAAATCCCAAGAACTTTCGCGGAAAATTCGATACGATTTGTTGTAAAAATTAATTTTTCACAAAACTAAATTATACTAAAATGGTTTTTAAAATTTTCAATAAATTATAAAAATTTAATAATTAATTAAAAAAAATAAAAAATTAAAAATGCTTTTGATAAAGCAAAGCAGATCTCTTATCTTTTATCAGCAGACACCAGAGAAGAAGAAGACATCGGTTCTTATTCTTTTGAGCATTTAAGAATGGGAGGCGCATACTGGACAATTGGCGGCCTAAGCTTATTAAAAAGTTTAAACGAAGACAGAAAAGAAGAAATCGTCAACTGAATTCTCCAATGCCAGCATGAAAACGGCGGCTTTGGAGGGAATTTAAAGCATGATCCTCACATAACAAATACACACTACGCAGTTTTGGTGTTGGCACTTTATAATTCGCTGCACCTGATCGATCCTGATAGAATTGCATCATACATAGCTTCACTTCAAAATCCTGATGGCTCTTTTAAAGGAGATGAATGGGGAGAGACTGATCTTCGCTTTATTTACTGTGGATTTTCAAGCTTGAAATTGCTGAATAGACTTCATAAAATTGATGTTCAGCTATCTGTCGATTATATTCTTAGATGCAAAAATTTTGAAGGTGCTTTTGGAGCTGTTCCAGACGCTGAATCTCATGCAGCTTATACTTTTTGTGCAGTTGGGGCACTTGCGGTTGTTGATAGGCTTGATTTAATTGATGCAGACGAGCTTGGATATTGGATGATGCTCCGGCAAACTGAATCAGGCGGCTTTAATGGGAGACCTGAGAAACTCCCAGATGTCTGCTATTCTTGGTGGATCCTTTCTACTTTCTTTATGATAAACAGACAGCATTGGGTTAATTATGAAGCTTTGTCTGAATTTATTAACAGAGCACAAGATTTAGAAGGCAAAGGAGGAATAGCTGACCGAGCTGGAAATGAAACAGATGTTTTTCATACCTTTTTTGGAATTGCTGGACTATCACTCATGGGCTATCACGATTTGGAAAAAATTGATCCTATTTATGCTTTACCAGAGCCTATACTAAAAAATATCTTACTCCTCAGAATCATTAGTATCATTTATCAAGGACGAGAGTATGGGAAAATTTTTTCATATAAAATATTTTGCAGAAGTATAATATATTTTGTAAACATGCTAGAATTCTCAATAGAATTGTATAGGAGCAATTCTATGATATAATCTCTAAGATTCATTAATATCAAAAAGGGCAGAGAATTGACTTGATATTAGACTGTATAAAAATCGTTATTCAAGGATGGAGTCTATTTTTAAACTTTTAAATTTCCAATGAAAATCGTTCAATTAAGAGGTGGGATGAATTAGGTTAATTTACAAAAATTAATAACATATGGATTTCTGAAGAATCCTATAAATACTAAACTTCAGCAAGGCTTTCATGCGGCTTTGGCTCAGTCGGTAGAGCGCGAGTCTCATAATCTCGAGGTCGTGAGTTCAATCCTCACAAGCCGCATTTTTTTAATAAGAGAAAACTCATTTTTAGCTTTTACAAGGTTTATATTAAGTTATACTTATGTCAAAAAATATCTGCGTTTAATTTTTTTATTATTACATTATTCCTATATAAAATTGTAAATACATTCTAAGAGCCGACATTTTAATTTTTATGAAGCCTATATTATTTCTCTTCTGATTTTGTATCTCCTGCGAGAGGTAAAATTTCCATCTTTTGTTTTCAGCAGCAGAATATCCTGTAAAACATAATTTTGCATTTATTTCCCCTTAGATCGTCAGGATCAAGAACAGCTTCGTTAAGTGCTTCTGGGATTAACATAAATAAAAATAGAATGGTGAATCAGCCTGCCCTCTTAACAACTGTAGCTGGATGAGTGTCTAGAACATTGTGGAAGGGAGAGCAGCGTTTGGTAGGCTTTACTTAGTTTGGTGGAGTGTAATGTCGGGCCGATCGCAGGCTCACATCCAGGGCAAGGCTTACCCTGAGGAGGATGGAATTTGGAAAGGAATAGCCCAGCAAGGCCAGAGGGCGTTCACTTGGCCAATCGAGCATTTTCTCAGCACTATGCCGGGGAGTTGGGGGCCCCTGGGTTACAAGTCTCATCCGGGCCGATAGCCTGACCAGAAAATTAGCTTTTCGAATTTTCGGGAAAAACACAGCCTTGTCTATGCTCAGCACAGTGACCCAGCGTCTCTACCTCCGATTAGCAAGTGCAACATTGCTTTAGGCTTTGGAATCAGACTGGCGAGCAAGTTGGTGGGTGCGAAGCAAGTGATGTGAACAGCTTTTTCAAGCTTGCGATAGCTTCTTAATAATAATTTAATAAATGAAATGCTTCTGGGATAAACGGATTCCTATCAGAAATATCACTTTTATCTTTACTATGAAGTTCGCTAGAGCTTGGATGAAGATCTCTTCAAGGGTCTGAGATAAATTTTTTCTCAAGACGGTTATTACGGTCTCTTTCTATGATTTCTATCAGCTCGCTAGCCTGTTTATACAATACTGAAGGTAAGACTATACTAATTTTTTTAGTTCTATTCATTGCATTTATTAATTTGATTTTTAGCTTAAGATATCTCTCAAAACCAGGTAGATACCTTTATTTATAATTTTTATAAAAAACTAATCGAAATTTAATATTTATTTTTATCCAAATGTAAAAATTTGATTTTTAAGAAACAAAATTTTGTTAAAAAATATTTGGCAAAATTTTTAGGGTACATATCATAAAAATTAATATTTAAAAGAAGTAAAATGCTAATGTTGACGGAAGATGGGCTTCGAGATACACTCTCTCTATGGAGCAGGTAGGGCACGTCTCGATGAAGTTGAAAATAGCGTCTCTGTCACTTTTTGAAGTAAGCTTTGGATTTGGAGATGCCTGTCGAAGAGGAAAGTTTTGTTACTCCCAAAGGTATTCACTGTCACTGCCAGATGGGCTAGACAGGTTTTGCCTTTCACTTAGTCTTTTGCTTATCGGGACTAAGGGGCATCCGCAAGAGGTCCTAACCTATAGAGCTAATCCTGAGGCTGGGTAGGTTTATGCCAGATAGGCAGGCTAACGGCTTTATAATACTTAGCTTATCTTAATATCTTAAATCATAAAATAGATAGCTATCATTATTTACAAATATTGCTTATTTGCTTTGTTTCTTGCTTCAACTTATTCCCCCCTCCGTGAGTAAGCAAAATCATTGGAAAAATTCCTATTTTTGCCCAAAAACCCCCACCTTCCTTGAGTAAACAAAAATTTTTTTTAATAGAAAAAAATTTTTATGAAAAAATTTGATATATAAGTTATAATTAGTAATTAGTATAACGAAATCTCGAGCTAATTCTTTTAATTTTTAAACAGATTGCATTTTAAAACATAAATTTTATAAATTAATATTTGCTTCTCAATTTTTGCAATTAGGATTTTTTAAAATTTCGAAAAAACATTTTTTCTATAAAATCTACCCCCCTCTGTTAGTGAACAAATTTTTTGTTCACTTACGGAGGGGGGGAGGTAGCTATTTATAATGAATTAGTGACATATCCTAAATATCGATTATTTTTCTTTCCGGATTTTATTTAAAAATTAACATAATTGCTAATAAAATACTCTCAAAAAATTTTTATTGACATTTTTAATAACTAACCAACAAAATTAAACTTAAGTATTGAGTTTATTCCAATTTTTCATGGTAATTTAATCTCAAAAATATGCGAAGATCCTCATCACCAAGAACTCCAAAAGAGAATCTCCCGAAGTCCCCACAAAAAGTTCATTTATTACCTTCTTTTTCTCAGCCTGTAATAGTCGGCTTAAGCCCAGTTTATGAAAGATTAAGCACAACAAGACGGCAAGAAAAAAAAATCCCCAAAGAAGAAAAGGAAACGGAATATAATATTCTCTGCATCAACTGTCAAAATCTTGTAAATGTTAATATTATTGAAGAACACTCATTAGTATGTACCAGAGTTTCAGAAAACGTACTAGAAGTTGAATCTGGATCCTTCTTAACGCAAACGAACTTTAAACTTCAAAAACTTGAAAAATGCTTATCTGATATAGCGACTACTCCTGGGCTTCGCCCAGGAGACAAAAACTACATAGCAATTTTATCACGGTTATGCAGTAAAATTTCCAACCTAATTCCTCCAGCTTTTAAAGATAATACTGAAGTTCTTAATTCCCTAAGCTCTTTATTAGTCACCTTTCGAGGTTCTTTATCTATAAGAATTTACGCTGACCGTTTACAGTCCTTAGCCCAAGACCAAAAAATCGCCATCCAAGAATACGAAATTGAACAAAAAAAACAAGAAGTCGACAAGCTAAGGACAGATGTTGAAAAATACAAATCCAGAGCCACAATACTACAAAGAACGCTATTAAAACATCCAGGAATTAAAGAAACCGAAATAAATCGGAAATTAGAAGAAATTTCTAGTGAAATTTCCAGCTTCAGAAGTGGAAATACCTCAGCGGTAAGTTCATCCACTTTTGATGAAGATACAACAAAAGTTGAAGAATACGAAGAAAATATTCCGGAGAGGTCAAGCAGCGCTGACAATTTACAGAGGTTTTTTTATTCGATTTGTCTTGGGATTAAAATGAAATCAGCAACAAATAGCCAAATACAAAATATTGATATACAAAAACTTTATAATGAGGTCCAGAAAAATAATGTGCCAATAGAAAATTGGAATGCGTGGGTAATACAAGCTTTGAAAAACCCTGAAAGGTGGATTGAAAGGAAAATTAAGGGAAATAGAAGAAGGCAGCCGAGGAGCTCATTTTTGAAAGAGCAATATTTTGAAACGATTGTTGAAGAAGAAGCGTAATGCGATAGTAAGATGCTAGGTAATATAGTATATAAAATCATATAAGCTTAGTTATTAACATTAATGCAATCTTTAGCTTGCCTTTATGTAAAATAATATTTAATATTAACCGTTTTTAAGTACTGGCCATAAAAAGTTTAAATGGACATAAAATGGGGAATATTTGCTGCTGAGGCCAACACTCAATACAGACATGTAAAGACATTCAAATTGTATGCCCAAACTATAAATCTCAGTTTCATACATCTTCTGACTACCAAAGGACAACTGGAGATCTATCACTAAGCAATCTTGACAATTTTTCCTTATCTTGTGCCAATCCATTTAAATTACCTCAGCGCATTAGATGACGTAAAGGTGATCTTATAGGGGAAGGGTCTTATGCTAAAGTTTATCAATGTATAAATCTTGACTCTGGTGAAATCTTTGCAATTAAAAGTATAAAATTTGAGTCATTAGAATGAGGCAACGAGTGAAAACAAATAAATCAGGAAATTAATCTGCTAAAGGATATAAATCATAAAAATATTATCAAGTATTACCAAACTGATATTGATTATTGTAAACAAACAGTTGATATTGTGGTTGAATATGTTTCTAATGGAACTTTAAAAAAGTTGATTAATAAATATGGAAAGCTAGAAATCGGAATTATCAGAAATTATGCAAAACAAATTTTAAATGGACTAGTATATATTCATGATAAACGAATCATTCATAGAGATTTGAAGCCTGCTAATATTTTAATTACTGGTGATGGGATAATTAAATTATTCTAATTTCCTGTGGATTGCGCTATTCTGGCCTTGATTTTCCCACTGGCAAAATTTTTTGGTTTGACCAAACCATATGGTACTGGTCGAACCACAAATAAATCCAGTGGGAAAATCAAGGCCAAAACAGCGCCATCCACAGGAAATTGCAATAACTGATTTTGGTTCGAGCAAGAAAATAGATAAAAATAAATCTAGAAATAAAACAGGATCAATGAAAGGAAGCCCTTATTGGATGGCACCTGAAATAGCATTAAAAAAGGGGCATAGCATTTCTTCTGATATATGATCGCTTGGATGTGTTATAATTGATATGGCCACAGGGAAGCCTCCATGGTCAAATTACTCACAATATACAAAAGATGTATTGAAGATGCTTAGAAGTCTTAATCATCTGCCTGATATCCCAAATACAGATCCAAATCTTGAAGACTTCATAAGGGCTTGCTTAAAAAGAAATCCGCGAGAAAGACCAACTGCTAACTCCCCACCTCCGTGAGTAAACAAAACCATTAGAAAAATCCCTATTTTTTCCTAAAAACTCACCTCCGTGAGTGAAAAAAAAAATTTTATCCAAAAAAAATTGATATATAAATGATGATTATTATAATGAAATCTAGAGCTAATTCTGTTTAATTTTAAACGAAATTGCTTTTTAAAACATAAATTTTATAAATTAAATTAATATTTGCTTCCCAATTTTTGCAAATTGAGATTTTTTTATTTCGAAAAAATATTTTTTTATAAAATTTATATATAAATTTTTCCGTGAGTGAACAAAATTTTTTTGTGCACTCACGGAGGGGGGGGAGTAAAGCAATTATTAGGACATAAATTTTTAGCAAATTATCACGCAGAAGTAGAAAATGTTAAAATTAAATAAAAAAGTGATAAGTTCACAAAGGATCAAATAAAATTGATTTTTCTTTTTTTTTATTTTTTAAGGCAAATAAATTTACTGAAAAGTGATTTATAAAACAGATAATTATAGCCGCAAAAATTTAAAGATATTGCCTCAATTCAATTTATAAAATCAAAGATAAAAATTTATTAGATTCTGAAATATTTTGTTTTTTTTCTAGTTAATTGTTTATTACTAATAAGTAAATAATCATTAGATAATATATTAAAAACTCGACAAATAATTATCATATTTTGTCGAAAAGAAAGAAGTTTGAGAGTTTTTTGTTTTTTAATTTAAACATTTAAGAAATTTTAGAAATTTTCCAGTTTTTTACAATATGGCTTCTTCCAACAAAAAATCCTTAAAAAAGGAAATTATTCCCAAATTATTTTTCTTTATTTAAGTATATTAATATGCCAATCTCGCTTTATTTATTTCAAAGAAATACAAATTCTATGATAAATTCAATCTATTATATTAATACACCATTTAAAAGATTCTTTTTCTAATAATAAGATAAAACAGAAATTGCATGATCTGTCCAAAAATTTTACATATTAGCTTGTGCTTCCTCATAAAAATCATAATAAATCTAAGAATTATTATTTTCAATATATCACTCAATTACTTCATTTTATCTTAAAATAAGTTATATATTTTTTATTTATGAAGCACTTATATCACAAGATTTCAACAGTTGATGATGGAGCTCGGTCAACACCTATAATTCAACTTCAAGGAGACGAAAATATTTTAGATTTCCTTTTTGTCAAAACCCCCAAAATTGACACCAAAAAGCTCAAAAAAATATCTCCTAGCCAAACACTGAGCAAGAAAAGCAGTCTAAAATTATTAGGCATAAATGAAATCAATGATTTTTTTAAATCTGATAAAGAAAAAAACCAGCGCTTAATGACAAGGGAAACTCCAACAAGAGATGTCTCCCATTTAAAAGATAAAATTTCATTACCATCAATTGAGCCAAAATTAATCCAAAGCATCCTTCCTACAAATATATTTTTATTTATAGTAAATAATCATTTTTTTATTTTTTTAGAAGTGATTTTTAAAAAATTTTTTAAAAACAGTTTAAAGATATTTTGAATAAAGCACTTACAGAAATTGGCAGTAAATGAAGAATTGCTAGGATCAAGCTGCCCAACAAGCCCAGGATTTCTTACTCCTTTGCCTTGTAGAAAAGAAGAGTGCAACGACTATACCTTGCAGACTCAACGAATTAAAAGATCTCACAGAAATAATTCCTGCTCTATTCCTGATATCTATGAAAACGAAAAACTAGATTTAGGGAATCCTGCAGGCCGGCAAGACGTCGAAAATCTCAAAAAATGGCTTCAATTTATGAAAGATAAAATTGTCGGAGTAAACAAAAATATCGAGGACATCAGTAAATGTTCGCAAAAGGAGCTGTTTTTAATATACAATATTTGTGCAAAAGAAATAATCAGACAAGTTGCTGTACATTGTGTAGAAAGAGGAGAAATACTTAAAGAAGTCGTTGATATGCTAGTAAAAATAAAATTACTGAAAATTAGCAGAATGAGGGAAAGTATAAAGGCAGTCGAGGAAAATAAAAGAAAAGAGCTAGAAAATGAACTAAATAAAAGAATTAAAATTACAGAAGATTATGAAAAAAAAATTGAAGAGTTAAATGAAATTATTGTAAAAAAAACAAATTCAAAGCTAAGATTAAAAGCAAAGTATGATTCATTGAAGAAGCACAATGAAATTTTAAAAAAGCAGACGTTCGATATAACAGAAGGAGCAAGACGTGGCAGCTTATTTAATTTTGGAACATTAACGCCTTTATTAAGCAAAAATCTGCTTACTCCCCCCGTGAGTGAACAAAACCCACTATAAAAATCCCCAAAACCCCCTCCGTGAGCGAATAAAAATTGTTTATGTGAAAAAATTTTGAAATATAAGTGATAACTAGTATCATAAAATCTCGAGCTAATTCTGTTTAATTTATACAAATTGCGTTTTAAAACATAAATTTTACAAAATTAAATTAATATTTGCCTTCCAATTTTCGAGAAATGGGATTTTTTTAAATTCCGAAAAAATTTTTATATATAAATTTTTTTAAAAAAAAAAAATTAACCCGTAAGCCAACAAGATTTTTTTCGCTGACGGAGGGGGAGTTAGCAGTGCTAAATCTAAACGATCAAGTTATCGAGCTTCATCAATAGGAAGTGCGACGTCAGAAGACGAATGTCGGAGTGCTCTAATAGATGAAAGTAATATTTCTAGCATAACAAATGCTCAAGCTAACACTCCTGCCATGGAAATTCAAGTACTTAAAGACCCAAACCTCGAAAATGAAGGAGAAAAACAGTTTCAAGACGCCTCATGCCAATGGAATGTATTTGACGTAGAAAATATAAGCGATAACCCAAACCTTGATTTTCCAAAGCCAGGGCCAGACGGGACTTTTAGCGATATTGAAGAAGAAAAAAGCGAAAATTTAGAAATAATTGACGAAAATGAAGAATGCGATTTAGACTTAATGGAAGAGGAAAAATTCTATCAGCTTGGAATGAATGAAAAAGACATAATGGAAAATAATAGTGACATAGCAGAAATTAGCGAAATTAATGTAGAAAGACCTTTAATAGAGTCCTGCATATCTGAACAAATAATCACCAAAAAAGAATATGAAGAAGACGAAAGGCATAAGTCTTACTGCTGCGAAAATATAAAGCATAACGAAACTGAAAAAAATGAGGAAGAAAGCAATTCTGATATAAAACGAGATAACAATTTATCACGAATTATCCAGCAAAAACAGTCAAAATTAAATTTTATCACTTTTTTGATCAAGAAAAAAATCATTATTCTTAAGAATTTAAATAGAGAAATCACAGAGAAAAAACAGCAGCTGCAGTATTCTGATATGTCTGACCATGTATCAATGGTATTGGTAAATGAAAAAAATATTTCTGGGCTGCAATCAATTTTTAACCAGTCTGGTAGACAAATTTCAGCTTCAGAAAGATCATCAATTTCAGTGTCAGAGCGAAATAGCTTTTTATCAGAAGAGCTTGATGAGTCTGAGCAGAGTTATGATACCTCATCTAATCAAGAAGAAGGTAAAATTGATGAATTTCTACAAGGAGATGAAAAAGTTCCCATTAAGCGCAGTGATGCTATATCAACAAAACCCAGAGAACGAAAATTAACTAAATATCATAGAAAGCATGAAAATATTATTGATGAAGCCAAACAAAGCTCAGGCAATCAAAATTATTATAATCCTTTAGAAACTAATGAGACTGAAACTCTAAGCACTGGAAGATTAGGATTAGGATTATTAAAGTCAGCATTAGCCATATTGGTGACGCAGTCACCAAAGACTTCCCGTACGGGAGGCTCATCCGCTTTTCGGATCCAGCCCAGAGGTTCTATCCTTTTGTGAGTACTCTTCTGGTACCTTCTGTCTCCTCCATGCCTTGTGGCTTCAGTCTGAGTGGGTGGCTTATGGATTTCTGCCCTGCTACAGGCGATTGGAGTAGCTTGATTCCAAGGATCAGCTCCTTGGAGTCTATCAGGTGTCGAAGTGCCTTCCTTCGACAGCTACAGGAAAAAGACTGTTCCCCTGTGACCTGGGCCGAACCCCCAGTTTCTCGGTAGAGGAATGCCCATGGGTCCTCTGATCCAAAGGACGTTGCTGAGCACCTCCATTTCTTACCACAGGAAAGCAGCCAAAACCTACCCGGATACACATATTGAGCCTGCACTAGTTTCTTGGCTTGGAGTCCGTCCCAGTTCGCCGTAACCATAAGGTCTGGACTGCTGCGCCAAGAGGGCAGGTCGACACGTGTCGCCATTTTAATGTATCCAAGCACTGGAAGAACTTCTGATTATTCACCTTTTCATATTAATGAGCCTGCAAAATTAGACACAAATACTTCAAATGAAGAAAATACAGCTGAAAATCAGTATCAAATTTTTTCGACTAGCTATACTAATGTACTAGAGATCCCAGAAATCACGAGAACCTCCAAAAGAATAGTCACAATGTTTCCAGGCAAAATAACAAAGCAGCCAACTGAAGAAGATCTTATTATCCAAAAAATAAATACAGAAACCTTAATATCATCTGAAGAAGCCAAAGCTCAAGTTATAAGAAACTCAAATCCCAGGCTTACTTTTCACACAAAAAAAGAAAAATCCTCAACAACAAAATTCAAAATTTTCCATTTCCAACGAAAAGAAACAATAATGCAGAAAAAAGTTATACACCCTGCCCCTGCGTTATTAGAAAAATTCATCACTAGAAAAATGGAAAGAATTCGGAAAAAATCAACGATGACTAGAAAAATGGTGCATAGGCTGATTAGCTCAATTTATTCGGCCTGCTTAGCAAAAGTAGCGTCTGGGTTATACTTAGATGGGCTTGTAGAACAAACTTATGATGAATTTATGCAGAAATATAGCTATAGAAAAACATCAGAGAAAAAGTTCTTTGAATTTATTTCTTCTTTATTTAACTCAATAGACAGTAAAAGGGCTGTAAACTTTATGAGGTTTATAGGCGCTGCTAAAAGAATAGGGATCACCAATTTTTCAAAATTGAGCTTTGTCTTTTATATACAGGCTTATCATTCTATGATCAGCTCAAATAAAGGAATTTTAGTTGCATATGATGATACGGCTGAGCGAGCTATGATACCAAAATCGAGAGCAACTGAGTTTTTAAATACCAAAATGGAAGGAATTATAGATAAGCAAACACATTCTCGGCTTTCGGTCACAATTGAGCAGCTTACAGTACCTGACCCCAAAAAAATAAACACTTCAGGACTTGTGGAAATTGAAGCGGTTTTAGAACTTTTTGTAGAAGTGCACGAAGATTGATGCTAGGTTAACGCTATTGGGAAGCTCCGGTATCTCTTCGTATGAGCAGCAAATTCTTCTACGTTCTTCGTCCTCAGACATCTTGCCGACATTGATCCGGAGGGTGTTAGCATGATCTGATGGAAAATCCAAAAAGATTTGTTGAGCTTGTCTGAGATCGGCTTGCCTAGAGTGCATGCGCTTCTGGAAAATTCGAAAATCAAAAATATTCTGGTCAGGTTGGCAATCAAGATAGAACTTCTTAGCCCAGAACACAGTGCCAGGTATCCCGCTGTGAGTAGTCTGATTTGCGAATAGACGCTACTTGACATTCCCTTTTCAACTGAAGGACTATCTCCCAACGAGGTAAACTCTGATGTGGATTGGATCATACATTCAGTTAAATCCGACATTTTGCTCCAGCAGACCAGGTGAAGCCTGGTCGGATAAGCATTTCTGAGTGTTGTTATCCCTTCTCCAAGATCCCTAGTCACCCCAGCTGCAGTTGCTAGAGGGTAGGCTGGATCGCCACACACCATTTTAATGTATTTTAGTAGCCCACGAAGAATATCAAAATAAAATAAATCAAGGGCTTTATATGCTAGTTGAAGCCGTAAGATTTAATGAAGACAAAACTCATCTGCCCTTCGCTGAATTTTTAATTCTGGCAAGGATAATTTCTCCTTCCAAATATCAATCCTCAAAAGACGATATAAAAAAATGAATTGATATAGCTCCTGATCCTTTATAGATAAACCATAGGAACCTTTTTTTGTTTTGTGCATAAAATGACAGTTACATAAAAAAATTTAACCTCCCACTTTTGCAACAGTTTTCGATATTTATTTGATACTGCCTTTTAGGTGAAAATGCAGCAGAGTTTAAAAGCCCAAAAATAGTTATAAGTAAGATCTATCAAGGCTCGAGTTATAATTTTAAAGATGATGAAGAAATTAACCAGCTTGAAGAAATTTTTGGAAAATGCGTAGAAAAAAATTTATTAAGCATTGGCGATGTAAATTCATTTTATAGTCCAAAAGAGGAGCTAAACAGTGAAAACGTCCTACGTGAAATGAATTCTAGTAAAGAAATCATTATGGACATTATTAGTAAAATGAGAGATACTAGTGAAAAGAAATGGGTGTCACTTAGTGAAGACGAGTGGGTTAAGAAAATCGATAATTGCTTAGAAAGCGTGACAGCAAGAAATCCTGTAGAAGCAATGCTAGCTTGGAAGATATACAAATCAGAACTTTTAAGGGTTTACGAAATTATTGAAGCAAAATAGAATTTTTAAATATTTATAAATAATTTTAAACTAAAAAGCGAGAAATTTTTATAGAATAATAAACATTAAATAGATTTAGCTACTGTCGGTCAGTACACCCAAAAAGCTTTGCGTACCATGGAACCTCTTTCGAGGATTCAGGAGGTTTTTTGGGTTTGGTATTTGATGGACGGCTTTGTGATGAACGGCTTTGTCTGAATTCTGGGCCTTGAGTCAGACGCTTTAGCTCATCTTCTTTCTGTTTAAGAGCAGTCGCACTTGTATCAATGGTTGATCTAGCCTGAGGACTATAGTTAGAATTTCGCTGTCAGCCATTTGATAGGATTTTTTTCTCCTATGAAATTTTGGTCTGGCGTTTTTTTCTTATGGCATTTCCCAGAAAAAAAGCGTTAAAATTCTATCAAATTTTTATGAGGAAAAAATTTTGACCAAAATACCCTGAGAAAATGTCACACAAAGGAAATATTCAAATCGAATAGCACTGAGCCTTAGAATTTATGCTCGCTTCAGCCAATTTATTTTCATTAAATTGCATATGTTTTAACTTAGGCTGTTTTTTTGCTATTTTTATAGCTGAGGTTGTAACAATGGCTTGATTGAGTTTTTGCCTACGATTTTGGTTTATGTCATATATTTCTTGCAATGAATCAAAGAGCCCAGCTCCATAAGAGTCTGTATCTAAAACATTGATGCTATTTTTATAATTTTCTTCATCACTTGATTCAATGTTTGGAGATGGCTCTTCAATACTTACAATTTGCCGTTCTTGATCTAACGCAATATTAGTATTTACATCTTCAAATCCATTATGATTTTTTAAGCTAAACCTTTCAACTACGTCTTCAAAGCATTGAATTGACGATCTTCTTTCTTTTTTCCTTTCAATTTCTTTAATTTCTTGAGCATTTTTAATAGCATTGTTTTTTCCATTCTTTTTTCTTTTTTTACCTCTCGTGGGCTTATTAATCCAGCTTTGAAATTTATCTAAAAGTAAGCGTTCTTTAGTCCCAATAGTCATTCTTGGATTGTTATCAAGCCTTAAATCTTCATCTTCATCAGACAAAATGTCAACTAATAAATTAATATCAGTTATAGATATACTTATTACCATAAAATCTTTTAATAGCATTTATTATATTAAAATTTTTAATTACCATATTAATAAATATATATATTTGTCTATATTTTTTGACGGATAATGAATTGTACATAGCAACCCTGTGATATCCGTAATAACCCCTTTGCCATATTCTTTATGTTTTACTCTTTGATTTATTTTATATTCAGACACAGGGGCAAACTTGCACATCCAAGGATGTGAAAGAACGCGGTCAAGTGACAGCCTTTCTTCAGGGTTTACACGGATTAATTTCGAAATTAAATCTTTGGCCTCAGGACTTGCATGTGACGCATAAATTACTTCAGAAGCCAAAATCTGTTTGCATTTATCAGAATCTGCTACAGCCCTGAAAGGAGCATATCCATGAATTAATTCATACAAAAGTACACCCATCGCCCACAAATCGAGCTGAAAAGAGTGGCCTTTCCCTAGGACCATTTCAGGAGCCATATAGTCTAATGTTCCACAGAAGGTTGTCCTCATTTCATTACTTTGGACGCATCATCCAAAATCACAAATTTTTACGTTGTTGTCTTTATCAAGCAAAATATTTTCTGGCTTTAAATCTCTATGGATTATTTGATTGTCGTGCAGATATTTTAATCCGATACAAGTCTGAGAATAATAATGCCAAGCTTTTTTCTCAGATAATCCTCGGTATCTTCTGATTAATCTGAATAAGTTTCCTTGGGCTGCGTGCTCAAGCAGAATATATACGCTGTCTTTGCTTTCAAAATGCTGATAAAGCTGTATTATATTGGGATGTCTTAAAGACTTATGAATATTGATTTCTCTTAATAAAACGGATACTGATGAGTGCTTTTTAAGAATTTCTGTTTTTATTTGTTTTAAAGCAAAATAATTCCCAGTTTTTATATGAGTCACGAGTTTTACTTCTCCATATGATCCTTTTCCTAATATTTTTAGGTTTGGATTTTGCACCTCTTGGAAATCTTCTAAGGTGTAGGACTGGGCTTGGTTGCAAGCAAACTGATGAGAGCTGATTCAGTCGCGGCGTCGGCATTCTTCTGAGCAATATTTATATGTGTTACATAGCGGGCATGCTTGCGAGTTTTCTGCTGGTTTTTGGCAATTAAAGTTGCAGCACTCCATATTAAATAAGTTAATAAACAATTCTATATACTTTTCTGAATATAAATTCAGTTAAAATTTTATATTTTTAAATTTGTTTTATTATTTGAAATCTATCATAAAATTGAATATCTTAAGCATTTTTATATTAGAAATTATTTACACTGTGCTATATAAAATAACAGCTGCAATATAAATAGATAATGAAGAGCTGCCAAATAATATAAATGAAAAAATAACACTGGCCCTTTCTTTTTCTTCAGAGATACTGAGCAATCATACTATAAATGCATCAATAAAGAATAGAGTTATTAAGCAGCAAAACCATACAATTCGACGATCAGAAATTTTCTTTAACTCCCCCCCCTCCCGTGAGTGAATAAAAAAATTTTGTTCACTCACGGAGTTAATAAAAAAATTTTGTTCACTCACGGAGTTAATTTTTTTTTTTTTTATAAAAATTTATATATATAATTTTATAAAAATATTTTTTTTCGAAATTTTAAAAAAATCCTAATTCGCAAAAATTGGAAAGCAAATATTAATTCAGTTTGCAAAATTTATGTTTTAAAAAGCAATTCGTTTAAAATTAAATAGAATTAGCTCTAGATTTCATTATACTAATTATCATTTATATATCAAAATTTTTTTCCATAAACAATATATTAAAAATTTTTGTTCACTCACGGAGGGTGGGTTTTTGGGCAAAAAATAGGGATTTTTCTAATGGTTTTGTTCACTCACGGAGGGGGGGAGTAAGATAAGTACGGCTATTATAAATAATTGGGCTGCTAAATTTTATAATATGTAAAACACAAAAAATGGAATTAATTAATTTATTTCAGGACTTATTTTTACAATTAAATCGGTAAATTAATTTAAATAAGAAGATTAAGATAAATCCAATCCATATAACGATAACGGTGCATCCCAACAAACTTAAAATCCCTATAAGAACTTCGCACAAAACATCTGAGGAGTAAATTAATTTTATTGCCAAAAATGCTATCATTCAGCCGAAAAATATCTTAAATGTTGTTGAAAGATGGTCATAGCACATTTTTTGGATATGATTATTAAATCCATTCATGCAAATCCAGCAAAATTCGTAATGACAGTTTTCACATTTCATATGATTGCAACCTCCATTCTTTTCAATTGGATAGCTGCATTTTGGGCATTTTTTTGTTCAAGTGTCTTTCCAAATATCGCTTAAGATGTCCAATCTATTATAGAGAAAAAATATTTTCTTGTGGGCTATAAATATCAAAATCTTAAATAAATCAAGTTTTTGATTCATAAAATCAAAATATATAGGATAATAAATAGGATATTTCTTTTCCTGTAATAAGCTTATAGCAGCTTTCAAAAATACCTAAAGTGTCTCCTTTTAGTGAAGGGTCAATTCATTTAGTCCCACACAGTTCACATATGAGCTGATTTGGGCATTTTTTATCAGTCCATCCAATATAATTACATTTTTTGGCAGGACAGATCTTATAGTCATCTTGCTGCATTAAAATTCGTCTTATTATAAGTAATTGATAATGATTAAGCTCAGAGTCAGAGAGGCTAGTTTTTACTTCGTCTTCGCTCAGGAAGTGTGGAGGATTTCCATTAGGGCAACGAACAATAAAGCTTTGGGTAATATAATGATCAAGCTGAGAGGTTATTCAGATATTCAAGCATATTTTGCAATATAAACAGCCGCAGCCTAATTTTATCATTTTCTCAGTAGGGAGCTCAGCATAACAGATCTGACAAGACATCAGTAAAATGTAACTCTAATATTCCATATTGAGCTGACCTGATCTTAATTTATTGAGAAATACTAAACTATTTAAGCTACAATAAAATGTAAATGTGAGGCTTTATCTGATTTGTGTGATAAAATGCATTATATAATCACTGATAAAATATTTGCTTGGATGCAATTTATTGAATAGTTTCCATATAATTTTGTGCATTTAAAAGAATGTTATATAACTAGGCAATACATAGTTTATTTTGGTCTTTATTATAACGGAATTTAAAATTTTTCTTGAATTTTTCTTTTCTATTCAAAAATCTACATTCTGGCATTAATATCTTTGCAAATAATTTCTCGAGGTTATAAAAACTATAGCAAAAATCTTTATTTCTTTATAAAATTCATTTTTATCTATTTTAGAGAATTGAAACTGCAATAATTCATATTAAAAAATGTTTTTCTTCTTTATTGGTGTTTCAGCACTGACTTTGGACTGCCAAGAGTCTCTATGCCCTCCTAACAATGTAACTTTTATTCAGATTGGCAATGGACAATGCGATATTTACTGCATGACTCCAGCTTGCAACTATGACTCATATGAAAGCATCTATATAGACCCCTAAGGCTTTTTGTCTCTATTAGAGCTTATTGGGCTAAGAAAATGAGCTTGTCGCTCGTCAAGTCTATGCTGACAAGCCAGATGGGTTTCCCTAACCAGAAAAGCGTAGTTTTGCCAAGTATATGCTGACTTTTAATATTGAATTGGCAAATCAAGGCTCATTTTTTGAGCTAAAACCTTTCTAGGACTATAATTCAACACGCGAACTTATGGCATCAAGCGACTGTCTAGAAGCTTGTCTTAAAGAATCAACTGGATGCTTATTCTCCATGCTGCATGACGGTACCTGCAACCAAGGTATTTCATAAATAGCCTGCAACACAGCTTCATGTGGCTGAGATCTAGGAGATTGCGGAGTTTGTGCCTCAGGCTGCACATCTACTATATTAGGAGATAAAACTTGTGACTCTGCCTGTGACAACATATACTGCAGATATGATCTAAATGACTGTGGATGATGTGCGGATGGCTGTTATAAAGAAATGCTTGATAATAAAGAATGTAATGATAAATGCTTCAATTCTCAATGTGAATATGACGGAACTGACTGTGGGTGTGCTTCAGGATGCAAAGTGGAAAATTATGGAAAATGCAATGATTATTGTATGGTGCCTGAGTGTGGGTATGACTCTCTTGAGCAAAAGACGTGTAGTGATAATTATAAAAGAACTTATAATGAATACTCACAGCTGACTAAGGAAGATTTTACCTCAATTTTTGATATCAGTACTTCTGGCTGTGACGAAACGACTCTCAAACAGGGAGTTGATGGGCAATGCTCAACACAATGCCAAGACAAATATAGCGCATATCAAATGGGAGGATGCTTTGAATCATTTAAATGTGATGCAAACTGTGATCGATGTGCAAATGAAAACGATTGCTTAAAATGCAAAAGTGGATATATAAATTACTATACTAAGTGCGTAACTACCTGCCCAGCTTGTTATGAAACGAATTCTGCATATCCGACCGTCTGCATTCGTAATTTTTATATAGCAATAACTGATAAAAGCAGCTATTCCAGCCCGACCCTTATATATATAGCTTCAGTCCCATTTTTGCTCGTTTGGAAGCAATTCTTTGCCTATTAAATAGGCCACGAAATTCCAATTTTCTGACAAGTGCAGTTTAAAATTTCAAATGCAAATATGCCTCATATTTGTCAATTTTTAATTTGTTCTTTTAAATAAAAATGGCATTTTCGTGATCCATTCAATATAGGCATCGGTATTACTGCTAAAAAATCTATAAGAGGTCTTAAGCTATATTGACTCAAGCTCAACAAAATCAAACCCTGATGGCTCAGCAGAAAATCCATATAGGGATTTATCAACTGTCTTTTATAAAACCTCATTGTGTGAGAGAAACATTGAAATAAGGCTAAAGCCAGGGATTTACCCAATTACCAATATTTGGGAAACCTCTTATTCCTCAAACACGACAATTAAATTTTTAACAGACTGCGATCCCTGCACAGAATTCGCTACTTTAAAGCTCCAAATGCAGAATTTTACGTTTCCAATTGAACACGTTCTCAGTCTGTATTTTATAAACGTAATAATAGATGGGCAGCAAGCTCTTGATTCTTCTTGCAATACTGATAGTTGTGAGTATTGCCCATATTCTGCATCTTCAGACGGCAATGGTGGCTACACAAACTGATGCTCATGGTCTTCTGCTAACCTTATTGATATCGGAAATACTGCTAATTTATACATGATTAACACGACAATACAGCACATGAGAATCGGCTGCAAAAGTAAATACCATAAAAAAGCATAAATTAAGCTATTTTTATAGTAAAAAATCACATTAATTTAACCATATTTTTTAATAACCCCTGCAAAAGCTTAATAAATTCAACCGGAGGAAAAATCCGGCTTTACAACGTAAATTTCCAAAATTTGAAAGTTATGGACTCCACATCGGTAAACCAGTATTCTATCATAAAAATTGTGTGTGATTCTACTAAATGATGCTTTGACACGTTTTATTATATACATGGGTCAGTTTCTTTGCTTAATAATGGCTATAACTATTACACAAATATTCAACAGTCTAGCTTCTTATATGCTAAATACTCAGGAAATATAAAAATCTCTTATGTTTCTTTTACCAATAATTTGGTTCTCTGTGGAAGTGCAGTCACCTCTCAGTTTTGTGGGCCATTAATATACATTTATAACTGTGAACAGCAAGTATCTATCCAATATAACACTTTTGACACAAATTATGCATATGCAGCTCTTGTGTATTTGCAATACGAAGAAGATTGGAGCTTGAATTATGACTATGTAATTGATGGAGCCTTGCCTAGCTTCTCATATATTATTTTCACAAACAATATATTTACATACTCAGGGTCAGATACTTCAATAATCAAAATAAGCATGAACTCAGTCCCGATTAATATGGAATTCTCAGGCAATACTTTTGAAAATTCCATTGCGAATACCAAATTAATCGATATTACGAATAGTCAGGATATCCCAAATTATAGTATATATGGCGGGACGACAGAGATTGCAAATGGAGCAGATAAAATAAAAGTCAATGTAAAAGCAAATTACGTGACTTTTAAAAATTTAGAAGTTACTGATTGTTATTCGCCTCAGCTTGTATATCTAAATAAGCATCCCAGTATAAACATGACGAGTATTTATTTGGACTGAAATAATGGACTAACTAAAAATGATATTGATAGTTTAATTATTTCTAGATTTGTAAGCAAAGGATACTTGCCAAAGAAATTTGGGATTTTTAGCAGCATTTCTTCATCAGATGGTATTTATGCAATGAATTTATACTATTTTAACGTTTCAACGGTCTCAATTGAAGATATTTCCCTGACTCCTCCCCTACGTGAGTGAACAAGGGGGGTTAATTTTTTTTTTTTAAATTATTTATAAAATTTTATAGAAAACAATTTTTTTTTTCGAAAATTAAAAAAATCCTAATTCGCAAAAATTGGAAAGCAAATATTAATTTAATTTGTAAAATTTATGTTTTTTAAAAACGCGATTTGTTTAAAATTAAACAGAATTAGCTCGAGATTTCATTATAATAATTATCACTTGTATATCAAATTTATTTTCCATAAAAAATTTTTGTCCACTCACGGAGGATTGGTTTTGGCAAAAATAGGAATTTTTCTAATAGTTTTGTTTACTCACGGAGGGGGGGAGTGAGCAATTTAGCACATTTTGTATATGCTAAGGCCCAATATTTTATAAATATCACAAATGCTACGGCAAATAATATAAAATTTACTAATGACCAAGAATCTTTTATTGCATTATTTGGAGACCCATCTGTTACAAACTGCTCTATAAGCCAAGCTACGTTTAAAAATGTAACAAATTCTGTTGGTCTTGGCGGAATTGAGGGAAATGGATTTTTAAATGCGACACTTAATTATATAGAAATGACTGATGTTTCTGCAAAAACTGAGGGAGGAGGAGTTTATGCAGAAAACATAGTAATATTCACAATAAGCAATAGCAATTTTGATAGTGTAAAAACTGAAAAATACGGAGGAGGGATTTATTCTGCTTATTCAACTAGTCCTTTAAGCTACATTTCTATAGTAAATTGCACATTTATTGATGGATCAGCTACGTTAGGAGGAGCTGCCTATATTACAGCGGAAAATTTTGTAATTATTTATATTTATGGTTCTCAATTTACAAAAAATTATGCTGCTAATGGAGGAAGCGTGATTTATATCCCAATGAACACAAAGATTAGCAAAGCTGAGATAAATAAATGTGAATTTCAAGAAAATTCTGGGTATTCTGGGACAGTCAGTTTATATCACTCAGGACTAGTATCTATTAAGGACTCTGTTTTTCAAAAAAATACTGCGAGCCCAGGGCCTTCTGCGATATATGGGTTTTTTGAAACGTCTGGAGATTTAATTGCTTTGGAAAATGTTGAATTTTTATCTGAGACAGGGGACGAAACTATTATGATCTGATTAATTTTACATAAATATTTTATGGGAAATATATATAAAATAAAAAAATTATGGCTAGCTTACTTATAATAGCATTTAATTAGCCTCAAAAAGCTTATAAACTTATTATCCACAATATCTGGTGCTACTATAACAACCACAAATTGCACTTTTTCTGAAAACCATAATATTGCCCTACAAATGACATATTTCACCTGAACTGATACTCACAGCAAATTTATTTCTAACTGAAGAAGTGTCTTTGCCCAAGGCCAATCTGAGCTTTACCTTACAGATACCTATTTTAGTCAAAATAACGGGTATGCTGACAGTGAAGGTATATACACACATTCTATAGTCGATATATTATGAAGTACCATCAACTGTACAGGATGCACATTTTATAAAAATACAGAAAGATCTCTATCAGTCGCCAGCTCATCAGTCGCAAATCTTACATATTGCAATTTCACAGAAAATCATACGAATACTAAAGGTTCAGCTCTTGTTTTTAATTCAAATACTGATGATAGCGCTATTAACAATACTTATTTTGGTTTTAATTCTGCTTCACAAGGAGGAACTATTTATATAATTGAGACTACGATGTTACCGCCTTAGTCGGCAACACTGCTCGGAGGCGCATATTGGTGATCGAGGCTGACTGGCCCCAGACGGTCGGCGGGTCCTGTGCGGCGAAGAAGCAGCGGGAAGCTCTGGGTCGGGGCAACCCCGTAAATGGCGTTAAACACAGTTAATAATTAAGTGAGACTACGATGTTAATGCTAAACATTACAATGATAAGTAATACCGCAGAAAGCAATTCTCCTGGGATTATTGTAAGTGGTGGTGATATTGCTGTCATAAACTCAACACTTAGTAGCCAAACAGCAGCATACCAAGGCGCTTTTATTGATATTACTACAGGAGGCAATGCAGTCCTCAGCAAGTGTATATTGACAGATGGGATCTCTACTGGTGGTGGTACTATTACAAACTCTGGAAGCAGCCTTTCCATTTATTCAACTAAATTCATCTATAACAACATCGAAGATTCTGCTAGCGGAATATACGGAAGCAACAATTGTGTAGTCAATGTTGATGGCAGCTCTTTTATCTATAATAAGGCTGGGTCATATTCTAGCGTTTTTGCTATTTATTTACAAAATTCTTATTTACGTGTCTTAATCTTAATCTTAGTTAATAAGTGTTTAAGGTGTCTAGTGCACCCTCCCTAATAAATAGGGACTTAACCCAACTAGTGACGTCACGGGCCATCCTGTCACTTAAAATGGCGCACCATATGGGCAGGCATTCCTACTTTGCCACCACCAGCCAAGCCGCACATCTCACCCGGCGCGATGCCGTCGCCCTTGCCTTACTTAGCTCCTGCGCGTGTTCCGCCTGAGGGTCACCCTCCTCGGGTGTGCTAAGTGGAAAAATCCCCGTCGCTTGAGTGCACTGAGGAGCAGTTCCTCTGGTTATCCCCAAAGTTAAACTGCTATTGCTGTGCAGAAGTTCTCGAGATAAAAAACCAAACCCCATAAATAAAATTCCATGAGGGAGAGAAAATTAGCAAAGCTAATTTCTCTCGAACCGAATGCCATTTTATTTATCCTTATTTACGTGTCAGCAACACTTTATTTTACTCATATGTATATGGGGCTATATACTGCTCATCTATGCTAAAAATTTCTATTAAAAGTGCTACTTTTCAGAATGGTTCAGGTGGCTCTAATGGCTTTTATAGTCAAGACTCATCAGCTATCTCAATTACTGACTCTTCATTTTTAAATTTAACCACCACATCTAATGGAGCTGCCATTTATCTAGCAAATTCTGAAAATGCGACTATAGAAAAATGCATTTTTAGCTCAAACTCTGCGATTTCTGGGGGAGCAATTTATTTAAAAAATGCCAGTCCGTCAATTAACTATTCAAATTTTACTAACTTCCCTTCTTCCGTGAGTGAACAAAACCATTAGAAAAATCGCTATTTTTTGCCCAAAAACCCACCCTTCGTGAGTGAACAAAATTTTTTTTAATAGAAAAAATTTTTTTATGGAAAAAAATTTTGATATATAAGTGAAAATTATTATTACGAAATCTATAGCTAATTCTGTTTAATTTTTAACAAATTGCGTTTTAAAACATAAATTTTATAAATTAAATTGATATTTCTTTCCAATTAGGATGTTTTTAAAATCTTGAAAAAAAAAATTTTCTATAAAATTTATATATAAATTTTAAAAAAAATTAACCCCCCTTCGTAAGTGAACCAAGATTTCTTTGTTCACTCACGGAGGAGGGAGTAAAAATAAAGCGATTGACTCAGGAGGGTCAATATATATACTAAAATTCCTGGGGATAGCGCGGAATACGCTATCCCCAGGACCAACCGGGATCGGATCCACACATGGAACGGGGGTTCCATGTGTGGATCCATTTTTGACATGTGAGATATTTACTTTCACGTGTCAAAAATGGATCCACACATGGAACCCTCGTTCCATGTGGGATCCGATCCCGGTTGGTCCTGGGGATAGCGTATTCCGCGCTATCCCCAGGAATTTTCTATATTTATTGTGAAGGAGGATATTCAAGCCCATGTGGAGCAAGCATTTATAAAAGTAATTTTACAGATAATAGTGCCAGTAATTCTGGAGGGGCTATTTATTGGACTGGGAACCAGCCAACTGATACAGACAATATATTTACAAACAATCTTGCATCCTATGGGAATAACTGGGCTGCATACCCTATAAAGCTAGCTTTGGTTACTTCAGATGGCGAAATTTCAAGCGGATCACGTGTTCTTACAGATTTCAGTAGTGTGGCAAGTGGCCAGCAGTTCAGTGATCCCATCTATATCGGCTTAATTGATGCTTATAATCAAATTTCTTCAATTGGCTTTGACACCTACTCAATTGCTATAAAATCCACAGTTAATATAACTGTGTCAGGAACTACTGACAGCACCCCTACCAAAGGAATTACTACATTTCGTTATATTTATATTACAGCTACCCCAGGAACTTCTACAACTTTGAGGTTTACTGCCCCCTCAATAGGTAGCAGCACAGGCTATACCTCAGAATCCACCTCAACAGAAAGCAGTTTAGGGATTTCTATCACTATGAGGGAATGTGTAAAAGGGGAATACTATACTGACAATAAGTGCGATTATTGCCAAGCAGGGACATATAGTTATAATATAAATGACCAATGTGAAAATTGTCCAAATGACGCAGTCTGCTATGGTGGATATTTAGTAGCCCCTGATGATGGTCATTGGCATGGAAGCAATGACTCTGCTACTATATATGAGTGCTTAAATACAGGTGCTTGCCTTGGTGGGGTTAAAACAACCACCAAAGATTATGATCTTGTAGGGAGGTGTGCTACTGGGTATAAAGGGAATTTATGTCAGGCATGTGATGATGGATATTCTTCATCAGGGACTAACACATGTGGGAAATGTCCTGATGATCTTTCGAACGCTATGAAACTGATTGGAATTGGGATTATAATCATAATAGTTCTGGTTATTATGGTAAGATCTTCCTTGAGAAGCGCATATATAGAAAAATCAATTGTTTCGATTTATATCAAAATTCTTATTAACTATATACAGCTTATATCACTAGTGTCTCAGCTAGATCTTAGCTGGCCATTCCCAGTGAGTGAGCTAATAAATGCTCAATCTAAAACAGGCGAAGTCTCTACTCAAATGTTCTCATTTGATTGTTTTTTAATTGACAAGTCTGATAAAAACTCATATAAAGAAATTTACTTTACCAAGCTTATCATCATTGCATTAATCCCAGCAGTCCTTGGAATTATTTTGACACTATTTTGGCTGTTTGTCGCATTTATCAGAAATAATAAGAGGGTAATGAAAGAGCAATATATTGCATCCTGCTGTATCCTATTTTTCCTGATTCATCCCTCACTTACAAACTATTTATTTTCAATCTTTAACTGCAAGAATTTATATGGCGACTCATATTTGGTTAAAAATTTAGATATTAAATGCTGGGATGAAACTCATGCACTTTATACCCTATGTGTAGCACTTCCTGGAATTGTTGTTTGGTCTGTAGGAGTTCCTTATATAATTTTGCTATATTTGATAAAAAAGAGAAAAAAACTTCACATGCTTGCTCACAAGTTAAGGCTTGGGTTTTTGTATAATGGATATCGAGATGAAGCTTATTATTGGGAATTTGTGATTTTAGCAAGGAAATTAAGCATCATCTGTCTTACTGTATTTCTTAACTCTGTTTCTATCAAAATTCAAGCTTTAGGGTGCTTTTCTGTTATATTGGTATTTCTCTACTGGCAGTTTAAAAATAATCCTTTCTCTTTTATTGATTTAAATGAGTCCGGGTGAGACGTGCGGCCCTGGGGTTACCGCTGGGTTGTCCGATAGTTCGCCGTTTTGGCTTCACCAGTGATGCCACCAGTTGGCTTAGTCACTATTTATTAGAGAGCGGGCACTAGACACCTTAAACACTAAATAATTAAGTAAGATTTAAATGAGTCAGAGCTTAGAGGAGTCCTTGTATCTGCATTAACTATTTATTGTGGGCTGTTTTATTTAACTGGTGATCTAGACACCGGAGGAAAATGGTTTTTCTTTTTGGTCATTGTGCTCTCAAATTGCTATTTTCTTTACTTTTGGTTCCGCAAAATGATGTATGAAAGCGCCACAATGGCTGTGAAATTTGTCCCAGATCTACAAGAAGTCGTTACAAAAGGCAATTTTAATAATTATAAAGAAACGGTTAAAAGGTGGAAAGCAAATATTGTGGAAGAAATGAGAGATGATAAAGAAGTGACTTGTGACTCGGATTTAAAGGTGGAAAATATGGAAGACTTGTATTTATTGTCAATGGAAAAAAGTGAATGCCTTCCAATTGTTTCATATGATTCAAGCGAATCTAGTTCATATGAAATTTACTCATTTGTGAGGCAGTCGAAGTCTCTTGAGATATCAAATAATAGCGTAGAAGTAAATGTGGACACTTCGGATGATTTAAAGCCAAATGCACCATATGACTATGGAAATAGTAGTCAAACAAGCTAATAATGATAATTGATTAATTAAATGGGCTAGATTTATTAGGTGTTGAGAAATTAGGGAATTAATATTATATTAATAAATAATTATACTATTATTAATGAACTCGACGCCTTTGAGGGCTTTAGTTTGACCAATATACCTATTAAGATTTTAAGAATTTTCAGTGATTTTTAAGGCAAAAACTCGTTATTTATGCGAAGGCTCTACTAGGTTCGAAAGGTTGATCTTGCAAAGAATTATTTTGGTATGTCAGAAATGAATTTAATTTGTCCAAACTAATTTTACAAAGTGAAGTTTGTTTTTTCTGCAGGAATTTTTTGAGTGTTAATATCATATATTGTTAAGGCCAATTAATAAACCTAGAACTTTTCTGAATCTTCCATTTGATTATTATTATTATGAGATATCTAAATATGAATATGCAATAGGAGATCATCTTCGAATAAAGGATAAATTAGATTTCGATTTTAAATTATTTTAGATTTTCAAGCTTTTTATTATGCGGATTCATAAATTTAATAATTAAGTTAATTTCTTCACTTAAAAATATGATTCTTTAAGAGATAATCAGGAGTTTTTCAAATTTTTGAATTTTGATCAGTTTGGAAGCTTCGAATGAAATAAAATATTTGACAATCTATCTGAATTTTTGCTATTTGAATTTAATTAGAAGCCTTTTATATAATTTAATTTTTAATCTTTAATAAAATTAGATCTGAAATAGAGAAAGTGCTAAAATCTATCCTCCGCGTTGGGATTCTCTTTTGCATAAGAGTATTGTATTTTAATTTCAGCCTTTTATCTCATCAAGGATTTGATATAATTCTTGAACAATTTTTCCTCAGATTTTTCTAAATATGTTCAATTTCAATGAAATGTAAAATGTGATAATATATTCAATTTTGAATAAGTGCTAAAATCTATACTAAGCATCTGATTTCTCTATTAAATAAGAGCATTGCTATTTAATGTTAGCTCTTTATCGCATCAAGGCCTTGAGGTACATCTTTGTCAATTTTTTCCTTATTTTTAATGAAAATGACATTTTTTTGCTTATCAGTTTAATTTTCTATTAAATCTTCAAAAATTTTAGGGAAGCAGCGTTTTAAATTCAATCATATGTAAGAGTCATAAAATTTTATCTGTTAAGCGAAATAGGATATTATTTCCTTCATAAAGATTGATCTAGACCTTGATTCTGTCAAAGCAAAATATCCCCCAATAAATATGGAAAATCAGCATTTTAAACGAAGACTCTGCACTTGAGATCTTTCACAGCATTGAAACAGAAGAATTAAAGCCAAAGAAACTCAGGGAACAGCTTCAAATGAGAAATAACTTACAGAAATCCTGGTGGAGTTATATTATTGAGCACTCACCTAGTCCCCTCAAAAGAATTCACAGCATTCAAGATGATCGAGCTCCTAGATAAAATTATTATACAGCCATCTTATCAGAAATTTAATTAGTTTATTTCTGACATACCAAAATGTTTGATTCATAAAAAATGTGTCCCGGCCATACCAAAATAATTCTTTGCAAGATCAACCTTTCGAACCTAGTAGAGCCTTCGCATAAATAACGAGTTTTTGCCTTAAATATCACTGAAATTTCTTAAAATCTTAATAGGTATATTGGTCAGACTAAAGCCCTCGAAGGCGTCGAGTTCATTAATAATAGTATAGTTATTTTTCAGAATTTGATTTTTTTCCATATTTTTTCTTAAATGTCATTCTTGCAGTGATTTTTATCAGATTTTACCTAAATCAGCTTTACCAGACAATGTGCATAAATTTAATTAATTCTACCTAAAACACATGCATAACTTTTTACAGCAAAAAAACCTGGTTTCATTGCTTTCAGGATCCATATCTTCTTCAGGACTTGTCGGTAGATTATGGCCCATTTCCTCTTCTAAGTTTTTCCTTACTTCCTCAATTTCCCCATTGCATTCCTTACTAGACTCTGATGGGCAAATATCTTTCATTTCTAACTCCCTTAATTTTTGTTCTGATTTTCTCATTTGAATTTCCTGGTGTAATTTTGATAAATTTATAGGTGTTTTGTTACCAAAGCCTTTATATTTATCTCTTACTATAATAAATATAGATTTTGTGGTTTTTATAATAAAGATAATAAGAATTTGTATTAAAAAGTATATATTCCACATCTGCTGAAATTGAGCTGCAATTCAGTTCGCCATCTAAATCGTTATCCTCAGATTTTTCTGAGTCTTGAAAAAGGGTTTTTTGAATTGATTTGGAATTTTTGTGGGTGGATATGCCTTTTCGGTTGATGATTTCTTCTCTGCCTTTTATGATCACTTGTAGAGAATCTTTTATTTGACTTTCTTTGTGCTTATGAATTGCTGCCATTTATGCAAAGTTTGATTTCATTTAGATTGACATCAATTTTATTATTTTCAATATTCTTAGCTGCTTTGCCTTAAAATCTCTATTTCTTTATCCTATTTTAAACAAATATCACTAATAGTTTTATGCTAAAATCTATCAATAAATTATTATTTTACGTCCATCTTACTCTGAATATTATAATTTATTTCTTAAAATGTAATTATAATTATTTAATAATGTCTCAAGAGGACAATCCTCCTTTTAGAAACCCACACAACGCAATAGGAGTTCCAGGGATTCTTAAAGTCCACCGAAAAGACCTTGAAAAGAAGAAACTAGACATCAGGATTTCAAATGAAAAATATTTGCGAGACCATCCAGAACTTACAGTTATGCTACAAATCTTCATGAGAGAAACCTTGAATGAGCACCCAGAGAATGTGCTGCAGTTTGCAGGGTGGTTTTTCGATAGAGAAGAGCTTAGAGACATAGTAAATTGGGGACTTCAGCAGCAAAGTCCTGCTGAAATGGAGATCCTGAAGCAAAAAGGACACCCTCAAAAAGGCCCATATGCAGTAGAGCTCGAGCCTGGGGTAAAATATTTTTATTGTGACTGTGGAAAATCTAAAACTCAGCCTTTTTGTGATGGATCTCATCAAGGGTCAATTTTTGCTCCTATTCAGTTTGAAGTAAGTGAAAAGAAAACGTATTATCTTTGTGGGTGCAAATGCTCGAAAAATAAACAGTTTTGCGATGGGACTCATAATGATTTGGATTGGTAGCAAGCTTAAAATAATAGAAATTTGATAATTTATGAAGACATAGATTTAATTATAGAAGATTAACTTTAATTATTTATATAGCTTTTAATAAAACTTCTCTTCTTATTTAGAGTATACGCAAATACCAAATCTAATTAATAGACGTATTGCTATGTTGTGCTAAGGTGAATTATATATGATGCTATTTTTCGAAAAATTAAGCTTCTCTTAAAGTTACTTAATCTTTTTTATAGAAAAATATTGAATCCTAATAATGCAAAATTAAATACTCTCTGTGAGTATCCAATTATTTCTTATATAACTTTTTTGTATATAATACTTTGATACAGAATATCATAAATAAATATTTAATAAACTCTATTAATTTTAGTGTCCTCATATTAGATTTTTTAATCTAAAATAGTTGGAAGAGTTATAACATAACTGCTTAGAAGCCTTCTGAATAAAATTTTCTAAGCAGTTAATCTAAGATTTTATTAATTTTCTGCCAAGCACTTTTTTAAATCCTAAATCTGCCATTTTCGGAGCCTTAAATCGCAAATACTTGACGAAATAACTGTTACAAAACTGCCGTAGTAATCAGCTAAAAGTTAAAAAAATGTAAAAACGGCTTATAAACAAATTAAAGTTAATTACATTAAGTATTCTTTGTATATTTATATATACAATCCTCTCGCTTCGAGGTCAATAATTATTGGCTGGTCTTGATATGTGCTGTCTATAGACGTTTTTCTGCTAGCTACTGTACTGTTAGATGGAGAGCTTGAAGCGGTTTTTTGAGAGTCTTCAGCATGCAGAGCAGGACATTTTGAGCCCATGAGGCAGTAGCCGAACTCAAAGTATTGCTTGCATGTCTTAGTTTGTTTGCAAGGGAGACCCTCTTTAGACCTAAGTTCATCTTCGCCATGGGCGAAAGTATATAAATTAATAAAGACTTTAATAATTTTTTTTTTCAATAATTAAGGGATAAAAGAGGTATTTTTTAAGGAAAATAATGCAAAATTAATTAATTACATAATACATTTTTCTCCAAACTCGCAAAAACCATTCTCCCAGTTCTTGCAGATCTCAGTTTTATACCTTATAGAAAAGTCGTTTCCTTTTTTCGCCTTTTTTTTGCTTTTTGCTTTGCTAGGCTGCTCAGGAATCTCTAGTTGAGATAGCCCTGAAAACTGACCAAAGGACTGAGAAGATGTGCTATTGATGACTTGTGGCAACATATTGATCACTATTTAATTTTTATAAATTCTTTTTTGTATGAGATAAAATGGATATCAGAACAAAATTTAATTCCACAGGTCTAATAAAATACGTTTTTAAGTTAATTATTTGTAAAAGAATTTTTCGAAATATTTTCCTTTTAATCTTAATCCTTATATTTAGAATCATTTTTATTATAAGTAATCGCATCTAGAATTCTTCACAAATTGGCACCATTTTTTGAGGAATTTCCTTAGTTAGTTAGTTAGTGATAAGTATTGTAAGTCCCTGCTTCCAGAGAGTGACATCCTGCGCAGCCGCTAGGCTGCGTGGTGGCCCAAGCAAATTGCCTCTGAGCCCAGGCCGAAACCCCTGGTTTCTCGGTAGTGGTCGCCCTATTAGATCCGAAAACCGTCGCTGGGCACCACCATTTCCAACTCAGTCCCTTTGCCCATATTACGCCACTCCTGCCTCGCACTCCCGGCCAGATCGCCCCATTAAAGGGACCCTTTTCAACTGGAGAGACTGCCTTAATTTTGTTGTCTAGTCCACCTTCCCTCTTCCCAGGTCATCCCTGAAGAAGAACTCAACCGCTTCCGCGATTCGGGGCAGACCACAGTAGCAGCTTGAGCAGGTATGTCGCCCTGCTCCATCTCGGGCGGCCACTGGTTTGGGCGCTGCTGGAAAAAAGGAGTCGAAGGAAATGCCCATGGATCAGGTCACGAGCAGCGGGTCTGTGCTTATGCCCATCGTTACTGGGATCCTGATGTTGCTGGGCCATCTTCTTCCCCCAAAAACCATGCCCGGATATACACGGGTTACCGTCACTGGGAGGACGTGTCTGTCACCATACGCCATTTTATGTATATGAGGAATTTCCTTATAAGGCAGGTAAATATTTTTACCTTTCAATAATTTTTATCATACCTCTTCCTTAATTTTAATATCAATACTTATGGCTAATGGTAGATTAAACCAATGCTATTATTTAGGTTTAATATTTATGCAGTGGACTTTGGATCAGACTGCCTTGTATGATAAGCTTTTTTCTTCAGCTGCCTAACAATATGTGAATTTGGCCTGCTCCCATGGTTTGACTTAGTCGGCCACCTCTTGTTCCTCCCTAGTAGCATGATAAAGTCTTCTAGAACTGAAAAGATCGGTAATTTCAAAGCAATGCTAGACATATCACAAATAATATTACAATAAATTAGTCATTTACGCAAATAATTACTTAAATAAAGAATTTCTTTCATAATCCTAGGATATTTCTTATCTATCTAAACAAAAAATGTGAATATAAAATAAATGATGCTGAAAAGGTTTTTCGCTGAACTTGAGATCTTGGAGCAGAGAAGAAATTTCAATATTTATAAAATCCCAAACCATGTCAAGAAAGAGCCTTATATGAAAAGTGACCAATGGACTCAGAATCCTGTCCCTGTCTGTGTGGCTAACTCTATCCCGTGAGCGAAAAAAAATTTTTTTAATATAAAAATGTTTTATGAAAAAATATTTTGATATATAAGTGATAATTATATACTAAAATCTCTATTAATTCTGTTTAATTTTAAGCAGTTTGCATTTTAATACATAAATTAAATTAATATTTGCTTTAAATTATTTCGTATAATGATTTTTTAAATTTTTAAAAAAAATATATATAAATTTTATAGTAAATTTTTAACCTCCTCGGGAGCGAACAGAAGGAGTAAGCAGCCTTATGTCTTTAAAAACCCTCAGTTAGGAACCAAAAAATACTACTGGTGTTCCTGTGGACTCAGCAAGAAGCAGCCTTTCTGCGATTCTACACATATGAAAACAGCTTTTAAGCCTGTGCCTTTTGTTATTCAGGAAAAAGTGTCAGAAGTCTCCCTTTGTTTATGCAAGCATACAAGTTCAGCGCCATTCTGTGATGGAAAAGCATGCAAGAGCTAAGAGGTAACTAATATTTAAATCGTTCAGGATTATTATAATAATCACATAAAGCTTAATTTTTTAAAGAAAAATAGACAAATTAAATAATTCATTAGTAAATATTATTTTTTGAACTAAATCCTCAATAATTTATAATTTAGATCGATTAAATTTAAAAATAATCCATTATTGTGGCGTTTTAAATTTCAATTTCATTTTTATAAATTCATAGCCAAGTTACTCAGGAGAATTATTGAAAACTCCAAAATTTTCTATATGCCATGAGCACGATTTTAGATCGACCTGAGAACCCCTCTCCCCTCCCCACATCCCTTGATGGTTTCAGTTTTATTGAAATCTACAAATTGAATTTGACTTGTCAAATCCTTAGTGAGGGACGTATCACTTTGAATTAACAATTTCGTTCAAACTGAAACTGCCAGGGGGTGGGGGGAGGGAGGTGGAAGTTTCAGGTCGAGCCATACCTGCTCTGAAGGTATATCGAAACTCTTATTAATGAAATTCATATTTATTCGGGACTAATTTATAATCCTCAAAAACCAGCATTTAACTTCCCTTATAAATAGTTATAAATGAATCACAATAAAATCCGTGAAGGCCGCAGAAAAAATAATGACGGAAGGCTAAGATCTAATAAAATCCAAACCCTTGTTAAAAAGGCAGTGGAGTTAGCTACTCAGCACGAAGTTGACCTGTTACTTGTTGTTTATTCCCCAGAGACAAAATCTTGAATAGAATATTCAACCAAAGATGCAACCCAGCTTTTCTTTGGCCTACAAGCTGCCAAAGAGCATATGGATAAAGTTGAAACCTGGCACAAAGACTCAGCAAAAAATCTTCTTGTCCCTGACACTGCAGAGGCGAGTTCTTCCCCGCCTCCTAATAAACGTCAGAAGCATGCAGCTGATGAAAACCTGTTTTCTAAGCCTATTGAAAAAGCTAGAAAAGAATTGGGATCCGATGCCAGTACTTTGAGTACCAATGAGACTTTGCCCAAACTGTCTCGAATTAAAGATAGCCCTACCAATTTAGAGTTATCTGAGTCGGCAGATTTAACTACGATTTCGTTTAATTTTGCTGACCTTACTACAAAACAAGGTTCATATCAAACGCATCCTACTATGTCTGATTTATATCCAGATGATTTCTTGTTTTAAATAAGAATACTCATTTAAACTGAATTTTTGGTTTTTTGGAGGTTTCAAGATTATTGACAATAAGTTTTAATAGTAAATAATCTACTATAATTGAAATTTAAGTGGAATTATCAATATATATTAGTAAATAGCATTTTAATTTAAGGTATTAAAAGCATGTATAGCTCATACACCTTTATAGATTTCTTTATCGAGCAAAATGTATTGAACTATTGAACGAGCAAAACAGAGTCTCTCAAAGAGATGAGCTCAATCTCCATATCAGAAAGTGCTAAAAAGTGACATGTCAAAAAATGGTGACAAGTGTGAAAAAAGTTGACAAGTAAACGCGCCAATTTTTAAAATGGCTTTATTATTAAAATAAGATATGAGCTTTAAAATTTGAAAATGCAAAGGGGGGACTTACCGAGCGAACAGTTTCATAGGTCTCCAAGTGCTATAACTCTAGTTAGTATATCGTGCAAAAACTCCAGTAGGATTTTGACTTAAGCGATTATAAAGATGGAGTCCATTATTGAAGAAATTGCATATGAACTTTAAAATTTGAAAATGCAAAGGGGGAATTACCGAGGCAGCCACTCAATAGATGTCTAAGAACTAGTGCTTCAGCTAGCATATCGCGTAAAAACTCCAGCAGGATTTTTGACTTATGATAGCTTTCAAGATGGTGCAGTCTATGGAGAAATAAGACCTGTAGTTGAAAAATTAGAATCGCAATGGGGGGACTTACCGAGGCAGCCACTCAATAGGTCTCTAAGAACTAGTGCTTCAGTTAGCATATCGCGTAAAAACTCCAGTAGGATTTTGACTTATGTCAGTTTTCAAGATGGTGCATATTGTGGAGAAATAGGACTTGTAGTTGGAAAATTGGAATCGCAATGGGGGGACTTACCGAGGCAACCACTCAATAGGTCTCCAAGTTCTGTAGCTTTAGCCGGAATATCTCGCAAAAACTCCAGTAGGATTTTGACTTAAGCGATTATCTTAAGTTTTAATTATTTTAATAATAAAGCCATTTTAAAAATTGGCGCGTTTGCTTGTCAACTTTTTTCAGACTTGTCACCATTTTTTGACATGCCACTTTTTAACACTTCCTGATATAGATGTCCAGCCCGTTCCTTTAATAGAGTCTTTCTTGGTCGTTGTACTTTCTATTACATTTTGCTCGATAATAAATCTATATCGGTGCATGAGCTATATCAATATGCTGACACTTTGGAAAGAATATTTATAGCTATTTTTTACTAAAAATTGAGCAATCTTTGCAGCAAAAAACTTGTTTAATCGCAAACTTTCAAAAAAAATCCAAATATGGATTTTTAGCCAAATAAAAATGACAAAAATTGTTCACTATTTTTTGTTTAATTTTAATTTATCTTTAAAATTTCCATTATTAGTCTCTATTTGAGCTGATTTTCTTGCATCCCCCTCCATGAGCGAACAAAATATGGGAAACAATCCTATTTTTCAGTAAAAACCACCCTCCGTTAGAGAATTATGAAAAAGATATTTTGATATATAACTGCTTATTATTATACTGAAATCTCTAGCTAATTCTGTTTAATTTTAGACAGATTGCATTTTAAAACATAAATTTTTGCAAATATATTAATTTTATTTCAAAATTTTTAGCGGAAAGGTTTTTTTTTTTTTCGAAAAAAAATTATTATAAAATTTATATATAAAAATTTTAAAAAAAAGTGTGATCAAACAAAATATTGTGTTCACTCACAGGGAGCGGGAGCTAATAAAATAGCTCATATATGAGTTTCATAATTAATGGCAAATCGCCAAAGATGTGGAAATGATTATAATAATGTCAAAATCTGTTACCAGATTTTTAAAGAAATCTCTTATTGGGGAAGGAAATTTTGGCCAAGTATTTTTAGCTCTTGACCAAGAGACAAGTGTTCATGTTGCCCTTAAAATAGAATCATCAAATGACACCTCATGCCAGCTAATAAACGAGGCTACAGTCCTTAAAAATATTCAAGGAGGAGTAGGGATCCCTAAGTTTATAACATCTGGACAGAGTGGGGATAGGAACTATTTAGCAATTGAACTGCTCGGGCCAAGTTTAGAAGACAAATTTCTGGAAAATGACAAAAAATTTGCAGTAGCTGTCATTCTTGACCTAGGTGAACAGATCCTAAGCCGCCTGCAATATCTCCACAGCAAGCAATATATTCATCGTGATATAAAACCTAGACAATTTTTATTAGGTCCCGCAGAAGACCCGTCCACAATTTATTTAATTGATTATGGCTTGACAAAATCCTATATCATTGAAAAATCGAATGCTCATATTCCCTATATGGAAAATAGACCATTTGTAGGGACTGCTTATTTTGCTTCTCTAAATACTCATCAAGGAATTGAACAGAGCCGAAGAGATGACTTAATCCCCCCTCCGTGAGTGAACAAAACCATTAGAAAAATCCCTATTTTTTGCCCAAAACCCCACCCCCCGTGAGTGAACAAAAATATTTTTAATAGAAAAATTTTTTATGGAAAAAAATTTTGATATATAAGTGATAATTAGTATAAAGAAAATCGAGCTAATTCTTTTTAAATTTAAACAAATTGCGTTTTAAAACATAAATTTTATAAATTAAATTAATATTTGCTTTCCAATTTTTGCGAATTAGGATCTTTTTAAATTTTGAAAAAAAATATTTTCTATAAAATTTATATATAATTTTTTTTTAAAAAAAAAAAATAAACCCCCTCCGTGAGTGAACAAAATTTTTTTGTTCACTCACGGAGGGCGGGGAGTTAGAATCTTTCTGCTATATTTTAGCTTATTTTTGCAGTGGAGAATTACCATGGATGCCAAAAATTAAAATAAAAACCACAGAAACCAAAATTTTAGTCAAGAAAATGACCTCTTCGCCAATTGATTTATTTAAAGAAGCTCCTAGTGAGTTTTTGCAAATAATGATTTATGTAAAGAGCCTACAGTTTGAAGAGAAGCCAAATTATGAATATTCTTGACAGAATAACTTGATTAATAAGAATTTTTATAAAAAATATTTTTTTTTAATTTATTGAAAAAAACATATATGAATTCTCTTTTCCAAGCGGCAAAAAGAAGAGAAAACATTAATGGCCATACCCTTAATTGGTCAATTTCTACAGAAAACAACTTTGAAAGACACAAGATGACACATCTCAGCACTAATTCAAAAAGTGGCCTTAAAAACAAGATAAGAAAAAATAAGAGAAGCATGAGTCATAAATTGAAACGCAGCAGGAAAAAGACAAATGGCTTAGCTGCAGACAGTATAATTGTATCAAAGTCGTGTTTAAAACAAATTCAAAGTTTTATTCAGACAAGTGATTATGATTTTTCTAAGACGCTTGAGATTAAAGAAATGCCTGAGTTTAAAAATAGAGATATTTTACTAAAAAAAATAGGGAGTGCTATGAAGGTGCAGCAATTTTTATCTTACTTGCTTACTTAAATTTATGCGTTTAACGTCCCTAGGGGGTTGGCATGTCCAGACCTTTCGCTCACTTTTCAAGTCATCGGACCAACAGGCCTCTGGGACGAACTGCTTTGATCTCCAGAACACGCTTGGAGCAAGGGTTGCTGGCTTCGACAGCTCATGGATGCTACTTCCTTTGTAACGTGAGTTTCCTGCACAAAAAACCCAAAAAATGGATTTTCTGGCCGACTGTCGACAAAAGCACGTAACCTTGCAGATATAATTAAAATATGTGTTCGAAGCTGCATGTTCGGGACACCTGCTCTGGTTGAGAAGCCATATTTTAATTATGCAGCAATTTTTATCAATACCCAAATCTCGCACTGAAGATATTGATAATTTGGATAATCATAAAATCGCGAGTGAAGAACCCAGTGCAAAATCAGCTTGCGAACAAACAAATTGCAAATTGTTTTAGTTAAAATTATAAGAGCTACTTCACTATAGAAGTAGCCAATTAATTTGTAAAAAATTAGTAAAAAGATTGAACTATTGGCTCGGTTTTATTAATTTCCTATATTTTGGTAATTAAACCCTTGCACATTAGAACAAAATTTTTAAATTTTTAGAAAGTAAAAATAATAATTTCTACATAATAGCTTTGATACCCAATTTAATGCTCCCAAAATCGAAAATTTACCTATATAATGTTACATAAAATAGAGAACTTAAGTAGTTTATTAATTAAAAAAGCTTTGACTCAATAAATCTTATAAATTTTGTTTTTAAAATGTTGTTATACTAAAAAAATATGATTTAATTTTTAATATTTTAGACTGTTCCACTTAAAAGAGTGGAGTAATTAAATATTCTTATATTAAATATTATTAATTCCGATATATTGTATTTACTAATATGAAGAATTTAAAACTAATAAAAATGATTCCATTGCTTATTATTTTGTTCCATTCTATCTATGCATGTGATCTACCTGATTTGCCTTCAAATCTCAACTATTTATCATCTTCTTTTGATATCACTCATCATTTAGAAATATCTGGAAGATTTCTTATTCCCCAAAAAGTACTTGAATGGGAATTTATTACACAAGAAGACTCATGATTCAGGTAATTAATAATCAGAATTTCTATAGAACCAAAGCTTCACAATATCCATATCAAATTAATAAAAGAAGAGACCCTTTTTGACTTCAGCGAAGCTGTAAAAGATGAATCTGCAATGATTTCAAGAAAATTAATTCCTGGAAACTATCATTTGTCTTTTGAAGTCACAATGCAGTGGAAATTTCGTGATAAAAAGAATTTAGAAGACTGCAAAAGCCAGAATTTATTTTTAAATTTAGCAGTTCACCCATATTCAAAACTTGATCAGCTAATTCCTTCATCCTTAGATGAGTATCAAAATGGATATCCTGAGCTTGCAGATGTTAAAAATTCAATTACTGATTTTTTACCTTATAAAAATACACAGAGCACTTATTTTATTGACTCTTCAGCTGTTTTGCAAGGCGATTCTACATTAAAAACATATGATTTTATCTTGCCTGAGCCAACTGAGGAGCTTACAAACATTGGCTTAACTGGCTTGTGAAAGCTAACTTTTACTATCCGTAACCCATAAATAGATTCTGATTTCTTAACTGGTGGAGGCTTAGGAATTTATTTTGCAAAGACCAAAAAACCACTATCATAAATAAAATGGCATTCGAGAGAAATTGGCTTTGCTAATTTTCTCTCCCTCATGAAATTTTATACATGGGGTTGGGTTTTCTCTCGAGAACTTCTGCACAGCAATAGCTATTTAACTTTGGGGACAAGAAAAGGAACAGCTCCTCACTGCATTCAAGAGGCTCAGAGTTTTACCTCTCAGAACATCCCCACAGGAGGATGACCCTTAGGCGGAACACGCGCAGGAGCTGAGTCAGGGCAGAGCGACGGCAACGCGTCGGGTGAGATGTGCGGCAGCTGGGACGAAGCGTCGATAGAAGGCTTGGCCGGTTGGGCTAACCACCGCGATTCCAAGATGGCTCCGTGACGTCACTAGTTTAGCTAAAAGCCCTTTTTAGGGCTGCGGCACTAGACACCTTAAACACCGAATAATTAAGTTAAGCTAAGTTAAGCAAAGACCAAAAAACCACTATCAAAATTTTCAAAACTGCCTTGCATTTCTACAGGCTCCTGTGTTTTCGGAAAAAGATCAGAAAAAAATTCAGTCTCTATTTATTCAATATTTAATTCAGGCGAATTCTCAATTTCTCTCTTCTACAAATCAATGATCAACGAAGAAAAAGAGATGCTAGATACAATTGGAGGGAAAATTCCCTATTCAATGCACATGAATGTAGAGCCAATTTTTGATAAAGAAGACAGGTTTAACTGTGAAGCTTCACATATCCCGCACAGCTTAAACAGCCCAGGGTTATTAGATTTCCGAGGATTTTTAAGATTTTCAGATTTAGTAATTGCTGATTTGAGTGTGAAAAAACAAATCACAGAATTTGAAATTTTTGAGTCCTCGATTTTTAGGCTTGTAATTGTGGAGCCATCTGGGATTGATATTGATGTATCTTTATATAATTCTGAAGGAATTCTTATAGAGTCAAGTGATGCTGTTGGGAGAGATGAAGGAATTTTGGCTGAATTAGAAGAAGGGAAATATTATATTGAATATACATTTTTAAGTAGCATGATGACTGGAGAACATATTTTTTGTGAAACTTTTTTATTAGAAATTGGAATCAGCCCAGAGTCTGCGACAGATTTGCTAGCTTATCATTTAGGATTGGAAAGAAGCAAATGTAATGCAAATACGGCAAGTCTTAAAGATGCATTTGAAAAGCTCTTGGGGATATTTAAGTTATGGAGGATTCGACCCGAACTCTTAACTGCCATTTGATATGCGCGCATTCTGTTAGGTTTTACTGTGAAGGTAGAGCGGCGATGCTGAATTGATCAGTCAGTGTCCGATCCTAACTCCCCCCCTCCGTGAGTGAACAAAACCATTAGAAAAATCGCTATTTTTTGCCCACCCTCCGTGAGTGAACAAAAATTTTTTATGGAAAAAAATTTTGATATATAAATGATAATTAAAATAATGAAATCTAGAGCTAATTCTGTTCAATTTTAAACGAATTGCTATTTAAAACATAAATTTTATAAATTAAATTAATATTTGCGAATTAGATTTTTTTAAATTTCGAAAAAAAATTTTTTTTAAAAAAAAAAAATTAACCCCCCTCCGTGAGTGAACAAAATTTTTTGTTCACTCACGGAGGGGGGGGGGGAGTAAGGGAAATGCAACAGGAAGTTGGAAGAGTTCTCTCAGCAGTACCAGAAAATGCTTCTTAACCAATCGGGACACTTAACCAGTGCGATAACAGAAGTTGCGTCTTGGGCTTTGGGTTTCCATTTTCCGTCAACTTATCAGAAATTTCGGCCTTTTGAATTTTCTACAGAAAACTGCCTTTTTTTGACATAAAAACCTTCTGCCTTCCGATGAGCGAGTGCAGGCTCTCTCCTAATAATTAGTGCACAGCAAGGCCGTGCACGAATTAGAGAACAAGCTGTGGAGCATATGGAAGGGCCTTCAGCGCCTGACAGTCAGTTTATAATTAACGATTAATAAAGCTCTCGGAGTCATTAAATTCAGTAGATACAAAGGTCCAGATTGATACTGGTAAAGAAAATTATTATAAAGTGCCCATAAACTCAATAAATATCGGCGAAGAAGAAGTGTTTAGGACAGATTTCAGCCTAAAAATTGACGCATTGGCTTATATTGATATTTATTCTGACTTTGTAATAAATGATTTAACTATTGCCATAGAAAAGAAAAAACCAGATGTGCATGATCCAGAAACAATTAAACTGGATAAAGACGAAAGGAGGTCTTTTAAAGGTAAGCTAACTGCTGGGGACTATAATTTTATAATTAAAACAGGCCCTACCGCAAAAAAATACTCACCTGACACTGGGGATTATGAAACTGCTAGCAATATTGATCAATTTAAGGTTATTCTTAATTGAAAAAAATAAATATTTTGAAGCTTATAGCTAGGAATATATTTTATAAAAAAAATAAATTATTTGGTAATGACATTTTACATTAAATATTTAAATAAGAATATTCCATCATGTGCTGCATTTCAAATAAGAATTATAATAGTAGGAACAAGCGACTCAAAAATAAAAAATTCTCCTTGTGACGAAGAGGGAATAGATTATATAGTTTCTTCATTAAATACAATGGACAAACTCGGAGTTGCAGGCACTCCAGCAAATTTTTTACCTACAATCCGCTATTTTTCTAAAAATATCAAAGCTCAGTCTCCATCAAAACCTTCTAAACAAGAAATATCCTTTGCAGTCGAATCAGACAGTATCCTCAGAGTACTCGCAGAAACCGACCAATCCGCAATGGAACTATCTCTCAAACAAGACGGTAAAACCATTACTTTTGACAAAAGCAATTCAGAGCGAACTCCTCCATTTTACTCTATAACCCACCTTCTTGAGCCTGACAAATTTTATATTTTAGAGCTTACTTATCATCCTACCGAAACCAGAATTTGCCATACATATTCTTTATTAATCGAAATAGCCTTAAACCATAAAAACAGTTTTTATAGCTGTGAGGAAAAACTGCCTAATTCTGCTGTTATTCAAGAAAGGCTACTTGATAGTGGAGACATTTTTAAATTCAGCAATGATGAAGGCTACTCCAGTCTGATTGAAGAAGAAAAGTTTTGCTATCAGCAAAAAAATGAGCCATTTCTGTTAGAAGTCCCGTTTTCGATATCTTATGATGCTGCTATGATAACTGCAAGCTTGCAGGCATCGTTTATACAAGCAGGGATTGTACTACAAATAGAAAAAGATGGAGAAATCATACAGTGGGGGTCGTATGAAGCTTCTCATTTGTTTAGAATCCCATCATTTCCGCTGTCTAAAGGGAATTATACTTTGGTATATAAAGAATTATTGCCTTCAGAAAGCAAAAATCAGGTGTCTTTTAGTACAAGTGTGTTAATTGAAGATGTTTCTCTATGAGACGACATAAGCTCTATGATAAGAAAAACAGAGACTTGCCCACAAATTGATCAGCCATCAAGCTTAAATTTAGTTGGACAACTAGAATCAGGAAATCTGCATTGGCATAAAACATTAGAAATGGACGTTTTTGCGAGCTTGACTATTTTTAGGTTTATCATTTCAGAAGACTCAATAATAAGGGTATTTATTGTTCCACAAGATGATATTATTTTTGAAATTCGACTTATGAATACTGAAAATCCTGACAGTTTAATAAACGCTACAATTTCAGACCCTTCACAGGGCTTGCATACAAGGATTATTCCAGGGCCATATATGCTTGAAATCAGCTACACTGGAGACTCAAGTTTATCTTTAAAGAAAAGCTGCCCATCATATGAAATGGACTTGCAGATTATTACAATAAATCAATATTATACCTTGACAAATAAAATTTCTTGTGATTTTTTACCTCCTTTACCATCTTCTTTTGATGGATTGCTAGGGATTTTTGATAGATATATGATGAAGGATATCATAGATCATAGCATTTTTATGGGTTTAAATAAAGATACAGAAATAACAGCAAGTATTGCATATGAAAATTCAGTGACTGGTTATTTATCAATGGAAATTTTAGATGAAAAAAATAGTATTGCAAAATCGATAGGGATTGAAAATTATAGTGAAATTTTTGCGAAACTTACGAAAGGAAAGTACGTTTTGAGGATAATTTTGTCGAAAAATATTGAACTTTCTTTATGCTGGCCATTACAATTGTCAATTCAGTCTACAGAAACTTTATTGGACTCAGTTTGTCTTGGAGATAGTTTGCCGAGCTCATTGCTTTCTTCTCGGTCTAAAAAATTTGGAGGCCCACAGCTTGGAGATGGTTCTGTTTCTTTTTATGGAACATTTTTAGTAAACCCTAAAATCAGGACAGAAACTATCAAACTTTTTATACCACAGTCAGTCATTGGAAGAATAGTCACAATTTCTCATAATTCTGGAATGTTTATTGAAAGTGCTATTTACAAAGAAAAAAATCTAGCTGAGCCTGTTGTTTATTCAAAAAACCGCCTGGCAACTGGTAGCTTAATTGTAGCATTGAGTGGCCAAGCTTCACCTTATTTTTTAGTTTTAACTTATATTATAGATAAAGCTGAGCCTTGTTTGACTTTTGACTTAAAAATTGCAATAGAAACTGTAGTAAAAGTAAAAAATATTTTGGAGTGCATGACAAACAATGATAATCCCAATTCGCTGCTTCCTAAGCCACAAATTAATTTTGGTGACGAAAAAGAAATATATGGCTCAGACATGTTTTCTGTACAAGACTCATGGATTATTGGAGAAAAACAAAATTTTCCTCCAGGAATAGTCTCTAATGGAGAAAAAGGCTCAAATTGGGTTTATGAAATAAAAATGAATATCAAAAGAAAAGCCACTGTTTCTATTGAGACAAATTACAATTTCTTAACAAATGATATGAATTTTCAGATTTTGAAAGAAAAAAAAGTTATTGCGAAAAGTAGCTGGGAAATAATTACTGATGAACAAATGGACGAAATTATCAATTTTTCAAGTATTATTTCTAATGAAGAAATAGATCCAGGGCTATATACTATTAGAATCAAGCAAGGACTTGGGACTAATTTTTTGGTACAAAGATATGATGAAACAAAAATATGTTTGCCTTTTGCATTTTTTATTGAATATTTGCCTATTGAAAACAAAGTGGCTGGAAATAGTCTTTCTATGGTGGATCCTGATAAAAATGATGTTCATAATTTAAATGAAGATTTAGTGCTTATGATGATATTTCAAGACCCAATAGATAAAACTCTTCCTGGGCTGAAAAAATCAGTGTACTTATTAAGTGAAACTGATGAAAAAGTTGTAGCAGACTCTATGGGAGTAAGTACTAGTTATCTGAATAAGCTAAAACTTACCTTTAGCAGCTCTAAGTTAAAGCCAAAAACCTGCTATTTCTTAAAAATTGATGAAGCAGCAATATCTTCAGCTTTATTATCAGATGGACTTGAGCATAAATATTGCACTATGGGATGTCTTTGTAATCCAAAGTCCAATGCTATTTGCAGTGAGACTTTTTCTTGCCTATGTTCTTCTCCATATACAGGCAATGACTGCTTTTCCTGTGTTGAAGGATTTTACATGATTGAAAATGAATGTGTCCAGCAAAACATTAAAGATTCTCCTTCAATAAAAAGCGTAAAATTTGAAGACCCAGAACCATTTAACAATAAAAAATACATCACTTTGTCTGTCTCTCTTACTTCAGCTCCATACAACAATAACCTGAAAAGCATTACAGAACAAAAACACCAGGAGGACATGATAAATGCATTTATTATTATAAATATGCTCAATGGAGACACTATAAAAGCAATTTCAGCACGCCCAATAAATAAAGGATTGACTAAATGGGAACTAAAATTTGAAACAGAAAAATTTACTGATGGGTATAATGCAATTAAGCAAAATGGAGGGATTTTATTTGACGTTGAGGGCAGAAGTTTTGCTCTTGATTGTGAGCTTCCATTTTTCCAATATGAAAAAGAAGAAATTGAATGTGGAAATAATGGAAAAGTTATTGATGGTACTTGTGTGTGCAATTTAGGGTATTTTGGGGAAAAATGCGAATTATGCGCTGAAGGGTATTTTAAAAATAAATCTGGTGAGTGTGCAGAGGTTAAAAATAATGAAAATGGGGTGGTTATTTCAAATAGAGATAAAAATGATACTGGATCAGGAATTGCACAGGGTGAATGCATAGCTAATGGTTATATAAAAGAAAATGATAAATGTGTTAGGAAAATAAAACAAAGTGAAGAAAAACATGAAAATAAAAGTAGCTGATGGAACTATGTTTACCTTGTGGTTTATTTTATAATTAGCGTTGTTGTTTTATGCTTAATCAACAAAATGAGAAAAATAGAAAAAACACCTAGAGATGGCTCAATTGAAATGAGAACTGGAAATATTCAATATGAAGAGCAAAAACTTATAGAACCTTACCAAACTTAAATTAGAGAAATCTAGATGCCTAATGTCGTGCTTAACGTCCACTATGGGGTGGCCGCCACCATTTTATAAAGTTGAGTAGACAGGCCAGTGCGCCGATCTGCTTCAATTCGCCAAGGCATGGTTGAAAAAGGTGCTGCCAGCTTCGTTAGCTCAAGAGTGAGTGACTTCTGTCTCTGTTGGCGCAGAATAGTGACTAAAGCTCCTTCGCTGCTGCATGATGGAAGTGAGAAAGCCACAGACAACACTTTCAAATTCCTTAGGGTCAGGCCAAAGGCAGGCACTTCCCCTAAAGTTGCCTACCTGTCTTGTCTGGGATAGAATTCAATGTAAAACTAAACCTCATACTCATTAAATGCAAAATGAGCGATACCGATAGACATATCGGTAGTTTAAGAATGCCGCTATTTTATGATCACAGAATCTAGCCCAAGCAGATATGACACAAAAGGTAAATATTATGATTAACATAATAGACTATTTAAATTAAATCAATATTCATAAATCCTATACTAATAAATGTGGCAAAGCATATTCCAAGATCTCTATCAGAACTTATCATCAAATGCCAAAGACCGATCCGAGAGCATCATCCTTGGTATCCATTTATACAACATTTCTAAAGGCTTCCAATGCACAGGTTTACTAGAAGATGACCCTGTCTCACAAGAAATTCTTCCTCCATTATGGAATACAAATACTCATATTTACTCTTTCAGATATATCCTCAAGCCAAACATAAACTTATATGTAAAATTCGTAAAGCTTGCTGAGACAAGGCTAACTGTGCATGCCGTCCGCAGTGACCAAGACGATAAAATCAGATCTTTTAATATCGAGATGGAAGAAATTAATAAAAAATGTGAAGAAGGGAAAGAAATCACTGAGGTGATTATTAATGAAATAATACCGGTGTATAACAGAGAAATTTTGAATAAAATAAATGAGGAGAAGAAAGAAGAAAAGAAAGTTGACTTGAGGGATTATAGAGGACCAAAGCCTTATGGAGTGCCTTATGGAGGAATACCCTTTAGTAATCCCTATAACCCATTTCCTGGATACCTGCCGCAGTCAGGCAACCCATATGGACCTGGAGTACCTTTGATATTCCCTGATCCATCTGGAAATGTAATGGGGCCTAATCATCCTATTTTTGGACAACAACCAAGACCTGGAGTACGATGGGATCCAGTCAATCCTTTCCCAGACCCCGAATACCCTGATCATATGCGCCCACCTGGTGGGTTTCCTCCTCATGGATTCCTATAAAGTCTAATCTTTAATAAATTCAATTAAATCTCTATATTTAATTATTTTCATATTTTATACTAACTCCCCTCCGTGAGCGAACAAAAATATTTTGTTCGCTCAAGGAGGAATTAATTTTTATTTTTTAAATTTATATATAAATTTTATAGTAATTTTGTTTTTTCGAAATTTAAAATAATCCCAATTCGCAAAAATTGAAAATTCAAGGTGTTTAAAAATTTTAAGAATTAGCTAGAGATTTATCATAATAATTATCACTTATATATCATTTTTTTTCATAAAGCATTTTATATAAAAAACATTTAGTCGCTCACAGAGGATGGATTTTTGTAAAAAAAATAGGGATTTTTCCAATGGTTTGTTTGCTCACATATGAGGGACTAAGCTGATTGATGATCTCTACAAGCCTATTCAGCTTTTTTTCAATCCCTTGCACAGCCACTGTCAAATCCCCCAGCGTATTATTCTTATTTTCCCCCATTTCTTGAATTTCTGATTTATTTTTCTTAAACATCACCACGCATTTATCCAGCTTTTCCCTTGCTTTTACAGCAGCCAAGCTATGTTCTCCATACTTCCCCTTTAATTTGTAATAGCTAAACCCTGCACTAATAAGCATTGCTGCTGCATGTGTTTTGTGAATATTTACAAAGACTTTTTCCTGCTTATCATTTAAATTAATGTTACTCCACAGAGTAAGTAGAGTTAGGGTATAAATTATTGTTCCAACCGCAAAGCAGATCATAATAACACATTCTGCAGGTATAGAAGCAGGATCAAAATTAGTGAACCCTTCTAGCGTCAAAAAAGTGGCACAGACCCAAATCGCATTTGTTGGGTCTTCGTAGTCTTGGCCTGTGAGATCATCATTTGGCCTTTCAAAAATCCTGAGAATAAGTCCCAGGATAACAAGTGCTGGAATCGTCATACAGATTATAATTACGCTGAGAGGATATCGCGCAATGACACATTTAAAAGAAAACCTTGAATTTGCACGGGTTCTATAAAATGTGCAATATCTTCTTGCTAAATGGTCTCTGTATATAGTATAGTTGGACAGTGCTTTAAATAGGTAAAAAATTCTGACGAACATAAAAGCGTACATTATTTCACTCAGCTTGTAACACCCGTGCAGGTCGCGAAATTCCCATCTCATAGGTATGGGGATGTCTGCGTCTATATAAGGATATGCAATTTATGATAAATATTTATCTGTCCTTATAAGTTTTTATATATAGATTTATTTATATATTTCAGCATATGGAAATAAGCAAAGACTGATAATTTCAAAAATCCTCACAATTTTTGTGGATTGTTTTTCATTTACTGCATATGTTGAAAAATAAGGCCGTGTCCTAGTTTTATTCAAAATTTTTTCAGTTTCCTGTTGGTATTTAATCCAGATTTCTTTCTGGAAATGTTTAAGGAACACAAAAATTAAAGCCATCAGACTTGTCAACATTGCGATCATCCTATGAGTCATTGAGTTGCTATCTTGAAGGCAGTTATTGTGTGTTCTATATGGTGAATAAGAAACTTGGCTCCATTCCAAATGACAGTGTGCATTTCATCGAAGTACATTTGGTCGAAAATTTTTAAATAGTGTGACATTTGGTCAACTTTTTTGTTCGGTCAAATGTCTCAATATCAAAAATCTTCACCAAAAGTACTTCGGTGAAGTACACACTATGGAAAATGCACGATCATTGGACGGCACCAAGAAACTTCATAGTCAATGGTAGATGCCACAAGCCCAAGATTGGCGAAAACTGCAAATGCCAACTCACAAGATCGATATTTATTAAACAATTCCTGAGATACTGACAATCTATCGCTTGTTCTTTTTGTTACAAAGGTAACTCTAAGAGAAGTAAGCATTCTCCTCATTTTAAATAAAAATATTTTAATCAGCTCCTCATTAACTTGTGTTTTTATATGGAAATTCGCCTGCAAGATGGTGCAAAATTGAAATTTGTCTAAAAGAAAATTAAGAGGCTTATTTCGCTGACTCCCCTCTCTCTACGTGAGCGAAAAAAAAAAAAAATTTCGCTCATGGAAGGGTGCTAATTTTTTTTTTAAAAAATTTCTATATAAATTTTAAAGAAAAATATTTTTTTTTTTCGGAATTTAAAAAAACCCATTCTCAAAATTGGAAGGCAAATATTAATTTAATTTGCAAAATTTATGTTATAAAACGCAATTCGTTTAAAATTAAACAGAATTGGCAGAAAATTTATGATACTGGTTATCACTTATATATCAAAATTTTTTCCCATAAAAAATTTTTCTATTAAAATATTTTAGTTCGCTCACGGAGGGTGGGTTTTTGGGCAAAAAATAGGGATTTTCTAATGGTTTTGTTCGCTCACAGAGGGAAGGGGGAGTGAGTAAACAATTAATTTAATTGTAGATTCAGCTGATATAATAAATGGACAGACATGATGAAATTCTCTCGCTAATCCATATAGGCTTAGCTCAGAAACTAAAAGCAGAGGTCGAAAATCCTTCTGGGGCTTTGAAAAAGCTGCTTGATGAAATTCTAACTTTGAGTTTGGCTCAATTTCAAGAACTAAAAGATACAATTAACCAGTCCACCCCTGAGCAGCACCAAAAGAATGCCAATGACCTCCTGACAGCCTGCATCTGCAATGCAGCACTAGAAACAGAGCCTTTTACAACTGATTTAGCTCGCCAAGTCATGCCTCTTATAAATTATTTAAAAGAAAGGCCTGATTTCAACCCTGAAAGCACATACAACTCTCTGCTTTCTAATATCATATCAGGAATTTCTGCCTGCAAAACAGTAGAAGATGTAGACGAATGGGTGACTATTATCGATATCCTGAGAAATGAATATAATTTTACCGATGTCGAAACTGAGTTGAAATGGGCTGAGTCCAAATATATTGAATTTGTATGGGAAGGAATGAAAAATGACGACCCCGTTCAGCTTGCACGGCAGCTGGTTATATCAAAAAGACTTGAAGGTAAAGGCTTTGACATGAGTTTCGCTAAAAATATTGCAATTGATTTTTCTTATGATTATATTGAAGAAAAAGATGAAGCAGGTCAGCCTGATGGGATAAGCGAGTTATTAAATGTTTTATTAGGATTTGAGATAAATGATGAAGACAAGTCTGCAAAAATAAACCTTTGAAAAGTGAAATATGGAGTGAAGCCAGAAGAAACGAAAACTGAAACAATTCCTCAGCCCCCAAGAAATTTAGATATGGTTATATCAGCGTCTAGTCTAATTATCTATTAACGTCTAACGTCCACTACGGGGTAGCCGACTCCAGAGCTACCACCATATTTGTCCACGTGTCGGGCCCAGAGATCGCTGGATCGATCCCTTTTGTTCGCCAGGGCACGGGCAAATAAGGCGTTCCAGCTTCGACGGGCTTCGCTGCCGCCACGGCTTTTGTTTCGACTCAGCTCCTGCGCGTGTTCCACCTGAGGGTCCATCTCCCTTGGGATGTGCTGAGGGGTAAAACTCCAGATCTTGAGCGCACTGAGGAGCAGTTCCTTTGGTTATCCCCAAAGTTAAAAACCGCTGTTGCTGTGCAGAAGTTCTTGAGGTAAAAACCCAACCCCATAAATAAAATTGCTTGAATGAGAGAAAGTTAGCGGAGCTAACTTCGCTCGAGCGAAAGCCATTTTATTTATATCAGCGTCTAGTCAAATAGAATTGATTAACCCTCCATTTTATTCTCATTCCCCGACAGAAAACTTAATTGTCAGTGTGTATAGAGGAATTTGCTATTTGCCTAACAGAATTGATATTGCAGTCAAAACTTATACGATAGCCCCATCTTCAGATGAAGCCAAATTTAATGAAAGACTCACGAATATTAATAAAGAAATCGAGCTCCTTACTCCCCCCCCCCCCCTCCGTGAGCGAACAAAACCATTAGAAAAATCGCCATTTTTTGACCAAAAACCCACCCTCGGTGAGTGAACAAAAAATATTTTTAATAGAAAAAAATTTTAATAGAAAAAAATTTTGCTATATAAGTGATAATTAGTATAATGAAATCTAGAGCTAATTCTGTTTAATTTTAAACAAATTGCGTTTTAAAACATAAATTTTGCAAATTAAATTAGTATTTGCTTCCCAATTTTTGCAAATTAGGATTTTTTTTAAATTTCGAAAAAAATATTTTTTATAAAATTTATATATAAAATTGTTTTTAAAAAAAAAAATAAACCCCCCTCCGTGAGTGAACAAAATTTTTTTGTTCGCTCACGGAGGGGGGGGGGGAGTTAGAGATCTGTCAGGAAAGCATCCTAGTTTTCTTGAATACTATGGAAGTTACCATGAAAAAGTAAATGACCAGCATGTAATTGGTATAGCTATGGAATATTGCACACAAACCCTTATGCATGAGATTACTAATAGGGGAGGAGCAGACCAAAAATACACTGAACGAGAACTATATGATAAAGTCGTGTTTTTGTTAGAAGGATTTTCATTTCTTGAGCAGAAAAAGATCCTTCACCAAGATATAAAACCACATAATATTTTTATCAATAGAGAAGTTAAGTTAAAAAAATTAATCTAGCCATAAGGGGGACTAGTTACTAACCTCTGACTTGTCTTGACCCCAAAAGTAGGAATTCAGAAGGAGTTCAAGTAAGGAAAATGGAAGGCTGCCTTTTTCATTTCAGTATGAAACAGCTACCCAAAGGATTTAATTTGGTGCAGAGCCACCATCTGTTGAGTGCCCCGGCAGTCCCGATAGACGGAGATTATGTGAGAAGCAAAGCCTTTCTGTCAGGAATCAGGGGAGAATAAAACTTCTCTCTTCGGCAAGGTTTCCACAGGGCCCGAAGGCCTAATTAAAAGTGATTTCAGTTTCATCTGGATTGATCCTACCTGCATGATGGGGATTGTACCTCGGGATCCTATTTCCACAACGTCAGCGTTTATTTCTGCCAATAGAGAAGGAATATTGAAAATCGCAGATTTCAATATTGCACAAAAATACGATGAGGGGACTACTTATTTAGCTACTGGAGTGCATTTTGTGCAAGGGACACAAGGATATATGGCACCTGAGCTTAGAAAACTACTATCGGATGGCAGATTGAGTGGCGCACAAGGGCCGATTAGAGGCAAATTTAAGCCTGCAAAAGCTGATATTTACTCGCTCGGGCTTACTTTTCTGCAAATGTATACTTTGAGATCTGTAGAAACTTTTTCAACCCCTGAAGGACGAGAAGAATTAGAAAAAATTCTGAAAAATATCGAATTTTTGTGGCTGAAAACAATTTTAGACAAAATGCTGAGCGTGGATAAAGAATTTCGGCCTAAATTTAAGCATCTCCTGTCAAAAATCAAGGATACAGATGAAGACAGTCAAACTATAATGGTCTAACTAAATAAATTAAAAGCCATTTAAATTTTTATACCTTTAATCAATCCCTTTTTAATTCCAATTATTTTAATTTACTTGAGACTCTGGAAAATCGTTTAACCTCACTCCCCCCATCCGTGAGTGAACAAAACCATTAGAAAAATCGCTATTTTTTTGCCCAAAACCCACCCTCCGTGAGTGAACACAAATTTTTTTAATAGAAAATTTTTTTTATGGAAAAAAATTTTGATATATAAATGATAATTAGTATAATAAATCTCGAGCTAATTCTATTTAATTTTAAACAAATTGCTTTTTAAAACATAAATTTTATAAATTAAATTAATATTTGTTTTCCAATTTTTTATAGAAGTGAGATTTTTTTAAATTTTGAAAAAAAAATTTTATAAACAATTTATATAGTAAATTGTTTTTAAAAAACAAATTAACCCCCCTCCGTGAGTGAACAAAATTTTTTTTTGTTCACTCACGGAGGGGGGGGAGTCAGCAGAAAAGGATTCTTTATCCAATCTAAATGACATAGACAGTCTCTTTAAATTGCTTTTTAATAGAGGGGTCTCCATATTTTCATTCGTGCCAGTACTGGAGTGCCGTTTGTGGGAATTATTTGGCGTTGCATTTTTAGGCTCAAAATTGTCACACTTTGAGAAATTTCGCTTGTGTATATACCTGATGTTTTTGTAAGGGCTTTGGTCTGCTTTTTTCGGGGTTATTGAATTATTTTCGGAAAAAGGATTTATAACAGTCGAATTGTGTGGAAAATCGGTATCGTATCTGTCAGTCGGTTCACTATCAAATGAATGTTTTATTGGTTTATTTTTGGGCTTGGGGGTGTCAAATTTGGTGAAATTGAGGCTAATGTAAATTCTTTTGGCTGAGTAGAAAATACGTTGAGCTAATTTTGCAGGATTTAAAGTGCAAGATTTCATATTTAATTAGTGTTTATTTAAATTTTAAAGGTACAGTGAATTTTTTAAAATATTTGTGTAAATGAGAAAGAAAATTAGGTGATGGAAAATTATTAATTTTTTGTTCGTAAATATAAATGCATGAGATTGGAGATAATGATAAGCATAATGAAATGATATTCTATTCGAGAAAATTAGCTCTGCTAATATTCTCTACCTCATAGACTTTTATTATGGGATTTGGCTTCCTCTAGAGAACTTCTGCACAGCAATAGTGGTTGAACTCTGGTTGCATAGGGCTAGAGAAACTGCCCAAAAGAGTATTTTACCTCTGCGCAGACGGAGACTTTAAAAATTAATTTAATTGTAGTGGAGATGATGAAAAGCTGCAGAAAAAATTATATTATAAAACCACTCAAAGAAAAAACACAAATTTTAATAATCAACTATAAATTACGACACATAAAGCATCATTCGAACTATTAATAGAAATATCGTTTTTACTATTCTGCAGTATACTTAAGCAAATTTTTTTTTTCTATATATCAATGCAATTTTAATAGTTTTCTTGGATCGACAAATTAACCACAATTTGCACGCAATATTCTTTACTTCCTAAAAAAATACATACATATCATTTTTAAATTTGAAAACTTAACAGTAATAAAATTAAAATGAAAATCGTTATCATTTTAGCTATTTCCGCATTGCTACACGGCGCAAGGATTACTTCCCACTCAGACTTCGCTTCAAAACTTTTATTTCCTCAATTGGATTTAAGCAACAAATTGCCTGACTATTTTATCCAAGTGTACAAAACATTAGATGATTTAACGGAAGAAATTCAAAAAGAGCAGCTCGACCACGATCGCCAAATTGAGCAGCAAGGCATCCAATGTGCTCAAGAAATGGCATATCGGCAAAAAGAAATTAGCCTAGCTAAATTTTCTTACTCCAGAGCTGAATCTGAAAATGACAATTGCCAATCATCATTGTCACTAATAAAAATCAAGCTTTCTTCTAACGAAAATGACCAAAATTTGATTAAAAAAGAACTAGGCCGAGCCAGAGGGACTCGAGTTTTTACAGAAAGCTATTTCAAAAATAAAACTTCACAAAATGACGAACTACTCTCAATTCTTGAAGAAAGTCAAGAGTATTACACATCCCCAGTATACATATTTCCCATGGATGGCGCTATTTTGGCCTTGATTTTCCCACTGGGAAAATTTTTTGGTTTGGCCAAACCAATTGGCACTGGTGGAACTAAAACATTTTTCCAGTGGGAAAATCAAGGCGAAAACAGTGCCATCCACAGGAAATTGCAATATCTTTTTCTGAGCTTTCAGAACTCGCTTCTCATCTTTTAGATTTCAGTGCTCAAAACAACGCAGCTTCACAAATAGCTCCAACCTTAACCTCACTGGCACAAATTTCGGCTGATTCTAATAGCATTCCTAGTGAAAAAGTGAACCAATTATTAGAAGTCTTAAAAATTGGGACCCAAGAATCCAGAGGAATTTTGGATAAATTAAATTTGGAAAGCTCTGAAGTTTTTAACGACCTAATAAGTCGTTTAAATTCTGAGCTTCAAAGATTGGAACAAGAAGAAAAATTCCTGCAGGAGAGGGTGGGGGAGCTTGAAAATTGTATAGAATCTCAGCAAAATATTATGTTCCAGGCGTCAGATAAGGATTTTAGAGATTCAGGGATATTAAGAAGTGTACAGAGGCTGTGCAATGATTGAAAAGATCAGCATGGAGCTCAGAGCAAGCTAAGGGAAGATGAAATTGGGCTGATTGGAAGCTTGAAAAATATAGGAGAAAAAAGGTTTGATAAAAAAGAGCAAGGAGCTGCTGAAAAAGCAGGGGATTATGAGAAGGATTGGGAAAAGTATCTGAATGAAATTTCAGAGTTAAGTCAGTAAATTTAAAATTTATTTTAAAACTTTAAATAGCATTTTTAAAGCAATTAATGAGAAAACAGCTATAAAGGCTTCTATAATAAGCTCGATTTTATAATCAAAATATTTTTAGTATTAATAAGATTTATCATAATAAAATATGTTTTGAATTTTGTTTTCAGCAGTACTGGCTTTAGAAAACTCAACATTTGTGCACGAGAGTTTCTCCGGTGGATGCCGAAAAATGCAGATTTGCTACGAAAACATCCCAATTCCAATTTCTCAGCCATTACTAAAGCTTTCAATTCAAGTCACATTGACTGATATAGATGGAAAACTCTCTGAATACCCAACCCCAAAACCTCTTTTCTATATAAGATTTGACTCAATTCCAGACGAAGAGTTCTATGACTATAAAATTGAGCTAAAAGAAAAAGAAAACTGGAAATATAAAATTGATATCCCATATCCTAAGAAGGCGAATTATTTTATTTTTAGACTGGATGGAGGCTTATTAGATCAAAGCCATATGCAGGCTGCCTATACAGTTTATGGGTGGAGATATAAGATAAAAGTATGATCGTATTACTGTGAATCGCAAATTTTCACGTCATCTGAATATTTAATTAATAGAAATTATTCGAGTGTTTCTGCAGAGTGTGACATTGAAGTTTTGGACTTGCCAAATAGTGAAATTGATTCGGATGTAAAGCCAGCTATATATGATGTCAGAGCAGGAACTGAGTTTCTTATCATTAATGCTTATGGATTAATAAGTAATTTGAACTTAACAGCAAGCTCAGAGAATTTCATATTAGGGGATGCAATTGATGAAAGTAATTTTTGGCATTTTAATAAATCTGGACAAATCATATGCAGGATTGGATAATTAAAATAGATATAATTAAATTGATGAAGGGCCAGCTCCCCTAGCCCCCTCAATACCAAAATACTTAGTCTCGATAATAAGAAATATATGATATATCGCAGTATTTTCGCACCTATGCTAATAAAACGCGATTTGTAGCATTTTACACATATATTTAATATTTATTTCATATCCCCTTACTATATACAAATTTTTATATACCTAGCTAATTTAGCTTTTGTTTTAAATTTAAATGAGATATATCATGCTTTATATATAAAATAAGCTATTTAAGCATATTAAATTTGTTAAATGCATTATTCTGCGAAATCGATCCTAGATATTGTATGTGCATATGATACATAATTGTGCTTAAGTTTATTCATTTGTTTCTATCTATTTTAAATTAGAATCCAACTGGATTATTTTAAAATACGATAATTAAGCGATATAAAGCGTATTTCTCTATTAACTCCTTTATTTATTAGTTTAAAAATCTTTATCATATAAAATTTTTCTTTTTAGTAGAGATATGAAATAAAGTATTAAATATATGTGTAAACATGCTACAAATCGCGCTTTAATAGCCTTGAAGCTAAAATCAATATCTGTGATATTTCTTATTACCAAGACGAGGTAGTTTGGAATTGAGGAGGTGGGGTTGATACTTGACCAAATGTCAAGCACGCATATAGCTAAATTCAATAGAAACAGGATAATTTCTAGTCCAAAACCTGGCCTTTGGTATTTTGTATTCTTTTCATCTGCAGATCAGCTTTTTGAATACGAAATTATCACTAAAGATTATAAATGAGATAAAAGTGGATACATGATAGTGAACAACAGTATCGTTTCCCAAGATTGAGTGAGTAGCTATACAAGTATTTATGAAACTGAAATCAGAATGAACACCTATGGGATTTTCTCCTTTGAACTCCCTATTCAGTATCACAAATTCATAGTATTACCAGACCACGTCGATAATAGATATGGAGCTAAATTAATACTATACAATAACAGCACTCTCGATATAGACACTCTTTTCAATTTACTCAATGAAAACCTAGAAATCCGGATCCAGCTAGCAAGCCCCCCTACAGCATCAAGCTTTTACTTCTATTTTTCTAGCTGTAAAGATTCTAAAGTGTACTGCAGCCTTATAAAAGATGCTGAAAAAGCTTCAATTATTGTTGAATTCAGATATTTAAAACAAGGTATAAATTATATTTCATTAAAATTTAGCTCAATTGATACTAAAAGTCCATCAATACCTTTTAGTCTTGGGATATTTCGGACTAAAGTTGGCAATAATATGTGCAATTCACAGTATCATTATTTGTCAAACCAAGTAGCTTATACGTGCTATTGTTCTCAGAATACAGCTGGGCCTTATTGTGGCGAACTAGGTTTTAGCGATAGTATATATGATCTTGGCCTTTTTTGCTTAGTAGCTTCAAATCTTGCGATGATCCCAGCACTTATTATAGGAACGTTGCATTTCTATTATGGAGAGGTTGCAGTATATGGACTGAATATGATCACAAGCATGATGTACCATGCATGCGACTGAGAATATTATTGTTTTGGCTTTAGCTCAGGGAGTATACGCATGGTTGATTTTTTAATCAGCTTTATGAGCATTTTAGTCTGCTTTATTCATGTAGCAAGACTGAAAAACCCAAATATGAAGACAGCTATTTATGTATTTTTATTTGTTTTAATGCTATATGTTGACTTGAATACAGCTTTTAATGGGACTTTGCTTACTTTTTCTGTAAAATTTATATAGCCTCCGATATTTGCTGGGCTGATTATGGTTTGCCGCTATGTTTATATTATAATAGCACTTTCTAAAAAAGAAGAAAATAAATTTTGAAGCTGAAAGCAAGCTAAATGATTCTTTTTAACAAGTAAACTTGTCAATATAAAATGAGCGTTTATAGCAGCGATTTCTTTTTTCCTAGCAATATCAAGCCGCTTTTTTGAGCTTAACAGTAATTATTGAATTGTAACCTTTATATAGACACATTCATGCTGGCATATTTTTATAATGCTTACACCTTTCTTTGTATTTTTCATATTTCCACTAAATCAAACACAATTTATCTTCGAGAAAAAAGTAGTCTCTGAGTTCACAGAGCTGAAAGATTATACATTTTTATTTATGATTAATAATTTATATAACATTTGCCTTTATTTAATAAAAATCGGTATATATTTCAATTAAGTCTACTAATAGTGTTAATATTTAACTGTTTTTTATATACTGATTTACCTTGAATAGCCCTGGATAATTTTAAGCATACCAAGGTTGATCAAAACTGCGGAGCAGAGCAAAATTGACAAGAAATCGCAGCAGAAATTTCAAGGGCATTAAGTATATAGATTCTATATACACCTAAATCTTAAAATTCGACAATAATATGTATAAATAATGAAAGGCAAAGACCTGCTAGGAATAATCGCAGAAGAAGAGTACGGAGACCAAGAAGCCAGCGACGTTATTGAAGACAAGAATTTTTCCACAAACTCAACCCCAGGAACCAAATCCACAACAAGTTCAAGCCCTGTCCTTGAAGAAAACAAAGAATATTCAAAAAGCGTTCAAAATCCAATAGAAGCTGCTGAGAACTATAATATCAATCCTAAAGCAAATACTGATTTATGAGAAGCAGTCGAAAGAAATGACATTATAGCCTGATCCCTGCTTTGGTTTGGGCTTGACTGACATCAGGAAACGTTAGATAGGGAGTTGACGAATCAACTTTTGCTAGCAAAGTCAATATCCCAGATGGCAAATCCTTTTGATGTTTGGAGATTTATCATCTGGGGAGTTAATTTGCCAGAAACCGTTGGTTCGTCAACTCTTCATCTGACGTTTTCGACATCAGTCAAGCCAGATCCAAAGCACGGATGGACTATATCAGAATAAAAGAATTACTTGATAGGTCAAGATATGGAGAAATGGTAGCTCAGCCTAACGCAAGAGGTTTAAACGACTGGACTTCTCTCCATCTTGCGTCATCATATGGGTTTTTAGAAGCCTCAGAAATCTTAATTTCCATAGGAAATAAAACAAATATTGATGCCCTGACCAGTATGAATAGGACTCCTCTGCATTTAGCAGCACTTCATGGGCATCTTGGAGTAGCTCAGCTATTAGTGCAGAAAGGCGCAAATATAAATGCAAAAGATGACGATAATAGCACCCTGCTTCAATATACATAAAATGGCTGGAGACAAGGAGCCTGACCCTCAATGACAGGCGACCTTATGTATACCAGGCATGGTTTTTGAGCTGTGTTTATGGCCCAGCTATAGCAAGTACCCCGAAGCGAGGGACTTGAGACCGGAAGCCGCTGTTTTTTGGTCCTGACTCCATGAGCAGTTAAATGCAACTTTTTTTGCTAGCTGCGCCCAGCCAAGTGAGTGTCCGATATGAGACAGACGGCATACCAGAAGCTGCAACTGTGGTATGTCCGAATGGTGAAAGCTGATAAATTATTTCTTTGGATGACCGGAAAAGAGGGGAGGCAAATTAGACGAACAAACGGAAGACCGTCCAGTTGAAAATAGTTGCAAAACAGCTATGCTTTGCCTCTCCACAGGACTTCACTGTGGAGCGCGTGTGCCTATGACAAGCAGCCTTAAAACAAGCTACTAAATTTAATCTAATCTAATAGCACCCCGCTTCACTATGCGGCGATACATGGGGATATTGCAATTGTTTCGTGATTGCTTAAAGCAAACCCTGATATCACAATTACTGACTACTTGGATAGGACCCCAGCTGATGTATCTCCTAGTATAGAAATCTATAAAGAATTTGTCAATTATTGCCAAAAGCTAAATCTGCCTGTTCCTAGCTCTCATTATACAAGGACTCCTTTTTATAGTGTTCTTTTGCATAACTCCAGAGACGACCAAATCAACAGAATGCTCGCAAAATGTACAAAGAAACCTGCATTAAGAGACCTTAATCTTTTTAACGAGCGACCAAAGCTACTTATAAGGCCTGAAAAGAAAGCAATTTCAATGTCCCCTCCTAAGCTTGTATTGCCTCCTTCCAAAGTGGGCCCTCACGATTTTCGTGGACTAATGCAGCTTGGCAAAGGCAGCTTCGGCGAGGTATGGGATTTTTCCATGGATGGCGCTATTTTGGCCTTGATTTTCCCACTGGGAAAATTTTTGGGTTTGACCAAACCATATGGTACTGGTCGAACCAAAAATTTTTTCCAGTGGGAAAATCAAGGCCAAACAGCGCTATCCACAGGAAATTACAATATATTTAGTCGAGAAAAAAGACACCCAAGAAGTCTTCGCTTTAAAAGTCCTAAAAAAAGAAAAGGTTTTCGGCAGCAATTTAGTAAGATATGCGTTTACTGAAAGAAACATTTTGCTTAAACTGTCCCATCCATTTATTGTTAAGCTAAATTACGGCTAACGGGGATTACTTAAATTATAGTAAAAGGTAGTTTTTAGTGAACAATGACAGAGGAATTCTGTAAACTAAGCGAAGCGGTATCTTTGTAAACTATCGAGGCAGAAAACTCAAAAATTAATTCTATATAGAAATTTAACGGTAATTTTTTTAAAAAAAAAACCGGAAAAATCTAAATTATCAAAAGAGGGATATTTGCTAAATTAAGTCAGAACAGCGTTTTAAAAGAAACATAAGCAAAGTATTTTACCAAATTCTAGAGAAGATAATTTAAATAAATTATGGATGTGGAGCCTGCAATTTTTTAATAAAAGCTTACTTAGCTATTTACTTAAATTCCAGTTAGAGTAGTTATCCAAATTACGTTGAGCTACATTTTATAAATTTTACTATATTTATGCCTTTTTTGTGAGATAATTTTAAAATATATAACTAACCTCTATATATGCTGGCTGCTAACTAAATCATTATCAAAATAATTTTTTTTACGTCTCTCCTAGTCAGTATTTATAGTGGGTTTTTACCAATAATTCGAAAAGAACCTAGCAAACAAAGTTAATTAAGTCCTCCTTAAGTAATTTATTTAAGTTTTTTGATATTTTGAATGGCGTCAAAGTGTATACTAGTTATGATAAATTCACGCAAAACTCATGTTTAATTTATCTTATTTATATGTTTATATTTTCCAAATATTTAGTTAGCAGCCAGCATATATAGAGGTTAGTTATATATTTTAAAATTATCTCACAAAAAAGGCATAAATATAGTAAAATTTATAAAATGTAGCTCAACGTAATTTGGATAACTACTCTAACTGGAATTTAAGTAAATAGCTAAGTAAGCTTTTATTAAAAATTGCAGGCTCCACATTCATAATTTATTTAAATTATCTTCTCTAGAATTTGGTAAAATACTTTGCTTATGTTTCTTTTAAAACGCTGTTCTGACTTAATTTAGCAAATATCCTCTTTTGATAATTTAGATTTTCCGGTTTTTTTTTAAAAAAATTACCGTTTAAATTCTATATAGAATTAAATTTTTGAGTTTCTGCCTCGATAGTTTACAAAGATACCGCTTCGCTTAGTTTACAGAATTCCTCTGTCATTGTTCACTAAAAACTACCTTTTACTATAATTTAAAGTAATCCCCGCTAGCCCTAAATTACTCATTCCAGACACCTGAAAAATTGGTCCTTGTGATGGATTTTTGTCCTGGAGGGGATTTAGGGATGTATCTGTCAAGAGAAAAAAGGTTTAATGAAGATAAAGCTAAGTTTTATATTACGGAAATACTATTAGCGCTTGAAGAGCTGCATAAGCATGAAATCCTTTTTAGAGATTTAAAGCCTGGAAATGTGGTGCTTGATAAAGATGGCCATGCAAGACTGACTGATTTTGGGCTTTCTAAAGAAGGGGTAAGTGATGGGCAGCTAAATCGGTCATTTTGTGGGTCTATTGCTTATTTAGCACCTGAAATGCTGAGAAGGGCTGGCCATACACGTTCAGTAGATTGGTATTTATTAGGAGTTTTGCTGTATGAAATGATGGTTGGTTCTCCTCCTTATTATTCTCATAACCGAGAAGAATTATTCAATAATATTCAAAGAGGAAAACTGAGATTCCCCAAAAATCTGTCAGAAAACGCAAAATCACTGATAAAGCAGCTGCTGAATCGTGACCCAAGCAAGAGGCTTGGAGCTTCTAAAAGAGACGCTGATGAAATAAAAGAGCATCCTTTCTTTGAAAATATAGATTGGAATGCATTTCTGAATAAGACGGTCACTGCGCCTCCAATTCATCAATCTAAAAGGATGTATCGAGACATTACGACTGAAAGGATGTTTGGGAAATTAGAAGAAGAAGCCACGCCTGCTCAAAGGCTTGATGGCTGGTCTTTTATGACACCGAGTTAATGAAATTCTAATTAAGCTCTTCTTATAATAATGCTGAGTTTTTATTATTGAATGAAGAAAATTACTAATTGCTTGTGGGATAATACCATTTTGGAGAAAACATTAATTTTGTCTCTTGGTTTAGAAAAAATCTCAATTTTTTATAAGCTATAGACTCAGCTTAACTTATTAAAATAATTATATTGAAAAGAAAAAGATTTTTAAAAAATTTTATTTAATCATAAAATACATCTAAAAAATAATAATCATTATGCTTTTATAATAGCCTTAGCTAAATTTAATATACAAATGTGCCACATTCGCATTTATTTCCAAACCCCAAGCGTTTTAAAGCCCACACAATTAAAAATTTTTTAAAATCCCCAAAACCTACATCTCTTGCCTTAAACCATTTCCAATTAGCCTATCCCTCCACATCTTTTCCTCATAACTCCACCTAAATGACTTAACTGCAAATCAGTGGAAAATAAAAATGTCTATTTACGAGAGGCGACCTTGGAGCACAGAGGTAAAACCCACACAGGAAGATCAAGCGATCATAAACTTGGTTTCAGAGTTCGGAACCAAAAAATGAACATTAATATCCAATTATCTTCAAGAAAAATACAATATCAAGCATCGAACCGGAAAACAATGCAGGGAGCGATGGCACAATCATCTAGATCCAAATGTAGTAAAGGAAACCTGGTCTCCTGAAGAGGACAAAAAGCTGTTCGAGGCCCACAAAATTTATGGGAACCGCTGGGCTGATATTGCAGCTTTGCTGCCAGGACGAACCGATAACTCCATCAAAAACCATTTCTATAGTGCATTGCGGAGAAACCTGAAAAAATACAACAAATCTAAGCCGCATTGCGAAAGGCTGGTAGGCTCTGTAAGGACTATCTTAAGAAACCCTAATTATGCAGAGCTGCTACTAAAAGAAGAAGCACCTCCAAGGGTTTTAAAACCCAAACCTGCAGAAAATGCCCTTGATTATTCAAAATTCCAACAAAAAGAAACGTAAAATTTATTTAGAGAAACCCCTGAAATAGAGCCAGAAACAGTTTCCAATGAGGAAACAGGAGCAGATAATAACTCAATTGAAGAAGAACCAAGCCCAGTTCAGGAGAAAACCGAAGATAAAAAATCTGATGGAGAAGTGTCTGATGAAGCTCCACTTTTGCTTTATAATTTATCAAATCCAACTCCAAGAAGCCCTGCAGAGGACGAGCTAAAAATTCCAGAAGAAGCTTTAAAGCACAACCTGCCACCATATTTCAAAGCTTTTCTTGCATGTCCTGACCAAAATATGCAACAAGGCCCGTTGGTATATCCGGTCTACCCTGATTTCATGCAAGGCCAAGCGCCAAGGCAGCATAAATTCATACAAGGGAGGTTTATAAACTCAGGATTTTCTTACCCCAATTCTTACTTTGGTTAAGAAACATTAAGGTTCATTTAAATTCAAAATTTTAATGTGAAGTGTCTTATTATGACTAATTAATGAATTTTTATTTAGAAATACTTACAGCTTATAGGCTAAATAATAAAGGTGACGCTCATTAATAAGGTATTATGCATTAAACTGCATATAACTCAAACCAATAGGATTACGTTTATTGAGATAAGGGATAACTTTAAATGGTGGGAATGATGATTTCTAAATCAAATCAGGGAAGAGGAAACGATGTCGTTGAGGAAATTATTCCTTTCATGAAAATCCCTTTTTAAAAATAAGAATTGATTACGTATTATTATAAATTATAATGAACAGGTCTTCTCCAAGAAGTAGACTGGCCAAGCTAAAGCTTATGGTGCAAAGTCCGAAGAACCAAACTCTTAATCTCAGCACTATAACGCTTACTAGCAGAAGAGCCAAACAGCAGAAGTCAATTGAACTCTCAAACTCAGCAGTTAAACGGAGGATCACCAAATCGCTAATGCAACCTTCTAACTCTCTCCTTTTTATAAAGAAAAACACACTAGTACACTATTTTTTAAAAATTTTTATTGTACTTGTTATAAATGATAAAATTTTTATATTTTCAATTTTATTTTAATTATATGATTGCAATGTTTCAAATGCCTTATAAATAAACTATTTTATATATTGTTTTGATTCTTCTAGCTTGAAATCATAAAATATGAATAAATTAAAACCATTTCTACAACAAAAGTTATGCTCAAATTAATAATGACAAAACAGTGTTCGGTATAGATAGCTAAGAATAAGAAGAAAAATACTTCATTATTTGGGCAAAAAGGAGAACTTGTTCTTCCATTGTTAATTGATTCGACAATCAACTATAGCAGCATTTCAGCCCAAAGCACCCACAAAATAAACAGAAGTCGCAAGAGGATCTCTATTCTAAGCTCAGATTGCATTGATTGTGAAATCCCAGTGACAGAAAAGCATACACCCAACCTCAAAACCAGGTCATCATTTACTGACCCAGTACAAATTTTCGAAAATTTAGATCTGCCTATCACACCCTCGTATGCTTTAGAATTGTTTTCTCCTCATATGAGTCTATGCGAGCAAGGAGAAATTCTTGAATACAAAGAAATATGGTTTTTAGGCTTAGGAGCCAAAAAACCAAAGCCAAATTTGAATGCACCAAATCAAGGTATGGACGACGATAAAGGTGACTATACTTTGGTGTCCGGAGACCATATTGCTTATAGATATGAAATTAAAGATGTCCTGGGCAAAGGAAGCTTTGGACAAGTCGTAAAGTGTTTTGACCATAAGCAGCAAGAATTTGTGGCAGTAAAAATCATAAAAAATAAAAGAAGATTCCACAAGCAAGCTGCAATTGAGGTCAAAGTGCTTGAGCTAATTAAAGCAAATGACCCAAATGACATATCGAACGCTATTCACATCAAAGACCATTTTTCTTTCCGCAAGCATTTGTGCATATCTTTTGAGCTGCTGAGCATCAACCTATACGAACTAATGAAATCTAATTCATACCAAGGGTTTTCCCTCAGCTTAATCAGAAGATTTGCTTTGCAGCTGCTATGCTGCTTAAAATTCATATATGAGCATAATATTGTTCATTGTGATTTAAAGCCAGAAAATATCCTTTTAAAGCAAAGTGATAAATCTGGCATTAAAATAATCGATTTTGGCTCAGCTTGTTTTGAAAATGAGAAAATGTACACTTATATTCAAAGCAGGTTTTATAGAGCTCCAGAAATAATTTTGGGTATTGAATATACAAAAGCGATTGATATGTGGTCTTTTGGATGTGTACTTGCTGAACTTTTTTTGGGATATCCACTGTTTCCAGGTGAAAATGAAGCAGAACAGCTTTTGTGCATGATGGAAATGAAGGGGACTCCGCCTGGGAGCTTATTGGAAATTTCATCGAGAAAAAATATGTTTTTCGATAATGATGATAGGCCAAAAATTGTGCCAAATAGTAAAGGAAGAATGAGGTATACAAGTAAATATTATTTATATATATTTAATTTATATTTAATTAAATGGGAAGTTGTCGTTATTTGATAAGATATATCCATCAACTAAAAATTTAGCTGATAAAATTAGATGCAATGACCCTTTGTTTGTTGACTTAATAGAAAGTAAATTTTATATAGAATGCTTGGATTGGGATCCAAAAGAAAGAATTAAGCCAGCTGATGCTTTACAGCATCCATGAATTCTTGAAAGCATTAATGGCTTTATTAAACATAAAAGAAGGAGCAGAAGCAAAGGAGAATGAATTTCTCAATAATGTGTCATTGAATATATATATCGCGTATTTAAAATATCCTCAATTAATAATAATGCGCTTTAAAAAAGATAAATCGTCCCTATTTTCAAATAAATACTAATTCCTAATTGCTAACTCTCCCCCCTCCGTGAGCGAACAAAAAAAACTTGTTCGCTCATGGAGGGGGTTAATTTTTTTTTTTTTAAAAAAAAACTTTTTTGGAATTTAAAAAAAAAACCCTCTCAAAAATTGAAAGGCATATATTAATTTACTTTTTTTTAAAATTTATGTTTTAAACGCAATTTGCTTAAAATTAAACAGAATAAGCTCGAGATTTCATGATACTAGTTATCATTTATATAACAAAAATTTTTTTTCCGTAAAAATTTTTCTATTAAAAATATTTTTGTTCGCTCGCGGAGGGTGGATTCCTGGGCAAAAATAGGGATTTTTCTAATGGTTTTGTTTCGCTCACAGAGGGGGGAGTAAGCTTTTCGGCTATTTTCCTTAAAATTAATAAAGGTTTAGAGAGTAGTTAAATAAAAGATTTTTTTATCATAAAAAATAATTTTAAATAAAATAATTTTATATCGCCACATCTATGAAAAAAGTATAAGATTCGCAATCTTATTGTTTTTTTTCCAATATTATTTTATCAGATTAATACCATAAAACAGCCTAGATTTGGAAAATTAAAATGATTCCCAGTAGCAATGAAAAGCAAAAGTCTACATGCAAGCCAATTGTAACAACCCGACTACCAGGCCCTTTTATGCCTCCAAAGAAGCAAAACCACCACAAAGCTTATGACGACATGGCTGAAATCGAAGAATACAAAAAAATTCAGAAATTGCTTTCACCTCTAAAACTAGGTCCCAAAGAAAGGTCAAACCTAACCCGAGTCCTCAAGCAGCTAGAGCGAATGCCAAGCAACCTTGACAACGACAAGCTATTTGAGCCATTAGCCAAAATGCAGAACCAAACCCATGCGATATTACCACAATGCCAAGTTCAGTTAGAAGAAATGATTACATTATCTCAATTCCCAAGCAGATCACTTAAGGGATTTGTCAGGAAAGTTTTGCATGCACCTACACTTGGCTTGTATATAATTAAACAAATTCCAATAAATACCCGAGACGAAAGATCACACCTCAGAGAATGGATTTCAAAATGGCAAAAATATCAGAAAAAATGTAAATACCTGACAGAAATAAATGCGACGTTCTGGAACTCTCCTGAAGGCTGTGTAAGTATTGTCGCTGAGTACACACAAAATGCGAGCTTAGCGGATATTGTTGATACTATAGGAAGTGTAAATGAAAAATCGGCTGCTTTAATTGCAAAAGGAGCCTTGGAGTGCTTATCATTTTTCCATAGAAAAAACATTTGCTTTGGAGGGCTGGTTCCAGCACATATTATAGTGACGAAAAAAGGGAATGTAAAATTCACCCCAAGGCATGAAAGGTGGCTAAGTGCCCCTTCGAATGAGCTGGAGGCTGATATTTATGAGCTAGGGTATATGATTTTGATGATGCTAATAGGTGAACTTGATATATTTGATGTCACTGAAGACAACGACTGCTGCTTCTTGCACTCAATTCAGCAGCAATTTTTCCTTTCAAAACTTTCAATTGAAGCAAGAGATTTCTTATGTTTATGTTTAAAAAGCAGCCCAACAAGTCGAGGCAAGGTGGGAGATTTGCTTAATCCTCTCCTTAAATTTGGGATGTTTTGGTTTTTGGAAATTAGCTTAGATAAATTTAATATTGAATGGGAATTTGTATAGATGAAAAAAAATTTTCTATGTTATAGCTTTGATACCAATTTAATGAGTTGATTTTCACAAAATTACAAATTTGCCTATATATTTACTCTATTTTAAAGGGGAGTACTATTTATATAAAATTCAAAAATACTGTTTCAAAATTTTTTCCTTTTAAAAATTTGAATATCACCTTTTTTCAAAATTGCCTCCTTTAGATTGGAACAGATTTTTGCAGAATCTTGAAGGGGGGCTAATCATCCTTGACTTTCCATGCCACATTATAAAGGACCAGATGTCAATTTGACTGAAATTATTTCTTTATGCATTCCAAGTGGTAACAACGCTTTAGAGTCTGCTGAAAAGCAGCTTGAGCATGTAACCAAAGCCTTAAAGGTTGTGCTTATGGGGCAGCATTATAGAAGTGAGTCTGTTCCTTGTCCGAAGGAACTTGCAGATGACTTGGGGCTAAGCGTTGACTTTGTTCGTGATAAAGTGCATAAAGCTTTTTCCGAACTTTAATAAAGAATAACTTTTGTTTATTAATTAAACTATTTTTTCTAAGACATAAACAGCCGTTTTACCCCAGGTCATTTTCACTCTGACATTGAATTTTGTTTCGAAAACTTCGTTTGGAGGAAAAAGCTTCAGGGTGATGATTCTTGAGCCTTTTTTAAGCTGGCTTGCTTTCACAAGCATACCTTCTATGATTTCTTGGGGGAAACAGATGCTTGAGGTATAAATTATGTCAGCGTCTGATCAGTCGATTTCTAAAATATCGCCTTGAATTACTTCGATTGGAGCAGCCTGGATTTCGCCGTACATAGAATCGACAGTTCTTTTACATAAATCACAAAGACCAGGTAAAAGCTCAATCCCTTTACAAAGTCTCAAGTTTGGAAATGCTAGTGCAGCCGCTACTAAGCATTTTCCAGCACCACATCCTAAATCATAAAAAACTTCTCCTTCTTTTGGCTTGCATAGTTCAAATATCGGTACCATATGCATAAATTCAATTTCCCCATACGTGAATTCGCATTTTCCCGTAATTTTCAGCCTTTTTCTCTCAGCTCCAGATACATTCCCTCCATCGACATCTTCAAATAATTTTGTAAAATACTGATAACGGTGTGCAAGCTCAGGTGGCACCAGTTCTACCTCTGGGACTTCTCTTTGTGATATATTAAACTCCACATCTTCATTAGTCAAATTTCTCACACTTACAAAACAAGCTTCACTTGTGCATTTCCAATCATCAGAATCAATACAAAATCTGAGCTCTCCTCCATCTGTTCGTCTTGGCTCAGTTTCTTCTAATTTTGCGATTCTTTCTAATTCTAGTGCAGTTGGCCTCCTTGTGTAGTTTCTCTTTAAATATTCATCATATGGGTCAAGATCTAGCACGTCATAAGTGCTGCCGAAGAAATCATCATCAAAAATGCTAATGTCACCATAAAATCCTAAGCTTCATTGGTGCTCTTTTTCGCTTGGGTAATAAAGATCTTTTGACACAAATAATGCTAATTTTCCATACCCAGGACTCAGTTTTACTTCAATTCTGCTATCCCCAGCATGTTTGATTGGGAATTTAAAATATTTTCAATCATGGACTATCCCTGTATACACTTGATTGAGCTCTAATGAAATTGGGATTTCTGTTAAAGTGTACCAAACTTTAAAAGTATTAAGGCCTTGCTTATATGCGTGGACACCAATATAATAAGTCCCTACTTTAAATCCTGCGTCGTATGGGTGAATTTGAAGCTTATCTGCACCGATTTTTGTTGATTCTCATATATAGTTATCTAATTATGATGTACTCATATCGACATATGGTGTAGTATTAGAAAGATAAATATCTGGGTCGCTTTCTTCGTTACATGGCTCTGCGCTGTATATGATTTACTAGATTGTTAGCATTTTTGAGGTATCAAGGACTTCAATGCTAAAATATGTATATGTATTGTGCATTCCTTGTTTGATGGTTTGAATATTTTCTTGGAGAGGGGTATATAAAGATTTTATTTTTTGATCTTCATTATAGGTATCAGCCTCATTTGTGATTTCCGATCTAATCTCTGCCATTAAATAAAATTGTGATTAGCTAAGACATTTTTATGAGAAAAATTTTGCGCTGATAAGGATTTAGAATAAAAATTTTTGTTTGGGGAGAGGATTGAAATAGGAATTTATAGAAAAATGATTTTTTTAATAGTTCGGAAATTTTGATGTAATTTTTTAAAGAAAGACTAGTAGCTTCTCTATTGCCATTTATCACTTTTAGATAATTAATTAATCTAGAAAAGGATTAATAAAAATCAAGGGAAAAGATAATAAATTTTGTGATATCATTTCTGAAGAATTACGATATTTTATCACAAATCTCGCTTTTTAAAATCACCTTGATCTTAGGGTAATCCTATAGTAATTATAATGATAATGCAAGCTATATTGAGAAAGGTAAGTTGAAAGAATCCATATTTTATAAATAAGGTTTTCTCTTAGAATAGATTAAGTTAGATAGTTTCATTTTAAGGTTTCTTGTTTAATGTCTTATCCAAGACAAATTTTTTAAGAAGGTTTTTTAGCTAAGGATTCCTTGGGTATGTCTCCATTTCAATCAGGATTAGTCTGCTCTAGCTTAGGACTGGCTCTCAGATGCTGTCTCAGAACCTTCGAGCAGGCAGTTTAGGGACTTGATGGCTACTGTTTCAGTGACTAGAGTTTCAGCTAGGGATAAACTCCCTATCTATTATTGGCACCAACTGTGTTTTCCATGCCAACACTAGCGCCAAAAAGTCTTTTTTCCCAAATGTCCCGACAATAAACCTTCATTGGCAATGAGGAGGGCAAAATCCAACCAGAACACAAATTTCCAATACCCGCAGACTCTATTCCCTGCTTATTCTGCAACAAAATTCACAAGCCTAAACTAGTCAGAAGAGAGCTGGTCAGTGAATTCGCCATTTCTTGGTGTTCATAGAAATAGATAACTAATATTTTTGCTGTTTTAAATGAAGAATTTAAAGAAGAATCATGACAATGCTATATTTATTCAATTTTTATTGCTCTTTATATTTCTCTTGTTTTCTAAACAGTGGGAAATTGGATCAATATTTTTCCTTAATGCTGCTCCAAGTTTTTATAGCAAGAATAAAGAATCTTCTGAAAAACAGTTTAGGCATGCGGTAAATCCGCTAAAAGCTATACTTATAGAGCAGCATTATAAAAACTAATTAGCTCCTTGCCAATGGCCATATAATAAAAATGCAAAGCCGCATCAATAAAGAGCTCCAAGAACTTAGTGTAAACCCTCCAGAAAACTGCGCAGTTTCACTTGTTGGCGACAATATTTCTCAATGGAGAGTAAACCTTTCTGGACCTCAAGGCTCGCCTTATGAAGGTGGAAACTTCGAGCTTCTGCTTACAATTCCTGCCAATTATCCATTCAGAGCCCCAGATGCCAGGTTTGCTACTAGAATTTACCATCCTAATGTAAAGAGTGATGACGGGTCTATCTGTACTGAGCTCTATCAAGCCAACTGGAGTCCAACCAAAAACATTAGACACATAATAGAACTTATAATGAGCACCCTCATCAGTCCAAGCCCTGAACATGCAGTTGAGCCAGAAATCGCTCAACAGATGATGAACAACTATGATGGCTTTGTAGCAACAGCCAGACAATGGGTAAATAATTTTGCTCGCTAATTAGTTTAATTCTACATCTTTCTATAATATATTGTTGCATCATTATAAGGTCAGCGTTTTTTCATGATAAAGTGATATTAGATTACTTTTAGATTGGGAATATTAATTATTTTATATTTTATGGGTTTTTTTAAAAGCACCCTTAACTGTCTTAGGAGACATCAGACAAGGAACTAATAGACATTAGGCGCTATACTTGTTATTACTCTAACTCCCCCCCCATCCTTGATCGAACGACTCGCCATCGTTCGATCAAGGATGGGGGTTTTTAAAAAAAAATTTTTTGGGAAAAAAAAAATTTATATATAAAAAATAAAAATATATATATATATTTTTTTTCATTTACTTTTAAATAAGAGGGTTAAAGAGTATTTAATAATTATTTTTACAGCAAAAAATTGAATTAATTTCATAAAATACCAATTTTTAATATTTTGATTTATTAGTTACCCTTTTAAACCGTATAAATTTTAATTTGTTCCTTATTGAATTAAATTTTTTTTTTTTAAAATTTAAAAGAATCTCTCTTTTATTAGATTATTGAGTTTTTAAGCCTAGGTTGATGGCTAAATCACTTCGGATGGTTGATTCCGCAGCTTTCTGTCGTCTCAAAGCTCTGAAACAACTTCATTAGGTACATCTTCCCAAGCTTTTGATTACTATTATATTTTTATATATATAAAAATTGTCATGATATGAAAATCGTTCGATCAAGGATGGGGTTTAATTTTCCCAATTTTTAGGATTTTTTATAGTCAATCGTTCGATCAAGATGGGGGGGGAGTAAGCTTAAATCCATAGTAAAATCATACTCTATCGTAGGAACCACAGATGATAAAAACTTCAAAAATACGAATATTGCATGATGGACTTGGGCCTGCGCCCCATTTGACTCCAGCATATCAATAAAGTGCTTCATCATTTTCGCATGATTGCAAGGGTGAATAGAAACTTGGTCATTCCCTACACAAGGATGTCTGTCTATAGTGACCGTTTTGTGTGCATAGTCCCCCATGATATCTTCAAACATCATTTCTGGGGCCAATGGGTTCATGTGTTCATCATACCCTGTAAGCCACATTCTTGGGGTCTGATAATAAGTATCATAAGTTACAGAAAGATCATAAACCCTAGTTTTCATTATAGCTTCGACTGGCTCTTCAGCACATATATAATTATTTCCAAAAAGAGCAGCAGGCTCTGCAGCATTTTCATCGATTAATTCTTGTCCTTGAAGATCGGCTAGGTCAGGAATTTCTTCTTCTTCATTAGAAATTTGGGGCTTTGAAATGATGATTTCATCTGGCTCTTCTTTTGGGCCGAGAGTTTCAGCTACAACCCAGCCATCTTCTATTTCTTTTTCTTCAATTTCGTTTTCTCCTATAGAGCTAATGCGCTTTCTGCATGGGACTCCTCTTGTGATCAGAAATTGTTTGTCAATAGGCAAATGCTTTTGTTCATATCCGGGCGAGCTTGAATTTCAAGTCCAAGTGGGACATCTGTGAACAAGCTGGTCTCCTGCGACTAGGAATTCTTCAGGAGTAAGTTTTCCAGATTCTAAGAATTGGGATTCTTTATGCTGAGACATAAATGCACCGGCTACACTTCGGTATCAGTTTCCGATTTTATGAGAAACCATATTATAAGCAGCAAGTACCCCTTAATCTATACAAGATTTCTGGTTTTTGCGATTTTTTAATTCAACGAAATATTGGCCATTTACTTAGTGCTGCAATAAAAATCTGCAACCAGATTTACCATGCTGAGCATTTAATTGCAGATTCATTACAAAAATACATATAAAGACTATAAAATAAGCTTCTGCATTGCTATTTTTCAGATTCACTGAAGTTTTATATTAGAAAATACAAAAAAGCCAATAAATAGCATCTTAATCTCTCCCATATAGTGATAATAGCATTTCTGAATAATATTTTTTATCCTCTCTTTATCCTTGGATGATATATCAATTTTAATTATATATAAAAAACTAATGTCTGAAAAAGAGGTTTCGAATATACTTGAAGAGCTGAAAACATCTAACCTCACACTGGAAAATTTTGATGACTGGATCAACAGACTTAAAGAGCGCTATAAGTCCCACTCAGATTTCAAGAAAGCAGAGAGCGATACGTTGTGCAAAGATTTTTTTCAGAAATCAATACATTTGGCGAAAAGTCTATTGAATCTGAACTACGCGCAAGAAGCCTCTAGAATTCTTGAGGTCATACAGCCGTTTTATGAGGACTCAGGATGTCCTGCTTCCTCAATTGAGGTTTCTGATAATATAAATGAAGAAGAGAAAGTAAAATGATGGAATTATGCTAATTACCTGAAAAATCAGTTTGATATTGACCCAGAGTTGATCACAAAACGAGAAAAATGAAAAAAAATATATGGAACCAGTAAATCCCTAATAGAAGATGCACCTAAAGCACAAATTGAATGTATCTTCACACGACGACTATTTCATAATGACTATTATTTTTATCCTATTTATTTTTGGGCCTTTTTTCCACCTATTTTTTTTTTTTTGGCCTATTTTTTTGGCCTAATTTTTTTGGCCTATTTTTTTTGGTCTATTTTTTTTGGCCTATTTTTTTTCACCTTTAGCCTATTTTTTTTAGCCTAATTTTTTTTGGCCTTTTTTTTTTAGCCTATAATTTGTTCAACTATTTTTTTTGCATAGGCTTATTCATGAAGCTGCTGAGAGAACTAAAACCTTATTGAGGAAAGGAGAAATTTCTTTACGCGATTAATATTGAGTAAATTAAGTGGAAAACTCCCTAATTAAATCTAAAATTCTCAAATTTAAAAAGCAATAAATTAGTATTCATAGAGTAAGAAATCTGGTCAAATCGTTTTAAATACATTAAAAATTATATTAAAATAATTATTATGGAATTAGGCCCAAATATATGTAAAAAATAGTTAAAAAATTGCCAAAAAAGAGGCCAAAAAAATAGGCCAAAAAAAAATAGTCGTTATGAAATAGGCGTCGTGTGAAGTAACCCAAATTGAAAGCAGACGGGCCAGTGAAATAAATATTTTACCTCCAACTTCTGATAAAGAACTTACCTTGAAGATTCCATCAAAAAGAAAAATTATCCCTCTCCCACCCCAAGGCCGCCGAAGGTCTACGGTAAGAAAAGTGCCTCTTATCTCACCTTTGGGTGAGGATTTCGGTTTTACTGATGTAAATAATCACAATCATGCTCAAGAATTTTTTAAGGTGGAAAAACAAGCAGAAAATATTTTTGTGAGGCCACGCCGACAAAATTCAGCTGGAAATTTAAGAAAATTGCCTGAATTAAGGGGAAGTCCAATAAGCAAAAACGCAGGAATGATCCACCCTGTACATAAAAAATTTAATTCAGAAGTATTCAGCCCAATTCGTGGTTTGCTCTCTCCAGATGAGCATATGGAATTTTACTCAACCAATCATGACTTCAGCAATGCAGCAGATTATGCTGAATACCAAAGAATTAATGAAATTATGGGTATCCAAACTCAATATATTAGCACAAATCAAAATAGCGGCTATTCCCAAGGAAATCTTACTCTCCCATTTTTATATAAAGAATTTTTTAAAAATTTAATAAATAAAAATTATCATATTAAATAAGGAGAATTAGTGACAATACTCCATATACCATAAACCCAGATGATGCAAGATCACCTTGCTCGTCAGGAATTTCTCGATCAAGCACTGATTCAACTAACAATTCTCAACCGAAAAAATACGGAGACTTAAGCAGTGCTGCTCTTGCAATCCAAAGCGTTGCGCGACGCTTGAAATGCAGTCTTAATTATAAAAACAGTCGAGCTTGCAAAAGATTATGTCCTCATTACTTAACTTATGGCAGGAAAATAATCAATGGCGAGCTATATTTTATAACGATTACAAAAGAAGAAAAGCATGAAATCGCTATGAAGGAGCTCAGATGAGTCTATTATAACACAAAATCAAATGAAAATAATGTTTTATTGCAAGCAGAACCCTTGACCTCAAATGTTCCTAAGCCTAAATATACGTGCTATACTGTTAATGAGATATGCTGCTTTCTTGGTGTTAGCAGCCTTGATAATTTAGATGAAAATGCAGCAAGGCAGTTGATGGAAGCTGTGAAGATTGAAGATGGAACAGTCATCATTAACCAAGAACTGCCAGCAAAAGAACCGAAAAAGAGACTTATATTTAGAGGAAAATCCAAATTGAGGACTGAAGAAACGTATTTTATTCGAGCTTATATAATTGAATATGAAGAGAACTTAGAAAAAATCCTGCTTACTCCACTATATTTAATAAAGAGCATAAGTAAAGTTAAACAGATGTCTGATTCATAATATCAGAATCATTTTATTGAATGCTGCTCAAAATTTTATTGTTAGTATTCCTTATTAAAAAGATTTAAATGAAAAAAAAATTGTTTAGGATATCCCAAAAAAATTAGAGTTATATCTCAATCAATAATGTAAAATACTTCATTATATTTTGGTGAGCTAGTGCACAATCACCAAACAATAAGAAAGAAATTTTATTGGAGCCAAGATACCTTATGGAAGGCTTTAAATTCAAAACAAAAGATATTTTGATAAGTTCGATATCCAAAATTATCGAATTTTTGTGAATAGACGAAGGGATGATCAAGATTGATCTTCCTGGCAAACAATAGGTTACTTTTTTGGCTTGATAATAACTATACTTATGACAATATTTAAGTTATAATTATAATCTTTCTAAATTTATCTTAATTTTGATTTGTGAAACTCCTAGCATCATCCTCATACTAAATAAAAAATACAGCATCAGTTTGAACTAAATAAATACAATAAGAAAGCAGCCCTGCATTAATTGTATATACAAATGATTCCATCACACACATAACTATCCCATATTCAGCTGCTCTCCCTGACTTGTCTTCTAATATTGGAATTCTAGCCCATCCGTCAAAAGCGCCATATGGCAAGCAGCTCGCCAAAATATACAAAATAACTAATATGACAGCTCCAATTTTGAACTTCCTGAGATGGCTGCTATCTCTTTTGGCAACTCCATAGTAACCCCAGAAGAAGGTAAAAGTCCCAAGAGTCATTCCAATTATCAAATTTAGAAATGTGAAAAGAATATTTATTCCTGGTAGAACTGTGCTTGAAAGGACAATAGTAGTTATGACGTTTTTGAATAAAACAACTGTTAGCAGAATTCAGCTAATGTAAAGCTTTTTGATTAATGCTTTTTCAGTTCCTTGGAAATCGCTTAATTTGAAATGAATTAGTTTGAGACAGGGTGGGAAATTGTAGTCGTGCCAGTCAATGTGACTATTGTGCTCGGATATTGCTAACTCCTCCCATTTAAATTGGAGCAAAACATCAATAAAATTTGCATTTTTTGGGTACTTTAACCCCTTTAAATTGGAACAAAACTTTCTTTTCAATGGGAAAAATTTTATATAGATAGATAGAAACAATTTTATTATACAAAAAAATTAAAGATAAAAACACCTATTTTTATAAAATTAGTTTTGACCTAATTTAATAGACGAAATGCAAGTAGCATGCTATTTAAAATGTTTTCACACTGAATCAATTAATTTTTATTTAATTTTTTATAAAATTAAATAAAATTCAAAGATTTGAACTAAATTTATATTTTTTAAGATCTTAAAAATAAAAAAAAAAATTATAGAGGAAAATTTGAATTTATTTTAAAAAAATTAATCTGACTTTATATTAAAACAGGATTTTTTGTTCCAAATGTAAAATGGAGTAAGATCAATATTACTGCTGGAAAAATTTGAAGATAGCTTTCCACCGATTGCTTTCATGGCTAGGCTGGCCATTTATGTTAATATGTTTTATAGCTGGAATGAGACAAGCCTAGTAACAATTCTATTGTTAGAGTTTCAATTTTGCTTCCTTAAAAGAAGCTTTATTTATTCTGATAAGAATCATTGCAGTTTTTTAAAATATGGATGACTTAAGTCTTTATCTCATTCTATTGGAGCTGAAGATCTTATTATCAATTATTAATTATATATCGACCTTGTTATTTTAAAACAAATTATATTAAAAATAATGTAATGCTAAGGGCAATTAAAAGATTATATAAAATAATATACAAATTATTTCTGCTCTAGAGAAAAAGAAATATAAATTTTTGTTAATAGAGTAAATAATTATTTTAAAATTAAATAAATAGTGGAATTTCTGTTTTTTTGGCTGACGATATAAGTAATTCTCATATCAAATTTTATGGAAAATGATTATGTTTGAAATTATGAATTTAATAATTAAAATATATATTGGCTTTTACCAATCTATGGAGATAAACAAACATCATTAAAATGTCCAGTCCCAACAACTCTAGTTCATTGAATTTTGGGTTTTTCTCAGTTAAGCATCAAAAGTCATTGCCTCTTATCATAAATAAGAGCAAAAGCTTCAGAATTAAATTTTCAGCCACACCAAACTCAGTACAGGCAAGTCCAATTTTTTCGTCAAAAACTATAAAGCATAGATCTATAACTAGAGAAAATGTCCACAATATGATTGAAGAACCACCTGAAAGACTATTATCTAAAGGTAGCATGGAGTTCTATCCAGGGCCTCTTGGTGCTCAAGCTCGGCTTGAGTTTTTTGAGTCATATAAAAATATTCGAAATCAATCTGAAAGAACCCAATTTGAAAATCTTGAAGAAAATCCAAATTTAGCCTATTTAGAAAAAATTGATAAAGGACGATTAAGCCCAAATCCATTTGGAATTATCAGGAGGAAAGGTCCAGAAGCTGCAATTGATATTAATCATTATAGTATGGGTGATCATTATGCCAGAGCTTTTTCAAGAGGATTAAACCATTATAGAGACTTAGAAAGATTAGATTTACTCCCCCCCCCTCCGTAAACAAAACCATTAGAAAAATCGCTATTTTTTGCCCAAAAACCCACCCTCCGTGAGTGAACAAAAATTTTTTTAATAGAAAAATTTTTTGATGGAAAAAAAATTTTGATATATAAATGATAATTAGTATAATGAAATCTAGAGCTAATTCTGTTTAATTTTAAACGAATTGCTTTTTAAAACATAAATTTTATAAATTAAATTAATATTTGCTTTCCAATTTTTGCGAATTAGATTTTTTTAAATTTCGAAAAAAAATATTTTTTATAAATTTATATATAAAATTGTTTTTAAAATAAAAAATTAACCCCCTCCGTGAATGAACAAAATTTTTTTGTTCACTCACGGAGGGGGGGGAGTTAGGCTCGAACCGGCTCACAGAAAGTGGAAGCGTCAAAATCTTAAAAAATCTTCAAGATAAAAATGTAAAAAAATTGAGTTTGGCTGACAATGCTATAGGAATTAAATCAATAGCCAAAATCATTGAGCTCACTTCTAGGCAAAATTCTAAACTTAAACATATCAATTTAGAAAAAACAAAGCTTGGAGACCATGCTGCAATTGAGTTATGTAAGCATTTAACAGAAAATAAAACTGTGACCAAGCTTAATTTAGCTTGCAATAACCTTAGCTCAAAATCTGCATCAGCCATAAAAGAAATGATAAGGTACAATACTTGTATAAAATGTCTAGATTTTCATTGAAATAGCTTAAGATGAACTGGAGCGCTGGAGATTTTTGAAGGATTATATCAGAATGATTGTATTAAACAGCTGGATTTATCATGAAATGCGATGGGAAGATATGAAAATTTAGATGTAGCCCAGGCAATTTCAAAGGCATTAAGAATAAATACAGTCCTCAGGCATCTAGATCTTTCGCATAACAATTTTAAGGAAGAAGAATGTAAAACTATTGGAGAAGGGCTCAGCGAAAATCATGATTTGCTTGGGATCCATATGCTTGGCAATGACTGCTATATTGACTCAAAAGGCTTTATTATCCCAACAGCTTATTCTGGGAAGCTTGAGCAAGGCCATTTCTTCCACAGAATCCTCGAGTCTAAGAAAAATAAACCCCCTCAAAAAGGTATCACAATGAACTGCTGAGTCTGTGAAAAATGGGTTGAAATGGCATTCATATGGGTCCCAGGCAGATCTGGAGAAGCCAAAACCGAGCCTATTTTCTTACATTTAGAATGTGATAACTACGAGCCCCAACTAATGGATAAGCTTCCAAACAACTCTTACCAGCTATCTCGAGCAGTTCCTCCAGGACTTATCAGATTTTTTTACAGTGATTTAAATGGCCCTATGAAGTCTGATGATTTCAAAATAAAATATCTAGACCAGCCTTTTAAAAGTAAGCTTCACTATGGAGAAGGCTACACAGAAGCAGTCAATATCCACGCTGTAAATATCAGAACTGTGAGTGGAGAAGTATACGGAGTTAATGACTCTTTTAATGTTAAACCAAGAACACTAGGAAGAGTATATCAGCCACCAGTTGAAGAATTAGAAAGGATTCCATGGAATATCCCTATATCTTTATTTAAAGACTACAAATTCGATTCAGAGGAAATTCTAAATGAATGCTTTGAATTTGATTGAAGATACTCAAGACTTGCAAATTTTGTGAAAAATCCAGCTGATCAAGAAGCTGTAAAGGATATTTTGAAAAAATGTTATATTTATATAAAAGAAACTTATAGAAATTTGTCAGCATATGGAGGGTCTGAACTTTTTTCTATAGGGACTAATGTTTTGACTGATTTTCTTAATCAATGCCAGCTTATCGACAATTTTTATGGGGCAAGTGATATGGGAGTCAACTGGAACTCTGCAATTGTGCCAAAAGAAAAAGGCCAAATTTATAATCCTGGCAGTGCCCTAGTACGATATGAATTTATGGAAATCCTGGTTAGGATTGCTAATGATAGATTTTTAAGAAATAAAATATGCACCAACATCGCAGATTCTGTTCAAAAAATTTTTAAAGACAATTTTTTGCGAAATATGACACAAATGGATACAAATATATGGAGAGACCAAAAATACCTTTGTGAAGAGGTCGATTTGGTCCTAAAAGCCCATAAACCAATACTAGATGCAATTTACAAAAAATACAGTGGCAAAAAAACTCTTCCTGGGCAGCGAGTATTTATGTGCCTCGACGAATTTCGAAGTCTATGTACTGAAGGTGGGCTTGTAAATGATAATTTTGCAAGCAGAGAAATAGATCTTTGCTTTAATTTAGCAATGATGACACAAGTCGACGAATTATACAAGAAAAGGCATATTGAGATGAGTTTTGTGGAGTTCTTAGAAGCACTTTGCAGAGCCTTCGATATGTCCAGCATTGTTAACGTCGAACTAATAGAGCTTGAAGAAGAAAAACATCTATTTGATTCCAATAACCAAAATCTTCCTTTACACACAAAGGTGGAAGCTGGGATCCAAAGTCTGATTAGACTTTGCCCTGATGCGGTTCGCAGCTCTTTTGTGTACCCAACTGAAGAAACTTATAAGAAAATGATGTATAGGCCGAAATCAAAGGCAGATAATTAATTTATGCTAAACTAGATTGAGAAAAGTTTGTTAGGTAGTCTTACTTCTTTTTCTTTTCTTCAATAATGAATGTCTTACATCTCTTGATGACTTTAAGCCTTCTGACCTTCGATTTAGTGCACTCAAGTCTGAGAACGACTTTCTTTGTAGTTTTAGCCTTTTTCCTGAAAATAGGCTTGGTCTGGCCACCATATCCTTTTTGTTTTGCGTCATATCTGCGTCTTCCTTGGGCCAAGCTGGATTCTTTTCCTTTCTTGTATTGGGTGACTTTATGGACGGTGTGGGTCTTCAACTTAGGACAATAAGTCCTGATTGTTTTTGGCATCTTCACCATTTTCACCACTAATTATAAAGCTTTTTACCTTTAGCTTACTTAAATGGTACCATAGCCTGTTAGCAATAACAATTTGCATAGAGATTATAAGGAATCAGCTGCAGATTAAAAATTCATATTAATAAATTTTTCAAAAATGATAAGTCTATGCGAAGTCTGCGGAAATGAAGCAATTTTTCTCTGTAAGTGTAGGAACGGGAAATTCTGCAAGCCACATATGGACAGGCATAAATCAGAGCCTGGGAATCACCAAGCTGTAGCTATATCAGAAGCACAGGAGCCACAGAAACCAGGGAAAAAATCTGTTTCATTTAACAGAAACAATGATTCGTCACAAGGAGGTGACAATTCTCGATCAGGGCATCAGCTTTCAGAAAAAGAGGTAAGAAAACAAGTGGTCCGTGCCACTTTGGAAAGAGAAATGAACAAAATAATAAAATTCAGAGAAGACACGTTGGAATGTATTGATTCACAGCAGGAAAGCTATATAAGACAAATTATTGCGGACACTAAAAATCTGACTTCAGCTTTCGTTCAAGAAATTTCTGCAAAAGAAGCAATGATTATTAGTGCACTTAATGAATTAGATAAGCCAGGAGACATCCCTGCAGGGAACCCTATTATAGAGCGCACTAGGGAGCTGAAAGAGCCTGAAGATTGTCTGGTGCAGTGCTCAGGAGAAGTTAAAGAAGTGATTTTTGAAATAAGGGATTTTATGACTATTGAAATGGGCTGGGCTGCAAATCCAGTTATAGAGGACATTAAAACATATTATCAACAAAACCAAGCAATAATCCCATTAAAAATGAAGGATTTGTTCCAAAAAATTGTTGCTGAAAAGCATTACACACTCAAAAAAGTCAATTTAAATAAAGCTAAAATTGGAAAAGAAGGTATTCCTCACCTGGTAAAAGTACTTTCTCTATTACCACAGATAGAAATTCTAAAATTAGGCAGTAATGGCTTAGGATCTGATGGCGCAGAACCATTGGCAGAAGCATTAAGCAAGCTTACTAAGCTACAGAAACTTATTTTATTTGATAATGATTTAAGAGGAAGTGGCATTCAAGCATTGTCTTCTGCTTTGCAAGATCTCAAAGAGCTGCAAGTATTAAGCCTTGCAAAAAATTCCCTTGGAGCGACTGGAGCCAGACATATATGTTTGGTCCTCCAAGGAATGGCAAGGCTTAAAGAAGTTGATTTAGATTACAACGGCTTGGGAGCAGAAGGCGCAAGATATTTGGCTGGGGCTCTTCCTAAAATGACACATTTAAAGACTTTGAAATTAAGAAATAATAACTTGGGAGATGATAGTGTGAAATTTTTGAAAGGCGCATTAGGGAGAATGAATAAGCTTGAATTGCTGAAGCTTGAAAATAATCCTATGGGGAATGATGAAAAGAGAACTTTGCAAAATGTGGTGAGACCTGGATGCAAGGTGGAGTTTTAAATATTTTGTTTAAAATTAAAAATTATAAATGCATATATTTTTTATTTATAGCTTTTATTATATGGAAGGGTCCGATATAGAGGAAGAAGAAATCTTAGAATAAGAAGAGTCAGCTCAAACCCCAAACCAACCTATAATGTCAATACAAAGCAATAGAAGGCAAAAGTACAGCGAGTTAAGCATCCAAGGCCAGATGAATCAAAAATTAAAAATGTAAATGCAAATATTGAGCTGGGGGACTTGCCATTAAAGGTTAAGACTGCGAAGGAGTTCAATTACTAAAAGATGATATTTGAAAATTTGTTTTTACAGATACATGTGCAATTGGAGATGATTCTCACGATACAAAAAATTTAGCTCCTATTTGCTTTAAGAAATCTTTTAATTGAGATTTTGTCAGGGCAATTAGACATTTTTTATTGACTCCATATTAAAAAAGAATTCTTAATTAGATTTTAACTTCTAAATTCTTCAATCTTTTCTGATGTCTCTTTTTTCTAGGGCACCACTTTTGCTTGTGTCCATAATCGTTGCAAAAATAGCACTTTGTGCATTTTTGATGGCTTTTTCCGCACATTTTGCACAAACCAGGCCCACCCTTTCTTTTGCTTTTAATTAGGTAAATTCTTTAGTTAAGAAAAAGTGTCCAGAAGAATCTTGATGTCTTGGCAGTTGGATTTTTCTTTCCACTCTTCAAATTCTTCATCAGAAATGATTGCCTGAAGGTGTATAAATTTGCTTATTTTTTTTTGGATTTCAAGCAGATCGTCAAATTTTAACTGTATTTGAAAGCAGTCTTAAGTATTTTCAATTTTTTGACTCTGTTTTTTCATTTCTAAATTCAAACTTATTATTTCTGCGTCTTTCTTTTGACTCTGTTTTTTCATTTCTACATTCAAACTTATTATTTCTGCGTCTTTCTTTTGACTCTGTTTTTTCATTTCTACATTCAAACTTATTATTCCTGCATTCAAATTCATTATTTCTGCGGCTTTCTGATCTACTGATTCCTGAAGAGTGCTTATTTCTGAGCTTTTTTCATCTAATAAATTTTTTAAAGTGTTGATCTCTTGGCCTTGGATGTTAATTTGTTCTCTCTGATCTTGAAATTCTGCTGCTAATTTGTTTATTTTGTCATTAAATTCTTTATTTCTTATAGCTTCCTGATTCCTAATTTCATCCATCATATCACGACGTGGTGCGATAAAGTCGGCCTGAAAGGTTTGATTATTTTGTTTTGCTAAAAGCTCTTCTTTTTTATAGCTCAAGGCTTTTTCTCTTTCTTCTTTCATAAAATTTAATGTTTCAGCGAGTCATTCTTCTAATTCCTTAGTGTTTTTTAGAAGTAATGAAATAAGATTCTTGCTGTCCTTGGCAAATTCCTTAAGAGATTGGATGCCTAGAGAGTTTAATAGTCCTTCAATTTCGATTATTATTGGAGCGTTGCCAGCAAAAATTTGTTTTGCTTCTTCGAGCTTTTGTTTTATTTCAATTTCCGTTTTTGCTTCACATAGCTGATCAACAAGGCTTTTCTGTGAGTTGATTTTACTTATGAGAGAAGTTAAGCTTGAATTTGAACTCATTTTAATCATTTCAAAAAATTCTAAATCAGACTTATTGGCTTGGTTAATTACAGCTTCCAAGTTATCCAACTCTGAGTCAAAAGATCTTTCCATTATTTAATTATTATTCTATTTAAAATTTAAAGAAAATCATGAATAAATGATTTCAGGGGGCTATGCTAAATTTTAATAAGACCCCTTTATGATGCTTGGAGTTTATTGAAAAGTGTTCCACTAATTCCAATGTGTAGTCATTATCAAATAGCTATTAAACTTAATTCTTAGCGCGCTGCTAGCTCCTCTGCTTTTAGTTGTTAGCCATAGACTTCCAATTATTTATTCTTGTGGCATTAAAAATTACGTTCCGAGTATTTCTCGCTCTATACCTTTTTGCATATTTACTTTTGCTATCTTTATATAGCTATTATCAATTTAAAGATTTTATTCAATTCTGTTACAGTTATCACCCTTTGCTTGGCCAGCTTTTTCCAATGCGCTTTTTCCTTCTACTTTTTCAATTTCAACGTTTGCATTTTCTTAACCTCATCATCAACTTCCCCTCCAAAGTCTTTTCTTTCTGCATTATGCAGCGAATATTTATTGCACTCAATCCTACATTTCCTTCTCCATTCGACTTTTCCTCTGTTCACTCACTTTAAACATTCCTCCATCTTCAATAGTTTCAGAAATATTTAATTATATCTGAGCGAATTGGAGCTTCGCTCACTGTTTCTTCTCCTAGCACCGATACGTCCTTATGATGTGGCTCTTATTCTACTTTTTTATCGTGCTGACAATCATACTCATCACCATCTTCCCTTCATCTTTTTCTTCCTTTCTATTTATTGAACCAATCGGTTCTTGGGTCAACTGTTTCTTTCAACAAAAACTTGGGCCCATGCACTTTTCCAAACGCCATCCTTCCTTTGGGTACAGATCCTAAGAGGATGGGCTCACCATGCTATTTTAGTGTAGATAGCTTTCAGTGTTTCCTAAATGTGAATTTTTAATAGGGAAATCAGATTCTTGCTATCTTTGGCAAAGTCCGTGGAGGCTGAATGCCTAGAGAGTCCAAAGTCCTTGGATTCCGTTTATTATTGGAATGTTGCAGCAAAGATTTGCTTTGCTCTTCTGCTTTATCTCATTTTCAGCTTTGCACGAATCAACAATTTCTGAACTTTTTGACTGTTTTGTGGCTCTTTTCTAATTTTCAAAGATAAAGACTTTGAAGTTTTAAATTTTTGTAGCAATAAAATAGCTTGGAATAAGACAAAAAATGCTTTCTTTACTAATTAAAAAGAAAGCCACTTACGCTCCCCGTCCTTAATCGAACAAAACCATTGGAAAATTCCTCTTTTTTGTCAAAAAACCTACCCTCAGAGACAATCTTTGTAAATACCTTTTCATTCGACTTTCATATTTTAATGCTTCTGATTTATCCTAGTTAATCTTAATCCAGCACTTTTTGGCCCACAGCTCTGCAACTCAAGTATTTCCTTATAATTTAATAAGTTTTAGAAACTTTTATATATAAAAGTTTTATATTGAAAAAATTTTGTTTTCTAAAAGAGTATGGGCTTTATCCCATAAAAAACGGGTTTGCTCGCTCATGGGGGGCGTTGATTTAGATATATTTTTATAATAATTAAATAAGAAATTTTATTTGAAATTAGGCTATGTAATTAAAATTTCAATTTTGAATTAAAATCTTCAGTCCCCAGTATTCCGTTATAATTAATTTCAAACGAGATGAATTTAAAAAGTCTTAATTCCTTAGAAGACAAAGAAAATTTAGACTTTCGAGGAAAACATCGCGATCTCCCCTCCACAAATCGTTCCTTTGGCTCTGACCTCACACGAGTTCCCCTTCAAACTCGAGACATTGACAAAGAAGACGAATCAGATCCCCAAAGACTCGGAGACTACGCCAAAGACATTTTCTCCTACCTTCATACCATAGAGCAACGATACATTCCACAATATGGTTACATGAGATCTCAGCGCGATATCAGTGAAAAAATGCGAGCCATCCTTATAGATTGACTTGTTGAGGTCCATCACAAATTCAAACTTTTACCTGAAACACTTTTCTTGACTGTCAATATAATTGACAGATTTCTTGAAAAAGAAATTATACCAAGAAACCAACTCCAGCTTATCGGGGTCACTTCTATGCTGATTGCTTCAAAATTTGAAGAAATTTATGCCCCAGAAATAAAGGATTTCGTGTATATAAGCGATAAAAGCTGCTCAAAAGAAGAAATAATTAGAAAGGAAAGTGAAATACTGAGGGTCCTTGATTTTAATATTACAACTGTCAGTCCTTTGAGATTTTTAGAAAGATATGCAAGAATTTCTAATTTAAATGAAAGAGGCTATAGCATGGCTAAATACTTTATTGAGCTTTCAATTATTGAGTATAAAATGCTGAGGTATAAAGCATCGATTCTTGCTGCTTCAGCAATTTATCTTGCAAATAAAATCCAAGGAAGCCAAATAGTGTGGCCACAGTCTCTTGTAGAAAATTCTCCTTATAAAGAATCAGACCTAAAACCATGTGCGAGAGATCTATGTATGCTTGTTCAAGGTGCTGAAAAGTGCAGCTTGCAAGCAATTCGAAAAAAATACTCTCAGCCTGCATATTTAGAGGTAGCTAAAATTGTAATTATATCCCAACCACACAAGTAATCACGTAGGTGTAACTTAACGTACAAATTAATGATTTTACGATAATTTTTTATTAATATTACTAATGCCGAATTTATTAATTTATTTCACTTTTCATTTATTTTTAATTAAAATTTCAGTTATACTAACAAATCAATTAATTTCATTAAAATCATCTTGTTCCAAGATTTCATATTCCCTTATTAGTTTAAAAGCAATTTTTTGCTAATGAAGGGGTTAATTTTTTTTAAAAATAGATTTCAATGTAAGTAATTTTTAGAATTTTAAATCTTACAAAGAAAAATCTAAATATTTATAAACAACCTGTTTGCGTATAGTTTATATAGAAATAGCTTGAGATCTCAATATTATAGTCATTAATTTTCTATCAAAATATATCATACAAAAAAGTCAAATTAAAATAATTTTTTGCCTGTTGTGAGGATAATTTTCCCAAAAAAGAGTATTTCCAAATGGCTCTTTTAATAATAAAAGAGGGTTAGAAACTAACTTTTGGGTTTTTTAACTGATAAAAGAGCCAATGCATGAAGCACCGAACTTGGCATTGCTTTTGGCTTATCAGTTTTGTATTTACAAAATTTATGATTTAAATCTTCATTTCGGTGCTCCAAAGTGAAGCATTCAGAGCAAAACCTCTTTGAAGGGCACCCAGTGCATCAGCCTGTTGCTTTTTTTGCGCAATTTGCGCATCGAAATTGGTCTAAAAGTACATAGACCTTATCCATGGAATTGAATGAAGATCTTGTACTATTTCGGCTGCCTGAGTCAATGACTTCTCTTTGGTCCTTTTTATTTTCAATCTGAACTTTACCAAAATGTGATAAAGGTTCAGCATTTATAGGTGGCCCTATAGGTGAAATTTCATCTAGAGTAATGTAATTTATTCTATGCTAAATTATATTTTATGATACTTTAAATGGTTTTTCAAGGTTCAAAATTCATTTAAATAATGCATATATCCTTTTTTTCTTCATTCTCTGGGTTATTTTCAGAGTTATTCTCGAAAATTTTTGGTGATAAAATATCAATTGATTCCTCTTTCCTTACTTTGCCTACTGGAGTTAAATTATTTGTAGCTGTTTGAGAGCGAATTAATTCTGGCTCAGATATTTTGTTTGCTCTGCCTCTTGCACAGCAAGAAGGAAGAATTTTATTAATCCAACTTTCCATATTGCATTGAATTATTTTGTTTTTGCTAACTCTGCTATTTATGTTATTTATATCTAATCTAAAATTATTTATTATTTTTTTATAAATTTAAATTTCATAAAAATTTTTGAAATATGCATAGCCAGAAAATATTTGGATGAAGAAAAACATTACCAGCTCACAGAGGCAAGATAAGATTTATTTTCGTAAACAGTGATTAATTAATTAGTAGTTTTCAATTGGTTTCATTATGTGAACTTGAGAAAAACTCCATTTATTATATAAATTTTGCATTAGCAAATTTAAATAAAATGATGATAAGTTAAAGACTTTTGATATTTAAAATATGCCTATATAATATGCTAATTAATCTTAAGTTGCTCTTCTTGATTATATATGCTTTAAGGATCATGCTGCATTTGCTGACTAACCTATTTTAGATTCATTTCTCTAAGATATGATTGCTCCTTAGCTAAGTTATCAACTTTTCTGGGTTTAAGATTGCTTTTAGAGGGTATTGCCTGAGGACTTCTATATTGCTCATAATTTTTAGTTATGCTTTCAATATAATCAAAGGCACTATCTTGGCTTAAGTCATTTCGCTCACCAGAACCAGCAATTTTCTTTTGAAATATATCATTTTCCATTGGATTGTCTTTAATAATATCATCAATAAATGAATAATCTTCATCTTTCTTTGGTACAGGCTCAATGTATCGATTAGAAAATGAAAAATTTTGATAAGAAATTTCCTCTAACTTGTTATTCAAGGTATTCTCTATATGGCTTTTCAGACTTGCTTCTACATTAGTTAAAGTATCTTGAAAATTCAAAATTATGATATGCTTGCTTTCTGAAACTTTAGTGTTTATTTCTTTTGCTATTTTTGAAAGGCTTGCTTTTTTGGCTTTCTCTTGAATTTTCATATACTGACGCTCAGCATGTCTAAGTATTTGGCTTGCAACATCATTTATTGATTCTGTTTGTATATAAACTGAATTTTCAATTTTAATATTTCCTTCACTATATGATCTAATTTTTTTTATTTTATTTCTGCAATGAGGCTCATTTTTCTTTTGAGAGTTTAATTTTGGTATAATTTCTTTTGATTTAATGGATGTATCTTTTCATATTTTATTCAAAAGATTTTCAGCTTCTTTTTCTAAAGATATTTTGGTATTTTTTAGATGCTCATTCAAAGTCTGTCCCATTTTTTTAAATCAATCATTTTTAAATTTTTCTTCAAATTTACGGGCAGAGCTATTTATGTAATTTTCCATTCCTTCTTTTATTTTTCTTCTAAAATCAGGCTTAACAGATTCAGAAATTGTGCTTAAATTTGTTTTCAGCCTATTTGGGGTTGTGTTTCGTGAAAAAGATTTAAAAGAAGGCTCTGATTGTATAGATATCAAGGCTTCACTAATATGCCGGCTATGGCTTGATTTAATAGGAATTCCAGCCAGAATTTCTTTATATTTTGAATCAAGGCTTGTTGATAAATTTTCTGTAGGATTTTTTGCTGAAGAGGCTAAATTTCACCGTTTATTTTTTCTTGATTCCGCTGCCTTTTGCAATAGAATAACTGTATCAATATTTTTTGCTCTTTCAGCAGGCGTTTTTCCAAACTATATAATTTTTACACAATCCTTATATTCAACATTGCAGCCAGCATTCAATAAAATTTCGATAATATTAGTGTAGTTATGATAAACACTAATTGTCAAAGGCGTTCAACCTCTATTGTCTGCTAAATCAATTTTAGCATTTTTATCTATAAGCAATTTTGCAAGATTCTCCCGATTATGCCAACAAGCAAGAAATAGAATACTTTGCCCTACCTACTGAACTAAAGTTTACATCATTAGTTGCATTTATATCGGCGCCTTGATTAATTAATTCTCAGACAGTTTCTAAATGTCCCTCTTTCACTGCTAGTGCAAGCGGAGTATGTCCATAAGAATTTTTGTAGTTAATATTTTTTGATTTCAAGCTGGTATTAGCCCTCTCAATATTTTCTTGTTTATTTCCCAAAATTTCGGTTTTAAGTCCTATTGACATTATATTTAACTGGCATTTTGACGAGAAATTCGTTATTAAAGATAAATTAATAAAATAAAATATAATAACTATTGAATATATTACAATTCTCTGTTAAAAATGTCAAATAATGACAGATATGCAAGTTGCCCGATGATGGCGCTCAATGTGCCATCATCGGGCAACGTGTTTTAAGGGTCAACACTGGAAATGGGTTCCACGTGTGGAGCCCTTTTTGACTTGTGAAAGTGAGGATTCTCCACGTGTCAAAAAGGGCTCCACACGTGGAACCCATTTCCTGTGTGGACCCTTAAAACACGTTGCCCGATGATGGCAAATTGAGCGCCATCATCGGCAATTTCCTATATACTTTCAAGCTATTAAGAAAGAACTCAACCAACACTTCTCTGATAAATTTGAATAAATCTCTGGTTGATGAAATTAAATCAACAATTCCTTATCAATTGCCTGATGAATCAGTATTTATACAAGATGATTACTTTATCCCATTTCTCAATGAAAGAGATGGGATGGGGAGACTAATCTCTTCTAAGTCCCCATCTTCTAAAACAAAAAAGCCAATTTTGACTCCTCTTCATGAAAAAATTATTATTACTCCAAAAACAACTAAAAAACTTCTCCTTTCAAGAGCAAGAAGATCATCAAACCCTGCTGTTGGGAGCTATTATAAACCTCAAAGCTGAATTAAGCCTTCATTTTCCTCTAAATCTCTTTTGGATATTTTAAATGGCAACGGAAAACACAGCAAGTCAATTTCTGATTTAGAGTCATCAAATAATGATAGCATTCTTAGTAGAAAAAAATCATTACCAAGGAAACTTATTTTTCCAAATCTACAAAGAGAGTCTGCTGTAGAGAGGAAAAAAAGCTCAGTGAAAAGAATACCAAGAAAGAAAGGCATTTGAGAAGATCTGAAATTGCATGGACAAGCTGATGAGATTAAAGAAGCTCTTGTCTATGCTAGTGATTTCAATTTTGTGAACTCTCATCATCGAAACATTCGAGCATTAATGAATGAAATGAAGAAAAAGCTTGAATGTTAATAATTTTCCAAGTCTCTAATTGGTATATTTTGATAATTATAAGATAATATGCTATTTACTATGCCTAAATTAAATTTTTATATATTTAGCTTAAGCGATAAATGATGAGTTAAGTCTCAAAGCTTTTAATTGTAAAAATGTGTTTTTCTTTTTTTAAAGTGTCAAAAGGCAATTTGAATTGTTTAAAACATTTAAAGTTTTGAAAAACTTTTCGCTGATTCAGAATATTCATGGATTTATTTTTCTTCTTAGTAATTTAAGAAAGCTCAAAGTACACATTTAAAATAGTATATTTTTAGAAACAATCATATATATTGAGATTGGTTATAATTAGAAAGACACCTTTCTGCTTCATATACTTCAAACGATATCACAACTCATAAGTATTTCACACTTGACTTGTCTGCATCTATGATATCTCTTTTTCTTATTCTTCTTATATATAGTTCTGGTAGATTCATTGATACTTTTGGTATAAAATTTTTCCTTATTCATCTCTAATTACATTATAGATGTAAATTTTTGCTATATTTGAGCTATCGTTTGTACGCAATTTGTTACTACTATCCCATGAATTATTAATTTTTATACAATAATATAAAAAATGGTTTATGAGATTACGAACTCTCCACTTAAATTATGAGCATTACGAAATAGCTTCCTTTTCTTATTTTACCATGCAAATAAAGTATTTATAATCTTTTTTTTAATTTTTAATATTACTATAAATAGGAATTTCATTATCTATTTTATGTCAAACTATTTAAAATATGTTTACTATTTTTCGTATAATAACAAGGAAATCAATTATATTTCTTCTGTACATTATGAATAAAGTTATTAAATAAATTTAAGATGTGATTTATCAAATAACAACTGTTATCAAGATATTGTTATTAAATAAAATTTTTTGGAAATTTACCAAAGTTGAGATTTTTTTGAATTAGCCTATTAGTAATAGCTGTAATTTTAAATGAAAATATGCTCTGATAATTTAAAACTGATTTTGTTTACTCCCCCCCTTCGTGAGCGAACAAAAAAATTTTGTTCGCTCACGGAGGGGGGTTAATTTTTGTTAAAAAATTATATATAAATTCAAAGTAAAATTTCTTTTGTCGCAAAATTTAAAAAAATTCTTATTTGTAAAATTTCTGCTTTAAAATGCAATCTGTTTAAAATTAACCAGAATTAGCAAGAGATTTCATTACTAATTATCACTGATATATCAAATTTTTTCATAAAAAATTTTGTATCACTCACGGAGAGTGGTTTTTGGTCAAAAAATAGGGATTTTTCTAATGGTTTTGTTAGCTCACGGAGGGGGGGAGTTAGCAAATTTAAGAATTTTTAAAATTGAAGTTACACCATTGTTTATATACAGAATCTCCGCTTCATCTTCTTATCAGAATTTTATTTTTCACAAGATTCTTTAAACTTATATAAAACTAATTGTCCAACTAATTCTATATTGTAAAAACGGCGTTACTCATTTTTGTTTCGGTCAACTGACCAGAAAACGCACAAGTAAATTGAAAATAGTTCCCACAATGGGTCCATATTTAGTCCATGACAATTTGATTTAATATTAAATATTCTCTATCATATTAAATGCACTAGGCAAAAAAATGGAATTTATCCATATAAAAAAAATAATTAAAATTACAAAAAATGCAAAAAAGGTTTATTTCTGATAATATAAACCGATGAGCAGTACAAACATTCTATCAATTTCAAAAGAACTCAAACACGGGTCACACAGAACTTCAGGACTTCTAACAACTCTTGGGACAATTTGCTATTCAATAAGTATCCCAAGCCAAAAGATTGAGAAAACAGTTCTTGACTCAATCCAGCAATATTGTTCTCTAAAGTACGGTGAACAAATTTGCAGACTTGCTTTAAACTGCATAGCAAACTTGCTTATGAAATCTGAATATTGTGCAGTCCCTATGAAGCCAATTCTTGTACAGTTTCTTTTAAACCTAAGCATAGCCAAAAAGATTAATTCGATTCATGAGCTGAAGCTTTATTATAATGTCATGAGAGGTCTCCAATACGCATTGCCTCATTTGCCACCTGAAGAGCCAAATAAAGTACTTTCTATGTACTTAGCGCTAGAAAAAGTAGTGTTTTTAGGCGCAGCTAATAATCCTAATTGGAATTATCAGAACGATTTATCGTCTCCTGCATCATCTGATTGCTCAAGTGATGACAATTATAATTCTGAAGAATTTTACTACAGTAAAATCAAAACTTGTGCTCTTCTGTGCCTTCAGAACTTGTTCAAGAAGCATTCACAATTTCTGTTCTCCTTCTGGTCTTGGCTTATCCCAACTTCTCATAGACCTGAAAATTCACCATTTTATATCCAAGATCCCTTTTAATAGACCTTAAAAGCTGTTTTTTTATTTATTATAAAAAAATATGACATAAAAATATTATTCATTAGAAATTTCTATAATCAATCCTTGACATATATACTTTTCAATGAAAAATCAGAAAAAGTAAAAATTGCAGCTGCCACCACCTTATCAGTCATGATTGAAAATTCTGCTCTTTCCAAAGTAAATTTCGAGGAGTGTAATTATAGTTATGTTTCACTAACTCAGTGCATGAAATATGCTGTAGTGAATTTACATGATGCTTTAACCAGGCTATTAGATGATGAACAAAACCCTGAGCTGATAAGTGCTTTACTTACTCACTCTATGGTTAGCGACTAAACAATTAGAAAAATCAACCATTTGGCTAAAAAAATATGTAATATAAAAATTTAGGTGAAAGCTATATTTAATATAAATAATAATTTTAATAAATAAAATCTCAAGCAAATTATATAAAATTTTATACTGCGAACTTTTTAAAGTATAAATTTTATAATTAATGTAGATTTTTTGTTTTAAAATAGTTCAAATTTGAACCCCTTGGCCAAGGAGCAAGATTTTTGTTCACTAATCAAGAACTAAGTTAGAGTTGCAAGCGCCCTTCTTTTTGCAACGAATTATGCAAGCTTTGACCAAGGACTTGCAAAACCACTTATTAAATCAATTATTTGTCATGCCAAGAGCAAAGAAAATAACGTCAAAATAGGGGTAATTTCAGCCTTGACATCAGCATTTAAAGAAACTAATGAAGATTTAAGAGGATTTCTAACGTTAGAATTTACCCAAGGAATTTTAAATAGTGGCAATTTTATTGCTGAGAGATTGCAATTAGTAAGCAAAATTGCCAGATCATATCCAGAGGTTTTGAATAAAATGACAGATTGGCTGAAAGACAAGCTATCGAAAGCTATTGCACATGAAGATACTAGAGTTCAGTCTTCTGCTTTTGAGGTACTGGAAGAGTATATCAAAGCTGACCAAAAATGTCCCATGATTGACTATTTAATTGAAAAAGTTTTTATCCTTATCAGATATGATGAAACAAATAAGCTTATTTCAGGCTTAAATACCTTATCAGTTTTGCCATCATTCAATATACATTTATAAAGTAAATTAAAAAAATACAATAATTTGTTTTGTCTATTACAGAGATAATTTATTATGCTGTTTATTATTATTAATCAATAAATTAGCTTAATTTAAATAACTTCTAGTTGTGCCACTAGTTGCTCAGTGTGTGTAAAACGCCTTTTTCTCCATTTTATTGTCTACTTTAGAACTCGTGTCGGCCTCGAAGTCCACTCGTTCTTCCTAGTCCCCGTGATCCCATTTTTGAACCCAGAAGTGCGGGAAACACTAGCTGCTTATCCCGCTGACTCGCTCTATCCGACTTTCTCCAGTGCCCTATTCGGCCTAAGCGTCTTGCCTTTATATCAGCAGGGTAAAAGAGGTAAAATGTGATACATAAGGAGGATGAAATATAAAAATCTCCTCACCATTTTCTCCTCTTTGCAGAATTCCACGTGTAAAAACTTAATCCTACAATAAAAGTTGGTTGAGGGAAAAGGAATTCACAGTGAATTAACTTCATCCAAAGCCATTTTATTATTATGTTATTATTAATAAGAATAAAATAACTCCTCAGCAGTTCCAGCAATTTTCTAATTTTATCAAAAACCTCAACAATTCCCCATCTCCTTTGCCAGCATTAAGATGCTCAGCTCTGAAGCTTATTGGGTCCCTTGCCAAAGATCAAGCGATCCCAAGCGGCAGCTTCAACTTAATCCTTGATTTTGTTCTATCTCTTAGACAATCCACTAACCAAAATGTTGTCATAAACAGTTCCCTAGCACTTTCCTTCCTATGCATGAACGAAGAGTCATTTAAAAAACTCCCTGAAATAATGATAGCCCTTGAAGAAGGCAAAGACAGTAAAAAAGAAAAAATCGTATCCAGCTCCATAATTTCAGCTGGAAACCTTTTCGAAACTTTTTCTTATAAAGAAATCAAAACTTATACCCCACAGCTGCTTGAAATCTGTATCAGTGGACTTCCGCACAAAAACGCGAAGGTAGGATGGGATGCTTGCAATGCTTTATTCAAATTTTTTGCAAACCCAAGTATGCCTCATTCCCGGTTTTCTTCCCAATTAATTCCAATATTTTTGGAAACAATCCGAAACCATCATAACTATAGGACAAGAATAAATGCTTGTCAGCTTTTGAGAGATTATGATATAGAACTCAACTCATATAGCGGGACTATCATTTCTGGACTTATTTCTTCTTTAGAGACTGATAAAAAGCTGTTATTGACTGAGTTCAATGTATTAAAGTATCAAAGATGCTTCAGGCAAGAAGTAATATTGTCTTTGATATATATAAGATTATTAATAGAAATTTAAACTTCAGCAATTAAGAAGGTATTCTATTTTCTTATAGGTAACAGAATAAAATTGAGTAGGGAAATTTTAAATAATTATAAAATTGTATAATTAATTCCTCTGCAAGCCTTACTTCTGAATTTATTAGTTCACTCACTGATAACTTACTAGCTTTCCCCACTGTGTGAATTATTTTCTCTCTAGTTTTTTAAAAGAATTTTATCTTAAAATGCATGCTATTTAAAAATAAATAGAATTAGTATTTGATTTCACTGTAATAATTATAAAATACTTTATCAAAAAAATATTTGCTTACTATGAATCTTAAAAAATAGGAGATTTTCAATAGTCTCGCTGGCTCAAGCAGGGAAATAAGCATCTATGAGTGGTTTTATAGCTTTGTAGTAGATCTCATTAAAGACCAAAACGAGCCAAGTGCGGTACAAAAGGAGTACGGAATTAACGCTGCAAAAGGTTGCATACAAGTGATCGTGGACTGGATTCATGATGTGGAAGAAATTCACATTTCATTCGGGTTACTGGAGGAAATGAATAAATTCATGTATATGAATGATTATTTGGAAGATGTGTTCACAACTGATTCAATCATTAGTGAGCAATAGAGAATAATTCTCTTGTTAATTAATAACATGCTTTATAAAATTTGACTTATAAACATTTTTTATCTACAAATGGTATAATTGTAATATATCTATAAATGAACTACAATCACTGTTATAGCAAATACTCCTATATAGATTTCTTTATCAAGCAAAATGCAATAGACGGACTATATCGAGGGGGTGAGCTAGATCTATATGCCAGGAAGGGGAAAAAGTAACATGCTAAAAATAGTTGACAAGTGCGTACAAAGTTGACAAGAGGCTAATTTTAAAATAGCTTTATTATTAAATTAATTTTAAATTAAAGATATCCTTTTAGAGAGAGTAAAGTATCTTTAATTTAAAATAATTTAATAATAAAGGATTATAAAATTGGTGTGCTTGCTTACCAACTTTACTCATACTTGTCAAGCATTTTTTAGTATGTCACTTTTTTAATCCTCTCTGGCATAGAGATCTAATTCTTCCCTTTGTAGAATCTGCCTTGGTCTTTTAGCTCTCTATTATATCTTGCTCAATAAAGAAATCTATATAGGGCATGGGCTATATATCATCGACGACTGATTCTTCGTGCTCAATCCACTTCGACCAAGCAGAGCTTGCTAATTTCATAGCGGCAAGCTGGGTATTTTTTTCGTACTTTTTAACAATATTAATAGCTTCTTGGTCTGAAAGAAACTCCCACACCCCATCACTGCACATTAGATTAGCTTAGAATAAAGTTATAGCGGGTCGCAGGGGTTTATTTCAGCCCCTCGCCGTCCACCGGATAGCTCGCAGTGACGCTAAGCGCTATCCTCACACCACCTTTTTCCCTTCTGACGTCACCAAAAAATGGTGACGTCGAAGGTCTTCGGGGAAGCCACCCCACCCGGTCAGGGTCTCCGAATCTCAGCAGAAAACTCCTTCAACCTCTGACAAGGCTCAGAGTATAGGGGAAACGCCTTCTGCCTTCTCCATGGCCTGTCAGAACCATATCACAGGTTCAATAATGCTCCCATGGAGTGGTATCGGGATTTTGCGCCAGTAGGGTCGTCTTGCAGGTAAGGAAAAAAGACAAGGGTCAGCCCCAAGTCAAAAACCCACCCCGGAGAACTATCGCCACGTGGCTCGCCTTTCCTGGGCCTGGATCAACTCACAAGTCACCAGGAGTCCACGTCAGATCACGCCATTTTAATAATTCTCCTGCACATTAGAAGAAACTCAAAATCCTCAGTAATCTCTAAATCGTGGATTTCTGGAATTGGTATAACGCCGACAGTTTGTGCAACAGAATCTCCTATAGCCCTACTTGTAGATAATCCAGGGTATTCTTTACCTTTTACAAAAATCCTATATGGAAAATCATCAGGAAGCTTTTTGACTACTCCGTCATTTGATATAATTCGCTCCATTTCACTCGGGACATTTGCTTTATGGTCAGTTGTAATTCTTCTGGCTTCACAAATATTATCTTTTTTGACCCCTAAAACAGCTCTGGAGTCTCCAACATGGCTTATTATCAAATGGTTATTCATTATAAATGCTGTAGTTGCAGTAGTGCCTGAAAATTTGCAATCAAAATTGCTTTCAAGTCGTAAGCATTGGCTGAATAAGCACTGGTTTACTTTTTGGAAGCTATCACTGATAGCTTCCTGAGGATTTATGGAAAATGAAGGGTGAGATATGATTAGCTCAGGAAGCTGTGAATGGACGTAATTTGATATACGGTGACCATATGAGCCATGACCGTCAAAAACACCGAAAAATTTGAAATCAGGGTCAACTATTATTGAAAAATCGTCTTGGTTGAACTGGTCTGGCTTTAAACCTTTTTTGCAAGCAAAACCGATGCCTAAAGGAGTGATTTCTGAAATGTCACTTATTCCTTCAATTTTTTGTTTTTTGTCTTCGAAGCCTTGTTGGTGGCCATTTGGCAGTTCGCCTTCTACTTTGACTCTGAATTCAATTTTAGGACGGCTGGTTTCAATATTGGATTTGATGCTTTCTACTGCGACTGTTTTTGCTGATTCAGGAAGTTCTTCGATATTATTTTCAGGACCGGCTGCTGCTACAACTGATAATCGAACATTTTGCCGTCTTGCACGAGGTTTGTTTTCAGAATCATCTTCTTTGACTTCTCTGGTTAGAGAAAGATCTGTAACTTTCGGCTTGCTAAAGCAAATTCCCATTATTTAATTTAATGAATTTAATTTCTTCTTAATTTATGTGGTTTTCATCCAGCTTTTGGTGTGAATTTTGATTTAAGATCTAAGCCCACCCATTTTGCATTTTTAAGCAAAGTTATTCTGCTTGTTGCAGTATAAACAATAATTTTATAAATTTATATCAACTTAAAATAGAATTTCTTAGTTGAGAAACCAAAAACAACTATTAAATTTTTCCAATTTTATCAAATAGAACTCATAATTAGACTAATAAACGGATCTTATTTATAATTAATTTATTCACCATTATCATTACATGAATTAAATGTAAGTAAAATTGAATAGTCCAATAGGAAAATAACTTTCTGATTTTATACTTTAATATAATAAACTACGGGTACGGAATAAAAGCCAACTCCCCCCTAGTGAACAAAAATTTTGTTCGATGATGGATTTTTCAAAAAATTTATATATAAATTTTATAAAAATTTTTTTCTTTCGAAATTTAAACAAATCCCAATTAGCAAAAATTGGAAAGCAAATATTAATTTGTAAAATTTATGTTTTAAAATACAAGCTGTTTAAAATTGAAAAAAATTAGCAAAAGATTTTCATTATATTAATTATTACTTATATATCAAAATTTTTTTAATAAAAAGTTTTTATTCACTCATGGAGGTTGTTTTTTGGGCAAAATAGGGATTTTTCTAACTTTCGAAGGGAGTAAGGATTTTTGATTTTATATATAATAAATATTATTATCGCTACTTTTAAAAAGCTTTTTATCGTTTTTCTATGCTAATAAATTAGAATTAAATCAGACTAAGCTTCTAACAAAAGATGAACCATTTTATTTCTAAACTAGTAGAAATTATATAACTTCTATGGCTACCCAGGCAACCCATCAAGAGTATTGCAGGTATCACCATATGGACCTTTATTTGTATAGTGTGAAAAATGCTGCTCTTCATCTAGCTCTTTACCGCATTTATAGCACAAGCCTTTTTTCCCTTTGCATATAGGAGAAAAGCATGCAATATAATTACAGCCCTCAATCTTCTCAACAGGAATTCCGCAGCACGGACACCTCTTCCATTTCCTACTAAATAAAATATCATCAAGCGAATCATTAGCGCTCAAAGCTTGATTTTCTACACAAGTCAAAGTGGGATGCGTACCTCGTTTACATTTGACACATAAAGAGGCACGACAGACTATACAAGCTGTTGTCTGTTCATTTGGGAATATAAACGCATAGCCCTCACAATCAGGAACTATACAATGAATTGCTTTTCCTGATACCACCAATTGATCCCGATGCAATTTTTCTCGTAAAACTAGCATATGGCTGTATAAAGCCGGATTTAAGTATTTTTTGAAAATTTCATCAGAAATTGGTAGAGAGCATATATAGCACGCTGGGTGAGATGGAAGGACTAATAAATTATTGATAAAATCTTCAAGAATAAGCTTAATACAAGAAACACAATAACTGTCTGAACAACCCAGTGTACCAAACTCAACGTTATCTTGAAGACATATTAAACAATATGCTCTTTGTATTTCATGGCAAAATGGCGGTTCATGATTTTCTTCATATTTTGACTCTTCCTCAAAACTCAGTATAGGGACTTTTGTTTTGGGGCTCAGATCAATATTAAATACATTGATGCTTTGCTCAACAGTGCAGAACTCACTGTACATGCTTTGCATTTTCAAGTGTGTGTCTTTTTGAGCGTCAAATTCCATGAAATTCATGAAGCCAGTATGCATGACTTTGAGCTCAGCTATTTCCTCTATTAAGCGATCAGTATTTAATAGAGGAAACTCAAGTTTTGAACCACTTTCATCAAATGAATCTAAAAAATACCCTTTGTCCATTTTATGATTTAAAGCACTTCCCGTAATTTATTATGAATTAATGCTGAATTAATAGGAGAGCTTATCTTTATGATACATAAGTATCAGAAAATAATTATTAATCATTAAAAAAGATATTTTAATATAAAAATTAAAAAAATGGCAATACACTACAGTGGAACTGGCTGCAAATTTGAAGCATATTTCTCATAGAACATCTCAACTATGGACCAGTCGATTATTTTCCAAAATGATGAGAAATAAGTTGTCTTGTCCCATTTATACTTCAAGTAATAAGCATGCTCCCATATATCGCTAGTCAACACAGGGTAGCATAAACTTCCATCTACTCCCATCAATGGGTTAATTTGGTTTACAGTGTTTCTTATTTCCAACTTTGAGTCTGAATTAACACAGAGCCACGTATATCCTGATCCAAATAGCATCCTGCTTGATTTTTCAAACTCTTCTTTAAATGTTGCGAAGCTTCCCCATTCTTTGTTAATTTCTTCTAATAAAGCTCCTTGAGGCTCTGGTGATGAATTTTTTTGGCTTGTTAAAACCCATCAGTAAAAATAATGGTTATAAGTACCTCCAGCGAACATCTGAAGATGCTCATCATTTTTTGCTTCATTTATGAGTTCTACTAGAGTTTTGTCTTGAAAGTCAGGGGTTTTTTCGATATAAGCATTCATTTTATCGACATATGATTGGTGATGATGATCATGATGGGCACTTAAAATGTCAGCTGTCAAAACAGGCATCAAGAAATACTTTGGATAAGGAAGGGAATGCAATTTGAAAGGGTAAACATCGTCTGATGGTCTAAATTCGTCTTTAGATCCACACTCAAAGCCTTGGCTGAGATAAGAGCAAATTAGAAGCAATATCAGAACCATATTATATTTGCCATTGGTAGCCATAAATTCAACTTTGAATGGAAATAAAATGGATTTTTTCTGACTCCCCAATTGTTTAGATTGTAAAACATTAGAAAAATCACTATTTTTGCACGATTAGCCCTATTGTTTGTGAAGAAATTTGTGTAAAATAATAATTTAGTAGATAATTAATGATGATTATGATAGAATCCATTAAATTTAGATAGCTTACAAAGCTTAAAATATATTAGATTTTTGATTTCAAATATTTACAAATTAAATCTTAAAAGAAATTAAACCCTTGGCAAATGAATAAAATTTTGTTGGCTACTAATCAAGGGGGAGTAAATTTAGCTAAAATTCATAAATATAAATATCCTGCAATGTCTGCTTAATTCTAACTCTATATAAAAGCAAAATACTTATTGCTAATTTTCTATTATTCCTATTAAAGTTCTGCTATAATTTCTTGAAAAGATGGTCGGGACCCTGGGTTTGGCGAGCGACATTGATCAATTAAGTTTAAAAACTTTCGTGGTATGTTTGGTCGATTTTCCAGTTTAATCTCACCTCTTAATCCCTCTCTTGAGGAAGAAAGTAATTTTTTTTTTTTTTTCAAAAATTCTTTGAAATTAAAAATTTCGTAAAATTAGCCAGAAATTTAAATATAATATAAAAGCTAAAGGGATCTTTTGCTCAGGTATATTGTCAAGTGTCAAGAAGTAAAATTTTTCCTAGTTGTAGCTGCTTCATAGGCGGCATTTAGTATTTTTTCTTTGATATCTCCCGGATCCAATCCATCATATGGGATTTCTCTTGCATAGATTTCCCATATTAAAGTCCCAAAGGCAAAAACATCAACTTTTTCATCATAAGCCTGCTTTTTGAATAACTCAGGAGCCATATAAGTTGGGGTCCCTGAAAATTGCATAGTACCCTTATTTAATTCATTTTTAAACCTCGCTAAGCCAAAATCACAAATTCTAATGTTGAAGTCCCTATCAAGAAGCACATTTAAAGATTTTAAATCTCTATGAACTACGCCGCCAAGATGATAAAAATGAAAGGTTTGTGCTATTTGTCTTGCAAATGCAAGTTTTAGGTCATTGTCAACATTTTCTCTGGATCTATGAAGTAAGTCAAAGAGTGTCCCTCCTTCGTAAAACTCAGTGACCACCGCTAATTTAGGAGGTTTATTGCAGGCTGACATTAGGAGCACAGTATGAGGATGTCTCAAATAGTTTAGCATGGCTACTTCGTTTTCAAATTCATTTCTTAGTTCAGGTGTTATAATTGGATCTACAATAACTTTCACAGCTACTTGAGTTCCGCGCCAAATTCCTCGATGCAGCACACTAAACCCTCCTTGGCTAATAACCTCTCCTAATTCAAGCTCGTTAAACTCCACTTCAGTAACTCCTTGAAAAGCATTTTTTACCAGTGCGCCTTTCAGAATTTCCACTTGCTTTTTTTCCTCTTCCAATTTCTTATTCCATTTTTTCTATATAAATTTTTTATTTTAATAGATAATAAAAGCGGAGAAAAGAGCTAGCAAATTCATTTATTTTTGATGACGTAAAATCTTCAAACTGTGGTGTGAAACTTTGCTGCTGTATATCTGGTTTTACGTCAGCAAAATAAGTTGACAATGAATTTGCTATATTTCCTGGGCTAAGATTTCCAAGACTTATAGGGTTTCCATCTAAATTGAAATACTGAAGACTGGGGAGTTCAAGAATTTGCACAGGTATTGAAGCAATCAAGTTGTTGGATATATTCAAATTTTTCAATGCTGATAAATCAGAGATATTCTCAGGTATATTCGTAAGTGAATTATTTGATAAATTTAAGTCCTCAATCTGCTTCATCTTCAGAAGGTCACTTGGCCAAGAAGTAAGGCCAGAATTACTCAGATCAAGCACCACTAAGTTCCCTCTGCGAGCCCTTCTAATTTTCAATGAAATATCGTCCATCTTAATTAATTATATTATATTTATCATAGTTTCTTCGGCTGATACTTGGTTATAAGTTTTTTGCAATTCTTGCAATAATGCTCGAATTCTTGATATTTTTCAAGCTCTTCTTCGCCTAAAAACGATGCACAGCAAATTCTTTTTCATCTAAATAAAACTTACAATGGAAGTGTTGGCATGCAGATTTTTACTGTTGTGGTAACCTCTGATTGACAGTGATGGCAATAAGCCGTTGTAGGGAGAATTCCCAATGGAATATCAGGGAATGACCCAGTGTTTGCAATGCTCCTTTCGAATTGGAACTCTGGAGGTTTCGAGTCAATGCTTTCTTCGCTTTCAATTGTGTTAGTTGTGAGGCGAAATGTGGAGTTGCTTTTAAAAGTTTCTGGGAAAAATTTGTCTGACTGGAAAGATTTTGTGGATCTTTCACTGGATAATAAATTATTTGAACGAGTTCTTTTGAAATCCTTATTGAGGGTTGGGATTTCGTGAAGCATTGAAGTTTGCAAGCTTTTTGGGGCAGAGGTAGACGCAAACATGGAGCTTTTTGATGTGTGTGATGGCTTCGGCCTTGAAATTTCTTTTTCTTTTGGCTCTTCTAGGTCGGGAAAAGTGAGATTAGAAATTATATCATCAGAAATATCTAAAAAATCCAAATCACAAGCTGTGGTTTTTGGGTCAGCTTCTGCAGACGGCAGAGGATTTATCTTTGTTTCAGGAATTGCACTTAGCGCTGACTCCCCCCCCCTTTAAATTGGAACAAAATATCGGTAAAATTTCCATTTTTTTTGTAAATTAACCCCCTTTAAATTGGAACAAAATTTAATTTTATAATAAAAAAAATTATATATATATTTTTATCTAAAAAGTTTTGATATAAGTTAAATGTTTCTTCTTAACTAAAATTAAAAATTTTATTTATATCTTGCTCTTTTTTCAAAGAAAAAAGTATAAAGAGCATCTTATTTAAATAAATTTATTATCCTTAATTGCTAAATTTTAAAAAAAAAATAATTTTTTGTTTTTTAAAAATTTTCAAAAAAATTTTTGTTTTTTTTTGATAAAAATGATATTTTTTATTTGGATAGTTTTGATATAAATTCAATAGGAATTCTTTATAAAATTTCAAAATTTACTTATTTCTTGCTTTATTTTAAAGACTAGAGTATAAATAACATCTTATTTAAACAAAAAATTAGCACTTTGATCGATAAATTTTCCAAAATTTTTTTTTTTTTTTAATTTTTTTTATCAATAAAAATAATAATTTTTGTGTAAATAATTTTGATACCAATTAATAGTGGCGTATTAACTAATAATGAAAATTTAGTTATATCCTGCTTTGTTTTAAAGGATAAAGAGTAAATCGCGTTTTATTAAACAAATTTATTGATCTAATTCGATAAGTTTTTGAAATTTTTTTTTTTTTAAAATTTTTATATTTTTTATAAAAATTTTATATTGATATTTTTTTTTTAAAAACAAAAATTAACCTCCCTTTAAATTGGAAACAAAATTTTTAGTTCCAATTTAAAGGGGGGGGAGTGAGATGAAATGGTAGGCTTGTTTGTCCTCGTTTATAATTGTGGTTGAACTTCTGGTGTGATGGCTTTCATCTTTATAATTTAAGACTTTAAAAGGTTTTTCCTTTTGTTTTATGCTTAAACTCCCAGTTACATCATCCACGTTGAAGTTCCTTTGATATCTCAAAGGAGAATCTGGGGTTAAAATAAGATTTTCACCTTTTCTGAAAACTGTCAGTCCTCCGCTAGGTAAATGTGGTCCTCTTGGAGATGGGGTTAATGCGTAATTCCCATATATTTCTGGCTCTACTTGAAGGGATAATTCCCTTCGAAATCGTGAATTCTGGTTTAATTTTCCGGCTTTATTGTAATTGCTTGACATTTTGTAATACACTGATAAAATTTAGTTATTTATATAATGATTTTATTTTTTATTGATAATTTAAAAATTAATTAATTATAGTGAGAAATTCCACTATTATTTTGGATAAGCAAAATGGTGATGACGCGAATTGATATTCGGGAGCAATCACTGTGGAGCAGGTTGGACTCATTCTGATGAAGCTGAAATAGGGCCTTTGTCCCTTTTTAAATTAGGCCTTTAGGTTTGGGATGGAAGAGGGAAACTTGGTTTCTCTCTAGAAGGTTTTGGGCTAGATAGATTTTGCTCCTCATATAGTCTTCGTCTATTGGGTGACCCTACAGAGGGTGGCCTAAACCTAGGAAGCTGATCTTTAGGTTAGGTGAGTCTTGCCCAAATTCAAGAGGGTGAAATTTTGGTTGGGTCTTGACTATTTGCACTCTGGTGTATACGCACCCAGCATAGGCCACTGGAGCCAAAGTAGTCAAGCTATCGGTGGTCCCACTTATGCCCGTATAAATCTTAATCTTACTGAATTTGGATAAGCAAAATGGTTTTTAGCATATTATAAATATAGATAGATACCGATAAGGATTTTATTACATCAGCGGTATTGAGCTTTTATACCAAGGCATTATATCAGAAAAATATCAATAAATGATTATTTAAAAACAAATGCTAATTAAAACACAGTCACACATGAATAAGAAATAACTTATCTTCCCCACTATTTTATATTAAATATAAAAAATTAGTTCAGTTGTTTATTTAGCTTGTCAAATGATACATATATTTTACTAAACAAATCAAATAATATCAATGGATTTCGATAAGCCACATCTTGAAAAGTAAGAATAAAAACATCCTCATCCTTGAAAATTTTGAGGTAAAATGCTAAATCATCAGTCGCACTGTTCAAGCTATCTTCATAGCATACTTTATAGCAAAATTTTGATTCTGATTTCCACTTTAATTTCAAATCCACAAGGATTTTTGAAAGGTGAGCTGCTAAATCTTCCCCAGACATTTTGCAAGAAAAGCCATACTTCCAGGGAGGCAAATATAGCTCATTATCCCCTTGATTTGAAAAATCTTCTGACGACAAATCATCAGACCTTGGTGCAATGCTAAACTCTGATAAGCTTCTTTCTCTTAATGGATTAGATACTCTTAGTAGCGACTCAGAGTTAAGTTTTCTAAGAGTCTTTTTGTTTGGAGAATACAATAAATAAGGAGGGATATTTATATTGACTCAGGGATGATTTTTTATCTGTTGGGCTGTTATTCTTGCAACAGGGTCAGGATCAAGCATTCTATATATTAAATCTTTAAGTGGTCTAGAGAAGTTTGGAGGCATTTTGAATTTCGCGTTTTTGATTTTTGCAAACATAATTGAATAATTATTTTCATCAAAAGGCAGATACCCTGCAACCAATGAAAATAAAATAACCCCGCAGCTTCATATATCAATTTCAGTCCCACAATAAGGAAAACTTGACAAAATTTCTGGTGACGCATAATGTGGAGAGCCACAAAACGTATAAAGAAAACACCCATCACGCATAGGAGTTGCAAAGCCAAAATCGCCAACTTTAACATTGTTGTTTGAATCGAGTAACAAGTTTTCTAGCTTTAAATCTCTATGCGAAATATGCTTTTTGTGAAAATAATCGACTGCATAAATTAATTGTTGAAACCAATATAATGCTTTAGATTCTTCGACTTTTCCTGCTTTTTCTAGATGTGTTTGTAAGTCTCCGTTTGGGATAAGTTCCATAACTAGATAATATCTATTAGGTGTTCTTATCACTTCATGTCTGAGTAGTCAATTACATTTTGGCTATATGTGGATGATCAAGCTTCTGGAGTATTGCGATTTCTCTTTCAAAATTTTTGAAGTCTTGGTCAGTTATGTTTTTTAACTCTATTATCTTTACAGCAACTTGCTTGTCTGTAGGTGTATGAATGGCAACTGAATAAAATTTACCTTTAACTCGCCCATAACTTCCTCGACCTATGGTATTCAAAAGTTTATAGCATGATAGATGCGACATTAATAATTGTGGCTCAAATATTTAGACTAGATATTCTCATCATTTTTCTTAATTCAATTAGATTTGGAAGAATTACTTCATGCAAAAACCCTATTGATTTTTTTTGAGTCTCAGGATAAATTAATATTATTTATGTGAATTATAAAATAAATTATTATGAAATTTCACTGGAAAAATTCATTAATTTTGATTTACATTTACAAATAAATTTCATAATTATTCACCAAATTAATTTTCTTTAACAATATATAAAACTATCACAATTTCATCTGAAATTATGCTAAAATAAGCATATTTATGATTTTTTTATTTAATTATTTTTTTAAATTCAAGAGTAATCTACTTAATTTGTCAATAATTAATTTATCACCAGCATTTATTATTAAATGCTCTCTAATCCTCCAAAAGCTATAATGACGCCTGTTATATTGTCCAACGAATTCTTATCCATGGCTGCTTTTATGACTTCTTCAATCGCAATCCCACAAGCAGAGTGCAAATCATGTGTTTCAAGCCTTCTAGTAGACTGACAAATAGACTCCACTATCTCTCGATTATTTAGCTTATCAAACAGTCCATCAGACCCCAATATAAGGAAGTCACTGCTTGCTGAAATATTGAATTTTGTAATTTCTGGAACTGATATTAATACATTTGGAATACCCCCAAATTCAGGTAACTTGGCATGAATGTCTCCAAAGCTTCTTGAAACTGCTAATCTTCCAGGAATAACTCTGACAACGCCGCCTGATTTTGAAGTCCCATTCCTTTGTTTTAGGCTATTATAAAGGTTTCCGCCTGCACGAAGAATTCGGCTTCTTTCAATAGTATCAGTAGGTTTATGATCTTTGGAAAGCTGCTCTACTCTTTCTCCATGGTTAATGCTAAGCAAGGCACGAGAATCACCTAGATTAGCAATATAGCATGTATGTCCAACGATCAAGACTACTATTGCACAGCTTCCTGATTTGTCATTTTCTCTCATTTTCGCAAAACATTGGAATTTTTGTTCAGCTTCCAAAAACCCACTTTTCAAGGCTTCTTCTGGGTTACTTGGGAAATGAGGGTTATTAATTACAAATTTGTGTAGATTGTCTCTAACTTTCCTCTTATAATAATAGTAAAATCATCAGTTATTAAATCTTCAAAATATCTGCAGCTATTATTTTTCAATATTTTAACGTAAAAATATTTTATTTTATCTACTTTAACTTTGCAAAATTTCTTATTTAACTTGTTATAGGACTAAGAAACTCAGCGCACAATGAGCCGCCATGACCATCATATATTCCAAAAAAAGCTGACTGCGGCCAATTTTCTAATGCCCTTGAGTTTGGCTTTACTATATTTCTGACTATTGTTACTTTGTCCTCATTACAATTTTTCACCAAACCTGAGTTTGTGCTTGCAGCATAAGCTTTTATGATACGAGCTCCATAGCTAGTTGAGATCTTTGTTATTTCTCTTTTTCGGGCTCTTTTAATATGACTGAAGAGTAAATTAAGATCTGTATTTGACTTATTTACTGATTCTCTGCTTGTCCTTGATGAAATTGAGGGTAATTTTTCCATCTCGTAACGTTCGCTCATACTCTTAGACAACAGATTTTGATTTTTATCAACTGACAAATGCGAAGAATCTTGTTTTTCGTTAAAAAAACATGTAGGGAGCTTACGAAATTCTTCATTTGGCTGAGCAAAAATTTTAGGATTCATATGAATTCGGATATTTCCATACATTTTAATATTTGTTATTAGATAAGAAAAAAAATCATGAAACTCATTTATCTTATTCATGCCAAAGATCGTTACTGCCAGATTTGTATTCTAAGCTTATTATTGATGTTTATTTTATATATACTTTTTATTTTTGTTAAGTTAATAGACATCAGCAGTTACATTTTTGCATGGTGAATTTTTTTTCAAATATCAAATATAAAAATGAGGATTTTATAACTCCCCCTCTGTGAGTGAACGAACCATTGGAAAAGTCCCTATTTTTCCACCCTCCGTAAGCGAACCCAAAAATTTTTTTAATATAAAAATTTTGATATAAGTGATAATTATTATAATGAATCTCTAGCTAATTCTGTTTGATTTTAAACAGCCAATAAAAATTTTGCAAACTAAATTAATTTTTGCTTTTCAATTTTTACAAATTGGAATTTTTTTTAAATTTTGAAATACAAATTTTTTAAAAAATAAATAAACCCCCCTCCGTGAGCGAACAAAATTTTTTTGTTAGCTTCGGAGATGGGATTAAGCAATTTTGCATTAAAATATTAAGAAGGGAAGTTTTTCAGGATATTCAGCTGAAAACAGATTTAATAATAGTTTAATTAATTATTGAAAATTAGTATTTTTTGTAATTTGGGTTTTTAAATATTTCCAAAAGTCAATATGCCATAAAATCTGAAAATGCATTTTATTAAATTATATATTAAAAAATAAAAAATACTGTATTAAAAAGGGATAATAGGAAAATACAAATATCTTTACTAAATGAATATAAGCATATTGTAGGAGACTTTTTACTATAAAAACTTTTCATTATAAAAGGTTTGAAAATGGACTATCAGGAAAGGCTTAATAGAATTCTTAACAAGCCAGGAAACCGAGCTTGTGCAGAGTGTGATAACCGAAATCCACGTTGGGCAAGCATTTCTCTAGGAGTTTTCGTGTGTATTCGATGTTGCGGACTTCACAGAAAGCTGGGAACCCACATCTCAAAGATGAAATCAGTAACCCTTGATAAATGGACTGAAGAAATGTTCAGAATTTTCGAAGCGTTAGATAACGAAATAGCAAATTCTTATTGGGAAAAGAAAAAGCCTCATAACCACTCAAAGCCAACTGAAACAAGCTCAAGCCACTCTGTTGAGGTTTATTTACGTGACAAATATGAAAGGAAGCTCTGGATTGAGCAAGGAGAGCAGGATATTGTTGAAAGAGTTGTTAAAGGGGCTCCAATAAATCCTCAGAAGCAAATAGCTCCTTCACCTGAAAGAAATCCACAGCCAAAACAAAATCATACTCCAAAGCAGCCAATGCAGGCACAGCCAAAACCTCAGCCTTCACAATCGATATCTCAGCCTCAGCCTCAGCCTAGACCTCAAGTAAACAGTGTGAATTTGCTTGATGGAGATATTAGAAATGACCCCAAGCCACTTGTCCAAAATCCCCATTGGGAAATCTCTTTTCCACCTCCTCAGCCAGTGCACAACCCTACTGCATTCATGCCAAACCCTCCTCCAATGCAAATGACAACAAACCCAGTCCCAGCGTTTCCTCAGCAAATGCAAATGTTTCCCCAGGTGCCAAATCAAGCTGAAATTAGACGAATCGAAGAAGAGGAAAAGAAGCGAAAAATCAGCCAAGTCATGTCAATGTACCAAAACACTCCCCCTGTCCAACCCCACAATCCAAATCAATTCACCCCACTAGGAGCAATAGCTGCGCAAAAATTTATTTCAGACAACAGAAACCTGATGCCTCAATATCCACCCCATCCTCAGCCTCAAATGCAGCCTGGATATCCAAACGCCTATTGGCCTTCCTTTTAGCTTAATAAATATAAAGTTATTATATTCTAAATTTGCTATCTAAATTTTAGAATTAATATAAACAGTTTTTACAGGTCTTGGCGACACCATTCATCATCTTTGATTGCGCTCCAATCTGGCCTGCTTCCTGGATTAAATGACAGTAATTTTTCTATTAAACTTCTAAATTCCTTTGTAATCGTCTTATCAGGTGAGTTCTTTTGCTGGACCTCCCAAAATCTTTCTCTATTAAATAACAAAAGTTTGTAGAGACTATCATTTGGGCTGGCTCTTGCAAAAGGAGGGGCACCTATATACATAATAAACAAAGCGACGCCTGCTGAGAACACGTCGGCTTTCGTCCCATTGTACTTTTTCCTGGCTCTTATTTCTGGAGCCATGTAACAGTCAGTCCCATTAAATTCAGCTAGCTCACCTTTACTTGTGTCTTTTGAGAACCCAAAGTCTATAAGTTTTGCATTGTACTTCTCATCAAGCATTACGTTTTCAAGTTTGAGATCTCCATGGCATATACCTGACCTGCTGCATTCTTCTAATGCTTCAATAATTTGACAGAAATATCCTCTCGCTTGGCTTTCTGGCAATGCCCTTTGAGTCATTACGAAGTCTAGCATATCCTTATTAGGACAGTACTCCATAAGAATGTATGTACAAAAGTACTGACCTTTATTGTTTTTCTTTGTATAGGTTCCATTGGTCTTATAGTCTAAAAGTTTGACTATCTTGCTGTGTGAGAGCTTTCGAAGGAAATTCACTTCTTTTTCGAACAGCAGCAGGTTTTGAGAGTAGCTTCGGGACGAGTTTTTCAGTATTTTAGCTGCGTATAGATCTTTTGTGGAGGGGTTTTGAACAAGCTTTACGATGGATGTCCCTCCTTTTTCGAGTCTCTTACCCCCCTCCGGAGCGAACAAAACCATTGGAAAAATCGCTATTTTTTTGCCCAAAAAAACCCGTTAGTGAACAAAAATTTTTTATGAGAAAAAAATTGATATATAAGTGATATTTAGTATAATGAAATCTCGAGCTAATTCTGCTTAATTTTGAAAACATTTGTTTTAAAGCATAAATTTTATATATTTGCTACCAATTTTTACAATTAGATTTTTTTTAAAAAAAAAAATAAACTCCCCTAAGTGAGTGAACAAAGTTTTTTTGTTCACTCACGGAGGGGGGAGTTAAGAACAGTGAAGCTGTCAAGAGCACTGTTAGTAGCTGAAAAAGGAGAGCAGTCAGTAGAAGCTTTGAACCCGGACATTTAATTTTATTAAATACTGTAATTTATACCAATAATATTTTTAAAAAAATTCTCTTACTCCCCCCCCCCCCCTCCGTGAGCGAACAAAAAAATTTTGTTCGCTCACGGAGGGGGGTTTAATTTTTTTTTTTAAAAAAAATTTATATATAAATTTTATAAAAAATATTTTTTTTCGAAATTTAAAAAAATCCTAATTTGCAAAAATTGGGAAGCAAATATTAATTTAATTTGCAAAATTTATGTTTTAAAACGCAATTTGTTTAAAATTAAAACAGAATTAGCTCTAGATTTCATTATACTAATTATCACTTATATATCAAAATTTTTTTCCATTAAAATTTTTTCTATTAAAAAAATTTTTGTTCACTCACGGAGGGTGGGTTTTTTGGTCAAAAAATGGCGATTTTTCTAATGGTTTTGTTCGCTCACGGAGAGGGGGGGGGGGAGTTAATATTTTTATGATTATTGCTACAATGCTAGCAAATGAGGGGATTATTATTTATCGCTTCAAGAGTTACATAAAACCCAATTAAAGGACAGAGCTTGCAAATATAAAATAAAAACGGCTCGGTTGGTGATTTAGGATCCTACAGTTATCTTGACTTCATTATTTAAAGACAGAAATCCTCATAAATATAACAGAATTACTTGATTTTTTTTATAAATGGTAACCATTCAGTCAATTCAAATTTCAATATGAATTTATTAGGATAGCTTCGTTTTTATGTCCAGTTTATTTTATTGATTAAATGAAAATCCTCGGCAGTTTATAAAGAACCGCCTTTAGATGAAATTATAATAAATGGAGGCCACTCATACCACAATTACTCAAGAATCTGAAGTCTGTCCTCCACCACCAAAATCCATGTTTTCTCGCATTCCAGGGCTAGATCCGACTGATGACATCGGCAAATTAACACATTTCATTGATTTTGCCCAAAAAGTCAGCAAATATGAAGAAGAAGACAGCGATTTTGCATTGGTTGAGAATAAGCTTCAATCAAAAAGCAAGGTATTGAGCAGAAGAGGAATTTTCCAGAATAAAGCTGTAGCCCAGAAAGCAAGGCAACCAACTGCTCCACAGCAGAAAAGTGCTCAGCCTCAGCAAAGAGTCCCTGTAAAAAGGATCTTCAGAGAATTCTCTGTGCCAATTAAAGGAGAATGGCCAGTTGTAGCTGAACTCGGCAAACAAAACGTTGACAAACTGTCATATGATCCTCCAGCGCCAATTGACATAAGCCAATACTCCTCTGTGTTCCAATATAATAAAAATCTGGACAATTCATATAGAAAAAATCCAATCAAGCTGAACACAGACGAAGACTCATTTATTGTTCCTGGCTCAGAGGCTCCAGCAAATTTCACAAATGTTTCGACAACTTCTGCAGACCCTGTTATGAGAGAACTCATAGAAAATAACGCTGGACAGGTCTTTATTACTGATGTAATTCTTGCAGCTATTATGACGATGACAAGATCAGTATACCCATGGGACGTTTTGATCACCAAAAAAAGTGACGGAAAAGTGATTTTTGACAAAAGTAACGACTCCGCCTTAGAAAAAATCACCGCTAATGAGAATGCAGCTGAAAACATGCCTGACGAAGACGAGCCTGAAGACAGCCCTAAGCATCCTAAAAAGCTGATGGACGAAGCTTTAAGAGTAAACAGAGCTTTCTTTTTGGCAAGTGTAAGGCCTCCACCGTCAAGTCTTGGCTCTGATCACCCAACTGATGCAGAAACCCCAGGCCATGCTCCAATTGCTTATAAATACAGAAAATGGAAACTTTATGACGACACTGAAGTTGTGGTTAGAACTGAAATCGACGCTTATATTAGAGAAGAAAGCAAAATTTCTTACGCAAAAGTGTTTGCTGTCAATGAATACGACTCAAAAATAACTGGAGGATATAGATCACAGCTAGAAAGCCATAGAGGACAAGTCCTGGGAACTGAGTATAAAAACAACTCATGCAAATTATCAAAATGGGCCATAAGAGGCTTGCTTTCTGGGGCTGAATATGTGAAGCTTGGATTTATAAGCAGAGAAAACTTTTCCAGGACGAGAAATCATGAGCTGTTCTATGTTCACTCGTTTAGGACTCCTGAGCTTGCTGGGCATCTTAATTTGAACTATCAGAACTGCTGGGGAGTTTTCAGATCAATAGTGGATACTTTAAAGCAGTCTCCTGAAGGAAAATATCTGTTGATCAGAGATCCAAATAAATTAGTTGTTAGAATATATTCGATGACAGAACAAGAAAAGGAGGAAGAAAAATTCAATTAATCTAACTTCAAATTTAGTAAAAATTTAGTGATAAATATATAAAATAATATGGAAGAAGTAGAGTATCTTAACTTTACAAGCTGGTGATGGGAAGGACAGGAAAAACATATAATAAGCTTATCTTTTCATACAGTTGAACAAGTGGCTTTTGTGTCTATTGATAACAATGAAAGTCAGATTATTGAAAAATTAGCAAACTTGCAGGGAAAAACAGTAGAGAAATGGGATCTTTTTATAGGGAGCGAAGTCGATATTTTCGGTAAGCCTACATATTTAAAGCAATGCGATGCTGCTACAGCTGAATGGAACCAAAGAAGAGGAAGGCAATTTATACATATAAAAAACAGACTTAAAGAAGAGCTTGAAAAATATGATACTAAACCACTCCCAAAAAAGCTGCTATTAAGCTACGACACAAATATTATAGGAGGCTGTAACCTTAGAGGAATAATAAACCAAATTATAGAAATTAAAGAAAAGCTTAGCTTTTATCGTCCCAAATTGGCCTTAAAAATAGCACCTCCTGATCTTTTCATCTAATTAAACTAACAATTTTGATTACAGTTATCCAAAACATTAATTTTTTAAAAATGAATTTAAGAAACTCTGTAGCGGAAAGTAGCAAAAAATCATTTATCAAGCATGCGAAAAACCTTTCACAGCAAAGCTATATGGAGTCAGAACAAATTGACATTGTCAGCCAATTTAGAAATTATAGAAATCAAAAATCCAAATCTTCAATCTCCCCTGCAAAAATCGGATCATATTCACAAAGCCCAGGAAAATCGCCAGGGCATGAGATATTTCACTATCCTTTTCCTCCAAGCTCAGCAAGGCCCACTTCAAACTCACGACAAGGTGCTCTAATTTCCGCAAAAAGCCAAGATTTACATGTGATGAGACCACATGGATCTGCTGCATATTCAACTGATAGAAATATTAATACAGTTAGCAGAAGCCATAGATATTACAATCGCCAAGGCAAATCCGAAGATTTTTCTATTATTAAGCTTAACGACGCAAGCCCAACTAAATCTTTTATACAAGAAATTGAATTCTCTAAATTAGATGAAGATGAGTATCGGGTCTTTCTTGAATCTTTTTCTCATTTACATGCCTTGAAATTCGATTTAGAACTAAACTGAGAAATTTCTAATGGAAAAGAATGCATTCCTCCTGATAAAGGAAACATGGGGACTTATTACATATTGAAGGATAAAATCCAAAACTATAAGGAATTAGGACTGAAAAGTATGAAAAACTATAAAAGTGAAGAATTAATTGAAATTTTGAAAGAATACAGCAGGATTTGTAGAGATATTTTTAGAGGGATCAAGGTTAAAGGAAATAGTAATAATGAGGTGATGATGCTTGAAATGCTATGGAGATTGATGCTTAAACTACTAGATACGCTGATGAGAATGCATGAAGAAAGCATAAATGCAGTTGTGGAGTGCACAAGGGCAAGAGTAAGAGTTCTTTCTGATGAGCATTTAAAATATACACAGCAGCTTCAAAGTGATTATGAGAGAACTATTGCTAAGCTTACTGCAGAAATTAATAGTAAAACCAATACAATAAAAGTATTGACAAAGGATAAAACTGAATTACTTGGAATTGTTGCGAATAGAGACCAAAGGATTGCAGAATTAACTGAAATGGATAAGCAGGAAGCTTCATGTATTGAGATGAATAGGATGCTAATTTCTCTCCTTCCTTAAGCGAGCAAAAATTTAATTATCTTTTATGGCGAGGGTTAATTTTTTTTTTAAAAAAATTGTTTTCTCGCCTATGAGATAGTAAGCAAGCTGAATACTTATATAACTGAAGCTGAATCAGAGCAATTGAAACAAGTTGTCACTTTAAACAATATTTCAAGCATCATGACTATAGCTGAAATTCTTGGGAAATCTCCTGAGATATTAGAAAAAGAAATCCAAACTGCTTGGTCTATAAAAGATTTCGCTATATTTCCTGAAATTGATCCTCCTGCCATTTCTTTGCACCCATTCGCAAAAATAAGTTTTCCACAGGCAGATATCCCAGCTAGCTTTAATATTCCTGAGTCTCATTTACTATTCCAATCAGTTCTAGACAAAGGAAATGGAGATAATGATTTTTGCTTTGAAGTTCTATATGAGCTAATAGACCGATTTTCAAAATCCGATGAAGTTTCTTTTAATACCGTAGAAATAGTAAAAATACTAAGCTCACAGAAAGATTATAAAAGCAGATTATTTTTGAAAATGATGGGAATTCCTCATCACACCTCAATTCAGTGTCAAACTTTTGTGCTTAAAATTAACCAGATGTTTAGAATTTATCAAGAAGATAATCATTTGCTGAGTTTAGGACATTTATATGAATTTTTGAACACAAATTTAAATAACTGCAGGCATAGCTGTGAGAATATTTTGAGCAGAATTGAATATATCTGTCCTGAATCGGCAGCTAGTTTGCCTATTGATACTTCTATACTGATTTTGCTCTGCAGACTTGAGGTTTCTATTGAAAACTCACTCCCCTCCTCAATGAAAAAATGAAAAATTTTGTTCGCTCAAGAAGGGAGTTTGCTGCTTTTTTAAAAATTTTTGTATATAAATATTTAGTTTTTTCTAAATTAAAAATCTCCATTTCACAAAAATTAAGTTCATTTTAAAAAATTTATTTTTAAAATGTAAGCTAGCTCGAGATTTCATTATAGTACTTATCATTTATATATCAAAATATTTTTTTTATAAAAAATTATTCTTCGTGGATGGAGGTTTTTGCTTGAAAAATATAGAATTTCCAATCGTTTTATTCGCTTACGAAGGAAGGGGAGTCAGGAAAATCTCTAAAATCTCTTTCTGGAAATAATGACCACAGTAATTTAAATATTAGTGACAAATAAAGAATTTACTGAATGAGCCAAAGAAAAAGCCAACTTTTGGGCAACAGAGCAGGAAATCCTAATTCTTTTCGATTACCTTGCAAAAGATCACATGGTTTCTATTGAAGCAATAATGAAGTCTATAGAAGATTACAATATAATAAATTTTTCCAAAGAAATAAAAATCCAAAAAGAAGACTTGCTTCTCAAATTCATCTACGAGTGAGAAATATTGCTTGAAAAATTAATCGAAAAGCACTTTACAGCCCAAAAACTGCAATCCCACCCCAAGTAATTTTTATTAAGATTTAATGAACTTGTTAATAGCTTAGGCAGAGATGTCCCAGATGCTCTTATTAAGCATGCATTTGCTGAAATCATATGCAAAGTTCCAGTCCTTGAAGTGTTAGAAAAATACGAAATTGTCCCGCATCCATTTATATTATCTGATTCCAATTCAAAGAAAAAAATGAAGAAAGGAAAAGGAAAGAAATAAGCTGCCATTAAAATTTTAATAATATTAATAATTTTCATATATAAAAGGACGACAAGTGTTTATTCGGTCAAAAATGAAAGAATCAGAACTTATCAAGTCTAACGACATTCATCCTAATGGCCCTTTCATGAAATCAGGAAGAGAAGCCTTTCGAAGCTTATTTCGGGGAGTAGTCTTAGAAAAATCAAAACTGACTAGCTTTTTGGTCACAAGTTTATAATTTACATCATAAGGGTCAGGAGTCTGGCACTCTTTATAGAAATCATTTCTGCTCAAATTTTTATTCATATCTAAAACCCTTTGTTTAGGCATGCAAATATCTTTATTGGGTTTGTAATCTTGATGAAACTCCATTGATTTAAATAAAGGTTTTCTGCCTGTCTGCTTCCTAAAGTCTAAAGCTGAAAGTGCTTTTGCAGAGGTTGAAGCTATTGGGGATAAATTTAAGGCTAGTATTGTGCTTTCATTAAAATTACTTGAAGGGGTTGGCTTTTGAATTGACATTCATTTCGTATCTGCAATAGAATCCGCTTTTTTAATTTGGTGATCTTTTGATATGAAATTATCATTTTTATTTGGTTTTGGAGAATTGGCAACTAATTTTTTCCTTTGAGTTTGTGGTCTTGAAAATACTGGGGAGCCAATATATTTTTTTATAGCCTCAAAGTTGGGTTCGTAATGGCCAGGAGGAGGGTGAGGGTCTTTGATTGAGCGAGATTTATAGTAGCTGATTCTGTCTTGAGTTTTAAATGATGGCGATGAAATTGAACTTTTTGAACTATGGCTAGCTCCCTTGGGTTTAGAGAGAGAGTTAGATTAGAGGGGATTAAGGGGGATTATTTCAGCCCCTAGCCAGTCGAGCTTCAGCTTCACGCTTCATGTGGCGCCAATCACTAAAGCCACCTAACGCCCTTTTCTGTCGACGTCATCAAAAATGGTGACGTCGACATCTTTCGGGGAGACTCACCCGAACCTGCTGGACCAAAAATTTCGTCAATGGACTCTCTTGACACCTGGTAGTGCTCATGGTACGAGGGGATCGTCCACAGCCTCCTTCTGGAACTACCTCCGCCATTTACAGGCAGCAAAATGCTCCTCCAGAAGTGCCTGCTTGGTATTGCGCCGTCGGTCTTTCGTCTGTGTGTCGAGGGGAGGCCCGGTCAGCCCAAGCCCACACCCCACCCCGCAAAATCTGCCATCGCAACTCCGTGGCCCTTCGGGGCCACCGTTTTTTTATTTTCGGTCACCCAGAATTCTGGTTTTTTCTTTTCCTCTGTTGCCCCAAATGCCCGGTAATGGTTTCCGGCCATGATGGCCTATTTTTATCTTGGGTTTAGAGGGCGTGGAAATTTGATTTTCATGCACTAACTGATCTTTTTCAGTTTGATTAGGCTTCTTAATATAATTTGGTTTTCTTTTTATATTTCCAGATAAAATGATGTCTTTATCTTTCAAAATGAGATATATCTCCTGTATTTTAATAGATCAATGCTGACTATCAGTTTTATTTTTAAAATAAGCTCGCACTTGTCAATATTTTTAAGAAATACAAAGGAAAATGGCAATCTCTATTTAAGGCTTTGAGATGCCTAGGTAGTATAAGGTTGTACTTTGGACAAAATTTTTTTCTGATGGTGCACCCTCGGTCTAAGCTATCTATTATAATGGATAAGCTATACTTGTCAGTTGTTTGTTTTCCAGCTCTAGATAATGATCGGATTTCTTTTAAAAAGTCCATATAATGCCTATATATAATGATGGTAAAATTGTAATAGAGTGCAGTGTAACAGCTTATATAAATATTATTGAGACATTACAGCTAATTTGGTAAATATATACTTATTGTACTTAATAGTTTAAATAGAAAAAAACATTTATAGGTAATAATTGATAAAAAATTTCTTACTCCCCCCCCTCCGTGAGTGAACAAAAAAATTTTGTTCACTCACGGAGGGGGGTAATTTTTTATTTTTAAAAACAATTTAGATATAAATTTTTATAGAAAATAATTATTTTTCGAAATTTAAAAAAATTCTAATTCGCAAAAATTGGAAAAGCAAATATTAATTTAATTTATAAATTTTGTGTTTTAAAAAGCAATTTGTTTAAAATTAAACAGAATTAGCTCTAGATTTCATTATACTAATTATCACTTATATATCAAAAATTTTTTCCATAAAAAAATTTTTGTTCACTCACAGAGGGTGGGTTTTTGGGCAAAAAATAGGGATTTTTCTAATGGTTTTGTTCACTCACGGAGGGGGGGAGTTAGCTACTCTCATAGCTCAAGTAAAAATATGAAAATAAGCCAACTGCTTGACTCAGAAGTTGACCAAAATGAAATTGAATCAAAATACCTATGATATTTAACGCAAAAATCAAGCAATCGAATTAATCTCTCTGCATTTACAATAGATCTTTCTTGGAGCAGCAAGAATCTTTATATATCTCCTAGGATGGCTCTTCCTAGCAATCAAATTTATGGAATTGGGAATTATACCTTAAGTGATAATTTCCAATCCGAATTAATCGTGGATGAAAATTCCAACATAAAAACAATACAAGGTCCAAAGAGAAAGGATAAATATTGCAATTTTTTTACCTCTTGCTATTATGATGACTCAATTTTGACTTTTGAATGCAATTTTGATAAATCTAGCAGCACCACAATACAATTAGCTAAAAAGTATTTAATTTCAATGAATAAATGGGTCTGCTTGTGTCCTTTACCTTCAGAATCACCAATTTCTTGCATAGGATTTAATCAAAAAATTCTCATTGTCGTTGAAAGTTATAAAAAATATGGGATATATTTATATGATATAATTCTGGATTCTTATACCTATGGCATTCCTGTTAGTGATCTTGAGAAAAAACATTTAAAAACATTGGTTAAAAGCAAAGGGAAAATTTATTTAATTATTCTCTATAGTAAATTTTATGAAATTTATTCCACTGACGATCCTTTGTCAGAGTGAGATTTCGTTTGCTGTTTCCAGGATTGTTTAGTTTATTTAGGTTTGAGTGCTAGAACATTTTATGAAGGTTCTATTTATTATATTAGAGAAAACTCATATTTATATGAGTTTAAGTTGTCAAATTATAAGTCAAAAGCAATACATTAATATGGCGGAGGTGGCCACCCGACCTCTTGACGCAATTCTCAACACCTGCAGGGAACGCCCAGGTGGAGGAACCAAGTCGATACAGGTCCGGCATCCTTAGTGTATACCGGAAGAGGTTTTCTCCGTGCCACAGGGTATGATACCTGGGACATGGGGTTTTTTCCTCCTGACATGAAGTTGGAAAGGGCGTAGTCGGCCATCGTCCCCGAGATTAGGTATAGTGAACTACACTGACTGGCACGGGGTGCTTTTGGCTCGAAACTGAGCCAAAAGCCCCGTGCCAGTCAGTGTAGTTCACTATATGATCCTACTCGAATTAGGGACCCTGAAGACAGCAGGTGCCTAGCGTGAAACTGGGAGTTACGCCCCAGGCTTCAGCCGAAAGCGAATGGATGCCCCAGGAGCAAGTCAGGTAGACTAACTTAAGCAAGGCAGACAGTGTTAGTCGGGGGCCCTTTAATGTGGTGACGAACTTGTAGAGGTGAAAATCCTCACTCACGGAAGGGGGTTAATTTTTTATTTTAAAAAACAATTTATATATAAATTTTATAAAAAATATTTTTTTTCGAAAATTTAAAAAAATCCTAATTCTCAAAAATTGTAAAGCAAATATTAATTTAATTTGTAAAATTTATGTTTTAAAAAGCAATTTGTTTAAAATGAAACAGAATTAGCTCTAGATTTCATTATACTAATTATCATTATATATAAATTTTTTTTCCATAAAAAATTTTTGTTCACTCACGGAGGGTGGGTTTTTGGGCAAAAAATAGCGATTTTTCTAATAGTTTTGTTCACTCACGGAGGGGAGGGGGGAGTCATCCGTGTTTAAAGCAAACGCCCATAATCTAATCTAATCTAATCTAATCTAATCTAATAAGTCAAAAGCAGTTGGAGACTTAAGAGAAGTTTATGTTAATCAACAAATTCAAAAATTGTAAGCTATTAATAAATATTTAAATCTCAAATGTTAAATGTTTTAACATTTTTGTATAATAGCTTTCATAACTAACCAAGATATTCAAAAATCCAAATAATAAATAAAAATTGTTAATTATATATGATTTTTAAAAATCATTCGTTCGTTTTACAATTATTATTTCCAGTAGCCATTTCTTAATTCTTAATGGCTAGTATAAATTTAAAATGCCTAGCCTAACCGTTCTAATTTCTCTTATATCTGGCTTATATTATCTAAAATACCTTTAATATTATTAGCAACGAATTCAAACCCAACAATTCATAATAAATCTCTAAATATGAGCTCAATAACATCTGTAACTTCTATTTAGAAATCAGAAGTCAGGAACTGGCTTAGGACACATGGAAAGCGGAAATACATTGGCTTTGACGACGATGATCGGTGCAAGCTTAGAAGATATTTTAGTACACTTGACGAAAATAAGCATGGTAATTTCCAATTAGGTTGCATTGGATACAAAGAACTTGAAGATCCTTTAATTGCCTTAGGAATTGCAGAAACACGGCAGCAAGTCGAAGAAATGGTTAAAAGCGTAGATTTTGATGGATCTGGAAGCATTGAGTTTGAGGAATTTCTAACTATTTTGAGAGGATCAAAAGGAAACGCTGCAATTGCTAATTTTTTTAAAGGACTTATAGAGGGAACTCTTATAAAAGACGCCAAAACTTTGCCCTTGAAGCTTGTTGTTAGTGCTTATAGAAGAAAAATGCTTATGGACGCTCTGATGGCAAAAGAGACTAACAAGAAAGAAAAAGGAGAAAGAGTGATGAAGGCTTTTTCACGGCAAATAAATAATAATAGAAGAAGAGACACCAATCTTGAAGGTGTAGGAGCAGATCTTAGAGTTGGGTTTCCAAAACTCCCAAGAATTATTGAAGACAGCGGGACTCCGATTGAAAAAATTAAAGAAATCCTAAAAAAACATAAATAATCTGAAAAATCTATCATTTTATCTGTTCTTAAATAATCTTAATTTTATATCTCTCCCACCATTTTGAAATGATTTTTGTTCTTAATTATTTATATAGTGAGTAACCATTTATAGATCTTTAGTGACAATCACTTTTAAAAGAAAAAAAAATTGATTTAAGATTATTAGAAAATCTAATAAGTCAAAATTTCATCTTATATCTTATTTATCAGTTTTAAATTTGAATTTTCAGAATATTTTAAAATGCCAAAAGTAATTTTTCTTTGGGGGTACTTTTCCTCAGAAATCAATAAGGAGTCAGTCGCTATATTAATTATATGAAAATTATTTTGCTGGTTTTGTTCTCCATCCAGCTTTCATTAAGTTTACCATCAGGCCTTAGCTTGGTATTCTCTGAGAAAGCTATAAATGGATTTAAAGCTCTTTGGCTAAAAGAAATTTTATCTGAGCTGCATAACCTGGAAATCCCAAGCCAATGTTTTAAAACAGGCAAAGGAATATTGACAACAAAGTGGGATTTATATGATTTTTCTTTAACTAATATCCAGTTTGACATTAATTCAACTCAAATAAACATTATTGACACAGACCATGTTGTAGTTGATATAGAAGACTTTCTTTGTGAAATATTTTTCAAATGAAACAGCACAAGTGAGCTGGATGAGGATTCAGGATCTGCAAGCATAAGCCTCCAAAAAACTATTATTATGTCTAAAAGCACTTTATATGCATCGAATGGGCATCTAGGTATTACAATTAATGAACTTGAGCTAAAAATTGGAAATTTTGATGTAGAAGTTTATGACAGTAAAAATGCAAAAATTGTAAATTGGCTTACTCACAACATAAATGCGAAAATAAAGAGTATATTGGAAAAAGAGATTTCTAACTCTCCTTTGTGTGAACGAACAAAAGCATTGGAAAATCCCTATTTTTTGTCCAAAAACCCACCTTTCGCGAACGAACAAAAATTTTTATGATAAAATTTTTGATATATAAGTGATAATTATTATGGCTAATTCTGTTTAATTTTAAAATAGCTTGTATTTAAAACATAAATTTTACAAATTAAATAAATATTTGCTTCCAATTTTTGCGATATGGATTTTTTTAAATTTCGAAAAAAAATTATTATAAAATTTATTAAAAAAAAACTAACCCCCTCTGTGAGCAAACAAATATTTTGGGGGAAGGGAGTAAGAATATAAAGCACACAGTAGAATATGTTATTAATATTCAGCTAAGTCAATTTCCAACACTAATAGAAGTTCCACACACTCCTTTTTCTTTTAGTGTTGCGTTGCCATATGGCCCATATATAAATTCAGGCTTTATGAAAATTGACATATTAGGTATTTTTGTAGCCAAAAATGAGCCAAATTTATTTCCTCAAATCTCATATACATAAAAATGGTGACGACAGACCACCCGACCTCTCGACCCTATTTCCTCAAAACCTGCAGACAACGGCCCAGTGCCGAGGATTTAGGCGGAAAAATGGCCGGTAATCCTTTATTTTATAGTCGGACTGGGTTTTCCTCGGGCTCAGGGAGCTAATCCCTGGACTTAGAGTTTTTCCTCAGGTACAACCATTGGAAAGGGCAAGGTCGGCCAATGTCTGAAGGGCAATATGACCCTCAGACCCTGAAGACGGTATTTGCCTAACGAGAAACTGGGAGTTTCGACCCAGGTGGTTGGCCCTTAGACTCCAGGAGCCATGGAAGTCAAGACTGGTGCGCGAATGCCTTGTTTGCGGCAACGAGGAAGGGTATCCGCCGGGATCCCTCAGGGATGATGAGCGTGTAGGGGTTGAAATCCCCAGCCCTTGCGAAAGCGAATGGCACAATCTAATATAATCTAATCTAATCTAATTTCCTCAAATCCCACTCCCTGTCGATTTACTGCGAAATCAAGAAAATGAGCTTGATGTGCAGCTTTTCATCTCAGATTATACAATAAATTCTGCACTATACTCAATGTACTCTATAGACATGTTTGATCTCACAATTACCCAAAAAGACTTGCCTTCATGAATAAAGCTTACAACATCATTTCTTGATGAAATTTTGCCAGGGATAGAATCAGCATATGGTCCAAAACTTCCATGCGAAGTTAATTGTGCAGCAAAGAAAACCCCACTTTTGAATACTCATGAATATTCTCAAGGGAATATTCTTGGACTAGTAAGTGGATCTGCTCTAATTCAATGCTCAGTAGAGGTTGTTGATCATGGAAAAGCAATTGAAATCGAATCAACTTTAAACTCAAAAATTTCTGTTATTCTTGCTGATGGAGTTTTGAAAGGAGAAATAATGGAATTAAGGGTAGAAAATATGAATGTTACTGAAAGTAAGCTTAGTAGTGAAATTGATACAGATGGACTTTCTGAGAATTTGAATAATTTGATTGAAATTTCTATTCCAGAAATAAATGATTCTGTATTTGGAAAAGGATTTAAGCTGTCTTATCTTGAAGCTTTTAATATAGTGGAATCAAAAATGACAGTAAAAACAGGTTATTTTCATATTCAATTAGAGCCTAAGTATCCAGATTTAACTAATAAAGAGTATTTTGAGTCATAAATTTGTCTTCAAAATAAATAGTAAATATAATTTTAATCTGAATAAATTTAAAAATAAATTTTACCAATTAAAATAAATTCAAATCTGTTAATTTCTCGTAAATTCTGAAATAATGCAAAAATAAATGGTGGTAATTTCTTATGCATCTGATCTTGCTTCAGGACTCGGATTTGTTTTATTTATATCACAATTGGCTATCTATCTTTTGATGAGGTTCAGAATGACTATTGGGAAAACTATAATTAAGCTCATACCTAATCAAGTCTTATACGTCTGCTATGGAATGATTGGGATTTTGCTCTTAAATTCCCTATATCTCTCATACCAGACAAACACAGGATATTATCAGGCATTATTATTTTTTGTCCTTGTCGTCATGCTAGGCTATAACCACGATTATTGCGTAATTTGGGACGAGCTTGATCTTACAGCTCAAAAGCTTGAAAATCTTAAAATTCATGCAGAAGTGCAAGCTGATGAATATGTAAAAGCAGTTAACCAAGAAATTCCATTAGACAAAATGATGGCATCTCAAGCCAAAAAAGCATCTGAAGAAATAATCACAAGCACTGAAGATAACGAAATTCCTATTAAAGATAAAGATTTGTAGTAATTCCTAAAAATGTAATAAATTATCAATACCTCCATTTTATTCTTTACAATTGTATATTTAAATCTTAAAATGGAAGAGCCTGACTCATCTCCCAACATCAGAGTCATCTGCAGATTTCGGCCCCTCAATCAAAAAGAAAAAGAAATGGGCGAAAACACCTCAATTGAATTCTGTGAAGACAATAAGACCATAATCATCAATTCTGCATTAGAAAACCAAGAGCCTCTCAGATTTAATTTTGATCATATATTTACCCCTGCCTCTAAACAAATAGATGTATATAAAATCGCAGCAATCCCTACAGTTGAAGCTGTTATGCAAGGCTTCAATGGTACTGTTTTTGCTTATGGCCAAACATCATCTGGAAAAACATTTACGATGACCGGGGTTTTATCAGACCCAGAGCTAATGGGAATCATCCCAAGGATGGTAGGAACAGTCTTTGAAAAAATTTCTACTGCAGATGCAAGTGTAGAGTTTTCTGTAAAGGTGGCGTACGCTGAGATTTATATGGAAAAAATCAAAGATTTGCTTGATCCTTCAAAAACTGACTTAAAAATCAGGGAAGACAAAACTCGAGGAATTTATATTGAAGATTTGACTGACAGATATGTAGGAAGTGAAGAAGAAGTGTATGATTTGATGAAGGTAGGCACTGATAATAGAGAAGTAGGGTATACACATATGAACGCGGGGTCGTCGAGGTCCCACTCGATTTTTATTATTACGATTACTCAGACTAATGCACAGTCATTTTCCACGAAATCTGGAAGGCTGTTTTTAGTTGATTTGGCAGGCTCAGAAAAAATTGCGAAAACTGGGGCTGAAGGAAAAAGATTGGAAGAAGCCAAAATGATTAATAAATCATTGACAGCTTTAGGACAAGTTATCAATGCTTTAACTGATGGAAAATCAACACATGTACCATATAGAGATTCCAAGCTAACAAGAGTGCTTCAGGATTCATTAGGAGGAAACGCCAAAACTTCACTAATTATCACCTGCTCCCCTTCTCCTTACAACGAAGACGAAACAGTAAGTACTCTCAGATTTGGGATACGCGCCAAATCTATCAAAAATAAGCCAAAAATAAACAGAGAGTACACTGTATCTGAGCTGAAACTTCTCCTAGCACAAGCTAAAGAGGAATTAGAAAAAAAAGAAAAACAAATCAAAGCCTATACAAGGTCTCTTGAAAAAAATAACATACCTTTGCCTGAAGAAGATACAAATAATTCTGTAGAAGAAGAAGACAAAAAAGTTGAAGTCGACGAAACCCCATCTAAAAGTGCAGCTCAAGCAGAAGTTATAGAAGAACTAGAAGCTGTAAGAACTGAGCTTGATAATCAAAACTGCTTGGTACAAATTCTTTCTGATCAAATAAATAAAATTCAAGAAGAAAGGCTTGACTGAGATGTGATGAAAAGCAGTTTAATTGAAGAAAAGGAAAATTTAGAAGGAAAAATAAGCGAGTTTGAAAAAGAAATAAAATTAAAGGAAGCTTCATTTAGCCTTTTAGAGTCGCAAAACGAAGAGCTCCAAAGAACAATTCAAGTGTTAAAACAGCAGAATTATGAGCTGGACCAAATGATCACGACGAAAAATTTCGAAGTTGAAAGATATTTAGGAAAATCTAAGAGTCAAGAAGACGTAATAAGCGATCTTCAAGGACAAGTCCAAGCTGAAAGGGAGAAGGCAGCCAAGATCTTGCAAGATTTTTCAGAAATCCAGCAAAAACTGAACACAAGCTCAGAAATTGTCCAATCAAAAGAAATTGAATCTTTGAAGTATGAAAAGCTAAAAGAGCTCTGGAATGAGGAGAAAAAGAGTTTGATTACAGAACTTCAAAGTAAAGTTTTAAAAGTCACTGATATCAGAAAAGATTTAGATGATACAAGAAGGGCATTTAAAAACTTGCAGGCATTATTATTGGAAAGTGATTCACAGATAAGGAAGAATTATAAAATGACTTCAGATGAAAAGTAATTAGCTCGGAAATTCCTTTTTCCTTATCCAACTTTTATTATTCTAAGGTTAGGTTTTTCCACGAGAACTTCTACACAAAGGTGCTGAAAAATAGTGAGGACTTTTATTTCGTCAGTCCTGTATCGTGTGTTTTGCCTCTTTTCCCTGCTGATATGAAAGATAGGACCCTTAGGCCAAAAAGACTTGGAGGAAAGTCAGATTGCGCGAGGCAGCCCGCAAAGCCGATAGTCCTGGACTTCTGATCTTAAATGGTTTCAAGGAAGCTAGATCGAGCAAATACCTATAGACAGGCTGTACAAACAATTAGGGAGTAGCGATAAATCCGAGATAAATTGACCTTTGGATCCTTTGCATCCAGATACCCAAGTTAAATTAAGCTAATTAAGATTAGATTCACAGCTAAGGCAAAAAAATGAGCAATATTTGAAAAATCAAGAAAGGCTATATCAGGTCTTAGAAGACATGATTACTCAAAACACACTGTTTAAGCTTGACAAACAAGCAAGTGAAAGCAAAGTTAACAAGTTCCAAGAAAAAGCACAGAAGCTTGAAGAAGAGGTGAGAAGATATAAAGAAAAATTGCTTCAAGCCGAGCTTAAGCTAAACACACTTGATGATGGGAGGATATCAAGAATTCCCCAAATGAAACTAACAAGAAATCAGACTGCACAACTGAAAAGAACCATTAAAGGAGGAGTAAAATCAAATTTGCCTGGAATCCATCAGAGATATTATTCAAGTATTGATGTAGCAAAAGCTGGTAAAGAAGATAATTAATGTAGAGAAACTTTATTCAGCTTTAAAAGTTCAGTTATAATTACACATATATGATAGACCCTGAAGTGTTTCTTATCTCATCTGCATGTTTTTTCTTTTTCAGCAGAAATTTCGATAGCTTTGCTTTGAGCTTGCCAATTTCTTCAGTTTTTTTCCTTACTTCATCTCTTATATTAATCGAAAGATCTTTAGTGCTCCTTCTTCTAAATTTTTCTCCTCTAGTAGGAGATGGACTTGGCAGCACAGAAACTGAGCTATTTTTTTTCATTTTCTTATGATTGGAATGACTATGTATATAGTCGTCAATAAGATGCTTTGCAGAATTTTTATAAGTGTTATTGTACATAATGTCGCCTAACTTTTTATTGATAATTAATGCAAGTTTTGGCTTCATTTTTTTCGTTTTTTGCTCTACATACCCTGGGGAAGTCGGGATAAATGAGAACTTATACGGAGATAACGGTTTTTCGCTGAACCCGAACTCTCTTTTTCTTTTTTTAAATGCTTTACGAAAATCTTGATCGAAAAGCATTGATGGAGAAATATAGCGTTTTTCATGTGGATCATCATCTTCAATTAAAGATGTGATCTGCCTTTCTTTATTAAGGTCTGTTTCATTGTTAAGGTTACGGCTAATGCTTTCTTTTCCTTGTAAATATTTTTCTGATTTAGTGAAATAAGGCTCTTTAATAAAAGTTAATTTTTTCTGCTTTACCCCCTTTATATTGGAAAAAAATCCTGTTCCAATTTATTTTTGTAGAAAAATGTCCGTTCCGTTATAAAAAGATTTTATAAAATTTTTAAAAAATTAAAAAAAATAATATCCTGAGTTTAATTCATTTTGCGAAGAATTGATTAAAAAAAATCAATAAAGTACGAAAACTGCTTTAGTAATTATGCGAGAAATGTCACCACTAGCTTTATGTGTTTTATCTTTATAAAAAGTAACTTCGTCTTGGATTGTAGTTAGCTTGGAAATCAGTTTGTTTATTTGGGCTGCTTCTTTATTCTGCTTTCCTATAGGGGGAAATTTTTCTAGCATAAAATTAATTGATGCAGAACTATAATATACTTTTCTCGACGATTGCTTGCAAGAAGCATTTTTTGATTCAAATTGGTTTGCCAAGCAATTATGAAAGCTATTTGAAGCTTGAATAACCAAAAAATGCTTCCTAGTGGGCTTTGCATCATATATTTATTTTATTAATAAACTAATAATAAGATTATTTAAATTTTGCTTAACTAATAATAAAATTTTGCTATTTATTATTTAGGCAAATATATAACTTATTTAGAGATTCAAAGCATTGTCATATGAATGACTTTTGATGAAAACGCTTTTGAAGCCATTTAAAAATAATCGTTGCAAATAGGTAATTGTCCTGATTGAATTTAATAGAGCAATTTTTAATTTTAATTAATTTGAAAAAATTAGAAACATTTTCGATGAACGATTTGAGCTCCGACTTCATCATATTCAACCTTAGTGATCCACATTTTTTGAAAACTTGGGAGTGAGGCAAGAATAGATCCTCCTTCTCAAACAGCGCATTTTCGTTCTTGTGATGCAAAAATTTTTACATTAAAACTAGATAAAGCTTTATTTCGAATTTCTTTTTCAAGTCTTTTTACAATTCCAGGATACATAGTTGAGCCTCCACTCAAGACGATATTTTCATATAGCTCTTTTCTAATGTCTAAATCACATTTCTTGATAGTTTTATCAACTATTTCATGAATTCCATCAATATCAAGTCCTAGTAAACTAGGCTGGAATAGTGCTTCTGGAGTTCTAAATCTTTCATTTCCAAGAGTCACTGTGCTTCCATCAGGCATTTCATAATTCTTTTCAAATTCTGATGAAGTTTTGGACATTTCTTCTTGAAAATCTTGAGCCACATAGCATAGTCTTTCTTTGATATTTCTAACAACTTCTCTTTCAGCTGAATTAGTCAGCGAATATCCTCTTTCAGTCATCAGGATGGTTAAATGGTTAGTCAAATCGCTTCCAGTGATTTCAACCCTTTGAATTGCATGAGGTAAAGTATAACCTTCATAAGCTGGTGCGATATAAGTTATTCCGTGACCTGAATTAACAGCGATACCAGAAGTTCGACCAGAGCTGTATATTATAAGCGCTGCTTGTGAAGCAACATAAAATGCAGGGACACTGAAAGTTTCGAACATTATTTGGGTCATTCTTTCTCGGTTGTCTTTAGGGTTGAAGGGAGTTTCAGTAAGGAGAACTGGATGCTCATCAGGTGGAGCTCTTAACTCGTTATAAAAAATGTGATATCATAATTTTTCTATGTAATTTCAGTTCGTAATAATACCATGCTCAACTGTGTATTTAATATCAAGGTCATTTTGCTTCTCTAGGACTTCATCAGCAACATAAAATCTTTTTTGTCATGATTTATGATATATTTTTTCAAATTTTATATGGCCGAGCATGCTTGGAATAACGGCTTGCGGAGTGTCATCTCCAGCGTATCCTACTCTACATCACATTGAACCGTTGTCAATAACAATAGCTTGAAGGTCCGGATCAATCATTTATTAGAAATAATTTGGCAAAGCCATGTATTGCATTAATTTGAAAACACTTTTGCCATAAGCAAAGTTTATTCAATTAAATGTATTTTATTAAGTATAATAAATTGATTAAATCAATATAATTCAGGTTGGCTCGGCATTTAATATGCGGTATATAATATTCTCAGATGATGCAGATAAACTCAAAATAGTTTGCATTATCACCTTGACAGACTTAGAGATAGTTGAGGTCAAACAGCATCATAAAATTTGTTTGAACTGTTGTATCTGCCTTCAAATTATGGCAGGCCTATAATTAGATACAAATTTAAATTCAAAATGGAGTTTGATAGTGCATCATATCCACAGCCAAAAAAGCGGCAATTCATTCCTACTTTTGACTCAGTCTTTGGAGACCCAAAAAAGAGAAAAAACGCATCAGGCCCTCAAATAGTAGAACAGCATTCTTACTATCCTTTAAGTTGGAATAAAAGAAATGAGCTAGAAGACATCGCATCTTCTTCATCAATTGAACGAGATAACTTGATAAACCACGCTCTCTATAACTCCCAGCAGCCATTTCACCAAATCCAGCCAAAGCCAGCCAAATCTACCAAGCCAATCCCTTTCACTTTCCACACAGATAACAGAATTCGCATGCCAGACCCAAACGAGATGAAAACACGCGAACAAAGGGAGCTCGAAGAAATTGCCCAAAGGCCAAAATTCAAAGCAAGGCCAGTTCCAAAGTCGCTCTACGCTCAAAATAAGATCAAATTAAACCCAAAAATCCCAACCCAGCCTTTAGACATAAAGCTTCATACAGCCCAAAGGGCTAAAAATGAAAATAATGAAATCTATGAAAACAATTACCAAGGCTTTAAGGCTCTGCCTTTAAAAAAAGAAATCCTGGAAAGGCCTGACTTTATTCCTGTAAAAATCCCTAAAAAGCCGACAATGCCTATGGAATTTGAGCTTGAGACTGCGAAAAGAGCTGCTCAGTCTCAAAATATTTCATTTGAATCTGACTATTCACAAGCTGATAATAAATCGAGACCTATAGGAAGCTTGAATTACTCTTACCAAGAACTTCCTCCTTACTCAAAAGTCCAGCCTTTTACCTTAATGACTGAATTAAGAGGTCAAGAGAAATCTCAAATGTTTCAATATCAGGTAGAAAAGGAAAGAGAAAAACAAGAAAAAATGACGGCCTTCACAGCTAAGCCAATGCCTTCATTTGAAGCTCCTTCTTTTACTAGATATGTTCCTCCACCTACTGTCCCAGAACCTTTTAACTTGTCTATTAACCAAAAGAAGCCTAGCTCCCAGAATGAGTCTGAAATTGGCCAAAAATTCTATGCGAGAGAAATGCCTAATTTTTCTGACCCTTTTCAGCCAAAACCATGTGAAAAACCGCCAACTCAGCCTATGGATTTTAACCTTCATACTGACTATAGAGCTGAGCACTTACGCTTACAATTAATTATTAGAATAGCTCCCTGTCGAGATCCGAAGATCCTTATTCCCCTCTATAATGCTCCACTCGCCTGTTCACCAACAATCGTATCACGACTTTCAAATTTTGCTCCTGCCAGACATGGGTCTGCACAGTAGGAAAGTTTGGGTCACCTTTCCTTACTCCAGGCCTTCCAGAAAATTAAAAAAAATGAATTTTCTGGCAACTGTCGGTTCAATGCTAATTTTGAAGCCCATGATGCAACGCCCAGCATCGTGTTAGACAACTGCCCGAATGGCCTAGACATTACTCCAGGCATAGCTGGGCTTGCCTTTCCAACTCCAAAGTCCTCTTGCTTATGAGGCAGAAAACCAGCTCTGAAAATAGACTTAGGCTAGACTCTGTACACCATCAGAATTGCTTACCTTGCACAGTGTCCCTTTTCTGAGTTTATAAAAACCTAACCGGATATAAATATGTGCTCAAAGGCAGGTGAAGCCAACCCCGAAAGGCTGAGACGCCATGCTTATTTGACTATAGAGCTGAACAAAGAAGCTATTATGATGAACAAATCAGAGAAAAAGAAAGAGAAAAAGCATTGAGGAAGCAAAAAGAAGAAATGGAAGCAAGACAAAGAGAAGAGGAAGAAATCAAAGCTTTAAGGAAACAGATGGAATTTAAAGCCCAACCTATATGAGAAGACGCTTTTGTTCCAAAAATAGTCGAAAAGAAGCTGACGATGCCAAATCCGTTCCATTTCCAGACTGAATTGAGAGCTCAGATTAGGGATCTTTCTAAAAGTATGGACACTTCAGGGTATTTGTCAGATATGAGCACAAACTTTAGCTTTAACCAAGCGTGAAATAATTAATTATTCAAATTGTTGCATTTAAAGCACCTATAGTGCTAAAATCTAAATTGTAGCCTATTTATTCATATTTATAGTGGCTAAAATGTCTGTAACCAAGATTGGATGGATTGGCACAGGAGTGATGGGCAGATGGATGGCAGAGCGTCTTATAAAAGCAGGCCACAAACTTTCAGTCAACAATATCCCACGAGAAAGAACCGAGCCACTGCTACAATTGGGTGCTCAGTTTAAGTCAGTCCCAGAAATCGGAGAATCCTGCGACGTCGTATTTACAATGGTTGGGTTCCCACACGAGCTTAATGATCTAATCCTCAGTCAAAATGGCCTCTTAAAATTCATGAAACCTGGCACCTTGCTAGTAGACCATACTACATCTAGTCCTCATTTGGCCACAATTATTGCTGCAGAAGCTTCAAAAGTTGGAGTCACATCAGTTGATGCCCCAGTCTCTGGAGGCGACGAAGGCGCCAAAAACGGGAAATTAGCTATTATGGTAGGAGGAGAAAAAGCTGGATTTGAAAGAGCAAAACCTTTAATGGATAATTATGGAATCAATATCAGACATATGGGAAAAGCTGGAGTTGGGCAACACACTAAGCTGACGAATCAAATTGTACTAGCAGGCAATATGATTGGAATGGTAGAAGGAATGATGTATGGATGGAGAGCTGGCCTTGATGTAGAACAGATGATTGATTTAATTTCTACCGGGGCAGCTGGATCGGTTTACTTTAAAGCAGTTGCTCCAAAAATTGCAAAAGGAGATCATAGCCCTGGATTTTATGTGCAGCATTTTGTGAAGGATTTAGGATTGGCTCTTGATGAATGTAAGAGGATGAAGATTGTGCTGCCTGGGCTTACTATGGCAAATCAATTCTATTTAAGTATGGTAGCTAATGGAGAAGAAAAACTTGGAGTGCATGCTTTGGTGAAGGTCTTGGAGAGATTGAACAATGTTAAGTTTGGACAAAAGATTGATTAAACGTATAAAGTAATAGCTTATATTAGAAATAAGAATGAAGATTTTATGCTATATAGTTGTATTTGAAGATAATAAGTTGATTGCATTAATATTTACATAGAAAAAGATTCAAGAGACTCCATGAGCTCTTTTTCAGCCTTATATCTCATCTCAGCTAATTTTTCTTTTCTGTTCAAAACATCTTTTATTTGTTCATTCCTTTTGAGCAAATTATCCAGCTGATTCTTCCTATCAATAGCTTGTCTTTTTAGTTTTTCAGCTTCATTTTCTGCTGATTTTTGCTTTTCATCTAAGCCACTATTTTCTATTAATAATGCATAGTTGTTTTTTTCTGTATTATAAATTTCTGATTCAATGTCTTTTGCTTCTGATTCTTTATTTTTCATTATTATTTTCAATTTTTTGAACTCCTCTTCATCTCTTCTGAAATCAGCTCCTCTATGAAGAAGTTGGGCTCTTTTATCACTTAAATCAGCAAGCTCTCTATCTAAATCGTTAATTTTTTCAGCTTTATCGTCGACTTCTGACTTAATATCTTCTATATTTTGATTCATTATATTGATTTGATGATTTTCTTCCAAAATTATCCTTCTTAAATTATCAATTTCATTTTGCGTTCTTATATCATCTTTATACCTGGTAATTTCTTTATCATTATATCGAATTTTTTCCTCAATCTCCATAACTGTTTTTTCTTCATTAAAGACTAAATTATTATCAGATTCATGCTTTTGTTTCATATCTGAAATTTTCTTTTCTATTTCAGCTATTTTTTCTTTGGCATTTTTGATTTCATTTTCCTTTTCACGTTTATCTCTTATGATTAAATCAAGCTTTTGCTTGGCTTCATCACGCTCTTCAATTAAAATTTCATGCTTTTTTTGAATTTCTAACAAATGATCGTGCAGACATCGCTGTTGTCCGAGATATTTACTTTTTGATGAATGGACTTTTTTGATTTCTTCTTTTAATTTTTTATTGTATTTGTTTTTATTTTCGATTAATTTTTTCATTGATTCTATTTCTAAAGTTAATTTTTCGATTTCGCTTGAGCCTGCTGAAAGATCTGATTTTAGATTATTGTTTTCTTTATTTAAGCTTTCAACTTTTTCTGATAATTGGTTTGAATAAGCTAGTAATGAAGTTTGTTCTTCCTTTTGCTGATCGAGCTTGAGTTCAAGCTTGTTGAGGTGCTGGTTTAATAAATAAAATTCTTCAGTTTGTGTTTCATTTAAATTGAGCGAATTCATATTTTTTAGAATATTATCGTCTCTAATTATGGGAAGATGTATTAGGGATTGCTTTTAAAACTAAAAGGATTAAATTGATTTAAATCAATAATTATAAATTACGCATTAATTTAATTGATAATAAGCTTAGATTTATAATTTTTAAAGAGTTTTTTAAAATGAAAAATAAGTATCGTTTAGGCCTATTATGAAAATTTTTTAATTTCTTAATATTATAACGATAAAAATCTCTCTCTAAAATTACCCCCTGGAAAATGCATATATCTCTTTAATAGTGCGAAAGTTCTCTATTGACAAATCTGAATGCCTTTTTAAACAAACTAGGATTTAGTTGTGCCAGGTAGGGATTTTCATAACGCAAAAAATCAGGCCATTAATATAATTAAGCATATAATACACAAGCTTCAACTTATATTTTCAAACATATTAAATGCAAATTTTGTTTAATTTGCATGTCAATTCAATATGTGTTTGAATGCATCATAAATTAAATTCAAATTAACGGAGCATGTAACTTCCTTGAGAAATATTTATAATGTATTTATATTTTAAATGTTGTGTCTTTTTACAGATTGAAATATTTTTTAATAATTCACTACTTTAATTTAATTTTATATAAGACCTTTTATATAATTTCCATATTATAAAATTTAAAAAATTTTTTATTACTTTAGGCTATACTAAATTTAACCTTAAGAGAAATAGTTTTTTTATAAAATTAAGGAGTAAGAGTATCTAGAAAATAATACCTAAATGAAACTGCAGTTTTAATAGACTCATACTTCATTTAAAATCAACAGTATTTAAATTTTAATTTCATCAATAAAAACTTATATAAAATTTATAATAAAGAACATTTTTAAGTCTAAGCTAATAAAGACTAAATTTCCTCCAAAAACGCTATCATCTATCTCTCCCCTTCATTTAATGAAGAATACTTTTTATATCGTTATTAAAAAAAATAAATTGAATTTTTTTATTTTTAATTCTCTTTAAAATTTATAAATTTTATTTTATAAAAATAATTTGCTTGATAGGCTGAAAAACGAATAAATAAACAATTAGATAAAATCTTCTATTTATCAGAGTTAAAAACGCTTTGAACCTTTGACATTATAATTAAATAAATTTAAAAACTTAATAATCTTCTACCTCAATATAAACCTTATAGTAAATTTTGGTTCTTTATTAAAAGGCAAGAAAATAATTTTTTATATGTTTTGTTTTTTATTAAGGGATAAGAGCTAAACTTAAAACCAACCTAATTAAGGTTGAGCCAATAAAATCGTTGCGTATTGAATATGGATAGCCTATAAAACAACCTATTATGATACTGTCATATGCTAAAATGGATTGGGAATATGCTCTCTTTGCATCTATCATCCTAGGAGCCCTAACTTGGTGCTATTTCAAAGGCAAAAAACCAAATCCTCCCTCCCTTCCTACAGAAGAGCCTACAGAGACACTCGGACGCCTTCACATTTACGTGGGATCTCAGACTGGCCATTCTCAAAAACTTGCAGAAATTTTAGCCCAGGAGGCCACCTGGTCCAGCACAAATAGACCTCGGGACCCCCACCCCATATACATAACTTTTTGTAGAATATTTAATAGTTTAAGCCTAAGTGAAGGAACTAAAGTTTTATACTCTAAACTATAGCTCATGCCCCTTTATAGATCCCTTTATCGAGCAAAGTGTACTTGACTATTGAAAGACCTAAACAGACTCTCTCAAAGAGATGAGCTCAATCTCTATATCAGAAAGTTCTAAAAAGTGGCATGCCAAAAAATAGTGGCAAGTGTGAAAAAAAGTTGGTAAGCAAATACGATTAGACTTAAGATAATTAATTTATTCATCTCATGTAGATTTGACTATGGATTATCTTTGGATTTACATAAGTCAAGATTCTACTGGAGTTTTTGATTGATATGCTTACTGGAGTTATAGCACTTGGAGATCTATAAAACCGTTTACTCAAGAAGTTCCTCCTTTGCATTCTCAATTTAAAAGTTCAGGTGCAATTTCTTCCATACTGGACTCTATCTTTATAATCACTTAAATTGAAACAAAATTCAATTTTATAATAAAAAATTTTATAGATAAAAATCATAATTTTTATGTAAAAAGGTTCGATATAAGTTAAATGTTTCTTCTTAACTAAAATTAAAAATTTAGTTATATCTTGCTCTTTTTTAAAGAAAAGAACACAAAGAGCTTTTTATTTAAATACATTTATTATCTTTAATTGCTATATTTTTAAAAATTTTTTCAACAAAAAATATAATTTATTGCATTTATTTCTTATCATGCATATGATGTTATTTGAATTTATTATTTAGAAACCAAATATACGTTTCAAAACGCAGATTTTAGTGCGCCAAATTAATAATTTAAATTTTATATGAAAATAGTGTGTATAACTGCCATAAGAAATTAAGCCAAGGGATTATATTTTTTAGTTAAATAATTTTGATAAAAATTTAATGCGAATTCTTTACAAAAATTGAAAATTTACTTTATTTCTTCTTTATTTTAGCAAAAGAGTATAAATAGCCACTTAATTAAACAAAATTAACACTTTGATCGATAAATTTTCTAGAAATTTATTAATCTAATTCGACACATTTTTTAATTTTTTTTTATAAGAATTTTATATTGATTGTTTTATAAGAATTTTATATTGATTTGTTTTATAAAAAATTTTCTTAACCCTTCTTTTAAATTGGAACAAATATTTGGTCCAATTTAAAGGGAGAGAGTTAAAATCAAAATCCTACTGGAGTTTTTGCACGATATGCTTACTGGAGTTATTATAACACTTGGAGATCTATACAACCGTTTACTCGGGAAGTTCCCCCTTTGCATTTTCACTTTTGACAATTTATTTCATAATGGACTCCATCTTTATAATCACTTAAGTCAGGATCCTACTCGAGTTTTTGATTGATATGCTTACTGGGGTTATAGCACTTGAAGATCTATACAACCGTTTACTCGGGAAGTTCCCCACTTGCATTTTTAAACTCATTTCTATAAATTTATCTCAAGCACTTTTTACATAAACAAATAACCAAAAATATTAAATCTATTAAAATTTATATGTAGCATTTATTATTATAATTATCATTAATTAATAAGGCCTTAAAAATAAGATTTTTAATTATTAATCAATTCCAGTCTAATTGGGTATGTTAAGTTTTAAATTATTTTATTAATAAAGCCATTTTAAAAATTTGCGTGTTTGCTTACCAACTTTTTTTCACACTTGCCACTATTTTTTGGCATGCCACTTTTTTAGAACTTTCTGATATAGAGATTGAGCTCATCTCTTTGAGAGAGTCTGTTTAGGTCTTTCAATAGTCAAGTACACTTTGCTCGATAAAGGGATCTATAAAGGGGTATGAGCTATAGTTTAGAGTATAAAACTTTAGTTCCTTCACTTAGGCTTAAACTATTAAATATTCTACAAAAAAGCTGTGTATATGGGGTGGGGGTCCCGAGGTCCTATTTGTGCTTGACCAGCCACCAAATACAATTTTTCTCCTCACATAATCGGACTTGATCTATTCCAAATTCTTGACTTCAAGAAAAATGATTTCTGTGTAATTTTTTGTTCAACTCAATGCGACGGCAATCCCCCACCAAACGCAGCCAAGTTCCTCAAATGGGTGACCAAAGTGGCCAAGGCTTCACATGATGACCTTTCGCGTCTCTCTTATTGTGTCTTCGGTCTTCGGAAAAGTTCTCATAGTGAAATTGCTAATGTTACGGCGAAAACCATTAATGATTCTTTAGCTAAGCTTGGAGCAAACCAAATAATAAGGCTGGGAGATTCAGTAGAAGATGATGTTGAAGAATTCAATAACTCACCACGGTAATAAGTAAATTCTTGCTTACATTAAACTTTAAATAGTAAATTTTATATGAATAGATGAAATTTATTATTATTGGGGGTGTTCGAAAATTTATTACTCAATAATAAGCAAATTTCGATCTATCATATAAAATTTACTATTTAAAAATTTTGCATAAAAAACACCCTTTGAATGAGCAAGAATTTACTTATTGCTTGAAGGGTTTAAGTGGAAAAATGAACTGTGAAAAGTGCTCCCTTCGATTGTAAAAGCAAGCAGAAGATCGCAGATACCGAGCTCGGAGTTCTTACTCCTCCAATGATTAGCGAAGAAAGCATTAAAAATCTCTTTTTGGGAAGGCAATCCCTCCATTCTTATTTTAGTATTTTTTTACAAATAATAGTTGGATATGATGAAATGCCTATTGAATTTTAAAAGACCAATCCTAAAACATAAATTTTATAAAAATTAAATCAGACTTTTTCTTCTAAATATTTACATTTAAAAATCCTACTTTCTTAACGAGCCAAAAATTCTTGCTCGCTAACCAAGGGGGAGGTAGAAGTAGCACATAATGTGGTGCTGACGCCGCCAAACTCTAAGATTGTGTATGAAGATTCCAGCCAGACAATGATATCAAGTCTGGAGTTTCCGGTTTTAAAAATAAAAGAGCTGAAAAGAGACCCGAAAAATTCTGCACTTCATGTAGAAATGGAAACTTCAGTTCCATATGAAACTGCTTGTAACTTTGGGATTTTCCCTGAAAATGATGAAGAGCTTGTCAGAGAGCTTGCGGCGCTACAAGATTATGATTTAGAGTTAACGTTCCAATTTTTGCCGATTCAAGGCAAAAAGCACCCATTCCCAACACCTCTTACAGTGGGAGAAGCATTGATTAAATATTGCGATATTACAAGCTTGGTTAGAAAAAAAACTTTAAAAAATCTAGCAAGCTTTGCTACGAACCCTGATGAAAAACAAGAACTGGAGTTTTTAGCGTCGCTGAAAGGGAAAGATGAGTACCGAAGGGTAATTGAAGAGCCCATGCTGACATATATGCATTAATTAAAGTTTTTAAAGCATCTAACGCCACACTCCCACTAAAGGAGAGAGCCAAATGGCGATGTCATGATCATTCACCTATGGATTACCTTCTCGGATGTGCTGAGAGGTAAAAACTCTGAGCCTCTGGTTGCACTGTGGAGCAATTCCTCTGGTTATCCCCAAAGTTAAAACCGCTGTTGCTGTGCAGAAGTTCTCAAGAGAAAATCCAATCCGATAAATAAAATTCCATGAGGGAGAGAAAATTAGGAGAGCTTATGAAGAGCCCATGCTGACTATTGTGGAGCTTTTTAAGAGGTTTTCATCCTTAAAAATCCCTATCGGAGCACTTGTCCAAGTTCTAGACCGCATTCAGCCGAGGATGTATACAATTGCATCTTCTTCTAAGCTGCACCCTAAAAGTATCCAAATAGCTGTAGAAGTATTAAGGCAGCGAACTTGTGAAGGAAAAATAAGGACAGGCTTATGCTCTGGATATTTCGAAAAAATGCATGTGACTGGGCTTTACAAGCCAATTCGAGGCTTTTTCAAAAGTTCTGCATTTATATTCCCTCCTCAGCCTGTTCCTATTGTCATGATCTGTAATGGCTGCGGTGTTGCCCCTTTCCGAGCTTTTCTCCAAGAGCTTAAATATCTTGCAACTCAAGGCGAGTTTTACCCAGAATCTATCATGTACTTCGGCTGCAAAAACAAGGCAGGTCAATTCGTATACAAGCGAGACTTAGAAGCCTTCATCATTCCTAGCGAACACTCTCCAGGAGAATTTGAGCACCGTCCAGAAGCTTGGGGAGAAGGCCCACACGTACTAAAGAGCTTATACGTCGCATCTTCTAGAGACCAAGCTCACAAAATTTACGTCCAAGACTTGATTTCAAGCCACCACGACAGTATCTGGGACCTGATTTCTAACAAAGGCTGCTACATTTATGTATGTGGCTCTTCAAGAATGGGAAAAGCAGTCGGTGATCTAATTAAAAACATTGCAACAGAACACCTAGGTGAAGACAGCACTGAATTCTTCAAGAAATTATGCAGTGAAGGAAGATATGCAATTGAGCTATGGGGATAATTTTAAATTAAGTGTTTAAACTGTCTTAGTTAAGCATTAAATTTCTCCTTCTTCTTTTGATTCTTGGGCATGGCACACTGGACAAGCATTCGTTTCTAAAAATGCGAGGTCATATTCGTCCTGTAAGAAGAAATGGCCACAGTTAGGACAGAGGACAATTTCTACATCAGGAATCATCAGCTTGAAATAACGCTTAGGAAGGGTAGGGTTTATTTTTGTTAAGTCAAGAATAAAGATGTCTTGAGCAGGAATGGATGCCAGAGTATACTCGTCGACTACCACTGGATGATATTCATCTTGAGTCATTTGGACTTCAGCCCATTCCATTATTTTCTGTACAAAAACGTCTTCTTGGTCTTGCATTTCTACATTTAAGCTTTCTTGCCAGCCGCCTGCTTGGGCTTTTTTCGGCTTTGAGGCTTTTTGAGGGGATTCAGTGTGAATTAGCATGTTTATTCTTTTAGGCTCTATTGCTTCATTAGGTTCAAATTCTACTAATGGGAGTGGAGTAAAAGATATAAACGATCTTATGACTGGATGTTTGCAAGCAGAACATTGGTCACCTGAAGCATTCAAAGGAGGATTTGTATTCATACAGCGGTTGCACACAGTAAATAGCTCTTCTCTGTCCACATATGGTTTTGCCTTAGTTGCCAATGCAGCTTGTTCTACCTCTTCTTGCCATTCAGATGGAATCTTTAAATTTTGCAACTTTTCATATGCAACTCTTGCTGTTTTGTAGCCTCCAAGCTTAGATGCAAGCCTTCCCAGTGAAAAGTAAACATAGAGTCTGTTAATGCCTTTTGGAGGAGGGTTTGGCATTGAGTTAAGAAGATATCGGCAGGCGTTGAAAATGGTTTCTTCATAGTTTGGAGTTGGGAGTAAAAATGGTGACTCTGCATATCTGTGGATAAAGGAGTATGCATAATAAATTTCTGAGTATTTCTTGAACTCTTCGTAGAGAGTAAAATGCTGAACACATTCAGGTGTAGGGTTCATACAGTCTTTAATTAATGTCAAATGCTCTAATGCTAGTTTCCAATAGTATCTAGATGTGTCTTCGAATCTTCGCTCAGTGAAAGCATTTTCTATGAGTTTTTCAAAAAGTCTAAGCCCAACTTCTGATTTTCCAGCTTTTTTGTAAGCGTCTCTTGCTTCTTCAAACCTGTCTTTAGAAATAAGCCAGTTTGCGTATGGAAGGTACAGCAATGATTGTAGTTCAGGGTTTTGTTTAGCCACTCTGAACGCATCTTCCCATTTTTCAAGCTCAACGTGCAAATTGAGAAGCGCTTTAAGGTCTCCTAATTTAATAAATTTTTATTTTTATTTTTATTTTTATTATTATTTTTTATTTTTTTAGTATTTTTATTTTACTCCCCCCTCCGTGAGTGAAAAAATAATTTTGTTGACTCACGAAGGGGGGTTAATTTTTTTTTTTTAAAAAAAATTTATATAAAAATTTTATAGAAAATATTTTTTTTCGAAATTTAAAAAAATCTTAATTCGCAAAAATTGGAAAGCAAATATTAATTTAATTTATAAAATTTATGTTTTAAAAAAAGCATTTTGTTTAAAATTAAACAGAATTAGCTCTAGATTTCATTATAATAATTATCACTTATATATCAAAATTTTTTTCCATAAAACAATTTTTCTATTAAAAAAATTTTTGTTCACTCACGGAGGGTTTTTGGGCAAAAACATAGCGATTTTTCTAATGGTTTTGTTCACTCACGGAGGGGGGAGTAGTTAGCATTTTTTTATTCCTAATTTCAAATATGCCTCAACAGCATATTTATGGTGCATATTTTTTCTAAAATAGTTAGCACATAGCTGCAGAGCCTCAAGGTTATCAGATTTTGACATCTGCCGACAGATTTCTATCAAATATTCCATATCTCTGTTATTTCCTACTATAGCAACTGCTCTTTTATAATCTCCAATATTCATAAATATCTTTGCAGAAAGTTTCCAATCTGTAGCGTCTTCACCTTGTTTTATCCAAAAGTCATCCTGTTCTTTCTTATCTAGAAATTTCATAAACTCTTCAGCCTTACTTCACTGTTTTAGCTCATTATACATGAATGCAGCGCGTTTAGGATCATTTCCTTTTTTAAATAAAGTAGCAGCTTCTGTATATTTCCCTTGATAAGCAGCTACTTCTCCCATCATTATGTAATCACTATAATTAGGATTTTTTCTTTCAATTTCAATTCTCGATAAGAGCTCAAGGAACCTGATGTTTTTGGTCCTCAAAAAGGCTTTTTTGGCTAGATTAAATTTATGCAGCTGAATGCTTTCTATAGCTAGAGTGGTCCAGTCTTGCTCAGTAACCCCAAGACAAGCCACATAATAAGCTAGGTCAAGGTTTTTTTGTTCAATATATTTGTGCATTGCAGCAGATTGAGGGACATCTACTGTGTTCATTGTAATATAATGAAGCGAAAAAATTTTGGAAGCTTTAAATCCTACGACAAAGCCAAGCATCTTTTGAGTTGTAGGAGGAAATGGGCCGGTTTTTATAGATAATGTGCCATCTCCAGAATAAGCGATAATGTCTTCCATTTCTGAATTTCAGGCTACAGCGCTAACTTGGGAATCTTGAAAGATTACTTCTTGTGTCTTCAAGTCATAAACCAGTAAGTTTTGATTCTCATCTACTATTGCTAACTTTTTTCTGTAGCTCGATATATCTAGCTCCCCATAGATAGTAAGCAAACAATTAAAAAAATCCCTTTTTTTTTAAAATCATCAGCATAAATTTTTGTAATATAAATTTTTTGGTAAACTTTATTTCAATATATAATAAATCGTTGAAACAATGAAATTAGAAACAATTTGCACTAAAGCTTGCTTCTAAAACATAAATTTTATATATTAAATTAGATCTCGGCTTAAAATATTTACAAATTTAGCGTTTTAAATTCCGAAAAGAAATAACCGTTCTCTGTTTAGTAACTCCCCCCCCCCCCCCCCCCCCGTGAGCGAACAAAAAAATTTTGTTCGCTCACGGAGGGGGGTTAATTTTTTTTTTTTTTTAAAAAAATTTTATATATAAATTTTATAAAAAATATTTTTTTCGAAATTTAAAAAAATCCTAATTTGCAAAAATTGGGAAGCAAATATTAATTTAATTTGCAAAATTTATGTTTTAAAACGCAATTTGTTTAAAATTAAACAGAATTAGCTCTAGATTTCATTATACTAATTATCACTTATATATCAAAATTTTTTTCCATTAAAATTTTTTCTATTAAAAAAATTTTTGTTCACTCACGGAGGGTGGGTTTTTGGTCAAAAAATGGCGATTTTTCTAATGGTTTTGTTCGCTCACGGAGGGGGGGGGGGGAGGGGGAGTAAGCAGATTTTTATTTTTAATAGTCAAGGGGGAGAGTAAGCATCTAATTGCAGAATTATGCTTTATCAGTGGTATCGGAAAAGGATTATCAACAAATATCTTCACGACTTGGCCGCTTTTTAATCCAACTATTACTCCTTCTTTCTTTGGAGGTCCTCCTATAACCTTTATATACCTGACTGGAGCTTCCATATTCCATTCTCTTTCAAGCTCTCCAGCAAAGTCAAAAAGCTGCAATCTTTTATCTTGGCAGAATAATAGATTCCAATATGTCAAAACCATCAAAGAGCACTCAAACTTTTTGTTGATTTTCTTAAAAGACTTATATCTCATATCATTCTCATCGTCAGGCTGCACTGTATAAATAACGACTTTTTCTGGGAGTTGGACTGCAAGTCTGTCTTTATATACTGAAATTTTCTTGATTAAATCTCTACATTTAATGCTGACTTTTTGGTCAGTCACTAAATGCTGGATTATTACTTCAGTCATCAGTTCTCTATATGCATAACGCTCTTGATAAAGGCCGTGAACTATAGAAAAAGACAGCTGATAATGGCAGATTGTCCCTTTATCTGACCCAATAGCTACACAGTTGTTTTTTGGTCTTACTTTGGCAGTCCATATCCATTCTTTATGCTCTCCTATTGGCCCCAGACAAATTCCGTCCTTCGTCCACAATGTGACTTTCTTATCAGACCCTGCAAGCACCATGAACTCTCCATTGGAAAAATAAGAAATGCTGCATGGGTCAAACCCTAGATCTTTGTCATTCCCAATCTGCTTCCCAGTGGCATCCCAAAACGAAAGAGTTTCATCCCAGCACCCAACTGCAAGCTGTCCACTATAGTCTTTTGACTTTGAAGGGTTCCACTCCAAGCACCAAATCGGTGCATTTCTTACAAAGGTCTCTTTCGCTACCCCAGTTTTGTCCCTTAATGTAACATTCCCATTAAACATCCCAATAGCCAAAATCAATCCATCATTGGACCAAGCCATACACAAAGTTTTGCTTGGCAAGGCAAATTTTTCGACTTTATTCTGTTCTTGTCCCCAGATTCCGAAATCAGTGCAAGATCCTGACGCAAGCTGATGAGTGATTGGGTTGTAAGCTAAACATTGAATTGAGGATTGATGCTGATATTTGAGGATTCCTTCTGCTTTGCTTGTCCAGATTATGACGTTGTAATCAGCACTGAATAAAAATTACCCTCCTGATGCAAAACGTTTGCCGTCCTTTGAATAAGCGACTGCGTAAACATTTTTGCCGGGATCATGGGCCCGAAGAGAATGGAGTAAGTTACCGGTTTGGGCTTCATAGACAAAAATCCTGTCTCCTATTGCCATAACAATTTCACTTCCGTCTGGTTTAAAAGTTAGAGACCAGATGGTGTTTCCTAGCTCGCTGGAGTCAGGAGGTGGCTATTTAGGTCTTACGATGATTTCACTCCAAATAATTTGAGATCTCATATTGATTATTACAATTAATTTAAAAGAAAAGCTCGACTATTCTTAAAAACTTAATTGATTTTCTTAATCTTTATATCAGGTTATCATAAGATAAGTTTGAATATTGAAAATTTTAATATATATTTGCAAGTCAGAATAATAAAGGTATAAAATTATAAGTATGATCCGTTTTCTTTATTTAAACAATCATTTCTTAAATTAAATATAAATAGACTGCTTAATCCGCAATTATCAATATTTTAACTAAATCTAAGAGTTTCTTAATTTCATCGGAGCATGGCACAATGGACAGAACTTCACTCTGATCCTCTTTAGCTCATCTTCAATAGCCTTATGCTTGCATGTTTTGCACTGCACATAATTTTTTTCCATAATTGGTCTTCCACTAACCATACAAGCAGGGAAGTTTGATCCGCACTCGCTACAGTTCGTCACAATATCAGAGACATTATTTGCACAATTTTTCCCAGGGCATTTCACCATCCTTGGCTTAGGGTCTCTAGGCGGATTTTTTGAAAAAATGGAAACGGCTAATTCTTCATAGGCTTCTTTATCTTCTTCAGACTGCCCTTGAATGTTTTCAAGCTTAACTAAAGCTTTTGAGCACTCTTTATAGTATCCAGAATAATAAGCAGCTAAAGCAATAAGAGAATAAATATCACGCGTTTCTAAAATATTTTCATATTCGCTTACTTCCCCCCCTCCGTGAGTGAACAAAACCATTAGAAAAATCACTATTTTTTGCCCAAAAACCCTCCGTGAGTGAACAAAAATTTTTTATGAAAAAAAAATTGATATATAAATGATAATTAATATAATGAAATCTAGAGCTAATTCTGTTTAATTTTAAACGAATTGCTATTTAAAACATAAATTTTATAAATTAAATTAATATTTGCGTTGCAATTTTTGTGAATTAGGATTTTTTTAAATTTCGAAAAAAAATATTTTTTATAAAAAAAAAAAATAACCCCCTTTGTGAGTGAACAAAATTTTTTTGTTCACTCACGGAGGGGGGGAGTTAGACGCAGAGATGTCTTAAGTGCAGCTTCATAGTCTCCTTCATAGAGCTGCCTTTGAGCCATTAGATAGAAATGGTAGGCTTCTGCACCTCTCCAGGGGTTGTCAAGAGTTTTATCACTCATAGTGTTGATGTCACTTGTAATTAATGAGTCAAGAGTTTGAGCTGTAGTCCCAGTACCCGTTATCTGGGCTTCTAATATTCTTTTCTTATAGGAGTCTACTTCTAAAGCAGCCAAAATATAGATTTTTTTCATCATTATAGGGCTGGCTTGGGATCTTGATAAGTCTTTTGCAATATTATTCAAGATTTTAGCTGCTTCTGTATTTCTATTAGCTTTCCTATATAGTTGAATAGCTTCTACGGTTTTATTTTCTTCCATCAAAACACTAGCATATCTTGACAGCAGCCCTTCTATTTGGACAAAATTGTGTTTTTCTGCAAGTTCTACAGCTTGATTTCATTGATTTAACAGCACACAGCAATCAACTGCAGCTCTGACGTTTCCGGATCTTATGTAAGATTGGACAGCTTCTTCACACAGCCCAACCCCTTGGAATTTTTCTCCTAAATTTTCTAACAAAGGAGACCCTTCAGGCAAAATGTCAATCATTTTAGATAAACTATCAAAGTCTTCTATTTTATAATAAGCTTCAGCTAAAGACTCGTTATTTTGAGCCAAAGCATAGTGAGAGGCTGCACTTTTCCATCTGAATCTTTCTGCGTAGTAATCTCCTATATTATTATATGCTATATTTATAAGCTCATCATTTCCTACCCCTTGATCCACAAGCTGCAGTACTTTGACCCAATCTCCACTCCTAACCCTCATATCTAGAGCTAGATCTTTTCTATCAATTTTCTTATAAATTTCTTCAGCCTCATCAAAATCTTTAAAATAAATTGCAATTTCTGCTTTTTGCTTCTGAGGGTCATCTAATTTTTTGACACGGTTTACATAGCAGATTCCTTGATAATCGTCACATTTGACGAACGCTTTTTGAGCTATATCAAAATTCAGCTTTAATAGGGCAGCTTCAGCCACGATTTTATAAAGCCTAGGATAAGGGTTTTTTTCTACATTGTTAAAGGCGTCGACAATGTCAATGTTGCTGACCATTTCTCTTGTTTCTTTAAGAGATTTAGTTTCAAAAGTAACTACGAGCTCTTCTGAAGGTTTAGGGGCATCTGGGGTTTTGAAAAGTTCATCAAGCAAAATTGTTTTGATTTCAAGGTCTTTGAACTCACAGAGATAAGCTGAACTAATCACTGGGTCTTCTACTTCATTTCCCATCATAACATACATGCGAGTTTTTTCCATGATTACTATTAGTTCTGGGTTATCTGTGCTCCATTTCATATCCCAGACGTCTTTTCTTTCAATGTCTAGCTGACTTCCTTTTGCTCCAGTTAGGTTTCCTGCTGCATTTGTGTCATAGAATGTCAGAATTCCGTTGATGTCTATAATAGAAAGCTTAGTAGCGCTGCAGTTTGCGTTTATCATTTGAGGTCTGCATTTGAGGACATATCTAGTTTCAAGAGAAACATGAGGAATCGTGTATTTGTGGACTGTCCCGCTAACTCTTCCTACTAAGAAAAAGCCATCGCTAGCTGTTACACATGCAATGGGGTCTTGAACTGCTCTTGTTGGCTTGCTAAATCTATTAGGATCATAAATACTATTCAAATCAGGCTGTTCGTCTATATTGAACCCTAGCTCTCTTCCAATTTTTCTCTTTGTGGAGTCCATTGACAGCAGTCTGCTTACTTGTGAGCGATATTGCCACACATATATGCTTTCTGAGCTGCAGACGACTACATGGGTTTTATTCATTGACACAAATAAAGGCTCAATGTTGATATTTTTTGTATCAACTGGGCTTCCGATAGCATTGCAGAGAATAAGAACCCATATCGTATTAGAATCTTCAGCTTTTGTAGCTAAAACACAGTAATCTCCACATCCTGCGATATTCATCAATTTCTTGACGTATTTTATATATCTTTCATCTGTATTTGTGTTCCAAAATACTATGCAATAGTCAGGCCTGTCCTGCTTCATATAAGCATATACACAAGTGTTGTTAAAGAACGCCCATTTATAGTCAGGCTTGATATTTGCGAAATAAATAACTGAGCTTACAGAAAGGCAAAGTCTCAGCCCAGTCCCTTCCCACGATACAGAGCTCACAGTTTCAGAGTCAGGAACGGTCAGAGTTCTCACATGTATTCCAAGCGAGGTATAAAACTGGACAATCCCTCCAATGCCTTGTTGGCTTCCAGAAAGCGCTAATATAGATCCTGTATTATTCCAGCTTGCGGTGCTGACTATCATTCCTGATTCTATTAGAATTGGATGATCATCATTTTCATGCCTCATAAGCTGGATTCTTCCACATTCATATGCAATACACAGCGAAGGAGCTGCAAAGTCATCAGTTGCCAGGCCTTTAGCCCTTCCTCCACTATACCAAGCTATGCATGCAATATTTTTACTTGCCCCGCGGTAATCTTTTAAGCATTTCACATTCAGCGGATTTAAATGGTTTCCATTGCTATCATAAATATGCACCTCTCCTCCCGGGGTTCCAAAGACAATGACTTTTGAATCAGGCGACCATTCCAAATGTGTAAGCTGATGAGGCAGATCTTTGCCCCAAATGCGGTTGCCTTCGACACTTCCCATGATAACATTTCCATCCTCATATGCAATGCAGATTTTTTGTCCATCTGAGGTTCATTTCATATCAGCGACGGTGCTTTTGTTACGATTGTTTATCATTTCTTCAAGCCACATTTGACGATGGAGAATTCAGACGATGATGAGGCCGTCTTTGTCTGAGGTACTTAACTTTTTGAAAGGCTCGTTCCAGGTCACAACGGTAACGTCGCTGTGGTGGCCTTCTAAGGTTTGGTTCATTGAAAGGTTGGATTGGGGAGGCTGGCCTGGGGTTACAACTGTAGGAGGGTCGAGCTTGATTATTTTAAGAAGGCCATCTTTGCCTCCACATGCAATTCACCCTTCATCTTGGTTCCAGGCGAGAGATTTAATGATGTTTGCTTCATTAGGAAGAGCAACCTATGTGGCGGGTACCTTTTTGCTGAGATAGACAAACATATTTATATATATGAATTGAAGATGGAGTAATGAGATCTTAAAAGCTAGACGAAGACAGTTTGCATTTGTAGCTAATAATGAGAATAACTAGATGGTTTGGTTTTTGGGTCATTTATTTAGCAAAGGCTAATTATGATACTTTTGAAACTTCTAGCTCCACATATATTTTTTTTATATTAAAAATATTTAATTTTTATAAATAGAATATTTTATACGGTTTAGAATCTTTAAATCAAATAAAACGAAAAATTAATAAGCTGTAATAAACAAAAATGGTTTATCTTAATGGCAGAGAGTAAAAAATAGCTCAAACTACAAGGCGTTTTATTAGCTTATTTAATTGAATTACGTACAGATTTTGGATAAATATTGTCAAAGTCAGAAATAGCAGAAGACTGTTTGTGTGTTGGTTTAATAGTGTTAGATGATTCAAAGAAATGCTCCGCTTGAGATCTAGGAGAGCTCGGTATTGAAGGTTAGGTTATTTAAAGTCAGACGCTAGCCATATTGGTGACGCATTATCAAAGATCTTCCATATGAAAGGTTCTGCGGCTTTTCGAATCTAGCTCAGAGGGTCTAATCCCAAAAAACTGGTGCCACTTTGGGTACCTTCTGCCTCCTACTTACCTTGCGGCTTCAATCTTGAGTGGGCGGCTTATGGATATCTTGGCTCTACGGCGGGCGATTCTCCAAGGATCAGCTCCTTGGAGTCTATCAGGTGTCGAAGAGCCTTCTTTCGAAAGCACAGGAAAAAGATTGCTCCACTGTGACTTGACCAAAACCCCAGTTTCTCGGTAGAGGAATGATGTATGTCCATGAATCCAAAGGACGTTGCCGGACACCTCCATTTCCAGCCAACAGGAAAGCAGGCAAAACCTTCCAGGATACACATTACTAGAGGTTGCGCTTGATTCTTGACTCGGAGTCCGTTCCAGTTCGCCGTGGCGATAAGATCTGGACCATTGCTTCAAGAGGGGTTGACACGTATTGCCATTTCAAAGTATATCGCTCGTTTTTGGAGAGTATAGAATTTTCCTCATTGAATTTACAGCATCAGAAATTTCTGTATTCAGCTTAGAAATCCTGGCGCTTTGACTTGAAACTACTTCAAGCAATAAATCGCTTTCATCAACATTATCCACAACTTGCAGTCTTTTTGATTTATCTTGTCTTGGAATTTCTTCTTTCCCTGAAGAAATCCCTAACTCAATAGGAGACTCAAACTGTGCTTCAGCTTCAATAGTAGAAATTGAAGATCCAGATGATTTTTCAGCTTCTTTTTGGCTGCTAATTTTTTCATATTCTATGATTTCCCTAATAAATTCAATTGCTGAAGTTAAGCAGCTTTCGTAATCTTGAGACTTTATTTGATTTAGGAACCTTGACGTTGAGGAAAAGCTCTTTTTTGACAATTTTTTAAGAACTGGAACTGTTTCAAGCTCTTCTAGCATTAAATGAGCATTTTTCACTATTTCAGAGTTTTTGTTCTTTTCATATTTCCCTGCGTTTTCAAAGTCTTGAATTCTATAATTTTCCCCAAGAATTTCCCATTAGCAATTTCAAGCCACTTATACTGAACAATCCAAGGAAAAGTCCTATATATAACGATTACCGGTTTGACTCTCCCAGGCTTGGTGTAATCACACTTTTGCGCTCTTTGACAAGATTTTTAAGCTTCAACTTTTCACTTGACTTGTTAACGTTTCAGTCAAGACGGGTCTGAGATCTCTGCTGGGTTCGAAGCTGCTTGTATTTTTCTTTTTCTTTCCCGTGGAATTTGATTTTGCGATTTTCCATGTCTGATGGAGTTGCTTTCATTTCTTCGAGCTTTTTGTAAGACTCTTTAATGTCTTTTTGCAAAATATCGATTAATTCTCAATCATCGTTTTCATTTATAGATAAGCGAGGAATTTCTTTAGGCTTTGAGCTACTTTTGGATATGATTTCTTCTACAAGTTGATCAGTCTTGTAGGATGGCCTTTCAGTAAGAGATGAGCGGCCGCTTTCTGCAGTCTTTAAATGTTGGTCATGCTTATTAAGAACTTTCATAAAGGCTTTAGACATTTTTACACTAAATTATAGTAAATTAAATTTTCAATTAGGCTTAGGTGATTCTCAATGAGATGCTGCATGCTGTTTATAAGCAGCAATATTTTTATTATAAATAAATAATATTGCTTGAAGTCTTAATGTTAGCCATGAGTGCAGAGCTATAAACAAAAGCGGAGAGTTGGTCCTATAAATTCTAAGTTGACGATCTAACTATCCAGTTGGCACATCCGCAATAGAAAATGCAAATGCCAACTGGAGAGTTGGCTTGCCAATTTAGGTTGCATGCTATTGTTATAGCGAGCAATTTGCAGTCAATAAACTTTATTAATTGGAAAATAAAATCTGGCTTTAGGAGAGGCATATATCGAATTTAATCTGGAGTAAATTTCCAAGTCAAAAGAATTTTTATTACCAAATTAATTCATAGATGCTCGCTTCATTTACTAAACTAATTGCTAGCATCATTTTAAACTTTTTAAAGGGAGCTTTTTATCGCATAGTTTTCAAGGATTAAATTATAATAGTACCGCTACTAATAGATTTATAAAAAATTAAAACTCGTATGAAATTTTTATTTTTCAATGTTCTAGTCTAATCTCTAATGCATAGCATCCATAAAGATGGCTTCTAGCTCAAGTAAAGGGTTTTATTTGCGAGGAGGTTTTCAAAGATACTTATCAACTTACCAAGGAAAGAATCACTATCCGATTCCTCGTCAGCAAACTCCATATGCTTTTGCAAAAGTCGCCGAATATATCGAAAAAGACTTATCTAAAGCTGAAAGTCTTTATCGCCAAGCAATCGAAATCGGAGAACGCCCAGAAAGTGCTTTAAAGGACTTAGCTGGAGTTTTACACCAGCAAGGCAAAACTGAAGAAGCTTGTGAGCTATTAATAAACAACAAGCACCTCTTTGTTGCTGATTTAACGAGATACGAAAATTTGTTACGCAACTTGCAAAAACAAATTTTCCCATCACAAAACTCTTATAATAAATCAGTGAAAATCTCAGGCTTAGGGCCAATGGCTGACGAGCTAACAATTCGTTCAATGTTTTCTAACCCTTCAAGAATCCTTCATATAGAAATATATTCAGAACCAAATTCAGATGGGAAAAGCAAATATGGGATAATTAGATTTGCAAGTCACTCAGCGGCAAGAAAAACACTTGAAGGGTTTGGCAAGCATTATTATAAGCTTGAATGGGTAGCTCTTGATGGAGAAATCACAGGCGAAGTCAGCTTTGAGGGAACTCCTGAGCAGGAATTTTCATTATTCAGTTCGGGAAAAGAGAAAAAGATGCCTGGAGTATTTGACTATTATACGTATTTCGCAGAGACAAAAGTTGAACAAAATTTTGAAGACAAGGTCGATGAAATTTTGGAGAACTCGCTGTTGAGCTATGTGAGGTCGAAATGCGAGCTCAAGGCATCAGCTAATCCTTTTGAGCCTGATAATTAGATTTAAAATTAAATCAATTGATGGTCTCAACAAGAAAATGGATAATTATGCAGACCTTTTAATTACTAATTAATAATAAAATCATCTAAATCATCAAATAGACTGCAAGAATATATCATATCAAGCTGTTTTTATCACTAGTAAATACTGTAAATGAGAATTAAAATTGTGTTTTTTATAAATTTATAAATTTTTAATTGTTGCTTTTAAATTTAAATTATATGAAACAAGCTAATTCACAAAATTACAAGCTATTTAAAAATGATAAATAATAGATCTCACAATGGCATTTCGTTGAGAGCGACATAACTTCTTCTATACCCTTTCTTAGATTTTTGATTTTATTATATGATAAATGGGTGGGAAGGCAAGTATATTCCGCCTTTGCAGAGAAACTCCCAAAACAAAAAAATCGAAAAAGAAACAATCTTCAAGCGCTCCTCATTTAACTACAACTAATATTGGCCCAACAGAAGATAACATTGAAAATCCTAAAGGATATCTATATTTCAGTAAAGAAGAACAGAAATATTACGATTCTTTACTGTCAAAAGAAGAGCAACAAACAGAAGAAATAATAGCTCCAACTAACTGGCAAACAAGTGAAATCCTCGGGCAAGGAAGTTTCGGACGGGTTTTATTTGCTGCAAACATGGACACTGGCAAGCTAATGGCAGTCAAGCAAATCCCTATAGTTGGCTTTGAATATGAAACTATCCATCAAAGAGTAAAAGAGATCCAAGAAGAAGTAGAAATTCTAAGCCAGCTTAAACACAAAAATATAGTCCAATATTTGGGAACACAAAGAAACGACCAATTTTTAAATATTTTTTTAGAATATATCCCAGGTGGCTCTATTTCTTCTTTACTTGCGAAGTATGGAAAATTCAATGAAACTCTGATAAGGGTTTATACCAAGCAAATCTTGGAAGGACTGGAATATTTGCATTATCATAAAATTATACATAGGGATATTAAAGGCGCAAATGTGCTGGTAGGCAGCGATGGGGTGTGCAAACTAGCTGATTTTGGGGCTTCGAAGAGGATTATAGGGTTTTGTGACCAAACACAGTTCAAATCACTGAGAGGGACAGTAAATTGAATGGCCCCAGAAGTAATGAAAGAAGAAGGTCATGGAAGATTTGCAGATATTTGGAGCTTAGGCTGCTTAGTGGTAGAGATGGCGACTGGAAAACCTCCCTGATACTATAAAACAAACCCAATTGCAGTTTTCATGCATGTTTGCAGCACAACTGATCTACCTGAACTGCCTCCTGAGCTCTCTGATGAAGCCAAAGATTTTATAAAAGAATGCTTTAAAAGAGATCCAAGCCATCGATCTAATGTACATAAGCTGCTGAGGCATCCTTTTATATCAGGCACACTGCAATGCCCAATTTTCATAGACTGCAACAAAAACTATGATTTTTCAACTGTGAACAGTACAAAATTTTCATCAGAAGAAAATAAAGGAGCTTTTTTATCAGGAAGTTTAGCTGAAACTGTCCTTAGTGAAGAAATTAAATCAAAACAACAAGACTGCGATGAAGCAAATTTCGAGTTTTGTGACCCTCATCATAATGAGGATGATTAAATATGGTGTCGCAGCTCTTCGCGGTCTCCCTTGAGCACATAATTATATTGGCAAGTTTTTTTCAACCTAGAAATGGACGGCAATCCTAGGTAAGCAATTATAGTAAAGTGCATAGCATAATCCTATCCGCTTTGAGGATTGTATTTATCTCGAAGGAAAAGGCGATTTCAGAGATGGAAAGGGAAAGCCCATCAGCGTCTGCAGACAATGCCTAGACTATTCGGGCATCTTCCTAGTGTGAAAGTGGGAGTTCCGCCGCAGGCTTTGAATTTTTCCTTTTTGCCGATAGTCCACCAGAAATTCCATTTTTTGGGATTTTTGCGGGGATCTTTCGCCAGCCCAAGCAGCAAGCTGCAGAAGTCCATAGCCTTCCCACTCAACACTGAAGCCTACAAGACAAGGAGGAGACAGAGATATAGAACCCTACTTTACAGGTGTCATGGCGTCAGGTGGTGAAAAGAGGAAAGGTGGTTCAAGGGCCATAACTCGCCCGGTAGTTATCTAACTCGAAGAAGTTCTCCCTGTCAACTCCGCAAAGAGGGTGAATCCCCTATGGGATCCCTGGTGGCTTCATTACCAATAGACAGAAGCCACAACCTTTAATTTAAGTTTATACCCTCATCATAATGTAAAAGCGCCTTTTGATAACATTATTACTATAAATAAATTTATACCATTAGCAAAAGAAGAAAATGAAGAAGTAATCTTGAGAAGACAGAGCGACTCTGAAAGCTCTGAAGAAAGCAAAATATTTAATAGTGCTTTAGAAGTATGCAGAGCTGAGTTATCACCTCCAATTCTGGTGAAAATTCATACAGTTAGAGTAGAATAAGATTGAAGAATAAATATAAAAGACAAAAAGCCGTTACACTATGATATGCATTGCTCTAAAAGCTATCTTGTTTAAATAATCACATAAACCTTTTTTAGCAAATAGAGTATTTAAAAACCTTGGAAATTAAATTTTAAAATGCAGCTTATTTAATAGCATTAAGCCAATTTATTCGAAATTTATAATAAATGGAAAGAAAAGACACTCAGGCGCTTCTTAACATAGAGGTGCCTGAATATGAATATGATAGAACACTAAGCGATACTCTGGTGACTGACTTTCCCCTGGAAGAAGACAATAACAACCTTGATATTTATAAAGAGCTGAGGGATGGACTTATGCAGGTTCCTTCACGCGACACCTATTTCATAACGACTATTTTTTTTAGCCTATTTTTTTTGGACTATTTATTGGGCCTATTTGTTTTGCATGTAATCATTTCCAAAGCAAATGGACCAAAGGAAAAATATAGGCCAACAAAAAAAATAGGCCAACAAAAAAATATGCCAACAAAATAATAGGCAAAAAATAGATAAAAGCAAATAGGCCAAAAAAGATAGGCCAAAAAAATAGGCTAAAAAAATAGGCAAAAAAAATAGTCCAAAAAAAATAGGCCAAAAAAAATAGGCTAAGCAAATCAGCCAAAAACAAACAGTCAAAAAAATAGGTAAAAAAAAATAGGCCAAACAAAATAGGCCAAAAAAAGTTTTTATGAAATATCATTGTGTGAAGACACGACTCATGCAAGAGCCTGATCTAAAATACTCCATTGACTTAGAAGAATTAACAAGAAACCAGCTTCAATATGTCCCAGAGGACAGCGATGTAATTCAAAAATTCAGAGCAGCCGAACAAATTTCTTATCAAGAGCGTTTAGAAGAAATAAAAATATTAGAACGACAAAACAAAGCTAGGCTTCGAACTAATTTCTTATGGAGACAGCAATATCTCAAAGGCAATGAAAAAATTGCCTCCAATGAATCAAACCTACGAAAGCGAAAAATTGCCGAGAGATTCAAAAGTGCAACGAAGCAGCTTAAAGATGTAATAAAACTAAGAAGAAATGAAACAACTCACAGGATTGGAAAACTCAACGAAGTAGCCGACAAGGAAATGAAACGTTGGGATCGCACCGAAAGAAAACTTTTTGTCAGACTTGAATTATGCAGAGCCATCAAGGATAAGCTGCCTTGTGCTTATTTTGTGATGCTTGTAACTCTATGAGATAGACTTGGAGGAACCAAAGTGGAGCTTTCAAAAGAAAAAAGAATTACGAAAGCAAAAAGACATGGCGGTAGATATTTCCATAATTGTTTAAGAATTGAAGAAACCCTTGAAATTAAAGTCCCTCCAGCTGCAGACTTAAAACCCTCCATGGTTCTTTCATTTGAGCTGTTTATCTTAAGAAACAGAATGCTAAAATATGATAAGCCTGTTGCATATGGCTACTTTCCTCTATGCAACTCTGATTTCCAAATCTCAGAAGGACTTTTCAAAATCCCAATGCTGAAAGGTGAAATTGACCTAAAATGTGAAAAATTTTCTGATTTGGAAGAAAGATATAAATACGACATTGAAACTTGGATGTGCAACTTATATTTCTCTATGAAGCTTGATTTTCCACCTGAAGGAATACAGTTAAAATACCCAGAACAATTTGAAGACTACCAGTTCAGCGTTACAGGGCCAGATGGACTGAAGTCAAGGTGGCAAGGATCCAGAAGGCTGAAATACATTTTCACTGAAGTTTTCCAAGACTTAGGCTTCAGAGTCGGCAAGCTTAAATATGCGCAGATTTGGATCACATTATTGATTCTTGCATTTGCCTTGTGAATTGATAGACTGACACATTATTTCGGACAGTATCTTTTTCTGAAAATGAGTGGCATTGAAGTGACTAAATATACAGTTTTATGGATCACTTTTGATTTAGAAAGTGCTTCAGACATGAAATTTGGCTCAATTGTAGGCTATTTGTTTGCTGGGTCTCTTTTTTCGATTTTTATATTTGGGCTGTTTTCACTGCTAGCATTTTTAGTCTATTGATATCAGGGATATTTCCCTGCACTTGGGTTTAGAATTGGTGTTTTATTTGGGCTGTGTATGGTTTTAGACCCAGTCATTACAATAGTTGAATCAATTGGACTGTCTTTGGGGCAGGATGATTGAAGCCACGATCCTTTTCTGCTGTCAATTTATTTCCAAGATAGAGAAGACAGCGGATTTTTTGGGCCTTGCATTACGTTTTTAATATATATCGCGCTGTCTTCAGCTTGCTCTTTTCTTTTTTATAACTATTTGCTGTATATCCACATGAATGGAAGAATGCTTGATACTTATCATAGACTTACATCTCTCGAAAGTGATTTTTTAGTGCCATATGACAGTGAAGTTAGTGAAAAATACTTGAAATGGGTAATATCAAAGGCTCATAAATATAGGACTTTAAATGGGGATGTTAGAAAAGTTGCAGTTGCAGAATACTATGAAAGAACTACTAATCAGTCTTATTCTCATATTGCAATTTATAATGAAGGCAAAGGAAGAAGCTTGTATAGACATTTTATGAGACTCCCTGTTGGTGCCATTTGTGAGCTTTCAACAAATCGTCTAAGGGTCTTCGATGATGAAGAGCAATAATTAGTTATAGTCTTAATCTTAATTAGCAGGTGGGCAAGTGCTCTATTGGTTATGCAGTCACCAAGGACTCCTTAGGGTTCATTCGCTTTGTGACATCAACGCCTCGGCGTGATTGTTTTGATGACAACTGGAGCGAGGTGTCAAGTCATCTTCTTCTTACTCATATCCGCCTCAGTGCCAGGACGGACTGAGTGTGCCCGAGGGAGTTACATCTCCTCCTTGCTCGTTAGGGGCTCCACTTTTGAGTGGGCAGACTATAGACTTCTGCTACCCTGCTGCGGGCTCATTTGACAGTAGCTTGATCTAGGAAAAACCTGGAGTCTGACAGGTGCTGGGCTCTGACCTCTGCAGCTACAGGTAAAAAGGCTTAATTCCAGGCCCAGGCTGCAACCCCTGGGATCGGGGTGAAGGTCGCCTTGGCCATAAGGTTGAGAAATTTGCGTCAAGAAGTTAGATGCGCTTAGGCCGCTATATTTTATGTATAATTAATTATATTCAATTTATTTTTTTATAAAGATTCTTCGGTTCTTTTAATTTTTCTTAATTGGGTTTGGCATTTATTATTACTCCAAGTTTTAAAAATATTCACTTATTGATAACTATATTTATATAAATTTTATTTTTCTCAAATGTAGGTAAACTCTGATAGTTTTAGCAACTTTTCATGTCAAATATTAAGTAAGTAATACATCAATGGCAGATCTTCTAAATAGTGTGACTGCATATAGGCGGGAAATGCTTCAGCACAGATTACAACGAAATAAGCAAGCAGCAATAGCAAAAAGTTCATTAGATTTAAAATCTCGCAGCAGAAGGGTGCATAGTTACCTTTTCAACTGATCTCATAAAATAGATCCCAAAGTTGGGGAGGTTTTAAGCACAGAACCCTGCGTAAACGTTTTTAAACCTTTTCTCAGCATCGATTCCATGCCTAGCAATGGTCGATCAAGCTTAAACCACCATTCGCCTCCCCGATTTCGAATTGGGAGCCCAAATCTGCTTAGCCCAAAACTCTTCAGAAGTCCAAGTCCTCAAAAAACCAAACTAAGATCCTACAAGTTAGACTCAGCAGCTTTATTAGTAGGCAGAATCGTGGAATTTATGGCTAAGCATTTCCGCATATGGAAAACTAAAACTGAATTGATGAAAAAAGAAGAAGAAAAAAATTATTTTTTTAATAAACCAAACCCATATCAGCTAAATATAGCTTCATTTGATAGATCAGCCTCATCTCAAAGGACAACAAATAAGATGAAAGGGAAAATCATACATGGCTTTGATAATCATATGTCAGAAAGTTTGCCAGTTTCTATAAGACCTTCACCGAGAAATCAGAATTCAGATAAAAAAAATTTTAGGAACTCCAGAGAAGAGAATCCAGTTATTATTGAGACAGTTGACGAGTATAATAGATCTAATGAACAATGAAAGTCTGAAGAGAAGCAGCCAGTGGTGGTGGAAACTGAAAGGGTTAGCCATTTAGAAAATTGGCATAAAAGATCGATGCTGAGTTCGATGGAAAATCCTTTGTCGTCTGGAAATATGACAGGGTCCTCGTCTTTTTCAAGCAGATTCCATGATAGCCCAAGGTATAAAACTGGGTTAAGCAACTTTTCAAATGGGATTGTAAAACTGTCTGTACTATTGCTAAAGGTAACAAGGAAAGTTAAACAGGAGAGTTTTAAAGCACTAAGATCTGCTGGGAATTTAAACATTGAGTCTTTAGTACTAGAAGACACCCTCAACATGAGCGGCTCAGATACTAACTTAGAAGAGCTTCAAGAGCAATCCCTCATAAATCTTGACTACCAATTCAGAGCAAAGCTAAAGCCCTATTTCCAAAAAATCCTAAATAGAGATGCAAAGCCTCCAAGATCAAATAAAAGACACTCCACAAAAGAAAGCCTGCAGGTTTGTTTAGACGACATTCATTCACATCTAAAAGAGCTCAGAGCCTCTCGATCTCGGTCCTCAACCCGTGTAATAAAACATACTAAGCAGCTTGTTGAGCATCTAAATATAGTTGAAGACAATATAAACTAGTTAGATTAGATCATTATTATTATAAGTTTAAATAGGTCTTCGGAGTTTATTTCAGCCCCTCTCCGCATTGGCTGACTCCAGACTCCTCGCCCTAGGCTCGTTTGCACTTATTACTTCTCTGTCGATGTCGCCAAAAATGGTGACGCGCCGTCTTGGGAGATGAACCAGGCACTTCCTTGGACAACTCCTAACGTGTGCATGATCTGTCCGGAGATGTGAGATAGTATACATCTCGAATCCTCCTTATGGTCTCAATAGCCCTTGTATTCAAAAACGAGGAGTTGTAATATGGACCCTGCGGTAAAAAAAACCTGTCGTCCTGCCCCTACCAGGAAAAATAAATGCCCTGGACACAAATGCCAGACCCTATCCCTCTTAAGCCCAAAAACTCAAAGGGTATATGAGAAAGACGTGTCGAATAAGCTATCATTTTATTTATGTAATATAAACAGAAGAACCAGAAGTGAAGCCTTCCAAACCCTTTTAATTTACTCAACAGATAATATCGATTTTTTATGCGATGCCATAATTAAATCAAAGGCTTATTCAAGACGAAATGCTCTTGAATCTGGGTTTTCTGTGATCAAAGCATTTTATATGCATAAAAAGAACTTACACCCCCTCCGTGAGCGAACAAACAAATTTTTCTCACTCACGGAGGGGGTTAATTTTTTTTTTAAAAAATTTATAGTAAATTTTAAAAAAATTAAAAAGCATCCCAATTCACAAAAATTGGAAGCAAATATTTATTTACTTTGTAAAATTTATGCTTTAAATGCAAGCTATTTAATATTAAACAGAATTGGCAGGAGATTTCGCTATAATAATTATCACTTATATATTAATTTTTTTTTAATAAAATTTTTATATTAAAAAATTTTTGTTTGGAAGATGGGTTTTTGGGGAAAATAGGGATTTTTCCAATGTTTTTGTTCATTCACGGGGGGAGTTAGAAAAAGGGCTTAAAATTCTTATGAAAAACATTAAAAAAGATTTTGGGTATAGGCAACGAGTATGCTTACGCCATTGGAAAGAAACTGTTAATCATATATATAAAAAGACTGAGTATGATTCACTAAAAACAATTACAGTTGTAGCTATATTCGAAGATTTAGTTAATAAAAAGAGGAAACTATTGTTCAGCAACTATAAATTAGCGAAAAAACGAGAATCCGCAATAAACGCGCATAAATTCAAAGTCTTGAATAGAGCTTTTACCAGGTTAATCCCTTACTATAAAAACATAAAGATGAGGGTTTGGAACATATGGAGAAGGAAAATTCCTGTGCAATCATCAGAAGCGAAAGAAAAAGCTTTATTAAGGGTTGCTCGAATTGTGAAGAAAAATAACATCAGATGGTTTGAGAGATTTCTTTGAAAATGTGTCGATTTTGTCAAAGCCAAACAATCTGCAATCAATGTGATAGAATTTGCATTAAGGAAAAAATTTTCATTCTATTTTTATATGTGGCGAAATATCAGGAAACCTGGAGAAGAAACCCCTTTTAAAAGTCCTAGAAATTCAATCCCTAAAAAAGTGTCTTCAGGAATCCAACTCACAAAATCAATAACAAACATGTCAGTCTTTAAAGGGAGTGTGCTAGAGCACAGCCTACGAAGTAATTTTAAAAACGACTATATCAATTTAGTCCACAACGATGACAGTTTCCTCTCAAAATCTCCAGCCAAGCCAACTATGTCTGCTTATCGATTCCAAAAGGTCAATGAAAGTTTAAATGCAGTACTTTCGTATTTCGACCGAAATCTTGACGAGACTCTTTACATCTCATTCCAGGTCTGGAGGAAGCGAAAAAATCAATACTAGATTTATATTTATTTATGCCTAATTAATTTACAACTTAAAAGAATTTTCAATTAAATTTAATCTTCGATAGAAATTTCATCGGAAAGGGTCGAAAATTCTTTTGAATTTTTTCGTTCCATGATATACTTTGACACTGGCTTATTCATTTCGATTTTTTCTGAGCTTTTTGATGGGCTTATATGGGTCAGACTTATCTCGCTTACTGCTGTATTTCTCATATTCTTGACAAATATCGCTAATCTTAGATAATTCGTAGATGTTCTTAGCAATAGAATAAACATTGAAAGGGATTCTTCCATATCGGCAAGCTCATCGTGGAGTTCAAACCCAACGAAAACACCTGCGATGCTTATAAGCGCTACAAAAATATCATAGCAATAAAATGACGTTTTCGGGATAAGTTTTCTGAAATCTTTTTCTCCTTTTGCAATTTTATTATTATGGGAGTGATATTCCTTAGGCACCTTAAAATAATCCATATCAGCAACACCCCACATAGGCTGGAGCACATCATCCTTAAGTTTTAGGAGGTGACATTTTCAAGAAGGAAAACGCTTATACGGACACATGCAGGAATCAAGCTAGAGCGAGGTAGCACATCCTGTGAGGTTCTATGGCCAACAAGAACAAAAAGTTTTATTACCCTACACTATAATTAATGATTTTCCTTCAATAGCACTTGCATCACTTGTATCGTCTTCAATTATTTCCAACACTTCTCCTATCAACTCACAAATCAGCATAGCAGCCAGAGGATTCGACAACCATCGTTTGTGCATCAAGTTTCCTCTCCAGAAGAAGCTCCTTTCTCTCCTTTAAGCAATTTGCCACTCGATTTCTTGCTAAATTTACTTCGTAATCCCTGCTCGACTAAGGTTTCCAATTCCTAATCTTTCACAGCCTTCTATGCTTGCTTCAGGCCTACTCGCCCTCAGAAAATCATCGAACTCCTCAGAGCTCTCTTGGTCTCCCTATAAAACAGCGTCTAGGTCTTTATCACCGGCAAGCCTTTTAAGTCTGCAATCAGTCATGTGTGCATTGCCAGACTTTCAGAGGTCTCCCCTAATACATCCCCAAGCCTCCCTTGACGAGTTTCCATATCTTGCATAAAAACCTAAGTGAAGCTGCATCAATGTGCTGCTTGAATGTCAGACAGTCATATCGAGGAGAAATGGCTCAATTGGAGCGTGTTTGAAACAAAAGCAACCTCTCTCTTAGGACCCTGCTGAACTGCTTTCAATGGTATATATGCTTCCCCTACACTTTTTCGAGTATGTTTCCATCCCATAGCCTATCCTGGGGAGAAAGATGGCTTTGAGGCAGTTCGCGAAAACCCCGGACGGTATATAAGGGCACGCATTCTATGGTCAGGTTTTTGGGGAAGTCGAAGTTTCAGATTGCCTCCATCAGATATTAATGGTGACGTAGAAATGCTGCGACGTCATTAATGATGAGTTAAAATTGTGGGCCTAAATGTGCCTAAATTATCCTGATGAAAAAAATAGCGCGGTAAACAATGAGTAATTAATGTTATTTAGTACTACAAAGATATCAATAATGTTTTCAAAATCTTTTATAAAAATTTTAAGCCCTTGCATGAAAACCCTGAAAATCAGCTCTGCTGTAAGCAGAACAATTAAAATGACTTCAAGGGCGACAAATCATCCTTCTATCGGATACGTTCCGGTGTTTAGGAGAGTCCAGATTATGCATGTTGTCGTCAAAATTATCATAATTGTATAGAATATTTTACAAGCTGAGGAATAGTACAGACGAGACATTAGGGCTTTATAGTGCGTTTGGTGAGATCGTAAAGGCTGTGGAGGGAGTGTAACACCTGGAAAATAGGCTTCGGCTTGAACATTAGTTTTCATTTTTATATTTTTCTGGATTAGGGGAATAAATTGTCAATAAGAAAATCGCAATATAATGAAAATCAATAAATTTGCCTTTAAAATTATAAAAATAAATACAAATAGAAAAGGTTTTCGATTAAATATTGGTGATTTTTTAATTTATTAATCCATTTTTGTCATATGCTTTTAGTAGAACTTCACACTTTAAAAAATTGTTTTAATTTATTAAATTGCTTGTAAATCTCTCATAATTGATATTATGGCTCTTGAGTATTTTCATTATTAATATAGTACCTTAAAATTGCTGCTTCTTCAGGAGTAGGCTTATCGATGTTATTTTCAATAATTTTCAGCCTATATTTATCAATTTTTGTTATTTTTGATACTTGATTAACGCTCAGCCCTTTTCTTCTTCTAATAGACCTTATATAATCCCCATTAATGTCCCCATATCTTTTATAGCTTTCATCCAATAAAGACAACTCTTGTGCTTTGCTTGTACTTAAAGAAAATTTCCCAGCATTAAGGTTGTTCAATTTCATGATATATTCTTGATCTTTATCATTACAAATTCTTTCAGGATTAAAACCAATTTCATCTATAATAATGTCTTTTTCAATACGTTCTGGATTTTTTTTCGAGTATCTTACTCTTTTAACTTGGATTGGACGATAATTTTCATCAATACTTATATTTTTTTTACAGAAACAGCTTGTAAAATATTCATTTAAAATATAAATAAATGCTGCAAGAATTCGCACAGCTAATAAAACTGCACCAATTATACCCATTAAATACAATAATCAATATTCTTCAGTGTTATGCTGTAGATCAAATAGGTTTAAAAAATATGCCAGAGTAGCATTGCTTAAAGCCCATACTAATGTGCATTTGGTTCGGTACATAAAATAATCAGAAGCTTGCTCTTCGTCAATTTTTAAGTTTATAGGGACTAATGAATTTTCTTGAGTATTGCAAATTGCATTTATTAAAAATATATTTATGTAGGAGCTGCTAATTAGTAAAAAGGATTATGCTGGCCGTGAGTGGATCTCACCACTAGCCGCCACCAATTAAAGGTCGCCCTTTTGGATTTCCGACAGAAATAAAATGTTGATTTCGACGGAAGATGAATCCGATAAACACTCCCTACTAATTAGTAGGGTTCATCCCGATGACGTTGGAAATAGTATCTCTGTCGCTTTTTGAAGTCGGCCTTCGGGCTTGGAAATGCTTGTCGAAGATGGAAGCTTTGTTTCTCCTCCGAAGGTTTTCCCTGTCCTGCCATTATGCTAGACAGGCTTTGCCTCCTACTTAGTATTTGCTTATCAGAGCTAATTGAGCATTCAAAGAGGTGGCTCTAACCTAGGGAGTTATTCTGTAGTTTAGGTAGGTTTAAGCCTGATAGATGGCTAGTGCTCTATCAGCTTATGGCCTTAATTTTAAATTTAACTTTTGGTGCCACCTGTCCAGGGATTAGCTCTCTTGAGCAGAGCAATCGTTTGTGAATGGTTCAGATGAGATAAGACCATATGGCAGGTAAGCCTGTCTAGCCCATCTGGCAGGGCCATAAAACCTTTGGGGTAGAAGCAAAACTTTCCTTTTCGGCAAGGTATCTTCAAGCTGAAAACCTACTCAAAAAGAGACAGAAGGACTATTTTCAGCTCTATCAGTATGGGTCCTACCAGCTCCATAAGAAGCCCGCTTCTGAAACTAATTTCCATCAACATCACCATTTTATTTCTTCTGGAGCTACTAAGGAATGTTAAATGTGCTATACCTTTGGCGATCTCAAAAACCGAGCAATGCAATATTACATTAAGCAGCACCCCTGCAAGTATTATCAGTGTAAACCCTATTTTTCACTCAGTGTATGGATCTCCATTCAAAATTATTTTTATTTGCAGAGAAATGAAAAATATTATAAAAGCTCCTTGTATTGATGATAATATTTTAAACTCTCCTTTCAGTCTATCAATGCTTGCAGACAACGACAGTGAAAAAATCACAATTATTTGAAAAATGTAAAGCAATATAACATAATTTCCTCATCCATATATATTACTTTCTCTTGATTCATCTCTATAAGTTTGCCTAAGACAATATGCAAATGCCATATATAGCCCAGCCACAGAAAACCATATACATAAAGTATCTAAAAAGTACACAAGAACTTTAAATCTAAGTGCTAACGATCTAAAGCCTTCATGTTTTGACTTAGAAATCAAGTCAAAAGTTTTGAATAGATCAACCAATAAGTGCCATCTCCAATTAATCCAGCATCTTCTTTGTATCATAAGATCAATAATTGACGTAGGGACTGTAGTTTTTGCTGTAGCCCTTTTAACATACCTTAATGTATAATTGCACTTATGTTTAGCCACAAGTGCAAGAGTCAAAACTTCGCTTTCATAAGAATAAATACTTGCTTGGTATGGAGTCATTTTTTCAGGCTGGGTAAAAGGCTTGAAATAGTATTTTCAAAGAGGGTCGCCTTGGAGAGCGTTTCATTGATAAGCACTAAAAGAACTAGGCATTTCGGAAACATAGCCTGTTAAACTCTCAAAAGATTTGTTAAAAATATGGTTAAATTTATATTCAGCAGCTTGGGCTCCTAAGGCGAGGTTTCAGTAGGTTTTATCTTCAACTTTAAGCTCTCCACAACAGCCTGCTAAATGGTCATCAATTCTTAAAGCTTCATATAAATAAAATAGCGCTTTAGGCATAGGCCTTGTCCCTGCTTCTAGCAACATAACATAGCCTGGGTTAATCATCTGGCAGAATCCTCCAAAGAATCATAAATGGGTGTTTAGCTTCAAGCTGCGCTCTTGTTTTATTGCAAAAACCATTTGAAGTTTTATATTTGAATTATCAAAAATAGCATTTTTCATGAAACAATGGAGCAGATCATCGTCAGAATTCCCTCCATTAACTTTGCAATCTCTTAAATCTTCTACATGAAAAAAATCTTTAATAAGATCTTGATCAAAAAATTGCTTAAAATAGTCACATTGATTCTTATAAGTTCTCATAAAATTTTCCATCCCATCAATTATAACAATACAACAGATTTTTTCTGTTTGAAGGCCAACTTGACGAAAATATTCAAGATTTGCGGTTATTCCTAGCATTGTTTCTTTGTAGGTGTTTACATCGAGCACATCTACTGCTACTAAAATTAAAATTTCACAGCGAGTTTGTTCGTCTTTTTCATAATCAAAAAGTAAATCATATAATAAGGATTGTCTGAATTTTGTATCAGGAGCAATAAATTCAAAACCGTCGCAATTTAGTAGACCTTTGAGTATTTTATCATCTTTATACCGATCTTCAGTTTGCTTTAGCAGTTTAAAAGGCTGATATATTAGTAAATCACCTTCAGGCGATCTAGACTCAAAAGTAGACTTTGGGACTTCACCCATTTCTGCAGAAGTGGCATAGGGATCTGGATGAACATCAAGAATAGTTTGATGAAGAACTTGGTCTTTATCATCTTTGAGGCTCATTTTTATAATATGACAATTTTTTTCGAATTAAATAAGATCATTAATGATGCATTGTGTAACTCTTAAATTTTAAGAATGCTATATAAGTATAGGACATATAAATATGGAAATAAATAATATCAAATAATACAGATAACTCAAATTACCATGAATCTAACTTATTAATGGAGCCAATATCTGATAAAATATCTCTAAAAAGTCTTGTATTTGTGAACTATCTTGAGATTTCAACGTAAAAGACAATTCTGCATTACTAATTATCATAACCAATTCAATTAAAAATGGGTTTCCTCCTTTAGCTTCTTTTGCGTAGAAATAAAACTTCATAACCCCATCTTGGTTTCCTGATGCTACACAGTTCACAGAATTTTCTGCAAATAATTCTTCAACCTGTTCTACTGTGGCCATTCTTAATAATTGTTTTTCCTCTTTAAATTCTTCTGTAATATTCATCCATAAATTCTGGTACTCTTCACTACTCATAGATGGTGACACTTGTAGTGAGAAATACTCATCTTTTCCTTGAATATCAAAGCCGCCTGATTCGATTTCTTCATGAAGATTTAATAAATCAGATTCTTGGTCTTCTTGATTATTTGTATAAGGGACAATCTGACGCTCATCTACATTTTCGTTGGTCTCAGGCATAGGTTTTTTTACTTTTTTGGTAGGTTTTTGATATATTACGCTTAAGCTGTTGAATTCTTGGCATAATTTTATCTGGGTGCAGATCATGATCGGCACTTTTAAATTGTGTGCATCTTATCGAAGAAAATTTAGTCGAAAATTTTTAAAATAGTGTACATTTGTCAAAATTTTGAGGTTTTTTTGGTTAAGTGTCTCATTATCAAAAATGATTACTCCCTCCCACTCCGTAAGTGAACAAAACCATTGGAAAAATTTTTTATTTTTGGGTAAAAACCACCCCTCCGTGAGCGAACAAAAATTTTGTATGTGAAAAAAATTTGATATATAAGTGATAATTATAACGAAAACTCTAGCTAATTCTGCTTAATTTTAAACAGCTTGCATTTTAAAGTATAAATTAAATTAATATTTTCTTTTAAAAATTATTTCGTATTGTGATTCTTTTTTAATTTTGGAAAAAAAAATTATTATAAAATCTATATAAATATTAAAATAAAATTAATCCCCTCCATTACGAACAAAATTTTTGTGTTCACTCACGGAGGGGAGGAGTTAGAAAAATTTTCCCCTAGGAAATGCTGCACTTTCAAAAATGCACGGCTTTTTGACATGGAGTCAATTTATCTATAGTCTGCGATTTTTCATCTTCGTAAAATACGCTGATTGGGTATTTTTCGCAGTTTACAACTTCATAAGCCATTTCTGGATTACTTTCTAACAGTTTATAGTAAAACCCTGCCCTATCGTGCAAATCTGGGTTATCGCATTCATTATAAATCTGCCTCATAAGAATACCCAAAGCAGCATGCATTTCAGGAGGCCTCTTCAAGAAAAGTTTAACGCTAGAAGTCAATAAAGCATGGGCAACTTGCAGATTATCATTTGGGTTAAAGCTATTGATGATTCCTTCTAAAATATAAGGAGCGTCTTCAATTTCATACCCAAACTCTCCAATCATCCAAATAATCGCAGCTTTTCCTTCATCATTACTTACTACTTCTAATGAGCTTGCTACCTGTGAAATAATTTCGTCACTCAAATCTCTATATTTTCTTAATAAATCTTTCATAGCTACAAGAGTTCCAGTAACCACATAATCAATGCCACAGCCTAAGAAACTTATAAGCTGTCTTATAATGGCTATGCTTGCTGCCTCAACTTTCATAGCTATTAAAGCTATTGATTTAATTGACTGCTTGCTCATTTCGATATTTACGTCTGTAACATATGCACATAGCTCGTTAACAATATCACTTAAATTATTTTCAGTTGCAATCATTGTCAATATTTCTATTTTTATGAATTTTATATAGGTTGGCTCGTCATATTTACAGAAAAAGTTTTTATAATCTCTTTCAAACACGTCAGCAGCGCCTCTTGCTATCAGTAAATGGATATGAGAAAGCACACAATAAGATAGCTCATAAGCCCCAGCTACTTCTGCACCTATAAACAGAGTGACTAAAGGAGCTTGAACTCTTCCAAAAACTTGGTTAAGCAAAACCGGACTATCTTTAGTTAAATTCAAAAACACCTTAATACATCCAAGGACAACACTACTGGATGCATGCTTGAGCCTTTCTTCTAAAATATTCAGAATATCAATCTTTTCATTATCATCTATCGGCTGGTATTTTGACACCACATCAAAAATAATGCTCTGGCCAAACTCTGTATATTGGTGGATCCTATTCAGCAAATAAATCACCATTCTTCTGTTAATAGCAATTCCTCCTTCATTTTCAAGGACTTCATTTAGCGCTATAATAGCATTAGCAGACACAGTAGGGTCTGGATCTCTTATAAGCTCATAAACAGTGTTTATGAATGAAGGATCAATTTCCAAGTCCTTTGCGTAGCGGAAAAGCTTGACTAGGCCCATTATCGCTGTTCGTTTTACATAAGGATCAGGGTCCATAAGCCCTTCTTGTACTGCACTTTGAATATATTCAATAGCCCCTGGAAATCTTAGTGAGCACAAGTTCCTCAGAGCTAGTCCTCTGATTTTTGGGTCTGGATTTGTGCTTTTGCAGTCTTTAAAAAATGTGTTGATAGCCATCAGTGCTTGTTCTTGGTTAGCTTCTACATAGGTTACAAGATAAAGATAAATCATCTTTTTCTGCACAATGTCGTTTGTGGAAGAGATAAGAACCATATCAGTAAAAAGTTTGGATACATCTACACCCAATGTCATATAGGCAATAACCTTTTTAATTGCTTCACGTCTCTTTTTTACGTCTCTTTCAGTCATGATACCTTTGATGAGAGTTTTTAACTCATTGACTTCACCTTTCTTGGAATCAACAAAAAATTGAGGAGGCGCAGGTGTAGGCTGTCCTGAGGCCATCTTTATTATAAAGTTAGATTTGGGATGAAGGAGGAAAGAAATTGCGGAGATTAGTAAACTAAAAATGTTATTTATTATAGTGAAGGAAGAAAGTTGATGCGAGGTTGGCGTAATAGGAAAGAGTATGCCAGGTGGTGTCGAGGTTGCTTGAGATAGTGGAAATGAATGTTTCTGATGTGAATTCTTCGCCAAATAGGAGGGATATTAGTAGAGAGAGGACTAAAGAGATGACAATTCCTTTTAAAAGATTGCTGAGGATGGTTGAAATAAAGCTTAAAGTGTATCTGATTACTAACTCCCCAACAGTGAGCGAACAAAAAAATTTTGTTAATTTTTTTTTAAAATTTATAGTAATTTTTTTTCGAAATTTAAAAAAATCCCAACTTATTAATTTGTAAAATTTATGTTTAAAATTCAAGCTGTTTAAAATCAAACAGAATTAGCTATACTAATTATCACTTATATATCAAAATTTTTTTTTCATAAAAAATATTTTGTTTACTTAAGGAGGGTGGGTTTTTGGGATTTTCCAATGGTTTTGTTCGCTCACAGATGGGAGAGTAAGTAGACAATGAACATATTTTCTGCTATTAGTGCTGGAATTCCAGCTAATGCTATTAATGCGATTAAATCGTCTTTGATTTTCAGCGATGAATATATCGCAATAATACTTTTCTTTATTAAAGGCACTGAAAAAATATATTTTTCAACTAAATCATAAATTGGAGGCTTGCTGGGGCAAGATTGCTTGTTTGAGACTACATCTTGACAAATTAATAGAGATAGATGGCAACAGATGATCATAGCTAAAAAATAAACCCATACAAACTTCTCAATTAATCCCGCCATTTATTATTATAAATTTTTTTGTTTCTGTTGGAATTTTAAAGATTTTAAATAAACTCAAAAAAATAAAAAATTAAAATAAATCTACTATCAACCCTTAATTTCAAACAAATTTATTAATAGCTAAAGTTTTATTACAATTTCGAAAATTTTTATACCCAAAAATCCAAATATTTTATCTCCAATTTTATTAATTAAAATTCATATTACTTTGACCAATAATAATATCCAATCAAAATAGTATCTTACCATATTTAATTCAAAAGATACCGAATTAAAATGATATTTTTAGTCATTTCCTCTTTTCTCGGAGTTTTAGTGTCTTCTCTCGACATATCATTACGACCATTGTACTCAACTAATGAAGAAAAATACGCCCACTTCAAATCTCTTCAAGTCCTTGCCAAACTTTCTAGCTCAAAAGTTGATGTCCCACTAAAGAACTACCAATCAGCTCAATACTATGGCCCAATCCACCTTGGCACACCCCCACAAGAATTTCAAGTCGTCTTTGACACAGGTTCCTCCAACCTCTGGGTCCCTTCAAAATTTTGTATATCTCCATCCTGTCTTTTCCATAATAAATACAGACGAGACCAATCAAACACATATGAATCTGATGGAACCCCTATCACAATAGAATACGGCTCAGGAAAAGTAGAAGGTGTCCTTTCTCAAGATAAAGTTACATGGGGAGGCATAGAAGTCCCAAAGGTCCGTTTTGGAGAAATGATTCTCGTAAGTGGTACTTCCTTTTTACTAGCTAAATTTGATGGAATTTTAGGGATGGCCTGGAGAGCTATTTCTGTTGATGATATTGAGCCAGTTTATCAGACTATGTATGACTTAGGATTGCTTGAAGACGATTCCTTCGCGTTTTATTTAACAAAAGGGGATAATCAAGATGGAAGCATTTTAACGCTTGGAGGCTATAATGAAAAATGCTATCAAGGGGACTGGAATTATGTAGATTTGGTAGAAGATGACTATTGGCTAATTCAAATAGATAAAATTAGTGTGAATGGAAAAGAAATTGATGTCCAAAATATTAGAGGAATTGTAGACTCAGGAACCTCTGCACTTGTAGGCGACAATTCAGTTATTAAGCTAATCAACAGCGAAATTCCACAGATTAATACTGATTGCTCTAATATTCCTGACCTGCCTGATGTCACTGTAACTATTGGTGGTATTGATTATGTATTAAAACCTGAAGACTATGTTATAGAAATGTCAATAGCTGGAAAATCAATTTGTGAAAATGGCTGGATTGGTGCAGGCTTCCCAGAAAAGTTTAAAAATGTCGTGATTTTAGGAGACTTATTTATTAGAACTTACTATACCCATTTTGACTATGGAAAATCCAGACTAGGATTTGCAACTGCAGTTTAAATAACGAATTTCTAAAAATAAATTAATTAGCCTATTTAAAGCACTTAATTTTCGGTTTTGAATTCGAAAAATTTTCTTAGAACTGCTTCAAAATTTTCTGATGTTTCTTCAAATGCATCCACAAATTTCTGGGTGAATTCTTTGCTTTTTCTTTTTAAAAGCAGTCCTAGTTTTTTCTTGTAATGTGCCTTTTTGATCTGGTCAACTTCAATTGAAACGGCACTCAAAAATCTTTCGAATTTGTGCTGGAGAGCCTTTATTTTGTATTTTGATTTAATAGTGTATTCATCAACAAGCCCGACTCCCAGTTCATGCCTAGAAAATCCTTTATCAAGAAATGCCTTTACCAGCTCATCTCTATTTTCCACAATTCTTGCAATAATTTCATTAGATGGCAAAAGCGGAATCGTTGTGATTTTTATTAATTTCCCTGAATTATTTAGTGCTTCATATTTAGGGTCTGATAATTCTTTTTCATCTGCAGCCACATAATCGATCTTTAATTCTTGCAAAACTTGAAGATTTAATACATCAGGGCATGGGCATATAACTTCGTCAACTCATTTGACTTGCTTTATTGAGCTGCTACGCTCTTGTTCATTCATTATACATGGAGTAGGTAAATTTGTGTCACCAATCACTCCAACGATCAAATAGGCATTTTCAACAAATTTCTTGCAGGTTTTAAATTGCTCCAAATGGTCTAAGGTAATCATGTCAAAAATCCCAGATATGTAAATTCTAGCACCACTTTCTGGCTGATTTTTTTTTGGCTTCTTTTTCGCGGAGGAAAATTGGAGAACTGTCTTAAGCTTTTTCCATTGCGCCATTTTAGTTTATATATAGGTAAATAAAGACTGTCAGATAATCCTTTAGGTAAGGAATCAGCAATTTAAAGATAATTTAATATATCAGCTTTTTAATTGATCAGAAAACATGATTATAATAATTTTATGTATTTATAGGAGATATTTTCGAGATAAAAGTATTAAATTTTAATCAAATCAATAATTTCATTAATAATGTGAGCTATTTCTTATCAACAGCTAGAAAATTAATAAAAATAAAAATGAATTTTGTTGAAGTATTGCTAGTTTGGCTTGCGGTCCATGCTATATTTCTAGGTTTTAATATAGAGCATTACAACTGGATATTGTAAATTTTTATGCAGCTTAAAAACTCCTCACAATGTAATAGTCCCTATCATATGAATCATTGCTCATATATTTTCAGCAATCGGCATTACTGTTGCTTTAACCGGAATGGAGAATTACAGCAATATTCTTGAGCTTTCAATCATACTTATGATGCTACTTCATCTTACCACATTTTGCATATCAAATAAGCTGCTTTTCCACTATCACAGGCCAGAGTAATTTTTACTTAGAATGGCTCTCGTTGTCAGCATTGGAGCTTCTGCACAAAGCTTAATAGAAAACATTCTCCTTGGAATCGCGACATCTTCTGCTGGTGGATTTTATTTCCCAATGCTCTTTACTACAGCTTTTGTTCAGTTTGGCTATGGCTATTATCTTTACCGCAGAGGTGAAACTAAAGCTCCTTCAGATCCAAAAGTAGACTTCGGCAATACAAATCCCAACATTTTATCTGAATATATAAAAATTTAGGCTAATTTATGCTAATCTCGAAATTTTACAGATTCTAATTAACTTGTTAACTTAAAACATCTGAGACCCATTACCCATTTGGGCACTACTAATAGGGGCTGGAACCACAGGTGAATGCTTTTCCACGTCAATTCCTACATGTGCACAGAACTGTTGGCTTAATTCAAAATTCGCCATCTCTTCTCCATATACCAGCCTTGTGATGCCTGACTGAATTATAGCTTTTGTGCACAGCAGGCATGGGAAAACAGTAGAATAAATAGTTGCACCTTTGCATGATCCATTCCCTGCTAGCAGTACAGCATTTAGCTCAGAATGCGCGCACATGCAGTCTTCTTGGTTTTCAGGAGTTTCTATATCTGAATTGCATTTTTCGCATCCTCCTTCGTAGCAGTTGGGGATTCCAGTTGGTGTCCCATTATATCCAGTTGAAATAATTCTGTTTTCTTTGACTATTATCGCGCCTGTGCCTCCTTTCATACAGTTCGTTCGGGTGGCCGCCATTTCGGCTAGTCTCATGAAATAAGTGTCCCAGGATGGCCTGAGGTGTTCAGGGTTCAATATGTCTAGCGCTCGAATTTCATTATATAACTCGTCTTTGTCGCCCCTATTTAGAATGATTTTATCAGCTGAGTATAAGCATTCATAAACGTAAGCTGGGTATCCATTGAGTCCATAGCTGATCTATATAGTTATTACTTTATCATCAACTTCTAAAAATGCAGCTAACGGAGATTTTCTTTTAATGTATTTTACATTGTAAAATCCAAATCGTTTTAATGCAGGTGCATCGATTCCTAGCAAGATAAAATTCGTTTTTGCGCGGAAGATATTTAATTCTTCTGGAAGAGTTATCGGATACACCACATAATTCACAGCTATATTTTCATCTGTAGTCTTCAAGGCAAATTTCGCGTTAGCTTCTCTATAGATTTCTTCACTGTCATAATCATCCTCTAATTGAAAATTACTTGAATGATTTGCCAGCTTATCCCATCTGTCGCTTTCTAAGTCCAGTAGCTTAAATCCATAGCACATTTGAAGATATTCAGCCGCAGTTCGCTTACCAGAGCATAATGTCCCTGTGATCCCTAAAATAATCATTTTTTTTGATTATTAACAATTAATAAAACTTATTTAATTATGCAACTAGTCATTACAGGTCGAAACATGCAAAATCTCATCGTCTAAATTATTGAACAATTGAGTCTGCAGCATTTTTGTAAGAAAATCATGGTCGCCTTCAGGGAATCTTTTGTGGATTTGCCAAACGAGCTTTTTCATATCTTTAAGATTGAACATCTTGGTGATGTCTATAATTTGGAGCCAGTAATCTTTGATAGACTCAGCGATTTCAATGCATGCAAGTTTTTGTTCAAGGGTAGGCGTAAAACAAATTTCTTTGGAATTTAGAGATAAATAAGTGTTTTTTATTCTTAATTTCAGCTGGGTAGCTTCAGGAACTTTTACTTCTTGGATAATGGATGTTCTTCCTTTTATGCGTGAAGATAGGTTTGTTTCGTCAAGATAAATCCAAATTAAATCTCCACGGGTTTTAGGGGGTTTTGGGAGGCCAGCTAAAAGTGGGACTGGGGCGTCTAATACGTCGATTAAACAATTAGGGAGAATTGGGATCATTAAATTGGGTCACCTGAATGGTCTTAGCAATACTTGCAAAGCTAAAACGCATGATGTTAAAAGTCCTAAATTTCCTGAAACAAAAATAATTGATTTTTCTTGAGCTATCGCAGACAGCACCCAGAAGAAATCATTAAAGCTAAGCTTCGAAAATAAAGGAGCACAAAGTCAAGGGACATCAATAACACTGAGATCGTCTGGACATTTATATCGTAGAGGATCTAGCCTGTCCATATCAATTTCAATATTCAGCATCGGTCCAATATTCTCAATTTCTGAATAATTTTCTAATACTTTGATTTCCCCTGGAGTAATAACTTCTTCTCCTATTAAATGCAAAGTTTTTTCATTATTTACTAATTGCTCTATTCTAAATAATCGTTTTAGTAGAAGCATATTAGATAAAACTTCATAGTGAAGCTCAAATAAGGGGATATAGGTAATAAAACAATATATTTTGGTATTTTTTCATTCATCCTGCCCATCCTCTTGTGGTGTCACATCATCGATTTTCATACAAAAAACATAATAAAGCTCTTTATTAGAATTTGGCAAATCTGTCAAGGGTTCTCTTGGCTGGTCTGATCTTAAAGTGAAAGTAAAACAGTGCTTTCCTCGCTTCTGGAAAACTTGTCCATATAATAATGAGTTCATATCAGACCCAGAGCCTGTAAGATTAACAGGCTGTGGTTCTTCTTCTGAATAAAAGCAGCAGTTTAGTATCATACGTTTGACTTCATCAGATATATTATAATTTTCTTTAGGAAACTCATAGAGAATTTCAGGTTTATATCGATCAACTCTTCCTAATTTTTCTCTTGGCACTCCCAAAATCAGGAAAGATATAAACATTTTGGGATTGCGCATAAAAAAAGAAGATACGCTATTATCAGGAAATGGTTGAAGAGTTTTTCCTGTAGATTGGCAGGGCTTCTGATGGATAGCATCAAAATCAAAATTGCTAGGAGCATTTAGATGGGAACGCCTTGGGGTAAAAAGAATATATGAATCAGAGCTAACTGAGCATTGCAAAGTTTTCTTGGGAGATCGTTCCAGAGTTTCAACAGTTGGAGCTGGAGACTGATATTGGGAAAGTTTTATCTTTAACTCTTCATTTTCAGCGCTTAGTCTATTAATAAGATTTATATCTTGGACACTCCCTTCAACAGATTGTTCATAAAGCTTCTTTAACTTTGCATGCTCTTTCTGCAGTTGAAGGAATTCTTGGTAGAGTTTCTCATAACGGTAGCGCCAATCTACATAGTGATTTGACATGAATTTGTACAGAATATTATGATATTTTAGAAAATCAGAAATATAGCAAATTCAACAAAAAAGAAAAGGAGAGATTGTTTAGAGTAATAGCATTATTTTGATATCAATATAAGCAAATATTATGATAATTTTTTGAAGATGATTAAATTAGCTTTATAATAACAGAAAAAAGTCGTATTATATCATCATAAATTGGTGAAAATAATTATAAGATTCATATAAATCATTGAGTCATAATGGACTGCCATAATATTTATAAGATTATGATTTTATTTATCTTAAATCAGTAATAATCATACTTGTATTTTATTTAATTTCATTTATGTGGAAATCTTTGGCAAAATATTCAAATAAAAATGCAAGCCCTGGATTCCCTGATCTCTACATAAAATTCCTCGCGATTCTGCTTCAACTAAGCATTGCTTAGCAATTAAAGCATTAATTCCTAATTCTTCCCCTAGCTCTTTTGCTGAAAGATGCTCTTTGCTATTAACCTTCTCAACTGTGAGTGATATAAGTCTTTCAACAGATTCTCCCCCTAATTGCATAATAATAACTCCAGAAGGTAAACTTTTCACTTGAATTGGCAGCCTAAGTCCTTCCATTAAATCGCAAGCTCTTTTCATGTCATTTGGCGATATCAAATCCCCTCCTCTTGCCCTGTTATACATACAATACGCATCAAGCATTGGTAAGACTCCTCCATTTTCTTCTAGATGTGGTCTGATATAGTCACAAATTTCTCTCGCAAGCTGTACATGGAAATTATTTCCAGAGCTCTCTTTTGTTACCCCTGATGTAAAGCCTAAGCTTGCCATTGTATTTTTTATTTCAATAAGCTCTGGGTCTTTAGACTCATCAACTTGCTTTAATTTTCCAGCCAATTCAGCGAGCTCTCTTGAATTGTCAAATAAGCTTCGTAGATCTCTAAACCCTGCTGAAAGTGTGGTATCTGTCTGTTTTGCATCTTCTTTTATGTTTTTCTTAATTGACCCTACCCCATATCCTGATGTTTCTTTAGGCTTTTTTTCTTTATGTACAGGCATAATTGATTTAACCCACGCCTGCTGCCTTAGTGCGACTTCTATTTGCTCAACTGTAGCATCACGTCCTTCAGCCCTAAATTTAAATAAATATGAGCCAGGAAGATGTGGGGCAACTGGAGGTGGCCTTTCTTCCATTCTTGCAAGCTCTACTACAAACTGAGGCAAAGTTCCTTGATTGGTGATTGTTAGCTCAATTCTGCTGGATCTCAAAAGCCCTCCTGATGTTTTATGGGAATGATAATAATGAAAAGGTACGTAAAATCCATTTGCCCCGTCAACAAAAATCAGCCTATGAGAAGTCACATATAAAGTAAAAGTACCAATAGCTTTGTCTTTATTAGGCAACACTTCTACATTAGCTTGCTCACGCAAAACCACTTCAGTTGGGATAAGAACTGGCCGCTGACTCTCAGTTAATCTTGCTTGCATACTAATAAAGTTATAAAAATGGCTCTACATGCCTGAATTAAACCGATATTGCTTCAAGGATCCTATGCAGTACTAGAGCCACTCTCACATTTAAGAAATCAAGAATTCATTGACTCTCTCAATGATGGTGAATTATGGAAGCTCTGGTACACATGAATACCTAAGCCTGAAAATCTCGAAGCAGAAATCAATAGACGTTTAGATTTGCAAGTGAAAGGCTCAATGATTCCTTTTAGTGTTATAGATAAAGCTACAAACAAAGCAGTTGGCATGACTACTTATATGAATATTGATAGCCAAAATAAAAGGGTGGAAATAGGTTCAACATGGTATAGAAAATCAGTCCAAAGAACTGCATTAAACACTGAGTGCAAGTTAATGCTGCTAACTCATGCCTTTGAAGACCTTAATTGTATAGCAGTAGAATTCAGAACTCACAGATTTAATCGTAAAAGTAGAAATGGTATCGAAAGATTGGGAGCGAAATTGGATGGGATTTTAAGGAATCATATGATTATGGCAGATGGAGTGTTAAGAGATACATATGTGTATAGTATAATTGCTAATGAATGGCCAGTTGTAAAGAAGCATCTTACACATGAGCTGCAAAAAAATAGATAAATTAAATATTATTGCTATTTCTGCTAGTTTTTAGTATCATATTTTCAAAATGAGTTCCATAGTTTCATCCTTGTAAACTCTTCTTCATCTATTAAATGATGTTTGTTGATATATTTCTGTCTAGAAGCTTCTTGTGCTTTTAGAAGGTCTGGAGATGCTGTCTTAATAAATGAGCGCGGAGGTGATTGATAAGCTTTCATTCATTGATGCAAAATAGAATTATTTTCAGTCCATAATTTGTACTGATACTTAGCTTGGCTTGCTAGTGAATTTGAGTTGTCCTTGAACCAATGAGTTGTGCCAGATCCAATGATTATGAAGAATCCATAAATTTTGGAAAGGGTTCTAAATCTTGGATTTCTACTAAATAACATTATTAGAATATTTTATCTGCTATGCTTTTAGAGTCACGCTCTATATGTGGAATCAATCAAATATAAGCATGCTGAATAAAATTTTCACATGTGGAATGATGCTATAAAATAGAAGCAGTCTATAAATTAGCTTGATGTTTTCTTTAATAATTTGGATTCACTTACTCCCCCCCCTTAAAATTGAAACAAAAAATTTTGTTTCAATTTAAAGGGGGGTTAAGAAAATTTTTTTTATAAAAAAATTTATATATAAAAATTTTTTCAGAGATAAAATTTTATAATTTCATGAAAATTAATTCATAAATTTCTCAATCTCAAAGTGTAAACTTGCTGAAATGGTATTCTTCTAACTCTCCCCATAACAATTGGACAAAATAGAGTTTAATTTCTAAATCTTATATGTTTGAAGCATATTAAATAGGGTATTAACGTATTTACATATAAAATAATGATTTTTACCTATAAAATTTTCTATTATAATAAAAAATTTTGTTTCAATTTAAAGGGGGTAAATTTCCCAAAAAAGTAGGAATTTTACCTATATTTTGTTTCAAATTTAAAGGGGGGGGGAGTTATATTTATTTAACTCATTCAAAATTTATTAATTTTCTTTATTTCCCTGAATTTTATTTTTCATTGCTTTTTGAGAAATTTTGAATTTTCTTACAATCTCTTTGTATGAAAGCTCATTAAGTCTAGGCAAAACAAGTTTTACAAAAACTGGGTCAGGCTCAAAATTATTTTCAGGAGCTTGCAAGTTGACTGTCAACGTTGAAGGATAGTCAGTTATATATTTTCTATAATTAACTCCTCCTCTTTGTGTCCATATTGTTTCACAAAGATACTCTTTTATCGTTTTTCTTGGCCTATTTAAGGCTTCTTCAAGCTGAAACATAAAAATATCATCCTGCAATAAAATATCAAGCTATATCTAATCTTACCATATTTGAGCAATTAAAATCAATCCCTTGCAAAGGCACGTCCTCAACCCTTAAGCCTCCTCTGATCTCTTCTAGTGTTCATACTGGCAATTTATAATGAACTTTTCTTATGAAATCCATTCATTCACTATCAGCTCTAAACCTTTCCATTCATTGTGCTGAGTACTTCTACCTATAAAATACTGATAGCATTTCTATATCTCCTTTCATGCCTTTATAATAAGCTCTGATTAACATAGCTTTTACAATCTCATTAGATGTGCTCCATTGCTTAAAAAGAGAGCTGCTACTCTCTATATATAGCACATCTCTATAATTTAGAGTAGAGACATCAGCTACAATTTGAATCACACTATCAAGAATTTCTTGGGAGTATTGATACTCATCACCAGCTACCATACACCATGCAAGCAATGGATAATCAGGGTGCAAAAAACAATCTTCAAGCACTATTACACATAACCTTCTGCACAGTTCTTTTAAGCTAAATATTGTTTACCCACAGTTTACCGCCATCTGCAAAGCAAGCCTTATGGCTTTATTCCTTATTCCTTGTCTGATACTTTTTTGTAAGCATGATTTCAAAATACCTGGAGAAAATCCTTGTAGCCTAATAAAATCATAAAATGATAAAGGATTTCTTGAAGAATGTGAGGTAGATGCAGTCAAAATTATTTGGCATGGATCTTTTGACGACTCTTTTAAAAAATGCTTCCTTGATATGAAATCTCCAATTTCTTTATTATCAATAGCAAAATCCCACTGCTTTCTGCCTCCAGATTCTCCTAAAAAGGTTAAATGAAAATTTTGGATAATTTTGGTCTGAGGAGTATTCATAAGGACATCGTAAGCATTTATAGTTGGTGGAGGAGAAATGAATGATCTTTGCATAGTGCGAGTGCTTGGGAGTGGAGATTGAGTAATAATTGGTGCTTTTTTTTGAGTGTTTGCTATAGAATTTATATTTTTGATACAATCAGAGGAGCCTATATGAAAATCTAAAAGTTTATAATACATTTCTTTATCACACTCTGGACAGGTTTTGTACTTATTAGCTACTTGGAAATTTAGCTTAGTCTGTGTAGGAGATCTTTTCCGCTTCATATTTAAATTGATAAATCTCCGTATCATATCTTTGATATTTTTATTATCATATTCAATTTTCTACCGCCAAGATCAGAAATAAAAGTTCTGCTTTGATCTCAAAATAATTTTTTTTATTCACTTATCTATTTTATCTTTATTTGCTTCTCACTTCTACAGTCCCCACTGTCACTGATTTTTATCTTACTTTCCCAACCCATTTTCGAATTCTGACAGAGGTTACTTCGTTCAAATTTTTTCTCAAAATTTTAATTAATTAACCGATTTGATTATTAATTCATACACTTCTTATTTGTTTCTATAGCGAAGTTGACCACCTTGGGCTTTTACACACATATTCAGTCCTTTTGATTAGTTCTAAATTTGGCTTGGAGTTCAGCTTTAAGATGTCTTTTAAACTTATCGATCTCTGCATGTCGATTTTTTGCTGAATTCCGCTTTCAGTAATTCGAGCTTTTCAGAGCTGAGTGTCAAGGATTTTTCTTTTGGGATATGTTCGATATTGAATTTTGTTTATTTTGTTTTTCACGATATATGGAAGCGATAAATTGTCATTAAGCTTCAAGTTGCACATTTTGAGGGGAACATTGGAGAGCTTTTGGATCTTGTCTTTGCTAGGCTGGAAAAATGCAGATTGGCTTCTTATAGTATCATGCTTCATTATTTATAATTCATATTGAGTATGCGAACTTGTCAAAAACTTATCAATAGATTATTAAAAATTATATTTTATTAGAATCATATATATTTCATATCAGTTTTAGTATGATATGGGGGTCAAATTGATGTAATCTGTCATATTACTCATACCTTAATCTGCAAACGAATAGCTTATAGCCTTATTATTCATAATTATTTTCAATTATATTAGGATAAGATATAGTTTTTTATGTTTCAATCCACACAAAAATCAAAACGGTTTGTAATTATAAAATGGAAGAATCAGCTCTCAACAGCCTCATAGACCAAGCCCAAGAAACTTTGTCTCCTATAAACCCATACGCACTTTATGACAATATTAGGAAAAATTATTTGCATCCTACATTATGCTCAGGCTCAATGCCAAATTTAGAACCATTAAAGCAAACTTCTAGTCCGCACCGGCCATATGGCCCGAAGTACAATTTCATGATAGAAGCACCAAGCAGTGATGAAGGATCTGACATAGAAAATTCGTATCCTTCAGCAAGAATAGTCGCTGAGTCTATATTTGACTCCACCCAGATTTCCTTCACCGTATTTATAACCCTAGAAATCACCTGAGACAAGTTCTCCTTATTACCTAGCTATTGGTAGCATTGAAAGGAACCTTACTAAAGCCCATCTCAAAAACGCTCTCAAGAGTTACGGTATAAGATAATTTTTTTAATTTAAATTCCTCATTATTTTTTTAAAAAAATATTTATTATTTATTTCTAGTAATTCCCCAAATTCAATATAAATTAATATACCCACAATTGACCTTTTTAGAATTGCCGGGAGAAGCCAGAATGGAAAATTTTGCTATTTTAAAAATTAAAGACTGCCATGATGGTAACTTATATTTAGCTCATTCGCTATATGCCAAGCTCTCAAAAGATGAAGAAAATGGCGTCCTAGGAGCTGTCGTCAATGGCATCCCAGGGTCCTCAGAAAATTTGAAAGTCAGGTGGATGAATTATTTGGTTCATAATCCGGAGCTAGAATGAAACAGTGTAATTCTAAGGGGACTGCCGAAAAATTTCTCTTCAGAAGTCTTGAAGAAAAAGCTAAAAGACATGGCATTGCATGTAGAGCCAGCAAAATGAATAAATAATATTTTATGTACAATTGTAAGCCTTAGATCAATCGAAGATGCATATACACTTATAAAGAATTTCCAGAGATTGAGGCTAGAAGGGACGATTTGTATACATCCGTATAGTTCGGTATTTCAGACCCCTGGGAATTATTTACAGAAAATAGTCCATGGGTCTAAGAATTATTATAGGAGTGAGTGTAGAGAAGAGATGCCGGTTAAGCATAAAAAAATGAGCGACGATATATCAGAAAACCAATATTGGGAAGACAAAACTACAGGGGAAACAGCTGAAGAGGGAGAAATTACAGACCGAGAAAATGATTTCCCAGACCAATCCGAGTACTATACTTTTTATGAGTTTCCAGGGACTTATTGGACAAAAGACGCAGAATATTCTCATGACGGGCACAAAATTCGTACTAGAGTTTCCCTGGGTAAATAAACTGATGTTTTCATTACAGATTTCAAAATTATTTTTACAAAAATTAATCAGGATAAGCAAAATACACTTTTTTAATAGTCTCTTGACAACGCCCACACTTGGATAGTGGATGAGTAGGTCGAATTTTGTGGGAGAGAGGGAGTCCGATGTTTTCAGTACACATATTGCAGTAGAGGATATGCCCACAGGGGATGAAGATTATGTTCCTTACTTCATGTGAGCATATCAAGCACATTTCGTTTTCTTTTCCATTTTTTAGTCTTTTAGTGGTATTAGCTAGTTTAGAGTTTTTATCTTTGAGGCTTCTGAGTTGGATTTGGAGTTCTTGGTTAATTAAACTTAGTCTTTTTAATTTTTTTTCATATTCCTGCATCCAGCCTTCTTGCCAAAATCCAGTTGACCTAGCCTTGCATTTTGCTAAGGAAATCGAAGAGGAGTTTTTCCGAGCCCTTCATTCTTTCATTTTATATATTTTAGCATACCGCCAAATTTGCTATTTTAAAATTATATGCTTTTAGCTTTATACTTCTGCTAAATAAGCATATTCATATAAAAATAAACTTATAATTGAGTCTGAAAACCTTAGAAAAAAAAGATATCAATTGAAAAATGAATTATCTTAAATTATTAACATTCAAAATCATCGCACTTACCAACTGTTGGTTATCTTCTTGCTTTGGAAATAGTTTCCAAAATCTTAGTGTTTCATCTCCAGCTCCAGTCACAATATTTTCAGAGTCTGGAGACATAGAAAGATACAGGACCCTACTGGTGTGTCCATTTAAAACTCCTACTTGCTTAATATTCGGGTATCTCCATACAATGATATGATTCTGTGAGTACCCATGTGTAGTTACTAATTCTTGGGAATTCTTTGAAAACCTCATATTGCAGATCTGTGACTTTGTATCAATACAAGAAATTTCTTCCAATGTATGGGTATTCCAAAACCTCAAAGTTTTATCAGCTGTCCCTCCACCTGAGGCAAGAATTCCATTCTGATGAGGAGACCAGTCAATAGCTTTTACAGCTGCAGTATGCCCCCTGAGCATCCCTACAGAATTTGTGCTATGGACTGTTCATAGTAGTAATTTATTGTCATTTCCCCCTGAAGCTAAATATTGGCCATCTGGGGACCATTTTATTCCGCATATTTCTTGGCGATGGGCTTGAATTCTTGAGCAGACTTCTCCAGATCTCATGTCTCGGTTCATAATATTCCCATCGCGAGACCCTGTAGAAATCATCATATTATTCCAAGAAATAGTCCCTATTCTCGCTATATGAGGAGGCATTTCTTGTAGCAGTGCCGATTGCTGGATGTCGTAAATTTTTAATTTCCCGCTTTCTGTGCCTAATGCAACATGGTTGCCTGATGGTGACCAGTTAAGGGAAGTTACCATGTCTCCTCCTAAGTCATAAAGTAATGAAACCTGTGAGGAACTTGCGTTTCATAGGTAAACTTGGCTGTTTAAGCCGACTGCTAGTATGTTTTTTGAAGATCAGTCTAAGACATCATAGTAGAAATCATCTTTTAGATGTGGAGCATCTAGGATTTTGTAAGGAAGTTTAGGTAAGTTCCGAGGAGAATCCATTACCATCTGATGGGTTGGGAAAATTGGAAACAAAGGCATGTTTTCTTTATTCTCAAACGCATTTGTTTCAGGCTTATAGCGAAGGAGGTTTCTTTGGACTTCGCTGCTAATGGGGTGGAACCCAAAAAGCTGTGAGTGCACGAGATCAGAAAAAGCTTGGCTTCCTTCTTCTTTTTGCGGAGATTCATTAGTCTCTCTTTCTGCTTTTTCAAATAAAAGTTTTAGGTTTGAATGAACTCGATTCGGAATGAATCTTCCTCCTTCATCTACAGAAGGTGAATTTTTGGAACTCGTTGATTTAGACAGTCTGTGCTGAGGTAGAGTATCAAATGATTTTTTTGGAGTTTGCATTTTGGGTATTTGATTTTTCTGATATTTATAATTATAATTGTGGCGCACAATTTGATGTCATTTTGTTTTGTTGGGACTTTTCTATTGCAAAATGACAATATTTTTTAGAAAAGTATCGATAGCAGATAATGCCAAAAATGTTAAGAGTTTGTTGCAACTATGAAAAAATCATTATAAATAAAAATTTAAAGCTAATTTTATAAATCTTGCTTCAAATAATTATTATAGTGATTTGAATATTTAAAATAAATTCAATTTATAAATTGTAAAAATGTCAAATAAGAGTCTAGGATTTGCAGTAACAGGAATCGGAGGAAGTTTATTTTTTTACTATACACTTTGAATCATCGTCACACCTTTCGTTGACAAAGGACACTGAATCCAAAACTATTTTCCAGAAAGAGAATGGGCGTTTTTGATCCCCTCATTGGTTTTGATTTCTGGAATCACAATTTTATTTACGTTTATCGGACTAGTGATGGTCAAGTCTGGGAGACTGAAGCAGTAATAAAAATCATATTATAAAAATATTAAAATTCATAAAACTTAATCTTCTTCATCTTCTCCAATTCTCAACATCTGTGTTGGAGGCACTTGCAGCTCTTGGTTTACCCCTGCTTGTAAATATTGCTGCAATAGTGATTTCAGCTCTTCATTCTGCTGATGTAAAACTCCAGTCTCTTCTACTAAATTCTGTCTATCCTGAAGCAGCGTATAATAAAGCTGGAAAGCTCTTTCAAGTGCTTTCCATACCCTTAAATGTTTTTCAGCCAAAATATTCCCTAAATTTTCCCAATGCTTTTTTTCGTCTTCTAATATTTTCGCCCTCCTTTCTTTTTCTGTGTTCGCTGACATAGATTTCATTGAAAGTGCACTAGCTTCATTTCCTTTATTGACTGAGCCTCCTCCTTTTCTTTCATTTTTAACTTCATTGAATTCATTTAATATTTCAATGACTTGGTCAGGGTGAACCATCAAAATGTCAGGATCTATGCTTTCTCCTGGGTCTAAATCGCTTTCATAAAGCTCATCTCTTCTATTAGAAGACTGATCATAAAACAAGTTTATCAGTGTTTGTACATCGTCCATTGTCTCGATTCCAAGAGTTTTCCTTATTGAGTCGATTTTTAAGGTAAATTGTTCTTTTTCTGATTTTCCGATGCATTGATCTCTGACTTTATCTTCTAATAAGAAAGAGCATTCGCTTACAAGCATTGAAAATACTTGTTTGATTTTTCCCATAGAAACTTGAATAGTGCTGGGCTGCTTGCTTACTGAGTCTTCTTTTACTTTTGAAGAATGTTCACTGACACTCCCTATGTCAATATTTAAAGATGAATCTTCAGGAGGCGCCCATTGTAGCCCTAGCTGCTGCTCATATATGATTTTGTCACATTTCAGTACTTTGCTTGCTAAATCTTTTACTTCTGCTTCATTCATAGCCCAGATTTCATTAAACCTCTGTGTATCTGCTTTTTCAAAGTGCCTGAATTTTTTCCTTAGTTCGTTAAACGCTTTTGACATTTTTTTGAACTTATCAGTTAGCGCTGCATTGGCCCTCATAAATTCTTCTTCTTTTTTCTCTACTTTTGCGTTTAAATTCAGGTAGCTTGTCTTTAAATTTCGCTTCCTTCTAGTCAAATCACTGATTGTAGTTTCATTTTCACTAGCTCTTTCTTGCAGAATTTTTACATTATAAGAGAGTTTTTCCAGATTCAGCTGATAAACAGCTTTCATTTCTTCCATATAAGTTTCCAAAGCTTGCAAATTGTTTTCTACTGACACTTTTGTGCGTTGCAGATTATTGGCGTCATCTTCTCTCTTATTTTCGAGCTCGTCTGCATTAGCTTCTTCCATTGCCAGGCGGTCATAATTGTACTTTTCTTCTAATTCTCTGTGCCTCTTAAACAGCTCATCAATTTCCTGTCTATTTGCATTAAGCAATTCGGCTCTTTCAGCTAAAAACGCATCTTCAATTACTTGCAATTGTGTGGCATACTCATCTCTCATAGTCGTGTATTGCTTTCTCATGAGTTCGATGATTTTATCAATATCTTCTTCTTGTTTTGCCAAAGACTTCACATAAAAAGCGTCTTTTTCTTTAAGCTCTTCTATGAATTCCTCTATAAGTTTTTGCTTGGTTTCTATGATGTCCATGCATTCTCGCTTTTGTTCTTGGATTTTCTCAAAAAGCTCTTCGCAGTTTTCAAGGCTTAATAAGTCGTCCCATTTGATTTGGGCCGCTTCGAGAATAATAAAATGGATTTGGATGAAAAGGTGATTCGCTCTGCGAATTCCTTTTCCCCTCACCCAGCTTTTATTACTCTTGATTTAGGTTTTTCATGTGGAATTCTGCACAAAGGTGGCTAAATTGTATGGACTTTTATCTCGCCAGCATTGTGTAACGTGCTTTAACTCTTCCCCTGCTGGCATTAAAGACAGGACCCTTAGGCTGAGCAGGCACTGGAGAAAAGTCGGATTTAGCAACACATCGGGCCAAGCCGTTGGTGGTCCCGGGATTTCTGGGCTCTCAAATGGCTTCAAGGGAGCTAGAAGGAGCAATTCCTGTCGATAAGCCATGTGCAATTAGGAGTAGCGAAAACCCGACGGAAAATAGATCTTTCGGCATTAATCCAGAGGCTGAAATATGGTCGAGCTACATTAAGTTAATTAAAGATTAAGATTATGATTTGGGCTGCTTCATTTTTTGTAGAGCTTTGAATGGTCTCATTGCGGATCATTTGGTAACGATCAACCCTTCGCTTGTCTTCTTTTTGGCGACGCTTGTTTTCAAGGTCATCTGCTTCAATTCGGATGCGGGAAACTTCATCCCAGGTTGCGCGCTTCTGGCGCTCTAAGTGGCCTTTGCTTTCTTTGATGGTTTGCTTGCCTTTGACACAGTCTGGGCCTTGCAAGATTTCAGCGTCCATTTAAATTATTAGAAAACCGACATTATTTTAGGAGTTTAGAAATAAATTAGAATTTAAAAATAGATGGGTGGGGATTTACAAATTAAATGCACGTAATGTTAGAATAATACAATATTATTATGGTGAACAAAAGGATCCTCATTCTATTTCTGCTCGCTGTTCTGATATCTGCCCACATTCATCATGAAAATAAGCCAAATCTAGCAAAGGATGCTCATAGTCATGACCACGGGCATGCACATGACCATTCTCACGGTCACTCTCATGGTCACAGCCATTCTCATGATCACGATCACGACCATTCTCATTCACATGAAGATGATTTAATGCCTTCATACTTCGAAGAATATATTAAAAGCAATCTCTATTTGCACAGCGTGCTGAAAACTCTTGATAGTCTTGGAAAAGTCAATTCATCGCTGATCGCTTCTGTATTTACCACATTAGCAGCTATTTTTGTGTTTATTTTCATTGGAATATTAAGAAGCTTAAACATGCTAACAGATGAATTGCTTAGTTCTTTAATGGGCTTTGCATCTGGCGCATTGTTAGGAGATGTCGTAATGCATTTGCTTCCCAGCACTGATTTGACTCAAAAAGCACAATTATTAATTTTGTCAGGGATGCTAGGATTTTATATATTGGATAGACTGATGGGACATGATCACGATGAAAAAGAGCATGGCAAAGACCACGGAAAAAAGCACAACTCAGTATTACTTCTATTAGCTGATATTCTCCACAACACTACAGATGGCATGGCAATCGGTGCAAGCTTCTCTATCAGCACTATTTTAGGCGTAACCACCACATTTGCAATATTTTTCCATGAAATCGCCCATGAAGTTGGTGATTTTATCGCATTTTTGAACTCTGGCTACTCTCTCAAAAAAAGTTTATTTTTCAATTTATTAACAGGAGTCGGTTCACTAGCAGGCTCTTATATTGCCTCGAACTATGGAAACTTAGAAGCTATGGAACAAATAGTCCTTCCTTTAGTTGTCGGAAATTTCCTTTATATTGGGCTAGCGTCTATGCTGGGTTCTCTTAAAGATCAACACAACAAGTCCAACTTGATCTGGGAAGTCATTTTCTTCTGCATTGGAGTAGGCTTAATGATATGTATGGAAGCGTTAGAATAAATAGATTTATTATAAATTTTTAAACAAATTCTCCTGCTGCATACCAGTGCTCAGGATAAAAACTAATTATGACAGTTCTCTTGTTGAAGGTTTTCCCTGATTTGGATTAGGATTATTAAGACAGGTGCTAGCCATATGGTGATACAGTCACCAAGATCTCAGTAAGGGAGGCTCATCTGTTTTGCGACAAACTGCATAGTAGGTCTAGCCGTAGCCGCCACAATTGTTTACTCCTTACCTTAAGACTCCAACTTTGAGTGGGCAGCTTATGAATTTCTGCGACCCGGAGCCTGGTGATTAGGAGTAGCTTGATTCAAAAGGTTTACTCTTTGGTGTCTATCGGGTGCCAGTGCCTTACGTTGGCAGCTGAAGAAAAAAGACTGTTTTACCTATGGTCTGAGCCGAAACCCCTCGACTGTCGGTAGAGGATGCCCAAGGTTCCGAAAGACATGCTGAACACTCCTGTATCTAACCACAGGAAAGCAGCCAAAACCTACCAGATACACATTTTTTTCATGATGCTGCACTTGTGGAGTCCATTCCAGCTCGCCACAGTCTTAATTTAGGACTGTTTTGTCAAGAGGGCAGGCTGTTAAGTGTGCCATTTTCATTTATATAGGTTTCCCTGACAAATTGTATTTCGCTTTTTTGGCTCCAGTGATGTCGACGAATTTTATGTAAATTTTGCCCACATTTGAGTCTATTTGAAGGGTTTCTAAGTCTGGCCTTGGAATAAAGACGCTTTCTACGATACCGTGACGCCAGCATTCTTGCCAGATGTCACTGTAAATGTCTTGATAGTCAGACTCATCAACTAAATCTTGAGGGTCTATATCATTGCATATAATAATTAAATACTATACTGATTCTATTGTATAATAAGCCATTTATATATAAAAGGATACTAAATTCAGTAAACAAAGACACCTAGAAGGAGTTACCGCATGAACTGGAACAGCAAGACAAGCTTGGATATTTTGAAGCTGTAATGGTGTTAGCCCAGTAAGTATCCCTGATGGACCATTTTTAAATAAAGATTCGCTAAACTTCTTCTTAGCTGAGTATTTTGGACCTTGTATTGCAAGTGGGTTGTTTGGCTGTCCTTGGCTCGCTCTCTGCACTTTTACTCTCCTATCTCCAATTTCTAGCTGATTCAGCTGCTCTATAGCCTTATCAGTAATCCTCGGATCCCAATACTCAAAAAAGCAAAACCCTCTCGATTGTCCACCGACAGCAGCTGATTTCACCAAGCTAAAATTTTTTAACTTTCCAAAACTTTCTACCATTAATCTTACATCTTCTTCAGGTAAATTCGTAGGCAGATTTCCCATAAAAATTCTATTATCATGGTTCGGGAAAATTGTGCAATTCATGATTTCTTCTGTTTCTTTTTCTTGTTTTTCTTTGTCTCGGATCTCTTTTTTCATCTCCATGACCCTATGGCTAAGATACGCTTTATGCTTCATTAGCTTAAGTCTTCTGCCTCGGAATTCAATTCCATCTAATAAAAGGCAATTGGTAAGCTGATCTTTTGTTTTGAATTCTAAGATTGCATGGGTTTTATCTTCTGATAAAGTTACAGAGGAGATAGGCGGAGTTCCTGGGTATATCCTCTTAATAAGAATAATAATAATTTTTCAAAAAAAAAATGTAATTGCATGATAAATAGGAAAATACACTGGTTTAGGGATTATAAAGTTTCTAAAGCTGTGTTAAATAAATTCTGAAGCTCAGCTTCAGTGGAATCTAAAGGAATGCTACTCACAATTAGTTTACGTTGGCTGTGTTTAAGTTTGAGAGTATGGAGGAGTTGGCTCGTTTGGCTTTTGAGAGATACGGGATGTCCATAAAATGAAGAACCAATATTTAATTAAAAAGAAAAGAGTTAGTATCTCTTATAAATAAGAAAACATCATGTCCTTCAGGTAACTCATAACAAGGAGCAAAAAAACCATAAATTTGACTGTAAAATTTTTTTTTATATCACAAAAATAGAAGATTCTAGATCTCCACAAAAATGGAAACAGTTGAGTCCTTAATAAAAAAGACCTAGTAACTAAGCAAAATAGACGATACCAGCAATTCATCAATGCAACCTAAGGTCTAGATAATTTGCAAGAGTCTAATGAAAATAAAAAAATTTTCGATAAACGCTTGCTTCAATAAAAAAACGGAATTGTTATGTTTATAAGTCAAAGTTCATCTAGTTAAATAAAAAACGAAATCCATCTCTTTTTCTCAAGAGATAACGGCTTATTAGGTGCTGCAAAAACCCGCTTAAAAAGACCGTTATATTTGCGCAAAAATTAATATAATTTCTGCACCGATTTGCGTTGCAACACACATTAATATAGTGAAACGATGCTTTATTTTGATCCTTATTTATATCAGATTTTATGTCTTATATAAGAGAATTCAATATGATCTAATATTTCGAAACTATCAGCTCATGAAAATGTGAAATCGTTTGCTCAGTGAAAAAAAAATTAAACAGAGCTCCTTAAATAGAAATTTATTTTTTTTTAAAAAAATAAATTAAAATTTTGTTATTAAATATACTTTTAGAGCAAGCTTTGCTTATTTATTGCGCTTTTTTGTATAAATAATAACAATATTTAAGGTAAAACCTTACTTATCTCAGTTCTAAGTGTACCTCTTTCAGTGTCTATTAAAGATATTAAAATTATTAAAAATATATAAAAAAACCGTTTTCAAGACATATTCTTTCAAAATATATCAAAACGATGACCAAAATTTGCAATATTTTTTGGGTCAATTTCCTTAAAAAGGTTTTTATAAGTTTTTTTAATAATTTTAATATCTTTAATAGACACTGAAAGAGGTACACTTAGAACTGAGATAAGTAAGGTTTTACCTTAAATATTGTTATTATTTATACAAAAAAGCGCAATAAATAAGCAAAGCTTGCTCTAAAAGTATTTAATAACAAAATTTTAATTTATTTTTTTAAAAAATAAATTTCTATTTTAAGGAGCTCTGTTTAATTTTTTTTCACTGAGCAAACGATTTCACATTTTCATGAGCTGATAGTTTCGAAATATTAGATCATATTGAATTCTCTTATATAAGACATAAAATCTGATATAAATAAGGATCAAAATAAAGCATCGTTTCACTATATTAATGTGTGTTGCAACGCAAATCGGTGCAGAAATTATATTAATTTTTGCGCAAATATAACGGTCTTTTTAAGCGGGTTTTTGCAGCACCTAATAAGCCGTTATCTCTTGAGAAAAAGAGATGAAATTCGTTTTTTTACTGAGATGACTTAAACCCAATTTAGTGACATAATGATTTATTTTTTTATTAAGAAAAGCGTTTATTGATTTTTTAATATATTCAGAATGGAATTGCAAACAAGGTATAACATCAATTTTGCTATTATATGAAACTGTCAGATCTTATTTCTAGTACATATAAGTTGCTTATTTAATAGACTTAACAGTATCATAGTTTATATAGCCAACAAGCTTTTTTCATTAAGACATAAAAAAAAAATTTTTACCGTCAAATTTAATGTTTTTTTTGCTCCTTATTATAAGTTACTTATAGTGCATAATGATATCTTATTGATGTGAAACGCTGGCTCTTTTCTTTTAATTACATATTGGTTTCTTATATTGTATACAGTCCGTATCTCTCAAAAGCCAAACGAGCCGGAGGAGTTCACGTTTGACCAGTCCGAACTCAGAATCTTTGGTTTTGTGCGGCTTTTTAGGTTTTTCTGAGTCTGATTCTGCCTGGACTCCATTTGTGTCAATTTCGTTCATTTTATAAAAATGATGCTGGCAGTCGGATTGGGTGGGATAACTGGTGCAATGGGCTGAGCTTATTATAACCGTGACAAAATCGATATATTTTTATTTATAATTAAAACCATTAATTAATAATTTATAAATATTGCCAATATATTTAAAAAAGTATAATTTTTTGGAAAGTTGTATAGTGAAAAAAGTAAAATCCCAAGTAAAGCACGAGCTAAACCAAGAACACGTAATTGAGATGTGTGACAGTAACTTCAAAAGAGTCTTTTGAAGACATGTCTTCGAAAACCCCGCTGTCCAGAATAAAACTGTAGATTTATTAGATCAGCTATTAAAACAGGAGAGAATAGAAAAGGTTATTAAAGATTTGATGATAAAAGGAACGAAACACCCACCTGTTGTACAAAGACTTTCAATCCAAGCTTTGGGGAGAACTGAACAGTTTGTAGAAGACCCGTCCACAAAAGATCAAATGCTTAAGTCACTCATTGATGAAACTAAAGAGAATTAATTAATGTGATATCGTAAAAGCCAGTTTAAGGAAAAACCGATAATAAAGCTGATAATTGCAAATTCAATTAGGTTGACTTTTGATGATTTTACTTCAAGAATTGGCTGTGGAAGCGGTTTATCAAATCTGGATCTTATTTTTTCAGGTTTTTTCTCTGAAAGATATTTATCGTTTTCAAGCTTCAAATTTATTGGGACTCGTTTATTTGCTTCTTTTGAAGCTATTTTCCTGCCGATTTTTGGTTCTCTTAAGTATTTTACTGCAGCTATAAGCTTCTCAATTTTCTCATCAGTTTGCTCCTTCTCTCTTTTTATGGTTTTAAGTTTTTCAGGCAGCTCTTTTTTCTTTTTTTGTAGTTCTAAAAGCTCTTTTTTCTTAAAATTTACACTTCGATGCAGCTCATTTAGTTTTATGTGTAGCTGATCAAGCACATTTGTGTAGTAATTTTTTTCTAATTCTAAGTTTTCGACTTTTTTGTGATTTAAAGTATTTGGGAGTAAATATAGCGCGGTTGTTTTGAGAAAGATTTGATGATAAAGATTATTGAGAGGGCTTTCAAAGCTGGTGTCTATTTTTTGAACTAATTTTGATTTGTTTATAAGCTTTGATCGTATTGAAGTAAGTCGCCTTAAGATTAAATCTTTTTGTTTCTCGATTTTATCATTAGGTCTTCCTAACTTATGCAATTGTTTTGCGGACATATGGCTTATTTTTGTTTTTTTTGGATTTATTTGGCCATTTAGCTCATCACATACTATGCTTTCAGTCTCCTCAGGGCTATTTTTAGATATAAACGCCCATTTCTTTAAGGATTCTTTTATCAGTCCCCCAATTTGGGTTTGGCCTCTGATGATGACTTTTTTAGCATTTTCTTTTTGCCTTTTAGCTTCAACTAGTCTATAAAGTTTTCCACATGCATTTCTTATTAACTTTTCATCTTTTTTTGCTTCGTTCTTTGATTTTAATACGTTTAGCTTATATTGCAAAAACGCATATTTCATATAGTTTTGTCTATTGCCTATCCTATTAATTCATTTTTGCATGCATTTTATTTGAAAGCCTTGAACTTCTAGCCTCCTCCACATTTGCTCTTTGTCAATTTGTTTTCTAATTTCTTGTGCCAGTATGTCGAATGCTTTTTTCATCCGAAAATTAGTTTTCATAGAAAAATACTTCAAAAAATCTTTCTTTCTTTTCTCTAGCATTCATTTGCTATTAAGCTTTTCCTCTTCTGCAGATTTTAATTGTTTTTCAACTAGAGAATTAAAAATATCAGAATTTTTCTTTTCCAAAGAATATCTCCTTATTTTTTCAAAAAATTTTGATATTATTACTTTTGTTTCTTTTTCTATGCATATAAATGATCTATTTAATAAATTTTCTCCTTTTCTTATTTTTTGTATTTGCTGCTTAAATTTTTCAAAATATTTATAAGTATTCATATTAACTCCTTTTGAATATGAATGAAGAAGGAATTCTAGCTTTTTCTTGGTGTTAATTTGTTTTAGTGTGTATCCTGCATCTAAAATCGTTTTAAATTTCTTAAAGCCAGCACTCATATTAATAAATCTTCTTTCTAGAGCTTTACTTAAAAAGCTAAATTTGATTTTCATATGAATGTCCTTAACTTTTTCATTCCATTTTTTTATGAATTTTATTTTTCTGGATTGCTCAAAATCAAAATATTTTAAAATTCATTTTCTTCAAATATATCGCTTATGAGCAACTAGGCTTGAATTTATCTGAAATTGGGAGAATGCGCGACTCATTATTTTAGTTCATCTTTGAGTACTCATATTGTATCAGATTTGTATATAATTAAAATATGGCGTCTTCGTCTGGGTATGGCCTCCCGGCCATACATACTCGACTCATATTTTAATTATATCCGGCAAGGTTTTGCCATTCCAGAATCCAGAAATGGGCAACAATGCCATGGTAAGCAATTCTGCAGAGCAGAGCAGAGCCTGGCTCATGCCCAATGACTAGAATGGATTTTATCCTCGAGAGGAAAGGGTGTCCAAGTTTGGAAAGGGTAAGCTCAGCAGAGTCTACAGGCAATGCCTGGACCATTCGGGCAACTACCTAGCGTGAAACTGGGCGTTACGTCCCAGGACTTGGAATTTCCCTTTTTGCCGAAAGGTGACCAGAAATTCATTTTTTGAAATTCGGAAAGCCAACTCCCGTAACTCAAGCAGCAGCCGCAGGATTCCATAGCCCGCCCACTCAAGACTTAAGCCGCAGTACGCTGTGGGAAGGAGTAGACGTGTTTCCCTTTGGCGATTCTTTATGGCTCGTTGGGAGTTCGTCGCAAAGCAGGTGAACCTCACATCGAGGTCCTTGGTGTCTGCGTTAACAACGCGGCAGTCGCCTCATTAATGTAATTTAAGATTAAGATTAAGTATCACATTTGTATAAGCTTGAAATTGGTTTTGTCCAGTTTTAGCTTCTTTTGATTTTCTAAATGCATTCTCGTTTTCATCGACTCGAATTTCCATTTAGAAAAGCATGATGTAAACAAAATCTGTCTTCTCATAAGAATTAATTTAAAAGTTTGTACTGCTTTTTTCGAAATTAATTGCTTTTGCTCTTCATCTTTTAGCTGGTTCTCGACCAAAAGTAACTGGACTTCTTTCTGCAGCTCGACCTGTATTTGCTCTTTTTCGATATTTTGCGACATTAATTCATCAATTTTTTGAGAAAGGCTCAGTTTAGAATAAATCATTTCATCATTCATATTTTTGACCAGCTTTTTTAAATTTTCATTATTGCTCTCTAGGTTGTTTTTCTGATGTTTAATTTCTTGATTTTCCTTATCTATTAGGTTTGTCGATCATCTTGACACAGCTCTTGATAGGATTAGTCTATTGAATTGAGATAGGATGCTTACAGCTCTATAAAGTGCCTTATTTTTATTGTTCAAATTGGCTTTAAATCGAAGTATTGATTTCAAAAGAATTCGAGATTTTTTTATTGCATATTTTTTAACTACATTTTGAAGCTCAAAAAAAGTTTTCTCTGCTTTTGCTTGATCCAATTTGACAGCTCCAACATAATTTTCCCAAATAAATAGTGCTTCATTAATCCTTTTATAAATTCCCATTTTCAGCATACTCAATAGTTCTAATTTTCTTTTGAATTTGCTATTTTTTTCAATCTGAGCTACTCTTTCTTCATTTTTTTTTAGTTTTTCATATGATTTCCAATCAATAGTCTTTAATTTATAGCACTGGAAACCATTGAATTTTTCTCTCAATTGCCTCCTTAAAAGCATTGATTTGCATAAAATTGCTTTGCTTTTTCTCTTTATGCATTTTGCTACAAAAGCGTTAAAATAAACAAGCATGGCTCTCTTATAATAAGCAGTCAAAATATTAGATAAAAAATTTTTTTTCCTTTTTTCGATCATTTTGCCTTTATCTTGATTAAAAGATGCAAGAAGAGTTTGCCTGCGAAATTTATGAAATTGTTGGGCTTTAAAGAATTTTTCCATTCAGAGTCTTTTATTATAGCACTCCACAAGTTTTTGAAAGTGCAAATATTGAATTTTTGCCTTTAAAAACGCCATTGTGCTCTTGCTCTTTTCATTGTGTTCGTGAAATAGAAATTTAATAATTGCGGTTTTCTTAAATTCATGCTCTCTTGAATCGAAAATTTTGATGAATTTGTGTAAAATATATGTAGCTCTTGGGTTATCTGAATATGGCCTTTTAGGCTTCTCAGGGGCTGGGATTCCACATCTCGGATTTTCGTTTAATTGCGAAGTCCATTCTAAATAAAGCCTAGCGAATTCTTCATCACAGCTTTCTGCTGCTATCATTTGTTCTATTTTCGTATAGCAAAATTTTCGTGTGGCTGCAGCATCAACAAGCCATTGATCAAGCAATTTTTTCTTGTTTGTATAAGTCTTAAGAGGAACTTCTTCTTTTCCCAAGACAGTCACCAAGATTTGTTCAATTTCTGTCAAGTACATATTTTAAGATTATTTAATAAACGTATCATAAAAACGAATAATGTGAAGAAATTCAATAAAAAACTTTTTTTGCCATAGTAAGAATTTATATCAGAAATAGAGCTGTTTGATATGGCTATTATTCTAATAAAATATTTTTTCTTATTAATAAGCTATTTCTATTAATTAATTACCGATTAAAAAGCTTATATTTTCAACTCACTTATTAATTACTACATAATTCTGAGAATTATTAAATGGCCGGAGTCAACCGAGTTTCTTTAGTTTTACGATTTAAAAATTCCAACAATAAAAAAACTGACACCTCTCTCTTCAAAATATCTCCAACAAATACTGAAATAAACATAATAACCCCGCCCAACCTGAGGCATACTTATCCATTTCAAAAAATCTACACAAATGACAACAATCTTAAAGAATTCAACCGTGATTTTACAATCCCTATGATGGACCACGTTGTTTGTGGAGGAAATTGCACAATAACCGCAATTGGGGCTCCAAATACAGGGAAATCTTATAGCCTCTTTGGAGTAAAAACTGAAGCTGGATACCATGGTGGTATTGTTATTGAAGGAATGCGGCATTTAATAGACGAAACTAAAAAGCTATCAACAGATATAACAATTGGCATATTAGTCAGTTTTTTTGAAATGCATAATGGGAAAATAAGAGATTTAGGGATTGCTTATCAAAAAAGAGAAGAATGGGGATTTGACGAAATTTTTGAATTTTATAAAGATCTAGATTTGCCAGTAAAGGAGACGAATTTGAAAAGTTATATTGAAGGAATTTCGTTGATTCAAGTGAATTCGCTGGAAGAGGTGGAAGAAGTGATATGGCATGGTTTTCAGCTTACACCCCTCCAAAAAATTTTGGGTTTTTGGGCAAAAATAGTGATTCTTCCAATGGTTTTGTTTACTCACGGAGGGGGAAATTAGAGAAAGCTATGAAAAGGCATATGGGCCAATTTCTGATAAATGTATAACAGTTTTAAGCGCGACAGTAAGCCAAAGATCAAGAGCATTCACCACTTTCGAAACAAAAAACGGAAGATTTCACTTTGTTGACACATCAGGAAGCGAATGCAACTCAGTTCAAGACGAATCTGATTTAGAAGACCCGAATAATATGTTGAAAGGCATTAAAAAAGTCTTTAACAAGCTTAATATGCTCAAACAAGGCATCCCTATGAGTGTAATCTCCTATAAAACCTGCAAATTAACTCACTATTTACAAAGTGGACTGACAGGAAACTCGCTTGTTACTGTTCTACACACAATTGACTCGGAGCCTTCTAAATTTAATGAGGCTTATAAAATGCTTGAATTCAGCAAATCTATAGTGGAAATGGACGCAAGGCTAAAAGTTATGAGAAAACATGTGAATTCAACCCAAGAAGACGATGATAATATAGTGATAAGGCTAAGAGAAGAAATAAGGGATATTGACAAAACTATTGAAACAGCAATGAAATATCATGAAGAAAAAATCAAAAAAATAGCAAAATTTATTGGGATTGATGAAGACATGGAAATTCTGCTGAATTCTTCTGAAAACTCAAAAGAATATGAAACTGCGAAAAAGTTTAAAGAAGCACCGGAAATTATGGAAAATTTAATAAATAGGAATAAAATACTTGAAGAAAAAATCAAAGAAGGCCAGAAATTAATTGGCATTAAAAGAGAAAAATTAGAACACAAAAGACAAGCTTTATCTTTACTCCCCCTCTGTGAACGAATATTTTTTTTGGTTCGTTTACGGAGGAACTAATTTTTTTTTAAAAAAAATTATATAGAAATTTTATTATACAATTTGTTTGTTCGAAATTTAAAAAAATCCATATTCGAAATAATTTCAAAGCAAATATTAATTTAATTTGTAAAATTTATGTTTCAAAATAAGCAGAATTAGCTAGAGATTTCATTATAATAATTATCACTTATATATCAAATTTTTTTTTTCGCCCTGGAGGCCAAAAAATAGGTTTTTTTTTCCAATGATTTTGCTCCCCCACGAAGGGGAGTTAGAAACCAAAAAGTATGATGCAGAAATAATTAAGGCTAAAAAAGAGCTAGAAGATCTAAGCGAAGCTTATGAAAATCGAACGGATTTCAAAATAATAGCAGCTGAAGAAATGGATCAGCTGCTTATTAACAGCCATTTATCAATAGAAGAAATGTCAGCCAATCTTCATAGTATCAAATCAAACATGATGAACTCAAAAGGAGATCTAAGAAATTTAGCAGACATGGTAGAAATAGGAAGAAACGAAGATGAGCATATTTTTAAGAAAAAATATATGGAAATAGAAAGCCAACAAAAACAAAAAATTGAGAATTTAATTGACCAATTTAAATACTATGATAAAATATTATATGAAAAAAATAAAAAATTTGAGCGCGAATGCAAAGCCTATTCTGTAGAAATAAAGTAAAGGTTATATAGCGAAACATTAAAACAATATAAAGAAGAATCTGTTCAATTGTATGAAATTGCAGTAAAACTTGATATGATAATTAACGAAATCGAAAGCGGAAAATACAATATGGGCGTTAAGCCAGTTTTGATACCCAGGACTCATAAATTTGCATTGCCAAGAAAAGAAGATTATCCAATGTAATATTTAAACAGCACTTTTAGAGCTATTGGAGCCACGCCTACCATTTTAAGAGATCCTTTCTCTTCATTTAGTCAATCTCGCTCAATCAAGTCTTCTACATTTTTATCATCCGCCACAAGCACTTTATCATTTAATTTTCAGCCAAAATTACCAAAAGTCCAGACTTTTAGGAACTTCGAAGATTTAATTACTGACTCCCCCCCCCCCCTCCGTGAGCGAACAAAACCATTAGAAAAATCGCCATTTTTTGACCAAAAACCCACCCTCCGTGAGTGAACAAAAATTTTTTTTAATAGAAAAAATTTTAATGGAAAAAAATTTGGATATATAAGTGATAATTAGTATAATGAAATCTAGAGCTAATTCTGTTTAATTTTAAACAAATTGCGTTTTAAAACATAAATTTTGCAAATTAAATTAATATTTGCTTCCCAATTTTTGCAAATTAGGATTTTTTTAAATTTCGAAAAAAATATTTTTTATAAAAAATTTATATATAAATTTTTTTTAAAAAAAAAAATTAACCCCCCTCCGTGAGCGAACAAAATTTTTTTGTTCGCTCACGGAGGGGGGGGGGGAGTGAGAAAATTGATCTTTCAACTGCTTTGAGCTGCCCTTTGAAACCCCTCAATAATAAAGAACTCAAAAACCTTGGGACAAATCTACAAATGTATGTTCAAAAGAAGACAGCAGAACTAGAGTCTATCAACTCAGAGCTAGACTCCAAAGGCTGCAGCTTAGAAAAAATAGAAAAACTCGAGCAAGAATTAAAAAATGTCCAAGAAGAAGCAGAAAATTTTAAAACAAAGTACGAAAAAGAAGTAAGGTCAAGAATTGTAATTTTCAAGTAGGATTTGCAGGATCATTTTTATTATTCTCCTAGACCAGAAAGCAGATTCTTTATAACAGAAATGAAGAATTCTCGGCCAGTGACACAGCATAAAATGAAAGTGAGAATTCCTCAAACTGCTAAAAACTCAGTAAGTGCGTATTCACTAAATTCTCGTGCCCAGACATCAGGATTTTTAAGCCAGACAAGTTCTTCCTCTCAAACTTTGGTACGTTTTTCACCTCGAGGATCTATGAAGAATATTTTAGGTGATTTAAAAGGATACACTAAATAATGTAATAAAATGCATAGAATTAAAAGCCCATTGTTTTCAACGATTTATGGTTTAATCCATTTTCTTTAAATCTGAGGCTACATTGAATTTGCACCCTGTGTTTGCTTGAATTGAATCGACTGAGACGCCTCTCGCAATTTCTGTCAAAGTCATTCCTCCTTCTCTCTTAAATTCAAAAACCCCCAGTTCTGTAATAAGTGTGTCAACAACTCCTTTGCCAGTTATTGACGAAAGAGTGCACTCTTCTACTATCTTTGGTCTTCCATTTCTTGTATGAGTAGTAAGAATAATAAGTCTGGATTTTCTGCTAGACACAAGATCCATAGAAGCTCCTATACCTTTTTCGTTGTCACCTTCTAGGTCCCAGTTAGCGATATCTCCGGTTTGTGATACTTCATAAGCTCCCATCATAATTAAATCCAAGTGTCCACCTCTCATGATATTCATAGAATCACAAGATGAAAAGACTGAGGATCCTGGGTTTAGTCTGATAGTTTCTCTTAAAGCGTTAATTAAGTCAGGGTCTGCTTGGCCTTTAGAAGCATGCCCACCAACCCCAAGAGCGCCTGGAATAGTTATAATCCTAACCTTGGTTTTATCTGGAATCAGCCTAAAGACAACGCTGTTAGGAATTCCAATACCTAAGTGAATGTACATTCCTTCTTTTATTTCTTTCAAAGCCCTTTGCCCTATTTTCAGCTTATCTGGGTCATCAATTGATTTTTCAGCACCTTCTTCTACTAAATTTTCAATTGGTTTTTCATATTTTTCACCTTTAATTAGCCTATGCACAAAAATGGAAGGAGTAATAATATGGTCTGGGTCAAGCTGCCCCACTTCAACTATTTCTTCTACTTCTGCTATCGTAATTTTCGAACACATAGCCATTTCTGGGTTGAAATTTCTGGCAGTCCTATGATAAATTAAATTTCCTTGAGTATCAGCTTTCCAAGCTTTAATAAAAGAAAACTGTGTCCTAATTGATTCTTCAAACAAGTGGTCTTCTCCTTCGAAGTTTCTTTTATCTTTAGGTCCTGAAAAAATTTCAACTCGTTTGCCGCCAGTCATGTATTTTATTGGAAAACCACCCTCCTCAAATCCAGTGCCTACTCCGGTTTTAGTATAAAATCCTGGGATCCCAGCACCTCCAGCTCTTATTTTGTCAGCTAAAGTCCCTTCTGGTAAAATATCAAGTTCAATGCTGCCACTTTTCCATTCATTATAAGCTAATGAACCATGCTCCAAATAAGTAGTTGTGAGCCTTTTTATTTGTCTGGCTTGAAGAAGGAGATCAAGCCCAAAATTCTTTTGTCCGCTGCTCATAGAATAGATGCCAAGATCATATGAACCTAAATCTCTCATTGATCTTAGAAGATTTTCAGGAACTCCGCAGGATCGATAGCCTCCAACTGCAATTGAGGAGCCTGGGGTAATGTCCGCAATTGCGTCTTGAGGGTTATCGAAGATTTTGCAGTATTGTCTTAGCAGTCTACGTGTGCACAACATTTTCTTTTATTTTTAGCCATCAAGATGAATTAATTTGGGAGAATAGATTTAACGCTGAATATTAGGCAGAAAATATTAACTCTCCCCTCTGTGAGTGAAAAAAACCATTGAATATCCCTATTTTTTGCCTAAAACCCACGCTCTGTGAGCGAACAAAAATTGTTTATTAAAAAAATATTTTGATATATAAGTGATAATTAATATAATGAAATATATAAGGATCCCCCCCCTCATTTGTCCAATTTTCTAGTCTTTTTTTCTAAGAAAAAAAATTTCAGGGCCTCATTTGTCCCAAAATCTAGTCAAAAATGATTTGTTCCATTTTTAGTCTTTTTTGATTTTTTCGAATGTCCTAAATTTTAGTTTTTTACTTTAAAAAACAAGAAAATGAGATAATTGAGGTCCTGAAAATTTTTTTCTATCAAAATTTTGATTAGAAAATTGGACAAACGAGGTCCTAAAAAAATTGTTTTTTTCTATAAAAAAACTAGAAAAAATGGGCAAATGATAAAGACTAGAAAATTGGACAAATGAGGGGGGATCCTTAGTACTTCTGTTTAATTTTAAACAGCTTGAATTTAAAACATATTTTGCAGATCAATTAATTTTTACTTCTCAATTTTTGCTAAATGGATTTTTTAAAAAATTTATTATACATTTTAAAAATAAATTGAAATTTTTTTACTTCTCAAGGAGAGGGGGAGTAAGAATTTTTAAAATTCAAGCTAGTAGATAGAAGTTTGATGAATGAAAAAATTAATTTTTAAAGTACTGGCGTGCTCTCAAATCTTATATTTTAAAATTTTTATGATTTTGAGGTTAATTTATAAGATATTATATAGATATGGGATACTTGAGCAAAGAATATAAATTTAGGATGCATAAACTTCAAACCAATTATTGCAAAAATGAAAGATTTGGATAAGTTTCATGTGCTATTAATTTCATCTTTCCTCAATATAAATATGAAAAAATTACAAAAGACAGAAAATACAAAATTTACTGACAATCAAACTCTAATTAAATTATTTTCATTAAAAGTAAAGTTTTATTTGGCCAGTGATAAATTGAAATCGTAAAATATATATTTACTCCCCCCCCCCCCCCTCCGTGAGCGAACAAAACCATTAGAAAAATCGCCATTTTTTGACCAAAAACCCACCCTCCGTGAGTGAACAAAAATTTTTTTAATAGAAAAAATTTTAATGGAAAAAAATTTTGATATATAAGTGATAATTAGTATAATGAAATCTAGAGCTAATTCTGTTTAATTTTAAACAAATTGCGTTTTAAAAAAAATAAATTTTGCAAATTAAATTAATATTTGCTTCCAATTTTTGCAAATTAGGATTTTTTTAAAATTTCGAAAAAAATATTTTTTATAAAATTTATATATAAATTTTTTTTAAAAAAAAAAAATAACCCCCCTCCGTGAGCGAACAAAATTTTTTTGTTCGCTCACGGAGGGGGGGGGGGGAGTTTAGCAATTTATATTCAAAATATTTAAAATTAGCAATATCATAAATTATGCTAAATCAATATTTATTATATTTATTATATTTAACCATCGAGAAATATAAAAGATCTTTTCACAAACTTATATAATATAATAATGATTAAGAATTGCTAAGAGAAGATCTGTCAAACATTTTAATATTAGACTAACTATGCACTCGAATTACCACAAATAACTAAATTATCTTTCAGAATCATAAAAATTCTTCTTCATAGCCAAATTTTAATTAAGCTAATGATCCCTCATATTTATGGACTTATAATAAAAGTGGCCAATGCGTATTGAAAAGTGCTATTTTTGTTCTAGCAACATATATCCAGGCCACGGGATTTCTTTTGTCAGGAACGACTGCAAAGTATTCAAGTTCTGCAGGTCAAAATGCCACAAGAACTTCAAGATGAAGCGAAACCCTAGAAAGGTCAGATGGACCAAAGCCTATCGGAATGCTGTCGGGAAAGAAATGACTGTAGACCAGGTCTTTACTTTCGAAAAACGAAGGAATATTCCTGTTAGGTATAACAGAGACTTATTCGTTAAAACTGTTGGAGCAATGAAAAGAATAGCTGAAGTCAGGGAAGCCAGACAAAAGAGATTCTGGGAAAACAGAATGAAACAAGCACAAAGGAGACATGAACAAGCACAGGATAAAGAATTGGAAAAGAATCTGCATTTGGTTGATGAGCCTGCGCTGAGAGAAACTATTACGCTGAAGTTATCAAATAAGATGGATATTAGTGAATAAACAATTTTATAAATTTAGGAACTTTAATTAAAGCTTGGAGAGGGGCTTGATAAGCTGCTTGATTCCTGGGAAGATTGGCTGGGTGTTGATAGGGTTCATGTCTTTTGATAACTTGTAGAGGGTTTCGTAGACTTCGCCATCTTTTCGGCCTAAAACTGACAGAAGGACGCTTTCTTCGATGTCAAAAGCTTCAATAAGTCCAATTGCGTCATTTCTGAGCCTTCTCATGGCGGTTTCTCTCATTTTTCTCATATTTTCAATCGTTTCTTGGCTGATTACTTGATTTTTCAATAGCAGTCACATTGATTTGAGGATTCTGCTTAATGCAAAAATCTGTCTTAAAGCATCAAGTGCAGGTCTGAATTGGGTTGGAAATGTTTCAATTCACATAGCAAATGCTTCATGCATATGGTAATTCCCAAAATATTTAACCAAATTTATAGCTGCAATTTGTAATTTTTTATTTTCAATATCTTTTTCATTATTGTTCTTAAGCTCTTTCAGCTTTTTCTGGACTTCTTTTGCTGATAAGTTTAATATTGCTTTGAGACAAGCTGAATGGAACTGAGGAGTTCCAATATTATCATCAATTAAAATACTAGCAATTTTTTCATTAGCTATTTGTGTGAATTCTGAATTTTCTTTTCTTTCCATAAGGTGGACTAATATTTTGGCAGAATTTGCGAGTAAAACTGCATTTTCTCCTTCAAACGATTTTGAAATCACGCTTGTGGTGTATAGCCCACCTACTCTAATAGATTGGGCCTCAATCCTGGACGGCCATAAGCCTAAGAAACCCTTCGATAAATTGATGGGACGATTCCCTATGACTGGGGAGGGGTTGGGTTGAAATATAGGCTGACGCCAAAAAGGGGATAGGGCAAATGGCAAAGTCAGGGAGGAAATAGCCAATATGTGAGAGAAGTGTACAAAGGCTCCCTTTATCGTGGTTCCCAACTGCTTGAGAGAGAGAAATCTGAATGAGTCTTACCTCTTGAGTCTCTGAATTTTGTTGTGTTCGATCCATTTTTATTTAATCTACCGAGCCAAATCAATCTGACAAACCAAATAAAAAGTGAAAATGGAAGTGGATGAACCTCAAACACACACAAATATAATGAGAAAAATGATTATTTCTTATTTCGATTGTCCATCAGCACTTTGGGCAATTTTTGTCACTGGGAATTATTGCTCCTGCACACAAGACAAAATTTTATTTTCAATTTTTATTAAAATGTATATTGATACCTATTTTTTTCGGAAAAATCGTGCTGAGAAAAATTGCTAGAAGGGCTAGAGTAAAACAGACGCTGTTTTTGCACATCACTCTCAAGTTTCTACAATATGTGAAGTGCTCAGTTTAATCACACTTCTGCAAGTTCTGGGAAAAGTCAAAAACTTGGCAAAAATGCCCTTTTTTCGGAAAAATCGTGCTGAGAAAAATTGCTGGTAGTGTTAGAGCAAAACAAACGCTGTTTTTGCACATCACTCTCAAGTGACTACAAAATGTGAAGTGCTCAGTTTAACCACATTGCTGCAAGTTCTGGGAAAAGTCAAAAACCTTGGTAAAAATGCCCTTTTTTCGGAAAAATCGTACTGAGAAAAATTGCTAGAAGTGCTGAAGCGGAACAAGCGCTGTTTTTGCACATCACTCTCAAGTACCTACAATATGTGAAGTGCTCAGTTTAATCACACTGCTGCAAGTACCTACAATATGTGAAGTGCTCAGTTTAATCACACTGCTGCAAGTTCTGGGGGAAATCAAAAACCTTGAAAAAAATGCCCTAGTTTATTGGAAAAATCGTACTGAGGAAAATTGCTAGAAGTGCTGGAGCGGAGCAAGCACTGTTTTTGCACATCACTCTCAGGTGGCTGCAATATGCAAAGTGTTTGAACCTAATTGAATGAGGGAGGCTGAGATTAGATTTTGCCATTTTATAAAAAAATTCGCCCTATTAATTAATCGCCTAAATCTATAAGTCTAATGGCACTCATTATATGCTCCCAGCATTTTTTGAATGTATAGCCAAGCTTCTTCATGCATTTATACGCTTGATTGCAAGTCACTTTTTCATCTAGTAATTGTCTATTCAGCTTTTTAAACTCTCTCAGGTATTGAAATGGTTGGATTACCATTTAAGCAAGCCTCTGTCAAAGCCTGCGATGCTGTGTTGCTTAGCCTCAGAGGCCTATTGCTTCTTCTGTCTTCAATAGGGTTTCCTTCTCTATGCTTTGTGATTATTCTTTTTACTGTGCATGGGGACACCACAAATATTTTCCCAAATATCGACATATTTGGCATCTGGATGAGAATCGTAGAATTCAATGATTCTCATTTTAAGCTTGATTTTAAAATTTCCTTTGTGCTTTTTGATTTTTTTAATAGCAACTTCATCGACATTCATAGCCAAATTATTTTGATAGGCTCTTTCATGGCTCAGGACTCTATCTGCATGGTCAGCGTAATCAAAATCGATTAGGGACTCAATCTTTCTTTGTATTTGATGAAGAAATTCAGGACTGCTAACATTTTCACTTTGCATTGAGCTTGGCTCCCAAATTTCAGATGAGCTTTGAGCAGGAGGATTGTTATACTCTTTTGAATTTATAGTGCAGGTCTTAACGTAAAGAAACTTATCAAAGTTAAAAGGAGCCATTAAGTCTGTTTGATGCACAGTTATATTTGTGTGTGTTTGAGGTTCATCCACTTCCATTTTCACTTTTTTTATTTGGTTGTCAGATTGATTTGGCTCGGTAGATTAAATAAAAATGGATCGAACACAACAAAATTCAGAGACTCAAGAGGTAAGACTCATTCAGATTTCTCTCTCTCAAGCAGTTGGGAACCACGATAAAGGGAGCCTTTGTACACTTCTCTCACATATTGGCTATTTCCTCCCTGACTTTGCCATTTGCCCTATCCCCTTTTTGGCGTCAGCCTATATTTCAACCCAACCCCTCCCCAGTCATAGGGAATCGTCCCATCAATTTATCGAAGGGTTTCTTAGGCTTATGGCCGTCCAGGATTGAGGCCCAATCTATTAGAGTAGGTGGGCTATATAAGAAAGGAAGTCCTGAAAAATTAGAAAATCCATGACCCCCACAAGCTTGCCTACAAGTTTCAATACCGCTTGCTACAACTTCAGTGAAATAGGCTTTGTAGCTCATTGATAAAGCATTAATTTCAAATAATTCGTTATCAGTTGAGCTTTGATATATAGAAAGTAGCTGAGTGCTTGCAAAAAGCATTGCATATGCTTCAGCTAATAGCGAGAATAGTTTGACTTGCTGCATTTGATATTCAATTAGTGGCCTCTCTCGTGTTGGATCATTTGCATAAGTTCTGAATTGCTTCCTTACACATGAATATCTGATAGCAATAGTGAGCCCCATAATCAAGGGCAAAATGCATTCTCTAGATATAATTATTCTTCTCCCTACTAAAAATTTAAAAATCATTTTATGGTCCTTTGGCTCGATCCCATGGTAATCTCCTGTCTCACTTACTTCTGAATACCGGGACAGTAGATTTTGCCTTGGAATTCTAACATTATTTAGCTTCAAAAATCCAAAGTCATTGACTGTATTTCCTATTTTTGGGCCTAAATCCTTTACAAAAACGCCTGGTAATGGCTCATGAGTAGCAATAGACCGAATAGGCACAAAAAATGAATGAATCCCTAAGTCCTTTTTATTGAGAATTAGCCTTGCTATTATAATAGTATGGGTTGCAGTTAAGCCCATTCCTGCTCCCCACCACTTATAAGAGCGCTGTGTAGGTGTATTGAGAATAAATTCTTGTGACTGCTGGTCAAATTCTGCAGTAGTCTCTATAACCCTGTTATAAGGGCCATGCCCAAGCTCTGTTTGTGCATAGCAGCCTATAAACTGCAATTTTTCAGCTAAAGGTAATATTTTGTTTTTTTGCTGTTGACTGGCGAGCAGTTTTAATGCAGGAATAAACATATGATAATGCATCATGAAAGGATTTTGCTCATTATATTTGCTTACTCTCTTTATGTGAGGGATTAAAAATCGTCTTGCTAAATAATTCCAATAATATGAAATAAAATTTTGATTTAATTAGAGAAAAAATTTATTTGATAATGAAAGCTGTCTAAAATTAATAGAATTGGCTCCCGATTTACTATAATAATCATTAATTGCGTGCCAAATACTTTAAAAATTTTTATATCAATAGCATTTTCTACTCTCTCACATAGGTCTTAATTACCTCAAATATTATGAATTTTAAATAGTTTTGTTCAAGAACCGGGGTTAGTATATAATGTTTCTCTGCATCATTCAGTTCAGTTCTGTTAAAAAGATCTTGGGTTTTTCGACCGTATTTGTACATATTGTTGAATCTTGCTGGCTTTTCTTCTGTGTATCGAGTAAGAGAGGGATATAGATCTGGCTCTTGCTCTAAGTTGTGAACAAATGAATTTAAAGCTGCTTGCCATATTTTTGCGCTGTTTTTCATAAAAATAAATTCTGAATTAATTCAAAGTAATCAGTTTAATATAAGCAAATATATCCCTATTCATGCAATATATTATTTATTCTAAAAAATAATTATCAATTTTACCTAAAATAAACTAATCGCTGCCAGCATTAAATCATACAATTTCTAGAATCAGTCATAATATTTTTTTTAAATAATCTCTACGGGACTCTGCAATTCCAGGATAAAGATGATGAAAAAGAAGAGGTTTGAATTCTTCTGCATTGAACGAACAATTTTTTCTTTCTCTATCTAGGACTCCTAAAGCCATATTAATAAAATATTATAATCACATTAACTTCTTTTGAGAAGGCAACTGTGTTTGAAGAATTGACACAGTTCCGTTACCAAACCATACATCTATAGAAGGATAAAGGCCGCTTGGAACATTTCTAAACGCAATTCCTTGGCAAATCCCTCTTTTATAGAAGCTTAAAGTTTGGTGTTTTGCATTGTATAAAATCCCTATCACAGTTTCCATTTCTTCACAGCAGCCACATCCATACCCATTTTCTACCGAATGTTGGCCATTTTCGTCGGTTTTTATTAATTTATTACTCCACACGTCTCAATATCAGCTTGAGGGTGAATCTCTCCACAGGGTTGAAGTCAGCTGAGAAATCTCATATTTCGACTTATCAACTGCACCGATAAAAATATGTGACCCATTAGCCGATGACTCATTTATATCAATTTTTACTTCTACATAAGGGCAAGATTCACATAGCATGTTACCTCCAAAGCAAATTCCATGCTGATAGCTGATTTTTCTAATTATAGTATTATTTGATTCCAATGATAAAGTAGGTGCACATCATTCAGCGTCAAAATATCTCAATGAAGAGCTTATATTTTTTGATGGAAGCTCGAAAGGGATTCCTCAATATTCCAATTCCTCTTTAAATCTGATTTCATCAGCAGGGTTTTGCCTTATAGGAACTCTATTTGTCCTTAAAAAATTAATCATTTGTATAAAAGGATCGCTATCCCTGTCTATAAAAATTTTTCCATTATGATAATATAATTCCTCAGATGTAAAAAAGCTGGCTAATGCAGAGTCGGGGATTCTCATTAAAGTTTCCAAAGAAACTGTAAGGCTATGGGTGCCTCCAATATTAATTTCTATTATATGGTCTTCAGAATAGCATTGGGATTTGGCTTTTTCTATATTATTTTCATATATTCTCTGTTCATGCCTCAGGAGTTCTCATTTCTTTGACATTTCTTCATTGAATATTTTTTGCTGCTTCAGAAACTTCATCCTATCTATCTCATTAAGGTTTTTTCCAGCTGTTATCGCTACAGAACACTGGTCAAAATATGCTTCCAGCCTTCTGTCAAAATTTGAAATTTCAACAGATTCGTCAGCCGATGTTGTAGGGGAATACTCATCGAGATCTGCCATAGGAATATTGTAAGGGTACTCATCAGAACTTGAAGAAGAAATATCTCTGCCTGATCTTGACATAATAAAATAAAATGTTACATGAAATGCATAAAATAAGGATAGGAATAATAAAAAGCGCAGAAAAATTCTTAAGTTAAATAAAATGGATGAAAATATTACTGAAACTCAAAATTCAAGTGAAGCACAAAATGGATTTTCAGAAGAAAGTGTAAATAATGATGCTTGAAAAGAGGAAAAGAGATGCTCTGTTTGTACTGCTAAATTCAATAGAATAGGAATTCCTCTTCAAAAAGTTTGCTGCACATTTTGTTTTCGAGCTGTTTGCTCAAAGTGTTCAGAAAATCATATAAGAGATACTGTTACTAATGAAAAGAAAAAAATCTGTGATAGATGCTTTGACAGCAAAATGGAAAGCGTGGACTCACATATCTTGACTCAAGAATTGCAGACCAAAACCCTGATTTTGGGGAATAATGAAAAGCAGCTTCACGAAGAAGCTAAAATGCTAATGCAAGAAAAGCATCACCATGAAGAGGCAGAGAAGCGAGCTGCTGAACTGGAAAGGCAAATTATTGAGCAAGAAGAAGCTGAAGATTTATTAAGAAAACAGCTTGATGATCTGAAAAATAAAATAAATGAAGCGAAATCTGAAAAACAAGTTAAAAAATCTGAAGTGAATGGATTAAAAGAAAGCATAAAAGAAAAATCAAAAATAAAAGAAAGTTTAGAAAGTGAAATAGAAAACCAAAACAATGAAATTTCTGAAGCGCAAAAAAAAATTGAAGACGCAACCAAAGCAATTGAGAGCAAAGAAGAAGTCATAAATAAGCTAAAAATCGAATTAGAATCCAAAGAAGAAATAGCTAAAGAGGCTGAAAAAATCAAGGAAGACAAAGACGAAGAAGTAAAATTAATAAAAAAACAAAACCAAGAAAAAGCTGTAGAAATATTGAAAGCGAAAGAAAAAGTCGATTTCCAAGTGTCTAATATAAAAGGATTAAAAGAAAACTTAGCGGTTCAATTATTCGATAAAAACTAAGGGATTTGCATAAAATCAGAATTTATTTACTCATCAAGATTAAGAGTCAGTTTATCATCGAATAAGCTTGCATATTAAAATCTTCATTTTATGTAGAAAATTAACAGTTAAATATTAGGAGCCAACTTAGCATTGCTAAATGATAGCGGAACTAAGCTAGAAGACTCTTTAAAAGAACAAAATCATATTGTAAATGAACTGACTGCAACGATACAAGAATTAAACTCAAGAGGGAAAAAAGCTCAGGAGTTACTTCAAAAAAGAAAAGCAAAGAAAAAAGAGCTCAAGGCAAAAATATTAGAGCTGAAAAATTCTGAGCAAGCCAAAATAGAAGAAAATAAAAAATGTGAGAGTGAAATACAAAAGCTGACTGAAGAAATATGTAAAAATAGCAAAGAATTAGAATCTAAGCAGAAAGAAATTTCAGATATAAAAGAAGCAATGAAACAAAATGAATTAGCTAAAAAGGCAAAGCAAGAGCCTTTAGAAAATAATCCTTGCAGCAACTGCTTGCTCCCCCCTCCGGAACGAACAAAAAATTTTGTCGCTCACGAAGGGGATTAATTTTATAGTAAAATTTGTTTTATAAAAAAAATTTCCAATCAGTAAAAATTAAATTAATTTAATTTGTAAAATTTATTTTTAAAATGCAATTTTTTTAAAAATTAAACAGAATTAGCTAGAGATTTCATTATACTAATAATCACTTATATAAAAATTTGTATATCAAAAAGTTTTTTATTCGCTGAGAGGCAGTTAGTATTTTAATTTTATATAAATTTTTGTCTAAGCTCAATTACTAATAATAAAGATTTTAAGATTTTAGCTATATTATACTTTTAAAATGGATCAGGGAAAGCCGCTCATGAATTTACCAGTATTTCCTTCTTCTAATGAGCTAGAAATAAATGAAGCTTCTGGTGGCTCATCAGCTGAAGGAGATTCCTATATGTTCGAGATAGCTGAAATTTTGGATCAAGTTGAAGGCAAAACCGAGTCTGAAGAAGATAAAGATCAAGAAGTTATCATAGTATCAGATTCTTCTCATAGATCAAAAACAAAGGCAAGTAAACACAGAAAATCGCTTGATATTTGCTCACCATCTTCAAGATTATCAAGCTCTCAAGGTTTTTCAAAGTCCCCATCATTTCAATCTGCGAGCAACACTAATGAAATTGCTTATATAATAATTAAAATATGGCGTCTCCACCTAGCATGGCCTCCGGCCATGCAGCTTCCGAGCACATATTTTAATTATATCCGGCAAGAAAGAAAGAAAGAATTACTTTATCCCTAAATTATCCCAACAGTACTTCCATCACCATTCCAGAATTCCCAAGCAAACTCCGAAAAAGAACTCCCAATCACAACTCCCAAAACGAATTCCCAATCGCAACTCCCAAAAAGAACTCCCAATCACAACTTCCAACAAAACTCCAAAAACTCCCACAACTCCCCGGAGCATCGACCCCAAAAGATCAGCAACCCAAAGAGCCATTACCGGCAGTTTTTTCCGGGCAGCAAGCCCTTCCCCACGGAAGCAAACCTCCCGCGGCGACCTTTCGGCTGTCCGTCACGTAAGGAGACCAGCTGACCCGGTATATCCGGCAAGGTTTTGCCATTCTGGAAATGGGCAACAATGCCAGGTAAGCAATTCTGCAGGGCAGAGCCTAGTCCATACTCAACCACCGGGATGGATTTTACCTCGTGAGGAAGGAAGGCACGGGCAGTTGGAAAGGGAAAGCCCAGCAAAATCCTTAGGACCAATCGGGTAACTCCCTAGCGTGGAACTGGGCGTTACGTCCCAGGCCACGTGTTCTCCCTTTTTGCCGAGAGTCGGCCAGAAAATCCATTTTTTGAATTTTCTGAGCAGGCAACTCACGTCCCAAGAGAAGTCGCTCATTCATGAGCCGTCGAAGTCGGCGACGTCACCTGGAGCGCTGGGCGTCGAGTCGGGAGGCTGTGCTTTCAGATCTCTACGTGCCAAGAGGTGGCGGTGGACCCCGGAATGCCTACCCCATGGGAGACGTTAAGCGTTATATCTAATTAAGTAAGTAAGAAATCGCTTATATAACGCAAATCACTTCAAATGATGCAATTAGATCGATTTATTCATTAGTATCATCTAAACTGCCTTTTTCTTGCAGTGCAAGTACAGATTTTACTGAGAGGGATAAGGCTGAAATCCAAAATTATTTTCAAAATAAAAAATGCGAGTTCCAAGATGCTCTAGAAAAAGAAATTCAGCATAGACCTTATACACCATATGAATCCCATAAACTTGAAAAAGCAAAAAAAATTAATAATAAAAGAGAGAATAAAATTGAATTTATTTCCAAAAAAAATCAGGTTGAAGAAATAGAGAGGATACAAAATGCTAAAGAGGTAGCTAATTATCAGTTTAAACAGAAAATTCGGCATAAAATAAAAGAAGCTACCTTAAGAGCGGAAAAAACTCAAAAAATCGAGCGGCAAAAGAAAAGAAAAGAAATAAAGGTGACGCATAAGCAAGAAAAGGATTTAATTATTGAAAATATCAAAAATTTCTACAAAGATCGAATTGATTTAATTAAAGACAAAATTGACTCTGAAAAAAACAAGAAGCAAAGAGTTGATTATGAAGAAAGAGTCCTATTATCTCAACTAAAAAGGGAAAATAAAGAAATAAAAAATAAAATGCTTTATGACATAAAATTATCATTAGAGCAAGAAAAAAGAAATATTGATCGAAATTTATTGGAACTTGATAAGTATGAGGCAAAAATGTTAAAGAAATATAAATATGTAATTTAATTTGATTTAAGTTAGATTAAATTAAGCCTGAGGAAAGTAATAATTAATGAAAATTCCAGCAGCAAAACACAAGATCCCTAGCCAAATCATTTCAATTGATGACCTTTGCTTTCCTCCAGATTTTAGTCCATTCAGCATCTGCACACTTCTTTCAAGCTCATCTTTTTCTAATTTCTGCTTGTAAGCAAGTTCTTTTAAGTCGATTTCTTTCTTCAGCAATTCTTCTTCTCTCTCCTTAATTTCTATATACATTAAAATGGCAACATGTGTTAGCCTGCCCTCTTGGCACAACAGTCCAGACCTTAAGGCTACAGCAAACTGGAACGAACTCCAAGTCCAAAATATGTGCAGCCTCAGCAAATGTGTATCTGGGTAGGTTTTGGCTGTTTCCTGTGGTTCGAATTGAATGTGCTCACTCCCCCTCCTCCGTGAATGAACAAAAAAAAATTTTCGCTTAAGGAGGGGGTTTATAAATTTTATAGTCGAAATTGAAAAAAATCTAAAGTGGCAAAAATTGCAAAGCAAAATTAATTTAATTTGTAAAATTCAAGTTTTAAATTGCAAACTGTTAAAAATTAAACAAAATTAGCTAGATATTTCGTTATAATAATTATCATTAATATATCAAATTTTTTTTTCGTTCACGGAGGGGAGGAAGTCGGTAATGTCATTCGGACACTTGGGCATCCTCTACCAAGAAACCGGTCGGCCTAGGCCATAGGGGAAGAGTCTTTTTCCTGTGACTGCAAAAGAAAGGCACTCTGGAGCCCGATAGACTCCAAGGAGCTCCTGGAATCAAGCTACTCCCAATCACTCGCCGCAGAGCTGCAGAAATCCATAAGCCGCCTACTCAAGACTAAAGCTGCAAGCCAAAGAGGAGACAATTGCACCGGTTACAGGTATAGCTGCTGAGCAGTTCGTCGCAAAATGATGAACCTCTCATACAGGACATCTTAGTGGCCGCGCCACAATATGGCTAGCTTCTGTGTTTAATAATTCTAATCCTCTCTTTAATTTCTTCAATTTCTTCTTGCCAACTCCAATTATTTTTCGTATAAAATTCTTGTATTTGCTTTATATTATCTTGATACTGCCAAAACGCTTTATCGTTTTCCCTGCTTTTTTCATCTATTTTCTTTCTTAAATATTCTTGTTCCTCCAATAAGCATCTTATTTCTGATTCTTTGTTTTCGATTTCTTGCTTTAAGTTGTAAGAACCATATTGCTCTAAATCTTTAATGATTTTGCTCAATCTGGTATTTTCTTCAATGATATTTGAGGTTGCTTGATTTTTTGAGGCTTTTAGCTGCAGGTTAAGCTCTTCTATATTGAGTTCAAGGACACTTATATTATTCTTGTAGTCATTTATATTATCATACAATATTAAAAATGTCAGTTAGGGATATGTCCTAACTCCTGCTAAGCAGGTCCGGGTCCTATTATCTGAGCTTAGTGAGAGAAGTCAAGCTCCTTGAGAGTCTCGGCTTGAAGAGAAGAAGTCGTTGCTGAGGCTGGCAATGACTAGAGAAGTCTTAACGGGCTTATTAACTTTAACGGTTTGACAGTTAGGCCGGTCAACCTACCGTTATTCAGAGCTATTTAATGTAGTTGGGCCTTAAGTAAAAGAAGACTGAAGGCAATTTGCCAGAGTAATTCTTTAAACTTAAACATATTATCACGTGCTATTTTTAGCTCTTGATTTAAAGAATTTATAGTGGTTTCTTTTTCATTGAGCTGTTTTTGAAGTTGAAGAAGCTTCGGCTTGTCTTCAAGTTGAGAAATAATTTCTTGATCTATTGAAGAGAGGGAAGATCTGTCATTTATTGGTGATACAATTTGAGGGGTTGGCTGTAATTCTCTTATTGCTTGTCTTGGTGTTGGGGATTCACTTTCATCCCTTCTTCCTGGGGTTTCAAAGCTAGGACTCTCTATTGGTTCTTTAGGCTTGATCAGTTTTTGTACTTCGTAGTTTAGGAGAAACATGATTTTATTAGCTTTTTCTTTTTTGTCTGGCTGGGCTTCATTGAGAGCTTTGGTAACTACAGCTAATTGATTATTGATGATATTGCTTTTGGCACTTTCTGGCTTGTCTGCAATAGTTTGAAGCATTTTTTTAAGTAGCTCTTCAGTGATTTGGGCTTCAGAAAGCTGCCGATTATTCAAGTAATATTTAATTTCTGATTCTGAAGGAGGTTTATCGATTTCTGCTGGTTTTTTTTCTCCAAATTTCTGAATAAAGCCTTGAGTATCAAATTTTTTGCCTTGTGGGCGATTTTTTATATAATCTTCAATATATTTTGATATTAAAATTTTTGGCGCTAAAACTACTGATCCATCTTGAGCCTTTATTTTATTAGCAGATGAAGCGATGAACTCTGTGTCTGAAGAAATTGAAGATATTTTATCAGGCTGCTGTCTTATTTTTTCCTCTATCATTTTATTGAATACTTCCGTTGCTTGAGGATTCAACATTAATTTTTCTGGCAAAAATTCACTGCTTTCGTTGACTTTTTTAGGGAAAGAACTTTCAACTTCTTTTTTTTCTTCGGTTAAGAAGGCCTCAATACGCTTTGCTACTAATGTGTTTGGCGCATATGCGATTGTATTGTCAACTCCTTCAAGCTTCTTTTTGATTAAAGCAATTAAAGATGGATTTGTTGATAATGATTGTTCTCCTGGATTATTTTTCAAATAATCCTTTAAAACTCCTTTGAAAATTTCTTCTGATTGAGAATTCAAATGTAATCCTCTCGTTGGTGATGAGTTGCGGGGAACTGGCTCTGGAGCATTTTCCTCCTTTTTCTCTTTACTCCCTCCTCCGTAAGCGAACAAAATCATTGGAAAAATCCCTATATTTTGTCTCTGTTAGTGAACAAAAAATTTTTAATAGAAAAAGGTTTTATATATAAGTGACTATTAGTATATGAAATATCTAGCAAATTATGTTTAATTTTAAACAATCTTTTAAAATATAAATTTTTACAAATTTTTTTAATTTTTGAAAAAAAAAAAATTCCATGAAATAAAAAATTTTTTTGTTCGCTCACAGAGAGTTAGAATAATCTTCAACAAATTTCTTGACATATGCCTTTGGAAGCTCTTCTAATTGAGGGTCAATTTTTTTCAATGATGATTTTACATTATCAATAAACCTTTCATCTTCTGCTATATTTTGGCTAGCAACAAACGGCTCTTTGAGTTTTTGTTCAATCATAGTTTTGAACAATTCTGTGGACTTTGCGGACATAACAATGTTTTCTGGTTGAGATGGCTGGGGAGCTGACTTAGGACTCTGAGAATCTTCATATTTACGGATCTCTGAGCTTAAAATGTAAGTTGGAATTCCTGATGCTCCTTCATCATGTTTTTTGAGCACATTTTTCACATAATCCATAAACATTAGGTTTGTATGCAAGTCTTTTTGGTTTTGGGATAAAGCTTCACCGACCAATTGCTTGAAGACTTTGACCGCGGGTTCTGAAATTCCTAACGGACTTTTCTCGGCTGAGCTAGCTTGAGACTCTGACATCTCTATAGGTTCACGAGTAGCTTCCTGCTCAGCCTGCCATTTCTGGACAACTTTGGACTCTTCCTCACCTACCGATTGCTGTTTAGTTTCCATAATAAATTTTTATAAATCATCATATTTATCGCATCTTATTTATCAGAAAAATGTTATCTTAACTAATTACTCTAAAATTTAAACTTCCCAAGATGACAACTCAGTAGAACTTGATGATGAATTTTCAGTTTCTTCAGAGGTCTCAGTCTCTGATTGCGTTTCCGTTGATGTTTCATTATAGCAGCTGCTACAGTCATCAGAATCAATATCATTTACATATTCATCAACGTCTTGAATATAGTTTATTGTGTTCTCTTTTCAGTCTTCGTAATCTATTTCGTCTCCATCTTCATCTTTAGGCGAGTTTGTAGATCTTGAGGTTTCGTATTCATCATAGTCATAGTAATCATCGACTTGATCTGCATCATCGACAACTTCTTCTCCGTTTTTCACTTCGTAATAAGATTCATCCTCCTCCTCTTCCTCTTCATCTTCTGAAGTGCTGTCTTGAGATAACTGAAGGAATGTGATTTCTGAAGATTCGCTTGTGCTCTCTTCTGAAGTATCTGTGGACGTAATAGAGCTGTCGCTCTCAGCTTGGCTTTCTTCATCTGCTGTTTCTTGAGTGTCACTTTCATCAGTGCTAGACTCTTCTTCATTACTTTCGCTGCTTTCTATAACTTCATCTTCTTCACTTTCTTCTCCTGATGCTTCTTGAGTTTCACTTTCATCAGTGCTAGACTCTTCTTCATCACTTTCGCTGCTTTCTATGTTTCCAGCTTCTTCACTTTCTTCGCCTGATGCTTCTTGAGCGTCACTTTCATCAGTGCTAGACTCTTCATTACTTTCGGAGCTTTCTATGTTTTCAGCTTCTTCACTACTATCGCTATCAGAAGCATAATCCTCTGGAATTTCATCAGTATCTTCGTTTTCCTCATAACTTCCTTCTTCATATTCATCATAATCTTCACCGTCATCATAGTCAGTAATTTCATCACTGTCTTCTTCATCATTATCGCTATATTCATCAGTTTCTTCACTATAGCTATTATAATAAGTCAGATCTTGGTCTGGATTTTCGCTTGAGTAATCATCTAGGGTATCGCTATCTGAATAATAAACGTCATAAATTCCATCTGATCCAACTGAGTCAGAAGTATCTTCTCAGTCTTCTGTTTCTTCATCATAATCAGAGTAGCTTTCATCTTCATCATACTCTTCATTATTTTCATTTTCATCATAAATATCTTCAGAATCTTCTTCTGAAAGTTGAGAAAAAAGTGTTGTGGAAGCTGGTGATTGGCTTGGATCAAGGAATCGTTGGACAGTAGAAAGAGAATATGCTTGGCTAAGGCATATTACTATTAGCAAGCTTGAAAGTTGCATTTTTGCTATACGTTTTGTAAAGGTATTTTAAATTAATTTGAGAAAATTTAGATTGAGTGGAATTATTGGATTTTGAGAAATTAAGAAAACATTCTTTAGAATTTGCTATTACGAAATAATATAAAAGCATAGTAGACTGAATCATAAAATGTATCATAGCTGCAGATTTAGAATGTTAAGCAAATATTTATTTAGTATTATAATAGAAGATAAGAAAACTTAGAAATATAAGTGTATTTTCGCTCCTAAAGCATTAAAACGAGATTTATAGCATTTTTTATATAGATCGCGTTTTAAAGTATATAACCGTAATACTGCAGTATCTCTTAGATTTGCAATAATCCTGTTTTAACTTCAAGCATGCGATATCCCTCAAGCTGTCCAAGAAATATGAAAGAGATTGAAAATCAAGAGCAGAGCAATCGATTTCAAATCCCTGAATTTTCTGAATATAAAACAATGCTAATTCTTTTCGTTCGTGAGAGACTTCGTTGCCTTCAAGTATATTTAATCAATATAAATCTCGAAGAAAGCTAATTTTTCAAGATTCTTTGGGATACTTCTTATTAGAGAGTCTATTAATTCGCAGGCGTTTTGCATTAGCTTTCTGAGTTTTATAATCTTGATTGCGTGCGTACTTTTCGGGAATTTTCGAAAGCACTTCGATTGCATTTATTAATTGGATTTCTGTGTCACTCATTTTTATTAGGATCCCCCTATTTGATTTTAGATCAGCATTCTCCTATCAAACACATTTTATTTTGAAGCAGCTATATAGAAATTGCCAAGTAAAAGAAAATAATATTTCAATTAGCATTTAAATAATTAATTAAAGAATTCCAGGGGTGATGGAAATATTAAAAATTTGAAAATTAGTAATTAATTAAAATCAATTTGCTTAGCTTAAAATATATGCTGACTTTTCATTTATAATGATATTTATAAAAAATCCTTTAATTTTATTTAAATATGCCCTTTAAACTTCTGCATATATATGAATGAGATAAAAATGGATATGCTCAACTAATCTAATGCGATGCTGTTAGAATTTGAGAGAAATAGATCTTCCATAAATATTCCATTCGTTATTTCATTGAGTTTTTCCAATATCAATAACTCCTTCCTTAAAAGAAATCCCTCCCAACTTATTAAGCAAATTTCAGACCCTTCCATAAACCAATTTTCTTTCTACAAGAACTTTTATAGAGCAAGAAATAAATGAAAATTTCCCGCATCAGCAAGTTTCCTAACTCTCCACCCTCAGTAAGCGATCAAAATTTATTTGTGCACTCACGCTCAAGGAGAGGGATTATTTATTTTTAAATAAAAAAATCCAATTAGAATATAAAACTAATTTTTAAAGTTTATGTTTTAAAAAGCAAATTTAATAGAAATTAGATTAGATCAAATCGCTTACACATTTTTTATCAAAATAGCTGTATTTTTAATTTTTTTCTCGATCACGAAGGGAGAGAGTAAAGGGCAGTGCCCATTTTGTTCAAAGAGCCTTCTTATCAGATCCAGAAGCCTCTGAGGCACCCATCTTTATTTTGAAGAGTTTAGCAGCTTAGGTTATAGCGTCTTGAAAAAACTGATGGAAACTTTCCAATAAATTCTCATATAATGGCTTGATATTGATCAGAATTAGCAAATAAATCAAAGCCTAGGCTAGAAGTTTAACCTGTGAACTTAACAGCTCTATTTTTGTAGCAATAAACTCAAATAACTTAAGCACAATTAAAGTGCTTATAGGGAACTGAAGGCATTCTTTATTAGCATGGACTGATTTTGTTTGATTTAAAACTTCCTAATAATCTTCCTGAAGTGAGCATTAGAACTGCAGAGGAAGGGTTGTTTAGATTTAGCCCAAATTTGTAAGATACAGGGTATATCTGTCTTTCTATTATAAATACTTAGGGAGGCAATCCAGAAGAAATGTTGAATCCAACATATTCTACTCTTTTGCAAGTATTTTTATCTATACAAGTATTAGTTATGAATAAATAAGTAATCCAAAAGAGTCTGAGTATCAATTCTATGAGAAAAAACAATTGTTTCTTATGGTAACATAACTTTCATAAAATTATGAGAAGAAGCTTTAAAGATAGAATTGCCTGTAATAAATGAAATATTGTAGCCCACAAGGCATATAAAATTAATGATTTCGAGAATATAGGCATATCTGAATGCTTTAATAAAGCTATTGAATAGTTTAAAACAGAACTAAGAATTCTTAATTAATTACTAATCTTTAATTTCCTTTGTAAATCTCGATATTTGCCATGACCCAAAACATACTACACAAGTTAGCAATAAAAATGCCAGAACAATCCCTGCTAAGATCCCCAAGTATAAAAAGACTACAAAAAGCGTAAAAGCATGGCCTTCAGGAAAATCATCTTGGCATTCATCATAGTCGTCATAAATCCATACAATTCCTACTAAAATCCATAACTCCCCCCCCATCCTTGATCGAACGACTCGCCATCGTTCGATCAAGGATGGGGGTTAAAAAAAATTTTATATATAAAATAAAATATATATATATTTTTTTTATTTACTTTTAAATAAGAGGGTTAAGAGTATTTAATAATTATTTTTAGAGCAAAAAATTTAATTAATTTCATAAAAATACCAATTTTTAATATTTTGATTTATTAGTACCCCTTTAAACTGTATAAATTTTAATTTGTTCCTTATTAAATAATTTTTTTTTTAAAAATTTGAAAGATCTCTATTTTATTAGATTATTAATTTTTTAAGCCTAGATTGATGACTAATCACTTCGGATAGTTGATTTCGAAGCTTTCTGTCGTCTCAAAGTCCCTGAAAACAACTTCATTAGGTGCATCTTCCTAGCTTTTGATAACTAATATATATTTTTATACATATAAAAGTTGCATGATATGAAAATCGTTCGATCAAGGATGGGGGTTAATTTCCCCAATTTTTAGGAATTTTTACAGTCAATCATTCGATCAAGGATGGGGGGGGAGTAAGAAGATAAAAGAGTGTAACATAGAATTCAATGCAATATAAAATGATCCTGCTCCTGAGCGCTTTTGTATAGTTTTTGCTACAGCTTCAACCAAAATTAAAAATATGACATGAAACAGGAAAACTGAGGACAAAACATAAAGTCATAAGCGAATTGGTCTTTCGCAATCGTCATCATATAATAACAAAATCACAATTCCAACAATACCCTAGGTAACATTTACAATAATTCCTTCAAGGAGAGAAGACAATAAAGCAAGCCTGGTGCGATAATGTTTTTGTTCTGGGACATCTTCAGCTTGGAGTAGACGATCTTCTTCGCTCATAATAAATTAATAATCCGTTTTTTGAAGAGGTAGGAAATTATAGTAAGTGTGAGAAGAAAAGGAAAAGAAGAAGAAAAACAAGGAAAATGAGACCAAAACAAATGATTTGATTGCAATAATATCATTATGAAAATTAGATGTAATGGAATTTATACATAAAATAAACGCTATCCTTAATAAATTGCATTTAATTTTGATTAAAATTTTTCTTCATAAATCATGGTTTTTATCCTTGGAATTCTGTCGAAATCAATAAAACCATAAGTAAATCTTAATAGTGAATTAATTTCAAGATTAAAACATACAATATAGTTTTTAAGGACTTTTTTTAGATTTTTAAATGCTCATATTCATATATTAAATCTTTTAATATAAAATTTGGCTAATTTTTAATATTACCTAATTAATTCCATATTCATAATTTTAAATTGGCACAGATAACCTCAGCTTGTCTTCCGAATCAATGATTTTATCTACGCTGAAAGTTTACTTATGCAGCCCCAAACATTTACTAGAAAACTATTCTTAATAACCTTTTATTCATCTTCCTTTCACATTGTTTTTTCCACCAGTACACGTGTCCACTCAGCAAAAAGATAATTGTCTAAAATGGTAATAATTATGTCTGGTGCAATTCAATCTGAGGTTGCGCATGTTATGCCAAAGCGTAAACGAGGACCTCCTCCTACTTTAAAAATGCCTACACTTCAAGTTTCAGAAGTGCCTTCATCTCCTACTATCAACACATTAATACAAATTTCTCCAAATCTTTACATATCAGGGTACCATGCAGCTTCAAATTCTCCTCTCCTGCGGTCTGAAGGAATAACTCACATCTTAAACCTCGTTGGTGAAGAAAAATGCCCAAACAGATTCCCAGATCAATTTAATTACAAAAGTTTAAAAATTCCAGATAACCCAAAAATTGATATTCTTTTTTTCATATATTTCTCCATCGAATTTATTTCATCTGCAGTTGAAAACGGAGGAAAAGTGCTGATACACTGCTTAAGAGGCATCTCAAGAGCACCTACTATAGCCTGTGCATTTTTGATGCATGATGAAGGGATAAGTGAATCAGAAGCATTTCGGAGAATAAAAAATATTCATCCAGAAGCTGATCCTAACTTGGGATTTGTATGCCAGCTGAGGATGTTTAGAGAAAGGGAAGAAAGGAAAATGTTTAGATATTCAGAAAAATATGATATGTTTATTAATGCTGGAGGAGATGGAAATTTAGCTTTAATGATTGATGATGACGAACTCACACTGATGAAAAGAGATAATTGCAGAGGAAAAGAAAATGATTGCGGATTAGAATGTGCGAGGCTTTGGGAAAAGTTTAAAGGGAGGCAAGCCTACCAAATACAAATTCAATAATTATATTGTAAAATATTTTTCTTGTGAATCTTGGGATTTTTTAAAATTTATGTTTGTCAGTAAATGAGCCTAAATTAGGATTTAAGTAAAATAAATTTGATTAATTAAGTATTCATATTTTAATTAGCAATAAAAATCCATTAATTTATACCAAGATGAAGCATCAAAGTAAGAAGGCTTTGGGAATAAATTTTTAAGGTTGTGCTGCCAATAACTATGAGGTAATTTTTTCTCCTTTTAAGAGTTTTTATTTTTCACCAATTATCTTCCAAGTCCACCATAAAAAAATTTCTTTAATAAAATCCACCAAGAAAGCATTATTTTAAAAACTTGAGGGGGTTTCAACAAAATAAACTTAATTTCCAAATAAATACACCAGCAATCTATAGAATACTTAAAAATCCTTTTTCATGCAATGATCGAAATTTCCACATTGGAAGGTTATTTCAATGTTAACTACTTACTGATTGCTTTCGAAAAAGCCACAAAAAATTAAATTTAACTCAAATTTTATTGATAAAAATCTAAAATTATAGCCATTTAGTTTAGTTTCAACATTTTCTTGGTCGCTTCAAAAGAAGGCAAGTCAGTCTCTAGAATCATTCTTTCTGTTTCAACAGGGTACAAATGATAAGAGAACATTGCTTCTGCGTAAAGGTAAAACCTTTCTATTCTTGATAGCGGGCGTATGTCAGGGTCTTGCGATTTCAGTAGCATTGAGGTTAATTTTGGGATTCCTATATAAACATTTAAAATAAATGGTGGCATTTCACTCCCTATTGAGCAGGTTGGACCCATCCTGATGAAGCTGAAAACTGGGACTCTGTCCTTTTTGAAAGGCCTTCAGGCTTGGAGAAGCCTTGCCAAAAAGAATTATGTTTCTCCCCGAAGGTTTCCATATTCAGCCAGGTGGTCTATATACATTAAAATGGCGACACGTATCAGTCTGCCCTCTTGGTGTAGAAGTCCAGACCTTATGGCTACGACGAATTGGGACGGACTCCGAGCCGAGAATCAAGTGCAGGCTCAAGAGGTGTGTATCCGCGTAGGTTTTGGCTACTTTTCTATGGTTGGAAATGAGGTGCTCAACATCTTCCTCTGGATCCGAATTACCCATGAGCATTCCTCTACCGAGAAATTGGGGGGTTTCGACCCAGGCCACAGGGGAACAGTCTTTTTCGTGTAGCTGTCAAAGAAAGGCACTTCGACACCCGATAGACTTCAAGGAGAGGGTTGCAGAAATCCATAAGCCGCCCACTCAAGACTGAAGCCTCAAGGCAAGGAGGAGACAGAAGGTACCGGAAGGGCACTCGCAAGAGGGATGGACCCTCTGGGCTGGAGTCGAAAAGCGGTAGAACCTCCCATACGAGAGGTCTTTGGTGACTGAGTCACCAATATGGCTAGCGCCTGACCTTAATAATCCTAATCTCATAATTTCCCAATCAATATTTTTCGGGGCATTTATATTCCTTTTTAATATATATAGTTTTTATGCTTCAAAATTTTAATTTCTAAGTTTAAAAAGCAGACATGAATTGATAATTAATATTCCGCTTTAATTTATAAATTTTTTTAATATATCTCTATGCTTTTCAATTATTAAAGACTATTCATTATAAAACTATGGATTAATTTTCAAAACAATATGCAAGCTCAATAAGTAAAGGATTTTTTGTCCTTGATATTATTTTTGATTTAATATTAGATGCTATCGTTTTAAAAATTATTAATAAACATATAATCTCTATAGAATTTGAGGTAGTGCCAGTAGAGCCATTAGAGTTAGATAAAGTATGACTGCCAGGTAAAGCCGGACTGCCAGGCAGAGCCGTAGAGCCAAGTAGACCCAGCCAGTTTTGACCATCCGCGCCCATCGTAGGCCACCTTTCCTGAAGTCAAGGTAGTCTTAAGGGCGTGCAATTTAATCTTTACTTTTATATAATGTGATGGACTTCGCACGTCGGACACTTTCCCACGTATGAAAACAAGGGGTCACTCAAGTGGGGAAACTCCACATATGGGATTTGGGTTCACACGTGGGAAATATCCTGACGTTTGAAGCCCATCCTATAAATAATGCAATAAATAATATAAACATTTCGACTATCTATACTTGTAGGAGCCCGATAATCGTCATGGGAATAGTTATGCTCTAGTCTTACATGCTCCCTTTTATTCTGCTTTGACGAAAAACGCTTAAAACAAACTGGGCACTCATAAGGACGGTAACCATAGTGACAGGACTCGATATGGCGTTTCAGGTTGTATTTTGAGCTCAAAATTTTACCACAGCCAGAATAATCGCATCTGAGACCTTGTATTAGATGATGAGAAGTGTGAAGAGTTTCTTCCATATTGAATAATAATGTCAGAACTATTTTATGAATTACAAAGCAATAAAATGGCTCTTTTATTTAAAAAAATTTAATTTTTGACAAAATTATGATCGGTTAAGTTAGGGAAAAAATATTATTTAAATAGTGGGAATAAAAAATACCCCACTTTAGCATATTTTTATGATATACTCTAAAGCTAATTAAAAAGTGAAAAGGCTATTATCTATTTTTCTATTCGCTTACTTCCCCTTTAGATCGGAAAAAAAATATGTTGTAATTTATTCTTTTAACAAAAAAAAAATTAAATATAAAATTTATAATATTTTTTTTAAATTTTTTAAAGAATAGAAAATATAAATTAAATACAATATTTGAATTTTAATTCATTTTTAAGAGAATTAATTATAAAGATTAGTTTATTGAGTGCGCAAAATGTGTAAATAGAATTCTACTACACTCCCTTCATTAAACTAGATGCAAGCTATTTTTATTAAAATTAGTATTTTCACAATTTGAAATATTTAAATTTTGTTTCAATTTAAAGGGATTAATTTATTTTAAAAATGAAAATTTTAACTATATTTTGTTATAATTTAAAGAGAGGAGTTAGTATTTAAATATCTATGGAATTTTGTATTAAAATTATTTCAAATCTTTCTATTTCCTTATACTCGCTAAATAGCTTAAATCTTTATTATAATAATTTAGGTAAGTAATATCATGATTGACATCTTAATTTTATTGTAGGGCTCTTACTCATATATTTTTTGAAATATTGTATAGTAAGATTTGCTTACTTGTAACTGTATTTTCTTTATAAAAATTATTGATCATTTATGCGTTTTTCAAAATATAAAGTAAAAAATATTTAAATTTTCATTTGATGACCCCGATAAAACTCTTTAAAATCATTTTATTTATTAATAATAAAATTTTTGCAAGTAGCATCTGTCGACTTATTTAAATCGTCCGTCAATTTTATTCATTTTTCTAATATTTTTATTAGCAATATTTCAAAATATGAAGACGATAGCAAACTTACTAATTCGTCCTCCAAGGTAATTATAAATCAGGACTAATTATTCTACAATTGAATTAGGATCAAAAAGACTTGAAATTTTTGGTCAAGATTTTATCCGTCAAGATATTCAAATTAAAAATTCAAGAGGATTGAATTTAGCTTGCTCACATTTTATTCCAAAGAATTCAAATCTAAGCATTCCGTGTGTGATTTATTGCCATGGAAATTCAGGAAGCAGAATGGATTGCTTAGATTCTCTTGCTTATATTTTACCAAACGGCATCAGCTTATTCTGCTTTGATTTTTCTGGGGCTGGCCTTTCTGAAGGGGATTTTTTGTCGATGGGATATTTCGAGCAAGATGATATACAGGGTGCTGGTCTAATGATCGTGCACTTTTGACAATGAGCATTTGATCAAAGAAAATTTAGTCGAAATTTTAAATAGAATACTATTCGGCAGAATTTTAACTTTTTTTGGGTAAAATACCGCATTATCAATAATGTTTTGGATCAATTTCCCCTAGAAAAGCGCACTATCAAAGGTGCACGATCATTTGGCAAGAAGCCGATATACGTGCGGTTATTGAATATTTATCAAGATCTCACATTACTAGAATTGGACTATGAGGAAGATCTATGGGAGCAGTTGCTTGCTTACTATATGCAAGCTCAGATCAGAGCATTGATTTTGTGGTAGCAGAATCTCCTTTTTCTAGCTTAGATGAGCTTTGTACAGACCTTGTCAAAAACTATGCAGTAATTTATATTTAGAAACTCCCAGCCTTTTTATCATTCATTCATTCTTATTTAGAGGTCGTAAGACCATTTTATGGCGGAGCCAAAGCTCACCACGCTAGGCCTTATAGCCTTAATTACCCACCGCTAGCGACGACAAGGTAGTTTATCTCCTCATCTCATGCCCGTTGTCTTGGCCAGAACACCCGTCTTCAATGCGATTACACCCCATTAGCTTACATCTCCTCCATCGGAGTCCGATGAGCTGCGGATTTACTTCCATCTTGCCTTAGACGAGCCACCTCTCTGCCAACTCTGAATTGCGCAGAGACTCATGCAGCCTACACTGCCCAGTCTTCGTCCCATACGCCTTGATGCGGTCTATCTCGCCAGCCATCCTATCTCAGGAGCCCAGAGTCCGTTGACTCGATCCCAGCCTTTTTATCAAATTTAATTGTCCGTGGACTGAGAAAAGTTGTACTTAAGGAAGGAAATTTTGATATATGGTAAATTTTATATCAGCCAAGTCAATGTTATGAATGTAATTGAAAAAATAAAATCAAAAATATTTTTACTCCATAGTCCAGAAGACGAAATGGTCCCAATAAAGCATTCATACAACATATTGGAAAAGGGGAATAGTGTTTCATTGATGGAAATTACTGGAGATCATAATAAACCCAGAGATATGGAAACGCTAGAGAGTATTTCAACATATATTATTGACACATTTGATGAAAGATCTTTTGAAGAGGATATATCAGAAGAAGCTGTGCCGTGCTTGCCAAGCTTGCCGAAGCCTGTGAGAAGTACTCATTGCAGGAAAAAAACTGATATTTGTGTAGGGAATTATATTCCTGACTCCCCCCCCCCCCTCCGTGAGTGAACAAAACCATTAGAAAAATCGCTATTTTTTGCCCAAAAGCCCACCCTCCGTGAGTGAGCAAAAATTTTTTTAAATAGAAAAAAATTTATGAAAAAAATTTTGATATATAAGTGATAATTAGTATAATGAAATCTAGTTTAATTTTAAACAAATTGCTTTTTAAAACATAAATTTTATAAATTAAATTAATATTTGCTTTCCAATTTTTGCAAATTAGGATTTTTTTAAATTTCGAAAAAAAAATTTTTTCTATAAAATTTATATATAAATTTTTTTAAAAAAAAAATTAACCCCCCTCCGTGAGTGAACAAAATTTTTTTTGTTCACTCACGGAGGGGGGGAGTGAGAATAAATTTAGACAAGCATTAAAAGAGCTTAACCCTAATATCTAATGTATATTTATTTCAATGAATAGTGAAAATATCTTATATGAAGGTTTTATTTAGTAATGTTGAAAATTAGCCGTAAAATAGCATAGAATAATAAAGAAGCATTAGGAAATTAATCTTTAAAAGAAATAAAAGAAAAATGGTTCTTTATATCTTCCATATAATTTTATTCAAATAAAATTTTTTAAATTATCGGTTTTTTGCCTATTAAAAATATAAAGCAATGGTTCTGTTGCAATGGATGCATGCTTTGACATCCAACTAAAAGTAAATAAGTTGATTTTTCTAATTATCTAAGAACTTAAATGCCAGAAAATATAATCCAATGATGGTCTTACTATTTTGGAGCTTCTTATCTTTCGTTAACAGCTGCAAAATATCTTGCTATCCAAATTGCATAGACAAGCCTTCATGTGATCTCAAATGTGAGTGTCTTGAAGCATCCTATATGACAGAAGCGTTTTCAGTAGATTTCGAAGATAACAAGATTAACTTTAGAAATGTGACTGATGAAGATATCAAATGGTTTGAAGAGAAGATGGGCTGCAGTCTTTATTGTTTAGAAGACTGCAACAAAGAAAAAAAACTTTTCGATTGCTTTAATTTCTGCGGATGCAAATCTTATTTAATTCCTACTCCACCCTCAAATACAAGTTCAAATGCTACAGCTTCTGAATCAAGCTCAAATAATCCAAAAAATCCTTCAGATAGCCAAATTGCTTCAATTTCCACATATTCGAATCCACCCGCAATTCCAATTCAAACTCAAGATCAAACTGAGATAGATCCGGATTGTCAAAATTTATGTAATGAATTATGCATGGGAAAGAAGGCAGATCCATGCATTCCTCAGTGTATTGAAAAATTTTGTGGTGAAGATACCGTAACTGCAGTTCAAGAGAGTTGGACAAAAACTAGCCAAATCACTTTAGGGTGTGGAATTGCGATAGCTGCTATTGTCGCATTTAGGCAATTAAGAACAAGAAGAAATGAAATTTTCAATGGATATATCAAGCTTTAAAGCTAAGAATGCTAACTCCCTTCCATAAGCGATAAATTTTATAGCAAATTTTTTAAAAAATCCAGTTCGAAATAATTGGAAAGAAAATATTAATTTAATTTAATTTGCAAAAACTTAGTTTTTCCAAATAGGAGCTGTTAAAATAGCCAGAATTAGCTAGATTTCGTTATAATAATCATCACTTATATATCAAAATATTTTTTATCATAAAAATTTTTATATAAAAAAATATTTTGTTCGCTTGCGGAGGTTTTTTTACCCAAAAATAGGAATTTTTCAAATGGTTTTGTAGGGGAGAGTAAGGAATTAATGATATTTAGCATAAATAAATATTAAAAAAATAATTGATAATGAAACAGGATGCACAAAATCATAAAATGATAATATAATATAAAAAACAAATATCTAGATAAAAGAGGAAAATAAATTTATTATCAGACTGATAAACACTATTCCAGCTTTTTTAATATCTAATAAATCACGCAGTTTTTATAATAAATAGATTTACTTAATTATAAAAGAATTTCGTATTTGAATCATAGAGAGTATTCAATAGAAAACTTTAGACTTTTAATCTTTTGCAACTTATACTTATTTGATAATTATAATTTGTCTTTTCATTTTTAATCTTTCATAAATTTTATCAAGCAATCTATTTTTAACGTCTCAATCACTGATTATAATTAAAGATGAAATTTCTGCTTGTTCCTGTTTTTATAGCCACAGCTTCTTGCCTCTCTTTTATTAATGAAGGAAATTCTGAATCAAGTTACTTTCCCACCATAGGTATATTATCCACACCAATAGAGAGAAAAGACGTTTTAGCGAATTCATCATACACAATGTATTTTCCAGGGTCATATGTCGATCATATAGAATCAGCAGGAATAAGACCAGTATCGATTTTATATAATTCAACTTATGAGGAAATTGATTGTATCATGTCAAAAGTCAATGGTATCCTCTAATAAGGAATTCTTTTTACAGGAGGAAGATCATTACTTGTTTATTATGATGATGCTGGAGTTATGAAATATAGCAAATTTATGCGAAAGGTGATGTATATAATACAAAAGGCCATTGAAAAGAATGATAATGGAATATATTTCCCAATTTTCGGAACTTGTTTAGGTTTTGAGGTACTTTTTATTAATACAGTAAATGAGTATATATTGGAAAGCTTTAATTCAACGAGATATAGGACAAATTTATTCTTCAGTGAAAAAGCCACGACATCAAAAATATTAAAAAATGCTCCTCCAGAATTACTAAACTTTATGAGTATGGGTAATATTACATTTGAAAATCACAATAAAGGTATTAGCCCAACTACTTATTTAAGTACATTTTATTTAGAATACCCTCAATTACAAGAAATGTTTGAGCCAATAGCTTATTCCAAAGACCGTCAAGGTTTAACAAATATTGTTCTTGCCGAAGGTAAAAAGTATCCATTTTATGGTTTCATGTTTCACCCTGAAAAATCAGCTTACGAATTTTTCTTTTCAACCATAAATCATGATATTCGAGCAATAGAAATGGGACATTATTTTGCTCGGTTTTTCGCTGAAGAATTATCGAAAAATCCAAATCGTTTTCTTAATGATGACGATTACATAAATCATTCATTACAAAGCTATGATGTAATGTATCTACACAATCCATATGAAGAAATATATTTAATTTAGCGCAATTTAAGGAATAAATATTAATTAATATCATCAAATGACATAAGAGGAGGAACAATATCAAGAATTTGAGCTATGTTAAATCTTAAGCATTGCATGGCAATGTTAAACTTTGTTAGTTCTTGTGCCTTTCCATATCTATACAGCGGAAATTCTTTTCCGTTTGCAAAAATACTTGATGTTGAGCCTCTGAATTTCATAGGAAATCTTACTGGGATCCTATAGAGATCAGATAAAACCTGCAAAATGTGTGCACTGTATCCAAGCCGATAGTTGTTTTCTTCATCATTTAATATGCCGTCAGAATTCTCATAAAACAGGTTAATAGCTCGAGTTACTTTAAAAATTTCATAAAGTTCTCCTGTCATTTTTAGTCGGCGGATTTGGAGGATTTCATGCTTTTTTGGGAGTTCTTTGAATTCTATTTGAGTATTTTCGCTTCTTAACTTGTATTTTTTATTGTGAGCATTCAGTAATTTTTCTGCAACTTGAAGCTGTCCAGAGTTATCAGTGATAAGAGATTTAGAACTTTGGTCTAAATTACTGGAGTTTATTGCTGACTTTTGGGTATCATTTAATTCTGATTCTGTGCTTTGTTTTATACCCAAACTTGAAAAATCAGATTTTTTGTTTACGAGGAACTTAGAACTTTGGCTCCTTAACTCTTTTAGCCTCAATGATAAATCTGATAATCTTTTTCTTCCTCCTAGCAACTCTTCATATCGCCTTTTAAGATCCTGAAACGAAATGACTCTTGAAACAGCATCTTGAGTCGCCTGCAGTTTCTGCTGAGCTGAACAATTGCTTGCGATTGCTATAAGCTCACTTGCATTTTCTTGGTTTGTGTAATACCCATTTTCTGAAAATTCAAACAGCCAAGCGCAATGGCTGAAGTTTTCTAAACTTGATAGATCGTTTGCAATAAAATACATATGCCGTGGGTCTAATACAGTTTCTAAAATTAGTTCATCGGAGGGATTAGAAATTTTTATTGAGATGGGAAAGAGGGAGCTAAAAATGTTGAGATTTGGCCATGAGGGATTACATGAAGGAGAATGAGGAAGTTTTAGCTGAAAGTCTTTAGATAAGCTTGATATTTGAAGCTCTAGTGGAGAAGGAGGTCCTTGGAGGTTACGCAAAATTATAGAAGTCAGAACTTTCCATGAGCAATCAAATTCTAAAGACATTTCTAATAGAGAGACTTTTTTATGATTTCTTTATAATCAACTGATGCCTATGGGAAAGTTTGAGTAAATCCTATAAAGTAAACAATTGAAGTGTTTTTAGAGCATAATTTAAATAAAGTTTATAAAAATTAATTGGCAGAATTTTAATTAAATCATTATGATTTATTTAAAGATAGAGCTTCAATTATTTAGAGGCTTAAAGAGAAACCATTGCTTCTCAAGCGATAATAAGCAATATATCCTAGAGTTTTTATAAAATAATTTTATTAATAATTCTTTTACTCCCCCCCCCCCCCTCCGTGAGCGAACAAAAAATTTTTGTTCGCTCACGGAGGGGGTTAATTTTTATTTTTTAAAAAAATTATATATAAATTTTTAATTGTAAAATAATATTTTTTTTTATAAGTTGAAAATTATTTTAAAAATATTATGGGGGGAGAGTAAGGGAATTTCCCAAAAAAAAAAGAAATACCATTTGATTAAAGGTAAAACACAGCTTAATTTTTCAATAATTTAATAATCAATAAACCTATTAGTAATAAATATATGCATTCAGTTAAAATATTTTATATATTTTCTTATTTAATATAATAAGCAAATTCTCTATAAATCATAATAAAAATGTACAAAGGGAAAAAAGAAAGTACATTGAAATTTGGCAGAAAGTTGAAATTGCTGAATTTTACATTCAACACCAAAATGAGATGAGCATGAGAGATGTTGCTGCAAAGTTTCATGTCAACTCCTTTAGCTCGATTTCCGAATGGGTGAATAAGCTTGATGAGTTGAAGAAATCAGTAAAATCTGATAAAAAATTAAAATTAGAAAGCTTCACTCAATTTCCAGAGCTAGAGAAAGAACTAGTTCATTGGTTTACTGCAATCCGTGAGCAAGGTATTCAGGTTCTCAGATCAACGATTGAGGAGAAAGCAAAAAGTTTGGCGGCAGAAATGGGATTGGCGCGATTCGGCTGTGGAGATAAATGGTGGCAAGGATTTAGGACCAGAAATAATTTATCTTTCAGAAAAATCAATGCCTCAAGCATTAAGCCAATCGAAAAAGAGGCAGAACTTGTCAGGCAATACCTAGATGATTTAGCGTCATTGCTTCCTCAATTCGTTCCATCTAACATTTACAATTTCGATGAAACGAGATTTGATTGAGATGTAAAAAGCAAGTTCACTTATGATTTCAAGGGAACTCAACGAATTCTAGGCGTTCAATCAGCTAAAATGAACCATTTTATCACTGTTATGCTTATGATTAGAGCTGATGGAGAAAAAATGCCTGCTTTGCTCATTTTTCAAGAGAAAAATGGCCAGATCCCGAACCTTGTAAGAGAAAGACTGAATATTCCAGAAAATGTCATCATAAAATCAAATAAATCTGGCTACATTTCTGACCAGATTCTTAATGACTACCTCAGAACAATATTGAGACGAGAAAACCAACTGCTGATTTATGATCAGGCTGGAAGTCATAAAACTATCATGATTTCTAATGCAATTTCAGATTTAGATGCAACCAAAATTGTGATCCCTGGAGGGTGCACAAAGTATTTGCAACCACTTGACGCACTGGTAATTGCAAATTTCAAATCAAAAACAACAGATTTCAGAATCAAATTCCAAACAGAGCAGATTGAAAGAAGATCGAAAAGAACTGGAAACCTCAAAGCTCTTGATCGCCAGCAACTGATAAACATTGCTTCAAAGGCGTGAGATGCTGTAAGCCCTCAACTTGTCAGAAAATCATTTGAGTTGACGGGTTCTTATGGCGTTAATCATCCAAAGATTTTCAGCCATCAAGTTAATATGAAGAAGTTAATTATCTAATCGATTTCTTCTATTCATTTTTTTGTCTTAAATTTAAAATTGTTAAATTCAACCTTTTCACTTATGGTATTCTTTTTTTTAACCCTTTGAATAATATATCAAACAAACTTAATAATTATTTTTCAATATTATCCTCTTTATTTGTATTAAATATAGATATAATAAACTATATATATAAAATTATATGTAAAAAAATTTTTTGTTCGCTCACGGAGGGTGGGTTTTTGACCAAAAAATAGGGATTTTTCTAATGGTTTTGTTCGCTCACGGAGGGGGGGGGGAGTTACGAAGGGGGAGTTAGAAGAAGCGTTAAATCATACATATTGGTCTAATTTCTTGTATGAGACTGAAGTAGGGTATCTTCTCTCAGACAGCTGTATCCTTTTAAATATTAGATTTAATGGGCCTGAGCCAAAACATAAACTTTGCATGCTTTTAGCGTTTGCTGAACAGTTTTATGAAATTTTAGAACAAAGAAAAAATACTATAAATTTACCACTAAAAAGACTGAGGAATGAGAGCGGGGAAGGCGAAGAAGAAGAAGATGAAGAAGAAGAAGAAGAAGATGAAGATGAAGATGAAGAAAACGAAAAAGAAGAAGAAGAAAAAGAAAAAGAAGAAGAAAAAGAAAAAGAAAAAGAAAAAGAAAAAGAAAAAGAAAAAGAAAAAGAAAAAGAAAAAGAAAAAGAAAAAGAAAAAGAAAAAGAAAAAGAAAAAGAAAAAGAAAAAGAAAAAGAAAAAGAAAAAGAAAAAGAAGAAGAAGAAGAAGAAGAAGAACGAAAAGAAGAAGAAAAAAAAGAAGAAGAAAAAAACGAAAAAAAAGAAAAGAACAAAGAAGAAAAATATAAAAAAGAAAGAGGAGGCAAAAGAGGAAGAGAAGAAGGAAGAGGAAAAGGAAAAGGAAAAGGAAGATATAATAAGACCATACATGGATAAAAACGAGGAGTCACATATAAGAAATAGACTAACTGCCTTTCTTGGCAAGCCATTATATTTTGTAAGTAATGAAGCAGCTCAATTTTTACTTGAAAATATAATTTTAAATGAAAATAGCCTCATTCAAGGTTTTAAAGCAGCAAATTTGGATCCTGAGCACTGAAAAGAAAACAATATCATTCAATACGAGCCATTTCAATTAGACTATTCAAAATTATGGGCAAGAATTTCACACCTACCTCGGGACTGAAAAAATTGCATCGAATCAATAAAACAACTAGCTGAGTTTTATCCTCATATCGAAAAAGCTATTTCAGCATTTTCTAGCTCTATGGAATTTTTAGACCATAAAAGCATGTTTTTGGTAATTTGCTGACTGTTTTATGAAAATCCATGTCAAAAGCATTATTGGCTAAAACTATGTGAGAAATTAACAGATATTAAATTTGGTAGCTTTTGAAAGCAGCTTGAAGAAGATGGTTATAAGGAATTAAAGGTACCTGAAGGTTGATCTTTTCTAGTTCCTTATTATATATACGACTATTTCGTAAGAACAATCAAGTTTTCCAATAAAGAAAACCTATTTCTTAACGAGCTTGATTCTATTGCAGCAATCTCACGCTTTCACTTTCCTTTTGCAAAAAAATTATGTGAAGAAGAAATATCAAAAATTAAAGCAATATTTTCCACAGAGTATGTTAGATCAAGATTTAGCGAGTACAGCGTTTCTTATGGTGAAGAATTGATCGATGAGTTTTTAAGAAAGATATTTATGTTTGATTTAGGAGAAAAAAATACATCAGCAAGAGTTTTGATAAATAATTATACTTAACTCAATTATTCAGATATTTAAAGCGCTACTTCTTCCAAGGGAGTAACGTCAGAATTTTCATTTTAACTATCAATAAATGATGTCGACAGCCATTTTGTCAAACAAGCATTCAAGAAAACCCCCAAAAGAACCAGAAAATCTTAACTGCTTGGGTTGATCTCGCTCCTAATTCAGCCCAATGCGTGTTTAACCTAACTCCCCCCCCCCCTCCGTGAGCGAACAAAAAAATTTTGTTCGCTCACGGAGGGGGGTTAATTTTTTTTTTTTAAAAAAAATTTATATATAAATTTTATAAAAAATATTTTTTTCGAAATTTAAAAAAATCCTAATTTGCAAAAATTGGGAAGCAAATATAATTTTAATTTGCAAAATTTATGTTTTAAAACGCAATTTGTTTAAAATTAAACAGAATTAGCTCTAGATTTCATTATACTAATTATCACTTATATATCAAAATTTTTTTCCATTAAAATTTTTTCTATTAAAAAAAATTTTTGTTCACTCACGGAGGGTGGGTTTTTGGTCAAAAAATGGCGATTTTTCTAATGGTTTTGTTCGCTCACGGAGGGGGGGGGGAGTAAGTTTTACCCTCTTTGGTGTGCGCCAAACAGTAAAAAACTATCCTTTCTTCATTATTAGATCAGCCTAACTGTCCTATACGGTAATCCATATTGCGCATTGCTGATAAAGGTTTACCTGCCAAACTGAAATCTATAATAGCGGAACGCCCTCGAAGAGTCATATTTCCGTACGCAGCAATTTTATTATTATGATTAATTATTATACAATCGTCAATAGTTATGCTTGAATTAGAGACCCTACCATTCGATTTTCAGGGACTACTTATTCGTTGCTAAATTGCTTTTCTAGCTTTATTAGTTTTAAAACATGTAACAATCTTGAAGAAAGAATCCGTAGTGTAGAGCTCCCATCAAGCATCTTATTTTTTGATTTTTTGAAGAAAATAAATAAATATGCCGCAGAGCTAATGAGTGATCCTGCAAATTACAATGAAACTCTAGAAAATCAAATTAATCTAATGGAAAGCTTCGCAAATGAAGAAATTATCAGCATAGACTTTGTACCCAAAGACTCAGACTTGAAAAACATGATTCAATTGCTGTCCTCAAATCTTTTTGGTGGTTTAATGAAATTTTGAATGAAATCATCGACTTCTGAGCTATGATTAAATTAGAGTAAAACTAGAATGAGTCTTCAGGGTTTATTTAAGCCCCTCTCCGCCTTCACCGACTTTAGGCTTCCCGCTCTAAGGATCGGGATGAACTAACCCTCTTTTCTGTTGTCATTACCAAAAAATGGTAACGTCAGCATCTCTAAGGGGAGACACATCCAGGCACTTCCTTAGGCAAACTCCTAGAGGTTAGCACCATCTGCCTGGAGATGGGAGGTAGGAGGCGGTCCCAGAATCTCCAGACTCTGATCTACTTATCTATGAGTCGCGCTAAAAAAACTGTCGTAATTTCCCGGCCAGGGATAAAAAACCCACCCAGGACACAAAAAGCCGAGGGCATGAGAAAAGGCCAGGCGGATAAGTCACTATTTTATTTATGTTGAGGAGCTATGAAGTCAAAGAGAAAAGTATATATCAAGATATAATATATTATGCGAAGAATACTCAAAAGAGTATCCAGATGATTATAACTATCTTATTAATTCTGTAGAATATGATTGAACAAAAGGATTCAAATGTTTCCTTATTTACTTACCTGAAATGATGAATAAAATTTTAGGAAACAGTAAAAGTCAAGATGCAAGTAAAATTTTTCACTTAATAAAACCATTTTTCAAAATTCTGCTGAGTCAGAATATGTATAAGCTATGGCGAAAGCTTTTCCTAAAAGGTCATGTCCTGCAATCATTGGTTATCGATACATTTTGCAGCATTGAGGAGATTTTCCCGTTAATTAATAAGATAGAAGCTCAATTTTACTTTTCCGCCTTTGATAAATCATCTGCGAATTTTGGAATTGTTGAGATCAGAAGTGACATAAAAATATTAATCAAAGAATTTACCAAGATTCCAGCTATAATGCAATGCTACCGTGAAATTGTTACTGATATAGAAATAAATGAAGCGGATTATGAAGGCTTTGTTGAAGAAATTTTAGAAAAGACATATTTGATAAAATTTACTAAGGGTGTTGTTGGTAGATCAACTTGCAATAATTTTATATTCATTTCAACCTGCTCAGAAACAGATGATATTGAGTTGCAAAAGGGGGCAATATTAGTGACTTTTCTTCATGAAATAATTCATTTACTAAAACAGAAAATTTATTTCAAAAATTAAGTTTTGATGTTTTAAAACCTCTAAAAATGATGCTGGAAAACAGATAGAAAAAAAAATTTTTGAAATAATTCCTGAAAAATTGACGAAATCTGCAGCTCATTATTTGTGTAGTTTACGTAAAATTGATAATTTAGAAAGTTTCCAATTAGAATTCTTCAACTTAAACTCTGAATCAGGAGAATATGTCAGTCTAAGAGGAGAAGATGAAAATGAAAATTGCATAATACTTGGATCATGTGGAAATAAAAAAGGAATTATAAGAGATTTAAATTTGAGTTTAAAAAAATAATTAAATATTTGAATTTTAAATCTCTTAATAAATTTCTGTATCATTAAAGATCGCATCTAAACTTATCTCCAGCTTCTTTAAAAAATAAATATTTTTCATTACCCCAAGCATTCTTTAATTAATTATTTAAGTGTTAATTGAAATATTATTTTCTTTTACTTGGCTATTTCTATGTAGCTGCTTCAAAATAAAAATGTGTTTGATAAGAGAATGCTGATTTAATATCAAATAGGGGAATCCTAATAAAATGAGTGACATGGAAATCCAATTAGTAAATGCAATCGAAGCGCTTTCGAAAATTCCAGAAAAGTACATATGCAATCAAGAGTATAAAACTCTGAGAGCTAATTCAAAGCACCTGTGAGTTAGTGAAGCCTCTACTAACAAATATTCCAAAGAATCTTGAAAAATTAGCTTTCTTAGTGACTTATTTCGATTTATTATTAACGAAGGCAACGAAGTCTTCCACGAATGAAAGGAATTAGCATTGTTTTATATTGAGCAAATTCAGGGATTTGATATCGATTGCTCTGTGCTTGATTTTCAAGCTCTTGCATATTTCTTGGAAAGCTTGAAGGATATGGCATGTTTGACATTGAAACAGGAATATTGCAAATCTAAGTTTGAATACATCAAGAATCGAGCTAGGCAGATTGACTGTGCATCTGAGCATATTTCAGAAATAGACAAAGAATGAATTCGGAAGAATATTAAGATTTCATTGTTCTCTTATTTGTTTGATAAAGATCCAGATTTCGCAAATTTCGATGAGAGTTTAGAAGAAGTGCTAAAGCATACATATTGGTCTAATTTCTTGTATGAGACTGAAGTAGGGTATCTTCTCTCAGACAGCTGTATCCTTTTAAATATTAGATTTAATGGGCCTGAGCCAAAACATAAACTTTGTATGCTTTTAGCATTTGGTGAACAGCTTTATAAAATTTTAAAACAAAGAAAAAATATTATAAAGTTACCACTAAAAAGACTGAGGAATGATGAAGACGAAGAAAAAAAAGAAGAAGAAGAAGAAGAAGAAGAAGAAGAAGAAAAAAATAAAGAAAAACGAACTAAAAAGACAAAGAAAAGTGCAAAGAAGAAGAAGAAGAAAAATATTAAAAAGAAAAAGGAGGCAAAAGAGAAAGAGAAGAAAGAAGAAAAAGCATACATGAATGAAATCGAGGAGTTACATATAAGAAATAGACTAACTACCCTTCTTGACATGCCATTATATTTCGTAAGTAATGAAGCAGCTCAACTTTTACTTGAATATACAATTTCAAATAAAGATGTGCTTATTCAAGACTTTGAAGATGTAAATTTAGACCCTGAGCACTGAAAAGAAAACAATATCATTCAATACGAGCCATTTCAATTAGATTATTCAAAATTATGGGCAATAATTTCACATCTACCTCGGGACTGAAAAAATTGCATCAGATCAATAAAGCAATTAGCTGAGTTTTATCCTCATATCGAAAAAGCTATTTCAGCATTTTCTAGCTCTATGGAATTTTTAGACCATAAAAGCATGTTTTTGGTAATTTGCTGACTGTTTTATGAAAATCCATGTCAAAAGCATTATTGGCGAAAACTATGTGAGAAATTAACAGATATTAAATTTGGTAGTTTTTGAAAGCAGCTTGAAGAAGATGGTTATAAAGAATTAAAAGAATCTGAAGGTGGAAATTTTCTAGCTCTTTATTATATATATGACTATTTCGTAAGAGCAATCAAGCTTTCCAATAAGCAAAATCTATTTCTTAACGAATTTGACTCTATTTCAAACATTTCGCGCTTTAATTTTCCTTTTGCAAAAAAATTATGCGAAGAAGAAATATCAAAAATTAAAGCAATATTTTCCACAGAGTATATTAGATCAAGATATAGAGAAAATAGTTTTTCTTATGATGAAGAATTGCTTGATGAGTTTTTAAGAAAGACATTTATGTTCGATTTAGGAGAAAAAAATACATCAGCAAGAGTTTTGATAAATAATTATACAATCGTCAACAGTTATGCTTGAATTAGAGACCCTACCATTCGATTTTCTTACTTGCTTACTTAATTACTTATTTAACTGGCATTTAAGGCGTCTAGTGACGCAACCTAATAAACTGAGAAAATTAGCAGAACTAATTTCTATCGAACCGAATGCAATATTACAACTCGATTTTCAGGGATTACGTATTCGTTGCTAAATTGCTTTTCAAGCTTTATTAGTTTTAAAAAATGTAACAATCTTGAAGAAAGAATCCTTAGTATAGAGATTCCATCGTGCATCCTATTTTTTGATTTTTTGAAGAAAATAAATAAATATGCCGCAGAGCTAATGGCTGATCCTGCAAATTACAATGATACTTTAGAAAATCAAATTAATCATATTGAAAGCTTCGCAAATGAAGAAATTATCAGCATAGACTTTGTACCCGAAGATTCAGACTTGAAAAATATGATACAATTAATGTCCTCAACCCTTCTTGGTGATTTACAAAAAATTTGAATGAAAAAAACAATTGGTGCGCTATGAATTCAAAGAAAAAAGTATATAGCAAGCTATAACAAATTATGCAAAGAATACTCAAAAGAGTATCCAGATGATTATAACTATCTTATTAATTCTGCAGAATATGATTGAACGAAAGCGATCAAATGTTTCCTAGTTCACCTACCTGAAATGATGAATACACTTTTAGGAATCAGTAAAAGTGTAGAAGCAAGTAAAGTTTTTTGACTGGCAAATCCATTTTTCAAAACTCTGCTGAGTCAGAATATGTATGAGCTATGGCAAAAGCTTTTCCTAAAAAGTCATATCCTGCAATCATTGATTATCGACACATTTTATAGCATTGAGGAGACTTTAGGGCCCATTAATATGATAGAAACTCAATTTTACTTTTCCGCCTTTGATAAATCATCTGTAGATTTTGGGATTGTTGAGATCAGAAGTGACATAAAAATATTAATCAAACAATTTACAAAAATTCCTACTATAATGGAATGCTACCGTGAAGTTATTTCTAATGTAGAAATAAATGAAGTGGATTATGAAGGTTTTGTTGAAGAAATTTTAGCAAAGACATATTTGATAAAGTTTCCTAAGGGTGATTTTGGTAGAGCAACTTGCAATAATTTTATATTCATCTCAACCTTCTCAGAAACAGATGATATTGAGTTGCAAAAGGGGGCAATATTAGTGACTTTTCTTCATGAAATTAGCCATTTATTGGGAAGATATAAAACAGAAAATTTATCTCAAAAATTAAAGTACGATTCTCCAATTATTGATAAATACCCTAAAAGTGAAGCAGGAAAACAAATAGAAAAAATAATTTTTGATATAATTCCTGAAAAATTGACGAAATCTGCAGCTCATTATTTGTGTAGTTTACGTAAAATTGATAATTTAGGAGATTTCCAATTTGAATTCGTCAACTTAAACTCTGAATCAGGAGATCATGTCAACCTATCGCGGAGAGGTTTAAATGAAGATTACGTAATACTTGGATCTTGTGGAAACAAAAAGCCAATTATACGCGATTTTCAATTTTTAATTCAGAAAAATAATTAAATTTTTGTATTAGAAAATTTAATTTAAATCTCTTAATAAATCTCTGCATCATTAAAGATCGTATCTAAACCTATCTCCAGTCTCTTTAAAAATAAGTATTTTTATACTTTTAAAATCACAACTTTATCAATCTCTAGTCCTAAAACTAAATGATTATGAGAGATAATACTTAATAATACTTTGTCTCAAAGGCTCTGCAATACCGCAGATTAGTATGAGTCATTTGCAAAAAGCACTGGTATATACTTATTTTGCCATTGATTCCAAACAAAAATAAGAGAAAATCCCTAACCAGACTCGTTTTCTTGCTTACCATCTATCATATGCTTCTCCTAAATATTATATTTTAAATCAGAGAATACAATTTACAACAAATTCTGCTTTAGGAATTTTTATATTTCTAAGCCAAAATTTTTATTGTTTGTTATAAAATTGAGTTTCGTCTATTATTACTTCACAAAATAGCAACAAGAATTAATAAGATTTAACACCTAAGCTAAGATAATAATATATTGAATTAGAAGATAAGAAAATAAATGCTAATTTAGTGCTATAAAAATATATTAAGAGAGTAGGATTTTCGACCTATGGATCTCAATTTCAAAAACTCCCATTTCTGAAAATTGAAAAAATGCCTGATTCACTTAATACTGAAACCTTTCTAAATCTTCTATTAATTTACTCAAGAGAAATTACTAAAAAAAAAATAATTTCAATAAATAGCTCATACACATTAAACAATATGTGCCTGCTTTGACCCCTTAAACATTGAGTTTATATAAGTAATTGGTGTTGGATCAATGTCCATATTATCGTACATATCAACTAAGAGTGTTTTTGGTAGAAAAACTTGCAATAATTTTATATTCATCTCAAATTACTCAGAATTAGATGATATTGAGTTGCAAAAGGGAGCAATATTATGACTTTTCTTCATGAAATAAGCCATTTATTGGGAAGATATAAAACAGAAAATTTATTTCAAAAATTAAAGCACGATTCTCCAATTATTGATAAATACTCTAAGTAGAAAAAAAAATTTGATATAATTCCTGAAAAATTGACGAAATCTGCAGCTCATTATTTGTGTAGTTTACGTAAAATTGATAATTTAGGAGATTTCCAATTTGAATTCATCAACTTAAACTCTGAATCAGGAGATCATGTCAAACTAATGCCAAGAGGTTTAAATGAAGATTACGTAATACTTGGATCCTGTGGAAACAAAAAGCCAATTATACGCGATTTTCAATTTTTAATTCAGAAAAATAATTAAATTTTGTATTCAATAATTTAATTTAAATCTCTTAATAAATTTCTGCATTATTAAAGATCGTATCCAAACCTATCTCCAGCCTCTTTAAAAATAAGTATTTTTATACTTTTAAAACCATAATTTTATCAATTCCTAATCCTAAAACTAAATGATTATGAGAGCTAATATTAACAAGCAGAATTGTGTACTTAATAATATAGATGGTTTAATACTTATTGTGTCTCAAAGCCTCTATAATATTGCTGAGTCATTTGCAAAAAGCACTGGCATTCTTTAATCAATTATTTAAGTGTTAATTGAAATATTATTTTCTTTTACTTGATAATTTCTATGTAGCTGCTTTAAAATAAAAATGTCTTTGATAAGAGAATGCAGATTTAAAATAAAATAGGGGATGCTAATAAAAATGAGTGAAATGGAAATCCAATTAGTAAATGCAATCAAAGCGCTTTCGAAAATTCCTGAAAAGTACACATGCAATCAAGAGTATAGCACTCTGAAAGCTAATATGCAGCACCTGCAAGCTACTGAAGCCTCTACTACGAAATATTCCAAAGAATCTTGGAAAATTAGCTTCCTTAGTGACTTATTTTGATTTATTACTAATGGAAGCAAGGCCTTTCACGAAAAAAAGGAATTAGTATTGTTTTATGCTGAACAAATTCAGGGATTTAATATCGATTGCTCTGTGCTTGATTTTCAGGCTCTTGAATATTTCTTGGAAAGCTTGAGGGATATAGCATGTTTGAAATTGAAACAGGAATATTGTAGATCTAAGTTTGAATACATCAAAAATCGAGCTAGGCAATTTGACTGTGCATCTGAGAATATTTCAGGAACAGACAAAGAATGAATTAAGAAGTATATTAAGATTTCATTGTTCTCTTATTTGTTTGGTGTATATTCAGATTTTGAAAATTTTGATGAGAGTTTAGAAGAAGCGTTAAATCATACATATTGGTCTAATTTCTTGTATGAGACTGAAGTAGGATACCTTCTCTCAAACAGCTGTATCCTTTTAAATATTAGCTTTAATGGGCCTAATCCAAAACATAAACTTTGTATGCTTTTAGCGTTTGCTGAACAGTTTTATGAGATTTTAATACAAAAATATATAGATAAAGAAAATACTATAGATTTGCCTCTAAAAAGACAGAGGAATAATGAATACGAAGAAAAAGAGGAAGAGGAAGAAAAACAGAAAGAAAAACGAACTAAAAAGACAAAGAAAAGTGCAAAGAAGAAGACGAAGAAGAAGACGAAGAAGAAGACGAAGAAGAAAAAAAATATAAAAAAGAAAGAGGAGGTGGAAGAGAAAGAGAAGAAGGGAAAAAAAACATATATGAATGAAATCGAGATACCTTATATAAGAAATAGACTAAATACCCTTCTTGGCATGCCATTGTATTTTGTAAGTAATGAAGCAGCTCAATTTTTATTTGAAAATGCAATTTTAAATGAAAATAGCCTTATTCAAGGTTTTAAAGCACTAAATTTGAATTATGTGTACTGAAAAGAAAACAATATTGTTCAATACGAGCCATTTCAATTAGATTATACAAAATTATGGGCAATAACTTCACCTCTACCTCGTGACTGAAAAAATTACAGACAATTAGCTGAGTTTTATCTTCATATTGAAAAAGCTGTTTCAGCATTTTCTAGCTCTATGGAATTTTTAGACCATAAAAGCATGTTTTTGGTAATTTGCTGACTGCTTTCTGAAAATCCATGCCGAGAGAATAGTTGGCTTGATCTATCTGAGAAATTAAATGGTATTAATTTTAGTAAGTTTTGAAAACAGCTTGAAGAAGATGGCTATAAGGAATTAAAGGAACCTGAAGGTGGATCTTTTCTAGTTCTTTATTATATATACGACTATTTCGTAAGAGCAATCAAGCTATCCAATAAAGAAAACCTATTTCTTAACGAATTTGATTCTATTAAAGTAATCTCACGTTTTCACTTTCCTTTTGCAAAAAAATTAAGCGAAGAAGAAATATCAAAAATTAAAGCAATATTTTCCACAGAGTATGCTAGATCAAGATTTAGCGAAAATAGCGTTTCTTATGGTGAAGAATTGATCGATGAGTTTTTAAGAAAGACATTTATGTTCGATTTAGGAGAAAAAAATATATCAGCAAGAGTTTTGATAAATAATTATACAATCGTCAATAGTTATGCTTGAATTAGAGACCCTACCATTCGATTTTCAGGGATTACTTATTCGTTGCTAAATTGCTTTTCAAGCTTTATTAGTTTTAAAAAATGAGACAATCTTGAAGAAAGAATCCGTAGTATAGAGCTCCCATCAAGCATCCTATTTTTTGATTTTTTGAAGAAAATAAATAAATATGTGGCAGAGCTAATGAGTGATCCTGCAAATTACAATGATACTTTAGGAAGTCAAATTAATCAGATGGAAAGCTTAGCAAATGAAGAAATTATCAGCATAGACTTTGTACCCGAAGATTCAGACTTGAAAAACATGATCAAATTGCTGTCCTCGAATCTTTTTGGAGGCTTAATGAAATTTTGAATGAAATCATCGATTTCTGAGCTATGAAACCAAAGAAAAAAGTATATAGCAAGCTATAATATATTATGCGAAGAATACTCAAAAAAGTATCCAGATGATTATAACTATCTTATTGAGTCTGTAGAATATAATTGAACCAAAGCAATCAAATGTTTCCTAACTCACTTACCTGAAATGATGAATAAACTTTTAGAAATCGAAAAATGTGATGATTTTAGTACAGTTTTTAATGCAACAAAACCATTTTTCATAATTCTGCTGACTGAGAGTATGTATAAACTATGGCAAAAGCTTTTTATAAAAAGTCATATCCTGCAATCATTGATTATCGACGCATTTTATAGCATCCAGGAGACTTTGCCGCCCATTAATATGATAGAAACTAAATTTTACTTTTCCGCCTTTGATAAATCATCAGTGGATTTTGGAATTGTTGAGATTAGAAGCGATATAAAAATATTAATCAAGGAATTTACAAAAATTCCAACTATTATGCAATGCTACCGTGAAGTTCTTTCTAATGTAGAGATAAATAAAGAGGATTATGAAGGTTTTATTGAAGAAATTTTGACAAAAACATATTTGATAAAATTTCCTAACTCCCCCCCTCCGTGAGTGAACAAAACCATTAGAAAAATCGCCATTTTTTGCCCAAAAAACTACCCTCCGTGAGTGAACAAAAATTTTTTTTAATAGAAAAATTTTTTATGGAAAAAAAATTTGATATATAAGTGATAATTAGTATAATGAAATCTAGAGCTAATTCTGTTTAATTTTAAACGAATTGCTTTTTAAAACATAAATTTTATAAATTAAATTAATATTTGCTTTCCAATTTTCGCGAATTAGGATTTTTTTAAATTTCGACAAAAACAAAAATTAGCCCCCCTCCGTGAGTGAACAAAATTTTTTTGTTCACTCACGGAGGGGGGGAGTAAGGGTGTTTTTGGTAAATCAACTTGCAATGATTTTATATTCATCTCAAATTACTCAGAAGTAGATGATTTTGAGTTGCAAAAGGGGGCAATATTAGTGACTTTTCTTCATGAAATAAGCCATTTATTGGGAAGATATAAAACAGAAAATTTATCTCAAAAATTAAAATACGATTCTCCAATTATTGATAAATACCCTAAAAGTGAAGCCGGAGGACAAATAGAAAAACAAATTTTTGATGGAGTTCTTAAAATATTGACAAAGCCTGCAGCTCATTATTTTTGTAGTTTACGTAAAATTGATAATTTAGGAGATTTCCAATTTGAATTCATGAACTTAAACTCTGAACAAGGAGATCATGTCAAACTAATGAGAGGAGGTTTAAAAGAAGATTGTGTGATATTTGGATCCTGTGGAAACAAAAAGCCAATTATACGCGATTTTCAATTTTTAATTCAGAAAAAATAATTAAATTTTTGTTATAAAATTGAGTTTCGTCTATTATTACTTCACAAAATAGTAATAAGAATTAATAAGATTTAACACCTAAGCTAAGATGAAAAATATATTGTATTAGAAGACAATAAAGTAAATGCTAATTTTGTGCAATAAAAATATATTAAGAGAGTAGGATTTGCGACTTATGGATCTTAATTTCAAAAACTCCCATTTCTGAAAATTGAAAAAGATGCCTGATTCGCTTTATTTATATATAGGTTGAAAAGTTTATACAGACTTTAAAATCATATTTCACAATAATAATTTTTTTTTCTCTCAATACTGAAACCTTTCTAAATCTATTATTAATTTACTCAAGAGATTTCTTAAAAAAATGATTTTAATAAAATAGCTCGCCCACATTAACAACATGTGCCTCTTCCTCGCTCTAAACATTGAGCTTGTTCCTAACTCCAATTCATAATTTTTTCCTACAATAATTTCATACCATTAACTCTAATTTTATAATCTTTTCTTTACTTTCTATCATGGAGAAACCTGCGCTTAAAAGCCAAAAAAATTTTATAGGCAGCATAGTACTCAAAGAGAGAGAAAATACCCAAAGCCTTGAAGAGGAAGAAACTAAGCACTCGACTACTGTAACCACCCCAGACTCTCTTTTTTGTATAACTCGAGAATCAATCTCAGATTCATTTTTAGGTTCTGTAAGCGAAGGGTCAGACTCTATGCTCGCACAAAAAATCCCAGCAATGCCGAGCACACCAGCTACTCATATCCCATTTTCCCATACCCAGAAATCAAATCTTGAATTATGGGAAGCAGCGGCGCAAAATAATCCTGAACATTGTAAAAACCTTCTTGATCAAGAAATTCATGGCGATTTTGTTGCAGATTCAAATTCACAAGATGAACAAGGAATAACTGCACTGCATATTGCAGCCCATGAAGGGTTTTTAAGTGTTTGTGAAGTGCTTTTGGATTATGGGGTTAATACAAATCTTAATGTTACTAATGTCTTGAAAAGGACTCCTTTGCACCTAGCTTGCTTAGGCGGACACACTGGAGTAGCTCAGTTATTAGTTCGTTCTGGAGCTGATTTAAATTTATACTTTTATATATATATAGCTGGTCTTTTTGAAAAGAATTTTATATGTATATATTTCGATATTTTTATAGAAAAATGGATAGTTGATATTGATGGAAACACCGCTTTGCATTTCGCTTCTGAAAAAGGTCATCGGCAGCTTGTTCTATGACTCTTAACCCGTGGTCCTAACATCTTCATCAAAAATAACTCTGGCAGAACTTCTCCAGATGTTGCCAACTCCATTGAGATTTTAGATATCTTCAAAGAATATTGCCGAAGACTGAACTTGCCTATTCCAATTTTAGGAATGGCGCCACTGTCTAGATCTCATGAAAGGTTTCCCTCAGAGCCTCGAAGAGTCCAAATCAGCGACTTAACCAATATAGAGAAAGTTAAGATTAGAGAGGGTTTAAATGGGTATTTATTTCAGCTCCTATCTAGTAGAGCAAGTCCGATGCCTCCTTCTGGAACTACCTCTGTTATTTGTAGGCAACATAATGCTCCTCCAGAAGTGTCCAATTGGTTTTGCGGTGTCAGTCCTCTTCTCTGTGTAGATCGAAAGGAGGCCCAGCCAGCCCAAGCCTGCACCCCGCTCGGAAAAACTTCCACCTGCGACCCCATGGCCTTCGGAGCCTTATTTTTTCAAACAGCCAAAATTTTGGAAAATTTTTTCTTACTGCGACAACACCATCTCTGATTGCAATTTATTAACCAATATAGAAGAAAACAAAGAAAGCGGAAGAGTCACCCCAATTGATTTTGAGGTCATACAAGAGCTTGGAAAAGGGAGTTTTGGAGACGTCTATTTGGTCAGAAAAAGAGACAGCATGAACTATTATGCTATGAAAGTATTGAGGAAAGACAAAATTATGGGACAGAATTTGATAAAATATGCAATGACTGAGAGAAATGTATTGAGCTATATAAGGCATCCTTTTATAGTGTCGCTAAACTATGCTTTTCAAACACCTGAAAAGCTATTTTTAATTTTAGATTATTGTCAAAGAGGAGATTTAGGGGTTTATTTAAACAAGGAAAAGAGATTTTCAGAGCCATTGGCAAAAATATATATATGTGAAGTACTTCTAGCTTTAGAAGAGCTGCATAAGCGTGACATTATTTTTAGAGACTTAAAGCCAGATAATATAGTATTGGATGAAGAAGGTCATGCCATGCTTACAGATTTTGGACTTTCCAAAGAAGGGATATATGATAATGTGACAGCGAGAAGTTTCTGTGGATCTGTCGCTTATTTAGCACCTGAGATGATTAAGCGGCAAGGGCACGGAAAAGCAGTTGACTGATATTTGCTAGGAGTTTTGCTATATGAAATGCTTGCAGGGACTCCTCCTTATTTTTCTCCCAACCGAGAAGAGCTTTTTATACTATATTTGCATGACTTACCAAATCCTCTATACTTTTGCTTATAAATTTCTATTTTTTTCATAAACTAAAAAATTCAATATAAAATGGTATAGAAATATCCAAAGAGGTTTATTAAAAATCCCTTCTCACTTTACTCAAGAAACCAAAGACTTGTTAAAAGACGTAATTAATATGTAGCTTTTACAAAGAGATCCTTCAAAAAGATTAGGCACAAAAAGAGACGCTGAAGAAGTAAAAGAGCATCGATATTTTTATGGAGTAAACTGGGAATCAGTCTTAAGGAGAGAACTAAGACCTTCACTGCCAAATAGGATACCTATTGACAATGTAGTGATACCAAATGAAAAAGTTTATGGAGACATGAGCCAGTTTGGAGATAAGTCCAATCAAGTCACAGGATGGACGTTTATATCTAATTAATATGCTAAACTATCTATTTAAGCAAATATTCTCTGAAGTATTATGGAATATTAACTAATAAACTAATAAGAGTTAATTGAAATCTTATCTAGGCAATTGCTGATATCCTGCTTCTTTCCCATATGTCTTCCACACTAAATAGCCTAGTCCAATAGATCCAGACAAAGCAGCTAGAATCGTGGGGATGATCCACCAGTTGCTGGCCAAGTTCGATGCAGTTCTTGAGCTCTTGGAATCAATAATGCCAATTCTTCTTTCCTGGTAGTCATAAATCGTGTAATATTTCCTGAAAAAGACATCTCCAACGATCCAGTAATCAATATCAGCAGCTTGGACTTGCAAGAAGCAAACTCTGCTTTCTCTTTTGAAATATTCTTTTTCTGTTAACGTAAACTCTTCCCCACCCTCTAGCTTGATGATGATTTCAGGCCAATCCACTATATTGTATACATTTGAGCAGTCACAAGCCATTTTGGTATGATATTTAGCACATCCCCACTGGGTCCTAAATCTTTCGAAAAGAGTCTCAATTCCTTTCCTCGGCCCTATAAGCATGCTTGTCCTTGACTCGAATTTAATAGTAGGTGTAATTAAATCAACTTTGGAGTCTGCCACATAAATTGAGGTCAAATTAAGTTCCCAGGAGTTTGAAGTCTCCACAACATTGAACCATTTAAGAGACACAGGCTCACTTGTTCCGTATTTATCAAGATCGTAATATCCTAATGTAATTGCAGATTTTATGTTCTGGTCATCATCTTTACGGAAGCCATTATCATTGAGATAAAGAGAAAACAAAGGTTCATCAATGTTGCCTTGATTATATAAAGTTTCTACCACTGATGGATTTCCATTGGCATCTCCGCTTGGCCCTAGTCCTAAAATCCCATCATAATGAGTCCCAGGGAAATCATCATATTTATCAACAACCACAAAAACTTGGTCTTTTACCGCTCTTGGGTTGGTAGAGCCTAAAACTACTGTTTCTGTAAACAATTCCCCTTTAATTGTATAGGTGTTATTGTTCTCCATATTATATTGCTGCTCGATTGTTTCATTGAGATCCGTAAAAGTGATGGAATTTTTGTAATTATAGGTATGCTTTGTGGTTGATGGGCAAAATGTGCATTTGGCTGCTGGGACCCAAAGCCACTATATAGAAAGTTACAGAACTGCCAGTATCGAATAATAAAGTAAAAGTCTGTGATGGAGTGCCGATTAGAACAGTGCCTGTATAATAAGTCTATATAGATGATACATTTTCGTAGTTAACCAGCTGCTCACTTGCCTTCATTTTAATAACATCTGCTTCTAAGGAGGGCTGAAAAGAATTTTCTGGAAGTGCTGGGCCATCTGCTGAAAGCCTTTCGATAGGAATAGTTATTTGACTGCTTGCAAAGCTGAGCAAGGCTATAAAATAGATCATATAATTATTGCCATTAAAAACTTGACGATTTGAATATTCAGATGTTTATTTAAGATTTTATTAGAGATTTAGGATATGAAAATATATTGTAAACACTAGGTAGACTTGTAGGAAAATTATAAAAATTGCTCTAATGATTTTTAAGAGAAAATATTTGAATAAATCGACGTGGTAGCCAATAGAGTATTAATTCTTAGAAATTAATAGACTATTCTGAAATTAAACAGAATGGATTTTCATGTCTAATTGAATATTTTTCTATTAGTTTATCATATTATATCCAATAGTCAGCAAACCAATAAGTATAATCAACAGACACAGTGTTACACAAAACTTATCCCCAGCCCTAACTTTTATGAGCAATTTTTTCAGTTTTTTTGTGCTTGACTCCAATTCTTGATTGGCCAATCCTACAACATTATCCAAGCTGTCCAGCTTATCTTCATGCCTATCCAAAGCTTCATTGATATTTAAAGCTCTCATTCTCAGCTCATCTACATTTGTTCCGATTTTATCAGCTAAATCATCGATTCTTTTATCATAATCCTCCCATCTCTGTTTGGCATCTTTTTCGATATCGAGCATGTCACCTTTTCTCCCAATATTTTCTATTTGAATATCCTCGATATTTATGAGCTCGGCCTTCATTTTTCCTAAGTCTTCAGGTCTTTTTCCTATCATTACTCCAAGATCTTCACCTTTTTTAGCATCTTCAAGCTTCCTTTCAAGCCAATTTAGCTTGTTTGACTTGGCTTCTATGTCTACCTCAGCATATTTCTGATTAGATTTTACTTTTGGTTTTAATTTTTGCTTTTCTAATATTCTGTTGAGTTCTACGATATCTTTGTCGGTTTCTTTGAGGAGGAGAAGAATTTTGTATTTAAGTTGGATAATTTCAGGGTCTTCTCTGATTGAAAATTATGATATATTTAATTGAATTTAACATGTTTTATAGAAAATTGATGATATTTCATAAATAAATAAGGACAATAGCTATTTTGTAAATAATTTGATTAAGAAAAGTAGGGCTTACTCATGTTTAAAACTTGAAATTTTGTCTCTTTGATCTTGGCATGATTCAATAGTATGGAGCTGCTCTTCACATTTGAGACGGATTATGGCAAATTTATCTTTTTTATCCCTGGAATTTATATCTATTCGGTCGCCGCCAAGGTTTTGGTGCATCTTTTCAAGTCTGCTAACTCCTCCCCCCTCTGTAGGCGAGCAAAAAACAATGGAAAAATCCTTATTTTTTTGCCCAAAAACCATGAAAAAAATTTTAATATTAATGAAATCTCGAATTCTATTTAATTTTAAACAGCTTGTATTTTAAATCATAAATTTTACAAATTAAATTAATTTTTTGCAAATTTTGAATTTTGAAGAGAAAAAATTTTTCTATGCATTCCTTCGTGAGGGAACAAAGTTTTTTCGTTCGTTCACGGTAGGAGGAGTAAGGAGTACGTCGAGAATAGACATTTTATATATTAGATCATAAGCTGATTCCAAATATTTTAAAAAATCATCTGAAAAAATATTTTTCCTATATAAATAAAAGTGGAAAATAATAAAATTAATAATCCTATTAATTATTAAATTAAAACAAAAATAAATTGCCTTCTCAAAATTTATATTAGTATAAAACCTACAAATTATATTTCACTTGTTTAAATTTGATAAAAAGTAACTGGCTTCTGTACAGATTAGTAATTTATTTATCTCAAAAGTAGTTTAAATAACATCTCGCTATAATATGTAATACAATTAAATTTTAGGAATAAAATCCATTTAATTGCCTATATGAGATTAATTAGATTAATAATCCTTCCATGGCTGTTACAAAAAATTAAACTCCAAATTCATTTCCATCATTACCCTAGGAATAAATTACATCAAAAAGTTAGAGGAAGTTTCATCCTGAAACGATTTTCATCCAATCTGGTTGGAAAACTAATTTATTTAAATTGGCCGTTTCTTACGACTTGGAACAGAAAATGTTAAAACTTCCTCTATTTGAATTTTCGATAAGAATTATCAAGATAATTAATGACATATTTATTGCTGGTGAACATATAAGAGAGGCTATTGATTATTTTTGAGATTATAGCTGAATATAAATAAAATTTATAATTTTGATGCATACTAGTATATTAGCCTATCAATTTCGGAAGCGAAAATTAATTGCAATAATTATTTTAAATTAAAAAAATATTAATCAACTTTGTCATAATTAACTTCATTGGACTAGCCACTTCTAAAGAGCTATAGAAATTGCCCGAGGATCGGCTCCATACGGGAACGATTTTCCACGTGTGGAGCCATTTTTCCACACGTGAGAATCCTGACTTCCACGTGTGAAAAAATCGCTCCACACGTGGAAAATGGTTACCGTGTGGAGCCGATTCTCTGGCAATTAGTATAATCATTTTTAGCCATTTTAAATCAAAAATTACTTTGGTGTCATTACTGACCTATTATAATCAAAAAATGATAGCTCAGATTTCCACAAACTCAATTTCCCTCAACTCTATTTTCAATTCATTGAGCCAACAATGCTCGAACTTATCAAAAATTAGTAACTCGAATGTATCTGACTTAGAAAAGCTAGTTTCTGACATCAAAAATAACATTTACATGCTTAAGCAAGCAAATGAAAATATGATGGAATGTGTATACAATGACAGTATCATATTAAATGACCAAAACAAAATTTACTTAAAAATCCAAGAAGTCTCAGCCGAAATTGAAAACTTAAAAGCTGAAAAACTCAAGCATATCAGACTGAAAAAAATCCTTGATAACTTATTTCACCAACAGTCGATTTTTCCAGAAAGATTCGACTTGAAGAAAAAAATTAGAAAAATTCAGCGCCAGCTCAGAGTTCTTGATGAAAAAATACTTTAGGTTTCACTTTATGAAGTTACAGTACAATAAATTCTAATTTTAAACAATTTCTTTAAACATTGCTTTAATCAATATTAATTATTATGGCAAGCAATTCAGCCGCTATCAAAGTTTTAGTTGCAGATATGGAAGAGGAAATGCAGCAATTTGCTCAGCAAACGACAATTCATGCTTTTGAGTCTAATAGATTGGAAAGGGATATAGCGAATAGTATCAAAAAAGCTTTTGATTCACAATATCAACAGGTATGGAATTGCATTGTGGGAAGAGACTTCGGAAGCCACGTTGTATATCAGACGAAAAGGTATATTTTCTTAGCTTATCATAATAACGTCAATGTTCTCATCTGGAAGTCTAACTAATAAGATTTATATGAAACCGATGTGTGAGATTAAATTAAAATTAATTTTAAATAAGTAATTCATGAAATTGTAAAGAAAAATAAGGATTCTTGAGTTGATTAACAAAAAATTTTGATTTTAGAAAAGTACTTTTGGATCAGAATGCCTGAAAAAGCCAAAAATAAAATTTCAGCTTAAAATAAATAATTCAGCTAAAAGTTTAATTAAATCAATGATTTTAGTTTAAAAAATATCATAATCAAAATAAATGAAGCTATACAAGAGCCAACTAAAGTGTAAAATGGTCATGTGCTATCTACATATTTCCATGGGACCTCACAGTTCATCCCTCAAAATGCAGGAATTGTGCTAAGGGGCATGTACGCAAATGCTGCAGCTGCAAAGACTGTCATTGTTTTGTTTAATTTATTTGTATATAATGTAAGTGCTGTTTCAGTAAAAGAAATGTGAACATTTTCTGCTTTATTTACTCCCCCCCCCCTCCGTGAGCGAACAAAAAAATTTTGTTCGCTCACGGAGGGGGGTTAAATTTTTTTTTTTTTTAAAAAAAATTTATATATAAATTTTTAAAAAAAATATTTTTTTCGAAATTTAAAAAAATCCTAATTTTGCAAAAATGGGAAGCAAATAATTTAATTTGCAAAATTTATGTTTTAAAAACGCAATTTGTTTAAAATTAAACAGAATTAGCTCTAGATTTCATTATACTAATTATCACTTATATATCAAAATTTTTTTTCCATTAAAATTTTTTCTATTAAAAAAATTTTTGTTCACTCACGGAGGGTGGGTTTTTGGTCAAAAAATGGCGATTTTTCTAATGGTTTTGTTCGCTCACGGAGGGGGGGGGGGAGTTAGTATTTGAAGACACACATCATTTCTTGCCAGCATTCTTGAAATTCTGGCCTGCATACTTTTAATATATAATCTAAAGCATTTGCTGAATTTTTTTTCTTTTTTAAACTTTCCTTGTTAAAAAAACATTTCTTACAAAAGATTATAACTAGAAATTATCTTTATAAAAATAATAAAAAATTTATTTATAAATTATTAATTGATTAAGCAAAATAAACAATCTTTCTTTGGGCTCAATTAAATCATTTAGCTGAGCGAGATTAGTTTTCGCCATGCTTACCCTATGTATAAACTCTGATCTATCTTTATAATCTACCACATTAGAATAATCAAAACAAACCTTAGTTTCTTCATCCATACTTTTTACAAAAATTTCGAACCGTGAGACAATTGCATCGATTAGCTTATACAAAATGTCTTCAATTTTACTTGACCCTCTTAATTTCAGCTCAAATTTCTTTGCTGCAATACTTTGCTGGGTTCTTCAATAATACCTTATTACAGCATCATCCTCTGGCACATCTGTTTCTTCTGGATAATTCGAAAAATTCATCTCGTTATGAAATACTTTTTCTATACAGTAAAGCTGGGACTGAGAAAAAGCAAATACAAGGTCATCAAAAATTATTAGCTTTAGTGTTGATAAGACGTCCAATTCATCAGAAATTGATGCATCATTTATGGTCAAAAATATAAAATTCCCAAAATTTATAAGGGTGTCAGTGTTATTAAACTTTGATTTTTGGCATTCAACGTCAATTAAGGGATGCAAAGAATAATGTATTCGAATCTGTTTTATTTCTTCAGGATTTGTAAGGTTTAGGAGAATAAATAAAGGATTCCCTAACTCCCCCCACTCCGTGAGTGAACAAAACCATTAGAAAAATCGCCATTTTTTGCCCAAAAACCCACCCTCCGTGAGTGAACAAAAATTTTTTTAATAGAGAATTTTTTTATGGAAAAAAAAAATTGATATATAAGTGATAACTATTATAATGAAATCTCGAGCTAATTCTGTTTAATTTTAAACAAATTGCCATTTAAAACATAAAATTTTATAAATTAAATTAATATTTGCTTTCCAATTTTTGCAAATTAGGATTTTTTAAAAATTCGAAAAAAAAATTTCTATAAAATTTATATAAAAATTTTTTAAAAAAAAAAAAATTTAACCCCCTCCGTGAGTGAACAAAATTTTTTTTTCACTCACGGAGGAGGGGGGAGTAAGTAAGAATTCGGATTTTGTTGAAGAGTTTCTTGAAAACTGAGATATCGGCAGGATTCTTTTTCTAAATCAAATTCTAAGATGTCTTTTTTGGCTGGGTGAATAATTGTGGTGGCTTCACTTGTTTTATAAGTTTCTGACCTAATATCAACTTCAGAAAGATCTTGGCTACTGCTTGAAGACATTTATTTTATTGATAGCATAATAAACAAATGAGATTCAAACAAGAGTGTATTAACCTAGAATTTTATTTTTAGGTGAATGAAGAATAAGTAACTTGAAATTAAAAAAGTGAATATTCAAAAGAAAAATAATTCGCAGATCATATTTTAAATAAAGCTAAATAAAAATTAGAAAATTACAATATTGTAGTATTTATTTATGAGGAAAAAACTATAAAATACCAATTTATCAGATAAATACTTGGATTCTCTATAAGAGCTTTTTCCTGAAATATAAAGCTATGCATTATGTTTGATTTTGCTGACTTTCCTATCTTCGCTCAATTTGGTCCAAATCAATGAGCTAGTAAAAAATTTTTCAAATATAGTATCCAATTTATAAATTTTACATTGAACTCATGCTAAAATAGCTTGCATTTTAAAACATAAATTCGTTTTCAATTTTGCGAATTGGAAAAAAAATTCTATAAAATTCATATATAAATTTTTAAGAAAAGAATTAATCTCCTCTATGAACGAGAAACTAAATTTGCTCGCTTACTGGCCAAGAAGTGAGCATTTATTTTAGCTCTCCATTTCGCTTATATAACTCAAAATATCTATTATTTCCATTTTCCTAAAGCCCATAGCCCTCTTAAAAATTTCTGCCATTATCCCAATAATTAAAAAAGGCGCGAATGTCGACAAGCACTCCTAAAGGAAAATCCGCAACCCCAAGACGCGGCGGTACAAGCTCTAAAAAAGAAGCTGCTCAGCCAGTTGAAGAGACTAAAACTCCTTCAAAATTCGAAGACGAAGCCTCCAGAGCTACAACCAGATCAAGATCTCGCACCCCTGCTAAAAGTCAAAAATCATCAGCTAAAAAAGCTACTCCAGCCAAGTCTCCAAAATCCCCTGCAAAGACTCCGACTAAATCTCCTAAATCAGGAGAAAAATCGCCTGCCAAAACTCCTGCAAAGTCACCAAAGTCAGCAGAAAAAACTCCTGCAAAATCGCCAAAAGCAGCAGAAAAGACACCAGAAAGATCAAGCGCAAGAAAATTAACTCCAAAGCAATCAACGATGGCAGAAACAGCAGCTGCAGGAAAAGAGTTCTTGGAAGATACTAATATCCCATCTCATTCTAAAACGACAAGATCATCTTCTTCAGCTAAAAAGTCAAGGAGAAAGACTCCAACTAAAGAATAAAGAATCAACAATTAATTATTCTTCTTTTAATCCATCTGTTATTGATATACACAGATAAATCTTTATATTTGGTATTGAAATTTGGCAGATCAGATTTCAATCTTGTTATTGATGAATTCCATGTTTTATTCTCCACATACTTTTTCTACACAAATTATAAGATATTGCCTTATTTTTTGAATTCCTCACAACTAATACTGTTTATGCTCCTAATTCTATATTTCACCCTGATTAATTCTCCTAAAAATTCTTTATTTTAATTAAAATTATTTGCTAAAATCGTCGGCAAATGCATCACAATTGCAGTGATATCGTCAGCAACTTCTTCTTCGTTTTGAAGTCATTTTTGCCAAGCATGGGCAACCAAACTTTCAGCTCCTTTTCTCGAATTTTTGCCATATTTTGATACAATTTCGATAGCTTCTTGATCACTAATAAATTCTAAAACTCCATCACTGCATATAATGATATATTCAAATTCCTCTAAAATTTGGATATCTTTATATTCTGGCTGTGGAGAAACGCCTATAGTCTGAGCTACTGCATCTCCTAAGGCTCGAGATGTGGATAGTCCTGGATAGTCTTTTCCTTGAATAAAAATTCTTGGGATGTTCTCGTCAGGTAATGCTCGGATTTCTCCATTGCTTTCTTGAATTCTTTTTGATTCTTCAGGCACACTTGGTTTATGGTCAGTCGTCAATCTTTCAGCGATTATTCAATTATTTATTTTTTTTCCTAAAATAGCTCTGGAATCCCCAGTATGGCCAATATGAATGTGACTATTTTTTATTAAAATTGTTGTGGCGGTTGTCCCTGACATCATACACTCAAATTTTGGTTCAGGCGCACTGCAATGCTCCAATAGTGAAGCATTCGCATGAAGAAAACTTTGAAAAATCGCTTCCTTTATATTTGAGTCAAAATTCTCATGATTTATTAAAAACTGTGGGAGTTTTGATTGTATAAAATTAGAAACATCATGCCCAAATGCACCATGACCATCAAAAACTCCAGAAAATATAAATTCTGTATCCAGAATGATAGAAAAATCATCTTGATTATAAGGACTAGCTTTTAGGCCTTTTTTACAAGTAAATCCAATACCATATGAGTAAACTTCTTCAATTTCTTTAATTTTTCCATTTAATTTTATGACTTTATCTTCGTAACTTATTTGATGTCCTTTATACGAAGATCCACATATAATTGTCCGTGATGTAGTTAAAAATGATTCTTCAGTTTGTGTGAGTTTACTGACTGATCTATGCCGAGAATGATGGCTTTTTTTTGTTCATTCAGTAATATTTTTTTTAAAATCAATTGATTCCTGAAGCTGTGGGATAATAGTAAGATGATGGGTTTTACGTTTTTTTTGTAATGATTGTTGAGATTCTAGCTTAGCTGGAGATATAAAATCTGGAGTTACATCATTTTTGAATTTTTGCTTGTGCAGGCATATACCCATTTAATGGCTGTTTTCTTTTAATATTATTAAATTTTTAAGTGCTAGTCGGATCAAGCTCAAGCTAGGCGTTTTTCCATTATGTAAAGCACAACGTATAAATAGCTAAAGAATGGGTAAGTCTAATTTTACTATAAATTATTATTTTAGCTAATAAAAAAATATACTAATACAATATTTTACAAAACTTCAAAATAATCTTATCAATAATTGATTTTTTTTCAAAATGCAAATTGCTGGTTTTTTTACTTGCTTCCATTTTAAGACTTGATCTAAATAAAAATAATGAAGCCATTTTAATTAAACATTTACCTAACTCTAAACTTGCAAATTCACATCTCTAGGATCAACTCCATTGTCATATCCAGATTTCCTTTCAATTGAGCTAATTTCTTCCATAAAATCCATTACACACTTAGTTAGGTTATAAACTCCCTGCAGGGATCCGAAGATCTTTATCACCTTCCATAATGCTCCACTTGTCTGCTTCGCCGAAAATCATCTAACGGCGTTCAAAGTCGTGTTTCTAACAGAATTCGGCCTGCACATTGGAAAGTTTGGTCACCGCGCCGTACACCAACGGGGCTTATCTTCTAGAAAAATTCGAAAAACAATTTCGTTGTTGTTGCCTCTCGGCCAAGATGAAAAATTGTATCCCAGGACATAATACCTGATATCAGCTGGGAACGTTCCCGATCGACCAGAAGAACCTCATTGTATTGCTGGGACACCCTCTCCAACTTCGAACTCCATTTTCCCAAAACATTAGCCTGGCTGTGTACCTGCAGTCCGCCAACCGGTCATTGCGCTCCACCAAACCAAGTAAAAACCTATTCGGACACTTATACCGAACGCCAAAGCTTTCTTCTAAAAAATCCCTGGTCTCCCCAGCTACAGACGTTAGGAGGTTGGGCTAGTTCTAACCCATTTTTATGTATCTTCCATAAAATCCAATGGAGCCATAATTTTATTTCCTCCTAAAATTACTTGTGCATCATTTTGGAATTCTTTTATAAGACAAACTTCAGCGTAGCTCAACCCTCCTAAAATAAAGATTATGATTCGTTTTCTTCCTCTTGCAGATTTTAATTGTGCTGGCTTTTTTCTAAGAGAAGTTCCTACAGAAATTGGCCCTTCAAATCCTTGAAGATTAGGTGGTGCAGCTTTTCCAAAAATAAAATTGCTTGGATCAAGCTGATTATCTAATGCAGCTCTAATAATATTTCTTAGCTTTGGTTGATAATAATTATAGACCTTCTCTATAGGCTTCATTTTTTTGACGATTTCTCTTAAATTTTCTTCATCTCTGTATAAAGTTTTTCTGTTAGAAGTCTGTGGTTGAATTCCTAGATAGCCTAATTTTGATATTAAAAAAATATGCTTGGTTTGTAATAAATCTGTTACCATTTTTCTATGCTTTTCTTTTAGCTCTAAACAGATAACTGTTAATAAAGCTAATCTTAGTCTATCTTCTTCATCAGTGATTTGTCTCATTTTCTGTACAACTCTTGGAACGATTTTCCCAGGTTTTATCCAATTTCTATTTGAATCAACTCCTGTTAGCAAAATTTGTTCAATTTCACTGACATCATTGAGCCCATCATCCACAAATCGTTTTAATAATAAATCAATCAAATATCTATGCACTGCAAATCTGGCCATATATTCATTATACTCTGATAGTCCACCTACAACTCTAGCGACTTGTTTTATATTTAAAGCTTCTTGATTAGCTGCAGCTTCTACATCTCGATTTCTATTTCGAAATTCATTCAAATCATCAACCAAGGTTCCTTGTGCGTCATCCACTTCATCATAGCGAAGCTTGGTCCATATATTATCAAGCTCATTTAAAGTTGCGTCTTTATTAGAAACAGTATTCTCATTATCAACAGACTCATATTTTACACGTCCGTCCATTGAAACTCCTAGGATATCTCGTGTCATAGGCTCATAATGAACATCATGATATAATGGTGTTGATAAATCAAATTTTCTATCCAAAATTACCAGGGTTGACCTATTTTCATTGAACTGCAAATCGGGATTTCCTATACATTACATTACATTATTATCTATATCGTTTAACGTCCACTACAGTATAGCTGTTACTCCAGGGCTGCCACCATATTTATCCACGTGTCGGACCCATGGACCTCTGGACTGATCCACTTTGCTTCACCAAGGAAAGGGTAAATACGATTTTCCGGCTTCAACGGGCTGCGTTCGCCTCGCGCTCCTTGACTCAGCTCCTGCGCGTGTTCCGCCTAAGGGTCACCTTCCTCGGGTGTGCTGAGAGGTAAAACTTCGAGCCTCTTGATATACTTGGAGCAGTGCCTCGGCTTATCTGCCAGAGTTAATAATATAATAATAATATTTACGATCTATCATCCGTTTAACCAAATTTATCCCCTAATAATATCTGCCAGAGTTAAAACTGCTATTGCTGTACAGAAGCTCTCAGAAGAAAACCTAACCCCATAAATAAAATGGCATTCGGTTCGAGCGAAATTAGCTCTGCTAATTTTCTCTCCCTCAAGCAATTTTATTTATGGGATTTTCCTATACACTATTCCTATTTGTTGTTCAAGCTCAATAGCAAGTTCTTCAGCTTGAGGAGATAGAGATTGATAGCAAACATAAGGGAATTCTTTAAGCATTGCACAAAGATTAGCAAGTTTTTTAGCAAGAGCTAAGATTGCTGTTTGGCGGTCTATAAGAGATTCAGAGAGATAAAGAGGTCCCATGAAATGATTTTCTTCAAGAGAAAAAGCGTCAAGCCCACATACTCGAAATTCGCAGTTGACTTCTTTAAGGGTTCGAATAAACGGCATAATAGGTGAAGCCGCTAAATAGGTAAGCTGCCAATCTGATAAACTTGAGGTAAAACATAGATGTGCTGTTCTATATGTTGCAACTCGACTTGAAAAATCTTCTGCAATATGCTTAACCACTTTGTCAGTTGGTGTCACAAAATATAATGCCTCAATATCTGGCATTGGCATTCTAGTTTTTTCTAATTGTTCTATGACAGAAATTCCTCTTTCTGTAAGATCGAGAACCGTGACAGCCCCTGATAAAAAACTGATAGAGGTTTTATCTACTATCATAGCCAGATATGGAGCTCTTCTGCAGATATCTTCTAACAGATCGTTTAATATTCTGTCTCTCAAGCAGGAGTAAAGTGAGTTTTCAGATTCCATATTATAAATAAAAATTTAAAAATAGTCAATTACCAGCTGTTGTTGAAATTATAAATTCTATTCTATTTATTAATTATAAGTACATATATTTAAGTCTTGAATATATTTTTATAAATTTTCAAAAAAAGGAGATAAATCCTGGCAGTGTTTTTTATTTACATTTTTGCATAATTATTTTCATGTGATTCATATTACTTACTACCTACCTCCATGAGCGAACAAAAAAATCTTGTTCGCTCACGGAGGGGGTTAATTTTTTTTTTAAAAAAATGAGATATATAAATTTTATAGTAAATTTTTTTTTCAAAAAAATCGCAAAAATTGGAAAGCAAATATTAATTTAATTGTAAAAATTTATGTTTTACAACACAAGCTGCTTAAATTTAAACAGAATTAGCTAGAAATTTCATTATATAATTATCACTTATATATCAAAACTTTTTTGTTTGCTCACAGAGGGTGGGCTTTTATCCAAAAATATGGATTTTTCCTATATTTTTGTTCATTCACGGAGGTGGAGTTAAATAAAATGGGTGCAGCGTGCTGCTCTCGAAATACAATTAAAGATACTCATGACATATTGCAGCCTCGTCTACAATCTAGCTTCACTACAGAACAAACCACTATTTTTCACCAAAAGCGCAGTCTTCACGGGAGCGACGCTTCTGAGTCGTTTTGTTTTGAAAATACTCTTCCAAGGCCATCAAAATTTATACGTTGAAAGCAAGGCGAGCTTCTAGAAGAAGACTCTAATTCGAAACTTTACCAATGCTTAAACATTGAAACAGGCGAAATTATGGCTGTGAAAACTATAATCTTGCATTCAAATTCTGAAGATCCAATCAGAGAATTTGAAATTATAAGAAATCAATACCAAATTATAAAAGAATTAGACCACCCAAATATTTTGAAGTATTATCAATCAGAACTGTCAAATGACCAAAAAATGATAAACATTATCCAAGAGTTCATACCAAGCGGATCTATTGCAAATTTAATCCAAAAATATGAGAAAATAGAAGAATCGATTATAAGAATATATGCAAAACAAATTTTAAAAGCTTTGAGTTGTTTACATAATAGTGAGATTATTCATGGAGGATTGAGAAGCTCACATATAATGATAACTGAATCTGGGAATATAAAATTAAGCGGCTTTCAAAATAGTAGGAAATTATGTGGAGAAATTATGTGAAAATTTGAAGATACTGCTGAGAATCCTTTTTGTGTTGCCCCAGAAATATTGCAAAACAAAGAAATCAGCCTTTTAGCTGACATTTGGTCATTTGGCTGTTTGGTTCTTGAAATGACAACAGGCAAGCCTCCATACTCTGATTTCTCAAAAGACCCTAAAGAAGCATTAAAAATAATCCGCGATACTGAGCAACTCCCAAACATTCCTCAAACAATTTCTATGTCCTTGCAATCTTTAATAAAATCCTGTCTCCAAAGATCCCCAATCTTACGCCCAAAAGCTTCTCAGCTCTTAAAGCATCGTTTTATTACAGGAAAAGCTTATTCTATAGAGTTCCTTGACAATTTTGCTGGCAGTAATATAGAAGATGTCAGGCCATCACAAAAGCCATATAGATATGGACATAAGGATAGTACTGACACAAATATACAAGCAGTGATACATGAACAAGACAGTGACGGAGACAGTCATGATGAAAATATTAATTAAAAATTCAGTTTTCTATAAATTAATCGAACTATTGGTCCTGATAAACTGCTTTGGCCATTTAGATAGTCTCCACCACGTGTAATAGGCTCTTCGATTTTAAACTCGACATCATCAGGGCCTTTTAAAGGATTTATTCGGGATTTTGGGTCTCCATAAAACAGTCAGTTTCCATTATACTTGACTTTTATTACTATTGGATCTCATTCCCTCACCTCGACGCCATGACTAAATAATATTGGAATTACTTGTTCACTATATTCGCGTATTAATTTAACTTAATTAAGATTATCGAAAAGCTCAGGTAGGCTCGCAGAGCCATATTTTACCTCCCTATCGCTTCGCCGTTTGCTTTGCAAGTCCGAGCACGGCCTCTCACTGTCTACTAATTCCAACGATGGCTTGCACTCGCTATCAGTGGCCAGGATAAAACACCTTATATCACACTGGACATTCCCGACTGACAAGGAGGAACCTCACGACACCTTTGCCAACTCCGAACTTCATTTTCCTCAGAGGTAAAACCTTGACCTGGATGCAAGCCTGCGGCCGGCTAAACCTGAAATTGCGGTCCACCAAACCGAGCAAATACTTCGCCGAACGCCATCATCCCTTCTACAATATACCTTTGTCTTCACAACTGCAGGTGCTAAGAGGGTAGGGTAAGTGGTTCGCTACGCCATTTTAATCTATATCACTATACTCGCATATAGAATATTTATGGTATTCATCAATAAGTACTGTCCCATCAGTTGTTCTCCCCTGTCTAATTTGTATATATTCTATTGCTGAGTTTTGTGATCTTTCTACTTCAGAAGCTAGCCCTAACCCTAGCAATTGAATGCTCTTAGAGGGGATGAGGACAATTGCTTCGACTTGCCTTTTATTTTTCCCTATTGATCACTTCTTGACTTGACTCATATTGCTTGTATATTGGTTTGGGAAAATGTTATAAAATCGCTCCAATTCAATTCGGTCATCTTTTATGCACCACCTTTTCTCCTGTTTAATAATAGGCTTTGGGAAGTGAAGACCTTCTTCAATCTCTTTGCCTTCTTCGAAGTTTTTTAGCTTGATTAAGCAAATTTGAAGCTGGGTGTTTGTAAGCGTTTCAGCTCTTGCGAATTGTTCAGCAATTTCGGCTGGGAGCTCATTTATTTCTCGTTCATCTATGATTGAGTTGATTCGTGCTCTTAAGAGATTTCCGGCATTGACTTCTAAGATTTCAGAGCATTTTTCATTGTGGCATTCACTGCATAGAAATTGTTTTGTTTCATCATTATAGTAATAAGCAGGAATTTCTATGTGATTATCACATAATACTTCAATTTTATCGATGACGTCTAAAATTTGGTAGGATTCATTTATGCTTTTTAAGGGCCGGACTTCTCTAATGCGGTCTAGAGGGCATTCTAATAAACCATATTGCTGATTTAGTCTGCTTGCACAGGAAAAGCATATGGTATGCCCACAAAATAAGCTTAAAGGTCTGCGATCTTGGGTATTGAAATAATTACAGCAAATTTTGCATTGTAGTAATAATGATAATAAATGCTTGTATGATTCAGATTCCATTACATATTAAAATTAGCAAAATCACTTTTTTTCTATAACTCAAATATTAGTATCCAGAAATAGTCTAGTTTTATAGCGTCTGCATTGCTATAGCGTGCCTTGCATAGGGTTCTCCATACCAACTAGGAGCTCTGACGAGTCACCTAAAGGTGACAAGTCAACTCCAGTTGACAAAAGCGTGCCCTTTTGCAAGGATTTGTCAACTTGGAGTTGATTTGTCACCTTTAGGTGGCTCGTCAAAGCTCCAAGCTGCTGCGGAAAACCCTCGCCAAGGCAATCTATAGCGGTGCAGACGGTATAAATAAAATGTCCTATAGAATTTTATTAGTTTAAGTCCATTATTTCTGTAATTTCATGATCATTCTTTTCATGTACTCAAAATGTTAAATTATTTCTTCACTGGTCCAAACTCTTGCCATAATTATGGTTTAATCGTTTTCATTACTAATCATCATGTAATAAAAAATGTTTGTAACAAGTATTCCTAGAGACTCCCACAAATCCCACCATGCTTTCACCAAAGAACTAAGCGATAGAATTTCGAAGCTAAAAATAATCACTGAAAATAATGGCTTAGATTTTCCTCCCACTTTGCTGTCTGCAGCAAAGGAACTTTCAGATAGCACAACACATTTATCAGTTCTCCATTGCGAGCAGGAAAATCCTTCTCCTTTGTATACTTCACATACAAAAAGTGATTTAGGGATTCCTCCTCCACAGGATCTGGATAAAACAGACAAAAAAACATCAGAAACTTTTGAACTTGGCAGCAGACTTTTAAATTCCAGTTTCAGTGAGAGCGAATCTGAAAGTGAATTGGATACCACACAATTGAAAAAAAAGTCTAAAAGCTTGATTAAGGGACTAAAGCAGCAATTGAAGCATTTCAGCTTTGCACAGTCAAAATATTTGGAGACTAGTGCGAGGAGTGAAACTGAAACGTCGATATATAAAGAAGACTTAGTGAGCTTGCATAAATCAGCAACCGAGGTGCTTAATGAAACTTTGAAGACCAAACATGAAATAAAGATGATGAGAAAAAATTTTGAGGCGGCTTGTGATAGGGTAGAAACGCCTGCAAAATTCCCCAACTTAAATAAAAGGGATTTCTTAGAAGTAGAGCATGAATTTATTGAAGAAGAATCTTCAGATATCAGAAGTCTTGCAATACAAATTAAAGAAATCCAAACAGAAATAGATTCCATTAATCAAAGAATTACAACAGGACAAGAAGAATTTAAATTAAAAGAAAAAGAACAAACTGAGCTGATGAGCACAATTTTAAAGTTAAGAGAAAGCTTACTCCGAACAAAACCATTAGAAAATCCTTAATTTTGGAAAAAACTCACTGACAAAAATTTTTTAATATAAAAATATTATTATAATGAAATCTCGAGCTAATTCTGTTTAATTTTAAAATTAAATTAGTATTTGGTTTAAAAATTATTTCGAAGTGGGATTTTTTTAAATTGAAAAAAAAATTATAAAAATTTATATATAACTCTTCCACTTAAATAGGCAGCCATGTATCCGACGTCTCCTAGACTGCCAGGATGGACTTCAAAAACACATCTTGGCGAAACTAACCCTTGAAATAGAAAATTCACCTGATAATTAGATTTTCTATTTCAAGGGTTGATTGCTCCAACCCCGAGCATATGGTAATCCACTTAAGTGGATGAGCTATATATAAATTTTAAAAAAAAGAACAAAATTTTTGTTCGCTCACAGAGGAGTGAGTTAGCAAATAATAACAGCTGTGTCATAGACACTGACGAAAAGAAAGATTCATGCAAGTGCATCGTTTTTTAATGTCGTAATTAAATAATCAAGTATTTTATCTTATTATTCATCCTCTTCATTTTTTCTTTTCCTAAATTTTTGCTTATTATTTCTCCTAGAAATGGCTTTATTTTTGATATTTTGCTGTTTTTTCCACTTATAATATTTGGAGTCTTTTGGTTTAGTTTCATCATTTTTTACATCCTAAATCACTTTTACATTTGTCGTAGAAAATCTTATGTAAATAGGTAAAGATTTCCCATCCGCATAGTACCCGACTGCTTGCCGTTTATTATTTTCAAAATTTTCTAAATTTTCCACATTTTCTACACAGTTTGTATTGAATGCGTTTAAAGCGAAGTCTGGCCCAGGAAACTGCACATTGCAAGAACTATCATTAAGTCATTCTACTTTTAGAGGCTTAAATCCATCAAAATGCTTTAATATTTCTTTTGTGCTCATATAATCAACTCCATATAGATGAAGAGTGTCTGGTCTTATCTCCCCAGCTGGCTCTATTGATGGATTTCATATTTCTTTATCACCTGGAGCTTGCTGGGTTCCGAATCTTTCCATTCTTTCTTTCTGTTTTTTACGCTCTTCCTAATATTGGAATTACTGGAGTATTTAAATTCAGAGATTGGTCAATAATTCCAAAGCGCTCTTGGCGTGTCTTAACTTTACGATATTCCTCTTCCCAGGATTCCATATTAATATAAAATCACTAAAACAAGAAAAATGAATAAAATTACTATTTTGACTATTAAAAATAGTAAACAAAGAACGCTGCAAAAAATTAATGCAATCAATGCTAAAGAATTAATAATTGCCAAGAATTTTCTTTAGTCTTTCGTTTAATAAAAATTTAAGGCTATTGTAGTTTTACAATTTATTTTGTACAAGCTTCCCATCTCTTCATTCCCCTTCTTCTATTTTCCCATCTGAATTAGTCATTTTTCCTAATCCGTTTTGTTTTCCATTTTTCCAAAAACCTTCATAAACTTTTCCATTAGGCCACTTAAAAATTCCAAAGCCATGTTTATGATCTTTGTGATATTCTCCTTTATAGAATCTTCCGTCAGGCCAAACAAAACTGCCTTGGCCATCCATTTTGTTGTTCTTCCATTGACCACTGTATTTTCTTAGGTCTTTTCATTGATAAACTCCATATCCGTGAATGTTTCCTTCAAAAAAATCTCCTTCGTATGATCCATCAGCTAAAATTAGTTTTCCTTTTCCATGCTTTTTTCCGTATTCATAGCTACCTTCATAGCGTGACCCATTAGATCATATTTCTATTCCATTGCCATGCTTTTCATCATTAAGCCAGTCTCCTTCATAGCGAGTATCATCTGAATGAATGTATATGCCTTTTCCACTGGCCTTGCCGTCTACTCAATCGCCTTCATAGCTATCTCCATCGCTGTGAATCAGCCTCCCTCTTCCATTAGCAAAGTCATTTTTTCAATAGTTTTAATTTATAACTGAAAAATTGTAAAAATATATATTTAAAAACAATATTTTTATTTTTCAATACCCTTCATACTTCGACCCATCTTTTCAAGTCTGAATTCCTTTTCCATACCTCTCCCAATTTTCATTTCATTCACCAATATAAATCGCTCCTCCTTCAATCTGCACTGGGCCTTTTTTAAATACTTTCACCTCATCGATAAATTTTTTTTGGTACTTAAAACGACCCAATTTTTTCGCTGTCGTTATCGTTGCCGAATTAGAGTAATCAGGAATTGGTCCTCAAATTTCTATAATAGATCGAGAATTAGTGTCAGATTCTGCTCTGGAGTGAGATCCAGCATGAATTTTAATTGATAATGATTTTCGTTCTATGTAACCTCTGATGACACTTTGCAAAAGAACTATTGAAGACGAGTCATATTCTGGGTAAAATGGATGAGGGGAAAATAAAATAAATGAGGAGTCGAGATTTTTGTTATTTTTGTGTGAGCGCTTGTCAATAATAAATCGTTCTTCATCAATATCAGTATCTTTAAGACATGCATTGCAAATACATAAAAATGTGATGACAGACCACCCGACTTCTTGACCTTATTTCTCTAATAGCAGCAGGCAATGGGGAAAGGAGTAATCCTTTATGTATGTCGGGTTAGGTTTACTCGAGCCACTGGGAGCTGATTTAGAGGACTTGGGGTTTTCCTCCGAGACCATCATTAGAATAGATATGACCAGCAACAGCTACGAGAGGATGCTAACTCCCCCCCCCCCCCCTCCGTGAGCGAACAAAAAAATTTTGTTCGCTCACGGAGGGGGGTTAATTTTTTTTTTTAAAAAAAATTTATATATAAATTTTATAAAAAATATTTTTTTCGAAATTTAAAAAAATCCTAATTTGCAAAAATTGGGAAGCAAATATTAATTTAATTTGCAAAAAATTTATGTTTTAAAACGCAATTTGTTTAAAATTAAACAGAATTAGCTCTAGATTTCATTATACTAATTATCACTTATATATCCAAATTTTTTTCCATTAAAATTTTTTCTATTAAAAAAATTTTTGTTCACTCACGGAGGGTGGGTTTTTGGTCAAAAAATGGCGATTTTTCTAATGGTTTTGTTCGCGCTCACGGAGGGGGGGGGGGAGTAAGTACCTCGAACAGGACTATAGAGATTACTTCTATCTAGCAAGAAACTTGGTTTTTGACCCAAATGATAGGCCTTAGGCTCCAAGAGTCATGGAAGCCAAGATGGTGTGTGCGCGAATCCTTTGTTTGCGGCGGCGAAAAGATGTCTACTGGGGTCCCGCAGAGGACAAAAGAATATAGGATGCGAATCCCCGACCTATCAGGACGAATGAGTATAACTAAGACATGTATTGCAACCAGTTCCCATATTTTTTATTTGACTGTAATTAAAATTAATAGATTTTATTGAATTTAAGCATATGAAAAAAATTGAATCAAATGCAATCTAATTTATAGACAGATATTAGCTAATAGAATTTACTTTGAAAATTTATTTGCTAATATGTTAATTTATATCTGAAGCTTATTTAGTTTTTTATTTTGCAATGCGTATATAACTGCTATCTCTTTTTCTTCTATATAAAATATATAAATGAACCATTTTTCTACTAATTTTTCTAATTTATCTTGATTCAAAGTTTAATTTAATAAATTGCAGTTTTGCATGATTAAGGAGATTATTTTTATAGGCAATTTGAGGGGTTGAAATTTGTCAGAGCTAAATAAATAATAAGCTAATAGTTTTCTAATTTTATAGAAAATATACTAATAGCCATGAGAACTTGACTTTTTAACCTTAGCGTTAATATATTAGATCTTTTATATTTTTTAATAAAGTGAATTTGTCCTTAAATATTTAAGTTCTTTAAAATATGGTACCATCTGAATAGTAAATTTAAACTATTTGAACATTAATTTTTCAATAATGAGTAAGGATATATATATACTCGCATCTCTAAAGATTTTAAATCCATTCTTTAATTGATATAATACATAAAATATCTAATCAATATTCCAAATTAATATTCCAATTATAATTGGTCTGAATAAATTATGATTTAAAAAAACTAAAAATAATTTGAATAGCTAATTATTGATTTTAAATTATTCTATATAATAATAACTTCTTAAAATTTATTTACTTTAATATTTATATCTTATAGACATTTGCTTCCCTTTTAACAGATTTAACCAATATTTCTTCCCCAAAAAATTCTAAAGCGCCAAATTCAAACAATTCTTTTATTATTAAGCTCAATTGTATATCTCATTCCTTATCAGAACCTCCAATTTTGAAAATTACAACATTTTACTTTAATTTAATTAGTTACATAATTCTAATATTTTGTGTCAATTCCAGAAGGCAGTAATGCGCGCCTTCTGTGCAATAATGAAAGTTTTGGCCCGTCTAGCTTTATTGTAGCAGGCTTGTGTGAGTAGTCGTCTCTAATGTTGATGGAGTCCATGGTTTCATTTAAAACATCAAGGAGCTTATGGACTTTGTCGTTTAATAATTTGTAGTGCCTTTCTCCCTTTTCTGAGATTGGAGTAAACAAGCTTGAATTTACTGTAAAGGTATCGTTTTGGTTCAAAATACTTTGACGCCATTCTTCTAATTGATTGTGTCCTTCTTCTGACCAGAAGGGATCTTTAGAGAAAAAACCTTCTTCAGAGTCAATGCTCTCTGAAGTACTTAAATCTGAGTATCTTTGAGGAATTGTAAGTTCCTCGTCTTGTGTCAATTCTTTATGGGTATCATGTCTTCCTTTGCACATTTGTGCTTTACTGTCAATATTATTTTAACATCCATTAAAATATGCCTAACAATTTTCGCATAATGATAAGAGAAAAGTTATAAAGGAGATTAGATTTGAAAATTCATATCTCGTGCAATTGTGAGAGCTTGAGTTTGGAACTCAAAGAAAAATTTTGATAATCATCGAAAAAAATTTAAATTGATTTTCTGAAATATTAAAGCAAGTGAGCTATTATATAAGTTTTTTCGCTGTTTTCATATAATTCTATATCAAGAAAAATAATTTTTGAGCAAAAAAATTTTTTGAATTCTAATTATATTATATTGTATTAATATAAAACTAATGGCAACTTGATTTTATTTTTTTCTTAAGTTGAAATTTTAATAAAACTAACAAATAGCAAGATTTATTTTAAAAAACTCTATTTATTTTAATTTAAAATTCAAATATTCTAATCATCTTTGGGCTTTTATTTGATCTCCCACTTTCATGTGCATAAGAGCTATTTAACCTAACAGGCTTTGCAGTCTGAGGTCTTGGACTCGGCTGAAATGAGCTGTCTTTAAATTTGTGAATAAAATTTTTATTTATTTCATCTACATCTTGATACACATAATCTCTTTTTGTGCTATCATATACCAACTTTGGATTCCTTTGGAAACGAGTTGAGTATAAAAAGGAAGTTGGAGTCTCAACGTGGACTTGAGACTTATAAATAGGAATAGTTTCATCTAGTTGAAGCCGCTTTCCTAGCCTACTTTTAGGCTTGTAATTTTGTCTTTTAGTTGATGGCAAATAAATCTGCTTGTTAGGTTTCAGCAAATTCTTGGGAGGAGATTTTGAATTTTTTTCTTTATAAGGAGTTAAGATCCTTTGTGTAGGTTTTGCTGAGAAGGATTTTATGTAGGATCCTCGAAGCGCTTTGGATGCTATTGTTTGAGAAAAAGGAAACTCTATAATCTTGCTTGATATTTTTGGGGATGGATTTTCATAAAAATACATAATTTGTTTGCACAGAGATTTATTAAGCCAAAGACGAAAATTATATAATTAATATGGGAAATCATGAAAATGTTCTTTAAACAATTACTTTTTTGTAATAATGCAATAAAACCTTAATTATTGTCTAAAAACAGCTTTTTCCTTGCAGAGTTTGGCTGAAATGTGCATTCTTGTAGGTCTGCAATTTCTTTTTCACTTCTCATCCTCTGAATTTTCTTTTCTGAGATTTGCTTTCTTTCCATTAGCCGGTTATAAAACTCACTTCCGCTGCCAGGTGATGATGATCTTGAGTGCATTTTTGGAGTTTCTGCGCTTTTTTCTCTTTTTGGTCTGTCATAAAACAGTAAGTAATTCCTATCTTGAGGGGTTAAGCATTTCATCAATGCTTCCATTCCTCCACAAAATTCTTCAAATGTCAAAGTTTCTTTGCTTTCTTCGATTTCTTTAACTAAAGGACTAATAATATGCCCAATTTTTGGGTCCAAAATGCTAATTCTGATGTCTGAATAGGCTATTTTGCCATTATCAGATTTAAGCTTTTGGAATATATCAAAAAATCTATGGATTATTACTTTATCCACAATTTTTTCTGATGCTGGGTTTTTATAACCACGTTCTGGTGAGCGACCTCTGAAACTTTCTACACTATTTGATCTTTTTGTGTATAAATGATTTCATATATCATTATTCCTTATTCTGTTTGGCCCTCTCAAAATTTTAGGCTTAAAAAATTCTGCACCTGTATCAGGATCTATAGTTTCTTTTGCTTGTTTTTCGTCTCTTTTTCTATGTAAAAATTACTTACTCCCCCCCCCCCCCCCCTCCGTGAGCGAACAAAACCATTAGAAAAATCGCCATTTTTTGACCAAAAACCCACCCTCCGTGAGTGAACAAAAATTTTTTTAATAGAAAAAATTTTAATGGAAAAAAATTTTGATATATAAGTGATAATTAGTATAATGAAATCTAGAGCTAATTCTGTTTAATTTTAAACAAATTGCGTTTTAAAACATAAATTTTGCAAATTAAATTAATATTTGCTTCCCAATTTTTGCAAATTAGGATTTTTTTAAATTTCGAAAAAAATATTTTTTATAAAATTTATATATATATTTTTTTTAAAAAAAAAAAAAATTAACCCCCTCCGTGAGCGAACAAAATTTTTTTGTTCGCTCACGGAGGGGGGGGGGGGAGAGTTATTAATTTTTGTATCATTTTCCTTTTTTCAATTAAATAATTTTTCTGCAATCCCTTTAGAATTTAAATTGATTTCAGATTTATTCGAAATTTTAGGGGAAAATGGGCATTGCTTTTTCAAGCTGTGTTGATATTACCTTATTTCAGCTTGGCATTTATTTTTCTCATCTCTGGCTTTAGCATCTTTATAAAGATAATCAAATCTGTCTGAATAATTTTTTTTCTTTACAATTTCCTCACTTTTTGCATCTATTTGTGGAGAAAAAGTACAAAAACTTTGTTCCTTGTCCATACTTTCTTGGCGCTTTTTATTTAAATTTTCTTTGAGCTTTTTGCCTTTTTCAATCAAATCGTCTTCTAGCTTGCTTTCTCTTTTTATTTTTCGCTTGTTAATTTCTGGCGCGAAAGTTAGACTTTCTGCTTCTTCTTTTTCTTTCTTTTCTAAAACTTCTTTGGCTTTGGTTTCTTTTTCTTTTTTCTTTATAATCGCAAGTTCATATAATCTTTTACCTGGATGCTCAATTTTACTCGATTTTTTTTCGACTTTTACTTCAATTTCTTTTGTTTCTTTCATGCTCATTTTATGAAGTCTTTCATACACAGGTGATCGATATTTGCCTCTTACCATTCTTCTTGAATTGCTATTTATCGTTGGAGCAAATGTAAAAGATTGATTTACGTGCTGTAAAATTCTTGATGTATTGCCGGATGAAGATCTATAAGATTTGTTAGGAGTTGGCAATTCTGTCGCAATATCATGGATTAATTTATCTAAATTCACCAAAATGTGATCAATTAGATTTTCTTGAATATTGAGACTTAAGCCGTGCTTCATACAAAATGCTTTAGCTAGATCGCAAGGCCTATCATTTTCACGAACTATTATATTATCTTTTGTGTCTCCTAAATCTATTGTCAACACTAGTAATTCACTGTTGGATGATGTATTATGATTGGAATCTTCTTGGAAGTAATCACCATTTCCTGAATCCATGCTGGAAGAGTTCATCTTTTTTTAACTGAATTATAAGGCATTAAAATGGGAAGGTGAGCTAATCTGCCCTCTAAACACTGCAGCCAGAAGTTCGATGGGAAAGCCAGGGACCTTGTGGAAGGGAGGGACAGCATTCGGAAATGTGTATCAGGCCAGGTTTTACTTAGTTTGGTAGAGTGCAATGTCGGATTTACCGGCCCGCATGCTCACATTTAGGTCAAGGTTTTTAACTCTTGGGAAGATGGCTCGCATAGTTGGAAAGGGTACGCCCAGCAAGGCCAGAGATTGTCGCTTGGCAATCGGGCAAATCCATAGCTCAATGCTAGGCGTTACGTTCTGCGCTAGGGTTCCATATTGGTCGACAGTTCAACCAGAAAATTCGATTTTTTTTTTTGTTTGAATTTTCGGAAAGCCAGTTTTTCTGATCTCGGGTAGCGAGCTCAAGCCTTGTCCGGAGGAGCAACACAGTGGAAGGCCGTGTTTCGGCCAGGCAAGCAATCTGTGAAGCGTTATGTGGAGGCGATTCGTGGCCTGCCTGCCTGCAGGGGACTCCTCTATATGTAATTTAAATTTAAGAATTATGAGTTATTGAAAGTTTTGTGTCATAACTGTTTTTAATGCATGAGATACTTGCTCCCCCTTTTTAAATTGGAATGAAACATCGGTAAATTTGCATATTTAGGTTCTTTAACCCCTTTAAATTGAAACAAAAAATATTTTTTCAATAGGAAAATTTTAGCAATGAAGCTAATTATTATAAAATAAGTTTTGACCTAATTAATAGACAAAATTCAAGTAGAATGTTGATTAAACAGTTTTCAAACTAAATCGATTATTTTTTATTAAATTCTTTTTAAAAAAATTAAAGATGAACATTTAATTCTTCATAAAAACGAATTATATTCAAAGTATTGTTAGGATTTAAAAAAATTTAAAAAAATATTTATAGAAAAATTTAAATATAATTTTTTTACCTCCTTTAAATTGGAATAGGTATTTTTGTTCCAATTTAAAAGAGGAGGGAGTTAGATTACTTAAATTAGTGTTATTTAAAAAACGTTTTATAGTTCAATATTTGAATTTATAAAAGTTACATAAAAATTAAGGAAGGCTTGGGTATAAATTTTAAAATATAGATAAATAATGTGTTAAGCATTCAAATAAAATAAAGAATAAAACTAATATTCAAAATATTTCATGAGGTAAGGCATCCACAGCTCAACTCAAGTGAAAGGGATCCATGATTTCTGGAGATTTGGAGCTAAAAGAGAAGATGCTTGGGCTGAGGCTGATTTAGGTATTGAGCTCCTAAGGGTTTGAATGCAGATGTAAAGTCTAACAGTTGGCTGTCTCTCACTGTTACTCAGAGTTGGTATATACAAACAGAGACAATTCAAAAACGGGAAGATTAAGGGCATTCTAATTTAGCAATTTTTTTTTTTTTTATTTTTAATGAAAGCACTTGCTATGTGCGGATATATATGTGAGAATTTAAACTATGAATAGGCTTTGCACTTAATGATAATATTTAATAGTAAAATATAAAACCGCATTTTTCTGCTGCCTTAAAAAAACAGTCGGCCATTTTCTTATGATAATAATAAATGGAAGCCATTAAACGAACCTTACAGTCATCAACGAAAAATGAAGAAGCATCATATATATCCAAGCGAATCCGAAAGGCAACAACCCATTTCACCTTTGAAGCAGCTCCTATTAAAAAACCAGCAGAAACCAACCTAATAAAGTTTACTTATAGAAAGCCGAAAACCCCTTCTGTCACAATAAATTTTGCTTCTTCAGTGAATTCAACACAATTAAAATGGCGAGCCATCCGACCCGTCCTTCTCCTGTACCCTCAGGGATTACGGGGTTAAGAAGTAAAACGGGGCCTGGATATTGTGTCCAGGGTGGTTTTTTTTACCTTCGTCGGGACACCACGACAAGGTTTTTTGCCTCTCACAAAGACGAGAAGACCAGAGCCGCAGAATCAGGAGTCACACTTCAGGACTAGAAGGAAGTGAGGAAGCTTGTAGTGGAGCTTGGGGACCTGAAGAAGACTCCGGAAGGCTACTTTTCCCCCTCCCCAGAAAGGACGGCGCCGGGTCACTAGACCCTGATCAAAGGAGTACCTGGGTGAGTCTCCCTGTCAGATGACGACGTCACCATTTTTTGGTGACGTCGACAGAAAATGGAGTGAGCAACAGAGCCGGTGCATAGGGCGCAAGCCTGAAGCTGGCAGCGCTGGGTAGAGGCTGAAATAAACCTCCGTGACCCGCTAAAACTAATTAATCTAATCTAATCAGTGAATTCAAAACCTGAAAAAATTCTAGAAAAAGGTTTAAAAAGGCTAAAAGTTGGCTTAAAAAATGATTTTGTGATTGTTTACTATTCATATGAAGAAAGCAGTAACTTTTATTTAGAGTGGAAAAACATAAAAAGTCTAGAAAATATTGATAAGGCCACCAGTTATAAGTTGCGAATTTATAAAAAACCTCAGAAAAGGCTAGAAATTAAGAAAATTGAAGAGTTTAAAGAGGTTAAAGAAGTTAAGCAGATTAAAAAGGCTGAAGTGATAGATGAAAAGAAAGTTGAAACTTTTGATGATGATTGTCAAAAATATGTTTCAGAAAACAAAGGCTATTTGCAGTATAATCAAATGCTACAACAATTTGGAGCTTATTGCTATTGGCAGTATATGATGCTCATGAGAGGATGTCAGCAGCTTGTGTAGCAAGTGTAAATAATTTGTTAAATAAGATTAAATTATACAAAATAATTCAAATTGCACATGCTATCCAGTGATATCTCAGAATGATATGGATCAGCTTAAAATGCTGGGCACTTAACAGCTAATAAAAATTCATAATCCAAAATTTTTTCAATAAAATCTTAGATCAGTATAATTTAACATTTTTTTTAATCTGACAGAATCTTAATATTTATATTTAAAATTTAATATAAAACCAAGATTAGATGAAATAATTAGCCATACTCAAGCTAAACTTTATTTACAAGCATAATATTCATTAATTATTATGAGTTTATTGAAAAATGCATGAATTAATATTTCCAGTAAATCTTGCTAGCAGCCATATTGACACAATACATAGATGCTATTCCAATTTTAATATTTAATTAACAAAAAATATTGATTTCTCCGACAATTCTTTCTATTTTTCTTCACCAATTTGGCTAACAGTTTCCTTTAGCTCACTTTCAATTCTTCTGCTACTAGTGTTTCTATTTGCTGCCATAATTCTATGCTGATATATTTGTTGCCTTGCAATATCACTTTCCAAGTACCTAAATGTCGCTGAATTTCTAAATTTAGGATAATAATGATTTTGCAAAATACTGTAAGTGTGAGCTTGAATTACTAAAATATAATCAGTTTCTGGTATTTCCAATTTCATAGCTTGCATTTTTATATCTTTTTCTATATCCATATCTGGATCATGCTTGTAGCACTCGCATTTAAGCCACAGATGTATATATTCAGGCCCTTTATCATCATTAATATCATCCATTAAAGCTTGTTCAAAGGCATCTAAAGTGACTCTGCAGTTTAAAATTAGGTCCAATGACTGTAGCATTTCTATAGTCAAAATTTCTGGGAAATCTTCTCCATAGTAAGTCCTTATCAATGGAAAAAATGAAGTAGCAAGCATCGCAATATTATCTCGAATTAAAGACGCTCATCTTCACCCATTGTCAGTAAAAGTAAGTATAGTAATTGCCCCACACCGGGAATTGAACCCCATTTTTGGTTAGTGGAGAACATCGATTTCCACGCACCAAAAATGGCCCCACACGTGAGTTCGATTCCCGGTGTGGGGCCATTTTTTAAATTGCCCGAGGATGGCGCAAGATAGCGCCATCCTCGGGCAATTACAATATATGATAACGCTTCATGGAATCAATTTTAAAAACCCCTGCGATAACTCAGATTAAGCATACAAAAGTCAATTCTTTTTGCATTTTGAAATCATCGTTTACGTTTCGTAATACATATACAATTATAACAAAAATAAGTTCTTCTATAAATGATATAGCAATATATATCATTAGTGTATAAAGCTCAAAAACTGTATTTCGAGAAAAACAAGAACTTGTTGGAAAATATTTGTGTACTGCACTAATAGAATTGAAGATTGCGAGCAAAAAGATTGGACTCATCAAGATAGATAACGCTTTTAATAGTCATTTTTGGTGAGTTCTTTGTTTATTTTTCCTGAAATAGCTGTCTCTTTCATCTCGATTTTTATCTAAATGAAAAATAAAATAAACCCGATATCCTCTTAAAACATAGCTAAAAAACAGCGTATATCTCGAAATAATAGAAATTGACTGATAAGTATACTGCCAAGCGCTATTATATGTCTCACTATTGCAACTATCTTTGAAAAAAATTGCTAAAAGCAACAGATTGGTTTCTATATAGTTTCCTCAATGTGATAAATGCACAAGGCAAGGACTCATATTCTTGATAGGCACTTTTGCTGATCTAAATAGCAGTAAAATTCCGACTGGCACATAAATTAATCCTTCAATTCCTATTCAAATTATACACAAATATTTCTCAATTTCCATTATTATGCTTATACTCTACTGTTATTAATGCACAAACAAAATATCGCAGAACTCTATTCAATTTACAAGCCTCGAAAAAAGAAAAAACAAGCTCCAAAGAATATAAAAACGATGCTTACGAAGAAAGAAAACCCGTCTAATCTAAGCATGAGCCGATTATCAGTAAAAATATCGTTGTCCCCTAATGATTCATTTCAAAGAAGCCATTCTGTGTTCAAAGGGAGAGATGATATGCAAGCGATAAGATTTGAAACGAAATCGGTTGAGCCTTTAATATTGCCGCCTATAAGAGAGAAATCTCTTGAGCCAATATCGAAAAAGGCAGATAATAGCTTATTAAGCGCATCTCCCACTTATGATGAAGGATTCCAAAGATTGGAATTTCTAGTCAATAGAAACCATTCTGCAAGGAATAATTTATTAAGTGTCCAGCAGCGGATTATGGATTTAGGAGTCAGCAACTTGATTAAAAGCAAGAAATTTCAAAGCACTCATCAAGGAATTGAAAATTTAAGTTTCGAAGAAATTGATGAGTCTTTGAAAGAAAGAGGTTTATCGAATATTTTGAAGACTATTTCTGAAGAGAAAGATATTTTCCCTTCGAAATATGGACTAAAACTCCCTCCACTGTAAGAATCTGTATACATTTTATAGCAAATTTATAAATTTAGGCCTACTTATAATTATTTAAAATAATCGCAGCTTATTATTTGTTTTAATAAAATCTAACTGAAATTTAGCATGACTACGAGAAATATATAGATGATAATTAACTCAAAAAATTATGGCTTAGAAAAATAGAATGGCTGATTCTGAAAATTATTTTATTTTGGAGTCAAATAAAAACCTTGCATTTATAAGTTCTTATTCGGATATTCCTCTTAAGCAGCCTTTGATGCAGGTCCTTGAGGAAGAAGGAATACGGGAGCCACTGCCACTTCACAAGCAATGTTTACAGTCATTTCTTGATGAGCCTCAAGTGATGTTATTTATTCCTCCAGCAACAGGAAAAGCGCTCCTTCTGTGCCTTGGAATTTTCCAACTAATTGATATAAATCTAAATCAGCCTCAAGTCATTATTGTTGAGCCAAGGAAATACTTAATTGATGAAATGGCTATCGTCTTGGAAAAATGGGGCAAGTATTTATCTCCAACTATTGTGCAAACGACAGGTGAAAATGATAGAAATGCTGATTTAGCCAAAATACAGAACTCTCAAATTGTAATTGGTACTTCTGGAAGATTGAATAATTTCTTGAAGTTTAACCAATCTCTTTTCCGCCATGTTTCACTTATTGTTATTGATGCAGGCGGAGGCATTCATCAGCCAAATTCTTCTAAAAATGCAGAAGAAAGGAAGGACTGGGTTGACCAGGGAAATGCAGTATTTGGGATATAGCCCAGTCTCATTTTTGCTCGCAATACCTTTGCCTATTGAATAGACCATGAAATTCAATTTTTCTGACAAGGGCAGTTTAAAATTGTCAAATGCAAATTATAGCTTATATTTGTGAACTTTTAATTAGCCCTTTCATAAAAATTCGCATGCTCGTGCCTATTTAATAGGCATAGGTAATCTATAAGGGGTCTTTAGCTATAATTAACAAACTAAACAAAAATGTCAAAAAGTGGTGGATTTCAAATCCGACTAATGAAGAGAGTTTTATTAAAAGAGTAACTAAAAATCCTCGAAATTTACTTACAATATCAGCAAAATTTCAAGTTGCAGTAGCTGGTGGATTAATTCATTATAAGCTTGACTGTACTGACGAAGTTGATAAACTTCAAAAATTGAAGCATCTTTTAAGTAGAGATCCAGAAAAACAAAAAATTATTTTTTGTAAAAAAGAAAATTTAGAGAAGCTGCAAACTGAAATTGGAAATAGTTATGGAGATATCTTATTATTTAGCAATCAAATGGATAAAAATCAGTTAAAAGAAATGCTGGAATCTTTTAGAAACAGGCAATATTTAATTGGTATTTGTCCTTCTAAAGGATTTTTAATGAGACAATTAGATACAAAAGACCCTATAGAGATATATAATTATGATATAGCTAAATCCAAAAAAAAATATTTTAACTTCCCCCTCCTTGAATGAGCAAAAAAATTTTGTTCACTTAAGGAGGGATTGATTTGTCTTTTCAAAATCTAAAAAATCCCAATTCAAAATAATTTTTAAGCAAATATTAATTCACTTTCTAAAATTTATATTGTAAAATGCAAGCTGCTTAAATATAAAGGAATTCGCTAGAGATTTAATTATAATATTTATAGCTTATATATCAAAATTTTTTAATAAAAAATTTTGTTACTTACAGAGGTTAGTTTTTAGGCAAAAAATAGGGATTTTTCAATTGGTTTTGTTCACCCAAGGAGGGTAGAGTAAGAAGAATCAGGAGAAATGGATTTTTCAAGCAAGGAGATAAAGTATTTAATTTTCCAATTAATGAAGAGGAAAAAGATAAATTAGCTAAAATAGAAAGAAAGTACAGCTATGAAATGCAAAATCTCAGCCTCGATTAATTAATTTTTGAGAATTTATTTGCTTTAAGTTTTATAATTATTTAAATTTTTATCAACTTTATAGTTTTCAAATTCGTTGAAGAAAGGCTATTCAATAAATAGACGAAAAAAATTTAATCAAAAATTAAGAAAGCAAACATTTATGATGTAAAATAATTCAAGAAAGACTTTCTTAATAAACTAAAATTATTCTTTAGCTGCAAACTCTTCTAATCCTTCCATAGTCATACTTGCAGGTCTTTCAATTGGCAGCATAAGTGCTCTATCCCATATTGTTGACGCTGTGCATCCTAAAGCTCTGGAAACACCAAAAAGTACTGTATAAAATTCAAACTCCCTCAGTCCATAATAATAAAGCAAAGCTCCACTATGAGCATCTACATTTGGATAAGGATTTTGGGCTTTTCCATGTTCTTTTAATACTCTTGGTATAACTTTATAGCACAATGCAACAATTTTACAAAGGGGACAGTCATCAATTGATTTTTTCGCAAATTCCATTTGGACTAAAAATCTAGGGTCTGTAACTCTTAAAACTGCATGTCCATAGCCAGGAACCACTTTGCCGTTTTTCAAGGTTTCTTTGACATAGACTGCAATAGAATCTTCTTCTGCGTTGTCTCCTACAACTTTCCATAATTCTAAAAGCCACTTCAAGCATTCTTGGTTGGCAAGTCCATGAAGAGGCCCTGCTAAGCCATTTAGTCCTGCTGAATATGCTTTATAGACATCTGAAAGAGCAGATCCTACTAAGTGAGTTGTATGGGAACTTACATTACCTCCTTCGTGGTCACAATGGATAGTTATTCCATTTATCTCAATTATAAATATTTATAATATTTGCAAATAAAAATGTTTATTCACTATAAAATTCATATAGTCTATAGGAGTGAATATCTTAAACCACTAAACATAATCATTAATTATTTATCCACATATTTAATCAGTCTGTCACAGTATAAATACAACCTCATCAGCTCAAAAAAGTTATTATCGCTAAATCCCAGCATTCTTCCAAAATTTTCACTTAAATCATATTTGATACTTGGGTCACAAGTTTTCCCATCCTTGTACACGTTGTTGTATATAATTGCAGCCATACCAGGCAGTTTTGCGACTAAGCTTAAAGAGTCTTCTAGTGTTGAAATCCAATATTCGCTTTTCTTGACACCTGCATCATATGCTTTCATAAATTCACTCTCGGCTCCTAAGGACAAGACTCCCATTGATAATTGGGTCATAGGGTGCATATGTTTTGGCAAAGAATTAAGCAGGTCCAAGGTATGGGCTGGGATTTGAGACCTTTTAGCGAGCTCACCTCTAAGTTCTTCGACTTGGTCAAAGGTTGGGACTTCACCAGTCAATAAAAGCCAATACATGGACTCTGGCATTGGTTCTCGGTATTTCCCATGCAAACGCTGCTGGCATTCAGGGATTGACAACCCTCGGAATGTGATACCTTTAAATGGGTCAAGTCTGGATGTTTCTGTTAACAAAGCTTTCATCCCACGCATCCCACGAACAACTTGATCAATTGTTACTTGGTCTATTGGGACGTTTCCGTGGTCCTTTTTCAGTTTCGTAAGACGTTGACGGCTTTCGGCAATTTTGGCTTCCATTATCTGCTTGAGAGTTGAAATTCGCCTGAAATTTGCTCTTGAGAAGATCATATTTTACTAAATAATAATTTAGATTATTGGATATTGTATGGATAATTTTAATATTAATTACAATTATTAGTAAAATGTATGGGAAATGACGTAAAAAGCGCTATCAGAAATAAAAACAAATTTTAATAGGTTTGAAAAGTAATGCAATAATAAAATAATTTGATTGTTTATTCACTTATAAGAAGATCTCTAAATTATCTTAATAAATAAACATAAAAACTTGCAAAACTTAAAATCATAACTCTTTATTATAAAAGAATAAATCGATTAGTTTATTTCAAAATCAAAGACTGGCAAATCATGAGCCATCACATCAAGGAGTTTCTCTTCATTAATCTGGGCATTTGCATCTAGTGTTGTTCTCAATCTTTCCAAATCAAGCCCATCATACGCTTTCACATTCTTGATTCACGCCAATAGCTCATTTCTGAAGAATCTTTGTGCAGCTTGATGTACAACAAATAGTGATAAATCTTCATTATGAGGCTGAATTAGTAAAATCCTGTCTTCAATTATATCAATTTCATGAGGTCCATGGGCATCAGACGATTTTTCTTCAGCTTCTATTGATTCTTCATGCTTTAGTGGAATTCTGATTCTGACCACAGCAGTTTCATGGCCTTCATCAAGCCAATTTAAAGGTTCAATTTTCAGCTTTTCTTTGATGGGGTTTGTCCCATCTTCTTTGTCCTTTGAAAAATATAGAGAAACAAAGGCAGCAACAAGAGCTTCATAAAGGGAATCTCTGATCCCATGCTCATGAGGAGCTTGCCAAATTAAGCTTAAAGAGGTCCTAGGAACTGCAAAGTCAGCATAAGTGAGGATTTCCAGTAGTTTAAGCTGAGTTTCTTTAGGACCTTGCGGCTCTTGAGGCTTTGCGGGGGCTTCTTGGATAATCTTAGAAGGACTTTGAACTTCCTGAGGAACTTTTGAAGGGCTCTCAGGGTCTGCATTTTCTGCATCTTGTGAAGGGTTTTCTAAAGATTCATCCTTATGATTTTCTTCAGCATGTGATGGCTCTTCCATTGAGTGTTCTAAATTTTCAACAAATTGTAAATACTCCTGAAAATGCTGAGCTTTGATATTTTGATATACTAATGCTGGAGCTTTCATACAATTCATAATATAGTCTTGCAATAGCGCTGTAATTTCTTCATGGGTTAGCTCTTTTCCAAGCACTTCTTCCAATGATGAAAAAAATAGCAATAACTCCCCAAATTGTCCTCCTGGAGTCCCAATAATATGTTCCGCATATCTTCCATCAATATCATGCAGTATATGCTTTGTTATTCCTTCTTCAGTAATTCCATGAGCAATCACTTCTTCTTCAATTCTATTTTTAAATTCCAATCTTCTCTGTTCTGCTGCTCTTTTAGCTCTAAGTTCGGCTCTTTTTTTCTTTCTTTCTTCAGTCTCTTTTTGAAGTTTAATTTGTTCTTGTCTTAATCTTTCTCTTCTTGCGTATTCTGAGGTCACAGCTTGTGAGTGGGAATGCGTCAGGTCACGGCTGGCTTGCATTAAAATATTATCCAAAAACTCTTCAGTTCCTGATTTTTTGTTTAAAATTGAGATTATTCTCTCTATAAGCCAAGGACTAAATTGGTCATGCATTGCTGCTGATTGTGGGTTGCTAAAAGTTCCCACATTCATAAGGTCAGTTTCTGCATCTCTATTTAAGGTTCGTAAATAGCGTTTGGCTACAATTCTTGCTATATATTTTTGATGGGCTGTTTGCATTTGCTCACGTCTGACTTTGATTTGAAGCTGTCGACGGGCTGATTCTTCTTCTCTTCTGATATCTTCAGCTTCAACTCTTTGAATTTCTAAGAGCTCAGCATTTCTTATTTGTTCGAATTCTCTTCTATGCTTTATCATAATATCAGTTTCAAATTCTTCAAGAATTTCCATTCTAGCATGCTCTAATGATTTGGCTACTATAACTTCTAAGATTGGCTCTACCTCAGTGTCGAATTCAAACAGTTCGCCGTCTTCTATTTGGGTTTTTTTATTTATTCCTTTCTTGTTTTCGATAAACAAAGGAGTAGGAGGGCGATCGACGAAAAATTCAAATTGTGTAGCATTGTTTGCATTAGGTGGAGTTTCTAAGGATTCCAATAAATTTTCTTCAACCTCGATAGGTTTTTGCTCAGTTTCTATTATGTCTTCTTCAACTTTTTGGGATTCTTCTCTTTCCTGTTCTTCAAGCTCCTGCTTTCTTTCTTTTTCTCTGCGACGTCGATTTCGTTCCATTTCTTGTTGACGCTCGATTTCTTGTTGGGTTGATGCGGGGATTATCATGGCTGCATAGGTATTTCCACGAACAATGCGGCGGTCATACATGATATTTGCTGGGGGCGGAAGAGGCTCAGGCTCTCGGTATTTTGATTTAGGAGCTTGTATTGTGCGAGGCTCTGAGGCGAATTGGTAATTGTCTGAAAGGGTTGCCATTTAATAACTGTTAGGAAGATTATAAAGTTTATTAAATCCGCCCCTTTTAAATTGGAACAAAAAATCCTGTTCCAATTTAAAGGGGGGTTATTATTTTTTTAAAGTAAAAAATAAATTGAGCATAATAATACTTTGAATTCTAATTTATTTTTATGAGGAATATTAAAAAACACTATTTAAATAACATTCTACTTATATTTTTTCCATTAAATTAGGTCAAAACTAATTTATAAAAATCATAATTTTCACCTATAAATCTTTCTATTGAAAAGAAAAAAACAAATTGTTCCAATTTAAAGGGGTTTAAGGCACCCAAAAACAGAATCCAGCCTGTTCGCTTGTGCCACCACACTTGGAGCATTCAGAATGCACATTTTGTGATATTTTATTCCTATTTAAAGGGGGAGTAAAGAGATGCGATTTTTAGCTATAAAAATAATACGAACTTGAAAGATGATTGATAATAAATTTAAAATAAGTTTAATAAAGATTCTAAATAATCTCTACTGCGCTAAACAAATTCTTTTTAATGTCAAAAATCACTCTCTCGAATAAAATTTATTTACGAAAGATAACAACACATTATATTTTTTTGCAAGATAACTTTATTTTTATAGGAGCAACATTATAGATCTAGCTATTTCTTAATAAGATTTACGATGGCTGATTCTGATAATTTTTTCACACTAGAATCCAACAGAGAAATCTCCCCAATAGAAGCTTATGAAGATATCCCATTAAGAGAGCCTCTTTTAGAGGTTTTAGATGAGGAAGAAATAAGAGAGCGTCCTCTTCCGCTTCACAAGCATTGCTTGCGTACATTTCTTGAAGAGCGCAGAATTATTTTATTTTCTCCTCCTGCAACTGGGAAAGGCTCTCTTCTAGCTTTAGCTATATTTCAGCTCTTTGACTCTCGCCGTAGACTTCCGCAAGTGTTGATTCTTGAGTCAAGAAAGTATTTAGTTAGTGAAATGTACAGAACTCTACAAAAATGAGGAAAGCACTTTACTCCTTCTATATTGCAAACTACAGGAGAATCCAATTTTGCGGTAGACTTAAATACAGCAAAAACTGCACAAATTATTGTTGGGACAACCGGAAGAATTTTGAGCATGGTCAACAAAAGGCGTGATTACTTCAATATGGTCGAAATCGTCGTAATAGACGCTGGAGGTGGTTTACAAAGAAATAATTCTTATCAAGAATCTCAAAGGAAAAGTCAATATGATGAAGGTCCAACACCTATAGAAGTCCTAAAAAGGCTCCATGAAAATGTCAGAACTTGGTGGATTTCTTGCTATAGAGATCAAGATTTTATAGAAAAAATTTGCCGCCAAACAAGGGATCCTATTATATTGAACACTGCTTTTACAGTTCCTGTGCCAGAAGGAATGATTCATTATAAGGTTAGTTATAGGAATCCTGACGAAAAGCTTCAAAAATTAAAGACTTTACTAAATAGAAGCCCAAGAGTGCAGAAGGTTATTTATTGTAGAAGTGATGAGACAATGATGGATTTGCAAAGTGAGCTTGAGGAAAAATGGAGCACTTTTATATTGATCCATAGCATGGAAAATAAAAATTTGGTGCAGCTCCTTCAAGAGTTCAAAAATAAAGGATTTTTAATATGCATTTGTGCATCAAAAAGATATATAATTAGGCAAATTGATACATTAGATCCTATTGAAGTTTATAATTTCGATATGCCAAAAAAGCATGAAAAATATATCAAAAGAATAAGAAGAAATGGCTTTCTAAAGTGTGATACAATCTTTTCTTTTGTTTCTTCTGAAGAAGATAGAGAAATGGTAAGTGAAATTGAAAACTCGTATAGCTATCGGATAGATGAGTTTGAGTCCAACCTTAATTAGTAGCTTTATTTATTAGTAAATGGGAGTTCTTAAAATGCGATAAAATATAATTTTTGGAAACATCTGTTATTCAAAATAATGAATGAATATTTTTCTTGTAATTATAAATATGTAAAAATAGCCTAGAGGTAAATTTTAGCAAATTATCAAAATAGATTAAAATAGTAAATTAGTCTTTATTTAGATAGCTAATTGCCATGAATCATAATAAAAATAGCAACTTCTTATAATTTTGATAGAATAGATGTATAATTTTTATTATTGCTCTTAATGAAATTAACCATTAATAAAATGTAAAATTGGTCACAATTATCAATTTCTCGCTTAGGAGCCTTCATTAATTTTGTAATATTCTACAGTTATTAGCAATATAAAATTTTTCTCATCAAAAATTAAGACCAGAGTGAACTAAGTTGAAAAATATAGTATATTTGAATGACTATTAAAAGTTAATAATCAGTTTAAATAGACGGAAGATTAAATTTTCTGCATCAAGCCCATTCAATGGTATGATAATTTCTTCAACCCTATACCCTTTTTAAAGAATCATTCTTTTAGTCTGCAACTCCTAATTTATAGTAAGTATAATCTAGATGGTAGAAGTGTCTCTTGTATTAAATTTCATTTTGTATGCCAATTATCTAATAAGATATAATTTTTAACTTTATTTTTCTTCAATCTTAGTTAAACCAGATCAAAGGTAGAGATCTCTTCTTCTATTTGTCTAAGATTTCTCAGTTACATAATAATTGTCTATGAATAAAATTTTCTTTATCAAAAGGTCTATATGAATTCCCATATTTGAAAAATAGCTCAGTCCCTTTTCAGACTGGTCAAAAATATCAGTGTTGAACTTATGGAGTTTTATGAAAGCAAATATGAGATAATTAATTTTACATGATGGAATCAAGAATTAACACAAATTCAATCACAAATTCCTTTGTTCTTGGGTTTCCAAGTATGCTTACTCATAAGAAAAAAATTAATAAAACAACTCCAAATAGTTACAAAAGTGATTTTCACCTTCCAGAAATTTCAAAGAAAAAAAGTAGCACGAATATTGATAGATATCACAAACAAAGGTCGTTTCCTAGTGATGAATTGGGAGAAAAAACTCTATCAAGAACCTCTTCAAATTCCACACAGCCAAAAGAAGTTTATCTGCCATATATTTACGCACAGTGCGGAATAAGTGCATTTCAGCCTGAAATTATCAATAACTATGAAAGACTATTTTTAGAAAGAAAAAGCTCGTGCATAAATATACTGAAAATGGAAGGCACTCGAAGTTCTCATTCAACGTACATTAGGCATAAAACTACAATAATAAAAACGTAAAGAAAATGAAGTTCTGAAATTTTAAAGCTAATTTGAAATTTTACTAAATTCGATTTTATTTAGGGTTTTTTTTTGATTCTGATGAAAATGGTTTATAAATGATGTCAATCATTTAGAATATGATTTTTTATAAGAATTAAAGATTTCTATTATGTCTCAATTAAAACGACAAGCCAAGTATAAAATTCGAAATTAAATTCATAAGAAATTTGCTAATTTAAATATTCTTGACTTCCAAAATGATAACTTTTCAACCATTTCTAAATGCTTATTATACCTCAAAACTAAAAAACAGTCATCAAATTGTAAAATCAAGTATGAAATTTTATTCTAAATAATTAATTTATCTTTCATTTTTATAAATTTAACATAAAATCCTTTATATCAAGTTTTCACTTAAAAAAAAAATTATTCCCTTCTATTTATTATTGAAAAAGATCATATTTTTGAACTGGTCAAAAAATGAGGCAAATTTTATAATTTCCATTAGAAAATCATAAATTTTAACAAATATCATGGAATCTGGATATAGATCAACAACAGTTAAAAAGTCCTTTATTTTGAATATCCCAGCCATAATATCAGATATAAATAAAACCCCTAGAAATACCAAAATAACCCGAAGGAAAACTGCAGCATTAAGTCTGCCCCAACTTTCTAACAGAAAACTTCTAACGATAAGAAATCCGCTAAGGACATCCAAAACCATGCCAATCTGCCAAACTGAAAAACCTTTTACAAGAGTTAATTCACCAATTGCAAATGAAGCATATTTACCATACATATATGCGCAGTATGGAATCAGTGTTTTAAAAGAAACAAACTCGCTTAAATCTTTATGCACTTTCAACGAAAGACGAGAAGCCTGCATAAATTTGTTGAAAGATGAAACAAATGAAAACTCATTGCCCGAAATAATTAGGAGAAATACTACCACTTGTTGTGTGTAAACAAGATAATAATACTGATAAACATTAGTAGAGTAGAGTATTTTGGCTATAAATTATTTTAGCTTAGTTTTGTTAATAAATTTGCCAGAATTCACATCATTTCTACCCATACAGATTATAATATGGATTAATTCAAACCACTGCAAAATGGAATAATTTAGAATTCACTTAAACCCTTTATTAAAAATTAATCTCAGTATTTTAATATCATTTACTGCCTATAAAATCTACATTCTTCCTACTTCTTTATTCCTCGAATTTTTACTTCCTCAATTAAATGGTTTCATATATTTTATTTTAATATCTAAAAAGTAAAAAACTCACCTATAATATGGAGTTCTCAGAAGCTTACGAACTTAACAGAATGCTCAAATTATCAAAAAACCCTCTACGCATCGACACAGCCCGCAAAGACTCTAGTGACAAAAACGGAGAATTCAACTCAAGCATCGAAAATGATTTATTTTATTCACCACCAAATACACCACCAACTGATCCAAATCCGACAAATACAAAACAAGCGAAAGATAACGACCGAAAAACCCACCCGCAATCGCCTACAATTACTAATGCCGACTCACCAATTGAAATTGAGCCAGATTATTCATATAAAACTGAATCATTAGCTGGCTCGAGGAAGCAGTCAAGTTTGACAAAATCTCTTATGCGGACTGACCTAGGAAGAGAAGACGTGCTAAGTCCGGATACGACTCAAATGAATATTTTCTTGTTTTCAACAAAGACTAATCTCTGAGTAACTTTGCCTAAAAATGCCACTGGTGAACAATTAATTGCAAAAATTATTTCACTCTACAGCCGATGTGGAAAACAAATCGAGTTTCCATTACCCAATGGAAATGTACCTGAAGCGTATGAATTGTATATGGTGGATGATGACACAAATTTGCCAGAATTTGATTTACTGATTGATAGAAAGAAAAAAATAAGGGATTTAGGGGTAGAGACACTAGCGTTTTGTGCAATAGAAAACTATTTAGTAGTGGATAAAAAAGTTGAGGTAAAAGAGCCTGAAGCGGTTGAAGAAGGCGATGGGATATACCCTATAGCCTCAGTAAAACAAAAATAAATAGCATTTAAAGTAAAAGCTCATTTATATATAAAATAATAAATTTGAAAATTGACTTTGATGGACAAGTTATAAAGATTCTGACTAACCCAGAAAGTACATTAAAAGATGCATTAAAGGTGGTACAAGAAAAAACTCCAGGATCAGGCTATCTGAACCCTGATGATTATCAGTTTAAAATTTGGGTGAACTTAGAAGAAGCCCTTCAGCAAGAAGATTGCATTGTGGATATAAATTTACAAATCAAGACAATAGGGACGACAGAGCTAAAATTAAGGAAAAAGAGTTTTGCGGACTCTCCAACACATGAGCATAGACAAACAGCAAGAAGAATGACACCTAGCTTGAAAGAAGAATCGAAATTTGACCCTGAAATGAATTTTATGTCAAAAGCTCAAGCTTGCGCTTACCACGAGTACGCAGTCATAAAAACCAATAAGAGAGGAAAGCGACAAATTCGAGTCCTCGGAATTGACCAGCTTAGACTATACAACATGACACAATCTGAAGCAAAGAAAAACTTGAAACAAAAAGCTGCTACTAACGCTGAAAAATCGGTTATGAGAAATAAGCTTGTCGGGCTGTTTAGGCAAGTTACACATCACCCAGAAATTCCCATTGCAAACATACATAAAGTGGCGCAAGATGAGAAAAACCTGAGCTGCTTTTATATCGAGTACACAGAAGGTAATGATAGGAAAACCAAACTATATGAAACTGAGAGCTCCAGTATTGCTTCAGAAGTAATCGCGAAAATCTCGAAGCTTATGACTTTGGTAAGAATTATTTAGAACATTTCTGATACTTCAAAAGAAGAAAGTAAATAAATATAATATGCATTGATAAATAAGAGGGAAAATTATAAATATTTATTAATTTTCTTTAATAATGAAGCTACTTTTGCATGCTATCAAAAATATTTCTTCATATGTCTAAAATATATGAGCTTTTCCTAATAAATTTATCAAATTTAATATGGGAAAAACAAAGAAGAAGTTAAAGCAAAAACCAAAAGAACCTGAAAAACAAAGTCCATTAGTTCTTCATATGCAAGAGCACAATTCAGAACTGTTTAAAATATACAAATCTTTTCAAAGCCACGAAGATCAAGTTAATTTAATAGATAACGCTGAACAGATACTCCAGCAAACCATTGACGCCTTAGAACTTTTTTCTGGAGATTTTCCTTCACTTTTGAATTCATTTATTAATCTAATCCATGCCCAGCACCCAGAAAGTCAATACCAAACCTACCAAGAATTCCTAAACCTCTTTGCCGTTTTAGCAGTTTCTAACAGCCTAAAATCCTACAAATCTATCCAAATCCAGCGAGTTTTCGCTGAAACCATCTTAAAGTCAATAAAAGAGTTCAAAAAACTATCTCATCAATTCAAAGAGCCTGAAGAAGCTGCAACAATTAAAAATATTTTAGAAATCTTAAATAAGCGTAGAGAAACAATAAAAGGAAACCCAAATGACAATATTTCTTTTAGCTTCCGTAAAGAAATTAGTCCTCAGGAGGCAAAAGGAATCCAAGATCTTTTTGACTTTTATTCAAAGCAGCATCTTATGGTTGGGAGATCAGCCACATTTGATTATATTGGGGAAAGTATTGATATTATTGACTCAGGCAGTTTTTTATATTTCGCTAAATGCTTTGGGTTGTTTAGTGATAAAAAAGTAGAGGGAAAAAGGTTTTTGACAAGGAAATTGGTGCTTGATATATTCAAAAGTTGTGCTCAACTGCAAAAAAATATGAATTTCGAAGGGTTTAAGCTTGCTTTGGATGAAATTGCAAAATTATTGTTTAATAAAGAATATGATAAATTGCTATCGGTGCCATGCTCTGGGCTGGGATTAGACGAAAAAAGAATAATGCTTTATGAATACATAAAATGTGGGGATTCAAAGTATGTCCATCAAAATTGTAAGCCCATAGGCAAAACATTTTGCAACTCCCTAGACGATGGCCCTAGAATTCCGATTGATGACCCTAGTAGAAAATATAAATTTAAACCAAGTGAAGAAGTTAAAGAAAAACTAACTTTGTATAGAAAAGAAAAAGAAATGAAAGAAAAAGCCAGCAAAGAAAAAGAAAGTCCAGAAAGAGTCACAAAGATTGTGAAAAGAAAACCTCCACAAGCACCAGTAGAAAGAAGCTTAATAGAAGAGCCACAAAGGAGAAAGCAGGATGTGCTGAGCATGAAAGATATTAACAATCTATCATATCAAGATATTGAAAACACTGAAAATTTAGATGAACTAATTGCAGGAAGCTCCAGTGAAGAAGAGTACTAAATGAATTTTATCTTAAAGTTTCACATAAGTTCTTATAAAAATTTTTCATGCTTTTAATATCATTTAAATCATTAATTATTTCCTATTCAATATTAAATTCTCTAATTAGTGGTTTTCGATTTCCGCGATACCTGAGTGCTAAGCAATCATCACTATTGATGCCTTGAATTAAATTAAGTAATGCTTAAGATTCGCTATTAATGCTGGAAATTCCATATACTCTTAATTTAACATATATTGCACAGATAATGACCTCATTTTTGTTAGTTTTCCGAAATGGAATTAATTTTCTCATTCTTTAATGAAATTAATAGCTATTCCCTAAATAACTCTTTATGGTAGTATTAACTTTTTATAAATGCTAATGGAGGGGCTAGAATTTGTTAAAATTTCATTTTGGTCTAATCACTGCTCATAAAATATTTTCTCTAATTTTTTTATAATTTAGGGTGCTCAAGGAAAGTAGCAAAGAGAAATGCAAAAATTAAACATATCTCAAAACCTTGCATTCAATGCAATTTTATCAAATTTATTGCCTACTTTAATTAAATATATCATATAGATTAAATGGCAAAAAATAGCAAATGAAATAAATAAAATCAAATTTTACTAAATGTATCACCTAAGAAAAGAAGACCCACCTCGAATTCAAAAAGAAATTTTATCACGCACAAATCAATACTACATCGCCCAGGTAAATCAAATGGAAATCAAAATCAGTGAACTTAAAGCTCAGCTTGAAGCTAAAAATAAGGAAATTCAATATCTCACAAATAAGTTAGAAAGAGCAGAAGAGCATGCCCAAATGCGTTTGAAAGAAGAAATTTCAGCGTCAAACCGAACAGTAAAGGAGCTGGAAACAAAAATTGCTATATTAGAAGAAGAAAATCGGCAGCTGAAACTTCAAGTCAATCACAATCAAGATCAATCTGATATCAAAATTGAGCTGGAATATGCACTTAGGATGAAACAAATTTTCGAAGAAAAATACCGTGAAGCGAAATCACTGCAGCTCAGAGCTGATATGAAAAGAGAAACTCAAAGCCAAGAGCCACGTTCGAGTTTAAATAAAAGCCAGCTTTTCGATCTTCAGCAAGAGTTGGAAAATGCTCATAAGGAAAAAGAGAAAGCACAGAGGCATGCAAGTTTAACTGATGAAGAAAATAAAAAATTGCATAAAAAAGTTGAAGAGCTAGATAAAACCAATGCAGAATTAAATAGAAAATATATAACCTCTTTATTGAAAATCAGAGATCTAGAAAGCAGGACTTCTCTAGAAAATAGCCAGCAAGTTGAAGAGGACTCACAAGCTAAAAATGTTGACCTAAAGATCAACACTTTTATGCAGGAAGAAACTATGCTGAAAAAAACTCCCAAAATTGTCCTCCCAAAAACAGTTTTATCATCTGCACCTCAGAAAACAATAAATTTAATTAAAAACACAAAGGAAATGGCTTTTGCTAGACCAATTAAAACTATAAAAGATAGAAGAGAAGCTAGTCACCATCAAACTAACCAACCTAATTCAGAGCCACCAAAAACTTCTTCTATCTATGCTCAAGCCATTCATAAAGGCTTAAGCGTTTTCAATCAAATTCCTAAACCCTTAACAAGTAGCACTAAATCAATCCAAAATAAAAAGACAGTAAAATTCCCTGATGTTGTGGTAAATAATACCAAAAATGATTTTTCTACATTGAAGAGAAACCAAAACTCATCACAAAGTTCCTCGCCAAAAACTAGCATTTTTGGAAGTCCTGGGATCTTAAAAAACAAACAAAGTAGCATCGAGAAGCAAATTGTGCCAAATTTCACCATAACCCTAGATAAATCTTCAAGCAATGATACATTTGGTGATGAGTTCCCTGATGAGGACGAGCTTAACACCTAATAACTGTTATAGATTTTATAATAAACAATCACTTTTATTGCCTCAAATCTTTAGTTAGAGTAAAAATTTAAAATGTATATTTAGATAACATGGAAGACAATGAGATGTAAGCTCTAAATAGAGAATACTTTATAAAAATCCTTACTATCGGTGAATCTGGTGCAGGTAAGACCAGTGTGATACTCCGCTATTCCGTATCCTTTACTTAGGTCAATTGTTTTTCTCACAAATACATCAGCACTATCGGAGTTGAATGCAAAGCCAAGGTTCTGAACATCAACAACAAACAAATACGTGTGAACTTGTGGGATACAGCAGGGCAGGAACGGTTCAGGAAGCTTTCCAGGAACTATTTTAAAGGCGCCCATGGTGTAGCATTAGTGTATGATGTTACAAACCGTGATTCTTTTGAGAAAGTAACAGGATGGCTAGAAGACGTCTGCCAATATGCCTCACCAAATACCGTGATAGCTATAGGAGGCAACAAAATTGATATGACAAACTTAAGAGTCGTAAGTGAAGAAGAAGGTTTAGAGTATGCAGCCAAATTTGGAGTAAGATATTTTGAAATTTCTGCTAAAACCGGAGATGGGGTTGCCCAGATGTTTGATTATAAGCATGTCTATAAATTTGTTTTTATACAAAAATATTATTTATTAAAGCAAATTTTGATAATTAAAAACTATTCAGAAAAGGCAGAATATATTTCCACAAAAGTTATTGAAAGCATGGATATCATCCCGAATTTTATACAAAAGTCAAGAAAAAGCTTTTTATTAGCAACTTCCGAGAGGCGAAAAAATCAACCCAAATCAGGCGGGTGCTGCAAATAGGATTAGATTAATATGCATATGTAACTATTACAATTAAGCTTAGTTTAGTTAATTTCTAATTATTTCTAATACTTATTATAGTCTGGAGGATAATTCATAGGCGGGTAATAGCTCGGAGCTGATTCATCTTGCTTGCTGGCCATGAGGTTTTGTAGTCTTTCCTGGTTCGAGTTTTTCCATTCTTGAAAATTTGGAATTGGGCGTCCTTGGTATTGAAAATCATGGATAAAATGACAATTGTCACCTCTTTCGCAGCCTTCGTTGGAGTGGAATTTTCTGCATGGCATTGTCTTATAGTTTAAAGGTTTTTTTGTGATGGGATTATAGATTACTTGTCGACGATTTAGGTCATTTGTAGGGAACTGCATGGTCTGTGGCTGGTAAGAGGGCTGCATTCTGTGAGGCTGAGGTTGAGGCTGGTTCATCATAGGCCCATAAGGCCCCATTTGTGGCATTTGGTAGTTTTGATTAGGAGGATAAGGCATGTACATTTGGTTCATAGGCATCATAGGGATATTTTGAGGCATTCCCATCATCTGCTGTGGCATATGAGAAATTAAAGGCTGGGACATGCTAGGAGGTGGAGGTGGCATTGACATGTGATTCGTTGGTGGCATCATTTGGGAAGTCTGGCTCATATCTGGAGGGGTCATACTATGGAATTGAGGAACGCTCTGAGGTTGATATGAAGATGCTTGCTGAGTATAAGACTCCAGCTCTTTTTCTTCCTCATCTTTGGTTTCATCTTCATCAGACAACTTTATCACTGTTGGAAAATGTCCATACTAAATAAAAATTACTTTTGATGCTGGGATAAATTGAATGTTGCCTACCTGTCCTGGCTTAGCAGTGGCTGTTTCTATCGGAGCGGTTGGGATTTCAGTTTCTCTCTGATAAATAGTTCTTAAAACTCCATTCTCTCTTTTATTTTCTTCCAGCTGCTCAGCGCTCTCAATTTTTGATCTTTGTGAAACACTAATTAATATTTCTATGTAATTTTTACTGTTTGGGGTGTAATATGGCACCTTAGACGACATATTTTCTAGCGATTTTTTGGTCATTTCGTCCTTCTCTTTTTCCTGTCTTAATTTTACCTTATGATTTAGTTCTTTTTCCATCTGGACTTCTCTTTTTCGGAAATCTTCAACGCTGATGTTCTCGTGGGGTTCTGTGGGTGGGACATCATATGGCCTTGAGGTTGCACACTGGGCAGTTGGCTCGTCACCTCTCCAGAAATACTTTACGTTTTCCATATGGTCCGCATCCACCCATCTATTACAATTAGGCTTAGTTCACTTAAAATATTAACATACCTCACATGTTTGTTAGAATAATCATCAATTTCATTATATTGTTCAATAATATATTCAGCAGATTCTTCTTGCTTAATGTCCTCCTCAACTTTTTGTCTAAATAAAAACTACCGTTTAGGGATCTCTATCTTGGTCTCATTGTAGTTGGGTTTGGGCGGACGTGCTGACTCACTTGGCGCCAATAAAATGTCTTTCCAATTCTTTATCAAAGCTCCAGATTTATTTTGAATGCTGACATCAGGGTGTTTTAGTAGACCACCTAGGGCCTTGCCAATTTTCGTCGTTTCTAATAATTCTACGGATATTGTGAACTTGTTTAGGCAAGCAATGATTGTGTGAAGTAGGGATTTCGCTTCAGGTTCTTCGCTTTTGTCGTAGTCTTTTATTAATTTTCCTAAAAACTCCAAACCTCCGATATTTGCAAACTTATCGTACACAATCTTTGAGTTTACTGTCGACCTCATTAGTGCCTGAAGCAAAAAATCATGCCCTTCTGGATATTTAGTTTCATTGAGCAAATTTACATAAGGATTAACCCAGCGAACTTCTTGTAAGCCCCCACTCGGTCCTACCATATCTTTCAGCTTGTTTTCTAGCTCAGAAATAGATGGCTCTTTTTGCATTTTTACTTTATTACTACCATTTATTCTGGACTTGTATATTAAGAAGTGCAAGCGAATATTAGCTATATAAACAAAGATATAAACCATTTGAGATTATTTTTAATTGATATTGGAGGAAGAAAAGAAAAGGAGATATCAGAATTTTTATAAAATAATATAAAATGGAAGCTTTGCACAGGGCAAATTCCCTTTACATGCATGATGAGTTTGCAGAAGCTGTAGAGTTATATGAGCAGGCTATTAACACAGAAAAAAGCTTTGAAGGACTTATTGGGTTATCCTCAGCTTTATTGAAAACTGGGCAGTATAAAAGAGCTGAAGAAGCTGCAAGTGCTGCAATCGAGATTAATCCAGACAATTTTATTGGATTTTTCAGGCGAGCCCAATCTTTATTTTTCCAACAGCAATTACAGCTTGCGTTACAAGATTTCGAAGCAGCTGAAAAGCTCAATGTAAATGCTGCAGGAATTTGGATAAGAAAATGCAAGGTAGAGATAAGTAATTTAGTTTTGCCGCCTGGCCGAGATCCATATACTTGGTATCAAAGTGACAGCCACGTATTTATAGTGTTAAACGTAAAAGCAAGAAGCAGTGAAGAAACAAAAATTGAAATAGCAGAAAACTCATTAGAAGCTTCAGTCATAAATACTAATTCAGCTGAATTCACAGTACACATAAACCTTGCCCGTCCAGTGGTCAAAGAAGAATCAAGCTACAAAATTCTTCCAACTAAAATTGAGATTTCTTTGAAAAAACGAGAAAATTCAAACTGGATAGACTTAGAGCCTCAAAAAATTGCGGAAGTGAGGCCAAGCTATCCATCCTCAAATAAATTCAAAAGAGATTGGAATAAAATTGATAAAGAATTAGATCAGGAGTTGAAAAAAACCAAGCCTGAAGGAGATGAAGCATTAAATGAACTGTTTAAACAAATTTATGAAAATGGAGATGAAGATACCAGAAGGGCAATGATTAAATCTTTTCAGACGTCTGGAGGGACAGTGCTCTCGACAAATTGGGGGGAGGTCAGAAGTAAAGATTATGAAGGAAAAGACAGGCCTGATCCACCAAAAGGACAAGAATGGAAAAAATGGGGTTCTTAAGTCTAAAATAATTAGTTTTCAATACAAAACATTGCTGAATATAAATAGATGGAATTGCTATAATCTGATTTAAACCTAATTTATTAAACTTATTCGGAAAGGAGATCAGAAGTTTATTGAAAAAAGCCTTGCAATATTATAGAAAGTCTTAAACTAAAAACATTATTAGCCAGCTTTAGAAACTTAATTCTTTTATCCATATTAAATTGGCCGTTTTTTTCGAGACCTAAAATGGGTTACGGAATTATAATTCAACGGCTATACAACTTTGAAAAGATTCTTATAAAATTGATGATTATTGCTCCTAATTCTGCTTGTCGTTTACCTATATATAATCATTAAATTAAATTCAAAATCCTCTACTTTTCACGAATCAATACAAAATATAAATTCCATCTTATTTTTAAAGCGTATTTTTTACTTCAATCAAATTCCTTTCTTAACTGCATTGATGTTAATTAATACAAATGCCATATAAAAGCATCTTAATTTTCTGTTTAATTATGCGATTTAAAGCCAATAAATAACCTAAAACTAAAAAAAACAGTCCAAAAATAATGATCTGTTAATAATAATTCATGAGCAAAGCCAAATTACTTCCAGCGCCAAGAAGATCCTTTGGCATCACACTTAACGAAGCTGAAGACCAGAACCCTATCCCCTTAAGGCGCAGGGCAAACCAAAGCAGTGCAAACTTATGCACAATTTTTGAGACCCCATCTGAGCGCATGTGAGGGATAAAGATTAATGGGAAGTCTGATAACTTTTCAGCGTTGGACTACACAAGGTCAACTCTTCCTACCAGCACAACAACGACAGAAGAGTCGCCAATTCCTGATAATGAAGCTATATGGTTAAAATTACCTATCACACCTAAAGCAAGATTTGGAATACGCCTTAAGTCACCTTCAAAGCCAATGTCAACAAGAGCAAGTTCGCATTCTCCAACGAGAAGCTTGCAATTCAGATTCGATGCTGAAAAGCCCAAAAATAGCTTATTTCCAATGGGTAAAGACACAGCGATATCGTTATATCAGCAAATCTTGACAGAAAATGAACGTGCCGAAATTAAAAAATATGAGTTAATTTACTATTTAAATACTGAAAACCAGAAAAGAATGGAAAGCTACACAGATGAAAAAGGATGCTACAAAGCTGAAAAAGGAGAGCATATAGCTTATCGATATGAAATCCATGAGATCCTAGGAGAAGGGACTTTTGGGTTGGTTGTCAAATGCTTTGATCACAAAGAATGCGAATACGCAGCAATCAAAATATACAAAAAGCCTTATGCCTTCAGAAAAATTGGGGAGATCGAAAAATCGATTCTCAAAGATCTTGGAAAAGATGATATTGATGACAGCAAATGCATATTAAAATCCAAAGAAAGCTTTTTATTTCGAGGACACTTATGCATTTCGATGGAATTGATGAGCTTAAATCTATATGAATTTTTAAAGAAAAATGATTTTACTCTCTGTGAGCAAACAAAATCGTTGGAAAAATCCCTATTTTTTGGGTAAAAAAACCATCCTTCGTGAGTAAATGAAAATTTTTTTAATTGAAAATCTTTTATAAAAAAATATTTTGATAATAAATGATAATTATTATTAAATATCAAACCTAATTCTGTTTAATTTTAATCAGCTCGCATTTAAACATAAATTTTATAAATTAAATTAATATTTATTTATAATTATTTCAAATTAAGACTTTTTTGAATTTTGAAAAAAAAAAATTATATATAAATCTTTAAAAAAAATTAGCCTCCTCCGTAAGTGAACAAAGTTTTTTTTGCTCGCTCAAGGAGGGGAGGGGAGTTAGAGGAATCGATATGAATCTGATTAGAAGAATTGCAGTGCAGTTGCTAATAGGAATAAAATATGTTCACTCCAAAGGATACATTCATTGTGACATTAAACCAGAAAATATTGTACTAAGGTCAGAAAATAAATCAAGCATAAAAATCATTGATTTTGGGTCTTCAAGTAGAGAAGGTGGCAATCTTTGTACATATCTGCAAAGCAGATTTTACCGAGCCCCAGAAATTTTGTTGGGAAATAGATATAACCACCAAATCGATATTTGGTCTTTAGGGTGCGTTTTAGCAGAATTATGCCTGGGCATACCTCTTTTTCCAGGTGAAAATCAATATGAGTGCTTTGTAAGAATAATGGCAACGCTCGGAACTCCTCCTATTAATCTCATAGAAAAAGCGTATGCAAAATCTGATTATTTTGACCAAAATAATCTTCCGATAATTAAAGAAAACAGTAATCGTGAAACTTTCATTCCAGGTTCAAGGCCTCTAGCTGAAATCTTTGAAGGCTGCGACTATAAATTTATTACTTTTCTTGAAAGATGCCTTACCTGGGATCCGAAAAACCGAATCACAGCTGAAGAAGGACTGCTTCATGATTGAATTAAAGGTGATGCGAATAAAAGATCACTACTAATTAGTAGACGAGCAACTTCAGGTGTTGATATCAGGAGAAATAAGCAAAAACTTTAATGTTTTACAAAGTTTTGATGGTTGATATTATTAATTAAAATAATGCGAAAAATGAATTGCAATGGATTTAATTATTCAAATCTTTAATTCACTATTTAAATGATAAGTAGAGATTAATGTATAATTTCAAGCTTAGCTGAAATTTGTTCTCTTCTAAGCCACTTCAAAATAATTCAAAAACTGCCTAATTATATAAAAATGTTAGACGTTCATGAAATCAAGACTCTTCTGCGTTATGCTTGTGACAAAAAAGGTAAAAGCGTTATGGATCTCTTACTTCTCTCTATTAGAGAACAAAATTTGTTGTTTTTCACAAGGTGGCTTTTTAAAATTTTGAAAAAAAATATATTAGAATTCTTTTTTTTTGGTTTGAATTAATCCCTTAAAATTTGAATAGATTTATAAAAAATTTATGAATTAATTTGTTTTTAAAAAAATCTATACAAAACATTGTTTTCTGGATTTTAAAAACCCATATATATTGGAAAATCTTATTAATTTATAAAATGAATGCTTAGAATGCAAGCAGTTTAAATTTTATAGAAATAAATTGGAGATGTCCTATCATAACGATTAATTATATATCGAATCTTTGCATTCAAAATATTTTTAATCGCTAGCCAAACGGGTTCATTATCCAAAAAGTAGGATTTTCTAATGTTTGCTCGTAAATAAGAAGAAGTAAGCTATTTTAATAAGTCTATTCATTTAATTATTTTCTTAGTTATCTAGAACTCCAACCCTTGACCTATAAGTGGCTTCTTTATTCTTAGTAAGTCCATTAATAGCAGCAATGGTATCAGCCAGGATTTTGATCTGTTGTAAAAAGTAGAGCCCAAATGCTGCAATAATAAAAACGACTAATATCATTCCGCCAATAACATAAGTATATCCAATTCCATAATTTGTATGGAAATCATCCACAATATCAGCAGAGTTCAGAGAAAAGTACAGCACTGCGTGAAATACCTGGGCAATACAATAGCCAAGGAGATAAATCAAAGTCTTGCGAATCTTCATGTTGTTCATTTCTTTCAGAGAATAAATATTCTTGATAGAAGCGAAAATCCCCACTGCATCTATTAAGATGGAAATTATAAGGCAAACAGCTGCGTTTCACTCCGGGAAAGACTCGAGAACAAGTGCGAGAACTGAAATTACTAATTCTTACTGACTCCCCCCCCCCCTCCGTGAGTGAACAAAAAAATTTTGTTCACTCACGGAGGGGGTCAATTTTTTTTTTTAAAAAAATTTATATATAAAATTTTATAAAAAAATATTTTTTTTTCGAAATTTAAAAAAATCCTAATTCGCAAAAATTGGAAAGCAAAGATTAATTTAATTTATAAAATTTATGTTTTAAAAAGCAATTCGTTTAAAATTAAACAGAATTAGCTCTAGATTTCATTATACTAATTATCATTTATATATCTAAATTTTTGTCAATAAAAATTTTTGTTCACTCACGGAGGGTGGGTTTTTGGGCAAAAAATAGCGATTTTTCTAATGGTTTTGTTCACTCACGGAGGGGGGGGGAGTGAGCAAAAATATTATTGATAAGAACCAAGAAATCCTAAATTTTTTTCGGATTTTAAATTCTATAGATTCAATATTTTATTGTAAAAAATCCAGTTTAATAGAATTTCATTATTATGATTGAGAATTATACATATATAATATTTTGTATCAGAAGATTTAATTTTCTAAAAATATTAATTTACTAATCATTTTGCTCGCTAATTAAAGAAGAAATAAGGATGCACAGGAATATACCAATAGAAACTGATCAAACAGCTTGCACTCACTTTTCATTATATCAATTTGGAGCTCGTGATGCAGACTGCTTGCTTTATCTTTCTTTTCTTTTCCTTTGTTCATAAAGCGAAAATTACCGAATGCTCCCTCAGCCATTTATATATACTAGTCCCTAGTAATAGGACTATTGTCTTTAACCTATTATTATTAATAATCAATTGTTAAAACCTTAAATATGAAAAGTATATCAAGTCTCTAATGATTTTATAAGCCAAATCGTTTATCAAGAAATTAATATTAATCTATGTGGAGTATTCTAGGGAACCAAGCTCTCTGCTGTTCAGGAAAAGTGTGCTGTGCATTTATGTGTGGAGCATGCATGAGAAAATGCAAAACGAAATCAGTTCATCATGCGAGATTCGGGTACATCACTTTATCATTTCTTGGGTGCCTTTTATCACTTATTGTAATTTTTGTTGGGCCTTCATTTTCTGACAAATTAGATGAATATGGGATTGTAGATTGCAACAATGATGATTTAAAATGTTTAGGGACGAGCACTGCATACAGAATAGGCTTCTCTATGGGAATTTTCTTTTGTATAACAACTTTGATAACTTTAATTGGTGGAGAAATTTATGTCTTGTTTGAATACGGATGCATAATTAAAATATGGCGTCTTCGTCTGGGCATGGCCTCCCGGCCATGCAGCCTCGACTCATATTTTAATTATATCCGGCAAGGTTTTACCATTTCAGAGATGGACAGCAATGCTAGGTAAGCAATTCTGGTAGCTTTCAGAGCCTAGCCCAAGTCTATTCTCAGGGGTGGATTTTTCCTCGTGGGGAAGGGAGGGTGCAAGGTTGGAAAGGGGAAGCCCAGCAAAGTCCTCTGGACCATTCGGGCAACTCCCTAGCGTGAAACTGGGCGTTACGTCCCAGGCTTTGCATTTTTTCTTTTTTGCCGATAGCCGACCAGAAAAATCCATTTTTTGGGTTTTTCGAAAAAGCAACCCATGTAACAAGCAAGTAGCTCATCCATGAGCCGTCGAAGACGTGGACATTTGCCCTGGAAGCACCCTGGTGATCAAAGCGAGTTTGTCTCCAGCAGACTGGTGGGCCCGATGCGACGAAAGGCGAGTGATAAACCTGGAGTTGTAACCCCGTAGTGGACGTTAAGCGATATAAATTCTAATGTAATGTAATGTTTGAATACGGATGCTGGCCACTTAAATTTGGCTTATTTGTAAGCTTGCTTGTTCTCAGTTTTTTGATACCAAATAGTGCGTTTGTAATTGCTATTTAGAATTGGATCCTTGCACTTACTCTCCCCTCCGTGAGCGAACAAAGCGATTGGAAAGATCCCTATTTTTTGCCCAAAAAACCCACCCTCTGTGAGAGACAAAAAAAAAATTTATGAAAAAATTTTGGATATATATTATAATGAAATCTCTAGCTAATTCTATTGGATTTTAAACAATTTGTATTTTAAACATAAATTTTACAAATAAATCAATATTTTGCTTCAATTTTTATAAATGGATTTTTTTAAATTTTGAAAAAAAAAAGTTTTTTATAAAATTTATATGAGAGAATAAGTTTTTTATTTCGCTAATGAAGGGGAGTTAGTATAATTTTCAGTATCATTTTCCTCGCAGTTCAGTTGATTTTATTGATTGACTTTGCTTATACTTGGAATCAGACTTGGGTAGAGAATTACGATACAGGGAACGAATCAAAGTTCTGACTATTTTGAATGTTTTTCTTCACAGGGTTAAGCTGGGCGTTAATCACTACTATGGCGATTTGCAGCTTTTTTTATTTCCAATGCACTTTGGCTATCATATCAACAAGTGCTTGCGCTGTTTTAGGGATTGCTATAACTGCAATCAATAGCTCTAATTTGATTGAGCACGGGTGTAAGTGTTATTTAGCTTTATTAACTAGCTCAATTATATCACTACTGTTTAATTATTTAAACTTCAGCGCTTTGTCAGCGAATCCAGATTCAGATTGCAATGTATGGGAGCCAGATGACTACAACTTTTTGCTTCTTTTCTGTGATTTGCTCCTATGCTTGGCATCAATGATTTTTTATGCTTTCAAACACAATCCAGAAGCTGCACATCAGTCAGCTGCGACAATGATGGAAATGCATGCAATTAATGAAGACACCAGCTCAGACATCGAAGAAGATACCAAAGAAATTTCTGAATCTGCTCAACAGGATTCAGCGTATTTCCATCTTCTAATGGCCTGCTACTCTTTAACCCTTGGCATGATACTTACTAATTGGGGTCTAGTTTCTGGGTTCTCGTAACTTCTATTTAGGACTTATTTGAGCTTTATAGTGAGAGCCAGTCAAACCTTTGCTCTTATTTCATTATTCATATGGAGTATGTACGCTCCTGCATGTTGTCCTGATAGAGACTTTTCTTTATAATTGTAACTAATTTATAAATGGCTTCTCACAGAAATAATCAACTAGCAACTCCAGGATACTCAACGCCTTCAAGAGAATACGCAGAATCCAGAGGCCACCCAAGAAGGAGAAAATTCGAAGATTCAAATTCTCCTTTAAGAATCAGGCCTTTTGAAGACTGTGAAGACGTTTTTTCGTTTAACAAAGAAGTGGCGGCAAGACTTGAAATGCAAAGAAAAGCTGAAAGAGAAAGAGAAATGAAGCAAGAAATCTTGCAGAAAATCAAGGCGCTGGACCAAGAAACCTGGCTATTTAATATACCAGGAGCATGTTTTTGTCCTAGATATTCGAATTTATAAAGTAAACTGTCATTTTGATAAGGATATTTCGAGGATAAGTGGATTTTTATTGCATAGTTAAATTATGGAATTAATTCTAACCCCATGGGAGATTATATAAAGAATTTTTACAGAAAAATTCAAATTAATTATTTAATTCCAAATAGGGGCTAAGAACAGAAATCCTCTATAAATCACCTGAAATACATCAAATTGTTAGGCAAAAACTCTTAAAATGCACAGAAAATATCGTTAAAAAGTGTAATCCTGAAAACTTAGATACATGTGTTGACGAGCATATGGCACCATGTAGAGAATTCAAGCTGCAATACGAGTCAAAGCGAAATGAGCTCTTAGATAAAATTAAGAAAGATATGCTAGCCTCCAATCCTGTTAAAATAAAAATTAAATATAAATTAATTGATTATTTTTAGTTATAAATTTGTGAGGAAAACTAATATAATGAGGGTAAGCTCATGTTTGAATTCAGAAGACAAAGAATCTTGCAAGAGAAGAGTTGTGGAGTCAAATATTTCAGAAGTGGACAAACTACTTGAGTTTTTACAAAGAGTTTAAAATTAAGCATTAGTTTGATTAATATCACTCATACACCGACTACAGATTTTAGCAGTTCTATTTTTATCTGAGCTTGCTAGACAGCAGTAAGCCCTCCAGCCTTTTTTCTTCTCAGTTGTTATATTATAATTTAAATAAAATTCTTTCGAAAAAAATCACACTTATTTAATATTTCTCACAAAATCCTTTACAGTTCTTTTATTATATTTATAAAACCAAATAAAATAGCATAATAGTCACTTGTTTTTTACATTTAAGGCAGAAGCCTCTTGCTGCAGACATATCGAACTCTACCTCATTTTCTTTATCCGCCTTGAGGTTTTCTGGAGTATGTGTCTTTAAAATATCAATTTCTCTATAGCCAGGACTGTCCTGGGTATTTAGGGAAGATCTGCCACTTTCTATTATAGTAAAACAGTCGCAATACGGATAATTATCATTATAGATGTTACATTTAGTACAGATTGGCATATTACTTCTAGTTCTTTTTTAAAAATTGGCGGATTTTTACTGTTGGGCCAACAATTTCCTTCTGAATTTGTTTGGGATCTCTTTAAGTCTCTCGCTTCTCTTAATAAATTTTCATTGAAAGTCAGTCCAGAAGTAGGCATTGTGTTGTGCCTATAAAGACGTCGCGGGGATTTGCGGCCAAGGAACATATTTAAATAAGTGTAATGTGCGTTTGATAAGAGCCCATTCGCCCTAATTATTAAGGTACGCTCCAAAATTTTTTCTGTTATTATAAAAATATTAAAATTATTATATTTTTTCAATCATTTTCAAAAAAATATTTTGGGGGATCTTATAAAAATGTCTAGCGACGAAGACATACCTGAATCTCCAAACCTGACCGAAGACGAAGAAGAGGAAATGGACCAAGACGAAGATTTCACAGAAAGGCCAGGCGAAAAACCCATTCTACACGTCCGTCCAGAAGGCGATGAATATATCGAAGAAATTGAGCAGGAAGAAGACATCATCACCAAAGAGAGAGTCGAAAAGATAACAACGCCTTACATGACCAAATATGAAAGAGCGAGAATTCTAGGAACCAGAGCTATGCAGATCAGCAGAAACGCTCCAGTTTTCGTTGAGCTTGACCCACATGAGACAGATCCACTAATAATTGCTGAGAAAGAACTAAGGGAAAAGAAAATTCCATTCATAATAAGAAGATACTTGCCAGATGGAAGCTATGAGGACTGGCCGATCTCCAGCTTAATTATTGAATAGAAAATACAAAATTTATTTAATTTACTAGGTTTTTATATAAGTTTTTCTTATTTTTTATTTAGCTTAGTATTTTAAATCATATTTATAAGGAAAGTTGACATAAAATTCAATTAATGGTAAATTTTGATTTTTGGCTATAAATTATCAGCAGAAAATTCTTCGTGTCCTAATGTTGCGAGTCTGATATTTTTCATGGAATTCCTAATATGTTTTAAAATTAAGTATGTGTAATTAAATGGGAAGCGTTTGCACATCAATAAAGACACCAAAAGAAGTAAAAATCGAAAGTGATCGGAAGAACCAACATGAAAGTGGGCTCACTTTCAAAGCTTCGTCAACAAACCTTAGCAAGCCAAATTCAAGACAACTGAAAGAAGAAGGAAAAAACCAAAAGAAGCCAAGGCATAAAGCTGCTGTCGATGAAAGACTTGTTGAAGATAATGCCATGGAAGCATCGGCTGCAGAAATAATGGATAAGCCTAAAACAGAAGAAGACGTTAAAATGATCATGGCTGCTTTGAATAATCATTTTATTCTTAGAAGCTTAGATGAAGACAGCCGAAATATGATAGTTGAGGACATGAAATTTTATGGCGCTTATTTTTTTTATTAAATAAAAATTACATATTTTGAAAATTTTTTTATTATGTATAAAAAATTTTATATCATCGGTCCTAAAGAAATTATTTTCGAACAAGGCCAGCCAGGGGTGTGCTTTTTTGTAGTAGCTAGTGGAAGGCTTGAAGTAATTGTGAATGGAGCCAGAAAAAACTTATTAGGTCCAGGAAATGGTTTTGGAGAGTTAGCCTTACTTGACAATCGTCCAAGAACTGCAACTGTAAAGACTTACGATAAATGCACTTTATGAGGAGTTGACAGATTTGCTTTCAAAGAAGCTGTAAAAAAAGTCAATGTGATGAACCATGAAGAAAACAAAGTGTTTATAGACAGCGTTCCATTATTCCAAGCACTAACTCCTCAGCAAAAAGACTCTTTATTATCAGTGTTAACCACACAGAGATGAACCAGTGGCCAAAAAATAGTCAAAGAAGGCGATGTAGGAAATTTATTTTATATAATTAAAGAGGGAATTGTCACTTGCACTCAAAATGACATTGAAATTCGACAGATGCAAAAAGGCGATTTCTTTGGAGAGCAGGCCTTGCTCTATAATACTCCGAGAACAGCTACTGTGACTGCAATTGGAGACGTCAAAGTAGTGTCAATTAGCAGTGATTCCTTGATTGATGTGTTGGGAAACTCCTTAGAACAGATTTTATATAAAAACACACAGAGAATAGCTTGTGAAAAAAGCCAAAATTTAAAAGCTCTATCGATTGATCAAAGAGAAAAAGTCCTTGAAAAGGTTGAGGTCGTCAAATATCAGCCTGGAGAAGTTATTGTTCCAAGAGGAGGGAAAATCGGAGAAAAAATTTGAATTATTTTGAAAGGAAGGGTAAGAGGACCACAAGGAAGCATTGAGGTATTTTCTTGTATTGGAGATGAGGGATTAGATAAAAGCATTCCTGATGAGTATCTCGTGGACTATATAGCAGAGTTAGAAACTGATGTCAGCGAAATCACCAAGGAAAAGCTTGAAGAGTGCATTGGTGGAAATTTCCTTCAAGTTACCATTCATAACGAAGCTTTAGCTGTCTTGAAAAAAGTTCATCTATTGCGTGGGCTTACACAAGATAAATTCGTTTCTCTTATGAGAGCCTTAAAAGTTGTTCATTTCTCTGACGGAGATACTATCGTCCTTCAAAGCAATCCAGGCGACTCATTCTACATCATCAAAACAGGCAAAGTAAACGTCTTCAAAAATGATGCAAAAATAAGAACAATCACAAAGCATGACTATTTTGGAGAAAGATCAGTGCTTTTTAATGACTTTCGTACTGCAACTGTTTTTGCTGATGGCCCAGTAAGTTGCTGGCTATTAGAAAAAGAGGATTTTCTAAATATCATAGATGAAGAGATCAGAAAACAGCTGGTAAGAAGAATTGACCTTCAAGATGACTCAATAGCATTAAAGGATCTAATTCCTATCAAAACTATTGGCAAAGGAATGTTTGGAAATGTGATTTTAGTTGCAAATAAAACCAATAGAAATATGTACGCTTTGAAAACTGTAACACGAGAAAAAATCGACGTTTTTGGGCTATATGAGAATTTGAGACTAGAAAGGACAATTTCTCTGCAGCTTGACCATACAATGATTGCTAAATTGATAAAAACGTACAAAGACCCTAAAAGAGTTTACTTTCTAATGGAGTATGTAATGGGGAATGATTTATTTGACGTCCTTCGAGACATGCAGTTAGTGAAAGATGCCGACGCCAAATACTATGCTGCTTCAATTGTTGTAATGCTCGAGCATCTTCATGAAAGAGACATTATATATAGAGACCTTAAGCCAGAAAACATCATGATTGATGAAGAAGGCTACCCAAAATTAATTGATTTTGGGACAGCCAAAATAGTACACGGAAGGACGTATACTACTGTAGGAACTCCACATTACATGGCCCCAGAAATCATCCTGGGCAGCGGATATAATTTTGCTGCTGACTGGTGGAGCTTAGGAATCATGATTTATGAATTCCTATATGGAGGAGTCCCATTCGGTGAAGACGAGGACGACACCCAAAAAGTCTACCAAAAGATCCTGGAGCATAAAATCACCTGGCAAGGCCAAGCAGACCCAACATCCCAAGCCAAGCCTTTGATATTCCAGCTGCTTAATAAAAACCCAGCAGCAAGGACTGGTGGAAGCATAGAGAACTTAAAGAATCACAAGTGATTCGCCAACTTCAATTGGGTAATTTTTACGTAGGATCGTCTTTTATCGAGACAGCTAAAAATGCCTTATCTCCCTAAGCTGAAGTCTTTGCATGATGAAATAGAAGCAGCTTTCTCTAATAGTAATGAGCTGGAGCTATTTCTTCAGATTGAAGAAGACCAAGATGTTCTACCAAACATTCGACTTCGTGAGCGAAATCAAATTCAAAACTGGGATGAAGATTTTTAGTGTACAAAGCACAATTATGTTTAAATGTTTATTCTTATTGTCTATTTGGGTATTAGTAATGGATTTCCAATAACGCGCAAAGCTATTTAGTGTTAATATTATTTCCCCCACTGAGACTGTTTGAAACTCTGGATCATCTCAGTCGAGGCACGCTGGAATTCTTGCTGACGCTTGTAGAATGGACAGTTGTTCGCACACATCACTGGGTGGTTCAAATTTTTTACTCGATTCATAGACCCGCAGGTACAAACTGCTGGGATTAACTCTGAGAACTTTTCTTTTAATTGATCTCTTACCACTCTTTTAAGGGCTGTGATGTATTTTATTGAGTCCAAGTGCCGCTTTGAGTAGTTTATAGGAGGTGGCTCGAGCTTGGCACCTTCTTTTACATCAGCTGCTAGCTGTTCTACTTTTTCGGCGAGTTTTTGATTTCTTAAGTTGCTCTTGCTTCTTCCTGGAGAAATTCCTGGAGTGCTTTTGGCTCTGAGCGGAGACCTAGATCTAGGCCTGTCTTCAGCAGGCAGCTTGGGTCCAAAGCTCTTTTTCCGGTCATCAACTCTCATATACCTTGTTCTTTCTTCTTTGCTTGGAGTTTGACTTCTTCTGCCAATATCAGGAGAAGTTTCAGACTTTTTTTCTCGATTTCTTTCTTTATTTAATGCAAAGCTTCTCGCGAACTGGACTTTTTTAGATAATTCAGATACCAAAGGTGTTCCCCAAGCCACTCTTGGCCCAGCTGATTTGGCTCTTGGCTTCATCATACTGGCAGCATGATGCTCTTGGATTTCTGCAATTTTTCTAACCAATGCTACTTCCAAGGCATGGTCGTCAAAAAGTGGCTGATCCCAGGTCTTTCTCAGCATTTCATCTTTTGATGACCTTGACTTGGCAGTAACTTTTGCTTGAACTTGGGCAGTTTCATGGTCTTTAAGTGAGTGAATGATGTGAGCACCCATTGCTTTTAGTGCTGCTCGCGAGTTTTGTAATACCAAACTAACCATTTGTGGAAGCGGCTCATCACTAAAACAGAGCCTTGTTTGCTTTTTTTCTAAAGAGTGATTTTCATACTCTTCTTCTCTATCTTCTTCGATTTGATCATTTCTTTCTTCAATTTCTTGTGCGTAGACTTCATTTTTTAAGTATTCTTTAGGATTCTCATACTCACTTTCTAGCTTTTGGAACACTTTATCGAATCTTCCTTTTTTTGCATTTCTATATTCTTCTTCGTCCTGGACTTTTTCGACTTCTTCTTCTGGAATTGAGAACATATTAAACTGCAGCTGCTTGTATTCATTGAGGAATGGAGCTTGCTCAACCCCTTCGTCATAATGAATTTGTGGAGGATTGTCTTGGACGATGTCAAAATTTTCTTCAACCCCCATCTGCTGGATGTTTAAGGGCTGCTTTTTGTAGCCTGAAAAATCACTTTTGAATGACCTTGGTGGCTCTGCTTCATATTTTTCTTGGTCCAGAGCGATTTCCATTTCAACCTGCTCAATCTCTTGTTCTGCGGGTTTTTCATCCTCTCTTACTTCCTCATATATTTCATACTCAGGCACTTTTTCTTCCTCTCTAGCTTGCTTTTCCCTTTTTTCCCTTTTTTCCATACTTTTCTCAGTTTTTTGTTTGGTTTTTGATTCAGTTGGTTTGGATTTCTTTTGTAGGTGGTCAGCTGAAACTCCAACTTTCTTTTCAACGCAGTAAGCCCTAATTGCATTGAATTTTTTTGCTTTCCATTCAAGTTCCTGCTTGAGTTCTTCTTTTTCGCATTTCAATCTTTGCTTTACGATTTCTTGGGTCCTCAGCTGGAAATTTTTGAGCTTCTCTTCTTTTTCTTGCTGCCTTTGCCATGCATTATGCTCTTCTCTTGCTGCGCTTTCTCCAGCTGGCGGAAGAGCTTCAATGGAGCCACTGACTGAAAGAGGCCGGCAATGAGATAGAGGGACATTAGTCCTTGTGTCAACTTTTTCAGACGGCTCTAACGGGAGCGACACATTATCAACTCTTACACTAGTTTTGACTCCTATGCTTGCGAATTTCATGCCTCTTCCCCATGAGACTGAATCAATGCTGAACATTTAAATAATTAATTTCAAAATCATTAAACGAAAAGTATTTATACTTATAAATTAATATGAAACTTAATAATCTAAAGCAAATTCTGATATTTAGAAGAACTTTTTAATATAAAAAGAGGTTAATCTTTGCTCATAGTTAATGCACTAAAATTAAAAAAATATATAATTAATTGTTTTTACTATGGGATGTCTGCAGAGTAAAAAGAATGAAGTTACAATTGCTAAAAAAATTGACAAAACAAAGCCCGATAAGAAGGAGCTAAAAATGATGAAAGCTTATCTCCCATTTGTGTTTTTTTCTCCTGAATCATCAGTTATGATAAAGTACAAAAACCCTATGGCAAAAGAAGCTTATGGGCTTCCTTATACTGACGATCGAACTCCAACTTATGCGTTTACAGTAAAAATTGGTGTTGGGAGGTTCTTTTTAGCTGGAGGTTTTGACCTTGTTAAAGACTGCCACTCTAATAGGTGTTTTCAAGTCTACATCAAAGACAAAAAAAGAGAAGAGAGAAATCCTTTGCCAGTGCCTCTGCATGGAGGAATGATGTATTATCATCGTGACCGAGCCTATATAGTTGGCGCTGCGACTGCAGAAGACGAAGAATACATAGAAGAAGCAAATTACGTTCCATATCCCTTTGTTGGGGCAAGTGCCCCGATTCTTCACTGCAAGTTAAAGCGATATCCGTTTTTGCAATTTAGTTTCAGGACAAAAAAGTGGGAGGAACTTACCTTTAAAAAGAACATGATCAAGGAAGGCGTTCCTTATCCTCCAGATAACATTTTTTTGCCTGGAACCTGCAAAAAGAAAAATAAAATTTACTTTATTGGAGGAAAGATTGACGTGGAAGATGGTCCTCCTAATGAAAGCATTCTGATTTTTGATATTGATCTACGAATGGTGTCTGCTGCTAACTGTAAGTTTACTGGTGGGGTAACTGAGCCAAAAGTTGCTTGCATTTATGACGGGTTTATTTTGATTTTGGGAGGATATTATAAAGATGACAAAAAGATGAAGTTCAGCAGAAAAGTATTTTTAGCTGAATTAAGCACAGAAACACACGAAAGAACCCCTTTGGATCAAGATTTTGAGTTCACTGATCGATATCCTTCTAAAGGAAACAATGGCTTTGCGCTGTTCTATTTCTACCCGTTTGCCTTATTTATTTATGAGGAAAAGGAGAGAAGGGAAATCATCAACATTTCGGCAACTTCCTACAATGAAGAAGAAAAAGCTCTCATGGCCAATCGTGCAAATATAGTAAACACGGCTTAATTTTTATAGTACTTCTTAAATATATGAGCATGTTCAGTCTACTGGTTGCCGTAAATCTCTATTTTCATATATTTCAGAATATATAATTATAACTTAAATGGAATCAGGCAAAAGAAGTCGATCCTCATGTTCATCAACATCTGAAGCAAGGTCTCATTCCACTTACAATCAAGATGCAGGGCACTTTGAGTGGCAGGAAGGGCAAATGATTAACGATCGCTACAAAGTCAAAGGGCTCCTAGGGGATGGAACCTTCGGACGAGTCCTAGAAGTTGAGGACCAAGATGGCTCTTTTAAAGCTCTAAAGGTCATTCGAGCAGTCAAGCGCTACGTAGAAGCTGCCAAGATCGAAGTTGAGATACTGCACAGAATAAACCGAGCAGACCCAACCCACCAATCTAACATTGTCCAGTTATACGAAGATTTCCCCCTAGGCGGCAACTATTGTCTCGTCTTTGAAAAACTGGGAAGAAGCCTGTTCGATATCATCAAATTGAATGAGTACAAAGGTAATAAAGATGTAGGCTTCAGAATGTGGCAGGTTCAGGAAATTGCTGAACAGCTTTTTAAAGCGATTGACTTCATGCACACTCTGGGTCTCACGCATACCGATCTTAAGCCTGAAAACATCCTCTTGGTGAATGATGAACTGAGATTTGATGAAGAAAAAGTAATGAGTGATAAAGAAAATAAACCTCCCCGTTGACTGCACAATTCGGGTTATTGATTTCGGTGGTGCCACATTTAGAGAGGACCATCATTCAGTTATTATCAATACAAGGCAGTACCGCGCACCTGAAGTCATTTTAGGTAGTTTTTACTTACTCTTCAGTTTAAATGAGTGAATGCTTTTTTTTATATATTATATAAAATTTATATCGATATTAATATAAAGATATTGGGATGAGATAGAACTTGGCTGGGATACTATGTCAGATCTCTGGTCCTTGGGATGCATTTTGGTCGAGCTTTATACAGGAGAACTGCTCTTCCCAACACACAAGAACTTTGAGCATTTGGCAATGCTAGAAAAGGTGCTTGGGCATATGCCAGCTTGGATGGGGAAGCGCTGCTCGTACAGCTATAAAAAGTACTTCGACCGAGATTACTTTTTGAATTATCCAGAAAGGGCAGATCATGAAACCAGAAGAAATGTAAGACACCTACTTTGTTTAGAAGTAAGTCAAAATTAGGAATTGATACCTTCAAAGTATCGGGAGTTTCGGCACCTTATTTACGATCTCCTAGAATTCAACCCAAATCGAAGATTGAGAGCAAAAGATGCACTTCGGCATAGGTTTTTTGATGCTGACTACAGACCGAAACGTAGTGAATAATTATTATAATTTCAAAAAATCATATAAGTGTTTATCATAACTCTTTTTTTAGTTAGCGAACAAAAATCGTTTTTTATTACATGGGAAATAATTTATTTTTTATCAAACAATGATACTCTAAAATATTGCAGGTCATAAAAATTCTGCTTTGAAAAAAATTAATATATACAAGCTGTCTAAAATTAAATAGAATGAGCTCAAGGACTCATTATAACAATCAATCATTATATATCAAATATTATTGCAAAAAAGAATTATCAGAAATATTTGTCTGTTTGTGGAGATGATCCCAAAAATATTTTTTTTTATTTTTTTTACTCATGTGGAAAGTAGGAGAAAAAGCGTAAAAATAAAATTATTCATAGATAATATCTATCCAACCATGCAAAAGTTATAAGATCTAAAAAGCTTTAGTAAATAGTTTTCTATTTATTAAGTTATCACCTGCAAATTCGTTAATTAAGTTTATTTCCATTACTCCACCATACAGATAAAATAAAAATGCTTGATAGCCATATCGAACCTCTTCAAGTAATTTTGCGAGAAAGCGAGCAGCTGGGAGCTCTCTCTCCATTCGCGAGGCTTAACTATCGCTATTCCACTAGTGACAAAGGCAAAGAAAAAGACGCAACATCCATACTTGTAACTGCCGCTTCTCAACAGGGTGCAGAGCAGTTACGCAGAGCTCTTGCAGCAAAGCGCAGAAACGATATTTCCCTTCACGTTTACCCAGACTTGCCACAGATTCCTTCGTTCCTGTCATGTGTTGATGACAGAACGAATAACAACATTTTGGACGACGTCGATGGAAAACTGCACGTCTTGATGTTCATGAACGATGTCAAAGAAAATAAGCAGCTCTTGGCCCAGCTCAACGACTTACAAGAACTAAAAATTGAGCTGCACCTGTGTGTCTTTGGAATCGACATACAGAAGGTCAGAGATCAGACAAATAAAAACAAATGGTCCAAGTTCAGGATTTGTAGGACGGGAGGCCAGAAGCAAGAAAAAGAGATGGCAAAGGAGCTGGGGATTGACAGGTTTCCCTATGGACTTCTATTTTATAATAAAAGAATCGTCTCCAAAGGTGCGCTGAACATAGCTGACATTGAAAAGGCTTTGCAGCACTTGAATAAGCTGAATATGTTCGAAGCTGTGAACTTGATTTCACTACCGAACCTGCAAGGATGCGAAGTGTGGGACTCCCAGCAGAAAAGAGATGTAAATGTTATGCTGGAAGGCGAAGTTGTGCTTGAGTTCTGGGATCACACTTGTGAGGATGTTCTTCATGATAAAGATCAGTTAATACAAAACTCTCAATATTTGAGGGGGATGAGATTCATTCAAGTTTATGCGGGCTCATCCAAACAGACTTTGAAGACTGGATTTAGACTTAATTCCCCTCTTAGTGAATAAGCAAACAAAATCGCTTCTTTTTTAGTAAAAACTCTGTTACTACACATTTTTTGTATAAATATATTAATAATATTTATAAAAAAATCTTTGAGATAGTTTTATCAAATTTTATAATTATATATCATTAAATTTTTTTCATTATAAAGAATAATATATAAAATTTATGAGTGAAAAAAAAATTGTTTTGCAAACTGAAGAAGAAGTAAGCATCTTGGGCTTGAGCACCCCACAGCTAAAAAGCTCCAAATTTTCGAATTGCCTTGCACCTTTGTGCTTAGTGGAGGAAGAATTATTTGGAAAGGCAACCGCCAGTTTGCAAATTTTCCAAAAGTTATAGAAAACCTTAACTCCCCCCTTTAAATTGGAACAAAATATAGGTAAAATTTCCACTTTTTTGGTAAATTAACCCCCCTTTTAAATTGGAACAAAATTTAATTTTATAATAAAAAATTCTATATGTATAAATCATAATTTTTATGTAAAAAGGTTTTGATATAATTTAAATGTTTCTCTTAGCTAAAATTAAAATTTTAGTTATATCCTGCTCTTGTTTAAAGAATAGAGTATAAAGAGCATCTTACTTAAATAAATTTATTATCCTTATTTGTAAATTTTTAAAAAAATTTAATTTTTTTTTGTTTTAAAAAATTTTCAAAAAAAAATTTATTTTTTTTGATAAAAATGATATTTTTTATTTAAATAGCTTTGATATAAATTCAATACGAATTCTTTACAAAAATTCAAAATTTACATATCTCTTGCTTTATTTTAAAGAATAGAGTCTAAATAACATCTTATTTAAACAAAATTAACACTTTGATTAATAAATTTTCTAAAATTTTTTTTTATCAATAAAAATAATAATTTTTTGCGTAAATAGTTTTGATAGTAATTAATAGTGGCGTATTAATTAATAATAAAATTTTAGTTATATCTTGCTTTGTTTTAAAGGATAAAGAGTAAATAGCATTTTATTAAATAATTTATTAGTCTAATTCGATAAATTTTTGAATTTTTTTTTTGTTGAAATTTTATATAAAATTTTTTTTTTTATAAAAAATTTTATAATGATTTTTTTTTTAAACAATTTTCTTAACCCCCCTTTAAATTGGAACAAAATTTTTAGTTCCAACTTAAAGGGGGGGGAGTAAGAGAAATAGACCTTTAGAAGAAGCCTCCCCAATCTTTAAAGATGCTTGGAAAAAACTAAAAGAAACAGCGCTAAAAGCACTTAACGAAGTTTACGCGGGTGACAAAGCAAACACTCCTACAATCCAATTCCATGCACAAACAGATGTTTTTTGCCAAGCAAGATCGGCAGAAAGGTACAAATCTTACATTGCTGCTAACATTGCTAATGATCGGCAAAAAGACCTTGCTATCAGGCTCTTCAATGCACTTGAGAAAAAATTGCCAAATTTGAGATGTCTATTTAGACACGTAGAATCAGGGGTCACTGGCAATCAATTTACTTTCAGAATCCCTCCTCCTGGGCAAGCTTCTAATCCAAATGCTCAAAGGAGCTTAAATCAATCTCCTTCTAAAGGCAAAGTTCAAGATGCGAAGCCAGCAGCAAAGCCTGAAGATCCTAATACCCGAATCCTTGATAAACATGTGGATCCTCTTCAAGTAATTTTAAGAGAGGGCGAGCAGCTTGGAGGTCTTTCACCATTCGCAAGACTTAACTTCCATTATTGTACAAGTGATAACGGAAAAGAGAAAGATGCTTCAAGCATCCTTGTAACTGCTGCGTCGCCTCAGGAAGAAGAAAAGATCCGTAAATCGCTTGCTGCCAAGCGCAGAAATGACATTGCCCTTCGTGTCTACCAAGACTTGCCACAAATACCTTTGACCATCTCAGTCGTTGATGACAAGACAAACAATAACATTTTAGATGACGTTGATGGGAAGTTGCACGTCTTGATGCTCTTAAATGATATTAAAGAAAATAAAGAAGTCTTGGCCCAGCTCAACCAATTAGAAGAACTAAAAATAGATCTCCATTTATGTGTGTTTGGAATGGACATGCAAAAGGTAAAAGACAAAGCAAATAAAAACAAGTGGTCTAAATTCAGACTTTGCAGGTCTGGAGGCCAAAAACAAGAAAAAGAAACTGCAAGAGTGCTAAATAAATTAAGCTCATGCTTCCATAATTGGATAAATTACTAGCTGTCGCCCATCTTGGCATCAAAGGTCGCCCTATAGTTTTCCACCCTTAATCACTGTCCAAGGTATTAGATCCCTAGGGTAGAGCCACCTTTAGTAAGATCCCTAATGGTCCCTGATGAAAAGGATCCATGTGGTAGGTAAAAACTGTCTAGCCTATCTTGCAGGGTTAGGTTATTTAAAATCAGGCGCTAGCCATATTGGCGACGCAGTTACCAAAGACCTCCCATACTGAAGGTTCTACCGCTTTTCAACTCGAGCCCAGAGGGTCTATCCCCCAAAGGTGGATTTCAGTTCGGTATCTTCTGTTTGCCTTGGGCTTCAGTCTTGAGTGGACAGGCCTATCTGGCCAGAGCAGGAAAACCTTGGGGAGAAATAAAACGCCTTTTTCGGTAGGCTTTCCATTAAGATGGTCTACTTAGCTCATGAAGAGCTTACTTTCGCCACCCATCGTGCTGGTCCACTACTCCATCAGGAGGCGTTAGCTCGAAGTCTTATTTCTAAAATATCATCATTTTACTTCTCAAGAGTGCTAGGGATTGATAGATTCCCATATGCAGTGTTTTTCTATAATAAAAGAATAGTTTCAAAAGGAATGCTTAATGTTGCTGACATTCAAAAAGCTTTACAGCACTTGAATAAATTAAACATGTTTGAGGCAGTGAACTTAATGGCTCTTCCTAATTTGCAAGGCTGTGAAGTTTGGGACTCTCAGCAGAAAAGAGACGTAAATGTCATGCTAGAAGGCGAAGTTGTCCTTGAGTTCTGGGACGATACTTGCCAAGATGTTCTTCACGATAAAGATCAGCTAATTCAAGGATCAAAACATTTGCAGAGGATGAGATTCATCCAAGTTTACGCAGGCTCAACCAAGCAGACATTGAAAACTGGCTTCAGACTTAAGCATCTGGGACTTGAGCACCCCACAGCTAAAAAGCTTCAGATTTTTGAATTGCCATGCACATTTGTATTAGACAATGGAAGGATCATTTGGAAAGGAAATAGACAATACCACGATTTCGTCAAACTTGTAGACAACTTGAAAAAGAATAAAGCCCCAGACGAGCCAGTTCCACTTTATAAAGATGCTTGGAAAAAACTAAAAGAAACTACGCACAAAGCTCTAACCGATGTCTATGCGAGCGACAAAGCAAGTGCTCCTCAAATTCATTTCCATGCCCAAACTGACGTCTTCTGCCAAACCAGGTCAGCAGAAAGATATAAAGCATATATAGCAGCGAATATTGCTAATGACCGACAAAAAGATCTCGCAATTAGGCTTTTCAATACACTTGAGAAAAAGTTGCCAAACTTGAGATGTCTCTTTAGGCACGTTGAAACAGGAATTATGGGCAATCACATTACTTTTAGGCTTCCTCCACCTGGACAAGCCCCTCACTCCCCTCTCTGCGGATAAGCAAAAATATTGAAAAAATGCTCCTTTTTCGTCATTCAAAAAATATATTCCACTTAATATTTTTATATATAAATAAATAAATTTTCTACTAACAAATTAAATTAATTTTGATTTTGATTAAATCTATTTATTTATATAAGTGTTCAAAAATAAACCCTCCCTTTGAGTAATCCCGAAAGAATTCACTTAGCTACCTGCAGGAGAGTCAGCAGAAACAAGTCCCACAAAAAGGTTCTAATATATCCCCGACAAAAGAAAAGCCTAAAGAAGCCACTAAACCAGGAGCAAAACCTACAGAACCAAATACCCGAATTCTTGATAAGCATGTAGAGCCTCTTCAAGTAATTTTAAGAGAAAGCGAACAACTTGGAGGTCTTTCACCATTTGCAAGGCTTAACTTCCGCTACTGCACTAGCGATAAAGGCAAAGAAAAAGACGCGACAAGCATTCTTGTAACTGCTGCATCTCAACAAGAAGAGGAAAAGATTCGAAAATCCCTAGCTGCCAAACGCAGAAATGACATAGCTCTTCGTGTATACCAAGACTTGCCACAAATACCTTTGACTTTATCAATGGTTGATGATAAGACAAACAATAACATTTTAGACGATGTCGATGGGAAGCTACATGTCTTAATGATTCTCAATCAAGTCAAAGAAAACAAGCAACTTTTAGCCCAGCTTAACCAATTAGAAGAACTAAAAATAGAACTGCACCTCTGTGTGTTTGGGATGGATATGGAAAAGGTCAAGAAAAAAGCCAATAAAAACAAATGGGCAAAATTCAGACTTTGCAGATCTGGAGGACAGAAGCCAGAAAAAGCTATAGCTACCCAGTTTGGAATTGAGAAGTATCCTTATGGAATTCTTTTCTACAATAAAAGAATTGTCTCTAAAGGAGTACTAAATATTGGAGATATAGAAAAAGCACTCCAGCACCTTAATAAGTTGAATATGTTTGAAGCAGTAAATTTAATCGCCCTCCCTAACTTGCGAGGCTGTGAGGTGTGGGATTCTCAGCAGAAAAAAGATGTGAATGTCATGCTAGAAGGCGAAGTTGTCCTTGAGTTCTGGGACGACACCTGCCAAGATGTCCTGCACGATAAAGATCAGCTAATTCAGGGATCAAAACATTTGCAGAGAATGAGATTCGTCCAAGTTTACGCAGGCTCAGCCAAGCAGACCTTGAAAACTGGCTTCAGACTCAAACATTTAGGTCTTGATCACCCCACAGCTAAAAAGCTTCAGATTTTTGAATTGCCATGTACATTTGTAATAGACAACGGAAGAATCATTTGGAAAGGAAACCGACAATTTGTTGATTTCGTTAAACTCATTGATAACTTGAAAAAGAATAAAGCCCCAGACGAGCCAGTGCCGATTTTAAGAGATGCCTGGAAAAAACTAAAAGAAACTGCTCTTAAAGCACTTACTGATGTCTATTCAAGTGACAAAGCAAGTGCTCCTCAAATTAATTTCCATGTGCAGACTGATGTTTTCTGCCAAGCCAGGTCAGCAGAAAGGTATAAATCATATATCGCTGCCAGCATAAGCAATGATCGGCAAAAAGATCTTGCCGTAAGACTTTTCAATACACTTGAGAAAAAATTGCCAAACTTGAGATGCCTCTTTAGGCATGTCGAAACAGGAGTGACTGGCAACCAATTTACTTTTAGACTTCCTCCACCAGGACAGGGGTCTCAACAAAGCCTTAATAAAAATCAAAAAATCTCTCCAGAGCGACAAAGACCTTCTCCTCAGCCAATGGCACATCAAAGTTCTTACCGTAATGAAGCAAAATATGGCTTTGATTTGGGAGGTCAACTGTTGGGCATGTCCAATGAGCTAAGTAATGAGACTGATCATGGCCGAAGGGTGGACTTATTAAACAGATCTCTACAAAATCAAGAAGAGCTAAATAGGCAGCTCCAGTATCAAGTGAAAGACTATGATAGGATTAGCGAAGTTGTCAAAGATCAGAGACAAGCCCTGAGTGAAAAAGATGCACTAATAGCGAAGCTAAGAGCGAAACTTGCAGATTATAAAGACACCCCAGTTGAAAAACTGCATTCAAGAGTTAACGAACTCCTTGCTTCTCTGAAGCCATTTGGAAAATTTGAAAAAACTTTAAGAAATAAAAATCATTTATTTTTATTAAATAAGTAATAAAAAATAATATGAAATTTTATATTTATTTTAAGCGCTAGCTTTCAAACGCAATTCTTAAATTAAATTTACTTTCAAATATCTTCAAGTTAGAATTTTTTAAAATTTTTGAAAATTTAAAAAGCCTTCTTGTTTACTCTGTTAGGGTGAGTTAGTGACAAAATAAGGCTGGAAGCTTTAGTTGCTGAGAGTGATAAGAAACTAAAAGAGCAGACAGCTAAGGCAAATAGGCTCAAAATTGATGTAGAAAGTAGCGAAGTGCTTTTAGAAAAGAGAGAGTCCCAATTAAATATTTTAATAGGAAAAGTAAAAGCCCAAGAGCATGAAATAATGACCTTGAAGTCAGAAGTGAAAAAGAAACAAGCAGCACTATCAACTTTGGAATCCGAGCTAAAAGGCCTCAGACCTTATCAAGATGCAGACGAAGTCATCTTAAAGCAAAGCGACAACCTTCAAGATTTGCATAAACAAATCATTGCTAAGAACCACGAGATATCAATGCTCAAAGAAGTTATTTCCAAATGGAAGCACGACTCTAGATCCCCAGAGCCATACTCAACTAAATCCCAGCACAAGCTTCCGTCAGTGAGAGGAGCAAGCAGTCTTGCCAATAGTGTAGAAGGAGGTAGCACCCGCTCCTGGTCTAAGAAGCTTGAAAAGAAAGGCTACAACTCCAGCTCTCACCATTCAGACTATGCAATTGAAGACTTCACAAGTCCAAAAATGCACAGCAAAGGAAAGAAATATGCGAAGCCAATTGTCCATGATGAATACGAAGAGTATGAGAGCGCAAGCTTCAGAGAGTCGAAGAAGGCCAAATACAAAGACGTCCCAGAAGACTATAATCTTCATCCAAGCATTCGCAGTGAGTACGTAAAAGGCCATGCAAAGTACGACGAGTACGAAAGAAGAGCAGCCTATGAAGAAGAAAAAGAAAGACACGCTGAGTATGAACGAATGAAGAAAGAGCACCAGCGATACCCTTCTGATAACTCTGAGTATGAGTACAGGAAAAAGCACGAATACCAAGAAGAGCACGAGAGGCATCCAAGCAAGCATAATACTTATGATTCAGAAAGGTATGAACGTGAAAGAAAGCCTGAGAGACATGATAGTTATGGAAGAGAAGAAAGCTATGAACGTCGCTATGAGAAAAGGAATGAATCTCTAGAAAGAGATCAAAGGCATGACACAATCCATAAGGGAGATAAATATGACATTGACAGAGAAGAAAGACATGAGAGAGAAAAAGGAGAAAGGCATGAAACTGTTCAAAAGAAGCATGATACTCAAGCCAAAGGTGACAAGAAGATTCAAAGCAATGCAGAGCTCAAGGGGGTAGAAAGCAGCAAGAAAGGGGAAGCAAAGCAACAAATTAAGCCAGAAGAGAAGAAAGGGAAGAAGCAAGAAGATGCAAAAGGAAAGCATGAAGAAAAGAAAGGGTCTCAAGCTAAGCTAGATCCAAAGAAAGACGCCAAAAAATACAGTGACTCAGACTCAGATTCTGATAGAGGAAGAAAAGGTAGAGATAAGCGCTCCAGCAGCCGAAGCTCAAGTGAAGACAAAAAAGTCAAGCACAGAAGCTCGAGTTCCTCGAGATCTCGATCAAATTCCAATAACAAAAAGAATAAAGGAAAAAGCGTGCAACCACCTGCGCCAGCCCAGCCAGCCAAAGGTGCAACTGGTAAGGCAGCAGTTCCGGCAAAGAAACGGTAATAAATAATTCTAATAATTCATAATTATCTTAAATCTACAACTTCAAACCTCACTCCGCTTTCTATGCTCACATTTCTGCTCTCCTCAAACAGTCCTTCAGAGTGTGGGTGGAAGCCTCGCTCTCTGCATGCCCTGATTTCTTGCATTCCTCTCTCTGTTAGCTTGAAAACTCCAATTTGTTGTGGATGAAGCGGAGCATAAACAATTGCAATCGCTTCTGGGAGAAGTCATTGGTAGCTTGAATGAGTGTGCATGTCAACTGAAGACAAAAATAAATCATGCTGAGGATGCGTGTGGATCCAGCCTAACACTTGCCACTTATGCTGCTCTAGTGCAGTAAATAGGGTCTCATCGTCTAAGCATTCACAAGTATCTGATGCACCGCGTTGATTTGGTAAAATTAAGGCTTTAATTGCTAATTCTGTGTTGGATGGGATACCTGCAAGTATGCCTAAAGTTTCAACATTGCGCTCGGTATTTGAAAAGGAAAGAGCGATGAAGTGGTCAATGATTTCTTGAGGAATAATTACTCTCTTAGTCCCTCTTTTAAATCGGAACCAAAAATCAGTAAAATTTGCATTTTTTGGGGACTTTAACTCCCTTTTAAAATGCAATAAAATTTATTTTTCAATTAGAAAATGTTATTGATACTAATTTTAAAAATTTTAAAGAATAAGATACTAATTTTTATAAATTTTGATTTATTTTAATGGAAATAAGCTCAAGTAGAATGCTACTTAAACATGCTTTACAATAAATCGATTAACTTTTATAATTACTTCTTGACAAAAAAACAATAAAATTTAAAATCATGTCTCAAATTATTTTTTTAAGATTTAAAATTTTATAGAGAAAAATTTAAATATAATTTTTTTTTAAAAAAGTAATTAATCTCCCATTTAACTATAAAAGTATTTTGCTCAAATTTAAAGGGAAGAGAGCTAGGAATTTCTGCAGAGCTAATTAGGCTTGGAACATTTTTGTCAGCATTTATAACTGATCTAGAGCAGTCAGATACTAAATTTCTAATCAAAGGAATATCCTGGTTTAATTGAAAAAGCTGCTTTTTGTACCCTATACTGTTGCAGGAATTATGGCTTCTAATGTCTCGCATTAAATTAAGGAACATTTTAAACGCTGTGTGTGCCTATTTAGATCTTACTTCTATATATTTACCATGGTTGTACATGGAGTCTCCTCTTGCTTTTAGTTGATGAGCTTGCTGGATGTAATCTTCAAGCCTCCTTCAGTTTTCGATAGGAATCGGCCGTATCAAACTTTCTAATCTAGTTTCTACACTATCCATCTTAAAATATTAAAACTTCTATTCAAAATATATTTGGGTTAATTCTTGATAGGGTTCTAGTTTGAGACTATTTTCACTTTAGCTTAGCTATTTTTCCCAGCTAATTAGGATATTTTTGTTGGAAAAAATTATATTTGAGAGTAAGTATAGCTCATTCTAAGTGCCTTTATATTCTTTCATTAGGCTCTTTTCAAATGATTTTAGCTGGCTTATGAACCCCTCATTCGGAGAGGCAGACTCCCTTTGAGTTTTTACAATCTCGAAGGCTTCCTCGAACCCTATCTTTCTAGACTTCATTAGATACATAATGACAAGTGTTGAAGATCTGCTTATTCCTTGGGCACAATGTACTAATACTCTATTGCTGCATTTACTTAAAGCTGTACTTATGAAATCAAAAGCAATGCTGAAATACCTTGATATATCTTCATAATTGCAGTCCTTCACTTGAAGTCTGAGATAAATCACCCCTTTGCTAGCAAATGGCATTTCTAGCTCTCCCAGCTAATAGGTAGTACCCATATCAATGACAGGAAAATGATATAGGAATTGCCCGAGGATGGCGCTGAGGATATTGTAGCATCAAGAATGTGCGTTATTTTTAAGTTCTCTATGATTAAAGGATCTTTCGCATGATGCCTATCTCCAATATATAGCTTAAGGGAAATAATTTCACTTGGATAACCTCATTTTGGAATATATAGTTAGTGACACTGACTGGCACGGGGTGCTTTGCTCAGTTTCGAGCCAAAAGCACCCGTGCCAGTCAGTGTCACTAACTATATGGATCATTAATTCCATAAGTGCAAAGAAAATAATAGTTTAAAGCAAAATCACTAAAGTTTTTCTGAAGTAAATGGACTTCCTTGCATTTGTCTGCAGTCAGCAGATGCTCTATTTCTCTAGCAAAAGCTACACCTTCCGCACAATAAACAATAATATTTAGAAATCTCTTTCTGTGATCAAATAAATCGCGACTTCCTCTAGCATGAGCTCTAACTTCATCTATTGTGGGGGACTCTGAATAATTGTCAGAATAAGGAACATTAATTGACCTTAGTAGTCTCATATGCGAATACTCTTCAGGAGTCCTCAAATCAAAAACAACCCACCGTCTAGGAAAGTTCTGCATAAGGTTGAAAATATACTGACAAGTGTTTTCACTCCTACCCTGAACCATATAAATGTGGATGTATCTTTTTTCTGATCAGCAGAAATAAAATCCGAATTATTAACTCCCCCCTCTTGATCGAGCAAACCCATTGGTAAAACCCTGTTTTTAGGCAAATGGTCAAGCACAGATGCCAACCCCCCCACCCCCACCCCCACCCCCCATGCATGGATCCCACCCCCACCCCCTAGTATATATGGATCACACCCCCACCACCTATGCTAATAGATCCCACCCCCTCCACCCCCCACCCCATCTATCATATAGGTAAACATATAAGTATCAAATCTTACAAATAAGACATACAATAAAATTTTAGTTAATTCATAAATGGATTCATAAATAGATTCATAAATAAATATTAATGATCATAAGTATATTTAGCATAGACTGATATAGCCAATATATTAGTAATACATTTAAAATAAAATAATTGCAAAAAACTTGTTACATAGAAAGGAATCAATAAATGACTCAAAAAATATTTTGATATCTCTTATAAAGTCTTTTACTCCCCCCCCATTTAATAACGAATACTTTTTTAGTTCCTTATTAAATGGGTCTAACTTATAAAATTCTTGGGAAAATTATATTAAATAAATATCTATGATTTTTTATATAAAAATTTCAATAAAGGGCTAATAATAAAAAAGTCAAATGATGACAACATAAAGATAAAGCGCCTGAATTCATGCGAAAAATAACTATTGCTAACTCCCCCCTCCGTGAGCGAGCAAAACCATTAGAAAAGTCCCTCACTCTTCGTGAGCAAACAAAAATTTTTTTAATAGAAAAATTTTTTATGGAAAAAAGTTTGATATATAAGCGATAATTATTATAATGAAATCTCTGCCTAATTCTTTTTAATTTTAAACAAATTGCGTTTTAAAACATAAATTTTATAAATTCAATTAATATTTGCTTTCCAATTTTTGCAAATTAGGATTTTTTTAAATTTCAAAAAATAATATTTCTATAAATTTTATATATAAATTTAAAAAAAAAAAATAATCTCCTTCGTGAGCAAACGATATTTTAAAGATTAAGCCACTATTAGCTCTTATTTATTATTCTTTGCTCGATTATGCTTGTCTTTATCTTACTCTAACTACTTAAAATTAGTAAACTGTAAAGACTAAATTAGCTTATATAAATTTTGTTCGTTATTAAATGGGGCCTAAGGAAAAATTTTTAGGAAAAAAAAATGACGGTTTTGTTCGTTATTAAATGGCCGGGGGGGGAGCTAGCCTGCATTCTTTGGAAATTTTTGACCTTTATATGATTTAAAACACGAGGTATGTGCTTGAAGGTTCATTGAAAACATGCTTCCTCGTTAGCACACTGTATCCGAATTTTTTTTTCATCCCTATGACTATGAATTTTTTATGCTGTCAGCAATTAATATGTTTTAATTGCCTTTAATACAGTTTACATTATACAGGGGGGGAGTAGCATCTATTAATGGAATGGGGGTGTGGGTGGGATCCATAGATGCAAGGGGGGTGGGGGTGTGATGTATACATCCAAACTGGGGGGGTGGGGGTGGGGGTTGGCATCTGTGCTTGACCAGGCAACAAAGAATCTTCGTCAGAATAAAATTTTTTTTTGAAAAAATATTTATATATAATGAAATTTTGAATTTCTGTAATTAAAAATTTATGATAAAAATTTTATTTAAATTTTGAAAAAAATTTAGCAGGTGAGCGAGCAAATTTGTTTTGTTCTCTTAAGAATGGGGGATTAAGCTAATTTAAAAAAAATACGACACAATGACTTCTGTGTAGTCTCCAACCATCTTTAAAACAACATCGCTTAGTTCTTCTTCTCTTTGTTTATTCTTGAGAGATGGACTTAACCCAAAAGCTTGTCTGATAGCCAGCATTACATTGTTGCTCAAGTTCCCATATGCTTTTCTGATTAATTCTTGTATCTCAATTCTAATTTCGCTGTTGCTGTCTTTATACGAATACGATCTCTTGTGTCCTGAAGACCGATGTGAGGCTGGAGATTGCGGTTGTGAAGCCATTAGTTTGGCTTTCATTTCTTCTAACTTGTGTTCATACTTCTGCTTCAGTCTTTTTATCCTGTTGCATTCCCTTTCACTCCACAAATGGCAAACTTTCGTGAGCAGCTGACTTATGACAGAGGCAGTGAGATTTTTCCCGTCTTTGAACTCTTTCATCACATTATAGACAGAGATTGGGATTCAGTCTGAGTCTTCGTTTGAGTTATTCGCTGCACATCTTTTTTTCCCACAGTTTCCTTTGTCTTGATGATAAGTAATTCCGTTAGAATCCTGCACAAGACTATTTATATGTGCTAAGGATTTGCCTGACTTTATGATCTCAAAGAGCTTGCAATTGTCCTTATAAAGTCTTTTTATTTCTTGTTGGAGAATTGGGATTTGCTTAACATACTCATAGGTTTGAACTGGCTCTCTTTCTGTGTCTTCGATTTCTTTCTCAACAAAGCTTTGGTCGCTCTGACTTTTCAAAATTGATTTCAGTTTTTCCTTTGTTTTTTCTTTTGCGTCTTTTAAAGCTGCGATTTCTTCATTTGCCATCTCTAAGCACTCTTTGAGAGACGATATTTCTTGGCAGAGCTTGTTTTCTTCAACATTTAGGTTTAAAATCTTTTTGCTTCATTCTTTGTTTTCGTTGAGCTTGGTTTCTCTAGCTTTTCCAAGCTCACACTCAAGATTTTTGATTTCTTTTTCTAAAGCTAAAGTTTTCTCGTGCTCTTGTTCGAGTTTTGAGGATTTTTCTGAGATTTCTTCTAATAGAGACTCCATCGCATCTTTAATAGTTTTATTCTCTGACTCTGTTTTAGCCAATCTGTATTCAACAAATCTTAGACTTTCTTTCAGTTCGTTGACTTCAGCTTTTGCGATTTGAAACTTCAAATAAAATTCATCTGATTTTCTTGATAGTTTGCCGGTAATTTGCCTATTCGTTAAAGACATTAATGCCTAGCTATAATAATTGCCATAAGCATGGAATTTATCTTTTTTTAAATATAGCTTATATTCAAGATGTTTAATGAACATTTATTAATATGAGAAAGTAAAGGGTGCTTTAATAGATAAAGGCATTATTAGTGAACCAAAATAGTTCTAAACAATTAAATTAAAAATTGATATCACTCTTGGCAAAAAGATTCAAAAATTCTGGCTCAAGAGAACTTAGAAATGGCAAAGTCTGGCTGATTTTTGATTTGCTGACAGAACTCTTTGCCCTGATAGTTTTTTGCTTGCTCATCTTATTGATCCTTATATTCCTTTTCTCAAAAAATCTACAGTTTTCATCTTCAATTTCAGTGGTGTTGGACTTTCCCCTTCTAGTTGGAGTTGCAGTATAAAGATTTTTTTGCCTTTTGTTTACTATCAATGGTATATCGATAAACTTTTGCTGCCTTTTGGCAGACCAAGCTCGAGCATTCGAATTTGACTCTTTTTCCTCTCATATAATTAAATATGGCGTCTTCGTCCTGGCATGGCCTCCAGGCCATATAGCCTCGACTCATATTTAAATATATCCGGCAAGGTTTTACCATTCTAGAGATGGACGGCAATACTAGGTAAGCAATTCTGGTGGTGTTCAGAGCCTAGTCCTAGTCTATTCTCAGGGGTGGATTTTTCCTCGTGGGGAAGGAGGGCATGGAGTTGTAAAGGGGAAGCTCAGCAGAGTCCGTTAGGACCATTCTGGCAACTTCCTAGCGTGAAACTGGGCGTTACGTCCCAGGCTACGTATTTTTCCTTTTTGCCGATAGCCGACCAGAAAAATCCATTTTTTGGGTTTTTGGAAAAGCAGCCTATGTATCAAGCAAGTAGCTCATCCATGAGCCGTCGAAGCCGGAACACTTTCCCGAGAAGCACCCTGGTGATCGAAGCAGGCCATCCCCAGCGACCTGTGGGCCCGATGCGACGCAAGGCGAGTGATAGTACCTGGGGTTGTCACCCCGTAGTGGACGTTAAGCGTTATAAATTCTATAAGACTCTTTTTCCTCTCGAGATTTAATCTTTCCCTTTGTCGATGCAGATCTTTGTTCTCTTGCAATTCCAGCCTCCAAGTTTTTGATTTCTGCAGGATCAATCATGGAATGAGTTCTTTCTTTGCGGGTTTCCTTTCTATCATTTAAATTTACAGGCATTGTGCTGGAAAATGGATCTTCTTCAGGATGGTCTGATGAAGTAGGGGAAGGAAGTAAAGTATCGAACATATTATCAAGTTCTGGATATTCAAGCTGATGCTTTTTTGGGATATACTCCAATCCAATTGCTTTAGGGGGAGTTTTATGTCTTGAAGGTGGCCTCAATTTGCTTGGCAGTATCTTTATAGGCTGTCTTTCTCGGCTTTTAGGCTCCATAAGTCCATTCAACTTCTATATAGCACTTACTGTGAAAACTTTGTCCTCCAAATCACAAATATTTGCATTTTGGCGACAGGGTGGGCGTTTCCTGATTTCTAGTGCTTCGTTCTCCTCTAGAGAATCATCATCAAGGGATATAACTTTAGCCCCTGAAGGGTTTTTATAGAATTCTAAGGAAGGCTCTGTAGGGATGCTTGGCTGAGGAACTCCTTTTTTTAAAGGAATCCTCTTTTTTCTCGATGTGGTTGGTCTTCCTTATGCAATTAAAATTGTGGGGTCGCTAGTCTGTCTGCTCTAGACTTTGTCTAAGTTTGGGATCATCCTTTGGCGTGAAGCTAAGCAAGACAGGGAAGAGGGTTGCAAATCTGCTGTTTGCATTCGGCTTGGTTTTGCAGTTTTTAGTGGTTCCTTCGTTGACAATTTTAAGAGAATATAACTTTTACTCGTCAACTTTGAAAAAGGAGAGAAGTCCAAAAAATAATATTACTGGAAGATAAATTAATCTGATGGCTCATGGAGATGGGAGTAAGTAAGGTGGGATAAAAGGTCCTTATTACTCCAAGAAAATGTTTAATAATCTTAATTGAGTTAGTTGATTGGTCTTCCATTCATCGTTGATGAATATTCAGGAAAACTCTGCCTTGCTGGCCTATTATTATGGCTAATTGGTTTTGTATTTTTTGATTTCCTTCCTTGAATTTCAGCGTGGCTTGCAATTGATTTTTTCTTCAAACCGTGAGTTTCATCTTGGGGTGCAGTTCCAGCTCTCAACAAGTTTTCCCTGAATTGAATTTACCATGGTGTGCCATGAGGTATTTGCCATGAGGTTGAGTTTATTGGCTCCTCATGTACTTTTAAAGAACTCCTCATTTTCAGCTTAATTAAAAATAGGAGTAATTTAACTTAGATGAAATCCAGTTTCAATCTCTTTTGTATATTAATTTGAGTTTTAAATGTTTATTTGATATTACTTTGCTGATTTGAATTTAATTTAGGTTAATTATAATTATCTATTTTATTGAATAAAAACTTTGGTACTAGTTTCCATTTTTCTATTTTATATTTATAGATAAGAAAACGGTAAACAATGCTAAAGTTTCTATTCATGATAAAAGGGTGTGTCAATATTTATTAATTGATATGATATTAGTCCGCAAGTAAATTGTTTTTTGCCTTAGCTCTTTTCATCATAGTTTTTATATATACTTAAAAATTAATTGTTTCCTAATTTATTTAAGATAATAGATTTATACCAGGCCTAAAAAATCAACTTTGGTTAATAAAGAGATATAAATGAGATTCAAAAAAATCTCTTTGCAAAGCTGTTAGGTATAGAATATAATCTATATATTATTTATATTATCTTAACTTCAGTTAAAAGTCTATTCAAAAGTGTGTGCAAATTACAGGTGAAAGTTTATATAAATTATCATATTGGAGATAATATTTTTTTAAGTGTTCTTATATTTTCATTTAATTCATGGAGATTTAAAATATTTAAAAAACAAAAAAAGTTTATGGCTTTTAGGACGCTCTCATCTAAAGCAAAGACCTTAATAGAAAAGTAGAAGGAGCATTAATCTCCTCTGCTGTTTCTTATATTAAGATAGGCTATTAATTCCAGAAAAAAATACTATAAGTAACTAGCTTTTTTTCATATGAGAAAACCCAGTAGCAAGCTATATAAGTGAGCTGATTAATTTAATTTTAGCTCACTCACAATTAAAATGGAATGAATGAGTTAGGGGTTCTGTCCCCTATACTCGTCCTAGTGAGGGAAGTTCAATCTTTCTGAAGGAAATCAGCGTTGGGACTGCTCCGGCAGCCCCAAGAGTATTTGAAGCACACTCAAGGAACGAAGAGAGACTCGTCCGGGCCATAGGCAACTGTAACGGTTCGACGATTAGGCCGATTCCACCTACCGTTGTTCAGAGCTGTTAGCTAGTGGATGGAATTCATGGAGGAAGAGCTTGTTTTGATAGATCCTAAACTAAGTGGGGGTCTACAAGGAGTTATCGTAATCTTAATCTTAATCTTAGCTCACTCATGTTGAGAATCATATTAATATGAATGCTGACAATAATGAGTATGAAGAGATGTTCAACACACGAAGAAGGGCCAAACCAATGGCGAGTATCCACACAAATAAAGAGTATAAAACTCAAATAAAAGCTCATAAAGCCCGGAGCAAATCATTTGTGTGAGCGAATCCAGTTGACTACAATGAGCAAGAAAAGAAAGAGGAGAAAACTCTCTTTCTTTGTATAATGCTGATGAACCGTGATAGAATTGTTATTAGAATTGGGAAAAAAAGTACTGTAAGATTTGTAATTGCCACTGCCTTAAATCTCTGATTTAACTTTGAACAAAATATTAGAAAAAATTGCATTTTTTGGGAAACTTGAAATTAAATTGTTCATTGTGAAATTTTGGAGTGAAAATAGTAATTTTACAGAATTAATTTTGGCTAATCTAATAGAGGCAATGCAAGTAGAATGCTATTTAAACAGGTGGCATGCTTAATAAATAAAATTTTTAATGCAAATAAATTGAAATTCAATTAATCTATATTTTTTATTTAAAATATTTTTTATTGCATTCATATAAGTTTTAAAAAAAATTAACCTCCTTTTAATTAAAACAGATTTTATTATAAATGAAAGGGAGAGTAAGGAAAATCCAGGTCAGAATCATGCACCCTAATGCCAAACCTGACAATTTTGAATTGATACTTGCAGCAACAAAAACAGCTGAGCCTCTGCCTGGGTATTATCAAATTTATACTTTATGCAAAATAGGATTCTGGACTAAACCAGATTGCTATTCACAATATCCTTTGCTGATTTTGCAAAAAAAATCAGAAGCACCCTCAAAAATCCTAAAAATCCCTGAGCTACTTACAGGGTACAATGATCCTCTTATAGGAAACAATTCTGATTGATGCAGCCACAGTGATGAAGTTAGCGCATTCAGGGCAAAATATACTGAAAATCCTGCATTCAAAGAAATCAGCTCAAAAAATGCTTTAGGCAAATATCCTCAGTTTATAGACACTGCTTACGATGCCAAAATATATAGCAAGAAAATGATGATAAGCATATCTTACCCAGGTCATCCTTTATCTAACACAATAATAGAGCTTAATCACACCATGAAGCTGGAAAACCTTTTGGAAGAAGTTCAACAAAAATACTTTATGCTGCAAAAGGTCTCAATAGATATAAATTCGCTTATTTTGAAATTCAGAGGAACGAATGAATACATATATGACAGAAATGTGAGGTTATATGATATTGATGGGATCAGGGAGGCTTCTCAAAAAAACACAATTCCAGAATTGGAGCTAAAAGTCAAGCCAGACGATCTGAGCTTAGATGAAACTTCAGTTGAGTCTCCTCCAACACCAACTTTTTCGAGCTCCACTAACTGTGAGGATGACCTGAAAAAAGAAGAAATTTCAGAAAAGGAAATCAAACAAGTTCTTGATAAGAGCCAGTTCCAAAGAAGAGCCCTGACTTTTCAAATCATGGGGAATAAAAACTCTGTGGAGAAAGGCGCAAAAAGACCGCAAACACTTCCTGTTGCAAGAATAAGCAGAAGAGAAAAGAGATTTTCAATATTACAAACGCTTAGTTCGTCCCAAAATCGAGCACTAGGGCCGCTTAACATTATTGATGTAAGACATCTTCAAACTAAGTTTCGAGTGAAAATACTTGGAATTCAGAACTTGAAAATGTACAGCCTAGATGAAGATAGTCAGCTGCCACTTGTCAGACTTCACCCAACTTGCATCAGAGTTGAGGCTTCTCTTTATACAGGATGCTCCCCGCTGGATTCAGAAATGATAATTACATCTATAGGTCTATCTTGTAAAGACATTAATCATCATTTTAACGAAAACATCAGATGAGGAGAGTGGTCTTATTTTTCGCTTGCATATTCGCAGCTGCCTCTTGCGACATGTATAAAATTTGTTGTCAAGTGCTGAGTCACTTTCAAAGAAGGGAAAGGGCCAAAAGAGTGCATTCTAGGCTGAGTGAATTTCAGAATTTTTGGATATGACCGAGGGCTTCAGACTGGGATCCATCGACTTGGCCTATTTCCTTATTACAGCGTTGCAGATCCTACTGGCTCAACTATTCAAAATAAAGACGCTGATGCGTCTCAATTGTTTATTGAACTCGACCATTTCATAGTGCCTGTGGTATTCGGAGAAGACTCAGATTCTGTCTTCTGTCTCGATGATTTTCTTGCTGATCAACAATTGGGGATTCACCCTTCAGACGAAAGTGAGCTACTTAGGATCTTGCAAGAGTCACCACTTTATAAAATGAGTGAAGCTGAAAAAGAGCTTGTCTGGAAATATCGAGCATATTTATCGAGGAACAAAAATGCGCTTCCTAAACTTCTGCTTAGTGTGAAGTGATGTGATTCTCAAGCAGTCAGAGATGTTTATCATATATTAGATCTATGTGAAAAACCTGATTCTGTGATTGCAATGGAATTGCTGGATGGGAAATATGCAGATTCTAAGCTAAGGGAATTCGCTGTGAATGCTTTGGAGAGGCTGACTAATAGTGAGCTGCATCAAATTTTGATCCAATTGGTTCAAGCTTTGAAGTTTGAAGCATTCCACGACTCAGCACTGTCTAGGTTTCTGCTATCGAGAGCTCTTAAATGCCCAGAAAGCATTGGGCATACCTTTTTCTGACTTCTAAGAAGTGAAATGAGCGACCCTTATTATAAGGAAAGATTTGGGCTGCTGCTTGAGCAATATTTAAGAAAATGCGGAGGTCACAGAAACTCGCTGATTTGAGAAAATCACCTAATCAAGAGTCTTGAGCAAATCGCATGGTATGTCCAAGGGAGCCAGTGCAAGAGACAAGAAGTCTTAGTCTATCTGCAAGACCAATTAAGTATGCTAAACCATGAACTTCCAGAATTTTACTCGATACCCTACAACTCCTTATGGGGAGAGTAATCTGTTCTATTAACACGTGTAGCTGGAGATTTCCGAAGACCTTGTGGAAGGATGGTCAGCGTTCAAACATGCTAATCCAGATGTGTTTATCCTGATTTGGTGGAGGGCAATATTAGGCTAGTCGACAGAATGCTCAATTCAGAGCAGGTTTTTAATTCATGGGAGATAGTTTGTCGGAGCAGGAAAAGGGACACTCAGTAAGGCCAGAGGTGATCACTTGGCCAATTGAGAACGTCCCCAGCACGATTCCAGATATTGAGCCCTAGGCTTCGAGATCCATCTTTGTCGAAACCTAACAAGAAAATTAGTTCTTCGAATTTTCTGGAAGGCAGCCCCTGTTGACGCGCTGCATGGTATCCTTAAACCTTGAGGAGCAACACAGTTGAAGGCGATATCGGACTGGAAAGAAAGCGGTAGAGTATTATGTAGAGGCTGCAGGCCTGCAGGGATTTATATATAATCTTAACTAAGAATGAAGAATCCTACAACTCAAAAATAATTGTGAAAAAAATAAAATGGGAAGAATGCAAATTCATGAAATCCAAGAAAAAGCCACTTTATATTGTATTTGAAAATGCAGATCCATTGAATGACACATATCATCTTTTATTTAAGGTTGGAGATGATATGAGGCAGGATATGCTGACTCTGCAAGTACTCAGAGTTATGGAAAACTTATGACTTAAGGAAGGGCTCGATTTAGGGATGAGCTTGTATACTACATTGGCTCTAGGAAATAATGTAGGAATTATGGAAGTTGTCAGAAATTCAGAAACATTAGCTGGAATCCAAAAATGGGGAGGAGGAAACATTGGTGCATTATATGAAAAAATTTTGTTCCAATGACTAAAGACCCATGACTACCCTAATTTTCAAGAAAATTTTATAAAAAGCTGTGCTGGATATTGTGTTGCTACTTATGTGCTCGGAATTGCAGATAGGCATAATGACAATATTATGGTGAGAAATACTGGGCATTTCTTTCATATTGATTTTGGGCATTTCCTTGGACATTTTAAGAAAAAGCTAGGGATCAAAAGAGAAACGGCTCCATTTGCATTTACTCCAGATATGAGATACGCCATGGGAGGGAAAAAAAGTCCTGGCTTTGAAAGTTTTAGAAAGAAATGCGTGCATGCTTATAATATTCTTCGAAGAAACAGAAATTTGTTGATCAGTTTATTTTCCTTGATGCTTTGCTCTGGCATTCAAGAATTAAGTCGTAAAGATTTGGAGTATCTCAATAAGACGCTGATAGACATATCTGATGACAAAGCAGAAAAACACTTCCGAAGCTTAATTAAGAAAAGCTTGAACGATCCAATGACGAGGATAAACTTCTCAATACATATACTGGCTAATTAATTTATTTTATTGTACAATATTGAAAATATAATATGATAGGATATCTATCGTTGCAAAATTTTAGGGATATTATGTTTGGCTAATTAAATTTTGGCCTAGGTGTTATTTAAATAGTCGATAGAATTTATTTTATTATAGTAATCCAAACTTTTTTTCATTTAAATCAAACTTGTAATACATAGCATCATCTTGATAATTTGTGCTAATAAAAAACGAGCCTTCATAATATGTGTAAAAGTAATAATTAAAATGCAATTTTAAAATTGTTAGACAAACAACATTTCAGCTGTATTCATTCCCTTCTTCGCTTTGTCAAATTCTTCCAACTGACTCAATTATGTATAATCTTAATCCTGATGAAACCAGCATCTTTGCTTCATATCGATTTAGCCTCATACCAGGAATTTCTGAATAGCTATTAGTAAAAAAATCGTATTTAAATAGATTTTCATGTTCTTTCCCACAAATTAAAGCAGAATCTTTTAAAGCTATGCATGAACAAAATGTTGATTTTTCTGGAATTTGAGGAAGCTTAATTCATCTATTTTTAAGCAAATCAAATTTCTCTGCATTAGCCAAAAAATCATTCCCATTATATCCTCCAAATGCAAAGACACAATTGTTGTGGTACATAGCACCGATATTAGAGTTGTGTATACTGTTGTTTGGCAATTTTCTTTTTATTTTATAAGTTTTTAGATCAATTATGCAAATCATCCCAGAAGAATTTATCTCTGTTTGTCTTCTTGGATAGGTAAAAGCGCCAATTTCTTTATTTTCTATATATTTCCCAAAGCAAAATAGTTCAGAGTGTGGGAGAAGAACTATGCATGGAACTAGGCTCATTGGAGTTAAAGTTTCAATTAAGATCTGCTTTTTTGATTTTGTTTCGATGTTATAAATTTGGAACTTTGATACTCCATGCTTAGGGAATATGTTATATAGATATTTTAAGTCAAAATGAGATTTCTGATTGTCTTCTCCTTCTTCGCATTTTACAATCATTAATATTTTTTACAAATAATTTACATCTATTTAACTATTTTTGTACCAGATATATCCAGAGATAATATCTCTGTCTATGATTAATAATTCTCTTCCAACTCCATAGTTGGGTCAAAAAACTGCTGGCTAAGCAACTGAAATAGTATAGAATTCACCAAATTAGAGGCGAAGTCAATCCCCAAAATTGGCCTGTCAACTTGGGTTGATGAGCTAGCTAGCTGAGTTGGAAGTCTAGCAAGACATAATCATTTTCTATGAATAATTCTATATGGCAAAAATTGGAGAATTATAATATGATAAGAAGCATTATATTTTTAAAAAATTTTAATTCTAATTTATTTATTTCTTTTTAATTTAAAATTAAAATTAATTAAATGATCCCCCATATTTCAATCAGCCAAAATAATTATAATAAAAATGGTTAAGAAACGAAAGAGCAAAAAATCCTTCAAAGAAGTTCAAGTTGCTTCCAACTACATTGAAACAACAGATCTCATTGATCCCTGGATTGAAAGAACTCGCGATCAAATTTTGCATGTCTCTAAATGACGCCAAATACGTATTAGCACTTCTGAAGAAGATAAAACAAGTTACCCAGAAGGATATCCCTATGAATATATCTTAGATTTCATTGCAGGTGAGTCTGATACCGTTGAAAACCCTCTCCCAGTAAGTGAAGCAGAAGAATTCGCTATCAAAGCTGATGAACTGTTAACAGAATTTTCTTCAAAAGCCCCAGAGTATGACCTCAACGACAGCCTCTTGAATTACAAACTTGATAAAGAAGTCACAATCGGCCAAATGTTAGACGCAATAAAAATTTCACCATATCAATACGAGTTCCAAACTTACCTTGAACAAAACCAATGAAACACGATTAACACTATAAAAATCAAGCCCAAGGAAGAAGACCTTATTATTGAAACTATTGATCATTTGAAAAGAGGCTTATCACTCAAAGAGACTACTAACGAAATGAAAGGCCGAGTCTCCTATGAGAAAGTCAAAGACATTTTTAAAAACTACAAAATCTATGGAGAAAAATATGTCAGAAAAGTCAAAAGGAAACTGACTCCTGCGTTAAAGCCTGAACATTTACAATTTCTCAAAGAAATATCTGAAGATCCAAGGAACACAGTTTTATCAGGAAGAGAAAGGAAGTTGCTATTGTGCAATCATTTTGGAATAAGAATTGGAACAGATCACGTAAGGCAAGCTTTAAAAGAAATGGGCTATTCTATTAAAAGAATTAGAACTTTTGTCCCAGAAGCTGACAGAGTTTCTCATAAAAATGCCAGATGCAGAGTTGCTCAGCAATTAATCCTTCTTCAACAGAGTGGAAAAGAATTAGTCAGCATTGATGAATGTCAAGTAAATAGAGGAGAAACAGCGCATTATGGGTGGGCGAAAAAAGGTCAAAAAGCTCTAAATATTAATGGATTTAAAGGAAAACCACTACAAATTATTACAGCAGTGAGGTCGTGCGGATTGCTTGGATATATAATTCGGCCCAAAAAAATTGATCAATTTGGCTATAAACATTTTCTGGGATTAATTTTTGGAAAGCTAAAAGAAATTGATCCTGTGAATTATAAAGACAGATTCTTTTTATTTATGGACAATGCATCAGCACATAAAACAAAACTTGTGAAGGATTACATAGAAACTCAAGGAATTACAGTACTTTGCAATGCCCCAATGACTCCGCAACTGAATCCTATAGAATATATCTTTTCTATGTTTAAATGAAATTTGAGAAGGATGCCTATGAGCAATGATGAGGCATTGATTGAATATATTTATGATGCATTTAAAAGAATCAGGCCAAGACATATTTATAATGCCTATATTCACTCTATTAGATCTTATAAAGCCTCGCTGAGATATGAGCAATTGCATGACGCAAGAGGATACAATAAAATTGACGCAAAAATTAAATTTTCAGGAAAACATATAAAAGCTTTAATCAATTTTGATAAGCTTAACACGAAAAAGCAAGAAGATTAAAAGCTCTGTTAATCTTATCTTTTATTTTAATAAATTATTTTTATAAAATATCTGTCTTACCAAACTTATATAAAATAATTTACAGGGTTAAATTTTAAATATAAATAAAAATGGGAGTTTAAGATACTTTCGATAATTCAAAATTGATCGTTGTTTCCGATGGTAGTCTGATTTCAGTACATTAGTTTAAATTATATAAATAGTTCATTAATGGAAGCTATTATTGATTTAATTTAATTCGAACATCTCATTATGATCAGTATTTTTTACTGATACATCGTTACTATTCTTGATAATAATAGATCCTAAAAACTTTATTTATTATTTAAAGAGTCAAATAATGAAATTCTGTTGAAGCATTTTCTCCTTCTTTTTCAATTAAATCAACTATTCTTAGCCTTTCTTCACTGAGCTTAAACTGATACAACAAACACGTTTGATCCATAAAATAGAATGATTCGTTATAAAGCTCGATATACGATATTTGCGGCTGAAATGCGCTCCCAGATCCAATAATGCTTCATTCTATCAGGTTTCCTTCACTTTTCAGAATATTTCCCTCACTTTCAATTACATAGACTAATTTACCAATCCCAAACAGAACTCTTCTTTTACCCTTGACCATTGCAGTAACCTCTCTATAACTATTTTTTTGAATATTATAGCTATACAGCTTATCATGATTGCATCCCAATAATAGTATTTCTTCGTCATAAGGCAATGAGTACACTCCAGTGGAGGGTTTTGGCATCGAAGTTAATACTTTTCAGTTTGAAGTTAACAAGTTAAACTCTGAAGCAAACTCTGATTCTTCTATTCTGTTTTTATAGCCTCCAAAAACATAGATAGAGTTCTTATACATGAGAGCTTTTGTATTGCAACATGGACGGCCTGTTGGAAGTTGCATTATTAGCTTATAGTCTGAGCCTCATTTTGGCTCAGCTATGCTGAAATCTCCCCGGTGTCATCAGAGATTAAAACCAGCTCCCTGGACGATATCGGAAGACATCGGAACAGCTCGAACCAAAACGATGCTCGGGCTATATCGTTAGTGATGATTAAAGTTTTGCCGGATGGTGGCCAGTCTCCATAGCAAAACACTCCACAATCTGGAATTTTACACATTGATATAAGAGAATCAGATATCACTGGCATCTGTGTTCGAACTATTGTAAAATCTTTTAAGTTTGTGCACAATAATCTTTGTGATTCTTTATTAAATCCTAAAATTTCAGGAACTTGGCTAGAGTCAAAGCTAGACTGAATCTCTTTCGCAATCTCAGGAGCTTGGCTAGAGTCAAAGCTAGACTGAATCTCTTTCGCGATCTCTTCAAATTTTAATACGTCTTTTAGTGCATTTTCTGGGACTAAAGATATCAGCTTTTCTTTTTCACGAGTGCCCAACTCTGAGATTCCTTTGATTTTTTTCAACTTTTTTGTAAGGTTGGTAATTTCTAAGCGTCTCTTTTTGCACTCGCTCAATTTTTGAGATAAATTTGCTTCCAATAAATTATAAGCTTCCCTAAATTCGTTTAAAACGTTTTGCTTTTCGATTTCAAGATTATTTAATGAATCATCCAAGCTGCAAATCAGGTCTGCTCTTATTTTTGAAAAGATAGACTTATGATTGTGACCTTCTTCAGAATCTTCTAATAAATGCTCGCCAATATGAACTTTACATGAAAAAACGCCAAGCTGATGTTGGCAATAGAAATCAGACTGTTTTTTACACTTCCAGCAATCCATATTTAATTAAATTGTTTAATCATATCTAAATGCTTTTCACCTAGATTAAATGCATATAAAACATAATCATAATCTAAGAAGTAAACGGATCCCATATACAATTTATAGTAAGATATAACATCGTTGAATTGTAATATATTGCCGACTAGCTGTCAATTGTACCCATCAAATTCGCTTTTGATTATTTTTCCTCCTGACTCAATTACATATATTGACAATGAATCTCCTCTGCATATAATTTTATTACAATTGAGTGCAAGATCTATATATTCTTGATAATTATTTTTTTCTATGCTGTAAGAATATAGCTTCTGATGATTGTAACCTGAAAGCCATATTTCATTGTCAGCAGCTAAAGAGCAAACTGCTGTTGAAGATATTGGAAGAGGGGCCAAATCTTTTCACTCTGCAGTCTGTAAACTGAATTTTACTGCAAAATTAGATCTCTCCCCTTTAGTCTTTCAACCACCAAATACATAGATTGAATCTTCAAATAATGTCGCATATGTTGAGCAGCAAGGTTTTCCATCATCTAGTTCTATTATATTGTTCTCAGCATCAATTATAAATGTGGTTCCTACAGGTTCTCAATTTCCATAGCAGAATATTTGATTATCTGGAAGTTCGCACATTATGATGTGCTCATTGGCTTTACTTTTTGTATTTAATTCGATTTTTGTTTCTTTAAAATTGCTTACTCCCCCCCCCCCCTCCGTGAGCGAACAAAACCATTAGAAAAATCGCCATTTTTTGACCAAAAACCCACCCTCCGTGAGTGAACAAAAATTTTTTTAATAGAAAAAATTTTAATGGAAAAAAATTTTGATATATAAGTGATAATTAGTATAATGAAATCTAGAGCTAATTCTGTTTAATTTTAAACAAATTGCGTTTTAAAACATAAATTTTGCAAATTAAATTAATATTTGCTTCCCAATTTTTGCAAATTAGGATTTTTTTAAATTTCGAAAAAAATATTTTTTATAAAAATTTATATATAAATTTTTTTTAAAAAAAAAAATTAACCCCCCTCTCCGTGAGCGAACAAAATTTTTTTGTTCGCTCACGGAGGGGGGGGGGGAGTTAGATTGATTTTCAAGAGGTTTTTTGTATTATGCTGAAAAGCTGCTATTTGATTTTGAGAAGATTCAGGGCGACTGAGTCCGAGTTCAATTCCTTGAGTTATGAAAGGAATTTGCAATAAGCTTTCTAAGGCAGGGTCTGTAGACAAACATAAGATTTTATCAGCAAGACTCGTAGAATTAGCAATGATTTGGGACGTTTCTATAATTTTTTTTATCAATTCTATGTATTTAAGTCGAATTCTAGAAATTTCATTATATTCTGCGCTAAATTTTGAAGTCAGGGATTTTAGCTTTGCATTAAAGTCTTGGATTAATTCATCTTTCATTGCTTCTATGCTCAGGACAGAAGAATTTAAGTATAAAAGGACAGAATTTTTCGTTTTAGATGAGGGATAAATATAAGCAGGATCGGCATTCATATTTTTATAAGGTAGATTAGTCATGATAATTTAATTTGCAGCATCTTTATTTGTTTTTCCCCTATCTGAAGAAATCAATTTTGTTAGATTGCAAGTTCCTAAAATTTATTGCTTTATATTAATTGATTGCCTTAAAAAGATCACTCGATAGAAGGGCTTTAATTAAAGAATCAGCTTATAAATTGCTGCCCAATAAAATTTTTAATTAATTAAGCAAATTATATTATAGTTTTAATTATTATATAGAACTTTCCCATAGATGGCGCTGTTTGCCCTTGATTTGCCCACTGGGAAAATTTTTGGTTCGACCAGTACCATATGGTTTGGTCAAACCAAAAAATTTTCCCTCATGGGCAAACAGTGCCATCTATGGGAAAATTCTATATGTAAAAAAGCTAAATAATAGCAAAGGATTGTTTGAATTATATTTTTTATTACCCTTAAGAAATATTTATGCAATCATAGAGAAAAAATTCAAGAATTGTCCTTTAAAGAAATCCTTATCTACTTAATTGCCTACTCAAATGTTTCATTAAAACTTTTTCAAACCCTGACATTTCTAGCAATAAATATGGGAATTTTAAATCTGGCTTATGCTCCAAAAATTGATATAAATGTCACATCAATAAACTTGTAATATCCTTCTTACCTTGGATCGCTTCTCTAAAGCGGACCTTATTTTGAAATTATCTTAAATTGTATGGCCCGAGATGCTCAGGCTATAATATTATGAGTGATTTTTAGAATAGCTTAAATATAAAGCAAAATTATTTCACAAGCCTAAAATTTTTATTTTGGATGTAATAGCTTTTAAACTGTTCAATTCATTAGGTCTGAAAAAGTAATCATTTCCTGATCTTATTAATAAATTAAATACTTGAATATCAAATATCTAAAATGTTGCTTTTCATAAATATATATAAATTAACTTTAAAAAAGAGCTGTATATCAGAGCTTAAGAGTAATCTCAAATTATATAAATGAAAATTTTATTCATCAATTACTGCCTTTCAAAGGATTTAGGTCAATCTTCTGTTCAGCTATCTGATGCGTTATAGAAATTGAACTCACTAACTGGGGTTATATATATTCTAAATGTATTAGTTTTCATTCCAAGAAATTATCATCTATTTAATTTTATACTTCTAGTGTAACTTGCATGATTACTTTCAGATTTTGATGAGTAAGGTAATTTCTTATAATAGGTCTCTGTTGAAATAAATGGGTAACATATGCAGCCAAGCTCCTGTAGCTCCACAGCCAACTATAACAGTACATCGAAGGATTTTATCAGCCGCTGACATCATCCCTTCTCCTATGAATTTTGTTCAAGAAAATCCTCTGTCTTTCTTTTCAATCTATCGATTACAATCAAATCCAATTGGATCTGGAATGTATGGAGAGATCCGTCTTTGCGAGCATCTCAGAACTGGCGACGTTAGAGCTGTAAAAATCATTACAATAATAAAATGGCATTCGGTTCGAGAGAAATTAGCTTTGCTAATTTTCTCTCCCTCATGGAATTTTATTATTAGGGTTAGGTTTTCACTCGCGAACTTCTGGACAGCAACAGCGGTTTAACTTTGGGGATAACCAAAGGAACCACTCCTCAGTCCACTCAAGATCTCGGGCTTTTACCTCTCAGCACATCCCCACGGGAGGATGACCCTTAGGCGGAACACGCGCAGGAGCTGAGTCGAGCGACAAGGGCGACGGCAACGCGCCGGGTGAGACGTGCAGCAAGGCCGGTGAAGCAGGAGTTGATAGAAGGCTTGGACGGGGCTGACCCGTGCCAAGATGGCTCGCCTACGTCATCAGTTTTGCCATAGGCCCTTTTGGGCTGCGGCACTAGACACCTTAAACACCAGATAATTAAGTAAGTAAGTAAGTAAAAAATCATTACAAAGGCAGGGCTACCTCAATCTGTTATAGAAAACCGCAGTGTTTTAAATGAAGTTAATATCATGAAAACTCTAGATCATCCAAACATTTTGCGAATTTTTGAATATTTCGAGGATTACATTAGTGCTGGATGTTAAAAGTCTCGTTTTCAACAGGTCGCGCTCTGTCTTCGGAAAAGCCAACTGATGGCACAAGTGAATTGGGGTGGCTTCCCAATGGTAACTCTGAGCCCAAGCCAAAAGCCCTGGCTTCGGTAGCGGCTTTTCCATCTTATTTCGAGGACCTTTGCCGAAAACGACATTTCTATTCAGTCCCTTGGCGTCTAATAACTCCACCCTGCCAGCGTCGCTCCTCTGATTAGGAGCCCTTTAACTGAAGGGATGCTTTGTTTGCCAATCTGCCTATCCATTTCCATACTATCCCTAAAAAATACTCAATCGCTTCTGCAATTCGGGGAAGGCCACCATAGCAGCTTTTTGTAACACTACTGGCTGGATGCTGCTGAAAAAAGATTTCACAAGTAACTATCCATTGGGCTATAGGTGTTTTCCCTATATAGCCCGATAAGGGCCGTGGCTCCGTGGAATCCCTCTGCTGGTTGAACCAACCAGTGAATTGGTCAAACCAACGCACTGAGTTGGTTTGACCAACAGAGGGATTCCACGGAGAACCCACGGCCCTTATCGGGCTATATAGGAAAAACCCCTATAGATAGGAAAGGATCTCTGTGCTTAAGGTTTCCAATATTGCTGGGCTAGCTCCTGACTTTTAAAATCATGTCTGGATATACATGGTTAACCGACACTGAGAGGATGCCATTTTATGTTTACAATACTTTGAGGATAAAAGCAACTACTATTTGGTTATGGAATACTGCAAAGGAGGGGATTTATTTGATAAAGTGGTTAGTTTGACGAAATTTACGGAAAAACAAGCAGCAAGGATTATGGAGCAGATTTTTTCTGGGCTGCAATATTTGCACAATAATGGAGTTACTCATAGAGATATGAAGCCAGAAAATATTGTGATTATGGATACGAATTCTGATGAAGAGTTAAATATAAAAATCATTGATTTTGACACAGCAACATTTTTCACCGTGAATGGGCAGATACAAGGCTATTTTGGGACTCCATGCTATATGGCTCCTGAAGTTTTCAAAGGAAAGTATAATGAGAAGTGTGACTTATGAAGTTGTGGGGTTATTTTATATATTTTATTGTCAGGCAGTGCTCCATTTAATGGAAATGATGACGATACTATAATGAAAGAAATCAAATTGGGAAGATATGAAATGTCTGGCGAAATCTGAAATGCCATATCTGATGACGCAAAGGATTTAATATCCAAGCTTCTTGTAAAAAATAAAGCTAAGCGGTTAAGTGCAGCTGAAGCTTATAATCATCACTGATGCCAAAAATTCCACGCAGAAAATATCAAATCTGTAGATATCACATATTCATTAGGTCGTATAAAAGCCTTCACTCCCCCCTTTTAAATTGGAACCCAAAATCCTATTTAAAATTTTAAGAAATATATAAATTGAGTCCAGTATTTTTAAAATTTTAATTTATTTTATGAAAGAATTATTTCAAAAAATTATATTTGAACTTTTCCATTTAAATTAGGTCAAAACTAACTATAAAAATTCACATTTTACCTATAAAATTTCTATTGAAGAAAAAAATTTTTCCAATTTAAAGGTGTTTAAGTACTAAAAAAAATGAGAATTTACATATGTTTAATTCCAATTTAAAGGGGGGGGAGTCAGAGACTCTTCAAAACTAAAGCAAGCAGTCCAGACCTTTATCTTGAGCCAAGTTATGTCTCCATCTGAACTCGATAAATACAAAAACGCATTTAATGCTATGGATGCCAATGGAGATGGGGTAATTTCAAGAGAAGAGCTCTTTAACCAGCTGAAAACTTCAATGACCGAAAATGAAGCGCATATGGAATCGGACAGAATCATGAGGCTTGTGGATTCTAACAATAACGGAGTTATTGACTATACAGAATTCTTAAGAGCGACAGTTGAAAAAAGAAAAATGCTTACAAAAGAAAATTTGCATAAGGCTTTTGTTATGTTCGATAAAGATGAATCTGGGGTAATTGAAATTAACGAATTAAAGGAGTGGCTAGTAGGAGATGCACATATAGATGAAAATATAATAAAAGAACTAATGAAGGAGTTCGATAAAAATTCTGATGGATGTATCGATCTATCAGAATTCGAAGAATTAGTTCATAGCGTTAGCAATAATTAAAATAAAAGTAATTCAGTTTACTTTAAATTCATTGCAATTTAGTATGTAGTAATGTGAATAAAACGCGAATGGAAAAAATTAATTTAGCAAGTGATCAAGTCAATATAGCATTCAAATTTAAATTAATATGCAATTATTATAAAATTAATCATTATTCCATTATGTGATGCTATTATAAAGTTAAAAGAGTATAAAAGATCAAAATTAAATTATATGATGATTCTAATAAGAAATTTTCATTATAAGCTCGTATTGGGAAAAATTGATCCAAAAGGTATAGCGATATAAATATAATTATAAAAAAGGCAAATGAGATATCCTAATTTTAAGAAATATTAAATATTAAACAGAAGTAAGAAAATTGTATTCACAATTCATTTTCCTTAAAGAATTTAGACAATATAAACTTCGATAAAAATATTTTTTTAATCTTTCAGATTGCTATTGAATTTAAATACAATTGTAAAGATCATATCCAGTTCATATAAAACTATTAAATGGAATCTATATTTGAAAATATTAATGCGCACCTAGAAGGGAAATTCTGAACTCGGCTTGAGCCTCCTGTTGCAATTACACCTCAGCAAGAGTTGCATAGAGGAACATTATTTGAAACCAACGAATCAAAACAACTTCTAAAAAAAAGAAACTACCTTCTAACTAATACAAGTCTTTTTTTTGCCGAAGAAGATTACAGTCTGGCTAGAAAAGAATCATCGATAAGATGAATGATTATGGAACCTTTTATCGAAACACTAGGCGAAGACACAAAGTATGGGTTTAGACTTAAGCAAGGAGCATGCCAAAAAGATTTTTATACAGACTCCAATGAGAGTTTGGATATCTGAATTGATAAACTGTCAAGCATTTGCATAATGACAAGCATTGAAAATGATTACAAGTTTGTCAAAAAAATAGGAAAAGGAAGTTTTGCTGATGTTTATTTAGCAAAGGATTTAATAACTTCGGAAAATGTTGCCATAAAAGCTATCCATAAGATTGTGTGTTTGAAAAGCCCAAACGGACTGAGTTCTCTTGTAAATGAAATTGAAATCATGAGAAAGCTTGATCATCCGAACATCATAAAATTTTATAAAATTTATGAAAGCGAACACCACATTAGCTTGGTTTTGGACTTTTTAGAAGGTGGAGAACTTTTTACTCGAGTTTTGAGTAAAGGCTCTTATACAGAAAAAGAGGCAGCAAGATTAATATGGAAGTTACTAAAAGTGCTTAAATATTTGGATTCGAATCAAATTATTCACAGAGACGTTAAGCTTGAAAATATCATGTTAAAGTCTAAAGATAAAAACACGAGTTTTAAACTGATAGATTTTGGACTTGCATGCTACTGTGAAGAGAATCTCACCTTAAGATGCGGCTCTCCTGGATATATTGCGCCTGAGATTTTAAAAAAATACCCTTATAGCACAAAAGCAGATGTGTTTAGTGCTGGAGTGATCCTATATATTTTATTATCTGGGAGATCTCCCTTTCCAGGTAGAAATAATGGGGAAGTCTTAGCTAGAAATAGAGATTGCCGATTGCATTTTGAAGATTCTTACTGAAGTGCAGTATAGCCCAAGCCTCCTTTGGGCTATACGACATCGGAAGGGGCAAGCATTTGTTTGTAAAGCCAACTCCCCAGATGGCAAATCCACTTTATATTTGAGTTTTAGTATCTGGGTCGCTAGTTTTATCAACAAATGCTCGTAAAATCAACATCCCCTCCGATATAGTCGCCGATATAGTCCGAGCCAAAAGGAGGCTCGGACTATATCTGCCCAAGCTATAAAATTCGTGCTAACATTGACAGAGTCTAACCCAGATTTAAGGCCAACTGCAAAAGAAGCTTTAAAGTCTTCATGATTTCTGATATTAAAGAGACATGAAAGACGCAAAAACCATAATAAATCAAAATTCATTCCGATCGCTCTTCAAAACCCATTTCAAGAAATAAAGGAAGAGGAAAATGAAGAAGAGCCTCATCATCGGCATGGTGCCATCTCCAGCGGTGACACCACGCCAGTACTTCGTAATAACCCTCGCATGCCAATTAATTTTAGGAAGTCTGCAATTAATTTCGAAGATAATGAGACGTACAGAGATAAATTTGATTTTTAAATTAATATTCTCTTCCAGTATAACTATAATGGTAAAGTGTTATAAAACTAAATAAGATATGGAATTATATTTGCGCAAACTATGATATATTTTAATTAAGCTAATTTAATTTACTATTTCTTACCTTTTTTAGCAAATATAAGAAAATAAAGTTACAATATTATTTTTTGGACAGCCTTTTCATAACATCATCGTATTTCTCAACTTTCTTAATAGGAGTTTTGGATGATGGATAAATGTTTAAACTTATTGATGATTTAGTAGGAGTGACGCTGCGAATATTAATACTTGAACTCTTTGCAGATTTTGATGTAGCTGGTGTTCCAGAAACAGCTTGCCTTGATCCTTTAGTTGGAGTCACTGTATTTCTATCAGTGAAAGCTCCTTGAAGGGCTTTCGAATCAATTGACACAGGAGTTTCAAGTATAGGAGTAGTTGGCTGCTTTTTGAGAAAATCAGGACTTTCAGTAACAGTAGCTGATCTCTTAGTTCTAGCTGTTATAGATGAAGCTTTTACTTGCCGAGTTGGAGTAATTTGTGCATGCGATCGTTGAACGGCAATCTCTGTTTTATTTCTTTCAAGTCGATTTGGAGTAGTTGATATACGCTGCACTGTGACCTCTGTTCTATTTCTTTCGAGACGGTTTGGAGTAGCTGCTGATCTTTCGCCTCTATCTGTTTTATCACTATTCTTCATCAAAATTTTGCGACTTGGAATCAAAGTTGGACTGGTTCTGACAGTTTTTAGCCTTACTGGAGGGGCGACTTCAGAATTCTTTCTTGAAGCTGCTGGTGTATTTTCCGATGTTTCAGATGGCTTAGGTTTGAGCTCCAAGCATTTCCCAATATTGCCTATGCTTATTGGTATTGTTGGAGGACCTGCAGGCTCATTATTACTAATGGTAGCCTTATATGCTGAGATAATTTCTGAGAGAACTGCTCCAATTAATTTATCATAAGTTTGTATTGTCTTAAGAATTGCTTGAAATCTTGGATCTCCAGCCACCTGAGTAAGAGATTCCTGAGTTAAACAATTTATTGCAACACTTGTGTGAAACTGGCCTTCGAGTTCTAACTCTCTAGCAAAGGGGTTAATTTTTTTAAAATTTTATTTCTAGAATCTATAAATTGATTTTAGAAAATATAAATATTTGAAATAAAATATCTATTGAATTTATAAAATTTAATTTTAAAAGATACAAGCTATTGAAATGTATTATAATCAGCTGGAGATCTTGATTTTAAAATTTTAAATATATATAATCATTATGGTAAAATAATTATATTAAATATATCTTTTACTCGCAACATGGGGTTAATTTTCCCAAAAATAATATATTTTTCTAATGATTTTGCTTGCTGATCAGGTTCGGAGTAGGTAATTTGATATTAGATACAATGAAAGTTCTGATGAATCCTGAATATAAGTGCCCTGGATGAAGCATTGGCCTTTTGTTGATAAAGTTGGGGTGCTTCCTAAAAGCCAGCCTGAGAATCGCAGGAATTTATATAATCGTTCCCAGTCTAATTAGAAAATACTTCTTAAAGAGCTTGAGAGTGATAACATTATGGCTTGATTCCAAATTGAAGGAAGCTCTTGCTTGCTAGTTGCTAAGTACGTGCATTTTGACAAAGCAGGTATTTCTTTCGTAAAAATTTTATTTCTTACTTCTCTCCATATTTCAACTATAGAGTGAAGTCTGTTCTGCAGCAGTCGAAGGTCATCAGGAGAGTTCATTTTTTTTACTGACTTCCCCACCGTGAGCGAACAAACAAATTTTGCTCGCTCACGGAGAGGGGGTTAATTTTTTTAAAAAAAATTATATATATAAAAACTTTAAAAAAATTAATATTTGCGAAAGCAAGTTCTTTATAATTAAACGAATTAGCTATGATTTCATTAATTATAATAATTATCACTTATGTATCAAAAATTTTTCATAAAAATTTTTCGTTTCCTCACGGAAGATGGGTCTTTACCCAAAATAAGGATTTTTCCAATAGTTTTGCTTTCTTATGAAAAGGGTACTAAGCAAATAAGATTTTCAGCAACGGAGAGTGATAAGACCATTGCAGTGGCTCATATCTTGGAGCATTTGATAAACTTGTTTTCTTGCCAAAACTGGGTCGATTTTCGATTCAGGGAGCAGCAGGGCTAAAACTAGAAATTGAACTGATTCAGCATCTATATGGCCATTTTCCTCCTCATCTAATGCCCTAAATAATGACTCTGACAGCTGAATCCATTCAGAACTAATCGACCATCTTGAAAGCAATGCTTTGTTGTACTCATTAGTAACCAGAAAAATCATCATTTCAATCTGAGTAGCTTTTACTTTCTCTATAAGCTTCACTTGAAACCCTTGACCTTCTTCCAAAATTAAAAAAAATGTGAAAACCTCGTTAATTTCTTGCGAACTTTGAGCACTCAGAATATCTGGGATGTTATATGTTTCCAGCCATTGCGAATAAAGGCAAGAAAATTCTTCGCTAGAAATATCTTCGTCAATTTTTCATTTGAGGATTCTATATATCGCTTACTCAAATAAACCTTTCATTTTCTTTTGTTTGCTGAATCCTAATTCCATGTTTCTGTCATACTTTAAAGCAGAATACGATCTGCCTGTTACAAATTCAATTGAGGCGTCTATATGATTTAAGAGAAGATTTTCGTTAAGAGGCATAGAGGGAGCATCAATTACCAGCTCTAAATGTAAACTCCGAATTAAAAGAAGAGCTCTCATTGAAAGAGAATCAAGTAGTCTTGCTACAGCAGATGAGTTTCCTGTTGAAAGGGAGATGTGGGAGCTTCATGGGGATGATTGTGCAGGCCCCTGATGTTTATTTAAAATTGATCTTAAATCCATTTTATATTCTAAACACAATGCCTCTTATGTCTTTACGTTAAGAAAATTGATTGGATTGCTTTAGAACTTATTGTACTGGTTCTAAGCACAAATCAATAGCCAAATCAAGTCCAAAGGCCCTCAAAAACAAAGAAAAATAGATATCGATGATATATCTTATAAGTGCATGATTCAGATACTTAAGGATAAAGAAAATTAAGGGAAGCTAGTTTAATGTCCAGTACTCGTTAACGGATTTCATAGATGCTTCTACACATTGCTTAGCCAAATCACAGCACTCATCATATCCTGAAGACTTCACTTCTTCACCAAGCAAAGCAGAAACAACAGCTTTGCTACCAGCCCTAAGATTTTTTAAGTTATATCCCCCTTCCAACGCAGCAACTACTTTTCCTCCTGCTAGTTCCATGACTTTATTTGTCATATAGCCATAGATTTCTGGTGACAATGCCATTTTACCTAATGGATCATTCCTCATTGCATCAAATCCACACGCTATTAGAACTAAGTCAGGATCAAACTCTTTTGCAACAGGGAATATCAAATTATCAAACGCATACTTATATTCATTATCTCCAAACTGTGATTTCTTAGCGCCATTTTCTGTATTTCATGCGACATTGATATTAAATCCTCTTCCTTCTTCAACCCCAATAAATGTCTCTGCAGAAGTTGCTTCATTCTAAATAAAATTTACAGGCCAGAAGTCTCCATTGTCGTAGCGATGAAGACTGACTGCAAGCACATTCGGGTCTGCTTTAAAAATATCTTGTGTTCCATTTCCATGGTGTACATCCCAGTCCAAGATAAATACTTTTCTAATACCCAAACTTGAAATAGCGTGCTTAGCTGCAACAGCCACATTGTTGATAAAGCAAAAGCCACCTACATCATCAATTTTTGCATGGTGTCCTGGGGGTCTGATGTTTGCAAAAGCTGAGCTAATGTTTCCACTGGCGACTTCTTTAACTGCGTTAAGCATGCCTCCACAAGCCAAATGAGCGCACTCATATGTATAAAAGTTATTGTAACAGTCAGGATTAAGAGAATATTTTGCTTTTTTGTTTTCCTTCCCAGGCTGCAAGATGATGCTTTGCATTTTTTCGCAGTGAACACTTGAGTGGACTTTGTTGATTTCTTCTTGCGGAGCTTCAGTAGCAGGAATGCTTATTAATTTTGGCAACACTCCTTCAGCATCTAAATTTGAATGCACGGCTTCAATGCGATCAGGCTTCTCGACATGCTCTTCATATGCTTTTTAGAAGTTACGATTGTCTCTATGCTGAAGTAGTGCTGGGTTATAAACATATCCAACTTTATTATAAATTGAGAGGCTGCTAACTCCCCGTTTCCGATAGTAAGCAAAATCATTAAAAAATGACGATTTTTTGTAATATAATTTTTTAAAAAGAATTTAATATATAAATAATAAATGATTACAATTAATCTCTAGTTCACTCAATTAAATTTTAAAGAGTTTGCATCCTAAAGCAAGTTTAGATATTAAATCATTTTTCAATTCCATTTTTTGAAAAAACTTTTAATATAAAAAATATTAATCTTCCAGGGTAGAAGCAAATGACTTGCTCGCTGAAGAGTGGGGAATAAGCAGATCTTCCATTTTTATATATAGTGTTGATTTAGTTGACTATTCTGTGATTCTTTTGAATAGCAGCAATTTTAAATCATCAGCTTAGGTTGATATTAAGTTTTTTTTTTCATCTTAATAAGTTTAATTCTTCTAAAAGAAAATCATTAGCAATTATTGTGATCGATTGTTAGCTATATCAAATTGAAATTAGAGCATGAATTCCTCACTTCATTCGTTAAGCCTTACAGACGAATTATTGATACTATACTTATTTAAGATAAGAATAATTAAAGCTTACTCCCCCCCCATCCTTGATCGAACGATTGACTGTAAAAATTCCTAAAAATTGGGGGAAAATTAACCCCCATCCTTGATCGAACGATTTTCATATCATGCAAATTTTTTATATATATAAAAAATATTAGTTATCAAATGCTTTGGAAGATGTGCCTAATGAGTTTGTTTTCAGAGCTTTGAGACGACAGAAAGCTGCGAAATCAACCATCCGAAGTGATTTAGACATCAACATAGGCTTAAAAGCTCAATAATCTAATAAAATAGAGATTCTTTAAAATTTTAAAAAAATATTTAATTTAAATTAAAATTTATACAGTTTAAAAAAGGGTAACTAATAAATCAAAATATTAAAAATTGGTATTTTTATGAAATTAATTCAATTTTTTGCTGTAAAAATAATTATTAAATACTCTTAACCCTCTTATTTAAAGTAAATAAAAAAAATCTATATATATATCTTTTTCATTTTATATATAAATTTTTTTTTTAACCCCCATCCTTGATCGAACGATGGCGAGTCGTTCGATCAAGGATGGAGGGGGAGAGTTAGCTCTTTCTCTCCATTTAGGTGCAAGCTTAGTCAGTAATGCAACATACTCTCTCATCGCTTCTTCCTTTGTCAGTTTTTCTCTCGCTTTCCATGCCATGAATTTAGCTCTTTCAACAACTTTTAGCCTAGAAGGTGCTGAGCCTTTAGGTGCTCCATCTGTTGCTTGTTTGAACAAGGCGTAGAAATCTAGTTTCTGCTCATTATTAGTATCTAGAGGTGGGTTGCTTGTATCTTTGATGTAATTAAGAGCCTTTCTGAATTCCTGTTCCATTGGCTATTTTTATATTAAAATGTCACAAATAAAATAATTAGAATTAATTTTCAATTTTACTCCAAATTCCAGTCGATTTCACTGGCTCCATTTGATCTTAGATATTCATTTGCCCTTGAAAAATGTCTGCAAGTAAAGAAGCCACCTTTAGAAGCTGAAAGTGGAGATGGGTGGCAGGCTTCCAAAATAAAGTGCTTACTTCGATTGACGCCTTGAGCTTTGGCTTGGGCAAAAGCGCCCCAAAGCATGAAGACTACTCCTGATCTTTCTTTATTGATTGCTTTGATCACCTCATCAGTGAACTCTTCCCATCCTTTTTTGGCATGAGAATTAGGAGCTCCTTGTCTAACTGTTAAAACTGCGTTTAGCATAAAAACACCTTGCTCAGCCCATCTGGTTAAGTCACCATGTTTTGGAGGTTTAAAGTTCAATGAAGAGTCTGTTTGCAAGCACTTATAAATGTTTCTTAAACTGCCAGGAACCTTTATTCCACGGTGAACTGAAAAACTAAGGCCCATAGCATCATTTGGAGCTGGATAAGGGTCTTGGCCAACAACCACAACTTTTATGCTGTCGAATGGAGTGAGCCGAAATGCGGTAAAAATCTCATGTGGAGGTGGGCGGCAAGCAGTCGTGGCATATTCAGTTGTAAGCCATGTGTGAAGTTTCCGCAACTTACCTGTATCGAGCCAAGGTCTTAAGACATTTATCCAAGATGGATGCATTTGAGACTCGAACTCATCATAAGATGGAAATCCTTCTTTAACTTCTTCCTGGTTTGGCTGGATCGTAGGAGGGACTTTTTTAGGAGATTTTTTTTCTTCTTCTTCTATTGGAGCTTCGTCTGACTGTTTTGATTCAGTGCTAGCTTTAGAGCGCTTTCTTACAACGAATTTGTCCATTAATATTGCAAAATTTCGCTTTGAGATTATTGAAAAATGCTTTATCATCAGCATTATTTTAATGAATATAATAAAAACAATGGATTTGAAGATCCTCAAGCCAAAAGTTTCTATTCAGTTAAAAAATTATAAATTCTCCGATCATTTCTGAATATAACACAAAAAGTAAATATGGCTTGGATAAATTTCAAAAATAATTTAATTTTTAAAATTTTACTTGTAAATTGCTAATAAAGCATACAACCATTAATGCTCTTCAAATATAATACGAGTAAAAAATTAATTTCTTATTAAAAATAAAATATTAAGGACACGCTCTAATAATTGCTTTAGTTCTTAAATTATCTCGCAATAATATACAGAACTAATATTGTTTTTTTAATAAACTTTTAAAAATAAAATAATTACTCTGTAAAAATTTACCCACCTTTTTTAATAATTTCATTCGTTATATTATCTGGCCGAATTTGAGTATAAGAAACGAAAATAAGCCATATCTCCGATTTTGAAGAAGCTAAATAATCATTCTATAATAATAAATATGGAAAGCTATAATAGTTCAAAAGCTGAGGAGTTGATAATGATGGGCTTTGCTTATCCTGATGTTGAGCAAGCAATCAGGATATGTGGAAGTGGCTCTGACTCTGCATTAAACTGACTTCTTTCAAAAGACAGTCAAAGCCATAATAATTATGACCAAAACACTACAAATTCTACAAGCCATGATAATAATTTGCAATTTCAGAGACCGGCTCAATACGACTTGAACGCATTTGAGCCTCTAAATCCAGAAGAGCGAAGAAGAGTTGAAGGGACCCCAGTGGGATTGAAAAACATCGGCAACACTTGCTACTTCAATTCTCTCATTCAAACTTATTTTATGATTCCAACATTTGTCAAAGAAATCATGAAATTTAGGGTGCCTGAAGAAGTGAAAGAAGAAAATGAAGCCAAAAGCAACAGCTATAAGCTTCTTTCTCAGCTTCAGAAACTATTTGCACTAATGATAGGAAGCAATCGCAAGTATATTGACCCAACTCCTGTCTTAAGCTCTATTACAGACGACTTTGGCAATAAAGTAGAAATTGGAGGGCAAAGGGATGTAGGAGAATTCAATATGATCTTAGTATCGAGAATTGCTGAGGCCATGAGAAGGAGGGATGAGGTCGAGGGAATTGAGACATTCAGAACAAGCACCGGCATAATGGTAAGTGTGGATGGGTCTCTGTCTGATATGTTTTATGGAAAACAGACTGAGGCAATTCTTTTTAACGAAGATGACGGAACGAGGAATACTCAGAAGAATACTGTGATTTTTGGACAAATTAATCTAGATGTCGATTACGGAGATTTACTTACAGCATGGGAATGCTCAAAGAGTGCAAGGATAGAAAACTTCACAACTCCATCCGGCACCGAAACCACTGCAACTCAAAGAGTGTGGGTCGATAAACTGCCTTCAATTTTGCTATTCCAAATCCAAAGAGCAGCTTACGACAAAGAAAAGAAAGAACTTATGAAAATCAATAAGCGATTTGATTTCCCTAAAGTTTTATTTGTAGATCGGTTTTTAAGCAAGAATAAAAAGGCAGCCAAGAAGCAGCATACCGTTTTTAAGAGACTCAGAAAACAGATAAAAAGTTTAGAAGAAACTATTGACTCAATTTCGAAATACAAGAATTCTGGCTTGAGTCTGCCAAATATATTGCAGCTTGCAAGCACTTTTGTAAAAGAGGAGTTGCAAGAAGATGGACCTCAAAAAGAAGGAATTCTGACCAAAAATAAAAGTGATAGCCAAGTTCTAGAAGTTCTCCCCAGTTGGCTTGAGTACTTAGGAAAGCAATGCCAAGAGTCAATGGAGCACAAAAAGTATGAGCTTGAAGGGCTGAAGAAAGAGCTGGAGGAGAAATTCAACGTGCCAGAACTAATGAAAACTCCTTACTACCTTCATTCAATACTTGTGCACGAAGGAAGTGCTGAAGGGGGACATTATTTTACCTTTATTTATGATTCAGAAAAGGACTTATGGAGAAAATACAACGATATTAATGTGACAAACATATCAGAAGAGGAGGTCTTTGAAATCAGTTATGGAGGCAATGGTAGCAGTTCTGCTTATTCTTTAGTTTATATAGACTCATCATTGAAGCCTCAGCCCAAGGATTCTTTATATTGCTCTTATACAGTCCTCTCTGATGCCCCAGCAGACGATGATTACTCTTCTTATCTCTCAGCTGAATTAATCGAAGAAGTGAAAGTTCACAATCTCTTAGAAAACGAGAAATTGGCCGAATCCAGAGCAACCTTAGCTTTGAAAGAGATAAAAAATTGGTATGATACGAGATACACTGCTTGTGAAAGCCAATATATGAGCTATGACTCTTTGAAAGACAAATCTTCTGGAAGTATTCGTCATGAGCTAATTAATTTTTCTGTGTATTTGAGAATTAAAGGAGAAATTCCTCTATGCAAGTGATATATCCTGGATTCTTGCCTCCAAGCAATCTATCCAGAAAAAGGATCGCTCAAGGATTATGATAGAAACGACCCTATATATGCAAAATTGAGCCAGTTCTTCATTAAATCAAATAAGGATGCTCCCAGCTTTATTGAATTGAGTTCTAGCTATTTGAAAAACCTTGAAAAATATAAAAATCAATATAAAAATATTATAAAGCAGGCCTATGTTGCTGGCTTTGCGCTACAAAGTTTGATTGAAGGCGAATATATTAATGCAATGAAATCATTTGTGTATGAAGCGCAGTTTCCTTCAAACGAAAGGACTTTTTACCAGGAAATACTCAAGGATGCTCAAAAAGTAATGATCTTGCGATTACTCTCTCAAATAATCAGCGATTTAGAGTTAGCAGAGCACAGCCGTGCAATTGAAACAATGGGCCATGTTGTGACAATAACTTGCTTCTCATTAGATAAAACTGATACTCACTACAAGCAAGTTAGAAACATTATTGACTCAATCAATGATAACAAAGATAAATTCAGATTAGCTGGCGAAAATGCTAAAAAAGTGAAAGAGCTTTTGCAGGCAATCAACTCTGGCTCCGCGAATTCAACCTTTGAATGGACAGATTTTCCACAAGATTTTCTTAATATTTTGGAATTTCTTGAGAATTTTGATGCATATGCCTGGAGGGATGGGTGGGCTAAAAAAGATATAGCTTCTAGACTTTTAGAAAACTTGAACTATTTTAAAAACGATTTATTTGAGAAATGATACAAATTGCATGTTAAACTTACCCAAGGAACTCAAAAACCATTGAGTTTCAAAGAATATAGAGAAATAGCGAAATAATAATTTACTAGTATAAAATTAAGAATTACTTATAATTAAGCATATTAAGCAAGTATTCTCAATTAAATTTATAATAAGAGATATTATTTTTCAGCCTCCATCTGCTAGAACTTATCGAACTCACAGGATCCTAATCAAACTTTATAATTTAAATGAGTGCGCAAAAGTAAAACGTATACCATTAAATATTTAGCAATCAATTTTCTAAATAATCTTTTTCAAGTATTTGGAGGGCAAATTTTCAAAGTATCACTGTCTTACTAACTCCCCCCTTTAAATTGGACAAAAAATGTCTACAAATTTTTCATTTTTGGGGTACTTTAACCTTCTTTAAATTGAAACAATAGGTAAAAATACTATTTTTTATGAATTAGCTTGATCTAATTTAATTGAAAAAGTTCAAATAGAATATTATTTTAAAAAAGCTTTCACATTGAATCGATTTAAGTTTAAGTTTAAGATAATTCTTCAAGTCCATTCAACTTGGATCACAGCTCTGAATAATGTAGGTGGGTCGGCCTAACCATCTACCTGTTTCTATCCCCAAGCCCCTTAGAGCTTCTCTGATCTACACCAGACTCTGTGTAGACCCATTTTCTTTAGACGAGACTCTCTAGAAGTCGTGGACTTCTCTTACTGAGCTCGAATATAGGACCTAAGTCCTACCCCTAATTGAAGTTTTAATTGCGTTGAATAGACTAATTTATTAAATAAAATTCAAACGTTGTGTCCAATTTATTTATTTTTTTTTTAAATTTCTTTATAGAGAAAACTAAATATAATTTTTTTTAAAATAAAATTAGCCCATTTAATGTGGAACAGGAATTTTTGTTCCAATTTAAAAGAGGAGTAAACAAATTATTCAAGCAAAAATTTTTAAAACCTGTAGCTCCATAAAAGGATCACAAATATAATAATATTCCCGAATTAGAGATGGATGCCAAGATAGACCCATAAGCATAAATGATCTTGAGCTATACTCATCACAACTTCTTTCATCAGATCCCCGAATTTGATTTCTTAAGATGATTTGTTAAAATCATTTGTCTGTTAAAACTTGACTGTAAGCATAATCAATCATACTTTATAGAGCTATTGGTCTGGTGCATTTCATGATGAAGAAAAAACAAAAGAGTCCTCTAATTATTGCCCAAGCGTTCGTTCTTTCGGATTTCACTTTATGGTAAAATTTTTTGCATTAGCTACTAAAAATTCAAATCAAAGTCTAGTGAATCCTAGCTAGGAGAGGCATAGAGACGGCTAGGATATAAAATGCCATTGCCTAAAAATTAGTTTTGTGTGATTAATGGCATTAATTTCTTTTTAGAGAATGGTAATCGCTATTTAGACAAAAGGAACTCCGAGCGCAGGAAAGAGAAACAGCCACACCCACACAGTTTGCAGACGCTGTGGAAAACGATCACTTCACAAGCAAACCTTAGAATGTGCATCCTGTGGCTATCCAAGCGCTAACTCCCCCCTCCGTGAGTGAACAAAACCATTAGAAAAATCCCTATTTTTGCCCAAAAAACCCACCCTCCGTGAGTGAACAAAAATTTTTTTAATCGAAAAATTTTTTATGTAAAAAAATTTTGATATATTAATGATAATTATTATAATGAAATCTAGAGCCAATTCTGTTTAATTTTAAACGAATTGCTTTTTAAAACATAAATTTTTTAAATTAAATTAATATTTGCTTTCCAATTTTTGCGAATTAAGATTTTTTTAAATTTCAAAAAAAAAATTAGCCCCCTCCGTGAGTGAACAAAATTGTTTTGTTCACTCACGGAGGGGAGGGGAGTAAGATGAGACACTACAACTGGGCCCTCAAGACTCACAGGAGAAGAGGTGAAGGAACTGGAAGGATGAGATATCTTAAATCCATCCCAAGAAGAGCCAAGAACTCATTCAGAGAAGGGACGACTCCAGCTGCAAGAACTAAGCACGTCAAGAAGTAATTTTAACTCTTCTATTGCCTACCTGCTTATAATTTTAACACAATGGCAACCAGAACTCAGTTCGAAAATTCCAACGAAATCGGGGTTTTTTGCAAGCTCACGAACGCCTACTGCATTGTCCCAATTGGAGGTAACGAGAACTTTTACAGTGTCTTCGAAAGCGAGCTTGGAGGCCACATCCCAGTCATTCACTCCTCAATTGCTGGAACTCGCATTGTAGGAAGGGTCACTTGTGGAAACTCAAACGGGCTATTGGTCCCAAGCATCACAACTGATTTGGAGCTGCAGACAATCAGAAATTCGCTCCCAGATAAGGTCAAGGTGGAAAGAATTGATGAGCGTCTGTCAGCCTTGGGAAATTGTATTGCTTGCAATGACTATGTCGCTATAATTCACCCAGATTTGGACAAAGAAACGGAAGATATCGTAGCTGACACACTCGGAGTTGAGGTGTTCAGGACCATGGTGGCAGGGAATGTGCTGGTAGGAAGCTATTGCGTTTTAACTAATCTTGGAGGACTGATTCATCCCATGATTGCAGTGGAAGAACTTGACGAGCTTAGTTCGCTGCTTCAAGTGCCACTTTGTGCAGGAACAGTTAACAGAGGAAGTGATGTTCTGGCTGCAGGGCTGTGCGCAAATGACTGGAGTGCGTTTTGTGGGCTAGATACGACGTCAACGGAAATATCAGTCATCGAAAACATTTTTAGACTAAATGAAGTGAAACAGCATGTACCAGCCCAAACTGGAGTCAGGACTGATTTGATGGACAATCTCCACAGATAACTACAAATTTAATATAATTTCTGCAATTGGAAAAATAACACTTTATATTAAAGCTAACTCCCCCCCCCCCCTCCGTGAGCGAACAAAAAAAATTTTGTTCACTCACGGAGGGGGGTTAATTTTTTTTTTTAAACAAATTTATATATAAATTTTATAAAAAATATTTTTTTCGAAATTTAAAAAAAATCCTAATTTGCAAAAATTGGGAAGCAAATACTAATTTAATTTGCAAAATTTATGTTTTAAAACGCAATTTGTTTAAAAATTAAACAGAATTAGCTCTAGATTTCATTATACTAATTATCACTTATATAGCAAAATTTTTTTCTATTAAAATTTTTTCTATTAAAAATATTTTTTGTTCACTCACGGAGGGTGGGTTTTTGGTCAAAAAATGGCGATTTTTCTAATGGTTTTGTTCGCTCACGGAGGGGGGGGGGGGGAGTAAGTTCTAAGACTTAACCTAAAATGGCTTCAGAGGAGTAGTTAACGTATAAAAACCCATCTGGGTCCTGAAACTCTTCGTAGATGCTGATCATGTTTCTGTCCAACACAGGAAGGTGCTTTTTTGAAATTAAAACGTAGAGTGCGTCAGTTCTGTCGAGCTCCAATCTTCGTCTCAGGTGGAAGATGAACTCATGAAAAGTATAACTTTGAGGAACAAGGAATCTGTTTTGAATCGCTCCATAAGAGTTCTTTTTTGATAGAATTGGCTCAACTATTACTGGCAACTTGGTTGGGTGAGTCTCTAGTAAATGGTTAGCCTCTAGTCTTCGAGCTTCAAATTGAGGTAGCTCCTCTTTAAACGCCATCATCCTATATCAGAATTATAAACTAATTTAAATAAATCCCTTATCTCTGCAAGTTTTTATTGCTGTCGTTCAATTTAATACTATTTTTCTTCTTATTACAATTATACTGTCTCTGTGCTTATGAACTTCCATGGTTCCGATGTCTCCCAAGGAGATTAGAGGGCTGGTTTTATCAACCCTCAAAATTGATGAATACATCTGGTAATGTGGATTTGCCAATTTGAGGGTTGGTTCTGCCAACATAAATTGGCGAGTACCCCTCGAATTTACTAGAGAAATACCAGGACTGAGGGAGTCCATAATCATGGAGACACTATAAGCATGCTAAAAGTCAAATTTTATTTCATATTTATTAAATAGCAGTCAGTAAAATTTTAAAATTGCCTTTGGTGAAACTACAAGATTTTAGTTGATAATTTAGCTAGCTATATCTTTGAAAAATGATGTGGAATTATTTAATGGCTTTAAATTACCCACATTTTACAATCCACAATTGTTTAGATATAAATTTATTAAGCTAATGTTCACAACATCAAGGAGATTCTTTGCTACTAAGATATTTAACTCGTCTGCTGAGGCCGTGGCTGATCTCAAAAGTGGGATGGCCTTAATGATTTCTGGGTTCGGATTATGCGGAGTTCCTGAAAATTTACTGACTCTGCCTCCCTTTAAATTGGAGCAAAATTTGCATTTTTTGGGACTTTAACCCCTTTTGGAACAAAATTTGTTTTTCAGTCGGAAAATTTATCAATGAAAATACTAATTTTATAAAATTAGTTTTTGACCTAATTTAATAGAGAAACGCAAGTGGAATGTTATTTTAACACATCTTACACTGAACTGATTTTTTTTATTTAATTCTCCATAAAAATAAATTAAAATTTTGAGTCAATTTATATTTTTAAAATAATTAAAGATGACATACTCATTTTTATAATTAGTTTCGACCTAATTTAATTGAAAAAGAATGGATTTAAACATTTTTACACTGAATCGATTAATTTTTTTATTTAAAAATAAATTTAAATTCGCTATATTGTGCTCAATTTATGTTTTTTGAGGCTTTAAAAATTTTTTATGGAAATTTAAATATAATTTTTTTTTAAGAAAAATAATTAACCCCCTTTAAATAAAGCAAGATTTTTATTACAATTTAAAAGAGGGGAGTGAGGGCGATCCATCACTTGAAAATCAATAACCTTAAACTAATCACTAACACTTCAGGGACCAATGAATTTGGACCTGGACTTCTGATCAAGGACAAAATGGCATCGAGTATCCATTGTTCATATTTAGGGGGAAATGAAACATTGGAAAATCAGTATTTAAATGGTGAAATTGAGCTTGATTTAATTCCTCAAGGGTCCTTAGCCGAAAGGCTAAGAGCAGGAGCTTGCGGAATTTCTGCATTTTATACCCACACTGGAGCTGGCAGTCTCGTTGAAGAAGGCGGATTCCCAATGAAATTCGGCCCAGGCGGAAAAACAGTCGAAAAAGTATCTGCCCCAAGAGAAGTAAGGATTTGGGGAGGTAAAAAATACTTGCTTGAGAGAGCTCTCAAAGGAGATGTTGGGCTCATCAAGGCATGGAAAGCAGATACTGAAGGAAACCTAATCTATAGAAAAACAGCAAGAAATTTCAACCCTGATATTGCAGGGGCTTCCAAAATAACTATTGCAGAAGTGGAAGAAATAGTCCCAGCTGGCTCTCTTGACCCAGACCAGATTCACACTCCTGGGATTTTTGTTCAGAGGCTTGTAAAAGGAGAATATTTCGAAAAACCAATTGAAAGGCTTGCCCTTAATACTGGTGATAAAATACAGCTTCCTGGAACTCCAGAGCAGATTAGGAAGAGAGAAAGGATTGCTAAAAGAGTTTCCAAAGAAATAAAGGATGGGATGTATGTAAATCTAGGTATTGGCATGCCGACAATGGTTCCAAACTATTTGCCAAAAGACATTAAAATCGTCTTGCATGGAGAAAACGGACTTTTAGGGATTGGGCCATATCCTAAATCAGGCGAGCAGGACCCTGACGTAATCAATGCTGGCAAAGAAACCATTACAATGGCAACAGGCTCTTCTGTTTTCCACAGTAGCATGAGCTTTGCCATAGTTCGAGGTGACCATCTTGATCTAACCATCCTTGGTGGACTTCAAGTTTCGCAAGATGGTGATCTTGCTAACTGGATTGTCCCTGGCAAAATGGTCAAGGGCATGGGAGGTGCCATGGACCTCGTTGACAGCCACTCAAAATGCATCGTTTGCATGGAGCATACATCAAAAGGCGCTCCTAAGATTCTCAAAAAGTGCTCTCTACCACTCACAGGCAAAAAAGTTGTAAGGATGCTCGTTACTGAGTGCGGAGTGTTTGAGTTCAGAAGAGATACTGGGATGACTCTGGTAGAGATCGCTTCAGATATCACTTTAGATAAGCTTAAGGAGATCACTGGAGCTACCTTCTTTATTGCATCTGACCTAAAAAAGATGCAAGAATAACAGAAATAATTATTTCTAAATTGCTTGGGGAATTAGTGTAAAAGAATTTTGATTAAATTATAAAAGTCGGTCTTAATTACCACTCTATAGTGTTGTGAGTTCCATCACAGAATGGCTTATTCTTAGTATGCTTGCACCCACACAAATAGTAGGTTTTCGTTTCTGCTGCCATAAAACCGACAGGCAGAAATTGAGTGCCTTGGTGTGAACCATCGCAGAATGGCTGCTTTTTAGATCTTCCACAGTCACAGTAATAATATGGCCTTGATTGCTCGAGATTTACTTCATAAGGGCTTCGGCATGGCCTTAGTCTTGGCTGATGAAAAAGGATGGCTCTATTTCAGCTTTCTGCGAGATTTGTTAATCCTTTGATGCAATCTAAATAAAAATTACTGTTATCTGGCTTTCCTGAAGAATTGAAAATGTACTCAAAATCAATTAATTTCACTTGGATTTTGTGAGGACTCACAACATAAAGCACTGAGCTTGTGAAGAATAGTTTTGAGTGTTGAGCTTTGAATCAATCTCTGAGGCTCTGAGTTTCAGAAAGAAGAGAATTTAAGATTTCCTTGCAGTAAGAATCCTCTTTTCTAGCTAATTTGGCAAGCTGCTCAAATGCATTATCTTGATTTACGTGAGAATATCCTTGGTCTTTATTTCAGGCTTCTGCAATCGCTTCTCCATTCCTAACCAAAATCCCTGAAATCTTCCAGCTAAGCGTGCCAGAGGTAGAAGTTACAGCTTTATTTTGCTTCCTTCGCTGCTTTTCAATACTATGTGTCGGTGCCCATGTGATTTTCCCGATTTTGCAATCTAAAATGCTTGGATTGTGGCACTGGAATAACAAATTTTCGATGACAATATAATTTTTGTTTGAAATAGCTTCCACTCCATAGAACTTCGGAAGGAATTTTCTCAGCTCAATCAATTGTTGATCATGGCAATTCTCGTTATAGACTTCTTTGTAAAAGTCAATTTCATTTTTGCTTGTTGCTTTTAATAATTTATCACCTCTAAAAATAAACCTATCTTTGTGCCCAGCAACTATATCGGTTGCCTCTTGAGCAGCCGGTCCTCTCAACTTAAACTTAAATTACAGGTCTTGGCTTGCTCGCATATTGGCAGCGCAGTCACCAAGGATCTCCAGGGCGGTTCATCCTCTTTGTGACGATAGGAAGAATTCGTTTGAGTTTGATGTGATTCATCTGACGAGTTAAGTCTCGGACACCACTTTTCCGCTTCACCGCCTGACGCCATGACACTTGGGAAGTAGAGCTCTATCTCTTTTTCTCCTTCTTGAATTGACAGCTGCAGTGTTGAGTAGGAAGGCTATGAATTTCTGCGACATGCTGATTAGGCTAGATGAAGGTTGCCCAAACAAAAATCAAAAAAATGGAATCTTTGGCCGAAATTCGACAAAAATGAAAATTTCAAATAACTCCCAGTTAAAACTAGGAAGTTGTCCAATTAGTAGTCTAGCTTACCTGTAAACACTGCTGGGCTTCTCTTTTTCCTCGGAGTAAAATGCAATCCAGAAATCGGACTAGGGCTATGCACTTTACATTACCAGGATTGCTTACCTAGCACTGCTGCCCCTTTTTGGGCTGGCAAAACCTTGCCGATATAAATAAAATGTGTTCGAGGCTGCATCTGGCAGGTAATCCCAGGCTGAGACGCCATTTTATTATGAACAGTCAGCCCTCTTAATCTTTCCCATATTTTGATCACATTTTGTAAGCCTTCGATTACATTGGCATCTTCTACTCCATTCGCATCCATAGCATGAGCAAAATCAATATATCTTACCTGGTATTTTTTGTTTTTACCGCATACATAAAACACTGAGCTTGCCACAAAGTGCTTTACTTTTTGTCTTTGAAACCAATCCAAAATTCTTTTGGTCCCCTCAATAAATGCTTCAATTGCGTCCTTATTAACTTCTCCCTTGCTAGTCACTATTTTAGCGAATTGTTCATGGATGTTATTTTCATTGATTCCAAAAAACCCTTCATTTTTGGCCCAGGATTCAACTTTCTTGCCTTCTTCATCTTTTACTACAACTCCAGAAATCCTGAACCCCAAAGATCCTGTCGTTGTCCCTTTATTTTTAGCTTCTTGGTTCTTTTTGGTCTCTTCTGTATGGTGAGGAGTCCATGTAATTCTTCCCAGCTTGCAATCCATGATACTTGGATTTAGATAGTCTGTTAATAGGTTTTCCATTGAGATATATCTTTCTCCGTTCCTTTCCTCTGCTCCATAATACTGAGGCGCATACTTTCTCATCTCAATCATTAAAGGATCGTTTTGAGACGCGCTGTAAAGTCATTCAAAGAAGTCAAATTCTCCTTTTTTAGCCTTCTTTAGTAGCTTATTACCTTCAAAAATAAGTGTTCCTGCGTGGCCTCCAGCTTGGCCTTCTGCAGGAAGCTTATTTTCTTCTTTATTTTTTGAGTGCTTTGAAACTGGTTGTGCAGCTAACTCAGGCTCTTTGATTTGCTTTTCAGGTTCATTATGGGGTTCTTTGGATTCAGGTTTTGGAATTTCTTGAGTTTTTTTTTGTGGTTCTGGGCTATTTTCTGGGAGTGGTACTTTGGGATTTTCACGGGCTTTTTGAGGGGAAGGGGAAGGATCAGCCTTTTTAGCTGGTTCCAGCGGTTTTTCTTCTTTCGCAGATTTTTGCTGAGGTTCTTGAGCTTTTACTTGAGGACTGATAGGGTTTGATTTTGAGGAAGTTACAGATGGGGTTGTCTTGTTTTGAGGTCCAGCTGCAGAAGGTTCAGTCTTTTTGTTTGCGGGAGTGTTAGAGGAGCCTGTATTATGTGATAATTTGACTTCTTCTTGATGAGGCTTTGCAGGGCTTACGTCTTTCAAAGCTTTTTTTGAGATTCCACAACCCATTTAATACAAGTTCTAATTGTAAAATAATGGAGCTTTTAATTTGACTTGAGACAAAAGTATAATAGGAAATAAACTTTCTTATCCAAGAAAAATGATCATGAAACAACTTTAAATTGAATTAATAAAAATACAAATAATCAGAAACGCTCACTTTAATTTTTTTTAAATATTTTAAACTTTAAACAATTAATTAAACTTGAAAAATAGTTTATAATTATATTTCTATCATATAGCCTGAAAATCTTGCTGAATGACTGATGATCCAATTTTCAACAATAAAAAATATATATGTTTTTAATTTTGTCATGGCAATGCATAACTCAGAAATTGGAAAAGATTTTTATTAATCTAGAAACCCTTTTTGCCAGAAGGTAGAAAAAGACTGGATTAATTTCTTTTATTTTTAAATTCTCTTTATTTATATATCTATCTCTCAGAAATTCTTTTAAACTTATAAAATTATGGAAGGCAACGATAAAGAATTTCGACAATCATTTTCACTTCCAGTATTCATCTACAGACAAAAAGAAGGAAGATCAATATACTCAATGAATATCCCCAAAATTATGTTTTGGTTTTCCGGTCTCATGACGATTTTGGTTTATGCAAATTTGCTTCTAGCTTGCTTGACTAATTTTTCTTGCTCCACTTTTTTACCTACACTGACTTATATTGGCTGCTTTAGAGGACATGACAGGATCTTCATTGTTTCTTGCACATTTTTTGCACTTGTCCTTGTTCTAATGTATACAGGAGCTTATTACCATTTTGGATCATCCTTACCAGATTGAAAAAGACTTGCTCTTCTGTATTTAGGAGTGATTTCGTGCATTACATTACCTTTTATCAGCCTCACAGATGAAGTTAACAGTGTACACATAATTCCCTTTGAGCCGGTTTATAGCTTTTTATCAGTCTGCTTTGTGCTTGTCAATCTCGCTTGGGGATCTCTGGTTTACTCTTTGATATTGAAATCACGCAGCACTTTCAATGTCCAAGAGAGGCGCTGGTTCTTCATTTTGACTCTGTTTTTAGGACTCTTTGCATTTTTATCGCTAATAACTCTTATTGAATGGAATTGGGCATACTCAACCAGCTCCAATGCGTTTATAAACGAAAACGCTGAAGCCATATGTGAATGGATTTTAGTCACAATTTCGATCTTTTTACCGCCGATCTTTTGCCAGTTTTTCAGAGGGTTTATGCTAAGTTTCGCGGTGAGCTCTGGAAGATCGAGATCTGAAGAAAAAGAAGCAAAAGATGTAGAGCTAGCTACCCTTAATCCTTAATTAATTCTATGGACTTACGAGTAATCCTACATGATGCGAGTCAGCTTTGACCCTTGACGAAGAATCCAAAGTGCTTTCAAATTCTTTGCGAGTTCCTTCTAAACTATTTCCCTGCCTAACTGGTGAAGCTAATCTCTCACGGCTAGCCGCCACTCCAGATCCGGTGAGCCTTGAGCTCCTTCTTGCTTCATTTTCATTTGCAGGGATCTCTTCATCAAAGTTCTGTACTACTTCGTCATTCCATATAACTCCGTCGCCGACTGGCTTCCCTGATCTCCCAGTCATCGGGAATGGCCAAAGTCAAGGATTTCTTCCAAAGACTTGAATCCAGTTTCTCTTGTAGCCTTTGTTATATACGATTAAATTCGGAAGATTTTGCTTATCCATGTTCTCAATAGTGGTGATGTTTGTAAAAATCAGTTTGATATGAAACTTGAGAAACATGAACATAACCCCATTCAGCAAGCAATTCAATAGGTAAGCTGAGAACAAGGCCGCCTCTTTATACGCATAAATATCTCTTTTTTCAATGATTTGTTTTACGCTTGCATATACTGTTGGAAAGAGAGTAATAGTGATTAGGGTCGTTGAAATCAAAACATAGACCAACAGCAAAATGAAAAATTTGCGATTGTAAAATCCCACACAGTTATTGATCCAAGCTGACTAAACATTACGGCAGTGGTGATCCATGTTCAATACACAGCGGTTGCAGGCTGAACAGTGATGAGATCTTTCTGGCTTGAAAACATGGCACATTAAACAGTAGCGTCTTCTTTTTTGCTCTGAGTCACCCATGTAGAACCCTCATAGCGGTGGGACAACTCCTGGGTCAGTTAGCATTGCTCTGAAGAAGCATCAAAGCAGCATAAATAATAAGTAGTGGAAAATGAACAAAAATAAAAAGATTTTGGGTTCTAAATAAAAATTACCTCTATATCTGTCATGAAATGTATGAACTACGTTGTAGTAAATGAATGATATGACGAACAGAACGAACAAAGCGAAAAAGTTCCCTAGCAGCTTGGAGAGTGTGAGAGGTGCTGTTTTTGACATATTAACATCTAACTATTTTGGAAAATTTTATTTAGTATTTTAATAGAGAGAAATAAACAGATCTAATAATAAAATATTGAAATTTAAGGTCTTCAATTAATGTGAAAGCTCTATTATCTCATAGCAAATAAAGCATGATGAATTATGAAAAAAAATTAAATCATTTAAGCTGTAGCGAAATTACATATGTTTTGCTTTTTTATTAATTAGTTTTGAAATTAACTCTCTAAATCCTTTAATTTATTAATCCACTATCTTAGTGAATATAAAGAAATGGTGAGGTTTTATTTAGTTCGGCAAGAAGGCTGAGGTGAAACTTGAACTCGACACTCAAGATCGCAAAACCACGACTTTTAAAGACGCTACAGGCAAAGAGACCACCCTTCCTGTCTACACTGGCAATGACGATCTATCTGGTCGTCTCATAATCAATCCCAAAAAAGGCAAAAAAATGGTTCACCAGGGCATCAAAGTTGAACTGTTAGGCAGTATTGGTAATTTTTACCTAGATATTAATTATGAGCGCAGCCAAACCACTGATTTCATCTCTCTATCAAAAGACCTTGAACCTCCAGGCACAATTACCGATAGCTCAACTGTTCCATTTTGCTTCAACAAAGTTGACAAACAGTACGAAACTTATCAAGGCAGGTTTTGCAGAGTCCGCTACACGCTCAGGGTGACAATAATTCGTAAGAATTTTTCATCAAATATAGTAAGAGAGCAAGAAATTGCTGTTATGAATACATCAACTGAAGTTGAAGATAGCGCTTTAATTAAAATGGAAGTCGGCATTGAAGAGTGCTTGCACATCGAGTTTGAGTACAACAAAAATAAATATCACTTGGCTGACTGCATTGTAGGGAAAGTCAACTTTTTGCTAGTCAGAATTAGAATCAAGTATATGGAGATTGCTATTATTAGAAGAGAAACAATCGGAGCTGGAGCTACTGCAACGAATGAGAATGAAACTATTGCCAAGTATGAAGTCATGGATGGAGCACCAGTGAGAGGAGAGCTTATACCGATTAGAATGTTTTTGAGTGCTTTCAATATGACACCAACTTATATCAATGTGAATAATAAGTTCTCTGTCAGACATTTCTTGAATTTGGTTCTTGTAGATGAAGAAGATAGAAGATACTTTAAACAGCAAGAAATCACTTTGTGGAGAAAAGATTTATAAGCAATAAATAATTAAATTTATAATATATTTTTGCTGAATAATAAAGAAATTTTAGTTTTGGCTTTTAATTTGTAGTAAATGATGTATGAGTCTTCAAAATATCTATACCATTTTAGAAGTCTTAGTATCGGAAATTTGAATTCAGATTACTTCATGGAGTCTATTTTTATAGTAATAAATAGTGCTGGAGAGTTCAAATTAATTGCAATAAAATAGCTTCACAATCCCATTTTTAATTTTCTTAAAGCACTTTCATAATTTTAAAATTCATGCCACACCGCTCTATTTATCGCCCACAGGATATTAAATTACAGATAATCAAAGAATGAATAAAAGAAGCTTATTTCAAATTCGAGACCAATGTAAACTACGCTTCTTTAAAAGAAAATCTATCTTCGCTTCAGCATCTTATCTTAGAGCACTCTTCTTTTCAAGAAACTCTCCTTGATGAAGCGATATCTCTCACTGAAAACTTAGGTGATACTCCACGATTTTTATCTGCAAACCTTTTGCAAACTCAAAAAGGAATGGAATTCGACCAAAATTCAAATAATCCATTTGAAAGTTGCAAACTCCTAATAGCCTCACTGTCAGAAGATATCAACAATTTAATAGATAGAGAACACAAAATTATTGAATACTACAGAGCTTTTGCAGAAAAAACTCAAATGGGGGAAACAGTGAGAAAATCAATTGAAGACCAAGTCGAAAATTTGTGACAATCCCCAGATAAAGTAATCGAAACAGGTAGAAGTAAGGAAAATGAATGACTAAAACAAAGGGTTCTTGAATTAGAAAATGAATTAAAAGAGATGAACTTAATTATTGATGAAATGATAGAGGAAAAAGCTGCATTAAAACAGCAGCTTGATATACATAAAATGGCCTGTGACGAGCGATCTGTACTTCCTGTGGTGGCTTCCTTATGCATATCCGAGTGGGTTATTTGTTGCAAGTAGCTGCCCAAGGGTTGGATTATCCTCAAGGTGAGAGGCCCAACACTATTTCTGCTGTTTAGTGGCCTGGCTTTGAGAGGCAGCTTTTCATCTTTTTTACCAGAAACTGGCTCGCCAACGCTATCACGGGTAAGTCTCTCCAGTTGAAAAGGTCCGATAGCAAGGGCGATCTGGCCAGGGGTTACTAGGGTTGACGCAGGAGAGCAAAAGCTTGGGCTGGGAATTGAGATTCGATAAAATCCTCAAAGGGAGGATCAAATAGGGAGACCTCTACCAAGAAACTGGGAGTTTCGACCCGTCTCATGCTAAGTTGGAAGTGCCTGCATGTTTCTGCCATCCCACTGGTAGCATTTGGCGCTGCTCCATTGGAAGTTGAGACTATAAATACCCAGCATAAATCTAATCTGATTTAAAACAGCAGCTTGAAAAGCCAAAGATAAAAGACGAATTTTCTTGCAAAAAGTGTTCAGATTTAATTGATGAAGTTGATGACTTAAAATTGGAAGTTGAAAGCAACAGAAAACAAATTAAATCTTTAAAAGTAGAGCTTTTAGACTCTGAAAGAGAGCTACAAAAAATATATAAAGAAGATTCTCATAAATCCTCAAAAGATATTTCCAATAAAGAAATTCTTAAGGAAATCAGACAAAAAGATGCAATAATACAAAACTTATCTGAAAAACTGAAAGAGACTGAAATCTCTAAAAATTCTTTGCAAAAAGATGTCGATAACTTAAGAGATCTTATAGAGCAGCAAGAAGGAAGCTTTTCTGACTTGCTGCGTCAAACAAGAGATGAGGAAGAAAAGACTAAAATGTTAGAAGCTAATTTATCAGCAAATTTAGAAGAATTAAGAATAAAAACAAGCCACTTGGAAAAAGCACAGAAAATGATTATCAAGCTGAAGGATGAATTGGATAGAATGATTGAAGAGCTTCAAAATGCAGAGTCAAAAGTAGAAAAATTGCAAAATTCTGTACAAGAACTTGAAGAAGAAAACGTTCAATTAGCTAACCATATAGAAGAGCTAAAAGCAGCAGAGTCAAAAATGCAAGATATTACGTTACAAAATAATATAGAGAGCTTAAAAGAAGTCCATTGGAATGAGCAGCAAAAATTGAAACGAAAAATATCGCAATTAAAAGAAGAAAAAGCAGGATTGGAATTAGCTCTTGAAGAGCTTGAAATCAAACTTAAAGAAATCGAGAAATTCAGTCAAAAACGAGCTGAAATTTTTAATGAGAATTGCCAAATAATACAAGAGCTAGAAAACACAATTAAGGAAAAAGAACAGATTATTAAAAATTTAAAGGATGACAATCAAACAAGAGATTCTGAACTTCTGGCTTTAAAGCATCATGCAAAAAATGTTTTGGCACATTTATTGCCTAACTCCCCCGCTCTGTGAGTGAGTGAATAAAACAATTTTGTTCACTCACGGAGGGGGGTTAATTTTTTTTTTTTTTTTAAAAGTTTGTTATAAAAAATTTTTTTTTTCGGAATTTAAAAAATCCTAATTCGCAAAAATTGGAAAGCAAATATTAATTTAATTTATAAAATTTATGTTTTAAAAAAAGCAATTCGTTTAAAATTAAACAGAATAAGCTTTAGATTTCATTATACTAATTTATCACTTATATATCAATTTTTTTTTCCATAAAAAAATTTTCTATTAAAAAAATTTTTGTTCACTCACAGAGGGTGGGTTTTTGGGCAAAAAATAGCGATTTTTCTAATGGTTTTTGTTCATTCACGGAGGGGGGGAGTAAGGAAGAAGCAGAAGAAGACAAAATTGAAGAAGACTTAAAGACTCAAATAATTTATAAAAGACCAAGCAAAATCAGGCATACCAGAGCTGCATCTATGGAAAATATTGAAATTAACAACAGCGTTTTGGAAAGTCATACTAAAGAAGAAAACAAAACAGAAGAAAAAGTCAAGATAAGTGAAATGAATCTAATAGAAGAATTAGATAGGGCTTTCTATCGAGAAAAGAAGTTAAAAGAGGTTTTGTTAAGTTTTGTGAACAAAGAAGCAGAAAACATAAAAAGCTCAGTAGTGGTTGCAAGCGATAAAGGAGATAGCATAAGAGCAGAAATTGAAAGCTGGGCGATGAGATGCGAAGAATTTAAACAAAAGCTCTCTGAATCAGAAGAAACTGTATCAGTTTTAATGGATATTATCAAAGATTATCAAAGAACAATTGCTGCTAAAGAAAAACTTTCTATTGACAAAATATCAAACGAAAGAGAAATCCAAATTAACCTTCAGTCACATCTTGATTTTTTGCAAGAAGAAATAAAGCTCCTTCACGCTATAATAATTGATGAAATAATCCCAACCTCTGAGAAAACCTTTTCGTCTGCTTTGTCTTCTGCTCACATGAAGCTTTCTTCTTTGAAAAATTATTTACGAGCCCACTCTCTTGATCCTTCTTACATTCGCCATTCAAGTGTGCAAGTGATTCAGCTAAAGAAAGACCTAGAAGATGCTAGAAATGATATTCTTGAAATCTATCACGTGTTTTCCTCGAAATTTAAAGGCTCTGCAATTTCAAGCTTAAATGGCACAAGAGAACTTTTAGGGGAAAAATTAAATAAAACTGAAGAAATCACGAAAATGCCAATAGAAACTTCTGACTTGAAGAGAGAAATAATTACAAAAATTAGAGGATTGAAAGGAGAAGAAGAAAAAAATGGAGAACTGAATCAAGATATAGGAAATTTGCATGAAAAATTAAGAGTTTTGAAGGAGAGTATGGGCGAAAGAGAAAAACTGTGAAATAAAGAGGTTTTCAGACTCCAAGAGCAAATAAAACAAATAAAAGAAATCGCATCTGAGGACAACAGCGAGAAAATCAAGCTTCAAAATCAATTAGAAGAAGAAGTGAATTACTATAAAAACCAAGTTGCAGAATTAAATTCTTATATATATAAACTGAAAGATAAGAATGAAATCATTCAGCAGTTGAAAATGAAAGACTTGAAAATTCAAGACTTGCTCTCCCTCTCTGTGAGAAAACAAAATAATTGGAAAGTTCATGTTTTTGGTGCCATCTCAATGAGCTAGCAAAAAATTTTTTTAATGCAAAATGTTTATGAAAAATATTTTGATCAATAAGCGGTAATTAGTAAAATCTTGATTATTTATTAAAATTTCAACATCTGCATTTAAAAATAAATTTTAGAAATAAAGCTAATTCTTGCTTTACAATTTTGAATTGAGATTTTTTTAGATTTCATAAAAACAATTCTCTAAAATTTTATGTATAAATTTTTTAATTAAAAAATAATCTCCTTTATGAGCCGAACAAAATATTTTTGTTTGCTCACGGAGTGGGGAAATTAGAAAATGAGCTGCAGAACTGTTCAGTAACTATTATCAATCAGAAAAAAGAAATTGAAATATTGGGCACTTATTCTAAACCTGAAAAAGAGGGTTCTAATAGCAATAGGTCTTTTAATGAATTTCTTCCTCCAAAACTTCAATATTTTCATCAACGATCTCTCAGCAATCACTCAAGAAGAGATTTAGAAAATTTGGATAATTCCCAATCAAATAACTACAATAAGCAAATTTATGAGCTTCAAGACAAAATATCTCAGCTTGAGCAAAAATTATCATATGAGAATTCCAATGTTTTGCAGCAAGAATTAGAAAAAATAAAGAAAAAGAAAGAGACCGATAAAATAAGCTTCCAGAAAAGGGTCAAAGAATTCGAATTGATTTTGCGCTACCTGGAAGAAAGAATAAATAAAGTGACTTCACATGAAGAAAGTGGGAAATCAACTAAAATGAATTCTCTTATTGAGCAACTTTCAGCCAAAAATCCGACATTTTGCTCATGAATTAATACACTATGCTCGAAATTAGAAAACTATGCAATTTCGTCAGAAAACCAAGCTAAAAGAGAATTTAATTTTTATTTGGAAGCTTCTAAAATATTATCCAAAATATCATCCATGGATTATGTTTCCTCCCAATTTCATGCTATCACACAGGACCTTGTAGAATCAGGAGTTTTGAACTTAGACTCAGTTTCTGCTAAATTTTTGTCAGGGCTGAGAGGATGCTTGTTAGCTGTTAAGCCTATAAATAGCCAAGAAATCATTGAAAAAATAAATTCGCTGTATGACTTGATAAATGGCGAAGATAGGCACATCAGCGAAGTATACGAAAAAATTTCAAATGAAAAAGAAAATCAAGAGCTGAATGAAATTTATAATTATTCAGCAAGTGCGCTGAGGAGAATAATGCAAGAAGCTAGCACAATTGTTAACATATTATCACAAATTTAACTAATAATATATCCTTCTCTTGTAATAAGAATTTTTTCCTCTTACTGAATTACAAAAGACGCAGTTGCTGTGCAGAAAATCTGCTTTATCTACAAGCAAAAAGGATGAGCTATTCATATCAGCTGAAGCACTCCTTTTGCTACTTTGCCTTATTACCACAAATTTATTTTTATTCAGTATTCAATTAGTATAAAGCGAATCCTTCCCGGTCCAGCCTTTCTTTAATTTCTCTAGCTATTAAAGCGCTTAATTTACCAAATATAATAGATCAGTCTTAACTCTCTACACATAGCAGGTCAAGTTTCGTTCATCACAGAAAATCCATATCCATATTTATTATCTCTTTCTAAAAGGCTTATCTTATTACCTATCCTAATAAAGGTTTTCTCAGAGCTTTTTCATGCTCACTTGCAATCCATGTGAACCTTATTTCATTGTCCATTGGCTCGTTTACTTCATACCCAGTTCCATATGAGCCTTGCTTATCCGAATTACAGCACATTTCTTTCCAATTCTTGAAGACGCTCTTTCTGTCTACCATTGAATCTGAATCTGATCTATCAAGTGTCAGCGCAATTCTCGCTGATCTTGAATATCTCTCATTAGTTGTTGTATTCGTCCAGAAATTTCTGGTTTGCACTGTAAATAACAGTAGCACAGGAGCTATAAAGCCGAAAGAAATCAGAAAGAAAAATATGCATAAGATTTGCTGCACAATTGATGGAAGCTCTATGATAAAGTAGTATTCAGATGTAAAAAATGCTAACTTTCTCATGAGATAGCAAAAAATTATGTTACATAAATGAGTGAGCAGAATTATTTTTGCTCGCTCATGGAGAGGGGAGTAAGGCATCAAAAATGGCATTGGAAATGAGGACTAAAAGAGTCATGATAAGGAACAAATAAAAAAGGCCTAAATTGCGGGCTCCAATGCAATTATTGATTCAAGGACAGTGATGGTCGAATTTCTCTACGCAAGTATCACAGGTTTGGCAGTGCCTTGATCTTGGAGGTCTTTTGATTATACATTCAGGGCAAATTTGAACACTGTCATATTCCTCACAGAGAGACAACAGAGTGTTTCCTTTATTGTTCTTCAAATATCCAGGGTCTTTATTGCAAATAATTAATAGAAAGACAAATTCTATTGCAGATATCGCAATGTAGTAGTTGTTTCTGTAAATAAAGAGAATGTTTCCAGTAATTCCTACCACCAAAAGTACCACAAACAATGCCAAAAGTCCTCTTTTGTATTTAACCGGTCGCTGCGGAGGTTTAATTCCGCAAAGTGACCACAGCCCAGGCTCATTAAGCAAAGAAATGATTGTCGCATGATTAAGTTCCTTTGCAATCATCATCGGAGTTTGGCCTCTTTTGTCTTTGGTTTCGGTGTTTGCTCCTTTTAGCAGTAAATTCCTGACACATCGAGCATTTCCAGAAATAGTTGCCAAATGAAGAGGAGTTTGCCCTTCATCGTCAACTGCATTCACTTCTGCAGGCCAAGACAGCAGAACTGACATTGCGACCTCGCATCCTTGATTAGCAGCTATATGCAGAGGTGTAGCCCCTTTTTTGTCCTTCAAGTTATAAGTGATCCCCATGCTTTCAAACAACGCCAGCATATTCATTTGGTCGCCTTGCGCTGCGATGTGCATGATATTTAGCCCTTGATTTGTCACTGTTTTCGGGTTTGCGCCTAACTTCAGCAGTAATTTTGCTAATTTCTACGTAATTTTTACCATATTTCCTCTAAATGCTGCTAATTGAATGCAAGTAAACCCTTCAGTCGAGGGCTGGTTAACTCAGCTTTTAATAATGGTATCTGCCTGGTTTGGTAAAAACTCCTGCACATATCTTATCAAGAATTTTACTAGTGAGGTCATGCTGTTAAGTGCACAAATGTGTAGCGCAGTATACCCATCTTTTCCTATATGTTTTGCAGGGTTTATAGCATTTTCTTTCATATAAGCGTATAAGTCAGCGACCTGGATATTCCCGTGGGCTAGGTCATTTATTCGACTGATGAAAGGGTTTTGAGTTTCTGAGGAATCCATGATATTTATTTTTAATTGATTATCTATATCATACTATTGAGCCATTTGGCTTGCTAACTGGTCTTTAAATAAAGACACGTTTGGATGCCATAATGATCACTGACCCGGGTAAAGTGTTTATTGGAAACGTAAAACGGCTCCACATAAGTGTCACTAACGCTGTAGTCAAATGCCTATGTAACCATTACGCTTGATTCTAAGTTCATTGCGAAAATGTAGTCAAGTGACAAGTCTTTTGAAGCTTCGTCTATATGGGAGAGGACGGTTTCTTCAGGTTCGCCATTTGGAAGGACTTTGCCGAAGGTGGTAGGGGAAAATCCATATTTGCTTCTGATCAGATCTTTATAGTTGCATAAGGAATCGCCAAAGAGGATAGATATCATCTGCTCATAGTCATCTTGGCACTCAACTGTGGGGAAGACTGGGTCTTTCAGCTTTTCTCGGCCATCGACGTTCATATCACCTAGAACCAAGACTAAGTCTTTGCTGTCCTGGGTCTTCACGTCTATAAAGCTTTTCATGACTTTCAATTGGTTTCTCCTTATATTTCTATAATACTGGAACAGTTTTGCATCGTCTGTGTGGTAAGATGCTTGTGTATGGGTAGAAAAAACATGAGCAGTTTCTCCAGAAATAGAAATTTTACAGTATATAACACCCTTAAAGGTAAATAAATCTGGTCCCATCCCATTATAAAACCCTTGGAAGTCTTGCTCAATAATAGGGAACCTGCTGAGAACTAGTAATCCTCCGTCAGTAATTTGGTTAGACCAAAAACTGGGAGCAGGGGACTGGGAAAAGTAAAAGCCAGCCTGAACAGCACTCTTTATCAGTCGATTCCTTCTCCTGGTTAAAGTACCGAAGACTTCTTGCAAGCATATGAGGTCATAGCTATCCAGAATCTCATTTATGAAGTAAGTCAGTCTTTCATCTTTGTAGTCACTTTTGTTATTTTTAATCAAAGGAGGCCGAAGAAATAAATTTAAAGTTAAAACTCGAATTTTTTTAGGGGGGAGGGCCGTGTCAGTTGTACTTTCACTCAGGGGTGATAAGAGCTGGATTGCATAGGTGCTGTCCATTTTTATAAGTTATTAATTTCTTCAAGTATCATTTGGCCAGTGATGTCGGAATTTAGATAGAAATAGGTGAAGTCAAAAAGATTTTTAGCGGTATTTGTTTTATATATAGTTTTGCGGCGCTGAACAAGTAGTTAATTTGGTTTCTGATGCCTTAATAAAAGAATATTATAATGAATATCATTCTCTATAAAGGCTTAATATAAATAATGACTGCACCAATCACTAGCTAACTACAAGAGAACTTTATACTTAAGTTTACATTTTACCAATATAATTTCGCCATCCTTGTAGCACATTTATTTATCTCGATTGAATCTTTTTATCTTTTGCATAGAAAAGAACAATTAAAATATGCTTGTTCTAAAGTCCTAGCGGTTTTATTTATTTCATATATCGATCAAAGGTTATAATAAATAGGCATAGAAAAATGTTGCGACAGATCCGTCTATGTCCATCTGGCTGTCAATACTGAAACAAAGCAATCATCGCTCGAGGAGGACAGTTTTTAGCTTATTGCTCAACACTTGCAATTTATTTACTCTTCTTTTTGATTAGCGAGCAAGATATTATAAGTTGTTTTAAAATTTTATATAATTTTAAAAATCCATTTGGAAATATTTGAAAAATCAATTTTAATTTATAAATTTATACTTAAAAATAAAATCATTAACTATTTAATATTGTTCTAGGATTTTATTACTCTTATAGCCCGTTCTCGGCTATAGATTGGGCTTAGCCCGTTCTCGGCTATAGATCGGGCTTAGCCCGATCTTTGCCGGGAAACTCGGGGGGTTGTCTCCGTCACTTTGAGGTGACGAGTCAACTTCCCGAGTTGGCAAAATAGCCGCTATATGGTGATTTGCCAACTTGGGGAGTTGACTCGTCACATCAAAGTGACGGAGACAACCCCCCGAGTTTCCCGGCAAAGATTTGGCTAAGCCCGATCTATAGCCGGGAACGGGCTATATTATAATTAGCTATATCTAAAATAATATATATTATTAAAATGATTTTTCTATAGCATCAAAAAGTAGGATTTCCAATCATGTAGTTCCCTAACAAAGGAGTCAGTTGATCTTGATACTTTTAGCATCCACAAAATCATATCAGCTCATGAGCAAACAATTTCATGCATTTCTTGGAATAATTTAGACCCTTCTCAATTGGCATCTGTATCCACTGACAATTCGTTTTATCTTTGGAATGTCAGCCAGGACTCACCTATTGTAAGTATGCTCCTGACTAATTTGGTCTTGATGATGGAATTCAATCCATTCAACAAAGAAGAAATTCTATTTCTACATGAAAATGGAGACGTCAAAATCATGAATACAGCAGCTGGCACTTTGACTAGAAAAGCTAACTATGCTGGAGTCAGGCCCAGCATTTTGAGATTTCACCCTAGCATCAATGGGAAATTTGCGCTTGGTTGTATTGAAGGAGTCGCTTTGAGCTGCGAAATGAAGCATGACAATGTAAAAAGGCTTGAAATGCCAAAGCAGCCATCTGCTACAGAAGACTTGCAATGGGATCCATTGTCAGATAAATACCTCTTAGTCGCTTTTAAAGACGGAAGCATGGTGCTTTTTGATGCAGAAGAGCAGTCTATTCTGCAGACGTTTGACAGGCAAGGAGCAGGCATCAGAAGCATTGCTTGGAACAAAGCAGCTCCTGGAGAATTTTTCACAGCAACTGATAAAATTGCAGCCTTAAAGCTTTGGAATGTCTCGAAAAAGGCTCCAGTTGATACTATTAAAATTGGGAATTCAGGTGTGAGGCAAATCAACTACTTACATGACCGAGCTTCTCTGATCTGCAGCTTCAAAAGTGGAAGTGTTGGGGTGTTTTCAATTGTGAGGAAGAAACTTGAATTCCAGACTGAGTCAGGCCATGCAGAAACTATTTTTGATGTGAGAATCAATCCACAAGATAAAAACTTGTTAGCAACTGGATCATATGACGGAAGCATTAAAATCTGGGACATGAGGACTATGAAAAATATTGAAACTTTATATTCCGATGCTTTAGAGTTTGGTAAATTTAAAGGAGTCATGCAGACTAAAAGTGTTGTTTATGGGCTAGCATGGGGCCCAGGTACGCTAATAGCTGGCTGCACAGCTAAAGGTGACGTTCTTTTATTTGACTACGCTAAGCCAGTTCTTATCCACCGCTTTAAGCCTACAATCGAAGCCCCAATCTTCAGGATTGATTGGAATCCTTTAGACCAGAGTTTGCTGGCAGTTGGGACTTCAGACAACTTCTTAATAATTCTAAAGCTTGATGGACAACAGCTGTCTACACTTAAAACAGTCCGCCATCCGCATACAGTTTATGGCGTTTCTTGGCATCCTCACAATGAAAATATGATTGCAACTGCATGCCAAGATTCCCGTGTCCGCGTCTACACTTTTAGTCAATCAGCTCCTGACCAATGTGTTGAGCTAAGAGGCCACCAAGCTAAAGTGTTCAATATTTGCTGGAATCCGACCTTTGATAATATTTTGGCAAGCAGCTCAGACGATAGGACAATTGGTGTTTGGGACACTTCATCAGGAACTTTATTGAAAAGGTTAGAAGGTCACACTCACAATACCAGGGCACTTGTGTGGAACACTGAAATTCCATGGATGCTGATTACAGGTGCTTGGGATAGTCTGTTGAAGGTCTGGGATATAAGGACTGGCACTTGCATGTACACTGCTAATGAGCACCATGCTGATATTTATGGACTTTGCTCACATCCGTCAAGGCCTTTCCTTTTTGTTTCTGCTTCTCGTGATACTTCAATTCGATTTTGGTCTTTGGAAGATTTCATGTCTCAGCTCGAACTTAAAGCAATTATTAACCAAGACTGGACAGAATTAATGGGAGCCCCTACTCTAGACCCCGCTGCCCCAGTTAATCTTTCAGGAAAAGGAAGCCGCGATATACTCCAAAAGCTTCGCGAGTGCAATGAAATAGAAAGGTATCAAGCAATTGTTGCCTTTTTCAGATACAGGTCAGGCGAAGAAGATTTCTTTGATATGTTGAACTACATTTTTAACAGCAAAGGATGCAACCCAAATAACCAGATTTTACCAATCGAGGCTTTATGCACAGCTAAAAAAACCCGCGCTGATGAGCTTGAACAAGCTTCTGGGATGGCTTATCTTGGCAGCGCTTTAGCTAAAAAGGAAGACCGTCTAATTGAAGCTGCCAAAATTCACTTAAAGCTTGGAAACCTACAGAAGTACTGTGAGTTGATGATAAAACTTGGGAAATGGGAAAGAGCACTTGCATTTGCCCCTGGGTTCTGCATGGATTACTGGCAAAATGTTGCCCAAAGATATGCACAAAACTTGTCAGTCAATGAAAAAGAAGACGCTTCAGCAGTTTATTTGGCTTGTGGAAAAGTAGATAAGGCAATACATTTCTTCCAGAAAAGAAAAGACCACAGTGACGCTTTATTGGTTGCAAGCAGCAAGAGCACCGGGGTTTTCGGAAGCATTCCTTCAGAAGGGCCACGACCAACTGGAGTTGGCCAAAAAGATGTGACGACGCTTCAGACGATTACTGCAAATTTAGCAGAAGATTTCTTTAATAGTTGTGAGCCAGTTTTATCAGCGGCCTCTCATATTTCTTTGCAAGACTCTGAAGGAGCTTTAACTAAGCTGCTAAGGTCACACGAATTGACTTATGCATATATTCTTGCAAAATTATATGCACTCCCTCAGAGAGAAATCTTGTTTATGCTAGCCAAAAAGGTGGAAAAATATCAGGACTGGGATTTACTGATGAAACTACTTGAAGGAGAAAATGAGCTAAAAGAGCTGTTCTCTGCAAGACTTCCTGAAAATCTTTTAGGAGAGTTCGGCTTTGAAAGGCCTGAATTTTATTGTGCGAAAGGAGACAGAGCACTATCTGAAGGGAAACTGAAAGAAGCCATTAAGTATCTGATTATAGGTAGAAACGCTTCAAAAGCTTGCTTAGTCACAGTTGGAATGTTCAAAGAGTATATTTCAGCGAATCAAAATCTTTCTGAGCTTTTCGAGATCATGGAGTATTTTGCGTTCATAAATCTCGATCCAGTCCCTATCAAAGTCAAAGCAGAAATTCTAGCAGTCGGGTCAATCCTTGGTGCAATGCAAAGCATGTGGAAAGGGTACACCCTAACGCACATCCTGGCCATCACCTATGCAAATCTCTGCAGACATCAAGGCCTAGACATGCCTCTTTCACCAGCATTTAACATCTATATATCAGCTATCATAGAAACCAAGCAAAACCCAGCTGGCGCTAAAGACTATATTCAGTCACTCCTCCCCTCCCTAAACCCAAGCGATGTAGAGCCTATGGGAAATATTTTATCTCAGCTTGACAAAGCAACTGATGGCCAGCCAAGCCTCGTCAAAAACCAAATTAAGCTAATCGGTAGCAACCTCCCAGCTAACAACTTAAACGCTGTGCTTCCAGTTTCCATTTTCACTAGAAAAATCATTCAAGGGCCTTCCTATATTTTTGGAAAGGCCGCTTTAGGCTTAGACGAAGCACTGATGTGGGCCAAGGTGAATCCATTTTCTCCCATGAATGATGGATCAATAATTAATCCTTATTAAAATTTCACTTGGCCGAAGAATTCAAATGGAATGTTTATTATTTAAATTTTAAGTTACACGCTGTAAATTGCTTTGCAGCCAAACCTACAATTCCATCTCATTGCAGTTGTCTGGGACCTCGCATGCCTCGAGATCTGACTCAAAAATGCCTCGGATGGCTTCGTCTCCGAGGGCAAACTTGTTGTTAAACTTATCAATTTGATATGAAAATCTTGGACATAAATCTGTAACACAGTTCAGATTGCTTAGGCAGTCTTTTATGGTGTGTTCAAGAGATATGCTATTTCGGCTGCTCCGTGACTCTTGGGAATACATAAACTCATCTAGGTCTTTGGATGGAGATGCGCTGTCATTCAAACAATTGAAATTCCAGCTATTAATTATGTCATTTGGGATGTGTGATAAATTTAGTGTGTCAATTGAGTCAGAGATCCTGCGCTCTTCTCTTATTTCTGGATCAGATCCAGATGGTTTGGCTTGATTGTGTGTTTCTTTGTGAAGCTCTTTTGCTTGAATTGCTCCCATTTTATTGGTATTACGATTGCGAAATAAAACAGCATCAGCAATATTTTAGTGAAATTAGTTTATTTTACCAAAATTTCCATACAAAGATCTAATTAAAACTTCAAAATATTATTCTGGATCAGCCTTTTACCAATGAAAACAGCACTAGTAGCGAATCCCATTCCCAATAAAAACCAAAATGCTATGCTTGAAGATTCTCCAGAGCCACTGTTTCCTCCATCTCTTCTTAAGCTTCCTTTATAGGGATACTGCGCTGTATCTTTTATCTGTTTAAACAACGAATCTGGCACTTTTTTTGAAAAATTCACTTGGGCATACTCTCTTAACCCAAGCTCTAGGGAAAAGGCGTAGACATTTTCGTGATCTTGGTTTTCTCTTTTATTTAAAATTAGCAGTCTTGGCATTTTTTGAGGTAAAAGGGTCAAAACTCTTTCTTTCAAGAAATTAATTGAGCCTAGGCTTCCATCAAATATAATACATGAAATATCGCACTCTTCAAGGGTGTTTAAATCAGGGTCTCTGCACAAGAGTAAGTAAGTATTATCAGAAAACACATCTCCAGGGTCAACTGCTCCACAAACAACGCTTGGGACGTGATCTCGTATGTTTTTGCCAAGAAAACTCCTCATTAAAGAATTCTGTGATTCGATATCATCGCCAAGCAAATTGACCTTGAAAACTTTTCTATCAGACTCTTTGCTGAAATTTCTTGCAGAAGTGACTGTATAGGCAGTTTGGAACTTATTTGGATAGCCTATCATCAGTAAAGTTTTAACTGTTTCTGCAGGTTTTGTATAAATCAAAAAAGTCCATAGCGAAAGCCAGCTAGAAATTGATAATTCTCTGTCAGGAGTTGCAGACACAAAATGAATATAATCATCCCAAGATTTAAAATTTCCAGTTTCCCAGGGCGGAGTTGTTATTGTTGAAAAAATTTCAAAAATTCCTTCTCTTGTTAATAAAGAATCTACTGAATATTGTTTGAAAATGTCTACTAAAAATTGAATGGAATCGTTGGAGAACTCGCAGGATTTTCCTTCTTCAATTTTCAAATCAATTTTCTGCTCCAGATCTAAATTTTCATTAAACCCGAAATGCTTTAACAAAGCCCATGAATTTTTTGTTTTTAGCTTTTTAATCAGAAGCTCTTGCAGTTTTACGAAGCCTTCAAATTTTATACCTTTGTCATCAATTCCGTCAGAGCATTTATTAGAAATCATTGAAAATAAATCTCCTGCATCCTTAAGCGATAAATTTTGCCCGTAAACTGCTTTATTTAATCCTTGGATTTCTAATAAATTGAGTCTAAAATCTCTGTCTTTATCAGACTTTCTATAAATCAGCTTTAAAATTCTGATGAAGTTTTCACTTAAACAGTTTTGTGCAGTATTGAACAAAGGAGAAGCAGGATACAAAATGGCCTGCTGGGTGATTTGAAATAGCTTTGATATACTTACATAAGACTTCGCTGAAGTCTCTATCTGAATATAGCACTCAGGAAACCTTGCCCTGATTTCTTCTGATATTGCTTCTTTGTTTTCTATACATTAAAATGGCGATACGTGTAAACCTGCCTTCTTGGCGCAACAGTCCGGACCTTATGGCTACGGCGAACTGGGACGGACTCCGAGCTGAGAATCAAGTGCAGGCTCAAGAGGTGTGTATCCGGGTAGGTTTTGGCTGCTTTCATGTGGTTGGAAATGGAGGTGCTCAACAACATCCTTTGGATATGAGGATCCATGGGCATTCCTCTACCGAAAAACTGGGGTTTCGGCCCAGGCCACAGGGGAACAGTCTTTTTCATGTAGCTGTCGAAGAAAGGCACTTCGACACCCGATAGACTCCAAGGATCCTTGGAATCAAGCTCCTCCAATCGCCCGTAGCAGGTCCGCAGAAATCCATAAGCCGCCCACTCAAGACTGAAGCCTCAAGGTAAGGAGGAGACAGAAGGTACCGGAAGGGACTCGCAAGAGAGATATACCTTCTGAGCTGGAGTCGAAAAGCGGTAGAACCTCCCGTACAGGAGGTCTTCGGTGACTGCGTCACCAATATGGCTAGCGCCTGACTTTAATAATCCTAATCCTAATCCTGCTTCTTTGTTTTCTATCAGACTTGTCATATCATTTTTATTTCCTACAAGGATGCTGGGGCTCTTTGAGTTTTCATATATTAAAGGCAGCCAAAAACTAACGGCATGTTGGAAAGTTTGCGGTCTGGACACATCATAAACCAGCACAATGCCATCAGCTTTCTTTATTTCTTGTATCAGCTGATGACTGTTTTCTTGTTCTCTACGGTAATAAAAGTCTATAATAGTTAAGAAAGATTTGGAGTCTGAAAGCTCAGCTGGGATTATTATAGGTGGGTTTGCAGGAGGGACTTCAGTAGGGAAGCTTTGGGATACAAAAGTGCGGATAATAGAGGTTTTTCCCACTTGCTCGTCTCCTAGCACTATGACTCTTAATTTTGACATTAAAATTAGATTACTCAGATTATTTTTAAAAGTTAAAGTAAGCGTCCTTTGTTTTTATAGCAAAGCTTGATGAGTTCTAAAAAGTCTTTGCAGTTCTCTATACCTTTGACGTCAATGCAAAGCTTGAATCCTTGCACAGGCATTTTGCAGATTTTATCATCCAGGGCTTTTATGTTCAGATGCTCTTTGATAGCTTGCTCTGCTTCCATTGTTTATTAAAAGAATTTTTGAAGTATCACTATCTGATAACAAATTTTTTGTATAAATGGGAGCAAGAGGGTCAAAAGAAACACTTGAAGACACAATTTTCAACTTAAGAATGGGTTCCAAGCAGCTTGCTAAAGAATCCCAACGAAGCGAGCAGCAGTGCAACATCGAAAAACAAAAAGCTGCAGCAAGTCTCAGAAAAGGGATGATTGATAATGCTAGGATCTATGGGGAAAACTCAATAAGATTTCACAACGAAAGCCTGAATTACTTGCGTTTGTCCTCAAAATTAGATGCAGTGCAATCCCGTCTTCGTTCTGCATCTAGAACCCAAGAATTAACCAAACAGTTTGGCCACATCGTCCCACAGATGAATTCTGCTTTAAAAAGTATGAACCCTGAGGTCATTGCTAGGACCATGAATCAATTCGAGAGCGTCTTTGAAAACTTTGAAGTTGTTTCAGGCACAATAAATCAATCATTAGAAACAGCTACTGTGACAAGTGCGCCGAGAAGTCAAGTCGATGACTTATTAAACCAAATCGCTTCAGAACATGGCATACAAGTCCAAGCCGAGCTTGGAGAAGTGCCCCTTACACAGCCTATAAGCCAGCCCCAGCAAATGAGAGAGGAACAAAAAGCGGGGTATGCTAGATATCAATAATTATTAGGCTAATAAAAATATGTTTAGTATAAGTGTCCAAGTACCTCAAAATTCTGTAATAACAATAAGAGATCCTCTTTATGAACAAGCTGATGATATAGAATATGTAGCTGCACAGCTGACTGATCGAGTGGAAGTTTACGAGACCTTGGGGAAAATCATGCTTTTTAAGGAATCAGGAGAGCTAAAAGAAGAAATCCACCAGTCTCATATAGATTTTTTGCCTTTGCAGAGATCTCATATGGTCTATATTTTGGCTGTGCCAATTAGGATAGAAAATATTCAGATTTTTTTGGGAAGTTTTGTGGATGATCTTTCTTATTTGAGGATCCTGAGGACAAGCACATATTATTATTCAGTAGTTTTGGTTTTTCAAAATCAGTCATCAGCAGACAAGTTTTATTTCCAATATAACGGCAAAGAGTTTGACGAATGCTCATATGAATATTGTTACATTGTATATCTTTCTGGAGTCAATTTTTGTTCTTTACCTATGATATTTGATGATTGAAAAGAATTGCCAACGTGCCCAGTTTGTATCGAAAGATTAGATGTGAATATAAGCGGAATTACTGGGGTTCTGAGAACCGAAGTTGCAGAATCGATGGGGAGCAGGTGAAATGGAGTTTTAAATGAGTGCAAGGTATGCAGAAGTGTAGGAAATGCTGGAGATCTAGTCTTAAGGCTTGCTAAAAGTGCGAGCCATGAGGAAAGATGTGAAGACTGTGAAGAAAGAACAGAACTATGGATTTGCTTAATCTGTGGACATCTTGGGTGCGGTCGGTATAAAGAAGCCCATGGCAAAGTCCACTTTCAAATAACAAAGCATAGCTTTACCTTAGAGCTTGCCACACAGCGTATTTGGGATTATGCAGGCGATAATTATGTTCACAGACTTGTTCACTCTGGGCCAAGTCTTGTTATCTTCGATGAGGAGCTTTCAGATGAGCCTAAAGAAGATCTCGACAGAATGATTTGAGAGTACAACTACCTCATTAATAGCCAACTAGAGCAGCAAAGACTGCTGTATGAGTCCAAAATTGAGTCAAAGCTAGAAGAAAAGCACTCACTCCGCTCCCTCTATGAGCGAACAAAACCTAAAAAAAATCCCTATTTTTTGGGTAAAAGCCCTGTGATAGAACGAAAATTCATTTTATTATAATTTTTTTTTTTACAAAAATATTTTGATATATAAATAATAATTATTATAATGAAATCTGTAGCTAATTCTGTTTAATTTTAAACAGCTTGCATTTTAAAACATAAATTTTATAAATTAAATTAATTTTAGCTTTCCAATTTTTGCGAATTGGGATTTTCTTAAATTTTGGAAAAGCAATTTACTAAAAATTTATATATAATTTTTAAAAAAAAAAATTTAACCCTTAGTGAGCGAATAAAATTTTTTTGTTCAGTCACCGAGGGGGAGTCAGAAATCAGCGAGCAAATTAAGCTCGCAAAGGCAGAAAATGAAAGGCTAAAAAGATTATCGTCCAAAATTAAAGGGATGGAAAAGAAAAAGCAAGCTTTAATAGAAAAGTTAAAAAAAATTACAGAAGAAAATGAGCTGCAAGAAGAAATTAATAGGACATTAAAAATCAGCCTAAAAGAAGAAAGCGATGAGCCAGTCTTTCTTGATAAGAAGAGTAAAGCTACGTATTTGAAGTTGCAAAGATTGAGGAAAGAAGTTGAAGATATTATGCAAAAATTGGGGTAATTGAAATGATAGCTTTCAATAATATTGAATAAAAAAATTGTTTTTGTCAGCATTCTGTCTCTGGATATTTGCTAAAATTTATTGGATAATAATAAAAGGTTAATAAAGCATCCGAAAAGGTTTTATTTATAAGTTGTTTAGCATAATTATATTCTTATCAGCATTTCTTTATATTCTTAGCCATTTCCATTTATAAATGATCTTCGCTCTTTTGCTGGGCTTAGCAGCTAGTCAATCAACAACACCAACAACAATTCATGACGGCCAAACCGTCGACGGTAGTAAGCATTCTTTTCTGGGTGGTCTTGATCTATATTTATTTCATGTTTCCAATCTGACAGGCTCAGATCTTGCATTAACTCTGACAACATATTCTGACTGAGACGACCCAGATCTCGTTGTCTCTAAAGGGAGTGCCCCGACCTTAGACAACTTCGATTGGATAAGTCTGACATGGGGGATGGGCTCTATTGTAATTCCTTCAGATGAGCTCTCTGCAGAAACAGACTATTATATTTTGGTATCATGCTATACATATTGTCGGTACTCTCTAACAGTCTCTTATATGTCAGAAATCACTCTGATTGAAGGCGTTCCTATGTCAGGAATTTTATCTAAAGGAAGACAGCAAGTCTATAAGTTCTTGACTCCTGATACAGCCTCAGAACAATTGTCAATAGATGTGACTTTAAGAAATGGTGACATCAAGCTATTCGTTTCAAAGAATGGTGAAGAGCCAGGGACAAGCAACACTTTGCCAGTTGACAAAGCATGGCACTCCGGAATGACGTTTAGTGATCCGGTCCCAGATGTGAGCACGTGGTATAGAGCTGCGGTTGTAGCATTAGAGGATTCTCAATTTACAGTCATTGCCAATTTAAATCAGACTGAAGTCGTTGACTTACAAGCATCAATTACGAGCTATGGGATCGTGAATTTTAGCGAATTCAATTACTATAAAATTTATGTGGACAATGAAAACGAAACCCTGTCAATTTTCCTTACCCAGTTTTCTGGAGATGCTGACATTTATGTGAAGGCTGGAAAAGCTCCTACGAGAAAGGATTATGATTTTTGCAGCATTCAGGTAGGAAATGACACTTTAACAATCTCAAGCTCTCAGAGACAAGGAATCAATAAGTCTGTTGGGTACTAACGATGATCCCCCCTCAATCTTCATGTCTATTGCAACAAAAATGCAATTTTTTAATATAAAATTTTATATAAAAAAAAATAATTTTCATGTCTCTTGCAACAAATTATATATATTAAAATGGCGACACGTGTCAACCTGCTCTCTTGGCGCAGCAGTCCAGACCTTATGGCTACAGCGAACTGGGACGGACTCCGAGCCGAGAATCAGACGCAGGCTCAAGAAGTGTGTATCCGGGTAGGTTTTGGTTGCTTTCCTGTGTTTGGAAATGGAAGTGCTCAACAACGTCCTTGGATCCGAGGACCCATGGGTATTCCTCTAACGAGAAACTGAGGTTTCAGCCCAGGCCACAGGGGAGCAGTCTTTTTCCTGTAGCTGTCGAGAGAGAGAGAGAGAGATTAGTTAGAGAGGTTAAGCGGGGATTATTTCAGCCCCTAGCCAGTCGGACTTCAGCTTCGTGCTTCATGTGGCACTAAGCACTAAAGCCACCTAACGCCCTTTTTCTTCGGAGCTATCAAAAATGGTGACGTCCTCAGTCTGTCGGGGAGACTCACCCCGACCCTGCTGGATCAAAAATTTCGGCAAGGACTCTCTTAACCCCTGGTGGTGCTCAGGGTATGAGAGGATCGTCCATTGTCTTCTTCTGGAACCACCTGTGCCATTCGCAGGCACCATAATGCTCCTCCAGAAGTGCTTGATTGATGTTGCGCCGTCGGTATCTTGTCTGTGGGTCGAGGGGAAGCCCAGTCAGCCCAAGCCTGCACCCCACCCCGGAGAATTGCCATCTGCGACCCCTTGGCCTTCCGGCCGTTTTATTTTTTTTTTTACACGGCCGAATTCTGGGATTTTTTTTGCTGTCGCCGAGCCAAAATGGCTTTCCATCTTGCAAGATGGAAATTTGTAGCTGTCGAAGAAAGGCACTTTGACACCCAATAGACTACAAGAGCTGATCCTTGGAATCAAGCTACTCCAATCGTCCGTAGTAGGGCGCAGAAATCCATAAGCCGCCCACTCAAGACTGAACTCCCAAGGCAAGGAGGAGACAGAAGGTACCGGAAGGGCACTCGTAAGAGGGATAGATCCTATGGGCTGGAGTCGAAAAGCAGTAGAACCTTCCGTACGGGAGATCTTTAATGACTGCATCATCAATATGGCTAGCGCCTGTCTGTAATAATCTTAATCCTAATCCTCTTGCAACAAATTTTTCGATACGCATCTTATATTTTTCCGTACTTTTTAGCTATATAAGTTTAATAAAATGGCGAGCGATGACAATAGCCGTCCAAATCTCGATGAGAAGGTCATTGACACACCTACAGTAGCGCTGTTTTATGGTTTTTTTGAGAAACTCACCTAGAGAAAAATGCATTAATTTTTTTTACAAAAATGTTGTGTTGCAGTAGGCATGAAGATTTTTTCGAAAAATTTTTGTTGCAGTAGACATGAAGATTGAGGGGGGGTCATCGTTACTATATCGGCATCTATGGAATTTCTCACTCAGCTTATGGGCTAACTGCATCAATCAATCAAGAAAGTGTTGTATGGCTAGTGCCTGGAATACCGCTCACATCTTTTGTAGACTCACATGACATTTCAATGCATTATTTAAACCTGGTTCCAAATTCTGTCTATAACATCTCAATCCACTTAACAGCGCTTTCGGGAAATCCTGACTTATATGCAAAATTATGCTCATCAACAGATGTTAAAAGCTGCACATTTACTGAAGATGAGCTAAGTGGGCAATCTAGCTCTGTATATTCTTCGAGAAATCAATATGGGAGCGACTCTATTACGATTAGCCACCAAGCCAACTCTTGCAGAGCAAACCTTACCTGCGCTTACCTCATCGGAGTCAAAGGAAGCTCCAGTTCCCGCAGCGATTATACAGTTTTAGCTACTTATAATTCTACGATGGAGCAATTTTTGCAAGAAGGAAGGCCAGTATCTATGAGTGTGACAGGAGGTGATTACAAATACTTCAAATATAATGTCTTCAACATCACTGTAATGCAGGTAGAATTCATTTTGACACCTATAACAGGCGATCCAGATTTGTTTTCAAGCAGAACTTATCAGCCAAGCACTTCCAACTATGAAATGTCATCAAGAAAAAATGGAGTTATGGTTGATTCCATCAAATATGCCAAAGGTGTAGACGGAGAGACACTTAATGGAGAATATCATGTCGCTGTGTATTCAACTCTATCCTCCTCTTTTTCTATAGTCGCCAAAGAAACGATTCCAGGCACAAATACAACAATTCTTATATACCCAGGACATCCTCAAAAAGATACGCTTTTTAACTCTAATGACACTGACTACAGAATTTACTACTTCCCTATTCATTTTACTCACTCCCTCCCTTTATATAAAATTTAAAGAGGGGTCGATTTTTTTTTAAAAAAAAAATTAAAATGTTTTCTCTATAAAAAATTTTTTAAAAAATAAAAAAAATATATATGAAGAACAATACTTTGAATTTTAATTTATTTTTATGAAAAATAATTAAATAATTAGTTGATTCAGTGCAAAGCCTGTTTAATGTTGTTCTACTTGCATTTTGCCTATTAAATTAGGCTAAAACTAATTTTATAAAAATAAGTATTTTTACCTCCAGTTTTTCTTTATAAAATAATAAAATTGAACACAATACTTTAGATTTAATTAATTTTTATGAAGAATTTAATAAAAAAATTAATGATTTAGCGTGAAAATTTTTAAATAATGCTATACTTGTATTTTGACTATTAAATTAGGTCAAAACTAATTTTATAAAAAATTAGTATTTCATTGATAAATAAAAATTATTGTTCAATTTAAAGGGGGTTTAAAAGTACAAAAAAGTGCAAAATTTACCGATGTTTCATTCCAATTTAAATGGGGAGTCAGCAAACAAAAAAGCCTATAAGAGTCTCATTAACACCTATAACAGGAAAATTTTCATTATATGTTGCAAATCAGCTGGAAAACTTGGACTGGTCAAGAGAAATCTTTTGGTACAATTGGATGGGATATTCGAATGGCAGTGATCCAAATAATGTCATAAATATTTTACCTTCAGATCCTCAATATAAGCTAGATAGCACTTATCTTATATTGGTGAACGGGGAAGAATTTGCTTATGATAATACTTCAACTTATTCTATAGTCTTGTCAGTTGGCGATGGCACTGTAATTCTATCTGATGATGTGCCATATACAGATCAAGTCTCTGATAAGAGCTACAACTTTTATATGTATCCGATTCATGAAGACCATCAAGAAGTCACCATTTCTGTCACAGCCCTAACAGGAGATCCTGATATCTACGTTTCTGTGTTCCCCAATAATACACGTCCTACAAAGCCAAATTTTGATTATGCTTCCAATGTATTCGGAAGCGACACCATCACACTTGATTATAATCGTGACATAAAGCAAGGCTGCCAAAGCACCCAAACAAGCTGCAACCTTTATATTGGAATCCATGGTTACGTAGCCAGCACTTATACAATCAGAGTCCACTCAAAGAACAACTTGCCTAAAGCTTTAGTATCAGGAGCTCCAGAAACTGACCAATTAAACAAAACTCAATATAACTTTTACTACTATTCAGCATCGACTTTAGTCCCATTATCGATTAGTATTCAGTCGTCCCAAGGAGACGCTGATTTATATGTGAACTTAATGGACTCAACTGTAGCAGGCAGCAATACTTCATCATGGCTTATGCCTACATTGTATCATGCTCAGTATTTATCAATGTCCACTTCCCTTATTGATGAAATTAATTTGAATAATACAGCTCTGGGATCTGGGTGTCCAAGTGGAACCTGCATTGCCCTTGTAGGAGTTTTATGCTTCAGCGATTTCTGCAGATATACGATTGAGGTGAACCAAAACTCAGTCTATACCCTTATGGAAGGAGAATCCAAGTATGGCTATGTGGAGAGTGGGAAGTTTGTGTATTATTCCTATTATTGTGACAAGGACTGGACAGACTTGGTTTTCACTGTAACTCCACTTAGCAGTGGAGACCCTGATTTATTTGTAAGCAAGGGAAGAGACCAAAGACCAGTCCATTCAAGCTCAAACTGGAATTCTCAGTCATGGGGTGGTGATTTGGTATCGATTATGTCAAATGATACTTACTTTAAGACGGGCAACATCACAATGAAAGGGATTTATATCATTGGAGTCTATGGAGCTTCTGCTTCTTCTTTTACATTGACTGCTAATAGCCATTCTCAAGCAATTACAAAACTAACTGTAGGGCAGCCAACTTATGGTTCTGTAAGGCTAAATTCTATTAACTATTATTATTTCGTGAACTCAGCTAGGCAGGATATAACGATACAGGTTACGCCAAACATGGGAGATCCGGTTTTATATGCGAATCCTGATGCAAGCGATGATGATTTGTATGGAAAAATGCCTACGAGTACAAATTACACATGGTCAAGTATATCAAGCTCTGATAGATATACTATTAAAATCTCCAAGGATGATCCGAATCTGTGCTTGCTTTGTAATATTGTTATTGGCGTGTTGGCAAATAACTATAATTGCAGCTATAGCATTATTGTCAGTACAACAGCTTCTTCAATACTCCTGCAAAATGGGGTTCAATATAACTCAAGATTAAATACTGACGAGTATCATTATTATTATTTCCAGGTAGTCAATAAAAGTGACATTGATGTTTCCTTTACTTTATTCAGTGGAAACGGACGAATTTTCTTAAACACAAACGATACCATAGATAAAAATCACTATTTATGGACTTCTAATGACAGCTCCAAAATAAAGCATATTCACATAAAAGAAAATGACAGAAATTTGCGAATCGGACTCTACTATATAGCAGTTTATGGAGAAGAAGATGCCTCATACTCAGTGATCGCTACCACCAGAAACAGTTATATCAGCTTAGTTGATGGCTGGCCACAAACCTACAGTCTTGAATATTATTCACAAGATAAGCTATATTTCACATATAAAATCCCTAACGGTTTTAATAGCCCAGTCTACTGCCATTTAAGGTCTTTCCAGCAGGAATTCAAGCCTTGGGTATATGCTGATATTTATTTAAGAAGTTTTGACTCTACTAGAGATTATCCATCCCCAAGTATTCATGACCAAGCTTATAATATTTCGAACTATATTGATTACAGCAATACCTTGCAGATGGTCTTCATGCCAAAGCCTCAAGCTACCAAAATTAATTTAGCTGTTTTCGGAATGACACGGCCAAATCACTCCTCAGACGAGCTTGGGGATTTTGAGTTAGTATGCTCTTCATCAATGCAATATACAGTGCTACGTGAAGGTGCTTCAGTAATTGATTCCAGCTCAAGCTCTATAAAGACCCATAGATATGAAGTCAATATTGATACCAAAGGAAAACTTGAAGTGATCATAATACCTTGCGAAGGAGCTGTCAAAATGGAAATCTCATCAAATTGGACGATGCTAAGTCAGGATGGACCTGATGTTGTAGTAACTAGACCAGCTGACGGAAGGATTGTAGGGGATATTAACAACGCTCAAGGAAAATATTTTGTAACAGTCTCTCAGCTAAACGCAAATACCTCAACTGGAAATACAACTTATCAAATCATTGCAAAAGTAGTCAAGCCTGGTCAAACCAAAGACAAATTAGTTATCCCAGGCCATGATGGTTTGATTGAATCTACCAGAATTGGTAGAGATGTTTTGAGTCTATTCTGGGAGCCTCCAGTATATGAAAATAACGACGCATATGAGAAATCCTCTGAAGTTGTTTATGAAATCTTTTTCACTCCCAACGAAGAAGAGCTGATGTCTACAGCTTGCGGAATGTATTATTCCTGGATCCACAATAGAAGTATATGGCTGGGCGAATCCGGCGCAGGCAACACTACCTTTGAAGCTGAGTTCCCAGAATCTGATGGAATTCTCAATATAATCGCTGTCCTTCCAGTTCATGACCAAAACTGGCTTCATTACATTCCTTATGACCCCATAAGTGTATCAAGAGGATCCCCTCCCCCTCATCATTGGATTTGGAGGTTCGTAATCTGGGGGAGTGCAAGCATTTTAGTTGTCGCTGTTGCTTTAGCTTTCATATTCTATAAGAAATACAGAAGATCCCAAAAAAGGCTTGAATATGAAATGACAGATGTCAGAAACGTCGCTGCAGCAGGGCTTAATATTCAGCCTCAACCAAACAACTATGACCCTCTCCATGAAGAAAAAATAGATAGCTAATTTATTAATAAAAATTATGAAAGAAAACCAATTCATTGATTTCATGGGCTTAAGACTTGATAAAAGAAAGCTAACTCTGCCGCAGAAATTCATGCATTATTATGAAAAGCACAGAAATTTGAGGGTTGGAATTGGAATTGCAGTGGGCGTTGTGATGACTGCAAACCTTGCAATTCTGTATCCAGGGTCAAATAATTTCGTTCAGAGAAAATTGAAAGAGTTTTCTGCAAGCTCCTTTATACAATTTTCATATATGAGTAAGACTTATGTAGAAGCTCTATTTTTAGAGACAAGTCCACAATGGAAGAATGCTTTAGGGACAGTGGATTATTATGCGGAAAAATTCCCAAGAGATAACATCCAAAACCCATATATTATGGCACAGTGCATAGATCTAATTTCTCAGTCATTCAAAAGAAGCTTGAATGGGGATATTACTCTATTTTTTTCTAGTTTACAATCATTTGGGTTCATTTTGATAAAAATAGTCGACCAAAATACAAAGTTATTTACAAATCGCGATTTAAAAGCTGCATTGATAAATTCATTTAGCGAGTTATGCAAGTTTACCAAAGGAGAGGACAGATTGAAAGAAGAATTTAAAGAAGAGTATTCTGTGCTCTCAAATATTTATACAGGATTTTTATTGATATCTGAAATTGGGAATCTTGATGAAAAAGATAAGGCTTATAAAAGCTTACAACAAATTTTAGAGAAATTTGATGAATTGAAAGAGTATGCGAGAAATGAAGAGTGTGCAAAAAGGTTTTTCACTGACACAAATAATGAAAATGCCATAATTAGACATAACGCATTGGCAAGCATAAAGTTACTTGCAGAAGATAAGGAAACAGCAATCTATTTTTTACAGAAAAAGCTTTTGAGTAATCTGATAGCGAAAGTTATGGTAAAATATCCAGATATTGTTGAAGATTTAAATGCAATAATTCACGTAATCAATCAGCATGAGAGCCCTCTATGAATCAACGAAGAATTAAAGACTGAAAAAGAAAGAATCAAAAAATTTCTATCACCAAGCTCAAAGCCTATCCAAAATGAATTGAGTATTCTTTTAAAACACAAATAAGCTCCTATTTAAAATAATCTTTACTCCCCCCCTCCGTGAGTGAATAAAAAAATTTTGTTCACTTACAGAGGGGGGTTAATTTTTTTTTTTAAAAAAAATTTATATATAAATTTTCTAAAAAATTTTTTTCTCGAAATTTAAAAAAATCCTAATTCGCAAAAATTGGAAAGCAAATATTAATTTAATTATAAAATTTATGTTTTAAAAAGCAATTCGTTTAAAATTAAAACAGAATTAGCTCTAGATTTCATTATACTAATTATCATTTATATATCAAAACTTTTTTCCATAAAAATTTTCTATTAAAAACATTTTTGTTCACTCACGGAGGGTGGGTTTTTGGCAAAAAATAGGGATTTTTCTAATGGTTTTGTTCACTCACGGAGGGGGGGAATAGCAACTATCTCTAAACTAATTGAAATAAATAAAAGCTAAATCAGCCATTTTGCTGTCTTATTATAAAACTTTTTCTTACTCCTCAGAAAGAGAAAGATGTCATCTAAAGAATCCCAATTTCGAGACAGAATATTTGACTTAGGGCATAAGGCTGGCAAATCTCGACAAACGTCTGTAGAGAGGCTGGGCGACTTGAAATACAAATTAGAGTCTTCATTTAGGCCACCAAAAAATAATGGAGATTTGTCATGAAAAGCATTCCGCACTGAAATTCGTACACAATCAACGAGGAACTTTATTGTGCCTTCACTTTCTCATTATCAAGACATTTCGAGTTTTCGTTCAACTACGCCTAAACAAAGATCAGTTTTGGTGTCACCAGGGAGAGCGAGGCATTATTCAGGACATTCCAAACAATTTTTGCACTCAAGAACGTCAAGCCCATTGATGCTATCTCCAAGCTCGATTAGAGATAATTTTAATTTTACAATGGATAAGAAAAGGATACAAGAAATTATTTGTCTAGAAGATTTGCATAGGGCAATAGAAGTGATAGAAGAAATGAGCGAGACTGATTGCAATCAATTAACTATTGGGTATAAGCAAGCTTTGCTTAAGTTTTGCAGTCGAACTATGAGCAAAGTGAGACCAATGGACTTTTAAAAGAAAATTTATTTAATTATATTAATTAATCTCTTAGAGAAAGTGCAAGAAATTCTCTTTTAAGGCGCATTTTATTATGCATATATTTTTTTGGATTACTCTGGAAGAATAGCTAACTCCCTCCTCCTCCCCAAGCAATCAAAACTATTGGAAAAATCACTATTTTGCCCAAAAACCCACATCTATGAGCTAACAAAATTTTTTTTTTATATAAAAAATTTTTATTAAAAAAAAATGTGTTTTTGGAACTTAAGAAAATTTCTGAAGATCTTAACTGCACTCAATCTCATTGGATTTAGTTTGGGTACTACTCCCTCCGTGAGCGAACAAAAACCATTGGAAAAATCCCCTTTTTGGCCCCAAAAAACACCCTCCAGGCTAACAAAAATTTTTTTATAAAAAATATTTTGATATATAAGCAATAATTATTATAATGAATATCTGGCTATTTTTAAACAGCTCCCATTTTAAAACATAAATTTACAAATTAAGTTAATGTTTGATTAAAATTATTTCGATCGTTTTTTTTTTAAATTCCACCAAGAATTAATTATAATTTTATTAAAAATATTTTTTAATATCAATTTGAGAAATTAAATAGTGTAAACTTATATTTTAAGGTCGAGATAAAGAATTGATATTATAATAAGTATCGCTTTTTTAAATAATTTTAAATACAAAGTTAAAGCAGTGAAAAATTGAATGATTTGCTAATATTATTAATAGTGCTTTATTTCTGCTCTCTTAGTTTTTGAGTTACAAACTCAACGTTATTAACGTTGTGAGTTTGATAAGCCAAAAATTCCTCATAGTGACTTTCCAGCTTCGCTTTACTTTGTACTTTGCAAACCAATGGCAGCTCATAAACTACCTCGAATTCTAGGTAAGGATGGAAAAATGCAACAGCTTCATAAATATCTTCAATATTCTTTATATCACAAGCTGAAGAAATAAACCCAGAGTACAATTCTTGGACCACACTTGCATTTTCAAAATTCTGCGCTTCTCTATGGTCTTCTAAGCCAATAGGGCCAATTCCTTCATCTCCAAAGCACATTGATATATTATTGCATTCATTTAGTGCCATGCATGGTGCAGACTCTTGGTAATCTGGGCCTGTATAATATAGCAACGTATAATTTGTCTCATAAAAATACTTGCTGATCATTAAATATAGCAGCCCAGCAGCTCCAGTCCTAGGAGTAATTTTAGTGATTCCTGGACATAAGACCCCTATATCTAAAATCTGCAAGGATTCTCTAAACCTTTTATAAGCCTGTTGATTAGAATTCTTAAAGACAATCATCCTTTTCTCAAACTTTTTTTGCTCTCTTTTCTTTTCTTCTTGTGCCAAATGATCGAAGTCTTTTAATTTGTTGTAATTTACGCAGCCAAAATGATACTCAACAAATCTATCCCATTGGCTCATCAGTCAATTTATCCAATTATAAATTGTGGATGGAAAAACTTTCCATTCGAGCCTGCTCAGCATGATTTTTTCCATCATCTTGATCGAAGCCAAGGAATACCCATTATCTGCTGATTTCGCCCAATCAGAGATTTTTGGAGGATAAACTTCTTCAATCTTGGCAGCAATATACATAGCAGTTAAGCCAATTAATTGAAACTCTTCTTTTTTGATTCCTTTATGAGCTGAAAGAAATCGATCTACATATGTGATTGCCAAGTGAAATGTTTCTCTTTTTAATGTAAATTCCGAGCTTACCTCCATCATTCAGTCATACAAAATAACGCGCATTGTGGCTGTTATGTTGGTTTGAACAGACTGCAAAGCGAATGGATTTGGCATATACTCATATTCTTTTTCTAGCATAGAATTAACGTACTCTTTGTTTTCTGGCTTCCAGAGTGATGGCTCAGAAATTTCTTCAATTTGCAAAGGCTCGTATTCTGGAGGGGGAGGTTGAACACCATGGACTTCTTGAATAAATGAAGAAGAACCTTTCGGGGTCAAGAGTTGGTCACAGTCAAAAATGTGTTCACCGCTGGAGTTGGATTTGTAAGGATAAGAAATTACTTCTAAAATTTCGTTGCATTCAAAATCGATTGGGGAATTCGGCTGATTCTTGGTTGAAAAATTAACGCTTGGATGTCTTTCTCTTAAATATTTAGGGTTTGCAGGGTTTTTTAACTTCTGTTGATTAGTAGACACAATTTTGTTTTCTTTTGGGATTGAGTTTGCATCTAATGTCTGTTTTCTAGAATGGCGAGGATTTTTTATGTCTGTTGGTATCTTTTGCATTTCAATTTCAAATTTATTGAATTAATTCATAGCGCCATTGTTTCTTTTTAGAGGTGGTAATGTGCGAGTCCTGCTTCTTGTTTCCATATTTAAATTATGAATCTATTTATGTGTAAAACTCATTTATTTGATAATAAACTTTATTCTTATTCCCTCCTCTGCAAGCGAACAAAACCATGGAAAAACTATTCTCCGTAGGTTAACAAAAATTATTTTAATATAAGTGATAGTTATTATAATTAAATCTCTAGCTAATTCTATTTAATCTTAAACAGCTTACATTTTAAAAAACATCAATTTAAAAATTAAATAAATTTTTTTTAAAATTATTTCTAATTGGGATTTTTCTAAATTTTTGAAAAAAAAGTACTTTAAATTTGATAAATTTTAACTATCCCGCGAGCAAACAAAGTTTTTTTTTTCACTCAGGGAGGGGAAGTAACAAATTCAAATTTTTTTAATTTTTAATAGAAAATTCACGTTTGAATAGCTTATAATCGAAAATAAAAGGAATATTATTTTTCATCTATAGCAATGATCCTTCCATATTTAAAGTGCTATCTCGCTTTTCAATAGATATTTTCATTTAATAAATTATATTTGCAGGCTTCTATGAGTGTTTTAGTATTTCTTGCAAGCATAAGCAATCATTCTTAAAAGCTTAATTTTTGGTAATGCAAAGAGTTTCATAAGCTAATAGAATGCATCCTGATTATAAGGCTCTTTTTTAACAAACTAGCATTGCTTATTAAAATATTATGCATAATTAAAAACATGAAATTTATTATTAAATCTGAATTTAGATTGCTAAAGCATATAGCCCATACCCCTATATAGATTCTCTATCGAGAAAGTTAAAATACACAAGGAAAGGGCTTGATAGATTCTATCGAAGGGACGACTAAATCTCTATAGTATAAAAGATTAAAAGTGACATGTCAAAAAATGGTCAAGTGTGGACAAATTTAACAAGAAAATGCATCAGTTTTTAAAAGTCTTTACTATTAAAATTAAATTTTTAATAAAGAATCTCTTAAAAGTCATATGAGGGGTGTTCAGTAAAGATGAAATATGACTTATATAATTAAAAATAAAACTTGTTAGTCAATGTGCGTTTTGGTAGATAGAATTTTATAAAATACGCCAATTTGCTAACTCTTATTTTTAAAATCCGTGCTAAGGAAATTCATTATATGAGAAGTTCTTAGCAACTTATATACAAAATTTTAAAAATTTTTTATTCTTTTCCTAAAGCATAGAATGAACTTCCTTTGTTATGGACTTTACAAATAAGGTTCCAATCTTCATTATCAAATTGGCACTCTTTTATTAAAAACTGTCCTACCGCTAAAACGTGCATTGTATGGAAAGTTTTTGATTTTTAATTATTTAAAGCCTGTTCAATTTTTGCTAAACACTCCTTACATGAGCCTTTGAGAACTTCGTAAACAATCAATTTCCTTCAATACGGACTTTACAAATAAGAGTTTCAATCTTCATTAACAAATTGCATACATTGACTGGCAAGTTCTCTATTTTAATAAGATTTTTATATGAATATAAATATGGAAATATTATTTCTCTATTTTTTGAGCTCAAAAATGGAAAAAAAGTTTTAATGTGAAAGTTTTTATGAAAAAGTATTTTGACATTCAGTCTAAAAGGGGATTTTAATTAAAAATTAATTTAATAATAAAGTCATTTTAAAAATTGATGCATTTTCTGTCACTTTTTAATCTTTCATACTATAGAGATCCAGCTCGTCACTTCAATAAAATCCATCAAGGTCCTTCCCTCATATATTTTGAAATGCCCGACATAGAATCTATATATAGGGCTATTGGCTATAACTATATTATGTGCTTATGCATTTTGTTTGTTTTGTCCTAGCAATTGCATTCTAAAATATTTTTAAAAATATTTGGGAACTGGCATCAATATGCTTGAAGAAGAGAATAACTTTCAGGTCATTCAAAATATCAATCATAATTTTTGCATAAAAACCTGAAACATCTTTTATTTAGATTATGTCTTTTTTATTTCAAAAATAAAAGAACTTATTATCATCGAACCTTAAATAAGCATTAGATTTATACAAAGTAATTTTTTCTTTTTTTACAAATAAAATTTCACGCTATCAGCTTTTCTACAGTAAACTCTACCTTAATCATTCTAGCTGCAGATTAATTTTGAATTTCCATGCGTTATAAATGATAACTGCAATATGAATTGTCGTTTCAATTATCGTAAGAAAAGGTAAGTTTTAAGCAGGAAATGGGGCAATTTGCCCTAGTAACTGTAGTTATTGCGTAGTTGATAATGTTTGTGTTACTTGCAATGATGGGTGATATGAGGACTCAGGAAATTGCATTCAATGCGATTCAAGCTGTAGTAAATGCTCATCTGCTACTTATTGTTTAAGTTGCTCAACATCTGGCTATACTCCGTCATCTTCAGGAGCTTGCAAATGTTCCTCTAATCAGTATAAAATTTCTTCAAGTCCTTTATCTTGTGGGGATTGTGACAGTAGCTGCAGTTCCTGCGTAGGTCCTGAACTTAATCAATGCCTCGCTTGTACTGATACTTCGTTAACAATGAATTCATCACCTGGAAACTGCAAGTGTGGAGAAACACAATATGTAAAAAATTCAAATCCTGTAACTTGTTCAAATTGTCATGCTTCCTGCCATTCATGTGCTTGGAAAGGGCCTAGTCAATGCATAACTTGTAGTGATTCTTCATTAATTATTGCATCGCCTCCTGGAAGCTGCACTTGCAGCACTTCGCAATATATCATGTATAAAAACCCTTTTACTTGTGGAACTTGTGATAGCTCATGTTCAACTTGTTCTGGACCAACTGCTAATGACTGTTTATCATGCACAGATTCTGCAGTAACTCTTTCATCAACTCCATCAAGCTGCAGTTGTAAAACTTCACAATATACGATTTCTCAAAGCCCTTTAACCTGTGGGAATTGCGATAGCTCATGTGCTACATGCTCTGGCTCTGGATCAAACCAATGCTTAACTTGTGTAGACTCATTAATCACAGTCTCATCATCCCCTGGAAGCTGTACTTGTAGTGCTTCGGAATATATTATTAATAAAAGCCCTTTAACTTGTGCAAGCTGCCATAGTTCTTGTGCTAGTTGCAGTGGGCCATTAAACACTGATTGCTATACTTGCATTGACCAAGCAGTTTCAATTTCTAATCCCCCAGACTCTTGTAGCTGCTTGTCTAATCAGTATATAATTACAAATCATCCTTTAACTTGTGGGAACTGCTACTGGTTATGTGCAACTTGCTTAGGAAAGGCTAGAAACCAATGTCTTACATGCTCAAGTTCTGAACTAATGCTTTCTAATCTTTCAGGAGCTTGCGAATGCCTCCCTGGGAAATATACTAATTCACAATGAATATATTACTGTGTGAATACAAGAAAAAGACAGCCAGTATGGATGCTTATATTTTTTATTTGGTAGGTATATATGCTTCATGAAAGCCCTATTGACTGCGGAGGTACTTGTGATTCATCTTGCTCAACCTGCATAGGGCCCAATGAAGATCAATGCTTGACATGTAAAAATTCTTCAATAACCCTGAATAATATACCAGGAAAGTGTTTTTGCAATAGTTCACAGTATGTGATATCTTATTCTCCCCTGATTTGCGAAAATTGCAATTCAGCTTGTTTAGAATGCTCAGGGTCAGGCGCTGGTGACTGTATATCTTGTAAAAACTCCTCAATAACTCCCAGCGCCAATCCAGGATACTGCAGCTGCCTAACGTATGAATATATACTTTCAGCTTCCCCTTTACATTGTGATCTTTGCCATAACTCATGCGAATCTTGCTCAGGTCCATATTATAATGACTGCTTGACTTGCAAAAATTTAACAATTTCGCCTAGCCCAGATGGGCATTGTGGTTGCAAAGAAAACGAGTATATAATTTCTGTATCCCCTTTACTTTGTGGATCATGTGATCTGAGCTGCAAGACATGCGTTGGCCCTAAAGCAAATCAATGTTTATCATGTTCAGAAATTATTTTAGACCAACCTTCTTCATGCAGGAGCTCTAATAACTCAAGTGGCTTATCAACTTTTTCTATGACAATCAAAAATAGTGGAATCGCTGCATCTGCTGGCCTTATTATTGCTGGATTTTTCGAATCAATTATAACAGGGAAATCTGGGTCTCTTTGGACTTATGTTAATATAGTCCAGGTTTTAGCTTTTATTCCATTACAAAATATTGCTATTCCAGACAATCTTTTTCAATTTTGAAAAGCTTTTCTTTCCTACACTTATTTGCATAATACTGGGAAATATATTTTTGGAGAAAATAAAATGAAGGAGCTGGAGCCGATTGAAAACTTTTACAAGTATGGATATGAAAGCAGTTCATTTCTAGTTAATAGTGCTGGAATGCTTTTAATTTCTATCGTTGTAATAGCTTCATGGACCTTAATTTATTGCTTATCATTTATTCCTAACTCAGCCATTCATAGTCAAATAAAAAAGCTATTGGAAAAATTCAAATATAATATCCTTCTTCGGCTTTGAATAGAAATATATATTTTATTGATGGCTGCTGCAGTTATTGGAATAAATCATTTTTCATCTAAAACTAGCCGTACTATTTCTGATACGATCTTTGCTTATATTACCTTTATTTCTGGATGAATAATTACTTTTATTCTCATTTTTTTGTTGTATATAATCCAACTCAAAATTTTTAACAAATCTAAAAAAATGAAACGCAAATATGGCTGCTTGTTTAAAGAATTCAAATTCAGTAATAATTATATTGAGCTGCTCTATTATCCAATATTTTTAATTCGAAGGCTGATTTTTGTAATAAATCTCTATGATTTAGCCTGAATTCCAGTAGTCCAATGAGTTGTAAATGTTTTGCACTCGTTTTGTATCGTTTTTTTGTTATTGAGACATTGCCATTTCAAAAATAAAGAAACTCACTTTTTAAATGTCTCTGGAGAAGCTCTTGTCACATTTTCTTTTTTGCTAACAGGACCTTATTTATTGGATTTACCTTATATTATAGACAATGCAATTCAATGTGCAGTGCTCTGCGCTACTTATCTTTATTTAATAGCTAGCTATTATTTTTTGGTTATAAAAACTTACAATTTAATAAAAGCATGAAGAAGCAGAGATAAAATTTATCCTGAACTAGCGATGAATGCAGCTGTTTCAGTCGATAATGATATTATAACTAGTGGGAGGCTAAAAGAAGCTTGCACTGTACCTCATAATTCATTGGAGAGTGATTTGTACCCACTAGATAGCGACAATCATTCACCACAATAATTTTCCTGAATATAATTTTTTTTCAATTTATGATAAAATTTAAAATAAATAAACATCTAAACATTTAAACAATTAAATTTGTAGGTTTTTGATTGACTAAGCGTACTACAATGGGCAATATAAATTAATTATGTTATATACATATAGAATATAACGAAGAAAATAGAATCAATGATATATATAAAAGATTGTGCATAAATAATTAGATAAAAATACAATATTAATACTTTAGTTTATTAAGCGTCAGCTGATACTTACTGATCATTACCAAGAACAAGTTTCTAATTAATATAGAACAATGCTCTTGATCTATTTTTGCAATATCCATCATTAAATGAATTTCAGCCTAAAATATTAATTTAAAGATTTTATTTATTTAAGTTTGGATGGCTTTCTAACAATTTTGAACAAATTCTTCTGCCATATTTACTATGCTTTAATTTTCCCATAAGTGTTTTTATAGAATATAGCATTTGGCTTAATAGCTCAGGCTCTGCAATAGAAAGAGCACGCTGAATTACTATATAATAATTACCATAATTTGCATATTGGTCAAATATCATTTTTTCAAAATTTTCAGGCTTGGAAATTTCTTTAATAATTATTTGCTGAGTTTCTGGGGTATTGGCTTGCAGACATTTTTCTATTACATTTGAAGAATATTTTTGAGAAGCATAATTTTTAATATCTTTCAGAAAAATCATAGCGAGCTTGGAGTTTATATCAGGTTTTCCTAGACTTATTACGTATTGAAGTACATAGTTCCCAAACGGATCATTAATAAGAAAAGTAGTATGCTTGATGATATTTCCTACCAAATTTTCTAGTTGATAAGGCAAAGCTGCATCAATGCACCTTTGTACTACGCAGCAGCCATGCTTATTTATAGAAATTTCTATTAAATTTTCATTGATTTCATCAAAAATGATTTGATTTTTTATAGGAGAAAAAGTACTCAAACATTTTTGTATTACATAGTTTCCATTAAGATCTTTAGAAAGCTCGATAACATGTGATTTTAAGCTATTTGCAATAATTTCTATATATAGAGAATTTTGCGAAACGGCAGTAATTAGCTTTTGAATTCATCTTGTACCATTCTTGGTTTGTGAAATTTTATATAAATTTGGTGATGCTTTATTTAAAATATTTTCAATTTGAGATTTTTCTTGAAAACTATTGGAATTTTCTAAAAAATTATCATGGGCAAGACAAATATCTTCACTGAATAATGAAGGTTTATGATTAATTGATGGCTTGGGTTTTGTGTATAAAAGTTTTAAGTCTTTTTCGGTGCAATCATTGAAATCGGATGTAAGTGAAAAAGCTGAAGAGTATACTGAAGATATTGAATATGAGAAGAGATTTGAGGTGCTAACTCCCCCCCCCCCCTCCGTGAGCGAACAAAACCATTAGAAAAATCGCCATTTTTTGACCAAAAACCCACCCTCCGTGAGTGAACAAAAATTTTTTTAATAGAAAAAATTTTAATGGAAAAAAATTTTGATATATAAGTGATAATTAGTATAATGAAATCTAGAGCTAATTCTGTTTAATTTTAAACAAATTGCGTTTTAAAACATAAATTTTGCAAATTAAATTAATATTTGCTTCCCAATTTTTGCAAATTAGGATTTTTTTAAATTTCGAAAAAAATATTTTTTATAAAATTTATATATAAATTTTTTTTAAAAAAAAAAAAATTAACCCCCCTCCGTGAGCGAACAAAATTTTTTTGTTCGCTCACGGAGGGGGGGGGGGGGGTAAGAGCTTTTGCAGAGTGAAGCTGATCATAATAAAGTTCATCATACATTTTGGTATCATCAGGAACTAGCATCACTTATGATAATAGAATAATTTATTAAATCTCATTTTGATGGTGTATATTTTATTTCTAATATGGAAAATATGAAAATTAATGATCATTTAAATGGACATAGTAGTGCTAACAGATTTTATTATGCTAATTAAATTCAATATTTTTAATATATCAAATCAATAAATATAAAGGTATTAATTGCACTTTTCCTCGGATATAAATATTGAAAATTATTATTTTTAATATATCAAGCGTAAATTCAGAAGAAATAGCCTTCAATGTTTATTGATAATTTTTTAAAGCATTTATTTTCTATCTGAATCAAAATTAATAATTAAATTATAATCACAATATTTAAAAATGGCAGTTAGGAATAGGAATCTAGTCCAGCTAGTCAGGCTAGCCCTATTATCCGAGCTTAGTGAGAGGGGTTCAGTCAGTGCTGAGTCTGGCACAGACTAGAGCGGTCCGGAATGGCTAGATAACTTTAACGGTTGGACGGTTAGACCAATCCATTTACTGTTGTTCAGAGCTGCTATCATAGCTGGATCTCAAGTAAAAAAGGACTTAAGGAGCCATTACGCAAGAGAAATTCAATAATTTAAAACTTAAACTTAAATTATAATCAAACTGTAGCCTTTTCCTTCTTTCTATTATATGTTCGTCAGATATAAATGGAAGGTCTATTGAGAAAACAGAAAGAGCCAGGGCCATATCTCCACATTTCATTTGAAGAAGAAACAGTTGAGGAGCAAATGCACATGCTTTTGGGATTTTACAAAATGCCAACACTAGCTTATTACGGGGCTGGCTATCCTTTTGGAGGTAAAAATTATTTAGATATGTTATGCATTATTCGTGCAAATCAAAATCACATCCAACTGCCTCAAGAAATTCTTTCTATAATAGATGAAGCTCCAGAAATTTTTTATTCAACTCCACCTCCAAACAAAAAAGGAGTTTGACAACCAAAGCCTTAAAAAATAATACAGATTTGGCTTCCGACTTATTACGCAGTTAGCAAGGATCTCCGCAGGTGATTCATCTATTTTGCGCCGTCATCTTCTTACTTTGAACCATTGAGATGAAGAATTCACTTACTCCCCCCTCCATCCTTGATCGAACGACTCGCCATCGTTCGATCAAGGATGGGGGTTAAAAAAAATTTTTCGGGAAAAAAAAATTTATATATAAAATAAAAAAATATATAGATATTTTTTTTTATTTACTTTTAAATAAGAGGGTTAAGAATATTTAATAATTATTTTTACAGCAAAAAATTTAATTTATTTCATAAAATACCAATTTTTTAATATTTTGATTTATTAGTTACCCCTTTAAACTGTATAAATTTTAATTTGTTCCTTATTGAATTAATTTTTTTTTAAAAAAATTTTAAAAAATCTGTATTTTATTAGATTATTGAGTTTTTAAGCATATGTTAATGACTAAATCACTTCGGATGGTTGATTCCGCAGCTTTCTGTCGTCTCAAAGCCTCTGAAAATACTTCATTATGTGCATCTTCCCAAGCTTTTGATAAATAATATATTTTTATATATATATAAACATTTGCATGATATGAAAATCATTCGATCAAGGATGGGGGTTAATTTCCCCAATTTTTAGGAATTTTTACAGTCAATCGTTCGATCAAGGATGGGGGGAGTTAGCTGAGGATTCCAATTCAACTTGTTTCTTCTTTTCAGCCTCCTGCCAGGGCACGGTGAGTATAAGTAGATTTGGGTGCCGTCTCCTCCTTGCCTTGTCGGCTGCAGTGTTGAGTGGGCAGACTGATTACTTCACACGACGCCTATTTCATAACGACTATTTTTTTTTGGCCTATGTTTTTTTGGCATATTTTTTTCACCTATTTCTTTTTGGTCTATTATTTTTGCCTATTTTTATTTGGCCTATTTTTTTTAGCCTATTTTTTTTGTCTTATTTTTTGTCTAAGCTCATTCATGAGCTTATGAGAGAACTAAAACTTTATTGATAAGTGGAGGCATTTCCTTACGCGATTAATATTGAGTATTTTAAGTGGAAAACTCCTAATTAAATCTAAAATTCTCGAAATTTAAAAAGCAATGAATTAGTATTCATAGAGTAAGAGATCTGTTAAGGGAGCATTTTTTGTTGGTAAAATTGTTTAAAATACATTAAAAAAATTTATATTAAAATCATTAGTATGGAATTAGGCCCAAATATTAGTAAAAAATAACTAAAAAATGTCCAAAAAAAAGGCAAAAAAATAGGCCAAAAAAAATAGGCCAAAAAAAAATAATCGTTGTGTGAAGACACAGGGCAGACTATGGACTTCGGAAGCTTGCTGTTTGGGTGAACGAAGGTTTTCCGCACAAAAATACCAAAAAATAGAATTTTCTAGCCAACTTTTGGCAAAAAGGAAAAAACTCAAAGCCGAGGCTTAACACTTGGTTTAGTGCTAGCAGGCTGCCTAATGGTCTATACACTGCCAAAATTATTTACGTAGTATTGCTGTCCATTTTGGGTCGGCAAAACCTTTCCAGATATAATTAATATAGCGCCTTTCTTAAGATGGCGCATTGCGCGCCATCTTAAGAAAGGCGCTATATGTGTTTGAGGCTGCATTGTCGGGAGACAATGCCCGGGCCGAGATGCCATATCAGTTATTTAATAGCCAAAGCCAGTTCCGATTCCTCACCCTACAGAAATTAAATTTTATTTTATTGTGAGTGACATATCTGAACTTATTATAAGGGTAAAATAAATATCAGAAAGGTCCATTGCTTAACCTTGTTAACCACGCATGAGCATTTACAGAGTTTCAAGGAACAAGAAAGACAAAGCATATTCCAAACTGTATAATCCCTATTGAAGGGTTTCAAGAAATAGAAAACAATGGTGTAAAATTTGGAAGCTTAAGGGCAGAATACATGTCAATGCATTTCAAAAAAGGAGCTTTATGCATTTCACCGAATAATCATAAAGTCTTGATATCACCAGATGTTGCAATTAATAAATGCTGAACTATTTCACTTTTTGATGAAGAGCCGAGGGCTTATGTTACTCTGCAGTGGCTCTTGACGAGAAATGACTTATCGATGGCATTTTCAACGCCAAATAATTTAGCTGAGCTGCTAGGGTTTTTAGGTGATCCTTTATTAGATAGCATATTTCAAAGGATCAATTAATCAAAGAGTTTAAACTAATAAGATTAATAATTATTTATGATTTATGTAAAATTCATTAATTTTATATTATCTTTTTTCTTCCAGTCAAAGCAATAGATATCGTCAGCATATAATATAAAAGCATAGCATTCGTTTATACCATAATCAAAACATTTTGAACGCTGAAATTGACAAAAATCGCTTCTCTCTATGATTGGATTTCAATGGTATGGGTCATTGAGATAACTTTCAAAAATATAATCCATTGGCAATACAATATAAGCCCTCTGCTTTGCAACGAAAATAAATTTAAAAGCTGTTATGACACTAAATGGTATCTCAGAATATGTGTTCGGAATAGGGTCATACAGCATAATTGCCTTTGAGTTATGGCTAAGATCAAGCATCAGAATTTTATTTACAAAAGCAGCACAGCATCAATCTCCGCCTTCTTTTAATGGGATTACTTTTTGAGCGACATTCTGCCATTTTTTTGACTTCAATGAATATTTTTTGGATTTACATCTATGTCTGTTTCTTCATCCCCCTTGAATGCCAAGCTGATAAACACTTTGGTCTAAGTATACTAAATTTGTGTCGAATAAAAATAAGACTTTAGGAGTAATTTCTATTACGTTGTTGCTTTCATCAAGAATGAATCCTTGATATCTAGCTCCTACAATTAAATATGTCGTCTTTGTCTAGGTATGGCCTCTCGGCCATACAGCCTCGACACATATTTAATTGTATATCCGGCAAGGTTTTTCTCTAGCCTTGAGGCGGGCAGCAATACTATGGTAGCCAATTCAGCAGGTCGCAGAGCCTAGCCCAAGCCCAACTTCGAGACTAGTTTTTTACCTCGAGGAAAAGGAGGGTCCAGATTTGGAAAGGGCAAGCCCAGCAGAGTCTACAGGGAACTCCTAGACCAATCGGACAACTGCCTAGCGTGAAACTGGGCGTTAAATCCCAGGATCTAGACTTAACCCTTTTGCCGACAGGCTACCAGAAATTCCATTTTTTGGGATTTCGGAATGCTAACCTCGTAATCCACAGCCTCAGGAGGCCGCACAAACCCGTAGCCTGCCAACTCAACACTGGAATTTTTTACAAGAAGCAAGGAGGAGACCGGACGGAAGGAAGATCGCAAAGCGGGTGAATCCCCTAGGGGATCCTCGGTGATTGCGTTAAAATTAAGGGCACGAGCCCGTCTATCTAATAAGATAATAAGATATCTAGCTCCTACTATCCCAATGCAAAACATTTGATTATTTGGCAGTTGGCATGATTTTATGCTGTGACTTTTAGATGGAGTTTTAATATGAAATTCAAGTGCCTCCATATTATCCAATCTCAAGGTCTTAAATAAATTTCTGCTTTTTGAATCAAATCACCTAAAATAGTCTGATTTTATATTATTCTCATACTCGTAATGCTTAATTCTGAGTTTATTAATTTCCCTCATATCTTTTTCATAAAGATTTATCATATAATTAAGGCAAGTCAAATTTTGTTTTAGAATTTCCATAACATTTGCGATTTCTTTTTGAGCCTCTTCCATACATTTTATTTTAGTTTGCTTTAGAATTTTTAACTTGTTGATGATACTTTCTTTGCTATAATTTGGTTTTCGATAATTAGGCTCTACGCAATAGTAAATTTTATTGCTCGCGCTGATATGATCAGCCAGATGATCGACACAAATATGATCGAATTTATTAGAGCAGCTGGTTGAACTAATCTGATTGTCGCATATATCACATGCTCCTTTATAGATCTCTGCAGACAAATGCTGAATTAGAAAAATTATTTTGCATTTTGAAAAGCCAAAAAGATTCAATATTAAAAAAAGCTTCATTTATTAATCTCCAATTTGGTTTTCGCTTTTAAGATTTTTCTACTATTTCAAAATGATTTTTCTGTAATAGAATTTTCCCTCAGAAATCTATAAATAGGCACGCGCTATAAAATTTCTGCTAAGTTAAAGCATCGGTCTGAGCAATACATCTCTTATTAATTAATTATTTACAATTTATTTGCAAGATTTTCTTTAAAAAAAGTTATTTAGACTATCTTGCACGACAATAAAAATTTTCTATGTCACAGCCAGCTTTAAATGAGATTTTTATTTGGCAAGGAGTTAATGATGCATATCGCTTAGCTGGCTTTGGATTTTCTAATAGACCATTGTTTGAAGATAATTTCCTGCTTCTTGAACAATCTGAATTCAAAGGAGACATAATTGAATTCGCCCTTGTTAATGTTGTGCTACCAATCATTGATATATTTGCTGAGCTGCATTTAGATTTGCTTATTCTATGCAATTCTTTAGCAGATGTTTTTTGCAATTTATGGGGAACCCTGGAATAAATAACAGGCGAAAATGTGCATTCTTCAATAAAGCTATTTTCTTTTTCTGAGACTTGAATACTTATTTTTTCGTTTTTTTGTTTCAGCCAAGTTTGGTTTCTGTCAATCACTGACAAATTTAATAATTTTTTCTTTAAAAGCTTTTGCTTTTGGATAATATCAATAGGCTTTATAACACTAATGTCTAAAGGAATTATTGGACCACTTGGAGAGGATTTTTGGTGTTGTGGAATATCTTTGAAAAATGGTGTTTGAGAAGACAAAGACCTCTCTTTTTCGCGTAAAAACGGAGACTTTGAGGGTGTATTTGAAATATTGCTGAAAATAGTTGATTTTTCTTGAGGCTTTGAATTTGAAAAATCATTTTGTTTATGTATAAATGTCATAATTAAAATATGGCGTCTTCGTCTGGGCATGGCCTCTCGGCCATGCATACTCGACTCATATTTTAATTATATCCGGCAAGGTTTTGCATTTCAGAAACGGACGGCAATGCTAGGTAAGCAATTCTGGTTGTGCTCAGAGCCTAGCCCAAGTCTACTTTCGGGAATGTTTTTTCCTCATGGGAAAGGAGGCACGCAAGTTGGAAAGGGGAAGCTCAGCCAAGTCCGTTAGGACCCAATCGGGCAACTCCCTAGCGTGAAACTGGGCGTTACGTCCCAGGCTTCGTGTTTTTCCTTTTTGCCGAAAGCCTACCAGAAAATCCATTTTTTATGGATTTTCGGAATGGCAACCCATGTCCTCAAGCGAAGTAGCTCAGGCATGAGCCGCCTTAGTCGGCAACACTGCTCCGGAGGCGCGTACTGGAGATCGAGGCTGACTGGCCCCAGACGGTCGGCGGGCCCTATGCGGCGAAGAAGCAGCGGGAAGCTCTGGGAGGGGTTACCCCGTGAATGGCATTAAACACAGAGCCTAATAAGTTAAGTTAAGTTATGTATAAATGTCTCATTTTCATCATTATTTCTAATTTTAGTATTTTTCTCATCAATTTGGAGAGGGATTTGTGAGAAAAGTTTAATTTCAACTCTTTTAGCCAATTCCTGTGATTTTTTGGATATTTTTGGCTTTTTTTGCATAAGTCCTTTCAGCTCTTCCTCTCTTTTTTTCTTTAAATCTTCAAGTCTCTTAGATGCAGCAATTTGCTTTTGGTAAAGCTTGGCTTCTATAGGTATTTCACTGTGATTTCTTGTAAAAAATTTACCAGGGCGATTTTTTGTAATGACTTGTGTTTGGTTTTGAGAGTCCTTCTCTAAGAAAGATGGCTCAACCGTCGACGATAAATTTGAAATATCAAGATTTGTGGATCGAGGTGTATATTTTTGAGGGAAATTGGTGCTTTGGTCTGTGGAATGTTTGTTACTTCCAGTAGATTCAAATTCCAGAGAATCTGATAAGTTTATCATAAAATATATGCTTTATTGATAGAATATTATGGCATGAAATGCAGTTAGCTTTTATTAAATTAATTAATTGAGCTTTTGAATATTCAAGAAAATTTTAAGAACCCTACACTAAAGCTAATATCCAAAAATAAATAATTAAATCTACTGAATTATTGAAAAAATGAATCTGAGCTCAAATTATTTGTCGAATGAAGCCATCTGGCTTCGTGAGCGTCTATAGGTGTATTCTCTGGAGCTTCATCTCCTTCACTTTTCTTGCTAGAAGGATGATTTTGAGGTGTTTTTAATATTGAGTGGTCTTCTTCACTTATTACGACTTCTGGCAAAGTAGGTTTAGCTTTTTTCGTGCATTTTGATTTCAATAATAAGTAAAGCTTTATAAATAGGAATAAGTAACTTATGAATAAATAAATCATGGTGACAATAAAAACAGTTGTCTGGATTACCATATCTAATGTATACGGTATCTTATATAAATATACTGCTGTAGCGAGGAAACTAAGTAAAACAATGATTTCTCCTGTAATATTCAAAAATTTGGACTCTTTGTCTTTGAAGTTCCAATATTTGAAAAGAAATAGCACAATTAAGAAAGTATGGGCAGAATTTACAGCACATTGCACGGCTGGATAAGATGAGAAATTATAGAGAACTACTACATAAATGAACCTTCTGATTAAAAAATATGGGTAATACAGCAGCTGAATGAAATCATCATTTTTAAGATCAAACTCTGCAAATAAAGTTCCGTATTTTGCAATTGTTTTCGGATTGTGCCTAAAAATCTTGAATCTTTTCATATGCAGAATAAATATTCAAAGCATAATAAAAAACCAGCCACAACATATTAAAAGATATGCAGAAATGGAGTCTATTATAGTTGTTGTGTATTCAAAGGAATAATTGTTAATGCCAATAACCGCAGCAGCCATAAGTAATATGTAAATTTCTAGTCAAAGTCTAATGAAAACTGTATACTTGTATTTTTTCTTGAATTCTCTGACTTTGCTTTTGAGGATTCCACAAGGTAACATTCCTAAAACTCCTATAAAAACCCAAGTAGAGACAACTATCAACAAGATTAAAAGCATTCCACTGCCATTTATGAAAAAAGAGCTCATTCTATATCCATATTTATGCCAAGTTTCTATTGGCTTCACTTCTCCCATTTGGCAATCGCCATAAATCATTTCACCTATATTGGTTAAGAATCTATAAGAAAGGAAGGATTTCCAAAACTCGTAAAGACTTTCAGGAATTTCAATATTTTGCAATGGGATGAAAGCCAACATTTGTATGATATTCACATAAGTCCACAAAGCCCCAGTTCTGCCTGTGAGCAGTGACTGGATAAAGCTTGAAGCAAAAACAGCAGCAGCTCCATAAGCGCCGCTTTGTGAGCTAATTTGGGTAAAGGTATTTGTGGAGTTTGAGGTTTTAGCACAAGCTGAGGGTGTTTCAGATAAAACTACAGATCCTTCGGAGCATGATAAGCACTGATTTGAGCCCTGGCCCCACACAAGATGAGATTAAGATTGAAGGTCTTAAAGTCTTCCAGATATGATGCCTCCGCACGCTTGCGACTATCGGAACCTAATTGCTGAGGAATTCAATCGTCTAAACCTTGTCTCAACAGCGGCCTATTCCCAAATTCTAGGGCTTGCAGGGATATCCTTGAGTCTTGACGATTTAAAAAAACTCTTCTTGTTTCACTTGCAGCTGCTATGGAGACAAAAGTTAGCCCTATGCATCCTATCGGCCATATTGAGGGGAGTTAATATCCAGGAAAAAAGAATCACAGCCCTCCGGAACTGGCAGGGAAAAAACCCGTGGCCCCACACAAGTTAGGCAGCTGGAATCGCAATTCCCACAGGATAGTGGGGAATATGAAATTATATATTGGGACTTCAGGCAAGAGCATTCTCCAGGTAGTGATGAAGGAGTTATATTATAATTCAAACAGGAAGTGCATTGGTTTGATTTTGAGCCAATGCAAGATGCACAAGATGGATCACAGTTTCCGCAAATAAGAGGGGATTTTGATATGATATATTGAGAGTTTTTGCAAGTGCAGGAATTTGGAGTGAGAAATAAGCTAATTGAGGAATCTGCACATGCTAAGCAATCATCTGATCCTGGCCCAGAACAAGAACTGCAAGAGATGTCACAATCCATGCAGACTAATGGAGATTTTGCAGCAATGTATTGAGAACTATCACAGCTACAAGCTTCTGGAGGATTTAGCAAAGCTATAGAAAAATCCTTGCAAGTAAGGCAGTCATTTTTTCCTGACCCTATGCAGGTATTACATGAAGAGTCACAATTTTTGCATAGCAAAGGGCTATATTGGGAAATAAATTGATTTGCTTTACAAGCACAAAATCCAGGGATTGCGGATGGGCTGAAAGTTGAGTTTTTGCATGTCAAACAATCACCAGATGTGGGGCCATTGCAAGTTTTGCATAAATCATCACAAGTTTCGCATAAAAGCGGGTTTTTCTGAACCATGTATTCGTTTGATTTACAACTACAAGAGCCAATTGTTGCTAGTATAATTGATGAGTCCATGCATGAAATGCATTGAGTACTTAATGGGCCACTGCAGCTCTTACAAGTTGCATGGCAATTACCACAAGCCAAAGGATTATGAGAAATTGTATATTGTGATAGTCCACAGCTGCAAGACCCAGGAGGTAATGCAATATTTACTGACAAATCTGCACAAGTCAAGCATTTTGTTGGCCCAAACCCACTGCATGTAGCACAAGAAATGTCGCAATCACCACACGTTAAAGGGCTAGGAGAAATTTGATATTGTGAAGAGGTGCACTCACAAGTGTTTATTGAGGAAGGGGTGATTCCTATTGTCGAGCATGTTAGACATTCATTTTGCAGCAGCCCTGAGCATGTAGCACAAGCTGAATAGCACAAGACGCAATTTCCTGAGGATACGAAGTATCCTGGGTCGCATGTAAGACATACAGAATTTACTTCGCAGTAATAGCAATTGGTCGGACAGCTCACACTTCATAAGCATGACTTCTGGATCGGAGAATAAGGGTGTCCGGCGCAATAAGTAGCTTTTATGTCTATGCAATCAGTGGATGATGGCCCAGAGCAAGTTCTTTCACATACTGAATCACATAAAAGGCAAGCAGTCAAGTCAGAGTCTAAACAGCTTGCTTGCTGTCCATTATAACAGTTGCATGAAGCTAAACAATTGTTCGGCATATAAAAATTATCACATATAGGTATACAGGTGCTGCTTAAACTTGGGCACCCTGAGCAGCTACCAGAGCAACTTGTAGAGTAGCTTGATAAAATATTTGTGCTGCCTGCAAGATCATTCATTGCATTAATTTCATAAATAAATCCAATAAATCCATTCGTGCATGTTGGGTCACATCCTATATTGAACCCTTGTCCTGTGTCGTCTTTATAATGCCCGCTGAAACTTGCTAATGAATTTGTATTTCCTACATACAAAGTTTCTTGTGTGGTGCCACCAGACTTATTAACTACTCCAGCTAGATAATACCATTGATCTACCTATAAAATACCATTTGTAACAGCTTTTGTAACTCCAGGATTTCCTACAGCTGGAAAAGATTCTTGATGTGATCAGGCTCAAAAATTCAGAGTCCATGGTGATAAAATTTCAAAAACAAATAAAATATTATTTGAACTGTCATAGCGAGATAGAATTACTCCTTCAGAAATTATTTTTATTCACATCGTGATAGTAAATGAGTGAGGAAAGGTCAGGGAATTTTGAACAACTGAATTTTTAGGTGGGGTTATAAGAGACACACCTGAAAAATAAGCTCCTCTAGGAGTTCAGTTTGAATCTGATGTTTCAATTTCGGCAGTTCAGCCATTAACGCAATGATTTGCATTTCCAGAAGAATCTTCAAGAACTTGCCCTATGCCTTGATAGAGATTATATTGGAACAATGAAGTGTTTGCTTAATATTTAATATACCATTTAGATATATTTTAATTATTTTTTTCTTTAAAATTTGCTTTAGCTATATATAATAAACTATTATACCTTTTGCTCCAAGTATTAAAACCAAAATAAATAATGTTTTATGCATTTATTATTCATCAAAATAAACCAAATTCAACTCGACTTAAAGCCTTGTCAACGAATTAGTTATAGAACTTTCTCTTCAATAGCGCGATAAGGCGCATTCCTAGGTTTTACCGGAAGGTCTTGGACATATGAAAACCTGCTATTCCTTATTCATCGGGGAGAAAAACAGCCTAAATAAAGAATTCTGCCTGGTCAATCTCGAGAACTTGAAGAGAGGCTGGTGGAAAATTTACATTTTGGTTCGTCAAATGGATCTGACGAGCCAATTCTGGCCAGTACTTGAAATAAAAAATGATAGTTGCCAGAATTTTATTAATTTTCTGATGAAGAGTATGATCAGAATTTTAATAATTCCTTTTGACAATAATGATTAAAGCATTCATCATCAGCAAGTTTTTCCTTTAGAAATCCTTGTTCCATATGGTCTCAACTACTCCACAATTTGCTTTTGTAGAAAGAGTTATTAGTTTTATTAACTCCCCCCCCCCCCTCCGTGAGCGAACAAAACCATTAGAAAAATCGCCATTTTTTGACCAAAAACCCACCCTCCGTGAGTGAACAAAAATTTTTTTTAATAGAAAAAATTTTAATGGAAAAAAATTTTGATATATAAGTGATAATTAGTATAATGAAATCTAGAGCTAATTCTGTTTAATTTTAAAACAAATTGCGTTTTAAAACATAAATTTTGCAAATTAAATTAATATTTGCTTCCCAATTTTTGCAAATTAGGATTTTTTTTAAATTTCGAAAAAAATATTTTTTATAAAATTTATATATAAATTTTTTTTAAAAAAAAAAAATTAACCCCCTCCGTGAGCGAACAAAATTTTTTTGTTCGCTCACGGAGGGGGGGGGGGGGTAAGTAAGCAAAAATTTAAGAGTATTCAAGAAGGACTTATTTTATCAAAATTATTTTGAAATTTTAAAAAATTATTAAGATGGTTAAGTCACTATGGAAAAAGTCAAATTATAAAAATCATTACTGGCATCGTCTCCCTAAGGCAGTAATGAGTATTTATTACGTTATCTTTATGCTTAAATTATCTCTTCAAATCTTCTATTAAAAGTTTGAATTTTGAAATTTTAAAAAAAAATAAGATGGTTAAGTCACTACTTAATCAAATCTTGAATTAATTACTTGATTCTATGCCATTTATTAAAATTCTGATCATACTCTTCATCAGAAAATTAATAAAAAAATTCTGGCAACTATCATTTTTTATTTCAAGTACTGGCCAGAATTGGCTCGTCAGATCCATTTGACGAACCAAAATGTAAATTTTCCACCAGCCTCTCTTCAAGTTCTCGAGATTGACCAGGCAGAATTCTTTATTTAGGCTGTTTTTCTCCCCGATGAATAAGGAATAGCAGGTTTTCATATGTCCAAGACCCTCCGGTAAAACCTAGGAATGCACCTTATCGCGCTATTGAAGAGAAAGTTCTATATTCTGTCTTGCATAAAACGCGGATTTAACAAGACATATGGAGCAATCTAACTTCCCCGATAAATCAGAAAAAAATTCCTATTCCAGTTTGGAGGGATTTTTTTAAAAAAATTTAAATTAAACACTATATTTCGAATTTATTTTACTTTATGAAGAATTAATCCAAAAAAATTAATCAATTTAGTGTGAAAACTCTTTAAGAAGCATTTTAACTTCACTTCTTCCATTCATTTAGTTCAAAGCTAATTTTATAAAAACTACTATTTTCCACAATTATTAATTTGTGAAAGATAGTATACGACTTTATATGCAATTTGGCTTAAGTAAAATACGATAAATGCATGCTTTCAAGTTCTTCGCATTAATAAAATATATTGAAAGCATATTAAGCGTAACAGCTTGATGAAATAGCAATGGAGAAGTAAATATTAGCTCTATCAAGCTATACCTGATTCAGACTATTACTATGAGATTTTTTTGAGGTTTTATGTTTTTAAGATTAGAAAGCAATTGCTGAATTATCAGGATAAACTAAACGTCCTTTCCTTAATTTTTTCATTATTATAGACCAGATTTTTATAATTAGAAAATAGTTTGCCCATCATAAAGTAAAAGTGACAAAGCAGAATATAATTATGTTTGGACTCATTTTAATAAAAATTTAGGAATAATAAATTAATCAAATAATATAAACAAGTTTTTATAAAAATAAACTTTTCTGACCTCAAATTAATAATTCAAAAAAGTTATGCATGACGAAAACAATTTTTGCAGATTGAAACTTTAAATATTTAATAATCTCCATATGAAATTAAAAAATATTTTAGAGAATGTTTCTTATTCACCAAAAGGGTTAAGATTCAAAGTATATTATTTTATTTTTCAAAGAAATTAGAAAAAAAATTATTTACCGAGTCGATGTGAAAAAACATATGAAATCATCAGCTATGCTCTCTTCTAAGCTGATTGTGCAAATGTTTAATGTAGAGATAATTAATTTTAATTTTAAAACAAAAAAAAATTTGCTTGATTTGAACTCTGAAGGTCTTAATCTATGATAAAATTAATTTAATTATATTTTAACCATTTCGATGAAATATAATTGATGTATATACTGTTTGTTTATGACTGAAAAAGCATATGCTTTTAAAATACTTAACTCCCCTCAGTAAACAAGTAAAATTTTTTTGCTTGTGAGGAGTTAATATATTATTTTTTTTTTTCTTCTAAAAATCTTTTAAATAAAAATTTAAAAAAATGATATTATTCTTTATATTAAAGATTTTATAAAAAAAATTTTTTCTAGCTGATTTTCACAGTATAGAATTTTCTAATAGTTTTGCTTGATCACGGGGAGAAAGAATTAAGTGATTCTTTTTCATCTCAAGTTGCCTCCGACTTCTCAAGCAATTCAAAGGCAATATCTCCCTAGTTCAGAGCTCTATTTCCTCTTAACTTATCCATAAAATTCACTGCCTTCTCTAGGTACTTTTGTGCATTATAAAATTATAAAAATTTAATTGACCTCATTTAAAATTTTATCCTTGATGTTGCGTTTAATTTAATCCTCTTATTTTCCTTGCTAAACCAAGTTGCTAATTGTCTAATTATCTGATTTTAAAGAATTTATCAAGAAACTCCTAAGTATTTCTAGAATTAATCTTTAGTGTATCACCATAATCAAATAATAAGAACTAATGACATCACTAAATTAAGCAACAATTATTAATAAATGGATCCACAAAAAAGGCTGACCCTTATTTCCAAACATCTTTTAAGCAGATTTCCTGAGATTCCTATATCGGACACCTTAACTTCATATAGAAAAAAAACAAGTTTTGATTCAAGCTCTCTAAGGAATTTAATATATGGAGGACGGAGTTCTATAGTTGAAGAAATGATTTCTTATATGATGGAATCACAGTCACTTTTTGACCATTATAAAGAAACACATTTATCGATCCCTGAGTATCGTGAGCTAATTCTTCGCCAAATATTAGCTACTTATGGGAAAATATTGTCAAATCCTTCATATAATAAAGATGATATCAATCATATAATGGCTGTGTTGCATGGCATGAATTTGTATTCACAGTCTTTTGCAGCCAGATTAATGGTTCATCTTATTTTATATATACAGATTTTTGCTAAATTTTGGCAAATCAATATTATTCAATTTTTATAATGAAATATTCAAAACTATACAAGTATATAAGTATACATTTTCGATTGAATTATTAGGCACAGAAAAGCATAAATTATTAATAGAAAATGGAAGACTATTAAAAGATTATGGCTGCTTTGGGATGACTGAATTAGGGCATGGCACTAATGTGGCAGCCTTAGAAACCACAGCTGTTTATGATCATAAAACCCGCGGATTCATTTTGAACAGCCCAACCTCTACAAGTGCTAAATGGTGAATAGGAGCAATGGGAAAAACAGCTGACATGGCAGTCATTTTCGCTCAACTTTTTGTTGAAGGAGTCAATAGAGGAGTTCATGCTTTTGCAGTCAGAATAAGAAATAAAACAACTCATGACCCTATGCCTGGAGTTACTGTTGGCGACTGTGGGATGAAAAATGGTCTAAATGGAATTGACAATGGCTTTATACTTTTTAAGGATTACTTCGTCCCATATGATGCCCTTCTTGACAGAATTAGCCATATCTCTAATGAAGGAAAATTCAAAAGCATTATAAAAAACAATGAAAAAAGACTAGGAATCATGCTACTTAGCTTAATGGGAGGAAGAATTTCTTGTATTGGTAGCACATCAATATCTATGCATTTGTCATTAACTATAGCTATAAGATGGACATTTTTTTAGTAGGAAGGTTTTGATAAAGTGGCATTTCCTAGTAAAAGCTTGGCTTTTTTTTCCATGTAAGACATTTATCGAAGCTTAACGTATTTTTTAGAGAAAATGTCTCGCTATCGAAAAATTTGGACCAAACCTAAAAAGGAAACATGCAAAATATTCCTAGCCGCTATAAGATTTTCAGCAACCCGAAAACAATTTTCATCAACTGGTGTTAAGGATACAGAATCTGCTGTAATTGAATATCAGACCCAAAAATATCGAATATTCCCTCATTTAGCGAAATTTTTTGTTTTTATCTCTTCTTATCATAAAGTAAAATCTTGGGCTCTTTCTTTAAAACAAAAAATATTAAATGACCCAGAAAATGAAGAAATCACAGAAATTCATGCAATTTTAGCCTCTATGAAGCCCGTCGGGACTTGGTACGCAAATGAAACTATTCAAGCCTGTAGAGAAGCCTGTGGAGGGCTAGCGTATTCAGTATATTCTCAGTTCGCAAGGATTAGAAATGATCAAGACATTCAAGTGACTTGGGAAGGAGACAATCACGTTTTATTGCAGCAGACAGCAAGATTTATATTGAAGCAGTTCCAAAAGTACTTTAAAGGAATAAGAATAACTGTTCCAACCCTGAGCTTTATGATACCTGATTCAGAAAAACTAAAAGAACTCAAGGGAAGCTTTTCCAGTTTAGAGGACCTAGAAAATATTGACTGTTTGGTAAGCATGCTTGAATATAAATTTAATTACCTTTTGCACGAGGCTATAGCAAGAATTAAAGAAAATGCTGGCAAATATTCAGAGATTTCCCAAACATGGAATAATTCTCACTCCATCCCCTTTTAAATTGCAGCAAAGCATGATAAAATTTGTATTTTTTTGATACTTTAACACCCCTTTATTTAGAATGATTTTTTCAATAGGAAAATTTAACGATGAGAATACTAATTTTTATAAAATTAGTTTTGATCTAATTATATAGATAGCATAAAAGTAGAGCGTTATTTAAACAATTTTCACACTAAGTAGATTTACATTTTTATTTGATTCTTCATAAAATAAATTAAAATTTAAAGTATTGGACTACGCCCTTCCTATAGATGGCGCATTGCGCGCCATCTATAGGAAGGGCGTATTATTTATTGCCTAAATTTCTGATCATGCATATGCATGCCATTTTGAATTTGGTATGTAAAAACCGAATATGCGTTTCAAAACGCAGATTTTAGTGCGGCAAATTCTTAATTTGAAATTTCATATGAAAATGGCGCGTATAACGTCCATAAGAAATTTTGCCAACAGATTATATATATTTTAGGCACAATATTTAAAATGGCAGTTAGGGATAGAGTCCTAGTTCTATTCATCAGTAGCCTATTATACGAGCTTTGTGAGAGAAGTTCAAGCTTCTTGAGAGTCTCAGCCTGAAGAGAGGTTGTCTATGCTTAGACTGGCATGGACTAGAGAAGTCTAAAAGGGATTAATAGCTTTAACAGTTTGACGGTTTGGCCAAACAACCTATCGTTGTTCAGAGCTGTTATTAAAGCTAAATCTCAAGTTAAAGAGGACTTAAGGCACTGCAGCGCTAGAGGAATTCACAAAACATTAAAATTAAACATATTTTTTAACAACTTGAAAAAAATTTAAGATTAGGATACTAATTTTAAAATTAGCTTTGACCTAATAATATAATAGACAAAATGCAAGTAGAATGCTATTAAAACAGTTTTAAAACACAGAATAGATTAATTTTTTATTTAAATCTTCATCCAAATAAATTAAATTCAAAGTATTGAAGTCAATTTATAGTTTTTAAAATTTTAGATTATATGGCTACAAGAGATTTTCCCAACATTTTACTTAAAAATTTTAAGAAAAGAAGAAAAAATAAAAAGATTTAAAATTGGATCAGCTCTTAAGATAATTATAATCTTCTCTCTCTCACAAAAAATTAAAAAAATTTAAAAAAAAAAAAGTTATAAAATTAATTTTGGCTTATTTTTATGGAAAAAATACACTAGAATGCTATTTAAACAGTTTTCGCTTCGAATCGATTTCTTTTTAATTGCTTCTTGATAGAAACAATTAAAATTTAAAGTATTGTGCTCAATTTATATTTTTTAAGATTTAAGATTTTAAAAATTATTTATTGAAAAAATATTCCCCTTTAAATTGATACAGGATTTTTTGTTCCAATTTAAAAGGGAGTCAGATTTTTTATTTGCAAGAATTGCCAAAAGCTTATATTGAAATATTTATGATAAACACACTTATAGAAGACCAAGAAAAATTGGATAATTCTGAAACAAAAGAAATGATTAAATGATTTATTCAACTATATGCCTTAGAGAAAATCAGAAAAGACTTAGAAATTTATATGGTCAGGTACCTGAGTTATGAACAAGGAAAATTAATAAAAGATAAAATCTTTGAACTGTGCGATAAAATTGGAAATTTCGCGGTGGATTTAATTGATGCTATTGCACCTCCAGATTTTATACTGAGTTCTATACTTGCTATGTCTGATGGCCAAATTTATAAGCATATCATTTCCACAATTGAAAAATCTCCAGAAACTTATGAAAAAGCATCTTTTCTAAAGACGATAAATGAAATGAGAACATTAGCTAAATAATTACTAATAAAGATTCCCATCGCTTTATGCTAAATAAATTTTAATGCATTCTTCCATAAACCAAACCGTCAGCACCTCTCGGAATAAATATTTCTTTTACAATTTTCCATATAATCTGTTAAGAGATAATATGGATTCAGAATACGACCACCTTTTCAAGATATACCTGGTTATAGAGAATATAAACATCTTATATCATAGAAAAAAAAGTAAAACGGCTAAACAGTAGGAATATTTTCATTCATTGTGAATAGGCATATTAATTATAGGTGACAGCGCTGTTGGGAAAACTTCAGTCCTGCTAAGATTTGTTGATGATATGTACAGTCCTGAATTTCAGACTACAATCGGTGTTGACTTTAAAATTGCAAATCTCTCAGTTAATGGAAAAAGAATCAAGCTCCAACTATGAGATACAGCTGGGCAAGACCGCTTCAGGAATATTGTGGCATCCTATTATAGAGGAGCTCAAGGAATAATGCTTATGTACGACATTACTAATCCTACAACTTTCCAGAACATTACACGCTGGCATGAAGAAGCTCAAGGGTATTTGCAGAGTTCAGTGCCTAAGCTATTGATAGGAAATAAAGCTGACTTAGCAAATCAAAGGCAAGTTAAACCAGAGGAAGCTCAGCATCTTGCAGAAAGGCTTGGGATGGATTATATGGAAACTTCCGCAAAAAGCGCTCAGAATGTGAAGCAAGCGTTTGAAAACATGTCAAAGAAAATTCTTTCAACAGTCTCCGTTAGCAGACCTACGAATAATAACAGCTTTGCTCCGACTTCTCAGAAAGTTACATCAGGCACGTCTATTGCGAAAACTGGAGGATGCTGTGGATAGATCAGAGATAATGATTATTCATAATGAGTAGTAATTATAATAATGTATTATACATTAATCTATTGGCTAAAAATATCCTTTAATATTATAGAAGCCGATTAAAATTAATAATCTTCAAATTATGAATCTTCATCAAAGGATTTGCTTTTTTCTTCTAATTTAACTGGTGCTTTTGGAGGAGCTAAAAGTCTGCCAGGAGGCTTCAATGATTTTGGCGCCTGCAACTTTATAGGCTGCTCTGGCTTTGGCAGTAATAATCCTGCAGCTTTTTCTTTATTTTCGCTTTCATTTTTATTGATTTTAATAGCGGTCCATTTTTTCCTTCTTTTTTCGGTCAAAATATCATGAGGACATTTATAAACTTCTTTTATTTGTTCAGATTTTCTTTGAGTTTTCCATATCCTGATTTCGCTGATGTAGCCATTTAATCCACCAAAAATGAAAGAATCTCCCATAGATAGATCAACCACATTAGCTGTATACATTAGTCTGCCATTTTTGTATATCGATAAATTTGGAGTAGAATAAGTTATACAGGTATGGAATCAAATATTTTCGACTATCGGCAAAATTGGTTGAAATTCTTCATCTTGCTCATGTTTTGGCTCAATTAATTTTAAGCTATAAGCATTATTCGTGCACTTATATACAGCGTTATCAATTCTGCATTCGAAAGTCCCAGTTTTGAATAAACAAGCATCTTCTAGTGCTTTTAAGCTGCACCAAAACTCAATAGAAAATTTTTTGTCAGGCTTCAAGTCGTCAATGACGAGTCTACTTTCCATCACAAAACTTAAGCTATAATTTGGCTGACATCTTTTTCCCCATTTATCTTCATATTCCATAGGGTCTCCTTCATCTAACATTCCTCCCCACATCCTTTCATTAATGAAATATGCTTTGCTATTCATTACGTTTCCGAGCTGGTTGCCTTTACCTTCGTCACATCTTAAATATACGGCGAGAGCCTCCTCTTCGCTAAGCTCTTGGTTTCCTCCTTTCTCTTCTTCAATTAAAGCGAGATCGATAAATTGGGGTGCAGCTCTTTCAAATTCTTTGAGAGAATCCCAGCCAAACCATTGGCCGATATTATCAGAGTGAGTGGGAATAATTTCAAAGCTGTTTGCTAGTTGAATAAATGGAGACTCTCCAAAGCCAAGCTTTATAGGAAACAAATTGGGAGGCTGAATCTGAAAATCAATATCTTGAAATCCAGGAGGATCTATAAAAACACTTTGTTTAGAATTTAAGATGTAAGGAGAAGGATTTATACCTTGTTGAGCTAGTAAAATTTCAAGATCTTTTAAATTATTCGTCAATTCCAAGCACTTTGCAGCTTTTAAAAGCTGTCCTCTTTCCTCAAAATATTTTGCCATTTCTGATATAAGATTTTTCTCAAGTTTCCAGTTGTGATCAGAATTAAACTCAACTAAAAAATGTTTCAGTTCATATGGATCTTCAAGGTACTTCTTGTGTAAAAGTTTATCTAAAATATCATCAAACAAATTCAATTTTTTCAATATTTTTATCCTCAAAGGCAAAGATACATAGCTTGACTCTGAATTTTCAACTAAAAACCAAGCTGCCTCTGAATACCCTGAATCGAGTAAATTTTTGATTAAATCCTCTGAAATTAGAGGAGTGTTCATCATTCTAACAATTTTATTGATTTTCTCTTCATCTGGATGAGTCTTTATGTATCCTGAGATTAGAGGCTCTAGCATCGTGATTGGTCGGGCTTGGATTTCTATGTTGTTTGACTTGACTGCTAATAGAATTCTATCGTTTAAAGCTCCACATATGATAGAAGGTGTTAAAACTTGGAACAACAGCTTTATTCTTTTGGAATAATAGTAAATTCCTTCATGCCTTGAAAAAAGCAATGTGTTTCCATACCAAAATACAGAAGTTGGGACACTTCATTTAGGCTTCTCCAATATACATTGTTCTAAAGGCTGCAACTCAGAATTTAAAATACAAATTCTTTTACTCGTTCCTATAGCTAGTTTAATATTGACGTTGTCTCATTTTAAGCATGTTAAAATTTCGTCATAAGTAAGCTTAAATACGTCTTTGTCGCTTAAGTCTACATCTTCAGTCCTACCAGTTCTTACACTCTTTGATAACCTTATGCTATGCTCATGCAAAGTTTCATAAACGACACTGAAGCCATATTGAAGAGGAGTCCAGTAAACATTTTTTATTTTCATACTTAAAGTGAAATTCTCAGGTTCTTCATCGCCGTCTAAGTAATATAAAATCACTGAAGATCTATCTTCTCCTACAATTAATAAATTTTCTCCTATTTCATTTTCTTCCCCTAAAATGCACCCGGCTACTCCATTATATTGTTTTGAAGTTATATTCGCTCCATTTTTCCTTAGTAAATGAGCATACTTAGTTCCTTTTATTTCTTTTATTGCCAGAATATCTATAGGATTTCCCCCGCTTTTCGGTTTACATTCTAAGCTGAGATAAGCTGCTTGTTCTGGAGGTAAATTTGCTATCGAATTTTGTTTTCCATCTTTAACTGAGTATTCAATAATATCATTTTTTGATATAAAATAAAAGTAAGCTGGAAATTTGATAGGGCTTGTAATTAAAGATTCTATTGGCTGCTGAATCATTGGGCATATTGCTGGATAGCCATTGGATGCATTTTGAGAATTGATAAGAGATAAATGAAAAATGTATTTCATGTTATCAAAAGGTCAAACAAGCAGGACTGTATTATTGGATAGTGAATATAGGCACCTTAATTCTTGCCGTGGGAATGAAGAAATTACATCATGAGGTATCGAAAATAAGCTTTGAGAGACTATTTTAATTTTTGATGGCAAATTCCTCTTTGTCGATCTATATAAAAGCTACCCAGAAACTTGTTGAGATATTTGCATGAGAATTAAAGTCCCTTCTTTTATGAGCCCTATAAAATTATCATCATTTATTCACGATACTCCTAAAATTCCTTGCTCAGAAATTCTTATATTTGCGTCTAGTAAATAATTTGTAATGTCACTTGTATTTCATGCATTTATCACTCCAGCATCATCTCCAGATAGTAATCTGCTTCCATTATGGTTGAATTCCAAACAATTAATTTGATGTAAAATATTTTTTTTCATTAAGTGGCTGATGATTTTTTTGTTCGCTTTTTGATCAGTCCCACTATCAATAATAGGTAAAAACTCTTCAATTGTTTGATAATTTCATACTCGTATAAGTCCATCACTGCAAGCAGCGATTAAGAAAGACGACATAGGTTGAACCACCACATGATTTGCAATAACTTTTGAAGTCATCTTCAATTTCGATGGCTTTTTAGAAAAGCCTTGCTGAGCGAGAGGAAAGATTGGGAGAATATAAATATTGCTATGTGAAAAGGTTGAAAATATAATCAAATCATCTGTAAATGCAGTGCTATGCGGAATATAAGGTTTTTTCCCACCACATTCTACATCTAATAGGAATTCTGGAGGGTTTAGTCGAAATACTAAATATTCTGACTGGCCCCAAAATATGTAAATATGCTCCTGGTTGTATTTTAAAGTAATCAAATTATCACCTAATTTCTCCTTTGGAACTTGCACTCGATTTTTGACATGTGAAGTGGCTATATCAATTTCTATAAGTTCGTAATCTTTTGATAGAATAAAATAAGAATCTTTGTTATTTGCTACAGCTCCCAAGCACTCTTGTTTACCTATGCAAATGCAATCCATACTTAAATTAATATTAAAATGCTATGCTGATTAGTAAAGTTTGTTTTGCATGCTATATTTATTTATAATTTTATTATATATGTTTAAAATACCTCTAGCAAATATTTAAATTATTATCTTTACTATTCTATAAAATTATGATCAATCATTGAATCTGCTTCCCATTGACAATTTTCAAAGTAAGGTTGGAAGGTATAAATGGGGCAATATGAAAAATTTTCTTTGTTTGGGAAAATCGTATTAAATTTTTTAAGAACTACAGAAAGCATAAATAAAGTCAAATTCTGATAGCTAATATATTTTTTATAATATAAATTGACGCAGGCTATTTTCCAATGATAATATCAGAGATTTTAAACTTTATAGAATTTTATGATTCATTTCTCATGCTCCAAAAAGTCGAAACAGAATTCTCCAAATTATTTGAAATTTTGGGACAAAGCTGGTGAATAAACTTGCTGAAGTGATGTGTAAAATTCTCAAATATTGTCAATAATTGCCTTAAACTTTAATTCAAATTAGATTGTCTATATTTTTCCAGAAGAAAATGGATATCAAATTTGCGAAGAAAACTGAAAATATTAAAATCTGATCCTTTTCCAAAAATCAGAGGAATTTTGATATATTGCAAAATGCTCAAAACCTCCTCATGAATTGAAATTTATATATATATATTTTTAAGAAATTTAAATACAAGCTATTAAAATTTTAAATACATAAAGGGGACACCTTGTCATTAAAACAAGCTGTGCTGATTTTTGTAAGCTCTGCACAAAGTTCTGTGCTGAGTTCGCTTTTTACACGACTGGCTAAATATGGCTTTTTCCTTTTCGCATAAAGCTCATTATCTTCAAGTTTGAGGATAGGCGCATTTTTGATTTTCTTAGCTATTACAATTCGTTTTTCCTTTGCAATGCTTTTCTTTTCTTTTTCTTCTTTTTTGCTAGAGCTTTTTGTGTCTTTTGTATAGCTTTTGGAGGATACACAGGAACCCATTTCTTATAGCTAAATTAATATTTACGGTCAATTAGAAACGACTGGCCTTAATACGGGCCCAAGTGATTTTGCAACATTTTTAAATGCTAATTTGAATAATTGTAAAAGCATTGGTAAATTATATAAATTTTATAAAAGTAAGTCGAAACAAAAAAATCCGTTTACAATTCAGGCTGTTGAAGGAAAATGGATGGATTTGACTAAAAATGAAAAGGAATCTAAATAAGAAAAGTAAACTCTAGTTATATTTTTTCAGCTGTAATTTCTAGGATGTGATGATATTGATCTTTGCACCTTTCATAGGCTTCAAAAAAAATTAGAAATTTATAAAATTATTAACTAGTATAGTCACATGTTTTGAGCATCTAGATAATTAATTTATGGCATTTTCGATTCAGCCAAATCAATTTTTGATAATAATCTTTATAAGCCTTAATAATAAGCCTTATAAAAAGACACCATAACTAATCAGAAATTATATAAGAATTTTTAAATCTAATAATAAAAATTAATAAATTAATAAAATTATATTTAATAAAATGGTTTTATTAAAATTAGCTCTCTTAAGAATTAATCAAAAAGAGTAAACCTATTAATATAGCTAGTCAGTAGAAAGCATTTTTTTCTTAATGTGCTTCTGTTTAAAAATAATGATTTTAAATATTATAATAAATTTTTGATTTAAATGAATGTTGAATTTGCTAAAATGGATTTATATCAATTAAAATTTTTCTTGAAAAAAACTTATACAAGATTAAATAAAATAATGCAAATTTTTTATATATATATTAAAATATTAAAATGCTTTACGTTTTGATTCTATTCAAGCAAATATTGTGTTCATAGAACTCGCTGCCAAAAACTAAATTTATTAATTTTAGCTCAGTATTATATTTGTTCTAATTAAAAGTATATTACTATTGAATCATTAATATTTGTATATTCTCAAATCTTAGCATCATTTGCCAACATATTACTAATTTTTATTTTGAGTTTTTCTTCTAAATAGGCCTTCTGCACTATGGTTTTTAAGACACTATTTTCGTTTTGAATGGTTTTTCTAAACTTAAAAATTTCAGGTTTTTTTTTCATCTTGACCCTTAAACAATTATTTAAAACTAATAATGCTTATCTTGCAGGTAAGATCTTATTTTCAACAGCTCTCCTATGATATTCGAGTAGATTATGAACCATTTAAAATATTTTCGTTGTAAAGAAAATTCATAATGCTATTAAATATCTTAATAAAAGTGCCGCATTCAATTTTACAACTAAAATTTTGCTTAAAAAGAAATTAAAACATTTATTTATTTTATAGAGCTTGTTTTCCATATTTATCCCAGAAAAATAAAATTTTCTAATCCCATTTTTTCTGTAATTCGATTCGCTTTAAGTTTAAATAGGAAAATTGTTTTTAATTAATTATAAATACTCTTTTAAGGGGATTGATGCGTACTCGGACACATTGTATCTCCTTTAAATAATTCTTCGCTGATTTCAGATATCGTACTATTAGTTTTAGTTTGAAACAACTGACCTCTTCTTCTCGCTAATAATTCGTTATATTCTAGCTTAAGTATAGGTGCTAGAGAGATTTTCTTCCGGAAAACTGCTTCTCTTTGCATTTTAATTCATTGCCTTTCATGATCACTAAGTTCTGTTGCAATTTTTGCACCAATAGCTCTGTAGTGTTTTTTATGAGAAATGCACGAACCCATTTTTAAATTATTAGTGTAAATTCCCATGAATATCAAACTTTTGCATATACAAGCTTATTAAGGCTGAAAATTGATAGATTGGTCTGAAATTTAGAATTTTTAATAAAAATTTAGATTGAATATAACTATTTGTGATTGCCTCAACCTGAGCAAAGATGTGCTCTCTAATTTGTATTTTAAATTAAGAAAATATTCATTGAGCTTTATTAGGATAAATTTTAACCTGTGGCTAAATATAACGAATGAAAGTAAAAATATAAGCCTTTTTTTATTCGAATGATTTTTGTAACCATCTTTAACTATCTCTTCTACCGGTTCTAGAATTTTAATAGTCATTTTCAATTCTATTCCATACTAAAATAATATTTTATATAATTCCCTAATTAAATTAACCAATTTATTGGCTCAATTTTTATTGCTTTAATTTTAATTTTAAAATATTGTTAGCAAATATTGCTACTTCAATTGAAGTAATTTAGTGTTATGCTCTTTGAGATTTATTACATTTAACTTTCAAGTTTTTATGCTACCCTATATTTTTGAATTTCCCTTTAAAAACAATATGTCCATTATAATTACATATACACATTATTTTTTAGAAAAGAAATCATGGGCACTTGCATGTCTTCCAAAAAAACACCAAGAATTGCAAAAGCTAAATCAGAAAAATCACAAGCAGCAATTGTAAAGCAAAAGAGAGAAATTTTAGTAAAAAAAGTAAAAAACGCACCTATTCTGACGCTAGAAATCAACGAGTTATACCTAAAAAGGAAAAAATCTAATGTACATAGTTCAGCTTGTAGTGACACTGAAGGAAATGCAGATCTTATGAAATTAAATACGACCTGCTACAACTAAAACTTATAAATTAATTGTTAATAGACCTTAAATTTACATAAATTTTTTATGTTAAGAAATTGTATCATTGAATAATAAATCTTTTTATTCCAACATGATACTCTAGATATAGATGGCTAAGTTTTAAATTTTGATGAGTTTTTTATTTTTGCTGAGTAACCATTTTACTTTTATTTCTTTTTGACTGAAATGTCGGAGCATAAAAGCATAACTTATGGAAAACATATCAGTTAATATAAAACTAAGTCAACTTATATTTCCTAAAGATATATCTATATAAGCCTCTTTATGTTAGAAAATATAAATTTTTATTTTATCAATAAAAATCTTTTTCTGTAAAGCCTGCATGCAAGGCCAACATGCTTTGTTGCATTAATCTAAATACTAAGCATCAATTTACATTATGCAAGTAGAGCTTCTCTGTTCCATTTATTAATTTTAAATTTAATGACTTGATAGCTAACATTTAAATCTCATTAACATACCATATGAATTTGAAATTATATTTCCTTCTATATATTAGCTAATTATTTTTTCGTTCCCCAAGCTCCACCCATCATTTCTTTAACCTTCAGCATATTTTCCCTATAATCCACAAAATCATCCCTTTTTCTGAAATTGTCTTTTGTGACCCCTAAAAACTCAGGGTGAAGCTCCGGAAAGAACTTTCGGTCTTTGAAACCATTTCTTTTCGACCACTCTGTTTTAAACGCATTCGTAGAATTTACTATAAAATTTGACAACTCAATATCGTTTTTCGGGTCAATAACCGTAAATCTTTTACTAGTGGTATTCGGAATATTATTATATGGCAGTCCTTTTGTGGGAAAGATAGTTTTCCAAGACTCATTAAGGCCTTCAGGTCTTGCAGAATATCTCGTTGCCTTTTGCTCTTCAGGCATATTAACTTCAGCATCATTATTATGCCAATTTGTTTCAGAAAAAATTCCTTTTCTGACCTCACTTAACTTGATTCTAGGCAGCTTTATCACTCTTTCAGACTTTACTAGTGGTGGCTCTGGGGAAGTTTCAAGGCATTTTTTTTTGCTTGATAAAAATTCTTCGTTGTATTTTCTGATGTCTTCTTTGGTAGGAATTTTTTGAGAAAAAGTATAAGGCATAGGATATTCGTTGAGATTTTTAGTATAACTAATAGAGAGACTGCTTTTAGGATTAATTAAAGCTGATGCTAAATCATGGCATGATTGAGAATGATTTTTCGTAAGAATATATGAATCCTTCACATTTGGAAGTCGGAAAGTGCTTGTCGAAGTCGTCGCCATAGGGTTTGATGTCTCCATTTTCTTAATTTATAAAATGGCATGTATTATGTGTAAAGAACCATCCAAATACAAATGCCCTGGCTGCTTATCTTTAACATGCTCAGTGAAATGCGTTAAATCACACAAAACTAAATACTCATGCAGTGGGATGCCTGATAAAACAAAATACGAAGGGATCAAGGATATCAACACAAACACAATGCACAGAGATATAAATTTTCTAACTCCCTCCTCTGCGAGGGTGGTTAATTAATTTTAAAAAAAATTATATATATAAAATTATCGTAAATTAAAAAAAATCCCAATTCTCATAAATTGGAAGAATCTAATTTGTAAAATTTATGTTTTAAAATGCAATTTTTTCAAATATAAACAGATTTAGTTAAAAATTTTCATTATATTCATATCGTTATATATCAAAATTTTTTAATAAAAAATTTTTTGTTCGCTCATGGAGGATAGGTTTTTAAGCCAAAAATAGGGATTTTCCAATGCTTTTGTTAGCTTACGGAGGGAGAGAGTAAGTGATATTATAAGATCTTCTGACCAAGCTCATAAAGTTATCACTAAACTATCAAGACATGATAATAGGAAACGATTTTTGTTGCTGCAAAATGAATGCAGGGCAAGAAACATCCAGCTAAGAATTCTGCCAAAAGCAATGTCAAAGCATAATAGTAATTCTACAGTGTTTATGAAATCGGAAAATATTATTTATTGGCGAATTGAGTGAGTTTTCTTATCAAATAATAAGGAAATTAAAATAGAAGTGGATGGGAATAAAGATCATGAAAATGTTTTGGAGACCTTAGGGAAAGCTATAGAAATTTTTAATACCATGCCAGAATTTGTGCATGAACTAAGTAAAAGCCCAAGTAAAGAGTTTTGGGTCCTTTGGATTGTTGGAAAAAAGAGAGTGCAAGGAAAAGGGGAAAAGGTCTTTCAGAGAATTGATGCACAGAAAGCATTAAATGAAACATTAAAAGAAAACTCTCAAGAACATGGACCAATTGTAGAGTTCCCAACCTTATACATTACAACACCAGATTTTTCTCATTATCATTTCATTAAGAATTAATTTGTCCTTACTCCCCCTTTAAATAAGAACAAAATTTCCATTTTGTGGGTACTTTAACCCCTTTATTTTTTTCTTCAATATGAAAATTTTATATAATACTAATTTTTATAAAATTAGTTTTGAACTAATTTAATGGAGAAAGTGTAAAAAGAAAGCTATTTAAATAGTTTTTACACTAAATAGATTGATTAATTTACAATTAATTCCTCATAAAAATTAATTAAAATTTAAGGTATTGTGCCAATTATATTTTTTTACAAAAAATTAACCCCCCTTTAAATTGGAACAGGATTTTTTGTTTCCAATTAAATTTTGGAGTTAGTATACTTAGACACACTTTACACTTTAGTACTTCATCATCATTAATCTAACACGCATTCATTGTTGGGTTTTGAGTTCAGCTTCAATTTTGATCGAAATACGAATTCCGGTACTTCAATTGAAATTTTCTTTTTCGGCTGTTCTACATCCCTGATTTTTCTCCCCCACAAACTGCTTAGTCAAGGATCATCTAATGCTTCTTTCGCAGTTGGCCTAATAAAAGGATCAGGATCTGTTAATCGTATTACAAAATTTTTAGCTGAACTCGAAAGATGTGACCAATCATCTTCGTGGAAATTTATATGGCACTCTCTATTTATTGCTAAAATAGTTAGTACATCAAAACCTTCAAATGGTAATTTGCCAGTAAGAAGCTGGTAGGAAATGATCCCGACGCTAAAAATATCAGCTTTTGTCCCATATTTTTCATCGCGCAGGATTTCTGGAGCTATGTAGCCTGGAGTTCCACATTTTGAAGTAAGCTCGTTGTCAGTCTCAAACTGAGCAGACAAGCCAAAATCACAGATTTTGAACCCTTCGTGGTCTTCAAGAAGAATATTATCAGGCTTAAGATCAAGATGAACAACACCATTAGAGTGGAGATAATCTATGGCTTCAAGCAAATTTATGATAAACATTATAGCAAGATTTTCTGGATATTTTTTTATACTTCTCATTCTTTGAGTTAGGTCTCCTCCTTTTACATAATCACATACAAGTTTTATATCATTACTTGACTCGTATAAATAATGAAGACCCAAAACTCTGGGATGATTTAGCTTCCTCATGATTTCCACCTCATTTTTAAATTGGTCACTCAATGATTTCTCTATCATTGATTTTTCTTTAGGAAGGCACTTCACAGCATAGATTTTTCTTGTATAAAACTCACTTGCTAAATAAATTTTTCCAAATTTCCCTCTCCCTAGCTCTTTTTGTATTGCGAAATCGTCTTCTAAATCTTCCAAAATTGTAAGTCTAGACAGCTTGTCAAGTCAAAGATCTAAGATCTCTTGATTTTCAGCAAAAAAATCTTGGAATCTCCTGTTCCCTTCAAGCCGAAATCCATATTGGTCTCCTAATTTTGTAGCGATAAAGAACGGTTGTAGTTTGAGCCAAGAAATTGAGACTCACTTTCTAATCCGTATATCTTCTTGGCTTTTGCAATAGTAAATAAAATTCTTACTCCCCTCTGTGAGAGAAAAAGTTTTTTTTATTTTTTATATATAAAAAATTAGAAATAATTTTAAAGCAAATATTAATTTAATTTTTAAAATTTATATTTTAAAATGAGAGTTGTTTTAAATTAAACAGGATAAGCTAGAGATTTCATTATAATAGTTATCACTTAAAAAAATCTGTTGTTCGCTCACTGAGGGTGGGTTTTTACCAAAATTTTGGGATTTTTCCAATAGTTTTTTCGCTCAGGGAAGGAGTTAGTGATAACGAAAAATCTCTTCTTGTGTACACAATTCTTGTGGCATATTGTAAGTCATCCTTTAAAAATCGCTTCTGTAATAGGAGCAGTAGTCTCTCTTTCTGAAATGCATTTACTCTTTTCCCAAAAACTAAAATTCTCTTCCAAGTTATAAAACTTGGTGTTTTTTCGCGAATCCACCGTATTAGACAATATCTTAAAATTTTATAAATAATAATAAAAAAGATTTTCGCAAATTAATGAATCTTTCATTTCATGCATTCTCTAATTTTTTCCACAAAATTGCAGCTCACCCTCACATTGAATATTTAACTATTCAAATTAATAGGTTCCGCATAACCATTTTTATTGATTTTACCGACTTTTATTACCTTATATCATCTTTTTAGCCCTGAAGAATCTCTTTAAGTAAAGAATCTGCACTAATGCAAGTGCAACCAGAAAAACAAGTGTGCAAATACTGTACCCTATAACTCTGTTGTGGATGGTTTGGTTGGTCCCTCTCATTTCTTCTTCTCTTTCTCTAAGATATTGGACTTTGGTATGTATTTGTTTAGTTTGATCTTCAAGCTTTCTCAGCTTTAATTCAATATCTTTTAGCTCCTTCGTTGAAGCTATTGCAGAGTAATCTTTTGCATTGACTCCAGTTTTCACATCGACTGACGTGGCTATGGCTGGGCCGCTATTTAATACACAGATTTGATAAATTCCTGACTCCAGCGAAGTAAAAGAGAACTTAGCGTAATCTACTTGAGATTTCTCAAACAAAAGGAGATCAGTTGGGTCACGTACTTTCACTGAAAGAGCTTTGCTAGGATTTTTTGAGCGAACTTCACCTACTATGAGAGTTTGAGGAGCCAGGTCTTCGTAAAAGCATTGCTCAACTTGGGTAGGGATCACAACATCAAAAGAATAGCTAATACCTAGAAGTAAGGCGATGAGTAATAGTCTAGGCATATTTATTAAGTGTAATATTCTTGATATATTGAGGATATTAAGCTTTAAAGCAGTAGTGTAAAAATAAACACATTTTAAGGGGAAAAATAAATCGAAGATATTTGATGGGATGTGGAATAGGAGATCATATCAATTTTCTTGAAAAGTATGATTGCTAGCATTGATGTGCATAATTTTTTAAAGTAGCACAATCTAATCTATAGCTCAATCAAAGAATATTACCTAAATTTCGTTGATACTTTGCTGATTATATTTTCATAGAATTAGAATTTACATAAAGAATAATGATCAACCTCTTATTGTTTAAGTTGTAACAATATAAAATATGGAACCCGCAAAATTTAGCCTTAATGAGAAAAGGTATTTAGTTCATGACACAAATCACAAATTTTGAGAAATTATAAATGAAGGCTCATTCATTCATTAAATTGTTATAGAGAAGCTCGGTAAGTTTGAAAAAGCTTTTCACATCACTTGCTTCGCACACCCCTTTGCTCACTAGCCTGATTCGACAGCATAAGGCTTGTGTTGCTGCCTCCGGGCAAGGGCCTACACTTACTATCCGGAGATAGATACATTGGGTCACTGTGAAGTAAGTTGACGAGTTGCTTTTTCTGAAAATTTAAAAAGCGAATTTTTTGATTAGGCTATCGGCCCCAGATGAAACTTGTAGTCCATGGCGTAGCTCACGGTATCGCGCTAGTAAATCCCCGATTGGCCAGCGAACTTCCTCTAGCCTTGCTGGCTTATCTCTTTCCAATTCCAAGTTCCATCCTCTTACTCCTCATCCTCAGAGTAAAACCTTGCACTGGATGTGAGCCTGCGGTCGGCTAGCCCGGCATTGCGCTCCATCAGACCAAGCAGAACCTGGCCCTCAGACTCTCGTCCGGCTACAGGTGATAAGAGTGCAGGTTGGCTCGCCACGCCTATTTTTTATGTATATATGAATGAAGGCTCAATAAATCATATTAGATATGGAAAATTAAAAGACGGTGTTGAGCATGATATACAAAGTGGATTATCTGCGTACGAATCTAATGAAGAGGCATTATCTCGGGCTATGACTTTAGTAATTTCAAAAGAAAATAAAGGCTATATTCAAGACCATCCTTATTTAAACCGGCTTATTTTAAAATCCCCCGCAAAAACTCCTGTGAAAAATCGTTTTACATCAATTTTATCAGAAAAGAACTTATATGATGGCACATATTTAGAACTAGAGCATATCGATAAAACTGAATACTGGAAAGTCCAAGTAAGCGGAAATTCTATCAAAATTGATACAGGTTTTGAAGGGCAAAATTCTAACTCCCCCGCTTCCAAGCTGTTAAAAAATTAAACAGAATTACCAAGAGATTTCATTATGCTAAATTTACTTATATATCAAGATATTTTTTATACCTAATTTTTTTTTTAAAAAATTCTTGTTCGTTAAAGAAGTGTGGGTTTTTTGGGCATAAAATAGGGATTTTTCCAAGGCTCTGTTCACTCACGGAGGGGGGAGTAAGCAAACAACCATAAAAAAATATAGCAACGATGAAGAAGCTGCAAAAATAGCTAAAATTAAAACAAGAGAAAAAATCGCTGTGGGCTTCAAGAGAAACGAAAATAAATTTATTAAAGATTTCTACTTATTGTCGCCAAATCCGGAAAGAAATGAAATAATTGATTTAACAGTTGATGAAGATAGGCCAAAGCCAGTGCAGAGGAAATTATTTCAAAAAGAAATTCAAAACCTAGAATCTAAAACTCTTAACATAGGAGATCTGTTATGTAGTATAGGACTAGAAAGATATATCAAGCTTTTTGAAGATGAAAGAATTTCAATGGATGAATTTTTAACTTTAAACGAAAGAGACCTTGAGAATTTAAATCTTCCCGCTCCTCATAGGAAACTAATTCTGGACTGTATATCATCAAGAGATGAATCTGAAGCTTCTAAAAAAATAAAATTGAATTAACTACTCTTAACTCCCCCCTCCGTAAGTGAACAAAAAAATTTATATATAAATTTTATAGAAAAACATTTTTTTTCGAAATTTTAAAAAAATCCTAATTTGCAAAAATTGGGAAGCAAATATTAATTTAATTTATAAAATTTATGTTTTAAAACGCAATTTCTTTAAAATTAAAACAGAATTAGCTCGAGATTTCATTATACTAATTATCACTTATATATCAATTTTTTTCATAAAAAATATTTTCTATTAAAAAATTTTTGTTCACTCATGGAGGGTTCGTTTTTTGGCAAAAAATAGGGATTTTTCCAATGGTTTTGCTCACTCAGGGAGGGGGGAGTAAGAAAAAATTAACATTTTCAATTTATAATCAGATTTTTACGCTAAAATATTTAGAATTTTTGAATATAGTTGAATAATTTTGAGGTTTTTGAATATTTAAATAAAATGATTTAGAAATGAAACCGTCGCGAAGAGGCAAAGCTGTATGCATTTAAAATAGTCAGCTGCTTAAGATAAGTTTTTGGGTTATAGAATACATAGTGATTTTCTTTAATTTTTTTAAAAAACCGAAAAAATTTTATTCTTTTCATTGAACCCTGTAACAAAAATATATTATTTTATAATAAACCAAAAAATTATTTAAATCACATGTAGAGCAGCATTTTATCATTGTTTAATATCTATCATTAATAAATTACTCATATTTAAAATCCTCAAGCTTAAATTGGTTCTCTTCTCTCAAAACTCTATCACGGTGATAATTCTGTATGTAACAAAATTGACACTTCCCTTTGGCGTAATGATATACATTAAAATGGCGACACGTGTCAGCCTGCTCTCTTGGCGCAGTAGTCCAGACCTTATGGCTACGGCGAACTGGGACGGACTCCGAGCTGAGAATCTAGTGTAGGCTCTAGAGGTGTGTATCCGGGTAGGTTTTGGCTGCTTTCCTGTGGTTGGAAATGGAGGTGCTCGACAGCGTCCTTTGGATCCGAGGACCCATGGGCATTCCTCTACCGAGAAACTGGGTTTTCGGCCCAGGCCACAGGGGAACAGTCTTTTTCCTGTAGCTGTCGAAGAAAGGCACTTCGACACCCGATAGACTCCAAGGAGTTGATCCCTGGAACCAAGTTACTCCAATCGCCCGTAGCAGGGCCGCAGAAATCCATAAGCCGCCCACTCAAGACTGAAGCCTTAAGGCAAGGAGGAGACAGAAGGTACCGGAAGGGCACTCGCAAGAGGGATAGACCCTCTGGGCTGGAGTCGAAAAGCGGATGAACCTCCCGTACGGAAGGTCTTTGGTGACTGCGTCACCAATATGGCTAACGCCTGACTTTAATAATCCTAATCCTAATCCCTTTGGCGTAATGTTTTCTATCTATATGAGGGCACGCCCAAGCTGCTTTTACTCTCCCAAGTCTATGGTAGCAGTTATTGCACATATTCTTCGCATAATGTTTTCGGTTTTTATGAGGGCAAGCGGTATTGATTTTTGTTGGCCTTTGATTATCTGGTAAAACAATGCTTGGAAGAGATGGAATATTTGCAAGCAAGTCTGCATGAGTCTCTTGAAAAATATTCGGTAGCTTAAAGCATTCGGTGCCTTGGACAAACTCTTCTCTCTCATGTAAGAGAGAAAACATCCCTGAAAAAACGTTTGGGATCCTATTAGGCTGCTTTTGTGATAGACTGCAATCGCTTTTCATTTAAGATTATATATGGTCTCGAAGTTTGCCCGAATTTTCGTAAAAGAAATGGCGAGAAAAGGCTTTTTTAGTACTTAATATTAAAAGGGCAAACTTATCAAGACCTTTTGATAAGGAAAAAAAGCATGATTTTAGAGATAGTCCTAAATTTGATAAGCCTAAAAATGGGACTGAAGCCCTGCAATTTTAAACTTTGAGAGAAAAATTTATATGAAACCTGAAGTCTTAATTACTAGGTCAAGGTTACAAAGTCCAAACAAATGCAAGATTTTTATTTTCTCAGGTTGTGTTTTAAGCTGTAAGAAGATTTCAAAGCTTCTCTCAGAGAACTGTTTGGCAATTTGCCAATTATTTTATATAAAATAATAGTCGTGATAATTAGATAGTTGCTCAAAGTTCTCACGTATGAAATTTCTCTGCCTAGAAGATATAATTAGAAGCAAAATTTTATTTAATTTTTTTATTTTATCTACGCATTATTTTTACTAATTTTAAGACTTAGATAGGTTAAATTTAAAATGTTTGATTTTTCGCTGTTGAAAATAAGTTATTAAATCAAATTTCAAAAATTTTGATAAAAGCATGAATGCTGAATATTAAGTTAAGTTGAATAAAAAGAGCAAGAAATCCTAATGAAGAAATAATATTATACTATAGCTATAGATCTTTTTTGGGTAAATAAAGATATTGGTTCATATTGTAATGGTATCATGAAGAGTTTAATTGTATTAGGAAATATAAATGGACTATAAATAGGCTTTTTAAACTTTATATGAAGCAAAAAAAAGAGTTTTTTAAGAAAATTATTAGAAAATTTATTCAAAAGCTAAATTTAATCTATATAGCAAGTAGAGATGCTATAATCATATTACCATTATAGAGCTAATAAGCTCCAACAAATTTAAGATGAAAAATTATTGATTAAGTGTAATTAAACTTATAAAGATATCTAATACAGCAATATGCAATACGGGCTCCGAGTTAAGAACCATGTGTAGGCTCAAGAGATGTGTATCCAGGTAGGTTTTGGCTGCTTTCCTGGCTGGAAATGGGGATGCTCAAAATATCCTTTTGGATCCGAGGAACAATGGGCATTCCTCTACCGAGAAACTGGGGACTTCGGCCTAGGCACAGGGATTAGAATTTTTCCTCTAGCTGTTGAAGGAAGGCACTTCAACATCCGATAGACTCCAAGGAGCTGATCCTTGAAATCAAGCTATTCCAATCGCTCGTAGCAGGCCGCAGAAATCTCTAAGTCGCGCACTCAAGGCTTAAGCTAGGCAGAAGATACCAGCATTAGCACCCATTATTGGGAGATAGACCCTCTAGGCTGGAGTGAAAAGTGGATGAACCTCTTATATGGGAGGTCTTTTGTGGCTGCTCCAAACCTACCTTAATAACCTAACCTAGCCTAATTTAAATGCAGCATGGGCTAATGATATGACTATAAATTTAGCTTATACTAATAATTTAAGATTTAAGATTTAAGATTACGATAGCACTTTGTCGACCCCCACTTAGCTTAGGATCTAACAATACAAGCCCATCCCTCCTGAATTCCATCACTGGTAGGTGGAATCGGCCTAACCGTCGAACCGCTACAGTAGCCTATGACCTAGACGAGTCTCTCTTCACTTCTTGAAGTTGATTCAAGTTCACATGGAACTGCCGAAGCAGTTCCTGCGCCAATATCCTTCAGAAAGTCTGAACTTCCCTCACTAGGATGACCTTAGGGAGCAAGGTCCCTAATTCATGCGCTCCATTTTTAATTGTGTTACTAATAATTAATTGATTGGTATAATTATTTTTATGTATAAGATCCATTTTTTAAGGCATTATTTATTTGAGGTATCTTCCTTAGATTCATACAACTATAAACATTGAAATTACTTTATTTATTTCTGAATCTTCTTCTGTGATTGGGGAAAAAGCATTATATTTTCATAATTTTTAGAGATTAACACCTTCGCAGAAAGCAAAATTTGGGCTCACAGAGGAAGGAAAGCATAATTTATAAAGCAAAATGTTTTAATTGAAAAATAATTTCTTAAATCAAGCATGGAGTGGAAATAGCTGCTAACTCCCCCCTCCGTGAGTGAAGAAACCCATTAGAAAAATCGCTATTTTTTGCCCAAAAACTCACCCTCCGCGAGTGAACAAAAATTGTTTTAATAGAAAAATTTTTTATGGAAAAAAAATTTGATATATAAATGATGATTAGTATAATGAAATCTATAGCCAATTCTGTTTAATTTTAAACGAATTGCTTTTTAAAAACATAATTTTGCAAATTGAGTTAATATTTTGCTGTCCAATTTTTGCGAATTAGGATTTTTTTAATTTCGAAAAAAAAAAATTTTTATAAAATTTATATATAAATTATTTTCAAAAAAAAATTAACCCCCTCCGTGAGTGAACAAAATTTTTTTATTCACTCACGGAAGGGGGGGAGTAAAGAATTCTAATGACTGAGACAATAAATTTTTTCTTTTAATCTCTGTAATCCTAAAATAAGCAGTATTGGCCTTAGAGAATTTCTATATTAAAAGCACTTAAATACTTCATAAGAGTCTCAAAATTACCTTAACTTGAAAAGAAATTTAATAATATTTAGCTGCTAAAGAAATGTGTACCCTAATATCCATGCAAGTATAAAACTGAAAAATCCTGGCCCAAACGCTTCTGAAACAATATCCCAAGCTTCGATTTCTTCAGTGCCTATGATTTTCCAAGCATAAAACAGTGAAACTGCACTTAAAGCAATTGCAAATATTACTATTACTGGAAATCCTGTATATTTTGCACTTCCCACAATAATTCCAAAAATTAGTCCTAAAGCTTGTTTTACCCAGTGTAAATAGTCCATCAGCTCATCTTTTTCAATCCTAGGATTTGGGGAAAAGGCTTTACCAATTGAGCTTAGAGCCATTTATGATAAAGATTATATTTTAAATTGTATCAAATTTTTATCATTACTCGCCTTTATGAGAATGTTTAGTACCATTTGGCTTTATATTTTAGATCAGATAATAAGCCTATTCAAAAAGATGATAAGATACAGCAAGCTTATTAAGTCAATACATCAAGAGAATATTGAAATTGAATGATTAGAGATTGCAAGTCCTGGACTACGAATTTTCAACTTGGCTGGCAGGTGATCAGAAATTTTGTTTTTCGAATTTGTTGAAGCCAAACCTCGTTGGTGTACCTAAACTTTCCGACTACAAGGGAGACTGTACTGGCCCATGTCTGGTAGGAGCAAGACTTTGAAGGCCGTGAGACGATTGTCGGTGAAGCAGGCAAACAAAGCGTTATTGAAGGGAATAAGGATCTTCTGATCCTGACAAGGAGCTTTTCTACAATCTAACTAAGTGTAAGTGTAAGGTTCAATTAACGAATTAATTATACTTTCTTTATATCTCTCTCAAATTCTTTCATAAAGCTAATTTTCTTGCAACTGTATAATATTCAGCAATTTTCGTTCATATATTTAAAAATTTGTTAGCTCAACGTTTATATTAGTAACTAGCAGTGCATTATTAGAAAAAATTTATGCTGTTTATTACGTAGATTTGAGATAAAAAGATGTTTGCACTCCATAATGATCACTAACCCTATTAAAAGGCATCCCTTTCACGTAGAATGGCTCTACACGAGTATCACTATTCTCAATTGCAAATTTCTAAATAACTCATACCGACTCGTTCAAATTCATAGCAAAAATATGATCAATTGAAGTATCCCTTGTATTTTCATTTCTATGTGATAAAACAGTTTCCTCAGGCTCTCCATTAGGCAGCTTCACCCCATAAGTAGCTGGTGAATACCCATACTTACTTCTAACAACATCCAAAATATTCCCTAAATTCCCTCCACATAAGTGGCTTATAAGCACTTCATAGTCATCCTGACATTCAATATTATGAAATAAAGGCTGCTTTTGTCTTTCTTTTCCATCAACATTCATGTCGCCTAACACCAGAGTCAACTCTTTTGCTTTCGAATTTTTTGCAATAAATTCTTCCATGATTTTCATTTGGTGTCTTCTAACTTGTCGATAATGCAAGAAGGTTCTTTGATTTGTAGTAGGATAAGAAGCTTGGAGATGAGCTGTAAACAAGTGGACTGGCTCTCCATGGATTTCTAGTTTACAATAAAGTATTCCTTTCATTGAAAAAAGATCTGGCACAACTCCATTCTTAAAGGCTTGAAAATCGGTTCGTAATATAGGAAACCTGCTGAGGATAACTAGCCCTCCATCAATAAATTGTGTACTTCAGAATCCAGGGGCTGGTGCTTGCTCATAATAAACAAATCCTAGCTTCACAGCTGCTTTGATAATTCTGCTTTTCCGGCTGCTTAAAGCGCCAAATACTTCTTGGAAGCAAATGATATCATAGTTGCTCAGGATATTTTCTATTATGAATTTTGCTCTCTCGTCTTTATAGTCACATTTATTGTTTTTTATGGGTGGAGGACGCAGAAAACAGTTTAAAGTGAGGATTCTGACTTTTTTACCGAGATGATCAAGGCCAGTAATGGACTCGTGCAAGGGTTCTGTAAGGTTGATAATGTGGGAGTTGTCCATACTGAGTTATTGAAGTAGTAATACTAATAGTAGAGGAGAGAAAATATGACGAATTCTGAATAAAATTTAATTGAATATAATTTTCCTGATATGATATTAAATGATTTTATTATATGCTATTAAGTATAAGAATGCGCTACCTTAGGCTAATAATGAAAATGATGCAAGAATAAAATTATTTATTTTTATTAGCAATGTTGCGTTGAAAAGTAAATAAAAATATTACAATCGATCTATAGGTTTTTCTCTTGAATAGCCCGATAAGGCGTTGTCCTAGGCTAGACCGGAGAAGTTTTGTCACACGAACGCCTCATTCTATCTTTATTGGAGAGATAAGTAGAGATTGAAATATTGGCTCTTCCAGTCAACAGAGTTTGAAAGGAATGGCTCATTAAACATTTTGACAGGCCAAAATAAGCTATTTATAAATTTTGGTAAGAAATCAAAATTCAGCAACTTCTCAGTATCGCATTCCTTTCAAATTTTGGAGATTGGAAGGGTTTGCACCTCAGTCTCAATACTTATCTCTCCAATAAAGATAGTAATGCAGGCGTTCGTGTGACAAAACTTCTCCAGCTAGCCTAGGACAGCACCTTATTGGGCTATTCAAGATAAAGCTTATAAATTATTTTATTCTAATAAATCATATCACAAGCAATATTATATAATTTCATAATGCTACAAAAATTTTAATATGATAAGTAGAGAAGCCTTAGTCGCTGAGCTTCAAGAATGCATCAATCAAAAGGACTTCACATCAATCCGACGAGTAATTGCTGACATTATCCGCTATCGTGTCAATGTGACTATAACTCCGACAGATAAAGTGAGATGCTCCTCACATTTCTATCTTTACCAAGGAATGAATAATGAATTTTCCAAGAACGATCTTTACGCATCCTTTATGTGCTCGAGAGGTCATAGATCTTGTATTGAATGTCTGAGAAGCTACCTATATCCTCTTATACAAAAAAAGGGTTTCATGCAGAGATTTGAATGCATTGCTTGCATCAATCAGCATATCCCTCATTCACAACTTTTTGACCAAAACTTACAATTAGAATATATTCGTCATATACTTGGTAATGATGCCTATGAGCAATTAGAGAGAGCTTTAACTATAAATGAAGAAGAAACTAAAACTGATTTATATGATCAATGCGCAAAATGCAGCTTAAGACAATTCCCATGCCAAACAGCCTGCGTAAATGGCCACAAACTCTGCCTTCAGTGTGTTGCTGACTATATTACTGATGTGCACAAAAGTGAAGAAAAATTTAAGTGTCTGATTCAAGGCTGCAATAGGAAGCTTTTCCATGACACTATTAAAAAGCTTCTAGAGCCGAATGAAGATCTTATTAGTTTAGTTTGGAATAAACTTACAATCCCAAACATGCGCTTATCTGTGTGCCCTAATCCTCAATGCAATCGCAGACTAGAATTAGATGTGCGCGAATTCAAAGAAACTTGCAAATATTGTGGTATCATTATTTGTACTCGATGCACAAAAGCAGCTCATGATGGAACTTCTTGCTATAACCAAATAGAAGTTCTAAATACTGATGCTCTTTTTGTGGATCTTGAACCTCCTAAGCACGGGTATCCAAGGACAATAAATGAAGAAGAATATATCAATGCGAAATACTCATTTGACCAGTTTATAAAGCAGGATGATATACTAGTTAAATCAGTAAAACTAATAGTCAACCGAAAGCTTGAGGAAATATTTGAGCAAAGAAGGAAACAGCTCATAGAAGAAGGGAAAAAAGAAGGGGAGGACTGAAGCAAAGAAAAGTATGTTTTTCATGCCTCGAAATATGAAAATTACGAAAAAATATGCAGAGGAGGGTTCAAAATTGGTGGAATTGATCCTGGCTTTAACGCAGTTAACGGTGTAGCACATGGTTTTGGAGTATATACAGCAACTACTCCAGATTTTTCACTTAATTACGCAAAAGAAGGCAACTGGATGATGATATGCAAAGCATTGCCTGGGAAAAATGGCAATAAAGTAAACAGCCCAGAAGAATTGATGAGAGCTACCCACCATTCTCATCTCTGCAGAAGTCCTGGGACTCGGTATGATGATATTCAAGTATTTTTCACATCCGCACAAGTGCTCCCAAAATACCTTGTCGAGTTTGCTAGCCGAAGAGAATAACAAAAATAATTATTATTTGCAGAGTCTCATTATTCAGTAAAATTAATTATTTGCTTCATCAGTGTTAACTTTTGCATAAATTTAGATCAGGTTAGCACAAGCAAAGTAAAGTGACTCAGAATCTCGCACCTCTAAGCCCAGGCAGAAACTCTGCTTCTTAGTAGTGGCATGCCCTGCTGGTATGAACCTTGGTTGGGCATCACCGTTTCCAACTCAGTCCCTTCCCCCATAGTTAAGCCATTCCTGCCTTAGCTCCTGACGAGATCGCCCAATTTTTAGGCACTTTTAAGTGGAGGGACTGTAAATAGTCGTCTAACTCGCCGTTATCATATAGAAAAATACTCAATCGCTTCCGCAATTTTGGGCGAGTCACATCAGTAGCTTGAGCAGGTAGCCAGACATTGCCTGGAAAAGGAGACATAAGTAACTGCATATTGGATCAAGTCACAAGCAAGTACCTTCATGTTCGGGCCTCTCACTTCGAGGCTCCTAGCACTTTTGGGCTAGCTCACAGCTCCAAAAACCATGCCCGGAGATGCATGCGTGAGAGAACTGCTCGGTCGCCATATTATGCCTATCTAACTTTTGCATAAATTTCAACTCCTCGTCTTTGTCGACGCTGAATTTTTGAAGCATAGCATAAAGAAGCTGTTAGGAAAAGCAAAAAGAAAAATCCACCGAGAAGCCAAAGTGGAACCGCTTTTGCTATACTTCTATAAGAGTTTTTTACATAAAATCCAGTCAGCATGGATGCAATGCTGCAAATTGCAAAAAACAGCACCATTAGGAAGCTCATTAGAGGGAAAGGGGGAGATTTTAAGTCTGCAGATAAGGGCTTGTCGAAGGATCCTGACAGATTGCTATCTTTGTTAATTGACGTATTTTCATCTTCTTGCATTTATATTTTTACTATTAAAGAGGGTTAATTTAAAGTTTTAATTATTGCTTTGCAGCCTAAAATAAGTTATTTATTCTTTGTTATTAGTTTATTAGCAAGTAAGTGGAATAGTCAAATGGTTAAAATTCCAATAGTAAGCCCTGAAAAAAGTTCAAGATAGGTATGATATGCAAAACTAGTCCATGACAAAATATAGCAATGAAATATTAGCATGAATTTTCCAAAATTCTGCCAAATTTTGTTATTTGTGATACTAGCATTTCTTTGGCACTCAATCAAAATCATGCAGGTCATTGTACTTAATGCCAGTGCATGGCCAGATAACTTAAAAGAACGATCTGAAAAATAATAAATTTCCAGAGAAATATAGTATTCCAATACGAATGCAACAGTAATTCCAATATCTCTTAAAGCCAAAACAAACTCTTCTGATAACTTTGAGTTTTTTGACAATATATAAACAACTGATACTAATTTAAAGATTTACATTAAGTTAGATTATCGAGACCGGTAGCACCAGCGGGTGCGCGTCTTCTCCTTGCTTGGGGTAGAATGCCGTCACCCCACCTGGGATTATAGAACTTGCCGAGAAATGGCGCTATTTTGCGCCATCCTCGGGCAAGTTCTATAGCTCCTCTCCGTTTGAGGTTTGCGTCTAATGAAGAGTGAAATGGGTTGCCTGCGCAGAAAATCCCAAAAATGAGTTTCTAACTGACAGTCGGCAAAAGTTAAAACATGTAGCCCCAGAAACTCCTGGCTTCATGTGAGGGAGTTAACAGGTAAAGCTAGAAGGCTTTTCTGGGTTTCCCCTTTTCCCAACTCCAAGTTCCTCTTTCCCTTGAGGTGAAATCCAGCTCTAAGTGGACTAGTACTTACCAAGTATTGTTGTCCATTTCAGAGTTAGCAAAACATTGATGGATATAATTAAAATATATGATTGAAGCTTCATGGCCAGAGGAAATGCACGAGCTGAGGCGCCATATGTTAATTATATTTAAAGATTCACATAAATACAAAACAATTTTGCATATATCATTTTGGTCCTGTTAGTGAGCTTATACCCCAGTCTTTCATAAGAGACTTTGGATTTGTATAAATTGCATTAATTGCATATCCCATAAAAGCTCCTAAAGTGATGACTACCAAAAGCACATAAAATACATTTATGATGATTGGCTTGACATCATCGTCTATTTTCCGCTGGGACTTTGCATGCTTCGCCAATGCTTTGGACTGCTCCATTTATTACATAGATCAAAATCATATAAATATTCATAAAGACAATTTCACTAACTCACTCTATTAAGACTTATCTCCTTTTCATAAGTTTTAATAAATATAAATATAGCAAATTTAGCCACCTGTTTCACAACTCTATACGCATCAAAATAATAGAATTAAGATTCTAAATAGCATGGCTTATTTAAACAATTTTAATACTCAATGCTATGTAAGAGATCATATGTATTATTTGCTTAGATTTCTTTACCAGCCATAATTCTCTCTTGACCCATAGCTTTCATAACAGTCACTGAAACTGTAGCTCCATTTTCGAACAAATCGCGGATTTTGGCTCCTTCTTCGTCTTCTGGAAGTTTTAAGTCTTCTTTTGTGTTTCCTTGCTCATCCATTAACGAAACAAATCCATCCCTTGCAATGTCGACCAATGTATAGTCAATTCTTGAAATATTTGGTACGTCAATGTTGTGGGAAGTTGGGTGGATTTCTTCATATTTATTTGAAGTGAAAACATCGATTCCTGTAATTTTGGCTTTGGCTGAGCCATGCTTCCCAACTTTGGCTGTAGCAATTTCCATGATTTTGACTGGATGGCCTCTGAGGACGCAGTATCCACCCTTCTTGAGTGATCCAACTTGACTTGGATAAGTTTCTGAGGCTCCTGAAGCTACAATGTCAACTGTTTCTTCGTGCTCCATTAATTTATATATGGAGCTTAGAGAGACTTCATATGATTGAAAGCCACTAGCATAAGCTTTAAAGTGTATGGATCTTGAAAACTTTGGGTAAACTTGCTATTTTTATCGATTTTAATTTATCATAAATTTAAAATTATTAGTAAGTGTGAAGAGCTAAGATGAGCAGCTTGCATTTTCTTAAATCATCCTATATAAAGTCACTCTTTCTAGCTTATTGAGCACTTATCGCCTTAATCGGGTCATATATAGCACAAGCCTCATTTTAGATGCCTGGAGGATAATTCTGAAAAGTCAATTTTCAAATTGAAAAATAGGACATCTATAATGACATTTTTAAATTGATATTTGACTTTTGGAATTTCAAAATAATTTTTTCTTTGAAGGGCATTTTCCTTGAAAATCTATCGGGGAGCACGCGCTATACTTATTTAAGGTGAGAAATAATTAAGGCTTTATTTAAATGTAATCTTAGATCATTAAACAGAGTATGATTCCTTTAATCCAAAAGAACTCAATTTCATTATGCTTTTGCAATTTTATTAAAGCATATCTGTATTCTCTTACTGTCCTTATTTGCACCTTGTTTGGCTTTATTATGTTGTGAAGGCGACTATGCTTGCTTTAATTACAGGAAAATCATAGATTCTATTTTCAAACTATGTTAGCATTTAAGGGATAAATATTTTAATGAACTATTATTTGCTAGCTGAAGCCGTTTAGCCTCTATATAAAGAGGATTTCAATAAAGTGGAAATTTTCGGATATGGTGATATATTATGATTATTCATGTTTGATTGCACATAAACGGGCAAGTTTAATTTTAAAGACCTGCGTCTAGAACCAATATTTTGATTCTAATGACATTAAAATATATAAGATCAGAAGTGAGCAGAACTAATCAATCATTTGCTTTCTAAATCGAAAATCGCAAACGTTTTTTCACGTTTAAAATGATATAGTTTCAAGAATAAATGCTGCTATTTCAAAACAATTTTAGTTTTATTATACTTTTTTTAATTTCAAAAACTTAAACACTCAATCTCATATAAATTTATAACACCGATTATGGGTGTTAATTATATTATCTGTATAATTTATTAAGCTTTTGAAATCCTATTTATAATTTAATGTCAAAATAAAATTTACTATTAATATTGCATAAAATCTTCACCAAAATGAAATTCTAATCATACATTAATAATTCTACTATGAAGTGTTGTATATTTTTGTCAATACTCATCGTTTAACTTAACTTAATTAAGATTAATAAACTCCCTGTGAACATGCTAAGCAGATTGTGTCCACCTTCGTATTCTCCACAACTTACTTTTGAGTCCGAGCAAAGCCTCTTACTGTGTTACTTCTCACAGACAAGAGCTTGCACTTATTAACTGCAAGTTAGAGGTGCTGGGCCAGCATGCCACATATGGATTGGGTGTAAGCTCCAAAAAACGAATTTTCTGGCCACCTGTAAAAACCCTTAGTCCAGGGCTCAATGCCTGGTATAATGCTGGAAACGTTCCGATTGACTAGGAGTATTCTCACTGGCGTTGCAGGGAGATCCCTTTCTAACTCCGCGTCCCACCTTCCTCCTAGATAAACCTCTGCTTGAATGTGAGCTACGGTTAGCCTAATCCAACATTGCACTCCATCAAACTAAGCAAAACTCGGCCGGATGTTCATTACCCAGCGCCATCCTCCCTAACACAATTTATCTGTGTTTCCTCTTAGCTACAGATGCTATGAGGTGGATTGGTTCTCAAATATGTTTGTCAATACTCATAGCAGTCTATGCGGACCTCGAAAAGTGCAAGAACGACATAATCGATATGGGAATCAACAAATACCCACATGGCTTACAAATGATATATTACTCTGGCAAAGGCTTTGATGATTTAGGTTTATACGCCGAATGCAATAACCTGACTTCCGCAAAATACGCACTTCTTGAAGCCAAATATGATGGATTTAGAGTGATGTTGGGCTTCTGTGGCCCAGTCAATTGCACAGTAGGTGACTATCAAGACCTCAGTCTCGAAATTTACCAAAAATTAAATTTAAGCAATATTCCACAATTGACTGATTTTAAAGCTCACTTTCCCAGTGAATACAACAAAGACGGCATGGATGGTGCTGCGATCTTTGTACTGACACTATGAATCCTCTTATTCGGAACAGTTGTGGCAGGAACAACTTTTGAAGTTATTTCTATTAAAAACCCACAAAAGAGGTTTGGGCCTGTATCACGAAATGTTATGGCATTTTCATTAATCACAAACTGGAAGAAACTCACGACTTTGCCAACTGAATTTGACACACTGCAGATATTCAATGGTGTTAGAGTGTTCTCAATGCTTATCATCGTCTTTGGCCATTCTTACATCTACCAGTTATCGGGAGCTTTTTCAAATCCTGCAGGAATTTATACGGTATTCACAGATTATTATCATCTGTTTATGATTATTTATGTAGTTGACGTTTTCTTTTTGATGGCTGGATTTTTATTGGCTTTTCTTACAACAGCGCAGCTGAAAGCGACAAAAGGGAGAATGAACTGGGCAATATTTGAACTTCATCGCTTTATTAGGCTTATTCCTATCTATTACATGTGCTTTTTAACATATGCGTTCTTATTAAAATACATAGGAAGCGGCCCTCAATGGCCAATTTTCGAAGATGTAACACCTGTAGGCTGCAAGCAATATTGGTGGGCAAACCTATTGTTCATCAATAATTTCTTCCCAGTTGGTGAGTTTTCTTGTATGGGTTGGAGTTGGTACATTGCAAATGGCATACTTGCTTACTTAAATTACTTATAGAGAAGTCTTCTGCTGCCTGCAGGCCACTAATTACCTCCCACATAACGTCTCACCGTTTACTTGTAAGATCGTACAATGCTTCCCCTATGTTGATCCTCACGAACGAGGGCAAGACTTGCTCCCCGTGAATAAGAGACGCTGAGTCGCCATGCCATACGTCAACGGGCTTGCCCTTTCCAAAAATTCGAAAAATAAATTTTCTGGTCGAGCTGTCGACAAAAATGGAACCTGTGATTTGCCAAATTGGCCAACTGACCACCTCTCATCTTGCTCGGTTTCCCCTTTCCAGCTCCAGCGGACCATAATACACGAAGTAAAACCTTGAGCTGGAAATGAGCATGCGGTCGAAATTTCGCTCCGCCAAAATCTGGCCGGGTATTAATTTACGAACATGGTCCCCTTACCACAAGATCCCCAAATTTTTTCCCAATGAGCCTACTGGCTACTGATGCTAAGAGGTAAGGTTGGTTCACTTGCCATTAAGGCATATGCAAATGACGTTCAATTTTATGTATTCTCACCGATTGTCCTTATCTTATACTTCAAGAATAAGCTCTGGGGATATCTAGCCTGCATAACTTTGATAGGTGTAAATTGGATAGAAGTTGGAATTGAAGCGAATATAAATGATTATAATCCAACTATGCTATACGGAGTAGGAAATAAAGACCAATTCCTCCACAATTATGTCAAGCCTTATGCAAGAATGGCCCCATACTTATTAGGAATAATGATTGGCTTTCTATATAGAAGCGCTGTAGATCACAAAGCACAAGCATCAGCAGCTAAACAAAACAACAACGTTTTGCTGAGTCCCAGTTATAATCTTATTCAAGAGGAGCAGCCAAAACTGCCAATGGAAAAAAGTTTCGTTACTTCTTTGGAAGTCAAAGCTTTCAAATGGGTTCATATTCCTGCTTTCAGATATATTGGCTATGCGATTGGATTAACTTTGATGTATGTAATAAACTTTGGCCCATACCAACTAACCACCTATGGTCTTGATGAATGGTCAACCTCACATAAAGCTGCCTTTATGACATTTGACCATTTTGGATTTGCCTTTGGATTTTCGCTGTTTATGATTCCTATGCTATTTGGATACTGCAGATGCCTTTTATACGTGCTGACACTTAGGTTTCTGGCTCCATTGGCAAAGGTCAGCTTTGCTTTTTATGTGGTCCACCCGCTATTTATTTATTGGTATATTTTCTCTCGGGATAGCGCTCTATATTATGGAGACTTAGATATATCTTATCATGCGGTTGGAACTATTTTATTGACAACTATAACAGGGACTTTGCTTTCACTGATGATAGAAAGCCCAATTCTTTCTTTGGAGAAAAATTTGTTGAGAGGAGGAAGAAATAAACATTAATAGATAAGAATTACGAAAAAACAAAATAATCTTAAACATTTTAACAATAGGAGGACTGAGGGAAAATTTATAAAATAAAATGAAAAGAAAAGGAAGACCTAGGAAATTAGAAAAGCATATAAAAACTGATCTGAAATTAAATAAAAGAGATAAAAATAAGCGCGAAAAGGCGAAAAAAAGTATTGATCAAAGTGAAATCGCTGAAATCTGCAAACTCCCTTTAGAAGAGATGAAAGAAAAAGCTCTATCTTTAGATATTAGCCAGCAAGAAACAATTTATCAGCTACTAAGTCAGCCACCTAATTGAATCAAAGAAACTGCTAATTTGCATGAAAATTTTCCTGATCTCTCCAAGAGTCTCCCAAGTCATCAGAAAGTTTCATCAAAAATAACTCACATAATTTCAAGTATCATGATTTCAGCTGGAGATGTCATGCCTCCAAATCCTCAAACTGTGCAAATTCTCACTGAATATATCCATAAATTTATAAAAGCAGAATCTTTACTACCCCCAAATGAACTGAAAGAGAAATACTCAAAACTATACAAAAAATTGCAAGATTCCAAAGACCTTGAAAAAGAAATTGCATTTGAAGATGAATTAGAAGAAGAGAGCGATGAAGAGATGAAAGAAATGGACAGAGAAGCAAATTTAAGCTTTGAAAGGTTAGAATTTAACGACTTACGGACCAAAGATATGAACCCTGAAGAATACCAGCAGTTTAGTGCCTGCAGAAGAACAAATTTCAACAGTCTTGGAAAGAAAAAATTCCTTAAGTGGAGCTCATGTCAGCATTCATTTGAATTGCTTGCACAAGTTGCCTGGGAAAAAATATACTCAATGGCTGAAAATGCAATCAGAAAACGGAATCACGAAGGAAAGCTGACTATTCAAAGCACAGCAATTACACCCGAAGAGCTGGAGTTGGTATAATGATTCTGAATTTAATAAATACCCATAATTATCTTGCCATTTACATATAATAATAATAATTTTGAAGGATGTATAAGCGTCTCTGAGAAGATCAGTTCTTCATATTGGAATCACGCAACAATAAGGAGATATATTAAACTGGGAATCTTATTTATTCTCAGCTACGCCTATCTCAACATTAATTTCTATTTAAAGTATATAGAGTCTTTTAAGAAAGGAATAATTATATGTGGTAAAGACTTTATATTGGCATTTCCAATAATTTCATAAGAAAAGTAAAAGGATTTAAGTTGACTATAATTATCAAGGAAGCTCGCTTTTGTTCGCTGGTGTAAATTTTTATGTCTTTTTCAAGATTATGAATTTAATTCTTTATGATGAATTTTAATAGAATTTAGGTAGCTTTTAAGTTTTCATTAATATTTATGGGCCACCACTTTATAATCTGCACCATATAACTCAATTTAGTAGAGTTTTTCTTATATTTTCTATATTGCTTTATTTTTCTGTTCGCATACATAATTTTTCTCTCAATTATAATACAAAAAGTTTTGCTGGGTATAGAATGACGCAATTGTTTTAGGTTTCAAATTATTTTGTTGTCATTTTCTGGATTTTAAGTGGCAATTTATTTGTAAATTATTCATATAAATTAAATAGTCAAAATACTTACATATTGGAGTATTTAAAATCTAAAAGCTGTATTTTCCTAGCAAATAGTAATTATGGCGAATTTTTAAATTTTTCAATTAATTAAATGATTCTATTTAAAATAACTCCACAACTACTCATAAAGATTATGCAGTCTTATAAAATCAGCTATACTCTAATACTCCAAATTTTTAACTGTTTTATCTATCATAGTTTGCTTGCAAACTAATTTCGACCATTAAATACTTATTCTCAGTACTCTTATATCCTTTATTTTAATCACTATTTTTTCAAAAGATATCCACTAAAAATCTTTATTAAATTTTTATTACAATTAACTTCCTCAAACTTCTCTTTATATGCTGGTAAAATATTAACTCCCCGTCCGTGAGCGAACAAAAAAGCCAGAAAAATCATATTTTTTTGGTAAAAACCTACATCTGGGATAAAAAATTTTTAATATAAAACATTTTATGAAAAAAAGTATTATAATATAAGTAATAATTAGTATAATGAAATCTCTAGCTAATTCTGTTTAATTTTAAACAGCTCGCATTAAAAAAACAAAATTAAATTAATTTTTACTTCACTACTTTTTTGAAACAGGATTTTTGAAAATAATAAAATTAATATACAAATTTTTCAGGAAAATGCCCCCCCCTCCATTTGCCAACAAAATTTTTTTCCTCGCTAACGGAGAGGGGGAAGCATTTTCCTAATAAAATTGTGTAATATCTGCATTGAATAATCTTTAAATAAATATCATGGAGAACATCCAAAACTCTTACTCAGCTAGAAGTCATTTAATAAATGATAACTCTAGCGGGAACTCTGGGAGTGATTACCTATCATCTCCGATTTCTCAAAAGCTTCTGAAATTAACAACACTTTCATTATCAGGACTTTATAGTCACATTCACCGACTCGAAACCCGCGAGCACCTTAAAAGAGTCTTAGCTGGAGGAGAAGAACTCAAAGAAGGGCGATATTATGTCTACGGCCTCATTGGGAGCGGTTCATTTGGAAAAGTCGTCGAGGCTTTCGACCGTGAACGCAATGAAAAAGTCGCTATCAAGATTATTAAACACAAACTTAAATTAGCGAAAATCGCACAACGAGAAATTGATACATTAAAAAAATTAAATGAATATGATCAAGAAAAAGGGTACATTGTCAGAATGCTTGACCATTTTGAATGAAATGGCCACACTTGTATTGTTTTTGAATATTTATCAAAAACTTTACTGCAGCTTTTACGGGATACTGACTTTAAAGGACTTTCTTTATCAGAAGTAAGGGATTTCGCGTGGCAGCTTGTATTGGCGCTCTGTTTATTGTCTCGTCCGAAATTGAAAATAATTCACTGCGACTTAAAGCCAGAAAATATCATGCTAAAAGTACCAGACCGCTCAGGAATAAAGATAGTGGACTTTGGAAGCTCATGTGAAGTTGGAAAAACTATTTATAAATGTGTGCAAAGCATGTATTACAGAGCTCCAGAGGTCATTTTAGGACAAACATATGGGGCTTCTATAGATGTATGAAGTGTTGGATGCATTTTAGCCGAATTACATATTGGGAGACCTTTGTTCTGCGGAAGAACTGAAATTGATCAGATGGCAAAAATAACTGAGATATTAGGGATGCCACCATATTCTATGATATTTTTAAGCGAAAAAATCCATACATTTTTCGACGTATCTGGGCCACCTAAACTAAAGCATGAGCCAATTCATGAAGACCCAAATAAACAATACCCAAAATCATTAAAAGAGGCACTTGGCATTCATATAGTGAAAAAAGACGCAGAAAAATACCAAAATTTCTTAGACCTTATCCAAAAAATGCTTGAATACAACCCAAATAAGAGGATATCACCTATAGATGCTTTGGAGCATCAGTTCTTCAAAGATGTAAGATTTATTTACTCCCCCCCTTTAAATTGGAACAAAATATATAGTAAAATTTCTACTTTTTTGGTAAATTAACCCCCCCTTAAATTGGAACAAAATTTAATTTTATAATAAAAAAATTTTATATATAGCATCATAATGTTTATGTAAAAGGTTTTGATATAATTTAAATGTTTCTTCTTAACTAAAATTAAAAATTTAGTTATATCTTGCTCTTGTTTAAAGAAGAGAGTATAAATAGCATCTTATTTGAATAAATCTATTATCCTTAATTTTAAATTTTTCAAAAAATATTTATATTTTTTATTTAAATAATTTTGACATAAATTCAATGCAAATTCTTTACAAAAATTCAAAATTTACTTATTTCTTGCTTTATTTTAAAGATAGTGTATAAATAACATCTTATTTAAACAAAATTAGCACTTTGATCGATAATTTTTTTTTTATTTTTTTATCAATAAAAATAATAATTTTTGTGTAAATAATTTTGATGCAATTAATAGTAGCGTATTAACTAATAATGAAAATTTAGTTATATCTTGCTTTTTTTTAAAGGATAAAGAGTAAATAGGATTTTATTAACACAAATTTATTAATCTAATTTGATAAATTTTTGAAATTTTGTTTTTATAAAAAATTTTCCCTTTTTTTGAGAACAAAATTTTTTCGTTTTAATTTAAAGGGTGGGGGGATTTAGGGAAATATTGATGGGGTGATCAAATATCAAGCACCTCCATTGAAGCATGTGGAAAATCCAGTAAAAAGACCTACATCATTATCTATGATCCATAGCTCTGAAGTTCCATGGCCAAGCAATAATTTCCCCTGCTGTGCACCTAAAAAGTATGACAATCGCTATAAAATTCCTTGAAAACCATTTGTTTATCCTTCGCAAGGAACAGTGAGTACGATGGATTCTCATGATACTTCTCCATATTCTAAGCAGTCAACATCTGGCTCTCAAGCATTAATATTTACATTAATTATAGTTTAGGGCTCTCAGTCCTTTTACGTCTCACCCAAGGCGAGTCTTTGTAGGAGACTCTTCAGCAGCTAGCGAACCTCACTGATTATGTCAGTATTTCCACCAGAGATAGCTATCCTCCGGCTTTCAACCTTGCTCTTAATGCTGTTCGGAGCCATGAAGTATGCAGATTTGGGACTTGACAGCTGCTGCTTGAGTGACTAGAGCTCTAGTTAAGGATAAACTCCCTAGCTAGCATCGGTATCAACTATGCCTTCATCTTCGGCACTAGCAGTCTCTAGGGGTAAAAGCCTTTTTCCAAATGTTCATCGGAAAGACACAAGGCCTAATTGCCGGATGAGGGAGAAAACAACTGGAGCGCAATGCCCAGTGCCCGTAGACTCCGTTTCCTGCTTGGTTTGCTTCGGACTGCAGCAAGTTCCCCAGGCTCTAAACAGGTCAGAGAGAGGACGGGCCGGCAACGTTGCAATTTTATTTGTGTTCTAGCTCGCAAGCAAGTTCATGATATCAATCTCCATTGCGAATTAACTCTACTGAAGAAATTGAAATAGCTTTGAAAAATGCTTATGGCAATGGAAATGTGATTGGAAGGCCAGCTTCTCATAATATGATGCAAAATATATATGTGACGCCAGTTAATAATAGTTTGAGTTCAAGACCTGCATCACATGATATGATGGGATTTCCAGATGTAAGCAAAAATGAATTTTAAGAGCACAATTAAGGTTGGTCAATTCCCATCAAAATTAGTTATAAATATGATAAAAATAAGCAATTAATATAGACAGACTATAAGACTACAAAAATTCCATTTGAGTTTGATAATCTTTCTCTTTTAAAAGAAATGGATCTTACTGGCTGATTGAAATACTTGATAGTCTTTTTACTTGGTAGAATAGGAATAATAGGCTGTAATTTGACTGATTTTGATATATTTACCCCAAAATCATTTTTCTCTGGAATAAACTCAACCATAATTTGTCTACTGCTACTGTCAAAAGATTTTCCAGCGAGGTTTCTTAGACCATCATCTTTAGGCTCTACTTTGAATTCTTTTGGACTTGATCCAATAATTTTCTCAATTATCTTGTTTTCTTCAATTGATAAAATCGGCAATTTAATCTCAAATTTATTTCGAATAACTGATTCCGACTTTTTCACTTGCAACTTTTTTATTTCAGAGGCATTGCAATCATCTGATTTCGGCAGGAAAAAAATTGGCATAATTGTATGAGCATCTGGAAGCTTTGTGTACAGATAAGGATTTGGTGTTTTAAATCTCTTAGACCTCTCCTTATATCTAATATTTTTCATTAACTAATCTGAATAAATTTAATGGAATTTAATTATTCATCTAATAGTATTTCAACTGCCTGATCAATGTTATAATTGGCTTTTTCTAAAGCTACTCTATTTTTATTTGCATCTTTGAAGCCTAAATCCATCAAGATTTTAGCTTTTTGGAACCTTTCTGAATTTGCACTGACTTGATTGATTTCATCAAGAGGATGTGATTTCTTTATCGGCTCAAATTCTGGATATTTCAAAGGAATCGGTTGAGGGGGGTTACTTTTTGGAATTTCATATAGAGGAGCTTTTTGAACTGGCTGAATGCTCGGCAACATATGAGAATTAATTGGTGGAGGGAATATATTATCTGGTATTTTATATGGAATATTCACAACTGGAGGTGGAGGTGGAGGCGGAGGCGGAGGCGGAGGCTTTATAAGGTCCTCAACTTTTTTCATTTTGTACATTGGATGCTCATGATCAAAAATATCTTCACACGCCTCACATAAACTGATATCACATTCTTGGCATTTATACCTGATTCCGATTATAGGCTTTGTATGACATTGCTTGCATTCTACTTGATGCACAGTTTGTAAGCCTGATAATTTCAGTTTGTCTAAATTCCCAATTTCTTCTCTAATTATACTTCTTAAGCTCTGCAGCAGATCAGGTATGGCTTCAATTTTTTGAAATCCAATTTCGCTCTTTTTTATAGGGCTGACACCGGAATCCTTCATTTGATTAGTATTAGAAGAGTTTTCGTGCATTGGAATATGTATGGTTTCCGACTCTACACTTTCTATCTTTAAAGGTACAGTTTCTATATTTTTCGAAATAAATTTCTTTGCATCACATCCGCTTTCTGAAGTTTCTACTTTTGAGCTGCAAGACTCATCGACAGTTTGGAAACCAGTGGTTATTATTCCTTTTTCTTCTGTTACCACATTTGCATTACTTGCTTGTTCTGATGTTTGCGGAGTAAACGCCAAATTTCCATCTTCCTTTGATTCAATTTTAGCAGTTTCCACAGATTTTTCAGCTAAATTTAATATAATTGCATCAGTCCCTGTATCTATAGGTTCTGAAGACAGGAATTCTATATCTTCGTCACTTTCATGCCCAGCATCAGAATTGCATAGAGGAACGCTTGCAAGAATTGATGCAAAATCCATTGCATTGCTTATTTGCAGCTTCAGAGGCTTGGCAAACGCTGATGTGATAGGTTCGATGTACTCGTATTGGGTTTGAATTGTTATTAGATCATTTTCTTCGTCTCTATATTTTAATTTTTGACATCAGAGATGGCGTACGAAACAGAAAACACAAAAAAATTTTGGAGCAACAAAAAAACTTGCCGAAAGGCCACTTGTTTGTAGGGACAAAATTCCGTGATAGGGTGTGGTCTGAGCTGATTGAACTTCACTTCAACCCACAGACAAGAGACCGACGAACTCAGCATCAATCAAACACTTCTAGAAGAGCACTATGCTACCTGTAAATGGCAGAGGTAGTTACAGAAAGAGGGTTCCTTCATATTCTGAGCACTGCAAGGGGTCAAAAGAGTCCTTTGCTGAAATTTTTGATCCAAGCAGATTCCGACAGACTGATGATGCCACCAATTTTTTGTGACCCTAAAGGAAAAGGACATTGGTGGCTTTAGTGAATAGCACAGCATGAAGCGTGAAACTGAAGCTCAGCTGACTAGAGACTGAAATAACCCCCGTTTTAACCCCTCTAACTTAAACTCTCTCTCTTCTCTATATTGGATTATAGGGTTGTCAATGCCAAACATTTCTTTGAGTTTTTCACGGAGCTCTTGGATTGTTTTTGGCGCATGGGGGATTCGACGGCACTCTCCAGCATAAAATAGCTTTAATGAGGTCATATTTTTTATAAGACATTGTCGGGCTTTATCTAGATAATTTGAGGGAATAATATAAATTTATAAAACTAGTATTTATCCATGCTCATGTCTTGCCCAATCCTCATGGTGTCAATTATTGATTGCTTCTCAGCCAGAAGTCCTTTATAGTGAGCAAGCTCTTTTGCGAATTTAGCAGAGCTCCTATCCATTTCTTCTTGCATAGTTTGGACCCTAAGCTCAGCTCTTTGAAGATCGACTTCAAGCTGTATTTTTTCTCTTTCCCAATCTGATTGGTCTTCTCGAGTTTCTGGTCTTTTACTTTTGAGCTGCTCTCTTAATTCGGCAACAAGTCTCTCGAGCCTTCTTACTTCTTGTCTAGCTTGCTCAACATTTGAATTTCCAGTTTGTGTGCCAAGAGCTGTGTCTTTTAATCTTCTTTGCAGTTCCAAATTCTCTGTTCTCAGCTTTTCTAGCTCTTGAACTGTTTCTCTGGCTTGTTGAGTATCTTTAAGTGTTTTATCTAACTCCTCCCCTCCCGTTAGCGAGCAAAATCATTGGAAAAATCCCTATTTTTTTTTATTAAAAATCCACCCTCTGTAGCTAAAAAAGTATTTTTAAGTGATAATTAGTATAAAGAAAATCTCTAGCTAATTGTGTTTAAATTTAAACAGCTGGATTTAGAATATAAATTTTGCAAATTAAATTAAAATTATTTCAAAATTGGTCTTTTAAATTCTGATAATAAACCCACCATAAAATTTATATATAATTTTTTTAACAAAATTAACCCATTCAATGAGAGACGGGGAGAGTAAGAGTTTTTCAAGCTTGGATATGACAGCTTCTTGCTTTTTAATAGTTTCTCTGTATACTTTGACGCGATCTACCTGAGATTGCACTTTCTGGAGTTTCTGCATATCTCTTTCGTGTTTTTCTCTTAGCTTATCTAATTCAAGTTTATATTTATACGCTTCTGACACTTCTCCTTGAGCTTGCTTGATAATTTTTTCAAATTCTTCGTTTCTTGTTCTCTCGTTCCTGTACATTTGAGCAATTTTAATTATTTTCAGTTTAAGCTCTTCATTATTCATTTGCTCTACTTCTTTGCTGACAACAGCTCTTACATCAATCTCTTCTTCTTCATGCAGTCTTTGCCTTAAAATTGCATTTTCGCTTTGCAATAGCTTAATTTGCCTTCTTAAGTCAATAATTTCAGCTCCTGTGAGTTTTAGGGCATCACTTTTTTCATCGTTTTCTTTCATAAGCCTGTGAATAAGTTCTTGTTTTTGCTGTAGTTCTCTTGCCAAGAGTTCCCATCTTTCCTTCCCACCGCCACCCCCTGCCATGCTTCCAATAGATAGTGCAGCTCCTCCCATCTCATTTTTATTTCTGGGCTGAGTTGCTCTTAACGAGTATGAAAGGTCAGCTTTTCCCATTTCTACTTGTCTGTCTTCAATCCTGGTTTTTTCGATTGAGGAATCTTCTTGCTTCTATATGAAATTTACGTCTAAGCTAAACACTCCAATTTGGATTGTGCATTTGCATTGTCCTAGAACTCTGTACATAGAGCTCGAAGTACTCCATATCATGGGCACGTAAAGTGTTTTGTCATTTTTCGCACTATATAGAAAATACTATAAGCTTGTTTGTAAATCGTCATCAAGGATTTCAGTATGTGCTACAATGGTATTTGGCAAAGGATGTCTTGTGTTCCCTACCAAACTCTCATCCCTAGCTATTAAAAAGAATGATAGCTGGTTTTCTAAGTATGATCTGGGGATCGTAAAAACAGCTTGAGAGTTGTAAGGATTGTCATGAGATGAAGGAGTTATTGGGATCATAGGAGTTAAAAACACTGAGTGTCTTTCTGCTTTATGGCGAAGAAGTTCTCTTGAGAGATTGGTTTCTCCTTTTAGATCGATTTCAGTGAATGGAATTTCAGTCAAATGATGTCCATGTGTAGTCATAGCTATCATGATCTTATTGGTCGAGGTTGGCAGAGGATCCCAATTCACTCCAATAATTGCAATATCAATGAGGTGGTCCACAAAACTTGTAGTTATTGCTTCTTCAATGGTCAATGAACAATAAATCTGGCACCTTGGCTCTGATGCATCTCCTCCTCTAGAAGTTGCAACCTCCATATGAACTGGATGAAAAGCCCTCATCGCAGTAATCGGAATCGTCATAGACTCCAAACTTTCAGCAGCGACTCTATCTTTCAGCAGAAGCCAAAAAAATCCATCTAAATTTGTCACATTTCTCGGGTTCAAAAATAATTCTTGGTGGTTTCATATAGGATGCCGACTATTAGGGATTATTAATGATCTCACCATTTCATTGTCTGGAGGTCTCTGCTGTATATAAGCGCTTCATCCAAACTCTAAATAAGGAGATGGTAGCCCAGATGTGGAAATGTTGTTAAAAGGAATATCAACACCTGCTCTGAAATCAATACGGACTCTCCAGAGGAATTCTGCAAATGGGTCATTTACAGGCAAAGGGTGGAAAATTTCGCCAGCGTCTAAAGCAGTTGGCACCATTGCATGCTCAGGGACGAGCCGGATTGTCACTAAAAATCGTCCGACTGTGACTTGCTTTCCTTCATGAACCCTTACGAATCGGAGATGCTGACGAGTTCCAGCTCCCTTGACATCTGTAAGCACTGAAGCTAATGGGCCAAGTTCTAAAACTGACTCGCCAAGGAGACGAGCTTGGCCTTTGCCCTGTTCAGCGTTTCCATCTCTATCAGCAACTACAAATGCTGCAAATAATAATCTCATATTCAATTCAATCCTATTAGTAGGGAGAGGCAGATAAAAAGTATTTGCTGAGAATATTGGATTTGTAACTCTTGCTGAAATATCAGTTCGGCGCTTTTCCCCTTGCCCATCAAGCTGCACCGTGATAAAATAGTTGAAATCTTTTGCGAATTCGGCACCTTCAATGATAACGCAAATTTGGGTCGCGTTTACAAGCTTGAGGTCATCCATATTAAAGAAATTGTAAATAAAATCAATTAACTACATTTAGCTGATATAAATGATTGATTAATGTATTAAATCTATACCAGAAATAGCAGAGAAGCAGGTCTTTTATAGAGAAAAATAGCTTTTGATGAATGTAGCATAGCTATAATCCGTTTTTAAATAATATGATGTGGGTTTTATTACTATTTAATCTAGCCAGCGCAGGCCAATACCCATGCAAGTTCACAATGCCTGACGGAGATGTGATTGATTTGAGTTCTCTATATACAGAAATCCCTGACTATGAGATGGACGCAATGGACTTTGTCTACCGAAATAATATCTGTGGAGACACCCATAAGACCTGCGGAGTCAACACTGGAATTGCTACTCAGTGGGAATACAACGGAGGTTGTGTCGCAGTTTTGGCAAGGCAAAGTGGGACCCCACCAGTAGCTACATATATAAACCCAGATGACCCAGATCTTGGTATCAGGCTGACTTATTTTAACGGAGACTCATGTGGATCAATTCAAAGACAGGTGATATATAACATCCATTGCGCCAAAGAAAAAACGCGAATGACAATGGCTGAAGAATTCTCTTTGTGTGTCTATACATTTGAGGTAAACTCAAAACTGGTATGCCCAGGCAAAAGTGGAGTTACGAAGAAAAGCTCATCTGGGCTAAGCAGAGGGACCTGGATACTTCTCCTTTCTGTAATTTTATTTGCAGCCTATTGCATCATAGGATCTATTTTAAACAGGAAAAACGACCCTGAGCTGTCGATTTCAGAAAGCATCCCTCACAAAGCTTTTTGGGCAGAGCTTCCTTCACTAGTTGGGGATGGTGTACAATTTACAGTAAGCAAAGGGCGAGAAATTGTAGGAAGAATTACAGGAAGAGAATAAATGAAAGTTTCTTTTAATAAATTGATTAGTTAAAGGTCTTTTCTCCAAAGCACAATTTCTTGTTGCTTAAAGTAGCGGCGGTCTTCTTCATCAACAAGGACTAAATTCAAGAAATGTCTGACTGAGAATTTATTGTTGACATTATAATAAGTCGGAGTCAGGTCAAAAGCTCCTAAAAATACCCTGATAGGAATAAACTCACCTCGGACTGGAGCGCCGTCCATAACTTCGAATTTTGCAACTGTCTCATTCTCGTTGGTAGCTTGAGCTCCAGCGCCAATTGTTTCTCTTCTGATGATTGCAATTTCCATGTACTTAATTCTTATCCTGACAAGCAAAAAGTTGACTTTTCCCAAAATGCAGTCTTTGAGGTGATATTTGTGCTTGTTATATTCAAATTCAATGTGCAAGCATTCTTCAATTCCCACTTCCATTTTGATTGAAGTGCTTTCTTCTGTCTCATTTGTGGTGTTTAGCACTGAAACTTCTTGTTCATTCACAATATTTGATGAGAAATTTTTACGCAAAATAGTAGTTTTGATGATATAGCGGACTTTACAGAAGCGGCCTTGGTAGGTTTCGAATTGTTTGTCCACCTTGTTGAAGGAGAAAGGAATAGTGGCTGACTCGTTGATTGTTCCTGGTGGCTCCAGTTCTCTTGACATGGAGACAAAATCACTTGTTTGGTTACGTTCATATGTGATATCTGAATAAAAATTTACCTATACGTCCAATTAGCTCAACTTTAACGCCTTGATGCTCAATCTTCTTTCCTCTTTTCATATTGACGACAAGGCGACCAGAAATATCTTCATTGCCCTAATTTGATGATACTGTATATACAGGGAGTGATACTTCTTTTCCTGAACTGTCTTTAAAGGTAGCAGTTTTGCGGCCTTCTAAGTTGTCAAGCTCTAAAGCGACTTCAGCCTTCTTTCCAAACTATTTAGTTCTTACCATTTCTTATTTCTCTTGAAATATTAATCAACAAAATGTCCAATTAGGAAAACCCAGCCAATATACCAAAAATCCAATTTTATTAATATATTCTTATAAAAGATAAAAACTCCATAATTTTGGACTAATTTGAGCCATTATCGTTAATTATGGTCCGATAAATTTATTATTCCTCTTAACAGCCATAATGAATATTTCGGCGACAAAAAATGCCCTTGCGACGACCCACTTTGAGCGCCAAAGTTGCTTTATAGCCTAAACCAAGGCTCAGGCCCGTTAATCAAAACCCTTAGCTTGCTTGATTGCTTGAGTGTCTGTATTGGGTGGGTAAGTCTTGGGAGTCAGCTTGTGGCGATTCAAGTCAGATATTAGTTATCTGGATGGTTTTTAGCCAATTTTTTCCTGGAAGACCGTGGTTCTTTTTTCCTTCGTTTCATCCTCCCTCAAGGTGGTCGACAGAAGGCATCGGGCTGTTCTTTATCTCCATAGCGTGGATATACATAAAATGGCGTATGGCGACCGACCCCACCCTCTCAGTGGTGGTTACCCATGCATATCCGGGCATGGTTTTTGGAGCCAGGAGTTGGCCCAGCAATGTTTGGGACCTCGAAGCGAGAGGTCTAAGCACAGAGACCGCTGTTTTTGTGACCGAACCCATGGGCAGTTACTCGTGACTTCTTTTTGCCAGCAGCGCTCAGCCCAGTGAGTGCCCGAAATGAGGCAGGGCGACTTACCTGCCTAAGCTGCTTTTTGTGGCTCGCCCCGAATGGCGATAGCTGTTGAGTTCTTTCTCGGGATGACCGGAAAAGAGGGGAAGGCGAGTTAGACATCTAAACGGGAGTCTCTCCAGTTTAAAAGGTGCCCTTCAATGGGCAGATCTGGCGGACGACGCGGCAGTGTTGGCGTAAACTTAGGCGACGATCCAAGTTGGAAATGGAGGCGGTCAGCAAAGACGGTATGACACGTTCCTTGACCTTCACCTCTACCGAGAAACCGGGGTTTCGGCCCGGGCTTGGTGAACGCTCTGCCACCATACGGGAAACCATAGAATGCTTCCTCGGAAGAAGCAGGGACTTAAAATACCCAGCGTAATCTTAATCTTAATCTCCATAGCGTGAATTAAGGAGTCTCTTTAATCCATCGAGGCTCAGGGATATCAGTGCAAGCCCTAGGTGCCGGAAGTAGACCGATGCTGAGACAGTTGTCAGGCGACTGAATTCCTCCGGCAAGCAGATTCCGGTGGTCTCAAGCGCGCGGAGGCATTAAATCTGGAATACGTTAAGCTCTTTAATCTTATTCTTATTAACAACCAGAATTTTCAAATCAGATCTCAGCCATTTGATTCTCCTTTGATGTGAAAATCCCTTCAGGCACTACACCAATAGAAATCTCACTAACACCCCCTCTTTATGAGAGAACAAAAATTTGTTTGCTCAAGGATAGGCTAATTTTTTTTAAAAAATTTATATATAAAATTTATACAAATTTTTTTTTTCCTAATTTGAAATCCCAATTCACAAAAATTGGAAATCAAATATTAATTTAATTTGTAAAATTTATGTTTAAAATGTAATTGTATAAAATAAGCAGAGTTAGCTACAGATTTCATTATAATAATTATCACTTATATCAAAATTTTTATATTAAAAAATTTTTGTTCGCTCATAGAGAGTTTTTTAACCCCAAAAAAATAAATGTTTTTGCTCGGGAGTAAAATCTTTTCCAACCTCCAATTAACTTATATCTTGTCAGTAAATTTCTGATATCTGAGTTAATTTTAATTTAATTTTTTATAAAATACATGAAAAAGAAATCTTCATCAGCGTCTTTTTTAAAAAAAACATATGATATGCTTGAACAAGGAGAGTCAGACGATTTAGTCTCATGGACTGAAGATGGTTCGATTTTTGTAATCAAAAATGTAAATGAATTTAGTGAAAAAGTCCTGCCAAAATATTTCAAGCACAACAATTTAGCAAGCTTCGTACGGCAACTAAACATGTACGATTTTCACAAGTGCAGAGTTTCTGGAATCGACCACGCCTTTAAGCATCCTCTCTTTCTACGAGGAAGGCTTGATCTCCTCGAAGAAATTCGTCGGAAAAATTCAGAAGTAAATCTGCCTGTAGAACAAAGATCAACGACTAGCAAAGCTGAAATATCGCCTTTGCTGCAAAAATTATACCAGCTTCATAGAAGATCTCAAGCCTCTGACACTGAAATTCAGAAACTTGAAGAAAAAGTGGCTGAGCTGAATGAGCAGAACCGGACATTAGCTTCACAGTTTTGAGAAACAAAGGAAAAAATGAGAGGAATCGAACAGGTTCTGCTCATGATGGCAACCTATATTCAAACCAGTGGCCAGGATTTGACAAGTCAACTGTTTGCAAGAGAAAATAATTTACCGATCACTCATATACCTGATACCCCTAAAAAAAGAACAAAATGTGGTGAAGTGATGGATAACGTTTACTCGCACAGTAGAGATGAAGGGAGAAATAGCAAAACCAGTTCAAATGATGGGAGAAAAGATGATTTCGAAGTAGACGATTTTTTTAGTTACCAGGATTTGGAAGATTGTGGAGGGGAAAATCTGGATTTTTTATTGGATAATAAATCGTAAATGGGGTTTTGTTGAACCTATAATTATCGGAAAGAATTGTTTCTTTTTTATATAATCAGGTAGCAGGAAGACCTGGGTAATTAGGAAATCAAGCCTACGAAGATAATTTTATACATATATTTCATTAAGTCAGTGATGGTGAATTTAATTAAGGCTGAATAGTAAAGTGAATTTTATATTTTTTTTAAATTTAAATTTACTAAATTGTGTTACTATTTATTGTTAGAAATTTTTGTAAGTTGCTTATTTTCTTAAGTTGAAGAATATTAGATGCTTATTATAGTAGAAATTTGTAACAAATTTTTTATATGTCAAGCTTAAATCTAAATGACACAAATTTAATTGTTTTGACATTCTGCTCTAGATATATTTCAACATAATAAAAAGAATTTTTTTGTGTAAGGTCTATACAAACCTTGAAATTTTTTCTAATTAAGATGCTTCATATATGATTGACTGCAACACAGCAAGTAATTTTGAAGAATTTAGTCTTAATACAATTTATCAGCAATAATAAAATAAATTATCATAATATTTCAGTTTTTGAGCATGTAGTTTCCGTCTCTCTCATAATTTATTACTCCCCCTCCTTGAGCGAACATAAGAAAAATCCCTATTTTTTGACCAAAACCTCACCCTTGTGAACAAACAAAAATTTTTTTATATAAAAAATTTGATATATAAATGATTATTATTATAACGAAATCTAGCTAATTCTGATGAATTTTAAACAGCTTGCGTTTTAAAATATAAATTTCTCAAATTAAATTAATTTTTTGCTTCTAACTTTTTACAAATTTGAATTTTTTTAAATTTTTAAAAAAAAATTATATAAAATTTATATATAAAAAAAGCATAATCCTCTCCGTGACGAACAAGATTTTTTTGTTGGCTCACGGATTGGAGGGGGGTTAGCATAAATAATCCTTTAACTGAATTTTTAAGATTTATTTTTGCTTTTATATATTTTTAATAAAGAAAGAGATTCTAAAAATATCCAAAAGAATAAGTTTCTTCAGGAAAAAAGTTATTTCTATTATTTTTATTATTACTCATCAATAGCATTAAAATGCTATAAAATGCAAATATATCATCTATATAAGATATGCCCATAATAATTACAATTTATTTCTAAACTACTGCTTGCATTACCAATTTACCGCTATGATATAACTTGCAGACTGATTTGATTGAGCTTTAAAGATGAATGCTCTCCAATATGACCTTTTGATATGCTTACTGCAGTTAGTAAAATCATTTGTTGGTATCCGTTTAAACTAAATAATGCGTTAATGGATTAGCAAATTAGCAGACCGTATTGAAAAAGCATTGCTTTCAAAGTCCAATTCAAATCAATGTCTGAGTTTTATATGCTTAATGCTCTAGTATTGATACCTATATAGCTAATATTTTTAGCAACAATTTTAATCTTATTCCAAAGGTGGGAGTAAGCGCTTTTCTCATTTCGTTAATAATTCCTTAACCAAAAATAGCCTAATAATTTTAGGATTACTTAAAGTCCTTAACCAAATTTACTATTTGCTTTTTGAAGCTCAATATATATTAAAATGGCGACACGAGTCAGCCTGCCCTCTTGGCGTAACAGTCCAGACCTTATGGCCACGGCGAACTGAGATAGACTCCGAGTTGATAATCAAGTGCAGGCTCAAGAGATGTGTATCCGGATAGGTTTTAGCTGCTTTCCTGTGGTTGGAAATTGAGTTGCTCAACAGCATCCTTTTGTATCTAAGGATCCATGGGCATTCCTCTGATGAGAAACTCGGGGATTTCGACCCAAGCCTCAGGGGAGTAATCTTTTTCCTGTCGCTGTAGAAGGAGGCACTTTAATACCCGATAGACTCTAAGGAGTTGCTTAGGAATCAAGCTACTCCAATCATCCGTAGCAGAGCCGCAGAAATCCATAAGCCCACTCAAGACTGAAACTTCAAGGAAGGAGGAGACAGAAGGTACTGGAAGTGGCACAGACCCTCTGGGCTCGAGTCTAAAAGCGGATGAACCTCTTGTATGGGAGGTCTTTGGTGACTGCACCGCCAATATGGCTAATGCCTGACCCGCTTTTGAAGCTCAGGCAAAGAAGGCAATTTCGCAAATTTCTGTGGACTTTCTGCAAGCCAGAGTTTAGCTTTTCTCTGCTCAGCAACCCAGTTGGTGAAATCTACCATGCTTCCTATCCCAGACCTTCCTGCTTTATTTTTTATAGCACCATAAAAAAGCATTCCAAGAGCTGGAGTAACAATAGACCAGGAGCTGTTTTTTCCAATAGCAAATGATATAAATCCCAAACCGAGGCACCCTAAGGTAGCAGTCCAATCAAAGTAAACATTCCTTGCGCCAAAGGAGAAATAAAATGTTGATGTCGATGGAAGATGACTCCGAAACATACTCCCTATGGAGCAGGTAGGACCCATCCCGATGAAGGTGAAAATAGTGCCTCTGTCACTTGTTGAAGTAGGCCTTCGGTCTAGGAATGCCTTACTTATCGGGACTAATGGGTTATAGGGCTTTCCCTTGAATAGCCCTGTGTCTGCAGGAGGTGGCTCTAGCCTAGGGAGCTAACCATTAGGTTAAGTGGGTTTAAGTCAGATAGGCAGACTAGTAGTCTATCCACTTATGGCCTTATAATTTTAGTTTCAACTTTAACTTTTGCGCCATTGATGTGATAATTGTAAATAAATCTCATGTTCTCGTCTCCAGTCTGCTTAACGTAATCTTCAAGCTCAGCCTCGTGAATTTTTCCAAGCAATTGCATATTCTCTGAATATTGTTTCTTCAATAATCGCTCTTGATAATACTTATTTCCCCCCCTTCGTAAGCGAACAAAAAAAAATTGTGTTCGGTGATGGAGGGCTTTTTTTTTTTAATTTTTATAGAAAAAATTTAAAAAAATCTAATTTGTAAAAACTGAGAAGCAAAAATTAATTAGCAAAATTTTATATTTAAATGCAAGCTGTTTAAAATTAAACAGAATTAGCTAGAGATTTCATTATACTAATTATCATTTATATATCAATTTTTTTTCATAAAAATTTTTGTTTGCTCATAGAGGGTGGTTTTTTGGGCAAAAAATAGGGAGTTTTCCAATGGTTTTGCTGCTTACGGAGGGGGGCTAGGGTATAATTTTGAGGTCCAAAAAGTATTACTTGGCTTCTGGATGCTATAGTTATACAAGTTCTTGTAATACTCCCAATAATCCCAATTATCAGCCACCAGCTGCTTCCATTCACTGTATTCAGGTAGGTTTGCTGCCATTAATTTTTAAATAGACCATCGAAAAGAGATATATTAGCTATTATTCAAAATCTTATCTTTTATCATTTCTGAATATATCATTAGACCCAACCACGTCGTACTCAGCAGACTGGTCAAATGATTTCACGTTTTGCTTTGAAAAAGCTTTTTTAGAGTCGATCCAAACCTCATCATTTTCGACCTGGTGACGGGACCCACCGATCCAGACTTCGGCTGGAGGAGGCGAAAATGGCTTATTTTTCATTTTGTTGGAGCTTGATGCGGTATTATTATGGAAACTGTGCTTCCTTTGGCTTTCTCGAGATTGATAAGATTTAGGCGAATCAGCGATCTTTGTAGAAGGCTTTTTGACAGGGGCGTATCTGGCATTTAGAACGCTTGGCTTTGAAGACGTACTCCAGCCTTCTTTCATCACTGTTGTGGTGGCTTGCTCTCCTGATTTAGGAGAGTAATAATAAGATGACTGAGGCATCTGAGAAGTCTTTGGAGGTGAGTGCTTAGCTTTAGAGTATCGTTTTATCTTGGGAACTGCGGGCTTCATATGCTGCTTGTTAGAATGATAGATTTTTCCTTCTCTCGCTTTTTTATATTCTGTTAAAAACTGAAAAATCATTTTAAATTCAAGGATTTTTGGGTTGTTGGGGTTGTTTTTAATTTTTGTATTCATGTAGTCAAGCAAGTGCTGAAGCTTTTCATCAATATCGTTAATGTCACCTTCTTGCTGGGATTTTATAATTTCCATCATTTCTTCTAGCTGGGCTTCGAGCTCATCATCTTTTTTATTATTGTTTTCGCTAATATACATATTAGGCATAGTCGTATTTTTCTTCAGTGGAACCTGAAATTCAGAAGAATTTTGTAAATTTTGAGCTGCTTCATTGACTGTTTTATTAATCATGTTTGTGCTTTCTTCTTGTACAGGAGATGCAACAGTAATGCTTGAATCAGTTTCTTCAGGCAAATTTTTAATCTTCCTCAATAAAGTTTTCTTTGGAATCCTACCCAAAGTGATGTGAGATGCGTCAGCTCATTCAATTTTATCTAGATTTATTTTGGATATATCAATTTGTAATAGATGAACTTGTGAAAACAACTCAGATTGGTTATTTTTCCCAGACAAGAGCTGGTCTTCTTCTTCAGTAGCTATATTCGTCATAAATCTAGCTACAGGTGACAAATCACCAAAAATGCTTATTTCTCTATCAAGCAGTTCTGTGTGCTTGATAGCCGAATCCTTATTTGCAATAGAAAATATTTCAAATTTTGGTTCAGGGAAATTATCTTCAAAATTTTTCATTGGAATTTCCTCAGTTTTCCAAATACTGTCAATGCCTTTCTTTATATCAATATTTTCGTTTTTTGGCTTTGGCATTGTTGGGATAGGAGATTTGCTTCTTTGTGGGTTCAAGCCGAAGGTGAACTGCTTATTAATTTTGTTCTTACTATCTTGGTCCCTTTCTATAATTCCTTGAAAAACGCCTTGAACTTTAGTTCTTAACGCTTCAAATTCTGGCTTAACTTGAACTTTGTTGAACTCTGACGGAAAATCAGTTACATGGTCTTTCAGCATGTGGTGGAAGGTTTGAAAAAGCCTGCTCTTTATGTCTTCTGTTTTATTCTCTTCTACACGTCCAGATCCTCTTAACTAGATTGGATTAGATTATGATGGGTTTAAAGTCCCTACTTCCTGAAGCGCGGTAAATTCAGTGAATAATGCAGTAGGGGTGGAATCCCTTAAAGCAGCATGATCTCGGGCTAAAACGCCAGCTTTCTGTAGAGGCATTTTCCCTCCTGACCTAAGGAGCCCCAAGATTTTTCGGGAAACCTCCTTTTCCAAAATTGCCCATCTCTGCATAGCTTAGACCACATGGTTCCATTGAGGGATCCTTATAAATTGGAGAGACTCTCCCAAAGGTCTTTGTCTAGCCTGTCTTCTCCTTTTATCTGTATCATCTCCAAGGAAAAACTGGATGTGTTTGTTCAGTTTGTGACAGGCCACGAAGCAGCTTAGGGAGGTTAGTCGTCCTACTTCTATCGGACGCCTATTCTGATCCTTGGTGCTGCTGGTAAAAAGGTACAAAAAACTTCCGCTCGAGTCAGGCTACTAATTAGCAGAAATAGTGCTAGGCCTCTTCCTTCGAGGCAAGCCCAGCCCTTGGTGAGTTCCTTGCACTAAAAAATGATGTCCGAATATAAGGATCCCCCCCCCTCATTTGTCGAATTTTCTAGTCTTTTTTTTTATAAGAATTTTTTTTTTTTCAGGACCTCATTTGTCCCAAAATCTAGTCAAAAATGATTTGTCCAATTTTCTAGTCTTTTTTGGATTTTTTCGAATGCCCTAAATTCTAGTTTTTTACTTTAAAAATACTAGAAAATGAGACAATTGAGGTCCTGAAAATTTTTTTTCTCTATCAAAATTTTGACTAGAAAATTGGACAAATGAGGTCCAAAAACAATTTTTTTTTCCTATAAAAAAAAACTAGAAAAATGGACAAATGATAAAAGACTAGAAAATTGGACAAATGAGGGGGGGATCCTTAAATAAGGACCGCGCCACAGGAGGAAGGCTTGCTCATTTATCTATATCCAGATCCTCTTAATTTCATTAGATTCGCCCATTCTTCTTTTAATGCTGACATTTTAACTAATATAAGAAGAATTTAGTGAAAAATAGTTTTTAGGCAGAAAGATGAGTATTCGGGAGTATTTTTGGAACGACACAATGGCTCGAGTTGCTGCGTATGTGCCAACAAAAAAATTATGCAGGTTGGCTGTACGCATGTTTATAGGGACTCAAGGTAATTTCTATATAGTATTTCCTAAAAATCGCGATATGGCTTTTAAGCTTCTTGATGCAGCAGCAGTTAATTCTCGCTCTTTAGACCAATTAAACCAAATTCAGTTCTCTATCGCTCAGCTTAAAAAAATTGAAGCAGTTGAAACAGGAAAGCCTCAATTGTTGAAGGAAGCCAATAACGAGCTTAGCGTGCTTTGCAGAGAAGATTACATAGTTGCAAAGGTAAAGTCTATGCTAGTTTGCTATGGGAAAAGAGCTAATGAAAATCAATAAAAAAGCCAACCCATCAACCCAAAAGCAAATGGAAGTGCTATAGCTTATACCCCGTTTTGGATCGGCCTTGAGCACCTCCTCCCCGTGCCACCCACTCCTTAACGGTTCAAATATTTTAACATGCTAAATATTAGTTTGACAAGTTAAAATATTTGAGGGGGATTGCCAAATAATATTTAACATTTAAAATTTTCAGGACCGTCAGGGGTGGGTGACATGGGAGGGGGTGCTTAATGGTGAGCAACCACGAGGGGTGTGCTGTATCACGCCAATATTTGTCTGAATGCGCAGCCAGTTCTTATGCCCCTTCTTATTACTACTTCGGAATGGCGCATGAGCAAGGAATAGGTGGACCAGTCAATAAACAGCAAGCAGAGGGATGAATCGCCAGAGCTGCAAATGAAGATGACCCTAAAGCATTTTTCAAGCTATCACAATGGTGATTTTTATGCAGGTATTTAGTTAAAGAAGACAAAGAGATGTATTTTAAGTATATGAAATTAGCTGCTGAGTTAGGACTGAATGAAGCACAACATAATTTAGGGGTTTATTATAATGAGCAAGGAGACATAAGGAAAGCTGTGGCATGGTTTTACCAAGCTGCAAAAAACGCGTTTTATCCTTCTATAATCAACCTTGGTATCATTTTTCTGAATGGCAGAGGCGAATTCGCAGCAAATCCTTTGATTGCTTATATATGACTGAAAAATGCGCAGAGGGTAGAAGACTCAACAATGATACAGAAGCTTGTAAGCGAGGCTGAAAAGGCTTTAGATGAAATAGGAATCAAATTTTAGCTAATTCAATCTTAAAACGTTAATTAAATAAAATATATTTCGCATTATTGTTAATCTCTTTTAGCTTATATTTTCTATTGAATAATGATAATCATTATCTGGCACTGGCTGCACCCATCTATACCGGTCTCTCTGTTCAGTCGTGCCAGGGTCAGGATCTTGCCCCATCTTAAAGTGGTGCTTTCTCAGATTTTTCATTAAAACTGGATCTGGCTTCGGGTGGTCTCCGTTAGTAGGTTTAAAGTCTTTCATATTTGACGACACAAAGTGAGGAGGATCAGACCCATAATTAAAATGATGCGTTCTCAAGTCTCCCAATAGTGCTTTATCAATTTGGCTTTTTTCCCCTTTTCCAGTCCCATAATCTCCTGAGGTTGTTTTATAATGATTTCCTTCAGCCCCCAGCTTGAAATGGTGAGATCGCAGCTCTTTCGTGAGTTTTGGGTCAAGTGATCCAGTTCCTTCGGTATTTGGCCTGTACGAAGCTTGAGAAGTGGTTAAAGGATAATGGGCTTCAGATCCTAAAGCTATGTGGGAAGACCAGTCTGCTGAGTGATCACGGACTTTTCCTGTGCTTGGAAGCTGCGCTCCAGAATGAGTTAGGTTATAAGAAGTCCCGTATTGAGGCTGATCCTCACCAAGCTGAAAATGGGACTTTCTTAAGGAAACTGAAGTATGCATTGGCTTCTCCAAATTCGCACTAGCTGGCTTGAAGGAAGCGAATGAATTCGTAGCATAAGAAGGCTTGTCACCGCCTAGATTGAAATGCGAAGACCTTAAATCTTGCAGTTTCTCTACATTTAAGCTTTGCTTTCCATCAGATTTCTCATTGAAATTCGCATGACTTGTTGAATGCATCAACACTTTATCGCTCCCCAAAGTAAAGTGCTCCCTTCTCAAATCCTTGAGCAGCCCTGCATTCAGCTGTGATTTCTCTCCATTTTTCGCTCCGAATTCTCTCTGTGTCGTGCTCATATAGTTCACAGCTGCATTTCCTATCTGGAAATGCGAAGTTCTTAAGTCTTCTTTTAGCCTTAATAAATTAGTATCGCTTCCTCCTTGCAGTGGTTTTACTCCATAGTCAGCCTTAAAAACAGATTTCACTGTGTCAGGGTCATCCCCAAATTTGAAATTGTGTCTGCGTAAGTATTTTTCTCTGTCAGAGCCTTTGACGCCATTGAACTCTATAGGTGGCTTTTCAAAAAAAGCGGCTGATGAAGTAGTTGCATATGAGGGAGTCTGCATGCCAAGGGTAAAATGGTGACGTCTTAGGTCAGTTTTTACCTCAGCTTGATGGGCCATTTCTTGAGCTTGATGTGGCTTGTATTGAGCCATTGCTTCAGATAAGGGAGCGGTGCTAGATTTTTCAGGGCCAATCTTGAAGTGGGACTTCCTGATATTTTTTATATGTTCTTGATCTGCAACACTCATGGATTCTGGCTTGAATTTGAAACTGGTGCCTGCAGTTGTCTGGTACTCAAGGGTTCCTCCACCCAGCTTGAAATGAGTTTGACGGATTTGTTGGGCCACTTTTAATCGGTGGTCTTTGGTCATGTAACCTCCTTGCATTTTGTATTTTTGAGGATTATGAAAAGAAATATTGAATAAATTTTACTCCCCCCCCCCCTCCGTGAGTGAACAAAAAAATTTTGTTACTCACGGAGGGGGGTTAATTTTTATTTTTAAAAAAAATTATATAAAAAATTTTTTTTTTCGAAATTTAAAAAAAATCCTAATTCACAAAAATTTGGAAAGCAAATATTAATTTAATTTATAAAATTATGTTTTAAAAAGCAATTTGTTTAAAATTAAACAGAATTAGCTCTAGATTTCATATTATTAATTATCGTTTATATATCAATTTTTTTTTTCCATAAAAATAATTTCTATTAAAAAAATGTTTGTTCACTCACGGAGGGTGGGTTTTTTGGGCAAAAAATAGCGATTTTTCTAATGGTTTTGGTTTTGTTTAACTCACGAAGGGGGGGGAGTTTAGCAATAAAATATTCAACAAACATTGAAGCTACACTTTATATATTTTTCCTCATAAATATTTCCTTAACATATTTTAATTGCCGATTTCTCTATTTAGATATAGCAGTATAAGATTTATCTACACATTTCTAGCTCATAAATCAGCTTAGCTTATTTTTTTGGTGCTCCAGTGAATGGATCAACTTCTCTACGCTCTCTGTGAGCGAAATATTTTCTAAAGTTCTGATCTCTAACATAGTTGTTCAGCCTGCAAAACTTTTGGCTTGGAAGTGCTGCTTTCTGGCTGATTTTGCCTTTATCTCCGTTGTATTCGTGGTCATGGAAGTAGAAGGTCATCATCTTGCTTTGAGAATATGTTTCAACTGGAAATTCCCACATAGTATGCCCTTTATATGTTGACTCACCTGCATCCATTGCTGCCGCTTGGGTCCTGAGTCTGCCACTAATAATGAACACGCCTCCATATGTCACCATCCACCAAGCAATGAGGAACTTGAATTTGCCAGTTTGCCAATAAGGAAGAGTATGCCAAAATACATAGTTGATTGGAGAGTCGATGAACCTCATGAAGTTCTTCAAGTATCTATTCTTTGTTCCTTTGTCTGGGTTGCTGTAGAACTTGTTATAGTTAGTAAAGTCGAAATTAATAGCTCTGCCCACCATCCACATTCGTTCAACAGAGTTCGGCAAGCTTGTCTGGAACCCTGCAGCACCAATATCTCTATGGTTTAAAATGACAGGGTTTTCTGCTGGTTTATCGTATGCCATTTATTTTATAAGTCTTCTAGATACTTTTAAGCGAGTTTGGCGAATTTGAATAAATTTAATTGTAAATCTTTTTGATAATAATGAAGATGTAGTTGATAAAATGTGAAAATTAGATTTTTATCTAAATATTAGAAGAAGTTATATTAAAAATGAATTTCAGTAATAGGAAATCAAACTTTCTAATGAAAAGATCAGGGTTTAATTAAAATATTATTTCTAAATGGGTGTCACAAGGACTTACAGATATTCTGGGAAAAATTTAACTAAGACCGGTCTAATAGGCAAACCACCCATATCCCCAAGTCCCTTAGGACTTCTTTACCCATTCCAGCCTTAGTGTTAATCACTTCTCTTGACACCAAACCTCAGATGTCGTAAATTTCACTAAGGAGCTGCAACGATTGCAAAGCTATCTAGAATTAATGCAAGCCCAAGAGAAAGGAAATTGAAATGTAAACGTATCAGTGATGTATCATAAAAATCTCGACGCGAACCCATGCTCTTTGCTACTCGTCAGTCTTCCATTATCTCAAATAGTTGTATTGCGCAGCCTTAAAGAAGAAACTTCATATAAAATAATGCAAGGAGACATGAACCTTTCTAGCTTTATTGAAAATATCCAATGCTTCAAGGTTAGGCAGCAATTTAATATTAATGGAAAAGAATACGAACTCGGCGATTTCAAAATAAGGTTTGGGCTTGCTTTTGTAGGAAGCGAAACAAGATACTTGGTAGCCGAAATTGAGTTTGCCGGGATTAAGTATTTATCCTATGGGAGACCAAGCATATCTGAATTTATTGGATATTTGGATCCAAAGGCGAAGCTGAATGAAATTGTAATAGAGTATCATCAAAAGTTTGAAATGGATTCTGAAAATTTTACCCCTAAGCATTCAGCTATAGATATGCTGTTGGCATTGAATTGCTTGAATATTAGATAATTGAGGATAAAGAATAAAAAACTAAGAAAATTACAAAAGCGGCAAATAATTAAAAATCTTGAATTAATTATTTTGCAGAAAACAATTAATTATCAGATTGAGAGCTATTATCTTCTTCTATAGTTATAGTTTTTTCAATAAATTTCCAAGCCAAACCCCATCTGAGAGTTTTTCCTTGGTAAAAAGTGGTCGTTTTTATTAAAACATTTGAAAATTGTGTATTTAGATAATCCATCATTATTTTCAAATGGGATTTGACTCCAACAAGTGTTGTAAACCATTCTACTTCTTGTCTTTTCCCCCATGATTCATCAATATAATCTCCTATAAACTTGCATTCTCCTCCAGGAGTTTTCATTTCATTTGATCTCCCTCCATACCCATTTAAGCTTTCTGCATTATAATCAGAGCTATAAAATGGGGGATTGCAAATTGATACATCGAAATTCTGTGTAATTTCTCTTATTATCTGCGTTTTTTCAACTTTTATCAGCATAATTTTGCCTTCCAGCTCATTTTTTTCAATTATTTTTCTAGCATTTTGTATGGCAATCTCATCAATATCAGTTGCCACAAAATTTCAATTAAATTCCGCTACCCCTAATAAAGGATAAATCAAGCTAGCCCCAGTTCCTCTAAATTATTTTTACATATCCAAAATCACTGGATCATTTTTTTGCAATATTTCCTTAATTCAGCATAAATAATTCAATCTTTGTGGAACTGTGGGAACCAAATACCCATCAGGAATTTTCCAATATTTTATATTAAAATCTTCTAAAAGCAGAACTTTGACTAGTGCATTGCAAGCTTCATCAGACGAATAATCAAGGGCTCTTCCTTTCACACTGACTTTATATTACTGCTTAGCAAACCAATGATATTTCTTTGAAAGCGCTAAATAGTCAGGCCGATGGTTTAAGTACTTATTAAGGGGATGCATTCTTTGATTGAAGTTTGTCCTTTCCATTTTGATTATAAAATGGTGTTCAAGTATATCGATAAGGCTATTGATAATGCTTATGCAAAGGTATTCGCAAGGCTAAGGAAAATAGGAAGAAGAATCGAAAGGACTCATAGAACAACTTACGAGTACTGACTTACATATTGTGCGAGAAGAAGTAAGGATTTATCTGTGAAAGTCACACTATGGATTGTAGCATACTGCTTTTTTACTTTAGGAAGAAGTATTTTTGATTTTTATTTATGGACAGGAATATTCCGTTTTAAAGGCCTTGTAACACCAAGTTATTTAGATCACCAGCTTGATAAATATAATAGAAATAAGATCATTGACATATCATCTGTTGCTCATAATGAAAGGATAAAGCATATGCAAATAAATCAAGAACAAATATATATTTATTACAAGTACTTGGAAGAAAGAAATAAGTAATTCATATTTCATAAAAACTAATAAAAGATCGTTAAAGTTCTATGGTGCTCTTTAAGAGTATTGAGTGAGAGCTCTCCCATTTGCCATAATAAATGATCAACCTCAATTGGAATTCTGTCTAGTCTTGATGAAATTATGTCGCATGCTTTGACTGTTGCTGCTCGGATTTCAACTTCCATTTCAGACCCTACTTGAATGAGAATTTTGGAATCAATTTTATTTTGTAATTTTTGGGAATATTTTAATACCCCATACGTATTTAGCAATTGAGGAACTCTATAGTCAGGGAACATTGTGATTTTCTCAATATCATTAAATTCATAAGCTCCTGATGCGTATAAATCTGCTACTAAGATTTGTGCTCTTTTGTAAAAGAATGCTTGCCTGCCTCTATATACACAGGAGTCTCGAAAACCTGGGAATATTGCTGTAATAATTTCAACAAGCTAAATAGTTCTTACCTTTTCTGAGCTGTTTTGACAGGAATTTAAAATATTATTGAAATCTCCAGCATAGCATTTTATTGTTTGCTCTCCAATTTCTCTCAAAAGTCTGCATCTTTCATTGATTAAAGGAAAACTAGCATCTTGAAAGATTTCTTGCTGAATGAACTCATCAGTCATAGCTGCGATTGAGTTTGGAGAAAGAATATTCGGGTCTCTTTCCATTAAAGCTTTTAAGTTTCCAGCCAAATTGTCATATTCAAATCCTGGCTTTGGCCAAAAACAAAAATTCAAAGCATCTAATGCAAAAATGTAATTGACTTTGTTAACTCCTTTATAATGACTTTGCCAGTCATTTCAAGGAGTTGGCTTTGAGTTATTTGCTTGAATTCTTGCAATAAGAGCATCTAAAGCATCATTGTCTATTGAGACATGGATTAAATCCCTTGATATTGAGTGGGCTGAATTCTTTACAATTGACATTTATTAACATTAATTAAAAGTATTATCTCTTGATTTTTCTGGGCTTATATTTACAGTATTAGTAAGATAAGAATGCGATTTTAATTCTTCTTCGACTTCTGAGTTTGTCCTGGGTGTATAGTTTGCACTTCCTGGGCTACTTACGTATTTAAACTTTTTCTTATTGACCTTCGACTTTATTCTAAACAGATTTTTAGATGACTTGAAATTGAAAGTTTTGCTTAAGTTAGCTATGCCAGGACTCTGCAGCTCTGAACTCAAGCTACTAATGTCATGACTTCTTGCTGTTTTAGATCCGCTTGGAGGTAAAGGGCATTTTAATCTATTTTTCCTCGAGCAAGAGTCAAACTTTCTTTTGCTCTTCGTTTCAATTTTATCCTCACTTACCTCTCTCTGAGGACTCCTCAAAGCGTTCTTTAGTGAATATTTGCTAATATCTTGCAGCACATCTATATATCCAGCTCTCCTCAGCATAGATCTCATTTCCGGGCATTTTTGGATTTCTTTATACAGCGCTTCTTTTTTCTTTCCCTCAAAGCCAAGATCTAAACTATTCACTTCTTTGCATGTGGGGCTCATGGAATTAAAAGATTTATGGAAAGGTTCAGGCTCATTGGTTTCTACTAGCTCTTTATCACTATGAGATTCTCCAAGTTTTAGCTCTCCAGATCTCAGAATTTTGATAGGGCTGCTTAAAATGCTCGCTTTATTTCTTATATGTCCTCTTTGTACAGTATATTTCAAGTCTTTTATTTTTTTAGAAATTTTTGTAGGTTTTTTGGTGATTGCTTCTCCGTTTACCAATTTTGTCAGTTTTTCTTCAGCATAGCTAGTAACTTTGATATCATTTAAATCAGATGGCTGTTCAATTTTTACTTGTAGGCATAATTCCGGTTCTGCTATTTTTATTTCTCTAGTAAAAGAAATTCATATGCTTTTTTCAATATCCTCAATAAAATCAACGTCAAGAATCATGACGCGTTTGGTTTCTGATTCTTCTATTAGTATCATTAATGTTAAAGCAGCATCGCAGGCTTGATCATAAATTTGAGAACAGTCAGCTGAAGTGATTTCATTTTCAATAACCCGTGATAGATTAGTAACATAGCCTTTCGTTGTGTATTCCATTCGTAAATTGTAAATAATTTCGTAAATTTCAGCATTTGGCCTTGCTATTTGAATATAATTTAAATTATGCCTTTAGGTGTGATTATTTAATAAACTGAAATAGTTTTATAGATTATGACTGGATGATTAATAATGCTATTTATAAGCAGAGGTATAGGAATTCAAGGTGCTGAAATTGTTTCTTTTAGATCTGCTTCAAAAATCCTTTTTCTATCTTTCTGATATAAAAAATAACATACCAGTGATCCCGAATCTTTAATTTTTTGCTTTCATGCATGATTTTTATATATCTCGCACAGAAGATCATGCAAATTCGAACTTTCTTGGATTTTTGAAATCGTTCTCCCTTTTGTTTTTGCGTAAAAGAAAGAAGGTCTTTGATCACAAATAACATAAGTCTCTAGTAGATTTAGTGAGTTTGATTTTGATGAGAGGAGGTTTAACAGTCAGTAATAAGTTCGATCTTCCATTAAAATATTATTTCAATATGTATGTTAATGCATAATAATCATTTTTCGTGGTATAAATTTAAAATAATTTAATGTGTTTTGATGGCAATTAGACAGCCATCAAATTTTTTCAAAAAATTTCAAAATGCTTACTCCCCCACTCCGTGAGCTCACGGAGGGGTTTAATTTGTTTTAAAAAAAAATTTATATAGAAATTTTCTTTTCGAAATTTAAAAAAAGTTCCGCTTTGTAAAAATTGGAAAGTAAATATTAATTTAATTTGTAAAATTTATATTTTAAAACGCAATTTGTTTAAAAATAAATAGAATTATTTCGAGATTTCATTATACTAATTATCACTTATATATCAATTTTTTTTCCATCCATAAAAAAATTTTGTTCGCTCACGGAGGGTGTTTTTTTGGAAAAAAATAGGGAATTTTCTAATGGTTTTGCTCGTTCATGGAGGGGGGACAAGTTAGATATGTTTACCGTCTGAATTTATAGATAGTGAAATCGTCGAACGAAAAGAAAATGTAAATTCTGTAGGATTAATTTATTGTTTTATTAAAATTGAAAAATTTTATATTTAGCAATATGGGTGCATGTTGTACTAGTAGCTCGAAAGACCTTCCAGTATACTTTAAATAGCCTGCACCATCACTTCTATTGGTGTGCGATGAAACAGCTTTTGAAAATAGCCACAAGGAAAGCTTAAGAGTTTCACATTACGAAGGTCCAATATCTTCATACAAATCAAGCCAACTCGTTGCTAACCCATCAATAGAAGAAGCTAATGAAATCGATATCACCCTATATTCTACTAGCTTCCATGAGCAGCATTCAGACCAAAACTAAAGTTCTGGATAACTTATACTTACAGGATGATTTTAATTACCAAAATGCTGATTAAAATGTTTAATAAATTGAGCATAATAATAAAATCGAAATTTCGCAAGCGATTAAATTTCCTCTCCTGAGCTATTTTATTATTAAGAGGTTCGGCATTCCCAAAATAGTTTTTCCAGCTATATCAAGCTATCGACGGAGAGGGATACATAGTCTCTTGGCCTGATCTTTTAAGTATTTTGAAGGTTTGGGATTTTTTCGCTAATCACACCCAAGAAAGCTGATCTTTAGGTGAAGCATGCTCAGGAGCTGAGTAACACGCAATGGAAAGATGTCGAGTGAGATGTCTTGTTTTGTGATGTCTGCCTATATAGTGTGACATTTTAGTCAGCAAACTGGTCCGTTACATCACTATCTTCGAGTTAAGTCCTTCTTTTTGAGAGTAGCACTAGACACTTTAAACACCTATTAAACTTATAACTACTTGTTTAAGAAATCTAAGTAATTGAAAATTAATTTCCTAGGAGTTATAAAATATGGCAGCTGATAGAGTATGCCTTTCTTAATTACTCATATTTTGGATTGTTCAGACTTAAAACCAAAGAAAGATCTGTGGGAGAGTTTGAAACTCTTAAATTCTCCTATCTTAAATTAGCTGGAACTCAGAAGATGTTTAAATATTTATGCAAAAATGCTAAAAACTCCTTGAAATCATGGTATAAGATTTATTTCGAAAATAACTTTGCAAGATTATGCAAATCTTTAAAATAAAAAGATGGAAGAAATACTATCCGGCTTTATCAATATGCTATAACAGCTTAAGGGTATGAACTATGCATAGGCACAATGGCTGAACAGGACATAAAGGCCGTTCAAAATAATTTTATTATGATGGAATTTACTTGGAATGAACTGGGGCACGGCCAATTTTTGTCTATAGATCTTTAATTCTCATTATCGACGTAGCATGAGTCTTGAGAAGTCATTAGGTTGTGAGAAGAGCTAATACGAGGAGTATAGAGGTGCAATAAGTTTCAAAGTTTTAAGAGTTTGCCACACTAATGAAATAAGGTAAACGAATAATATTCAATCAAAGATTTAATGGGCATTCATAAACAGTGTGCTGCTGAAAATGAATTAATTTTATTTTGTATAATAGTTTAATAAAAGTTATAAGATTTATTTAAGCTCTAAAGTATGAACTCTCACTGTATGATCTTCACTTGCAGAAAATAGCAGCTTGCCATTCCATCTTAGCTTTGTTACATAAGCACCATGGCTGAATGCTCCTATTTCTGTCTTGGTTGCGATGTTCATAATTAAAACTTTTCCGTCCTCTAATCCTGCAGCAATTGTGCCAGTGCTCATATATACACAAGCAGTCACAGGTTGTGGGAAGCTCAGAGTATCTATTAATTCTCCATTGGTGTTCCAGATTTTTAGTTTCTTATCTCTTGAGCCTGTAATGAAGTTTGTGTCATCTGGACTCCAAGCGCAACAATAAATGATTCTTGTATGAGCTTGTAGGCTTGTCTTGATTTTATACGAATTTTCCTCAAAAATATAAAGGCATCACGATCGATCTCTGGAGACTGAAAGGAAATATTGGTCATTGTGGGAAAACGCTAAGTCTGTAACACCTAATGTGTGGAAAGATAAAGAGCCTGCTTGTGTTCTAGATTCCAAGTTTCATAATAATATATTTGAATGCTCAGCATTCTGTGACTTAGATGCACTTGCTAATAGCGGCGATAAATGAGCTGGGCATAACACAGCAACTTCATAGCCATGACCATATAGTTTGGCAATTTCAGGCCACAATGTATAAGAGTTTAAAATATCTTCTGTCACAGGGATTTGAGCGATGTTAAAGCTCTCCTGTTCTGAGCTTTTAGTTGCAAGGCCTAAGGCTTGGCCAGCTCCTCTTTTGATTCCTGATAATCTAATTCCAGCATCCCTTGAGAATATGTCTGCAGTTACACTAGAAGTTTCAAGAGTGCGTATAACTTTTTCATCACCTCCTGAAATGATGTAATTACCATAATAGCAAATGCAATTTAAATCATATCCATGGATCATCGGCCTTGATAATTCTTTCCAGATACCGTTCCACTCAGCCCAGATCCTAGCTGTTTGATCTGAAGAAGAAGTTATAACAAAATCAGAAGCTAGAGCTATATCAGTTACCGAGTTAAAATGACCAGTTGGGGCAGGGATATTTTTTCATTCTCCAGAGTTGAGGACCCAATGATAAAATCCTCCAGAGTAACCATGAGCTAAAATATGCTGAGCGCTTTCATCACATAAAGCTCCGAAAAATAAGTTTTTATTGCCTCCAATCTGGCCTAAAGTAGCTGTTGTAATCCAAGATCCGCTGTACTTGTCTTCATTTCATATTTGAACTGTAAAGTCGTGAGAACTGCTTAATATTGAATTTCCCATCCATTTAACACTGCTCACAGGGCCGGTATGGCCAAATGCTACAGCTTCAAGCTTAGCTGACATTTGTAAACTTTCTATTAAATATAGTCCTTGTGACTCTAATAGGCTATGAGGAACTTCTCTGAAAAATTTTCATATCCTAATATATGAGTCCTGGCTTCCACTGACAAGCAAAAGGTCGTTATTTTCAGTTTTCCAGTCTAAACTCCTAACTGTCCTTACATGCCCTTCTAGTGAATTTTGATAGATCCATTCGTTTTGATATGTGTATATATGGATTCTTGAATCAGCTCCTCCTAATGCCAAAATTTCTTTATCAAAATAATCAACAATCGCTAAGCTTTCTTGGAGGTTCATACCAAGGTTTATTTCTTGGTCAAGTGTAAGGTTTTCGCCTCGTTTAAAGCTAAGGATTTCTCCATCTGCGCTCAAAGCAATTGCATGATTTTTGCCAATTGTAATATTGATGACGGCTCCTTTAACCAAAATTTCCTGCTTTTTAACAAAATTTTCCCAAATGATCATTTTCTTGTCGCATCCGCCAGAGATTAGAAAATTTCCTGACATGGCGAGGCAATTTACACGTGAAGAGTGGCCTGAAAGTGCTTGGCATGTGGTCCCATTCTCAAGATTGTGTAATAAAATTTCAGTTCCTGAGCCATATGCAAGCAGAGGGTATTGTAAAGCAGCAGAATTCAAGGTTTGGTTGCAGCCTCCCGAAATTGAAATTGTTCTTATACAGCCTGACATAATAAAATGAATGTTAATCCATTATTTTACGAATGCAAACTTATAAAGCAGGTTGTGTATAAGCTGAAAAATCAACTAGGCAGAACTCTACAATTCAGAAAACTAATGCAGGTTTATAAGACTTTGAAAAAATATATATCAGGAGCAGAAATTGATAATTTTGAAAATATCATTGAAGAAGCAGCCATGTCTCTAATTGATTTAATTCACAGGAGACTTCTCACTCCTGCTTGCTCACTGATTTTGTCTATTTATGCCAGAATATTTTGGATAATTATACATAATAAAAAGACAATTAAGAAAAGAAAAACAAAAACCAAAATAATCTCAAGGAGGCTAAAAAAGCTTGTAGGGCTATCCAAAGTTATTGGCAGCTTTGAGATGAAAATCAAAGAAAGCAAGTTTGAAGAAATAAGAAAGTTCCTAGGTAAATTATAGGTAATACATTTGGAAAAGTTTTCATTAATAGCCTCGTATATCAAAATAGCTAAATTAAAGTTAATCAATATTTTTATCCTAAAAGCGAATTGATAACTGCGTTTTCATCCCAACCAGCATTTTCGAGTGCTGTTCTTACAGTTACTTCATCAAATCCCATCTCGCACAATCTTTGAATTTGTTCGCGATGAACTTGCTCAATATCTTTCGCATACTCTTGTGTCCATTGTCTCGCAGTTCTTTCATATTCTGCATGGTGGTTTTTATATTGACTTGCAACAACTGCATCTTGAGGATCGTCAGGCTCAGGAGCACATAATAATGCTTGTAAGCTTAATAGAGCAGTTCTTATTGTCAAAGCAGGACTTCACTCATCTTTGAGAATGTCAAGACAAATTGCTCCTGTTTGAGATGAAATGTTAGGATGCCAGATTTTCGTATCAAATTTCATTTTAGGAGGTTTATAAGGATAATCAGGAGGAATCTGGATATCAACAATAAAAGTTCCACCGCTATATGGTGTATCTGGCTACTAAATAGAAACTTACTGGTCCCTTGATTATTCCTTTGAGATGATGCATATCGTTGCCAACCAAGTGAGCGCTTACATTGCTGTTGCCGTCTGCACCCAGCTTAAAAAGTTCTTCGAACTCTTTTTGAAGTCTTCTTGATTCCATTTATATTTTAATAGTAATTCTAATAAGTAGAAAAGAATACCTTTATATATTTTCAATTTTTGTCGAGAAAATATAAAAAAACAGAGAAAATAAATAATAAAAAAATAATTGGCCAAAGATTCACTCTCCAAAAGGAGCTATCATGGCATTGAATAAAAAGTTTCAGACTCTCGAAATTTAAATAATCCTTATTTTTTCAATAATGATGCAGCATTTATATGCTTTAATTACTCCTCGTTGGGCTGATTCTCTCTTCTTTCTCTTAAAAATCTGATATAATCGATTCTATTGCCTTTATCAGTGAAGTCCACACTTTCCTCAACCTTGAATTTCTTGAAAGCTGCTCTTTTCTTTTTGTTTGGATATAGGTTTAACATAATGAAATCAGTAATAGTTGTCATTAGTTTTAATAAAGCCAACCCAGAAGAAATCTGAAGCACTGTTTGCAATAGAGAAAATTCATACCCTAGCCCTTCTGATCTAATCATAAATTTCAATCCGATAAACTTTTTGAAATCTCGTGTCAATACTCCATCCTTATAATAATGATTAGAGCGTCTAAATAGAATTTACGTAAAAGATACAGGATGGTCTTCGCTAGCCCCATCAAGCCTGGCTACACTCAAAGTAGGATCACAGGTGGTTTCCTTTGTTTTGCATTTTCAGTCAATAATTATTTCAATGATCGCTCCTGTTTTTCTGACTTCATCCATACTTTCAATTCCTGCTTCAGACAAAATATCATTAATTGTATACTTAGTAGCTGGCTCTTCTGGATAACTTACAGGCTTTTTTGATTCATAATTCACATATTCATCTGTATCAAACTGTGGGAAATCTATTCCTGCCCACAGGTTTATTACGAAATTCCCAACTCCATAAATTTTGGATTCATCTAGCTCTGAGGAACTTATAGAAGCTAGGTCTGGGCACCATGTTAGGCTTTTGCAATAGCCATTATCCGTGCAAACTTTATACTCATATGGCTCTTTATCACTGCAATCATCATCAGATTCACAAGCATTTGTGCAGTAGCCCATTTGCTGGCCATCAACTCTGTAGCAGTGAACGCCCAAATTAAAGCCGTTTCCGTCTTGTTCTGGGTAAACTAGATCGCCATGGTCCCATGGATAGTAGATTCCATCAGTTTCTGAGTAGCCTTTGCCAGTTATTCGGTAATAAATATATCCATCTCAGGTGGCCTTGATATTGTATCTTTGAAGAATGAGAAAGCAATAAAAAATCACGTAAACTACTATGAGTGTTTGCAGGGATCAATCAATAAGTGACATTAGAAGATCTCTGATAATAAGCATGCGTGCTGTCATGTAAGCGAAAACTTCATCAGGGTCTTTTCCTAAGATTTTTTCAAGCATGTTTAATTATTCAAAACTACCCGTTTTATTAAGAAACATTAAGAAGTTCAGGCACTTAAGCAAGCTAATTGCAATTTGGGTACTTTAATATCAGTTAATAAAAATAAGGCAATGCTTAAATTTAGATTTATTAAAGCATTCGCCAAAAAGCTAATAATAACAATTGAAAATCACATAAAATAAAAAAAATTGCTAAAACAATAAAGAAGTTAATTAAAAAACTGATACATTTACAAATAAAACAAATGGTCGAAGGTGGGTTGGAATATGAGCAACTAAACGAGACAAATACAGAAGATGCTTGGACCTCGCATAAGAAAAAAGAGAAATTCAAGAACCCTTTTGACTTTCCCATCAAATCCAGCGCTAAGATAATCAAAAATGATTCTTCTGAAATAAAGGCGGGAATGCAACCAACAAGCCAAAGTTCAGAAGTGTCTCTTCGGAGAAGCCAAAGACTAATGAACAAGAGATTAAATGAAGACTCTGAAAGTGACTCAATTTCTTCAAGCTCTGAAGTTAAAGAGACAACTCCAAAACCAAAAAGATCTCAGAAAGATCCTAACAAAACACCTAAAAAAATTATCGAGCACTATGTCCCCGATAAAAATGACAAATTTTACAATGTTGTATATACTCATCCTAACTGAAGAGATGAAACAATGGTTGAAGGAATCGTTGTTGTGTCTCCAAATGTTATTGAATTATATAGTCCTGAAGGTAAAGTTATTGTTGAAGAACCAGCTTCAGAATCTAAGCACCGTTTACGCCCTGGCGCTACATTAATTTTGGGGAAAATAGAAGTCGCAGTTGATGGAGAGGTGCCGTATAAAGACTTTGCATCTGGGAAGTGCTTTATTTCAAAATTTAACAATGATGAAGAAGAAATGACTTTTACGAGGAAAAAAAAGAAAAACGTTTCTATTCCTGAAGGTTCATTAGTTTTAGATGAAGAAAATAAAATTTTTGTCATTCCTCATCTTGCCAAAAATCTAAGAGAGCATCAAAAAATTGGTGTAAAATTTATGTATGATTGTATAGCAGGAAACAAAAGTAAAAATTATTATGGGTGTATATTAGCTGACACAATGGGACTAGGAAAAACTATACAAACTATAGCTTTATTGTATCCTTTGCTTAGAAAAGACCCCAAAGGCGAATCATTTTTAGATAAATCAATAGTCGTGGTGCCATCAAGTTTGCTACTAAACTGGGCGAATGAGTTTCAAAAATGGCTTGGCCCTTATCAATTAGGCGTTGTTGTCTGCATTGGCAACCAAAAAGAAAAAGAAGAAGCCATAGAAAAATTTTCCCAAGAATCCACTTCTGTGCTCATTATTTCATACGAAACATTTCGAACCTATACAGAAGCCTTAGTTGATCTCTGCGATTTGTTAATCTGTGATGAAGGGCATCGTCTAAAAAATTTAAAAACCCAAACAGCTATGACTCTTAACGAAGTTAATTGCAGGAGAAGAATCATTTTAACAGGAACTCCACTCCAAAACAAGCTTCTTGAGTTTTATTCCTGCATTTCTTTTGTTAATCCTGACATTTTGGGTGACAAAAATACTTTCATAAAGATTTTTTCAGATCCAATTGGCGCTGGACAAGACCCGAATTGCAGTGAAAAAGTGAAAGAGCTTGCATTGCAGAGGTCAGATGAACTTTGCAAGATAACGTCTACGTTCATTTTAAGAAGAACTGGAACACTATTAGAAAAATATTTAACACCTAGAAGCGAGTACCTGATTTTTTGTAAACTTTCTGAGCTCCAAACACAGATTTATCAAGCTTATATTCAGTCAAAATTCACAACAGAAGTTGTTGAAAATGTGGATGCGGGAAATGCTCTTAATATCATTACGTCACTGACTCCCCCCCCTTTAAATCGGAAAAAAAAATTTGTTCCAATTTAAAGGAGGGTTAAGAAAATTTTTTTAAAAAAAAAATCATTATAAAATTTTTTATAAAAAAAAAATTTATATAAAATTTAAAAAAAAAAAATTTTCAAAAATTTATCGAATTAGATTAATAAATTTATTTAATAAAATGCTATTTACTCTTTATCCTTTAAAACAAAGGAAGATATAACTAAAATTTTATTACTAATTAATACACCACTATTAATTGGTATCAAAACTATATACACAAAAATTATTATTTTTATTGATAAAAAAAATTAAAAAAAAAAATTTTAGAAAATTTATTAATCAAAGTGCTAATTTTGTTTAAATGAGATGTCATTTATACTCTAATCTTTAAAATAAAGCAAGAAATAAGTAAATTTTTAATTTTTGTAAATAATTCGCATTGAATTTATATCAAAATATTTTAAATAAAAAAATATCATTTTTATCAAAAAAAATAAAATTAAATTTTTTTAAAAATTTTAGCAATTAAGGATAATAAATTTATTTAAATAAGATGCTCTTTATACTCTATTCTTTAAACAAGAGAGATATAATTAAATTTTAATTTTAGTTAAGAAGAGACATTTAAATTATATCAAAACTTTTTACATAAAAATTATGATTTTTATATATAAAACTTTTTATTATAAAATTAAACTTTGTTCCAATTTAAAGGGGGGTTAATTTACCAAAAAAGTGGAAATTTTATCTATATTTTGTTCCAATTTAAAGCGGGGGAGTGAGAAAAATTTCTAATCATCCTGATCTGATATATAACCATCAGCCAAAATCTCCTAACCTATTTGAAGCATGGACTGTAGCAATGAATTTATTCCCACAAGACTATGAAAATGATACTGAGAGGTGCAAGCATTCTTCGAAAATGATGCTGTTTGATTTTCTTGTAAAAAAATCAATAGAAATAGGGGATAAAGTAATCCTTGCATCCAATTTTAATAAAACACTTGATTTGTATGAAGAACTTTGTAAACAAAGGCAATATTCATTCTGTAGACTTGATGGGAGTACCACAGTTAATCAAAGACTAAAAATTGTGGACAAGTTTAACTCCCCAGGGTCCAGTGAAATTGTATTTCTACTCAGCTGCAAAGCAGGTGGAGTAGGGCTGAATTTAGTTGGCGCAAACAGACTAATTATTGCAGACCCCGACTGGAATCCAAGCAACGATAAGCAAGTCATGGGTCGAATATGAAGAGATGGACAAAGTAAGCCAGTCTACATTTATCGATTGTTTTCCACAGGTACAATCGATGAAAAAATATTCCAAAGGCAGCATGCAAAAGAAACGCTTTCATCCACAATCATTGATTCTAAGCAGTTTGCATCTTCTTTTTCAAAAAGATATCTTAACTCCCCCATCCGTGAGCGAACAAAACCATTAGAAAAATCCCTATTTTTTGCCCAAAAACCCCCCTCCGTGAGTGAACAAAAATTTTTTAATATAAAAATTATTTATGAAAAAAAAAGTTGATATATAAGTATAATTATTAGAATAAAATCTCTAGCTAATTCTGTTTAGTTTTAAACAGCTTGCATTTTAAAACATAAATTTAAATTAATTTTTGTGTCTCAATTTTAACAAATTGGAATTAATCTCCCTCGTGGGAGAACAAAATATTTTTGTTCGTTTATGGAGTGGAGCGGGAGTAAGGAATTATTTACCCTTTCTCCAAATTGCATGTCATTCGAAGACAGTGGCATCGATTTGCATAAAAGTGCGTATAAAGGGTCCCTCTTAAGTGAAGCTACAGATCTAATAGATGTTGTGCAAATAAAAATCCCTGATTGGAAGCTAGAAGAAAGAGTGATAGAAGAGAAATTAGATTTCGTTAATTCTCAGGCTTTTGCTGATAATAAGAGAAAGTTGGAAGATAGCGATGGAGATGAAGACTTTGGAAAGAAACTCAAATTATTTTAATTTGTAATTAATGATGGTAATAATTAATGCGCTATTTAGGATAAAGTTAGTTAGGGAAATTATTTTAAAATCGGAATTAGTCATACAAAGGTATTCACAATTAGCCAAAAATAAAAGAAAAATTATTTTTTAATATCTGGAAATAAAATAAAAAAAGTATTTAAATCATAAATATTTGATCATATGCTATATCTCAAAATTTACCATGTTTTTTTTGAGGTGATAAAAAAGTAGTGCATATTTAATAAATCATTTAACTTAAAATAAATAATATCATCAGCTTCTTCATTTTTGGTAATCATTTACTAAAAGACTAGGACTCTTCTTAATTTTAAACAGATTAATAAATGTCAAATAACGAATGCCCTGCAGCCGAAGAATTTCCTTCTTCATCAGAACTCAACATTGGTGCGAACCTTAGCATGACCCCTTCAGAAAAAGACGCTCCTTCTATTATCAATGGAGGAACACCAAAGCAAAGATCCAGAAAATCCAGCTCAATTTCCAATATTCCAATGCGAATAGAAGACATGCTTAAAGCAAAAGACGAGGAAGTTAAAGCAAGAATAACGACCTTAAGGATGCTAAAAAACGCTGAAGAAAGAAGAAGCTACACAGCTGCCCCTCAGATCAACCCAAACTCTAAGAAAATCCTCAAAAACTCCAAGCGAGCAATCGAGGACAAAGAATTAGAAGAAAAACTAGCCATAGAAGACGGTGACAAAGTTGACACTTTCCAAGAATACAAAAATTTCGGAGCAGAAATCAAAATCCCTTACGAATCTTTAAAAGAAAGCTTGAAAAACCGTTGCAAAATTCCAGTCGAAACAGAGGAGGAAAAAGTTGATACAAGTAAAATGACTTTGGTTGAAAGAAACTTGTATTGGGCGAAAAAGAAAAACGAGAGAATAGAAAAAGAAAGAATAAGCAAGGAGAAGGTAGAAATGAGCGCATGCACTTTTAAGCCTGTGGTGTCACCAAGAATGTCAACAAGTAGTTCAATGTCATCAATTGAAAATATTGCCTCTAAGGCTACGAAATACTCTAATAGTATTTACAGTGCGAAAAGAATATCATCTCCAATATCTGAAAGTAACCACAAAGATGCTCATTCCCCCCTTCGTGAGCGAACAAAAGCATTAGAAAAATCCCTATTTTTGCCCAAAAACCTACTCTCCATAAATAAACAAAATTTTTTATGATAAAAATTGATATATAAGTATAGTTATTATAATTAAATCTAGTGCAACTCTGTTTGATTTTAAACAGCTTGCAATTCAAAACATAAATCTTGCAAATTAAATTAAATTTTAATTCCCAATTTTTTTACATATTGAGATTTTTTCAATCTTGAAAAAAATTTTAAAAAAAAATATCCCTGCATGAGTGAACAAAATATTTTTGTTCGCTCACTTAGGGGGAGCCAGGGAAAGTCAAAGCCCTCTATGGCGGAACAAAAGCAAGCACGAAATCTTAGAATCCCACCTCCAAACCCGATAGAAACCAAGCAGCAACAAGCTGAAAAGCCTGAAAAAAATATTGCAGAGCCTTTTGTGTCTCCAAATTATGCTCAGCTGACCCCAGTATGTAAAAACTATAAATTTAAGCAAGGATTTAACTACGACAAGATGAAAAGCCAAGCCAAGCCAATGGTAAGATATGGAGCACTAGGAAATTAGCAAGATAAATAATAATTAATTAGTTTTAAAAGCAATTTCTTTTGCAACTGCTCTAAACCTTTTCAAAGATAGTGGTCTTTCTTCATCTCCATTGTTACTACCTTCAATCTCACCTACTTTAAATGTTCTCCTCGTCGTACTTTTATTCGCTTCTTTATTTTGCTCACTCACCCTTTTAATTTGGACAAAATATCTGTAAAATTTTCCATTTTTGGGTACTTTAGCCCCTTTGAATTGGAATAATTTTTTTTAATAATTTTAATAAAAATAAATTTAGACCTGATTAGATGGAAAGTGCAATTAAAATATTTTTTAAGCAGTTTTCGCACTGAATCTATTAATTTTTTGAATTAATTCTTAATAAATAAATTAATTTAAAAAATTGGTGTTTAAATTTTTAAAGATTTTATAAATTTTTGCAAAAAGTTATTCGCCCTTTTTAAATTGGTACAGTTATTTTTTTCCAATTTAAAGAGTGGGGAGTCAGTCTTCGGTTTAATAATTTTTAAAAATTCCAAAATTCCGATTAAATTATCAGCTTCTTTTGCATACTCAAATATCATCTCTACATTATTCGGTTCATTGTGCAAGGGATTCGCTTTTTTTAAACTATTATATCACCTGCTTATTGCAGATAAAGGAAAAAGAATCGAGGAGAACTTGCTTTTCAATTTTTCAGTTTTCTCATTCTTGACTGCTATTTCTTCTTCGATGCTTGCAATTTTTATTTTGGAGTCTTCACATTTCAATTTATACAGAGCGATTTCTTCACCTGCAGTTGATTTTTGAGAAAGAATTTCTTGCTTTGTGCTTTTAATTTCGTCTGATACCTTGTCAATTGACTCGGATAAATCCCCTAATGTTTTGCATAGAGAGTTGTACTGGTTAATATAGGTCAAATAAATTTTAACAACTTCATTCCATGAAAAATCTTGTCCCCGCATCTCATTAAAGGCTGTAATTAGCGTCTTTTTATTTTTCTTGAAATTATCAATTTCATTATATTTTCCTCTTCCAAGTTCTCCAAATTTTTCAGCCAAATGTTTATGCAAGCTATAGAGCTCCATTGGAGTTTTCGGTCTCTTCATCTCTGGCTTTGCTGGGGAAGCATCAAGTGATTTGCCAGCAGCATAGCTTTCAAGATTCAAAATTTGTGACCTCATGCTAGATTTTGATCTCATAAAATTTTCTCTAGAGGACTCAATTTGTCCACAAACGTTTTCAGTTTCAGACTTGCAATATAAATTCCTAATTTTCATTACTTCAGTAGTCGATCTCATCCTTTCAAGCTCTTGGCTTGAGCTATGTGAAATTTTTCTAATATGTTGTTTTTCCTTTCTTAATGCCTCTATTTTTTCTTTTATCAACTTGTTTTCAAGTATAGTTTTATTTAACTTACTCTGCTCATATGCAAGCTGATTTTCAAGTCAGGCTGCTCTATTTATCAATGAATTCATTTTTGATTTAGAGTCGCTCATTGAAAGTTGATTGGCTTTATGCATTGAAATTTTATTCTGTGCCTCTCCAAGTTCTTGGTTTAAAATATCAGATTGCTTTCTATTATGCTCAAGCTTTCTTGTATAAAAATACGTATCTTTCTGCAACTTCTCAGCAAACGTTCCTTTGTTGTCATAGTATGAAGTTGAAAAAATTGGCTCAAGACTCATCTTTGTATGGAAAATTGTTATTAAATAACAATTTTCATTATCTCTTAATAAAACGCTAAAGTTTAAAATAATTGCAAGTTAGAAAAAAATTTTCTTTATATTAAATGGGTAATCGAATTCAAAGGTTTTGTGCTCAACTTATCCCACCTAGAAAATATATTCTGCTTGCTGGTGTTGAAGGATCTGGAAAGACTACAGTTTTATTTGGACCAAGGCTGAAGCCTGGATGGGAGCAGCATCATATTGAACCAACTTTAGGATATAACTATGAAGAACTTAGAATTGATAATAACCTTCTCGCTGTTTTTGATACTCCTGGAAAAGAATCGTTATATCCTATTGTGAAATCATTAACTGATAATATCTACTTCGGAGCAATAGTATTTGTGTTTAGCATTAGCAAAGAACCTATGAAATATATTGAAGCCAAACGAAAAATCAGATTTTTAGCAAGCGAGCCATCATTAAAACAGTGCGCACTTGCGGTGATTGCAAATATTTCTATTGATATTGAAGCGCAGTTTAAGCAAGTGCCATTCTTAACAAGAGCCTTAGGACTAGACGAATTGAAATCAATAGATGCACAAAAGAAAAAACTCTTTGTATTTGATGCGAAATACTCTCCAAAAGAAACAGAAAAGGTTTGGAGGTGGATTGCCGATACTCTTGATGAATAAAATTAATTTACATTACAGTTGATTTTTGATAATTTTTGAAATAATAAATATATTCACTGATAGAAATGCAATTAGACCGCAAATAGTTTATATTTCTTACTATTAAATATTATCGAGCAGGAAATTTGATAACTGAATTAGAATATTACTAAACTTACAGAGTATAGTAAAGCACTTACTCCCTCTCCTTAAAATTGGAACACAAAACTCTTTACCAATTTATATCTAAAAATGTACATGGGAAGCATTGTCATTTTAAAAATTGGCTTGTTTATATTGTCAATATATTTCATAATTGTCAACCATTTTTGATATGCTGCTTTTTCTTCTCAAAATTGGGCTAAAGCTATTTTGCCGCAACACCACTTTTCATGATGAGTGAGAGAGGAACAATTTGATTGCTAATTAAAAAAAAGAATAAAATAATTTGAAATCTAAGAATTTTATTTAACTATGAATGCTTATTTAAATGATAAGGGTTCTAGACTAAGATGTAGTAGGTATCAAGTTTATTATAGCGATCAGTATTTCAACAATGACGATAAATAAAAGTGCATGAGATATAACCACTTTTTGATTAATAAGAAATTAAATTGGATATCAAAACTATTTGCATATAAATTATTATTTTACTTATAATATTTTTCCTTTTTGGTACCAATTAAAGGGAGGAGCTAGTCAACTAGTTTTGCTTTGGTTTTCCTTTAATTTTTCTTGACGAAGCTTTAGGCTTTCCCTCGTCTAGCTGTAAAAACTGCTCAATGTAATCTTCATAAAATGTATTAAGTCTAAAGGTTTTTCGATTTAATTCACGAATATCTGGCACTTTTGCCAAGACCTTGATATAATCTGAAAGATTAAGAAGCTCTTTATCATATCGGTCATCGTGCCATGAAATAATAGGAATCCCATTATCTATTTGATACCCAAAGCTATAAGCTGCGTTATCAACGATGATTATATCTTGCATCCTCCGATTAGCCAAAACTCTTACTTCCTAATCCAATAATAATATATATTATTAAATTCGCAATCAACTTAAAAATATTATTATATTAATTGGCATATAAATGTTTTTTGGTAAAAATACTTCATATTGGCTGATATTAATTAGCATGTTAGATCTTTAATATAGATCCCTTGCGAAAAAATGCAATTATCTCTGTATAATCTATGATGAATTAATTCATGAGTTGGATCCAAATAATCCAAAACCACATCTGCGTAGCATTGATGGCTTGCAGTAAATACTATGACTTCAAAGTTTTTATTAGCTTCTACAAGGATTTCTTTAGCATAAGGGCGTATATTGATTCCAGCCTATATACTCATTACATTAATAGTTTCACCGTTAGGAAAAATAATAGGAAGTATTACATCTGGGTTTGATGTCGCTAAATCTTCACAACAATGCACTAAAGTTTTATATTTTAAAATCGCATGGCGAATAACCCATACTCGTAACACCTGCAACTGGGGTAGCCCAGGTACCTTGTGGTAAGGAGGATGGCATTTAGTAGTGTGTATCCGGTTAGGTTTTACTTGGCTTAGCGGAGAGCAATGTCGGGTAGCCAACCGCATGCTCTGCTCAATCAGGAATGTTCCTATCGCAATATCAGGCGTTGCATCCTGGGCTTTGAGTTCGCATTTTGTCTAACAGGTGATCAGAAAATTCATTTTTCGAATTTTCTGGAAGCTGAACACTGTAAGCTTAAGCACAGTGACCCAGCATCCACGGCGAATAGAGAGTGCAAGTCTCGTCTGTGAGGAGAAACAATCGAGGCCCGAAGCAAGGAGAGGTGCGCTACGGAAATGAAATAGCCTGAGAAGGCCTGCAGGTAGCTTTTCTTATAATCTTAATTAATTTTAATTCTAATGCACCAAAGTTTCATCTAAATCAAAAATTATTGTCTTTTTGTTCAAAAATGCAGCCTTTTTAGGCAGGTTAATTCTTTTCAGCTGCAATTGGTTTTGATCTACAGGTTGTAAGTTTCTCACAAATTTCAGAGCTTGAAATGTCTGAAATAAATGCTCTTTATATATGGATTCCGCTTTTTGTTGAATTTCCTCAGGAGATAACTCATAACTATTTTTAGGGTTTTCTGAAGTTTTAACTTGAGTTATCATTTGAGCTAGAGGGTTTTTAGTTTCTGCAGTTTTTGGGCTTCCAAGATGCGGATCAGCAGAATCAGACTGATATAGATTTGCTGATATTTGTTGTGAACTTTTTTTCCTCGGATCAGTTGAGCTTAAAGATTTCGAATTTTTTTGGAATAAACTTTTTGTAGAAGAAGGGCTAACTATAGTCTGTTTGGGCTGAGTTTCAGAGCTTTTAGGGTTTAAGGAAGAGCCACGAGGTGTTAAAGACTTAGTCGTGATATTTCGTGGGGTAGCTACAGTTGCAATTGGATTTCTGATAGATTTTGAGGATTTTGGAGTTTGAGAAGTAAGGGAAAATGGGTTTGAGTATGTTTTAGGTGTGCGAGGTGTCGTTTTTTTCAGCAAGGAGTCTTTGGAGGAATCCGCAATATTACTCGGAGAAATATCTGCGGGAAAGCCATAAGAGAGCTTTGGAGAAGACTGTTTTATTTCTGAAGAAATAACAGACGAAAAATATTTCGGTGATTTTGTGTTTCCAGTCAAAATTCTGGGGGTTGATCGTGTGCTATACAATTTAGGTTGCATATAGTAAAATTATATAGATTATTTTAACATGAAAATTAAAATGATATTGATTGCTTGGATGCATTCCATTTGATCGGAGCTTTTTCCTTGTATAGCATTTCTTCGATGATTTTGGATAAACTAATCCTTGTGATAAACCGTTAATTCAATCAAATGTCTTATGAGGAAAAATTTCAATGAAAATCTCAAAGAAAATGTCTTACTAGGAACCCATTCCGATCAAATGGTATGCTGCGATTGCTCTTATTTTTTCCTTAAAATCTACTAATTCTTATAAAACATAACTTCCCTGGTTATATTAATATAGCATGAACACTCATCCTGCTTAGGCTGAAGAGAAAAAGAGATATAGAATTTTTCCATAGATGGCACTGTTTGCCCTTGATTTGCCCACTAAAAAAAACTTTTTGGTTTGACCAAACCATATGGTACTGGTCGAACCAAAAAATTTTTTCAATGGGCAAATCAAGGGCAAACTGCGCCGTCTAAGGGAAATTTCTATATAAATTTTCATTTTTGATTTAAACTATAAAAATCTCCTTAGGTTGGCAAATCTTGATGATAACGGGGATCTGGAAAAATGAGAAGTTTGTTTGCCGTAAAAAATAGTAAATTCAGCTTTCCTATTTCATCGGAAATATCTAGACTGCCTAGCTATATTAGTGCTAAGACTATAATATTTAAAGCAAATTTTTGTTTTAAGATTATGAAGAAAGTTTTCAGCCGATTGCCAAGCATAAAGATTAAGTTTTTTAAGCTGACCATTTAAAGCATGGATTTACATTTTACAAACAAAATGCTAGTATGTCCTAGTAAAGCCTATTTTTTATAAAAAGTAAATTTTTCATTCAGGCAATTTAATACATATAGGAATACTTAAATTTCATCTAAAAAAGTTGCTATTCTATTAATTATCATATTAATAAACAGAGTTTTTTATTTCTAGCGTAAATGGATTTGCTATTATAGGGCATATTCCCCGAGTTGCTCACTCTTCCTCCGTGAGTGAGCAAAAACATTAGAAATTCCTGTTTTTTGGGATAAATACGCCCGATGAGCAAGCAAAATTTGTTGATATAAAATGGTTTTATAAAAAAATAGCATATAAATGATAATTATATGATGAAATCTCTTGCTAATTCTCTTGAATTTAAACAGCTTGTGTTCTAAAACTTATTTTTTATAATCAGAATTAATTTTACTTCCTAATTCATAAATTGGACATCGAAAAAAAAAAATTCAAGAAAATAATTAATCTCCTCCGAAGTAGAATTTTTCTCATAAAGTACAGGGAATTATCATTTCACTCCAATTATATTATTAATTATTTTCTTTATTTATTCCAATTATCCTATTTCTCAAAAATTCATCATGAAATAACCAGCCATATGAGTAACTCTAATTAATTTTTATTATTGACTCATATTTTTATTTAATGGAGGAAATTGGTGCGAACACAGTAATTTCTACTTAGTTAGCTGATCTCTTTACATTAGCTTCTTATTTTTGTGAAAGCGCCTCGCAAATTATTTCCAATCCTGAATCGAGCAAAGAAATTCTGAGGAAGTGCAAGGTAAAGACTGCAAGTAAGTCAACTCATCATAAAAGTGGATACCAGCTCTATTATAATCATAGACTAGCAGATCTAAAAGCCAAGCCAGATTTCACATGTAAAATTTAGTCAGTTGAAATGGGTGGTACTTCCAAGCTCATAAGCGCTGAATGAAAGAATCTGTCCAAAGATGAGCAAGAGGTGTGGAAGTCAAGAGCAGAAGAGGAGAAAAAAGAAAATTCGAAGAGTGAACCAGCTTCCATTGCAACTCCATCAAAAAATAAACATTCTGATAGTGAAGAATCCGGTGCATCAAGCGAAAGCGATGGTGAGAAAAAACACAAAAGAAAGAGAGATAAGAAAAAGGACAAAAAGAAGTCTAAATCTGATAAAAAATCGAAGAAAAGCCGCAAAAGCAAAAACGAATCAGAATCATCTGGGAGCGATAAAAGTGACACAGAGAGCGATCACAGCTCTGGCAGAAAGAAAAAGAAAAAATCAGATTAAATAATCACTTCAGATTTCAATAATCATTTATCATTTATCTCGAATATACATAAAATGGCGTATGGCGACCGACCCACCCTCCCAGTGGTGGTTACCCATGTATATCCGGGCATGGTTTTTGGAGCCAGGAATTAGCCCAACAACGTCCGGGACCTCGAAGCGAGAGGCTAAGCGCGAGAACCGCTGTTTTTGCGACCAGACCCCATGGGCAGTTATTCGTGACTTCTTTTTGCCAGCAGCGCTCAGCCCAGTGAGTGCCCGAAATGAGGCAGGGTGAATTACTGCCTAAGCTGCTTTATTGGCTCGCCCCGAATGGCGAAAGCTGTTGAGTTCTTTCTCGGGATGACCGGAAAAGAGGGGAGGCGAGTTAGACATCAAAACGGGGGTCTCTCCAGTTGAAAGGTGCCCTTCAATGGGCAGATCTGGCGGACGACGAAGCGGAGTTGGCGTAAACTTAGGCGACGATCCAAGTTGGAAATGGAGGTGGTCAGCAAAGCCGGTATGAGACGGCCCTTGACAATGCCTCTACCGAGAAACGGGGGTTTCGGCCCGGGCTTGGTGAACGCTCTGCCACCACACGGGAAACCGTGGCATGCGACCTCGGACGTAGTAGGGACCTTAAATACCCAGCGTAATCTTAATCTTAATCTTATCATTTATCTCGAGAAATTATAATAATTTTGATTCAAGAGCATGGAAACTAAAATTTAAAAAAATTAGTATGCGTATTTCTGTTAGAAAGAATTATATACTTAAATGATAAAGAAGCTATTATAAATTACCTCTTTTAAATCTTTCATCTTAAATATTTAATTTCTTTGCATATTTATATAATGTAAAAATAATTTGCAGTTGCCTTAAATTATTTTTAGCAAATGAACGAGCTCCCTTCAACAAACAGCAAAGAATATTCAAAAACTATTAGATACGAATCATATGAACTAATAAAAAATTCAAGAAGGCTCCGATCTAATATAATAACGCTTCTTAAGGTCAGTCCAGCAATGGAATATCCTAGAGAAACCAGCAGATTCTCAGGCTTAGGAACAAACCAAAGAATTCTTATAGAAATTTCCCATAGATGGCGCTGTTTGCCCTTGATCTGCCCACTGGGGTAATTTTTTGGTTCGACCAGTCCTATATGGTTTGGTCAAATCAAATAAATTTTTTCATGGGCAAGTCAAGGGCAAACAGCGCCATCTATGGGAAATTTCTATACGTCAAAAACGATAAGTCTTGATTTAAACTCAGTGCCTAGATCGGGACCTATAAAATTGCATCATCCAATTTTCAATTCGCAAGCAGTCCGTAATCTTACTCTAAGACGCAAAAACCCTGAGCAGGCATCATCATTTTTTAATAGAAGCTACAGCATAAACGCAAGAAAGCGAAGAGATGCACCAATGATTGTAGAAAGTATTGAAAACACTTCCAAAAGCATGATTCTTCCTGATAATCTCAGTCCAATACTTTCTCCGAAATCAATATGCCAGATGCCTAAGTCAAAATTGAAGCTAAGAGTGCATGTTCCCTTTCCTCAATATCACTCATTATCGCCAGATTATAAATCTTAATTCAAGATCAAACAAATTTTGCGAAGACTTTTATTTAAAATAAATGCTGTATATATAATTATGATTGTATGATGAAACAAATTTATAAACTTTTATATTTGTTGTAAGCCAATGCAGCTGTCCTCTCCTTTGCATGCCATCATTGTATCAATTGCTTGAGCTTCCAAATCGCGCGTTCCATTTACTCCGTTTGGCACCAATTTTGGTAATTGGATCCCTGAAATGTCAGAACCTCTTGGACTAGTGAAATGAGGACTCATATACCCAGACTGATCTTTTTCTCTGACTAAAAATGGGTATAAATACTTTTCGTCAAGATAAAGTAGCATTTGTTTTCCAGAGTTGCAACATGTTATTTTTCCGGTCTGAGACTCGCTATCTTTATCAAATGGGGATCTTGCAGAGTCTAAGCCAGTCCTTTTAATTAGAGGCTTTATTAAAGTTCCTCCAATCAATATCTAAATAATAAGTACAGATAAGAGACTATATATCTTATCTTATATTATCTATAACTTTTAACTTCTCCTATGAGGCTGCAAGACTCCTGCTGCCGCTTTCATCGCACTGGTGTTTCCATTTCTCGTCAGAAATGACTTTTGAGGGAGCCCTAAAAGGAGCCATTGAAAAGACACCAACGCCAACATTCCCTCGCCCTGACTTCGCTCTCCCTTACTCGACTTGACTATGTTCCAGCTATATGTCAACCTCCTCGGGTTGGCCGAGCAGAAAAGCACGATGCATTCCACTTCTCCAGGACCAGAAGCCCGCTTATCATCGGGCTTGCCTTGTATAGACGGGGGCTCCATGCCAAATGACAGTGCATTTTTGATAGCGTGCATTCATCGAAGCAGATTTTTAAATTGTGTGACATTTGGCCGAATTTTAAAATTTTTTTTTTTGGTAAAATATCTCAATATCAAAAACTTTCAACTTTCGGCCAAATGCACTTCGGAAAAATGCGCACTATCAATAGTACACGATCATCTGATCATCTCCTTCATAATCAAAATATTGATGAACGAGAAGCAATTAGCGGAGCTAATTAGTTTCAAGAGAATGCCATATTTTTATTATAAGAGGCTATATATCAAAGTGAGTGTTAAGATGATATCGCCATTGATGAATTCATCAAGGGTTTGGATTGCTAAAGCAAAGGCAATCCCACCCCTGAGTCCTGAAAACCACATAACGACTTGCTCATTCGAACCGATTGGGTGTGTTCTTCAAGGGTTGATTAATTTCGAGCATGCCATTATTTGAGCACCTCTTGAAGCAGGTATAAGAATGATTATGATTATGCAGAGTGCGGGATCCAAAGATTCATATGGAATTTTAAAGCTGAACAATCCCATTCCAATGAAAATAAAGACTAAGGTTTCAAAAGCTTCACTTACAGCAGAATATGCTCTCCCTACTACAGCTCGGGTTATTTCTGATAAATTTGGCTGCGTATATCTCGCCATTATGATGCCACAAAACAGGATGCTGACAATTCCAGATAAGTTGAGAGCTTCTGATAATAAGTATGCTATCCAGGGGCCAAATATGACAGCACTTGCCTCCAAGTTAATTCGATTTTTGTTATTAATTCTTCTTAAAATATAAGACACCAGCATAGCGACTATACTTCCAATTAAAAATGATCCGATAAATATTAACTCCCCCCCTATCCTTGATCGAACGATTGACTGTAAAAATTCCTAAAAATTGGGGAAATTAACCCCCATCCTTGATCGAACGATTTTCATATCATGCAGCTTTTATATATATAAAAATATATTTGTTATCAAAAGCTTGGGAAGATGCACCTAATGAAGTTGTTTTCAGAGACTTTGAGACGACAGAAAGCTTCGAAATCAACTATCCGAAGTGATTTTAGTCATCAATCTAGGCTTAAAAAATTAATAATCTAATAAAATAGAGTTCTTTAAAATTTTAAAAAAAAAATTTAATTTAATAAGGAACAAATTAAAATTTATACAGTTTAAAGGGTAACTAATAAATCAAAATATTAAAAATTGGTATTTTTATGAAATTAATTAAATTTTTTTGCTCTAAAAATAATTATTAAATACCCTTAACCCTCTTATTTAAAAGTAAATAAAAAAAAATATATATATATTTTTATTTTATATATATAAAATTTTTTTCCCAAAAAAAATTTTTTTTAACCCCTATCCTTGATCGAACGATGGCGAGTCGTTCGATCAAGGATCGGGGGGGAGTAAGAAAAATTGCCCAACTGCTTCAAAAAATATTTTTCAGCTCATATCTGACTTATTAACTCTCAGAATAGTCTGATACAAAACAATAGTGACTGCATCGTTAAATATGCTTTCTCCAAATATCACATTATATATAGATGCATCCATTCCTAAATCCTTCATAATTGCTAGCACACTTACAGTATCAGTTGAGGATATCAAGCTTCCAAAAATGAAGCTTTCTGCTAAACTCGGGTGGAGGCCCAATTACCATGCACTTTTAATAGAGCATTTGATTAAAGAAATTTGGTCAAAGTTTTTAAATAGTGTGCCATTTGATAGAAACTTGAAAAGTTTCGACCAAATTTCCAAGGAAAATGACCAACTGTCAAAAATACACGATCATTTAGGATGAGTGGCTAAACTCAACGAATAAGTTGCTCCAATGACTCCAAGCACAAAGACAATCGTTCCTATTATAATCGCAGATATAAAAGTCCCTAGAAAAGCAAAAGCAAGAGAGCTTCCAAATTGTTTGAAGAATGCATGAGTTTCCATGTTGTACCCGCTTTCAAAAATAATTGGCGGCAGTAAAAATAAAAACAAAAAATCTGCATTCAGCTGAGTTACAGGCTTAAATGAGGAGAATTCGCCGATCATTATGAAAAATGCTCCAAAAACAATTCCTAAAAAGGTCGCTAATCCAGATGGCTGGACTCAGCAAGAAGGCCTTGAACGAAGATAATTGCCGCCGACTAAGCTTGAGATAAGTAGTAATAGGAGGAACATGATGCCATTGCTTGTAGTCACTTCATCTCCCATTTTACAATTTATGAATGTTAATGGCTTCTAAACTTATTTCTGTTCTCATTTGAGCAATTATTGTTTTACAATTATTCGGATTTCTAAGCTGATGAATAAATATGACTGCCATCCAATATTTGGCCAAGGGATTCTTTTATTTAGTAAAAATTACTTTATATTAAGTGAAGTATCTATGAAATCAATTAAATCCATATTAATTGGTTTATCAGCAGGGAACAGTAATTAATATTATTTCTTGCGATTTTTACTTGTTTTAATTCTATGTTTTGGTGTTTTAATAGAAGTATCAAATGTGTTTCTATCAAATCTGGAATTAGTAGTCGTCAACATTTTGTTTAATTTTTCATAAAGCTCTCCTCTAGGGGATATTGACCCCTTTCTACTATGTATGGGAGAAAACTTCGGTGTGCCAATTGCAGATGAAGTTTTTAGTCCGCTAGTTTTGAAGTCGCTTTCATAGTCCTTTTCTGGCTTATATGTGAAATCTCCAGATAGAAATTTAGGAGTGTGAAGTATTTGCTAGGACTGCTTTTAGCTTACCTTGGGCTATCATTCTTCTTTTTTTATCTTGTGAAGTTTGCTTGGGAATGTTTTGGCTATGAGTGAAAAAGGAATAGAATAGCCCAGAGCAAGCAAAAGCAGTCCTAAGTTATAAAGAAATGTTTTTTCCAACAGCAGATAAATTTAATAAATTGTCTGAAATATATGCTCTTCTAGGTCTATTGGGTTGATAAATTTTCCTGACTTTGATTTTTTCAGTTTTTGCTTGAATTTTTCCTATTTTGGTCAAAGCTTGCTTGTTAAAATAGATTTGAGGTACTCAACTTCCATCTGGATTTGCATTTTTCTTGCTGTTTTTAATTGCATCATTGATGATTTCTCTTGAAGGCAGTCTTAAATTAAGTTTAGCATCAAGAATGTCTGGATTAATCATATTTGATTGTAACGCTTTACAGAGATTAATAAATTAATTGCCTTAATTTTAATTAATATTGTAATTTAAAAACACCTATATCGTTCCTTATCAAATGGTAAATTTCATATAGATTTTCGGACCATCAGCAGAGATTGATATCCTCTTAGAAGGGAAACAGCAAAGGAATATTGCCAAGATTAACGGAGTTCAATTATTAGTTTACAGAGTAATGATGACATAGAGAGACGAAAACATTTCAGGATTAGTGATGGTTAGGTTAAAGCCAGGTCGCAAAATTGAGCACCAAGGAATCAAGCTTGAACTATTAGGGATTTTAGGTAAAAAACATGCAGAAACTTCAACAGAAAGCATAAATGAAGAATTTATCACAAGTCGCCAAATTATTGAATCTGCAGGGACGCTTATAGAAGACAAGTCAATGCAGTTCCGTTTTTCAGGTATAGATAAACCTTATGAAACATATCATGGATCTCAATGAAATATAAAATACATCATCAGAGCAACAATTGCAAGAGTTCTATCAAGTGATATTTCAGCTGAAATCGAAATATGCATACAAAATAACGCACTAGAGCCAGAAATAAACAGTAGTATGAAAATTGAAGCTGGATTTGAAGATGCTGTACATGTTATGCTTGAATTTAATAAGTATAAATTTCACTTGAGGGAAGCAATTATCGGAAAACTTTATATACACTTAATTAGGGTCAGGCTTAAGCAAATCATTGCAACTATAGTAAAGAAGGAAACGATTCAAACTGTAGAAGGCTCGTACTCAGAAAACCATTTATTAGGAACTTTTGAAGTACTTGATGGAATGATTACAAAAGGTGATAGTGTCCCTATTCGGGTATATCTGAAGCCTTATGAGCTGTCTCCTACATACACAAACCTCTTAAATAAGGTTTCGGTAAGATATTATATTAATGTAATCTTGGAGGATGAGGAAGGAAGATCGTTTATAAAGCAACAAGAAATAATACTGTGGAGAAAAGAAAAGGTTGATAAAAATATTAAGTAGCATAAAGCAAAGAAAATCAGCATCGAGTTTATCAAATTTAATATTTTCTTTAAAAAATAATTATATAATCCGCGATATAGGTATTTACTGGTCTGATTTTTAGCGGAACCTTTCGATTAAAATTTAACGCATAATAAATAAATAATGGCAGGCAGACAAGCAGGAGCAAAGGCTTTTAACCCTAAGCAATACGAACGTCCAGGGCTAACTGAAGACGAAATCGAAGAAATTAAAGAAGCCTTCGATCTTTTTGACACTGATGGTTCAGGAACAATTGACCCAAGAGAGCTCACCTCTGCCATGCAATCATTAGGTTTCGAAGCTAAAAACCAAACCATTTATCAAATGGTCAGTGACCTTGATAAAGATGGTTCTGGTGCTATCGACTTCGACGAATTCTTGGACATGATGACTGCCAGAATGAGCGACAAAGATACTAGAGAGGACATCCAAAAGGTCTTCAGACTCTTTGACGATGACAAGACAGGAACTATCTCAATCAAAAATCTTAGAAGAGTTGCCAAGGAACTTGGAGAAACTATGACCGACGAAGAACTCTTAGAAATGATTGAGAGAGCTGACTCAGACGGAGATGGACAAGTCTCGTTTGAGGATTTCTACAACATCATGACCAAGAAAGCATTCCCATAAGTTAAAGATTTAAAAATCTAACTAGATGGCCAATTTCTATTATTTTTAATTGCTCTTTGAGCAGATCATGCAAATGCTACTTTGTAAGTTTTGTGTATATTTTTCATAATTTATAGAAAAATGATTGGTATTGCTTATTTTATAATTCGCAATTGATTGGGAATAAATTTAGAGCCTAAGAAATAATAGTTGGCTATTTATTAAATAGTTTTTGGCTTTAATATTACTCCAGCTCATTTTATATTCAACATAAAGATTAGTTTAATATATCAGCTCAAGAAATAAATTTGCCAGACTATGGCAATAATATATATTTAAGTAAAGGATGTAATATTTCTTCCTTGCATCCTAAAAAAATAAAGAATTCTCTTTAATTGTCTTACTTCTATGGATAACTGCCAAAAAATGGCACAATATCTTTCTTTCTCTTCGTAACTTTATAAAGTTAAAAAATATTTTGTTTAGAGACTCTATTAAAACTATTTCTTAAATAAAATACAAAATACTCTTTGATAAAACTATCTAAACATCTCTTTAGTGATTTTAGCTTATTATATATAATCGAAGTTGCTCAAAAATATATAAACATAAGCAATTGATATATATTTATGTTAAGAAATTATAACAAATCAAGTTAAAGAATTTATTTTGCTGATTCATCAAAAATAACCTTGCTATTCGAAACCTATTCTCAAATTATTTCTTCTAAATAAAATGGATATTCTGTCATTAACCCGCAAATCAATCGATACTGCATCTGCTGCTCAAGGACGAATCCAACAGAAATACACAGAAAGAATGAGAAGAACCTATATGATTCTTCAAAAGTACAATTCTTATTTAGCAGACGAAGTTTTTAATCAGAAAAAGAAGAAAAAGGACATCTACACTCGGAGTGCTATAAAAATTCAAAGCTTATATAGAGGATTCAGAGATAGAAAAATTTATAAAGATAAGCTGTATGAGAAATACTGAGAAGAAACTGAAAAATCAAGGGCTAAGGAATTGAAAATGATGGAAGAGGAATTAATTATCATGGAAAATTATGAGCTCGAAGAGCAAATCAAGGAAAAGAAATTCTTGGAAAAACAAAAAGAACTTGAAAAAAACTGGGCTGCAACTGTTATTCAAAGAACGTGACGAAAAAATAAAGGGCTGATATATCAAAACAGCCAGTTTTCAAGTATTCAAATAGAGAGTGAAGAGATTTTTACTCCTCCAAAATCTCCTCAACAGCAGCAACCAAAAAAACAATTATTCCTTGATAAGAAGCCAGAGCCACTAAACTCATCTGGAACAATTGAACTTCCATGACTCCAACTTCTCAGTCCTCATATCCAAAAAATCGCAATAGCTGAGTTTAAAATTGAGCCCGATGAGGAAGAAGACATAACACCTGATATTTTTCTTAAGCAGCACCTTCTTACTCCAGATACGAATTCTCTAGAAAACTCATCAGAAGAATCTCTAATTCAAAACTCAATGCTAAAAATCAATTTAGAAATAGGTAATTATGAAATAACTTTCAATGATGAAGAAAACTCATCTTCAAGGCTTGAATTCACAAATACAGGGAATTTGCATAATGAATTATTTTCGATGACTCAGTACCATGAAAAAAATCCTCATTTTTTGAGTCCTTTAGATGATGATAAAATCGCAAGATATTCTCCATCAATTTATGAAGATGCTATGATGACTGAAGGGCTGCCCATGGTAATTGAAAATATAAGAGAAGCTATTGCATTCCCCAGGAGCAAATTATTAAAGAGAATTTCTGATTTAGAAGAAGCAATTAAGAGTAATGAATAAATAGATTGCAAAAAAATCCTAAAAAGAGAATCAAGGCTCCAAGATGAAATGAAAGAAAAAGTGCAGTTCAGTAAAGATCTAGTTGATTACTTAAACAGGATTGTCAGCAAGAATTAATCATTTAATATGTAAATCGCTTTATATAAATTAAATCAGTGCTATTCTTTTATACCATCAAGAGTATTGCACGACTGCCCAAAGGGTCCCCCTTTCTGAAAGTGGGAATAATGCTGACTTCTACTTAGCTTCTTTCCACATAAAAAGCAGAAGCAAGTAAAGTTTTGGCACGTTCGTCTGCAAGTCATAAAATTGCAGCCATCGTCTTTGAAATACCCTTCCCCACACTTTGGGCATTTCGCGATGCCTGGAATTTCCTCTTCGACTTTATTCATTTCTTGGCAGCTTTTACCAGGATGATAATTCTTGTTGCATTGAGGGCAATATGTTTTTTTGCAATGTGGATTCGGGCAAACAATTTTTTTTAAATTTGCTGGGATAGATATCAATATCTCGCAATATGGGCATTGCTTCACAGGATGGCCATCAACAATGGCTGTTCGATCTTTGATATTTATATAAAGCATGTATTTATTGTATGGGACTGCTCCAAATACTTCGTTTACAGTGATTGGGTTATTGCACAATGGGCATGCTAATTGATCTTCCCTGAGCTCATTAGAATCGATTTTAATAGTTATATATTGCTCAATGCAAGACCTGCAGAATCTGTGGTCACATTCTAAGGTGAAAGCATCATCCATACTATGCTGCTCTCCATCAATTTCACAGAGAAACATTGGAGGTGGTCTTGAGATTGAAGATGAACGATTTTGACATCGAACTTCTTCTGATTTCGCATCTATGCAATTGCTATTTTCTGATGAGTCTATATTATAAGACTTATCCTCCTCAGGATCTTTACATTCTTCATTTGCATTTATTTCATCAATATTTACTGAAATCGGAAATTTGCATATAAAGCAAGGGACAAAATCGCAATCTTGATTTTCTGTCATGATTGAGATGTATCTTACTAGGCAAAATCGACAAAGACAATGTTTGCAAGGTATATCAATTATTTGGCTACTTTTGCACATGTAACAAAGGCCACGATCCCAAATCATGTCTTTGATCGAGTATATTACTTTCCCTGCTGAGCCGGCTATAGACGATGTTAGACTTGAGCCTAAATCATACATTTGACTTATTGCTGATCTACCCACTTCTTTAGCTCCATCTAGTAGCCAGCTTGATATATTCATCATTTTTTATTAAAATATAAAGAACCTTAATTTCATAGATTTTTGATTTAATCCGTTCAAAAAGGTTAAATTAATGGCGAGACTTTAGTTTTTCCTGCAAAATTTTCATCCTTTTAGCAACTAAATCGCTTTTGCTTTCGAAGCCAACCTTTATTTCTTCATCTATTTTTTGCTTTTTTGTTAGATTTCATATCTTATGCTGCTTTAATCTTGAAACTTGAAATTCATTAGGAGGAGTAGAAATAGCTCTTTGCTAAACTAATTATCAATTACAGATGATCCTTCACTGCAGAAATGAATAATTGCCTTAGATTTTTTCATGTCGATTTTTGCTATAGGGCCATACTCCTCAAAAATTGATCTCAGTATTGATTCGGTGTATCCTCGACTTTCATCTCATTTAGCTTTTATAATATAGCTACCGAGAAAATCTGTAGATGAAGGATATTCTTCTGGCTTTTCTTCATTTGCATATCTTTTTGCAGGAATATTATAATTTTTATTTAAGAGTGAATCTTTGGCTTCTTTTTCTTTCTTTAGCAGTTCTTCTCTGAATTTTTTTACTCTACTAGAAGCTGATGATAATCTTTTTTCTCTTTCTTCATTTGCTATTAAAGCAGCATTATAAGTATTTCTATTTTCAGGATTTTTCAAAAATTCATATGCTTTCTGGATGGCTTGAAACAGATCAGAAGACGTTGATTGTGTTTTATCTGGATGATGCTTTAAAGCTTTTTCTCTAATTTATGATTTACTTGTAAGCTTTTTTCAACTGCTTTTCTGTGCAGTCTGGCTTTACTCCAAGCAGATCATAGTAATTTTCCATTTATTACTCAAGTTCATTTAAATTAGTCAGGTCTCTGAAAGTCCTATAAATTCTCTCGTAAGTATTAATAAATACGATTAAAATGAATAATCCCGCTCAAGACTGTTTGAAGTGTAAAGAATGCGAATTTATTCTAGTGAAAGAAAGCGATTATATAGGAGATTGGAGTGGAATGTGATTTTACTCAACGCTTAATAATCATATAGTTGGAAGTGAGAGAGTGGCTGAAGATAATTGTGTTGTAAAATTAATATACTGCTCTCAGTGTGGCGAGCAAATCGGGCATCAATATAAAGCATGCACTCAAAAATTATGGGAATTGGAAGGACTTTTTGGAATAAGGTATGATAAAGCAGTTGGGAAAGCAACTATAAGTGAAAAAATTGTAATTTTGAGAAATCTATACGCCACAACAAGAGAGACTTTTATTAATAGTGAAGAACAATTGAGTAAATATGAAAACACTATTGAAAAAATGATAAAAATATGCCAAGTAATAAGTAAACGACTTGAATAGATTAGTTTAAAAATAATTTTTAATATACTTATGCGTTCATATCAGGTATTTTAAATCTCATCTTTGTAGATGCTACAATTGTATTGCCAGCTTTTTCACCTGTTTTCAGAGGGGGCTCACCTCCTGCTCTTATTCCTAACTCGTCTCCTGTCTTGATTTCTTCATCTTCATCTGAACTCAAAACAGTTAAAAATATTGAATTACCATTAGAATATCCTTGCGCTATTTCGAGCTGACTGATAATTGCATCAATGCTATCATCTTTCTGAATATTATCTTCTAAAAATGTGTCTAATTCACTTTCTGCGCTGATAATTGAAAGAATAAGTAGTGAGAGAGCAATCATGTATCTCATTTTTAAATTTATTTTTTCAGTTAAAATTCCATTTTAATAACATCTATCTCTTAAACTATTAAAATATTTTCGCATTGATCTCATAATCCTTATATTATAAGAGTCGAATTTGAAAATTAATCCTGAGTTTAAATATTAGATAATTTATTATAGCGTTTAGGATAATTCATTTAAATTCCATCTTAGTGCACCACTTACCTTTCTATGCTACACTATCTTTATCATTATATTTTAAATAATAAGTAATAAGTTTTAGACTCATTAATAAAACATAAGTTATAATGGAATCAAGTCGAAGCTCAAGCCCTGCAAAACTAACTGATACCTTTCTGACTCAGTTTCAAAGATTGAAGATATCGAAAGATAACGATATCACTGGAGCTAACCTTGATACAATAAATGCCCTGTATTCTGATCTGAATAGCTGTGTAATGAGCTTAGACCAAAAGGTTGGGGGAGTTCTGAAAAAGCATGAACTAGAGTTTCTAAATGAGTATAAAGAGAGAATGTACAGAATCCAAAAAGAAATGAGAATCCTTAAGGAAAAAGCGAATGAAGCTGAATCTCAAAGGAGAAAAGTTGAAAAAATTCAATCATTGGAAAAAGAAAGAGATATGCTAAGAGAAAAGGCTGAGAAATTGGACAGATTATGCAAAGAACAAAAAGAAAGTGTGGATACTTGAAAAAATAAAGCTGAAGAGATGGAAGATGACAGAAGATTTTTGGAAGAGCAAATAATTGCAGCAAGAAAACAAAATCAGCATTTGCAAGAGCAACTTAAACTTGTTGAAGAGCATAATCATGTAAACTCGCTTGCACCTGATCCATCATTAGAAGAAAATAATACAGGCCAAACAACAGAAAGCGTTGAAAACCAAATCTGAGTATCCAGTGAACAAAGTGAATTCGGAAAATCTGCAATTTCAAGTTTAGCCCTTAAAAAGAGCCAGTTACAGCTGAATCAAACTTCACTATCTCCAAGCAAGCAGGCTGACTATTTCCAGCAAGTGCAAACAAGATTTAAGCAAATAGTATCCCATCTCCAAAATCAACTAGAAGTTGAAAGAAAAACGTTAAAAAACTTAAGAGGTGCAAAAACGAATTTTATTTTAGAAAAAGGTGAGCTTGAAGACATATTTTTGCAGTGTGTTGAAGACGGGAAAAAAGAAATTTTGGCTAGAAAATTAAAAGCGTCAAGATATCAGCCAAAAAATAAAAAAAAATCAACTTTGGATAGAGAAAGAGATATTACGCTGGATGAATTCAAAGATATTGATAAGCGAAAAGTTATGGAGCTTTTTTTAAGCAGTGAGAAAGTAAGAAAGTTTTTATACGATAAGATGTTTTCACAAGAAGGGGAGTTTCCAAGCCAAGCAACCCCTGCTACTAAAAGTATACAATCCAGCTTAAGTGGGCCTTTACCTAAAAAGCCATCAACAACGCATGGACTTCACGGCCATGTGTTTAGCATGCCTTATTTTGATGATGATAAGCTGCATAGGCCAAGCACCGCACCTTTAAGATTTCAATCTCATCATGCACAATTAAAAAAATAATAAATTCTTAGAAATATTATATAAAAGTGTATATTTTTATTTTATTTGATTATCTTTAACAACTAATTTAATAATTTGCTGCTTTGTTAATCCCTTAGTTTCTATCATATCAATCCAAATATAAATCAAGGTGCCTACAGTAATCCCAGCATATATAAAAAATGTAACTGATGCACTCAATGATGTAACCATATAAGGAAATGTTAGAACGAGGATTAATATACTCGCAGTGCACACAGAAATAGCAATGCTTATTCCTTTATCATTCATGACTTCCCCACAATATAATCATAGTATCGGACCTGCAGAAAATGCTCATAATACCAAGAAAATAATGGTAAAAATGACTGGGAGAACAATGCTCAAACTATCAATTCCCGAAAATATTCCTAACAAGACAAGATCAATTATTATTCCTGACACTCCGAGCTTCATCATAGGCTTTCTACCCCATTTGTCTATAAAAGGCAAAGATAGCAAAACGCATAGTCAATTAACGACTCCTATAATTAGCGTATATATCCTTGGCATAAAAGTGCCGCCTCCTATTTTATCAAATAAAAAAGTTGAGTAAAATACAATTGAAGCAGCTCCTGTCCACGGGAGAAGCAATGTCATCATGCATCCAAGCCTCAACATTTTATAATATCTTCTATTATATATCAATTCTTTATAGCTCGGGGTTACTTCAGTTTTATTCAGCAAGCTTGCCTCAGACTCTGATTTTAATTCTTTATCTACAAATAAACACTTTGCAACTTCATCTATCCCTTCCTCTGTATATACATATTTCAAAGCAGTCATTGCTTCATTTTCTCTCTTCTTTTCTATAAGCCAATAAGGTGTATGCTACTTTCTTTAAATTACTCTTTCTAAAAAATAATTTGACGTCAAGGCTATTTAAAACAAAAAAGTATATCATGTTTATATACAAATAAAAATACAAATATAAGGTATGCCTCAATTATAAGTTGAAAGCCAAACATAAACATTCATCAATAATTAAAGGAGTTATTACTATAATCTCCTGTGGGCAGCGGCAGCCCCAATGCAAAAGATGTAGCGATTCCTAACGCAAAATTTGTTTGACATAAACAGCCAACCTTTCCGCTCATATCTGGTGGAGAAATTTCACTTATGTAGAGTGGAGGAATTGTCAAAAAAGCTCCAGAGATTATGCCAGATATAAATCTCCCAATTCCAAATGTTGGGGTCGTAGGAATAATTGTAATGAGACAGCCGATTATTGCAACTATAGAAAAAAAAATTATTGCTCCCCGTCTTCCGTAATTGCTTGCTATAGGCCCAGCCAAAAGTCCTCCAAATATAGAACCAAATGGATTCATAGCAGAAAACAAAGCTATTCAAAGATTCTTATTATCACCTCAATTAAGCGTAGAAGCAACATTTTCCTGACAGGTATTAAAAACGCCTTGATTGAAGCCAGTTAAAAAGCTTCCGAGAGTAATATGAATGCTTAAAATCCATATCCGGGCCGATATGTATTTCGTCATATTTATTAATAATTATTCTCTTGCGAATTTCAGATTTTTATTAATCTTTATTTTAGCTTCAAATGGGTGCTGCAAACATTGGAATTATATTCCCTTAATTCCTAATGAAATTTTAATCAAATTATAACGATCAGAATTTTATAAAAGAATAAGCTTAAATGTTAATGCTAAAGAACTCGTCTATTATCTAAAAGCTTCTTGATATAATACGCTTGCCAAAATGAGACAAAAACTACAAAGATGCTTTCAACCACACTGAAAATTAACAAATTTATATTTGATGCAGCCACCGTTTTATGATGAGACTCTTGCCTGAGTGTCGCAAATTGTTGATCAACTTGAAAGTCCTTAACCGAGCTTTGGACAGTCAATAAGTCTTTTTCTAATGGTGTCAGATGTTCAGCAGTCAGAGGATCCTCTGTAGAGTTGCCACAATGAACTGCAAAAGTCACTGTATGCGACTGCATCATCTTTGTATTTTTGAATCTAAAAATATACTGGCCCTTCACAGCTGCGTCAAAGTGGAAAATGGCTTCAGCTTTCCCTATTCTTAAGAAGACCTGTTTCCCTGAAGGATCTAGTATGTAAAAATTCACATCCTTACTTTCTCTGCTTGATATGAAGTAAGCACCTCTAATATAGGAAGGAATGATATCGATAGTTTCGATAAAGTCTTCTTCAGCCCTTGCTGGCAGATCAAAAGTCATCATATCTGCTGGGACAAAATCATTCATATACTCGTTCCACTCTTTCATCAGCTCAGCTCTATCGGTCACTGTGTTATCTTCAGGCTCTGTGTGCTCATGATTTTCTTGTGAAAAAACTAAAGAAAATAATAAGAATAGAGCATAGATTGCCATTGTATAAATCTTTATAGATTATCTTAATGGAACATTTTATAACTATTTTTACAATAATACAGATTTGATTGTTATCTAGTGCTAGGCAGAGTTTTAATTTAAAATGATGGAAGCCTGACAAAGACAAATGGGAAGAAATCGTCGCTTTCATCAGAGTCTTCTCTCGATCCATACATATCTGCTGTTTCTCCAGGTCTCATGAATTTCTTGACCATGCTATCCAACACTCTTTTTTCTCTGTCTCTTTCTGGGACTATATAGAATGACACAAATTGAGGAGGCAAGGAATATCTCAGTACTGATTCCGCAAATATCCTCATGGCTTTTAGATGCACCAAGGCAATAAATAATTCACTGAAGACTACTTTGCAGGCTCTCCACAACAAATTATGCTGTGTTTGGAACTGTTTATTGACCTTTTCTTTTGATGCTTGCTGGGTTTCAGTATAAGCAGGGTCGAAGCTGAATTCTCTTGCAGCCCATTTATTTTGCTTTACCGCAACTACAAAAGAATCAGCAGATGGTTTAAGGACAATAGCTCTCCACAGTGTCAGGTCTTTATCTTCGACATCAAACTGCTTTGTGCACCGAGGAACAACTCCCGAATCTAAAAATTCATAAGTTTCTAGCCACTTTTTTACGTCTTTTTTAGGGAGCACAACTAAGTAAGTTTTAAAGTGCTCCGAGTTTACAAAGTCTTCAGGTGAAGCAATTGCAGATGTAATGATTTCTGCGAGGTCCTTACTCCCCCCCTTTTAAACTGGGGCAAAACATCGGTAAAATTTGCATTTTTTGGGTACTTTACAGGATTTTTTGTTCCAATTTAAATAGGGAGTTAGAATAAAGGTTTCCGGACTCTTTTTTTGTGATGGCTCCTAATGAATTCTTAGCTTCTTGGTAACGGACTGTTTTATTTTTGACATCGTCATCAAGGGCTCTCATTCTCTCTTCAATTAGTCCTGAGAGTTCTTGAAGAGTTTTTGTAGGAGGATATTTCGAATTGTTCCATTGAAAATTTGCAACATAATCCATTGGTGCAAAAGACTGCTGGTTTCCTACAAACGGGTTATCAATAGTAATGTGAGGGTTTGGCTCAATTTCAACAAATTGACGTTCTACTTTTTTGACAACACCTTCAAGATGATGATCAAGCTTTGTTAAATCGTCAGCTAAAGCTACTAGCTGATCAAGAGACCCGACTTTAAAATGAGTAGGACAATTGAATAGATGAACTCTTCCAAGTGCGCGTGAACTTATCTGCATAACTTCTTGCTCAATTACTTGAGAAATGCTGTCCTTTTGACTGGGCTGGCACTGAACTGATACAAGCCACTGTTCCATTTATAAAAGTTTAGGAAATCGCACATTAATAAGCAAAGAGTATTATTTTTGCAATCTTAAAACTATGCAAGTCTATGTAAAGCCATAAAGTGTTCTTTTTTCTCTCAATTTTAATAATTATTTTGATGAATGATGGGTACTTGATAGAAATAAGTTTGGCAAAATTGATTAGCATTACTATAAGCATCATTACTGTTGAATTTAATAAATTTTAACTCCTGATTTGCTATTTGAATTATCGTTTAAGATATTTAATTTTTTGCTTCTTCTCTTTTTTCTTTTTCTTTGGGTCGTCCTCCTCTTCTTCCTTTTCACCAGTTTTGTTCGCCCATGCCAAAAAGTATTTAAATCCATACCATCCTATATATCCAGGAACAACTAAATAAATGAGCCAAAAATAATTTGAGAATACACATAAAAATTGAACAGCCAAATTGATGCAATAGAAATCCAAATAATACTCATACCCAACTCCTAAATCAACAGCAGATTTTATACCAGAATACGATATTTTTGATACCAACGAAAAAAATCCAAATTCCGCAAATGTTCACCATGTGAGATCTGAAAAGTTTCAGAGTATTCTAAAAAGAACATAAAATATCTGCATAGGAAATACATTGACTCCTAGTAAAACGCTATAAAAAATCTTTTTGTTCAACTCGGCACTTTTCTCAAGTTTCTTTTGTGATTGGTTTGCCTGATTGGTAAGTCACCATTTATATGAGTAAGCAAAATTATTAAAGTGAGAATAAGTATTCAATGAAAAATGTCAATTTAAAACTTTCTAGGAGATACATTGATACTTGGCAATTTGTACCTTTCCGAAGGCATAGAAACTGAATTTGGAGGCAAGCTAGATGCATGCTTAAAATGGCCTAGTGAAGTTATTGAGCTTGGAGTTTTTTCTCTGCTGTAATAGGATTTCGATGACATCCATGAACTATCTTTTTGCTTGTTCTCGGCCTCAGCAGATTTTCAATATTCTTGATCTTCTGCATCGTAAGGATTTTCATAGACATTACTGAGAACAGAGTTTGGAGGATTTATTGGAGGCCTTCTTATTTTTACTTTGTTTTGAACTTCATTTCTATATTACTGTTACAGTTTTTCTAAGACTTCTTGGATTATTTTATCTTTGGCTTCCACTTCTTGTTTCAAAAATGCTATTTCTTCTTGATCACTTTTACATTGTTTTTCAAGTTCTTCAAGCCTTAATGATAACGAATCGATACTTGGGGTATTATTGGATATCAAGCTTATTTTATTGTCAGGACTCTGAGAACCTACCATTCTTTTAACGTTTTCGAGAAGTGGCTTTCCAATTCCAGCTGCTTTTATGCTTAAAATAATGTCTGTCTCCTTGATAACTATAACTCAAGGGGTTTCTTCAACGCTTTTTGGTTGCCATTCTGTAATATCTTCTCCTCCGAGATATATTTGAGTCCTAATCATTTCTTTTTTTGTTCATTGCTTTATTTTAAGTATCTCAGTTCCAATGTAAACTCCGATTATTTTTCAATTGGAGGACTTTGGCTCTTTGCTGAAATCTTTAGCAAAAATGAGGTCTTTTGAGCTGAATAGAAATAAAACGCAGTTTTCGTTTGGTGATAGTTCAATTGAAGCACGTTCAGATGATTGAAGATCAAAAAGAGGCAAATTATCCATTTAAGTTATTGAGAATTAGAAATGCTTTTTACTCGAATATAAACTGTTCAATTATTATTGAATGCTAATACCTTTATTCTATTAACAAAATTAACTTTCTAAATTAATTCAATGTTTTATTTTTAGATTTTTTAATTTCAAAAGGATCATAAAAGTCATTCAATATATATCCAACTCCAAAAAACCAATAAAAAATAACTAAATTACGCAGATAGTTCTCAGAGACATGGGGCATAAAAAACGAGTTCTCTTCAATGAAATCTTTGATTAAAGCTGTGTGAGACTTTTCAGGATAATACATTTCTGTGTAGGGCTGCGGAATTCCTTGCTCTGACATTCTATGAAGCATTATGCGATCATAAGCTTCAGTTACCAAGGTAAAATTTTCTTGAGTAGTGGCTGATCTGTTTTTCTTTGGATGCAGATGATATGCGATTCTCCTGTAAGCATTGACTATGTCTCGATTATTATCTGCAGGGTTAACATTCAAAATTTGATAATCTTTAAGAGATGGGGCAGGGGGTTTGCTTGCTGGGTATTGAATAGGAACTTTCACATATGAGACTTTTTCTAAAGAAGTGAATCTTCTCATATTAATTCTCAATCTAATCATTATACAGTTTTTTGTATCATTACATGAAAAGAAAAAGAACAGATTAATTCAAGAAAATCATTTTGCATATTAAATTGCAAATCGCCAAAGATCATTTTAAATATCTATCAAATAGCAAAAATAAGGCAAAGTGTAAAATCACCTTTATTTGAACTAAAAAATCATGTTTATTTAACGTAATTGAATATAATTTACAAACAATTTCGCATTCAACTTCAAGAAGCCTATTCCAGCATGCTTATAACCTTATAAATGGCAGAATCCCAGCCAAAGAAAAGAGCATTCCGTAAGTACACTTATCGTGGAGTTGATCTTGATGACTTGGTGAAGATGGAAAAAGAAGATTTCCTAAAGCTTCTAGGCTGCAGACAAAGAAGAAGGCTTCTGAATAGAGAGGTTCCTCACAAATATATCCGCTTTTACAAAAAATGTGTGGCTGCAAAGAAAGATACCCAAGTAGGAGAAAAGCCAAAACCAGTGAAGACACATCTAAGAGATGCAATCATTTTGCCAGAATTAGTTGGCTCTGTGGTTGGAATTTATAATGGAAAATCTTTTGTACCAGTTGAAATCAAACCAGACATGATTGGACACTACTTACTCCTTTGCAAACTAGCAAAAAATCTCTAAAGGAGTTCTTTTTAAATTTATAAAAATTCCTATAGAAAAAATCGATAAGTAAAAATAATTTAATTTATAAAATTTATATTTAGAATTCAATTTGTTCAACAGAGTTATATTTATTATAATAATTATTGTTCAAATATCAAAAGTTATTTCATAATGGATTTTATATTAAAAATGATTAAAGAGCAAAGTTTATTTTTCGTTTAGTTTTTGCTTACTTATAGAGGCAATTTAGCAGAATTTTCACTTACATATAAGCCAGTTAAGCATGGAAGGCCAGGTATTGGTGCTTCTAAAGGTTCAACTGCAGTTGATCTTAAGTAATCTTACAAGAAATATAGATTTAAATAGCCTAAATATTAAGATAGACGTGATAAATATTAGCAGTTTTCAATGAAAAAATATTAAACTCGACTTGCTTTTAGGAAATTTTCTCTCACTCCTCCCCCCCTTTAAATTGGAAAAAAATATCGGTAAAATTTCCACTTTTTTGGTATTTTTTTTTTTAAAAATTTTCAAAAAAAATTTTTGTTTTTTTTGATAAAAATGATATTTTTTATTTGGATAGTTTTGATATAAATTCAATAGGAATTCTTTATAAAATTTAAAAAATTTACTTATCTCTTGCTTTATTTTAAAGAATAGAGTATAAATAAATCTTATTTAAACAAAATTAGCACTTTGATCGATAAATTTGCCAAAATTTTTTTTTTTTAATTTTTTTTATCAATAAAAATTTTTGTGTAAATAATTTTGATACCAATTAATAGTGTCGTATTAACTAATAATGAAAATTTAGTTATATCTTACTTTGATTTAAAGGATAAAAGAGTAAAATAGCGTTTTATTAAACAAATTTATTGATCTAATTCGATAAGTTTTTGAAATTTTGCTTTTTGAAATTTTTATATTTTTTAAAAAAAATTTTATATTGATATTTTTTTTAAAAAATAAAATTAACCCCCCTTTAAATTGGAACAAAATTTTTAGTTTCAATTTAAAGGGGGGGAGTCAGTGGAGAGTGCTAGGATTTGCATCCCTTTTTTATCTCTTAGGGTCTTAGCAAGTCTTAAACTAGAATTGATAGCTTAAGTAAATTTTTTAGAGATGGACAAAAACTTATCCAATTTTAACTGACATTGTGAGCGTTCAAAAAATTTAATTATCAATTGGATTGCTGATATTCTATTAAAACAACTTATAATATGCTATTCTTACTTCCTTTCCGTGAATGAGCAAAACCATTGGAGAGATCCCCATTTAAACGAAAAAAAAAAATTATTTTTATGAAAAATATTTTGATATATATAAGTGATAGTATATTATAATGAAATCTCTAGCTAGTTCTGTTTGATTTTTTTAACAGCTTACATTTTAAAACATAAAATTTTACACATTAAAGTAATCTTGCAGAGTTGGGATATTTAAGAATTTATAAAAATAATTTTTATTTAAAATTTATATAAATTTTTAAATCATCACCCATCATTAGCGAGCAAAATATTTTCATTTCTTACGTAGGGCTGTAAGTTAAAGATCGGATTGACAAAAGTAGAAGTGTTTTCTAATATTCTAACCCAAAATAATCAATAAATACTCAATGGCAAATCTATTCAATCTGCTTAGGCCTCCAAATAACGTTTTATCAAATTAATAAATTAAATATTGAGTCTAAATTTCGACACTAATTTGTGATTTATATGATAATTATAAGATTAAAGAGGTGTTACTACTGCAAGTGGTGTATTGCAATTAGAGCAGAAGTGTACTGAATCCTTGCAGTGTTTTGAGTATAACGGAATAAGACAGCAACCACAAAAGCATCCGGAAAGGCAAAGATATAGCCCAGGATGACTTATTGCTCACCCTAGGCTACCATTTGGAGCTGCAAATCGTAGAGTTGATTTACTCCAATGCTTGCTAAACCAATTCCATGATTTGACAAGCGTACCATAGAATGCATTTGTCAACTCATGGAGTTGGTTTGGCAAGTATTGGAACTCAATGAATTTTGAGAATTAGAGCTTATGTGGTAGCCCAGGGTGAGTAATAATAATTGTCCTGGGCTATAAGTGCAGCATAAATAAGATAATAGACCTGGACGTTGTTCTACACGAGTCCAAGTATTCCTTCCACATATTTGGCAATAAATATTTTGAGTCGTGTTACCAAGTCCCATATATGGATCATAAAATTCATAGTACAAAGGAGTTTGATTATCTTGAGAATTGTCATGATTTGATGGCATAGGCTGTGGAGGAGGAGGGGTTGCTTGGTAATTTTCTGATTTTATATAATAAGGAGGAGGATATTGAGCTTTAAGCGGAGTCTTTTCTGAGCTCGACATCTTAATAAAAATTTAATTTATCCGTTTTCACAATTATGAAAGCAAATATCAAAAATATTGCTAGAATTTTTGAGAATTAATTTAATGTATAAGAATATTCTCTATTAGTTGATAAGCAGATAATCTATTGAGCTAAAAATTGATTGCAAAAATAATGGCCATATTCTTATCAAAAAGCATATTTTAAATAAGGGCCTGATGCCAACTTACCTTATATAAACATCTATAAATTAATATATTGTTGTAATATATTTTATTTTAAATAAAAAGTAGCTATTTTAATATTTGGTCATTGATATTAACACTCAAAAAATTTAAATTTTGTTGATCTTTTAAATAAATATGAAAAGGCAATTACGAAAAGATATTTTCCCAAAAGGAGTTTATCCAGGACTCAAAAGCAAAATAAAGCGCCCTACACCTAAACTTATTACCAAGATTAGCCCACCTTTAGACTCTTCAGAAATTTTTAGAGATATTGATAAAGAATTGAGTGAGATGACCCTCTCTATTGATTCTGATGAAAAATCACAATGGGAATCAGACCCCAAAAATAAAATATTTGGACTAATAAATAACTTTGAGCCGAAAGCAGTCATTGACCCACCAAAAATCACAGCGACTTCTACAAATGCATCATTTAATCGCTCTTATTCATCCAATAATTTAAATGATAGTAAAGAGCATGGGAGGTACAAAAAATTAGAAATTAAATATAAAGCATTACAGCATAGTCATAATATTGCTGTAAAACAGTATGAAAGGGAAATTGAATATAGTTCATGCACCTGTATAGATGGTCATCATTGAAAATCAAATTGGTAGAATGGATTCGTTATTTTTAAGCCTGTTTTACACTTGTCAACCATTTTTCATATATCACTTTTGCCCCAAAATTGGGCCATTTTTGTTATAATCACCACTTTTCATAAAAAGCAAGGGAAGAGCCATTTAATTGTAAATAATATAAGACAAGATAAGATAATTTGAAATTCTAGAATTTTTTTTTTTAAATCTGAGTTTTATCTAAATGATGAGAGTTCTTAATTAAGATGAGAAGGCATCAAGCCCATTATAGCGATTAAATTTTTAATGATGACTATAAATAAGGGTGGATCAGCTATATCTGAAAAATGAGTTGAATTATTCCAAAGAAAAGACTCCATACTTCAAATTCTCAGAAAATCAATCAGATACTAGAGAAATTTTAATGAAATTGCTAGAAGAGATTGGCAATCTCCAAGAAAAAGTGCAGAATCTTGAAACTACTGTGATTAAACTGAAAGAAACATAGTGTAATTTTCGCTGAATTAAACTTAATATATAATTTTTTAACTCAATCTTTCTTATTTAAAATCAAACTTATCGAGATTATTTTGCTATTCTTTATAAAAAGATACCAAAAATTTATTTTACTTTATCCTACAATTAATTTTAAACCTATTTATGAAATTCAAAAAACCGTTTCTTATTTAAAAAATTTTATTTACTTCTCTCCCACTCTTGTGAGCAAGCAAAATTTTTGATTACTCATGGAGGGCGTTAATTTTTTTTTTCGCAAAATTGGAAATAAATAACATTTGCAAATAAGTGCTTTAAAATACAGCTTTTTTAAAATTCAAGAGAGCTAGATTTCATTATAATAATCATCACTTATAAATATATTTTATAAAAAATTTTTTACTCACTTTCTAGAGTTTTTTTTTTTAAAAGACAATAATTTGCTAGCTTACTGAGGGAGTTAGATTTAAAAGACTCCAAATATATGATTATAACATATAGATTTAAAATCGATTTCTATTCCAGAAATGGCCTCTCGCAAGTTGGGCATTTAGGTGTTAAATTTCTAGATAGTAATCATTCATCCAAGCACTTTGCATGAAATAAATGTAGGCAATGAGTTCTTCTTATTCAATCTCCAATTTTAAAATCAATATAGCAAACTGAGCACATAGGGTCTCCTTCCATCGGTATTCCTACGTAATAATTCTCAATAGGAGATATTTTTTGAATAATTTCTTTTGTTATTAACTGCGATGACTCGATGTCGGATCCTCTTATGGAGTTTCCATCAATCTCGTTTTGAATACCGCAGGATACTTGATTTTTCTTTTTATGAAGATATTTGCAGTAAATCGTACAGCCGATTACCCTAGATGAAGATTACAGCCAAAAAATTACAAAAATTCCGACCACAACACCTACAATAGTTGCTATTATTGTATTTGAATCGGAACTGCCTGAAGAATCGGAGTCGCAGTCGCCTTGGTCATAATTACAAGCAGCAACATTGCACTGGGAGTCGCAGTGGCCATTTCCTAAATATGTGCTTGGACATAAGCAGGAGTACGTCAAAAAGGCCTTCCAAGTAATAAGGAAAAGAGTCCTTCTTACCATCTTAAAGTTCTGTCTAGTATTAAATGTTACAAATGTTTTTGCCATAAGATTTTTTATTTGAACTCTTACTAAAAACATCTAAATAATTTGAAAAATAAATAATGTTGGCTGCCAATGCATATAAAAAGTATGATAATTCAAAATTGCCTAGACAAAATAAATACATTAAAATAGCGACACTTGTCAAACCTGCCCTCTTGATGCAACAGTCTAGACCTTATGATTGCTGCGAACTAGGACGGATTCGAGTCAAGAGTCAAAGGCTCAAGAGATCTGCACCCGGGTAGGTGTTGGCTGCTTTCCTGTAGTTGGGAATGGAGGTGCGAAAAAAAGTCCTTTTGGATCCGAGGATCCATGGGCATTTCTCTACCGAGAAAACTTGGGGTTTCAGCTCAGGCATAGGGAAGTAGTCTTTTTCCTGTAGCAGTCGAAGGAAAGCATTTCGGCACCCGAAAGACTCCAATTGCCTGTAGCAGGGCCTCAGAAATCCATAAGCACTCAAGACTGAAGCCGCAAGGAAAGGAGGAGGTAGAAACTACCGGAAGTGGCATCCACCTTCGGGGGGAGGACCACCTGGGCTGGAGTCAAAAAGCATTAGAATCTCCAATACGGAAGGCCTTTAGTGACTGCGTCACCAATATGGCTAACGCCTGAATTTTAATAATCCTAATTCTACGCCTAGAGAAAATGCAAATTCTAACGAACAGTCGAAGCGTTTCACGTTCCCAAAGCTCCCTTTTCTATCTCGAGCATGAAAAGTTGGGAAATATTATAATGGCTCTGGAAATTCAAAATATATCCAAAGGGTCGAATCAGAGCCAACGATTTTGACCCCAAGGACTTCTAAAACCGCTAAATCAGTTACTCCTGTAAGCTTTAATTCGAAATATCATGCAAACACAGAAACTGAGCGTAATTTCAATACAAATAATGGCTATTTTTCCATGATTAACGCTCAGAAAGTGCATTATGATCCAATAACCAATGCCCCTTTAAATGTGAAATCTGCTACTACGTGCTTGAAGAGGAAAGAAATAGAGACACTTATGAGGGAAGAGATAAGATATAACCGCAAGCTAAATCCTCAATATCAAGAAGCATTAGCAAAGAATCCCAAAGTTTTTTTTAGGAGATCAGGAGAATTCACAAAGTTTGATGACATGTGTGTGCAGAAAAATGGAGGAAATCCATTTTATCATCCACTTTCCCTAACCCTCCTTCATGGGCGAGCAAAAAAGTAAATTTTTAAGCATCCCAATTTGATTTGAAAAATTTATATTTAAAATGCAAGCTGCTTTAATTCAACAGAATTAGCTATATTTCGTATACTAATTATCTCTTTATATCAAATTATTTTTCTATAAAATTTTTTTGAAGAAAGAGTAAATAAAAATAAGTAGCACAGTATATACCTGTCTTTAACTTTCCTTTTATTTCTATTAAAATGAATAAATGGAATAATCAATTTATAAAAGATTTCTAAAAGCTTAAATATCAATGCGACGTTATTACACCCCTTCACACCATGAAAAAGTGAAACCACCATTAGAAAGGACGTCTGAAACACAAGCAAGCACATTGGACAGGTTTGAAGAGTCCCCTATCATTAAGGAATCCCGTAAAAGCCAATCAGCATATGATTCAACGCAAGAAAGCCCACCTCAACAGTCAAGGAAAACTTTTAAGATAAGGTCAGTGCATAAACCAAATGAATTTTGCAGTGTTTCTCAAAGTTTGGATTTAGAAGAATTTTTTAACACTACTTGCAAATTAACTGATGCTATGAGCTGAAAACCGATTGGTATGGAAAAGGAGCAGTTTTCTTTTATAAAAGGGTCTATTAAAAGACTTGTATCAGAGAAAGATACAAATAAATCTGGCGTTGAGTCTTCTAGAATCAATATTTTTAAAACAAGAAGAGCGAAAACTCCTGGAAAAGAAATTTTGCCTAAAAAGCCGAAAGTTAAAAAAATTGTTATAAAAGATAATTTTGCAATGAGTCCGTATGAAAATTTGCAAGAAAGAATTGCACAAAAGAAAGCATAGGGCATTGATTATTAATAAATTTTTATTTTTGTTCAACTTATTAGATTTTATTTTGATGATGTCTAATCTAAGCTATAAGCAAGGCTACATCAAATTCACTTTGGAGAATGATTCACAAATTCCTATAATTTCAAGCTGCTTACGTTCTGCTGCTTACTATGTCCTTGAAGAAGTTGTTTGTGATTTAAGCTTACCTGAGCCATATCTGAATGATTGAAGCAAGATATTCTCTGTCTTGGTGAATATATATTCTTCTTCTTATTCGCCTTTAGAACCTAAAATTATAATAATTCTTCCTCAATTATTTGGAGAAATATCGAGGAAAAATATTCTTGACACTGCAGACTTGATCTTTAGTTATGAATCTTTATCTGATATTATTACCGAACATTTGTGTGAACCTCATAGTTACACTTTTTTTGAAATCCCTCACACTGAACCTATTTCAATGCCCATTCTCAGCTCAAATCTATCTGCAAATGTTATGGATGCTTATGATTACTCTGTTCTGGGTGGCACATTTGATCACCTTCATCCTGGACATATGCTGCTTCTTACAGCTGCGGCTATTTTTAGCAAGAAGTTAATAGGAATCGGGATAACTAAAGAGTCATTGCTAATAAATAAGCAAGGGAAAGAATGCCTTCAATCATTTGATTATAGATGTGAATCTGTAAAATCATTTTTGAAGAAAATTTCTCCTTCAGTTGAAGTCGACACTTTTGAGCTTTTTGACCCTGTTGGGCCTTCAGGTACAAACCCAATTTACCAGGTCGTCATTTTAACTGAAGAGGTAGAAAAAGCATTTGAATTAATCAATAAAGCTAGAGAAACAAATGGCTTAAACAAACTAGAAAAAGTTGTGATTAGCTTATTGACTGAATCTCACAATAAAGCTGGCAGCACACAGATAAGAAACCAAATTATAGAATCTTCGAGAGGCAGATATTGCTTTCTGAAAGAAAGATGATACAACCTCTGCAAAAAGCTGGGGATAGAAAACAGGAAAATAGAATATTGGTGGGAAATGGTATCCAGCCAATATAATAGAAAATTTCGATACTATCATACATTAAACCATATATATCAAATGTATTCCCTCCTCGATAACTATTCTAACAATTACTCACAAATTCTTGAGCTCAGCATTTGGTTTCATGATGTAATTTATTATGCTGATTATAAAGGATTTCATGATGACAGAAATAATGAGGTAAAAAGCAAAGATTTGTTTATCAATTTTTGTAAGGATTGCGGAATAAATGAATGCTATAGCAAAGTGGAAAGCTATATTTTGGCAACAATCACACATAGACCTGAAACGACTGAGGAAGAAGAATTAATTTTTTTGGATTTGGATATGTCGATTCTTGGAGCAAGTGAAGAGACTTACAATGAATATTCAGAAAATATAAAAAGAGAGTATTCGTTTTATTCTGATGAAGATTACAGAAAAGGACGTTGCCAAGTAATGCAAAAGTTTTTGGAAAGAGATCACATATATTATTCTGATTATTTCAGACCAATGCTAGAAAATCAAGCCCGGAATAACATTTCAAGAGAAATTGATTCACTTCAAAATATGACTTAAAATGATAATGAAGAGATAATGCTCTATATCTTTATAAAACTATTGGATTAATTTCTATGCCCAATTTTCTTTCCATTTTAGATATAAAAAAAATAAATAAATCAAAAAAAATTATATTTTCTTATTACAAAACTAAGCTTTTTATAAAAATTATAATTAATTTTTTTCCGTTTACGATGATCAGTCTATGTTGATTTATCACAAATGGATTTATTAAAATATTATTTAAATGAAACAAGAAATCTCAAAAATTAATCAGTCAAGCCATTACCCTCTACCCCAAATAGAAGGCCTTTCTGCAATTACATATAGATCCAATGAAAAATCCATATATTCTGGAGAAAAGCCTTTAGGATATAGTGAAGAAATCGTATATCAGCCTCTTAAGCTGCTGAAACAAATTGAAAATATAGAAGTTTCCTATGTTTGGCGCTGTAAGGCCGATAAATTCTGATCGGAATTTATCGGTTGGTTGCACCAAATCAATGCCTTGGTCGGACCAAAAGCGATTTGGTCCGACGAACTTGGAAAGCTCCTGGGAAAATGTCTGCGCTTTCAGCGCTATATAGAGGAAACCTCTATAGATATATTGGGGCAAAGCAAGTCAAAGGACTCAGCAGATGTGATGGGCTGTCTTGGGTCCCACCAGACAGCGATTTTAGAGAAAGTATATTTACAGATCTATTATATGAATATTCCGAAGGTGGAGAAAGCAAATGTGAAATTTTGATGGTCGTTGCAATGTATAATGAAGAAGTTCAAAATTTCAAAGACACAATGCTTGGAATCGCTTCTAACATTGAAGACTTTCGAAAAGTCGGGCTTTCCCCTGAACAGCTCTGCGTTGTTGTGATTGTGGATGGAATAAAACCTTTTATGGAAACTTTCAAGAGACAAAGAAGCTTTTTTTCTCAATTTTTTAAAGAAGAGAAAATTAAAGAATTTTTCCATGTTGACAATGTTTTAAATTGCAGATTGCCTGATGAGCAAGACGAAGATGAATTCGCGCATTGCTTCTTCCAAAAAGCTTATTTTGATACTTCAGAAGCCCCACTCCAGCTTATTTTCTGTGTAAAACAGAAAAATAGGAGAAAGCTTAACAGCCACTTATGGTTTTTTGGGGGATTTTGTGAGATGATCAACCCTAAGTACTGCATTTTGTTGGACGTCGGAACAAAGCCGCTTCCTAAATCCCTCTTTTACCTCTACGAAGCTATGAAGACAGATGATAGAGTTGCAGGCTGCTGTGGTGAAATCAGACCTATGGACCCAAATTATTGGAAACTAGTTGTCGGCGCCCAAGTTGTTGAATATAAATTTTCTCACATTTTCGACAAGGCTCTGGAAAGTGTCATCGGTTACATTTCTGTCCTTCCAGGTGCCTTTAGTGCTTATGTATGAGAGGCGTTACAAGGCGAGCCTTTATGGGAAGACTACTTTAAATCTCTTTGCCATCCTGAGCTTATGGACGCCTTTCACTCAAATATTTATTTAGCAGAGGATCGCGTGCTTTGCCTTTCTCTTGTCAGCAAAGCCAAGCACAGCTATAGCCTGAGTCTCCTTTTGGCTCGGGCTATCCCGACGTCTCTCGCCGTTGGAAGGGGAGTTAGTTCTACCAACAATCGTTGGTAAAGCCAGCCTCCCTAGTGGACAATCTCCAATATATAACTTTTTTGTAGTCAAGAAATTGGTTTCACCAACAATTTTGGTAAAACCAGCTCCCCTTCTGATGCCGGGAGACTTCGGCATAATCGAGTCAAAAGGAGACTGAAGTTATACATTTTACGGTATGTTAAAAAATCAATTGCAGAGACTGATGTACCTGAAAATATATCTGTTCTAATGGCTCAGAGAAGAAGATGGATCAACGGATCCTGGTTTGCTTTGATTGACTCAATCAAAAATGCAAGGAAAGTATTTTATTCAGGACATGGGAGATGCAGGAAAATTGCAATCATTATGCAGATGGGGTATTATTGCATCAATGTGGTGTTTCAATGGTTTTTGTGTGCTTCTTTCTTTTTAGCATTTGCAATTTCGATTAGACGAGTTTTTCCAAATGAAACAAAAGATTCAAATTTGGCAGGGTTTGGGAATTGGCTGATTTTATTTTATGTCTGGCTTATGATAGTGTCAGTAAGTCTGTCGCTCGGTGTAAAGCCAAGAAGAGTTGATGATATTTTTAAGTACTTAGCCATTTGTTTTGGGTTCTACATGATGTTTATCACAATTCTTCAGCTGATGTTTTTGTTTAGTCACAGTATTACTTACAGCTGGGTTGGGCCTTTGATGATCGTTTCTGTAAGCTTCTTTGCAATTAATGTTGTAGCATTTTGGGCTTGCATCCCTGTGCTGAAAGGGGTCATCCACTTTGTCTTTTTATCTCCTTCGTACGTCAACATATTTTTGGTTTATGCAATGTGTAACATTCATGATTGCTCATGGGGTAGCAGACCAGATCAACTAAGCGAAGAAGAGAAAAATAGGCTTGAAGAATATGAAGAATTCAGAGCTAGATGGACCATTATATGGGCCTTATCAAATGCTACACTTGCTTATTTCTTTGATTTGATTGATTAGCAAGGATAAATAAAATGGCATTCAGTTCGAGTAAAATTAGCTTCGCTAATTTTCTCTCTCCCTCAAGCAATTTTATTTATGGAGTTAGGTTGTCTTCTGGGAACTTCTGTACAGTAATACCAATTTAACTCTGGCAGATAAGCCGAGGCACTGCTCCAAGTACATCAAGAGGCTAGAAGTTTTATCTCTCAGCGCACCCGAGGAAGGTGGCCTTTAGGCGGAACACGCGCAGGAGCTGAGTCAAGAAAGGCAGGGCAACGCAGCCCATCGAAGCCGGAACGCTATATTTTGCCTGCGCCATGGTGCAACAAAGTGGATCGGTCAGAGGTCCATGGTCCGACACGTGGACAAACATGGTGGCAGCCCTCGAAATGGCTACCCTGTAGTGGACGTAAAACGTAATAGATGATATAACGATAACGATTGATAAGCAGGGAAAACAAAACATCTACTATTGGGCAATTTACGCTGTTGCATTTATAGGCTTAGCCATTCTTGCTTGCAGGTTTATATTTGCAATGATTTATTTGATTTGGGAAAATTTCTGCTATGGCCATCTAGAAGCAAATCAAGAATTGGCTCCAATCACTAGACCCAGAAAAAGATTCACTAGAAAAACCGCAAATGCTCTTGAGATAAATAACCTTGATGATGGCTCTTTGCTTCCTGATGGAAATGGGCTTGGCCTAGGAAAGAATGGGCTTGGTGATTATGGGGGAGCAGGATATTTAGGCGGACACAGAGGAAGTCATAGCGGCTTATCAGATACATTGAAAGGAACAGCAAGTATGGACAAAATGAACGACACACTATTTTTCAATGATCAACAAGATATTACACAAGTTGATATAAATGCTGATTATATTAAATCAATTCGAAGACGAAAGAATATCAGCATTAAAATGTTATCTCGTATGACGAATATAAGGAAATACAGACTCAGAGTTATAGAAAACGGTATCGACAAGCCAACGCCAGATGAAGCTGCTATTTTACGAACAGAGTTAGCAAAAGCTTAGTAACATTAATAAATTATGCTGACGGTTCGTCTTGCTCGCTTAATTCTTCTTCCCACTCTTGGCCTCTCTCGTCAACTTGCTGCTCAGGAGCAATCTCTGAGCTGCTTCTACAGCACACCAAACATATTCTCATTAGATTATATGGCTCTTTGAGGCTAAACTGTATCACAGTTCTTTTACATTGAACAACGAGACTCGAGTTTCTTTTAAGTAGGACTGGCTTTCTTGCCAATACTAAAGTCCCGAATTTAGAGTCATTATCTTCCAAAAAGAAGCCATTTCTTGATATTTTTATTGTAGAATGGCATCGGCTGACTGAAATATCAGACACTCTGATTTCATTTTCATGGCCTCTTCCGATTTTTACTATTGAATTATCGACTGATGATAATACATGTAGACTCTGTTCAGATCTCTCGTTTCTGAGGTCCTGCAATATGATATAAGGAAGTGGAGGCTTGTGGACATCAATTAAGGGGCATAGCTTTCCTTCAATTTTTATTGAAGTAGGATATAGTTCCTTGCAAATTTCGCATTGTAGCTGGGTTCAGCTATAGGAAACAGAGTTTCCTGTCTGTTTGGATTTCACTTTCTCCATGAGCCAAACTTGCAAGCATTTATAATGAATGAATCTCATGCTTCCTGAACATTTGCAAGGAGTGATTAAGGGGTTGTTGTCCTTTTCTGTGTCACCTAAGCAAAACCGGCAGGCTGCTCCGTTGGATGGCCTTTCATCTTCTTCTTCATCTTTAAGTTCTTGGATAGGTTCATATCCTTTGTAGTTTATTTCTTTTACCTTAAGTTTTATTCTGCCAATTTTTATGATGTCATCTTCGCTTAATTTATAGCCTTTATAGCCTTCTTCACCGTGGTAATCTTTAACGACAAATCAGAAACGGTCTTGCTTTTCTGATCTGATTACATATTCGTTATTAGTTTCATATACCTGTACAAGTACACCTTCAAGAGGTAGAGAGTTTTCAGTATTAAATTCGCAGGATTCTCCTGCTAATATAACTCTTCCTGATTTCACTGTTTTAAAGTTATTTATGGCCATGTCTTTTGTTTCATAGTCAAATAGTCCATGGGAATCTCTTTTCCATGTGAACGTTCTTATAGATAGAGGAATACTCATATTTATTATACACACAGAATATTATATAACTACAACTTTATTTCCCATTTCGTTTATATTATAATTATTTTCTGCCTACTATAGAGAATCTTCAAGTTGGTTTATTTAATAATGTCAGTGAGATAAAAAAAAAGCATTTCTCTGCATTAATGCACTTATCGAGTAAAAATATAGAAAAATCGATGGTAAGCTACTCAAATAGCAAGAAAAATAATTAAAGACTCTTCTGAAATAGAGAGGATTCTGTGCGGGCTTCTATATTCAGCATTATTTATGTTCAAACTACTTCTATTATGGGTTCTATAAGAAAATGATTGGGTAGTTGTACTATCAATTTTATATATGAACTATAAATATAGAGTTAAATATCCAGAGATCATTGCAACTTTCGTATTTTCATAAACATTAAAGATTTAACTTTTTAACTTTTTAAAATTGAAAATTTCGTTTTTATTTTGCTTTTTAAGTGTATAAACCCCCATTGAGTGTAAGAGAAATCCATAGAATTACTCTATAATTACGATTTATTATAAAATTAAAATTGCTTTCTATTCTCAAAATCATTGAATTTAATTTGAAATAATTTATTTAAAAAAATCCTAGACTCTCTAAAAGCCAAAATCAATATTTTCTATCATTAATCATAATAAGAACTTTTTAAATATAACTGAATTTATAAGAAAACGATAAAACAAAAAGCTTTATCAGTAACTAAATAATTAGATTGAGATATATAAATTTGTTTGCTATTAGAAAATATGACAATATATTTTATCGGTTATTTTTTCATATTAAAAAGATGGACTTATTTTTAAATAATTTTTTTAAATATGTTTTCAGTGCTTTGTTATAAATTATGATTAAGAGGTGAGAGCTGAAATTCGCTTTCCCATCTCTCCATCAGCTTGCTTTTCATAATTTCAGAAATAGATGGGCGATCACTGGGATCTTTCGCAGTAAGCCAAAGAATCATCTCGCTTTCCACTCCAAACTTTTCTACGACTTCTTTGGGAAGTTCATGCTTGTATCTTAGAGTTTTGAGGAGCAAATATCGTTCATGGTCAGTTTCCATTTTTACACAAAGTTCTAGCAATATCATACCCAGCGGGTAAACATCCACTTTTTCATCATAACTAAACCCATTTTCCTGTTCTGGTGCCAGATAAAGCGGACTTCCAACATTTGAAGAGTGAGCTTTTTCAAGTGGGGTTGACGGCTCAGCTTCCAAATAATTGTTTATGACAGCAAGTCCGAAATCCCCAATCTTTACACACAACTCTTTATCCACGAAGATATTGGCTGGCTTTAAGTCTCTATGAATAAAATTGCATTGATGAATATGTAAAACTCCTTTCAAAAGCTGCCTAAAAAGCAGAACGTTTTCCCTTCTCTCAATTCCTCTTTCCGGTCTTTCAAGCCAGTTTTTCAAGGTACAACCCTTGCTATATTCCATTTGAATATTGAGGTTAAGCTGGAAATAAGGCTCAGAAATTGAGGCCAAAGAGCTTGAGGAGCTGCTTAGTTCAGAAGACTCACTTTCTTCATCTTTTTGATCTGTTGACTCAGTGGATCTAATATTATGGTCACCCTCACTTTCTAGCCAACAGTTGTAATAGCGCAAAACGTGCTTTGAGTTAAGCTGCATCATGGATAAAACCTCTCGAAAAGCCTTGTGCTCGTATAAGCTTTGATTTAGCCCAACCTTGATTCTTATAACTTTGATAGCATAATATTGCTCATCAAGAAGATGACGTGCCTTGAATACGCTACCAAAGCCACCTCTTCCAAGCATTGAAACGACCTCAAAATTTCGGGCTCCATGGCCATTTTGAAGGAGTTTTTCATATTTATTTACACTATCTTTGATAAGCTTATTTTCAGTTGTAGACTCGTGCTTGTTGCTTTTCTGACTATTTGATGGTAAATGCAAAGTAAAGTTCGATAAGGCTTCAGGAGCATTGTCATAGTTGATTCTTACTCCCCTCCGAGTTTATGTGAAAAATTTTGTTAGCTCATGAATTTGGATTTTTATCTTTTAAATTTTATATATAGTTTTTAAAAATTAGGACAGAAAATTTGGTTATATCAATAGAAATAGCAAGAGATTTTATTACAATGATCTATAATTTTTCATATTAATTTAATTATTGCCTGCGCGAAGGAAAGTAGGTTTTGCTTAAAAATATTAATTTTGAAGGTTTTAATCGCCCACAGAGGAGGGGAGTTATGGTCACCTGGCTCGGCTTTTCTTTTGCCATCTTTGGAGAACTTCTGTTTTCTGACATAAATTCAAATAAGGTCTGCTTCTCTTTTTCAGCAATCGATCTTCTTCTGGGTGGCAAAGTTATTGCTGGAAGTGGGGAATCAGGCTCATTGTTGCAAGATCGAAACGAGTTCCCTAAGAAAAATCCAGAAAGGACTGCAATGGCAATCAGAAGAGCAAAGGAAAAACCATTATGAACAAAAAGGTCTCCAACCTGTCAGTCGTGAGCAGACTCTTTGACCAGAACACTTTCTGGTGAAAAAATAGTGTAATCACAGAAGAGGTCTAGGCCTTGAGGCATTTTTGAGTTTATTTGTTGGATCAGAGCAGTTTGAAATTCGATAATTTCTGTTGCCTTTTCATTTGAAGCCAATTCTTGAGTTATGTACCTGATGCTTTGTGTGAGAATCTGTTGGGAGTCAGCGGTTTGAAATAGCAGAATTACTGCAATCGATATGAGTACAGCGAACCACGATTTCATTATTGGTTTTATTAACAATCTTATAGCATAAAATATAGTGTGGCTTATCTGGAAAATCTAAATATTAGTAGAGGAAGATTAACTGTTCAAAAATTACAGTAAAAACGATATTAAGAATTTATTATTATATACTTTTCCTATTAATTCATATTTTAAGGTCTAATTAAACTCGAAGTAAATCTATATAAATGGTTAACACTTATTTTCGTCGTCTTTTTTAGATCCTATTTTTATGAGGCTTATTTTCAACTTTGGAGATCATCACCTGAGTGAATTCTTCAAGATCGATCTCTCCATCACCGTTTTTATCTGCATCTGCAAGATATGCATAAAATGGCGAACGGCGACCGACCCACCCTCTCAGTGGTGGTTACCCGTGTATATCCGGCATGGTTTTTGGAGCCAGGAGTTGGCCCAGCAATGTTTGCGACCTCAAAGCGAGAGGTCTAAGCACGAAGGCCGCTGTTTTTGTGATCAGACCCATGGGCAGTTATTCGTGACTTCTTTTTGCCAGCAGCGCTCATCCCAGTGAGTGCCCGAAATGAGGCAGGGCGACTTACCTGCCTAAGCTGCTTTTGTGGCTCGCCCTGAATGGCGAAAGCTGTTGAGTTCTTTCTCGGGATGACCGGAAAAGAGAGGGAAGGCGAGTTAGACAACTAAACGGGAGTCTCTCCAGTTAAAAAGGTGCCCTTCAATGGGCAGATCTGGCGGACGACGCGGCAGTGTTGGCGTAAACTTAGGCGACGATCCAAGTTGGAAATTGAGGCGGTCACCAAAGACGGTATGACACGTCCCTTGACCTTCACCTCTACCGAGAAACCGGGGGTTTCGGCCCGGGCTTGGTGAACGCTCTGCCACCATACGGGAAACTGTAGAATGCTTCCTCGGACGAAGTGGGGACTTTAAATACCCAACGTAATCTTAATCTTAAATCTGCATCTGCAAGCATTGCTAAAAATACATGGTCGCTATCTTCATTCCCTCCAAGTGCTTCTCTGAGCTCTTCTAATGAAATTTTCCCACTCCCATCCTTATCAAAGTGTTTAAAGGCTGCAAGCAGCCTTTCTTTATTCAGTGTTTTACTTCAATTAATAGCGGCCGTCAAAAATTCAGTATAATCTATTCTAATTGCCCGAGGATGGCGCTATCTTGCGCCATCCTCGGGCAATTTAAAAAATGGCCCCACACCGGGAATCGAACTCATGTGTGGGGCCATTTTTGGTGCGTGGAAGTCGATGTTCTCCACTAACCAAAAATGGCCCCACATGTGGGTTCAATTCCCAGTGTGGGGCCATTTTTGAATTGCCCGAGGATGGCGCAAGATAGCGCCATCCTCGGGCAATTACTATATGAATCCATTCCCATCTGCGTCTAGCTGATTCATCATTTCATTAACATCAATATTTATATGGCCAGGAAGCTTCGAAAACCCATTTTTAAGCTCGCTCGTGCTTAGTTTGCCATCCCCATTTTCGTCAAGACTTTGAAAGGTGTCACGAAGATGAGCAATTTCATCATTCGAAACCAGCTGTGAAGCAATAAAAGTCATCGTTGCTCTTTGAAGCTTGCTTTGAGTGTTAAATGATGAAAGCAGTTCAAGCGATTCTTTTGAGACTGGAATGTCTTCGACTCTATTATTAGCCCGGCTTTGGAGTCAATCGTTATTATACACTTCAGTAATATCTGGACGCTTACTCCCCCTCAGTGAGCGAATAAAAAATATATGTTCACTCTCGGAGGGGTCATTTTTAAAACATTTATATATGAATTTTATAGTAAAAATATTCGCAAAAATTGAGCTAGAGATTTCAATATAATAATTATCAAATATATATCAAAAATTTTTCATAAAACATTTTTCGCTCATGGAGGGTGGGCTTTTAGGGATTTTTCAAATTTTTTGTTCGCTCGCGAAGGAAGGAGTTAGCAGGATCTTTAGTAAGGAGAAGCTTAATGAAATCTTTTGTTTCCTTTGCTACATTATTTCAATTTCCATTTGTGGATCTAAATGATAGCGGGGCTTTTTGGATCTTTTTATAAATTTCTTCATCAGAGCGACCGTTAAAAGGAGGATACCCTGAGAGCATAATATATAAGATCACTCCTAAGCTCCAAACATCGCATTTACTGTCATAACTCCCACTAATCACTTCAGGCGCTACATAATAAGAAGTCCCAATAAAATGCTTCATTTTCTCTTTCGGCTCAAAATGTTTCGAAGTCCCGAAGTCAATCAATTTTAACCTTGCATCTGGCTTTTTATTTTCTAATAGCAAATTTTCAGGTTTCAAATCTCTATGCACAATCCCAGCCTCATGGCAATATTTAACAGCACTTACCATATCAAGCATATAACGCGCTGCTTGGTTTTCGGTAAAAGGGTTCGGTCAAACCTGAATGTTTCTAACTGTCTCTAATAGCAGCTGGCTCTACCTAGGCAGTCTGACTTTACCGATAGTCTGAGAATCCAGCTCTACCTGGGCAATCTAGCAGTCTTGCTCTACTTAGCAGTCCAGTTGGACTGGCTCTCCTGCTCTATCTGGCTTTACTTGCTCTGTTGGCTCTACCTGGTACTCGATTCTATCAAAACTAATTTCCTATGTTTTTGAAGTAACAATTTAATTAATTCCACAATGATATATTAGATAAAAATGTAATGACTTTTGATAAAAATATTTGGAGAGAATAATACTCTAAAAAAGACTTACTCTCAATTTATATGATTTTGTAAAGTCTACAACGTAATTCAGCGATTTATAGAGTAATAAACTACTGATAAATTGTGAAAAGCATTTAATCATCAAAATAAATCATAATTTTATCATTATATAGTAAACAAAAATAATAATAAATTGATATGATTCCATCAAAAATCTATATATTGCAATCAATCATAAAATGAAGTTATTTTATCATCAAATGGCATTTTAAAATATTTAAAATGATGCACTTTGTAAATATTTTTTAAATTATTAGAAAAAAAAGATATAAAGGTTTAGAAGGAAATTATAGTCATATAAAAGAAGAGGTTTATTTTGAATTTTGAACCAAAATTTGATTAATTCTTTAAAATCTAGCAATGGATACAATATTTTAAACAATATACATACTCATAAGCTCTCTAAATAATTTTGATTTGTTAATTAAAAGGATTAATTAATCCCTTATTTTCTAAGCACCGTTCTGCTTCTTTAAAATATCATCAATTTTAACATTTTCAGAGAAGTAATCTATATTGATAGATATTTCTATATTATAAAATGGTTTAATATGTTAGCATGCTAATCATTAGTTTAAATATTGCAATATTACTAATATAACTAAAATAGAAAGGCAGAATTTGAAGGGAAGTAAGAGATGAGGAATTGAAATAATTTTTAATTTCATAATTAGAAAATAATATTGAAATTTCAACTGAATTAACTAAAAAATAAATTCTTAATAAAATATGAATCGAAAAAGAATATATACCTCCTATGCTAACTGGATTATTTTTAAATTAATTCCTAATATAATTTTAAATAAGAATTTTAAATTTATTTATTAATGGCAAACTTAGTAATATATCAAATAATCCGTATAATTTATATATAATTTAGTTTTTATACGTCTTATTTTTTTCTAAGTTTAAAAGAAGGCATAAATTAATAACTAAAATTCCCTTTAATTTTATTGTTTGTCATTATATATCTTACTGTTTAATAAACTAATAAGATCATCTATTATAAAACTATGGAGTAATTTTAAAAGCAATGTGCAAGCCAAGTAAATAAAGTATTTTAATTGAAGATATTCATTTTTTTATTAATTTTAGATAGTTCAAATTATTAAACACTATTAGTATGCTTTAAAATCCCTATATAACTTGAGGTAAAGACAGTAGAGCCAGATAGACCCGCCTGCCAGGTCGAACCAGTAGAGCCAGGTAAAGCCGGACTACCAGGTAGAACTGTAGAGCCAGTAGACCCAGAAGATTTACCTTAGGGTTAGCTTCTTTTATTCTATCAAATAATTCTCCTCCAGTGCATAGCTCAGTGACAATGCACAAATATCGAGTGTCTTGGTACACCTCAAAAACTTTGATAATATTTGGATGATCTAGCTTTTTCAATATGTTCACTTCTTCCATCATCTTGCTGATTTTGGCGTCATCAGTGGCTTCGACGGGTATGAACTTTATTGCTCGCTCGATCTGCGTTTCTTTTTGCATGCCCAGCTTAACTTGTCCAAATCCTCCATCTCCAAGTATTTTCCCTAGCTGGTATCGATCCGTAACTTTGCCTTTAATCAGCTGCACAAAATTGCTTGGGCTGATTGGCAGCTCATTTTTCTCGCTTTTTTCAGCTTTGTGTGATTTTTGCCTGGAAGATTTCGAAGACGTACAGCAGCCCATCCTTTTAATTTAACTTAATATAGAAATTTCTTATTTATTACCATCTAGTATGATGGACCTCTACTAGCCCTCGAGCCTTGAATGAAATTTCTCCGTCCCGAGTTGTGATATTCCCTTCGAATACCCCGAATGCTTGATCGAAATGAGACTGGATCAGCCAAAAGTTGGAGGCAAATATACTTTTTATTTCAGGATAAAAAATGATGCTGGCCGATCCATATTCATCTGTGGGATGTTGATTTGTGGTTTTAAATTCCCAAGGTTGCGAAAGATCTTTTGGATACGAAGTAATGAAGTTGCCAAGCTTGTACATAGTGCGATCTAAAAATACGCAGTCTTCTGTGGCCTTGGAAATTGGTGAAAACATAAATTCTCCAATGTTTAAACCAATAGCTGAGTTTGGACCTATTTTCCCTTGGCCAGATCCCCAAATCCAAAAGCTATGATAAGGCCAGACTCCTCTTCCCCAGTCAATCATTCCAATTCTATCAGAAAAATCATAAACTTTTCCAAAGGCAGTAACTTTACCACTGATATAATTATTATAATCTTTATATGTGTAGTAGAAGTTTGACCCATCACTATTAAAAGGAGTCAAAGATGCCATAGAATCATCAGTCTTTTTAAAAACATCCAATGAGAGCTCTAGCTTATCATCGAATTTCAGTTCGAGGTGCTTAAATTTGTTATCGCGGTTTTTAAAATCCACTTTATAATTACCCGATTCATATATTGTTTTCCCATTAAGAGGATGCTTCGCCAAAGTAAGTTCCTCATTAGGTAGAATCAGTTTTTGATGGTATTGGGGAATTGAACCTTTTTCGTATACAGTGAAAAACACGCTTGCTACATAATGGAAATTGGCAATCCCAAAAGAAATGGTTACATTTTCGTGGTGAATGGCGTAGAATTCCCATTCTTTGAATCGGTAGCGTTTGTTCCACTTTGATTTCAAAGCATCGAAATCCCATTGGATGCCTGGCTTTGTAAGAAATCCAGAATAAATGAGTTTTCCTTCATCATCTAAGATATTGCCCTTTACACTTTTAATTTTCTCTTGTGGTCTGAGTTAGCCTTACGAAATGTCTTGTCTTCTCGGGTCTTCTGGGCTTTTTAAGATTAGAAATTCTATCAGAATGGCTAGCAAAAGCAATATTAAAGCAGATTTAATTAATCTGTTCATATTTATTATTACATTTTTAAGGCGGGTCTTCTATAATAAAGAAGAAAGCAGCCTCCCCAGCAGCAGAGAAATGTGAAACCAAGGTCTATTGTAAGCCACACAATTTCCAGAAACTCCTCGTGAGTTTTAGATTCTATTGAACTGATAAGAAAATAATCAGCAGCAAGAACGCTTGCAAACATAAGCAATGATGATCACGATCTGTTCCATTTAGCAAGTGATAAGTAATAAGCACCTAATTCCCAAAGCCATTGGAAAAATCCTATTTTTTAATAAAAACTCAAGCGAACAAAAAATTTTTTAATAGAAAAATATTTTGATATATAACTGATAATTAATATAAAGAAATTATAACTAACTATGTATTCTAAACAACTTGCATTTTAAAACATATAAATTTCGAAAAAAAAAATTATTATAAAAATTAGCCCTCTGGAGCGAACAAATAAATTTTGTTCATTCATGGAAGGGAGCAAGCAAGTTCCTATCGAAAGAAGCAACATAGCAGATGAAATTGTCAGGATGATTATATGTTTTACTGAAAATAAAGCAAATTCACAGATAAAAGGTGAAGAATAAAATATTTTCAAAATCAGTAATATTATAACCCATGCAAAATATATACTGCTATAAGCAAATCTGAACTCACAACTGCTGAAATTATGATTATTATAGTCGCTCAAGCAGTTCCAGCAAAATTCATGGTTGCAGTTCTGACATACCATATGTGGGCATCCTCCATTTTTTTCTATTGGAAAGCTGCACATCGGGCACAATTTTGTCCACAGTTCTTTTCATAGCAAGCTAAAAATTTCAATATTTCCTGTAAATACAGCTTGGATATTGCTATATAATCGCTTAGAAAGAGGGTTTAGAGTCGGATCTTTTCATTTTATCAAACACATCGGGCACTCAAGTAAGCTTGTGCAAGTGCTCGTAGAGTCAATCCAGCCTATGTAATTGCAATTTCTTGATGGGCAGTACCTATAATCTTCGTCATGCGATAAGCTTCGTTTTAATAAAATAAATTGGTAGCTTGAAAATTCTTCAGGAGTTAGACATTTTCTGATATCTTCTTCGTTCAAATAATGTCCGCGGTCACCTTTGGGACAAATTATAAAAAAATCTTCCACAAAATATTTATTGAGCTGAGTAAAAATTCAAGACCTTATCACTTCCCGACAAAATCGGCAGCCGCATGAAAGATCGCAAAAGTCTAATTTCGGATGATCGGTATAGCAGACATAACAATATTCAAACATTATATATTATAGCAAACTGATTTTATAGCACTTTCCCATGAGTAGCCCGATGACGGGCTGGCTTCATCCCGCTATCGGGCTATTCAAGGAAAAGAGCTATAAAATAGAAATTAGCCCATGTTTGGGTTTTTGAAAGGTAAAATCAATGGTTTCACCTTTGTGTCCTCTTGATTCATAACAGATGAACTTTGGAAATGCTGAATCAAGGCTTGTCGTCCTTGGATTCTTCCATATGCTAATGAGCAGATTTTATCTGAGTTAAACCTTTCCCATTTTTTGCCTTCGAACTCTAAGTAGAAGGCTGGAATATATCTATAATCAATGAAATCAATAAATGCATATCCTACGTTGCACTTATTCTGCATAAATTTTACCTTAAAATCAATCGGTAGATAAAAAAAATCATAAGTTCCCACAAACTTTTTATCAATTGTTTGAAGCAGCATTTTCTGAGTATATTTGTTCGGAATGTTTTTTATCATTATCGTAGTTCGAATATCTTCCCCACGTTCTACAGCTTCAACATTGACAATGTAGAGCGACATTTCTTCTTCATCGAGAGGCCTTTTTTTTGGTTTTCTTCTGTGATCATCAGAACTTTCTCTGCTGCTTTCTTCAGTGCTCACAGTGATCATTGGGCTTTGAGTTGCACTGCCACTGGAATGGCTGAAAGCTAGCTGTTCTTGGTCGAAGATTGTATCGTGAAAAGTATTTTCACAAAATTTGGAAGATTCATCCTCAAGAACTCTAAAGTCTTGAGGGATGGGTTGGATTGGCCTAATTTCATAATTCTTTATGAACATATATTTACCAACATTTTGGGTACCTGGAATACCAATAGGATTTCCAATGATTTGGGGTAAAGGCTCTTGAAGTGCTCGCCCTTCAGTCATTTCTCTGAAGACTCGAAGCCTTCTAGGCTTTTTTTGGTCGCCTTCCATTTATTTGCAGTTATTGTTTAAGAATCTATTCATATATTAAGTTCTATCAGAAGAAATTTAAAATTGTTGTTTTACTTTCTATGTTTTCGAGCAGTGGAGTATCTTAAGTAAAACAAATTTGAAATTCACATAAATATCGATAGATTTAAAAGCATTTTATGAGGGTCATTTAATGAATTTATTTATGTAGCCAATTATTTTCAGGTAATGCCCTTTGTATGTGGAATAAGATAATTTGTAATTACTGGTATGTTTTCTCTTTATAATAGATTACGAAAGAAAGCTACACGAAATTGTTTGAACTATTAATTTAAGGATTTAATTTGCAATTCTTGTTAGGTTAGATTGCTTACCGATTGAAGCGGGAAATAAAAATATCATTTTTATAAATATTTATCTTTATGAAATCCCCAGAATTTGCAAAGATGGTAAATTAAAACCGATTTTGTAAAAATTAATATTCAACTGGCAAAAGATTATAGAAATGTTATTATCCAAAAGTTGCCAAATTATAAAAAATTATAAATTCTGATTGATTAATTGGATCTTTTAAAAATCATAGAAAATTAATGAAATTGAAGGAAAATTAGTAAATTAGATTAATAATTTACTACTTCAATAGATAAGCATTTTTTGCGAAATATGATAATGTATAAATAATGTCAGATCTAGATAGCGATATTGAGCTTCTTAAGCAATGCGAGTACATCAAAGAATCTGAAGTAAAAGAGTTGTGTGCAAAGGCGAGAGATTTATTGATTGAAGAAAGCAATGTTCATCGAATAAATTCTCCAATCACCATATGTGGTGATATTCATGGACAATTTTATGATCTCATGAAATTATTCAAAGTAGGAGGAGAGCCTCCTGAAACAAATTACATATTTTTAGGAGATTTCGTCGATCGCGGATATTTTAGCGTTGAAACTTGGCTTCTTTTATTAGCCTATAAAGTAAAATATCCAGACAGAATGATGCTTATAAGAGGAAATCATGAGTCAAGACAAATTACCCAAGTTTATGGCTTTTATGATGAATGCATTAGAAAATATGGGAGTGCTAACGTATGGCGCTATTGTACAGAAATTTTCGATTATTTGCCGTTAGGTGCGCTTATAGATGGAAAAGTATTTTGCATTCATGGCGGGTTATCACCCTCCGTAAGCTCTCTTGATGAAATAAGAGCAATTGACAGAAAGCAAGAAGTTCCTCATGACGGAGCAATGTGTGATTTATTATGGTCTGATCCTGAAGAAATTAATGGATGGGAGCTTTCACCAAGAGGAGCAGGGTATGTCTTTGGAGGAAATATTGTAAGAGAGTTTTGCAAACTCAACAATATAAAAACAATAGCAAGAGCCCATCAACTTGTCATGGAGGGTTACAAGTGCATGTTTGAAAATAAACTCATCACTGTATGATCTGCCCCGAACTATTGTTATCGTTGTGGAAACATCGCAGCTATTATGCAGCTTGACTCCGATCTCAATCAAAATTTCATTACTTTTGAAGCGGCGCCAGAAGATGAAAGACAAGTTCCAGCGAGGAAGCCAGCTCCTGAATATTTTTTATAGATTTTATATTTATTAAAAAAATAAAAAATAGTGTGTATTATTAAATAAAACGATGAGTTCAATTAATTTATTGCTACTATTTAGTAAAAATTTATTGTTGATAAGTTATATTGTGCGTACATGCAAGTTTGCATAAAATCTACAATAAAAGATTAAATTTCATTAAGTTAAATTTCTTATAATTGAATTTAAATTGCTTGTGAAAAAGCCTTGGTCCTCGCAATTCCTAGATCTTTGCAAAAGAATTTCACAGATCCCTTGCTCTCTAAATAGGGATCTCAAACTTTCTTGTGAGGTTAATCTTTGCAGCAAAATCAATAAGCTTTCTTCAAATTCTTCTACCTTGCCAAGAATTATTAAAATGGCGTGATCTGAAGTAGACTCCTGATGACCCGTGAGTTGATCCGGGCCCAGGAAAGGTGAGCCACATGGCGATAGTTCTCCGGGGTGGGTTTTTTGGCCTAGGGGCTAACCCTGGTCTTTTTTCCTTACCTACGAGATGACCCTACCGGCGCAAAGTCCCGATACCACTCCATGGGAGCATTTCCGAGCCTGCGATAGGGCTCTGACAGGCCATGGAGGAGGCAAAAGGCGATTCCCCCTTTACTCTGAGCCCTGTCAGAGGTTAAGGGAGTCTTTTGCTGAATTTTGGAGACCGTTGGTTCTGTTCGGTAGGTGTCTCCCCCCCGTTAGACCTTTGACGTCACCATTTTTTGGTGACGTCAGAAGAGAAAAAGGTGGTGTGAGGATAGCGCTTAGCGTCACTGCGAAGCTATCCATTGGACAGCGAGGGGCTGAAATAAACCCCTACGACCTGCTATAATTTTAATCTAATCTAATCTGCCTTGCCAGATCTCAGTCCTCTAGCTACAACTTTTCTGCAAGCTTCAGAAATTGTGATAATAACCTGTTGATTTTGGCATTGCTGGATAAAATAAGAGAAGTAGGACTGATCTATTGTTAAAGAAAGAAGAATATCTATTGCATGGCATGATAGCTCATCAGATAATTCCAAGAAATGAAGAATCGTTTGAATGCTTCCTTTGATGTCTACTAAAAGTATGTCAACCACAGTATCCTGGTTATCTGGATCTGTGATCAAATTTTTGATATTCAATAGAGCAATTTCTATTCTTTTTTTGGATATTGAAAGAAGCAACGCTAATAGAGATGAAATCAATGATAGTTGGATTATTTCTTTCGATCTTTGATTCTTTCCTTTCTTTTCGATCAATTTTGATAAGTAATATCCAATTGCTTTATGAATCGAATTTGATGAAAATAATTGATATAGAGGTCTTCTTGATGACTTGGGCTTGCCCTGTGCTAATTTTTTCTTTCAGACTTCTGTGGATGGAATAAATTCTAAATTATTTGGACAATATCTCCGTTCAACATTATCTGTATGATTGTTTTGTGCAAAAATTAGTAACTCTCATAAACCCCAAAGCATTGTAAATTGAGCCTGGCAATTCTTAAGTTTGTCGATAAAGGGAAGAAGCTCAATCAGTTGGGGAGCCAGAGTATTGAACGAAGGGTAATAAATTTCACCAATATTTCCTTGAACATCGTCTGTAATGATGCTCGTTCTATGAGATGCTACGGAGCGAGGACTTGAAGGAGCTGCTATATATGAAACTGTGAGTCTGCTGCAGTTTAAAAGTGTGTAAATTGTATTAATGCTAATCGAGAGCTCTGGTGTCATAGATATTAACTTAGTTGACTCTTTTTCAACCGTGATAGGGGTTGGGGTTACCACTTTTTCAGGCTCAATTATCTTTGATTTTTGCATAACAGACTGCTCTAGCATGGAATTGCGTGATTTCAACCTTGAAATTTCTTCTTGTAGCTTCAAAATGGCATTTTTATCATTTTTAGATTCCGCTTCTATTGTATTTAATTTATTTTTCAAGTGCTCGTTTGACTTCTCCAAACTTTGAATCCTTGCCTTATATTTATTTGCGTTAGCATCTTGGGATTTGCTAAAATCTGTACCAGTCTTCTTTGGCTCTAGTTTAGACTTAAGCAGTTTAAGCTTATCAGAAACAGTTTCTTCAAGCGATTTTAGTCTCTTGAGCTGCACATTAATTTCGCTTTTAATTTTTTCCCTCGCTTGATTAGCATAGGTCAGCACTCTTTCTTGAATATCGCTCATCAGATTTTCTTCTCTGTCTAGAATTTCTTTTTCTTTAAAGCTAACTTCTTCTTCTCTTTGGTCAAGTTCTTGGCTTTTTATATCAAGAGCATCTTTTATATCCATAAGCTCATCAACTATCTGTGCATTGATTTGCTTTTTGCTGTCTTGAATATTTTCTATTATTTGAGTCTTCAATGCTGCGATTGAATTTTCAAGGCCTTGGTCTCTTGTAAAAATCTCCAAAGCATTGAGCGATATTGTTTTTTGGCCTCCGATTGATAAAATTTGTGCAAGCTCTTCTTTTATTCCTTCAGTATCCATCAATAGTGGGTATTCGAATTCTAAGCAGTCTATGAATTCTTTTGTAGTAATTTCATCGCTTTCTTTGTAGTATTTTTTCATGAATTCTTTTACTTCGTGATTTGAGATAACATCAAGGAATGACAATTTTGATGATTTCTGCATTGAATTTTTTGGCTTTGGAAGAAGCTCAGAATCACTTTCCAATTCTTCGAGCAATTTCTCGTGCTTTTTCCACATACTCTCGCTAGGACCTTTTTGACTTTGAAAATCACGCTCTTTTTTGGCTCCACAAAATTATCCGAAATATGGTGAAATCGATCTTGGAAAATTCATATAAGTCGATTTGAGAAAATCCATTGGAGGTAGAATATAGTTAATAACTGGAAAGTCGATTATTATAAATTTTATATAGAAAACTTAATAGAAAAATTTATTTTCACGTGGTCTGTTATTAAAAAAAATAGGAAAATCGTGAAAGCGAAACTAGGGCAAATATTATGGCACATGGAAAAATCAGCCAAGAAAGAATGCTTTCAAGTTTCAAATATGAAGACAAGTAACTGTGTTCTATATCACGAGATGTGTTAGTATACTTCTATGGAGAAAGTCGATTTCTTAGCTGCACAAATTTTAATGTTAAGAAGAAAATCAATATTTTTGAGATTTAAATTTTCAATCTTGAAGACAGTTAATATTTAATGCATTTTACTGGCTTCTAAAGTCCTAATAAAATAATTCAGGTTTTAAATATTAATAATTTTGATTAATTGAATTTCTTTTAATATTGACTAAGATTGATTTAATTTATATATTTAATGAAATTTTTAAATAAAATATTTTTGTATTTTTCGACTATAGCCTGGAACGGGGGCTATACTACGTTTTCATTATATTGGAAAAAAATAATCGATTTCTTTGTTGTCTTTTAAAACCAACTTCTTACTGTTTTGCATTTCGACTTGTGACTATTTTAAAATCGCTATCGTTAGTTGTATGTTTTTTGAGCATTGCAACCTATATGTGGAATCATCTTTTCACACGTAGAAAAGATTCAACGTGTAGGTTGCAATGTTCAACTAACGATATTTGATTTTTTCTCTTTACCTCAAAGGGTCATATGCATTTTATGCTCTATGATAATGAAAGGGATAAAACATGAAAATGAAGTTTTTTTGCATAAACTACCTCCCAAATATTCATATTAGCAACTTTTGTTGATTTATATTCAAAGACTTCAAAGCATTATTAAATTTTTATATGTCTAACCTACTTGCTGAGATTTCATATTTGCAACTTGAAAGCATTCTTTCTTGGCTGACTTTTCCATGTGCTATAATATTTACCTCTCATAGTTTCGCTTTCACGATTTCCTAACTCCCCCCTCCGTGAACGAACAAAAACCATTAGAAAAATTCCTATTTTTTGCCCAAAAACCCACCCTCCATAAACAAAATTTTTTTAGTTGAAAAAATTTTGACATAGAAGGGATAATTAGTATAATGAAATCTATGGCTAATTCTGTTTAATTTTAAATACATTGCGTTTTAAAAACATAAATTTTACAAATTAAACTAATATTTACTTTCCAATTTTTGTGAATTGGGATTTTTTTAAAATTTTGAGAAAAAAAAATTCTATAAATTTTATACATAAATTTTTTTAAAAAAAAAATAACCCGAATAAGATTTTTTTGCTCGCTCACGGAGAGAGGGGTAAGTTTTTTATAACAGACCACGTGAAAATAATTTTTTCTATTAAGTTTTCTATATAAAATTTATAATACTCGACTTTCCAGTTATTTACTATAATCTGCCTCAATGGATTTTCTCTAATCGACTTCTATGAATTTCTGAAATCGACTTCACCATATTTCGAAAAAATTTGTCGAGACCTCTTTTTTGCTGCTAATTAATTCTAACTCTCTTCTCAAATGCTCACTGCTTTTCTTTATATTATCAGCACTATCCATTCTTTCCCACACCATTTGAGGGAATCGATTTTTGGAATTTATTTCTTCAAGAGTCAGAGGTTTTATTGCGTTATCAAATTTGCTGGCGAGCTCATTATATTGAGATGATAGGTCTTTAGATTGCTTTCAGGAAACTCGTTTACTTTCCATTTAAATTAAATACCAAGAGCACATTATTCTAAGGATATTGACATGAATATTTCTGGAATAGCACATAATATAATTTTTTACTTCCCAAAAAAATTTTGCCCGATCACGGAAGGTTTTTTTTTTTTAAAAAAATTATATATAAATTTTATATATAAAATTTTTTTCAGAATTTAAAAAAAATTCGAGTTTGTAAAAATTAATTTAATTTGTAAAATTTATATTTATAATGCAACTTGTTTAAAATTAAATATTATTAGTTAGAGATTTCATTGTACTAATAATCAATTATATATCAAAATTTTTTATATAAAAAAATTTTGTTCACAGAGAGTGGGCTTTTGGTCAAAAAAAGGGTTTTTCCAATGGTTTTGTTCTCTCACGGAGGGGGGAGTTAATAATTTTTTTTTATACAAATAGAAAATGCAGTTGGATTTTTCATACGGATTCTACGTTTCAACAATTTTTAGTATTTTGACATTTGAGATGCCTCTCTTTTTGCTGAATTTGGAAATTCATAATATAGGTAGCTAAATGAAAGTATTTTCATAATTATCTAATATTATTCTATTGGTTTATTTAAAGCTGCAATCTTCCAGCTAATTTAAATTTAATGATTAATTTAGTTTTTATTACATAAAATATTTAAAAAACATCATAAATCAACCCAGTAATCTCATTCCCAGCTTATCAAAACCCTAATATTATTAATAGTAATTATTATCAAGTGATTCAAATATTTTCCTTATAATTTACTTTTATGCTCTAATTCGAATCGTTTCATGTTTTTCTTCCCTTTAAGATTCATTTTATTTTTTAAATTAAATTGTTTAAACTGGCCGTAAGCGAATCTAAACTAGCTTTTGCCATACCTCGGCTCCAAGGCAGCAACTTCCATAAACTTCAGAGTTCAAATAAGGAAAATAGAAGGCCACCATCTCGAATTTCCGATCTGAAAACCACCTGTTCAGATGATTAGCTCTCCTAGGTAGAGCCACCATCTGTAGAGTACTCCGCTGGTCACTATAGAGAAGAATCATGTGGTAGGTAAAGCCTGTCTAGCCATCTGGCAAGAACAGGAAAACAAAACACCCTGCTTCGGCCGGTTTCTCATTGAGATAGTCTGCTTCACTCACAAGGAGCATCTTTCGCCACCCATAGTGCGGTCCATCACTCCATCAGGAGGTGTGCCTCAGAGTCCAATTCCTGAAAACACCACCGTTTTACTTATCTTTATTTTTTAAGGAATATGGATTTTTCTCTTGACTGAATGAATGAGTCAGTTCCTGAGGCCGAATGCAGCTCCGGAATTCTCAAGGTAACCCCCAGATAGACTGATGCCGAGCTTAATTTATGGTCAACCCAAGATGGAATTTCTGAAGCTGAAAAAGGAATTCAATTACTTGAGTCAGGATTTCCACCCCAAAAGATTTGAGTCTTAAACAATCTCGACATTGTCATAAAAGAAGGCATTCATTCATTAAATTACTATAGGAAGCTCCAGGCCAGCCCACTAATCGCTTTTCAAGTCCCTCACTTCTAACAACCACCTTGCCTGCCAGTCTGATTACAAAGCTATTCCACAAGGTCCCCAGACTCCCAGCTGGCTATAGGTGTTAAAAGTTCAGATTCGCTAGGCCATATTTATATATATGTCATAAAAGAAGGCGGAACAAGAATTTTGAGCCGAATATTTGTAAGTCCTAATTAGTCTCAAATAATGAGTTGAGATGAGCAAATGCAAATAGCTGCAGGCATCGGCTTACTAAACACTGTAAAGAAAAAATATCTCCCTAACCGTTTTTTTCAAGATACATTAGAGCTTGCAGTAACATTTCTTAGCTTTTATTCTCGAACTATATTAGATGCATGGATGCCAGTATTTAACGCACTTATATTGCAAGTATCTGTTGATTTGATAAAATCAAAAGTAATTCCTATGATAATTTTGTTATCTGATTATAAGGCCTTCCTATAGATGGCGCGCAATGCACCATCACCGGGCCATGTCGGGAGAGGGTTCCACACGAGGAATGGTTCTACGTGTGGAACCCTCTTTTTGGCTCGTGGAAAGTAGTTTTCTCACAGGTCAAAAAGAGAGTTCCACACGTAGAACCATTTCCTCGTGTGGAACCCTCTCCCGACATGGCTCGGTGATGGCGCATTGCGCGCCATCTATAGGAAGGCCCTATATACTCAAAAACCTATCTCCCGGCAAGTTTCATGCCAATTAATAAACAGTCTTGCAGAAGTCTTAGGAAAAGAATTCAAAGGACAGATTTTGCAGAGAGCCAAAGCATTATCCCAAGACACAAATGCAGAAGTGAGGCAAGAAATGTGCAAGTCATGGTTTTCAATTGCAAAAGTTATTGGTGGTTCTGTGATTGAAGAGCTCATTTTTTTTGAAGCAGTTAAGCTTGTGCATGATGCTGCTCCAGCCGTTAAAGCTGAAGCAATTAGCCTATTTATTCAGTTATTACCTTATTTATCGATTGCGTTTTTAGAAGCTGAAGCAATGCCTATAATAAAAGCTGAACTTTTAGTCGAAGCGTCTGCCAGTGTTCAAGTAAACTTATCGCAGCAGATAGGCCCTTTATTTATTTCTATGAAATCGATAATTACTAAAGAAGATAGAGCTTTATGCATAGAAATCCTAACAAAATTAGCAGATTCAGATTTCACAGTCAGAAAAAATTTAGCGTTTAACATTCCTGGAGTTTATTTAGCTCTGGGAGCTTGCAAGAACCTAAAAGGGATCATTACGAAGCTTGCAAGTGACGAAGAAATGGAAGTAAGAATGAATGTCGCAGCTGGCTTGCATGAAATCGTGAGGCATGATCCAAACTGTAAAATAGTGAGAAAAATATCAACACAGCTATTTGAAAACCCTCAAACTCAGCTTGCAATGCTTAAAAATATTCAGCATTGGCAATACCATTTCCAAGCATCTGAGTTGCTTTCAAAATTCGCAGCAATAATAAATGCATCGAATTGAAGAACACAATTAAGCTATTTAGCGCAAATCAAGGAAGCATTTTTACAGTTTCCTATGAAAGATATTATCGACATATTTGTCCCTCTTCTTATATACAAAATGCAATCTGGCTCATGGCCATTAAAAATATCGTCTGCTGAGCTCTTAGCCAATATTATGTATCAGAATTACTATATGGCTCGCAAGCTCGATATTTGTAACATTTTAAAAGATAGATTTGCAAGGTCAAATTTTTGTAATGACAGAATTACTTTTCTCTATTTCATTCAGAATATTTTGCCATTGCAATCAAAACAATTTTTTTCTTCAATTTTCGCGGACGAAACTATTAGGCTTGGAAGTGACAGTGTAAGCGCTGTCCGTATTAAATTTGTATCAATGGTGCCTCAAATAAGAGAATCCCTCCAAAATCAAGGAATTACACAATTAAAAAACGTTTTAGCCAATTTAATTGAAGACCCTGTACAATCAGTAAGAGAATTGGCTCAAGTTTCGAGGAACATCTTGAAAAGTGAGGAATTCAATAATAAATTGCAAAGTGAAGAAATGCAGAGAAATGAGCAGAAAAAGCTGAAATTTGAAGAAGAACAGGGAGGGCAGGAATCCAGAGAGCAGGATGAAAAGAAAAAGAGAATGGTCGATGAGCTAGCAGCCAAAGCAAGAGCTGATATGCAGCAAAGCAAAAGTGGAGGGCTTAAAAGCAGGCCGAATTTAGGAAAATCAGCAAGACCTGAAGTATCAAGCAGTCCTAAAATACCAAAACCGAGCTTGCAGGTTAAACCACCTGTTGCTGTTAAAAAGAAATTGGTTTAAACCAAAACAAAATTTTATTCCTCAATAACAGATGTAAACAAGTTTGGCAGAAATTTTGGGATTTATATGAATAATTAATATTTATTATTAACCCTAGACTTATGGCAGGAACTGTTTTATTTCAAGTTCTTGTACAAATTAATTAGGATCAAGAAGGAAAGTATCGAAAAGAGCTCAAATTCTATAGCCTATTGTAACGTTAAATCAGCGAAAAAAACGATGACCTTTTAAGTTTTTCTACATCAGGATTAGTGATTGACGGAAAGGTTCTTACTTGCACTTCTCACATTAAATGAATACTAAATGAGGATGACCAATCAACTCTTTATAATAACCTAGAAATTATAAACCCTAAAACAACAGCTTTGTTTTGGATAATGCAAAATGAGACATGGGAAAAACTCAACCTTATTAAAGTATTTTTTATGAAAGAATTATGTGAGTTTAAGGACCTATTAAAAGAAAATTATGCATTTATGGTGTTTGAAGGTGAAGTCACTAATGAGATCTCTGCTCCAGCTCAACGAGCAATAAATATTATTGCATCACCTTATGGAGTTCTTTCCCAAGAAATATTTTTAAATTCCCATGCTCCAGGATTTTTGGCTTTAGTCTTAACTGAAAAAATAGCTTTGATTCAGACGAGAGTTATTGAAGGGATTGAAGGAGGGCTCGTTTTAATGCCTGAAAAAGCTATCTTGCTTCCAAGTAAGCTTCAAGGATTCGGAATAAGTGTAATTGCGCCAAAATTATAAGTGAAAATACCTAAACTAATCGCAATCGTTTCAATATTCTAAATAATAAATTTTCGGCAAATAAATAAAAATATGAGCTGGGAAGAACTTATTCCAAAATGTATCGACTTATTGCAAACATATAACCCTGTCACCGATTCTCCTGATACTCACTTTCAAAGAGCATCTGTAAAGAATGAAGATAAAAATGAAACAGTTTTTCTGCAGCAAGTCTTCTATGGCGTAAACCGTTATCGAGAATTCCTTAGGAGACTGAATAGAGCAATATTCAAAGTCCATGCCACTTCTACAAACAGCAATGACTCATACCCTTTTATGATCATCAGCTATTTAGCTTTATTCAGATTAGATGAGCTTGGTATCAAGAATTTTAAGCGACTTGTAGATACCCAGGAACAATTAAAAATGCATGTTCTTTTAAGCTTTCTTTTTGATGAAGAATTGCTTAATCCTCCCTCCTTGCCCAAAAAAACGTTTGAAAAATCCCTTACTTAGGTAAAAGCTACCCTCAGTGAGCGATCAAATGTATTTTTAATATAAGAATTTTTCTTAAAAAAATATTTCGATATATAAGTGATATTATTATAATGAAATCTCTAGCTAATTCTGTTTAATTTTAAACAGCTTGCATTTTGAAGCATATATTTTACAAATTTAATTAATTTTTATATATTCAACTTTGCGAATTTTTAAAAATAAAAATTTACAATTAAAATTTTATATATAAAAAAAATTAACTCCCATTGAGAGCGAACAAAATTTTTTGATCGCTCACAAAGGGTTAGAGAACATGTAAGAGAGTCTTGGTGCGAAGTGTATGATTACAAGTTTATAGACAATGAAATTATCTCAAAGGCTACTAGTAGAAAAATAGAGATGAGAAATCTTCTGGAATCACTTTCACTTAGGGCTACTGGACAAAAAACTCAGCAAAGCGAAGGAGAAGAAGAGGAAGATAAGGAAAAAACAAAAGAGAAGCACACCATTATGGTGAAGCCTTTTAATCTGACAAAGCCAAAGCCAAGGCGCTTACCTGTCCCAGTTGAAATTCCCAGGAAAATTCAAGCTAACAAAGTTGACCAAAAAATTTTTAACAATAGCTTGGCAACTGTGGACGAACAAAATAAAAAAAGATTTGAAGAAGTTAAGAAGCAGACGGTTTCAAAATATGATTTCCAAAACGATCCAATCAAAAGATTGTGGGAATCTTAGGATTATTTATAATATATCGATAAATTATTCACTCTTTTTAGGTCTATTCTTCATTATTTCACAGCCGATTTCATGCACAATTATGCTCATCAGCTTCATCTCTTTATCATATGCTATCTTAGATTCTTCTTTTTCAGTTACCAAATATTCAATTTCTAATTCTTTTTGCTTTATGAAGTCTTTCAAAGCCAATATTTCTTCTTTTGATTTCTGGCTGTTAATTTCATCGACTTTACTAATAGAGTTTTTGAGATCTTCTTCAAGCTTATTTTTTTCAGCTTGCAAGCTGGCGATTAAACTGTCTTTTTCTTTAAGTTCAAGCATGCAGACTGCGATTTCTTTGTTTGTTTTCATGATATCTCTTTCCATTTCCAGTAGCTTAATTTTGCTAAGACCTTCCAGTTCGTCAGTTTCTTTCTTTTTTAGAGCTTCAAGCTGGCTTAAAGCAAACTTTTCTTTTTCTTGTGCGACGCTAACTCTGTGCTGCGCTTGTTCTAAATCTATTTGTGCAGATTTAAGCATAATTTCTTTTTGTGTGAGCTGATTTTCTAATTTGTGGACCTCTTCCTTACATGCCATAAGTCTTTGGATGATTTCTTCTTTTTCCCTAAACAAGTTTTTCATTTCTAAAGAATGAGACTCTTTTTCTACTTTGAGTTTGTCCAGTTCAGTTTTTGACTCAATTAATTCAGATTTTTCTTTTTCTAGCTGCTTAATAGAGTTTCTCATATTGTGGATCATAGTTTCAGCTGTTTGATTATCTTCTTCTAGCTTTCTCAATCCTTCTCTTAAGTTTGCAACTTCATCATTCAAGGCATCTATTTCTTGTGTCTTTTTCCTTGTAAGTTTTCTTTCGTTCAGCAGGTTTTCTTCAGCAGTTTTCTTCGCTAAAATGGCAATATCCATTTGTTCATTTAATTCCTGCAAAATTCGCTGGTTGCCCATTTGAGATTTTAGAATTTTGTTTTCAGCTGATAAAAAGTTAATGCGCTCTTCTAGCTCAGATTGGAAGCCTTTATTTAGTGAGAAACTGTCATTACTAGTTTCTCCTCCAAATCTCAGTTGCTCTATTTCTTCGTTAAGTTCTTTATTTTTGGCTTCTAAAAACTGCCTTTTTTCTTCAAGCTCCTTTTTAGCCTTTTGGCACTCTTTTAGGATTTTCTCTTTTTCGTCCAGTGACAATAAAAGGGTTGCGCTTTTTTCTTTTTCAGCTGAAAACTGTTCTTTATAATAGTTCAAAGTTTGCTCTAAACTATGAGCTCCATTGACGTCTTCTTCATACTGTGCAAGTTTGTCTTTTAGCGAATCCCTCTCATCTTGGATGTCTTTTACTTTTATTTTGTATTGATTAAGCTCTTCTAACCTCTTTTTATAGATATCTAAAGTTGCTTCTGCCTTGCTTAGCTGGATGATTTTTTCATGAGCCATGTCAAGCTCATCTCTAAGCTTTAGAATTTCTCCTTGGTGCTGCTTTTTCAAATCGTTGATTTGGTTTTTCAGTTCCTGAATTGTGATTTCTTTTTGGTTTATCTGGGCTTCTAGCTGGACTGTCAGTATAGAAATATCAGAATTTCCTTTTTTCGACACTTTTTTGTCGAGCTCAGCTTCCAGTTCTCTCACCCTATTTAAAAGTCTATCTCTATCCAACATCAAATCATCTTGCCTGTAGGAAAGGTCTTCTAATTCTTTTTTGGCATCATCGAGCTGCATTTTCAAGGTCCTTTTTTCTTGCTTTAAGTTCATAAGTTCGGCTCTTATATCTTTGTCTTCATTATATGAATAATTTTCAAGCTTGCTTAGAACATTTTCAATGAAACCCATAAGTTCGGACTGGACAGCTTCATTTTGAGAAACAATTCTTGCAATATAAGTTTCTTTATTTTTGCATTTTATTGCTGCTCCCATAATTAATTCTAGCAATGATAAAAGCTGAGATCGATCATTATTTCTTGCAATGGCTGAAGTATCGATGTTTTGAAATAAATTAGAGAAATCTTTGCCAAGCTCTTCATAATAAAATGTTTCTAGCCCTCTCAGGAGTTTATTTAAGTTTGTGGTCTTTGCAGAAGCATTAAATGAATCTTCTGATAGCTGAGATTGGAAAGTGTCAGGAGAACTATATAAATATTATAGTGTCTTCACCGCTATTGCTTGCCTTGAAGCAAGCTTCTTCATAGCATGGAATTTTGGCAAGTTAACCAAGTGACAAATCCTTACAAGAGGATGTGCTTTTGCCAAATTGGAATTGAGTTATCACCTTTAGGCAACTCGTTAGAGCTCCAAATTTCCGTGAAAGAACCTGCTTCAAGGCAAGAAATAAGGGTAAGGGCATTATACATTTGGCTCATGAATTCGTAGAGGAGAAGGCCATCAGATAGATCGTCAATTGAGTGGCAGCCATATGAGAGATTATTGCTGTTTATCTACATAGTAAAATTACCCAAGAGACTAGACTGGATTCAAGTTTATTCATATTTATGAAATATGAGTATTAATTTTCTTATTCCAGGGTCATATCAATAATTTAATTCATAATACTGGAAGTTTTTAAGGATAAAAAGTTTCTGTAATCATGAGAGTTTTAGATAATCAATAGGATTCGTTTTAATCTAAAATCTTATAAGATTCCAATATAAAATTTCTTTAATAATAAGCATAGCTAGTTTAAATTTTGCAGCAATTTAATAGGATTAAATTATTAGAAAACAATTAATAGGAGTTAGGAACATTTGAAAATGTGCTAATTCCAACCCCTTTAAATTGGAACAATATATCAGTAAATTTGCATTTTTGGATACTTTAACTCTTACATTGGAATAATTTTTTTCTCAATAGAAAAAATTTTTGATGAAAGTACTAATTTTTAAAAATTTAATTTTGGCCTATTTAATAGACCAAATGCAAGTAGAATCAGATTTAAACAGTTTTTTACACTGAAAAATTAATTTTTTATTTAATTCTTATAAAAATATGGGATTTTCTCATGGATGGCGCTATTTCGGCCTTGATTTTCCCACTGGGAAAATTTTTTGGTTTTACCAATCCATATGGTACCGGCCGAATCAAAAAATATTCCAAGTGGGAAAATCAAGGCCAAAACAGCGCCATCCACAGTAAATTGCAATAAATTAAAATTCAAAAAACAATTAGCCAATTTAAATTTGGAACAGGATTTTTGGTTCCAAATTAAAGAAGGAGTAAGCTAAACAATTAATATTTAAATATAAAGATAAATAATCGAGAAGATTCATTATAAAAATAAAGATATTTGCATTTTAGTTGAATTCTCATTAAAATCTTTATTCTTTAATCAATAATTTAATTAAATAAACCATTTTGGAGACTTTTAAAATTAAAACATTTAATATATATTACAACAAGAAGCATACTGAAATTGAGGCAGGAATTTGAGTTATCTGAGTCTTCTTTTGTTCAAGAGAAAACCTCTATGATTTTTATAGAGCAGGAATTTTTGGAGGATATTCCTATAACTTGTCCTAACCAAGCATAAGAACTTTATCTTAAAATTTAAATAATTAATATTTAATTATCAATTATAAATGCGATGTGAAATTACATTATTGTCTAAAGATTATTGTGCCTTCGCATATCTTCTAACTTTCAGTAAAGAAATATCATTGAAAATTTCCTTGAATAAATTAAATTAGTTGTTAGACTTTTTAAAACTACGCCTAATAATTTTGTTTAATTGGATATACTGAAAGATTGTACTCAGAGTACAGTTTCACAGATAAATAATGCCCTCTATGAGTATTCTTTTCTTTTTTGTAAAATGCTAATCATTTTTTTAGATAAAAATATCTATGAAAATTGTGATGGAGTTTAGAGCTTATTTCTAATCTAAGATTGCATAAAGCTCTCTTTCTATTCCTTTATTTAGAGTAGCTTCTCCTTCAACTTAAACTTCTCTGTCAGCTATTTAATAAATCTCCAAACTAAATAACTTCACAAAACATAAAATATAAAATTTCTCAAACAGCTTGTTGTTATTAAAATTAATGCAAATATTGGCTTTGCTCCTAAAGACATTCAAATTTTATCTCAATCTTTGGTTGAGCTATATTCTTAATTTTATTTTTAGTATAGTCAGAAAATATAGCCTTTATAGTTTCTTTTTCTTTATTCCCCCTCTCCTTTAATGGAACAAAACAGAAAATATAGCCTTTATAGTTTCTTTTTCTTTATTCCCCCTCTCCTTTAATGGAACAAAAAAATTTCCATATTTTTGGGTACTTTAAACAGGACAATTTTTTTTATGAATTTTTATAAAATTAGTTTTGACCTAATCAAATAGAAAAGTGCAAATAGAATTATATTTTAACAGCTTTTAAATTGAATCAATTAACTTTTTGAATTAACTCTTCATAAAAGAAAATAAAGTCGAAAAAGATTAAGTTAAATTTATATTTTTTAATTTGTTTTATTTTTTTATTTAAAAAAAAAGAAATGTAAATTCGAGCTAGATGTTCGCCAATTTAAAGGGAAAGTTAGATTTATTGCTACTGATATTAAATATTTCCTATTTAAATTTATATTTTCTTAAAATAATTAATGTTTAGCAACATATCTGCTTTTTGTTCAATTATCTCCTTTATTCCAATTTTTTTCTAAATAAAATTTTAAGTCTAGCTAAATCTATCGCAGTTCTTTATCGAATCCCAATTACTCCCCTTTAAATTGGAACAAGTATCTATAAAAATTCAAAATTTCGCTGCATTAACCCCCTTTAAATCGGAAAAAGTTTAATATTTAAATGTTAAATTTGATAGCTAAAATACTAGGGCTTAAATAAATAGTTTTAACCTCATTCAATGGAATAATCACAAGAATAATATTATTATTTAGACAGTTTTTCACACTGAAGTGATAATTTTTTAATTAATTCTATATGAAATCAAATTTAATCTTATTTTATAAAAAATTTTATAAAATGCTTGATAGTGAAAAATTTAAATAAATTTATATTAAACAAAAAAATAGCTCCCTTTAAATTAAATCAATTTTTATTCTAATTAGGCAACGCAGAATCTATTTATTCATAAATAATTGAATCAGAAATTTAAGCACTTTTAATATGCTCTAAAACCTTATTAAAAAAAAATAATCTGATATTATAATTTTTGTAAATTGAGGAAGACATCATTAATATCTTGAATCCAGCTGGTATAAAAATCGACAATAAATAAAAAATTCTTTATCTTAATTAGAATGGAAGATAATGATGAAAGTAATATTCAAGATTCCGAAGAATCGGTTTTTAAAAAGATAAGCAAGTTCAGCTATAACCTCCTGGAAACTTTATTTGCTGTATTCTATGCTCTTTTCAAAGATTACAACACTATAAATAGATTTGAAACACAAACTGCGAAAATGTATGCTCACATGCTTTATTCGGCAATAATATCATTGCAAGTTTTGAGTTTAACACTTCCTCCTAACATCGATTCTTGGAGTTCCTTTAATTGGTTTTCAACTATAGTAGGAATCGTAAGAATTGATTATCTTTTAGCGATTCTGGGGCTGGGAGTTCATTGTTTTTATGTAGCTCTAGGTGTTGTGGGATACATAACATTAGTATTCTTATTCTTTTATTTCAAGATTTATTTCAAGCTGAAAATTAAAGAAAGCAATTACCGGTACATCCTTGGGTCTGTTTTAAAGATTATTAGAATGATTTTGTACTTACCCTTTATCAATATTTTTATTTCAGTTCAGAAATATTCATGGGCGTCAGAAACTAAAGTTTTTGGATACGGAGACATAAATTCAAGTGATATTCAAGTTGGCTATATAGATGTCATTAGTGAAATCTCAGTGCCAGTATTACTAATATTTGTTCTTATGGATGCTGCTTTTAATTATGAACAGTATATAACGAGGCATAAATCAATGATATATGCAAGAGCCCATGGGAAAATTGAAGTTTGCAAAATTTTGTTATTGACTGCACTTAGTTATAGCCATTGATATCTTCAAGAAACGTATTATGCAGCACACCTTGGGATTGGACTTGCATCCGGGGTCTTGCTTTCAGGAGCATATTTGTATTTTTTACCTTTTTACACAATTTTTGTCAATTTCACTGCCTCCAGTTGCTATTTACTTCTTGCTTGAAGCTCATTAACTCAGCTTATCGGACTTTATCTTGATAATGCTACCGTTGTATTTTATTTTATAATTTTGATTTATCCATGCTTAGAATTGGGACTGTGAGAGGCCTTAAAATATCGAATTGCTTGGCTTAAATCAAACTGTGAAGAAGTAATTTATAGCCAAAATCTTTATTGCTGTGAGTTGATTGTGAGATTTGAGATTTTAAAACTCTTACCCCCTCTTTGAGCGCAAAATCCCTAAAAAATGACCCTCTGTAAGCGAACAAATATTTTTATAAAAAAATTTTATATATAAGTGATATTGTTATAACGAAACCTCTTGCTAATTCCTTTTAATTTTAAACAGATTACATTCTGAAACATAAAATTTACAAATTAACTTTAATATTTGCTTTCCAATTATTGCGAATTGGGATTTTTTAAATTTAAAAAAAAAAAGATTAACTCCTGTCTGTGAGCGAACAAAATTATTTTGTTCGCTAAGACTGGGGAGTTGGAAATAAACCGAAAAACCCCAGAAGGTAAAATTTCAGCCAAAAAGATCCGAGCCAATATTCAAACTCTATATAGAGAAATAAACAAGAGGTTTAGAGGGAATGTGTTTTGTGCTCTCTGAGAGTTTTTATATGTATATATTGTTCTCAAAAAAGAGGGTGTAGCAAAAATCAAGCTAACTTATACAATGGACACACAATTCTCATTGGAAGGAACCTATTTAAAGTATAAATATTTCCGAGCAATTACCGATTTTAGTAAAAAAGTTTTGGAAGAAGTAGATTATATAAACTTTCGGAAGATGTATGAAGATGCTCTTAAGCTTGATAAAGAAGCCTGCCAAAATCAATTGGATTTTTGGACTGAACTAAGTGCAGAAAAACCATTGATAGAAAATATAGAAAAAATTGGGTATAAATTGTTCAAAAATATCCAAAAGTCTAAAAGATTTTCCAAAAACTTGATTAAGCATTATCCAATCAACCAGCAAGCATTGAGGTTGTATGGAACCTTTTTGCTTGAAGTGTATAATAACACTGTCAAAGGGAACGAGCTAGTTAGTAGAGCTGAGCACGAAAAGCTGCAATCAGAACAGAAAAATGCAATTATTGGCGAAAGATTTAATTATTTTGATGAAAATAATGGGATTATTATTATATCTGGCAGCCCTTCTGATATTGGAACTATAATAAACATTAATACCCAAGCGGGAAATTTATTAGCAATTCCAACAAGATATGCAATAGGCCAAAATATAATTATTTACATCCCACCCCCTGGAAATCAATTAAACGTGCATAATCGAGCAATGGAGGAATATCTTCAGAATACAACCACAACAGAAGTCTGTGCTCCTTTCAACCTTATTATGGTTGATGCTCTTGGGTTTCTTATTGAATGCTATTACAAAGGAAGGGCTGTTGCCCTAGACTCTTACCCTTTTTTTCTTTCTGCAATAAAAAAGAACACTCAAGCGAGAGAGTGCTTACTCTACGATGACTCAAGTATGATTACAGTAAATACCCGAGGCATAGCTCGTGTACTTGGCTACTCAGAAGAAATTTGCCTTCTAAACAAGATAGACGCCAACAAAGTCATCCCCGATTTTGACTTATTAAGAGAGAAAAACCCTCCTCCTGCAATTTTCGAATATATTCTTCCTGGCACTGTGAACACGCTATGGATGAGATTCATTGATTTAGTCATGGGAAAAACGACTTTTAAAATGTTGTATGTCACTGCTGATAAAGATGAGGCCAAGTCTTGAAAAACAAACAAAGAAACCATGAACTTTGATGATTTGAGGGATCTTGGAGTTATAGAACCAACTCAAACTGAAGAAACCAGGAGAGAGAAAAGAGGGATATTGAAAGCGCCTAGAACTAAAAGTGAAAAAAATTGCAACGTTACGTTCGACATCAACCCAGAAGTATATGAAATTGATGATACTGATTTTAAAGCTGGAAAAAATGTTGCAGGAGGAAAAGTAAAAGATGCTGTGTCTTCGAAACAGCCAGTAAAGCTATCAGAATCTAAGGTTGATGAAGATGAGGACAAAGAAGAAAAAGAAGACGAGGAAGAAGAAGAAGAAGAAGAGGAAGAAGAGGAAAAAGAAGCAGCAAAGCCTCTTCCTGTGCCTCAAGAAGGAAAGATTTTTGACCTAAAAGACTTAGGTGGCTTTGTATTTGATAACTCTGAAAAAGCTGCAGACGCTGCTTCAGTCGTCTCTTTCTCTGTAATTGATGAAGATGTTTCAAACAAAAAAAGGTCAGGAACAAGTATTGCAAGTTCTGCTGTAAGTTCGAACGCAAGTTTCACCTCAAGCCAAGAAGCACAAGTTCTCTTATCTGGAGTCACAAACTCAATGAAACGTTTCAAAATCTCCTTTTTTCTTACAGTAACTTTTATATAGTGTGTGATAGTAAATATAGGGAGAACTTGCAAAAATGGTGCAAAAAGCGTAAAAAATAAATGTAATTTTGCAATTATTTTTTTAATTTTGCGAAAAAAGCATTTGCTTTGCATTTTTTCAATGTTTCCATAAATATAGCCGCTCTGGCTATGATGATTTATCTTGAATTTATTGCCACAAACTTTTTGGAAAGTGTCATTATAAACGATCTTGCTGAAAGAAGAGAACTAAATACCTATTTCATTCTAGATGCCAGAGTATTAAACTTGATTAATGAAGGATTATTGCCATCTTCAATGGAAGCAGGCAGTAGAACTAGACTTATGACTGATATAGACCGTTACAATGAAATCATTAGCAATATTAAAGACAATATTAAGGCTTGAAGTGATGGAAAAGCAAAAGATATGTATTTAGACGAAAATATTAAGTCATGGCAAATGATTAGATTAGTGAATTATAGTGGGTCTTTGGGTATATTACACCCCTCTCTGCCCCTAGCTAGCTTCCAGCTCAGGGTGACCCTTAGTACCGGTGCCACGCCAAGTCCTTTTTCTGTCTTGTCACCAAAAAATGGTGGCATCACCAGTCTCTCAGGAGACTCACCCGAATATGCTTGAGTCGAGTTCTTTGGTAAGGACTCTCTTAACTCCTGTAGAGCTCAGAGTACAGAGAAAGCTCCCAAAATGCCAATTTCTGGACTAATTTGCCTTTATAAGGCACACATTGCTTCCCAGAAGTGCGATCAGACTTTGCGCTTTTGGTGTCGTTATCTTTGGGTCAGGAATAAAGCATGTCATGGTGTCCTGACTTAGCAAAAACCCACCCCGGACTTCTAAATTCTAAAGAACGGGATCCACTTACCTGGGGCTGTAATCAACTCTTTAGTCACCCTGGATCTATTCACCACCACCCTATTCTTTTGAGAAGTATGTTAAATGAAGAATGGGATAATCAATAGCACTGATGTAAATTTAATGGATGCAATGCAAAATCTCGTCACTCGAGCTCAACTTCTTTATAATACCCCTCTACAAGAAATCGATATAAAAAATCCCGATTTCTTTTATATTTACCGAAACAGCTTCGGAGAAACAATGCAGGCCTTAAATGTGTCTATTAAATACTTCATAGACGACGTCGAAGAAAGCATGAACCAATTTTTGAGAATTATATTGATCCTTGCTTTATGCGCAATTGCTCTTATTTTTATCTGCTTTTTTTTAATTATAATTCCTACATTGAGACAGGTAGAGAAGTCAAATCAAACTGTCTGGAGTTTATTTTACTTATTGCCAATCGATTTGGTTCTCGAAATGAAATCGAGGTGCGAAGAAAGGTTGGAGACAACTCATGGCATTGAGTCTGATAAAAAGAATGAAAAAAATAAATTCAAGTCACTGGATGGGAGGAGCGATATCAAAGCCACGAATAAATGGAAAGGAATTTTGGTGAAACTTATAGTATATTATGTGCTGTCTGCTGCTTATTTTTTATTTTTTTATTTTTTGGGATACGAGACATTTGGAAACACTCTGGAAATCAAGCCGAAAATTAACAATTGGGCAGGAATGAGGACATCATCCATAAACGCAGCTTATTTCTGGCTTCAAGAAGTAAAGTATGCGAATTCAAGCTTAGGCTATAAATGGGTTGTTCCATACAGTGAATATGAAGTAAGCCCTAACGATGCGTTTTACTTTAATTCAGAACTGATAATATTTTCTGAGTACAACTTATTGTTTCTTTATCTTTCCTCTTTGAGCAGGAGCTCTAAGCATGATACTTATATATGGGATGATGCTTGCATCTCTCAAGAATGCATTACTTTGTCAAAAGGATTTTATGCTTCTTTGAACGAGTACTACTTAGGAGTGAGGAATATTTATTGGGAAATCATCGAAGGTCAAGATCCTTCTTTGGACGATTGGTCAAGCACAGGTAGCAACCCTACACCCCCCACCCCCCCCCTTTTTTAATGGTACTCCCACCCCCCCCCACCCCCCCCCTAAAAAATGGCACCCCCACCCCCCCCTTAATATAGCATAAATATATGACAAATACAAATTTAGAGCAGACGTAATAAATAAATTATTATTTTAAATATTCAAAATTACTGATTTATACAATATCCACATAGCGTAGCACAATCGATTAAGGAGTAGGTGGAATGAGGTGAGAATTTCCTATAACTACTAAGCACACCACATATGAAAATTTGTTAGCGAGCATAATAATGATCTTTGGCATTAATTAATATATCCTGCATATATTTATGAACTTTGTGGAACAATGGCTAAAAGTCGAATTAGAGATCCAAAGTAAAACTGCCAATAGCAAATACTATTTTTATTACCACTATTGAATCCTGTTACCAATTCAGTCCTGCAATCTTTATACAATGGACATTAGATTAGCTTTAATGCATGAATCAATAAATTTAATACAATTTATTGTGTTTTTTACTTGGCTCATTTAATAATTAATGCCATTATCTATATCTTTGGCATTATATTTATAAATATAAAAAACAAATTTAATATATTTTCTAATTAATTGCTAATTAATTTAAATTTATTAATTAATCATAAATATAAAGTAATTTGTGGACTTAATTTATCAATATAGTGTTTTAATTGGGTTATATATTAATTTATTTTGTTTGTTTCCTATCAATTACTTCTATAGAATAAACCCGAGAGGGGGGTGGGGGTGCCATCTGTGAAAGGGGGGGTGGGGGTGGGGGGTGGGGGTGTAGGGTTGCTACCTATGCTTGACCAGACGATATTAGTGAGGTAAAGGAGGAATTGATGGCAATGGGAGCAAAATTAATAGACCTATATGAATCGGATATAAAGAGCCTAATACATGAGGATGCTTTTGTTGTGGCATGGATCAGTTCTTCATACTGCGTTATTGTTTTGCTTTTATATTTTTCAGTTTATGTAAAAAAGCTCAATAAAGTCCAGAGAGAGATTACAAACATATGAAGCTTGGGGAGACTAATTCCAATTGATCATCGAAATAAAATCATGAGAGCATTGAGGGCTCATGGGAAACTAAAATTGCAAAAAAAATAGCTTTATGTTGATAACTTAATATAACAAGGTTTATTTATTAAGCCAAATTAATTGATCCTCTTCATAATTTATAATTATTCTAAAATTTATTGATGTCACTTATAAATAGTTGAAGAATATATGGAAAGAGGTGATACAGAGAACTTTGAAACAATACTTAAAGAAGGTTGGATCGAAAAGAGAAGCAGATTCATCAAAGAATGGAGAAGAAGATGGCTCGTTCTGACACCAAAATACCTTTTTTCCTTCAAACAACAGCAGGGATATAGAGATAATCCAACTGAGCGCATAAGATTGCAGGACTGCTCAACTGTGAAATCGGCAGAAGAAGAAACGAAGAAAGACTTTTCTTTCAGAATTGATACTCGAGATAGAGTATTTTATTTTAGTGCTCTAGACCCTAATGATAAAGAAGCGTGGATTGGATCTATTGGGAGAGCAATGGTGAGACCTACTGTAATGCGCTCTAAAAGTGAAGAGGATGCGTTAAACGGATAATTAATACAGATTTAATAATTGAAAGCTAAAATTCTTTTCAGAAAGGCATATTAATTAATGCTAGATTATATTTTTAGCTTAAAATTAATGGATATTTAATTCTTGCAGGATATTCATTTAAAACAAATAATCTATAGCTTCAAGAGTTTTCCCAATGCAATAATTCAAGTAAATATGAAATAGCTTTTCCTAACCCATCCTTGAGCGAGCAAAAACGTGTGGAAAATTCCTATTTTTTGCCCAAATATTCACCCTCAGCGAGCGAACAAAAAATTGCATTTTAAAAAACATAAGTTTGTTGAATCAAATTAATATTTGCTTTCAATTTTTTAATCTCGAAAAAAAATTTTTTTCAAAATTTATATAAATTTATTTGCAAATGGGGGGAGTAAGCTAAGCAAGTCTATTTAATTTATAAAAAGATATGGTTTTGAATGTTGGTACAATAGCTAGTATGTAGAAGTATACTTTTGCATGCTAACAGAAGTTTGATCTCTCTTCTATATAAATCTGCAATATTTATAAAAAAGTAGATATTAATTTTGCAATCTCTTATTTTATTTTAATTTATCATTTAAGATTTCACTTTAAAAAAGAGCATGGCCTTTAATTTTTTAGTTTCAATTTTCACTTTACTCCCTCGAGCGAACAAAAAAATTTTGTTCGCTCATGAGGAGGGGTTAATATTTTTTTTTAAATTTTATATAAATTTTATTTTCAAAATTTTTAATTTGTAAAAATTGAGAAGTAAAGATTGATTTAATTTGCAAAATTTATGATTTAATATGCCTATTTAAAATTAAACGGAATTAGCTAGATAATAATTATCACTTATATATCAATTTTTTTTCGTTAAAAATTATTGTTTGCTCACGGAGGTGGGTTTTTGATCAAAAAATAGGAATTTTTCCAATGGTTTTGTTAGCTCACAGAGGGGAGTTGGATCTCATAAGAAATGCTCTTGGAAGTGCTGAAGAATGCTATTTTTTAACTTGCAGCTCTGAGCAGAATCCTCAAAACTGCCTAGTTGTTTATAATCAATCGCAAGTTATTACTTTAAATCCATGTGGATCGAATAGCATTTGCCCTGTGCAAAACATCTCTCCAAATTTGAATCATATAGATAGATTCATCAATAAAACTTGTGTTCATGAATCCTCAAGCATATGCAATTATTTAGACAGATCAAGATTAACTGGACAAGACTGCTGCAAACATACTGATTGCCAATCAGAGCAGTGTGGAAAATCTGGGTGCATAGGCATCAAAGAATCCCAACACTGCTCAAAGGACGAAGAGTGCGACACAAATTTATACTGCACTGATTTAGGATTTTGCTATAAATCGTATTCCTCTGGCTCTAATGGATGTAAGCGTGACAATGAATGCGGAGCAGGGTATGGGTGTAATTTTGGGAAATGTGTCCAATATTTTTCCTTAAGCGATGGCAAGAAAACTGAAGATAGCAAATTTTGCAAAAGTATGTTGAAAATCGGAGATATTTGCGATTCTTTAAGTTTATATCTACAAGATGAAATGTCTTATTATCCTTTCAATTGTAGTATTGGAGATAATTGTATTTTTCTTGGAAACAGCAATAAAAATCCACTTTTTGCAAGCACTCCTTGTGAGTGCGATGGAAAGAATAAGGACACTGGGTACTGTGGGCAATATATAAGATACCTCAAATGCATCTCCAGTCTAATTTCAAGCGCATTGAAGTATGACTCATCAAATTGCTCAATCTCCCTACGTGATATTAAACAGAGTTAGAGAGTGATCGCTATTAAAAAGATTCATAAGATATCGCTATAGAATACGCTTAACCCGGAATATTTCCAATGGCTTTGCTCATGGAGGGGGAGTTAGGTAAATTTTCGCACACAGATGATATTGATATTCTATTTTCATGCGGATCTATAACAGAAGAGCAATATAATTTAGTTAAAAATATTTACAAAGAAACAGAGAATTGATCATTATACCAATCCCAACAGATTAATTATTGCTCTAAGTCATTGGGTTTATTCGATCCAGATATGAATGTCCTCAATAAATCTATTAATCAATGCAAAAAGAGCACTTCTTTATCACTGTCAACAAAAACAACTGTGGCTATTACAGTCACATGCGTAGTTATTCCCTCCATAATCATAGGAGGAATAATATTTTGACTTATAAAACGACGAAGGAATCGCCATGGGCATCACATTATCCCCCAATCATCTAGAAGCCAATACCAAATCCAAACAAGTAAAGCTGTGGAGTCAAAATCTCAGAAACTTGATTCGATTCTTCCATCACTCATATTTTCTGCTGATTTGGCCATCAAAGGCGATCCTGTATGCAGTATATGTTTAAATGAAATTGCTTATAATGATGAGATCAGAGTGACCCTCTGCTCTCATCCATTTCATTCGAATTGTCTTGATGAATGACTAAGGCAGAGAAATTTCTCTGCACAGTGCCCAAACTGCAATGAAAATCTACTATAAGTCAGATCTAAAGTTGAAGATGTAAAAATAGCACATATTAAATAATTAATACTAATCTAAAATCATAGTTTTCAAGTTGTATAGAACTCAGATTAGGAGAAAGATTTAAGGCTTAGGAGAATTATCTCGCAACCCTTAGACTTCAAATGATAATTATCAGTAGGAGAGGCAAGAGAAAACTAAAATTACAATTTTTCATAGAGTGAGAGAATTATAATAGAGTGTATAAAGCTTCTACATCGATAGACATTCATTAGAGAAGAAAAAACGTTAAGAGCAGATGTTTGCGTTAAACCTCAGCATAGGGATAATTGAAATTTCAAGCTTCCTTTGTAATAAAGGTAGTTTAGGCTGAGTACCTTTTTATTTATTTATACTTATATAATAATAATAATAATAATAATAATAATAATAATAATAATAATAATAATTTTACGTTTTATCACGCCCAAGGCGTCTTAATTTTTTGCTTTTCGTAATTATCTTGATAAATTCCTTAGCATGAGCATCAACTTCGTCAACCTGACTCCTTGTCAAGTCCAGCTTGTTCTTTTTTTCTTCATATCTTCAAGAATCCAGCACAACATCCATCAAATTCAAATCTTCATCACTATCTATGTATGTCTTCAAATTCATTAGTAATTTCGTTCTTTCGTTATTAAACCTTGGACAATCTTCTATTAAATGTTTTTCATCCTGTATTTGTCAGTCGCAATGTTCACATATCGTATTTTTCGTCTGATGCCTTATAAATTGGCACAAGTTCGTGCAGTTAAAACCTGCTCTTAACCTGAAAAGTTCCCTTGCGCCGTTCACATCTTTAGGATTTAGCTTTGTGTATTCAGCCATTTTTCAGGTAACAGCATTCATATCGCAAAATAGTGTCGTGGTTTTTTTCAGGTTTCTTCTCGCATCCTTTGAATGCACCATTCCCTGTCCGCTTTTCATATGGCCATGTGCATTTTTCTTCGCCACCGCTTCAGATTTTCCTCTCCTAGCAACATGCAATCATCCAGCCCGTATTTGTCCAATAAGTCTCTACATCTTTTTTCTCAACCCAGTTTCTCCTCATAATTGATTTTTACTAAATTTTTGAGTATGCTCCCTTCTTTTGCATTTGATACTTTCGCCCTGAATAATAAAAAGCTCTTTTATCCAGCAAGGCTCTTGCAGACATCATCCCTAAGTCTATTAGATGAGTTTCATTTGCTGTGGCTTGTGGTGAATTTAGGATAACTCTTAGCCCTCTACGTTGTATCTTCTCCATCTCAGCGATTATCCTTTCAGTGATTTCCTCTCTAGAGGCTGCTTCTGTTGCGTACAGAGCTACAGAGTTTATGCATGCTTGCACCATCTGTCTCTTCGTACTTATTGTTATGCTTTTCATCGCATTTAGGATACCAAGGAACGCTCCAGATGCTACTCTCATAGACCGAAGCCTGTTTTCGAAGTGTTTTATGTCCTTTACCCTCTTTCCCATATAAATCCTAGGTACCTGAAGTTATTTGAGACCTTTAGGATGTTTCCATTAATTCTGACCGAGCCTTTGCATGCTTCATTAAAGCACATGACCTCAGATTTGTCCTCATTTATTGTTAATTTAAATTCCCTTGCCCATTCCTCAACCTCATGACATAGTTTCTGCAGGTTTACTTTTGATTCGGATATAAGAACTATATCATCTGCATATAACAGCAGACCAATATTTACATCAGGGCCTAGTTGAACTCCATAATTTTTCTGCTTTAATCTGATGGCTAATTCGTTCGGTATAAAGTTAAAGGCAAGTGGTGAGACACATCCTCCTTGTCTGACCCCCTTCTGTATGTGGATTCATTTCTGAGGCTGATCATTCATAATTATTGAACTCCACTCATCTTTCATCATGGCACTGATCATGTTTATGGTTTTTCCTTCCACTCCTCTTTTCATCATTGTTTGCAACAGCAGTCTCCTGGGTACTGAGTCAAATGCTTTTCTCAGATCAAGGAACGCACATCATGTTGGCTTATTATTTGCAGTCCTGCAGTCGATTATGGTGTCCAGAGTAAAAATTTGATCAGTCGTGCTCTTGTGAGCCATGAAACCTCCCTGCACTTCATCTATTATGTGCGCACCCTCTACCTCGTCCTGCAGTTTCTTGGCAACTATTTTATCAAGCAATTTAAAGGGGAATTAGTTTTGATGATGCAGGTACCTTTCTTTATAATGCATCTTGAAGCATAATTTTTTTCTTCTCTGAATCTAACATATCTAATAATAAAATTATAAATGTCTTCCACATCATATCGAGTTAATGAATTTCTTGAAAGAGCTAAAAGACTTTCTCAAGAGCCAAAGGCTTCTGTCTTTGCCCAGTCATTGCCTAAGTCCGAACCTTCCACTATCAGGAAGATGCCTCAACAAATGCCTATAGTGCCCCAAAAATCAGCAGAAGCATCTCATAGTTTTGCTTCTACATCATGAGAAACTCCTCCTCTATCTCAAAGAAGTCCAACTATGTCGCCTTCTCCTTTTTCTCCTTTAAAGTCTCCCAGGTTTCCAAGAACCCTACCACCAAGATTAACCCAATCCCCTAAGCCTCGAGAATTAATGAATTCATCTCGAGCGTCTCCGAAACCCAAAGCAAGCACAACTCGAGGCATTTCAAACACCCTAGAATCATTGATAACAGAGATTTTAAGTACAAAAAAGGCATCAAAAAAGCATAGAGAAAATTCAAAAGAGAACGAATCCAGGGCACTCAACCTATTCAAAACCGCGATCTCCAAAGAAAAAGAAAAGATCGTTATCGATCCTCAGACAAAAGCAATACAAGAATTGTATGAAAAGAAAACACAAAAGTTTTTAAATGCCATCGAAGAAGAAGTCCAACAAATGAGCAGAAGATTAAAAGAAGCTCAAGAAGAAAATAAGCGACTTAAGCAAGAAGCAGCAGAAAAAGACTTTTCAAAAGAAAAGCCCTATTTTCAAGACCTTAATACTTCGAGAAACTCAAACTATGATGCAACTGCATCGTCAAAAATCATGAAAGAAGCTAAAAATGAACCTTTAAATCGATTTGAAGAATTATCTCAAGACATCGCTGATATCAAAAGAAGTTATGGGAGAAATTACGCGAAAGATATAGAAAATGCAGTTTTGAAGTGATATAGCAATTTAGACTTGGAAAATGATGGGTATCAACATCTAAAAACTTCATTGTGCAAGAAGATTAACGAGCTGGATGAGGAAAGACTTTCTACAGAAGAAAATGCCAATGCACTTCTGGCAGGCGAAGAGAAAAAGATTGCTGACCTTGAGCTTGCTATAAGAGTTCTAGAAATGAGAAGTCATAGCCAAAGCACCGATAAGTTCATGGAGGTTAATGCAGAGATGTGTGACGCTGTGGTTGGAAACAAAGAAGTATTAATTCGCAAGCTAGCCAATACAGTCCTTCAAAATGTTTACAACGCAGCTGTGGAAACTCGATTTAGATTAAACTAAATATCCCGTACTAACTTCGCTAAGCATTTCTAACTTATAATGGCAGCTAAGGTTTATAATTTAATAAGGCATTTATGCATAATGTGAATTAATTGCTAGTTATATTCTTTTCGTCTTAAAATTCGTAATCTTGTCCATGCTTTGATAAGCTTGTCCTTTTTATTGTAGGCTTTTCAAGAGAAGTCCTCATATCCAACCCACTTCCAGATAGTTTTTCCTCCTTTTCATAGAGGTTTTTTAAGAAGTTTTCATTATTTTCTTCTATTGGATGTACTTGAGGAGTATTAACAATTATATCAGTTTTTACTGTTTCTTCTTTATTTCCTTTATTTGTGCTTTTTTTGGCATATTTGTCCATTAAGCCTGCTGATATGGACTTTTTTTGTTCTTCTTTTGGCTTCTCTTCTTCCACTTCTTTTTCTTCGTCAGAAGAATTCTCCGATTCCTTTTGAAATTTGCTGTCCATAGACCAGCCAGTCTCTATAGGAGCTCTAACTTTCGCTGGCTCTTCTTTTTTTAGAAGCATTTCTTGCCTTTCTTTTACACTAATTCCTCCAATGCCTAGACTGGCTGCAGGTGCTTCAGCTTTCTTATTATTTTCATCCTTTTTATTAAACATCTCCATTCTTTCCTTCAAACTCATCCCTACTCCTGCATTTAAGTTTTCATTTTTCTTTACATCAACTTCTTTATTTGCAAATTTTTCCATTCTTTCTTTCAAAGATGGGATTGGCTCATCTATTGTGCGTTTTGGGACTGCTTCTTCTTTTGGTGCCTGAAAAAGAGCCATTCTTTCTTTCAAAGTCATTGACGATTCGATTTTTATATCTTTATTTGCAGGCGCTTCTTGTTTGGCATTAAGCATAGACATCCTTTCAGCAATCGGAACAGTGTTAGAATGAGCTAGAGTTGTCTTTTCTTTTTCTAATTCCTTATTGCCTTCTAATAAAGAGTTCATTCTTTCTTTTATAACTCTAGTCCCATTTTTACCCTTTAAGGAGCAATACCTTGCCTTATGAATAAGCCACGAAAATGTCAATTTTTCTGACAAGTGCAATTTAAATTTGGCAAATGCAAATTAAAGCTTTATATGTGTCAATTTTTAATTAACCCTTTCATAAAAATTGGCGTTTGTCAAGCTCATTCAATAAGAATAGGTATTGCTGCTAAAGAATCTATAAGGAGTCTTAAGCTATATGCTGACACCTGTGCTGATATTGGCTTTCTTTTCTTCTCCTATAATATCTGGCTTCGCATATAGGCTTGCCTTTCTTTGAGCAATTGGCTGGATGCCTTCTGTATCTACTCCTTCAATTTTTGTTTTTTCTTGGCTTTGGAATAGTGTTTGAGCTCTCTCCCTGACAGAAATTCCTGTCTGAAACTCGCTTTTTGGCTGAGGTTCTTTAGCCTGATTGCTGTTTTGCTGCTTTAAAGCCTTCATCCTTTCTTCAATGGAAACTCCTGTTTGAAAAGTTTTCTTTTCTTTGTCTGCTTGCTTTGATTTCAAGTTTTCTTCAAATCTTCCCACATCGATTTTCTTGCCTGACTTAATAGGTGGAGCAGTATTTGGCTGGCTATTTGGTGGCTGCTGAACTATTTTTTGAGCCATCGGCCTAGGAGGTTCCATAGAATTTAATATAACTACCAAATTCTAGTTATTATTTTGTGATTATCACAGATTTTGTAGATTTCAAATATTAATCATAAAGAATCTTAATAGTTTATTGAGCCTGTGATTAAAATTTCAGACATCTCCACGTGCTAAAACCATTTTGATTAATAATTCATAATTTATAGCAATTCACAGACAATTATATTCTTAGAAAGTAGAGAAATTTTATCCAATGAACAATATTTATTGTTCCTGAGCAAAATTAAAAATCATATTCTGTGCTTTTAGATTTTTACCCTATTTTTCTTTGATCCTACTTTATTTTAAAATTATATGCAAATTTTAAACAGCATTCGCATAAGAGGTTTTTAATACTTGATGCAAGGAGAGTCAATTATAAGCCAAAATTAATGCTTAATATTCAAATCTTGAGGGAAAAAATTAATAGAGTTAATAAACCCGCTTTACAATGATTTGCTGAAGAAAACATACTATTTTTCAATTATTGTTGGTTATTAGTTAAAAGCTAATCAGCCTGGAGAAATAGATTCTCACTTGATGAGCTATATTGGTTTGCTAGTCCAATGACAGTATCCCAATAGCTCATATTCTTACCCCACACAAAGGTAAGGTGCCCAAAGTCCAATGTTTCTTCTTGATAGACAATAGATTTAGCAGGAAGAATTCCTCTAAGCCATGCCCCATCAGTAGGATCAGCAAGTCTGTCGTCAGTTCCAAAGAATAAAGCTATTGGGCCAGGAATCTTACTCCCCCCCTAAGTGAAAGAACAAAAAACTTTTGTTCGCTCACGGATGAGTTATTTTTTTTCAAAAATTAAAAAAATTTCAATTTATAAAAATTAAGAAGTAAAAATTAATTTAATTGTAAAATTTATGTTTTAAAATGCAAGCTGTTTAAAATTAAACAGAATTAGCTAGAGATTTTATTATAATAATTGCCACTTATATATCAAATTTTTTTTCATAAAAAATTTTTATAAGAATAAAATTTTGTTTACTTACAGAGGGTGGGCTTTTGGTAAAAAAAAAAATAGGGATTCTTTCAATGGTTTGGTTCACTAATGGAGGGGGGAGTTAGCAAAATTATATACTGGAGCTTCTTTTTGCCCATATACAACAAGATTTTCTGCTTGACCATAGTCATATTTCTGGACTTTATAAACCAAATAGTTGGTCATCTGCTGCCAATGCATCATATTATAGACACTTGTACCACCTGCTTCATGAGCCAAAATAGTTGGAAACATCTCGGTATTATCATTACCAGTTGTCAAATCAGTCAGCAACATTATTACATCATCACATGCACCTGCAAACAATTCGCAGAAATCATAGTTCAAGCCAGGAGCTTTATCATATGGCAAGAACGCTCCAGCTCCATGCTTTTGCATAATTTCAAATAACGGAATTCTTTTTAGAAGTCTGAAATAATCGATTTTCAGGTATCTGACAGTTCCAATTGGTGCTAATGCAATAAAGAGGTTAATGTTTTGGATAAATGATGGGTTGGCTGCAAGGTGAGCGAACATTTGAATAGTTCCTTGAGAGTGGCCAATATAAGTAAGCTTTTGTTGCCCTGTGGTCTGAAGGACATATGGTATCACTGCTGGGATATCATAATCAGCCATATGTTGCCAAGTGAAGTTCCAATAAGTCAGGTTCTTCCAAGGATCTAATGTTGTGTGGCCGAGGCTGTGGTAGTTACCTCTTGAGTTTCCGAACCAAACATCATATCCAGCATCAACCATTTGGAAACCTGGAGAATTTGGAAGATCCATAATCCAAGTATCAGCACAATCCAGGAGGCCGTGCTGTAAGAATGCGACTCTTTGGTTAGGATTTGCAGGCTGGTTTGCTTTCCTCGGAACACGGAAAAGGGTAAGAATATAATTATCGGCTGTAGTTACAGTGTGGACTTCGACCAAGTAACCATGAGCAGTGCAAACTTCTGTAAAATTTCTTTTGGCATCAGGCTTATCTTCAGCTAAGATAAGCTGGAATAAGAAGAGAATTAGCAAAAGCTTCTGATTCATTTATATTAGCTCTTTTTGTGTAATCAAATCAGCTGCATAAACATGAGTAAATAATTAGAGATTAATACTCAGAAACATTAATTGTTTGTCTGTGAAAATTAATGAAATATATAGACTAAGCTTCGCTAAGAAAATAAATTCTCCACAAAATTGTTGAAAAAATATTTGGGGGTTTCCTTAATCAGAATTTTTAAGTCAATTTCTCATCGAATAATATGACAAGTTAAAGTAATATATTTATTGAACCAATTTCATTTCTTTCTCTACAATTATGCACCATACTAGCATAGCAGATAAAATTCGCATACATATTATCAAATATTAATTTTTCAATTTAAATACTTTAATTTATTATTGATAACTCGAACGTAGCTCTATTTATTTCTCCCTCTAGAAGCTGTATATTCTTTCTGTTCCTCTCTTCTTGCTCTTGGTGCAAAAATTTCTTTTTCATCTTCATTTCGTGTTCTTTGTATAACAAAAGCTTTTTCGTCTTCTTTTTTCTCATCCCTTTCATTCCTGCGATTCACTGAATTTAACAGCACCCAATCAAAAATAAAATCGTATTCAAACTGCTCTCTTAAAAACAAATCTTTAAAAAGCCTTCTCAAGTATGCATAGTCTGGCCTATCTTCAAACCCGAGAGCCTTACAATAATTTAAATAGGTTGTAAATTCAGGTGGAAAATTTCTGCACAAAGTTTCGGTGGACGTTTGCATTTTGACCTCCATGATCCTTTCATATTTTTGTTTTTTATTTGAAGCATTTAACCCTTGCCATGGCAAAGATCCCCTTAAAAAGTACATGAAAACATATGCAAGTCCTTCCATGTCATCTCTTCTGCTCTGCTCAATGCCTAAGTGAGTGCTCACGGACGCATACCTTGCTGTGCCTGTCAGGCTTTTCCCTTCCCTCATTGGTATATGCTGATTTGTCCTAGAATCCCTGAACTTCTTTGCCAGTCCATAATCAATTACATACACAAGGTTCGCTTTCCTTCCTAAGCCAATTAAAAAGTTATCCGGCTTGATATCTCGATGCAAAAAGTTCTTTGCGTGAAGATACTCAATTCTCGCTATCATTTGGTCTGCAAGCATAAGTGTGGTTTTTAGCGAAAAACGCCTGTTGCAGTAGTTGAACAGATCTTCTAGCGATGGGCCAAGAATATCTATAACCATCACATTATAATCCCCTTCCTGCCCAAATCAGTGGATAAAAGGTATTCCAGGTCCTCCCTGCAGAATCCTGTAAATTCTCGATTCATATAAAAGTTGAGGGTGCCGTGTCCGGATTGGCTCCAACTTAATAGCGACTTCTTCGTTTGTTTGTACATTTGTGCCTATATATATTTCCCCAAAACTGCCACTGCCTATTTTACGCCCCAATTTAAACTTGCCACCAACTTTTAAATCCATTTAAGTATCACGTTAAACGTACGCAATTATACAAAACAACTAAATTTAAGAAGGCTGGTACCACGATGGGGTTAGAGCTCTGACCAAGTCTGGGTTGTATCTTTCTCGTTCTTCCGCAGTCCAGTTAAAAAGAGGAGGAAGTGGGTCTCCGTTTGGCAGTCGGGTAGCTTCATCTCTGAGCTGGTCAAAGAAAGGATGCTGCAAGGACTCTAAAGCTGTCGGTCTCAAATTCGGAGAATAAACGAGCAAGGTGGAGACGAAGTCAATGGCATCTTGTGGAGTTCTTGACTTGAAGACTCGATTCCAAGGGTGTTGCCTTATTTGAGGGAAGTGATTTTCGGTGTAGTTGGGATTCATGTCACGAATTTGTTCCCTCGTGGGAGTGCCCAATATTTTTATGATTTCTACAAGCTGGTCAACACCGCTTTCACCTGGGAAGAGAGGCTGTCCTAACAGAAGTTCCCCAACGACAGCACCTGCGCTCCAAACATCAATTGCAGGTGTATAGTCAGTAGCTCCAAAAATCAGTTCAGGAGCTCTATAATATCTCGAGCATATATAAGAAACATTAGGCTCTCCTTTGACCAATTTCTTAGCTGACCCAAAGTCACAAAGCTTAATACGGTGAAAGTTAGTATCGACGAGCACATTTTGAGGCTTGATATCTCTATGGCAAACACCCATAGCGTGGATATAAGCTAGTGCTCGCATTATTTGGTAACTATAAAGCTTTACTAGCAAAATCGGCACTGGCTGCCTCATTCTGTTGTAGTGCTTAGTCACCCGGTACACTGTTTCGTTGACAAAGTCCATAACGACGTTGAGGTAGAGCTCGTTTGGCTTTTCACCATTTGTATAGAATGCATGGCGGAATGTCACGATATTTGGGTGCGTCAGTTCCTTTATTATCTGGAGTTCGCGATTTTTGTACCTAGGGTCTTGTAGGACTTTTTTTATGGCAACAGTTTCGCCGGTTTCAGCGATTGTGGCTTGGTAGACAACACCAAAGCTACCTTGGCCAATCTGCTTGTCAGCATTATAGGTGAAATTTCCACTCCCTCCCCTTCTTTCGTCAATGCTCATCCTGCTCATGGAGTCACTTAGCTCTCCTACACGTCTTCTGACAGAGGCGGATGACACATTGTGAGCGACACTATTCTTTGATACCCTGTTGCTTGGTCTCTCCATGTTTTACTTTATAGCCTAATGATATTTGAATTTAATTCACATTTTATTTAAGAATTGCTTTCTGAATGATCTAGTTTTGGATTTAGAAGCTATTGAGAACATGGGAGACTTATATAAAAGCTTAAATGTTTAAAAATATTTATTTCATGGGTAATCAATGGGCATTTTTTTGATTTATTGTCACTATTTGCAATTGAACCAATCATAACTTCTTTAATATAACAGCTCATTCTTTAATTTTGTCAATTATTGCTATAAAGCAAAAATTTATATATTTGAATATTAAATACAAATAAGATCCTATGCTTCAGTAATAAGTATAAATAATTATTCCGCAGGTGGCTAGTTTTAAAACTGATTTTGACAATAAAAAAAATTAGCCATAAGACTGACTTTTTAAAGAATTCAAGATGGCCAGTCAGTAATTCAATAGTAAACATAATTTTAAAGCTCTTTTATTAAAGTTTTACAAATCATTTAGATTATTGTCAAAGCTTTTTACGAATTTTCCTTTGACCCTCAGTTTTTGCTTCGCAGTTTCACTCCTGCCCTTGAATGATCTTGAGATCCTCACTTTTTGCCTGTATTTTTTAAGCTTCATTTTATATTTTAAAATTTTTTGCTCTCTTACATGCGGAGGATATATTCCAACCAGCGGTTTTTCATCTTCAAACTCTGCAGCGGTGCTTGCAATTGAGTTTCAGCTCTCAATTCTAGGCATTTTTGCTTTATCTTCGGGTACGAAGGAAGACAAGCAGGACTCTAGTTGTTGATATTTTACTTTTTCTGATTCCAGTTCTTGAGATAATTGCGCACACTTCTCTCTTTCAGCGAGAAGTTCATTGGAGAGCTGGGCAATAAGGCTTAGCCCAGGACCAACGGAATTCCAATGAATGGGAATCGGGACAAATATTTTTTCTTCTTGCTCTTCCATAATTATAATTATAAACTTTCTGGCGACCCTATTTATCACGTTCCTTCTATTAGAAAATAAATTTTTACGTTATTAAATAAGGCCTATAATGGGATTTTTGGCAAAGAAATTAATGAGAATTTGATTTTGAACAATTTAGAATTATTTGAGTTGATTTATTTATATATATGCATTCTTATCCTCAAAGGGCACATTAAAACAGCCCTGACTTGCTAAAAAATGATTTTATAGAACAAGTTTTGAACTTGATACTGAAAGTGACTATTGGTAAAATTTTCATGAGGGATATTACGATCTCCAGAAAATCTGAAATTTGAAATAAGACTTGCTTTTATTTTATTATTAAACAAGTTTTATTGGGTTATAATTTATAACTATTGTTTATTTTCAATTTGAAAATGGATTAACTAATAACACGTAATTATATTCTGCCAAGACATCTTAAAGGTAATATTTTTTACTTGTACTTAAGGATATATTGAATTTTATAGTAAATTTGCTAGCCATTATTCTTGAATATATTAACTAGTTTTATAAAAACATTAAATAAAATAATTTCCCCCAAAAATATTTCTTGATTTTTTTTGTTGAATTTGTTCACTTGTTTTACAAAGCCTCCTTGATATTGATCACTAGATAATCTTATTCGAAATCTATTCTTTTCTGATCTCTTCTTTTAGCTAGTTGAATCAAATAATGACGAAAGAAATGTCATTTTTGTAATTTCTTCAACATTTATGGTTTCCACAAAGACCAAAATCTTGATCAAGTTGAGCCTTGATACCTTATACTTCATATTTGCTTTGACAGTTTGTTTCACAGATGTCTTCAAATTTATGAAGAATTATTATATTGGAATGATTAACCTGACCACTCAAACTACAACATATTCTATTACTGTAGAAGCGACAGGAACATTCCAAGAATTCAAAGACCATTGATGCAACAAGAAATACTTACCTGACAAGATATGCGACAATATAGACGATTTTAAAACAGGTGGAATCCTATTTGTGGTCTTTTCTGCTCTTGCCCACTTATTTTGGCTTTACAGTGTTGCAAGTCTTATACTCAAGTCTTGCATGCAAAACTTTACCCTTGCGCTTATTCATGATGTCGAAAACTTTATATATCCAGCAATTTATGCCCTAAGCGTTGTCCTTTACATTTTTGTGAGCAAAATCTACTCAGTCAGTCCACCAAAATACTATGATGACGATTATGAAGTAAAAACACAAGAAGCCGAAGTATTCATGTATATTGCTCTGTGCTTTGGAGTGCTAAGCGGACTGCTGTTTCTTTTCTGCCGAACAGAAATTAACGAGAATTGCAAAGTCGGTGGCAGCAAGAATGCTTATTTAATGGGCTAAAATTTAAAATCGAATTAATTTCTAGTTTTTGGATATTAATTAAAGATGACTATTTTAAGACTCAAAGTCTATGGGATTGATCATAAAATATTTTGGATTATATTCTTAGCACTCCAAGGATTGCTTATATCTTGCATGATTGGAACTTTAGGAGCAAAGAACTGAGTTGAAATGAAATACGACCACGCCACTTGAAAGGGAGACCTGACATGAGTTACAGATAGTGATATAGACTGTATTAGTAAATCTTCGTATAACGATCTTCGATCTGATTTTTGTGTTTATAAAAGTAAATGCCAAGATACTAACGATGCCTATTGCGAAATGTTCAAAAATCTAGACAATTGCGGATCGTTGTATGTTGTATTAGAAATTATTGCCATAATTTGCACTATTATATGAGCTATAATATTAGTCTGCTTTATTTGTAGCATCAACTGCTTTGCTATATCATTTTGCTGCTCTTCGACTTCATGCATTTTTCATTATATAGCATTTTTATCTTGGATGGGCTGATCAAATACAAATTTTAATGGAGACTGTGATAGTGATATTCGAAATAGCGATGAAGCTCCAGCATTATGTGCAAAAGATGGACCTAGTCTATCCTTATTTTTGGTTGTAGTGTTTCCTATTATTTTGATAGCTTTTATCATCATAGGTTCAAAAACAATTCGTGTAAAGAGATTAGAAGCTATCAGGGGTCGAGTAATTGGAGTGAGTGAAATAAATAACTCAAATCAAGTGCAAATGTTTGTTCAGCCTGGATATGCTCCTTATAGTCAAGGAGTGCCAACAGTATACCCAGCAGGGCAGCCGATTATTCCTCAGCCTTACCAATATCCTCCTAATGCACGGGAAAATTATAGCGGACAATCACAAGGCTTTTTCTCGCCACTAGTGGCTCAGCCTCTCTTTTATGATGCATATCAAAATGCTCCTCTTCGTACAAATCAAGTAGAATCGCAAAATTTTGGTCCATCTTATGATAAAAAATAATTTAATAATAAAACAGTATTAATTACTTATTTGGATTTCAATTAATACATAAAAAGGACATAAAATATGTAACGCAAATAGTTTTAGCAGGTTATTTGTAAAATATATTTTGAAAATATTATTTTTGTTTCAATCAATCTATTTATTGTCATATAAATAATAGCTTAATTTGAAAATAAATAATTATCTTAATAGACAACTTTATAAAACTATAGAGCAGAATGCTAAATAACTTAAATTCATCTTTAAAGTAAAATTTAATTTAATCAATCTATAATATTATCTTATGGGCATCTTGAAGCTCAAGGTATATGGGGTCGATCATAAATTACTATGAACTGTATTTTTTATTCTTCAGGCTCTGCTATTTTCATGCATTATAGGTACTTTAGGAACCCAGCAATGGGTTGAAACGAAAACAACATACTCTTTCGAAGGCTCACTTGTAGCAGTTACAGATAGTGAAATCTATTGCATTAAAGAATCTTCATATACTGATCTAAAGGATGATATTTGTGATGACAATTCTGAATGCACTGATACTAATAATGTTTTATGCGATTTTATTACTGACTTAAATAGTGGGGCAGCAGTTTATATTTTATTTGAAGTTATTTCGCTTATCTGTATAGTTGTGTGAGCTATAATATTGGTATGCTTTATTTTTAGCGTTAATTGCTTTTGGCTATCATTTTGCTGCTCATCAAGCGCCTGCTTACTTCATTACATTGCTTTCTTATCTTGGGTAGGTCTTACAAGTGCAAGATTTAATGGAAAATGTAAAAATAGTGATCAAAGTGAGAATGAGATAGTTATATGTGCAAGTGATGGGCCAAATTTATCTTTATTCTTGATGATAATTTTTCCGATTATTTTGATAGCCTTTATAATTGTAGGTAGAGGAGCAATTTATGCAAGAAGATTAGAAGCAATCGGAATTCCAGCAGTTGAAACAACTCAGATAGTTCACATAAGTAGCCCAATCCAAGCTCAGCAAGGGTTTACTCCTTATAACCCTCAAGTAGCATACCCAGCAGGACAGCCAATTTATCCTCAACCATACCAATATCCACCTCCTGGACCGCAAAGTTATTCAGCTTATCCTAATGGACCTCCAGCAATTGGTCAACCTCAATATTATAATTCACAGCCTCAAGGCTATTCATATCCTATTACTAAGCAATAAAAACTCAACTTTTTATATTTATTAACTAAAATGGAGCAGCTTGATGAATGGAATCAAGTAAACTCAGAGCTCAACAAATCGTAATTACTATTCAGCTGCGAAGACAGAAAGCCCAGATTTGTCCTCTTTGTTGAGAAATGAAATCCATTTAGTCTCCATGCTGCTCGAATTTTCCGAAAAATAAAAGCAGAAAGTTCTGAACAAGATATTTTCATTGTAGATGCAGATAAGCTATTTAGCATTGCTTCTGGTTTCGGTATTATTGGAACTCCAGCCTTGATTGTTTTTTTTAGAGGCATGCCAGTTAAAATCAAAAGAAGAGGATGGGAAGAAGACGTCAAATGTAAATACTATGCAGATGTGGGAGTAACTTCTGAAAGCAATTATTATAATATTGTTCATATGGGAAGAGAGCAAGCAATCACTGGCAACCCATTAATATGTGACTAACTTAAAATAAGTGAAGAATAAGAATATTTTTGGAATATAATATAAATCGTTATCATATGGATTTTAGCTTCAGCTCGATGCAATTTACTTCAATAAAATCAATGCAATCTTAATAAATTTAACTAAGAATTTAAGTCTACTATCAAGCTAAATAAATACAATTAAAACAATAATTAATCTATGAATAATTATTTTGCAACAATAAATCATATATTTAGCTCAAAATGCAAAATTTTAACAATTTTCAATTTTATTTCTTTTGAAATTCTGTCTGAGACAGATCCGATGCTTAGAGAAATATATTTTAAGCCTTGCAATTTAAAGACACTTGAGCTCTCTTATAATATAATGAAACAGCTGGATAGACGTTTATAGGGACATTTTTATACGCAACTCCATAATCCTTGCCATTTTTTTGAAAACTGATTCATCCTTGGTCACCTTTATATTCAAGCTTAACCCCAACAACGTCTCCAGTTTGCACACTTTCACCAAAATAATCTTCAATCCCAGTTTCTGGACGGAACTTTTTGCCTCCACTACATCTTATTCCCCAGAATAAGCCTACATCAGGCGGGTGACCATATAATGCTACGTTTTCATCAGCAACTCCTATGAATACATCATCGTCATCTACGATTAAATCAATTGTCATTTCCCATGTGTAAAGCTCAGATGATAAACTTATATTGCAAAGCACTGTTTCGAATTCTTCTTCAGTTTTTTTTGAAGCTGTCAAACAATTATTCGAGATTTCTATGTTGTTTGCTTTTTTGTTTTCGTTAAAATAAAAGTTTTGCCTTAGCAAAGCAATGAAAGTTGAATTGGATTTTAGCTTGAGGGATAAAGGAGAGTCTGCAGCTTTTATTTCTTTTATAGATCCCATTGGATAATATAGCTTGATTATTGTTCCTGGAGGTAGCGAATATTGATTTTTCAACTGAGAAAATAGATTAGAGAAATTATGGGAAATGTCTCAGTCGAACGATAACAATTTTCGAACTTTTGCAAAGCATTTCACTTTTATTGTGACAATATTGCTGATTGAATTTGGCTCAATATATCCTATTCCGCCCCAAGAAAATTTTACTATAGCCTTAGTTGCGCTTTTCTCTAAGAGCTTTCCATACCCCCAAAAAGTATAAACTTCAGTACTTTCTAATCAATTATCCCCTTCTTGTCTCGTCATATTTCTTTATAGTAAAAATTTTATTATATCATATTTCATCTTTTAAATACAATTAATAATCAAATGCAAAAATTGAAGGCCACTTAAGCTTCTTTTCTCATTTTCACCGCATCTTAAGTAGCAAAGCTAAAATGCATATTCATTGAATCCTAACTCAACAAATATTAATATAAAATTCGTAATAAATAATCACTGGCTTCAGTATTTCAAATAGCTTTAGTTATAATTAAAAATGGGAGTGGAAATATCAAGAGAAATTCCTTTCAGCCAAGAAGAACTTTTAATGCTTGAGCAAAGATTCAGGCGCCTAGATATAGATGGAAGTGGAATGCTCGAACCTAATGAATTTTTCGATATTCCAGAGCTCGCTCAGAATCCACTGGTTCAGCGTGTAATTTCTGTGTTTGATAAGAATGGAGATGGCAATATTTCTTTCTATGAGTTTGTTACAGGCCTTTCCAAGCTTTCCGAAGCAGGATCAGAAGACGATAAGCTGCGCTTCTTATTCTCGATCTACGATATGGACAAAGACGGCTTTATTTCCAACGGAGAGCTCTTTAGAGTACTAAAAATGATGGTTGGAAATAATTTAACTGACATTCAACTGCAGCAGCTGGTTGACAGAACACTAATTAGAGCTGATGAAGATTTCGATGGGAAAATTTCTTACCCTGAGTTCTGTAAAATGGTAAGAGATATGGACATTGGCGAAAAACTTACCCTTCATTTAAAATAGGGCATTTATTAATTCTTGCTTATTATATAAAATCAAATACATGGTATAAAAATGGAAAAAAAGTAGACACCATAAAATAGGCTTTTAAGAAATGATTAAAGTTAAATTGAAGTTAATAGCCTTGGTTTTTCTTTTTCAGCTGATATAGCTCGTCTCCTTTTCTTTCCATTTCTAAGGCGATACTGCTGATTTCATTTTTTAAGTTTCCGAAGTTGCTGGATTCACTATTGGACATATGAAGTAAATGCCTATAGTCTTTATTTAGATCCTGCAGCTCCCTTTCTAGCCTACTTATTCGTCTTGGCAAATCATTGTCAGAATTCGGTTTTGGACTGACAGATCTAGAATGAGAGCCAGACCTTATGCTTTCTTTAGATGTGTCTCTTTTGAAGCAACCTAGATTTATATGCCGGTTAGCCCTGAAAGTTGAAGATGAAAGAGAATGGCTTAGATCTTTTCCCTTAATTGCAGATTTCGTCCTTAAAGCAGGCTTTTTAGGAGTGACTGTAGATGTTACTCTGGGCTTAGGACTTACATTTCTCGCAGTTAACGATCTGCTACTCCTCAAATCTTCAATTTCTCTTTGAAGAAATCTGATTTGGTCAATGTGCATGCTATTTTCTTTGCCAATTGACAAGTTTTTTATTTCAAGTTCTCTTATTTGGTCAAGCAATACTTCATTTTTACTCAAAAGACTTGACTCAGCACTTTGGAAATCCTTTTGAATAATTTGTTTTTCATTCATGGACCTCTCTTGTGCGAACTTAAGATCCTTTTCTAGTTGATGATTTCAGTTATTCAGCCTTTCGATCTCAGATTGCAGCATTCCTTTTTCTCTTTCACATTTTTCTATTTTTCCAAGCAGAGCTTCTTCATCACCTGAGCTGTTTGCTAGTTGTCTGTTTAGATGCTCAATACGGAGCTTTAAATTTTCATTGTCTATTAATAATTGATCTTTCGTATTTTTTGCATCAATTTCTAAATGATTTATTTGGCTTTCTTTGAGTTTCACCTGATCTTCAAATGTTAACAGTTTCCTGAAGCAGCCACTGTGCTCTTCCTCCAACTCCCGTAGTCTTTCTTGAGATTTTTTTAAATTTTCTGAAAGGATTTTGATCTCCTCTAAATATTTTTTTTCGTTTATTTCTCTTTCTTGAAAGTATCGTCTTTCGCTATCGTTAGCTTTTTCAAGCAAACGAGCATTTTCCTGCTCAAGAAACCTTATATGTTCTTGAAGTTTTCTCATAGCTTGAGCATATGCTTTTGACTTTGACTCAGAGCCATTGTAAGAGTTAGAATAAGAAGGGGAGGCATAATTACTTAAATCTTGAGCTGTAAGCTTACTGTCTTGATAATCTGAATATCTGCTTATAAGATGGTTATATTCTTGCGATCTTTGAACCATAATATTAAATAACCATTTGTAAATTGAAATTAATTAGCTTTTAAGATCGGCTCTAATTCGCCGCTTTCATCCATTTGTCTTGCAATATCAATTCCACCGATGAGATTTCCATCTATGTATAACTGAGGATAAGTTGGCCAATTTGAAAAGACTTTGAGACCTTCTCTAACTGATGGATCGCTAAAAATATCAAATGATGTATATTTCACATCGTACTTGGCAAGCAGCTGGACCATCGCCTCGCTAAAGCCACAAAATGGGTTCTCGGGCACTCCTTTCATAAACAGCACAATTTTATCGATGCTTGCTAGTCTTTTAAGCCGATCATTGATATTTTGCCCTGATGAGTTTATAAACTCTCCAGTTTTAGTCAAGCTTTCAACGATGTCGACTCCTCCAATAAATTCGCCGTTTACATACACTTGAGGGTAAGTTGGCCATTTTGAGTAAATTTTTAGATACTCCCTAATTGAGTCATCAGACAGAATATCAAAATGGCTAAATTCATAGCCTTTTATAAGTTCCAATAGCTTTCTTGTAAACTTGCATCTTGGTTGCTGAGGTGTTCCTTTAATGAAAATTGTCATTCCTGGCTTCTGCAGGATTTCTCTTATTTTTGCGAAGTTCTCTTCTTTGACTTGTTCAATTAACTTATTATGATTTTCACATCAATCCATGATTTTTGAGACAATCACAGGAATATCAGCGCTTTCAAGTCTTTCTAACAGTTTAAAGCCAACAATCCCTGCTATTGTTGGAACGCGTTGTACTTGATATAGCTCTTTAACTTCATTCATTGCAGGATTGTCGACATCAACAATTGATACAATCAAGGAGGAGTGAATTTTTATGAGCTCTTCAAAGCAATGGAGAACATTTTGGCAAGCTTCTATTGCAGGAGACACAAAGCAGAGGGTCACTACATTTGTAAAGGATTTCTCTCTAATTACCTTGTAGAAATCAGCAGGAAACTCTTGCCATATAAGTGACATAATTATTTTTATAAACAAAATTAAATCCACTAAGCTCTTTTTATGCTTATATTCCTATCAATAAATTTAAGAATTGGAATGTTTCACTAAATTTAAGAAAGAAATTGATTTTTTAGGTTTAAGTTGGCTTGCTTTAAGAAATTCACCCTCCTAAGTGCGAACTTTTCTGCTATGTCACGATGGGGTGTTGCACATTCCCAATGGGCGCTCCAAACATCATATTGATTCTTAGATCTGATAATTCCATCTTTATCTGACGGCATCTTCATGTGCAAAGGGACTTTATCATCACATTTACTTTTATTAATACGATTCTCTTTGAATTCTTCTCTATCATACTGCTTTAGGGACATCCAGTAGTTATCTATCAAATTTAAGCATTTCTCATTCTTTCTTGAGTAGCATTCCTCTTCAATTTGGTCGAATTCACTGAGCAAAACCTCCATATCATCATCAAGGATGTTCATTTTGTCAAAGTATGACTTTCTGCTGGCTTCAAGAATGTTTGCTTTCTTTCTGATTTCTGGGTCCATATTATTCACAAACCCTTTACAAAATCTTAAATTACAATAACTTTAGTGCTCTAAAAGAGTGTTTATATATAATAGTATAAAATGATTATATATAAATAATAATTGATAATCCTCATTATATTTAATATGTCTTTCCGACAGAGCTAGACCTATTTGACTTCTTATTTATTAATGATTTCACCCTTTTTTAGAAGACTGTAGATCAACTCCTAACTAAATAGGTGTAAATCTTCGTTTACTTGCAAATTCGGATATAGCATAAATATTCTGCTATCTTTCTTAATCTTATTTGCAATTCAAAGCCAAAAGCAGTGATTTGCCATTCTAATTTTGGATTTTTGTAAATTTAGATAACTGAAATAGAACTAAATCGCCCTTAATGATTGATTGCAATATTGATCCGACTATTATGAATATTTATGCTTTAAAAGAGTGATCTTCTCTTATAGACTAAAAGAGCAATAAAACGCAGTTGCATGTATTATCAATGTCTTATATTCTTTCACCTAATTGTTTCATTTCTTTATTTCTATCATAAATAGCAAATTCAATACATTTTACCTTTAAAAACCTTTCTAATCTTTGCTGACAATTTTCCTGTAGTTTTTATATACCAGAATTCAGTCAAAATTTTATTTATTCGAAATTATATAAGATTCAGTTATATTATCAATGGAAGATCGAAGCAATAAATGGTTTATGTCATTACTTTTCACAAGGAAGACATCCATCCGAATTCTTGAAGTTGGGCTTTGCAAAGGTGATAAGCTATTAGAGTGATATGCAAATGATAATGGCAATCAGATCGTTAAAAAGCCAGCCAAAGTTCTAAGCAGGGCAAAATTTTTACTGGACCATTTCTTGAATGTTCAAATCCCAATTTTATCTAAATTCCAGCCTGATCAAGTTATCGCTTATTTATACCATAGAAAAGGAAGAAACATTGTCAGGGCGAAGGATGTCAATGATTTATCAAAGTATCAATTAGGAGGGTTGCAAGTCAGAAGCATTCATATGGCACCCCCTGGAACTTTTTCACCGAGAATTTTTAGAGTCAAAGCTTGTGATGAAAATACTTATTTAAAGCAAGACATTGTGAGTGTTCATTTTTGCAAAGCTCAAGAGACTGCTGTAACTGACCAAAATATTCGAGAAAAAGCTTTTAACATGACTCTAATTATTGCTGAGCTATTATATAAAGCAAAGCAGGAATATGTTGACAGATTAATATATGATCTGGCTATTGACAATAATGGTCAGCTGTTTTTTATAAAACTGGTCAGTCTGAAAACTATACAGACCTTGATGACGCTAGAAAGAAACAGATTTCTGCTATCAAGGGATGTATACACTAGAAAACGAAAAACAGTTAAAATGAGGCCTGCTATTGAAGAAATCCCTTCCCGTAACACCTCAAATTCACAAGAAAAAGATAAGGTTCCAACAAGAGCTTCAAGCTTAGCTCCAAAGCTGAAACTATCCTTAAGCCCAAGAGGGGAAGTCAATAAAGATTTTTTAGAAATGGTTGCTGGTACATTTGAAAAAGAAAGAAGCCGAAAGATAAAAAATGAAAAAATAAAGGATAAAAGATTTTCAATGGGTGGAAACGAAAATGAGCCGAACATAAGACTTTCCCCAGTGCCTGATATCAAAACAGATCACTCGAAAAAAGAAAACATAAACAATATGAAAGATTTGCTATCATTTATTGAATCAACTAGAAATCCGAATTGATCCAGAGATGCACTCTATACTCAAAGATCACACCGAAAATCAAAAACCATATGCAAGACCCCACTTTTATTTTCTACTTACGATTCAAGGCAGTCTGACACTTTTATGCTAAATAACTCTCCATCAAGTTTCAGGAAGTTAAATTATCGTGCAGTTTCAAATATTCCTATATGCGGATGCCTAACTTCATCAACGTCAAGAGCAAGCTTATTAAAGCAATATATGGAAGAAAAAGAAATTTTGTATAGCTACAAATATCCTGATTTTGATAGTAAGCTGTCAAGCCCCTTGAAATCTCCTGTTTCATGCGCTTCACCTGTCAACTTTTCTACAAAAAAATTGAACAAGTATAATTAAATTTTAAAATGTTTGATCATTAGTGAATTTAGATAATTTTACTCTAAATTAGAGAATAATTTCAGAGCTTATACTTTTTATCAATGTCTTTGCAATGACTATAATAGTTTAAGATAGATTTTTATTACATCAACTTATTGCTGACCCATATAGACTTAAGTATTTATATCTTATATATCACATTGAATTTCATTCATACAATATCAATTAGCAGCTTATGAGAGCTTGGTTCTTCTAAAAGGGACTAAATCTTTTGGAGGGCGCGGGAGAGGAGATCTTGTTTTACGAATATCTGGCAGTTTTTCCATCTGTGGCCTTGGTGAAATTCTACTTATTCTTGGAATTCTATTCCTCATTGCTTCCCTGGAAGAGGGTGGTGTTAGCTCTGCAGCTCTTCTAGTAACCGAAGGGCTTCCTGACTTCGGCCTTGATGATTTTGAGCCTGGGACTGCCAAAAACGAATTCGTGCTAAATTGTCTATTTGACTGCCTCAGAAGATCTCTAGCATCTGAAACCGAAACGTGGACTGAATTGAATTTCTGGATTGGGAATTCCTCTTCATCCTCCTCTTCTTCCTCTGGCAGATGATCAGCTACTCTTTTATACTTTTCTCTAATTTTTCTACCTGAGTCAGAACAAATTTTTCCTAATATAAGGACGAGATTAGCTATTGTTCTCAAGTTTAATCGGTCTTGGTATCCTCTCATTCTTTCCATATGGGTTAAAGGAATTTTCCCTCCAGATCTTGTAATCCAAGGATGCCCAAGAGCTAAATTGGCGGTATATCGTTCCATGTATGAGACTGTGGCACAGTGCTCGAATAAATCCTTTGCAAGCAGAGGGAAATTTTCAGGGTATTCCCAATGAATGTTTTTGAGTTTTCAGATCATAGTGTTTTTGTCGTCTCCTTCTTCATAGTAAGGATGCTTGCCAGCTACTAAAGTATATAGCATGAGTCCACAGCTTCATATATCTACAGGCTCGCTATAATGCTGCTCTAGTACCTGTTCGGGAGCCATATAAACCATTGTTCCATCCATTGAGTGCAACTGCTCTACCAGTGTATATTTTGTGCTTAGCCCAAAATCTGCAACTTTAACTGATGAAAGATCATGAGGCTTTCCGAACATTATATTGTCTGGCTTTAAATCCCTATGCAGCACTTTTCTATCATGCAAGTAAGCAACAGCTCTGAAAATTCCTTTCATGACGGTTGCAGCTTCTTCTTCAGTCAATCGTCTTTTTTCAATCAACTGGCTTAAGGTTCCTCCTTTCAGCAACTCCATCTCAATAAGAATATAATTTTCTGTATGCCTTACATTGATAAATTTTACTATGTTCTCATGGTTGAGTTCTTCAAGAATTTTAGCTTCTTGCATTGACCTCTCAATGTCCCTTTCACTTAGCTTGTGCTTGCTTAAAACCTTTATGGCAACCTCTTTGTTGCTATAGTTATTTACGCATCTGAAAACAGCTCCAAATGCTCCTTTTGCTAGAAAACAAATAGAATGGTATAAGTGCGCAATCTCTTGACTCAGCTTTTCATGCATTTTAATAATTAATGCTGGATTCTGCACCCGTTTCAATGCATTTCTAAGATAATGATGGGAAATTATACTAAAGTTAGTTTTAGCTAGATATAAATTAAAAGAAAGAATATTTTATAAAATCCTGGACTTAATTGATCTCTTTACTTTGTTTAAGAGACCAATTGAGAATGAAACTCTCAAATACACTGATATCATTTTAAAATATTTTTATTCCTGCTTACTCCTGATTGAGTTGTCATAAATTGGATTTTAAGTTAATATGCTCCAAACTTTAAAAATACTTGAGCCAGCTTTATTAAATAATCATATATAGCTATATAAATTATTATTGGCCCGTATCGACAAGCTTGATACTATTACGAAACATAAATAGCCTAGCAGCTTTCTACATTATGCATCTCTGTGATATTTTAGAATGATTAAGAAATTTAAAGCTAAAATTTATGCAGCCTTGCTTTTACTTGCATCATGAGTTGAATATTTGATTTGAGCAGATGCATATAGTTATAAGTATCAGTTTCTTATAATTTCTGCTGCTCATTAGAATTTGTATAAACTAAGACATTTAAACATTAATTTTGATTAAAAGATGGATTTGCAATTAATGTTGTGCATGATGATAGCAAGCATAAATATAGTAAAGCTTTCATAATGTATCTTCATGCAATTGATACAGCTTTAAACAATTTTAGGTTGTAGATAGTTGATGGATATAGAAAAATGATCAATAAATTAATGATAAAATTATCTAAATTTTACAATTGTTATTTACAATAATTAGCTAATATTTTTATCACAAATTTCTAAATAAAATGAAAGCATTTTATAATCATCCAGATCATATGATTTTTGCTTGTCTTTTTCAGGATATTTTTTAGTCTTACAATTTGAATTTTTTCCCATATTTCTGGTTCCGAGTATGATGAAAGAGTGCTTCAAAGACTCATCATGATTATAGCTTTCATGTAATCCAAATGGCCGTTTTTTAAAATCAGGTGATCTCACTTTGGGCATCTCTGTCTTTTGAGGAAATTTCGTCACTTCTGGGTAAAATATCCTTTCTATATCTTTATGAATGCTTTTGTTTGCTTCTTCAACAGCATAATAAAATGGGTGCCACTCAAATTTTCTGGTATCCTGACCGAAAATTCTCTTTTTGTGTTTTATGATTATGAGCTTCAACTTTCCCCAGCAAATTTATCCCGGCTGTGATAGCGCATAAGAGCCTGCGATTTGTAGTGAAGGACTCCTGCCCTTAGGGAAATCGAATCTTCTGTAAGGATCCCACCAAGCCAGCTGTAGAGACTGGGACCTTTAGGGTGTCTGATAGACCCAAACTGATTCTTGATCGAGCCTTAAGCAAGGCCGTCAAAATCCAATGCCCGAAGCCTATGGATCATTCAGGAGCGAAGCCAGCGGTGCCTGAAGTGAAGTGGACCGGAGAAACCCAGAAACAGGAGCGGAAGCCCTTGCAGATGATGTGGTATTGGGTGCTCAATCAGATGAAAAGTAATTTTAATTAATTTTTGCTTCTTCAACAGAGGCACTTTCCATAGCTTCATCAATTTTATTTGATTCATTTCTTATTCATTTTTTTTCATTTAAAATTTTCTCAATATCACTTACAGTTTCTGTATTAGGTTTCTCAAATAGTGGATTTAATTGTTGGAATTTATTCTGAATTTCTGTAGGGATATTAGAAGAAATTGACTTTGAAGGAAGCAGAAATTTCATTCTTTTTTCATCAGACTTGCTTATAGGTGATTCTTCAATAGCAATCCTTTTGGAAGATAACTCTCTAGTAGTCGTCCCCGACAATATTGATTCATCTTTGGGAGGTATCTTGCAAAATAAATTAAGTGACGAGTCAAGTTTTTTTATATTAGCTCGATTCGTAGAAATAGATGACTCGTCTTTTTGTAAGTTTTTAAATGAAGAATTCAGCGAAGAATTCTGATAATTTTGTAATTTTATTCGTTCCTTGATTTCTTTTTTGTACTTTTCTCTAATGTTTTCTACAGCAGTGCACGAAATATTTTTTATATTTGTGAGCTTTCTTGAACTCAAGTTTCTATACTCCAAAATATTATCAATATTTTGGTGGTCGTTATGAGATTTAACGTAGCTTTTGGAAGTGAAGCAGAAAGAGAATTCTTTTGGCGACATCAATAGTTTTGAGGAATGAGATGTTGAAAGTGGAGATGTTAAGATTTTTGACTGGCTCGATAAATCCAACCTCTGCTTATCAAGGTTTGGAAGTAAAGATTTCCCACTCATTATAAGTCGTTTCAAAGGTGCTTTTGCAATATTCATGGTAGTCTCAGTATTTGATATTTTGAGTGATTTCTCAAGGGTTTTATGTTTTAATTCTTTTAGAATCCTCATTTTTTGTTGGCTTGTGAATCTGACAAGTGGCTTTTTATGTTTCTTGCATGGTTGCATTTTTAAAGTTTGGTATATCAATTCTTTTTTAATATAAACGATTAGTATTTCAATTCTCATTTTTATTTGCAACAATGCATGATTATCTGATTTAATCCTTATTTTAATTAAATTATCATTGTCATAAAGCAGATTGTAGGTAATTCTAACTCCGTGAGCGAACAAAATCATTGGAAATCATAGTTTTTGGGTAAGAGCCCACCTCCGTGAGTGATCAAAAAGTTTTATATATAAGCGATAATTATTATAATAAAATCTCTAGCTAATTTTATTTAAATTTAAAGCAGCTTGCATTTTAAAAACACACAAACTTACAAATTATTATAAATTTACAAAATTTTTTTTCAAAAAAATTTAGTATAAAATTTATATATAAAAATTTTTCGAAAAAATTTAACCTTCTCCCTAAGAATAAAATTTTTTGTTCGATTATGGAGGGGCGGAGTAAAGGTTTCAATATATTAAATTTTGTTGAAATGTTTTTACTTTTAGGGAGTATAAAAACAAAGGAAAACTTGCTTTATCTACAGATTAATATCTCGGCTTAAATCCTGAAGTTGGACTATCATCTTCAGTGTTGTCATATTCATATTTTGAATATGTTGGAATTAGCAATGTTTTGATATAATCGCTTTCTTCAATTTCAGAATCTATGTTATCTGTTTTTAAGCATTCTTTATTTTGCCTTGGATTTGATAGCGCTCTTTTTATTTCGTTATTGCTAATTGGTCTCGAGTTAAATATTATAGAAGCAGTCTTTTTTGCAATTTGCTCTGGCGAAGGAGATCTTCTAGTTTTTTCGTTAATAATAGTAGTTTTAAGGTGGACACTTCTTGCCCTATTATGAGGTGTTTCGTTGTGTTTTGCTATCGGCTGATAATGAACCCAAGAAATGCCACTTTTTCTATATTCCTCCGATGGCTTTTTATTTTCAAGAACTAGTTTGCATTTATTTCTTGCTAAAACGCTTATCGATCTTGAGTTCTTTTTGCTTTTTTTAAGAGTTGGGAACTCATTCATGTCAGAACTTGGTCTTAATAAAAACAAGCTTGGAGATTTTGCCGTTTTTTTAGTCTTCTTAGCTCCACCCTCCTAAAACAAAAATTTTTTTAATATATTTTTTTTTTAATAAGTAATAAAATTATAGCAAAAAGTAGAGTTAATGTGATGAATTTTAAAATATAATTTTGTTTTTCCATTTGGGATTTTTTAAATTCAAAAAAAAAAATTACTATAAAATTTATAATAATTTTTAGCCATCTCCAACAAAAATATTCTGTTCGCTTAAGGAAGGGGAGTAAGAAGATCTCTGAGCTTTTGTCGGTGAGAAACTAAATTTATGAAAGATTTTGCTTGTGTGATTATTTCACGATAATCATTCAACGTCTTTTCTTTTGTATTATTGATTTCTGATCTAGAACTTGTGCTTGGTGTTCTGCATGAGGTTGGAGATTTTCTTTTATTTTGTTGATTGCTTACTGCAGATTTATAGCCTAGAACTGCTTTTAGCAAGCCTTTGATTATGAGTGCATTTCCGGCAATTAGTACCTTTGGCAAATGATTTTGCCGACTTAATTTAATGAGATCTTAAGTTTATCATCTTCATTCCAGCTTCTGTAAATAAGGCTTATTCATGGGGAATTCATAGCCGATTCAATCACAGTGCTAACTCCCATCGCCGTTCTAACCCTTAGATTATTACCTTTCTTCTAGCTCTACTTGGGCAGGTAGCATAACCTAAAAATCTCAGTATTCACTGCCTTGCTTGGTAATTTAAACTAAAATAAATTAAGATTAACGAAAGCTCCGGCAGGGTCACAGGTCGAGCGGCATTCACCTCCATAACTCTTAACCGCATGCTTGCCAGTCCGAGTATGGCGTCTTATTGTGTTGCTCTTCACAAACGAGGGCTTGCACTCGTTTACCCGGTAAACTTCATAATTGATAAGGCAACTAATAGCCCATTAGAAGCCATATGCAACACTAATATGTAAAAGAAAATGCTTGAAAAGCCTGATTCATTTAAGATAATTATTAAAAAGCCTATATCTAGTTAAGTAAATTTGTTTTTATATGGAAAAATATAAATATTGCCAGATTGATATAAAATAGTATAATTTAGAAAGTAATTCAATTCATAATTTTTAAAATATTAAAATTAATGATTTATTTAGCATGAAATTTTTTTATTGGCTGAGTATCTTTTAATCTCAATTATTATGCATCCAAAGTTTGCTTTTCCATAGCAATTATAGATTTGCTATTTTAAAATAATGGTTTCTAAATTTAAGTATGAGTAGCTTAAAAATATCCTAACCCCTCCCTCCGTGAGTGAACAAAACCGTTAGAAAGACTCTATTTTTTGCCCAAAAATCCACCCTCCGTGAGTAAACAAAAATTTTGATATATAAGTGATAATTAGTATAATGAAATCTAGAGCTAATTCTATTTAATTTTAAACAAATTGCGTTTTAAAACATAAATTTATAAATTAAAATCCCAATTTTGGCAAATTAGGATTTTTAAACTTTCGAAAAAAATTTCTATATAAAATTTTTTTTTAAAAAAACAATTAACCCCCCTCCGTGAGTGAAGGAAGCAGGCACTATGCATCCAAAGAATTTGATTCTATTGCATATCTGAATAATATTTTTTCTAAAAAATGAGCCGTATAATAGTATAATCACGTGAAAGAAAAAAACAGAAAAGCTACTTTTATAATTATCTAATATTGAGATATGTTTATAAGCATCAAGTTATTCATTATCAATTTTCATTTTTTTGGTATTTCATTGTCGAATTTTTATGTCCTTTGGGTTGAGATCTGAACTCCGGAACAAAGCTTCGACTAGCTTTTGAATGCAAAGTTGGTGTTAAATCTCTTACCACTGTAAACTTTATTGGCTTTTTCCCATGCTTTGGAATATAAGTTAATACTGGTGAATAAGTTTCTTGAGCTTCATAGCTATCAGAAGAGCATCCTAGCTCTTCTATAGAATTTGATAGTCTTTCTCTTGCTTTTTTCAAATAGGGTAAAGGGTCCAGTTTAGGGCCAGGTGGCCTTCTTTTTCGTATAAATTTAGAGTCTTGAATTTGAAGGTCTTTAAATCCCCTTCAGGTCACAGAGGGTTTTTTTCTAATTAATGAATTATAAAATATTTTCCAAATTCGAAATATCTATATATAGCAAAAGTGAAAAGCAAAAAATTTTACTTTTTAAAGAAATAACTGTAGAATTTAAATAGAGATATAGCGCTTTCCCGAGGATGGCGCGGAATGGCGCCATCCTCGGGAAAGCCAGGAAGGCATCCACACGGGAACTGGGAGTTCCACGTGTGGATGCCATTTTGACATGTGGAAGTTTGGATCCCACATGTCAAAAATGGGCATCCACACGTGGAACTCCCAGTTCCCGTGTGGATGCTTAGTTGACTTTCCCGAGGATGGCGCCATTCCGCGCCATCCTCGGGAAAGCGCTATATTATTATAATAATTATCACTTAATATCAAATAATTGCGTTTTAAGAATTTTTGCTTGCCAGAAGGCAGGGATTTTCCTCAAAATTGCAAGCTCATACGGGGAGAGTAAGGATTTTTCTTTGAATAAGATTATAGTCTTGAATATTTTCATTCGCAATTTTATAGGTTCTTCTAAGCTTTTTATAATCAGTTTCTCTCCAGGCCTCAATTGCACGATGTTCTAAATCATTGATTCTCCTCGTATTTTCATGAATCTGAATTATTGGCTCAAGTTTATAGCTCAGTATTGCTGAATGATTGGATTCTTTAACCTGCCTAATTGCTTCTGCTGTGATATATTTTTGCAAAATTACTCTTTCTTTGGGTTGCAGTACATTGGTTAATTTGACGAAATTAGAATTCATTTAACACATCAAAATAAGAAGTTTTAGATTGCTATGCAATTATTTAAAATTGAAGTTAAAATTATTATTAGTTTGTTGGTGGCATATTTTCTTTATCTGTTTGCCTTATGTAGTCTCTAATATAATCCGCATAAAAAGTGTCCAGATGGAAAGTTTGACGATTAGCGATCCTAATATCATCCAATCTTGACAAGGATCTCAAATATTCAATTAATTTATATAACTCTCTATCTGTCATATCATCATGCCATGAAACGATCGGGATTCCGTTATCTAATTGATAAGCAAAGCTATAAGCTGCGTTGTCAACAATAACAGTATCTTTAATTTGCCTATTGGCAAGTATTCGCAAGTCTTTAATATAGACTCCATCGATAAATAAGCAATTTTCTCTATAAAGTCTGTGATGTATAAGTACTCCAGTCGGGTCAAGATAATCCAACACTCTATCTGCATAGCACTTATGAGATGCGGTGAAAACAATCACCTCATAGTCTTTATTTGCAGCCATGAGCGCTTCTTTAGCGTATGGTCTTATATTTATTCCAGCAATCACTGTTTCTCCTGTAGGAAAATCAATGCTAATAGGAACATGTGCATTGTTTGCGTCTTCCACACAGTGCACCAATGTCTCGTCTAGATCAAAAACAACAGTTTTCTTATATTCGCAGCCTCTTCTTCTTGGTAAATTCACAATTTTATGAGCTAATTCTTCATCTGTAGGCAGCCTTAAATTTTTAATGAATTTCATTGACTGAAAAGTTTGGAATAAATGCTCCTTATAAGGAGTGTCATTTACTTTTGTAGCTACTGGCTGCACTCTTGTAACAACGCTATTTACAGTGTAATCGTTTACATTTGATTTCTTTTGAGGTGCTTGGAGGGAGTTAAGGCTTTTTTCTTGCATAGGCTCCTTTTTTGATGAGTTCAGAGATGATGAGTTGGAAGATTTTGGAGTGAGGACTCTTGGCTGAAGATTTGACTTAGATGAGCTGTGCAATTTCGGTGTGCCGGATGCAAAAATTCTGCTATGACTGTGTGTTGAGAAAACGTAGCGAGTGGGCGATTTAATTTTGCTGTTGAGATCAATTTGGGTTTGAGAGTTTGGAAATGAGAACATTGAGTTGCTAGCACTGCTTGGACTTCCCAACACATTGCTTTTTCCAATATTGATTGCATGAGGTGAGTTTTTGCCAAGATTCATAAAGCTCTCTAACTTACCCTTTAATATTGAATCAAAATCTTTTCCAATTAAGTCACTTATATTTTTGGAAATTAAAATTTTAAAATCAAAAAAACAAAAAAAAGGAAAAAAGGAAAAAATTTTTAAAAAATTTAAAAATTATAAAATTTATTGATTTTGGGTGTTAAATTTATTTATATATACCGCCCTGACATCTCATTAAAATGGCAGTGCGATCCAATCCATCCTCTTTAATACGTAGCCTTTTGAAAGGCAGGATAGCGTCCATTAATGTGCATCCAGCAAGTATTGCTTGGTTTGTTGGACCGCAACGTCGGATTAGGCCGAAATAACTAATTCCAGGTCGAAGATTTACCTTGGGAAGGTAGATGCTTGGTTTTGGAAAGAAAAAGCCCTGCAAAAGCCCTTTGGATCTATCAAGCAATTTCCTGGTGCGATACAGGGAGTTGCTCCCCGAGGAAGCGAGATCCTCTTGGTCGAAAACTCGACCAGAAAATTAGATTTTTAGAATTTTCTGGAGGGAGGAATCTAAGTCAGTTTACGGCACGATGACCAATCCTAGTGCACTAAAGCTATTATGCGAGTCAATTTTCGGAGGAGGATAGCCTATAGGCAGATGGCGGGTAGTTGCAAAGCAAATACCGTTTGAGGTATCACAAGGAATTTCTCAATAATCTTAACTAAAAACTAAGATATTTTAAATATTTAAAAACTGACGATAGAAAGACGATAAAATTTTTTTAATACTTTTACCGTTTTAGATTAAAGGGGATACTAATTTAATCAAAAATTGATATAAGGGATATCCCTCCCTCTTCGGGCAAGTTTTACGTTACCTAGAAGGGGTTTTTACCCTTCTAGAAGAGCTTTTTTTCCCCTTCTAGAAGAGCTTTTTCCCCTTCTAGAAGAGCTTTTTTCCCTTCTAGAAGAGCTTTCTCCTTCTTCTACAAGACTTTTTCCACATCGCAACACCTGGCTGCAGGTGTCCTCTGTGATAAATACTATTTTCATGGCAAGCCCATTTTGGCTTGACAAACAGAACCTACAGATAAAATGTGAAATTTGTTGAGAAAATTGGTAAAATTTGATTAAGCTATTACTTCTCAGCTATCTAAATGGGTTCTCGAACTATATTTGTTCCTATTTATTGGCGAGAGTAAGTCACTTGATTTTTCATCGTTTGTGCTGATAGTTAATTTTCTGACTATTTTTCCGGAGCTAGCTCTGCTTAGCTGCCGACCTCCTTGATTGTTGACTTGGCTTGACATTTCAAATATCTAACAGAAAATGGACTGCTTATGAAAAATTAACAGACAAAATAAGATTTTGAGATAAGTGAAATTTTTATCATTAAAGAAGTTTTAATCAAAAGCATTGCATCATGTTGACTACTGCATATCATTTTTCTTAAATTTGCATTTAAAATATATAAAACAGTATTATTCGAAATAATATTTTTATATATAAGTTATTAGTATTTCAAAGCTTTTGCGATTAACTTTATTGCTTTAATTATTGTAAAAAAATAAGATTCTTCTAACTCTAGGAACGTTAAAATCTAGAACAGAATCATTAATTATTTATAATTGTACAGCTTATCAATAAGCAGTAATAATTGTCACCATGTTTTATTTTCAAAGTGGACTCGAATAAGAAATGGACTATACATTTAAATTATAGTTTGTGGACAACATTCGTATCTTATCAAGGGTATACTATTCTAATCTCTGAACTCTCATGTCTAAACTTTGTGAAAATTGCAAAAGTTGTTTAACAACTTAAGGTTTTCCCCTATAGTTGTTTGCACCATTTTATTTCAATGAGAGAGAACGAGAATGAAACCTATAATTTGCGAAAGCACTCAAATCTGATAGAAATTGATTATAATAATTTCTTTAAAATAGGCTTCGTTATAGAAAATAAAAAATCTGTGATTTTTTTAATTTATTTAACCAAAATTCTGATTCGTTAATAAAGAACATGCTTTATAACTTTCGCTATCTGAAGGTTTTGATTTCTCCATCATGAAAAAAATATAAAATTATCTTTATACAATAAGAATTTTTAATATACCTAAAATTTATTCATAAATGATGATTTTTTGCCCACAAATTTAATATGGATGCGACAACTTACAAGTGTTATTACATTTGGTGTGATAAATCCTTCAATAGTAAGTACAATTTGAAGAGGCATATCAATGCTCTTCATCTCGGGATCAAAAGATTCGAATGCAATATGTGCGGAAAAAAGCTGGTCAGTAAGCAAAATCTATCTGAGCACTTGTACACCCATACAGGTGCCAAGCCCTTCAAATGCAATTTCCCAGGATGCGAGAAAGTTTACCGGCAGTCGTCTCAGTTGAGCTATCATAAAAGCAGGGTCCATATGAATACTCATAAAAAGGGTAAAAGCAGTGAAGTCAGTTTTCAATTTCCTGGTGAAATTTCAGACATTGCTCTTCCAATAATTAGTTTAGAAAGAAAAAATAATCAACTGCAGGCTAAACTGCAGGTGCATCATTTACTCTTAAGATAACAGCGGCGTTTTTAAACTGTTAATCCATATTTTTCTAATAACAAATTTGATTTGAATAAAAAAGTAATTTATTCAATTATATAGCTATAAAATGGTTTATTCAGAGATATTAATTGTTTAAAGAGCTCTCAAGATAAGCACAATTTAATATAAATATATAAATTATATTCATTAGATAAATGGTGAAATATAAAGAACTTCTACAGTTTTTGCCGAAAAATTTTTTAATATAAATGAAATGAGAATTTTCGTAGTTAGATTGGTGAAAATTAATTTATGTTTTTTAAATGTGCCAAAAAATTTAAAAAGTCTCTTTTTCTTAATTTATTGCATATTTAAATAACTATTCAGACATCAAATTCTAACGCAAATAATTTTATTAATATAAATTCAGAACAATTTTTAAAAGCTTAAATAAAAGCAAAAATTTTAAATTAAATTTAAAATTTATTCTATTTATCAAATTATTTCCTTTTAGTGATTTATATCAGCTCTTAATCACAATTAATAAAGTAAAATTTTAATTAATGGCAAATAAATTATAGCAAATAATAATGTTTATATCATTCAAGTGCATTATAGGTGCTCCCAAACAATCTAGTTTCTGTTTAAATTTTCAGAAGTTACTAAAATTATATTTTATATAAATACATAAATGGGACTACGAAAACCTCGATTGCACATGACAGGTGTGAGCAATTCAGATATTAGAACGGCACCTGAAACAAAGGCAGAAAGAAAAACCCGGCTTCCTCTATATGAAAGCACTTATCCTTATCATCAAGCTCAGCTAGGGCTATCAAGAGTAAAATCTTTTCCTATTATGAGAGACAACCCACTTCAATCTCAAACAACTTTTTACGACACCCACCACAAAAAAATAAAACCAAGGGAGCCAATTGCTCGTCCCAAAACCTCAAACTTAGAAGGAGAAAATTTATTTACTGGGGGAGATAACGATCCCTACCTGAAAAATCCGCAAATGAAAGCTAATCGCCCATCCCATGAAGAAGAAAAAAACGTTAAAAAATACGATAAATACCATAAAACCAAAGAAATTGATAATAAAATAGCAATACAAGAAACTCAGCTTGTACATATGGACCACAAACGGACACTTGAAGGAAAAGTTGACTTAAAAAAAGTTGCTGATATCAGAAGGACAATGAGAAGGCGTTATGCAAATAGAACGGACTTCAGAAAAATTTTTAATCAATGGGATGAAAGGTCTCTAGGCGTTTTAAGGCCCGAAGACGTATGCAAAATGGTAAATAAAATTGGAATTCCTATAAACTTGATAGAAGCCAGAGTCCTAGTGGCAAGTGCAAATCAAAGTCACACAGGAGCTCTTAATTTAGATGAATTTATGCAGCTTATTTTTGATCAAGATGATAGGCTAAATGTGGACTTAGCAACTTTGACTGAAGAAGACCCATCTCCTGATACAGAAAAGAAACTGCTTGAAATGCATGAGTCTGCAGTAAACCAGCACACAAAGAAAATTCAAAATGAGCTTAAAATCCATTTAAAGGAAAAAATAAATGGGCTGGCTGCACAATTTATAAGAAGAGATAAAAATAAAAGCGGAAAAATAAATTTTGAATACTTTGCCAACATTTTGAATAACATGGATTTACCTACAAGTGTGACGAATCAAAAACATTGGAAGTTGCTATATATGGATATGGGAGGAAATGAAGGGGGATTAAATTATAGAGAATTTATAGGAAAATTAAATGATTTCGACTCAAGAAATGCTGCAAGGCTTGAAGAAGTTGGCCCCCCTGTTAATCCTTTAATTCAAGAGTATAATAAGCTAGAAGCTGAGCAGACTCATGGAAAATCACCAAAGCATAATACAATGCAATATAAAGGGAGTCTGACAATAATTGACCGACAAAAAGCTCCTGTCAACCAGCTTGATAATATATTCCAGAGAGCGCGCAAGATAAGGCAATTTTTAAGAGAAGGAGTTGAGTCTCAAGAAGAACTCAATGAAGATCTTGCAAAAGCTGGTTTTGATGGCAAAGTATCTCAAGAGCAGTTAAAAGATTTTGTTATTAGCAAGCTAAAAGAGAAACAAACAATCAAAATAACCAAAAAAGAACTAGAAGGCTTCTTATCTTCTTATATTTACAATAAAGATGGCCTTGCATCTGTTCCAGATATAACAAACAATATATTTATGGAAGACACAAAGGCTGCTCAAGAGCTGCATATTATCAAAAGGGCAGTTCCTCCGTTCAGGCAAACAAAAGACTTTGATCCTTGCTCTGATACAAATATTAAAAAAATTCTCAAAGAGATTGAAGAAAAGATGTTTGTGCAAGGCTCGCAAAGAAGTGTCCAGATTTTTAAAAAGTTCGACCGAGATGGAGATGGGTTTATTACTAGAGAAGATCTGGAAGGGGCTTTAGAAGTCAATAATATTGTTCATGATCAAAGAGATGTAGATGACTTAATGGCATTTTTAGATGAAGAAAAAAGTGGGCATGTTAACTTCAGAGAATTCTCAAGGCATATCCAGACAAATATTATACAATCGAACAGCGAAAGACTACAAGAGGATTCGAAAAAATTCATGAACATTTCTCAGCCTTCATCTGGCTTCTTAAAATCGCAAATGAATCAAACTGATTTTTTTAATAAAGCTCATGAAACCCTAAGGAACCAATTCCGACCTGACGATAAACTTATTCAACTAGTCTCAAATACAAGATATGGGGCAAACCCACCGCATAAAGACACTTTTTATCAGCATCTCCCTCCAGTAGACGCTGGAATGTATGCAAGCGACGAAGAAAGATTCTCAGCCAAAAAATTCCATCCAATTAATATGGGACTGGAAGACAAGCAAAAACTGGCGAAAAGCAAAGAGATTAGATTACAGTATATAAAGAACGCAAGGAACGAAATAAATAGCAGGCTGTCAACTATCCAAGAAATCAGCGACCGAAAGGAAAACAATAAAATAGTCAGGCGTTCCAACATCAAAGAAGAATATGAAATGGTAATCTTTAATATAGAGATGCAAATTAAACTCACCTTTTGCACATTTGCAAATAGAATAAATAAAATTTATATTTATATAATTAATGTCTAATAGCCCAGCTCAGGTTTCCTCGTCAAGTGATTCGCCAAAGGAGTCAGAGGGATTTTTTAACTTTTCCAGAAGAGGCCTTAGTCTTAGTCTTAGTTAAATTTATAAAGTAGCTCCCGGCCAGGACCGAAGGTCCTTTTATTCCGCCTTTTAGACGCCTCGCTTGCTTTCCTTTTCCTGCTCCCAGTGTGCACCTAAGTGCCACAGGCTACCACTCAGCTCCTTCCGGTCATGGGGCTTGGTCATGCTATCCCGGAAGTAAGCGGACTGGGTCACCGTGCTTCACGTGCCAGACCAGGGTTAGAGCTAAGGATTAACTCCTTAGCTCTTGTCGGCTCCTGCCATGCCCTCCAAATTGGCACTAGCAGTCCCTAGAGGAAAAACCCCTTTTTGCCCCGTGTCCTATCGGGAAGACCCTAGGATCGTCGTTTCTGGACTGGGAGGGAAACCTAGCTGGACACAAACTACCAGTACCCATTCCAGACCTTTCCCTGGGCGGATTGGCTTCAGGCCGCAGCAAGGTCCCCAATCTCGCCTCAGTTCCGGCGAGGACGGGTCGGTGTCGTCGCCATTTTATTTGTGTGTTTTCCAGAAGAGGCAGCACAGCAATTGGAAGCAGCAGGATGAAAAAGCTAAGCCATCTAAAGAAGATAAAAACTCACGATGAAGATGCCCAATATGAATTTATTTATCATTCTAATCAGTTTCTAATTGCACTGGCAATTCACCTCATTCATACATTTTTAGGTCCAATATCTTTACCTATCATTTTCAAAATTTTTGGCACAAATTTGTGTAAAAATATGCACTTCAGATGAAATTATCATTATATAAAAGAAATTTTTACACATGTATGTATCATTTTAAATCTTGCTTTTTGCATAGCTTTTCCAGAACTAGCGTTTAAATGAATTGGGCTTGTTGTTTCTGTTCTGGCTGTGATCGCTCTCAAGAATTCTTTTCTTTCAATAAAATATGGATACTACTCTCAGAAGAAGTGAAGGGCAATGAAGGAAGAAACACTTGAGCGCAGTTTTTTGGACTCAGAGTACCTTGCATTAGCATGGTATTCAATTCCTGAATCAGTTATCGATAGTGAGCTTGAAAAAAGCTTTAAGCGGCAGAGCAAAAACCCACATGAACTGTGCTTTATGTTTGAAACACCTCTGCAGGAGTGCTATCATAATCTGCTTGCAAGCTTTCAGATTAACCTTGGAATAGAAACTGTTCATGAAGGCATTTCTCATTCCAACGAAAACCCATGCTATCCCCTCAGTGTCCTTGGGAAAATGCTCATCAAAGAAGCTGATAAAAAAGCTCACTATAAATTCGAAACATATTTTGTCCTTATGCTGAATATTGTCTATTGTATTTTACCTTTCACAACGGTATGATATATTAATGGCGGTTTCTTTGAAGAAGATAGTAATGCTTTATTAATTGTAATTGCAGTTATAAATTCCATTGAAAGCTGCTTTGAAGGTTGGAGACTGCTAATGTTTGTATATATCGGGATTTGTGATTTTAGAAGGAAAAAGATTATGATTGATGAGTGCACAGCCATGATCAGCGATATTGATATAAAAGATACAGTATGGTTTGTCCGCAACTTCCCAAGCGCAGACATGCACGACTTAAGAACTATAGAGTCTTGGTACACTTTGCGGACGGCCTCATTAGATTTTGGGAGAAAATTCACGTATCGGATATTTGCTTATTCTTCTTTTGTTTTGCCTTTGTCTTGCGCAATGGTTGCCTTATTTTTGTTGCAGGCTTTTGGGATTATAGGAGGAGCCTCAAGTGGAGCTTTAATATCGTTGCTGTTTTTTACTATTGTGATGCTGATTCTCATTATATATATGACTTTTTCAGGGATGGAGCTCAACAGAGCATTCAGTTTGCATAGAGATTTGATATTAAATATCGTTGGCCACATCATGAAAGATAATAATTATAATGAGGAAAACGAAAATGTGTTAGCAACTATTAAGATTCTGCAATATTTAGTCCAAAAGCTAGAGCAAGACGAAATACTGAGACCAGTCATGATCATGGGTATCAGACTTGATTCAGCATTGCTCGCTAAAGTAGTTACCGTCTTAATTAGTGGTGTTCTTGGTCTTGTTCAGATGATGATGAGAAGCGGCACATCATTGTAATTAGAGTATTAATTAATGAGTATTATAATTAATGTCTAATAGTGTAGTTGAGGCTTTTCCACATGATCAGTCCATAAAAGATACAGAAACACTTTTAAGTTCATCAGGGAGGAACAGTATGATATATTTACATTTTTTCACTTAACGGCTCTAAGCAAAATAAATTTTTAGCATTATTTTTGATAAAATTAGTAAGCCATCAATTTTTCTCATATAGCTTATCAGATTGCAATTGATAAGATCATATAATGCAGTAGAGAATAAAAGAGTAAGCAAGTTAGCTCTACTCAAAAAGATAAAAACACATGATGAAGATGCTCAATACGAATTTAAATATCATTTTAAACAATTTCTGATCTCCCTCGCAATTCATCTTATTCATATATTTATTGGCCCAATATCAATACCTGCAATTTATAAAATTTTCGGAACAAATTTATGTAAAAACATGTACTTCAAAAGATCAAAGCACTATTTGTTTGAGTTTGCTACCTATATTTGCACAATTTTAAATATCGTATTTTGTATAGCTTTCCCTAGCTTAGCCTCTAAATGAATAGGGCTTGTTGTTTCTGCTCTTGCGATTGTTGTTTTAAAAACTGCTTTGATTACAATAAAATATGGTTACTATTCAGAGAAGAAGTGAAATTTAATGAAAAGCGAGGTCCTTGATAATGATGCATTAAATTCAGAATATCTTATGATTTCATGGCTTAATATTCCTGAATCAATTATTGACAGTGAACTAGAAAAAAGTTTTAAAAGACTCGGTAAATGCCCAAGTGAGCTTTGCTTTACGTTTGAAGCTGAGATAAAAGAAAGCTGCCATAAATTTTTGACAGATCTTAAGTCGGACCTTGGAATAGAAACTACTCATGACTCTGGCACTCATACAAATAATACCCAATGCTACCCTCTAAGTGTCCTTGGGAGGGTGTTGATTAGAAAAGCTGACCAAAAAATTCATTTTAAAGGGGAAATCTTTGTGATTTTTCTTCTAGGGATGATTTATTCCTCTTTACCCTTCATAACGATATGCTGAATTTATGGAGGTTTTAATGAAGATGATTGTAATGCTCTCTTAATTGCACTCGCAGTGACAAACTCAATTGAAAGCTGATTTGAAGGATGGAGATTGCTCATGTTTGTATACATTGGAATGCTGGATTTCAAGAGGAGGAATATCTTGCTGAATGAATGTACAGCTATGATTAGTGATTTAGATATAAAAGATACAGTTTGATATAATCAAGAGTTTCCAAGTGGAAATATGTATGATTTAAAAACTATAGAATCCTGGTATGTCTTGAGAGTAGCTTCATTGGATTTTGGAAGAAAATATACTTATCGAATATTTGCTTATTCTTCTTTGGTTCTTCCAACGTCAGTGGCAATGATCGCACTTCTTTTATTGCAAGCTTTCAGAATTTTGGGAGGGGCTTCAAGTGGGGCATTTATATCAGTAATGTTCCTGACTATGGTTGGACTAACTCTTACTACCTATATGGTTTTTTCTGGGATATATTTGAATAGAGCATTTGGCCTGCACCGTGATTTAATTTTAAATATCATTGGCCACATTATGAAAAATTCTGATTATAAAGAACAAAATGAAGATATCTTACTCTCCCCCTCCGTGAGCGAACAAGATTTTTTACGGAGGAGGATTAATTTTTTTTTCAAAATTTAAAAAAATCTTAATTCGCAAAAATTGGAAAGCAAATTTTTATTTAATTTGTAAAATTTATGTTTTAAAACACGATTTGTTTAAAATTAAATAGAATTAGCTCGAGATTTCATTAAACTAATTATCACTTATATATCAAAATTTTTTCCATAAAAAATTTTTCTATTAAAAACATTTTTGTTCTCTCACGGAGGGTGGGTTTTTGGAAAAAATAGGGATTTTTTTAATGATTTTGTTTGCTCACGGAAGGGGGGAGTTAGTAACTGCTAAATGATTGAAATATTTAGTCCAAAAGCTTGAACAAGACGAACTTTTAAGGCCAGTTATGATTATGGGAATCAAGCTTGACTCAGCTTTACTTACTAAAATAGTCACAGTCTTATTAAGTGGTCTCGTAGCAATTGCTCAGATGCTATTAGGGGATTAAATTGTAATGTAATCAAATTATTATTTAATTTAATGTTCTATTTGTTAAAACAATATAACTATTTTGGATGCTCAAGAAAATAATTTTGGGTTTTGAAAGCAAGCTATTTCTATGAAATAAGCCCTTATTTAGTATTTTAATCTTTATTATAAAGATCGGCAGTATTTTTCCATAATTGATTAACATTTTGTGAAAAGCAGTTCATGATAATTTTATGGCTGCTATCATTTAGTTATGAAATTTTTGAGCAAGGAAAGGATTTTCTTAATATTCTTACCTGCTCTGTTTATATTCTCCAATTTAACTGCAAATGAGCACTTAAAAGTCTAAATGGTAAGAAAAAGAGTCAATCTCTTTAAGGTTTAATATCAATAAGCTATTTACTCAAAAGAACTAAAAGCAGGGCAATAGCTTTAGAAAAATAGTCTCTTAATTTCTAAATTCTTACTCTTTAAAAATCTTTAAATGCATTTTTATTATTTTAGTCTTAAAAATTTATTGAAATATAATTCCGAAAATCAATTTTTATTTCTATTTCCATCTGAAGCACTTGAAATTTGGCAAGTGATTTTATGCAATGCTCAATGCTTATAAAAATATAAAAATATAAATGCATTTTAATTGCATTAATTATCCTAAAAACATTATTATATTTTTCTTTTCAATATATTATAGCAAATTAGATGCGGATTTTTTATTTTGATTCTTAAAATAATTTTGGAAATTCACTTAAATTAATTTTAATTAACAACAATAAATCTGAATAAAATAATGGCAAACAACAGTTTACAAATAGCTCCCATTAGTGCAAACTCTAGAGAATTTGAAACCGATTCGTTCTTTCAGTCAGGAAAAAGAAGCACTCTTACGCTATTTAGCTCTTATAGAAATCCAACCAAATTGTCTCAATTTAAAATAATGAAATCACTTGACGAAGACACTCAATATAAAATTGAATTCCATTGGAGTCATTTTTTTATCGCCGTAGCAATCCACTTTTCACATATTTTCTTTGGGCCATTTATTCTGCCTCTACTTTATCTAGTTTTCGGATATTGCTTGTGTTCAAATATGAGCTTTTGCTTTAGTCGGCTGTATTTACTTGAGTTTTTTTCGTTCATGTGAACTATTATAACATTTGTATTTTGCTTTGTAAACCCTGAGCAAGCTCATGAATGAATAGGGCTTGTATTCTGTAGTGCAGCAATTGTCGGATTGAAGACGCTTCTGCTTTCTATTAAATACGGATTTTATAGTGAAAAAAGATGAAAAGAAATGAAAGAAAAGACAATCGACAGAGAAATTCTTAGAAAAGAATTTATTATGCGTTCCTGACTTAATATACCGCAAGAAGTAATTGATTGGGAGTTGGAGAAAAGCTTTATAAGGCAGAGCAAGTCTCCTTATGAACTTTGTGTCTCTTTCGAGACTCCTTTAGGAGATAGTTGCCATAAGTACCTTACTGACCTTATCGAAAAAAGTGGAGTTGAAATTTTTCATGATAATTCATCACACTGCAAAAATACTCAGTGCTATCCTCTTATAGTCATAGCAAGCTTATATGTAAAACAAATATCAGAAGATGTATAGCTCAGGCACGATATTAGACAGTCTTGGGCTCTTTTTTGATGAGCAACCCGAATTTATTCTCCAGCTTATATTGACGAGCCGACTCGGGGAGTTGGCAAATGCTTCTTATTAGGGATATTTGTCAGCTTCACGAGTTGGCTTGTAATATAAGCTGGAGAACTAGCCCAGGACAATCTGATATCATGCCTGGGCTATAATTAGTAAATGGTGTATGCGTTTTACAATTTTATTATCACTAATCTACACAATTTTACCTTTTATTGCAAAATATTGGATTTATGGAAGCTTCGCAAATGATAACAACCCTTTATTTATTTTATTTGCAGTTATAAGTGGTTTATTTTCTCTATGAGAAGTTTGAGGCTTTTTGACGTTCATTTACATTGGCATATGTGATATCAGAAGGAAAAAACTACTTATGGATGAATGCACTGCAATGATCAGTGACTTAGAAATAAAGCATACGATTACTTATCTAAATGACATCCCTGTATTGGATATGCGAGATCCAAGAACTATTGAGTCTTGGTATTCATTGAGAGTTGCACTTCTTGATTTTGGCCGAAAGTATACAGCTCGGGTGTTTGCATACATCTCTCTTGTCTTGCCTCTGTCTATTACTATGATTTTAATTTATTTTTTGCAAATTTTTGGGATTATAGGTGGTGCTTCAAGTGGTGCCTTAATTTCGCTTCTATATCTTACTTTATTATGCTTACTCCCCCGCCCCTCCGTGAGTGAACAAAAAAATTTTGTTCACTCAAGGAGGGGGGTTAATTTTTTTTTTAAAAATATTTATATATAAATTTTATAGAAAATATTTTTTTCGAAATTTAAAAAAAATCCTAATTTGCAAAAATTGGAAAGCAAATATTAATGTAATTTATAAAATTTATGTTTTAAAAAAGCAATTCGTTTAAAATTAAATAGAATTAGCTCTAGATTTCATTATACTAATTATCATTTATATATCAAAGATTTTTTCCATAAAAAATTTTTCTATTAAAAAAATTTTTGTTCATTCACGGAGGGTGGATTTTTGGGCTAAAAATAGGGATTTTTCTAATGGTTTTGTTCACTCACGGAGGGGGGGAGTTAGGAGTTGTGACATATATGGTTTTTTTAGGTATTGAATCAAATGAAGCATTTGGCATTCATAAAGATTTATTATTAAATATAATAGGAAATATCATGAAAGAAAATGGATACTCTGACAATGAAATTTCACCTCTGGCATCACTAAGGCTTTTAAACTTTGTAGTTAAAAAATTAAAGCAAGATGAAGCCCTAAGGCCAGTAAAAATAATGTGGATTAGAACAGACTCAGCTTTATTTACAAAAATAATTGCTATATTACTTAGTGGGCTTATTGCTGTACTTCAGTCATTCGGGAAGCAGTATGCAAATTAATAAATTATATTCAGTCTTTTATAAAATAAATTTAAAAGTGTTCTAATATTTATATAAGAAAGATAAAAATGTTAGCATCTGTGTCAAATCTCTTATAATCTGTTTGGTATAATTACCAATTTTTTTATTCTTTTAGCTAAAAAAGTTTATATACAAAGATAAATGCCACAATAAGTGTCAGAATTAAGTCTATAAATGGAGAATATTTCCTAGAATCAAAATATTTTGAAAGAGAGTAAACCTCGATTTATCATATAATAATTGATTATTCTTTAGTTGGCTCGAAAGTTAAGTACTTTCTTTAATCATATCGACGACTTCTTTTTTTTCTAGTGCAGCTGCCACTCTTTCCTTATCATTAACTTGTTTATCAACTACATAATAATTACTGTCATATTTGGTAGAATGCCCATCGTCTTTGAGAAGAATATCAATTTTTATGTTTTCATTGTTGTTGAAAGCCTCTTGCAATTTATATCTCATACATAATGCCATATTGCTTGCATGAGGGCATGTATAACAGTTGGGCTTCCACCTGATTAAAGCTGAATATCCTCCGCTTATTTCTTCAACTTGAATTTCTTCTTCAGAGACAACTCCAAGCTCTCTTAGCGACTCGGTGTGGTCAGGGTCTTTTATGCTTCCTATAGCATCTATAGCTCGCATTTTTATATCTTTGATCACTTCAAGGGGTGATGCTTGATTGCCGTCGCAAGTTGCCATTTAAATTCGATTTATAAAATTAAAAGGAAATAATTAATAAACTTTAAATTAAATAAGAAGCCCAGAGCTTACTTTTATGAGACTTCTAGCGGTTTGATACTTGGTTGGTGAATATGTATGTCTTTCGTGGTTTCAGCTTTCTTCGGTTAGCAGTGGCAATCTTTTGAGGAATTTTTGATCAAAAGACTTTTTCCTGCGCAAGCATTCACTTGAATAAAATACCTTACCCCTAGTTTGAAAATTAAACCTTAAATAATATTATAATATAAATTATGAAATGAACCTAGTTCAAAATTGCAAAAAATGCTTAATATTTGATCTACTAGTTAGCAACTTTACTTTTTATTGAACTTGGATTAAGCAACTTCATGGCCTTAATTTTCTCTTTTGTAGACCAGAGATCGGTGAAATTAGGCCCGTTACCCTAGTATCCGCTTGGCTTTATGCCATCCAACTGCTTCCAAGGAGGAATTGGCTTTTGCCTAAGAAGATGTATGATGGACTCTTTAAATATAGAGTATCCTCTTTTATGTTTTACGGTTGGCGATCTGGCCAGCTCTGGCAGTTTTATTTCTTTTAGAGGAGATCGTGACTTTTGGCCAATTGATATTGATTCTTGGCTCATTTTATTATAGATTAAATATTTTCATTTTCGTCCAAGCTTTGTTCTTTGCTATTCAGGACCATTCAATAAGATAAATGTTGAAATTAACATATAAAATTATTTGTGCTAATTTTATCTTTTTAATAACGTTTCTTAGATAAGTCCTTTGAGAACAAAAAGAAATCCTTTCATATGCTTCTGATATTAATACTTGAGACAAAGTTTCAAAAACATTTGCTATGCATACTAAATCTATAATGTTAATAAATACAAGATAAGCCTATTCTGATTTGAGTGAATACCATTTTGATTATTCACAACCCACAATCAGCACTTTTTAATTTTTCGCTTAATATGACTAGTAACATACCTGATCTTTCAAATGCATCAACTGCAATTTCTGGTACTCTTTCCGATGTCAAAAAACAACGCCGACAGCTCCAACAAGACGCAAATCTCCTATCAAATAGAATAAAGCTTCTCCAAATGGAAGAAGAACGAACATGAAAAAAGATCGAGGAAGCCAAAAAAAGAAAAATCCAAATTGAAGAAATAAAAAAACGTAAAGAAAACCAGCTAAAAGAAAGAGAAAGCATAAGAATGATCCGAGAACAAAACCGCATTAAAGCTCAAGAACAGATTCAAAAACTTAAATTTCATAGAAGCATCGGCAAAGAAAAGAGGAAAGAAGAATTATGAAGCGATAAAAAAGTTGCTTACAAGAGCGGAAGAGAATGAAGGGAGTTTAGTATGAAGCAAAAAAGAGACATCATTAATTCTATTCGAGAAGAAAATCACCAAAATGCATTGAAAATCAAAGTTGAAGAAAATCATCATAAAATTAAAATTAAAAAACGAGAAGAAATCAGAGGTGAAGAAAACAAAGAAGACTATTTGAGAAGAATAAAGCAAGAAGAAGCAGCGAAGAAAGAACTGGAACAAAAAGTCATGGAAATGGAGTTGCTGGAAATGGAATTGATAAGGCGCTTGCAGCATACTCAATTAATACAAAAGGATGCTATTTCTGAGCTAGAAAGTGCAATCTCAAAGAAGCAATCATCTTCTGTGACAGATAGATAAGTAAGATTAAATTAAAACAACAATTGACTAAGCCAAAAAAAAACGAGTTAGTTTATAAATTTTTTGGAAGCAGTTATCATTTAAATTTTAGATTTTAAACTAAAGCAAAAGAAGAAAAAATTATATCAAGTTTAGAAATACTGGAAGATTTCCCAAGTAAAACACAAATTAATATTTTTTTTATTAATCAGATGTTTGCAATATAGGAGAAAATGAGAAATTTATATAAAAACTAAATGTATATATAAATAATATAATTAAATTACTAAGAAAGAAAATATCTTAATTAAAATAATTTTCATGAAGATCATTATGTAAAGAAGCTCAAAAAGAAAAAAGTTATTAATTAAAAAATATATTAAGTCTTACTTCATTACATATAGTTAGAACTAAAGATGTGCAGGTATTTATAAAGCTCTAAAAATAGAATTTAATAAAATCTCTCTTCTGCTTTTTTTAAGCCTTTTGTGAGTAAACTTTTTTCCTTCTCATGTATAGAGGTTAAAGTCATATTATAACTCTAAATAAAATAGAAAATTAACATTTCTTTGCAATTATACAACAATACGAATGGCATCATATCTGAAGATTATTTTAGGAATTTGCAGATTATTTGTAAGCATATTTTATCTTGCCACTGTTAATTTGGAAGAAAAGGGTATATTTTGACTCTTTATCATTGGCCTGTGCTTAGACTTGGGGTATTTTATTGTGCTTGGAGTTATAATAACTTTTGACAAAGCTCAATCTTTGCTTATCGAAAGTTACTTATACATGGCTTACTTCTTTTGTCTTTTACTATACATTTTACTGGGACTAAGCCCTATACGGTCAGAATCACTTAATAGTTTTGTCCCCTTCGAATACTCAAAAACGCTATATTTATGCCAATTGGTTACACATCAGGTTTCCCAGCTTATGATTATGGCTGCTATTGTGTGAAATAGTCTGGCAGCAGTAAAAGCCCAAATTCAATCCTTTTTTGTAATTGGCTTCATTCTTATAGAAGGAGTGATAACCTGCTATTCGATTGTCCAAGTCTCATCAAAAATTATGAAAAAATTCGAGCCTGATAATAGGATTGAGTTTGAAAATGAAAGAGAATGGCATTCCATCAATGGATCTAGTGGAGACTCGTCAATTGGTGGTGCATCTTTTTATACTGCAAGATCAACATAAAATTAGTTTGGCTATTATTAAACGATTTTATAGTTGTCATATTAAAATTATGGTATCATTTAATTAATTATATGTAAGCTAGATTTAATACATGCTGAGTGGTTCAAAACTTAATTTATAATTCGTAGCTTTTACTAATTTTTTAAAAATTAATAAGATTTGAATTTATATTAATCGTCAAGATTTTATATGCTTTATCCTTTTCACATAAACCAATAAGTTTTTATATAGATACGTTTTAAATTAGTCTGTTTTTTATTCTCTAATAATTCGTTAAAAATGGGTTGTGCAAAATCAAGACCAAGATCTTCCGAAGAAGTAATAATATCTCTCGCCGAAGAAGGCTTAGGATTCCAAGACCTCAACGTGAATCTAATAGACAACACATTCAGAAAGTTTAGCCACATGGGAAGAATCAATCAAACCCAGCTCAAAAGAATTGCAAAACAGCTCAAAATCAATATAGTTGACTATGGTCCTCATACCAAAATTAACGAAATGTTTTATAACCTGAGAAAACAAGAAGGAGAATATTTCTTAAAAGACCTGCTTATTATAGGCATTTTGCTAGGAAAAGGAAGTCATCAAGAAAAAGCGAGCTTGCTATTCCAGGTTTTTGATGAAATATCAGAAGGCGCTATTGAAGTCAGTAGAATAAGAAATCAGATACTAAAATCTATGTTCGAACATTGTGTTAATAGCCTTGGAAACCTGGTCACCCCAGCACAGTGCTCTGAATCGCTTGAGCTGAAAAATAAAAAATATTTGGACGAGCTCAGACAGATTGAAGCTGACGCAATTAAGAAAATTTCTGATGGGCTTATAGCTGATAAAACTCTCAAGGTTATTGATGAGGCTGAGTTTGTGAGAGCAATGTGCGAGTTTGAAATGGGAAATCTTCTTTCTTCAGCTGGATTCAGAATGTACTTTAAAGAAGTCTTTGTCATATCTCCTCCGAAGAAGGTTTGGGCGAATCCATTTGGAAAAAAGAAATAATTAGATAATTAAGACGAAGCTACTCATTAATTTCATTTTTGATCATAGCGTTAATATCTGTTTTTATTTTTATACTAAAAAGACTGCAAACTGAAATTAGTTTACTTGAAGATTATAAACGCATATAAAATGGAGTGGGAACTAGATGATAGCTCACTTGAAGTCTTAAAACAAGCTTTTGAATGAAGCGACTATGATCAAGATGGCAAAATCAGGTAAAATTAATGCAGCCGAGAAGATCTAAAGATGTCCAGCGGCCTAGAGCGAGACGAAGAAGTGGAAGCATTATTCTTAGCGTTTAAAGAATCTGCCGGAAATTTTTCTAATAAAGACACCGTTTCGTTCGAAGAATTCTGCAAAGGAATCATCGATTTTCCATTTCTTCTTGAGCAGTTTAAACAAGATTTCCAAGCAACAAATTTAAGCAAATCTCCAGCACAAGCAGATAGTGATGGTGAAAATGATATTGGAAGATATGTACGAGAGTTGAGGACTTATAAATCCCAAGAAGGAAACGATACAGATACCATGATATTTCTGTATTCTGGGCTGCAAGAGTCCATTATGGACTTCAATAACGCTTTAAAACTGCCTTATACATCAATGATCCCAAATGAAGCTCAAACCCCTGAAGAACTTATGGACACTTTGGCTGGACTTTTAAGCAAACTTCAAATTAAAGCAAGACAAGAGAATCAGTCAACGTTATGAAATGTGTCATCTGGCTGCAGCCATTTATTAAATTTAGTTAGAGATGCTTTACAATATCATGAAGATTCTTCAAAAAATGCAAAAAATAAATTAAGGGAATCACAATTAGCATTTGACTCATTAAAGCAGCACTGTGAAAGACTAGAAGATTCTAATAAAATTTTGCTATCACAGCTTGATGAGCTTGAAGTTGAGTCAAAAGAGACACGAGCTCTACATTCACAAACCTTAGCCCAAAAGCAAACCTTGCAATATAGACTAAGGCAAGCAGAGCAGACAAAAGAGGAATCTCTAAACCAGATGGAAAAGATTAAAAGAGACATTTCGGAGAAAGAAAAAGCAATTTCTCAGCTTGAAAAAGAATTGAGAAGGCTAAATAGCATGAAGAAAATCCAAGAAATCAGAGGAACCATTGGAAAAGCTGCTGAAGATATGAAAAAACAGCAGGGAATGAAAGACTATCGACAAAGCATGCCAACCACAAAGGTTGCGCCAATGCTATCACCAAGAAATGTAGCCAAAGAGGAGGTTAAAGGGTTCAACGATACCAGTGCCTCGAAGCTTAAAAGTAAAGATGAAAGAATCAAACGCCTTGAAAATGAGTTGAGAAAGGCAAATGCACAAGAAGTCAAGCTGAGGGAAGACCTGGATTCAGTCAGATCAGAAAATAAAAATTTGATTTTTCGCCTGAAAGAAGCCCAGCTTTATGCACAAGGAAAAAGAGATTCTGTCTTGGATGAAGAAAACATTGAGCCTTCGTCGAATTTATATGAAGAAATGAAAATGATTGGAGAAAACTGTTATACCGAAGGAAACGTCAGAGACTCAAGAGAGCCTCCATATAACCCTATTGGAATAAGCAAGGCTGATACGTCGACTCAAACTTCAGAAAACCAGAAAATTATAGAGCCGAAGAAGGAAAAAGATAGATCATCATGCTTTTCGTGTTTTTAATTTTCAATTAATTTAATTAGTAAATAATAAGCTAAAAGAAAAAATTATAGAATATAAAATGGCTCAGGTAGCTAATATTGTTGAATTGGTAAATGCTCTTAAAAGTAGCTCACAAGGAACTTTAGAAAAAAATTTTGAAGCGATGGATATCGCCAGGCAAGTTCTGATGTCAATATTAAAAGCGGCAAATAAGCAAGAAACACTGGCCTGGGTTCCAATTGCGGTGTCTTTAAGAGAAAGTGGATATATGGACGCTTTTAATTTAATATCGAATGCATTGCAAGCATCAATTAAAAAATTTCTTTATGCTGAAGCATCCGGTCTTGAAATCACGGCTCTCTCAAACGCACTTAAAGATATTTGCCAGCTAAACTCAATTGATCCCCTTAGCTCCTTAACAAATATAATTGGATCGCTGCTGACTAATCGAATTCGCCAAGAGCAAGACAGATCAAAAGCAGGAGAAGCAGTCAGCTCTTTATGTTCGCTTCAATTCGAAAAATCCATTGCTGAAAAAGTTGAAGAGCTCAAAGTTGAATACTCTGACTGTCTAATGTTTCCTTGTGAAGAATCAAAAACTCAACTTGCATCACAATTCATAAGCAGCATGAGCCAACTTTCTGACGCCGGAGGAATTAAATCTAGAAACCCAAAGAATGATTATTGTGTAACGATTTCCCATAAATACTTTGAAAAAGGAAATGAGAGAGTTCAGGTTATTGTTAAAAGTTACACAGCAGATGATCAAAGAACTCTTGAGAAATTTACCAAGGAGGCTAATATCTATGCAAGGCTAAGTGGAAATATGAGCTGCTTCCTCAAATTTTATGGAGCATTCTTTGATATGGAGGGTCAAATGCACAGATATAATATTGTAGTTGAACACTGCACAACAGATTTGAGAAAGGATATTGCCAACCGAGCGTTAAAAGGGCTTCGCTACTCTCCTGAAGAAATGACTAGTTATACTAAAACTTTGATTGAAGGCTTTACCTATATGTCAAGGCTTAGTATATTTCATAGAGACATTAAGCCTGAAAATATTCTTTTATCAGGAAGGACCCCAAAAATCATTGACTTCGATGCATCATATACATTAGATGAAAAATATAGAGACTTGACTAGTGCCCGAGCTGACACTTTAATAGGAACCAAAAATTATTTCTCGCCTGAATTGCAGGCTGAATTAGATTCAAGAAGAGAAGGGCGGAGAAATGAAGAATTCTTATATGATCCTTTAAAATCTGATGTTTTTTCTTTAGGATTAACATTACTTGAAATGGCTTCTTTGCAGTACATTGGAGGTCTCAGCGGTCAAAGATATGGAGAAATCCTGGAAATCATAAGAAGTTTGAAATACGATGATTGGTTTAAAGACATTCTTGCCTCAATGCTTCAGCAAAACCCTGCAAGCAGACCGAAGTTCTCTGGGCTGATTCCAATGATTCCTGCAAATTCAACAACTATATTTGTTTAAAATTTATTATTTATCTATAAGAAACAATATCTCCTTTTTCATTTCTTCTAATTCGAAGTTTTACTAGGTAAAAATTACAAAATTCCAACTCAGATTTTATTATGGACCTTTTTCTTATTTCTTCTTGCTTTTTCGCACGAAAATCTACTGATATAGCTTTAATTAGCTCTTCTAATACTTTATCTTTTACAGAGAGTATAATGAAAATTTTATGAGAGTCAATTTCTTTGAATTCTTTTCACGAGAATTTCAGATTCTCTAACTCTTCCTCTTTCTATTTATAAAATACCATTCTTTTCATTTGATTTTTGATTTTCATATTTGGAAAATAATCACCATTAAAGCTAAGCGAGCCTTGCTGCATAGAAGCTTCTGTAGAATTGTCAGTTAGCATTTTATATATAAAGGAGAGTTTATTCGGAAGCCTTTTTATCAAATCATCATGCATAGTATCATAGCAACTCTTAAAGAATCTAGATATATTATTGCTCTGATTTGATTTATAGGTTTCTTCTTGAATTTTTTTAATTTCGTTTTTCGTTTTGAGGATTGAGTTTTTTAAATTTTTTATTGAAATTGGCTCATGCCCTTTAGGTGAAACAAGTGCAGAAAGTGTTGAGCTTGTATGCCCAATTATCTGGACTTGTTTCTTCGGAGAAGTCTGCAAGCTAATAGGTAGAACTCTCTTTTTGATCCCGTCCAATTTAAATTGGATTCTCATATTTTGAATATTCAAAGATTTCAGTTTGGCGTTTAAATCCCTCATGCTCATTTCGAGGTCATTTGCTTTGATTTTTTTCTCGGAAGCTTTTTGAGAGTATTCTTTATATCGTGATTCTAAATCTTCCACTCTTTTGATGTATCAGTCCCTCTCATCTCTTATTTTCACAACTGTTTCATCATTTTCAATGCTATCTTCGATGCTTTTTAACAGCTTAAGCAAGTTTTCTTTCTTTTTTAGCATTTCGTTGATAATGCTGTTTGTGCATGCTTTCATAGAAACTAGAGTCCTTTCTATATTTTGATTTATATATTCCTCAAGATTGTCACATCTGTCTTGAATTTGGTATTGGACTTGAAGCGCAGATGTAAGCGCTTGATCGATTTCTTTTAGTTTTTCAATTCTCGCTAATATTTCTTCTTCATTGGAGTTTGTTGAGTTTGCTTTTGCAATTTCCATTGAACAGCAGGCTATTTCTTATATTATGATTAATTATTTAAAGAACCTAATAATTTTGTATAAGAAATTCAAATAATGCTATATTATTAATCTGGCTTAAAAACTATTAATAGATTGTAGGCTATATAATTATCGAAATGCTGGTTCATCTTTATTTTGGCTATCAAGAGCAAAGTACCATATGTAAAGTGGTGGCAACAACTTTAAATCAGTGGGAGATTTGCTATATGAAGTTTCAAAGTCAATCGCTTAAAGATTGGATTAATTTTAATCAAGTATCAAATGTATCTTGATAGAGTCAAAAAATTGTATTAGGGCTAAAATGAAAATATGATATAATCATTGGCATTTAATGAAAAAGCCTTTATTAGAGATAACTAAGAATATTAATTACCAATTTAAAATTTAATCACTTTCTGAATTTGTTTTAAACTTTTATAGTTTTTTCATATTTTGAAACAGCTTAATTAATCTCATTTTGTTATCTCATAATAACCCATTTAATTTTTGAAAAATTTAAGCAATGAGAACTAAACCTATCTTTATTTAAGACTTTTCATTTAAATTTCCTTTATTTTAGGATTTCTGATTACTCTATCTACAACTAATAAATTTCTGATAAATTCAAAGGCAATTTAAGGAAATTCTCATTTAAATCTTTATAATAAAATAATGAACATCGACGGAAAAGTTGAACAAAATCCACAACCAACTCCTTTAATATGCCACGTAGAAGGCGATATTTTCTATGTCCCTTGCATATTAAGCTCGAATTCTTGTGAGTTCAAGCCCTTGCTCCAGCCTATCACTCCACCAGAATCAAGGACAGATGCTTCCAAATCAAGCGGATGGAGTATCAATGAAGACATTGTTCTCTATCGAATTGTCGAAGCGCGCGGTTTAAAAGCCTGAAGTGCTATCGCAAAAGAATTAAATGCAGTGATGCATCAAAAAAATGAAGTGCGAAATGGTCGCCAATGCAGAGAAAGGTGGTACAATCACGTAGACCCCAGCCTGAAAAAAGGTGAATGAACACCTGAAGAAGATATGTATATTCTGGAACAGCAGCAGCTAATCGGGAACAAATGGAGCGAAATTGCTAGAGGCTTAACAGGGAGAACAGAAAATAGTGTTAAAAATAGATGGAAAAGCATGGTAAAAAAGACTGAAAAAATATGTCCGCCAGGAGTTGATGTAATTGATATGTTACTAGCTCAAAAGCAAGGAAAAGAAATGGAGAATTCTGAAGATGAGACAATGCAAAGTGCATCATCAATGATAAATAGCATGTCGATCAATAACACTCCGATTATTTCACAAATGCAGTTTAGTCCTCAAGTTGGATGAACTCCTCAATTAAATATGCGTCTAGGCCTGGCCATAGACTCCGCCATGGATCTTCAAACACATATTTTAATTATATCGGCAAGGTTTGCCAGCCCAGAAAAGGACAGCTATGCTAGTTAACTAACCCTATTACGTTTAGGGCCTAGCCTTAGTCTGCTTTCGGGGAGCTGGATTTTACCTCGAGGGAAGAGAAACTTGAGTTGGAAAGGGAAGCCCAGCAAAGTCTTCTAGGCCTATCAGGCAACTCTCTAGCTTGAAACTAGAAGTTATGCCCTGAGATGCAAGCTTTCTTTTTGCCGACAATTCCATTTTTTAGAATTAATAGTGCAGGCATCCCTCATCTAGCATACAGCGTGCCGACGCAGCCCACTTAACCTTCCGTTTGGCATGAGGCTCAGGCAGAAAGGGAGCTAACTCATGATGGGGAGGCAGCAGGCCCTAAGAATCAAAGTGAAGAAACCAGATGCTACAAGTAGCTATTCGGTAATCTAACTTAATATTAATGCTAATGGGATGAAGTCCTCAGGTAGGATTTAGTCCTAATATCGATTTTGGAAATCCCGGAATGAGCCCTGATATGGAATCAAATATGAAAAATATTTTTATTAGGGAACTTCCTGTAGGCTATAGAGAAGGTGCAGAAATGTGGAAGCAACTGTATTTTAAGAACAACCAAGAAAACATAAGCGGAACCCCATCTCCTTCGATATTCTTATCTATGTAGCTGAGTTATTTTCTTAATTTATAAATTCAATGAATCATTAGTTTAAAAACTAGATCCTTGGTCATTTATGAGAGGTCCTTTTATATAATGTCCAGGAGGATATAGCCCAGGCCCATACCAACTAGCTTTAACTTGATAAACTTTTATGATTTTGTAAAATGAAAAAATCACAATTAAAAAGCATAGCCCACCGACTAGCCTAATGTGTGATGGCTTCTCGAGCTTATGCAAAATATTTAAACCTACAAACCCAAGCCCTCCAATCACCATTAAGAACCCCATCATAAACCCTTCAGCGCCATATTGGCTTCTTTGCCCTGAGTGAATAAACTCAGCTTCTCCTTTTCCATTAGTTCCAACCATAGGAACTCCATGAATAATGTCGTACACAAATCCAGAAATGCAGATAAAATATATCGTCAATCCCCCTGCGTACCAGACATAAGGAATCAATAAAAAGCTCTTGATTTTATAAATAACAAACGCAAAAGTCGTAAAAATCAGCATAAACATCCCCATAGAAATTATCGCTGCAAATGGAGACGTCTTCAGTTCAATTTTTCTTCCAGATCTTGCATTTATAAAATCAAGGAGTTTTTGAGGATGGACATCTCCATCTTTACTAAATTCCCAAACTTCGTCACGATAATAAGAATATCTGTCCCCTTCATCTTTTATTGACTTAGGAGAGGTAACAATCAGGTTAGGGACTGATGCGAATTTGAATTTTTGGAAAATTGGCTGGTTTTCTGAGTTGTATTCTAATATTGCGAAAAACACTGCCCTTGACTTGGATCCTGGGGTGTTTAGTGGTAGATCTGCATTTGCACCACGGTAGGAATAAATGACTTGGTCAAGCATAGAACCAATTTCATCACAAAGTTGACATTTAAATTTGGTTGGGTTTTTTGATGTAAGAAATACTACCAATGTGTAGGGTCGAGGATAATCGACTACGAATTTCTGAAATCCTGAGGCAGTTAGCTTTATAAGTCCATCTGATTTGTAGGAAAGCGCTCTTAGCTCATCAGCTTTAGATTTTCCAATAGCTGCAAGATCGTCTGCATAGCACAAAAGAATTGCTAATGGTAGGATTAGAAATTTCATTATAGTTAGGTTATAATTTAAAAGAGATATAAAGTAATTTTGATTCAATTATCATTTTTCAAAGCAAAAATATTTAATTTCTGGTCTTATCATCATAATAAAATATTGAAATTTAGTAAATTGAAAGAGATTATTAGCTTACAATTATGCAGAGCATAGATAAAGAGCCATAGACAAACTCATCATTTGCTGTGGTAATAGTATCATCTTCTCTTTTAGAGCCAAGAACATAAAGCAGTGGCAAATAATGATCTGGCGCTGGGGCAGCATCAATTCCATTTTCCATGTCAAGATAATTGATCAATTCGCTGAATCGTGAATTTGCTAGTGCATTTTTTACACGATTTACGAATCTTACCGCCCACTCCAGAGGAGGGCCTTGAGACAAATCTATCAAATCGAAATTATGGATGAGATTTCCACTCCCTAAAATCAAGACACCTTCGTCCCTTAGCTGAGTTAATTTTTTGCCAAGCTCATAATGATACTCAGGTGGTTGCTCTTTATAGATGCTTAGCTGAAGCACTGGGATATCAGCATCTGGATAAATTTTCCGCAAAATTACCCAAGTGCCATGATCTAACCCCCAAAAAGAACTATCTATATATAAAATAAATAAAATCTATTAAGTTTGTGGTTAAGATTAAGTCTATAATAAATAAAGAGATTTGCTGCTAAAGTGTAATGCTCTATCAATATAAGTGCAAATGTCTAAGTCGACATTTAATGGCTGAAGTAAATTTTTAATTCTCTCAGCCAGTTCCGGATTTCCAGGAGCAGGATACTGAACATCATAAAGTGCTTTTGGAAAGCCAAAAAAATCATGAATTGTTCTTGGAGAACTCATAGCAGTCACACGGGTGCCATAGACATATCAATGTCCGGAAATACACAAAATTGCTTTCGGCTTAGGAAAAGCAGATGCAATGTCCCTCCATCCTTGGGTACTACTGTTTTCTTCTATTGCATTCATAGGGCTTCCATGTCCAAAAAAATAGCCGGCATTCTTTCCTTTGCTTGACCCATAATTATATTTTTATGCTATTTTAGACAACCAAATGTGCAGTTAAATAGTTTCGATCATTTAGAATAATTTATTCTCTTATTTGCTGGCTAAATTATTTTGTATTCTTGCTGTAAAGCTACTGAAAACAACAAATTTTATTTTAAATTTAAAGCTATCACTTCTTTTCTCTACAAATGATTTTTCTCGAAGTTATATATATTTTGCACGTTATGGAATATTTCTTTAGACATTAAATAATTCATGAAAATGCCATTTTTTTTAAAAAAGGACTAAAAAATTTATTCAATTTTTGCATGCTTCGGGTTTCCAATCTAATTTGGAAGTACTTAAAATTTTGGTGATCCTTTATATCAAATTTATGATTTGAAACAAATAATAATTATATAATTTTTCTCCAATCCAATTTTATAAATGGAATTTCAGTATATGGCAGTTCTATTTTCAAATATCAAAAAGTTTAGCATGGCATATATAAATCCTCATTTGAATAATTATTTAAAAATATGTTTTATTCTTAACTTTATCCTTTAAAAACAGCAAGATAATTTAATTGCTCACAGATAGGTATTAGTTTATTTTTTAAAAAAATATATTAAATAGTGTTTGGATCTTAAAAAATAACCAATGAAAATATTTGAAAAAAAAATTTTTTTAAATTTTAAGACTTACGCCTCAGAGCACAAATGTCTGCAGTGTTGGAGTAACCATTAAATTTATAAATAAATATATAGGATATTGGATAAATACCAAAAAATTGAGGATATATCTGCAAATCTTTGTTTTCTAAAAATATAGTAATTCTAATATAAAAGAATTATCTATATTGCTTCATAGATTATCCAAAATTATTTTTTATGAATTCACAATAAACATAAAATTGATAATAAATGTTAATAGAGCTTATAATTATTTTTCAGAAAAGATCATCATTAACTTACAATTACACATAACATAGATAAGCAGCTGTAAACGACTTCATCATTAGTTGTTGTAATAGTATCGTCTTCTCTTTTTGATCCAAGAACATAAAGCAGTGGCAAATAATGATCTGGCGTTGGGGCTGCATCAATTCCATTTTCCATATCAAGGTAATTGATTAACTCATTAAACCGTGAATTTGCTAGTGCATCTTTTACACGATTTACGAATCTTACTGCCCATCTTTGAGGCTGACCTTGAGACCAATCTGCCAAATCGAAATTATGAGTGAGGTTTCCGCTTCCCACAATCAAAACGCCTTCGTCCCTTAGCTGAGTTAATTTTCCCCCAAGCTCATAGTGAAAGTTTGGAGGTTGTCATTTATCAATACTGAGCTGAAGCACTGGAATATCAGCAGATAATTTTTCCGCAAAACTACCCAAGTTCCATGATCGTAACCCTATGAACTGTCTATGGTCACATTTAAGGGCTGTAGCAAATTTTTAATTCTCTCAGCCAGACGTGGATTTCCTGGGGCAGGGTATTGAACATCAAAAATAGCTTTTGGAAAGCCTCCAAAATCATGAATTGTTGGAGGATTTTCATTTCCAGTTACACGGACTCCCGTGACAAACCAATGTCCCGAAATGCTTAGCACAGCTGTTGGTTTGGGAATGGAAGAAACCATATCTTTTCAAGTCTGGGTGTAAATATTTTCTTCTATCGCCTTCATTGGACTTCCATATCCGAAGAAAATAGCTGGCATTCTTTGTATAGCTGTGCTCATAGTTGATAAAGCAATAATAGCAATTCAAATATGTCAACAGAAAAACATAAATATTATAAGTTTTAAGAACTTATCGCACTTTCAAATAAAAATTGTATTTGAGCTCTTAATATTTAAATTTTATGGCGACCTTTCTCTTTATACCTAAAAAGAACTAATTTTTTATTTTATAAATTTTCTCCAAGAAGAATTGTATAGGTTGATTTTTTTCCTGTTTAGTTCAGCTTTTATTAAAAGCTTAAGACTTTAAACTTAAATATTAAAGAATAAATTTTTAGATATCATTCTTTCTTTTTATCCTCTGCAAATTCTGGGCAAATTAATTCAGTTCGAGTCGGTTTCAAACTTTAAATACCAAGGTACTTCAGACTTTATAGAATTTACAGATCTAATTCAAGTCTCCTCTACATTTCCTTGTCCTTAGATTGGAATTTCTAAGTCTTTGAAAGAAAGTAGAGAAAATAGAATAATTATAACGCTTTGGAATACTCTGATTAGGCTAGGAAGAATTATCCATAATTTTGATTGGCAATAAATCCTAATTCAATACCCTTGATTAAAAAAAAAATCTGCATTAATTAACTTGGGAAATTTTTTTAGCAAAAATTTATATTAAAAAGTTTTAGAATGTTAAAATCCAAATTTTTAAATATTTGAAATGATAAATCTAATTCTATTTATAAAATTTATATTTTAAAGACACAAGCTGTTTAAAAGTTAATATAATTAGCTAGTAATCCCATTATCTCAATTATTAAGATTAAGACTATGATAAAACTAAGTCCGTACTTCTTGGCCTAAGCTTTGGGAAACATCTCTGAATAACGGTGGATGGGAGTAAGCGGAAAGAATCATTTAAAAATCATCTAGTTTTTAGAGCCTATAGAAATTGCCCGATAATTGCGCTCAATGCGTTATCATCGAGCAATTTCTATATATGAGAGAGCAAAAAATTTATATAAAAGTTTATTTATATAAATAAGAATTATACATAAATTTATTTATTTATTTATTTATTTATTTTTAGTAATTTACCGCTGAAACTCAGCATTTCTCTCTCGACAAGAATTATACATAAATAAATATTTAGCGAATTGCATTGAAATAGATAGCTTATATAAACAATTTCAATTTTGCAAATTGTAATTGATTTTAAGTCTTGAAAATAAAAATGAAAGAGCAAACAAAAGTGTTTGTTGGCATTCAATGTTTATCATTATATTGCAATATTTATTAATTTATTTATTAAATAAAATAAGATTAAAGAAAAGACCATTTTTAATTTACGATTACGCATAACATGGACAAAGAGCCAAGCTGAATTATATCATTTGCTGTCGAAATAGTGTCATCTTCTCTCTTGCATCCAATTATGTAAAGTAATGGTAGTCAATGATCTGGTGTTGGAGCTGCATCAATTCCCTGTTCCATATCAAGGTAATTGATTAATTCACTAAATCGTGAATTTGCTAGTGCATCCTTTACACGATTAGTGAATCTGACTGCCCATTCCTGAGGTGGACCAGGAGCCCAATCTATCATACCAAAGTTATGAATAATATTCCCACTGCCCATAATTAAAACTCCTTCATCTCTCAGCTGAATTAGTTTTCTCCCTAGCTCATAATGAAAATTTGGAGGTTGTCTTTTATCAATGCTGAGTTGAAGCACTGGAATATCAGCATTTGGGTAGGCTTTAATCAAAACCGACCATGTTCCGTGGTCTAATCCCCATGAATTGTCTAGAGTGACGTTCAATGGCTGAAGCAAATTTTTAATTCTCTCAGCCAGACGTGGGTTTCCAGGTGCTGGATATTGGGCATCAAACAGGGCCTTTGGGAAGCCTCCAAAATCATGAATTGTTTCTGGAGATTTCATTGCTGTCACGCGAACTCCATTGACATATCAATGTGCTGAAATACTCAAAATAGCTGTTGGCTTGGGAAAAGAAGAAACAATGTCCCTCCATCCTTGGGTGGCAGAGTTCTCTTCTATCGCATTCATCGGGCTTCCGTGGCCAAAGAATATAGTTGGCATTCTTTGAATAGCTTGGCTCATAGTTGATAAAGCTATAATAGAAGTCCAAATATGTCACCAAAGATGCATCATTATAGGAATATTGAGATAATTATAATAAAGCCTTTTTGATAAAATTATTGATTTCAATTTATATGAATAGGGTTAGCAATAAACAATTTATAATTACAGCCATTGCTTATTATATTCTGCCTCAAAATAGTCTTATTTTATTTTGATATTGCGATGGATAATTTAAAACTTTATGAATTTGTAGGTCTATTATTTAGTAAATTACCAATCATTTATGATAAAATAATTTAAGAATTCCAAAACAAATAAGAGGATTATTTGCTTTGTAGGCTCTTTGCTATCTATCATAAACTTGAAGATAAATGATAATTTTGCTTAATTTTTGTTTTATCTCGGCATGAAAATATTATGCAAGTGATATAGCTTATACCCCGTTTTGGATCAGCCTTGAGCACCCCCTCTCCATGCCACCTCCCTAACGGTCCCATATATTTTAGCATGCTAAATATTAATTTGACAAGTTAAAATATTTGAGGGGAAACTGTCAAATAATATTTTAAACATTTAAAATTTCAGGACCATCAGGGAATGGGTGACATGGGGAGGGGGTACTTAATGGCGAGCAATCATGAGGGGTGTGCTATATATATCAGAAAATTATAGCCTAGAATATTGATTTTCCTTCATAGAAAAATTTTTCTTAAGACAATTTTTTTATAAGTTACAAGGAATTAATATAATATTTATAAACACATGAACCGAAGCACTATTAGTGAATTTTCATCAAGTAAAAAAGTTGATCTAGTCGAAGTTGTTTCCCCAACGAAACCTAGCAACAGCAATTTTAAGGCGTATTCCAAAAAATATTCTTCTCATCGTTCAAATAAAAGTTTGGGTGCAGAAGAAATCAGAGCTCTTTTAAGAAAAGAGCAAGCCAAAGAAAAAACAAAGTGACAAAATAACAAAGAATCTCGCGATGTTTCATATCTCAAAGATAGATTAAAACCTGCAAATTTTCCACTTTTACCACCTTTACCTACAGATATTGATCATCTTAAAAAACTATTAGAGTCAAGTACAAATGACTTATATTATATCTCCCCAAAAACCAGAGCTGTTTGCAAAAGAGAAAATTGTGTAGATTTTACGTTGGAAAAAATCCATAGTCTTAAAAAGACAAGATCAAATCGAACATTGTCGTTTGGGTCAATTGAAAATAGCCCAGTTTCTTCTCCAACTGCTCATGATTCAATTGAAATTGGCTTTGCTGGGATTCCAAGCGGGAGGCAAGAAATAGACCATTTGAGAAAATGATTCAGCTTTATGGTTGGAAAGTATTCAAATACTGATGATATTCAAGCATTGGAAGCCATTTATGTTCTATGTGGAAGGGAGCTGGTAAGACAAGTTACAGTCCATTGCGCCGAAAGAGGAGAGCTACTGAGAGATCTATTTGCAAGATTTGATGAATTTTCAAAAATAAAAGAGGCAAAAATAAATGAAAAAATCACTGAGCTTAATAAAAAGGCAAAAAATGAATTACAACAAGTGAAGAAACTTCATGGAGAAGTCATTGAAGAATACAAAGGAAAAATCGAAGAGTTGAATAAGAAAATTAAAAAGAAAAAAGAAAGTAAGACGAAGTTAAAAGAAGATATTATTGTACTGAGAGTGAAACTTAAAGATGCTGCAAGAATGCATGAGCAAGAGCAAACTTATAGTAAGGTTTTGAGAGAATATGCCATGACACCAAATAGAGAAGTTCGAGATAAAAAAGGGAGTAGACTAGAAAAAGTGATTTCGACTGTTATGTGGAAGAAAAAAATTGATAGAATTGATAAAACAGTTCCTCCAGACTCTAGTTTTTTGCTGCCACCTGATTCTCCATTTGTAAACAATAGTGATCAAAGTGTTGAATCTAATCCTGAACCAAGCCATAGTGGCACTGACTCTAATCCTGAGCCAAACCGTATGGACTCTAATCCTGAATGGAGCCATAGTGAGGAGTTGAAGAACAGAGATGAAACATTTGTCACTAAATCATCTAAAAGTGTGCTCGAAAAAGGAACACAGACTGATATGGTTGAAATCAATCACATAGTTAATCATGCTAATGAAAATATAAATGAAGAATATATGCAGAAGATGCAAGAAAGCTCATCAATTGCAATCATAAGAGAAAATTTTATTGAGAATGATTATGAAAAAAATAAAATTGAGTCAACAAAGGAAGAATTAAAAACAAATAGCACTAATTATCAAAATGAAGATAAGCCCGAAATAAAAGCAAATCTTAAATTGAATATAAATAATTCTGTTACAAAAGAAATTAATGCAGAACAAATGGACGCAGCAGATAAAAATGTAAATATAACGAAATCTAGATATTTTGGAAGCTCTCACAACAAAATTAGTAATCCTAATTTCAGCAGTACAGGATTTTTAAGTGATTACTCAAACAGCAAGAATGCATATGACGAAACAAATACTAAACTAATAAAAGAAATGGTTGAATTAGGGTCTCCAGTAAATAAGGATTCTCAACTAATGGATGAAGATTTGAGCGATATTGAAGCTCCTCATAATCTCTATAGTGCAACTAATGGAGAAATCAGTATTATCCTTACAGAAGCAATCGGCTCTTCCGAAGCAAAAAAAATTGATAGAAAACCCCCTGAAGAATTGACTCAAAATGACTCATTTTTGTCACCTCTCAATTTGAAAGATTCTTCAGATAAGCACAGCTCACTGAAAGAAAACAACAGAAAAAAGTCCAAAACAATTCCTAACTCCGAAGTTAGAGAAGAGCCAAGCAATTTTGCCGAGTTTCAAATCTTAATAGATTCAAGCAGCCAAGAGCTCAAGTCAGTTAAAGAAGAAATTAAAAAGCACATGGACATGCTCAACGATATTAAAAAACAAATCCAATCCAAACAAAAAATGCTCAACAAGCTTATTTACCAAAAAAATACTAATGAAGATTCTCCAGGAGTTTTCATGAGAAATAAATCGCTGAAAGATCGAACCTCTCTTGAAGCTGGCCAGATTAATCTAAATGATAATCACTCTATTGCGAAACTAATACCTGCAGACGCAAATGTGGACTCTTGAAAAGAAGGGTTCCAGGCTGGACTTGAAAAAGGGAAATCTATGGGCTTTGCTGAAGGTGAGGATTTTGGGATTGAAGAAGGTAAAATGGAAGGCTATATTCAAGCAATTTATGAAAAAGATGCTATGAAAACTGTTGATTTAAATGATGAAGACTCGTCTGACGAGTCAGTGCATGAAGAAAGTAAAATCGATTTGTCTGATTATACAGCTACATTTGCACGTGACAGCTTTGAAGCGGATTCCCCTCGAATTTTCAAAAAAACTTCTAGAAAACTTACAGGGTGACCCGGAATTTAGTACGCTGTACTAAATTCCGTACTTTTTTTTACCGTCAAAATGACTGAGAAAAAAAATGTGCTTTTTTTTTACGGAAAAAAATACATCATAAAATTTTGTACTTTTTCTAGGATGGGGTAAAATAGTACATAGGTTTTAGAAAACCATCAAAACGGGGGTAAAAAAGTACACATGGCAAAACCTCGTTAATAGAGGCAGGTACAAATAAGCTAAGAAAATAGAATAATTAAATTAAATAAAAGTGTATAATGTTGTATATTTTATTAAATATAATAATAAATATGAATAGATTAAAAGAGCTGTGCAGTGTCTTAGACAATATATATTTTTTTTTTTGATTGTATTTTTTTTTTAAAAAAAATATTAGTAAAAAAGTTCACTATAATTTTTGTATATATTGTATCGATAGCGATCTATTATTCAAAATCATTCATAATAAGACTAAAGTATTATAATCGCGAAGTAATATCTAATAGCATGATTAAATGTTTAAAGGCATGCACGGAATGCATAGCTACAGTTTATTTTAAAAAACTTAAAAACTTACGTAAAAAAGTACAAAAATTTTTTGTACTAAAAATTCCAGTAAAAAAGTACATGTACTTTTTTTTGTACTAAAAATTTCAGTAAAAAAGTACATGCATTTTTTTTTTATACGGAAAAAAGTACATGCATTTTTTTTTTATACGGAAAAAAGTACATGCTTAAAAAAATCAATTAAAAAAAAAGTACCTATTAAAAATTAATAAATTATGGAAAAATAATTTAAATAATATTTAAATAAAACATATGAGAACGCATTTTCTATGTTCTACTGTATATGATTTAACATCACAATTAGCCAATACTACTGAAAAATACTACTGAAGAATACTACTATAAAAAACACTTCCTTAAATTTTTTAAATCTATAATAAAATAAATATATGCAGAGTGAAAAATTAGAACAAATTGAAGCAGAAGATTCATCAAGTAGTTCATTAGGAGCAGCTTACTTACGTGATAAATTTGAAGCTTCTGAAGATGAAATTTCTTCTGAGAATTGAAGTGAAATATACGAATTGAATAGAAAAGATAATACGCCTCCAATTGGATCAATATCCAAAATCTCATTGATCAAATCAAATTACACCATTGAATTTATTTAGGGCCATTTTTTCAAAGAAGAATTTATTATTGAAATAATCAAGAAGTGAATGTTTATGCAGAAGCTCTTTCAAAAAAGTCAAAAAGTATATGGTGTCAGTAACTGCTCAAGAACTTGAAAAATGGATTGGGATATAGTTATGATGGATCTAATAAAAGCTCCCAAGCATAAGGATTATTGATCTATAGTCCCTCTTTGCAAAATTTGGTAATATCTGAGTCATAAAATCTAGGAGATTCCAAGACATAAGTCGTATACTAAATATATTTTACAATTTAGAAATATTCAGCGCCAACTATTCTATTGACAATTATTATGGAAATAGAGTTTCGCATAAACTAATTAAAAATCTCCCAGAAAATCCGCAGAGATATTATAGAAGTTTCCTATGTTTGGCGCTGTAAGGCCGATAAATTCTGATCGGAATTTATCGGTAGGTTGCACCAAATCAATGCCTTGGTCGGACCAAAAAGCGATTGGTCCGACGAACTTGGAAAGCACCTGGGAAAATGTCTGCGCTTTTAGCGCTATATAGAGGAAACCTCTATATTATTTTTTTGACGCTGGTATTCAAGCATTGAACTCTTCACTTCTATCTTCAGCCTTAGTTTTGCTGCAACTGACTCAATTAATAAAAGCAGAAAAGTCCTTCCTATAGCTCATATTAGCAAAAAATAAAAAATGCAGGCTTGTTTAAGAATCTCCAGAGGAATGAATTCAAAGTTTGCATGTAGTTATTACTGGGGAACTTCTGAATCTGTAATCAAACGAAGGAGGAGACTGAATACTGCTGCTGCAAACGCAAGAAGCCACTTAATCAATAAAAAATTACTTGTTTAAAAATTTTTTACCAAGCAAGGGTTTAAGCGTAGTCCAAATGAATCAAATGAAGCTGGAATAAAGCTAATAAAACGTAATAGATAAATAATATTTATGAACTCATATACAGTAGAACATAGAAAAATGCGTTCTCATATGTTTTATTTAAATATTATTTAAATTATTTTTCCATAATTTATTAATTTTTAATAGGTACTTTTGTTTTAATTGATTTTTTTAAGCATGTACTTTTTTCCGTATAAAAAAAAAATACATGTACTTTTTTACTGAAATTTTTTAGTACAAAAAAAAGTACATGTACTTTTTTACTGGAATTTTTAGTACAAAAAAATTTTTGTACTTTTTTACGTAAGTTTTTAAGTTTTTTTTAAAATAAACTGTAGCTATGCATTCCGTGCATGCCTTTAAACATTTAATCATGCTATTAGATATTACTTCGCGATTATAATACTTTAGTCTTATTATGAATGATTTTGAATAATAGATCGTTATCGATACAATATATACAAAAATTATAGTGAACTTTTTTACTAATATTTTTTTTTAAAAAAAAAATACAATCAAAAAAAATATATATTGTCTAAGACACTGCACAGCTCTTTTAATCTATTCATATTTATTATTATATTTAATAAAATATACAACATTATACACTTTTATTTAATTTAATTTATTCTATTTTCTTAGCTTATTTGTACCTGCCTCTATTAACGAGTTTTTTGCCATGTGTACTTTTTTACCCCCGTTTTGATGGTTTTCTAAAACCTATGTACTATTTTACCCCATCCTAGAAAAAGTACAAAAATTTTATGATGTATTTTTTTCCGTAAAAAAAAAGCACATTTTTTTTCTCAGTCATTTTGACGGTAAAAAAAAGTACGGAATTTAGTACAGCGTACTAAATTCCGGACCACCCAAACTTACACATGTGCCATATAAAAAAGACACTCTGCCACCAAAGAAAAAGGGCACTGAAATAATGGAATTTAATTTTCACAAAGCAGAAATTGTGGCACAGAAAAAAATAAATCCTGCAAATTCACTTTTAGAGACTATCCTCAAGAAAAAGACTAGTAGGATTAAGAAATATTCAACGATGGGTTTAAAAATGATAAACAGGATGATATCAACGATTTACCAAAACGGGATTCAATTATTAAAGGAAGAAACTGAAGAATCACTGAGCAGCCTGGCTGATCTTACATATGATGAAATTTTTCAAAGATATGGAGTCAAAGTGGCAGCTGAGAAGAAATTTAGAGATTTTATAGCTTCGCTGTTTAACACATCTACACACAAACGATCTCTTATGTATATTAAATTCCTGAATTGTGGGAATAAAATTGGTGCAACTAATTACACAAGGCAGAGCTTGGTAATGTACTTGAAATGTCTTGATTTTATGTTGGCGTCGAATATAGGGATAATGTCAGGATATCTTGATACATCTGAAATAAACATGTTTCCTACGCTAAGAGCCATTGAGTGCGCAAAAGATAAGTTTGATCCTAAGCATTCAATATCAGCAATGATCATACAGCAAATTGAAACTAAAAGCATTATTGATCCGAAAAGAATAAATCCATATGGCCTTATCGAATTAGAAGACTTTTTAGAAATCGTGGTGGAAACTTATGAAACTTATCAAAGAAAAACTTTGGAAGGCGTGCAGAGTAGCTTTGAAGCTGTAGATTACAAATATGACCAAGAGACGCCAAATGTTTGAAAACAAAATGAAGATGCATTAATATAACTTTATGACTTACATTTTAAGATAGCAGACTTGTAATTAGTATCCCATAACTAATGATAATGTATAATCCAGAATTCGGCAAGCCTGCTTGCAGAGTAACAAATTCAATAAAAGTTGTTTGGGCGCAACTTGGAGCCATTATCCAGTAGTTGTAATAAGTGTGTAAATCCTTATAGTACTGTCAATATGTCTGTGGCGTTTTGTTATGATGTTTATCACAATACTCCCAATATCCATCAAAAACATCAGCTCCCCAGCCAGGCATACAATAGGAATATCCATCTAGTCCGCATAAGCAGTCTACATAACCTCCATCTTTTAATAAGCAATCAGTTGAAGAGTTGCATCTTTTTGGATACACAGTATCAGCCAAAAGCTCCTCTCCAGGGAATGTAAGACAGTCAATAGATTCAGAAGAATCTAATGATGGCGTATCAAGAGTGTGGCAAAATAAAACTGTACCATTGTTTTTGAATCATGACATCAAAGACTCCACTGATCCATACGTTCCTACTGGGCAGCCGTAAAAATTTACATAGACAGATCCATCACTGTCCAGAGCTACAGCTCCAGTTTCAAGTGAGTTGCACATAATTGCTGGGCAAGTGCTTTCTGCAAGATAAACTAGTAAAAGGATTATCATCATTTTAAAATTAGTTTACTTTAAATATTCATCAATTTTGAGAATCATTGTTCATTTAAAGAGAGCATATAAGTAATTAATAATAAATAAGTTAATCAGCTTCTAGAGGTGGAAGGTGTCTGTTTATCATTTGCTGAATTTTTGGCACATCAGCTCCATCAACCTCACCTATCAATTTCGAGCCCAAGAAAAATAAAAATCTTGGCTTGCACGATGATTGATGGCTGGCGAAGTCTGGGACCTTATCAGTTTCTGCTAAAAGAAATTGAAGACGAGAGTCCCATTCATCAATTTTCATTGCAATAGATCTGAAAGATGAAGATAGTAGTTCGCATGGTCCACACCAAGCAAGAAAGAGATCGACGATGGTGAGTTTTTTGCCTGATATGAGTTCGTATAAGTGATCTTGGTTTCTGACAGTTATTTGAAATTCTTGCTGCTTGCCTCTTGGTGGCATATTTATTTATTAAGAATATCAACAATGAGAAATCTTAAGCAGGCAATTTTGTAGTAAGAAATTTGTTTAAAAATAATTATATTCGCTATTTAAAATTGTATTTTTCATTCTCTTTAATTCTTTGCTAGACTATCAATATCATCTTTTGTTATAACTTCTTTACTATTCATTTTCTGCTTATTACCATCGTTAGTAGCGTTATTATTCAAGCCTTCTTCGCTTTTAACTGTTGTAGTTGCATCAAAAGTTTTATATATACATTAAAATGGCGACACGTAACAGCCTGCCCTCTTGGCGCAACAGTCCAGACCTTACGGTCACGGCAAACTGGGACGAACTGCGAGCCGAGAATTAAGTGCATACTCAAGAGATGTGCATCCGGGTAGGCTTTGGCTGCTTTCCTGTGGTTGGAAATGGAGATGCTCAGCAACGTCCTTTTGGATTCTAGAACTGAAGCCGTCGTAAGGCAAGGAGGAGACAGAAGGTACCGGAAGTGGCATTCACCATCGGGAGAAAGACCCTCCTGGCTGGAGTCGAAAAGCGGGAGAACCTCCAGGGCAAGAGGTCTTTGGTGGTTGCGTCACCAATATGGCTAACGCCTGACTTTTAATAATCCTAATGCATCAAAAGTTTTGAATTTCCCTGCTAATTCTCTTAGTTCTTTTTCATTCATTGAAAGGCTTTTCTTTTTTGAATTAAATTTCTCTTGAGTCTTAGCTTTTGAACCGAATTCTTCATTAATTGGTGGGAGTTTGCAGGTTTTTCCCAAACTTGCAGTTCTTTCAATATGGTGAACTCTTGATATTGTTTGCTTGTATTTCCTTGACTGTTCATAATCATCATCAAATTTTTTTATATTAACACTTGATGGTTTTTCTGTGATTCTTTTTAGAAACGCAAAGTTTTCATACAAAATTCTCTCAGCTTCTTTTTTCCTTGAAGTGAAATTAAGACTCCTTTGAGGCGATAACTTTTCACCGTTTGCAGAGAACACCTAAATAGAATGTACAGATTTCCTTGTGGAAATGATGCTGAGCCTTTGTAAGAGCTCCTCGTTGTCCTTTTGGATTGCTTTGGAGTGCTCTAACTCTATGAAAATATGTGCACGCTGAATCGGAGGGATTAAGTTCTTCGTTGCTGAGGGCGAATTGCCTAGTCTTGTTGAGCGATGCGACTTTATGTGATTAAGTCTTTTTTTGTGACTTATAAATGCTTGCTCACGGTCCCACAAAGAAGAAGGAGTTAAGTTAACACTTCTCATAATTATTTCGTAAAAAAATGCTTTTCATAAATGATAAAATAATAAAATTCTATTATTAATGCTTTTAGATTCTGGACATTATAAGCATAAATTTCATTATAAAAGCTTATTTGTATAAAACGCTTATTTTATATGATTTATCAGATTTATTGAATAAATTTATTTTCAAGATAAATCATGGACAAAATAGATACTAAAAAAAGCAACCTCTCTCTAAGCACTCCAAAAAAATCATTTCTCAAAAACCAACAAAGACTGGAAATGATTATTTCCGCATACGCTCCACATTCAACTCGCCTGCCTCCTATTGCAAAAAGTGAAAGATATCTTGAACCAAAAACTGGTGCCAAATTAGCAATCAAAAAGCCAAACATAGTAAAGCTTGTAAAAGAAGAGCCTTTGCCTCCATGAATGCAAGACATTGGAATCCGAAGTTTTAATGATGATAAAGTGTCTCTAATTCAGTATGATCTCTTAAGCCAAAAAGATAAACTGATTTTAAAAAACAGGTGCATGCCCGACAGAATCAAAAGCAAGGTAAAAACAGTCTTTCGAGCCCAAGAAAAAGTCGAGAAAGACAAGAAGCTGAAAAACGTGTTCAGAAGGATCCGAAAAATGGACACACATAAGTTTGAAAAAGAGATGATGAAACTAAAATGAATTAACTCTGACCCAGAGTTTCAAAAAAATGAAGAAGATGACATAAAACTAGAAAATATATTTTCTCAAAGGGAAATTGGCATTAATATTGCTGAAAAAGCTGATTTAAACGCTAGTGAAGAAAATTCTCTTCACAGAAAGAACAACAATCATAAAGAAGATATCCATAGCCTCCCTAATACTTCTCCAGGTCAATAGTAATTTTAATCTTAAAATAGAAAATATATGATAGATAAATGCTTAATCGCACCTTTAAGGATATCAAGATATCTTTGATCGCTTTTAATTTTTTAAAAAATTTTATATTAAAATCATAATAGAATTAGCTAGAGGGTTCTTTATTGCAATTATTAATTATATAAAAAAAAAATCGGTATAAAAAAATGTTTTTGCTAGGATTGATTTTTCCCAAAATAATGATTTTTCCAATTGCTTTGCTCATTCTTAACAGAGTTAGTTTATTTTGATTTGTCTTCTAATTTTAATTTTTCTTCCTCTTCTTCTAGCTGCTCAACTTGTTCTTTGGTTAAATCCATAGCCGGATAATATTTATCATACATCTTTTTCTTAACCCTGTATTGAGAATAAAAGTAAATGAATGTTGCGCTTTCATTTAGAATTAAGTAAGATGATGCTATAATTGGGACTTTCCATATAAACGGCCAGGCATCCATTCCAAATAGCGTAATATTAAAGGGCAATCAAAAAGATGCGAATAATGAGACAGGGTGAGATAAGATCGATGCAATTAGTCTTCCAATATTGTTGGAGCGAAGCAACTTTTTTGAATCTTTGTGCTCAAATAAGCCTGCATAAGTTCACACAAACCTATCAACTTTAGTTCACTGCTTGGGAGCTTTGAAAAATTTTAACTTCATATTGCACTTATTTTGCTTTGTGTAATATATAATAAGTAATGAAAATTATATGAAGCTGTGATAAAACTACTTATTGATTTAAATCTCTATTTGGATAATTATTTAATAATGACCGAAAATATAGTTGTCTTAGAATCAGATGGACAAAATCCTAATTGGGACGATGATATGCAGATTGATAACCCTCAAGAGCCTCTTTATTATATCCCACTAACTCATGGGAGGACTCAGCTGCCTTTAAAAGAACGAATTGCTTTACTGCGACAAGAAATCATTGAAATAGACAAAAAACTTGATGCTGAAATTGAGCCTGAGCGCCATGAAACTCCTTATTCTTATATTTCAGAGCTTGCATCAATGACAAGCCATGCAGAATCTTTAATTAGAGGGCAAGGGATTCATATTGAAGGCGATATAGGAATTGAAGGAAATCTGTCTAGCAAGCTTGGCAAATCAATGATAAAACTTCTAACAGATGAGGAGCAAGCCACTTATCAGCTCACTGCTCCAATTCCTCAGTCTACAATTGAAGCCCAAGATCGAGAAATTGCAACCCTAGCTAGCATTTCAGCTAGAATCTCCAAATTAGAAGAAACTATCGGCCATTGAAGTGCGAGCAACGGCTACTACAGCATAATCCAAGCTCTTGCTTTAATTAAAAAGCGAATTTCTATGCTGAACCCTAAAAAACTTGAGCAGTTGAGCTCACAAGCTGAAGAATTGAATGCAGAACTTGATATGGTGAGAAACCAGCTGGAGTTAATGCAGAGTGCTGGGGTTGAGCAGAAGGTGATTGATGATATTTATCCATTTGTTGATGTTTGCGACCAAGTCATGCCTATTGTTCCTGAAGTTTTGGAGAGATTGGAGTATATCAAAAGAGTTCATGACGAAGGGTCAAGATTTAATGAAAGAATTCAGGAAATCAGGGATAGACAAAGCAGGATCCAGGAAAAATTGAATGAAGTTAATAACGAAGAGCTAAGGGGAGAGTGGGAAGCATTTAAGCAAGAAATTGAGGAATCATTTGGTAATTTAGAAATCAAAATAAGGAATATATAAAACAAATTAATAGTATTTTGATTTATCATTAAGAGAATAAAAATCTTTGTGAATTAGCCCCTGCGCATAGGTCTAGTCTTACTGGAAGAATTAAAACTTGAATCTTTTCTTTCATATCTTAAACTGCCTGCTTCTTCACTAGGATTTGAGGAGTAAAATGAGTTCTCAGTTTTGAATCTGCTTTCCCTTGATTCTGTTCCTTTTGATTCAAAGGTCTTTGAAAATAGATTTCGGTAAAAACTTTTCATCTCGGAGGTAGGGGTGTAATCAGTTAAAGCACTGCTTGCATTCTCAGAATTTTGAAAAAAATTTTGCATCTCAGAGGTAGGGGTGTATTCACTCAAAACACTGCTTGAATTGTCAGAAAATGATTTTAAATCTTGAGAATTCTGCAAATACATTGGGTTAGGAGCTTCTGTTGGACTAAAGAAGTGGGGGCTCTCGCGGTATGATGAAGAATTCTGGCTTGATTCTGATGGAGATCGAGAGCTACATATCGATTCTGAAGGGCTTCGCTTTATAACATTAGAAAAATCCTGTACTCAAGCAGTTTGCCTTTGTAGGCCAACTTGTTTTGGATTTTTTTGAGATTTTGAGTTAAAACGGGTATGGCTCTCTTGAATTGAGCTTTTAGAAGATATTAAGTGAGCTTCGTTAGATTTATCTGAATACTGAATTATTTTTTTATTGAGAGTCATGCCTTTATTAATTTGGTTTCTAGATGCTTTTTTACAGCTTTTTTGCTTTAAGATTGTAGAAGAATTTTTCCTTTCATAATTGTTGGTCTCTGTAAATTTCGATTTTTTAGACTTTTTAAAATGAGAAGTCTTTTTTTTAGCAATATTGGCAGTTGTTTCTTTATTTTCCTCATCCACTGAAGTTTGCTTAGGTCACCAAAAAGGATATATATTTTTCCCTATTTCATTCCGATTTGATTTTCCATAATCATAATTTTCTTTGACGCCTTCTTCCTCTCTATGATTTCTTGATTTAGGAGATGGGGCATCTTTAAAGATATTTTTTGCTGCAGATGGTTTATTCTCAGCAATACTTTCTACAATTCTTTTAGTTTCCTCTTCCCTTCAGCCCAAAGTTTTATTCAAATGGTTTTTTGACGGCATCGAAGACCATCTCATTTTTGTCTTTAGCTCTAAGTTTTCTTTTCTCTCTTCATCTTTTTTTGATTGCAGTTCGCACTCTACCCTTATGATGTCCTCTTTTATTTGGCTCAACTTTTTTTGGAAATTTGGGAATGCTTGCTCAAGTGAAATAATCATCCCTGCCTTTCTTACTATATCTTGAAGGTAGCTGATAGGAGGTGGACTTTGATGTTGTGATCTCAGCGCATAAATGCTATATAACGTTAAATCTAAAATTAGTTCTGGCCAATCTTCTTGTCTATAGCTTTCAAAAAAGTAATTAACTTGTGGAACTTCTACAAGCTTCTCAATGAAGTCTCGATTCATATTTATTTTGGCATTTAAAAAACATATTTCCATAGTTTATTGCGAGTAAATCTTATAAAAGATACATTGATGATGAACAATCCTGAGCAAACAACTTCACAAGAAGAGGAGTCTGTAGAGAACCAAGAACTCAAGTTTGAGCACTATGTCTCAATTGAAAAAGATATAAATAAAGATAGCAGTCCTCGCTTTTGCTGCATGGCCCATGAAGCACTCTATGCTGAAGATTTTCAGAGTGATGAAGAAGATATAGGATTCGTCCTGGAAAAAAGTCCAGTCAACGATATCTACTTCTATGACAGGATACCTGAAGGCATCAAGCGGGAAATGGCTCAAATGAAAAATCGAAATGAAATTGCAACCCAATGCGACACTGACACTCCTGTATCTCTTGCTTATATTAGTGCGCTGCCAGCTTATGGAAATCCAGATGATAAAATCTTATCTGCAAGATATCAGCCTTGCTCTTTGTCTCATATACCAGTTATGTATTTGCCATCAGAATTGCCGGATTTGCCAGATGACGACATTCAGCATACGTTTTTGTGTAAATGCTGCAAGAAAGAGTTTAAATCAGGGCAAGCATTAGGCGGTCATGTTTCAAGAGCTCATCCTGGGTTTGTTGAAGAGCAAGCTCGAAAATTGCGAGAGGCAAGTAATCAGAGATAATAAATGATTGATAATACATAAGTTCGTATAAATTATAAGCAAAGTTAGACTAGTTTATAGTTTCGCATTAGCTTTATCACTTATCTTTAATTCTAATAATGGCTTTCTATTTAAAAGCGTAAGAATACACAAATTAAATTTAATTGCTCAAATTACTATCAATCTCTTCACGATTCTTTGATCGTTTTGTTTGTAGTCCTATTTCATTTATTTCGTTATCAACTTTATTTGTATCAGTTTCTTCGTTTTCTTCGAAAATTGACTTAAATAGATCACTATATTTTTCGTTTCCTCTAAATAACAAAGGTGTATCACTTTTTTCCTGGGCTTCCGAGCTATTCACAGTTGGCATCACTTTTTCTCTAAAAGTATTTACTGGCCTACTTTCAATGACTGCCACTTGAGGCTCTAGCACACAAAACAGCTCGCAAAGAACTCTTTCAGGTTTTCACGGCTCAATAGTTCTGTCGCTCCACCTTGGGATATTCTTTTTTGGCTCATTTTCAGTCTTTTTACTTTCTTGCTGTTTTTTCCATTGCTCATATAGCTTTAAGAACTCTTCTTTTTCTTGTCTTATTTGAGATGCAGTCATCAATCTGGCTGGAGCAATTCCTCCAACTTCTAGTCCTTCCATATTGCATATAAATGCATAATATCGATCATGCTTCACTTTATCATCTTTAAATGGAAGATCCTGCTTATTTATGCGTGCAGACCTTTCTGTTAAATCTGAACTTTTGACAAAGCTCTTGAAGCTTTTTATTTTTTCACGGTCGGATTCGCTAAGCCTATTCGCGAATAAAGGCTCTTTTTTCTTTTGTTCTTCAATAATTGACTCTCTCTTTTCTGGGTCCAATTTTTGAGCAGGAATGGTTCTATAAGAATGGAAATTTAAAAGGAACCTAATTGGGTTATAATTATGAGGGAGTTCTGGAGGCTTGAATCTAAATGAAAAATACATCTTAGAAGGTTTTAAAGTTGTGGATAGTATAAATCCAGGTACTTCTCCTTTTAATTTTTGATTTTTATTGCTTTCTTTTTTTTCCTTAACCGATATTTCATAGTCAGGCTCGAAAAAGGAGTCTATATAAAATTTACAATCATTTTCCTCATAGATGTCGTTGGAGACTTTAAATAGGCTTTTTACTTTATCGCTGCCTCTATTTTTTGGATTCTTTGATTCATGTAGGTTTTCTTCCAATTGAAGCTTGCTGGAGTCAAATCCAAGTCCAAACCAATCGAGCTTTGGATTTTCTTGCTGAAAATCGACCTCAGTCATTTGCTCAGGAGGTAATGTCGGCCCATAGCATTTTCTTTTGGCATCAGGCTCTTCGACTTTTTTCATCATACTATACAGTTTATTCCCGATCCCTTCATTTTTCGCTTCTCCTTTATCACCTTCTAAATTGGCTTCCTTTTCTTGCGCTTCCAATGTTTTCCCCAAATCAAATTCTCCTAAATCTTCCTCATCCATAAAATCAGTGACCTGCTGCTTCACTTGATTCCTATTTTTTCGACTAGATACAAACTGAGCTGGCTGAAATCCAAATTCGCTTCCACAAGTATTGTTATAGCCAGCAGAAAATCCCCCTGTAAAAGCTCCATGAAATTTCCTTTTCCCAGTTCTCTCATCAGCTACTTTTTGTTCCCAAGGGTAAAGGCCTCTTCCCGTCAGTGTGGTTTCTTTATCATCTTCAAAGCCTGTGCCAATTCTCTTAATTTTCTTTTTCATATAATATATAAATTCTATTATTTAGCTTAATACATATAAGCGCCTGAAGTTCTCTTTCCCATATTAAGCCAGCTGTTATGAGAAAATTGGTCGTTATAAGGCGGATCATACCGGAGAGGATTTTTGAAAAAGGAATCATCACGTTTGGGGTCTCTTGAGACAGGGCTGATATCTCTTGATAAATTCCAGCTTTCGTCCTTATCAGCCCTTCACTCATCCATCAGCTTGTCTTCATCGCTAAGCTCAATATCTCTAACTCTGCCTCTATTTTGAGGATTTAATAGTGGATTTGCGCTTATTATTTTAGGTCTTTCTTCAAAATCTGAAATAAACCGTGAATTTGGGTCAGCAATTCTTTTGAGTTCTCGCAGCTCTCTTTCAAGCCTTTCGATTCTTTCAGGACTGTTTTCTTTTAGCTTGTCTACTTGCTGCTCTTTCATATTCAACTCTCTTCTTAAGTCATTGATTTTAGCATTTGCTGCAAGTGATTCGTCTTGCCTGTCAATCTGACTGCGGACATTATCGATGCTATCTTTATAATGGCTGATTTCGTCCTGGATTGATGAGATTTCGTTATCTCTATAAATTAATCTGCTTTTGGTATCAGCAAGCTCGGCCTGGAGTTTTTGGATCTTCACTTCAAGATCTGAATAGTCTTTAACAGAAACCTGCTTTGATTGCAATTTTCTTCGTTTTTCTGAATATTCCAATTCAAGCCTTTCTTTATCTCTATCCAATTTTGAGGAAAATTCTTTATCAATAGTAAGCATTTCTTCCCTTTTTAAAATTTCATATTTTTTTGTTATATCATCAAGAACTCTGATTCTTTCAATTTCAAAGAGCTCTTCATCTAAGCTTCCAGTTTCTTCTTTTTCAGCCATTTCTCTGAGCTTTTTGATTTCTTCGTCATGTTGAGATTGAAGGCTTTTCTTTTCCTTTGATAATTTGACTTCGTATTCTAATTTAATGTCATTTATTTTTTCTTGTAAACTTTCTTGGTTGCCCCTGTTTCTCGCACTCAGCTGAGCTCGAGAAATTTGATATTCATGCTCTTTTTTAAGCTCTAGTAGCTTTTCTTGAGCAATTTCATTTAGTCTTCTTTCTTCTCTTTTAAGCTCTTGTTCTAAATCTTCTTGGAGGGTTGCAAGTTTTTTTCTGTATCTTTCTTGAAGCTCTTTTTGTTCGTCAATCTGCTTAATAAGTTTTTTCTTTTCGGACTCCATTTTAATTTTGGCATTTTCAATTTCTACAGACAGTCTTCGTTTTTCATCTTCCCTGAAAGTTTCAAGCTCGGTTTGGATTTTATTATTTTGTTTTGCTTTTTCATCCTCTACCATTTTAGCATTTTCTTCTTTAATTTCTCTGAGTTTGTTTTCAATCCTTTTTTCTATTTCCTTTCTCTCATTTTCTTCAGCTTCCGCTAGCTCTTTTTGCCATAGTTCAACTTTCTTTTTAAGCTCCCTTTCAAATTGGTCTTTGCAATGCTTTATCTCAAGTTCTTTCTGCTTTTGCAGATCTTTGATTTGATTTTGGAGCTCATTTTCAAATCTTTCTTTATGATATATTTTCTGTTCTTTTAAGTTTTTTTCTAATTGAGTTATTGCTAGTAAAGGGTCTGTCGGTTTATCAAGTCCTACTGGACTTTTACTAATAGGCTTATTATTTCCTGAATTTCCTGAGTTTTTTGGTTTTGGCTCTTTATTGCTGTTTTTAATTGAAGATCTGTTAGCTTTTTCCTTTTCTTTTATAAATAAGTCTTTATAATATTTGTCACACGGGTGCTCCCATACGCTTTCTCCGCTCTCAAAGTTGAAAAAGTAAATTTCTCCTTCTTTTGTTTGGCATGGCTTTCATGGTTCTGGAAGCGGTGCTTTAATTCCTTCTCTAGCAATATAAAGAAATTGCTCATCTTCGGGTAGTTTCATGCCTATCCATTGTGCATAATCTCTTACTTCTTCTTCAGTTGGCTCATAAGCGTCATCGATTTCTTCTTCAAGAAGGATACTGTCTGACATTTAAATTTTAATTTGAAAGCAAATTTGAGTAATTTGAACAATTTTAAAATTGGAATAACTAACTAATAGGAAGAAATCTGAATTTATCTGATTATAGATAAATTTATTATTTCGTAAGCCTTTAATTTTGATTTGATTATGGCTTTTCAAAATCGTATTATACCTCAGATTGCTCAAGCAAAAGCGCTTGAGCTCTACGAATATTAAGGCTTTTCACAATTTTTTGTGAATTCTTAGCTTTCTCTTTTATCAATAGTAATAATTTTTGTAATGCATGTAAAATGTATGTTCTCAAGCACTTTCTCAATTTTTAAAGTTAAAAAAGTAAATTCGCCTAATTTTGCTAGCATGATCTTTATGGTTTTGGAAGCTATACTTTAGTTCCTTTTCTAGAAAATAAGGAAAATGCTCATCTTCAGGAAGTTTCATGCCTAAACATTCTTTGTATTCTTTCACTTCTCCTTCAGTCGGCTCTTATTTGCTGCAATCACGACAGATACAGTAGGATATTTGGATGTATTCGATATACCTATAATTCATTGTGCTGAAAAAAAAATTAAATTTTAATCAACTATAAACAATATTATATAATGATAATTTTCTTTGATTAATTATGGTTCCTCAGAGTCATATTCCATTTCATACTCAAGCCCAACGATTGGTACATCTTCTATTTCGATGCCGGTCCTTTTTCTTTCTTCTGATCTACACTCCTCAATGCTTTCAAGCAGCTTATCAAAAGGACTTGGCTTGTAAATTTGGACATTATCAAGCACAATATCATCTGAATAAAGCCTTGCCCTGGTCCTTTTGGGACTTATCATTTTGTCTTCATAGTCAATGCTCCGATTTAATTTCGATTTTCTAGACGAAACTCTTTCATTTAAGTCTTGGTCTTGTATTGAAATGCTGTGAATTACTTTTGGCATAAATTCATGGCTTCTACTATCTTGCTGGTGGACAACTCTATTTATATTTTTATCAATTCTTTGGTTTGGAGTAGGGGTGAAATTCTCTGGAAGATCTATAGAACAGAATTTCTTGAGTTTTTCAATGGTTTTTGTCCTTTCTCTCATGTTGCGTCTTCTTTTAAGCTTTTTTACAGCACTTGCATGGCTTTTCATAACTTGGACAACATCAAATCGAGAAAGAAAAGAGTGCATTCTCTCTTGCAAACTTTTAGATATGGGGTTTTCATTGTAATCGTAATATTCAATTGCTTCTGTATAAAGCTCTACTAGTTCGCATATAGATTTTGAAGTTAGGGCATGCTCAACTTCATACTCTTTTTCAAGTAATTTCAATCCGAAATCAGGTGCTAGTGCAGGCGAGCTAGTATTTATATTATAAGCTGATCTAGGTGAGTATTTTGGTTCTTCTGGTATGTTTTCTAAACTATCAGACATACTTTATTTTATATCCAAAGATTAATTTTAATCAAATTTCAAAAATTAAGGTATGATATTTTGAACTTCAATATTAAAACGTGCAAAATTTTGATAGATAATATCATGAAATGATAAACTTCTATAATAATTTGCAAGAAGTTGCATAACTTTTGAATTGGGTTCGAAATTAAAATGAACGGTGAAGTTCTTCTAGTTACTTCAAAAATAACAAAAATGGTTATTATGTCATTGCGATTTGATATATTTTTGAATTGAAAAATTTTAGGCTTATTATTATATCCGATTTATCAGTTGGGAAAAGCAATTTGATTTTTAAATTTAAGTAGCTTTTTATAAATTTTATGCATATATAAAATGATTATATCAATTTCATTTATTGAGATTAACAAAAGTATAAATTGTTAGTTATTAATCTTCATCTTCCCATCCTGTTCCAGCAGTTCCATCTAGATCGATAGCGGTGCAATGGGTTACTGAATAAAGAAGCCTTTGTCTCATAACTTCTTTACTTGTATATCTAGGTAAATCAATAGTAAAGAAGCAGGTATGAGTCTGAGGAAGATACTTATCCACTGGCCCAGAAGGATTGAAGTTTGCAATTTTCAGATGTCGCCAATCCCGACCGAATGGAAGCCTGGATCTTCCCCATATAAACTTAATCAGCAACGAGCGCTCCTTCGGTGTCATTTCTCTGACAACTTCCCAGAAATACCTGATATGAGCATCATTTTCTGTAGACCCATCGTAATCAGTATTTCCTTTCAGAAGATCAACATCTACATCAGGAGCTCCACAAATCAATGTTTGTACTTGTTTCCAGCTAAATATACTAATTTACCAAGAATGGCTCACTGAGGAGTATTTTTGGATCCCATTTTTAAATTTGGTTAGCAGAAAAATATGCATGCCAACAAATTTTGGCAAACCAGATATTGCCTAGCTACCAAAAAATGCTCCGTAGTGGGTTATTCTTGGTAAATTTGTATAAATTCAATATATCCATAGGAACAACAGCGCTTATCCCTTTTCTGATCATCCTATAAGCCTCAGGATTTTCATTTACTCCACCCTTTAAATATGGACAATATATCCTATTGGACTATTATTTTCACAAAAAATATATATTAATATTTTATATAAATATTTTTTTTTAAAATTTTAAAAACTAAAAAAATAATCCAATATTTTTGACTTATATAAAAAATTAATCAAATCAGAGTGAAAACTGCTTAAATAATATTGTACTTGAACTTTTTCTGTTAAATTAAGTCAAAACAAATTTTATGAAATTAATGTTTTCGCCTATAAAATTTTCCTATTGAAAAAAAAATTGTTCCCTATCTTTTGCTCCAATTAAAGGGGAGTTAGTCTGTATTTTTCTACTAATTGAGCATATTCTTTTGCATTGTCAAACGTGACTGGGATTTCAGTCCCGCCTTCACACAATTCTACATCTTTTCCACCAGAATCTTTTGTTGAAAACTTAATATCATATGCTTCTGAGAAGTTTTCCCTTGTCATACCATTTTCTTCTAAATTTCTCAAAATTTCTAGGATTTGGACTGTGCAAAGATCAGTCGCTCGCAAATCTTTGATGTTTACTGGGTCCCAAAGCAGACGTTTCCAAAACAGAGGAGAAAGAGATAGATTTAGATTGTTTTGTGTTCTAATGGCAGCACCCATCATTTTTCCTAAAAATAGATAGAGCTCATAGTCAATCTTTTGAGTAGCATTTGGATTGACTATCCAGCAATCTCGATTTTCTCCCATGTCGTTAATTTGGTTTGGAATTGGAACAAAAAGCTTTAGAAATGATGATTGGAGTTCATCAGCCATATTACTAATTGCTTCATTATAAGGGCCACCTGCATCAGAAGCTGCTTCACCTCTGTAAGAGACTCTAAAGACTCTTTCTGCATTTCTGAAGTCTCGGTTTCCTTTACTGATTAATCCTCTATATACTTGCCCGAAAATAGAGAACTGCCCATTCACATCAACATCTTTTCTGTGCCTGTGCCTCATTGCTTTAGGTCTATCAACTGTGATTTCTGTCCTTACGTCTGAATGAGTTTTTCCTAACTACCTCTTTACGAAATTTTTACTTTTTATTCAAGAAGTTTAATATTTTTTGAAAAAGCATAATATTAAATTATATATAATCTTTTTCTTTGATTTAACAAAATCCAAATTTGTAAATAAATAAGAGAAAATTTAATAATTTATATTTTAAATTTAACTGTCAAAACTAAAGAGAATTAGCTGGAGATTTTTATATAATAATTAGTTTAATGTCAAATTATTATTTTTATAAGCATTTTTTTCTAATTTTCTAACAAAAATGATCTTTATTATGTTTTACTTGCTAAGCTTACTAGCAAAAAGGGAGTAAACAGTCTTTTAATAGTGTATTTTTTAATATAAAGAAAATATAATTTCTCGACCCCATGAAAACTCTTTGCAGTTCGTTCATGTTTTCATAGCTTTCTATATGCAGATTGAATAAATACAGCGAGTTTTCTATTCTTTTATTAAAGTCCAAAATAATCTGGTAAAGTTGCCTTATTTCATCTACACTTACTCCCCCATCCGCGAGCAAACAAAAAAACTTTGTTCGCTCATGGATTTTTTTAAAAAAAAATATTTATAAATTTTATTTAAAAAACCCCAATTAGAAAATTGTAAAGCAAATATTGAGATTCCATTATAATTATTACATATATATCATTTTTTTCATAAAAAATTTTCTCTTACGGAGGTGGGCTTAACTCAAAAAATAGGCATTTTCCCATGATTTGTTCTCTTACGGAGAGTGGGAGTTAGTTTTTCTAGTTCCGGATAATAGATCAATTCAGCTTCAGTTGGAGTTAAGTCATCATTTGTGAGCTTGAGAATGTCTTTTCCTTTCATTTGAGAAAACTCGTCGAGATAAATGACAAGCTGGTCTACTGCTCCACACTTGAAGAGATGGGAGTATTTAGGCTTGTAAACTTCGAACCATTCTTTTTTCGATTCTTCATTCATGAAACTGAGCACAGAATTGATGACCTCTGGGTGTCTTCCTTTGAATTCTGGAACAACTTTGATCTTATAGCCCCATTCTTGAGCTTCTCTGCTCTCATCAATTTTCATGAGATCTAGGCCAGAAGGAAGATTTGGACTTTGTGATAGAGTTATTGACTGCGAAGATGTGGTCAGAATTGCAGCAAAGGTGTAGCTCTCACCTTCGCTTAAAGGCTGGAGATATGAGTCAGAAAATACAACTTCTCCATTAAGATAGAATTGCACTTGGGATAAATCCATGTTTACATATACTCCAATTATACTTCCTTCTCCGAATTCTTTGGTTTTATTTGTGTCTTGATTCTTTACCCTTCCATCCGAATAATAGCATACTTGCTTTGGATCTTCTATATCTCTTGAAGTCTTACTGTTGCTGCTAAAAATTCCTAGACCTATTTGCCCACCCGATTTTATTTGAGCTTCTACATAATATTGTCCATAAGTGATGGATATATCAGAATAATAAATCCCTGTAGTATCACTTGTACTTGTCAACGTCAAGCTATCAGAGCTTTTTATTGCGTTTTCTGTAGCATGTTCCCATTTCGGTTTTGCTAAAAACCCATTGTTCACAGGGAACCATAAATAAACAGCATCTTTGTTTGCTTGCAATTTTCTCTCATTTAAAACTGATGACAATGAGCTAATTTTTTCTACTGACTTTATGCTAACAATTTGATTTGAGCCGCCAAAGGAAATGCAAGGGATTACTTCAGCAGCTATTCCAGTGAATTTGTGGACTTCAGCTTCATTTAATAAGAAGGTAAGTTCTTTTTTGTTCATGTCAATAAGCAAGGACACTAGATCTCCGGTTTTATATGCTCTTCCATCAATGCTTGAGCTATTTGTGATGTATTCTCCAGAACATTTCCAGCTCCAAACAGGTGTAGAGCAATCTGTTCCTATGGCTTCGGCTAAGTTATAATTTTCGCCAGCTTTATATATGCCAATGTAAAGATAGGTACTATCGCTAGAGTTTTCAATTGAAAAATTTATTTTTACGACGTTTGAAGAATATGATTCGTTCCATATTGCATTTCCCCAATTAGAAGCATTTGTTCTGGTTATTGTCATGTTTTCATTTGACAAAGAGATATCAGGACCCTTTGGATCACTTGACCATTTCGCTATATTGGTTGCGCTTCTCATCATAGTGCTTTCAACAGGCACCATTCCGTCTTCATCATATGAAAAATAAGCATTATCTCTAGAGTCTGCTTTGGTTTCTGGGGCAAATTCAATATTAAGCAAGCTCGCGCCTGGAATTTCAATTTTTTCTTTTGTTGTAACTCTTTTATAAGGATGCGAAGATTCGAAATATTTTTCAATTTTTGATGAGCTTCCTTTATTAAAGATTCCAAACAAAAAGGCGTCAAGATAGTCATCTTTTTCGCTTAGTCCTCTCATATCTGACAGTAACTCGCAAAAATCGGTAAACCATGAATCATCTATATAGAAGTTTCCTATGTTTGGCGCTGTAAGGCCGATAAATTCTGATCGGAATTTATCGGTTGGTTGCACCAAATCAATGCCTTGGTCGGACCAAAAAGCGATTTGGTCCGACGAACTTGGAAAGCTCCTGGGAAAATGTCTGCGCTTTCAGCGCTATATAGAGGAAACCTCTATATTGATTTTGTACTGATTTCTTGCTTGAGCTAATAACAAAATTAATGATTGAAGGAGCGCATTGCTAGATTTTTTAGATAAATTTGCTTTGTAAAGCGTGCTTGCTTCCTGTAAGAGAATATCAAGAATTGAATTTAATGTTCGATGCTGCTGACCTCTGAAAATTTTTCTTAAAATATCAAGAGATTTCGACTTTTTGTCCTGAGTTATTGAAGACAGAGCAAATAAGAATAATACTTGTATGAACCTAGGAGATAAGATGGCTTCTAAACCGCGGCTTAAGTTGGCTTGGTTTGCGATTTTTTCAATAAGCCATAAAGAAGAATCAGGAGACACATTCCCTTCATCTCCAGATTGAGTGGCACCAATAGGAGTCACTGTGAACTTATATCCCCAATAGTGAACAGAACCATCTGTATGGAACCAAGTATATACTGTATCTCCATTCACTTCAAGTGTTTTCCATGAACTTTCTCCTTGGCCTGAATAATTCGCAAGTTCTCCTTGTCGTCCGCTATTTTCATAAAATCTTAACGGATCACAGCCGCTTTCTGTGTGGCATTGAGGGTCGAATTCAATTCTAACTCCCCCCCTCCGTGAGTGAACAAAAAAATTTTGTTCACTCACGGAGGGGGTTAATTTTTTTTTTTTTAAAAAATTTTATATATAAATTTATATAAAAATATTTTTTTTTCGAGATTTAAAAAAAATCCTAATTCGCAAAAATTGGAAAGCAAATATTAATTTAATTTATAAAATTTATGTTTTAAAAAGCAATTCGTTTAAAAATTAAACAGAATTAGCTCGAGATTTCATTATACTAATTATCATTTATATATCTAATTTTTTTTCAATAAAAATTTTTTCTATTAAAACAATTTTTGTTCACTCACGGAGGGTGGGTTTTTGGGCAAAAAATGGCGATTTTTCTAATGGTTTTGTTCACTCACGGAGGGGGGGGAGTAAGCATTCTTGCACCAGGAATAGTAATGATATCATCAATATCTAGATTATCCTCATATGGATGGTTGCTTTCATATTCCAAAACCTTCAACGTTCCACCAGATGTCGAAATAGTGCATTGGATTAATTTTAGGATTGCTTCTTTAATGCTGTTTTCTTTGAAGGTCACTAGTTTAGGGTTCTCAATCAATGAATTAAAAGAATCACTAAGCGAGTCCAAGTCATCACCTAAAAAGTCGATGATTTTACCAATACTTTCTCTTTCTGACAAATTAACCAAAGTGTCAGCAGAAATCTTCAGCATGCTTAAAAATAGCTGCTTTGATGCTTGCTGCATTCTGCTTTCTTCAGCTTCATATAGATGTCCGAATATTTCCATCAGCGATAAATCGTCTAGCTTCTTTTCCTCTTCTTTGACTTTGGCCTTTTCTTCTTCATCAAAACGATCAACAAGACCGAAGTTCGAATTAGATGATATTGACGATACAACACTAAATGGGAAAACGAAACAATCAAGCAAACTGTGCTGCTCTTTAATCCCAACTAAAATATAATGGCCTTTCTCACTTCTAGGAGCAATATTTAAGCATTTTCCTTCTTTATCTGATATAAGCCTAAACCCTCTAGGCACTTTGACAGAATATGGAGAGCTTGTCTTGATAAACGCAACTTCTTTTATGTTGCTTTCTTTAGGTGCTAGCGGTCCCATTCTTACAAAGATAGGGAGTGATCGATCATTTTCTGTAGAAATCGTTAAATCTCCTATGCTTTCATAGTTTTTAGGATTTTCACCTATCGAAAATCCATTGCATACGTTGCCATCAGAGACATTTTCTTTTTTAAATGCAATTATTTTTCGATTTGGAATCACATAATCAATTACTTCTCCATTTTCATAGACTGGAATTAGTGAAAAGTCTTTAGGAACATCTGCAAATTTGTCAAATACTTTTACTTGGATAATACAGTGGTGGGACATAGAGAGAGATTGATGACTGTCCATTGTATCTTTATCGAAATGGTCAAAGGCATAATCTATTGCAGATGAAAGATTATGACTATTGCTTAATGCTTCGATTACTTGCTCGTCTGAATATCCAAGCAGTTTCAATCTTAGTCTATCACTTGATTCTTCTTTAATGCGAATTTGGACGTAATTCTCTCCTCCTTCTAATAACTGAGGCTTTGGGTATTTGTTGTTAAAGTTTCCATCATGCCTTCCATCATAAATTTCTAATGACAATAAAGACGCAGATTTCCCATTTTCTAACTCCGCTCTAACGTAAGCGAAAAAAAATCATTGGAAAACCCCTATCTTTTGCCCAAAACCAATCCTCTATGAGCAAACAAAATATAGTTTTAATATAAAAATTTTTTATGAAAAAAATTGATATATAAGTGATAATTAGTATTTAATTTTAAACAATTTGCATTTTTAAGTTGGATTTTACAATTAAATTATATCTGCTTTCCAATTTTTGCAAATTGGGATTTTTTTAAATTCGAAAAATAAAATTTTACTAAAATTTATATATCGTTAGTTGCACGTTTTTGAACATTGCAACCTACATGTGGAATCATCTTTTCATACATAGAAACGATTCAACATGTAGGTTGCAATGTTTAAAACAAGCAACTAACGATATAATTTTTTTTAAAAACAAAAATAACCACTCTGTAGCGAACAAAAGATTTTTGTTCACTCACGGAGGCGGGAGTAAGAAAACTCCGTAATTTCCTACTCTCAAGCCATTAAATACTGAAGTTTCTGTCAGCTCTATAGGCGGAGAATCAGCGTTAAAACTAAATGATACCTCTCCTGTAGATTTTGCTACAACTTTTACCTCTAGTTGCTGAGACAAATCAACTTCGCTTGCCATCTCCCCATTTACTATTAGACAAGGGAACCCAGGTGCTGTAGTGACTGCAATTTCCATATTTCCCAATTTTAGCCCATAATAAATTTCTCCATCATATGGAGTCCCTTCAAGAGCTGCCAAGATGGTTATTGTTCCACTGAGAGATTCAAGATCGTGGAAAATGCTAGAGCTTACTGTAGAAATCATTTCTTTTCTTTGCTGTGAATTCTGGGGATTATATATGACAAATTGGTGCATATTGTTTTGGTATAATTCTGCCGTACCCGGAATATCCTTAATCCCCCTCTGTCGAACAAAAATTTTTGTTCGGTCACGGAGAGGAGTTAATCAAAATTTAAAAAAATTCCGATTTGTAAGTAAGAATTAATTTAATTTGGAAATTTATGTTTTAAAATGCAAGCTGTTTAAAATTAAAAAGAAATTAACTAGATATCAACTTTTTTTTCATAAAAAATTTTTGTTCGCTCACGGAAGGGGGGAGTTAGTTTTCACAACAGCTGGGCACAATTTATAAAGCAAAGAAACTGCTTTTTGCTCTTTTACAGGCTCTTGGTACGACAAAACGCCTTCCATATCTTTAATTCCTAGTTCAAAACATTTTACGATTCTTGCTGCAGGGATTTCTAATGACATTATCATCATGGCATTGACTTGGTCTTCTTCCTTTCATTTCACACAAATTATATCCGATCCGCCCTTTCCCATACCCTCGGGTTTTTTTGGGGTCTATGAGTGACGGGGCCTGGAAATTTTGTCCGTGATGAATTTTTTCTCCTGACCGGGACGACACGGCAGGGATTTTACCCGGCCCATAGAAAAGTAGACAGAGTCCTCAGACAGCTCCACACTTCTGGATGCGAAGGTTGATGGAGACTGGAGAGAGGCTGAAATAAACCCCGAAGACCCATTCAAGCTGATAATCTAATCTTATCATTTCATTTCGCCATTATTTCTCTCGCTTCTTGATCGCTCATTTGTTGCTTTTCTTCTTCTGGAGCTGTGATTTTTCTGAGCTTTCTTGCGATTTCATCAACCAAGCTATCATATGATTTTTTGGAGATCGGCTTGGCCAGCTTGCTTTTTCTAATAATTAAGCTCATCATATCTTCTATTTCGCTTTCCTTTCTTGAGTCTTTTTTCTCATAAATGTCGATGATGCATACAAGTGCCATGGCATCAAGTTTGTAATACAAGGTTCTTAAGCAGACAATTTTGTTTGGATCAGCTTTTATTACTCCTTGGTGAGAGCTTTGCAGGGTTCTCCAAAAGTTCAAGATGTACTCTCCTAGTCTTTCTTTATCCTCAACAGTGAGATATTTATAGGAGGACTCTTGAACGTGCGGCTCTATTGATTCGACGTTTAAGAGACTTTCTACGATTTGAGAGTCTTCTATAACGGAATACACATGGGCCTTTTGCTCTTCAATTTTCTTTATCACACCTCTAGCTATGCTGCTGCCTTTTAGCTTGACATAACTAAGCTCTAACGGAACTGAATCAAGTGAGTCATATTTCTTTGAAGATTTTGCTAATAAATAAAGGGTACCAACTTGTCCAAGTTCAAGCGGAATTCCAGCTTTTAAATTGTTCTGAGTTTCCTGCAAGCTGCTTGCCATATAGTCTAGCACAAGAATTCTCCATCTCTCGACAGCCATTAAAGCTAGCAGCATGCTCTCTGCCTCATATCCCCATCTTCTAAGTATTTTTTGGGACTCTCTTTGTCCATACCAATAATTGGTTTTTCCAAGCTTACTGAACAAGAGCGAGATGATGTCAGGGTTCTTGTCCAAATCAATCCTTAGCTTTGCAATCCTTTCCCAAGTCTTTACCAAAGTTTGGGGAGAGTGTTGGGTAGGAATGATTTTAGATAATATCCTCAGACCTATTAAAATAATATTTTCTGATCCGCTGAGGAATGCAAGCTTAAGAATTTCTTCGATATATTCTTCTTTAGCAAGGACTTTTGGTATGCACTGAGATCCAAAGCAACTGTAAAGAGTCCACAGTAATGAAGCGATATAATCTGATTGCCCTTTTTTCCCTTTGAGTATCTCTTCACAAGACTCTGGCAAGTCATCATAGATTTTGAAAACATTTTCAAGTTCTTCAACGTATTTGATGAATTTTTCTTGATTTTGGTTTTTCAGAATTGCGTGCAAGGCAACATATAAGTCGAGGTTTCCAGATTCGTTTTTAAATTCATTTGGAATATCTTCTGGAAGCTGAGATTTGTCAACAATCCCAGGAATGTCGGATTGACTAAACAGGTTTAAAAGTTTAACAGAAGCGCACTCATCATTTCCTTTAATTCAGCCCATAATAATATTTTGAACTCTGCTGATATTGCTTAAGTCATAATCTCTCGATGCTTCATAATAGTCTTCGGGCAATGTTTTCCAAAGCAGAGAATTTTCGATATAATCTTGGACTTCAAAAGTAAAGTCGCCAGCTAGATTTCTAAGGACTCTTAAGTACCTAAAGAAATCAAACTCCCCTTTATAGTTTTTGTTTTCTTCAAAACTTTCAATTGTATTGGCAATGGACTCGTCAATAAACCGGATATCGTCTTTGCATAGCACTCCTTTCATTGCAGGGTCAGCTTTTTCAACAAACTCGTTAATAATATCGCGGAGCATGAATTCTTCATAGTGATCAGTTTCTAATCGGAATCGTCTGATCCATTCAACCATAGGGTTCTTTTGGTAACTTTTTGGGACCAGCATTTGACCAATCCAGGGAGATCCAGAACTCAGTTTTTGAATTTCAAGAGGATTGATGTCAGGCTTCCTTAAAGAGTCATCCCATTTAAGTTCCATAAATAGCACCCTGATAAAGAGATCTTGAACGAGTATTTGTTTAGATTCGTTATTTTCTACTAGCGATCCTACAATTGAGTGCATCAAAAGTTTAAAGAGTGCCCATGAGCTTTTACTTAATTTTTCCCTCAACTTCTCTCGTTTCTGCTTTTCATCAAGTTTTTCACTTTCAAGAATTTCGTCATATGGTGAAAATTTAGGCGAATTAAGATCAGGAAGCTCTGTTAAATAGCTTCCATTTGGCGAAATAACTTCACGTTTAATTAGAATGTGCCTAGGTTCTCCATTTACAAAGAATTCTCCAACTGCATCCTCGTAGTCATCGATTAAAATTTCGGAGTACATGAAATCAACGATTGGCAGCACATTTTCTCCACCTCTATCATAAACCAAATATAAATTTGGCCCTCCTTCCCGCTTTTCAAGTAGCAATTTAGCAGATCCCTCAGGAATATTCGGCTCTTCTAGAATGCCGAACCTTGTAATACATTTTGAGATTTGGAATTGTCTGTTAATGACTTCTTCACCTAAATGGCCTTTAGCCCAGCTTAATAAAATGTCAACAGTTGAAGCAAACTGCAGTTCAAGAATCATATGCCCGTCTACACCTTTCAATGGACTGCTCATGCCTTCTAGAACGCATAAATAGTGGCTGTATGAGCTAATAGTCCAAGGTCTTGTTCTTGATTTTACCAATTCTTTCTGAAGCAGCCCAAATATTTGATAGAACGATTTTTGAACGACAAGCAACAGTGTAGGATCAACCCCTTCTAGGCCACTCCAATAGTGCTTTTTTATTCCTTTTTCCCTTAATGAGTCCCCAAAAGATCGAATGAGATAGGTTTCTTGCTTGCCTGAGTAATTTACTAAATTGGCCAAACACAAGTATCCTAATGTTCGAGCAATTGCTCTGGTCCTTCTTTTGTCAATCGCATCAATAAGTTTATCAAGCGAGCAATGAGACTCTAGAAAATTATTAACGAGCTCTGATACTTTTAAGAACTCTTTTAAGTCTTCGTTTTCAGACTCGTGAGCTTTAGAAGAAATATGAAGCAGATTCTTTAGAGTTGATGCAGTGTTGACTGCTTCCTGAACTGTCTTCCACTTGCTGCCTTCTTTCAGCTTGTTTGAATCGTTCGTTTGGACTTTTACTACATTTGAAAGCAAGTTTATCATCACTTTATTTATCCCTAGTTCATTTAATGACATTTTGTACTCAGTTCCCAGTAAAAGTGCACATCTTTTTACTATATCCGCACAGATATCTTTATAAGAGATATTTGGGTTTCCTTGGTCGATTATTTCTTGCTTACGCTTCTGGGCCCAGCCTCTGATTAAGTTGCTTTGTTTTACTATAAATTTGATAGTTTCGCCGATATCGTGAGGATTTTCAAACAGCCTATGAATTGTATCAGATATCTCAAAGAACGCAGCATAAACTGCAAAAATAGCCCTTTCAGCCATGTCCATGTCTGCACCTCCTACGTTAGAAGCAGGCCCAGCAACCCCAGAAAGTTTCTTTATTTCATTCCATGCTGTGATAATCAAATTAGATCCCAATATAAATTCTTGTAAAAATTTATTTTCAGAGTAGACAACATCGTCCCAGAATCCATAGTTCGAGGCATAGTCTTCAAGCGATATTGCAACTTCTTGTGTCCTAACAACTCTTCTGCTGACGTCTTCTGAATAGCTTCTTGTGAGCATAGCTCTCTTTAATTTTTCTCCAACCCCTGGAGTCGTTGATAATATCAATAAGCTTTCTTCTATTGGTCCAGGCTGCTTTTCTATTCTTAAGCATGAATCCTTGATTCCATACATCAGAAGAGGGTTAGACAGTAACTTGACTACTTCATCGTCTTCTTGAATAAGTTCGAAGTCACCAGAAATCAGCTTTGTGCTAATCAAGCCTAAGAGAATTGAGGAAGCTTCTTTTGTGGTGTCTGGCCACTGTTTTTCATAGTAAGAAGCTTCTACTTCTGCTTGGACTTCTATTTTCCAGCCCCAATAATTGACAGAGCCATCAGAATGGAATGTAAAGAATAAAAGAGGATTGTAAACTTCAAACGGCTGCTTACTCTTCTGAACAAAGCCATTAGAGAATTCATATTTTCGTAAAATTACTCTTGGCTAGGATCAAAAATTGTTTGATATAAATTCCTTGGCAAAAACTACGCGGCTCCATTAATAAAGCATCTATGAAATTATATAAATTTTAAACATTTAGTATCCTAAAACATAAATTTTAAACTTAAATGAAATATTTAAAAATTTGAATATCAAATTTTTCAAACAATAATTAATCTCCCTTCATTAACGAGCAAGGTTTTTTGCTCGCTAACCAAGCGAAAGGAATTAGGGAAGTTTTCTCCTTCCCATCTTGCAATTTTATTAGTTTTTGACTCATCAGTTCATAGTTCTAGATAGTCACAACCATTTTCGGTTTTACATTGTGCATCAAAAATCAATGAATATTTTTTGACTTGTGGGATTTTTATTAAATGTGTTACATTCCAGTTATCCGGGTAGTTGTGTGGACTTTCATATCTTTCTGTTACAATGCCACTCCCTATAGTGAGTTTTGGAGGAGGAGAGTAGAAATGGGATAATGAGGCGATTAAATTTTGAAGAATAGGCAAAAATTGTGAAAGCATGTTCAAGCCTAGCTTGCTGACTCTCCCTCCGTGAGCGAACAAAAAAATTTGTTCGCTCTCGAAGAGGGGGTTAATTTTTTTTGTAGAAAATTTATATACAAATTTGTAATTTTAATTTGTAAAATCTATGTTTTATAATGCAAGCTGTTCTAAAATTAAAGAATTACCACTTATATATCAATATTTTTTGTTCACTCACGGAGGGTGGGTTCTTGGCAAAATTAGGGATTTTTCCAATAGTTTTGTTCGCTCACGGAGGGGGGAATGAGCATTAAAATATATAGTAAGCCTTCGAGAAGATTTTTTAAAATTGTCTTTTGGATGTCAGAATACAATTTCTCACTAATATTCCCATCAGCGCGAGATTCTTGGATGTGTCTTATCACCCCATCGCATAATGTAAAAATTTTTATAGTATAGAATTCAATCAGATTTTGCCATTTTCCTTGATAGTTTCCTCTCGCAGCATGAGAAAAAAGTACTAGTTGAGAAGTTTCGAGCAGTTTTATTACCCCAGTCGAAGATTCAGTTCCATCTATAATAGCCATTGAAGCCCTGGCAGCTTCTTCACTTGCCAGCAGTAAATATTTTTCTATAGATTTTTCCCTTCAATAGCGCGATAAGGTGCTTTCCCTGGTAGGACCAAAAGACCTTGTACAAATGAAGGTCTACTTTTCCTTTATCACTAGTCCAGCAAATAGGATAAATGATAATTTGGGACTATTTCAGTCTAGAGAACTTTTAGAAATGCTATTGCCAAAGATACATTTTTGGTCCGTCAAATGATTCTGACGAGCCAATTCTGACCAGCACTTGAAATAAAAAAAGACTAATTACTTTTATTTATTTTTTCTGATCATTAGTATGATCAGAAACTTTTAAAAATGTCATAATTAAAATGATGAATTTAGCGTACGCCAAAAAAAACCATGATCAATAAGAAAATCAATTATCAGATAATATGGTAACATTTTTATGGCTTGTTTCCGCAATTTTTTTTTAAATAAAATTTAATAAAGAAAAGCCAGATGCGACCATCACATCGATAGGATGCAAAAGAAATCAAGGAATTTCCATTAATTAAATAAATATTAATTCAAAATCATTGAGATTTGCATTTAAATCACTTAAAAATTTAGTTATATGAACTCGCTTAAAGACGGGTTACTTTTTTTATTGTTCGCTTAAGCCATTTTTTTTTAATTTAAATTTAATAAAGAAAATCCAAATTCAAAGATAAGATCAATATCGAACAAATGAATTCAAGCAATTTCCATTAGTTAAATAAAAATTCATTCAAAATCACAAAGATTTGCATTTAAATCACTTAAAAATTTTGCATAGGAACTCGCTTAATGATGGATAACTTTTTTATTGCTCGTTCAAGCCATTTTTTTATTAAAAATTTAATAAAGAAAAACCAGATGCGATCATCATATCGATATGAAGCATAAGAATTCAAGCAATTTCCATTAGTTGAATCAAAATTTATTTAAATTCATCAAGATCAATCGTAAAATCATTTAAAATGTTTTCATAAATGATGGGTAACTTTTTATAATGTTCGCTCAAGCCATTTTTTTTAATTTAAATTTAATGAAGAAATGCCAGATGCGATCATTACATCCTTCGGACACAAAAGAATAAGTTACTCATCATTAAGCGACTTTCTATGAAGGATTTTTGATTGATTTGATTGCAAATCACAATGATTTTAAATGAATTTTAAATTTAACTAATGGAAATTGCTTGAATTCATTTGTTCGATATTGATCTTATGTTTGCATCTGTTTTTCTTTATAAAATAAAATTAAAAAAAATGGCTTGAACGAACAATAAAAAAAAGTTACCCATCATTAAGCGAGTTCCCTATGCAAAACTTTTAAATGATTTAAATGCAAATCTTTATGAATTTAAATGAATTTTGATTTAACTAATGGAAATTGCTTGAATTCATTTGTTCGATATTGATCTTATCTTTGAATTTGGATTTTCTTTATTAGATTTAAATTAAAAAAAAATGGCTTAAGCGAACAATAAAAAAGTTACCCATCATTAAGCGAGTTTTTATGCAAAATTTTTAAGTGATTTAAATTTAAATCTCAATAATTTTAAATGAATTTTGATTTAACTAATGGAAATTGCTTGAATTTATTTGTATCGAATCGATGTGATGATCGCATTCTGTTTTTCTTTATTAAATTTAAATTAAAAAAAAATGGGCTTAAACGAACAATAAAAAAGTTACCCATCATTAAGCGAGTTCCTATGCAAAATTTTTAAGTGATTTAAATGCAAATCTCAATAATTTTAAATGATCTTGATTTAACTAATGGAAAGTCCTTGAATTATTTTGCATCCTATCGATGTAATGGTTGCATCTGGTTTTTCTTAATTAAATTTAAATTAAAAAAAAATGGCTTAAGTGAACAATAAAAAAGTTACCCGTCATTAAGCGAGTTCCTACAAATAAATTTTAAAGTGTTTTAAATGCACATCTTTGTGATTTTGAATAAACTTTTATTTAAGTAATGGAAATTCCTTGAATTCTTTTGCATCCTATCGATGTGATGATCGCATTTGGTTTTTTCTTACTCCCCCCCCCCCCTCCGTGAGCGAACAAAACAATTTTGTTCGCTCACGGAGGGGGGTTAATTTTTTTTTTTAAAAAAAATTTATATATAAATTTTATAAAAAATATTTTTTTTTTCGAAATTTAAAAAAATCCTAATTTGCAAAAATTGGGAAGCAAATATTAATTTAATTTGCAAAATTTATGTTTTAAAAACGCAATTTGTTTAAAATTAAAACAGAATTAGCTCTAGATTTCATTATACTAATTATCACTTATATATCAAAATTTTTTCCATTAAAATTTTTTCTATTAAAAAAATTTTTGTTCACTCACGGAGGGTGGGTTTTTGGTCAAAAAATGGCGATTTTTCTAATGGTTTTGTTCGCTCACGGAGGGGGGGGGTTAGTTAATTAAATTTTAAATTGTAAAAAAATGGCTTAAGAGAATAATAAAAAAGGTTTCATCATTAAGCGAGTTCTTATAAAAATTTTTAACTCCCCCCCCCCCCTCCGTGAGCGAACAAAACCATTAGAAAAATCGCCATTTTTTGACCAAAAACCCACCCTCCGTGAGTGAACAAAAATTTTTTTAATAGAAAAAATTTTAATGGAAAAAAATTTTGATATATAAGTGATAATTAGTATAATGAAATCTAGAGCTAATTCTGTTTAATTTTAAACAAATTGCGTTTTAAAACATAAATTTTGCAAATTAAATTAATATTTGCTTCCCAATTTTTGCAAATTAGGATTTTTTTAAATTTCGAAAAAAATATTTTTTTATAAAAATTTATATATAAATTTTTTTTTAAAAAAAAAAAATTAACCCCCCTCCGTGAGCGAACAAAATTTTTTTGTTCGCTCACGGAGGGGGGGGGGGGGAGTAAGTGATTTTACTATTGATCTTAATAGATTTGAATGTATTTTTATTTAACGAATGGAAAGTTTTTTGAATTATTTGGTATCCTATCAATGTCATCGATAAGATGAAAAATAATTCAAGAACTTTCCATTAGTTAAATCAAAATTCATTTAAAATCATAAAGATCTGCAGTCAAATCGCTTAAAATTAGTTCATAGGAACTCACTTAATGATGGGTAACTTTTTTTATTGTTCGTTTAAGCCATTTTTTTTAATTTAAATTTAACAAAGAAAAACAGAATGCGATCATCACATCGATTCGATACAAATAAATTCAAGCAATTTCCATTAGTTAAATCAAAATTCATTTAAAATTATTGAGATTTGCATTTAAATCGCTGAAAATTTTGCATAAGAGCTCGCTTAATGATGGGTAACTTTTTTTATGGTTCGTTCAAGCCATTTTTTTTTATTTTAAATCCAAATTCAAAGATAAGATCAATATCGAACAAATGAATTCAAGCAATTTCCATTAGTTAAATAAAAATTCATTCAAAATCACAAAGATTTGCATTTAAATCACTTAAAAGTTTTGCATAGGAACTCGCTTAATGATGGGTAACTTTTTTTATTGTTCGCTAAGCCATTTTTTTAATTTTATTTTATAAAGAAAATCCAGACGCAAACATAAGATCAATATCGAACAAATGAATTCAAGCAATTTCCATTAGTTAAATAAAAAATTCATTCAAAATCATAAAGATTTGCATTTAAATAATTAAAAGTTTTGCATAGGAACTCGCTTAATGATGGGTAACTTTTTTTATGGTTCGCTTAAGCCATTTTTTTTATATTAAATTCAATAAAGAAAATAAGTTTCCCATCATTAAAGAAGTTGCTATGAAGAATTTTAAGTGATTTAAATGCAAATCTTTGTGATTTTGAATGAATTTTTTATTTAACTAATGGAAATTGCTTGAATTCATTTGTTCGATATTGATCTTATCTTTGAATTTGGATTTTCTTTATTAAATTTTTTAATAAAAAAATGGCTTGAACGAACAATAAAAAAAGTTACCATCATTAAGCGAGTTCTTATGAAAAATTTTTTTAAGTGATTTAAATTTAAATCTCAATAATTTTAAATGAATTTTGATTTAACTAATGGAAAGTCCTTGATTTCTTTTATATCGAATCGATGTGATAATCGCATCTGCTTTTCTTAATTAAATTAAAATTATTAAAAAAAATGGGTTTGAACGAACAATAAAAAAAGTTACCCACCATTAAGCGAGTTCCTATGCAAAATTTTTAAGTGATTTAAATGCAAATCTCAATAATTTAAATGAATTTTGATTTAACTAATGGAAAGTCCTTGATTTCTTTTGTATCGAATCGATGTGATGACGCATCTGCTTTTCTTAATTAAATTAAAATTATTAAAAAAAATGGCTTGAACGAGCAATAAAAAAATTTACCCATCATTAAGCGAGTTCCTATGCAAAATTTTTAAGTGATTTAAATGCAAGTCTCAATAATTTTAAATTAATTTTTATTTAACTAATGGAAATTACTTGAATTCTTATGCTCATATCGATGTGATGATCATATCTGCTTTTCTTTATTAAATTTAAATTAAAAAAAAATGCTTAAAAACGAACAATAAAAAAGTTACCTATCATTAAGCGAGTTCCTATGAACTAATTTTAAGTGATTTTATTGCAGATCTTAATAATTTTAAATGAATTTTAATTTAAGTAATGGAAATTGCTTGAATTCTTTTGTATCCTATCGATGTGATGGTCGCATCTGGCTTTTCTTTATTAAATTTAAATTTAAAAAAAATGGCGTAAATAAGCAATAAAAAAATTACCCATCATTATGTATTATTGATTTTTTTTGGATCATAACGTTTTGGCGTACGTTAAATTCATTATATTAATTATTACGTTTTTAAAAATTTCTGATCATACTAATGACCAAAAATAAAATAAAAGTAATTAGTCTTTTTTTATTTCAAGTGCTGGTCAGATTGGCTCGTCAGAATCATTTGACGGACCAAAAATGTATCTTTGGCAATAGCATTTCTAAAAGCTCTCTAGACTGAATTGGGCCCAAATTATCATTTATCTTATGTGTCTCACTAGTGATAAAGGAAAAGCAACCCTTCATTTGTTCAAGGTCTTTTGGTCCTACCAGGGAAAGCACCTTATCGCGCTATTGAATGGAAAAATCTATATTTTTGCATATGAATCATCGTCAACAATATCCAGTGCTGGATAAAGCTTGATAGGAATTGCCATTTCCAAAAAGATTTTGTCTTGCAAGTCTTTAAAAATTCCTGACTGTTGCTTGCAGTCTTTGAAGTCCACTAATCTATCAATCAGATAGCTGAGCTTTTCTTGAGAGTCTTGATAAAAGACTGAAAAGCAGCTTGACAGAGCTTTGGTTGCTTCTTCAGATGCAGAAGTGTCAGGGAAAAAGTCCAAAACGTGAGTCATGTGTTCCATTATTTGGTGTCTTTTTTCCTTTGGCAGAGAGACATCCTGAAACATTGTTGAGGCCAAAAGGTGAGCTCTCATGAGTTTTACTGTAGATGCTATTGTGTTGTGACAAATTTCTGCAGGAACTCTTTCTTCATCTCTACCACATTCAATAAAAGCCAGCAAGATAGAGTCCAAAAGATCAAAAATTCCAAGCTTAATATCCAATGCGATGCCTGTTTGCTTTTGGATTGCGATTTTTTCTCCATTTCCAATCAATTGGAGAATTGGATCGTTGAGATTTGCAAGCTTTTGGAGAATAAATGAGGATATTTCACAGGGCATGATATCGAGAAATTCTCCGTCATTTATTTCCTTTGATAATTTTTCGATTAACGGAGGCTCAGCAGGATTGATTTGTTTGTGAAATTTGAGCATTTCTTCTTTAACATCACTTGGAATATCTGGGTTTGTAACTATTGATGCTCCAACAGTGCCGTATAGGCTTACAAAAATTCTTACCTTATCAGGGACTGGGCCATAATTTCCTTTTTGTTCCCTGACTCCATTTTTATAAAAGGTAACAGTTTTTGCCTCCATATTAAGAAAAATCCCAATCCTGTCTCCAGATTTTGACTTTTCAAACTTCTCTACTTCCGCAGATTGTTTTAAGATAGATCCAGTAGATTGATATACAAAAGAAACAAGGTTTGAGTCATAAAACGCATTAAAACTTGTATAATTCGAATCAACAACTCCAAAATATACAGCATCATTATAGTTGTCTAAGGCCACTTCAAAATAATGCATGCCACTTGTAAAATACTGCTGAGAAAGACAAGAGTTATTCGATGTTTGGTTAGCAGCAAGTGACTGCTTATTAATAGAAAGTTTTAAATTGCTTGAGCATTTTTCTGCATCCCATGCCAAGTATTCTGAAAAATTAATCAGGTCATTAAAGCTTTTCAAAAGCGGAGAAATCGATTTCATTAATAAAGTCAAATTGGGGGACCGGCTTAATTTCATGAATTGGGAAGCCAACGTCAAAATAGACGATAAATTCCCTGTTGCCAAAGCAATTGCTAGCAATGAAGAAATGCTGGACAGCCTGTCTTCGTCGGCTATCTCTTTGATTTCTCCACTCAAGACTTTCTCGAAAAAATTTACGATTTTTTCAATCGATGAATTGATACTGATGTCGTCTGTTTTCAGCGACAAAGGCTCAATGTCTGAAAGGACTTCTGAAGTGTGTGAAATCATGAATTTGTAGACTTGAGGGTTTGCCTTTCCCATTACATCCACGACGTGGAAAAGGCTGTTCAAACCAAATTTCATAGTGGTTCTCACAATAGGAGACAGCGCTTTAGGCTTGATTGGCTCGATCTTTTTGTCTTCTTCGTTTCTTCTCTTAACTCTCTCGTCCACCCTGAGCAGAGCTTCAAAAATTCTGCAGAGACCTTGGAGTCTCAAGGTCATTTCTCTGGAATTCGGGTCGTCTCCTCTTTTTCTCAAAATATCTTCCAGCAAGGCTTTGCAAGCATCCTGGTGCTTTTCCCTGAGCCTATCAATGTTGTTGAGACTGCAGATCATGGATTCTTCGTCTTGGTTTCCTACATCATCTTCTTTCGCTCGTAAGCTATCAGATCCAGGCACTGTATATGGGTCGAGATCCACCCTGCACATAAGCTTATTTGGGCTGAAAACGAAGCTTGGATCTTCTAATAACTCTAAATCTTGGGCTTGGTTTTTTGAGAGATTTTCATTAGTGAGGCCTGTAACACGCGAGACGATGTCACTCGCTGAATTTCCCATTTTTATTATTAGACGTCCATCAATGTTTTACAGTAAATTCTGAGATCAAATTTTCTTAAGTTATTAGTCATAATATTTCCCAATCTGAGTGATGGGATAAAGATGGACGCCGAGATTTATATTTAAACTCTCAGAAATGGCAAGGCATTTCTCATTTATGCAAAGACTTGCTTAATTAGAAATTTATTAGCAAGTAGTTATAGTCCAAGCAATGATTTAATTTATTGGATGGAATTTCAGAGCTTCTTCATATATAAAGTTCGTCAGTAGATCTCTTGTAGGTTCGAAATTATCAAAGCTCCAATCAAAAGGCTCACTTGCAAGAGGCTCTTCTTCAGGATTATGCAAATCTTGAAAATAAGGGTGGCCGAGGCACTGCTCAACAGTCCATCTTTTTTCAGGGTTGAACACAAGCATTTTGTCGATAAGCTCCAAAGCAACCGGATTTGCTTTAGGGTACAAAGTCTGCCATCTCATTTTTTCTCTTTTCGGGAGTTTTGATATAAATCTCCTTGCAGCTGGGTTTCCAATGAAATTCATGTCTTCAGAATTAGGAGTTCCTAATACGCCAATGACTCTTTGTACCTGGTCAAGATAATCTTCACCAGGAAATAGCGGGGCTCTGCCAAGTAACTCAGCAAAAATGCACCCGCAGCTTCATATATCGATTTGTTTGGTATACATAGATGAATTCAAAATTACCTCAGGTGCCCGATACCACCTGGTTACCACATATTCAGTTAAGTTTTCAGTTTCTCTGTCATAGCCTCTGGCAAGTCCGAGGTCGCAGATCTTCAAGTCACAGTTTTTATTAAGAAGTAAGTTGGATGGTTTCAAGTCTCTATGAATTACATTGGCAGAGTGTATATAAAGGACGCCTCTTAAGAGTTGATACATGAAATATTGGATATGATCGTCAGTTAGATCTTGTCTGGAGTAAATCACTCGGTGTAGATCTGTCTCCATCAGATCAGTTACGATATAAATATCGTTGTAGCCTGTCCTAGCTGGAGGAAGCTGCACATCAAGTAAGCTAATCACATTCTCATGGTCGAAGAAGCCTAAAAGCTTAATCTCACGAAGAATCCTTTTAGCATCAATCAAGTCTTCAAATGCATTTGGGATCTTTTTGATACCAACTTTCGTATTAGTTTGATGGTCTATCGCTGCAACAACTACTCCATACGCTCCGTGCCCTATCTTTTTGATATATTCATAGCGGTCATCAACTATAAATGTCGTTCCTCCGGACGTAAATTTTGTTTTCCCTGCAGGAACTGGTTCTTCCATTCTATTTATATATTAATTGAGCCTAACTAATTAATTTATGTTTATAATATTCTATATTTAAAATATTTGTAAATCACTAAATGGTATTAATTATAAGCTTAAAGTGTATTAATTTTAATTTCTAGAATTTTTATTATTAATAAAAGCTTTGCTAAGCAGTTTTAATTAATTTTTAATGCTTTTAATAAGAGCATATCACTGCTTAATGAACTGAATTATTTTCCCTATAATTCAATAAATTTTATTTTCAAATTCACTTTCATATTTAAATAATCAACTGCTTTATGAAAGCCAATTTCGAGACTCCAGAAAAACAACTTGAAGATCTCCTCAAAGAGACTCCGCAAACAGTCCAAAGGGCAAATAGTGAGCAAATTTTTTCATCTGAGCACAAGCAATCTTTATCTCGAATATCTCAGCGACGATACACTAACATCCGTCAATCACAAATCATTGATGATGAAATTTTGCCAGCTGATATCATCAATGATCCAGATCCAATAAAAGAAGTTCCTATGGATTTAAAGTCAGGGAAGCTCTTAAACTACACAATAGAAACATCTCCACAGCCTCCTCCAAACTACACTCGTAAACATTCACACAAGAGGAGCAGCAGCATTTGTGTTCCAATGGATGTCTCTAATGAACAGATTTTTAGTGAAATTTCACAGCAAGTAAAATATGCAGAAAAGCAAGTGAATGATGAAAATAAATTTCTCGTGAAAAATTTAAGCCCATTGAGTACTGGGTCACATCATGGGAGGAACCTGAGTGATTGTGACTCTGTCATTTATTTAGGCCACGGAGAGGAGACGACAAATGAAAAAGATAGGACTTTTGTTGACTCTCTAGAACAAACAGGGGAGTTAAAGAACAATTTTCATAAGAAAGTCCCAACAGCTACAACTACATGCACAACTCGGACACATACAGATACAGATAAATGTGAGTCCATAGAACTCGAAGTGGGAAAATTCCAATATGAGACTTCTGTGAGAGGTAGCTTGCCTGTATTTGGGAATATGCCTTGCACAGCTTATTGTCATTTTTGCAAAGAAGTTGTGCATACTTCATTGGATTTTAGTGCAAAAATCCCTCGACCTTTTATAAAAGTATTTTCAACAATCGCTTCATGCTGCAGAGCTCCTGAGTGGATAAGTAAGTTAAGGATACACAGATGTCCTAAGTGCTCTCTTGTCTTGGCGAAGAGTAGGTAATAAATTTTAATTTTTGAAAATTGCATTTAAACTTAGCCTAATAAGAAAAGTAAATGGATCAAATACACAAACATCAAGCAGAATTATTCTCGCCTCCTTTTCCACTTCCGCAGAGAGGAGGAACTTTAAGGTCATCAGTCGCGCGAGGTCCCAGACGAACTTCAGGTGACCTTTCAAGCAAACGCAATTCTTTGTCTGAGACTCCAAACTATTGAAAACGGAAAATTGGTGTAGAGAGTCTGCTAGAAGGTTCCAAAAACAGTCATTACAATACTCTTGTTGGATATTCAAGAATTCCTCACAAATATGATCATTTCCATGAAAAAACTTATTTGTCGAATTCCATCCTAACTTGGCAATCAGATCTTACTAGTTCAGACGCAACAAGTAGAAATAATGGAAGCTTAGTTGCTGAGGCAGAGTCTCCTGATGTAAATCAGGCCAAAATATTCTTTGAGAAACAAACGCCGTTTAAAAAAATATTTCAGCATTATGCTTTACCTGGATTATTTCTTAGAAAGCCAGTTTATCAAGTGAAGAAGTCTAACAGGAAAACTTTTTAGCTGTATATTAAATTTAATTAAGATTATACTATTTGCATACTAAGTAACGTTGTAAAAGATTCTCAACGTACCAAACGATCCAGCCGATAAAATAATATGAGTCACTTCGCCTAATTCTCTATTTCTATAGCTTTCAGCAACAGATTCTACTACTTTATCAGGAGCAAAGCAAGCGAATTCTACTCCTTTATTATTTCTAGCGTCAAAAGCTTCGAACTCATCGTTTTTTTCAAGACTTTCACCTTCAGTTTCTTTAAAAGTATTCCATATAAAGAAACTGCCTCTTTCTGATCCACATATGACATGGGCTTTATGCTGCGAAAAGCCTGCTTTAATAGGATAGTGGCTATTAGCATGTCCTTTATATTTTTGCACTAGTTGGTTGTCTTTGAAATTATACAGTCTGATTCTAGAGTCATTTGTGCTTACCAAAAGATAGTGTTCATCCATAAATTCCAAGCTAGTCACATTTCTGCCTCCTCTCTTTAGACCAAAGCGATTTCTGCATTTTAAATTATATTTCAATCTTAGCCTATATGACCCAGGAAGTGACTTATAAATAATCACTTCTCCTTTTCTAAGCCCAGCTGCTAAAAATTCTCCGCTTGGAGAATAAGCAAGAGCTGTTACTTCTTTAGGAGCTTTATATAGACTTTCTGGATTTGGATTTGGAAATCTAAAGAGTCTTATAATTGAGTCTCCTGAGGCTGTGACGAAAACGCTTGGGCATGCTGGGTTGGAGCAAACGGCATTGACTCTAGATGTGTGTTTTATTGTAAGCATCGATCTTTCCTGGCTTTTTCTTCATACTTTAACAGTGCAATCTAAAGATGATGTGAAAATATACCCATCTTGATTTCAGTCAATATCAGTAATCATTCCTTCATGTTCTGTAAATACTCTTTTAGAAGTTTCATTTAGCAGCATTTTTCTTGTGTTTACAATTTCGTATATACAAATCACTCCTGTTTGTCCTCCAACTGCAACTGCTTTTCTTTCTGGACAGAATTTAACAATCCAAGTGCCATTTTCGTGCTTATCAATTAGGTCTATTTCCTGAACTAATCGGAGACTGGTAAATTGGCATAGTTCTTTTGGCCTGGATGAGATTGTTTTGCTTCTATTAATAATTTCAAAATTTGCTGAAATAATTTCAGTTTTTGTTATAAAATGACTGTTTTTTAAGGTTAATTCAGGAGTTGAAGGGCAATTGCTTGCAGGTGGTGGTGCATAAAAAGTTTCGCATGATTGTGCTGTTATTGTCTGGTATTGGCTTGATAATTCCTGCATATTTTCGCAGGGATCGTAAAAAATTTCATCGCTTTGATCTTGCATTTATAAATTATATAAAATAATATTAATTTTTTTCAACTTCTGATAAATTTCATAAATTTTTACACTTAGCTTTATGAATATCAAAGAAGAATTGCAATTTACACTATAAATCATTGAATATATAAATATTTATTTGTTATTGATCTTTTATTAGTTTCAAGTGATTGCTTAATTTTGAGAGCTAACACAGGAAATAGCATTTACTGATTATCAGCATTGCATGAATTAATATCTATATCAAATTTTATATTTTGATATTGAAGATCGCTTGATTTTCAGAGTTTTACTATACCTTTAGAAATTATTTTGGAATTTTGTCATCAGTTTATATAATGACCTATTAATTTCTGAGACCATGAATTTTTATTTAAATGAAGACATTGATAAGTGTTTCAAAAGTAGCACCTGATTCAAGCCGAATCAAATTTGATGATTTAAAAACGAACTATGTTTCATTGTAAAAATATTATATTGATTACATCCTTTTATTTATGATAATAATAGCTTGATCCAGCAGGTTTTAAACTCGATGCATCCAACGTGTAACGATCTCTTCTGTTTGAAACACTGTATCCAGGCAAAGATTTTCTAATTGGAGATCTAGAATATTGAGCTTCTCAGTCATACCCTGCTGAGTTGCTATATGAATCTCTTATGCCTAGACTTGAAATTTTAGATGATAAAGGCAATGATGAAAGTGTGGAATCAGTTCGCTGACTTATTTTATTGTGTCCACACATAGAACAGATGCTTAAACTTTCAAAGGTTCTTGCATTGCAGATTGGGCATTTCCAGCTACTTTGGAAGCATGACCTGCAAATGATTTCATTTGGGCCCGTGCATCTATAGCATTGCTTTGAGCTTAATTTTAAGTCACAATTTTTACAGTAGAAATCCGAAACTATAATACTTTTGCAAGTTATAAGTTAAATTAGGTGATTATAGTGGCTAGTCCCACTCCTAATAAAGGGATTTGGCTGGAGACTGATGATGCCACAGGCTTAAAATGGTCCACCATATCGGTAGGTATTCAAAAACTATGAGCCATCAGGCCGACTGAACTTCTCACTCAGCACCTTGCCGTTGTGCCCTACTTGGCTACTGTATCATGCGTTACTCATAATGGTTACCCTCTGATGTGCTGGGGTGGGCAAACTCTAAGCCTTCCAAATACACGAATGATGAGACCAGAGGAGGCTGTGTGTCCTCCGATGCTTGATGTAGCTGGATAAGGATTCTCTGGAAACCGAACCTTATAATAGATAAATAAATTTAATTTTAAGCTTAGCAAAATTACTCTAGAAATAAATATAGTTAGTGACACTGACTATAAATAAAATAAATGGTCTTAAGAGAGGAGATTATGTAGCTGGATAAATATTCTCTTGGAAACGGTATCTTATGATAGATAAATTGGGTCAAGAGAATTTCACATATGTCGCTTTTATTATCTATAATACTTTTGCAAATAGAGCACAATTCATATGAAACTCGATTTTCCCCGCATTTCCAGCAATGCGATAAATAATTTTCATTTCCACATATGCATTTTCATGAAGATTTAGTTATAGCCTCTCTATTGGAAGAGCTCGACTCTGAAGCCATATTACTAGATGTTTTTGTTTTACTCTCCCTCATCTTGGCTCACAATTTATATTTTGCTCACTAACTAGGGGATAAAAATATTTGTTCGAATGAAATGCTTTTAATTTTAATTTACAAATTTATATTTTAAAATGCAAGCATTTATAAAATAGCTAGAGATCTCAATAAATATATTTTATATAAATTATTTATATCAAAGCTTTTCAAAGGAAGCTAATCTCTAAAAAACATTTTTTCCCAACAATTTTGCTCGCTAATCAAGAGGGAAAGTTAGTTTCTTCTCTAGCTTCTGAGCAAGCTTCACAATTGGACTCATAAATCTGATTTAAAAATGTGCAGCTCTTGCATACTCACCCTTTAAGCCCAAGCTTTGGTGAGGAGCATGATTTGCAAATCAGAAATGTTTCTGGATTTTTCGAACCACATGCGCACTCCCAAGTTATTGTTTCTTGGCTTTGAGATCTCGAATCCTCTTCTCTCACCTTTTCTTTATCTTTATTAGAGCTGTTTCCTTCATTGCCAGGCAGATCATTTTTATCAATCCCATGAATCCTCAAGCTTTGTGCCTGCTTTAAAATTTGTTCTGTCATTTGTCTCACTTCTTCGTTGTCTTCATCAATCATCAATGTTCATTTTTCAAATGCCAGCCACTCGCTTTCACTTAACTCTGGAATTCTATGATCTTTTTCTAGTCTTTCGTAGAATACTCCAACAGGGTGCATTCCTCTTTTAATGATATAAGAAACCATGTCATATTTCCCTCCGTCTTTTATTTTTTCAGTTACAGTGTCGTCAAACTTGTACCACTTTAGATCTTCTAGGTTTAAAAGGCAAGCAATATAGTGCCCTAATCCATATAAAATAAACCCACGCAAATAATGGCTTGTATCAGGACTGTGAAAATCTCCATAAATCTCTTTTAGATTTAGCTTATCAGGAAGAGATGCAATCAATTTCAAGGTATCATTGCGTCTAGGAATAAGCTCATGTCACGCTATGTTAACCATATAAACCCTTGGATAGTCTACTGCATATATTTTCCTTTTGGATTTTTTATAAATGCAATTTTCTGAGTCATTTGCACAAAGATCAAGTTGAGAGTTGAATAAAACGTCATTTAGGTTCATTGCAAATTTTTTAAGAAAAGGTAACACTGATGATTCATCTTTATAAAGGGCAATTGATGAATATGAAATTCTTTTCAGATTATGAGAGTTAGTTCTTGATTTTTTTAATAAATCTTGTGCATAGAATGTTTGCATGTAGGTTGAGATATCTCATGGAGTAGCTTCTGAAGTCGATCCACAAATGCATTGGAGTTGCTCAAGAACTTCTAAATTAAAGGCTATAGCGTGGGCACGCTTTTAGCGTTTCATAGCATTTCTTCCTCCTCAGCAGCTGGGAGATTTGACTTGTCACTTGAAATTGACAACTCAAACCTACCTGAATTTCAATTGGAGTTATCGTCACCTTCAAGTAACAAGTCAAATCTCTCGGCTGCTGACTCCCTCCTCCGTGAGCGAACAAAGCCATTGGAAAAATCTCTATTTTCTGCCTAAAACCCCACTCTCCGTGAATGAATAAAAACGTGCGATATATAAGAGATAATTATTAATATGAAATCTCTAGCTAATTCTGGCTAATTTTAAGCAGCTTGCATTTTAGAACATAAATTTCGCAATTAATTAATTTTTGCTTCTCAATTTTTCCAAATTGGAATTTTGAAAAAAAAAATTACTATAAAAATTTAGATATAATTTTTAAAAAAAAAAATTAACCACCTCAGAGAGCGAACAAAATTTTTTTGTTCACTCACGAAAGGGGAATGAGGAGAGAAACGTTAATGTACTAAAAGTGTGCCCACGCTATATGTGGGAAGGGCATTGATGCCTGCAAGATAAAGAGCATGTTTTTTCGTCTACTCCTTGTGAATCATTTCCTATTTCGCTACAGTGAAAAGCATTTAAAATTGCAATCAAAGCTTCCATTGCATCAGCTTTGTCGTTAAGTTGAAATTTGTTTTGCTTGGAGTAGACAGTTGATAACTGAGACCTCAATGAGGATGCATCTAAAACTGGATTTTGTGCTTCAATATTAGCATACTGATGGAAAATTGATTTTACTGAGCATGTGACGCAATCTTCACTTGGTGAATGAGCCAATTTTTCATTTCATTGGTTCACTGAATCTCGAAAAGTCTTTATGTTATATAAAATTTGTAAAGCACTATTTAAAAAGCAGTTATTTGCTCCATTATTTGTGAACCCTGCAAATAATGGTCTTTTGCAAAATCTTTTATGAAGCTCTTCATCACGATATTGCTGGGCACACATTCTACAAGTTTTTCTCATTTTTAATGTTTGGACAATTTTCAATTAAAATAAATTTAAAATTATTCAGAAGTGAATATAGCTTACACCCCGTTTTGGATCGGCCTTGAGCACCTCTCCCCATGCCATCCACCCCCTAACGGTCCCAAATATTTTAGCATGTTAAATGCTAATTTGACAAGTTAAAATATTTGAGGGGTCAAATAATATTTTAACGTTTAAATTTTCAGAATCTTCAGGAGGTGGGCGACATGGGGAGAGGGTATAGCGCCTTCCTATAGATGGCACGCAAGGTGCCATCACCGAGCCATGTCGGGAGAGGGTTCTCCACGAGGAATAGTTCCACGTGTGGAACCCTCTTTTTCCACGTGCCAAAAAGAGGGTTCCACACCTGGAACCATTCCTCGTGGAGAACCCTCTCCCGACATGGCCCAGTGATGGCGCATTGCGTGCCATCTATAGGAAGGCGCTATACTTAATGGCGAGCAACCATGAGGGGTGCGCTATATCAATCATCACAAAACTTAAAGATAAAATTATTTTTGACTTGGCAAAGTTAATTTATTCGTCTGATTTCTGAAAATTTTGTCCTCTTTAATACCATAACCCCTTCACACCCTTTTCTTTCCTCTGATACCTTGGTTCCATCAATATATCCATTATGAATCTCACATATCATATACATAACCCCTTTTTCACTTAAATAATCAGAAGCAAGCTCAAGCAATTTATCAATAAATTCTCTTCCATCAACTCCTCCAGAAAAGCTGCTGCTTATATCCATTCTTGCTTGGCATTCTTGATACTCCTCAGCACTTGTAGCAACATAAGGAGGGTTGCACACAATCACATCAACTTTATTTGATAGATTCATTCCTTTAAAGATATCTATTGCAATAAATTCTGAAATCTGTACATTATTGATTTCAAGCGTGGTTTTGGCTAATTCGGCTGATTTCGGGTTAATGTCAACTCCTAAATAATAAGCTTCTCCTAGGTTGATCCCAACAGACGCGAGAACTGCCCCGCATCCGACCCCAACTTCTAGAATGATTGCAGGGTTAAGAGATCGAATAAATTGGATATCATTAACAATGGAATCTGCTAAAAGATAAGTGTCTACTGAAGGAGGGTACACACTTCGTTTGTCTAATTTTGTGATATGTTCTAAGTTTGCCTTTCTTGATTCCATATATATATTGAAATGGCGTTTCATGCACCATTTCAATAATTCCACTGTCCATGAATTCTATTTGATTAATTAAATTATATCTAATTATAAAGCAAATGATAGGACAGATCCTGCCAGTGCTGAAATTCCAGCAGTTGTCATGCCCCATTTAATGTAGTCCCCTCCGATAAAGAGTGCAATAAGAGCTGGGATAAATCCGAACATAACGATTTGAGAAATCAGACTTGTCATATTAAGCAGCACTTTTCAATCATTTTTTCCTATCTGATGGATATCATTGTTAGAAATAGTATCGAAGAGCCTTGATTTAGAAGCTGAAAGCTCTTTAGGCTCAGAGCATTCAGACCTTCTATGCAAATAAGGCAATTTATCACACTGCTTGAAGTAGTTAGATTGCATTTCAGAAAATAAATGCTGAGGCAGCACAATATTTGCTCCAAACGAAAATCCACAAATCGGAATAATTATAAAAATTGATTGGAAATTCCCCACTTCGTGTGTAGTAATTAAAGCAATTGCACAAATTAGGTGGGTTAAGCCTAAAATGTAAGAATCTCTCAAAATTTGGTATTTTCTTATCAGAGGGATAACATAAATTACTACAATGGTTACTAAGCAAGATATCAACAGCGTAAAGGCTCCCCATGATAGTCCCATATTGTATCTTCTCTGGTCTTCTTTTATATAATTTTCATCCCAAATTGCCATTGATACCCACGAAGTCGCATAAATTGATATCAATAAATTGCTTCCTAAGGTCAAAAAATAAGTAAGCATTAATAATTTCATTTTTCAAGGTAAAGAAACCAGACTGCTAGCTGAGGGGTATGAAATTGATGCCGAATCAATCTTGGCTCTGAACGAAATGTACGGCACTGCAATGCACATCGTCAAAACATAAAGCAAAGAAACAGCCAGAAATGAAAAAGTTATGTTATCCCCTACGTTGTAATGCATATAAAATGAATAAATTTCAAAACAGTCGATCGAAGCAATAAAGAATCCAGCCATTCTTCCAAAGCACCCGCAAACTGTATAAGAGCTATCTAAGGATCCCCCCCCTCATTTATCTAATTTTCTAGTCATTTATCATTTGTCCAATTTTCTAGTTTTTTTTATAGGAAAAAAACAATGTTTTTAGGACCTCATTTGTCCAATTTTCTAGCTAAAATTTTGATAGAAAAATTTTTTTTCCAGGGCCTCAATTGTCTCATTTTCTAATTTTTTTAAAGTAAAAAACTAAAATTTAGACATTCGAAAAAATCCAAAAAAGACTAGAAAAAGGGACAAATCATTTTTGACTAGATTTTGGGACAAATAAGGTCCTGAAAATTTTTTATCCTATAAAAAAGACTAGAAAATTGGACAAATGAGGGGGGATCCTTATTTCATCTTCACTAAAGCCTAGTGAAATCTCCAAAAGTATGTTGTGGCTTGCACTAATTAGCATAAATCCTATAAATCCTAGAATAATAGACGCATTTCTTGCTTTCTCACTGGCATCAATAGATGCACGAAAGCATAGCTCAGCGATTGAACTTGATGAAATTAAAGTGATGATTCCTAGTATTGTTGTAGAGCATAATAAGTAAATCAATAGCTTCTTTTTTGAGTTAATTGTCGAATAATCCGAGTAGACGTATTTGTGCCAAATTGGCTGAGAAATCAAAGTGAGTATTGAAGGAAATAGCCAAATCGTCGAAAGAAAAATAACCGAGCAATTGTGCCGATTAAAAAAAGGGTTAATAAATACATATTCTAGTGCATATTCTGATTAGGGAATACCAAATTCAATTGTAAAAATCAAAAAATAAACCAGGCCAATTTGTGTTTTGGAAGGGCTAGGGAGTAAAGGTTTTTCGTCTCGCATTTTGAAGCTCTTGGAGCAGTCAATATTTAATTTTACATTATACGTTTTTTAGGATGCAAACTGTAATGAAATTTAATTTCCTAACTCCCCCCATCCTTGATCGAACGATTGACTGTAAAAATTTCTAAAAATTGGGAAAATTAACCCCCATCCTTGATCGAACGATTTTCATATCATGCAAATTTTTTATATATATAAAAATATATTAGTTATCAAAAGCTTGGGAAGATATACCTAATGAAGTTGTTTTCAGAGCTTTGAGACGATAAGCTTCGGAACCAACCATCCGAAGTGATTTAGTCATCAACCTAGGCTTAAAAACTCAATAATCCAAAAAATAGAGATTCTTTAAAATTTAAAAAAAAAAAATTTTAATTCAATAAGGAACAAATTAAAATTTATACAGTTTAAAAGGGTAAACTAATAAATCAAAATATTAAAAATTGATATTTTATGAAATTAATTCAATTTTTTGCTGTAAAAATAATTATTAAATACTCTTAACCCTCTTATTTAAAAGTAAATAAAAAAAATATATATAAGTTTTTTTTTCCAAAAAAATTTTTTTAACCCCATCCTTGATCGAACGATGGCGAGTCGTTCGATCAAGGATGGGGGGGGAGTAAGTAAAAAATTAAAGAAGGTTTTAGTTATATATATCCGTTTTGATAGAAATAATTTATTAGACTAAAATTGGTATAAAATTTTGAGCTTTTTGAAATAATACTGCCTTAGCACGATTATAATTATGAAGAATTTGTAAACAATTAGCTTCTCCTTCATTAATAAGAAAGTGTTTTTTTTCTCATCTATTGAAAGGTTAAATTTTAGATAATATTAAAGATGTGAAATTATACATATAAAAATTCATACCTAATTATAATGAATAAAAACATATTTACTTCCAACTATTAATCATTTTTATATAGAATACAGGATAGCAACGAATCAGTTAGAATGCTTTTATTCATTGCAATTAGGTAAATAAAAGGCTTCTTGCTAGCATGAAAAATAGAGAGTTGGTAATTTGAAATATTGAAAGGATCCATATAATTTAGCAATAAATTATATTTGATAAAGTAGTTTCGATGATAGTAAATAAATCTTAAATGAACTTATGAATTTAGATATTATTTAGCATGGTTCTGAAATATAAAGCTCAAGTCCATGGCACCCCATGATAGAAGGAAGACCATCAGCTTGGATTGGCTCTTAGAAGCATGCATTAAAGGACAGCAACCCTTAGCTCACTTAATTCCTAATTACTTATAAATTTAAATATTCACCCAAAAGTTTTTTTTATAGAAAATTAATTTAAATATCACAATTAAAAATGGAGCGCATGAATTAGGGTCATTGTCCCCTAAAGGTCATCCTAGTGAGGGAAGTTCAGATTTTCTGAAGGATATAGTCGCTGGAACTGCTTCGGCAGTTCCTTGTGTGCTTGATAATTAAAATGGTGGTGGCGACTAAATAGGTCCTCGGCGACGACGAATCACCTTGGTCGCAAAAGTTACCCTATAGCCAAAACAAGGTCCGGGCCCTTTAATTCTAACCCTTAGCAGACTTAACGCTGCCGTATGGGGTGGGTAACCTTGGGAGTAAGTTGGTGTCGACTCAATGACCAGAGTTTTAATTATCCGGAGGAGGTGCATGGCTCTCTGCGTGGTGGATCTGTCAGAAGGTCACCGCAGAGGAATTTGGGGTTAGGCTGGCCTGACAAAAACTTTCTTCGTTAACTTGGAATTGTTAGCCTGGCCTGCTGTTGGAGCGGGTGCTGGGCGTTGATGTGATGTTAATTTGGAGTTGGTTTTATGGAGTTGGTTTTGTAAAGTTGGTTTTGTGGAGTTGGTTTTGTGGAAATTAGTCTTGTGAAGTTGGCTCTGTGGAATTGGTTTTGTGGAGTTGCTGATGATTGTGAAGTGGAGTTGCTGATGATTGTGAAGTGGAGTTGCTGATTGTGAAGTGGAGTTGCTGATTGTGAAGTGGAGTTGCTGACTGTGAAGTTGGATGAATAGGATAAGGTAATCATAAAAATCTTTCTTTCTTTCTTTGTGTGCTTGAATCAACATCAAGAAAGAAAGAGCGACTCGTCTAGGTCATAGGCTACTGTAACGGTTCGACGGTTAGGCCGATTCCACCTACCGTTGTTCAGAGCTGTTAGCCAGTGATGGAATTCAGGGAGGATGGGCTTGCTTGTCAGATCCTAAGCTAAGTGGGGGTCGACAGAGGGTTATCGTAATCTTAAATCTTAAATTTAAATATTATAATTTTATTTCTATTATAAAATAATTAATAAATCACCGATTAAGTTTGCCATGCTGGCCTTTCCACGCAATTTGCTCTTTTGGAGATTTCACAGCTATTGACTTATCTGGAGTGAACGGTTTATTAAATTGAGTTGGAACTCTAGTTCTTAATCGAATTTTTCTGCGCTGGACTTCGGCTGGACTTTCCAGAGTAGTTTCTGTTATTGGTGTCTTAGTGGTTACGTCTTTTGCAGAAAAAGGAGTATACGAAGGATTTGCATGCGGCAAAGTTCTTCTTTTAGTTTTTGTTTGAACTTACTTACTTAGTTACATAGTTTTTAAGGTGTCTAGTGCCCACACCCCTTAATGAAAAAGGGTCAAAGCGACAACTAGTGACGTCACCAAGCCATCTTGGAATATGTGGTCAGCCCACACCCAAGCCTTCTATGAGGCTAGTCGCCAGATAAATCGCCGCACATCTCACCCGGCGCGTTGCCGTCGCTCGTCCAGACTCAGCTCCTGCGCGTGTTCCGCCTAAGGGTCATCCTCCCGTGGGGACGTGCTGAGAGGTAAAACTCCGAAATCTTGAGTGCACTGAGGAGTCGTGCCTTTGGTTATCCCCAAAGTTAACGACTATTGCTGTGCAGAAGTTCTCGAGAGAAAACCCAACCCCATAAATAAAATTCCATGAGGGAGAGAAAATTGGCAGAGCCAATTTCTCTCGAACCGAATGCCATTTTATTTATATAGTTTTTGTTTGAACAATTTCTTTTTGCTCACTATCTTGATGAATAAATTTGGTGACAGAAATTGCACTGTATTTATTTTTAATAAATTTGTCATTAAGGATTTCATACTTCACATCGCTTCCTTTTGGAGACAAAGGATTGAAATCGATATTAGATGATCTTCTTCTTGGCAAAAAATCAGGTATCTGGGGAGATTTCTCTGTTTTTATCCCAATCTTTAAAGGCTCTTCATTTTTTGTATATCCATTTAGTTGAATATCAGCCATTAATAAAATCTGAGAGCACTTTTTATATCAAAACGCTCACAAGCAATTTAATGCTAAATTGACCTAATAAAATAGTACTTTTGCTGAATTTCAGATTAAATGTGATCGTTTTTTGGGAGTTTATCGACTCTTTCCTTGTTGTTTTCGCTTCAAAAATATTTTCCGTTTCGAGAAATCAATCATGCTCACCCACATCATAAGTCTTAAACTGCTTTCCGATCTCATCAGGAATTGATTGAGACTTCTTATGTTTCATAATTACAGGGGCCGCAGGAGCTTTAAATTCAAACTCTGACCTATGCCTTTGCTTTTTTAAATAGCTTTGTCCCTTATTTACGTCAATTTTAGGGACCTCCTCCTTTATTAACTCCACGATTAAGCAAAGCTATTTGAAAAATTCCTTTATTTTGCCCTTGCAAGTAAGCAAAAGATGTTTTATAAATAGCATTTTAGATTCATAAGAGATAATTATTATAACGAAATTTCATGCTGATACTATATAACTATTAAATTCTCAGCTTCATGAAATCAGGATTCCAAAAAAACTTATTTATAAATTTTAAGAAAATATAATTACCTATTATTCAAGCAAGAAAATTTTGCTCACTAGGGATTAAGGCAAGCGCCTTAAAATTTACATTTAAAGAATTCATTCTTTGTCTCTTTTCTATAGCATTCTGTATCTCTTTTTGAATTTCTGCCTTTTGATTTTCCCTCGGAGACGCAGGTGGAGTGATTGCTTCATCATAAAGGCTGGCCAACCTACCTTTAGGCTGTTTTCTTGACATCAGTCTTTGAAGCCTTGGGCTATTCTTCATTTCATCTATTGTGTCAGGAGATTTCAGCTTCGCTGACAGCTTTTTCGATGAGCTGCTTCCCATATTTAATTAAAATTAGCAGAGATTACCCATCTCTTAGCTTCTTCTCTTCTTCCCTTAATTCTTGTCTTAGTGTCTGTGTTTCTGATTCTAGCTTTTTAAGTTTTTCTCTCATTTCCTCAGCTTCTTGCTTAATGTACGAATAAGCGTCTTCTAGCTGTCTTAAAACTGCAGAATCGTTGTGGGTTTGGAAATGCTGCATTATTTCTAAATGAAATGGGTTGTTTAATAGATCCTGATCTGGCGCGATCCCAGTCCCTGCAGTTAATCTTTGGTAAAAGTCTGGGAACGGATCTTGAAAAATGATTTCGTCATAATGGTCATTGATCACTGGTTTTTTGGTCGACTGAGAGACACCTGGCTGCTTTGGGTATAGTTGTAGCATGTGGAATATATCGATTCTTTTTTCTCGGGGATCATGGAAGTGGATTTGAATCATTATTTCAAATTCACCCCAGCCTGACTCATGCACTTCGTATGGTGGCCGATCAAATACACGTGAAGGATTTTGAAAGCTAGGATGCAGTTGAAATACCACTTTCTTGATAAATGTTGAGACGTCTTCTCCGTTTACTCCAGTTACAAAGCAAGCCCACTTGTGGGAATTATGCTCGTCTGCTTTCTTTCCTTGGTAAAAACTCATTGAGCCGTATACAATTGGCTTTTTGACTACAACTCCACGCATTCTTTCCATCTTATAATTTTATTATGGGATTTTATTATTTTCAAAGTCCCTTGGCTTTGTAATATGCATTAAAACGGAGAAGCAGAGACTCAAATATAACCTCTACATGTGCCTATCCCGCAGGCTTTGGTTCTTCCTTTGAATGAAAATGCTAGGCATGTCTTTTAGACGTGATATTCCTCTAACGAAAAACCGGGGTAAAGCAGACTTTTTCCTGTGGCTGGTAAAAGTAAAAACTCACCCCAGAAAACTCACGGAGCTGTTTCCATTTATCAGCTGCAGAGCTACAGAAATCCATAAGCCGCTCACTTAAAACAGTTTCCTCAAGGTAAGGATGAGGCAACTGAAAAGTAAAAGCTCAATCTACTGAGCAGTTCGTTGGAAATCAGCGAACCTTTGGAAAAGAGGTCTTTGGTGACTGCATACTAAATATGATTAATACCTTACTCTCACCTTAGCCTAACTATTGGTTTTGTAATTATAAAGAAAATACGTAACAGCAGAAGCTTCATTTTAGCCAAGAGCCATTATATTTTATTGCATATAAGCTAACTATTAGATAAGTTTGCATTGATTATAAATGATTAAATTAGAAAACTGAAAGCTCATCGATAAATCAGCAATTTACAGGTCTGTAATGAGATAATGATAAAACTTATGTTCACATATATTTCAATGAAAAGCGATTCTCTTAGTCTAAGTCTAATAACTTAAGTTAATTAGTTGTCGCTCTTAATGTGGTCTTTAAGAAGCCCCATTGCGAATTCTTTAGGATGCCACTTCATCTTTTTCTTCTTGTTGATTTGGATCTTTTCTCTTACTCCCCTTAGCTAGCCGACAAAATTATCCGATAAATCCCCTTTTACCAATTGATTAAAAATTATTAATATAAATATTTTTGGTTTAAGCTATTTTGATATATAAATGATTATCATTATTATTTTACAATTCCTATCATAAGCTTGCATTTTAAACATAAATTTTATAAATTAAATCAGATTTTTCAGTTCAAATATCATAAATTTATATTTTGAAATCCGAAAAAAATTATTAAACTTTAAAAAAAATCAACTATTTCTTGTTCTCTGATTCAGGGAGAGTTAAGAAAGTGCATGCGATCACAGTTCCCAAAGGGTTTCACTCAGGATGCCTATTTCAATTACGACTATTTTTTTGGGATAATTTTTTTGCCTTTTTTTGGCCTATTTTTTTAGTTTATTTTTTAATTTTAAAACTTTTATAATATACCATCTGTCAAAAAAATATTAAAAATCACCTAGAAAAAGTTAATATGGAAATATTCCAAAGCAAATGAACCAAAAAATTAAAAATAATTATGATAAAATAGGCAAAAAAGAAATAATAGACCAAAAATATAGTCGTCGTGTGAATACACGTCCCAAAGCGCAGCCAAGGAATGGACCAGCAATATAGACCCACCAACTATCTAATTTGGAGACGTCGTCAGCAAAAATAGCCTTGACAGCGTCAATTGCAATGCAAACAGTTGGGTTAAAGCAGCCTCCTGAGATGTCTCCGACTGTCGCAATGCCTGCAAGTACTGTAAATGCAATTGCCATACCTGAAGCAATGACTGAATCCATCAACTCAGCTGAAACAAGGACAACAAGGACAAGGTGACCGGTGAAGATCAGTTCTGCGAAGAGTGCTTGAACTTCAGTGCTTGCTGGAGACACTGCAATGCTCCATGTGCTGTCATAAATGCACTGGCCGAATAAACTACCCAAGAATGCTCCAACAACTTGAGCAACTAAGTAAAGAAGGTCTTCTTTAATAGCATCAGTAAAGTAAACCAAAGACTTTTCTTTTGATTTATGGATCTGGAGATGTCTGAAATAGAGGTCTCTTGCAATAGCTCCGAGAGTTACTGTTGGATTAAAGTGAGCTCCACCAATAAATCCGCACCCAACTATAATGACCCAGAAGCCAATACCCACAGCCCAAGCATTTCCTTCGCTAACAAAAATAACAAATGCCAAAGCAGCGGTACCATAGCATTCCGCAACCAATCGTCTCCACAGCTTCATAATTTTTATTAGTTAGCTTTATAGCCATTCGAGAAAATACATCAGCTAATAGAATCTAAATAATTATTTTTTATTTCCTAACTCCCCCCCCCCCCCCTCCCGTGAGCGAACAAAAAAATTTTGTTCGCTCACGGAGGGGGGTTAATTTTTTTTTTTTTTAAAAAAAAATTTTATATATAAATTTTATAAAAAATATTTTTTTTCGAAATTTAAAAAAATCCTAATTTGCAAAAATTGGGAAGCAAATATTAATTTAATTTGCAAAATTTATGTTTTAAAACGCAATTTGTTTAAAATTAAACAGAATTAGCTCTAGATTTCATTATACTAATTATCACTTATATATCAAAATTTTTTTCCATTAAAATTTTTTTCTATTAAAAAATTTTTGTTCACTCACGGAGGGTGGGTTTTTTTGGTCAAAAAATGGCGATTTTTCTAATGGTTTTGTTCGCTCACGGAGGGGGGGGGGGGAGTAAGCATGCTTATATAGAAATCAGCAGCTTTTAAGCATAATGGGTAAAAGGATCATCTTCATTGTCTTCAGATTCTTTTGTAAGTTATGTGGAGACTCATTCTTACCTCTGCAAAATTGTTTGTTAAAGATAAAATCGATTGCCTTGATCTAGCGTTAGAGAAGGAGAATTCATGAATTTTGATATCGTTATTAATTAACCTTCAGAATTTTCCTCATGTTTGCTAAATTTATTTTATGTGAAATAGCTCAAAAAGGTTTATTAATGTGATAAGAGAGAATTGATTATTTATTGAATAAAATATCATTTCTTTGAAAGATCTAACTTTTGCTTCTCTTAATTTCTGCTTTCTGTTTATGTGTATTTATTTCATATTAAAATATTCGATTTAATTTAATTAATAAAAAGCACTGTAAAAGAGCATCAAAAATCCAAATAATACGAAGCTAAATGATTTTATTGAAGAAGCAAAGTTTGAAAAATTTTGAATCTTGATCCAATATATTTAAATATTAATTTTAATATATAAGATAGGCTAATTTTTGAATGATATTCTGAATTTAACAATATGTAACCATCAAAGTTTTTAGAGAAAATCAAAAATATCTCCCTGTTTGAATTGCTAATCAGGTTTTCAAATTTTGCAAAAAGAGCTAAATTTATAACTTTTAAAGGGCTTTTTAAGATACAAATTATAAAGTTCGGATTAATGAGAGTGAGCAGGATACTTAAGCAGAAAGAAGTTCGAAATCATATCAATAAATATAGCTACTAATATAAGATTTAAGCATTAGCAAGAAATATCTCGAAAAGCTACAATTAAGATTCAGAAATACTTAAATAAAAGGCTAATACTGATAATCTTTCATAATTTATTTTCAGGCATTTTGTCTTTAGCAATCAAAACGTAAAATTACTTGCATTTATTTTGTCCAGTTAATTTATTTAATAATAATAAATCAAATCCTTCTATCAATATGAATAAAACTCCATCACATCCTTCCTATCAAGTCTTAGAAAATGAATTTTCTACCCAGTTTGGCATAAAAGAAAGTAGCTACCAAAAAGCAAACATTTTCTCAAAGATTCTCACTCATTGAGTGTATAGACTACTTAAATTGGGAAGGTCTCGCCCACTTCAGCGAGAAGATATTGATGGCATTCGGGAAAAAGAAAGCGTGCAATATCAGAAAGTCAGATTAAAGCCTTACTTGCAGAAGTATGTTTTTGAGAGAAAAGGTGATAAAAATGGTTTATTGAAGACTATGTATAGTCGATTTCTTTTTGATATCATTTCTCTTGCCTTGATTGGATCTTTGGCTTCGATAATGGATTATAGTGGAGCTGTCTTTATTCAGCTTTTAGAAAATTTCTTACTTGATGACCAGCCTTATTGGGTTGGATTTTTATTAGTTGGTATTTTGCTAGTTTGCAAATTCATACAAGCCACTTCTAACAGCCAATATAGATTCCATTCAAGTATTCTAGGAGCCCACATTAAATCATCTCTTTCTCCAAATATTTATGAAAAAACATTAAAAATTGCACCAACTGAAGCCAAAAACAAAAAAGAAAATTTCGCATATGGGCAATTGGTGAATTTAATCCAAGTTGACTTAGAAAGAATTACAACAGGAATTCCGTATTCATTAAGAATTGTACTTTGCCCAATTCAATGAGCTGTAGGAAGCTATTTACTTTATAATTCAGCTAAATTGATAGGCATCACTTCTGGGTTTATAGGAATGGGCCTTTTATTTTTTGTGAATATGATAATAGCAAGAAGAGTTTCAGCAATCCAAAAGATGCTTATGGAAAAAAGAGATAAGCGCATGAAATATTGCACTGAGTTGCTGCCTAATATGAAGGTTTTTAAAATGTACAACTGAGAGAAAAAAATAGCTGAAAGAATATTACAAGCTAGAAATTTGGAGTTGGCTTTACTCAAAAGGAATGCAAAGTTTCAAGTGACGATGGCGTTTTTAACTTGGGGAGCAAGAAATTATTTAGCTATAGCGATTATTGTTACTATGGCTCTAACAGGAGTGCAATTGACTCCAGGGAACGTTTTTTCTTCAATGGCGGTTATTGGGATTTTGAATAGTTCAGTTAAATCAATTCCTGATATTATTACGAATTTTATGAATATGGTTGTAAGTTTGAGAAGAATTCAGGATTTCTTACAAACTAGAGAAATTAATGAATATATCACGAGATCTGATGATTTTTCAAACAGCAACACAGCAGTAAGCATGAATTTAGCAAGCTTCAGCTGAAATATACCAAGTGAGGATCAATCTGGAGAACTCAGAGAAGCAAAATTAATTTTGAAAGACATCACTTTAAGTTTAGAAAAACGCAAGCTATATGCAGTTGTAGGCAAAGTGGGATCAGGCAAAAGTTCTTTAATTCAAGCAATGATTCAAAATATGAATTTCATCAGAACATCAGACTCATCTAGCATTTCAATAAATGGAAGCATAAGCTATGTTTCTCAAGAGCCATGAATCCAAAGCACAACTCTTATGAAAAATGTCCTGTTTGGTCTCCCTATGGATGAAGAGAGATATAAAGAAGTGCTAAGAGTCTGCCAGCTTAATCAAGATCTTGATATTTTCCCAGCCAGAGATTTAACTGAAATTGGAGAAAGAGGAATTAACTTGAGCGGAGGACAAAAAGCAAGGGTAGCACTCGCGCGTGCTGCTTACTCAGATCATGATATTTATTTATTAGATGACCCTTTGAGTGCTGTAGATTCTCACGTCTCAAGCGAACTGTTCTATTCTTGTTTAAAAGACTTTTTGCGAGAAAAAACAATTGTCTTGGTAACTAATAATCAAAATTTTTTGCATTATGTCGATAGAATTATTGTTTTGCATGAAGGAAGTGTTATCGAAGAAGGAACTTATGAAGAGCTAATTCAAGCAAATGGGTACTTTTACAACCAATATTTGGTTTCAAGCAAATTAAATGCTGTGGCTAGAGAAAATGTAGAATCAAATGAGATCGAAGAAGAGAAGCCCCAGAATAAAAAAAAAGAATTTAGAATAATAGAAGAAGAAAGAAGGGAGACTGGACAAATCAGTCTGCAGGTTTATAAAACTTACTATAGCTATGCAGGAGGTTGGGTTACTTTTGCGGTTGTCCTAGGTATTATGGTATTTTGGCAAGCAACTCGTATGTATTCAGATATTTTTTTAAGTGAATGGACAAATGAAGATGAAGAAGAGCAAAGAGAGAATGTGACGTATAATGTTATTGTTTATACAACAGTTAGTAGCTTGATAAATGTTTTTATATTTTTCAGATTGGTAGTTAATTATGTAAACGGAATCAAAGCAGCACAAAAGATTTTCGAAAAAATGATAACCGCATTAGTTGATGCGCCTATCAACAAATTTTATGATGTAACTCCAACTGGAAGAATTTTAAATAGACTATCCAAGGATCAAAATAATATAGATGCTCACTCCCAGCTTGATGATCGAGCATTTTTTTATATTTTATGAATTTAAAATTTTGAATATAAAATTTTTATCTTATCAAGCATAGAGGCTTAAAAATTTAGTAGAAATAGTGAAATGCTCATTATAAATATTATTATTTATATTAAAACATATTATATCAAAAAATTTTTGTTCGCTCAATAAGGGGAAGCCAGCTGATCGCTTCATTAAATTTCTCAATTGGCCAGTTTTTCCAGATTTTTTCTATTGCTTGCATGGTTTCTTATGTAATTCCATATCAGCTAATTGTTATTCCTATAGTGCTTTATATCGCTATTAAAATAAGACAATTTTATTTGTCATCATCAAGAGAGCTGGTAAGACTGGAGTTTATGAGTCGAAGTCCAATCGTCCAACATTTTTCAGAAACTGTAAGTGGATTGAGCATTATACGAGCTTTTGGTTACCAAAAGAAATTTATTGAGAAAAATGCATTTTTATCAAACTCAAATATAGGTGTTTACTTCATGCAGCAAGCTTGTGGCTGCTGGCTAGGCATTACACTTGAGCTCGTCTCTGATGTTATTCTTGGCGTCAGCGCATTAGTAATTGTCGGTGTCAAAGGATGAATAAACCCAGGATTAGCAGGGCTTGCTTTATCTTATGGAATTACGATCCCAGATAATATATTTAACTTTATAAATGCAAGCTCAAATCTTGAAAATTCAATGGTCTCTGTTGAAAGAGCTAGCCAATTGATTAAAACTGAGAGTGAAGCGAGTAGAAATAGACATAAAGACCAAGAATTGCTTAATAGAGGCTGGCCATATGCAGGGAAAATTGAGTTTAGAGATTTTGAAATGAAATACAGAGATAATACATATGTTGTTATTAAAGGAATTTCATGCGAAATACAACCGAGAGAAAAAATAGGAATTGTAGGTCGAACAGGATCTGGAAAAAGTTCTTTATGCCTTGCATTATTCAGAATAGTTGAGCCTTATGCTGGAAAAAAAGATAAAAAATTTTGACGTCGGGCTCTAAGCATGCTCCCTATAGAGTATAGAAGTTTCCTATGTTTGGCGCTGTAAGGCCGATAAATTCTGATCGGAATTTATCGGTTGGTTGCACCAAATCAATGCCTTGGTCGGACCAAAAGCGATTTGGTCCGACGAACTTGGAAAGCTCCTGGTAAAATGTCTGCGCTTTCAGCGCTATATAGAGGAAACCTCTATAGTTAGACCCGTCTCGGTAGAGTTGAAAATATCTCTCTGTCGCTTATGAAATATGCCTTGGGTTTTGAGGATACCTGACGAAGCGGAAGTTTTTGTTTCTCCCCTAAGGTTTTCCCTGTCCCTTCAGATGGGCTAGACAGGTTTTGCCTCCCCTTAGTCTTTGTGTGTCAGGGCATCCGCAAGAGGTGGCTCTAACCTAATAATCCTTTCTATCCTCATATGACCATATAGCGCGCTTAGCTTATGCTGGAAAGATTTTAATTGATGATATAGATACAGCAGAAATTGGCTTAGATTTGCTAAGAGAAAAAATATCGGTCATCCCACAAGAGCCAACGTTATTCCAAGGAACATTGAGAGAAAATTTAGATCCATTTAGAAAGAAGACTGATAAAGAAATTATTGAAGCAATTAAGCTTGTAAAGCTTTTTTCAAATGAAGAGCCTGATAGCATTCTTGCAAAAGAAATTAAAGAAAATGGGACTAATTTTTCTGTAGGAGAAAAGCAGCTTTTATGTATTGCAAGGGCAATATTAAAAAATTCGAAAATAATGTTTTTAGATGAAGCAACTGCATCAATCGATTATAAAATTGATGGAGATATACAAGAAATAATTCGGAAAAAGTTCACTGACTGTACAGTGTTGACAATTGCTCATCGACTTCACACAATACTTGATTACGATAGAATTCTTGTTATGGATAAGGGGAAGATTGCTGAATTTGGCTCACCGCAACAATTGATTGAAAATCAAGGGTTATTTTACTCCTTTCTTCAAAAAAGTAAAGGAAAATTAAGTGAGAACTAGAAATGCTTATTTCTAAGTTCTCAAAAAAGCTAAATAATTATTAAATTAAAGATTGTTGAAATTCTCCAGTTTGCAATCTATTTAAAAATTGAGCTTCTGAAATTATAATTCTATGTTAGATAAAGAGCAGATTTTCTAAGAATAATTAATTTATTTGCTAGGCTTAAATCTGAAGTTTATAATTCAAAAATAAAGGTTAAAGTTTTATCTATCTTTTTATTCAAATCCTAAAATACAGCTATTCATATCTTCTTTTGGATTTTATTGGCATTCCATAATCCTTATACATTTCGTCTTCATTTGGCGGCTTATAATTTTCCTCATAAATTGCGTGCATCTTTCTCACGGCTTCTTCAATTCCTCTCAAATACTTAGGATTTGGGATTTTTTCTTTCCTATCATACTTAATTCTACATTTCCTCTTTAGGCACTCAATATGGTGTTTTTTCATGACGTTCCTGCAATAAAATATTTCTCCACACCTTGGACACCCTGCTTTTTTAACATTTGTGTGGGCCTTGAATTTTCTGTAAGTATAGAAGCAGGCATCACACATGCATCTATATCCTTTGACTCCTTTTTCTCTTACCATTGTTTCAATGGTGTGGTGATTCATTGTACTGTCTCCTGAAGAGCTGGACATTGAATCGTCGTCACATGATGAAAAATTTTCTTTGTTGTCAAAGGACTTTATATCATCTTCAACTTCTTCTTGAGAAGCAGAATCAGAGGCTGGGGGCTCAGGAAAATCTTCGCTTGCAGATGCAGAGAATGACTGTGTATCACTTGAACAGTATTCACCATCGTTTTCAGGGCCTATTTTGGGAAAAGATGCTTTCTTTGATTTTTTTTGGGAATTTTTTCCTTTATTTATGCCATTTGAAGACCTTTTTGAATCTTCAAATTCTAAAGATTCTGTATGCATAGGAGGGGCGCCTCTTGGTTTAGTAGGCACTGTTGATATTGGCTTTGTATGAGACTTTGTGTGAGCTGGGACAAGCACGAAATTCATAATTTGGCTGCAGCTTTCGCATTTATAACGGTCTTGGACTACAAGGGCGAAGTTGATGCCATTAAGGGTAATTCTGTCTTTGGAAAATGCTTGAGCTGTATGATTGAAAGATACTGGTATATCTTCTTCTTTGACTTGAGGCAAATCCATTATAACCCTCTTATTTTATTATAAAATTCATTTGTTCAAAAATACCCCCTTAATTTTAATAGTCGTAAATCATAAAGCTAAAATATAAAATTTTAATAAAAATATAAAACTAAAATTTTTATTAAATTATCATATCACCGTACTCTTCTATACCATTTTGATTTCTGTCTATTTATATTGACTTAATATTTTAGTAATTTAATGTTTTAGTAATTATAAGATGAAAACTTATTTGCGTGAGATTAATTTGAAAAACCAAGAAAATGATTGCATTTATCTAATTTGCAGGGATGTAGGAAAAGCTTATTAAAAATATTTGACATACAAACTTATTTTGAGCAGAACGAATTTATGAGCTGAATTCTGAAAATTTGTTTGAACCTCATTATCAAGCTATATCAATAAATAAAGAAAGCTATATCAATAAATAAAGAAAGCTATTTCTTTGCTAAAAGAGTTTCCTTCATTATTAATACTGAGGCTTTAAATATAAGACTAATAATCAGAGAAAGATTGGACAATTGAGAGCGATCTGCAAGAATTTTATAAAATAATTCCATTTATCTATTTTGGCAAGTTAAAGGATTATCCAGCTACATAATATGATAGAAAACTATGATTTAAGTTCAAATAAATGAGCAAGAGCAGCAATGATTCCAATAGCATTTGCACACTTTAATAGTTTAGTCTTTGGCCACAAAATTTTGAACTATAATTATTCCAGCAATAAATCAATATGATGAGAGCATTAATAGCATTTCGTACTTATTGAGATGGCAAATTATTTATCTAAAGTCATAATTTCTGATAATTCGAAACTTTTTATTATTGAGAGTAAAGGAAAAATATATGGAACGAAATCGAAAACCAATATGTTTTCAAGGGTGTTGGAGAGTCAAATATATTCTTCATATATTGCCAATTCTCACCAACAGAATATAAAGATAAAAATTTGGATGCCTCTAGATCTTTATAGCAAGTGTAGAGTTGATTCAATTCAAATATCATAGTCAGCTAATATCATTTCTTCCATCTTCAAGCTCTTCTGTGAAAATAGGTCTTTGCTGATCTGGATGTAATCCCTTCATCTTAAATTCTCATATTGTCCATTGAATCAGACTAAGCAATATTAAAGTTAAAGATCTTTTCAGTTAAATTCTTGACAAAAATGTGCATATTCGTCTTATAAATTCTTCTAATTATTTTTCAAAATCATATAATTTGATTATTTTATTATAAATACTGCACTTGCAGCCTCAAGATTTTATTCCAGAATGCTTAATATTTAGTAATTGAAGTGTTCATAACTATAAAAATGAAAATCTCTTATGATTTTAATTTAAAAAATCAAGAAAATGACTGTGTTTATCTAATCAATAGAGATAGAGAGAGAAACTTATTAAAAATATTCGATCCAAAAACTTACTTAGAAGCAGAGCGAACTTTTGATTTGAGTTTTGAAGATTTTTATATTCCTGACTGCCAAAATATATTGATAGATAAAGAAATATTTTGCTTTGGCAACAGAGCATCCTTCATTCTTAATATAGAAACACTAAATACAGTGTTAATAATTAAAGATTGGCTGTGAAATTGTGATCTAGCAGGAATTGCTTATTTAAACAATTGCATCTATCTATTTTTACTAGTTAAGGAGATATCTAGTTATTCTTGCATCACAGAAAAATATGATTTAGCTTCTCATAGATGGACTAAAGTTGCAAATTGTCCACTAGAATCAGCCATGTATTTTTGTTTAACATTTAGGAACAATATTTTGATATATAATCATTCTCCAACAATATTCCAATATGATGAAAATATAAATAGCTATTCAATACTTTTTGAAATGGTTAAAGATTCATCTAAAATTATCGTCTCTGGAAACTCCAAACTTTTTATTATTGAGAGCAAAGGAAGAATATACGAAAGTGATGCTGAAAATCAATATAAATTTATATATATCGGAGATTCGAATATAAATTTTGACTTTATTAAATTATCTTTACTTCCCTATCCATAAGTGAAAAAAAAATGTTGGTTGCAGAGGGGGTTAATTTTTTTCAGCAATAAATTGAATTCTCAATTCGGTAATGCAAAAAATTAATTTAAATTGTAAAATTTATGTTTTAATATGCATAAAAAAAAGAATTAGATAGAGATTGAATTATACTTAGTACCGCTTAATATTAATTTTTTTCCATATAAGAATTTTTTGCTCGCTTACGAAGGGTGAGTTTTATAGAAAAAAAAGTATTTTTCTAATGGCATATTTTGCTCACAGAAGGGGGGAGTTAGCAAATTTTCAAAATGATATATACTTTGGGTTAATCACTCGCAATTATTTTCAAAGAACCTATAGCTATTCATACTATAGATTAGGCCTAAAAGAAAAGAGAGTAGAGAAAATAAATACTAAGATATGAAATTGCTATATAAATTAAAATTCAGTGAAGTTTCATCCCATGAATTGGTTTAAGCTTGAAAATGATTAATAAAATAAGATTTAAAATAATTGCTCTAGTTTGATTCACTAATAATGTGGAAGGACCATTTTATTGTTGCTCTTTTGACGTATTTGAGTAAAGCGAATATGATCTAAATTTTCATTATAGGCATTCTCTTTTATATTAACAAAAAACAAAATATATTCCAGATCTTTAGATATAAAGCACTATTTGATCTATATAAACTGCAAACTGCAAATTAAAGTTTCACTTACTCCCCCTATTTTGAAAAAAAATTAACATTTTATTTTAAAATATTGAATATATTTTTTGAGATTTAATTTAATTTTATGAAAAAAATAATTTATATAATGCTTTACCTATTTAAATAGCATTCTAGTTGTACTTACTCCGCTAAATTAGTTCAAAACTACATATACGAAGAGTTGAATCTTTTATCCTCTAAAGTTTCCAAAATTTTGTTCCAATTAATATACCAAAAAATGGAAATTTTACCGACATTTTATTCCAATTTAAAAAAGGGAGTTAAGAAACGTTGATATTTTTTAATAATTTTTTATTTATAAATGCTACGCTTAATAGCTTCAAGGTTCTCTTCCAGCCTGCTTCTTGTTCCACCTATCCCAAGCACGCCCATCCAAGACCTTCCTAGAGTTAAAGTAGTTTTAAAAAAGGAGCCGTCTGTGGAGATTACAGAACCAAAAGAGATTTGGCTCAGCAAAAAGTTGGCCGATTCCGGAATTTGCTCTAGAGCTCAAGCTGAAAGATTTATTGAAGCTGGTATGATTTCGGCAAACAATAAAATTGCCTGGAAAAACATCAAAATACTTGATAATACTCCTATCAAATTTCACCAGAGAAATGATTATAATACAAATAAGCTCCCTTTATCTGAGCATATCAAAATTTGGACCTTTTATAAGCCAAGGGATGTGAGTTCATATATTGATGGAGACAAGCCAACAGTGTTTCAGTTTTTAAGGAATATTGGATTTCCTAATATTGAATACTACAGCGTTGGAAGGCTTGATTTTCGATCTGAAGGCTTAATGCTATTAACAAATGATAAAGACACAGCAGTTGCTTTAGATGAAGCTGCTTCTGGCTTGAAAAGAGAATATAAAATAAGAGTTTGTGGGAAACTTAGGGATGAAATACTTGAAGCAATAAGAAGGGGTGCTTCTAAAGGCAAAAAATTCAGGCCGATGATTGTAAGAGCTATATAGGTTTGGGCAAATACAAAAAAGACCAAAAATATTTGGCTTAAAGCGATCTTAAAAAGGACTAGAAGTAGGGAATTGAGAAGAGTATTTGAAAACTACAGACTTAGAGTAAATAGGCTTGTCAGGCTATCATATGGACCATATCGATTGGATGGATTGAAGCCTGGAGAGTATCTTGAAACACACCTTGAAAAATCTTTGCATCAAGTAATGTTTTATCACTACAAAGCAATTGCTGAGAAGCAGTAGCTAATTAATATAAACACTGACTCCCCCCCCTTTAAATTGAAACAAAAAATTTTGTTTCAATTTAAAGGGGGGTTAAGAAAATTTTATAAAAAAATTTATATATAAAAATTTTTTTCAGAGATAAAATTTTATAGAAAATAAATTATTCATAAATTTCTCAATCTCAAAGTGTAAACTTGCTGAAATGGTATTCTTCTAACTCTCCCCATAACAATTGGACAAAATAGAGTTTAATTTCTAAATCTTATATGTTTGAAGCATATTAAATAGGGTATTAACGTATTTACATATAAAATAATGATTTTTTACCTATAAAATTTTCTATTATAATAAAATCTTGTTTCAATTTAAAGGGGGGTAATTTCCCAAAAAAGTAGGAATTTTACCTATATTTTGTTTCAATTTAAAGGGGGGGGGAGTGAGTTATATAAATATTTGCCATTTTGAGAAATATCATCGATAATATTCTTATATTATTTTCTTAAATTTTTATGATGCCTCATATAATCGTAACTTGATGTTTTAATTAATAGGATTTTCTTATTGAATAATTCGAAATTAAAATTCAATTAAATATGATAATTTCTCAGAGCTTTTCAAAAGAATACACTATCAGCAAAAAGCCAGTTCCAGAGCCTCTTTCAATCACAAACAAAACCTATACAAATGAACCAAAAATCCATCATTTGCCGACATTCATTTCAAATATCTCATCCATCATTGTTCCTTATGAGAAATTGCGAGTCCCTCCATTAGAATTCCAAAGCAATAAAGCAGATGAGCTCATCCCTATCACACATCCGTTACCCTTATTAATTTCAATGTCCACCTCAACTGTCAGTCTATGTGAAAAAATTTCTGTTCTTCCTTTGCTATTTAGATAAACATTAAAATGGCGATAAGTCTCAGCCTGCTCTCTCAAGACCGTAAACTAAGGTGAAATGGAATGGATTCCAAACCGAGAAGTAAGTGTAGCCTTAGTAACCGTGTATCCGGTAGGCTTTGGCTGTTCTCCTGAGGTTGGAAATGGAGATGCTCACCAATTTCCTTCGACCCTTAAGCATCCTCTACCAATAAGTTGGATCTCAGCCCGGCCTTAGAGGAATATAGTAATTGCCTGAGGATGGCGCAAGATAACGCCATCCTCGGGCAATTACAATAGGCTTTTCCAGTAGCTACCAAAAAAGGCACTCTATTATCCAATAGACTCCAATGAGAATAAAGCTACTCTCAGTTGTCCTCGCTGGGCCGCAGAAATCCATCGGCCGCCTACTCAAGACTGAAACCTCAAGGCAAGGAGGAGAAAGCTGCACCGGCTACAACTAGATCTGCTGTATCAGTCGCAAAGCAAATGAACTTACCGTATGCGAGATCTTTGGTAACTGCGCGACCAATATAGCTAGCACCCATCTTTAATAATTCTAATCCTTTGCAATTTGAATTCTCTCTAAAAATAAGCACAAACTTAGAAGAAAGCAAAGACTTTTTGAGACATCGTGACTGCGATGCACGTTCTTCTTATTCATTTGTCTCAGGAATGGAAACACCGCTGACCACCACAACAATGCAAAGTTTTGAAGATGGATTTGAGCTCGAACCGTCAATAGGGTATATGTGCGACAGATTTCTTGGAGAAGTTGATGACTTTTTCAAGTGCCCAGTGTGCAAGCAAGTCGTGAAAAAGCCAAAAGAATGTTCTACTTGTCAAAATTTGATCTGTAAGTATTGCTCATATTCGCAGGTTAAATGCCCTTATGGCTGTGAGGATTTTATTTTGCATCGCCCTTCTAAGTTTGCCTTGCTAGTTTATCATAGACTTAAACTTAGATGTGCATACTATGAAAGCGGCTGCGATTTTGTGGGAAGAATAAAAGACATGAGAGATCACGAGCTGATATGCTTATATGAAGTTATTAAATGCCAAAGTCCTATCTGCAGTGCCACGTTCATTAAAAAGGAAAAGCACCAAGGCGATGGAGTCCCTTTAGTTTGCAGTGATATGTGTAGGGCCATTGTAGATTTTAAAGAAACATTAGACCATTCATCGAGAGAAGTGATTTTGACTGATTTCTCACATTATTTAGTCAAAATGGCTGATATTCCTGAAGAAGAAATTAATAAAGAGCTTGTTGATGTTTTGGCAGAAAAAGAAAGAAAGCAAGAAGAGGCACAGCTCTTTTTGACGAGAAAGAATAATTTGCTTTCAGAGCTTGAAAGTAGGAGGACGAAAAATCATCCTGGAAAGTGGAATATACCTGCCAAAAAGTGGACTTGCTGTGATAACTCTGATAAATATTCAATCGGGTGTAGAGAGTAGATAGTGCAACTTAGTTAAATTATACTTTTATGTCTAAAAAATTCAAAAGCTTTGGCTCAACCATTAAATCGGTATTCAAAATTAGTTAAGAAAGCTTAGATATGCAATATTCAATTAAAAGCAGTATAAATGGATTTATTTAAAAATTTTTTTGAATATAGATTATGAAAATTAAAATAACTAAATAGAGCCATTTAAATATGAAATTCTTATCCAAAATGCCTTTAAATCTCTTTAATTGTTTTAAGAAATTTATTATCCATGAACTAGAGCACTCAGGCTTTCTCTACTCGTCTGATCAAAAATAAAATCAACTCGTGCATCAGAACTTAATTTAAGAAGCTGGTATGGCTATCTGCCAGATTCAATTTGGGAAAAGCTTGTCAGAAATCTATGAAATAAATTCCACAATATAACTTTATATAATTAATATGGATAAGACTACATTTATCGCTAATAAATTAGGATAAAAACCTCCTTTTCCATGTGAAAGCACGGACAGGAGCTTCATTGAGATCTCCTGGAACATCAGTGCTCTGGCAATGAAGGCAGAATATCTTCTCCCTGCGTTTGAGGAGGAGGAGTTACGTTAATAAGTTGTTGATACAATACATTTAAATCGGTTCTAAATGCTTGAATTAGATGTGCGCATTGCAAGTGAAGTAAAGCTTGGTCGAGTTTTTCTTTGGGAGTAAGCGAGTCATAGTCTCTAGTCTCTTGAGGAATCCCCAGAACCTGCTCTTCCTTCTTCTTCTTTTTCTTTTTCTCGACTTTTATATTACTCACAGAACTAATTATTTTTACATTTGGAGGTTTAATGATGAGAGTTTATATTTCCGATCTAAACAAGAAATTAATGATATAAGATATAAAAATATTTTTGAGCATGGGACCTAATCTGGACCATGGATCTTGTTTGAACATAATCTAAAATCTTTTTTCAGTCCTTACCATAAAGATTGAGAGCTTCCATGAATCGCCTATTTTCTTCTTTCGTCCACCTGCCTTGAGAGCTTGAACAATCAGTGCTTTCTGACATATAATTATTATAAGCAATTATGGATTTAAATGGTTTGCTGTCATTATTCTAGAGTAGGCTTAATTAAATAAAAGCTGGAGACAAATTGTGGGGTTTAATATTTTTTCAATATAATTTTATTATCTTCCTCAATTGACTTTATTTTTCGAGTAATTTAAATTTAGTAAAATTTAATTTTTTATAGTTGAAAATAATAATTTCTACTTAAAAATCTTTAATACATAATTTATCTATCACTTTTTCTATACTATATAGTGGAATGAAGAAAATATAGTCGTCACAAAAATTGATAAATTTTATTAAATTAATTTAATTCTCTTTAAATAAAAGGAGGATTAAGATCTTTATTGTCCTATGGATATTCAATAGGATCAAGCTAGATAAATAGATAAATAGGATAAATAATTATATTGATTATCAAAATAGCAAGTAATTTTATTATAATATTTTTAAAATAGATTATATAATTGCTAAATCCTTGCTTAAGAAAATTAATGTGCAAACTCTTATATGACCAATAAAATATAGCTTTATTTTTTAGCAGTTATAAGCTTTGTGTAGAGTTTTATATACACCTTTAAGTGAGTCTTATCAAAAAACCCACATAATTTTATTTAAATAATTAGTTATAAATTATTAGCAATGATTGTAACTAAATTATAAGAAAATTAATATTTTTAAAGTCTAGTTCTAAAAATTTTATCTAGATTTTTAATTGGAGTCTCTGTATAATTTAAAGCATAATTAAAAAGAAGAGATAAGACAGTTTATGAACTTATCTATAGTTCTCAGTCATCAATGTCTGAAGAGGTTCTACATTTCTTATGATTAATGCTCATGCTTATTGAGCAATTTCGTGAATTCTTTTCATTTAAGGCGTTATGTGTTATATAAAGTATAGATAAGCTCACTGGCAGATAATCTTTTGGGCCTTATTCCTTCGCTAATGCTTCCTTGCATACTCCCCAGCTAGTGTTGCATAGCATCGCGAGGGTCCTGCCAGATGAGGGTTTGCACTCGCGACCAGCATTTAAGAAAGTTTATGTCACCGCGCTGCACATACAGAATTGACCACCAATAAAAGAAATAATTATGAACTTTTTTAAAACTTTTTTTCAATATGGGGAAACATCAAGTTTTATTTAATTTTGTGTATTTTTTAATAGGACAAAAAGTCATGAAAATATTAGATGAGGATTTTTTATGCCACCCAATTTAAAAAGGGGGTGGAGTTGATATAAATATCATCAATAATTTTGCATCTTTAAATTTCTAATAAAAAAATTAATTAATGCTGATATTTCTTTATTCATTTGACTTATAAATTTTTGCCTTTTATATCAATTTAGTAAAAAATTTTCACATTGCTAAATATATAAGAAATATTTGTGCCCAAACTCCTCAGATTGGGTGACCACGATATTTAATTTATATCTCTGAAATCTTTGTGCCCCAAATATCTTTTTTGTTTTAGCTTTCGCTTCAAAGCTTTACTAAGAAAGTATACATTTATAAACTGATAAATGGCTTTTCTTGGTAAAAGATTTTTATCGACGCCATCTAAGCCTCCTCAAATTGCATTTTAGATTGGCTTTTTGCTTCAGAAAAGCAAGGCCCAAGTTCAATTAAACTAGTTGACTCAGTTCCAGCTTTTAAGTCTGAGCTTGCCAAATTTTCTGAAGGAGCAGTTTGACAATGGGGAGATATATCCTTCCATTTATTCAGAAAAGAAGAGGTTCCAAAATATCGAGAATTAATTGCAGAGTGTTTTGCTAACCATTCCACATTTAAAAAATATATTGATTTCACTTATCAAGAGTACATAGATCATGAACTTCCAGAATATGAAGAGCAATGAGACTTTTTAAAATTTAGTGTCGCAGCAAAGATTAATGAAGAGCTAGCAGGGGTTCAATACAGCTCTTCCTGAGGATCTAGAGTTCACGATCCTGTTTACATAAAGCCAAACTCTGAGTCAGTTTGAAAAAAATTTGATAAATTTGATAAGCTTTTATATGGCAGTATCCCTTTTGATTTTAGTTCGCCTGATGAAAAAGGGAGGCAGCCTTTTGGAACTTTAAATCCTAATTCTCTTCTTTATTGGTCAAATGCTGGGGTCCTCCCAAAATTCAAGGGAAAAAGCTTATCTTATGACCTCAAATACTTATGTGCTTCACTTGGCTACTTGCATGGCTTGAAATATGCTATGTCAATAAGCTTTGATGCAAGGTCATCGTTTATCCAAAAAATCGGAGGAGTTTCTTTTAAGCCAACCTACTTCAAGAATTTCGAAATAGATGGAATTCGTCAATATCCTGATGCAGTTGAAGGAGAAGGAGTTGCATGCTGCTTTTTAAGTTTATCTTAATGCTTAATCTTTATATAAATATTAATAAATTAAACGCTGACAATTATTTTATATGAAGAATCTTGAAATGTTTTTGATTATTTAATCATTTTACTAATTTCTTAAATAATCATCGAATAATAAGCCTATTTCATGCTTAGAATATTCAAGCAAACTAATAAGATTTTTTAGCCCTCAAATAAAATTCATGACAGTTCCGTTTCACCCTTTTTTGATTTATGTCTCTCTCACTTAAATCATGGCGATAAAGTAGGATTAACACAATTTGTTGAATTAAAGCGAATATTACAAATTCACTACCCAGAATAAACTCTAGAATAAGTCAAATCTTATGAATTTTTCTTTTATTTTAAATCTTAATAATTATTTAAAATAAGCTCTATTATAACTCTTTCTAGCTGCAGATTTCTGTTTTTGTCAATGCACTAAGCTCTATGCCTTCTCATCATATTTGGGCTTTTAGAGACTTATATGTCTTTAATTTAAATAGGTTACTGAATTAACAGGGGAGATCTGGTTTGGGCTATTTTATTCACAAAAAGCAATCTAACTGTGGCTTTGAAACGCTTATGTGAAATATAAATAGTTCTTTATGTACATTTAAAGTATAAACATTTATTTTTTTCCTTAGATTTTTTTAAAATCTGCTAAAAACTTAGCAAAAATTAAACTAGCTATAAAAAAGTATATTTAATAAATGGCTTTTATTGTTAAAAGATTTTCATCAACATTGCCTAAGACTCCTCAAAATTGCATTTTAGATTGGCTTTTTGCTTCAGAAAAGCAGGGTCCAAGTTCAATTAAGCTAATTGACTCAGTTCCAGCTTTTAAGTCTGAGCTTGCAAAATTCTCTGAAGGAGCAGTTTGGCAATGGGGAGATATATCCTTCCATTTATTCAGAAAAGAAGAGGTTTTGAGCTATCGCGAATTAATTGCAGAATGCTTTACTCACTATTCAGCGTTTCAAAAATATATTGATTTCTCATATGAAGAATGGCGGGACCATGAGCTTCCAGAATATGAAGAACAATCAGATTTTTTAAAATTTAGTGTTGCAGCAAAGATTAATGGAGAATTAGCAGGGGTTCAATTCAGCTCTTCCTGGGGATCTAGAGTCCATGATCCTGTCTACACAAAGCCAAACTCTGAGTCAGTCTGAAAAAAATTTGATAAATTTGATAAGCTCTTATATGGCAGCATCCCTTTTGATTTTAGTTTGCCTGATGAAAAAGGGAGGCAGCCTTTTGGAACTTTAAATCCTAATTCTCTTCTTTATTGGTCAAATGCTGGGGTCCTCCCAAAATTCAAGGGAAAAAGCTTATCTTATGATCTCAAATACTTATGTGCTTCACTTGGCTACTTGCATGGCTTGAAATATGCTATGTCAATAAGCTTTGATGCAAGGTCATCGTTTATCCAAAAAATCGGAGGAGTTTCTTTTAAGCCAACCTACTTCAAGAATTTCGAAATAGATGGAATTCGTCAATATCCTGATGCAGTTGAAGGAGAAGGAGTTGCATGCTGCTTTTTAAGTTTATCTTAATGCTTAATCTTTATTTAGATCTAATAGTTAATAAATCACTGACATTCTCCTCCATCAGTGATCGGACTATCGCCATTGCATGTAAGTGAATTCTTCGAATTTTCTACACAATAAATTTTTTGGTGAATATAAAAATGATGTCAGAGATTTAAACTTTTACAAAAGAGTTAAAATCCCAATATTTTTAATATCAATAAGACATTTTTATGACAACAGCAACATTTATTTAATTATGCTGAACTAATGAGAAATTGAAAATCCTTTATAATTAAAAAGAAGCATAGATTCAAAAGAAATTTAACTTTTAGCAGGGCAATAACCGTATAAGTATGAATAATGTTGATTTAATTTAATTAATAAATGGCATTCCTTCTAAGAAAAGGTTTTTCTACTTCCATCAAAGTTCCAAAAACTTGCAACTTGGATTGGCTTTTTGCCTCAGAAAAACAAAGCCCAAGCTCAATAAAGCTTATTGACTCTGTTCCTGCCTTTAAGTCGGAGCTCACTAAATTTGCTCAAGGGGCAATTTGGCAAAAAAACGATATAACATTTCACATATTTAAAGAAGAAGAGATTCTAAAATATCGTGAAATTATCGCTGAATGCTTTACCCAGCACGCTTCATTTAGAAAATATATTGATTTCACCTTTGATGAATTTATCGAGTATGAACTTCCTGAATACCAAGAACAATCCGATTTCTTGAAGTATAGCGTTGCTGCAAAGGTTGATGGAAAACTAGCAGGAGTTCAATATAGCTCGTCATGGGGCTCAAGACCTGAACACCCAATTTATATGAAACCAAATTCTAAAGATGTATGGAAGAAATTCGATAATTTTGGAACCATTTTGCATGACTGCATTCCTTTTGATTTTCTCCAGCCTGACGAAAAAGGAAGATTGCCTCCAGGAGCTTTAAACCCAAATTCTGTACTCTATTGGTCCAACGCAGGAGTTCTTCCTGCATATAAAGGGAAAAACTTGTCATATGACTTGAAGTTTCTTGGTGCTGCAGTGGCGTACTTGAATGGGCTACAGTATGCAATGTCTGTAAGTTTTGATTCAAGATCTTCCTTTATTAGTAAAATCGGAGGAGTTTCTTTTAAGCCAATTTATTTAAGAGATTTCGAGGTTGATGGAGTTCGTCAGTATCCAACTGCGACAGAAAACGACTATGTCACATGTTGTTTTCTGAATTTATCTTAAGGCTATTATATTAAGATATTTTCTCAAATTCACTTAAAATAATTTTGAAACTACAATTAAAATGTCTGCTGAGGTAGCTTCCAAAAGAAATAATAATTTGCAAATAATGAAAAAGGAATTAACCTCTAATATCTAAAATTAAAATTTATTTAACTCCCCCCCCTCCGTGATGAGTGAACAAAAATATTAGAAAAATCCCTATTTTTTGCCCAAAAACCCCACCCTCCGTGAGTGAACAAAAATTTTTTTAATAGAAAAAATTTTTATGGAAAAAATTTTGATATATAAATGATAATTAGTATAATGAAATCTAGAGCTAATTCTATTTAATTTCAAACGAATTGCTTTTTAAAACTTAAATTTTATAAATTAAATTGATATTTGCTTTCCAATTTTTGCGAATTAGATTTTTTAAAAAAAAAAATTAACCTCACTCACAGAGGGGGGGGGGGAGTAAGAGAATTAAATGGCTAGTGAAGATGATCAAATAGAAAATTACCTTACCTCTATGGGGTGAGGCAAATACCAAACTTGAATCTTTTTTATATCTGGAACATCGCTATTTAATGTAATGATGTGGGCATACACTGTTTCTCTGCTGCTCGTAAAATTAGGTGAAACTTGGGATTTAGGAAATATTGAGTTAGGGGTAATAGGATCTTTATTCGAATTGGGAACTGCCATAGGACCAATTTTATTTGGATATTTAGCTGATAGGTATGGAAGAATGTTCTCTTTCCGTTTGAGTATTGTCATTCTCTGATTCTCAACAATTTTTATGGTGTTTTCATTTAATTTTATTATGCTTTCTATTGTGCTGTTTTTTGTTGGAATTTCAGCTGTATCTGATCAAGGAATATCAGCAACAATTCTCAAAGAATTTATCCCCAGTAAAAATAGCTCTATATTGGCAGTTTTTACTTTGTTTTATCGAGTAGGTGGAGCTTTAATTGCAGTCATAATAATTATTGTTGAATTGATAAATCCGAAAATCATGGCTGATTGAAGAATTATTTCAATTATTATTTTCTTTTGAGTGTCTTTGCAGCTGATTCAAAGGCAATTTATGGATGAAACTCCTAGATATTTATTCACAGCAGGGAAATTAGAAAAAGCTGAAGAAGTTTTGAAAAAGATTTCAATAGCCAACAAAAAATCTATTGACATTCAACTCTCTCGCCCAGAATGTCCTAAAGATGAGATTACAGAAATCAAGCAAAAAAGCACACTAAAAATCCTTTTCATCAAGGAAAATATAAGAAAGACAATGCTCCTAACCATAATTGGAACCATGATTTCATTCGCAAACATTAGCATTATTTTATATCTTCCTACTTTCCTAAAAGAATTTTCATTAACTCTCAGATACACAGTTATATTGATTCAACAGTTTTGAGGAGTTTTAGGAAGCTTTATGGGTAGAAAACTAGTTACAACACGATTTGGAAAAAAATGGACGCTGTCTTTATCATCAATTATACTAGGGTTTTATGTTTTTTTCTTTTTGCTTGTTTATGAAATTTTTAGTGTATCATGCATTTAGGCCATTGCTTTTATTTCTTTATACCAATTTTTATTTCAAATTTCTATAGGTACAATATGAATTATTGTCCCAGAATCATTTTCAACAAATGAAAGAGGTACTTTTATTGGCTGATTTTTACTCTGGCAAAATATGGCAGGATTTGTAGCACCAACTATTATAGGGAGTTGTCTTAGTTTAGGAGGAAATGCAGCAGCACTTTCTGCAATTTCGTTTTCTCATTTAGTGGCAGGTCTTTTTTCTATATTTTTAATAGAAATAAAACTCAAAAAAGGTCCAAATTTAATTTAAATATAGATTTAAATAAAAATATAAATTATTTAATTAATATAGTTGAATTAATAATCGCTTTCATTTTTTGGCTCTTCTTCTGGAAAATCTGGTTCAATCCTTGGCCTAAAACTGCCATAATCTTCTCTATATTCCCTAATTGTATCAAAATCCGAGCTTGGAGAAGTGACAACTCTACTTTGTCCCCACCCTGCTGGAGCAAATGGAAATCCTGGAGTATGTCTTAAGTCCCATTCCAAATTTGAGTCTTCTCTTTCGATTTTACTTTCCTCTATTGCAATTTCTGGAGGGGTTGTAATTTCTGGCTCTGCTCTTTGGTTCATCTCCATCCCAGCTTCGCCAATTTTGAAGCCAAAATCTATTTTATCTCATTTTATTACTTTTTCAAAGGTCAGCAATTTTTCATCGAAATTGGTTTTCATTATTTTTTGCAAAGACTCAATTTTTGACATTGACCCAGTTAATGAGACATTTTCTAAATTTATAGATATTTTGCTGTCAATTTTTCATTGATGTTCGACTAATGGCTGAGAATGAAAAGGAATTGCAATGCTTAATTCTGCTGAGCTAAGCTTAGCAATTTTTTTGGTTTTATCCTTCAATTTTGTAAAAGCTTTGACTCCATGAATTTTGATGCTTACTGTATCACAATAAACAAATGATGAAGGGTTATAAGAATCTTGAATGGGATATTTGTTCTCAATTAACTCTACGTCACTTGTAATACTTTTAGGAGTTTTAAACTTTGCATCGCCTTCTCCTGTTAGAACTCTCACTTCTTGAAACACTGCTATTGCCATATCATTTCCGCTGGAATCCGTTGGAATAGAAACTGTTCCATTTGTTGCTATAACTCTCACTATGTAATTCTTTGATGGAGGTTTTGCAATTTTTCTTGCACTTTTTTCGAAATCCTTACTCTTCCCCCCTCAGTGAGTGAACAAAACCATTGGAAAAATGCCTATTTTTTGCCCAAAAACCCACCCTCCTTGAGTGAACAAAAATTGTTTTAGTAGAAAAAATTTGATATATAAATGATAATTATTATAATGAAATCTCGAGCTAATTTTTTTTTTATTTTAAAAAATTAATTTTATAAATTAAATAAATATTTGCTTCCCAATTTTTGCAAATTAGGATTTTTTTTAAAATTTTTGAGAGAAAACATTTTTTTCTATAAAATTTATATATAAATTTTTTAAAAAAAAAAATTAACAATGATTGAACAAAATTTTTTTGTTCACTCACGGAGGGGGGAGGAGTTAATAGATTTTATAAATTGAATTAGTTCTTCAACGAATCTGTTAACCATTATGAGCTTACTCCCCCCCTCCCTCCGTGAGTGAACAAAAAAATTTTGTCCACTCACGGAGGGGGGGTTAATTTTTTTCTTTAAAAAAACTTATATATGAATTTTATAAAAAAAATCTTTCAAAAATTTTAAAAAAATTATAATTCGCAAAAATTGGGAAGCAAATATATATTTAATTTATAAAATTTATGTTTTAAAACGCAATTTGTTTAAAATTAAAGAATTAGCTCTAGATTTCATTATACTGATTATTACTTATATCTCAATTTTTTTTTCATAAAAAATTTTTTATATTAAAAGCATTTTTGTTCACTCACGGAGGGTGGTGGGTTTTTGGGCAAAAAATAGGGATTTTTCTAATGATTTTGTTCACTTACGGAGGGGTGAGAGTTAGCATCCTTTATTAGGATTAATATTTGCTTTTCTTCTTTATTGATGTTAATCAGAGTTGAATAATCTTTACTCTGATCAACAAGCTGGAAATAAAGACATTTGACAGGCAAAATTTCAATTTTTTTCAAAAATAAATGAATATTTTTGGAGGAGGCTTCATATTCATAAATGTTTTCTTTTAAAGGCGAGATATCGATTGTGTTTTTAGTAAGAGAGTCTATATATTTAATGAGAATTTCTTTTGGTGTGTTTTGATGCAAATATAAATTATGAAATTTTAAAACCCCTATAAGCGTCGAATTGTTTTTAATTTGAATAAGAGCAGTGGCTACTTTTATAATGAGCTGCAGGCGATCTGAATTTTTTGATTTTTTTTTTATTTCTTTAACAAGAATGTTTCGACTAAAATTTTCTTGTTTACTATTGAAGATTTTCATTGTGGTTTCTATATTAGCCGTGTGCACGATTTGAATAAAATTTTTGACAATAGAGCTTTCAATGATAATGCCGGTATCCAAAATTGAAACGAAGACCTCATTGAAATCTTCAAAGCTTCCTTGAATCTTTATTTTACCATTAACTGTTGGGACAATTTTTTCATTGCTGCATATACTTGGGCAAGCTAATATTAATACTGGAGGCTCATCTAGCGTAAATACTTGAAAAGACCTTATTTCAGATATGAGCTTGCAGCGTTCGGATGAGCTACTAATTATTAGTTCTCCTCCATTTTCCCTAGCTTTTGTATCTTTAATGTTTTGAATATTGATTGCTATTTCATTTAGTTTGCAGTTTAGACATCCCAAAACATTTATAGCTGAAGAGCTTATTATCAATGCAACTTCATGGTGAAAAGTTATTGAATTTTCTCTATTTTTTTCTAACTCCCCCCTTTAAATTGGAACAAAATATAGGTAAAATTTTCGTTTTTTTGGAAAATTAGCCCCCCTTTAAATTGGAAAAATTCAATTTTATAATAAAAATTTTTATAGATAAAAATCATAAGTTTTATGTTAAGGTTTTGATATAAATTAAATGTTTCTTCTTAACTAAAATTAAAAATTTAGTTATATATTGCTCTTTTTAAAGAAGAGAGCATAAAGAGCATCTTATTTAAATAAATTTATTATCCTTAATTGCTAAATTTGTAAAAAATTTTAATTTCAAAAATTTTTATTATTTTAGATAAAATAATATTTTTTATTTAAATAATTTTGATATAAATTCAATGTGAATTCTTTAAAAAAAATTGGAAATTTACTTTATTTATAGAGTAGAGTATAAATAGCACCTTATTTAAACAAAATTAGCACTCTGATCGATAAATTTTCTAAATTTTTTTTTAATTTTTTTTTTACAATAAAAATAATAATTTTTGTGTAAACAGTTTTGATACCAGTTAATAGTAGTGTATTAACTAATAATAAAAATTTAGTTATATCTTGCTTTTTTTTTTTAAGGATAAAGTGTAAATAGCATTTTATTAAACAAATTTATAAATCTAATTTGATAAATTTTTGAAAATTTTTTTTTTATAAAAATTTTAGACTGATTGTTTTTAGAAAAAAATTTTCTTAATTCCCCTTTAAATTGGAACAAAATTTTTTGTTCCAATTTGAAGGTGGGAGTAAGGTGGACTGCAAAAAGTCTGGGATTGATTTTGTGGGTGATTTATTGAGTTTTATATTTTTCAAGCTAAATTCAAGGGGAAATTCGTTGAAGCTAATGAGAAGGTTCATTTCTTTTAGATTAAGTTTAAATCTGGCATTTTTCGACTTATATTTGATAGCTGTTGGCATATTTTTAAGTGAAAATGAGTTTGCGATATTAAAGGACTGCTCTATCATTCCCAAAGCCTCCAATAAAGGAGAAGAACAGTTTTCTAAAATGATGTGCAAGCGGATAGAATCAATAAAAATTTTAGCATAGACTTCGTTATCCAAAATAAAATAAGCACTTTGTTTCCTTCCATACTTAGATAAATGAGACCCAGATTTAGCAAGATGACTAGGAAATTTTTGCAAGGATTGTCTTTCTGGTGGAAGTTGCTCTTTCTTGTCTCATGCTGTTTCAATAAAGATATCTGTATTACTCAATTCTTTCATCTTAAACAGTTGATACAATGGAACAGAATCGTCAGAAGATTGGGTTGAAAAAAATTGAGAATAAAATGGCAAAAAAGGAAGTAAATAGTGAGGAATGCAAGGGGAAACGCTTAAATGTCCAGTCCCTGGAGAAATTAATAATTGCTCTCCATGATTATTACTCCCATAAATGTCAGAAATAAAACAATTGACCCTTTTTGTGAAGAGCTTTTCTTTAATAACTACTACAGCTTGCTCTAATTTAATTTGAAAGTTTGGCTCGTTTTTTGTTTCTATTTCAATTTTTACTGCATTTTTGGTTTCAATTCCTAGAGAGATTGTTATAATTTTGTTTAATTTTATGTGCTTTATCAAGCAATGGCGACATCTCTGTTTATTTGAATAATAATGGTCAGTTTGATATTTCATCAACAGCCTTGTCGCCATTTTTTTATCCAAATCAAATAATTTCTTCCTATAGTCTTCAATTTTGTTTGCAAAGACTTCTTTATAGTCTGATATCTCTTGCAGCGGAGAATCAACTTCAATGCTTAAAATATAAGAGAGAAGCGGAGGGATTTCTGGCTTATATAAGAATTCAATGAATGGGATTTTTACATCAATAAAAGTGACTGGCATAATAGGATGTGATTTTGCAGCACATTCTTTTAATTCGACCTTAAAACTTGTATTCAAAATTACTGATTGATTAATGCTCACAATAATTTCTGAAATTTCTATTGATAGTTCACCATATAATGCAGGATCTATATATCGATTATCAGTTGTAAATTGCCTTTGCTCATAAACTGTAGGCGGAATAGTACCTATTTCTTGCCTTTTTGCTTTATGAATAATTGTATTTAATAGCGCAACATTTGCTATAGGCTCTGATTTATATGATTTAAAATTTTTAGCTTCAAATAAGCAAATCGTAATATTTGAAAAATGAGCCATTATCTCTAAATTGCTTTTTCCTTCCAAAACTCGGTATGTGTCAGCTAATAGAGTATTAGGGTTTCTTTCCCAATTTTTTAGAATATCATATACAAAAGATACATCTTGAGGGATTGATTCTAAGGTCTTAAGAAAAGTAGATTGAAAAATAGGCTTTTTTATCATTTCAGGAGGGCTTGGGAGCTTAATTCAAGAGAGAAAAGAAGAAAGTCCATAGTTTGATAGTAAAATTGTCAGTGGATATAAAGCAACATCAATTATGCCATTGCTAATGCTTTCTTTAAGATCAGTTTTTTTTCTCGAAATATCAAGAGTTAAGCTAAAATTAGGATTTTCTGATCTTATATAGGAAATAGGCAAATATCTAAAGAAATAGCGGATGCAGTTTCTCAGATAAAATGGTAGAATCTCATTTAAAAAAAAATTCTCAATTGAATTAACGATGACTTTAAGCTTTTCAATATCAGTTGATTTATTAAACGTAGCCTTAAGCTCAGGAGAAATATGAATACTGTTAGGTCTAGCTATAAACCTTTCAATCATTGCTTTAGCTGATCTCCAATGTGACCCACATACACAAACAATTTTATCATTTTCGACTTCTCTCATATGAGCCATTATTTCAAATTCTTCAAGTAGCCCAACATCTCTCATAAAATGCCTGAGACACCATGTTGGGTACTTATTCATTTTGCCTTGCTCAAATATGACATCATCAAGTCAACTTTTATAAAAATAAATATCACATACTGGCTTAGTATCTCTTTGCTTGTATTTTATGTTTTCTGGCTTTAAATTATATGCAAATGACATAGGATCAATTATTTGTATGTTTTCAATCATAATTGGAGTAGTAGTTTTGATATTATCAGATCCAATTTTTATTTCTCCTGTTAGATTTTGCAATAAGAATATAAAGATTGTCTGCTCTTTTACAATATTTGGTTCATATGGATCATCAGATTGATTTTTATAACCTACAGCCCCAATGCTGTACATTTCTTCACCATATTCTATGGCGGTGTCTCTCATTTTTATAAGGGGCATCAATCTTATCCTTGGAGGTCCCATTCTTTTGAAGCCTTCGATTTTAAAAATGTCTTTTTCATCGTCATCGCTCCCAACCGTGGTGCCGTAATCGGTTAGCAGTCTCTGAGTAGATTTAGAGCTTTTTTGTTTTTGTTTCTCGAGGCGAACTGGGTTGCATTTAAAACAAGAGCAGTTTTCTTTTGAAATTATAGCAAACGCTGGCAATGAAGAGCACTTCAACCTTTGCAAATAAAAAATGACCCTGTCTATATTTCATGAAATATAAAGGTTATGCTTGGTCTCAGTATCACTCTCTGGCTTCGCTGCAGTTTGCGTAGATTCTTCATTATCTTCGCCACGATTTTTATTATGATGCTCAATCAAGTGAGAATGCCATTCTTTAAAATAATTTTTAATTTCTTCATTCTTTTGGGTTTCTTCTCTGACTTCATCTAAAGTCTTATTTTCTTTTGAACTTTCTGCAAAACTGTAAGGATACATTTCGCATGCTTCTAGTCTTATATCCTTGAGAGCTTTGGCTCTTAAAACTATTAGCTCATCATACGAAAACAATTCTTCAATTTCTCTTATTTTTTCCTCTTCGTCTGCTTTGAGTGGCTGCAGCCATGGTGCGTGGACAATTTTTTGCTTTCTTTTGTAAAGCTCCAAGTATTGATTTTTCTTTCTCTGCGAAAAATAAATGTTCATGATGTTGACTCTTCTGTCAAATTTTGCTGATTTTACAATAAATTGCCATCATTTGTCTTTTTCTATTTTAATTGATTCAGTTGGCTTGAATGAATAGTATTTCATAAAAGGGCCTCGAGAATTTAATAGGTAAATTAGTCCTTCAATAAAATATCTTTGGTATTCATTTAGTGCTATTTCAATGCTATTTTTTACTGTTATTGAAATTTTGTGTGCAATTGCGTTTAGCCCGTCGCTGGCATTTAGGGTAAGTTTTATATTTATGTCACAAGGTTTTAGTAAAAAATTTCTTTCACTTATTCCTTTTATAAAATGGGACAAAATACCGAAATTAACCTCTTTTAAATTAGCTAAAATATTTAAAGGTGTAAATAATAACTTCTATCTAATATCAATTTAATATCATAATTGATTAAATCTTAACTGGAATTATAAATAATATAGATGATAATAAAATTCAATAATGCATCTCAAAAAATTTTTTAAATTAAAAATGGGGGAGTTACTTTCATTTCATCATATATCGACTCCAAATCACTATCTTTTTCGAAATTAATTGGATCACACATCATCGAGATTGAAAATTCCTTTATTTCTGCTGTTAAATCAAACCCATCAGAATCAAATTCGTTAGATTTTACTATTTCAATATTATTCACTAATATCATCACTAAGCAAGGATATCCCAAAATTTGCAGAGCTTCTGTATCTTGGTAATATATCCCTAAATGATTGAGAGAAATAAATAATGGCATTGCTGAAGACAGGATCTGGCACACTTCCTATGGAGCAGGTAGTAGGAGCCATCTCCTGTTCTTAATTGTAGGACTATTAAGTTTAGATATGCTACCAAAAATTGCTATTTCATTTATTCTGAAGTTTTCCTAGACTAGGCTATAGCATTTCCTATCATATTAGTTTTTTTTTATTATCAGAGCTATGAGCACTTTCCAGGGTGCGAATTTATTATTGGATGGTAACTTAACCGAAAATCCAAAAAGAATCGGCTTCCATGGTAGATTACCTTTTAGAGCAATAGCAAGCGACCAGCTTCGCATATAGCAGAAACTTAATCTGAAATGATTGATTTTTATTTTCACTTGTTTAAGTGCAGGAATAAATCATTTTGAAATATTTTTTGACAGCCAACTTTGGCTACTGTATACTGAACTTTGCTTTTCTTCTCAGTTACTTAGCCGTTGCAGCTTAAATTCTTGGGCTTGCTGACGAGTTCAGCTACGGATTGGACTTGGGTTTAAGACCAAGCGGAGCTTTTCTATAACAAGTTTAATTTTCGGATCTCGAGTGATAGTAAGAATTATTTGCTTTACAAGAGAAGTGCTATGGACAGCAATTGGAAGATATAAATCATCTAATGCAGTGTGACGAATCTTAACATCTTCAAGTCTGATTTCCAAACGTGATAAGCTGCTACTTTCTTTAATTTGGCCTCCATGTATATATTTCGATAGCTTTTCCTTAATTTTTTCATAGGCGTATTCAAGAAGCTTGAACATTTTAATTTAATAATGCTGTAGATATTGCATAAAGCTAAATGAAATTATCAAAATGATAGACAAAATTGTTGTATTTACATAAAACATAATTTTTTAGATGGATCAAGCAGTAAAATAATTTTAGAAACGATTTTTATAAGTTGAGCAATGAAAGAATTTATTTGATCTCTTAAGATATTACAAAAAAAATTAACAGATTCCAGTTTTAAATAAAATTTTCAACTAAACTCAATCATCATCAATGAATGAAAATTAAACTTAATAAGTCTCTCCTTCGTTAGGTTGGGCAAGCCTCTTATTAGCACCTGAATTCATGTCTTTTCTAAGTTCTACTAAGATGGTCTCCATTGTATACTGTGAAGTCCAATTTCCAAGAATTCTAAAGTTGGATGGGTCAACAATTCCATTATGAGGGTTTACGCTGCTCATATTGATTTTGGTTATAAACTGCACCTGTGGAGCTTCTTGAGGATAATTCGGGCCGCAGTGAAATCTGACTTGATACATGCGGTTTTCATGCACACCACCTGGTGGGCCAATTATCATTCCTGTCCAGCTGCTCAAAGTAATGTCGTCACCTCTGTCAAGGCCATAGCTCACATTAGGATCGCCCAAGCCATGCTCACCTTTTTCAAGCTCATCAAGAAGTCTGAAATTTCTTGGAACTAAATATTAAGTACCTGCTGACTGCATTTTATGAATTATATCAAATCATAATATTATGATGCAGGAATTTTAATTTTTAAGTGATTATCATCAAATCAAAGAAAATACAATAAGGCATGCAGCATAAACTTAAGTAATGTATCTATAAAGATTAATAAGAAATATCAATTATGTTCTTAAGCAAATGTGTGCTTCGTGATCAGCATTCAGTCCTTTTTTGCAATCAAAACAAAAATATTTGGCTCCTCTGCATGCTACTGAATTGCATACCATAAATTTGCATCCTGTAACTCTTTCAATTGGCTGTCTGCATCATGGGCAATTAACCCAATTATTTTGATTCATCAGTTCATTGAACTTTATATCGGCTTGGTCATTTTCAGCTTTTCATTTAGCATAAGCTTCACAAGTATTCCCTTTGTGAGGCTTATCTCTACACTTTGGACATGATTCATGATTGCAGTGCTCGCATTTATATTCTTCTAAGTTGCTCGGCAATAGAATCATATTTTCACATCCAGCTCCTGGGCATTGAAAGTAGATTTCCTTAGCATCTTCTCCAGTAGGCTGCCATCCAGTAATTGAAAATTTTAAATATTTTTGAAAAGTTGCATCATCTACCAAATATTTGATAATGTTTACGTCAATAGGCATATTGCAATCATTTGGGCATTTTAAATTTTTGTCGTCGATTTTTCTTTCATCTATATTTGCTTTAAGATGCGCTGATAAGCAAGTATTACAAAATCTATGATCGCATTCTAGTGTTATGCCATCTTTGACTTGATAATTTTCTAAACATATAAGGCACTGGAAATTTAATTTTTTATCTCGTTCTTCATATAATAATTTATTGAAATATTCGCGCCCACCATATGCAGCAAAAATTAAATTTTCTGGGATTTTCTGGAAGCATGAAGGGCAGACGCTTAATTCTTTTCAGTCCAAAATATTTCTGAGTGTCATATCTTCAATTAAAGCTTTTAAGCATTGATTATTGCAAAATACATGCGACTCAGCACATGGCAATCGAATTGCATTTCCTAACTCAGAAACATGGATTAGTTTTTTACATTTTTGGCAAGCATAATAGCGAATTGTGACAGATACGTTTACCTCAAGGTTCGTATATTTCAGCAGCTGGCTAAAAGGTTCGAGGACATTTCTGAGGTGCTCTTTATTATTTTTCCCAGATGATATATATTTTGACAAAGAATCCAAAGTCCTTTGCATCTCGATTTCCATTTGATTTAACCCTTGCTCATCCATATTTTATAGAAAGTAATTAATTTAAATCATGATTCTATTATGATTACCTTGGAAAAGGCAGCACAAACTCATACAAGAATCTGAGTAAATTTTTTTATTATTTAATTTCTTAATAATTTTAAAAAGCACTTCTCATTAAGGTTATTTATTAAAGCCCAGGTGATCATTGCTATAGATTACTATGAATTATTTTGTTAAGGTGTTTTATCTTTGACAAACATTTATCTTTGGCATATCTTTTGTCTCCTTAATAAAGCAGCCACTAAGCCCAGCAGCTGCTAAACTTGCTGAAAACAAAATGACTGCTGGCACATCATTGCTCGTAAATTCCAACAATATTCCTGCCAATATTGGTGAAATCATGGAAGCCAATCGATTAGCGCAATTACAAATCCCAACTGCAGAACTCCTAACTTCAGCTGGAAATGCTTCAGGTGTTATTGCATATTGCACAGAGTACGCAATAAGCGTTAATAAATAAAAAATAACAGAGCAGACCATTAGCTAAATAGAGGTTACAATATCATATGAACTAGTTAAAAATCCAAAAATGAATGCGCTTCCCAGTAATAAAGTAATTGCTTGTGTCCATTTTCTCCCTAGTGATGATTTAACCAAATAAGTAGCTAAAATTACAGCTGGAATCCCGGAGAGCTGCTGTAAAAACATAGTCATATATAAGCTTTGGTTATCTGTGTCTCCAGCTCCTGCGCGTCTCATTATTTCAGGCAAATAGCTGCCAAAGCCTGTAAAAGTAAAAGCTGTGAAAAATCATATCTATATAAGAATCACCATAATATAGAAAACCAAGCTTCTTCTCAACGGAGGAGAAAGCAATAATTTAATTTGACCTCTAATATCGAGATGCTCAGGCATATTTTCCTGCTGAACTTCGATTGAATTCAGTGGAATATTGACCCCTTCTTCTCCATTGTATTTTAGCATCTCTGAGATCACCCATTCAGCTTCTGAAATTTTTCCTTTGGATATTAAATAGTGAGGTGTTTCATTAATACTAAATCTAAAAATTGCAGAGACCAAGGTAATAAACACAATAGTGACCAGAAGAAACCTTCACATTTCTGGAAGACCAATGCCTAAGTAAAGCCATGCGCACCCACATACTAATATAGAGCCAAAAACGCACACAATACTCATGCCTGTCAGCATATGTCTTGATTTATTTGGGCAATATTCTATAAATACCGCTCCATCCACAGCCAGATTTCCTCCTAATCCTAGTCCAGCTCCAAAAAAGCAAACTGCCATCATTCATACATTCATTGACGCACATCCAATTGCTCCTGAAATCACAGAAATGATTAGTGTCCTTTTAAAAGGCAGCATTCTCCCTCGTCTATCAGAAATAGTTCCCCAAGCGTAGCTCCCTACAAATACCCCTAGCATTAGACCAAAAGGTAACGCACTCCTCTGGTAAACAGGGACACCCCATTCTTCACCAATTTCATTCATGAAAATTGCATTGCCAGTTATTCACATCATATCTGCTGCTCATCCCATCCCACATAGGAAAAACAGTTTCCACTGGAGTTTGCCAAATTTGACGTTCTCAATTTTTTCTTCGAGTTGGTTTATCAATGCATAGTTCATTATTTATTTTTTAATTTTTAATAATTTCTCTTATTTAAAGGGAAGCATCAAGTGCGTCCAAGAATATGTCAGCGTGAGCCTTTCCGAAAATTAGAGAAGGTCTTAGCTGAATGACGTTATCTTTCGCAACTCCTACGTGAACACCCTTTTCTAGTAATTTTTTGCATAATCCCCAGGCTGAGGCTTTGTCTGGCATGTCAAAAGCAATGTGCAAGCCTAGTCCTCTAACATTTGCGAGTTTGTCTCTTTTAGTTTGAATTGCGGTGAGACCGCTTAATAAATATTCGCCAGTAGAGCTGGCGCTATCGACTAAGTTTTCACAAGAAATAACATTCATTACGCCTTGCAATTGGGCAAGACGCAGAGGGTCTCCACACCAAGTTCCCATCATCATAAAAGCATGAGGTGGCCTGAATTCTGGCTTAGCAAAATACCCTGAAACTTGAGCTTTTTTAGAGAATACTAAAATATCTGGCTGAATTCCCCAATGCTGGTGGGCCCAGAACTTTCCTGTAATCCCAACTCCAGAATAGGTCTCATCTACAATGACAGCAGCTTTGAATTCCTTCGCAATTGATTGGAGCTGTTGATAGTATTGAGGACTTGCGTAATATGTCCCTTCGTTTTGAATCGGCTCTATCAAAAGTCCTACTATAGGAACTTTGCTTGTTTGGAAGATTTTCCTTGTTGCTTCTAAAGCTTGTGATTCTTGAGCTTTGTTTTCTGAATAGGAAGTTATTGGATATTTTTCTTTTGGAAAAGGCGCTCTTGGCCATTTAAAGCTTGGGAAATCTACTTTATCAATTCCAGAAGATGAAGAGACAGAAAGAAGGCCAATACTTCTGCCATGATAAGCTCCTTCAAGGCTCAAAAATGCGTAATCAGGGATCCCTGGTGGTTTTCCTTCTATTGTTGTTTTTATTTGTTCAGGGGTAAAGTCAACTCCGTATTGATTTTTATAATACCAAATAGATGCTGCTTTCATTGCGTTTTCTGTAGCTCCGATTCCGCACCCACAAGACATGAAAATTTCGCTTAAGCTTTCAGGACCCAGAGGAAGCAAAGTGTTTTTGAGTTTTAAAGCCCAGTCGCTAGAAGGATTGACTGCACAAGCTGATCTATGAATTAAATGAGGACGAATATTCGCTTGCTCAAGGAATGATAAAAAGAGAGGGTGATTGTAGCCTATTGGGAGTGAAGCATTCAGAGCATAAGCATCAAGAAGGGTGTTTCCATCTGCATCAACTACATAATTCCCTATACTTTTTTGATAATCGGCAAAGAATCTTACAGTCCTGAAATCCTGAGTTAGTCCTTCATATTCGTTTAGCAAAGCCAAGCTTTCTGGTCCTGGTACTGCAGTTTTCACAATTGGTCCTTTTGGCTCATATTTCACAAACTGAGGCGAAGGCCTTACTGCTTTTATAAGAGAAGCCAACATTTTAATTTAAATCAATGATCTATTAATATCTAGTAACTGGAAAAGAGTTGATAATCCTATCGATTTCTTTTTTAAACCCTGTTAAATCTTGCTTCCATACAGTCAACCTAGTTATATCTGATCGGAAATCAGCTTCCCGTGCATTTGTGAGCTCTTTATGCAGATCTTCTTGTAAGCCTTTTTCAATAGTCTCTATAGATCATCTTGATTTAGTCAAATCTTTATCAAAATCAAGGAGGTAAGGGACCGAAGCCCTTCTTTTTAAGTTGCTCAGCTTGGATTCTAGAGTTTTAAGATTTTGGTAGTTTTTTGTGATCGGTGTTTCTAGAGAATTGGCCATGAAATTTTGAATTTTTGGAGAGAGCTTCGACCCAACTAAGATTGGCGAGGAGTCTGGAGTTTTTGGAATTTTACTGCGAATCGGATAATCGCGATTTAACGGAATTTTATTAAGCGGAGATAGAGGCTGCGATCTGCACCCACGTGATGTTCATAAAGACGTATGCTTGTGGTTAAAGACTCGGCTTTTTACAGGGCAGTTATTTGTTTTTTGGATTTTACTGAGCTCTTTCAAAATGAGCTCTCGAGTTTTCTTTTCTTTTCTGGGAACAGTTTCTTCAGCAGAAATAGTATTCAAAAATGGATTCAAAGTTTTAGTAGAGCTGAAAGACTGAAATTTATGTGTTTGCGGAGAATTATCTAATATAAGTTTTGAGGATGGCGGTTGGAAAGATGTCATTGTTTGGAAACTAAAAAATTCGTTTAGTGATTGCGTTCTTCTCGATTTAGGCTTCATTTTAATATCAAGTTGAATCTAATCAGATTACTGCGTTTTTTTTATTATGAGTAATGTCAATATGATTAAAAATAGAAACATTAAAATACTTGCTTGGCTGATGCAAAATAAGGTATAGGAAATACATGCTTATCATGAAATAATAAATTAGACTGGTACTCGTCTATGATCAGAGCTGTATCTTTAAATATTTGCCTTTAATTTTGCTAATCTTTTAATTAATATAGCCTTTACTTTTTATAGCCTTCGATAAAGAATAATCTGCCTTTCTATATCTGATTCTGGCATGCTTATCCGATTTGAAGAGTAAGCAGTACCAGATATCGGAGATTATTCTTTACAACAACCTATAAAGAGAAATTATTATATCAAACTGGGTAATGATGCATACACTATATAATTATCTTTCTTTAAATCTCTATTCTCATTTTTTCTAATAAATCTCTATTCATTTTGGATAATAATGGAAAGGTACCAAGACTTTTTGGCGGAAAGCCCTTCGGTTTTATATATTAGATATTTACGTAATATAGTCCAGTGCCTGCTTTAAACTACCCGGCTATATAAGAATGTCACCCAAACTGTTGAAGTTGACTCGAGAGAAAAACAGTCTCCAAGTGGTCATATAACTTTCACTTGTTAGCTGGTGGGGTTGACTTGGCAATTATTTTGCCTTAGCAAACTCCTCATATTGGGTGAGCATCCCATAGCCAGGGAAATCTAAAGCAAGTCCTGGCTATAACAAAATCCTTGTAGGCACAATTTCTTATCTTTCAACCTCTGAAACTATAAAAAAAGAGAACGAATGAACTTTGTATCAGCTAAACCCTGTCTGACCACTTCATGGGCCTGAGCGTGAGCCTGTTTTAATGAGATTTGATACTTTGATTGAAGCTGAAATCGAAGAATTCAAAAAAACAATAGAATTGATGAAGTATCACGGAATCGAAAACGTTCGGGGAAGTATTTTTACCGAAGTTCAGTTGTCAGACAATGATATCACATTTTTAAATGCATTTATGATTTACACCCAATGTCCAGGACTTCTATTTACACGTCCCTATCATGAAAACATTCCACTTTATATAGAAAATGCTATATATCCATATGTTGATTATGCAGTTTTATATGAAAATGTAAGAGATTGAAATGAAGTCTATTGTGTCTATGTGCTGACTATAGAGCACGGGTATTATTATGTTGGATACTGCAAATATGTCAACATCGAATATAGAATTGATCAGCATAAAAAGGGACAAGGGCAAGGAGCTTCCTGAACTAAAGGGCACAACATAAAATGCTATAGTGTTTTTGGGCCTTATACAGACAAACGCTTAGCTATTATGGAAGAGTTAAAGATCTCACTAATTATGTTTGGGGTTCACGATTCAACAGAAATTGTTGTAAGAGGGGGGCCATATGTAGAGAGAGATCTTGATGAAGAAGAAGTTTTGAACATTAGAAGACTAATTGCAGATTTAAATGATGCTTGCTTTATCTGCTACAGAAAAGGTCATTTTGCAAGAAATTGCAATGAAGTCGTTGATAAATATGATAAAGAAATAGTCAGAACTTAATAAAATAAAAATTTAAATCCGCGTAATATTTAATTTTAAAGCCTTATATACCTTCTATTATTTTTTGAGCATCTATATATTGGCCATCTGAAATTGCACGGAAATTCAAATTCCTTGAGCTTCTTTCTAAATCAGTATCACTAAGTTTGCCATATAGCTTCTCATTTACAATCCTTTCACTCCAAATCTTCCCTTTTCTTGCGATTTCAGGAACGTCTGGAATATACATGCTGATTAAGAATTTCAAAATAAATAGTGCATGCTCAATAATGATGAACAAAACCCACTTATCTTCATTTGAAGATAAATCAAACACATTAGAAGTAAAAATGACTATGCCTGTGTTTGTGGCTGCCCCTACAACTGCCATGATTTGAATGATAGTCATCCAGACTCCGATTGAGTTGTCTTGAGCTGGAAATGGCCTTTTAGTTAGATGGCATAATTTCCATGCGTCAACTCTTAACTCCAAAGCACTTAAGCATAATACGATTAATGGAGTAAACGAAAAAGCCACACTGAATAGCACAACATATCCATAGCCTATGACCATCTCCATATAGTCGTCTAATGGAGTTTCATATGAGGATAAAGTTAATTCGTGATCTTCTTTAGACACCAGAGCTCCATCGCTATTTTTCTTACTCCCCCCCTCCGTGAGTGAACAAAACCATTAGAAAAATCGGCATTTTTTGCCCAAAAACCCACCCTCCGTGAGTGAACAAAAATTTTTTTATAATACAAAAATTTTTTATGGAAAAAAAAATTTGATATATAAATGATAATTATTATAATGAAATCTAGAGCTAATTCTATTTAATTTTAAACGAATTGCATTTTAAAACATAAATTTTATAAATTAAATTAATATTTGCTTTCCAATTTTTGCGAATTAGGATTTTTTTAAATTTCGAAAAAAATATTTTTTATAAAAATTTATATATAAATTTTTTTAAAAAAAAAAAATTAACCCCCCTCCGTGAGTGAACAAAATTTTTTTTGTTCACTCAAGGAGGAGGGGGGGAGTTATGCTTATACATTTTCCACTTGCCTTTCAAATAAGGTAAGCCCAGCTCAATCAGGTTCAAGAATAAGTTGATAAAATATATAGCACCTAGCTGGACAGATAGCTCATACATGCAATCCCCGTCTGCGCATCCTTCCCATCTTCCTTTAATAAATGCAATATACATCAAAGAAATATAGCTGTTCACAAATTGGAAAGAAAAGAGCTTGATTGTCAAAGCATCCATATACTGCGAACGAGTTTCGTAGTTTTCCCAATCAGTTAATTTTTTTGCGACTTTTCTATATATCTATATAAAGCTTACAAAATTCATAATTTTGATCTGTATAGCGTTTGCGTAGCCTAAAAATCTCAATCCCCATCCTTGCTTATCTTTTAGTGTAGATCTATAAAAGAAAAGGCCGACGATGCAAACTACAACAAGAGACACGAAAAACATCATCACACTATATCCAATCCATACTTTTCCATGATGCTGAACTTGATTTAAATCAACTTTTTTCCTTTTCCCTGTAACTGGATCTTTAGTGTAAGCTCCTTTAAAATCTGGCATTTGTTCTTCATTTTCTTGGAAATCAGTTAAGCCCCATTGTCAAGCCAGCAAATTTTGCTTCCTAACCCAAAGTTGGTCCATGAGTGTACTTGCAATGCTAACAAACAATGAAAAAAGTAACGTTAAAGCTTCTGATAGCGACATGCTACTATCAGTGGTAAAATCTTTTCCATTTATTGCATTTATGATTCCAAAAATAGTGCCTATTACAGCTGGCCATATTAACCACCAAACATACATTTCAAGCCAGGCAAAATACATTGTCAATTTTTCGCCAAAATAATTTTTTAGTTTTTCAAGATCCTGCTTCTGATTTCATTTACGCAAAGTTGCCCAGTTTGATTTAAGATCATTTACTCCCTCTTCCATGAGCAAGTAAAACCATCGGAAAAGTCCCTTTTGCTGACCAAAAACTCACCCTCCATGAACGATTAATATTTGTTTTTAATCAAAAATTTTAAAAAAATATTGATTTATAAATGATTATTAACATATAAAAAATTAATTTTGCCTTCCAATTTTTCAAATTTGGGTTGCTTTTATTCGTTCACTGGGAAGTTAGGATTTTAGTAGATGACGATGGGAAATGGTCTTCAAGAATGCTATTTTTCTGGAGGTCGCTTAGTTCGATGATTCCAGTAATCATGCTATTTACTAATCTGATTCGATCAATATGCTTGAATAATGACCCATTTTCACACTCATTTCCGTTTTCATCATAATGTTTATAAATCCTATCAAAAATTTCATCTCTTTTCTCATAAGGCGCATATGGTGAAATTTTCTGAAAATCCAAATTATCGATCACATCAGGTCTAAGCTGTAAAACATAGTCACATAAATCTGCTTCAACTTGTAAATTTTCTTCGCTTGCTCTTATTTTCAAAATAATAAACTCACAGTCCTCTGATAAATTTCCCTTCACGTCCAGATGAAGATTTTGCTGGAGAAGTTTCAGTGCGCAGTTAATAGTAAATTGAGCTAAATCTTGATATTTTATATGGTCTTTCCCTAATAGGAAGCTTTGAAATTCTTTTAATTCAGAAAGATAAACTATGTCAGCGTTATTTGATTTGAAAAACATTTGAAATTTTTCTTCGGCTCTTGAGGATTTAATTTGTCAGGAAAAGTTACGATTTTCATAATTCCTGGAGGGGACATCCCAAGGATTTCGAAAAGCTATGATGTAGTCATGAATGTCTTCTTGAATATCATCTACCAAGTGCTGAAGAGTGTTTTCAATGGCTCTTGAAGAGCTTCCCATTTACTTATAAAATCTATGATATTTCTTTTTGGTTGTTTGAGCACACAAGACAAATGTTAATAAAATTAATATATTTATTATTTTTGAATTTGACACAATAATTAATTCCTTTTATTTATAATCTGATGGGATGCTAGTTTGAATATAATTAGCTATAAGCACTTTTGGGCATTTTTTATAAATTCAAGCTCGTTTTGATAAAGGATGTAAGCAGAATTTTGTTTATATATCAAATTTACATTAAAACTTTATTTTTACGAAATTATTATTGGTTAAAATCAACATAATATCAGTAATAAATATCCGATTTCAATTTTAAAATAATTGCGAGGAATAATATCAAAATATATTAAAAAAATGTAAATAGATTGTTTGCAATTAGAAATAAAAGGCAATTAAAATTAAAGATCTTGTCCTTGCGTTTCATTGTCGAAATAAGTAAAAACATAAGATAGTAAATAATAAAAAATAGCAAGAAATCAGGATAAAATTGTTTTAACTCCAAATCTCTTCAAAAAAAGTCATGCAGCTGAAGCTAAAAAGATATAAAAACACACATAAAATATTACATCTTGCATTGATATTCTCCTTCTCATTTCCCTTAAAAATTTTCCAGCCCGACTAAACTCTGATCCATAATCATCATATTGATCTGAAATGTCTTTGTAGTTTTTAGAAGTGGAGCCTAACGTTTGGCTAATTGCATTCATTCGCTGCAGTTCTGAATGTAGGACAAAATGAGTATCTCTTAGCTGATCTGTAGCACTTTGAGATTTAGGTTCCATTTATCAACTATTTATATTCAGAAAATTTTTATAAAGAAAATAGTAATTCCTATTTAACGATTTTTAATGACTCCAACAAGGAACTAAATGGAGGGTTTTTTATTAATTTAAACTTAATTAAAATTAAAAATGATACAGCACAATAAGTCCAAAACTATCGATTAAATAAGCTCAGCCCAATAATCACGATTCTTTTCTATGGACCTAATGTAAGATTCTATTTCAGGGGTCAATTTCAGCAATGGGGAAAAATATGGTAAAATAACACCATTAATAAAGCCAAGCTGAAGAGATGGAACTGATGCCTTTTCTCTGTCAAATAATGAAATCACAGTCCTGCCCATCTGCTTTTCAATATCTCCTTGAGCAAAAAACTCCTCTTGTAAAAGAGAAGACCAGCTATGATGAACTTCTCACTGTCTTGTGCTGTGAGAAATATCAGCAGCATGCAAAAATACCTCCAGAACTGTTTCTTTTTCATTAGACAAAGGCTGATTTTGCAATTTATTTTGCACCCATCCTAATTGTATCCCGTGATACTGAACATCTGTACCTAGAACGCTTCTAATTATCAGATGCCTTATCATTCTAAATTCTTCCTTTTCTAATCCTTCAAAAATGTTGCAATTAGCATTTTGAGATATTCTAAAAGCTTCAGAGACATGAAAGTTTTCAAGGACAGATCTATCATTATACATTAAAGCTAGTTCATCTAGGTTAGCTTCTATAAAAGAATTTGTGACTCCTGGGTGCTTTAAATCATGAATCATTCCAGCCAATACAAATGACAATATGTGGATAGTATCCAACTTCGCAATCTCTACTAAATTTCCTTTATATAAAACTAAGTGGCAAAATTGCATGACATCAGCAGCATGGATATTGTTGTGGTATGGGTTGTCTCTATATCCTTCTGCTACTCGCTCTGTATATTTATTAAAAGTTTTGGGATCGATTGACATTTTGTTGTAAAGATCTCAGTGGTTAAAGACTTTGTCTGAGATAAAATGTAAAACATGATTTGGGTTGCTTACTTGGCTTCTGAGGTTGAAAATATTCAAATCTATATCGTTTATGTCGGCATCAAGAGGTGGCATGGAGGGCCTTCGAAAAATAGACATGTTTAGGCTTTTCCTTTTCCTTTGAATTTCTGCAGAACTATTAACATCATTTTCAATTTGTTTTACTTTATTCATGTTTGAAAAAAATCCAATAATTAATAGGGTATCAGTTGTCAAGCTGGTTGTATCCAATGATTGCTTGCTCCTCAATTAAAAACCAAAAAAATATTCTAAAAAGGATAAAAATTTTTCCAAAAAAAAATAGATATTTATTAGAGAGTTAGTTATTTTTCCAGCAGAATAAATTTCTCCCCCTGAAATCTGGTCAATGCACCACTGAACCTCTAAACTTTTCTCATATGGGACCATTGGCAAGACAGTTTTTAAAATATTGACAACTTTGAAAGCTGGGCTGATAAACATTTCAGCCAATGCTGAAGCTTGGCCTCTTGCAATTTTTGATGTTATTTTTCGAAGGTTTCAAGCAAGAAAAGATTCATAACTAACTGTATTAAGGCCATCTGTTTTGGTTTCATTGAAGATTTCTTGTGCAATTTCTTTGATATTAACTTCGCTACCCAGATTTACCATTTTGAGTCCTTCTTCGATTTCATCCAAGGATAGTGTTCCAGACTTATCTTTATCAATTTGTTCAAAAACTATTCGCAGCTGGTTTCTTAATGAGTTGTCGTCCATATTTATATCAAATAATGAAATAAATTTTTTAATGAAACGCACACAATTGTGATTAGCAAATTGAGCAATCACTTAAGCTTGATTTTAAATTACACTGTGGGCGGAGATTAGGAAATAATTAAATATGGTGAATTTATTTTCGGTGTTTTGAATTTTGAGAATAATAAAATGATAATGACAATATTGATATTTTATTTAGCCGCTATAATGTTTAAATCTATGTATTTTATAGCTAAAATAATAATTAATTTAATTGTAATTAATCAAAGCTCTTACTAACTCAGAAAAAGAGCTTTATTCAAACTTAAAAATGGGAAATTTAGGATGCTGTAATCAATCAAGTGTCATAAAGGACGAAGTAAAAATTGAAACCCTACCTGTTCCTGATCCCAGGCACAAGCAAAGCTACTCATTTGATGAATCCTCTGCAAATAAATTGCCTCAAGAAGAAAGCTATACTCCATCATCCAACGGATGAGGCAAAGAATTCGATACAAACACTTTTGAGTTTTCGAATACACATTTAAATGCAGAACCAAAAAAGCAGAATACAACCAATTCAGGCCTATGACTCACAGGTGAAGTCTCAGAGTTTTACACAATTGTAAGCCAATTCGGTTCAAGCTGTTATGGCAACATGTATAAAGCAATACATAAGTCCAGCAACACTTTCAGAGCGATAAGAATAATCGGCAAGGACAGAGTCAAACAAGATAAACTAGCTGACATCGTGAGCGAAATTCAGATTCTTAAATCAATAGACTCTCCTTATTTGCCGAAAATCTATGAGATTATTGAAGATGACTCGCAAATAAATATTTGCACGAATCTATGCACTGGGGTTTCTCTGTTTGAAAAATGTGGGAAAGAGAGAGAGCTGACTCCTTCTTTGAAATTAGAACAAAAATCCTTTTCCAATTTAAATGGGTGTTAATTTGTTTTTAAAGAAAATTTCAAATTTTTAAATTAAAAAATATAAATTAATTTTTTTATGAAAACTAATTCCATAAGTAGGCCAAAATTAATTTTCTAAAAATTAGTATTTTTACCTATAAAAATTTCTTATAATTCCAATTTAAAGTGGGGAGTGAGAGAGAAAACGATATTGCCGAATGGATGTATGAAATCATGTCAGCAATTTCAGTTTGCCATGAGCAAAACATCATCAATGGGAAAATTGACCCAGAGCATATAATTTTTACTGATGACAAGCCTGGATGCAGGATAAATATTGTTAACTTTGGAATTTCCAAGCCTTTAGACTTATCTTTTCCACTTATGATGACAACTGGATCTCTTTATTATGCAGCCCCAGAGGTCTTTCAAGACAATGTGAGCACAAAAAGTGATATCTGAAGCTGCGGAGTGATTTTATATATTTTATTATGCGGATACGCACCATTTTCAGGCTATGATGATACTCAGACTTTAGAGCTTATCTCAAAATGCAGCTTTAATTTTACTGGTAAAGAATGGTCTCACATTTCTTCGCAAGCAAAGTCCCTTGTTATGCGCATGCTTACAAAAAATCCTCAACGCCGGCTTAGTGCCCAAGAGGTAATACTAGATCCATGGATTCAAAATCGAGGAAAATCTTCTTCAGCAATAATAAGCCAGAAAGTCCAAAAAAATCTCCTGACTTTTGGCACTTGCTATAAGCTTCCATTAGTAATTTTACAGTTTATTTATTGTCAATTATTGCTGTTTAGAGAATCTTTTGCACTTCGGCAAGCGTTTCTCAATTTAGACCCAAACTCATCTGGGAAACTATCAAGAGCTGCACTATTGAACGGTTATAATTTATCAGGAATTGAAAAGCTAGACTTTGAGGCAGCCTTAATAAGATGTGATAACGACTTACAAGGCTTGTTTAATTACACCCAAGTCATCAATGCCATTATGTCTATTAAAAAGGCTTTTTGCCGACAGTGGCTTGAATATACCTTTGAAGTTTATGATAAAACAGGCAGTGGGAAGATTTCTATCAGCGAAATCAAGACTTATTTTAAATACTCACTCCCCTTTCCTTGTGAGATCAAAACCATTGGAAAAATCCCTATTTTTTGAGTTAGCGAACAAAATTTTTTATGAAAAAAATTCTGATATATAATTAATATTATTATTATAAAGAAATCTCTCGTTAATTCTGTTTATTTTAAATAGCTTGCACTTTAAAAAACATAAATTTTACAAATTAAATTATATTTATTTTAAAATTTTTTCGAATCGGGATTTTTTTAAAAAAGAAAATTAATCCCTCTAGAGAGCGAACAAAATTTATTTTGTCCACTCATGGAGTGGGGGAGTCAGTAGAATATGCAGAAGACAAGATTTTTGAAGGAATTTTAAAAGAAGCTGATAAAAACGAAGATGGAGAACTGGACACTGAAGAACTCAAGCATATTATGATTCAAAATTTATATGCATAGTAAATATATTTATATAATAAGCTCTAAAAATGAATGCATCTTCAAAACCTCGGAGTCGGTTTTATATTGAGCTCCCTTCTCTTCTTAAATCAAATGTCACAAGACAAGTGTCAACGACTTCTTTATTTTCTCTAACTGCTGCTCCTCAAAAATCATTGTCAGCAGCTTGCAGTCCAAGTAATGCCTTGGCATATGAATCTGAAGATGAAGACCGTGATGCAGTTGAAAAATTAGATTTTAAAGAAAAAGAAGGGCAAATTGATTTTATTCAGTCCATACAAGAAGCCAAAGCAACTCTTCAAAAACGCGTGTCAGGAGAAGATCTCGTTGAAGGGCACATTTTAGAGAGAAAATATCGAAATCGGCTGCCAAACCTTGCCAAAAAGAAGAAAGGTATAGATTCGCCAAAGTTCACAGCAAGGCAGCGGATGACCAAAAAACATGAAGACGAAGGGTTTAAAGATAAATGCAGATATTTCAAATTATACGAAGAAGAGCTTGAAAAAACCTATGAAAAGCTACTCAGAGATCTAAGCCAAATACACAGAAAAAGAGAAGACTTGAGAAGGGAGTGCTTAGATATAAAAAAACAGTCAGTCATTATAGCAGCTGAAATAGAAAAAATTAAATCCCAAATTGCAGCTCAAGAAACCAAAGAAATGAGAAGGAAAAAGCGAACACAAGAAGAATTCGCCGAGTGAACATCTCGCAAAGGAACATTAAAAGACCAGCTTACGAAAAAGCAAGAAGAAGCAGCAGCACTGGCAATTTCTATACAAGAAGAAATTTCTAAAAGAGCTGAACCTCTCGCATATCTTGATTCACAAAGTACTTTAATTAGAAAGCAGCTTGGTGCTGTAAAAGATGCTCAAATATCTCACTATTTAAGCTTGCTAAAAGAGGGTAAAGATACAAGAAGTGAAGGACTCTCATGAATAATAAAACAGCTATGGAGATTAAATCTGGCAGTAAGCCCTGATATGTTCCCAAACTTTTTAGACAACGATGCAATACACTGCATAATATTTATAGCACAGAAAAGCCTAGAAGCTGATCATTTATCAGAAGAAATTGGCAAAAGTGAGAGAAAAGGATCATGCAGCTTGATTAGCAACGATAAGTGAAATAATATTCACGCCCGGCTTTTCCAATTGACGAAAAATGTACAGACACAAAGGCCTAAGATGGTATGGGATAAAGCCAGCAAACAAATGGTGGTCATTTATGAAGATGAGAATAAGCCAAATGAAGACGAAACAAGCAAGCTAAAAAGTGCGACTGAAAGCAAAATAAATGATCAACAATTGCAATCAATTAAAGAAATCCTCAAAAAGACAAAAGAACTAGAGTTGCAAAGACTGGCACAGGAATGCATGCTGAGTAATTATGAAGGTAAGTTTAATATCACACTCAAAGAGTTGCTATCTGCAATTGCTGGAGTCGAATCGCTTGACCGTTATATGGCTGTCATTACAAAAGAACAAAAACAGTTAAAAGACAGATTGGAATCAACTAAAACTTTTTCGTTTGCTCGAAGTTAGAGTGTATAAAGTTAAATTAATTCAAAATGTCTATAATAATCATGTTAAAATCAGTCATGAAACTTTATAAATTAGCTGTCCTTCAATTCTTTCTTTGTATTAATAATTTCTATAATAGATATATTATGCTATTTCATGATTTTATGCTTTTCCTTCAGCATTTCTTCATAAATATTTCAGCATAATAAGTCCAAATAATAGAAACTTCTATATAATAGAATTGCAAGTGATATACTATGAATACAATATATTAACTCCTCTTTAGGAACGATCAGAATTTTAAAGGATGATTGTAAAACTTTAATAATTTTTCAGATTTTTTGCCTTTATTGAATTAAAATTATTTTAATTTATAATATTTATGTTTAAAAATAAAGACAACCTATTAAGTTGTCTAAAAATAAAAAGAATAAGCTATAGATTTATTCATTAATAATTATTAATAATGATAAATATTTTTACAAAAATTTTTATGTAAAACATTTTGTTTGCTCTTAAAACGGCTTACCTTCCAAAAAAGGCATTTTCTAAAAAGGAAAAGTAAGCAGAATCACAGCCGTAAAATTAATATATAAAGCTTCCTTATAAGAAAGGCTAAAGATAAGACTTGGTCTCTATGAACTTTAATTAACGTTAAAAATTGTTAATTATGTTAATTTTTATTTTCTTGAAACTGACCAACAGGAGGAAATTCTCTATTCATCATTCCATAGAACACGTCTAATTGATGTAAGCCATGCTGATATTGATCCTCATTTATGCTTCCAAGGGTTTTTCTCATTAACAAGTAATTGTTGGCTAAATTAAAAGTGGTTTTTCCATTATAAAAATCTGAAATTTCTTCTTTGACCATATCATCTCCAGACCGATGCAATAGTGCAGCTCCTCTCAGCATCGCTGGAGGAGGAGGGGCTTCATTGGCAAAGCATAAGCCTATGATCGTTAAAGCAATAATCCATTTTAGGGCCATTTCCGTTAATATTATAAGCCATTTATATAGACTCAAAAATATGCATTTTCACAAGCATTCACATCTAACGATTTCTCATTCTTTCTTAAAAAGAGCCAAATCATGTATTTGAGCACGTATTGCACTAAAATAAATCAAGTGCCAGCATTTTTATAATGAATTCAATGACTTCAATTAAAAACACAACTCATAGATTTTGAAATTATATTTTTACTTGTTTTAAATAAGCCGGCATAAAATTAAACTCATAACATTTTAAAATAGCCATTAAAATGATGCCATTAGTAATGTGCTGATATTACAAATATAGTATTTTATTATCTAAGAATTTCGTAGCAAGATGTGTATATTATTAATTTAAAAACCCTGATTAAGGTTTTATAACTCTTTATTTGTAATAAACCGATTCCCTTCGCTTAAAGTGGCTTTCTTTTTCTTATCTGGAGCTTTCATAGAAACTTTTATAGGAGAATCTCTCGCAGGTTCAGGCACTGACTCGTACCTAAAAGGCGTCACAACTGGCCTTGGTGCAAATTGGTGGTCTCTTCTTCATTTAGTCGCCATCTCTTTTTCATTGTTGCTAACAGCTGAGCCATCTAATGACACAAGACTCGGCAACTGAGCAATGACGGTCATTCTATAATTAATTCTTTCTTGATCTGTTACCCTTTCGTCCAAGAAAGGGCAGCATGGATTTCGTATCAAGCTTAAATGCTGGATATTAGGAAATTTCGAAGAAATATTATCTATAGCTGACTGCAAATCAGAAATTTGATTTGAGTTGAGGCAGAGGGTATCTAATGTTGGTAAGCTTGGAAAAGATCCTAGCTTCTCCTCAGTGAGCGAACAAAAAAATTTTGTTTGCTTACTGAGGGGATTAATTTTATTTTTAAAAAACTTAAAAATAAATAATTATTTTTTGAAATTTAAAAGCATCCAATTTCGCAAAAATCGGGAATTTAACTTGTAAAATTTAATAAAAAATAGCTAGTGATTTCATTATAATAATTATCACTTATATATTAAGGATCCCCCCCCCTCATTTGTCCAATTTTCTAGTCTTTTATCATTTGCCCATTTTTCTAGTTTTTTTTATAGGAAAAAAAAAATTTTTTTAGTACCTCATTTCATTTGTCCAATTTTCTAGTCAAAATTTTGATAGAAAAAAAAAATTTTTTAGGGCCTCAATTGTCTCATTTTCTAGTTTTTTAAAGTAAAAAACTAAAATTTAGGAGATTCGAAAAAATCCAAAAAAGACTAGAAAATGGGGCAAATCATTTTTGACTAGATTTTGGGACAAATGAGATCCTGAAAAAATTGTTTATCCTATAAAAAAAAGACTAGAAAATTGGACAAATGAGGGGGAGCAATCCTATTTGCATCATTCAGGTAATCATCACTAGCATCATCTACAGGTTTAAAATAAGGCATGCTCAAAGCTACTTCATATAATGATCCCCTCTCTCTCATTTGTCCAATTTTCTAGTCTTTTATCATTTGTCCATTTTTCTAGTCTTTTTTTTATAGGATAAAAAAAATTTTTTTAGGACCTCATTTCAATTGTCCAATTTTCTAGTCAAAATTTTGATAGAAAAAAAATATTTTTCAGGACCTCAATTGTCTCATTTTCTAGTTTTTTTAAAGTAAAAAACTAAAATTTAGGAGATTCGAAAAAATCCAAAAAAACTAGAAAATGGGACAAATCATTTTTAACTAGATTTTGGACAAATGAGGTCCTGAAAATTTTTTTTATCCTATAAAAAAAAGACTAGAAAATTGGACAAATGAGGGGGGGGGATCCTTACAATGTTTTTCATAGAAAATTTTCGTTCTCTAAAGAAGGGTAGGCTTTACCTAAAAAATTAGGATTTTTCCAATGGTTTTGTTCGCTTATGAAGGGAGTAAGGAATTGAAAAAGTTATAATCAGCATTGATGAGTATTAATTTGGAAAATCCTGATAGAAAGCTAGCATTTTGAAGTTTGTTGCGAGAGATGTCAATAAATTGAGTTACTGCTTTAGTATATTGAAAGGATTGGGACTCAAGAGATGACAGCGATTGGTTTGAAAGATTGAGAAAGCCACTTGGTGCTGAATTTTCCATTTAATTTAATTTAGCTTTATAAAATTTTTTATATTCAAAGTAAACTATAGATGCAGCTTATTCTTCTCCCTTGATTATTTAAATGATCAGTTTAAATAAAAATATGTTCTAATAAAACAGCTAGTTTCCATATTAGCTTTTTATTAAAACCCATCTTTTATAATGAAAATTATAAAGCTCGGCATAGCTCTTCTTCTTATTATAAACTGCATAGTTTGTTTATTTTTATTTGCAGAAATTGAGCCTTCTCGCACTATGTTCCGAGGCTACTCAATGAAGTCTCTCCGCTATGAAAATGCTCCTAAACTTCCATTGTACTCCTCTCCAGCATGGCAAGATTACATGTCACGAACTTCGTTTTACGAAGAATATCAAGGAATTCTCGATGATGATGAGTATTGTAACAAAGTATCTAATTCTCACTCTAAGCGTTTAATAAATTTATATAATTTTATAAAAACATCTTTTTTAAACTTAATATTTTAAATTTGAAGTTAATAATTAGGTTATTATGGTAAATGCCAAAATATTTATTTAGAAAAAGTTTTATATTATAAATACTTTTTATTCGCTAATTGTGCGTGAAGAGAGATCTAATCTTTCAGCAATTTTAAGATTTTTCCTATAGTTTGCTCATTTCTGAGTATGGGAATAAGTATCAAAAAGAGAATCCAGTTACTTTTGATGAAAGAGGGCTTCCTACTAAAAAGTATCGTGTCGCATTTTCTGATTATCGAAATGGGAACTTGGTGAAGGATGTTTTAAAAAGATATGGAAACTTAGTATTACAAAGGCATACAATAGAAAAATATACCGAAGGTCCTAATGAGTATTTGACTCCTAATATTAATCTATTCTTTGAGAAAACACCAGGCTGGCATCTAAAACATAAGATTGGGACCCATTTTCTATGTGAAGGGCAAATGTATAACCATATTCCTGGGCATGAGCATATGATAAATAAAGATGAAGCTGCAAGAAACGCCAAAGAATATGGGGAATATTATGCTGATAGGAAACAATGCTTTGATCCATGGACATTTATGCCATACACACTAGATTTGAGCAATGAAGTGGAATGCAGAGAATTTATCGATGGTTTAATCTCTGAAACTGACAAGAGCGCTATAAAATGAATAAAAAAGAAAAGCAGAAATAGCCACAATGCCGAAGGAGTAAGAGTTGTAAACGAAAAAGTTGCAGAGGAAATCCTGAAAGAATATGGGTATGGAGATAAATGTGGGCTTATTGAAGACCAATTTATTGTCCAGAGATATGTGCCTGACCCATTGTTAATTAAAGGAAGAAAATTCGATTTCAGAATTTACATGCTTATTGCAAGTGTTGATCCTCTAGTAATCTTATATCATGATGGATTTTTAAGAGTATCAGTTGCACAGTATGACCAGTCCGCAAAAGAATCTGGAGCTCATATCACTAACACAGCTCTTGTCAAAGAAATGCTTGAAGAGCGTAATGCAACGCAAGCTGAATATGAAGAAGTAATGAAAGACCAAATGTGGACTTTTCCTCAGTTTCTCAGCTATATGCAAAGCCAAGGACTTGTTGAAGGGGACTGGATAAACGATTATGTTCGCCCCACAATGAGACTGAAAATGCTTCATTTAGTGAGAATGAATATTGAGAGATTTTTGTGGCATCCAAGAGTATTTGAACTGTATGGAGTTGATTTTATGTTTGATTCAAAGCTTCATCTATGATTTCTAGAAGTAAATAGAAGCCCAGCAATGCAGGCAACTACAGAAGAAAAAGGAAGGATCCAAGAAAGGTTAATTAAAGAGACAATTGACTTAGAATATGCACTGCTATATAAAGCTGATTTTGATATGATTTTGAAGGGTACAGGATTTATAAAGGTTTTTGATGGAAGATTAAATGGAATGGAACGGTATCAAGGGCTGCTGAGTGAAGAATGCACATAAATTGCAAAAAATAAAATAATTAATAGCATATTAGGTAGCTTTGGTGCCTATCTTTATATGTTTGAAATAAAAACAACCAGAGAAAATTTTTTCGCTGATATACAAAGAAAAATAAATCCAACGATTAGTTATTTGTTATTTCAGTATTTTGCATCGTCTCCTACCCATTTGCATATCTAAAATTTTTCAACTTTTCTATAAATGGAAAATAACTTTAACTCCCCACTTTAAATTGGGACAAAAATCCTGTTTCAATTTAAAGACGTTAATATTTTACATAAAAACAATTATATAGTCAATGAATTTTTAAAATCTGAAAAAAATAAAACCCCACCACAGCACTTTGATTTTAATTTATTTTATAAATAAAAATTAAAAAAATTAGTGAAAACTGTTTTAAGATTAAGATTACGATAACTCTTTGTAGACCCCCACTTAGCTTAGGGTCAATCTAAACAAGCTCTTCCTTCATGAATTCCATCCACTAGCTAACAGCTCTGAAAAACGGTAGGTGGAATCAGCCTAACCGTCGAACCGTTACAGTTGCCTGTGGCCCGGACGAGTCTCTCTTCATGGCTTGAATGTGATTCAAGCACACTTGGGGCTGCCGGAGCAGTCCCAACGCTAATTTCCTTCAGAAAGGTTGAACTTCCCTCACTAGGACGAGTATAGGGGACGAGACCCCTTAACTCATACATTCCATTTTTAATTGTGAAAAAAACTGTTTAAATAACATTATAATTACTTTTTCTATTAAATTGAGTCAAAATTAATTTTTATAATATTGAATTTCATCTTAAATTTTTTTAAATATAAATTGAGCACAGTACTTTGAATTTTAATCTTTTTATGAAGAATTAAATAAAAATATTAATAGATTCAGTCTGAAAACTATTTAATGAATTTTATCTAATTGATTAGATTGAAACTAATTTTATAAAAAAATAGTTCATCATTAAACATAAATTAGCACAATACTTAAATTTTAATTTATTTTTAGGAAGAATTAAATAAAAACAATAATTGATTTAGCTTGACAATTGTTTAAATGTTATTCTACTTATTAATTAGGTTATAAATAATTTTATAAAAATTAGTATTTTTGTCGTTAAAAAATTTAGTATTGAAAAGCAAATTTGTTCCAATTTTTGCTCCTCTCCAAAGGGGGAGTAAGTTGTGTTGTGTGTTTATTAAATAAATTTGTTCAATAGATATCTATTATCACTCTTATATCAAAATTAAGTAATGGATAATAATTCTTAATGGCTAAGCCAACTTTCCAGCTCTCAGAATTTCAGAAAATTCGTCAAAAGTATATCCCAGTTCTTCCTCACGGTCTCCAGCAAGCAAATTCTGCTTTTGTCTTCCAAGACGTCCCTGTCCTAGACGAAATTCGCGAAAAATACCCTGCGATCAGTGCCATCAAATATGTGGAATTCCAGCCAACTAATGAAGAATCCTCAATTCCTCCATCTCCTCTACGCATTGGTGTAGTTCTATCAGGAGGCCAAGCCAGTGGTGGCCACAACGTTATCATGGGAGTTTTTGACTACGTCAAGCGTCATCACAGCTCTTCCCAAGTTTTTGGCTTCTTAGGAGGTCCAAGGGGGATTTATACCAACCAATACATTGAAATTGATGAGGAACGCATGGCTTTTTACCGCAACCAAGGAGGCTTCGACATGATCTGCTCTGGTCGTGATAAAATTGAAACTGATGAGCAATACGCCAATTCCTTGAATTACTGCTCCGCATTGAATCTTGACGGTCTCATCGTAATTGGAGGTGACGACTCAAACACCAATGCTGCTCTTCTTGCTGAATATTTCATAAGCAAAGGCTCCCACATCAAGGTAATTGGCTGCCCAAAAACAATTGATGGAGATCTTCGTAATGAGTTCATTGAAGTCTCATTTGGTTTCGACACTGCTACCAAAACTTATAGTGAAGTCATTGGAAATGTCTTAATAGACGCAGTTTCGAGCAAGAAATACTACCATTTCATAAGACTTATGGGAAGATCTGCAAGTCATATTGCTTTGGAGTGCGAGCTGAAGACTAGAGCAAATTTAGTCCTTATTGGCGAAGAAGTTCAAGAGAAAAACATGACTTTAAGCCAAATTGTTGACCAACTTGCGACAATGATTGCGATAATAATAAAATGATATCATATGAAAAGGTAATTCAATCTGTGAATTCCCTTTCCCTCGCCCAGCTTTTATTATTATGGGGTTAGGCTTTTACACACAAAACTTCTGCAAAGAGGAGAAAATGGCGAGGATTTATTTGTTTTGCCCACTTTGTTTATTGTGTTTTACCTCTTTCATCTGCTGGCATAAAATGCATCGCTCTTAGGCTGAACAGGCGGAGGAAAGTCGAATAAAGCAAAGCAACTATCCAAGCCATTCCCAAATGGCTTCACGGGGACTAGGAGTCAAGTTCTGATATGAGTTCGAGAGCAACAACAAGACGGAGAAAAAGGCATCTCACTTACGCTCAACTAGAAGTTAGTAAATTAAGCTAATTTGATTGTTTTGCAGCAATGATTGTGAAAAGAGGAGAAGCAGGAAAGTCATATGGAGTTATTTTGGTGCCTGAAGGGCTGATTGAGTTTATCCCTGAAGTAAATGCTCTGATTAAAGAATTAAATGAAGGAATGGCTGGACATACTGGACTAACTGAAGAAATCGTAAATCAAGTTGTGAGTGGGCTTAGTGAATCCTCAAGACAACGGCTAAGTGTCATTTGATTGGAACATTTTAGTAGAGTGACATTCCGAGGGTATTTTATGTCGATATTTTTTTTCTTGTTGTAAATTTGATATAATTTTAACGGAGGATATTTCACATAAGAAAAAGTTAGGATCAAATTCTGATATAGAAAAAATTTCTATCAAATCACTGGCAGCCGAAGACAACTGTATCATTTCTTGCCAGAAAGCATTAGAAACCAATTGATGCTAGATCGTGACCCACATGGAAATGTCCAAGTCGCTAAAATTGAGACTGAAAGACTATTGATGATGCTCCTCGAAACTGAGTTGCCAAAGAGAGGACACAGATACCCATTTTTGCCACAAAGCTACTATTTCGGATACGAAGGAAGAAGCTCTTTACCTTCAAATTTTGACGCAAACTACTGCTATGCTTTAGGTAATTGTGCATCAGCTTTGATCAAATACAATTTCACTGGATGCATGGCCGTCTGCAGAGGCATAGATCAGCCTCCAGAGAATTGGAAGGCTGCTGGTTGCCCATTGGCTGCAATGATGCATCTTGAAAGAAGAAAAGGTAAAGACGTGGCTGTCATTAAGAAAGCTTTGGTAGAGATGGATTCTCCTTGCTTCAAGGCTTATGAATCAATGAGAGAGCATTGGATGTATAACGATTGCTACAGAACTCCTGGGCCAATCCAATTTGATGGAGTTGCAAGCACTGATGTTAGTTTCTTATTAAAACCTCCAACTCCTGAGGATTTGGCTAGCAGCGATGATACTCCAGAAAGCTTCCCATATTACCCAAGGAAGAAAATAGATATGAGTCCATTAGCGATTGCTAGAATGCATGCTCAAGTTGATGTGCCGGAAGTATTTTTGCATGGACTTGATTCATGTCAGGCTATTTTTGGGGACATTTTAGAGCCTGAGACTGAAGAAGTAAGAGCAGCTTTGCAAGATCAGTTACCATTTTTATGTGACCCTAGCTCCCTAAATGGATATTGGGGATCACTGGGAACTTTTGAATTATCACAATCAATTATTACAAATAATAAAAAATTAAAAATTATTTATTAATTGGGTGGGTAAGAGAAAGAGATTCGTAGAGATCACCAAAGGAAGCGGACTTCAGCCTGGACCACTTAAAATTGGTGTCTTTTACCTTGGTCGTCAAACTCCAGGTGCCCATAACGTAATTGACGGTTTGCTGCTTGCATTAGAATCTCGACCAGATTCGGAGCTATATGGCTTTTTGGACGGAAACATCGGCCTTTTCAATAAAAATTACTTCAAAATCACAGCCAAGAACTTTTTACCATACAGAAACCAAGGAGGAATGGATTTCCTGGGCAGATCTGGAGATGCAATCAGAGGTGCTGAACAGTTCAGAAAAGTCAAAGAAACATGCGAGCAGTTAGATCTCGACGGTTTAGTGGTTGTCGGGGCTACTCACTCTTTGACTGATGCCGCATACTTAGCTGACTATTTCATAACAGAAAACGTGAAAACAAAAATCATTGGAATTCCAGCCAGTATCGACGCCAACATCTCACACAGACTTTTTGAAACAACGATTGGATTCGACACAGCTTCAAGATTAAATGCACAGATGGTTGGAAATATGATCACTGATTCTGCTAGCGCTATTAAGTACTGGTACTTTGTAAGACTCATGGGAAGAGATCCAAGCCATTTGGTCCTTGAATGTGCCCTTCAAACTCATCCAAATGCCGCAATCATTAGTGAGTTCTTCAAGCAGGAAGGATACACTCTAATTGATATTGTGAAATACATTGCAGATATCGTATGCGAAAGAGCAAGCATGAAAAAGCATTTCGGAACTCTCCTCGTCCCAGAAGGCCTTACACTGCAAATTTCACACTATAGAGAGCTTATTAGTGACATTGGAGTATTGATGGGCCCAAGGACAAAACAAGATAGGCAGGATTTAGCCATTGCAATTGTCCAGGATGATAAGGAAATTGATAAATATTTCAACCATATTTCAGGACCAGTTCTTAAAGATCTGCCTAAATGGTTCCAATATCAGCTCCTTACTAGAATTGACTCAAACGGCCAGGTCCAATTATCTTTGATCGAAACTGAAAGACTATTAGCAGACCTTGTTGCCAAAGAATTGAGAGAGCGCAAAAAGGCTGGCACTTATAATGGCTCATTTGCTCCAGTTTGCCACTTCTTCGGATACCAAGGACGCTGCTCAATGCCAACAGTCTTTGACTGTTCACTAGCGACTACTTATGGAGCAACTGCAGCAGCCCTCATTAGTGCAGGCGTGACAGGCTACATGACAACCGCAAGAGGCTTAAGTGGCCCTGTTGAGCACTGGAGACTTGGCGCCATTCCTATCTCTGCTATGGTCCGCTTAAAAGGAAAGTCTCAGTACGGCCGCAACAGAGTTCTCGTTCCGAGCGCTGAAGTTGATCTCCATGGAGGAGCTTTCCAAAAATTGCTTTCAGAAAGACGTTCTTGGGGCAGAAACGACTTATTCAGCAACCCTGGGCCAATTCAGTATTTCTCTGATGCTAAATACCTCACAAACCAAACTCTCCAGTTGAACTATAGAAACTACTTGAACTTATTAGAAGAAATCAACACCCTCTGTGGAAAAATCCAGCAAGTCTGCAGGTTCGGAGTTTCTGAAGACCTCTTGAGAACGGCAGTTATTGGGCTTTCTTCCGTAGAAGGTATCTTAAAGCTGCAGAGAAGGCAGTAATTAATCATTAAACTTAATCCTTAAAGAGAATTGTTAGTTTTATCTGATTGAGCAGTTTGTGATAGCGTGAGCTCAGCAATCTCATTCACAAGGTCTATATCTGTAGAGCTGCTTGGATCAACTTTCCCTGTTAGTCCTATGGCTCTAGATAGCAATAAAGAAATTCTTTTGTCTGGCTGCTTTCTTCCAGCTCTTATTTCTTTTGCGTAGTTTTTGCATGCAGACACTAACTCTTGGATGCTGATTCGCTGCTTCATCAAAACGTTCAAAGGCTCTGTAATGATTTTTGTTGGCAATGCCTCGAATAATGCAAGGGAACCTATACGCATTCTTGCGAGTTTGTAGCATTGGGTGTCGATTCCTTTGCTGGAGAGTTGGAGATTCAGCAAGATCAGATTATTGCCAGGAAACATCTTCTCGTAAGTAAGAATAGAGGTGACTGCAATGTGGTTCAGATCTCCAGTTCGATAAGCTCCAATAAGTGAGTATTTAGGATAGGCTTCGATAACATGGTTGAAATGGGCTGTCGCTTGAGGCTTGGCAAAGTTCAAGGTATTGTCTTTGACCATATGGTGAAGACATATAGCGTGCTTTATGTGGATCAGACCTTCAGATTGAGTACCCAGCAAAAGGCCTATTACTTCTTGGTCTTTATTTGGGCGTCTCATATAGTGTTGAAGAATCGTCATAGGAACTGCAGGATGGACTTCACATGAAAAAGACTTGATATCGCCTAGCCAAAGAGTAGCCATCCCTAATATATTAATTAACTCATTCCCTATTAGAAATCCTTATATGAGGATATTTCATAAATTTCAATTAACTATGAATAAAAGGAAAAAGAGATTTTTTACTCTCGACGAAATCAGGAATTTCATCAAGAATTTAGAAGATTAACTTATTTAGCTTATTATTCGATGTTTAAGGTGTCTAATACCCCTCCCTATTTAAAAGGGATTAAGCCCAACTATAGTAACATCACGGGTCTATTCTGCCACTTAAAATGGCTCACCATATGGGCCAGCATTTCTTGAAATTCCATCCCATCTAAAGACGCACTTCTTACAGAGCGCATTGCTGTCGCTCTTGTCAGACTCTGCTCCTATGCGTGGTCCACCTAAGGGTCACCTGGTATAACATGCTAAGCGGTAAAAACTCAAGTCTCTTGATGCAATGAGGAGCAGTTCCTCTGATTATTCCCAAAGTTAAACTGCTATTGCCGTACAGGGGTTCTCAAGGAAAGCCAAACCCCAAATTCAATTAGGAGAGAAAATTAGAAAACTAATTTCTTTCGAACCAAATGCCATTTTATTTATCAAGAATTTAGAAACAAAAACGAAAAGGATGCCTGAGTTGATAGGCTTCCGTAGCGAAGATGTCTGCAAAAATTTCAAGAATTTGATTACTATGTGCAACTCTTTAAGTATTATTTTCCTTCAGTACAATTTAATTCACGAAACTTTGAGTTTCTTAAAAAAAGCAGCTGAAGCTGACACTGCACTGTGCAAGTATGGAAATTTATTGGATCGGCTTTGACAAGGTCGATTGGTAACTTATAATAACTTGGCGTTTCTCTATCATAAAGTTGGCCAATATAAAGATTGTTTGAAATTTTTATATGAAGCTCAAAGCTTAATGGTAACAATTAAAGAAGCTGGGGGCATCAGCAACTGTGATATATTTATAGCATCAAATTTGCTGACTTTTGTAGCTTTATGAAAAATCAGGAGGTATAAAGAAGCCAGTGGGTATCTTGAAAAATCAGCCCAAATGATTAATAGTGTAATTAAAGGCGAAAAACCTTCAAAATTATCAAAACTATGTACCCAAAATTTGTTTGGGATTGTCATTATGTCTCATGCTGGTCTTTCAGTAAAGCTTGAAGGGAGCTATGATAAAGCTATAGGGATGCTAAAAGACGGGCTAAGAAATTTTTCAGGAGAAGATGTCACAGTGCGAGCTTTAATTACAGACCTAATTAAAGAACTACAAAAAAATCGTGCTTCCACACAATCGTTTTTGTCTGAACATTCATTTGATTTTAAACCAGAAGCAATAGATTTTGATAAAAATTCGTACATTTTTCCTGAAATAAATTCTGATATATTTGGCAAGCCAGTTAAAAAAGACAAAGACTGGCTTGTCAGCAAAGAGTTTGAACATATTTTATTCATAGCTACATTTTTGCCATTTATTAGTCCAAAAACTCCCTTAATCAGGACAAGTGAATTAGAATTTGAACAGTCAAAAACTAAAATATATGTAGATACTGAAGACTCTGATAAAAATACAGACAATAACGAAGATATTCCTGTGTCCTTAACAAATATTCCTAGGCCTTATGCACAGCTCATGAATAATATAGTTTCAAAGAGAAAAATCCCACAACCAGAAGTGAGATTTTCTTCTAAAATTTCGTCTGGAAGAGGAATTAAAAGTACACCAAGAACTAGGGAAAGTGAAAGAGGAGTAATGAGATCATGATGGGATGATTCAAAGTTTATTAGCAAAATCAAGCAAGCTACTAAAGAGCACAGCAAAACCCGCTTAGATACTTCTAAGCCTCGCTATCAAAGCGAGCCAAGAAATGCTGCGAAATCTGGAATCCCACGACCAAGCACAAAAAACCACGGGCTACCATTTTTGGACACTTCAATCCAAGACCCCACACAAAGAATGATGTATTTTAGCCCCAATGTAAACTTTCAAAGACCTAGCTTAAAATCAAGGAATCTCGGAACTGCAAGAGAGGCTAAAGATCAAGGAAAGCACATAATGATTGAGTTTAGTCCTGGAAGATATCGGGAAGGGGAAAGCATCCCAGTGGAACTAGTTCCAGTCCCTCCCAAGCCAAAGCATGAGAAAAAAATATCAATAAAGCCTACTTTAGAGCAAGAAAAGTATGCATCTGCACTAGATTATATGGAAGATAGAGAAAATGTGTCTGAATACTTCATATTATAATAAAATAATTTCATTACTCTCCCCTTCCATAGGTGAGTGAGCAAAAATATGCCGATCAATTGGAACTTAATTTTTTATAATTTTATATTAATTTAAAAAATATCGCAATTAGAAAAATTTAAATTTAAAATTTATATTTTATAATGCAAACTATTTAAAATTATATAGAATTAGCCAGAGATTCATTATAATAACTAAACTTATATATTTAGAGGGTAGGTTTTTTTCCACAATAGTATGGAATTTCCCAGCGGCTAATGAAGAAGTTAGAAATTTTATTGCTAATTATTATATATTTTTATATGCTACTAGGGCTCTCAAATTTATTTGTGTTAATTCGTCAAAATCTGAAATGCAAGTCATCAACTTGCTTAAACACTCATTTGAAATATTTCTACTTGCATATTTCGAGTCATAGAGATACAATTCATTAATCAACCTTCCATATTCTTTTCTAAGTTCTGGGCTTCTATTTTCTAAGGAATTTGATAGCATTATTAAAGTAATGCAAGCTCTGATATCATCTTTTACTTCTTCCAGTTTCGATAATTGGAATAGAGCTTTTAGGGCTCATTTTATTTCAGTTTCATCATTTCCTTCTAAAATTGATTCTAAATGATGAAAAACTCCTTTTTCCACATATGCTCCATTAGCATATCTGCCTGTGTATTCTCCTCAATAAAAGAGAGTAGCTGAAATTAATGAGTTCTTAGTTATGGGTTTTTCTTTTTGGTCAATATAAATCTTCATTACTTCTTCTTGGGTTATTAAGTTATCCTTTATATATTGGAGGCTGATCACAAAAAATTTGATATCAATTGACGAATTATGGTATGAAATATCAGAATCATAAGCACTTTGTGGGCTAATAGGCACTTCTTTTGGGATTTTTTTTTGCTGAATATCAGAATTTGCACGTAATCTTGCTAGCTACCCTACGTGAGTGAGAAGAAAATTAAATTTTTATATATATATATTGCTTGAATATATATAGGAGCAATAATTCGATGTGTGGAGCCATTCTAAAATTTATCTAACTCCCCCCCCCTCCGTGAGTGAACAAAAAAATTTTGTTCACTCACAGAGGGGGTTAATTTTTTTTTTTTAAAAAATTTATATTTAAATTTTATAAAAAAATTTGTTTTTCAAAATTTAAAAAAATCCTAATTCGCAAAAATTGGAAAGCAAATATTAATTTAATTTATAAAATTTATATTTTAAAAAGCAATTCGTTCAAAATTAAACAGAATTAGCTCTAGATTTCATTATACTAATTATCACTTATATATTAAAACTTTTTTCCATAAAAAATTTTTCTATTAAAAAAATTTTTGTTCACTCACGGAGGGTGGGTTTTTTGGCAAAAAATGGCGATTTTTCTAATGGTTTTGCTCACTCACGGAGGGGGGGGAGTAAGTTGAAATATATATATTATATTTTATAAAAAAGCCAATTCTGCTAAATTTTAACAGCTTGCATTCCAAAACATAAGTTAAACAAATTAATTAAAATATTTGCAACTTAATATAAATTTCAAAGATCAATAATCAAATCATTACGGGGAAGTAAATTTTTATTTTTTTGGTTTTTGTCTTTTGGCTTATATTCGTTTTCACGCTCGACACAACAAACTTGCCCCATTTATGCCGGATATTTATTTTTCGATATGGATACTAATAAATGAATATAATAGAAAAATTAAAGCTTAAAAACTTAACTGAAACTTATAATCTTAACTCCCCTCCGTGAGTGAACAAGACCATTGAAAAATTCCTATTTTTGAAAGAAAAAAAAAACTTTAGCGAGCAAAATATAAATTGTTTTTTAAAAATACTTTGATATATAAATGATAATTATTATAGTAAAATATCTAGCTAATTCTGTTGAACTTTAAGCAGCTTGTATTTTTAAACATAAATTTTACAATAATTAATTTTAGCTTTCCAATTTTCGCTAATTGGGATTTTCGTAAATTCCAAATTTTATTAAAAAATTATTTTAAAAACAATTAACCCCTTCCGTGAGCGAAAAAAATTTTTTTGTTCGCTTACGGAGGGAGGGGGAGTAATTAAAAGCCAACTCGCAATCTTCTTTTAATTTCCCATTTTATTTCGATTAATCCCTTGAAATCTCATAGATTTAAATCCACACCATTTACTGACTTTTTTGTAGTTAAATTTATAAATGTTATTAAATCGAGAATTGTTTGAAGTTTTTATAATACCTAATCTATATTTCAAGCAAAGACAAAATTTACATAAAATCCACAAGAATAAAAATTCATATCTTGATAAAATCTTTTATAAATAAATTAATGGGTTGTTTGTGTTCAGCTCACTCAGATCATTCAGACCTAATTAACATGAAACCAATAAGTCGGAGGACTATAGATAGCATCGCAGAGATTATTTACTCGCCAGGCGATTTTATCTTCTCCAATTCTTCTTCATTCCATGACGTTTATGAAACAGACTCAGTTCCATTGGGTGCTGGCCTTCATGGAGAAATTCGAAAATGCAAACATATTGGCACTGACACTGTCAGAGCAGTAAAGATAATCAAAAAAGAAGTCAAAAATGGGATATATCTCGAGGACGCTAACGTCCATCGGCAAGTAGATATATTCAAAGCCATGGACCATCCAAATATCCTAAGGATGTATGAGTTTTTCGATAGCAAAACTGAGTACTTCCTGGTACTTGAGTACATGGATGGTGGTGATTTGTGCGACAAAATCACTATAACTCATGCATCGTTATCGATTGTCATCATTGAAATTTAGCCGCTATAATTGACTTGATGTCTCCCCCATCTAGAGCAATCATCATTTAGATAGCATTCAGAGTTAAATAAAAATTTTGTAGCTTTAAGTTATTTTATTCTTATTTTATATTATTTACAAATAAATGATTCTTCTCTTGCTTTATATTAAAAGTAGCGATTTTGTGTAAAAATGGCTTAGGCACAACTTTGGGATCAAAAGTGTAAAATAGGTTGGCAAATAAACGAGCCAATATTTAAAATGGCATTATTCTAAAATTAATTTTAAATTAGGATATCTTGTTAGTTTAGCATAGATGTATGAATTCCTTAAGGTCTCATTTAAATTGACTCTAGCAAAATTAAAAATGACCATTTAATGAAATTCCAAAATTTATTTTCTATTGTATTTTGTGGCCGGTTTAATTTTAAAGAAAGCATTAACAAATTAAATTTAATTAATTGAACTTAAATTTACTATAGTAGCCATGGGAGATGAATACACAAAGGTCTTAAAGCCTCATATTAATTGCATCTAACAAAATGTATTTTTAAAAGACATATTTTTAACAATTTAAAATTAATTTTATAACAAATGCCATTTTAAATATTAGCCCGTTTATTTGCCAACCTATTTTACACTTTTGATCCCAAAGTTGTGCCTAAGCCATTTTTACACAAAATCGCTACTTTTAATATAAAGCAAGAGAAGAATCATTTATTTGTAAATAATATAAATAAGAATAAAATAACTTAAAGCTACAAAATTTTTATTTAACTCTGATGTTATCTAAATGATGATTGCTCTAGATAGAGGAGAAATCGAGTCAATTATAGCAGTTAAATTTTCAATGATGACAATTAATAGCAGTGCATGAGTTATAGTGGATTCGAATTTTCGGAAAAATTAGCACGAAGTGCTATGAAACAAATTTTATCAGGAGTAAGTTACTTACATAAGAAAAAATTGGTTCATAGAGACTTGAAGCCTGAGAATATACTCATAGGTGGAAATGTAAAGAATGACGATATCACAATAAAAATCATCGATTTCGACTTTACAATTAAATGCCCTGAGGATACTAACTTGAAACAAATTGCTGGGACTTTAGATTATATGGCTCCTGAGCTTTTCGATAGATCATATAATCAAAAGGCTGATTTATGAAGCTGCGGAGTTATCATGTACGCTCTATTAACTGGCTACAATCCTTTCCAAGGAAAAAATGACGCTGATACAATAAAGAAAATTAGAAGAGGGAAATTTCATATTGAAGGTCCTCATTGGGATGGAATTTCAAGCGACGCAAAAGACTTGCTGACGCGTCTACTAACTAAAAATCCAAACCAAAGAATTTCAGCTGAGGAAGCATGTGCTCATCCATGGTTTAAAGCTGATTGGAAAGAAAAAGAAAGTGATGATGATCTAGCAAATATTTTCAATAAGCTAAAAAGTTATCAAAGATCTTCCAAGTTCAGTGAATCGTTGAGTACCTTTATTCTAAGTCAGGTAATGAGCTATAAGCACTTTATGAGCATCCAGTCAGCCTTTCACTCATTAGATCTTAACTCTGATGGAGTCATCTCAGAATCAGAATTATTGAATTTCACGAAGTGCTTTATATCTCGATCCCTGCTTTGGATCGGGCTCTACGGTAGCTCACGATGCCATATGGGGACTTGGCAAAAAACGCTTGTTGGTGAATCTAACTCCTCAGATGATAAACCCTCTTGTTATTGGAGATTTGCCATCTGAAGAATATGGATTACTAAAAGATGTTGGTTCCACAAGTTCTTATATAATATAGGGAGATGTCGTAGAGCCCGATCCGAAACAGGGATAGGGCTATATTGAAGACATTCCTGAAAAAGCCTCAAAAGAAATCATGAGTCAAGTGGACACTGACGAGAATGGGGTGATCGATTATTACGAATTTTTAAGAGCTTGCGCTGATCCAAAAGAAATTCTTTCGAAAGCTAATTTAATAAAAGCTTTGAGAATGTTCGGACACGGGGAAAACGGGAAAGTATCATGCTCAGATTTAAAAAAGTGGCTTAAAAGTGATTCGAATTTAAATCAAGAATGCATCAAAGAAATTATTGAAGAATTGGATCCTCATGGAAAAGGATGCTTTTTGCCTGGAAGCTGTGAAAATCATAAGCTCGAGAATCAAAAACTGAATTTTGCAATGATAGTATAGATACTATATATAAATTTAATAATTAACCTGATATTTATATATAACATTTTAAGCATAAATTTCATATAATTAAGCTTTGTGACGCGATTAAAAAGGAATTTCAAGCATAAAGCTACATATCTTGTCAAATTATTTAATTCATATAAGAATTGCATTAATTTGACTAATAGTTATAAGCATAGATAAAATTAAATATTCAGAATTTTATTTATATAGGATTACAAACTATAATTATGGAAACAAAATCAAAAAGCTCATTAAAAAAGCTGTTTAGAAAAGGAACCAAACGCAATACATGTGCTTATTGTGATGAAGCTCCTAAACACAAGTGCATATCATGCGAAAATAATGTTTGCAGTTTCCATTCATGTGTTCGAAAAATCAACAACAAAAAAATTCTTATCTGCGACAAATGCCATTACTCTGACGTTCAAGAACAACTAAGAGCTGAACGAGAAGCTGAGCTTTCAAAAACTCGTGAGGTTTTGCGAAAGATGCTTGAAAACAACAACAAATTAATCGAAGATGCCAATAATGAAGAAATCAAAGCTTCAGAAATCCAAAACAAAATCGCGAACTTTGATGCTTTAACAGACAAAGTTGCAAATGAAAAAAGAGAGTCAATCAAAGAAATTCTGCTTGAGCAGCAACAAAATTGAAAGTGCTATACAAGCTTAAAAGAAGCATTAGACCGAAAGAAATCAGTATATGACACTTCACTTCAAAAATGGCAAAGCATCCAAGAGCAGATTCTGAACCATAAAATTGAGATAGAGAGAATCAAGAGCGAGACTGAAGAAAGATCAATCCATATAGGAGTTTTGAAGGAAAGAGAAGTCACTAGTGTAAAACCCGAAAGATTGCTGATGATTTTGTGTAGAAGCTGTCAAGACAAATGATTTGGAAATTCTGAGGCAGCGAGAAAATCGTTTCTTGGAGACATGGAGCAGCAGCAGAGGAATAATAAAGTTTGTTGTGAAATATGGTAAATTTATATTGAAAAAATAAAATTTAATGGCAAAATAAATGCTTATCAAAATGGCTTAATTAATCAGGATTTTTAGGAGCTATATCGCCTTTTTCCACCCACCTAGTGTGATGCTTCTCTTCATAAATATTCCACATTTCAGAAGAAAATTCAATTGGTCCTACTTTATCGCTCACTCCCCCCCCCTTTAAATTGAAACAAAAAATTTTGTTTCAATTTAAAGGGGGGTTAAGAAAATTTTTTATAAAAAAAAATTTATATATAAACAGTTTTTCAGAGATAAAATTTTATAGAAAATAAATTATATAAATTAAAGAATTTCATGAAAAATTAATTCATAAATTTCTCAATCTCAAAGTGTAAACTTGCTGAAATGGTATTCTTCTAACTCTCCCCATAACAATTGGACAAAATAGAGTTTAATTTCTAAATCTTATATGTTTGAAGTATATTAAATAGGGTATTAACGTATTTACATATAAAATAATGATTTTTACCTATAAAATTTTCTATTATAATAAAATCTTGTTTCAATTTAAAGGGGGGTAATTTCCCAAAAAAAGTAGGAATTTTACCTATATTTTGTTTCAATTTAAAGGGGGGGAGTCAGCAAAAACCTCAAAAATTTGGCGACCATCAGGGGACTTAATTTTTCAAGACTTTTTGCTTCAGGCACCTTTTGCCCTGCATATTCACTTAGAGCTGTCTCAACTACTCCAGGATCCATCCATCCAACAGAAACTTCAGGAATCTCTGCTTTAATTACTTCATAAACCATATTTTGGGCTGCTTTAGAAATGCAATAAAATGACAGCGGTATCAAATAGCTTTTAGAGTCTCTGCTTGATATAAATAAAATTCTAGCATCCTCTGTGTATTTAGATCTCAAATCCCTTGCTAAAAAAAAGTGTGAGCCTGCGTTGGTGTTCATAACTTTATCCCATTCATCCCATCCTGGCATTTCATCCCATGTTAAGCCTTCAATTGCAGCATTCAAGATTAAAAACTGGACTTTGTGCTCAATGCAGTCAAGTATGGCTGAGAGGCCTTCTTGGGTGCTTATATCAGCATCTACTAATTTAATGTTTGATGAAATAGATGAAAATTCAGATTCTTGAGAGCTTATACCACGGGCAATTGCAATAATAGGAAGCGATGGGTAAGAGGAGGCTAATGAAATTACCAGAGATTTACCTATGCCTTTGCTTGCCCCAACAACGATTGCACAACCTGTCATTTTTATTTCAGATTAGAATTGATGAATTAATTAATGGATCAAAATAGTCTAAAAATATTTGCGCCATTTAAAAAATATAGAATTTCAATTAAATATGCATGAAAATAAGCTACCCTTGCTGGCCAGGGAGAAATAAAATGGTGACGTTGACGGAAATTGGACTCCGAGGCACACCTCCTATGGAGCTGGTAGGACCCATTTCTGATGAAGCTGAAATATAGGGCCTCGCTCCCTGTCTTAAGTAGCCCTTCAGAGGTGGGGAAGCCGTGCCGAAAAGGAAGTTTTATTTCTCCCCCGAAGGTTTTCTGTCCCTGCAGATGGGCTAGACAGGTTTTGCCTACCACATGGTCTTCCCTCAGCGGGGCCATCGGGGCACTCTCCAAAAAGTGGCTCTGCCCTGAGGAGCTGATCCTATGATCAGGTGGTTCAGAACAGAAATCAAGATGGCGTCCGGCCAGGAGTATGGTCACATCAGAACCCGACCGAAAGCATCTTTCGAGCTGAGGTGTTGTGTTCCGCTGGCTCGCCCACGTATTGCCATTTAAAACTAATAACTAAACTAACTACTTTGTTGGCCAGGAGCTTCATCTCCTTCTTCTAACCACCTAGGTTGATGATGCAAATTATAGATACTCCAAATTTCATCTGAGTACTCTTTTGCGTTAACTTTTTCACTCAAAATGAACTTCAAAAATTTAGCAGCAATGCTTGGATCAATTGCAATCCTCTCGTTAAACCCAGGTATTTTTCCAACTTGCACATGGTACATATCAGTTTTGACCAAGCCAGGATGCACTGCAGCCACCAAAATTCCTTTTAATTCCTTTTTCATAACTTCATAAACCATATTCAAGGCTTTTTTTGAGATAGCATAAAATGGATAAGGAACTTTATACGCTTCTCCCACCGAAGAAGTTAAATACAAAACCCTTGCATCAGCAGTAAATTTACTCTGAAGCTCTCTTGCAATGAAAAACGCACCTTTGGCATTGACACTCATTACGCGGTTAAAATCGTCTGGAGAGCCCATTTCATCAAAAGAGGGGCCTAGGATGCCTGCCAAATAAATAAGGTATTTGACTTTCCATTGGAGGAAATCAATTATGGATTGGATTCCTTGCTCAGTTCCGACATCGGCGTTAAGACAATGAATATTTGAATTTTGGGAGGTGAATTCTGATTCTTTTAAACAAATTGTGCGGGATACAGCAACTATTGGGGTGTCAGGAAATGAGGAAGCAAGATTGAGAGTTAAGGCTTTACCTATTCCTCGACTTGCACCTATGATTAGAAAACAATGTGATGCCATTGCTATTTTTATGTCAGAATTGCTAAATATGGTGAAAAATGTCGATGCCATTTTGAGGTGAATTCTTAAACAACTTAATTAACCTTATTATTAGCTTTATGGAATTAACCATCAGAGAAGACGATAGGTATGATAAAAGATGCATGGGAGATAATTTTCTGATTCTAAAACTGCAATTTTAATTATAAAAGTATTAAGCAACATAAAAACAAAATTGATTCTTGAAATTAGACAATAGTAATATGATTGCAAATGAACTATATGCATTGAAGCAAATAATTATTAATTATTTAGTTTGATCACGACTTCCAAAAAAATCTTCTACACTTTCCCAGCCATCAGCTTTTCTCATTATTGGCATTACTCTTTCGCTGGATGGCCCCATGTTATTTCTTGGTTTTCCTGTTTTTGATTTGCTTCTTCCCCTTGAAGAAGACAAAGTGTCTTTTGGCGAAATTAATCTTGAAGTAGAATTGATTTCAGGCTCTGATAAATCGAGCTTTAGATTTTTCTTTCTTTCTTGCAGTTTTGCTTTGCTAGTATCAACTTTTAACTGAGGATTACTAGCAGAGAGCTTAAGTGTTTTTGGCGTGGGTTTATTCGTAAGATTCATCGTTTCATTGATTTGCTGATTCAGCTTAGAAATTCGCAAATTTTGATGAGATAAAGACTCAAGCAAGGTTTGGCTTTCGTCCATCAGCTTGTGGTAATTTTCGTCGTTGATACTTGTCGATAGATATGAATTGGCGTGAGCAAAAGAATTTGGCGTATTTGAAGAAGCTGGGCTAGTAGAAGGCTGGGTTTTTATGGCTCGTTTTGTTTTTGGAGTTGAAATTTTATGATGGTCCTGCTCAATATTATAACGCTTTTGCCGTGAGTCTTGCCTTTTTTCTGGGCTTTGACGGGGATCTGAATCTAAATTATAAGTCTTTTTTTGGCGCGTTTCTGATTTTTGTATCATAATTAGCTCTTCTATAAACCTCAGCGTCTTAAGAAATGCTTTGTCTCATTGCCCGCCTTCAAGCAAGTCTTTAAAGTCTGAAGGAGTTGCAAAGCTTTTTTTGAACGCGAAGTTTAACAATTGAAATTCTTGTATATTTCTTAAAATATACATCCCAACCGCCATAATTTCATCTTCTATTCCTTCTCGATAATTGCAATACTCATTTTTGCCAGCCTCAGGAACTCCAAACGTATCTCTCCACGGATTTCTATCGTCTCCCTCACTTTGAATTTTTTTAATTTTTTCAGACAGTTCCTTAATTAGTGCATCTCTGCTAATAATTTGTTTTCTCAATAATTCAATATCGCTCTGAGCAAATTTCAAATCCTTCAGTTTTTCTTCCAAGTATTCGCTTCTCATCAAAGCTTCATCTCTTGACCTTTTAAATTCTATAGCTTTATTATACAGTTCGTCTCTTTTTTCTAACGAATCTGCGAGTGCTGATTTTAATTTAGCTTTTTCTTCTCTGAGGTTGTCAGCAACAGTTTCTGCTCTTTTGATATCGGCTTGCATGCTCTTAAGGAGTTCCTAATTTATAATTACCTTGTCAATATCATACATTAAAATTGCGACTCGTGCCAACTTGCTCTCTTGGTGCAACAGTTTAGACCTTATGGCTATGGCGAACTGGGATAGATTCCGAGCCGAAAAGCAATTGTATGCTCAAGAGATGTATATCTGATAGATTTTGGCTGCTTTCCTGTGGTTGGAGGTGCCTAACAATGTTTTTGGATTCAACGACCCATGAGCATTCCTCTACCGAGAAGCTAAGGGTTTCACCTAGGCCGCAAAGCTGCAGTCTTTTTCATGTAGCTTTCGAAGGAAGGCACTTTTATACCCAACAGACTTCAAGGATCCATGGAATCAAGCAGCTCCAATCGGCTGTAGCATGATCTAAGAACTCCAAAAGCTACCCAATCAAGACTGAAGTCTCAAAGCAAGGAGGAGGCAGAAGGCACCAGAAGCGGCACCAGCTTTTAGGGGATAGACCCTCTGAGCTGGAGTCGAAAAGCTGTAGAACCTCTCATATAAGGGTAGGTCTTTGGTGGCTGCGTCACCAATATGGCTAGCGCCTGACTTGAAATAGCCTAACCTAACATTGTCAATATCAACTGATCTTTCAAATTCATCTCTTAATCGCCTGGTCTTGCGCTGTGCTGAGACTTCTAAATCAGGAGAATAAAAGCTTACGTTTTTACTCATAATTTTGATTAAATTACTTTCAAAAGAAGGAATTATTTACAAATAAATGGATCCAGAGCTCCTTGAAATTGTGAGTCCAAAAGATTACTATGAAGCTTTCCTTAAAGAAGGATTCAGGCCTGATTATCGAAAAATAAACAAACCAAGGAAGTATGCAATTTCGATGTGTAATTGACATTTAGTGGAAAATGGGGTTTTAGTAAGAATCGGAAACACTGCAGTTATATGTGAGCTAGTTGATGGGAAAGGCATTGAAGGATGGAGTGACATCTCATATTTAGGAGAAGTGAATAAAAAAACGAGAATAAGGACTTTGGTAGATGATGGAAATTTGATTGAAGCTGTGGGCCTTGCTTATCAGATTGCAATTGATAGCCCAAGCATACTTTTCCCTTTTACATTTTCTGAGCTTTTTGGATACATTAATTATTTAGTCAGCCTCTTCCACAGGATTATTTAGGCACGCGTCGGCCCATCCTTTTAAGTCCAACCTAGAGGCTTGCGGGCAATTCCAGCACCAAAAGGGCCCGACGTTATGAGTTCCGATGTTGCCAAAATGGTGAGGATACTCCTAAACAGCAGTTCTATGAGTGACCAGAAGCCACACGGTAGCATTGCTTCGCCTATAGCTTGACTCCTGCGCGTGCTCCGCCTAAGAGTTGCCTTCTTCAAATAGGTCAAGAAGTAAACTCAATACGTCTCTAAATTCTTTGAGCCTGAATGTCTAACCCTATGCGATAAGCCATATTTGACATTGTGGATATAGGTGCACCAGATAAACCGAGCATCATAATAAAAAAATGCAAGGAAAGGCTTTGGGAGAAAACCATTTCCGAGCGTAGTCCTTTTATTATTAGCTTGCTGGATACACAATCAGAGATCCAAGAAAATGTGAGGAAAGATTATCCGAATCCCAATTAACCATTTTTCTTAATGAAGAAAAATGCCTTATACAGAAAAACTACTCAAAGCCAATTTCGCTTGCAGATTTAGAGAAATTAGTGAGTGAATGCTCAGGGTTGATAATTGCTGCAAAAAGGAATCTTTATGAATTGAAACAAAGCAGATCATTTGCAGGAAAATTTTACTCGACAAAGAGCTAAGTAAGGAATTAATAATGATTGAAGAATTTGATAGTTATATAGAAATATTAAATGTGCCGCATTAATAATTAAGTTTATTAAACTTGCGTAAGTGATAAATCTTAATTCATAGAGCAAAGTATTTTTGCACGATTTTTAATAATATATAACAAAAATTAGAATATGGCAACTCCTACTCGATCACGACCCCCTGCTTTGGTTTCTCCGGGTTGACATCAAAATATCGTCATTTGGCATTTTTCATGAACTTTTTCATCCTATTAAATTACAAAAAACTTTGATTTTTCCTAAAATTACGATATGACGATATATTTTTATATCAACCCAGTTTTGGGTTTCTCCAAGAGGTGCTTCTCTTGGAGTAAGTCATTCGCAGCAGTTTGCTAGAAGCAGCAGTCCTTTTACACAAGAATCTCAGCTGAAGCGTCAACTTTCAGACTCTCGCAAAGATTTGAAAATCCTAATAAGCGAAGTAACCAAAATAAAAGAAACTGAAGCGCAAGAACTTGGCGAGATTTGAAAATTAGTCAATTTAATTAAAGGAGACATTGGAGGATTCAAGAAATGAAATAATGCAACTGAACGACCTCAAGATACCCAAAATCGGTCAGAATTTGGTTTACTTGCAAATCAAATAAATAGTTTGAAAGCACAAATAAAAGAAATTAAAGAGCAAACTGAAACTAAAGGAAGGGTCTGGAGAAGTCATGCGAATAGTGAAGAGCATTTGTATTTGGCAGAGAATGAGAGAAAGTCTGCGATTGCAAAGGGTAAAAAATAAAAAATACATTAATTTTGTTTGTCTTAAAAATATATAATTATAATTAATAGCTGCATTTAGGAAATCAAAAAATAGATATATATCACTATTTTTATTATCTATAATTGACCAAGGCGACCTATTAAAAATTGCGAGCATATAGGAAGTCTTCTCTATTAAGCAGATAGCTTAAATTCCATATAAAGTATAGTATTGTTAGAAAAAATATATAAGTTTACTCATATTTGGGTCAAATTAATTCCTCAACTTAAACTTGAGATTGCAGTTTTCACTTGTTATAAATTTTAAATTAGAAAACTTTTTAAAATATTTGATATATAAGCATTTAATTGCTAGAAATACTTTGATTTGCATAGATACTTCAAAATTAACATTTCTTGAACCGATTAAATAATTGCCCTATAATTCAATATTAACCATTCAGATGAGAATTCATGTCAATATGATCCGAACAGACATGGAGAAATTCCTAACTCCCCTCCCCATCGTGAGCGAGCAAAACCCATTAGAAAAATCCTTATTTTTTGCCAAAAAACCCATTCTCTGTGAGCGAACAAAAATTTTTTTATGGAAAAAATTTTGATATATAAGTGATAATTATTATAATGAAAGCTCGAGATAATTCTGTTTAATTTTAAACAAATTGCGTTTTAAAAATATAAATTTTACAAATTAAATTAATATTTACTTTCTAATTTTTGCGAATTAGGATTTTTTTAAATTCGAAAAAAAAATTCTATAAAATTTATATATAGATTTTTTTAAAAAAAAAATTAATCCCCTCCGTGAGCGACAAGATTTTTTGTTCGCTCACGGAGGGGGGAGTAAATAATTTTAATTAAAAAAAGTCGAGATTCAAATCAAACTCAGCATCTCAATCGATGCCAATTATTAACTGGAAATAATCCATGTTTATCTGTTACAGATTTTATATTGTAATAAATATCACCATTATGAAGCTAATCGAAAACAAATTCTTCTCCTCAAAGAAAGCATTGATTCTGCCTTTTGCTTTATTTCTAGCGAGCCTCTTTTTAATGCTTATATCTTTGACCGAGAGGAAATGAGCGGTGCTTGATGAAGGCACCTCAACATATGAGATGAGTCTTTACCGGTGTAAAAATTGTCCTGACTATTATGGACGCTGGAGCTGGAACTGCTTTTCAGACTACACTTGCAATTCTGACCCTGGGATAGGCAGCTGCAGAGTTTATAGTAATGGGCTGAAAGCAGCCAATTTCTATTTTGCCTGTGAAATGGTCGCTATCATGTTTGGACTTATGGTGATAGAAAAATTAATTTTGGCCTTTTTCAATAAAGACTATGGGTCCAAAACGTTTTTATTTTCACTTGCGACAGGCATGCTTATAACTCATACACTCGGGATTAAATCGTGGCTTATAATAAACAATGCCAAATGGACTAAACTGCATAGAAGATGCACCTTTGATGAGCCTTGCATTTATGCAGAAACTGGTCCTGCAATCTCAATAATCAACATATTCCTTTGTGCTTTGGCAGGGCTTTCATTAATTCCTACAATGTGGAAGCATAGCAGTCCTTCCTCTATAGACTGCATGCCTTTTAATAGTTATATCAGAAAATTCAAAGTTGAATCTTGGCTGAAGATTATAGGGTCGCTATTTGTGACTGCATTTGTTACAGTGATTGTCGCAATAAATTATCTAGAATGGGTCCGAAGATATTATAAAGATAGCTCTTGGAAAGGATCTTTAGGTTATTGCCATACCTGTGATAAAAATATCCAAAATTTAGATTGAGAGTGTTTAGCTTCACGTGAATGCTTATCATCTCTCGCATCTGGCAGCTGTGAGCTCTATACAAATATGTTTAATGCTTACAGATGGTATCTAGCGTTTGAATTCTTAACAGCAATCTGTTCAGTTTTCTTCCTCCAAAATTATGTATATTTAATTTTCCAGAAAACTTATGGCTCAATAGTGATGAGTTATGTAATTTTTTACTTACTTCTCATTTTTTTAGCGATTAGTTCGTTTTGCTTTCATTTTTCGGATCCTAGAGCCTCTAATTTAATTCATAAAATTAAAGGTTTAGAATGCTTCGAAAATTTAACGTGAATTGCTTTATTATTATATTTTTTTTATATCTTTACTCCCCCCGAACAAAAAAATTTTGTTAGCTCATGGCTAATGTTTTTTAAAAGAATTTATATATAAATTTTATACAAAAATTTTTTCGAAATTTAAAAAAATTCTAATTCGCAAAAATTGGAAAGCAAATATTAATTTAAATTGTAAAATTTATGTTTTAAAACGCAATTTGTTTAAAATTAAACAGAATTAGCTCGAGATTTCATTATACTAATTATCACTTATATATCAAAAATTTTTTCCATAAAATATTTTCTATTAAAAAAATTTTTGTTCACTCACGGAGAGTGGGTTTTTGGGCAAAAAATAGCGATTTTTCTAATGGTTTTGTTCACTCATGGAGGGGGAGTTAATAGAAACCAAAAATTTATATTAAAATAGTTGCTTAAACGAAGCAGGCTAATTTTCATAAAAAGAGAGATTCTTATAGACTTTGCTCACTTAGACTTATGCAATCGCGCTTTCTGTATTCCATTTTATCGCGATGATAATTTGGTTCGTACAAAGCGATTCTGAGTTAACTGGAAGCTGTCATGGAAAAGTAAATGCCACTGATGAAATAGCCATGTGTTTCTCTTATGGTCCTTATGCACTTATAATTTCAAATTTCATCACAATTTCCATGACTGTGATTTTTTGTTATGTTTTTAGCAGAAGATTTAGTGCAGAGTTCAAATCAATTGAAGAGCTTAAAGAAGATTCAAATAACAATGAGCGTACTCCAAAAACTGCCGGTGAAGACTTTGACAGTAAGATTTAAGAACTTTTTTTATTAATAACTTTAAATTATCCTTAACCAATTTACATTATCAAATTTTTTAATATGATTATGAATTGGTATTTTAATATGCAATAATTATTTATTAGAAAAAAAAAATTTGAATTGAATAGCCCAATCATCGGATATTAATATCTTTTTTGTTCTATCAATCCTAATTAATTGAAATTGAGAATTCATATTTGCTAAATAAACATATTTATAGCTAATCAATTTAATATGCCAACCAAATTTAATTTAATAAATGGAAGCTGCTAATAAAAAGACCTGACCTAAAAGGGTACTTCTCGCACCTATCTTTTCAACTTCAATTTGTCTTTTCCTTATGATCATTTCTGCATTTTACCCCAGCTGATCAACTCTCAGTCAAAATGAAATTTCATATCAATTTAGTCTTTTCAGCTGCCAGAATTGTGAGCCTATGTACAGTGGATGGAGTTGGCAATGCTTTTCTAACGTATGCGATTCCGATGATACTATTGGAGACTGCCAAACTTATTCAAAAAGCATGAATTCATCTTATGCTTATTTTGTGCTAGAAGCGTTTTCCTTTATTACTGGACTGATTTTAATTGAAAAATTAATATTGCTTATGGACGGCAAAATGCAGTCCAAAAATACAATATTTTATTTACAGTCATTTATCATGGCAGCTAGTCATATGATTGCTATTTCTGCTTGGCTTAATTTAAATGAGGCAGATTTTATTTCATATAAGCCCCTGGTTGATGCTGACGACGTTTCACTTCAATCAGAAACTGGGCCAGAAATTGCAAAAATTAATTGTTTAATGTGCATATTGTCTTTCATCCTATTGGTGACTGTGCTGCATAGACAGCCTACTTTAAAATCCATTGAGAGCTCTACCGATATGCAAATGAATTTTAGAAAATATAAATTTGACTACTGAATGTGGATCGTCGGGTTTCTTTTTGCATCTGGCGTAGTAACCATCATTATAGCACTATCAAATAGATGGGTTTTGAGAAATTCAGACAGCAGTCTTTGAGAAGGTGGTCTTTCAAATTGCTATAACTGCGAAAAAGATTTTTCCTATATAAGTTGAGGATGTTTATCATCTTTCTATTGCTCCATTGACTCTTCTGCAGGCACTTGCAATCTTTATAAGCATTTATCTAAAGCCTATGAGGCTTATGTTGTAATTGAATGTCTTGGACTTATCAGTTCAATATTTTTCCTTAAAACTTATTTCCACCTCATCAATAAAAGAGACTATGGACTCTCTGCTATGAATTATGTAAAACTTATATAGTGTTGGGCAATCTGCATAGCAATGTTCAATTTCACTGCTACAGTTATCTGGTTTAACCAAAGCAAAGCAAAGTTAGCAAAGACTTGTGATTCTCCTGCAGATATTCATGAAGAGCCTGCCATATGTTCGTCTTATGGGCCTTATACAATTTTGATATCAAATGCATTTTTTATACCAATGGCAATCATATTTTGCTTTGCGTATTATAAAAGAACTGACGAGTCTAGGCAAGTAATGCTAGCAGAAACGCAGCAAAAGCAAAGTGATTCATTTTCAGATAAAGGTGGAAATAATTAAATCGATATTTACTTTAATTAATTTATATAGAATCCTAATTTCTCGTACCTAGATCGAATGACTGCTATTGCTCGATGAGGATGGGACCAAAAATTTTGGGCAAATTTATATAATTATTTTATTTTACTGTACTTTTTAAAAAAGAGAGCTAAGAGGTAGTAAATATTAGGATTAAAATAAAATTGCTAAATTATTAAGAAGCCATTAATTGCTATGCAAACTATAAGGATTCATAAATTATAAATATTTTAATCTATTGACTTATTATATAAAATTTTCGTAGCATATGAAATTGTCTGTTTAAGGATGGATTAAATTTCTAAATCTGATATAGAATCATTGAATATGGTAAGGGGAATTATGGAAAGAAATAGCCATTATAGACCTTTAATATTCATTGGAGTATCTGTATAAACACTTATTTGAGCTATGAGAGACCATGAGATTTTAATAAAATTTTATAAAATGAGTGATTTTGAAATTTTCTAAAGCTGTATTGCATATATGATAATCAGAATATTTTTTATAAATTTTAATTAATCATGTCTTACCAAGACTTTACCTTGTGGCTAACTTTAATCGATTTTTGAGCTCTATCATAAGTTGCATTGAAAGGTCTTTGCAAAGTGCTTGCATATCTCTCCATCAAAATTTTGGCTTCTCTGAAATCTTCACAAAACCAATACATGCTCTGCAAGTCTTTTCTGTGATACTTTACGTTGCAAGCTTGGAAAGGATCAAAATGTCTTAGTTCAGGATGAATGCTGAGTGCGTGATGAATTTCATCAACCGAGCTTAAAATTCTTGCTCCATATACTCTTCGGTCTCCAGCTGGATTCATAATTAGTCCAATTTCAATTGAATAGAAATAAAGGTTCATCAATTTCTCGATGTCTTCTTCAGTAGCGCCTAAAGACGCAAGTCCAATTTCTTGCACAAATTCAGCAAACTCTGGATCCGCTAAAATTGGAGCATGTCCTATTACTTCATGTGCCACATCTGGGTCTATGCTGAAATAAGGTTGTGAATGATGTCTCATGTGGATAGTTGTAGGGAATACTCTGAATGCCAAACAATTCAAGAAATCACGATCCTTTTCCATGCCTGAGATTGGCTTGAGCTGAAACCCAGTCTTCCCCATCAGATACTTGTTGACATTTGCAATCTGTGGAACTTCGTTTTCGGTTATAAGCCCTTTATTTTCCATTTCCTTGAAATTGAGTAAAAATTCCTCACATGCTATTTTTTTATAAAGTGGCGACAAGGCATGATAAATTGTTTGCCATGTCTGAGATTCTTCGTTAGTATATTGAATAATAGGAATTTTGCTGCTTAAAGTGCAGCTTCTGATGATATTTCCAAGTTCTTGCCTTCTAGCCCAATAAACCGGATCATTGACGCCTGGATGATCGCTATGCAGAGGTCTTACCAGTTGCTGCATTCCATCAATATCATTAAAGCGCCTTGGAAACCATGGGACTTCAAGGCTCCCTAGTAACGTGACGTCACCACAAACTTTTTTGATTTTCTGGCATACATAAATAAAATGGCATTTGGGTCGAGTGAAATTAGCTCCGCTAATTTTCTCTCCCTCAAGCAATTTTATTTATGGGGTTGGGTTTTCTTTTGAGAACTTCTATACAGCAACAGCAGTTTAACTCTGGCAGATAAGCCGCCGAGGCATTGCTCTAAGTACATCAAGAGGATTGAAGTTTTACCCTTCAGCACACACCTAAGAAAGGTGACCCTTAGGCGGAACACGTGCAGGAGCTGAGTCTTAATTACGAGATTATCAGCTACTAAGCTGTTAGTTTTGATGCAGTCACTCAGACCCGAAGGTTCCTCCGCTTTGCGGTGCCGCCTACAGGACTCCAACTTAATGGCTAGCCTGTTCTGTTGAACGTCTCCTCCTTGCAAGCTACAACCTTGCTCCAGTGTTGAGTGGGCAGATTTAGGAATTCTGCGGCCCTTGCTTGACGCTGTGGGATATAAGGTTGTCCACACAGAAAACCCAAAAAATGGATTTTTCTGATCGACTTTCGGCAAAAAGGAAAAGTTGAAGCCCAGGGCGAAACTCCTGGTTTCTCGCTAGCGGCATTGCCCGATGGCTTGGGTGTTCCCTGCAGGCATAGCTGGGCGCCTCCTTTCCAACTTCAACCCTCCTTTACCCTTGAGGAAAAAATCAACTCCGAAAGCGGACTAGGGCTAGGCTCCTGCCTCCTGTGGGAATTGCTTACCTAACATAGCTGTCCATTTCTTCGTTGGCAAAACCTTGCCGGATATACTTTAAATAGGGCTCGAGACTGCTTGGCCGGGGAGGCCAAGCCTAAGTTGAGACGCCATATTTTAAATTACATGCAGGAGCTGAGTCAAGGCAACGCAGCCGTCGAATTCGGAACGCTGTGTTTGCCTGTGCCCTGGCGCAACGAAATAAATCGATCCAGAGGTCCATGGCCCGACACATGGACAAATATTGTGGCAGCTCTGGAAACGGCTACCCCGTAGTGGACGTTAAACGTTATAAACTTAATAAGATAAAACAAGATTTTTCTGGCATACATTTTCCAACGAAGAGCTGGTTGGAGTTTCAACATCGACTATAAAAGTAAACCCTTTATCGGCGTCTATTAGAGATGCAGGCCTTGATTCAATGTGAGTTAAATTCAATTTGCTGTCAAGGATGGACTGAAGAACTTGATTGAGGGAGCCAGAGTTGCTTTTTTGGAGGGTGAACATAAAAGCAGCCATGTCAGTAATTTCAAATGGAGCTTTTGCGGAGCTTGACATGCATCTTTGAAGAGCTCGGTATAGCATTTTTATTTTTATAACCATCGTCATTTTTAGATAAAAAACGGATATTAAATATGAAAATGAAAACCGATATATGAGGTATTGGTAGTAACTCATCTTCAAAATCATAAATTATATTGAGTTTTCTAGCTATTTTATATGTCACTTATTTCTAACTTAAAGAATTAACACTATTTTATAACCCATACATAGCAACTTGCAAAAAGGATATAATTAGGAAGCCAAGCTTACTTATGCTTAAAGCATTTTATATTTGTCTATATTCCTTATATTTTTTGAGATTATTTAGAGGAAACATTAAAAATAAAAATTTGTCCATTATTGATATTCCATAATGTATAGATGTATAGTCTAATTATATATAAGTATATTATAATAAAAACAAAATTTAGGAATTAAAATATCATGTGTTGCACAAATATCTGAATGTACTAGGCATGTGGATCAATAAACTATAAAAATTTACAGAAGTTTTAATTCTTCTAACTAAATTAAAGTATTTTTGATTGTATAAAATTATCAGCTATTATATAGTTTACACTTTAAGAACTTATATGAGTGATAATTGCATGCTTACGAGATAGTTTTCTGCTTAAACTTTATAAATACTTTATTTATGAGCAAGAGCATAAGCTGCCTAAAATGATAATTTAAAATGGAAGAAACTCCTATACAAAGTTCTTTTCACGAGTTCGAGTGTGCTTGAATAATTTCTCATCTTTGAAAAGATCAAGCTCTATTTCCTACAAAGCTTTCTCTATTAGATACTCTTCTGGCTGATCGCAGTTCCTCGATGGGTATGAAATGATACTATACTGATTCCAAAGGATTTATAAGAAAAAGATCTGATGATTTAACAAAACTCGATATTTTATTATCACGTTTCACAGGGGAACCTCTACCAAAAAAAGCTCCTTTGAATTTAATTTCTCCGCATCATAACCTAGATAACTATAATGGGATAGTTGCAACTTATATTTCTCACAACCAAATGCAGCCTCTTTTAAAAAGTTTAGCCATTTCAAAAATCGCAGGAGGCGGCTTGGGCACCTCAGAAGCTATTCAGCTGTTTATCAAAACTCGTGGAGAGCCATCAAGTCGGCTGCTAGTTGAATATAAAAAAAGCGATGGAAAAAGCTTATATACATATTACAAAACTTATGAGCAGCAAGAAAAAGCAATAAAAGTGCCATTCAATGGAATAAAGTACCAAAGTGATCTTAAAAAGATGTGCGACTGCGCTATCGAAGCAATAGAAAAAAATTCTGAATATAAAATTCAAAAAATTATTTTATGTTTTTTGGAAGACGAAAATAGGAATTTATGATTAGTTGGAAGCAAATACTGCTTAGCGCAAAAAGTTATCACAGTGAAAAATAGCTCTGCTGAAGTATCAAAAGACGCTCTGTCTCCTGGATCAAGAAGTCCAGCTTTGAGCATTTTTAATTCTCTTGCCACACCGAAAGGGAATTTTTCATTTATGTCGAAAAATGTTACATACAACATGCAGAAAAATCGTATATTTAGAAATAACAAAAAGCCATGCCCAGGAGATTTTTGTAATTATATAATTAAGAGTGAAGCGCAAATTGAAAAAAGCGACACTGAAATCGAAGATCTTTTTACTGAAGTTCGCAAGCTCTATCAGGGAGGAAGAGAAAAAGAAATTAGCAACGTGAAATTGTCATTGAGAGTTGAATATTTATTAAAAGAAAGAAATAAGAAAAAGGCTCGAGAAAATAAAAATGAAATTCCATATAAATTGCTTATGAAAGGAAAAGAGCTTTTAGAATTGGCTGATGTGGGATCTGATCAAACACATTTAGTGGAGCTAAAAGTTGACGAGCTGCTTGAAACTTTGAATATTTTAGAAAAAAACGAAAAATCTGCCATTCCAAGACACATTTCTCGATATTATGACACTGTGCATGTTTGTGATAGATGCTATGAAGTTTATAAAATTATGAAGACTAAGCTGCCTCCCGATTCATGAGTTGAAAAAATGAGTTCAAATAATTCAGTATCAATAAAATACACAGAAAATAATACATCACAGCACGTTTCTTCAGTTTCTAACCTGCCTTCTCCTAAATCCTCATATAGATCCAAAAAATCATTACATACTCATGGATATAGTGCAGGCTCAATTCCAAGGCAATCAACTGAATTCAATCGCTTAAATTCTCCGAATTCTTCTATTAACAGTATCGATGCGAACAATATCGATGACCTTCTCGGAGATATGCAATTAGCTTTGCTTCAAATAAAAACTAAAAATCAAAATCTCATAAAAAAAGAAAAATTCTCTGAAATCATAAAAAAAGCCAGCCAATTACACAAAAAATCGGCGCCAAGAATCAAAAAAATCCCAACTTTTGGCCCAAAAAGATTTTCAGAGTCAAATACTGAAGCATTAATTTTGAGTCTTTTTCCTGATGCGAATGCTGATTTTAATAGAAGACCTGAATCCAAAGTGCAATGGCTTTCATATTTAGAGAAACTTAAATGCCAATCATTTGGACAGTAATTTACATTAATTAATTTGTATTTCGTATTTTAAATAAATTATAAGTATATCTGATTTAATTAATACTTATTAATGAGAAATTTTTTATTAGCCCCGACTTATTATAGATACTCTGCTTCTAAGCTAGCCCATAAGCGTATATAATTTAAAAGAAAATGCGATTAATTGAACTTCCTGATAGCATCTTTGAAACATTAGTAAATTGGAAGTTTGCTGTCTGAGCCTTATCAATGGATGCACTGCTGCTCTCATGCTTATTGCTCCCATCGTTTTTTTCATCAGGCTTGATTCCTACAGTCTACTTGATCAAAACAAATTTATCAATTGGCTTTCTGATATTTCTCTCTCTCGTGCTTTGGTGCTTTTATTTAGCTCATCTATTATTTTATACTTTGCTTGGGACTCTGAACTCTATGGAAAGAAAAGAAATTTTAGATTACATTTTGAATGGATCAATGCTTTTGCAGCTCGCAATCCTCGATCTTGGAAATAATTCTAATAATGGCATCGAAATCTTGATATGGGGTTCAACTTTTGTTTACTATTGCTTTTGTAGAGTCCTCAGCATTACTGCAAAGCTTAGATTTCAGAATAATCATGTAAGAAATCTAAAAGAGTTGATTTTTATTCCATTAGGGCTAGCAGCGGCTTTTATCATTGGAACAGCTAGCATATTTTCCTATGCAAGTTTCAGTTTGATCTTACTTCTGAACTACGACGGTATTTTGGTGTTAAAGGAAAGCCTAATTACATTGTATGTGTTTAAACATAATTTAGCTCTGAGCCGAAAGCACGAATTAATTATCCAGTTAACAGAGACTTCAATAAATGTGTGCAGATGGCTTCATTTGGTATTCTTTTATGCCGAGTGGTTTCTTTCAAGCTCTCTTCAAGCTTTTTTTGTCATTATGAAACTCCAAAAGCTTGTCTCAAATTTATTTACGATCACCAAAAAATGTTTTCAGTATAATACTTTTATGAACGATTTTATAAAAAACTACCCTCCGCTGACTCAGGAAGATTTAATTAACCTTGAAGATGAAAGATGCTGCATTTGTTGAGAAGGCTTAACAAATCTCAGATGCAGCCGTATTACATGTGGACATATCCACCACGTTGACTGCATTAGAACCTGGGTTTTAAGTGGTGAGAAGAAGTGCCCGCTGTGCAAACAAGTATTTTTGGAGCCTGAGACTTCCCAAAAATGATCGTTTTTGTCAAATTTACTATAATTTAGTGTTTTTATTTATAAATAAATAGTAGATCAATTCTTCTTCTGCCTTCACAACTGATAATTTCATGGCTCAACATAAAGAAAAGTTGCTTTATGAAACCTCATTTAAAAAAAAGGACAGCAGATAATATTCTGTAAATAGTGCTAGCTCAAATGAGCAAAGAGAGTGAGAAGTGGAGCATAAGAGAGAAATTATTCGGCGTGAGCTTAAAAGAATTGCTCAATAGATGAAACTATTTCAAACATGCTTGAAGATTAATAAATGATAAAATTTTATTTATTAATTTTGGTTTTCTTGCACATAATCTTTTTTAATTCTCCTTAACTCTGCTTCAAGGAGCTTCCAATTAAAAAGAACGTAATTCGGCTTTTCTGTATGTCTGATATTTAATAGATGACGCAGCTTCTCTTCAAAAATATAATCATCATAGCTTTTCCATTTCTTTTCTGGCGAATTTTTAATCACTTCCAGCATTTCAAAAATTTCGTCTTTACTTTTATTCATTTCTTCTTTAGCCTGATCCAGTGTTAATTCTTTGTTAAATTTACAGAAATTCTTGACGTCAGTAATAGACAATAAATTTCTTTCAATGCATATGCTGATCAAATCGCTGAAGTTAATTTTTTCCATTTTATCTAATTGGTTAGATATCAGCTCTGGATGAAGTTTTAGCCTTGGAACAAAATCTTTGGTTGTGTTTTCGTCGTCCCGAAGCTTTCCTGGCGACACATGACGGGTTAAAATATAAAATTCTTGCTTTGTGATGAATTCTTGTCTTTCTATTCCTAGAGCAGAAATTATAAACACTATGCCCTCCCCAATAGCATTTTGGTAATTTTCATAGTTCTCCACCATTAATTCAAGCAAAAACTCCAATTCCACCAACCCTGCGGAATTAATCCTTTTAGGATCGTTATCGCTATATTATCTATTACGTTTTACGTCCACTACGGGGTAGCCGTTTCTGGAGCTGTCGCAATATTTGTCCACGTGTCGGGCCATGGACCTCTGGACCGATCCATTTCGTTTCACAAGGGCATAGGACAAATACGATGTTCCGGCTTCGACGGGCTGCGTTCACCTCACTCTTCCTTGACTCAGCTTTTGCACGTGTTCCGCCTAAGAGTCACCTTCCTCGGGTGTTCTGAGAGGTAATACTTCGAGCATCTTGATGTACTCGGAGCAGTGCCTCGGCTTATATGCCAGGGTTAAACTGCTGTTGCTATGCAGAAGTTCTCAGAATAAAACCTAACCCATAAATAAAATTGCTTGAGGGAGAGAAAATTAGCAAAGCCATTTTCACTCGATCCGAATGCCATTTTATTTAAATCCTTTCAGGATCAGTAATGCTTCGCTGTTCTACAATTGAGATTAAAGCTGTAATTATGCTTCTCTCTAAAATTCCATCAAATTTGTCTCTTAAGCACTCAATAGCTCTTACAGTCGGAAACATTTGTCGATCTGCAGAATCATCATACCCGACGACTATCCCAATCTTGGCGTTCAGCATAAAATTCAAGCTTTGCAGGTAAAATAAGAAGCTTAGCTTGCTGTAATCGTGGTTATCAATTTTGGAAGAAGCCCCTGCAAATCTCAGAAATAGCAAAGGTCGGGCGTATTCTGAATATTTCATTAGTGAGGCTATAAATTCGATTAGTTTTTTCTCAGCTACTGTTTTTAGTCCATATTTATGTATAAATTGGTCATAAGTGACTTCAAATAAGCTTGGAAACTGCTCACCGTTTTTGAATTTTGTGTAGCAATCCTGATAAATTGAAGAAGCTAGCCTGCTGCACATCCTTCTGCTCATTGTAGCCTTTTTGGTTATGATAGATGTCTTTTTAGTCAATAGGGCATTCAGCAACTGTGGAGCGACACTTGGCTTCTTTGGCTGGGTAAGATACAACGGCTTATGGAAATGGAATTCCATAAACTTGGTAATTTCCTTGATTTTTTTCTTGTCTCTGTTTTTCTCGACAAAGAAATAGTCTAAAGGAAGTCTTTTTCCTTCACAAGCGAAATCAAGCTCTGAGTCTTGGTCTTCGATTTCCTCAGCAGGCTGTATGCTTTTTTCTTGCGCTTCTTTGTTTTCTTCATCTTGCCAAATATCTTCTGCATATGTATCAGAGCTCAGCTGGCTTCCTTTTGCTTCTTGAATGGCTTTTAAATACCCCTCTGTATATCCGTCTTCGAATCCGAGCTTTTCTCCATTTTTTATACCTTCGCTTCTTCCTTTCTCATACCCACTACTCCATCCAGCTTTTCATGACCCCAAATCTGAGCCTGAAGGAATTAATTCAGTAAAAGAGTTTGGGTTGCTTTCGAACTGGAAGTTCTTGCTTGGCTGGTCTGGAATTTTTAAATATATAGCTTTGTTGCTTGAGATTGAGTCAAAAGAGCCTGATCTATCTCGGGAAGAATTTTTAACCGCTAAAAGGTCTTTATAATAAAATGGCTTTGTCGAATAAGTTATTTTTTAGAACTTTTTCATTTTATTATATTTTATTATTTGGTGTTTGTTTATTAGTTTAACCTTTAACCAGAATGCCAAATGTGGATTATAGTATAAGGTAAGTGAACTTGGCCAAGGAACGAAGCAGGCATAGAAGTTTTACCGAGAAACACACTCAAGGAAGGGGTGATCGTATGAAAAACAATACAGGAATCAAATTCAGGAGCGAGAACAAGGCGCCCCCGAGCGAATAAGTGGCTGGGCAGGTGAAATTACTGATGAAAAGCTTTATGCTTTCATAAAGAGGGCAGCGAAGGAGACGACCTACGACGACATCAGCTCGGAGTTAAAAAAGGTAGGCTTAGGCTTAGGCTTAGGGCTATTTATCATGCGAAACCGAAAAGCATATTACACAATAAATAATAAGTTACTAAGCTAAAAGATCTTTAGATATTTCGGATTCATTAGCAGGAGAAACTCGGATAGGCGGAACTGTTTCGCTTCTTTCATGCTCCTCACGATGCTCGGGTTTGATGGATTCCTGAAAATTTTCAAGCTCACTTTGCTTACTCCCCCCCCCCCCCTCCGTGAGCGAACAAAACCATTAGAAAAATCGCCATTTTTTGACCAAAAACCCACCCTCCGTGAGTGAACAAAAATTTTTTTAATAGAAAAAATTTTAATGGAAAAAAATTTTTGATATATAAGTGATAATTAGTATAATGAAATCTAGAGCTAATTCTGTTTAATTTTAAACAAATTGCGTTTTAAAACATAAATTTTGCAAATTAAATTAATATTTGCTTCCCAATTTTTGCAAATTAGGATTTTTTTAAATTTCGAAAAAAATATTTTTTTATAAAATTTATATATAAATTTTTTTTAAAAAAAAAAAAATTAACCCCCCTCCGTGAACGAACAAAATTTTTTGTTCGCTCACGGAGGGGGGGGGGGAGTTAGCATACAATTCAAGTTTTAGTAGCTCTAAAATATCTTTTTTCTTTTCTAGATCTGAGAGTAAGCTGGCAAGTTCTTTTGATTTGTGCTCGAATTGTTCAGTGATCTCTTTAAGCAAGGCTTCTTTCACCATCATCATTTGTCTGTCATCTTGTGAAAATTTGTTAACGAAATATTGCTTGTCTTCAGGGGAAAGTTTGGCAAAGAACATTAATCTTTCTTCTTGAGAAAGCTTATCAACTGAGTGAAGATGCGAAGCGAGTTGATCTACGAAAGAAACCGATGATCTCTTTCCAGTAGATTTTTTAAATGAAGATGCATTACTTTGAGAGTTTCTTGGAGTTTGGGCTTTTTCTGGGGTTTGTGGATTTTTTTGTAATGTTTTCATTTTTTGGTGAGGCTTAGTGAGCGATTGCTTCCTAGACTCTTGAGTACTTTTTATCGGAGTTTTCTTTGATGCAGATTGGTCGTTTCTTGGTGAATTTACATTACTTTCTGAGGATTTCATTGATATCTGGCTTCTCATCATGCTAACTTCATCTTTAATTTCACTTATTTCTTCATCATTTTCTTGGCTTTCATTAATTGATTTATCTAATTTTCCCCACTTAAAATTCGAATAAAACATTCTGTCCCAATTTAAATGGATTAATATATTTTTTAAAGTATTTTAAATTGAAAGCATTATACCATGAGCACGGTTTAGATCAGCCTGAAAACCCCTTCTCCCCTCCCCCCATCTCTTGATGGTTTCAGCTTTATTGAAATCTACAAATTGAATTTGACTTGTCAAAACCTTAGTGAGGGACTTGTCATTTTGAAATTAACAATTTCGTTCAAACTGAAACCGTCAGGGGGGTGGGGTGAGGTGGGCGGAGGGGAGGAGGGAGGGGGAGTTTCAGGTCGAGCCATACCTGTTCTGAAGGTATATTGTTGAATTTTTTGATTCAAAAATTAATCGATTTAGTTGAAAGCTTTTAAATAATATTTTACAGCCTTTTTCCATCAAATTAATTTTATAAAAATAAATTTCAACTATAAATTATTCCTATTCAACAAAAAACTGTTCAAATTTAAAGGGGGCTAAAGTACCCAAAGTTTAAAGGGAGTAAGTTTTCTCTTTCTTCTCTAAAATCTTCAATATTTGAGATAGTAAAAGCTGTAATGAACTTTTCTGACCTGTCGCTATCAAGAGAATTTTTATTATTTTCTCCTATCCCTTTAATAGCCTCTTTCAAATTAGGGATTTTAGGGGTTTCATCTACTATGCCTATTGAAATTCCAGCATTGTCTGTAGGCAAGTTGCTTTCTTCACTTCCCCCATGATTATAGAGCAAGATATTTTTCCTTCTAGGAGAAGTTTTTTTTTTACCATATCTGTAAATATTTGAAATGAGAAATATAATTCCAAAAAATTATAATATTATTCAATTATGTATCAAATTATTTCAAAAATATTTCATTAATTTTTTTTCAAGGCTAGCTTTTCTAAAAAAAAATTTTTTCCATGGTTGCTTGCTAGCCTGGAGGGAATTCAGCAGTTTTTATAATCTTCCAAGCTTCTTCTTCGAAAACTTCTGTTTGAGTTTCTTTATCTTCGAATAAAAACATTTCACTATAATCAGTTTGAGCGTTTTTTTCTTGGAATTTTTCCTCTTCTTCTTGCTGCTTTTTGCTGATTTCTAAAAGCTCAGGCTTTGTCATAATTCCTTTTAAAGCCTCAATTGCTTGAATATCTATGACGTTTTCTATTTGCCGTTCTTCTTCCTTTCATTTAATTTCTGAAGTCATACTCACTTTCTGAGGACTTTTCGCAATATTTTTTTTGTGATTTAAAACAGGTTTTTGTAGGCTGATTTTTTTCCATAATTCTTCTTCAGCTGCATACTTTCGTTCAACGCCAGCTAATTTATTTTTTATTATTGCTAATTTTTCTTCTGCACTTTTTCTGAGCTCTTTTTCTAGCTGTGCTTGATCTTTAATTTCCTGTACAGAAACTTTAAATAAAGCCATTTCTTTATCTTTTTGTGCAGCCAAATCCTGCAGTTCTATCGAATGCTTTACTTTTAGCTGAGTCATTTCATCTAAAAGTTTCTCAACTTTATTGTTAGCAATTTGAGGCCATCTCATTATGACTTCAGTCAATAAGGTTCCTCTTTCCACACATTGAACAGAAACTTGTCTTATAATTTCCCTACTACAAATTTCATATATTGCCTCAATAGCTTCAGCATTATTCTCGCTATCATATTTCGCTTTCATAAAACTGAATCATTTTCACAGATTTTCTATATCTTGTCGTCCTGTTGGGTTTCCTAGCTCCAACCTTGGTTAGCAGGAAAGAATTTTTGCTCGGGCTAATATTTTTTTAAAATAAAAGCTGCTCTCAATTTTAATAAACCCGAATTTCTAAATATCATTATAGAAAATGTAATTTTATTTATCATTCTAAAATAAAATAGAATTATTGAAGATTTCATTATTATTATTATAGTCATTGATTTTATATAGAATTATATTCAAAAAAATTTACTTGTTAACTAAGTGAGGTTAATGTTCTGAAAAAATAGAGATTTTTTTGCAATGGTTTTGCTAACTAACCAAGGGAGAGAGTAAATAAAGCCGTTCAAGAGAATCACCAGGATTAGGAGTCATTGTGCTCATCAGATTTTCATAAGTTCTGTCAGTTTCAACAGCAATTGAAGGAAGAATATTTGCTTTGCTTGGTCTAACAGCATTATGGTGAGTTGCTAATGCGCGCTCTACGCAATGCTCCCGCTTGCAAGGCACAGGATTTGAAAACCCTGATGGACTATAAGCTGTAGGAACGCCTTTATAATCGCTTGTAAATTTTTTTTATGGATTTTCGGAAAGACAACCCACGTTGTGCGAATCCCTTGTTTGAGGCAACAAGGAGGGTGTCCGCCGAGGCCTCACCATAGGCGAAGAGCGTGAAGGGGTGCAAATCCCCGACCCTGCAAGTGCGAACGGCTAATCTTAATCTTAATATTAATAATCGCTTGTAACTAAAATCTTTTTTATATGATTGATATCAGTCGGAAGATCGTGCGTAGATAAAATCGGTTCTGAAGGGGTAGCTTGTAAGAAAAAGGTATCTTTAAAATAGGAAATATCCCGTGTCTTTTTATTTAATGTAAATTTTTCCTGCTCCTTTTTCTTTTCATTTCTCAAAAGTTCTCTTACTTCTTCTGCGCCTAGGCTACGTAGAGGGGTGAGTTCTTTGCCGATAGCTTTGCTTGCTAAATAATTGCGCGATTCATCTCTAAAAGTTTTTACAGATCTAGGTATAATTTTATTTTTTCCAAGTTCTTCATTTATTACTCTTTTGATGTCGATACGAGTTGTAAGGTATCTGCTTTGAGAGGAATTATTTCTTTGCATATTTTTTTCGGTTTCTTATGAGATTTTGAGAAATTGGATTTATAATTATGAAATGGATTTTGATTTTCTTAGCCTCTAAAATTTAATTTTTATTTGATTTTGTTAATAATGCCACCATAATAATTCACCTTCCAATGACCATTAAAAATATGCTTGGAATCACTATTTTTTAAAAAATTTAAATTATAATCAATAAGGATATTTAAATTTTAAATATTAACTCTAATTTTGCAGTTATATCGTCCATTTTCATACTGCAGGAAAATCTTTATATAGATTTTTACTAATGATATTTAATAGACTAATAAATAATTTTTTAATGGACTATTCGAGTTTTCATATCCTTGAGTATTTTATTGATAAATAGAAAAACCACCTTTGGTATATTTGTCCATTAAATTGATTATTGCTTATCCAAAATGCAAATAGTAGTAGCCAATTGATCTCGGGCCATCGCTAAGTTAATAAAAATTTAGTGTATAATTTACATAACGAATTAAGTCCACAGATTAACTTGTCGGCTTGCATTTATCTGATATAAACTCTTTTTACATCTTTTTTATCTAGTTTAAAACATTGTGCATGTGCAGCTCGCTTCTTTTCTTGGCATTTTATATATAATGGGCTCTACTACATACAGCTCATGGACGGGATCTTTAAAAGACACTTTTTTATCAATTGTACTTGCTCTGGTAACGACTCGAAAACTCTTCGGCTCACATGTGGATTTTCTTAGGATAGATCTGGGTTTGACGCCATCGTCAGGTGTATTGGGTCCTTCAGGATACGGGATTACATACGCAGACTTCATGGCTTTTTTAAAATTATCAAATCACAATGGCAATGTGAAGTATTATAATGAACTAATTTACTAATGATTATCCAATATTTTATATTCCCACTGTATAAACTCTATGCTAAACTTAAAATAAAGGCACTTGCTGCAGATCCTAATAAAAACGCATTATTTTGGTCTACCTTTATATACTCTCCATAATCTTTTCAAACGTTGCTGAGGCATTCAGGGATGCTCCCTTGCAAATAGCCATAATTTTCACTTACAAACTGCCAGTAAACCATATCGTCAAATGTACGCGTCTTAACCGCCTCATAGTATTTCAAATAAGGATCATCTCCAGGAAACAGCTGGCAGTATGATTGCCCCTCTGAGTTTATCCCACATACACAATCAGTCAGATCAGTAGTAAAATAATTTGCACAATCATCGCTACTTTGGCATTTCTTTGGAATTGATCCAAAACTAGCTGGAGCAATGTCGCAAACCTTTTTTTCTTCAACTTTTTTCAGTTCTGTCCCTCCAGGGCAAGCTTTTACATTGTTTGCTTCATCGCCAAGACTCAAGGTAAACATCTCAACGCACCTTCCAAGGTTGCAAACATGGCTGTATGGGCAAGGTGCAACAGATGAAGCGCAATCGTCTCCTGAATTTAATGTTTTACCACATGCGTAGCTTCCCATTGTCGAGTTAAAGTAGCATTCTAAATTGCTATTGTAATCACATAGTTTTGAAGTGCTGTCAGGATCACAAATTGTATATTCTCCTAGAAGTATAAACTCATAATACTCTTGGTAAGTGCGCGATGCCCACCTTCGAATGTCTGGAAAATCCTTGCAATAGCCATCCTCAGTTCCCCAGTTTTTCGGGTGATCTGAGGTCAGATAAGAATATTGGCAAGCTTGCATTGTGTATTGATTGGAAGCGGAATCGATAAATAAAATGGCATTCGGTTCGAGTGAAATTAGCTTCGCTAATTTTCTATCCCTCAAACAATTTTATTTATGGGGTTAGGTTTTCTTCTGAGAACTTCTGTGCAGCAATAGCAGTTTAACTCTGGCAGATAACCCGAGACACTGCTCCAAGTACATCAAGAGGCTTGAAGTTTTACCTTTCAGCACACTCGAGGAAGGTGACCCTTAGGCGGAACACACGCAGGAGCTGATTCAAGGAAGGCGAAGCAAGGCAGCCCGTCGAAGCCGGAACGCTGTATTTACCCGTGCCATGGTGTAACGAAGTGGATCGATTCAGAGGTCCATGTGCCCGACACGTGGATAAATATGGTGGCAGCTCTGGAAAGGGCTACCCCGTAGTGGACATTTAAACGCTATAGAAAGCGGAATCGAAAGTATAAACTTTGTTGCCTGGCAGAGGGTCTGTATCTAAAGCGCAGGTGTAAACTGGGCATGAAAGAGCTGGCGAAATTAGCAGCCAAAGCAGTTGTATATTCATAAAGTTTATTAATTATAACTGATATTTAAGCGGGTCTTATATCAGAAAGAATTTTATTTTAAGTGTGGAAATTATGAAACTTAAATTTATATTGCAAGACAAAAAAGTTCAAGTTTAGATGGCTTAATATAGCAAATGCTAGTTGTATAAATATATTAATTATGATTCTTCTTCACCTTCTGAAGAAGGCTTTTTCAAAATATCAAGCATCCTTAGCTGCTCTTGGGCAGTTTTTGATTTTGGTGATCTGCAAACAATCGCAAAAATTTCTTTCATTTTTTCTCTTTGTATCATTTCTTTCGTCGCAGCCTCCCTTTTCTTGGACAAAACCATTTCTCTTTCAGACTTCAATGCATCAATTCTTTGGCTTGTCATTAGCTGCTTTTCAAGCATTTGCAGTTTTTTAGCTTTCTAAATATTGCTTACTCCCCCCCCTCCGTGAGTGAACAAAACCATTAGAAAAAATCCCTATTTTTTGCCAAAAAACCACCCTCCGTGAGTGAACAAAAATTTTTTTAATAGAAAAATTGTTTCTGGGAAAAAAAAATTGATATATAAATGATAATTAGTATAATGAAATCTCGAGCTAATTCTATTTAATTTTAAACGAATTGCATTTTTAAAAGATAAATTTTATAAATTAAATTAATATTTGCTTTCCAATTTTTGCGAATCAGGATTTTTTTAAATTTCGAAAAAACAATATTTTTTTATAAAATTTAAATATAAATTTTTTTAAAAAAAAAAAATTAACCCCCCTCCGTGAGTGAACAAAATTTTTTTGTTCACTCACGGAGGGGGGGGAGTTACCAATCTCCTATTGGCTCTTTCAACTTTGGTAACTCCATCAAGCTCTTTGAGTCTTTGAAGTTCTTTTCTTAGCATTACTTCTTTTTTCCACTCTTCTTGCTTGGATTCTAAGTTCTTTTGGGACGTAGTCAGCCTTTTTTCCAAATAGTGGACTTTCTTATACAGCTCTTTTTCATCATTGGCTACTTTGGTATGAGCTGCATTTTTTCTTTTTTCCATTTTTTCCCTTCTTATGTTCACTTCTTCTTCCAGCTTTTGCCTTATTTGCTCTCTTCTCTTTTTTACTTTTTCCTGCTTTGCAATTAATTTTAGCACATCTTCAACTTCATGGGTTTGCTTTAGCCTGTCAAGATTTCCGAGCACATGATCCCAAAATTTTCTCAGTCCAAGTGTTTTGGATAATTTATTTTGTCTTTCAGTGGCATACTTTTCTTCTGACTTCATAATTCTTGATTGCAAAGAATCAAGCTGCTCCTGAATTATATGCTCATTTAATATTTCTTCCCCTTCCTTTATAGCTTTGATTTCTTCTTGCTTTCTTTTCAACGCTTCATCTTTTTCTTTTGCTATTTCTTTTTTCTGCTGCTCAATTAATTTTTCTCTTTCACTGTGGAATTTCATGTCCATGATGATTTTGTTATACAGATTTTTTTGTTTTTCTGCCTGCTCTTTTCTCTTTTCTTTGAATTTTTCTTGCTGGATTTTTTTAAAAGATTCGATTTTTGCTTTATATTTTAGACTTTTTGTAGTAGAAGGGCCTGGGCTTAGTCTAGGCGATGAAGCACTTTTGGGGCTTGTGAAGCTTTTTTCAGCTTCGTCAACTTTTTCAAGCCATGCCAAGGTATTGATTAGCTTCTGCTTTTGCATTTCTTTGAGCTTGTTAAGGCGTTCTTCTTCAGCTTTTGCAATATCTTGAAGTCTTGGAGTTACTCTTTCGGTGGATAGTGAAACACTATTGTAGGTTTGAGGCAAATCAGGTAGACTATTTTGCTTGATTATTGTCATAGTTCTGTCTTTTAAGACGTCGCGAATGCGCTTGACTGTCTCTTTGAGTTTTTTGCTGTAATATTCAAATCGAAGCTGCTGAACTTCGGAGGTTACTCTTGCATCGGCAAAATCTTCTAGAGTCCTATTTGGTAGTTACTTGTTTAGAAGTTCATTTTCTTCTATTCCAAGTTCTTCCATGATTTCTTTGACTCGGCTATTAGTCACGTCGATAGCATAGCTACTCATATTTTTATATTTTTATGTTAAGTCTTTTATTCTCAGAAACTGATGAACAAAGTATTTTTTAGTAATATGGGATCAGAAGTTGTTGAGAAGCGATTTTGGCTTGCTAAAGATAATGATTAATGTTTATGCATTATATACAAAATAAAATTATCTTTTTTAATTGAAAAAAATCCAAGATATTATAGCTTGAACTTCATATAGATTGATAAAGCCTTCAGCTTCATTTGCAAAGTTGAGAGCTTGCTAAGTCAGCTTCAGTTGACGAACCATTTTAAATTTATAAATCTTCTATATCTTGGAGATTTGAAAAATTGGGAACCCCTTTTATCAACTGGAATTGACTTAGCAAGCTCCTCACGTGATTAGTGAAGTTAAAGCCTTGAGTATATCAATATTGATGCTCATATTATAGATGCAACTACTATGCATAAATATAAATAACTAAGGCAGTTTTCTATCAACTAAATTTTTAATGTCTTTTCTATATAGTCCCGACACAATTTTGGCTCAGGATTCCTGGGCTTTCAGATGTGAAAGATTCTAGTTAGCCAAGCCAACTAATGCTGATTTTACCAATTCCACACACGGCAAAAACCTTTTAGCAAGTGTCCTGCAAGATGGAAGTTTTATTAGTTGGTTTATAAAATATTATTTACCACCGGGAAAGATCAAAAATCGCAATTGCACTCGGGTTATATCTAACTCAAATAAAAGAATTTTGAGCGATGCTTTAATAATTCACAATTGCCTATAGATATTAAATTCTATGGTAAGTAGTTCATCTACAATCAAAATATACTTTATAGCACTTAATTTATTTTAATTTAAAATCGAAATCAATTTCTAAATCGCTAGCCTCTTCTTCATCAGAATACTCTTCTTGATTTCCATATAAGTAATAATTTTCATTCTGACCATAATTATTCATTTCATCAACTTGTCTCTTATATTCTTCAATTTCCTCACTCCACCCTTAAATTGGGGCAAAATATCCATAAAATTTTCATTTTTGGGTAAATTAGCCCCCTTTAAATTAGAGCAAATAATTTTTCAACGGAAATTTATATATGAATTAATAAGTTATCTAAACAGAGTTTTGATCTATTATATGGAGGTAATTAAGGCAGGATAATCTATAAGAATTTGGTACCCTGAATTGATTAATTTTATGAATGAAATCTCCATAAAATACATTAAATATATATTTCAGATCGTAACTTTTTTTGTAAAGTTTTTTTAAAATAAAAATTATTCTGCTAAATTTTGTGACAGATTTTATGGCTCTAATTTAATTGAGGGAGTCAGGAGAAAGATTGTTAAAATCAATCCCCCCATAAGAAATCTGGCTTTGAAGATGTTCAATTAAATTAATTAACTGTGATTCATCTACAATTCGTGGATCTATATATAATCCATGATTTTGCCTTACTCCATCCGTTTTATAACGAGTTTCATGTGCAAATATTATTCAAAGGTATCCTATATAGCTCCAGCACAATTATTGCTTGCTTAGGAGAAATACTATTGCCTATTTAGCATACCATGCATATGCAAATTATTCTAATAAGTACATTTAAAATTTATAGCTTATTTGTAATATTTAATTAACCCTTATCAGAAAAATTGATATCAACGCACTCTATTGATTATCAAAATTATTGCTAATGAAGAATATAAGAGATCTTAAATTAAATCAATCAGTTAAATAATTGTTTGTTCAAATAGACATAGGCAAACCCTATAAATTGCCCTATAAGGGCAGGATACTGGAGCTGGAAATCCTTCAGTTGCTGGACCAGCTGAGGTTGTCAGACCAACTGGAGAGAGGTCCCTTTGCCAACTCTCCAATTAGTTTGACCAGACTGAGTTGGTCCAACAACTGGAGAGATTCCAGCTCCAATTTCCTGCCCTTATAAGGCAGTTTATAGGATTTACCTATAAAATAGTTAGATAATCCAACCAATCAGCAGGATCATGGGCTGGATCAAGTTCTCTTAGCTCCATTTTGTGATGATAGAGTTTCTTTTTGGAAGGCACAAAATATTCAAGTGTAATTGAAGGAGGAGAATATTGTAGACCATATCTTTTTGGAACAAAAAAAAATAATATACCTTATGTAAGTGTGCACAATAATAAGTTGTGATATCATATTTCAGCATGATTTATGAATTATATTTATGATTATGTATATATTTTTTATTTAAAAATAATAAAATTTTTTAAAGTGAATATTTTTAGTCTTGGAACAAAGTCTGTTTGTTGAGTTTGGTTCGACATATTCAATATAATGAAATAAAACTAATTAAAAGATATAGTCAATTAAATTGTAAATAGATAAGAGTCTCTTTATATAGATTGCAGATTTCAAAATGAAGAGTGAAATTATTAATTTTATATTAAAACATAATGGCTAAACTAATTATTATATAAATTTAATTTCAGTAATAACTTACGTGAGGCTGCTTGGTCTAGTGGTATGATTCTCGCTTTGGGTGCGAGAGGTCCCGGGTTCGATTCCCGGAGCGGCCCTTTTTATCATTTATATCGTTTACCATTACTATTGATTCATATTACTTATCAGTTTTTAATTTAATTATTTTTATTCATGTATTTAATGTCTTATTAGCTATCAGATTTATTATCCTCACACTCAGATTCACTTTCTTTGTTCTCCTCATTCGCAATATTTTGTTCTGTACCTCTAAACTCTCTATCAACCCATGCTCTGAAAACTTCATCTTTAGAGCATATCGTCGGCAAAATATGTGTGGTAAAAAACTCCTTTATTTTTTTCTCTTCTTCCTCAGTTATAATAATAGGTCTGTGAGACATTTTCCTATTATATTTTGAATAATGAACTCTTGCTAAATAAAGGATTCCTTCATACGACGCCTACACCATAAAGACTTTTTTTTGGTCTAATTTTTTGACATATTTTTTTGGTCTTTTGTTTTGGCTATTTTTTTTGTTGGTTTATATTATATTTTGAATAATGAACTCTGCTATATAAAGAATACCTTCGCACGACGCCTGATTTTTTTGGTTTATTTTTGGTCTATTTCTTTAGCCTATTTTTTTTGGTCTTATGTTTTGGACAATTTTTTAGCCTTTATTTTAATGTAAAAAAATAATAATATAACTTCTGTCAAAAAAATACTAATATTGATTGAAAATCACCTTAAATGGCAAATATAGAATTATTTTCATAGCAAATTGACCAAAATTGATCAAAAATAATTAAGAGAAAAATAGGCCAAAAAATAGTCGTTGTGGAGTAGGCATCGTGCGAAGCTACGAAATAAAGCCCTTCTGCAGGAGCCAAAGGCACATAAAATTTCGGGTTTTTGAAAGACTCTTCAATTGCTTCCATATTATAAGGCTATAAACAAATTTGGTATTCACATGATGCAATTAAAACAACAATCTTAGACTTATTTTATAGCACGAATCTAATCTAGCACAGCATATACTTCCCTAGTAAAATAGAAGCTATCATTCCTACCATTTTTCTAATTTGATGATAAATAAAGCTTTGCCCTATAAAAGTAAACTTTAAATACGGTTTTCCTTCATATAAAACAGGCTCTGTAGAAGCCTCGAATTTAATTACGTATCTTTTGGCCTGAGGTGTGTTAATTTCGATATCTCTTGAATAATTGTGGAATGAGTGCGTTCCTTGAATTTTTGCTGTCATTTCATTGACTCTTTTGACTACATCCAGAGAAAATTCTTCATCTGGGAATAAGGCTTTAAAAGGGAAAATATATTCATATTCTCTGTAATCTGTGTTATTCTTGGCATTGAATTTGTTAGCCACCAGTTTAATTGTGATAACTCGAATATCAGATGGAAGATGTGAATTTATTTCATCGATAATTTCGTTATCTGGCTTTGGGGCTCACAACATACGAAGACCTGCAACTGTGCAAAGTGCGTGCACTCCTTTGTCTGTTCTTGAAGCGCGGCTTCACTTCACTTTGCTTAAATTGCCATAATTGTCCTGAGATATGCAGCCAGATTCGAAAAGGCCTTTTTCAAGGACTTCCTCAACTGTTCTTGTTCCTTCGTGACGGTTTTGAACTTGGCTACCATTGAATTGAGAGCCATTGTAAGCATAAAGAATTGCGGTCTTTTTTTTCTTGCTGCCTTCCATATTGTGATTACATTTTTCAATGACTAAGCTATTATGTGCAAAATGAGGTCTCAAATTTATAAATATTAAGGACTTTAGCTGCCGATAGACCTCACATTTCATTTGGGATAAAAAGTCTAATTATTTTCATGCACTTCTTTTAGAAACTGTTGCTAGGCCTTGTAAAATTAATTGGAAATAGCTAATTTTTGAATTCTTATAATTATGGAAACAGCCAAATTTAAATTAGTAAATTTTGAGATAATTTTTAATAAATGGATTATAAATGTTTCTGGCATATCCGTAGAAATTCAAAACTTAATAAAAAATCTGTCCAAATAAGTTATCAAATAGCCATTTCGTTACAATTAATTAAATGTATACTTGTAGAGAATTGTACATCCCTCATGAATTCGACCAGTCTGCTTACAGAGACGCTTCCGTTGACGATAGTTTTGAAGATCATTATCAATGGGAGGTAGGCTTCATAATAAAAGGAAAATATATAATCAATAGGTACTTAGGCGAAGGGAGCTTTGGCAGGGTTTTGGAAGTGAGGGATTTATGCGACAAAAAAATAAAAGCAATGAAAATAATTAAGCAGGTCCCGGAATATGTAAATGAAGCTAAAACTGAAGTAGAAACCTTAAAAATGCTAAATTCTCTTGACATTGACCACAACTCTCATATTGTTGAAATACTGGATGCTTTCCCTTTTGAAAACCATTATTGTATCGTTTTTGAAAAATTGGGGAGGAGCTTGTTTTCACTAATAGAGAGAAACAGTTTCAGAGGATTCACAGTCAATGAAATCAAAGATTTTAGCAGGCAAATTCTAGAATCTTTAAATTTCATGCACAAACACCAACTGACTCATACTGACCTAAAGCCAGAAAACATATTACTTGTTAATGATCAATATAAATATTGCCCTCAAAGAGTAAAATTTATTTAGTCCTCCCTCCTTAAATTAAATATATTAAAATGGCGGCAAGTTTCAACCTGCCCTCTTGGTGCAGCAGTCCAGACCTTATGGCTACGGCGTACTGGAACAGACTCCGAGCTGAGAATCAAGTGCAGGCTCAAGAGGTGTGTATCCAGATAGGTTTTGGCTGCTTTTCTGTGGGTTGAAATAGAGGTGCTCAACAACGTCCTTTGGATCCGAGGACCCATGGCATTCCTCTACCGAGAAACTGGGGTTTCGGCCCAGGCCATAGGGGAACAGTTTTTTTTCCTGTAGCTGTCAAAGAAAGACACTTCGATATCCGATAGACTCCAAGGAGTTGATCCTTGGAATCAAGCTACTCCATTCTTCCGTAGCAGGGCCACAGAAATCCATAAGCATCAAGACTGGAGCCTCAAGGCAAGGAGGAGACAGAAGGTACTTAAAGGGCACTCACAAGAGGGATAGACCCTCTGGGCTGGAGTCGAAAAGCAGTAGAACCTCCCGTACGGGAGGTCTTTAGTGACTGCATCACCAATATGGCAAGCGCCTGGCTTTAATAATCCTAATCCTAATCCCTCCTTTAAATTAGAATAAAATCCCATTCCAATTTAAAGGAGAGTTAATTTTAATCTAAAAAAATTTATATTAAAATTTTTTCTATAAGGATCCCCCCCTCTCATTTGTCGAATTTTCTAGTCTTTTTTTTATAAGAATTTTTTTTTTCAGGGACCTCATTTGTCCCAAAATCTAGTCAAAAATGATTTGTCCAATTTTCTAGTCTTTTTTGGATTTTTTCGAATGCCCTAAATTCTAGTTTTTTACTTTAAAAATACTAGAAAATGAGACAATTGAGGTCCTGAAAATTTTTTTTTCTTTATCAAAATTTTGACAAGAAAATTGGACAAATGAGGTCCAAAAAAAATTTTTTTTTTCCTATAAAAAAAACTAGAAAAATGGACAAATGATAAAAGACTAGAAAATAGGACAAATGAGGGGGGGATCCTTATATAATTTATAAAAATTGTAAAAAAAAATAAATAAATTGAATGCAATATTTAATTTAATTCATTTTATTAATAATTAATTCTAAAGTTTAATCGATTCTGTGTATAAATAATATTCTAATTGCACTCAGTCCATTAAATTAGGTCAAAACTAATTTTATAAAAAATAGTATGTTCACCTATTTTTATATTAAAAACATTTGTTTCATATTAAGACTAAAGTGCCTAAATAATGGAAATTTAAACTATATTTTGTCTTAATAAAGAGTGGAGTTAGAAAACTGTATAGACCTGCAAGCACAGATGTAAAAATCATAGATTTTGGAGGGTTCTCCAGAAAAGCAACCTTCACCTCCATGAGCGAACAAAAAATTGAAAAATCCCGTTTTGGGTAAAAAACTCAACCTCCATGAGCGAACAAAAATTTTTTTTAACCCCATCCTTGATCGAACGACTCGCCATCCTTCGATCAAGGATGGGGGTTAAAAAAAATTATATATAAAATAAAAAATATATATATTTTTTTTTATTTACTTTTAAATAAGAGGGTTAAGAGCATTTAATAATTATTTTTACAGCAAAAAATTGAATTAATTTCATAAAATACCAATTTTTAATATTTTGATTTATTAGTTACCCTTTTAAACTGTATAAATTTTATTTTGTTCCTTATTGAATTAAAATTCTTTTTTTTTAAATTTTAAAGAATCTCTTTTTTTTTTAGATTATTGAGTTTTTAAGCCTAGGTTGATGGCTAAATCACTTCGAATGGTTGCTTCCGCAGCTTTCTGTCGTCTCAAAGCTCTGAAAACAACTTCATTAGGTACATCTTCCCAAGCTTTTGATAGATAATATATTTTATATATATATAAAAATTTGCATGATATGAAAATCGTTCGATCAAGGATGGGGGTTAATTTCTCCAATTTTTAGGAATTTTTACAGTCAATCGTTCGATCAAGGATGGGTGGGAGTTAGGAAAAATAAATTTGATATATATATACATTTAAGGTATAGGTTTTTTTTTCCTGGAAAATTCAAGGAAGAACGTGCTCTTGAGTTTTTTCTGTATGGCTTGTAAAATAACAAAATTTGGGTTTTTTTCTGTAAAATAAAGAATTTTAATTTACCGTCATTTTGATTGGAAAAATGGCACCAAGAAAAAACATTTGAGGTTTTTTTTTTTCGGGCAATCCGATTTTGGAGGCGCAACATTCGTTAACGACCATCATTCAACAACTATAAGCACAAGACATTACCGCGCACCGGAAGTGATTCTTCAATCAGGCTGGAGCATGAGCTCAGATATGTGGTCTCTTGGATGCATTTTAATTGAGCTTTACACAGGAAAAATGCTTTTTCCATTACTAGATGATTATGCACATTTAGCTTTGATGGAAAAATTATTTGGCAGATTTCCCACGAAAATGATAAAAGCGAGTGGAAAAAAGCTTAAAGTGTATTTTAATAAAAGAAATCAGCTGAATTGGCCAGAGCTATGCGGCAATAGCTCAGATTTTGAGACTGTTGAAAATGCTGCTTCGATTGAGGAATTAATTCCTGATATTGATTTCAGGAATTTCGTAACAGATATTTTGAGATTTAACCCAGAATGAAGACCAACTCCATCTGAGGCTCTGATGCATAGATTTTTGGCAAACGACTTATAATTAGTGTTTATAATAATTGCAACATATTTAATTAAAAAGAAATTTTATCAGAATGAGTTTGGTCTTACTCTTTACTGCTATCGCTGCAGCTCTTCCTATAGATCAGACAAAAGAAATAAGCAAAATTGCTTTTGGATCATGTCATCATCATAATCGTGCAAAAAATCCTGAGATTTTTCATTCGATTTCTCAATGAAAACCTGATCTCTTTTTATGGCTTGGGGATGCTGTATATGCAGATATTCTCTACACGCACTTTATATCATTTCCTAATAATATTGAGAACTGAAGAATGCTTTATAATAAGCTTAAGAATATTTCTGAATACCAAGAGCTTATCAATACTTCAATGATCAGTGGAGTGTGAGACGATCATGATTATGGAATTAATGATGGGGATAAAACATTTTCTATGAAAAATGAATCAAAACAGCTTTTTCTTGAGTTTTTGGGAGAAAACAACAGTGAAAGATGAAATCATGATGGGCTGTATCAATCTTACACGTTTGGAAATAATGGAAAAAGGATTAAAATTATATTGATCGATATAAGATGATTCAGAGATAATAAAAAAGATACTGATGGAGACTCTTTAGGCGAAGAGCAGTGAAATTGGCTTGAAAAAGAACTTAAAAATCCTGGCGATATAACAATTATCGGAAATGGCTTGCAAATAACAGTTCAAGATCGATTAGGGCCTACAGAAAGATGGCACGATAAATCATACAACAGATTGATGAAAAATCTTGAAAAGGTCCCTGGAGCAATTTTATTGTCAGGCGATGTCCATATTGGAGAAATATTAAAACAAAATTGCAATAAATACACAATTTATGAAGTAACTTCAAGTGGTATGACTCATACCGCTTACACAGTTTTTGGTTATATTGGGCTCTTTTTAAGTACCTTTGACTTGCATTTTGGTAATAATGTTGGACCTAGAATTTATGAATTTAATTATGGTACTCTTGAAGTTGATTGAAATTCAAGAACAATTGAAATGGCAATAAGAGATTCGTTTGGGAATATTCTTCAAAGTGAACTAATAACTATCGAAAAATTGAAAACACCTATTGAAAAGCCATCATATTATTGTGGAAAAACTTCATTTTATATAAATAGTACGCACATCTTATCTATGACAGTCGTGTTTGCTTGCCCAGCTTTTATCCTTCTTATGGCTTTAATTATAGCCTTAAGAAAATATTCTCATACTTATTAAATCTAATATTTAAAAATTTATTTCATTAATTATTTATTTGCTCATTGACTATTATTACTCATAAATAAATGGAAAAGGAAACGATGATGTTGATCAGTGATCTCGAAAAAGTTTCGACTTCATTATTTTTACCTTCTTTTGCAAACACAAATTCTCGAATTTCAAAGTTTATTCTTAAAGACATTTCTTCACAGCTTTATGCCAGGAAGCAAGGAAGCCATTCAAAAACCAACATTCTACCTTCAACAATATCTAAAATTCATAGTAAAATGCTAATAAAAGAACATAGAAAATCAATTTCTTTGCAAAATTCATATACGAATTTATCTTTGGCTAATGACTTCTTTAGAGTAGAAAAAATTCAAAATCGCTTTGCTAATTTTAGAAATAAAACAAATGAAGGGTCAAGGGCATTGCTAAACAAGACTCTTAAAGGAAGCAGTAATAATGGAAAGAACCAAAGTAAGTTGCTAGCCTTAAGAGAAAAGCTTGAAATGAATTTTAGCCTCTCATTAGAAACCGATATTTTCAAACAAAAGCCATTTGTAAAGTCAAAAGCTAGTAGACCAAGTCTTCCAGCTATTAATATTCAAGTAAGACCTTTGTCTGAATCTTCAGACGAGCATTCATTAAGGCTGGCTCCAAGATATTTACACTAAATTATCTCATAAATTCTGCTACAATATGATTATTCCATGCTAACTCACCCCTCTGTAATCAAACAAAAAAAAATTTGTTTTGAGGGATTAATTTTTTCTTTTTTAAAAAAATTAATAATAATAAATTTTTTCGAAATTTAAAACATCTATTCGCAAAAATTGAAAAGCTATATTTATTTAATTTTTTTAAAATGCAAATTTAATCAGAATGAGCTAGTTTAGTATACTAATTAGCACTTATAAATCAAAATTTTTGTTCTCACGGTGGGATGAGTAAGTAAACTAAAAGGTGAATTCATTAGTCTTATAGAATAATTAAACTGACTTATAATAAAACATCAATGAGGAAAATAAATATTAGTGAGCTATTTTAATCTTCGATTTTTGAGTTTTACCTGTTAATTTTAAGAAGCCTGATAGTGATATTAAAATCTAAAAATTATTAAGCATTACCTAAAGATTTACTTAATTAAATTAAGCGCGAATCTTTTCATAATGAAAACCCTGATAATTCCCTTTCTGATTATTGCAGAAGAGATAAATAAACCCTGATAGCAAGCCAAGCAGGATACCTGAAATAAGCACATAAAAAAGTATTGTTGAAATCTGGAATCCTTTTTGTGGCTCTAGTTTCTCTTGGTCTTCAATTCTACCTCCATCAATACCGCTTACATCAGCTCCTAAAAAGCTACTCAATTTAGTAAATTTCTTACTCCCCCCCTCCGTGAGTGAACAAAAAAATTTTGTTCACTCACGGAGGGGGGTTAATTTTTTTTTTTTTAAAAATAATTTATATATAAATTTTATAAAAAAAAATATTTTTTTTCGAAATTTAAAAAAATCCTAATTCGCAAAAATTGGAAAGCAAATATTAATTTAATTTATAAAATTTATCTTTTAAAAAGCAATTCGTTTAAAATTAAATAGAATTAGCTCTAGATTTCATTATACTAATTATCATTTATATATCAAAATTTTTTTCCATAAAAAAATTTTTCTATTAAAAAATTTTTGTTCACTCACGGAGGGTGGGTTTTTGGGCAAAAAATGGCGATTTTTCTAATGGTTTTGTTCATTCACGGAGGGGGGGGGGGGAGTTAGTTTTTGCAAGAGCGAATCCAATTCGTGCATAATCTGCATCAAAAATGGTATAATACTTTCTCATAAATACATCACCAATAAACCACGCATTAGAAGGATTAATTGCAAAAAGTAAATAGCAAGATGTTCCATACTTATAAAAATAATTTTGAGGTTCCAAACTAAAGCTATGTGCTGATCCTAAGACAAAAGATATTGATGGATAATTATTGATATCATAATAAGTTCCGCAATCACATACGAGCCAATTGTCTTGAATCCCGCATTGCCCTGCCATTGCAATTTTGTTTATAATGCTGTTGAACTCTGCCTGGGGCGCATAAATGAGGGTTGTCCCCACATCAAAATATGCTTGAAAAGAGTTAGATGAAACAGGATAATTATTTACCCTAAGGTTAGATAATTGTACCTGCCACTTTCCATTAATCTGATACAAATTCGCATATTTTATTTCTGGACTGTTTGCATATGTTTCTAGGTCTTAGAATTTAGATTACTTACTCCCCCCCCCCCTTTAAATTGAAACAAAAAATTTTGTTTCAATTTAAAGGGGGGTTAAGAAAATTTTTTTATTATAAAAAATTTATATATAAAAATTTTTTCAAAAATAAAATTTTATAATTTCATAAAAAAATTAATTCATAAACTTCTCAATCTCAAAGTGTAAACTTGCTGAAATGGTATTCTTCTAACTCTCCCCATAACAATTGGACAAAATAGAGTTTAATTTCTAAATCTTATATGTTTGAAGCATATTAAATAGGGTATTAACATATTTACATATAAAATAATGATTTTTACCTATAAAATTTTCTATTATAATAAAATTTTTGTTTCAATTTAAAGGGGGGTAATTTCCCAAAAAAGTAGGAATTTTACCTATATTTTGTTTCAATTTAAAGGGGGGGGGGGGGAGTTAGAGATTTTAACGTGTTTCTTTGGTTCCGCAGGGTGATGATTTAAATAAGCCACAAGGGCTCACCCCAGTAGACTCCAACTGGTGACGTCACCGGGCATTTCAGACATCACCCTTTTTGTCAGGCCGTGGACCATCTAAGCAAGCGACGGCCAATTGAAGGCCAGATCTCACTGGCTGCGTTGCCTTGCTCGAAACTTGACTCCTGCACGTTGTGCCGCCTATGGGTCTCCCTCCTCGGGAGTGTCAAGCAGTAAAACCCCTATGTCCACCAAACATCCAAGGATCAGACCAGGAGGCTGTGCACCCTCCCCGTTGCTTACCTGATATTGCTGGATAAGTTCCCACTGGGAAAACTGAACCCTATAATAATAAAATAGGCCAAAGGAGTGAAGATTTTTCAGAGAAGAATTTTCTCGACGACGCCATTTTATTATTATAATCCGTTGGTAAAATTTCTTATGGACGTTATACGCGCCATTTTCATATGAAATTTCAAAATATGAATTTGCCGCACTAAAATCTGCGTTTTGAAACGCATATTTGGTTTTTCACATACCAAATTCAAAATGACTAGCACATGCATGATAAGAAATTATTGCAATACATAATATAATATATTTCTAGGTCATATCCTCCAAATATGACTGCTGATCCATCATAATAGTTTCCAAGAAAATCATTGTCACCTAAATAGACGGAAAACATTCTACGAGCAATTTGCCCTTGAATGAGGAGATTGTCAAGAAAGTTAGGATATCCAAAAGAGGTTCCACCATATTCCAGACCAAGTATCCCATCATACAGAGCTCCGTTAAATCCTCCATCTTGATGAATTAAAAGAAATGCTTGGCCCTTGATGAATAAGGCATTATTATCTCCAATAGAAAAGCTTTCACTTGCTAAATCTCCTTGAATAAATCCCATCCCATATGTTACTTTATAATTTTCTCCAAGCAATTTGTAGGTTGAGCTTTGGAAGGGGTCAAAATAATTAGAAGATTTGTGGCAAGAAAATTGGCATTTTTTGGAAGGAATCCAAAGCCAAGGAGACGCAGTGCTGACTTGGACATTAAATAGCTGAGGAGGTGAGCCTGCATAGATCTGGGCATAATACTGGATGTTGGCATAATTTTTTAGGTATGATGTTGCATTATAAGACCAAGCTCCAATTATCAACCCTTCTTTAGATTGCTTCCTGATTGGAATCGTAACAAGGGCATATGATATAGCTATAAGGAGAACTAAAATACTTGAATTGGCCATTAATTTATTTCTATCTAAAATATTTTATTAGACATCTCTAGAATTATGATATTGAAATAAGCACTTTCTTATTATGCTAACTTAAAACACTTTAAATTAAATATTTTCTTACTCCCACTTCAGTAAGTGAACAAAATATTTTGTTCGCTCAAGTGGGGGTTTTAATTTTTTTAAAAATTTCAATTCAAATAATTTTGAAGCAAATTCTTATATTTATTTGTAAAATTTATGCTTTAAAGTTCGAGCTGTTTAAAAATTAACCAAAAAACTAGCTAGAGATTCCGTTATAATAATTATCACTAATATATCAAATTTTTTTCATAAAAAATTGAATATATAAAATATTTTTTGTTCGCTTATGGCTTATGGAGAGTGGTTTTTTAGGTAGAAAAATAGGGATTTTTCCAATGGTTTGTTAATCACGAGGGGGAAAGTTAATTAATAAGCTATGATTGTTTATGAACTTCTCGAGTTTCTTTCAACCTTGATGCTACCATACCAGCAAGGACAAATACAGAGGAACTGTAAATCATTGCGATAGAAACCCCAAAATTATCTATAAATGCCCCTAGTATTACTGAGCTCAGCATCCCCCCTACACTTCCGACACTCATTAAGACTCCAATGCTCAAAGACCTATTAAATGGCGGATAACTTTCAGCCGAAATGACGTTTTGAGCTGCCATCATCATAGATAGCGAAATCGAAAACACAAAATTAACAATCAGATTTTGCATGAAACCATTTGCAAATGCAAAGCCAAAAGCAGTTGCAGCAAGAAGAAATTGACTGAGCACTGTTGTATATTTTCTCCCTAGGTTTGTATCAATTAATTTTGCTGCTAAAAATCTGCCTAAAAGTCCTATAATTTGCAAAAATGCAATCAGAGTAAATTTTTGTAATTTGGTTTCAGTTACAATGATTTTTGGCAAGAACATGATTATCCCTTGAAACCCTAAAAATGTGAAGAAGAAAAGTGGGATCAATTTAAATGTAATTGATGATAAAGGTACCTTGAATAAATCCGAAATTGCAGGCCCACTTGCTGGAAGCTTTTCTACAATTTCTAACAATTCAGGGTCAAAATCTTTCATTCCATTCATATCTGCAATCTAATTAATTTTTACCTTCTTTAAAACTTTTTTCATTTCTTCGTTTTTTCCTTGTTTACATAAGAAAACTGGTCCTTCTTCAAGGAAATTTCTCAAATATATAAAAATCACACGAATTATAATGAAAATTCCCGCAACTAATCTCCAGTCACTTATAAATGTAACTTTAAAAACTTCAACAACCGCAGCTATAACAAAAATTGCACAGTTCGATACATTAATAGATCCTAGCAGCCATGCAAGAGATTTTCTTCCTGATGCTGGGATACTTTCAATTAATAAAGAATTAATCAAAGCGTTATCAGAACCAAACCCACACCCGATAAAAAATAATGCAGCCAAAAATGCTAAATATGTATTTGATAAGAAAAGTATAGTTAAGCCAAGCAAAAGTATATAGGATGACTGTCTGAAATATGAAATTCGACCTCCTTGGTCAGCCTTTTTGCCAAAGTACCAGGAACCTATTAGCATTCCTAAGTTCATTACTGTTGCAAGCAGCCCTTTGCTAGCGTTTGAGATATCTGTAAGCTCAACTATAATAAGAGGTATAAGCATTGAAGCGCCGACTCCAATTCCAATTGCTTCACAGCCACATATGAAAAGAAAATTTTGATATTTTCCCCAACCGATCTCTTCTAAGCACTTTTCAGCAGCACTTTTCATTTGATTATTAAATAAAAGAGAAAATTAATTTTGATTAGATAATTAGTGATAATAAAGAATTGATATTGGCAGCCTGACTCACCAATTTAAGAAAAATTTCTGATTTCTAACATTTAATGAAATTTAATTTAATATTAATTTTGTTGAATTATAATAGCCTGATACAATTTATACATTAAATGGCAATGGCATCCGACCTGTCCTCTTGTGTGACGATTACCCATACATATCCGGATATGATTTTTGGAGCCGGGAATTGGCCCAACAGTATTTGGTGGCATTCAACAAAAGTCTTAAACACAGAACTGCAATTTTTTGGCCTGACTCAATGGGCAGCTATTCGTGAATTCTTTTTGCCAGAACGCCTAAGCCAGTAGACGCCCGAAATGGAGCAGGATGAATTACCTGCTCAAGCTAATACAGTGTCTATCTAATCTAATCTAATAACAGCCTGATACAACATGAATTTCAATATCATTGCAATAGCATCAGGCCAGTTTCTTTCTATTCTCAATACGTTCACAGGCATATTTTCAAAACTTCTCATCATTCTAGGTCTAAACACTCCTCTATTTCAAATAGTGTGGAATTATTTCTTACTTTTCGTTATATATCTCTCAATCATAATTTACACAAAGCGTCAAATTGCCTGAAAGCAGCTTTGGAAATATGCTTTGGCCTCCCTCACAGACACACAATGCAACTTTTTAGTAATTTTGGGCTATGAGTACACAAGCATTATTAGCGTTTTTACGCTTTCTAACTCTTCTGTGATTATGGTCATGATCTTGTCTTTTATCTTTTTAAAAAGGAGGTTTAGCTATTGGGAATATGGAGGCGCAGGAGTAGCTTTGACTGGAGTCATTTGTGTGGTTCTTTCAGATTTGAACAGTTCTAAATGGGAGTGGGGAGGAACAATACATGGAGACTTGTGTGTGCTTTTCGGAACTTTGCTTTATTCAATGTAAGATGTAGCTAGAACGAATATTTGGTCTGAGCATTTATTTGTGAATAATCATGACCCTAACACCTATTTAACAACTTTAGGGTTTTCTGGAATGCTCATTACATTGACTCAATCTTTGATTATGGAATATGATTATATTACATCTATAGATTCCATATCTCAGGTTGGGTGCTATGCAGGGTTTGCTATTTGTTTGGCGTCAATGTACTCAATCAGCCCTTACTATTTCGTGAAATATGGAGCAACAATGTACAATTTATCTCTTTTGACTTCATTACTATATGGAGTAATATTTGGAGTTTTACTGTTTCATGAAGGAATGTCCTGGTTTTATATTATTAGCTTCACACTTGTGCTTTGTGGAATTGTTATTTATAACAAGCCTAAAGCTAAAGAAGTCGAAAAAGGAAACACTTTGCTCGCTCTCAATGATAGCCAAAATAAAGACGAGCTAGGAATCAGCTTAAACTTTTAAGGAATTAGTAAATAAATTGGTTTAATCCAAAAATAAAATTAAGAAATTAAAGTTGTGGGTTAATAAAATACTATAAATTTTTGATTTAAGCAATATTGTATTCCTCTTCCTCTTCCTCTTCATCTTCTGCTTTATGCGTTTCTTCTTCTGCTCTAAACGTTTCTTCTTCAGATTCAGAACTTTCTTCAAAAGATGTTAGAGGCCGCTCAATTTCTGTATTCGATATGATTTCATATTCGTCCTTTTCTTTTTTTCTTTTGGAGCTTACTTCATTTGTATGTCCACAGCTTTGGATCACCAAATTATTCAGCTCCTCATGTTGGAATTCTGTTTCTGATTCAGTTATTTCTTGAGTCTTTTCTATACTTTCGGTTTCCTCTAATTCTTCGTTCACTTCTTGATTCATATCTTCCTCTAAAATTTCTTGATCAGATTCGTGGCTTTCTGAGGGATTATCTATGGAGCTTAAGTCTGATTTATTTTCCTCAAATACCTTATCTTCTTTTATTTCAATATTTCCCTCTATACATGTTGAAACTAGAGTCTCATTCCTTGGCAATTCATTAGGATGAAGCATATCTATATCAGCTGCTTCTTCGCTCATTGATTCTGTATGCCCAAAATTTTCAGCAACAAATTCCTCCTCTATCGGACTTTTTCCTCTTTCAACGCTTTTATTAGACCTATTGTCTTCAATTTGACTTGGAGTAGATAATGTCTCTGACTTTGATTTTTTCTTACCTAAATTTTGAATAATATTGCAGACATTAATATAAGGAATGGCATCTATGCGATGTAATAAGGAAAAACAAAAAAATTTTATATAATACAGTAATTTTGCCGATGGGTTCTTCAGGAATTTTATAAAAACTTGTTCAATTTGATTTAAGCTTACACATGCAGAGTTGTCTTTATCCCATGATTTACATATTTTCTTAAATTCTAGTAAGTTTTCGCATAAATCCGAATAAATGATTTGATCAAAGTTTTCTTCTTCATTATCTTTAATAATCTCCCAATCACTGAGATTCGCCATGAGCTTTGCACAGATTTGACTTACTGTTTTTTTATTTGGAAAGCTTTGACCGCAGAAGTCTCCTAAATTAGGCTCTATTAGAAACTTACAAAACTCTTCGTGTTTTGGCATTTTTAAAATAATATCGAATTTTTTTAAATGATCAATAAGCCCATCTTTTGTCATTTCATCTTCAAAAGATTCTTTAAATAAATACTCGGGGACTTCTGATTTTGTAAGTCCAAAATTTGCCATACAGAGTGAAAAATGTTCAAATTGCACTGAAAGATCTTCAGGTTTAATTAGATTTTCATTCGGAATTTTTTGAATATCAGAGTCTAAAGCTTGCTTAAACTCAGTTGTTCCATTGCTTATTGAGATAGGATTGCAATTAACTTCGGAATTTAATATTCGATTGTTCGGAATTGAATTATAAACTGTTTCATATTCTTGGTCGAGTTTTGCACTTTTGTGCACAGGTTCAATTCCAGTATTTAAAATAGAGACTTGATTCTTAGGATTCTTTTTAATTGCACTTTCTATATTAGGAATCAACAATTCAGTTTGAATCTGATTGCGATTAAATTTAGTACCCTTTATATCAGCTATAATAAGGGTTTTTTCTATTTTATTTCTATCAATGATATGAGGTTTTTGAATATCAATAATCTTGACATCTTTTTCTATAGAATTTGCCACTGCAAAACGGTTTCCTTCTAGCCTGAGTTTTAAACGCTCAACCTCTTTTTTTAAAGCTTGATTTCTTTTTGCGAGCTTTTTCTTGCTAAGTTTTTCAACTTCCTTCTTCAATTCAGATATAATAGAATCTTTCTCAAGATATTTGTTTATAATTTCTTTATTTTGTGCTTTCAGTGCATCGATTTCATTTTCGTAATCTTTGATTTTTAGTTTTACTTTCTTTTCCTCTTCATGCATGCTTTTAGCATCACTTGTTTTTTCAGCTAATTGCGCTTCAAGATTTCGGCATATTTTTGAGAGAATGCCAATTTCTTCTTTTAATTCACATACCTTGGATACACCTTTATTTTTTTTCAATTCATTAATTTCTAATTCCATATGCTTAATTTCCTTTTTGTTCTCACTGACTTTGTTTTTTCATGCTTTAGCCTCTTCAGCATATTTCCCAATATAATAATTATCAGGGTTTGACATAAGAGTTTTAACTAGTTTTTCTTCGTGCTTTAAATCCTTTTTTAAGCTTTCGATTTGACTTTTCTGGGTACTGATTTTTTCGAGTAGGGAAGCTAATTATAAGTTACCTTCATAAGTCTGTTTTCCACCTGCAAAAATTGCTCCAACTGAGAGTCTAGATTTTAAAACAAATTCTTGACCTACTGAGGGTCTATTTTTGGGGAGGCTGGTAATTTTTCTTCCTTGGCTTAATGGTCTTTTTCGATTCATGGTAGTTGGTGTAGTTGCCGAATTCCTCGCACTTGATTTTTGCTCGTAAGGAGTGGTATCAACAATTAATTGATCGTGGTTATAGTGGAATCTTATAGATGTTTTTGATTCCTCTTGACTATGTTAGAATTACTTTGAGCCCGAGTCCATCGAGATATAATAATGAATTATAGATAATTATGCAGGAGACCTATAAAACACTTTAAGCTTCTATTTAGGATCAATTATTTATAAAATGAAAAAGATTGATATGCGCTGGGGTCAATTTTATAATGTTGTAAAAGTATTTCATAAACAGAAAGACAATATAGTAATTGCCCGAGGATGGCGCAAGATAGCGCCATCCTCGGGCAATTAGAATACCTCCTATAAGCCTAGATGTTATGTATACTACTATGTCTTTTTATAATATAAACTATCTTACTCCTCCCAATGGTTAACGAGAAAAACCATTAGAATATCCCTATATTGGAAAAATTAACCTCTTTCTGATGAGTAAAAAATAATTAGAATATAATCAATGATGATTTTGATGAAATCTCTAATAATTTTATTAAATCTTAAACAGAATGCATTTCAAAATAATAAAATTTATAGATTAGATTAGATATCCCTTTCAAATTCACAAATTTGGATTATTTCGAAAAAGTTATATATATATATATATAATTTTAATAAATGTTTTAAAAAGTATTAGTGCTCAAATCAAGAAAGTTAGCAAATCCATTCTTATAAAATAAAACTTATCTAAATATAAAGATATTGATAGTAATATCCATTTTCTATTATTTTCCCAATTTTCATTGTTAATTTATTATTTTTTGGGGCACTTTGCAAAAATGGATGAATTAAACCTAAATGATCCATGAGAAGACTTCGAAGAAAGCAAGTGTCAAGAAGATCAAGAAGAAGAAGAAGAATCTGATGAAAAATTGGCTAACGGAAAGCCTGCTCCAACTCGAAAACAAAGACCCTTAAAATTAACTGCTGAGCAAAAGCAGGAATTAATTATGCGCTATCGATACCTCAAAGTCAACAGAAGAGCACTAGCAAAAGAATATGGCATTGGAATTTCCACTTTCGGCGAAATAATAAAAAAAGCGGGGCAACTCAAAAATGCAATCGACTCTGAAAAATGCCCCGAACTTATCGAAAGCAAGAAAATAATCTCAAGAAATCATAACCCCGCTCTAGAAAAAGCACTTATAATCTGATGCAATCAATGATACAACGCTGGCAAAATTATAATGGAAAATGAAGTTAGTGAAAAAGCAATACAGTTTCATTTAAAATTAAAAGCATTTGGAGAGCAGCCAGATTTCAGTGCTTCATGGAGCTGGACAAAAAATTTCATAGCAAGGAATGATTTAGGAAAAATTAGCAGCCCAAATAGAACACCTATGCATCCAGAAAATGAGTTAAAAGCCTTTGTAAACCAGCTCAATTTTATTATTGAAAATGAAAAATATTCTCCAGAGCAAATTTATACCTGTGATGAGTCAAGCATTTTTTGGCAAACACTTCCAAGTGGACTATCGATCAGGTTAAAAGACGAGTGGAAGCTAAGGCTTTCACAAAGCAGAGTTAAGTGTCTATTATGCTGCAATGCAACTGGCTCGCATCGGCTGCCTTTGATGATTGCAGGAGATTTCCATAAGCCTATCGGCGAGCACTGGCCATGCTTATGAATTTATAGCAATAAAGGTATAATAACAAACCCAATATTCGAGAGCTGATTAAACAACCAATTTATACCTTCCATGAAAAAGTATATGGAGTCAAAGAACTTGCCTCAAAAAGCTATACTTTTGTTGGATAATGCACCAATTCATAATCTTTCAAAAGCAGCGAACACGAAAGATGTAAAAATAATATACTACCCTCATAATATTACACACCTTGTGCAACCATTAAGCCAAGTTTCAATAAGAACTTTCAGGAAAATCTTCAGACTCAAAATACTTAAGCTGCTTTTTAAACACTCAAAAGAGCATTCAGGACTCAATTTGGAGAAAATGATTATTTATTTTTTAGCGAAATTTGGTTTGAGACAGTGTGCTTACTATTTAGCTGAAAGCTGAAATGAAATCCCTGATACTATCATGAAAAGTGATTGAAATGCCTTAGGAATGAACATTTTCGTTCGTTATGTGCAGATTTTAGACGACTCTATGGACAAAATATTGCATGAATGCAGAGAGATACTTAGTATGAGCAATAAAGATGTCGAAGAATATTTGGAGAAAGATAATATTTTTGATAGGGAAGAAGATTTGCTGACTGATGATGAAATTATAGAACAAGTTGCTAATTATAAAAAAGAGAGCACAATAGAGAATTACGAGGATTTTAAAATCTCTCATGATGATGCTGTGAAAGCTCTAAAGATGGTTGTAAAATATTTGGAGATAGCGCCAATTGCAACTAAAGGGTTTTTGGCAAAAGCAAAATACTTACTTGAGAATTTAGAAGAAAACAAAATTGCACCACTAAAGAGACCGAAATTTCAAGAAGCGTGCGAGATTGCTGAGGATGAATGGTTTATAGTTAATTAATGCTTTATGAATATTTATAATATTTGAGTTAATTTAAAAATATATTAATTCTATGGAGAGTTTAGTTAGCCTTATTCTTAAATATTTTCAAAGGAATTGATTAAATCTAAACATAGCTTGAGATGTAAATCTCCTGATCCTGATTTAAATAATTCTCCAGGAAAAAAGCATATGCAAACCATATAAATTAGGTTTCAAAGATTTATTTGAATAGAGAAAAAGAAAAATAAGGCGGTATTAGAATTAAGGCTCAAAACATTTATATGAATAAGACCACTTTCAATTGTTCCAGAATAATACTCAAATAGACTACAATAAATTTCATTTTTGAAATTTAAAACTATTTTAAATAAACGCAGATTTAGTACCTGCTTTATTTGCAAAAATTATAAATGTTAAGGCTGAAGCCTCAACCATTAAGATTGTTCTAGACTCTTCCATTTTAGAGATAAGCCTAAAGTACGTGCATTTATTATATTATGGATATTTCTAACGACGGTGGCATTCTTAAAGAAATTCTTATGGAAGGCTCTGGTGAATATCCGAAGCCTGGAGATGATGTCGAGGTCCATTACAGAGGAACCTTAGAAGATGGGACCGAATTCGATTCTTCTATCTCTCGTGGCACTCCATTTACATTCAAACTCGGCCAAGGATCTGTAATTAAAGGGTGGGACCAAGGTGTAGCTACTATGCGAGTTGGAGAAAAATCAATTTTGACCTGCAGATCTGATTACGCTTATGGAGACAATGGAATGCCACCTAAAATTCCTAAGAAGGCTACCTTGAAATTCGAAGTAGAGCTATTAAGAATCAAAGAAGCAGACGAAGAAGACAAAAGTGAACTTGAATACCATGTCAGAGTTGAAAGAGCCAAAAAACTTAAAGAACAAGGCAATGAAGAAGTGAAAAAAGGACAATACTTGGAAGCAAGGGACAAATTTTACAGAGAAGCTTTATCTTATATAGAAGATGATCCACTCGATCAAGAAGATGTAAACGAAACTTCAAGAGAGCTAAAAACCTTGAAAACACAGCTTTATTCAAATTTAGCTATTTGCAATGTAAAACTAGGAGAGTGGGGAGAAGCCATTAACAATTGCAATGAGGCATTAAAAATTGAGCCGAATAATATCAAAGTCCTCTTCAGAAGAGCAAGCGCAAGAGTAAACTTTGGGCTTCCTGAAGAAGCTTTAGAAGATTGTAAAGCTGGACTAGCAATTGAACCTGAAAACGCTGAATTAGCTTAACTTACTTATTAATAAATAGCCTCTAGCCCTAATTTTAACGCAATTATAGATGATATCCAATAGGGAGACTCAACCAATTAGCGACCGTGTCTTCCATCAGGGATGGCAATCTCTCCTCCTTGCCTTTCGGCTCCAATATTGAGTGGGCATTTTCGAATTTGTGCAGCCTTGCTTGAGACTGTTGAGTAGGGGAACAAGGGTTGTCTACAGAAATCCCAAAAAATTGAATTTCTGGTCACTCTCGGCAAAAAGGGAAAACACATAGCCCAGGGCGTAACTCCTGATTTCACGATGATAAAGTGGCCGATTGATCTAGGTTTTGCCTATAGGCATTCCTGGGCGACTCCATATCTCCATTCCCAGTGAGGTAAAATCCATTCTTGAAGCGGACTTGGGCTCGGCTCCGATACGTTTAAGAATTACTTATCTAGTATTGCTCTCATTTCTGAGATGTCAAAACCTTACCTGATATAATTAAATATGCACTCGAAGGAAATCAGTGTAGCTGACAGCGAAGCATCGAGATGTCACATTTTATTATAAAAATGCTGACTTCAAAGTATTAAGGTCCAAGATTAATCAAAGACTTAAAGAAGAAAGAGAAAAAGATAAAAAGCGATATGGGAACATGTTTTCCAAGCTTTCTATGTATGAAGAAAAAAAGATGCCTGAAAGACCTTATCAAATCCCTGCTGAGCCGAATCCAAATAATCCAAAATGCTTCTTTGACATTACTATAGGCAACGCAGCTCCCCGAAGAATTGTATTTGAGCTTTTTGCTGATATAGTCCCAAGGACAGTCGAAAACTTCAGAGCTCTTTGCACTGGCGAAAAAGGAGCCAACTCTAGAGGTATCCCATTATCTTATCAAAATTCAATTTTCCACAGAGTTATCAAAGGGTTTATGATGCAAGGAGGGGATTTCACAAACTTCAACGGCACTGGCGGAGAAAGCATATATGGCGAGAAATTTGAAGACGAAAACTTCAGGATTCACCATACACAGCCAGGACTGCTTTCTATGGCCAACGCTGGTAAAAACACAAATGGTTCTCAGTTTTTCATTACTTATGAAGCAACTCCACATTTAGACGAAAAACATGTGGTATTTGGAAGAGTCATTGAAGGGATGGAAGTGTGCAGAGACGTAGAAAATTTGAAGACTGGAGAACAAGATAAACCTACAGAAGAAGTCAAAATTGTGCAGTGTGGGCAGCTAAGTTAAAATAAGTTTAAAATTATTTTATTATTTGTGACTTCTATGATCAATGTGTGGACTTAGAATGAAATCATTATTTTCAGGCTTTATAGGCAGAATTTCTAACTCAGTTTTCATTTTTAGGTTTGGATTTTTCTCGAGTTTTTGTCGCATTCTTTCTCTGTCTACCAAAATGTTCTTTTTTCTGTTCGCACTTGATTTTTTTTGGTCAAGCAAAACACTTATGGGGATTGATGCAGCAATAACTGCACTCACTCCGAGGACAATTTTGGCGTATTTTAGGTTATTCATTCTTTTGGCGATTTCTTTATAATCGTATAAATGGAAGCTGAGAAGATATTCTATTCAAAATCGTAAATAAAGCAGGAGCAATTAGAAAGGATATTTTATAAGCTATGAAATAGGATCTATCAAAATCTGAAATGAATAAAATTGCTCTTTAATCTATAACTCAATTTTATCTCACTCAATAAGGTTAGGTTAATATCTGAATTTTTTTTTTAAATTTCAAGCATTCACTTAAAAAATTAGTTTTGTAAAATTTTAACTCTATTTTTCGAAAATATATTTTTCTAATGATTTTTTTGCTTGCTGGAGTAACAGAATAATTTTTAGTATTAGCAAAAGTTATTTTATAATTAGGTATAAGATTTAAAGAAAGGCAATTAATAATAATTTTTGAATTACTTACTATCCTCCATGAAAAATCATTCGAAAAATCCCTAATCATTGGTCAAAAACTAACCTCCTTTCGCATGCAGAATATTTTTCAATATAAAATTATTTTTTTAAAAATTATTTATAATGAAAAACTAGATAATTTTTATTCTCCTTTTGAATGTCCTGGGCCACACATTTCTGGGTCAACCCTATAAATTGGGCAAGTGTCACTATATTTTTTATTTTTCAACCCACAGGTTGAGGTGGAAGCCTTCAGCTCAGGCGATTCAAACAGCCTGAGCTATAAACATTAATTTCGCAGTTTTTGAAAATTTGAATTATTTTAAAAAGGCATTTACTACGAGATTTAAAAAATTGAAAGTAAAAAAATTTTGCTCGCCATGGTGGTAAGTTATTATATAATAGAAAATCAAAAGAATTTATAAATATCAGAAAATAATGTCAAATGAAGAAAGTGGAACAGAACAGATGCTATCAAATAGAAATAATGATAAAATAAGAGTACTATTGATAGATAAAGAAGATCAAACAGATTCGGACACTGATGAAGATTTCGAAATCCCGACAAAATTAAATTTTATTCATTATTTTTGTATCTTACTCGTAGTCGGCCTATTAGGATGCACGCTAGCTGCAACAATCTATGCATGGATCAAATAATTAAAAAGCCACTCAATGGATTGACTCTATATTTTAAGCTTATCAAACTTTTCAAAGCAGCATATGCTAATGCTAATAATATGCTTGTATAAGTCCTGTTTCTTGACCTCAATTTTGCTGATTAATGATAGTTAAGGTCAGCCTAACCTCGACCTGTTTATTTCCCCAAGCCTCTTACGACTCTCTATCACACCAGCCTCAGTGCAGGACATCTCTTTCCCACGCTAAGTCTCTCAAGGATCGCAGAGTCCCTTTCACTGAGCTCTGATATAAGACCTTAGTCTTACCCCTAACTGCCATTTTATATTGCTTTTGAAAGCAGTATAAATAAGCTGCATTCTAGTCATCGTCTTTCTCATTCAAACTTATTCAATTTACTTTTAAATTGTTGAATAATTATTATTTTTAATAAAATGTGTTTATAGGTTTTTTAACCGTTATCATTAGGTGTCAAAATGATATATGCCATTATATCTTCTCTGAACAATTCTATCCACTATTTTTTAGAAGCATACATTTTATTTTAAATAATTGACTCTGGTATATTGTGGCTATAAATATGAGAGTTAAGCATTTAAGCTATGTCTCTGCCGGTGGCAAAGGTTTACTAGGAAAAACTGTAGGAGCGATGCTGAGAGAAACAGCTCACAAGCATCCAAAAGAAGATGCCATCGTAAGTGTTGCCGAAAAGGCTAGATGGACTTATAAAGAACTGCTTGATCGAGCAGAATCCATGGCAGAAGGTCTTGTTGCCCTTGGTCTCCCAAAACAATCAAGAATAGGAATATTTGCTCCAAACTGTAAAGACTGGACTCTAACTATGTGTGCAGCAGCAATGGCCGACCTAATTCTTGTAAATGTCAACCCTTCTTCCCAGGAAACGGAACTAGAGTACGCATTGAATAAAGTTCAGGTAGATACTCTAATCATGCCATCCCACAACAGGCATAACAACTACATCGGGATGATTGAAGCACTTGCGCCTGAAATCCACGATTCAAAAATAGGAGAGCTCAATTCAGCCAGATTGCCTCACTTAAGACGAGTCATTTTGACTGATAATAAGAACCATAAGGGTATGATGAAGCTTGAAGAACTCGACAATCTTAGAAGTGATGAATATTTAACTAGAACCCAAAATATTAATTTTGAAGACCCTTACAATATACAATTTACCTCTGGAACTACTGGAAAGCCCAAAGCAGCCACTTTATCTCATCATAATGTGCTAAATAATGGCTTTTATTGTGGAGAAGTCTTAAAATACACTCACCACGATAAAGTCTGCATTTCAGTGCCACTTTATCATTGCTTTGGTATGGTTATTGGAAACCTTGCCTGCATTTCCCACGGGGCGACTATGGTATATCCTGATGCAATGTTCAACCCGGTCGCAAGTATGGATGCTGTCGAAAACGAAAAAATCACTTCAATTTATGGTGTCCCAACCATGTTTATTGCCTATTTAAAAGAGCAAGAAAGGAAGAAACGGCATATTGACTCACTAAGAACTGGCGTTGTCGCAGGATCAGTCTGCACTGCAGAGCTGATGAAGAAAATGGTTGACCAGTTGCACGTCCCAAACATCACGAACTGCTACGGAATGACTGAAACCAGCCCAGTTTCTTTCCAGCTTCATCCAAATGCAGATTTCGAAAAAAGAATTTCAACAGTAGGAGAAGTCCACCCACATGGTGAAGCAAAAATTATTGACAGTAGCGGGCAAATTGTCGAAAGAGGAGAAGTCGGTGAATTGTGCACAAGAGGCTATTTCGTCATGAAATACTACTGGGGAGACCAAAAAGCTACAAATGAAGCTATCGACGCTGACGGATGGATGCATACAGGAGATCAAGCATCCATGGACGAGCACGGGTTTGTGAAAATCGTTGGAGAGAGAGAGAGTTATATTAGAGGGGATTAACAGGGATTATTTCAGCCCCTAGCCAGTCGAGCTTCAGCTTCACGCTTCATGTGCGCCAATCACTAAAGCCACCTAACGCCCTTTTCTGTCGACGTCATCAAAAATGGTGACGTCGACATCTTTCGGGAGACTCACCCGAACCTTCTGGACCAAAAATTGCGCCAATGGACTCTCTTAACCCCTGGTAGTGCTCAGGGTATGAGGGGATCGTCCACAGCCTCCTTCTGGAACTACCTCCGCCATTTACAGGCAGCCTAATGCTCCTCCAGAAGTGCCTGCTTGGTATTGCGCCGTTGGTCTTTCGTCTGTGGGTCGAGGGGAGGCTGGTCAGCCCAAGCCCACACCCCGCAAAATCTGCCATCGCAACTCCGTGGCCCTTCGGGGCCACCGTTTTTTTATTTTTTGGTGACCCAGAATTCTGGTTTTTTCTTTTCCTCTGTTGCCCCAAATGCCTGGTAAGGGTTCCCGGCCATGATGGCCTATTTTTAAAATCGTTGGAAGAAGCAAAGATATGATTATATGGGGAGGCGAAAATATTTATCCAGCTGAGCTCGAGAATTTCTTGCAAACCCACCCAGACATTGAAGATGTAGCTGTTATTGGAATTCCTGATGAGAGATACGGAGAACAAGTGTGCGCCTGGATCAAAATGAAGCCAGACAAGACCCCTCTTAATCACGAGAGCCTCGCTCAGTTTTGCAGAGGGAAAATCGCTAAATATAAAGTCCCGAAAATCATTAAGATAGTCGATTCATTCCCATTAACGGTGTCAGGGAAGGTCATGAAATACGTGATGAGACTTGAACAGCAGAGAGAAATGGAGCTTAAGCATAAAGAATAAAAGGCGTTGCCTTATAAGTTTCTAAAATCTCAGTTAAAATGTATTAAGTTCGTCCATCTTATTGCTTTCGTCAGAAAGAAAACTAACTCTGGTCGACCTGGTTTTGCCATTGCCTCTCCACCAACTGGCTACAGCTAGCTTCACGCTTTCTGTGCATCCGTATATAATCGCATTAAGCAACCCATTGATACAAATTCCGACCCCTGATATCAGGACTAAAGCGAATTCTGGATCGTCGTCAAAATAATCATGGATCCTGTTGATTGTGACAGGAGTTTGACAAATAATGAGAATGAGTGGGTATAATAAGAGTTTCCTTATAAGCTGCCTTCTAGTAAATTCTTCTTCGTTTATGTTTGAGATTTCTCGGTTTATTTTTACAATGACTTTAAGGTAGACTATAAGGTTAAAAGGAATGACTAGTCAGAGGGGAATATAATATATCAATAGTCGGAGGATCGTTTCTTGAGCACGGTCTTTATCGGTTCTGACCCAGCATCAGCTGTCGGCATTGCCATAACTTTCAGTAATAAAAGGAGCTATAGAAGCTAGCAAGGCAAGCCCGCAAGCATACAGAATGTAAGGCTTGTGGTAAATGCTGATATACAATTTATATTGAATTAAAGTTATTTATGCTAGAATTTCAAAAAATAGGAACCATATAATAAGGTATATCTTTATATTCTCGAATTGCAGATTTATAGAGGGCATGAGCTATTGCAGAAGTTCAAAGGACTCCTGAAAGTGTAAAGAATGAAATCAGGAATGCTTGAGCTTGGCATATGATATCATCAAGATAACTTGGCAAAAAGAACGAAAGAGATGTACCTGCATCTACTAATGCTAAGTAGGTGACTAACTTGAATTGAAAAATCTGAAGGTCTTTGAAGCTCAAATAGACAATGCATATAAAGATTGAGCCAGCTAAGCTCAATGCTGATATTGATGCGTAGATTATGAATAGAATTTCATTTTGGTTCTCTGTTAATCCCATTTGTGAAATATTCACAGGTTTTTTTTAATAAATATGACTTACCGAAAAATTTAAGGTTTAGGTCTCACTGTTATGCTTATTTAATAATAATTTATTCTGACTATGCTCTAAGATCATAAAATGATTGAAATATAAAGCTACATTATATAAGGATAGAATAAAGAGATGCCTAATTTGATAGATACTCTGCGATGCAATACATAGTAGCAATAGATATTCATAATGAAATTAAGTCAATCAGTCAAAAAATCAGGAGGAGAATCCAAAAATTTTTTGACACAATTTTAAATTAGTGTAATTTCTAGTAAATCATTTATTGAAAAAATAAGCATTTGCATTTTTTAGATTAAAACAAGAAGATATTTTTAACTTCCAAACTTTTGAAAACTTAAATGGAAGAAAAAAAAACTCGCTTGGGGTTATAATAGAATATTTTATATTTATTTTAATTTAATGTAACAGATATATAATTTTAAGTTTGTGAGTTAGAGTTGGGCGCTCTGATACTTTCCAGGTAAATCTAATTTATTTTTATGAATAGAATTTAAAATCTAAGTTTTCGGTCATTTCAATCAATAAACGTGCAGAATTTAAATTTTGACATGTTTCATGCTTACCTCTCCTTATTAATGATATTTTATCAACCCAAATTATTTTTAGCCATTTATATCCAAACAGTTTTAATAATAAATGAGCGAGTTAGTAAAGAAGCAAAAAATGTGATTAATAAATAATATATACCATCAAGATTGTTATTAGTTCAAATTCCCCATTAAACCTGACTTTAATTTGTAATTTTAAGAAATAATTTAGCCAGTATAGTAATCATTTTTTTTATACAAGTCAAGTATGATTTCAGTATTTGAAGAAGCTGATCGCCAAGCTAATCCAAGCTCGGAATTTTGACAGGAATGCAATTTTTCAAACATTTCTGATTTACAAAACCACACAGTTTTTGAAGGTGAGCTTGAAATTTTAAAAAATCAAAATTACCTCAAGGCAAAAAAGTTTGTACTCACAACTACTTCTTTATACGCTTTATCTAAATCCAACCAAATCAAAAAATACGCGTTTATTGCGTGCAAAACTGTTCAACCATTTACAGAGGAGAAAGGAGCAGTAAAGAGATTTGGATTTAGGCTGGGCAAAGGAAGTATTTTCTACGATTTTTATGCACAGACAAACAAAGAGCTAGACTTGTGGCTGAATTTCCTCAATTCAATTTGCATTTTATCAGACATAGAAGAGGATTATGTGATTATCAAAAAAATTGGCAAAGGGAATTACGCAAAGGTATATTTGGTCCAAGATGTAGATAACTATGAAGAGTTCGCTTTGAAATCGATTTCAAAGAAAAAACTATTAAATAGTACTAGAGGGGTCTCAGCAGTCGTCAATGAAATTAATATAATGAAAAAACTACATCATCCCAACCTGGTCGCAATTCACAGAGTCTATGAAAGCGAAAAACATGTAAATTTGATATTAGACTATGTCAAAGGAGGAGATCTGTTCCAAAGACTGCTGAAGAAGGTCACCTTTTCAGAATACAATGCATGCTGTTTCATCAAAAATCTGTTGGAGGCATTAAGCTATATGCATGAGTTAAAAATTGTTCACAGAGATCTGAAACCAGAAAATATTCTAATGATGTCCAGCGAAGATGACACAAAAATCAAACTTGTCGACTTCGGGCTCGCCTGCGAAATAAAAAACAATGGATTTTTGAAATGCGGGTCACCTGGATACGTAGCTCCTGAAATATTGAGAAATATGCCCTATGGGACCAAGATTGACGTTTTTAGCGCTGGGGTCATTCTCTACATTATCTTATGTGGGAGAGTCCCATTTGCTGGAAACGCACAGCAAGACGTGCTTCAGCAAAATAAACAGTGCAAAATTTACTTCAAGCCAAAACACTGGAAAAATATCTCAAAAGCAGGGATAGACTTAGTACTGAAAATGACTGATCCTAACCCAGGCACACGAATTAGTGCTAAAGAAGCTTTAGAGCATCCATGAATTCGTAAGCAGCAGCCATCATCTGCGAGTTTTGATGCGCTTTCACAGTCTCAGCCCATCAATTTGAATTCAGATGGATTAATTTCGCATGCGATGATGGAAAGAATAAATAACACAACAAGAGGAGTGACAAATTATCTGCCCTTACCTGTTCCTTTCGTAGGAACGAACACTGAATCAAGAGAAGAAATTCCAGCCAGTACGAGTAGAGCGTTTCAGCTTTTATTGAAGCTGAGAGAAGACGATACAACGAGAAACTAATTTTTACACAATGATCAACACAAAATAATAATTATTTTAAAAATAATTTGACCCAAATAATTATTATTATCCATTTAGGCAAAATATTATACTTCAATATCAAGTAAATGAATTATAAATTCTGGCTTATATTTATACATAATTATATAGAAATAAAAGATAGCATTACTTTTTACTAGGATCGAATTAATTGTCAGCTTCTTCCTTTTCTTTTCCATCTTTATCCAGACTGGCCCTTTTTCTCCAATCATTCTCTTCTACATAGACTGACGAACTATTCAACACAAGATTTGATAAATCGTCGTACGGAATTTCTCTCCTGCCAAATAAAATTAATAAATCTTCGTTGCCATCCAATATGTAGGAATTCAAGCTTGTTTGAGCTTTATCTCTCAGAAATGCTTTGAGTCTTCCAAAAAGGTCATTTAGAGTTCCTGGCTCATTATTTTGCATTTTTATTTGGATATCTTCATTGAAAATTCTCAATTGAGGCTCTTGTGTGCTTTCGCTTTTAATTTGATCTCCTGATTTACTATTTTCTGATTTTGCGATTGCGATTTTCCTTCTATTCAAGTATCCTGATTTTAATTGATTCCATGCTGAAATCCTATCTCCAATTGGAATTTCCTGTGGAGGTTTCGGAGGTTCAATTTTATGGGGTCTGGTTGGGTATTTTGAAAATTTTGACTTGCTTTTAAGCGGCTTTTTATGTACTCCAGATGACCTATCTCTACCACTTCTATCTGGAAATATTTTGGCAATAACTTCATTTCTTGTACTTTCTGTAAGAATTTCTTCTCCATTATCTTCATTAGATTGATTTTCTTGCTGAAGATTTTGACCTGACAAATTTTCTAATTCACTGTTTTCTTTAATGATTGTACTACGTTTTTTTGTGCCTTGATCTTTATGAATAGAGTTATCAGAACTACTATTAATTGGTTTCTGAACTAAATTGTTTTCTCCTAACAGTTTTAGTTTTTTGTTTGGAGGGCTTATAGCAGAGTCTCTCTTTTCAAAGCTATTTATTTTTTGACCAACTTTTCTACTCTTAGATTTCAGAGTGTGAGTTTTAGCGCCTGATAGATAGTTATCTGAATTGCTGCAATCAGTTTCTTGAGATGTTCCAATGCTTTGGCTATCAAATTCTATTTTATTTGCTCTTCGTCTAATTCTTTCTATATCATTATCTTCAAAAAGCACTTTTGTTGCCGATTTTTTCACAGCGTGCTTTATTTCATCTAAGTTCATCTTTGATTCACTCATTGAAGTTTCATTATTGTTCAAATTAATAGGTCCAGTCTTACTCCCCCTGCTTAAATCGAAATTTTTTTTTTAATTTTTTTTTGGTTTTTAAAATATAATTTTTAATAAAAATAAAATTCAATTATTAAAAATTTTTATATTGGGAGAGTTAGAAGAATCAAAGAATGACCTTGTTGCAGACTTTTTCACAGCATGCTTTATCTCTATGCTTTCTTTTCTTTCAGGAATATTTGAATGATCTTCAATTATGGAATTTACAACAAGGCATTCGGGATTATCATCTTGAATCTTATAAGTATGATTGCTATTTGAGCTTGCTCTTTCTAAAGTATTTGATTCTAGAATCATGTTCTTTACAGTGTTTATTATTCTTTATTGGCCTTGCAAAAATATCCTAACATGCCCCCCAAAAATTTATCTCTTAATTTTCGAGGTTTACATCAAAATTTTAATTTATTTTTTTATTTTTTTAATTTTTAAAAATTATATATTTTAAAAGTATTAAGCTTTACACTTCATTTTATTTTATATATTTTCTTATTCTATAAATTATAATAAATGTAATAAATATTTTTTTATGCAAGGTGTGCTGCTAACACTTTTACTCTAAAAATGAATAAAATATTAGTAGATAGCTTCAAAAGATATTATTTTTATTAAATGATCGCACATTACAGCTGAAAGATCATTAACTGAGGAAGCTTATAAATTACTTCTGAATCATCCAAGTAACATAAAATTAGGTCATTCAAATAAAAAGACTCAATACTTGAAGTTGCTTTAACTGTTTAAAACTATTTTAAGCATTATATTTATCAAAATAATAATTTGATATTTCAATTGCTCACAAGTTTATTTTAAAACAAAATTAATTTTGCAAGTAGATTAGAAAAATGACTGAAAGATCAACTGAGTCAACATTTTCGCGAACATCCAGGCTCTCAGAAGATGAAATCTTGCACTACAATAAAATTGCTATGGATTATCTTAGAGAAGGAGACTATGACTCTTCAATGAACTATTTAAAACAAGCTTTTTCAAGCATAAAATCTTTAAAAGACACCTTACCGAGACAAAAATTATTAGCAATCACCTATAATAATCTCGGCTGTTTCTTTAAAAGAACAGGAAACCACAGCGAAGCTTTAAATTATCTCTTCAAAGCAGTAGAAATGGAAAAGAACTTGCCAAATGAATTTGCCAACATTGCTGGATCTCATTTGAATATTTGTGCTATTCTCTCCAATGAAGGAGAGCATGAGCGTGCTTTACGGCACGCTTTGAAATCATTGTACCTCTTAAAAAATAACTATAACTCACAGCCTGGATTAATTTCCACACTGATTATAGCATATCACAATGTAGGAGCAGAGTATGAGTATTTAATGCAATTTCCTGATGCAGCAGATTGCTATAGAAGAGGCTGAGAATTAAGTAAAGACCATCTTGGACTGAAAAACTCGCTAACAATGACTCTGAAAAAGAGCTTTGTTGAGTTAACTGAAAAAATGAAAAATAATGGCGACATGAAATCAGAGAGCCAAAGTGAAAAAAGAGCAGGAAAAGTCAAAAGAAGAGACCCAAGAAGCTCAGTGCCTCCACCTAAAGGTGAAAAATTGCCTGTTGTGCAAATTGGGAATGCATATCAGAGAGCAATATCTCACGAAGGCAGTCGAACATTCAATAGCACAAGCCTTGATGAGACTAGAGGTTGAAAAAACCTTAAAATACAGCAAAATCGACATAGGAGTCACCATGAGGATGCCATTAATACAGGGCATACAACAAGATCTTCTACTTCATCACAAAACAGCCCAAACTCCACAATAAATTCCCAGAGACGAAACATAAAAATTATAACCCAAAAGCAAAACCTTACAGTTGACCTAAACACCAAAGTCTCAATTTTTAAACCAAGAAATTTAAGCGAAAGAGTCCAAAGAAGCGAAAGATTAACGCCTGTGATGTCGTCAAAAAAGAAGAAAATTAATTTATTGATGATAAAAGCACAAGAAAGAACTGCTGCGATTATGATTCAAAGCTGGTGGAGAGGAGTAAAGGCAAGGAAAAAATACGCTCAGATTAAAATTGATAATAAACTTAAAGAAGCAGAAATCAAAGCAAGAAAAGCTGTTGAAGAGTATGAAAAACTTAAACGGCAAGCTAGTCAATTCCAACGGTATAGAGTGGAAAACTCAAATAAGTCAAAAAATGATAGCAAGCAGGTATCATCAAGTAAATAATGAAATTTTTGTAGCTTTAAATAATTTTTGGTGATTTTAATAAATGAACTTGTAACATAAAAAAGCTAAGGATTCTAAAAATGTCAATAGAATTCGATTGCTCTTGGAAAACACTGACTGCAATAGCTGTTCGAAATCTACCAAGTTTTCCCTCTTCTTTGAAACTATACCTTGAAAATGAAGATAATCGATTTATGCTGATTTTACAACATCCTTTATCATCAAATCCTACTTGGAGACACTTTGACATCCCACGTAATGTTTTCCCATTAAAACTTAAAATCTGCAACACAAAAGGAGAAGAACTCTATGAAGACGAAATTGATCCAAAACACATGTTTTTAGCAGTCCAAGACATAAATTTAATAGAAAATTTCGATTCCACTGCATGCTTTTTAGAGTTTTCTGATGATGGAGTCTACACAACGCAAAGGCATGCTGAAGAAATTGCAAAACTTACACAAAATTTTGGAATTCATATTAAGCTTCAAGCAACACAAGAGGCTACCCCTCGAGATGTAAAATTTGGGGAATTAAAAGAGCAATATCAGCAACTTCTATTTCACAGAAAGCAAATCTCAGAGTTGAGCCAAAAAATAAGCGAAATTAAGCAGAGAATGACACGATTTGCTTCACAAAAAAAGACTCATAATCCAAAAATAAAGAAAATCCATGAATTTAAGGATTTTAAGAATGATTTGGAAGAAGCTGCTATTGAAAAAAGGGTCTTATCCAAAAATTCTACTGGCTTGAATAGGTTTTTAAGTGCTCAAAACTCGATTTCGCATGATTTATTAGGAAGAAGTAAAATAAATTACAATAATAATTTGGAAATTGCTCAAAAAAGCTTACTTTCGATCTCAAATATACAATGGATGATTGAAATAAGGAGGATAAAGCTTGTAAGTGAGCTATATGAAGTTTTCAAAAATACTTTGGTGTTTGAATGACTTGCTAGAAACCCTGAAGAAAATTTTAAAGTTTTAAGTGAAGAAGAAATGTGCTTTGTATTAGGACATAGCGTGCTTCTTATTTGTGGACTTTCTCATATCTATCGAATTCAGCTACGATATCCGCTGAAATTTTTTGGTTCATGCTCATCTATTATTAATGATGGAATTGAGCTGCCTCTTCATACATTTGGAAAACTAGTAGACAACTCCAAGATCAGTACTGCAATTCAATGCCTTTTATATAATTTAACACAAGTTTTTCAAATTGCCCCAATGCCACATATATCAGGCTTAGAAAATCGTTGGGAAAATAAAGTTTCATCTGATTAACCATTGTCTTAATAATTATTTGTAAGTTTAATTTGCTTTTTTTAGCATATTGTGATAATTGCATATACTTAAAAATATATAAGCCTATATTTCAGAAAACAAAATTGGCCACAATAAAAATGAAAAACAAATCATTTCTTTGCAAGAAAAATTTATATCTGAAAAGCAGAAAGTTTACACAAGCTTGGCACCTAGCCTTTAAAGACTTCTCATCAGAAAGCAAGTATTTATATGAAATAGGCATGCAGCAAAAATTTTCAATGAATGTGATATCATGCTGAGCAGTTATAGGATTAAGTCTTGGGCTTTTGTGTGGGCACATGGATTTTATTTCCTATATCTATTTCATTACTGGACTCGCTCCTTTTTTGCCTTTTATTAGATTCAACAATTATTTTCAAAGGATTTTGACAGAATTTTTTTGCTTTTATTTTTTAAGGACATACATTGGACAATCATCAATTTCTGAGTGTCTAGGTGCGCAATTCCCATCATTCGTTCTCAATTTATATCTATTAAAGAAATGAAGCTATTCTAGCATTATTTTCGGTGCAGAATATTTGCTGATTTGTATTATAAATAATATCTACCCTGCAGGCCTTATTTTATCTTCTATTACTTATACAATTTTTATTGCTTGCCTAGAAAAACAATTAAGGGATTTATGACGTATATATACCGCATTTAAAAAATCAGAGGGAAGCTATTTTGAATTATTTCAGTCATCACCTCACCCAATATTTATATTGCAATCTGGGTTTCCATGCCAGATAACAGTGTATTTTTGATAGTGTGACATTTACTAGGTAAGTTTTTCAAAAAATTTTTGATATTGAGACATTTAACCGTTTAAATTTAGGCTAAATGGCACACTGTTTAAAATTTTCGACCAAGTTTTTTGGATGAAATGCCACTATTAAATAGACAATCATTGGGCCTACACCCAGCAGTCTGGTGGAAAAATAATTTTTCATAATAAATCTGCAATGAAGCTATTGGAAATTTATAGTAATAAATCAAAAGAATTTGATGATAATTTTGAAAGTTTTTTTGGTGACGATGATAAACCATATATTAGAAATTTAATCCAGACTGGATTATCTGGGGAATATTGTGTAGATGAATTTATCATTCAAGATATTAAGAGGCCAGATCCGCTGCACAGTTTGGGTCTTTTAATTTCTGCAGAGCATATTAGTTGACAGTCTGAAAATTGTGTAAAAATTATATGCGTTGATATATCAAGCTATGCAATTTCTCGACAGCAAATTATAAATAATTGTCAAACCTTAGAGTCTTATCTTACTCTCCCAAATTAAGAACGACCAAAATTTCGAAAACTTTCTATTATTATGAAATCACAGCAACTCAATTTTTAATATATTTTTTTATTTAAAATACTTTATAAATAATTAATCCCCATAGCTAATTATATTAATTTAAGACAGCTGATTTCTTTAACATTAATTTTATAAATTAGATTAGGCTTCATTTTCAAATACTAATAAATTGCGCTTTTAAAAATCTTAAAAATTATAATATATATAAATTTTAATATAAAATAAACCCCCTTTTAAGAGTAGCAAAAATCTTGCTCCCTCTTAAATGAAGGAATTAATTATCTATAATGTTTAACGTCCGCTACAAGGTAGGCTCTGCTAGAGCCATCTAAAATATTGCTCTAGTCTCTTCGTTATTCCTCTGTCCACAGGCTGTGACAAACTTGACCTTGATCATAGTAGGACTTCATTTTTGAAGTTTGGCTTTGAGAGCGTCAAACTTTAGAGGCAGCTTTTGAAAGAATGGCTTTTACTGCAGCAATGATTTATCAGTCAAAAACTTCACTTAATCGAGGAACATTAACTACAATAAACTCTTTGCATAATAGTTTAAAAAACAACTTATTAATCCAGCAATATCTTTCAAGCAGAATATCAGCTCAGAGAACAAATTTTGATTTGAACATAGAAATCCAAAACTCCATAGAACTCGCCTACCTACAAGCATCTGAAAAAGAAATCAGCCTAACATACACCAGAGATCAAGGCTTGCCAAACTGTGTAAATGGATACCGAAGTTTCCACAACCAGCTTGTATATACTATGCTATCCTATATAATTTCTCATAGCGAAGACCATAGCAACATATATTTGCTTATTGAAGTTGCCACAGCTGTTCAAAAAGATATTACAGTAAATTACAAATTCACTTTTAGGTCTTCAAAGATAGCAGATGATGAACTGAACTATTTATTTCAAAAAAGCATTTCACAGAGGAAGCAATTCAGTGATTTTATTTTATCAATCAAAGAATTTGGCTCGGGGATGGCTATTTTTGAAAGTATGCTTCATATCTTAAAAGGATCTATAACAGAAACTACAATCTCGGACACAGAAATTGGAAAATGCATAATCTCGTTCAGGCTTCCTTTCACAACCATAGAAAGGGAGTCTCCTACAAAGCTCTTGAGATTAAGCACAAGCGGCTCTATAACTGAAACTCCATTAACTGTAAAATGGAGGCCAAATATAAAATATGAGCATGACATGCTTTCCAGGTACCCAGTGGATGAAACTGTTATTTTAAAGGAACAAATTCAAACAATTAAAAATAAAAAGAAAAAAGAGGTCTTTCAAATCCAAATTATCAACCAGATTGGAGCTAATTTAATAGAAGAAAGGTTCATGCCAAGGATTTCAATATCGAGAGTAAGAACTCCGACTCAGTCTTTAAGCAGCGATGAAGAAATTTCTTCTGGGAGTGAGGATTGAGAAGACAACGAAAATGCAATAAATATAGACTGTAAGTGCAACTCATGCGAAATTCTATCAAATGGCAGTCAAATACTATCTGACTATATTATTCATTCTAGCTCATTATCCAGAAAATATTACAGGCTAAAAGCTAAAAAGACAGAAATCTTGACTCCCCCCTCCGTGAGCTAACAAAACTATTAGAAAAGTCCCTATTTTTGCCCAAAAATCCACCCTCTGTGAGCGAAAATTTTTTTTTTTTATATATAAAGTGATTATTATAATGAAATCTCTAGCTAATTCTATCTAAATAAACAGATTGCATTTTAAAATATAAATTTTACAAATTAAAAATTAATTTTTACTTCTTAATTTTACGAATTGGAATTTTTGTTAATTTTGAAAAAAAAAAATTACCATAAAACTTATATATAAATTTTTTTAAATACAAAAATGAACCCAATCCGAGAGCAAACAAACTTTTTCGTCCGACAGAGGGAGTAAGATCCCGAAAAGTAAAATTTTCCAGTAAAAACAATCACTTTCCTATAATTATTGATAGAGACATATTTTCTGTTAAAAAATTCCTTTTTCATGAAGGAAGAAAGGAAAGTCTTTGTTTCGATGTGGGCATTAATAGCGTTTTAGTGGTTGACGACGATGAACAACAAAGAGAAATATTAGAAAATTTTATTAAAAATATGAAATGAAGCGTTGACTTTGCAAGAGACGGATATGGAGCAATTAAAATGTTTGAGTCTTATGCTAGTCAAGGATTTGTTTATAAAGTGATATTTATGGACATAATAATGCCAAAATTAGATGGACTCAAAGCAACACAAAAAATAAGAGAGATAGAGGCAAAATTTCATTATCCGAGAACCTTTATATGTGGGTTAAGCGGTGATAAAGATGCAAGACAAAAGGCTGAAGCAGCAGGAATGGATAACTTTTGTAAGTGATATATAGTAATGAAGGCTCCTTCACATGACGCTTAAACTATAGCGACATTTTTTAACCTATTATTTTTTAATACTAAAATTTTATAATATAACTTCTGTCAAAAACAATAAACTAAAATGGAATGAAAATTACAGCAAAATAGTCAATGTGAACTCATTTCCAAATCAAATGGACTAAAAAGAGAACAAAAATAATTAAGGGAAAAAAAAGCAAAAAAAATAGGTGAGAGAAAAATGATACCAAAAAAAATGAAAAACTAGGCAAAAAAATAGGTAAAAAAAAAGTTTAAAAAAATGGGTCAAAAAAAATAGGCTAAAAAGGCCAAGAAAATATATACAAAAAAAATAGACTAAAAAGGCCAAGAAAATATATGGAAAAAAACGATAGGCTAAAAAAAAGTTTTTAGGAGTTGATATCGTGTCAAAAACGAGTAATGAAGCCTACAGCATATAGAACAATAAAAGAATTGTTGGATTCAAGACAAAAGGGTAGCGGTAGCTCATTGACTTAGAATTGGAAATTTATATTAATTAAGTATTTGACTAATGCTATATCAAGTACTATTTAATTGTAATAGACCTTAAAAAAACTCAATTATTCTGTTTGTATTTTAATAGCTCTTTTTATAGGAGTTATTGATGATAGGCAAGAGTTTCATCTTTTGTTGTGAGAGCTATCCGTGCTTAAAGCTTGAACTTCACTTTTGATAACTCTTCTTTTGTAAGGAGATATATTTGGAAGAATATTCAAACTTACCCCTCTAGCCAATAAATTGCTATTAAGAATCATATTCTTCTTATGCTTCTTTATAATTTTATTTGATAAACTAATTACAACTAGTAAAAGCATTCCTAGTGATTAGTCGTATCTGTTTTTTTTATTTGAAAATAGAGAATGGAAACAGCATGAATGGCTAGATTGACTGTAGTTAGGCATAACGAAATAGGCAAATGTGGAAATTTAAAAGGCTTTGAAGGTGCATAAGGTGTAAAATCACCACTTTGGCTTAACTTGTAAAGCCCATTTAGATATGCATAAAATGGTGATGTCGTTCGGCCCGTCCTCTCGTGCGGAGGTAACCATGCATATCTGGGCATGGTTTTGGAGTCACGAGTTGGCCTATAGAAATTTCCCTTAGATGGCGCGGTTTGCCCCCTGATTTGCCCACTTAAAAACTTTTTGGTTCGACCAGTACCATATGGTTTGGTCAAACAAAAAAATTTTTTAAGTGGGCAATCAAGGGCAAACAGTGCCATCTACGGGAAAATTCTATATCAATATCTGATGCCCTGAAGCGAAGTTAAGCAAAAATCCACTGATTTTGGACTGATCCAATGAACAGTTACCATGATTTCTTCTTGCCAGCAGTATCCAAGCCAGCGGGCATACGAAGTGGAGCAGAGTGAATTACCTGCCCAAGCTGCTATCGGAGTCTGCCTTAAATCACAGAAGCGGGTGATTTTCTTCAGCGATGACCTTAAAAAAGGGAAGGCTAGTCAATAAAGCAATCGCTCCGGCTCAAGGGTTCCAAAGAGGATCGATATCGGCCAGGGTGATATACAGGGCTGAATAACTAGCAGTTGAAGGAATTAGTTGGAAATGGTGGCACCCAGCGAAGGGTTTTAGCCCAATAAGGCAATAACACTACTAAGAAGCCAGGGGCTTCGTCCCTAATTCAGCTGTGTCGACAGGGGCTAGCGCCACACAGAATGCCATCAGTTAAAAGGGCTTCTCTAAGCAACCATCTAACAATCTAATCTAATTTTCAAAGCCCATTTGCTGCTTCTTGTCCTCATTTTGGACTAAAATTTAATGATGTAACGTTATTTGGGCTTGCTTTGTTTTGATGTGTATAATAAGTACTAATTTTGATTTTAAACTGTGGAGGCTTTAAATCCCTAGGCGATATTGTGAACTACACTGACTGGCACGGGTGCTTTTGGCTCAGTTTCGAGCCAAAAGTACCCCGTGCCAGTCAGTGTAGTTAACTATAGATTAGATAGACTGTTCTGATTAAAAGAATTATCACTTTTCCAAACCGAAAGCCTTTTATTGATCGAGATGCTCATTTTATTAATTATCTAAATTAAAATGGTAAATCTTCTCGATTTTCCATGTAATCTAAAAACAAAGGCGAAGTATTCTTAAAATTCTCTGCAAAATCTATTAATTTTGGGGCAGAGGAAATAAGAATTTCTGACATTCTTTTTGGAGCTTTTTTTCTAATCATAAAATCATGGACCATAAAAAAAATAGCAAAATCTCCTAATGTCGGCGAGCTCCCTACAAAGAAATTTTTATTTCCATTTGCAATAAATCGCTTTTCTATTGCTTTTAGCATTTTTGGCAACTCTTCTTCAGACCATTTGTCCCACCCTGCACGATCTTTGAGAACCATGAGGTATTTCAATCTATTATTGAAGAAATCTTCCTTAATGTCTCTTAAAGACTCCGTTAAATAAATGCTATAGTTATCCTTTGGGTAGAGCCCAAATTCTCTACATAAAAATCTTTCTATGCTCCCTTAACTATTATTTTTTTAGCTCCAGACCAGCCATATCAGCTTTTCACGTCTTTTTCGCTCCAGCTCTTGTTTGCCAGTCCGATTCCACTGCGTAAAGGCATGCGTTACTAGGAGATAAAGATGCTGGTAATCGTGCCATACGCCAAAATAAAATTTTCGGCTCTGGCTATCGGCAAGAATGAAACTTATAGACCAGGGCGCAGCTCCTGGTATCGTGCTGGGAAATTGCCTAATTGGCCAAACGAACACCCATAGACTTGCTGGATTATCCCTTTCAACTTCCAAGCTCTACGTCTCTTGAGATAAAATCTTGCTCTAGATATGGTCAGCCCGGCATATCGCCCAATCAGACCAAGTAAAACCTGGATGACACTCTCGCCCCATGCTGTTCTCCCTTCCATAAATCCTCAAACCCTCATCCGACTACAAATGAAGACGACAGGCTGGTCCTCCACGATTTTTAAGTACCCCTTTCTATGCTTCCACTTTGAATCAAGATTTTCCCATCTATTTCCAAGCAAGGCAATTTTCCCATTTCAAACTTTTCATCATTCTTAGCATCAGGCCATTCGGTATTCATATCATATCTAAGATCCAAAAAGGGGGCGCCCACATAATTGAGAATCATTCTTGAAGTCTCAGCCCTTGCATACATATCAAAATAATGAAGAACAATCCTCCTCATATTCCAAAATTACTATTTTTTAATCAGAAATCTTTATAAGATTATGAGTAAACTTAATTAGCTTAATTATAAAGTTATCATAATAGCTTTGGCAAAGTTATTGGAAAACCAAGACAGTGAATTTTGCAGTAAATCTGGTGCCTTTTTATTTTTCGCTTTATTTTTGTAGTTGAATTATGGGTTGTTGCCAAAGTGCCCAAAATAGAAATTCAGGAGGTTCATTCTCGCAGAGGTTGCGGGAATCTATCGAACATGATAATATAAAAGCACTCCAAGATTTATTTAAATCGGTGGATCAAAATAATACTAAAAGTGCAGTTAACGTAGATGAGCCCATGATCGCTGTTAAAAAAATGCAGTTTAGTGCATTGGCATATGCCCTATACTTGGGCAAAGTAGAAGTTTTCAAGTATTTAGCTCACCATTTGGATGCCTCTATTCAAGAAGCTATGCAATTATTAGCGAGACAAAGTATATCTCCTCTTGATTTAATCTGTGCAAAAGGCTATACAGATCTACTAGAAGACGTGATTCCGATATATTTATCAGCTGAAAAAGGCTCAATTCTTGCTCAAGAGGAAGTTTCAGTTGATTTTAACACCGCTGAACAGTATAATGCAAAGGTTAAAAGCACCTATACTGCAATTCATGTGGCATGCAATAACGGGCATATCAATGTTATCAGCTATGTTCACAATTATTTTAAAACACAGCCATACTGCCCAGTTCAGCTTGACATTGATTATCAAGATGAGCTCACAGGCGAAAACTGTGCTTTAATTTCAGCAAGAAATGGAAACTACGCAATGATGAAATTTTTACATGAACAGTGCAAAGCAAATTTTTGTGCTCGAAACAAAAGAAACGAAAATGCTGTACAAATAGCAGCGGTAAACAGCAAAAAAAAAGCGAATTTGCCTTATTTGGAATGCATAGCATACCTAATTGACACAATTGGGATTGATTTTGCATTTGCCTATGAAGAAATTTTGCTTGTTGTTGAAAACAAGCAGATTATTCAATATTTTGAATCCAAGCTAAATTCCTATGGAATAAGTGACTCAAAAGCGGAAATTGAAAATAGAAATAAAATTTTAAAGTCATCGACACCAAGATCACAAAAAGAAATTGATTTGGAGCAGCTGTTGGAAACCCCTGATTTTGATATGAGAAAGTATATTGAAGAAGATGACGATAAGAGGAGTATAATCAGCTCAATATGTCAGATAGAATCAAGGCCAAGCACACCTTTTATCAGTTTTATGGAATTAAAAGAAAAGAGCGATTCTCAAGTGAATTTTAAATAGAGAAGTGTAAATTAATTTCTTTTGACGCTGCAAAATATTAATCCATGCTCAATTAAGTCGAATTAAATAATTTGCAAGTAAAGCCTGATTTTAAGCGAAAATAGGCTGCTAGTTTATTTAATACTAGCAATATGTTTTAATTGAATTAAATGAAGAGTATTTATACTTTCTAAATTTGGATTATAGGATAATAATATTTCCGTAGGTTTATAGACTTAAATTCTACCGGGAAATAATTATTCAATATCAAAATTATATTGAGCTATTCAATGAATGATAGATTATATTAGTTTAAAATACATTAATTTTTTACCTGGACTATTGGCTGGTCCGAGTGGTTTTTTTGTATCCTGATTAATCTGGTATTTTGACTAGTAAGCACTTCATTTGTTTTTGTGTGTCGAACTGTAATCGAATTATTTCTTACATTATACGCCTTGGGCCGTTTTCTTTGGATATAAGGCACTCTGCTTAGTTCTGTGCTATCTTCTGCTAGCTTACTCGAGTCAGAAAGAATTGAAATTAAGCTTAGAGATCTAGAATGATTGGCGTTATTTGGGGTTTGTGAACTTGGAGTATTTGAAGTCTCTTCCTGTTTAGGCAAAATTTGCTTTGTGGATTTCCTTTTAATTGCTTTGATGCAAACAATAAAACAATTCATTTATAATTGGAGAAGTGCATAATCTTTTAAGCAAATTAAAAATACAGCTGAACATTAATATGTTCAGAATATAATTAGTTAGCAGAACATGAAACAGAAATAGAAAATTCAAATTTTGAATGTCCAATATCAGAAATTTATAAGAATTCATAAACAATTAGTTTTATGATGCATTCACTAATCCATGCCTATTCTTATTTTTATACAAATTATCTGCATTAATGGTAGCCAATATGATATACTTCCTTGGATAAATTTTGGGAGCCCACTGGCGTAGGGAGCATCCTCCACATGCTACAATATTTTTGGCATATGAAGTTTTCATACCTATGCAACCTCACATATAGAAAATTTCGTGGTTAGTGGAAGATGAGTCCGTATCCTAGGAAACTCCTAAAATTCATTAAATAATTATAATTTATATTCGTTGTCTTTGCGGATCTTATGGATGTGGATTCCAATACAAGGAGCAAAAAAAAATTGGATTTTGATCTAGTGAGTTGGAGACAATAGACTGATTCCTGGTCTATGCCAATTTATATATTTTAGAAGCAGCATACTAAAAGCTTGCATTAGCAAAATAAATAATGTAAAATAAGAGAGAAAGAAATAATAAAAGTCTTTTAATTTAAAATTAAAAAATAAATAAGGCATTTTATCGATAATAGATATTTCTTTTTTTATACATTCTATTGCATGATATCTAGAAGATTTTAGCTTTCAGAATTGGTAAGGTTAATCCATATTGCATTCGCATATTTTTGAAACTTATATTATTCGAAATAAATTATTGAAAAATTATTTTGACATTCTTTATGCTTGAAAACATTTTTTAAATTTATATAGATAATAAGCTCGCATCTATTTAGCTCCTCCCTTAAAGAGTGAACAAGACTATTGATAAGCCTTATTTTTAGGAAAATTAACCCTTAAAGAGCTAATAAAAAAAATTTTTATATATACCTAATTGCAATGAATAAACAAATACTGATGGGCCTTTATCCTATTTTATATATAAAGATAGGACATTCGCTTTTATTGATTATGTTTAGATATATATTTAATAAAAATGTTCTTATGCCTAATTAATAATTTTATAACAAGAATCGAGCTCAATCTATTAACTTTTACACAACCTGCATTCTTAAACATTAGTTTATAAATTAGATTAGATATGACTTACTTATATATTTATAGTCACTATTTCTTGTGTGCACCATCCGTTTCATGGGCGTTAATTTTACTCAATCGTCAGATCTATCCAACTTTTCTTAACTTAAGCATCTCTCTTATGGTTCACCTTTTCAACCGAAGAAATTTGTGCACTTAAAATTCTCTAGCCTGCCTTTCCTTTTTTTCTAATCATTCTAGCCTCTCTCCGTGAGCAAACAAAATCATTTGAAAAAAAAATATTATATTTTCGATAAAACCCCATCCTCTATGAGCAGAAAAAAATTTTTATGAAAAAATATTTTATTATATAGGTGATAATTATTATAATAAATCTTGCTAATTCTGTTTAATTTCAAACAGCTTGCATTTTAAAACATAAGCTTTAAACTTAAATTAAAATAATTTTAAATTTTTCAAAATGTTGAAAATATATTTTAATCGAAAATATAATTTTTTTTAAAAACAAATTAACCCTCTCCCAATGAACAAAATTTTTTGTTTCGCACACAAAAGAAGGGGAGTAAAGAAAATTCAACAGCTCAAGGCTGCCAAGCAACTTCGGTAGATAAATCACCATGCCTCTATGAGAAACTTAACCTGGGCTTCTAGTTAAAACTATTGCTCGAATAGAGCTACAAATCTGCAAAAGTAGTGCTGGCCCTCTCTTCTTGAGGCTATATCAACTCTCGTGCAGCTTTCTCCACAAAAACAACGTCTTGACTTATAAGGGTACCGCCATTGAGGGGACAGGTCACTCTTCATCGGCCTATGCAAATATTTTTAAAACAATATTTTTAATACATAAATAATACTTAAAAAATCACCCCTTTTTAAGACCAAGCAAATTTGCTAACTCTTAAAGGGAGAGTAAATCTTAAATTATTGCCAAAGTAGTTATTTAAAACAAGTTCATCATATTTTATTAAAATTGATTTAGCCTAATCCCAGCTAATATTTGATATTTTAAATCAGACAAAATTGAATTAATTATTCTTAATATTTATGGAATGTTTATAGTAATGAACACTTAAACTTATTTGGATTTGTGGTAGGATGAAAAATATCAGGCAACCTCGAGTAATTCGCAGGTTCTCTATAAAATGCTGACCTCAAAATGCTTTCTTTGATATGACTCAGCTGATATTCTGAAGGCGAATTTTTATAGCAAACAACTTTCCCCATTTCTCCCAAAATCCCAATAGTTGGCTGATCCCCAAACTTAGACAGCTCATATATTTCTGAGGAGACTAAAGCTCCTTCAGGTGGGTCTTCTTCTATATCTGTTATTAAGATCAGCACTCTTCCTTCCATAAATCTATAAACGCTTGCCAAAAAGTCCATATAAAAGCCATTCCTGTCTGTGAGTAGCAATCTTCCTTCAGAACGGTGATGGAGTACAACTAAATCAGCTTCTGAATTATATTGAAAGCCTCTCAATTGGCTTCTTAGCAGCACATTTTGTCTAACTTCAATTTTTGTATTTTCAAGCAGTCCGGCGATCATGATTTTAACACTTGCCATATCTTGCGCCTTGAGTGAAAACAAATTGATATCGGCCTTTTCAATACTTTTTAAATCTAGTGAACTAGGCTCCAAATGCCATTGCAAACCCCTGATTTAAAATTTTACCTCTTTATATCCTAGATGCTTTCCACAAGATGAGCAAGTAACTTTGTTTTCGGCTTCTACTTTGGTGTTCGAGCTATATGAATCTTACACTACAGAAAAAATGTAATGTGGCTCCCAATGTATCAGAAACTCTTCAGAGCTGATAGCCACATGGCAACCTTTACATTGATAGGGAGCGCTCAAAGCTTGCATATTTTTATTGATGAATTATTATTTCGATATAAAAGGAATTAAATGATATGGCTGAGAATAATTGAATATTTTATTTGAAAAATGCTAATTGTATCGAAATTTAAGCTTAGGATATATAGAGCAATATTGTTGGAAGAAATTAAATTTTTTAGAAATTAATTGAATTTAGACATGAGTTAGCTATTCTGTGCAGAAATAAATTTGAGAATTAATAGCACAACTAACTTCTCCTATTTACAGAAAATAAATCTGCATAATTTGTCATGGCTCCTAATTTTTTAGATTAATTTTAAATTATTAAATCCTTATTTAAAAACAATAATTCTGCATAAATTTTGCAAAGCTCATAATTTTAAAGTCTTTAAAACTAATTTTAATACAAAAATATAAAACATTATATTAAGAAAAGTAAGAATTTAAATTTTAGTAAATTAAATATTAAATGGACATTTTTGACGCCAAAATTTGAAACAGATAATTCAGAAAAATGAAAAGATATATTCTAATGATTTAGTAAAATGACTACATATAAAAACAATGTGTTTTTATATTAATGACTCTTAATATTAAAATGGAATTCGACCATTCATTTTATCATCTCTCCACTCAGCTTCATACACTTCTCCACTCGCTAGAGTGAGAGTTCCTTTTCCTTCTCTTCTATCTCCTTTAAACCTCCCTCTATAAACATCCCCAGTGCTCCAAGTATAAACTCCTTCACCATGCATATCATCATCTTTTCATTCTCCCTCATAATGATCTCCACTTTTATATCTCATAGCACCTCTTCCTTCTTTTTTATTATTAACAAAGCTTCCTTCATACACATTTCCTGAGCAATACAGTCTTTTACCAATCCCTTGCATTTTTCCATCATGAAAATCTCCCTCATATCTTCCGCCTTCTTTCCAAAAATAAATCCCCTTTCCATGCATGTTATCGTCTTTCCAATGTCCATCATATTTGTCACCGTTACAAAAGGTTATCTTTCCATAGCCATGACGATTTCCATGCTCATCAACTTCTCCAAAATAATCATTTTCTCTTGATGACGTTGAATAGTATCCTCCTGTGCTTCATATTCCTCCATTAGGTTTCATTGATGAATATGTCGTATACTTATTATCAATAATTCTTTTGATTTCTGGGATTTGTTTCAGCATTGATTTTTTTACGTTATAAATATTTGTAAGGAACGCTTCGATTAAATATTTTTCTATGGACTGATAAGCTTCTTGTTTAAAAGCGTTGTCAGCAGATGAAAAAATATTAATTACTGCTTCTTGTATAATCTGAAAAGAGCTGTCTAGGAATTTAAAAAGTTGAGCAAGGCTTTCGTCTTCTACACCCAACAAAGTATTTTTAGCACTTTTAAAAAAGATAAAGGAGTCAATTTTCTTTTTCAGCTGAGAAGCAAGCACTTTCATCGATTTTTTCTCATTAGTCATTTCGAAGACAAGTCGGTTTAAGAATAAAATGACCCTATTATGCTGTAAAATATTATATCTCGAATTCCCATCTGAGTCTGTAAGGGATGCCAAATCAATGATTTCTAAAGCATTTTCTAATATATTCATAGCTTTTGCCTTGTCAAAGTGAAGCCAGTTAAGATGTTCTAAATCGCCATGGACTTCAGACCAGTTTATCCCTCTAGCAGACGAAGCTATTATTTGATACAGTTCAGGAAGCCTACATCTGATCTCATCCTCTTCGCTCTCCATTTTGATAATAGTTACAGAAATTAGCTTTTAAGGCAAGTTTTTTAGGATTAAAATATTTATTATTAGCATTTAAGTTAAGAATATTATTATTTTCGCACAACCGCTATAGCAATCTACTATGCAAATTTAGAAATGCTTGACTCTATAAGAGTGTAGTAAGATTCCTCAGTTGTGGTGTTCGCATTACTTGACGTTCGTGGAAATCTTTTCCTTCTCTCCAATTTTGCTTTTATCGACTCTTTTCCTTTTATCATTGATCCAACTATAATTGGTCCTCGATAGTATGGCTCTTTTTCTTTATTCACTTCTTTAGAAGAATAGTATTTGATAACCCTTTTCTTCGCACTTAAAGATCGAGTTGTATAAGGGGACTCATAAAGGAATTTAATAGGCTTCGGCTCAAGCTTTCTCATTAGAGAATAAATAGAGTTTTCACATAAAAAGCTTCTTTTGGAGTGGCTGAGTTTAGTTTTGTACTCAAAATTATCATTTTTGAGTAAATTGTTTCGTGAATCGTTAACTTTTTGAAAGGATGCTTCTGATTGAAAGTCATCTTGTCTTGGAGTTTGTAAGAACAATTGCAGTTCGTTCGGGTTTTGAGAGCTATCGATACTATATGAAACACATTGGTCGTTTTTAGGCTTTAGAGGAGAAACACTAAAGCTGCAATTAGAATCTGACTCGCGTGATAAAGGCTTCGTTTTAGCAGAAATTTGCATTTTTGAGGGCTCAAAACTGTTAGATCGGGTTGAAAGTTTTCCTAAAGGTGTCCATTTGGTTTTTGGAGGACAAAAATAAGGGAAGTACTTGTTTGACATATTTTAAAAGGCATTGTTATAAAGTTTTAATACAAATTTAGCGTTAAATTATTCAAAATATCAATATCTGAAAATCATTAATAAATTGATTTTTTAGAAACTGTTCCATTTTTAGAATTTATATGCAAGAAGAAACTCAAAAAGACAAGTTATTGTCCACCAAAGGCACGTTTTTAACAGGCGTTGACGCTTCAACAGGCCTTCCTCTCAGTACTAGCCAAGATACTCCCCAATCTCATACTCAGCAAGTTTATAAAATCGAAGAAGCTGTCCCACCAAATTTCCTTTCAGATCAACTTGATCACCTCCTCCCGAAAAACGTGAATTTAATGAGAGTCATTAATAACGTCGGCCGCGAAAAAAAGCCCAAAAAAACTTGAACAGCCAATTTCACAAAAGACGAAAACAAATTTATAATTAGTGATTTCTTTTGGTACTGTATTTGCAAATTAATTCGAGCTGGAAAGCACCCAGAAATTGAGGAGCTCTTATTAGACCGAATAGCATATAACTATGTGCAGCTGTTTTTGTCAGTCGATTTGAATTATAGAGACAAATTCTTTGAAACTTATTACGATGACTTAGCTCAGGCTGTGTATTATTCACTATTTTTCGCGTTTCCGAAGTCAAGAAGTCTTATAATGAGCGAAACGTTTATGAGCTCATTTTTTGACTTACTGTGTGAAGAAGTAACAGGAGTTCCAGTTTGCAACTTGGCTTATGAAAAATGGGACTTGGATTTAGGCGCTGGAAACGTTTTGAGGAATAAATTAAAACGCCAAAATACGAATACTTCGTCCTTGCCTGATCTACAAAAGCCACTGGCCCCTCAGAAAAAGCTGCTTCATATGAAGTATTCACCACTCGTCGATATATTTTATAAAAATAAATAAAAGCAAATTTTATTTGATTTTATAGAAAAAGTTAATTTATTAAAAAAAGAATAGATATATGAAAGGGAGAAGATATGAAGGATATAACGTTGTCCAATCCTGGCATCTTAGATATTCACTGAGAAATCTTGATAAACAAAGGGAAGTGGCAAGCAGAATGAGCAAATATAGATCACTAGCAAGCCAAACTGTGAAAAATACTAAACAAAGGTTTAAGAAATTTGAAGAGTACCGAGATAAAGTTGATAAAGAACTAATTCAAAATAGAAAACATGTATTGAAAGTTGCTAAACTTATGACTAGAAGAACTCAAGAAATCTTGGAACAAAATCCAAGAGAGTACGCAAACCTTATGGTCTCATTAAAGGCGTTTTGGCCTGCATCTAATGAAGATTAAATAATCTTGAATCAGCATTAGTTAATGTATAAAGTTAAAAAGTTTTACTCTTTGTTAAAAATTTGTTTATTTATCCATATCTCATTTCTATTAAACTTTTTATGCTCATTTGTATTGACTTTTGATTTTCAATTAAATTCTGCATGCATTTTAATAAAAAATTATGATCACATATAAATTCACTAATAATTTAAAAAAAATTATATTAACATTTTCTCTTTTTAGCTAAATTATACTTATTTGCAATGAATGAAAGCATTCCTACTGACTATCTATCTATTTTCTATATTTATTTAAGATAAATTAGCCAGTAGGAATGTTTATTTTCTATAAGTAGATATAAATAAAATTATAAAAATTAAAATGGATGATTTGCTTGATCAAAGATATCAGCTTCTTCACAAAGTTTCGCAGTTACGTGAAAAGATAGGAGGAAGACGCATGCCAAAAATAGAAGAACCTAAAAGAATGTGCACACACCATGATTACATGCTAGAGGAAATGAAATGGCTTTCAGCTGATTTTATTGAGGAGCGAAAACACAAAATTGCATGTGCCTATATTTTAGCTATAGAAATAAAAAGCAAGGCCAAGCATGTGCTAGTTGCGGAACCAAAAACTGGAAACCAACTGCAATCAGAAGCCAAAAAGATAGGGGAAATGGTTTTGCAATATTTTGCGTCAATTGATGATGGGAAAAGAGAAGAGGAAAAGCCTAAAGAGCCAGAAAAAGTATGGCAGGTCGCAGATGTAAATCACAGCATTTCACGAATAAATATTGTTTTAGAAAAAATTGAACTAAAGCCTGTTATAGTAATTGAGCCACCTCCAGATCCTAAAGAAAAGCCTGTAAAGAAATACTCTTTAAATATGGTTCACAAGTACGGTTTCCAGCCTCCAGAGATTGTGGAAAAAAATCATGAGTCCCCTCCATCAACTCCAGAAACCGCAGTTCATGAAAACGATTTTACATCAGATTTTGGAAGTAATTTACAGATGTATTACGACATTGACACCATCACCAGCATAGACTATGATTTAAGAGCTCAGCTAGAAACTTTGCATTTGGAAGATATTGATATCTATGCTCCTTTATCAAGTAATGAACAAGAATTCAGAGAAATCACCCATGAAGAACAAGTCATTGATAAAGAGCTATTTATGCTTGCGCCGGATTCTGAAGAATTTGCTATATGGGAAGTGTCAAAAAGAAGCATTGAAGATAAATCGCCTGAAACGCTGACTTTAACGAGATTTCAAAGTGAAATGTACCCATTTCCTAATCAGTCGAAAAAGGAATGGAGGATTTTTGAAGATATGGAGCTGGAAAAGCTAGTATATGAGTTTGGAGGAAACTGGGACTTGGTGGCTGATTTAATGAGTATTTCTAAGCATACTACAAGCGATTTTTATACTGCTGATGAGTGTAACCAAAGATGAAACCTATTGCAAAAAAGAAAAGGGAGAAATGTTAGCTCAGGGTTTAGACCTCAGCCAGCTTTGCTCCCAACCGTACCTCCAATTCAACAGTTTTCTTCGAATTTTTCTTTGTTTCAAAGAAAAGGTGTTTCCCCAATGGTATATCCTAAAATTGAACCAAATTTTCAAAATTCAGATCCAAATGAGCCCCTTGATTTTTTGCTGCACAATTTGAATTTTGAAAACAATTATAAGATTTTACGACGCTGAAAGCTCTATTTTTTCAGCTAGAATCCTATTTTTGCTAGAATTTTCAAATTATAATAAAAATTCATGAGTTTTCAGTCCAATTAAATTGTATACTATTTTTATCACTATCAAAATATCAACTCCAAGTATTATGGTCCAGCACCATCACCTAGTTTTAAAGCTCTGCCTAAGCCTGAGTTAGATTTATCAACGCTTTTAAATATAAAGCCCATGAATGAAAGTGAAAAAGTTAGCACTGCAATTCCTTTAGCGATTATAAAAGAATCTAACTTAAAACTCAGTGATATGACTGAAATTTCTACTGATAAACAAGTACAATGAAGCAACGCACAGCAAATAGCAAGCATTGCAAGACAAGCTGAAATCCCAAACCCTAATAAACCAATGAAGCCTCCTGGTGATGCTAAGACCCCTGATGGCAAGATGCATGGTAAACCCCGCTAAATAAAAGTAAGTTTAATTTGACAATACTTAAATTTATTCTTAAAAAACCTCTTATCAATGTTAATATTATTATGTCAAGTTGCGACCTATTTTCTAAAGGAATTAAAATTTAAATGTCAAAATATCTCGATTTTCACCCAACACGCCAAATGCTAAATCTGCCTTTTTCAACGCAAAAACTGAATATTCAGAAAATTAAAGGTGCTATTGAAAAATCAAAAACTCACTCCTCCCTCTTTTGCTTATCGAGCAAGAATTTTGCTTCCTCGCCGAGTTACATTTCTTTTCTTTAAAATTGAATATTAAAATTTTATATAAAAATATGGCTTTTTTATGAACTCTAAAGTGTGTATAAAATTATGTAATATAAAGCATGCTATTAAAATATTTGCTTGCTAATAATTTTCTCAAAGGGGATTTTTTCAGTTGTTTTACTCTTTTTTTAAGAATGGGGAAGTCAGAGATCTGATTTAGCCGATGCTTTCAGAAAATTGAGCATTTCTACTCAAGAATCAAAATCTGAAAAATCATTTTATAAATCAAGCTATGAGATTGAAGATATTCCAGAATTAGTAGAAGCATTAAAAAATCCTGATGACCAAAGTCACTTATTTGCTGCCCAAGGTTTTAGGAAAATTTTGAGTCTGGCTGATCCTCACATAAGTGAAGTTTTAAGAGCGGGTATTTTGCCCTATACAATTGAATGAATTCAGCGATATGATTTCCCAGAACTTCAAATGGAAGGAGCATGGATATTAACCAATATAAGCTATGGAGATCATGAATATGTGGAATTGGTAGTGAACTCTGGAGCTTTGCCTTTATTGATTAATCTAATGAATTCTGAAAACGAAGATGTAAGAGATCAAGCCATTTGAGCGTTAGGAAATCTATGTGGAGATACTGATGAATATAGACAATTAGCTATAAATTTAGGTGGGCTAAATGAATTAATAAGAGTTGTCAAATACTCTCAAAGGATATCTACAATTCGTGAAGGGTGCTGAGCGATCAGCAATATATGTATATACAAGTTTATTAATTTTCAATTGGTAGAAGAAATAATACCGTTAGCGGCAAATTTTTTGAATGAGAGCCAGCACTCTGGCATTATATCAGACTGTATTTTGATATTAGCAAGACTATGTGAAGGCTGTGAAGAATCAATAAGCTTGCTACTAAAATGCGGAAATATTATTCCAAAAATAATTTGATATCTTACAAGTAATCTCACCATGTTTGTAGTCCCCAGTTTAAGAGTCATAAGAGCCATACCTAATTACAGTGAATTTAAGCATTCCTACTGGCTATCGTTATTTTATTTCCGAATAGCAAATAGGATAGCAGCTAATCAATAGGACTTTTTATGGTATATTTCCACTGATTCTTCTCCATATCTGAAAAACACAATTAAAATGCAAATAATTCCAATACTCTCAGGCCTATTAGACTCAGACTACCGAGGAATAAGAAAAGATTCTGCATGGTGTTTGGCAAAGCTATGCACCGCAGAGTATTTAGATACCCTTTTTGTAAATAGTATTTTCACAAAAATCACCAATCTTATTAGCACAGAAAATGAAAACTTAACCAAGAGGCAATTTTTATTATTTTTGACAAGTGCTGTTTCAGCATGCAACACCGCTCAGATGACTCAACTAATTCAAATGAATTTAATTTCTACTCTTTGCGGAGCTCTTAGAAGTGATGATAAGAGTATTTTAACCCTGGCTTTGGAAAGTTTAATGTACACTTTGACTTTCAATCGGCAGTCTACGGTAGAAGTGAATCAGTCTCTTTTAGAACTAATTGATGAATGTGGAGGGTGTCAGAATTTAGAAGATCTAAGGGCAAATCCAAATATACGAATTCAACAGAAGCTTTATGAAATTCTTAATTTTTTATGTGAAGCTGAATAATTAATTTGAATCTTATCTATAATTTTAAGGTTTAAAAGTCTTAATAATATTAATTTTAATTTAAAAGCTTTAAAATTGTCTTAAATTTTGATGCAAAATTAAATTAAAATTCCTAATATTTGGTCAAGCACAAATGAGACCCACCTATCTTCATTTATCAATATAAAAAATTGAAATAAATGCTCATTGAATTTATATAATACAGATTTAGGAGTAAAACAAACATAATTCTTGCCTTCAAAAACAATAGAATATGCAAAGTAGTTTACTTTATTAGCATTTTAGCTAAATATTTATATCAATTTTCCATAAAGATAGCTTCATATAAGGGGGAGTGGGGGGGTAGGTAGGGGTTCCATTTGTGCTTGGCCAACTATTAACAAGGGAATATGGAATTTTCTAAGTCCAGCTTTTTTGATGACCTTGAAGATGACACAAAAGCACAAAATTGAACCTTCAATAACTCAAATGTAGGAGGTGAGCTAAGAGTTGGAAATAAAAGGAGTCGAGAAAGCACAGCCATCAACGAGAGCGAAAATACATTTTGGGAATTAGGATTATCAAAGCCACTAATAAGGGCTTGTGAAGAAATGGGGTTTACATGTCCAACGAAAATCCAAGAACAATCAATACCAGAAGTGTTGAAAGGAAAAGACGTAATTTTGTGTGCTCAAACAGGGTCAGGTAAAACAGCTGCATTTGGTTTGCCGATTCTAAGCAAGCTGCTTAGTAGTAGAGTACGATTTACCACAAAGGTACTCGTATTAAGTCCAACTCGAGAATTAAGCCAGCAAACACATTCTATGATAAAAAGTTTTGCTAGCTCTTCTCTGTCCGCGAGCAAATAAAAAAATTTTGTTCGTTCCAGACAGGGGTTAATTAAAAATTTTATATATAAATTTTATTACAATTTTTTTTTTTAAAAATCCCAATTGGAAACAAATATTAATTTAATTTTGGAAAATTTATGTCTTAAAATTATACTAATTTATCACTTATATACGATGACGCCCCCCTCAATCTTCATGTCTACTGCAACAAAAATTTTTCGAAAAAATTTTCATGCCTACTGCAACACAACATTTTTATAAAAAAAAATTAATGCATTTTTCTCTAGGTGAGTTTCTCAAAAACCCCATAAAACAGCGCTGCTGTAGGCGTGTCAATGACCTTCTCATCGAGATTTGGACGGCTATTGTCATTGCTCGCCATTTTATTAAACTTATCTAGCTAAAAAGTACAGAAAAATTTAAGATGCGCATCTAAAATTTGCTGCAAGAGGATTATTATAGACAGGCGCTAGCCATATTGGTGGCACAGTCACCAAAGACCTCCCGTGCAGATGGTTCTACCGCTTTTCGATTCCAGCCCAGAGGGTCTATTCCTCTTACGAGTGCCCTTCTGGTACCTTCTGTCTCCTCCTTGCCTTGCGGCTTCAGTCTTGAGTGGGCGGCTTATGGATTTCTGCGTCCCTGCTACGGGCAATTGGAGTAGCTTGATTCCAAGGATCCTTAGAGTCTATCGGGTGTCAAAGTACCTTCCTTCTACAGCTACACGAAAAAGACTGTTCCCCTGTGGCCTGAGCAAAAACCCCAGTTTCTCGGTAGAGGAATGCCCATGGGTCCTCGGATCAAAAGGACGTTGTTGAGCTAATCTATTTCCAACCACAGGAAAGCAGCCAAAATCTGCCCGGATATACACTTCTTGAGTCTGCGTCTGATTCTCGGCTCGGGGTCCGTCCCAGTTCGCATTAGCCATAAGGTCTGGAATGCTGCGCCAAGAGGGCAGGCTGACACGTGTCGCCATTTTAATATATATAATTTGTTGCAAGAGACATGAAAAATTATTATTTTTTTTATATATAATTTGTTTCAAGAGACATGAAAATTATTATTTTTTTATATAAAATTTTTATATTAAAAAATTGCATTTTTGTTGCAATAGACATGAAGATTGAGGGGGGGGTCATCGTTATATCAAAATATTTTTTCATAAAAAATTTTTTTATATTAAAAACATTTTTGTTTTCTCTCTTATAGAGAGTTGAGTTTTGAGCAAAAATAGGGATTTTTCCAATGGTTTTGTTCGCTCATTAAGGAGGGAGGAAGTTTACTAAACTAAATTGCCAAGTAGTAATGGGAGGGGCAAGCTCAACAAAAGAAGCTAATTTGCTGCAGGAAATGCCAGAAATAGTTATAGGAACTCCAGGAAAAATTCTCGACCATATAAACAACACAAAAGAGCTTATATGTGAAAATATCGAATTTCTTGTCCTTGACGAGGCTGACAGATTACTTGACATGGGCTTTATTAAAGAAATCAATGAAATCATTGATAAACTTCCAAGCACCAGGCAAACAATTTTAGCCTCTGCAACCATGAATGACAGCGTTAAAGGTCTATCAAAGCTGGCTTTGAAATCTGCTGTAAAAATAGGGAAATCCGGAGTTCCAGACACTTTAGACCAAAAAATTGTAAGAATTAAAGATGAGATGAATAGAGAAGCAGTTGTTTTATATCTACTAAATCACGAAACTCCCAAAGACGTCATTGTTTTTGTAAAAACAAAAAAAGAATGCCACAGACTGCATCTGATTTTGCAAGTCTTAGGGAAAAAATCAGGAGAGCTTCATGGTAATTTGACACAATTGCAAAGACTGAGTGCTGTGAATGACTTCCAAAATGGTGATATTGATATCTTAATAACAACTGATCTTGCTGCCAGAGGGCTTGATTTGCCTGTGAAAGCTGTGATTAATATGAATATTCCTAGAGAAATTCAAAGGCTTCTGCATAGAATTGGAAGGACTGCAAGAGCTGGGTTGAGTGGGATAAGCATTAGCCTTTGCACACCAAATGAGAGATCACAGTTGAGAAAAGCTGTCAAACAGTCTATACCGTCTATTACACTAAATCAAGAACTACTAGAAAAAGCTCATGATGAAATTAGTAAAGCAAACAGTGAAGCCAAACAAATGCTTCATGAAGAGGAAATGAAGAAAATCGAGCTAAAAAGAGAAAATGAAGTGAATAAAGAAAAGAAAGGGAAAAAGCCTATAAAATTCAGAGAGAGCAGCAAGGAAATAGCGAAGACCGAAGAAAAAAGTGAATTGGCAAATAAAATAAAGCGGCATAAGCTTATGGCAAGCTTAAAAAAAAGAATTTCAGACGAAAATAATTCTTAAGATTTCCCACGAATCACGTAAAAGATTGATAATTACCTACTCCCTTTTTAAAATTGAAACAAAAAATCTATGCTAATTTAAAAGGTATTAATTTTTTATGTAACAAAAATTTATGAATTAATTATAAAATTCTATAGCATCAAAGTGTTAGCTTTGCTTAAAAAGTGCTCTATTTACACTCGTTTTTGTAGAAAAGAACAATTTATAGGTAAACTTTCATTTTTAGTGACATTAAATTTGGTATCAAAGCTATTTACATAAAAGTTATTATTTTTGCCTGTAAAAATTAAATTTTTTATTACTTAAAAGGGGGTTTCATTTGCAAAAAAAAAAAAATTTATAGTTAAATTTTCAATTATATTGATATTATTTTAGGTATCAAAGCTATTTAATGGAATTTATTAATTTTGCTTATAAATATAAAAATTTCTTATCTAAATTAAAGACTAATTCACCAAAAAATAACATTTTATTACTTTTTTTTTCAGTTTAAGGGGTGTGAGCTAACACACAGCTTTAACTAATAAGAACTTCTGAATAATAAAAAGAATTTGTTAAGCTATTACCATTCATCTCCTCCAAACAGATCCATACCTCCATCAAGGACTTCTTCTTCAGCTTCTTCTTTCTTTTCTTCTTTCTTTTCCTCTGTCTTGGTTTCTCCTGAAGTTGCAGGAGCAGAGGCTGGTGCTGATGCAGCGCTTCCGCTTCCTAGATTGCTCAGAAGTTTGCTTACATCTTGTCCTTTAAGAGCATTAGAGAAAAGAAGAGGCCAATATTTCTCAATATCATTTCCTGAGGCTGATACTAATTTCTGTATTTTTTCGGCTGTGATTTCTACACCTTCGTCATGAAGAATTAAGGCAGCAAAAACGCAGCTGAGTTCGTCGTGCTCGGCTTTGGAGAGTTCGGTGCGTGCTACAGAGGCCATATTTTTACCATATCATATTAGTCAAGATAATTCAATCGGTTTGGAAATAGAAGAAACTTATTAGAATGGTTGTATAAGGGACTTACTGTAAAACTGGATCATATTATAAAAAATAAGAATAATGGAAATAAATTTATGATGTGTAAAAATATGAATATTTTAAAGGATTTAATTTTATTCAATCTAATTCGATATTTATATAAGACGTAATTTATTAAGCAATTATTTGTTTTATTATTCTCTGTTAAAATTCTTTGATTTTGAAAGCAATTTTTATTTCTAATAATTCATAACTCCTTCATTATATATTAGGATTTACTAGAGTTTGATCAAGGATAGGCTTAAAACAGCTTCTGGAAAAAATTATACAAAATCTTTTTATCAATCCCATTAGATCAAGGATAGGGAGGGAGTAAGTATGAATTTTAGTCATCAATATTTCAAACTGCATTTAGGAATTGATCTTAATCTAAAAATAAAAAGTTTTTCAAGATCCCCATCAATAAATCATAATAAAATTTAAAAACATCTAGTTTTGTAGATTTATAAACTTAAAATGGAGTCTCAAGTACAATCAATTTCAGGTAATTTTAAGTCAGAATCAGTATTTTCTGTCGAGCAAGATATGGATATCTATCAAAGTTATGCAATTGACATTGAGGAAGAAGATGCTAGCACCAGAGAAAAACGAAAATCGGAACTTCTCTATACTTCACAGCCAGCAGTAATATTGAGTATTGCTAACGAAAAAATCGAAAGAATAAAACGCTATGATTCTTGCAAGCAACTTCAACAAAACATTAAAGATAGCCTCGCTTTAATTTCTCATACTGCAGATCAGGCGAAAAATAAAATGCAGTATGATTGTGGGCCAGATTCCAGTGTCTCATTAGATTTCGTTGCTGCTGTTAATCCTTTGAGGGACGAAAAAAAGGTAATTAAAGAAATCAACAATCTCAAAGAAGAAATAAAAGAAATCAATAAAATAATAAATATTCCCAAGTCAACAAACTCAATACTTATTGAATCTGAGCTATTGAAGTTTCCTTCACAGCTTCAAGACTCACATTTAGAGCTTTTGATGGAGCAAAGTAAAGATAGGGGCCAGCATGAGATCCATATCAACAATAAAACCTATCATGAGTTTGATTCGCTTATACTTTATGAAGAAAAAACTGCACGCTGCTATAAAAAGCTGCCAAAAATCAAGCCCAATTCTTCAATAGACCTTAAAATTGAGTTTCAATATGACGCATTGCACCAGTTTCAAATATTAAATTTCAAAATTCTTGCCTTTGGAAGGATAGTGAGTAATATATGTAACGTTTCCTTGATGTCAATTAGAGCGATTCAGGAGTCTCAAGAACACTTTTCATTTAAAATCGTTAGCCATACTTCCAATCAATATGCACCTGAGCTTTTCTGGTGGCCAAAAGATAACCCTAGATATATGGAATCGAAACCCCTGGGCAAATTTTCTGTATTTGGAGTTAGACCTTACATATGCATTAAAATGTCGTGGTCAATCAGCACCCTCTTAACTCTGTAGCTGAACCCGAAAGCGTGTTGGACCTTGAGGAAGGGAGGCTGGCGTTTGATATGTGCACCCAGCTAGGTTTTCTATGGTTTGGTGAAGTGCAATGTGGGGTTTGGCAAACACAAGCTTTACTCCAATGCCAAGTTTTTACCTCAGAGGGAGATGAGCCGGAAGCTGGGAATAGATTTCCCAGCAGTGCCAATAGCTTTCGCCTTGACAAATCCGGTCTATTTCCCAGAGTGAAACTAGGAGTTACAGTCGACCAGAAAATTCAACCCTTTTGAATTTCAATGGTGGGCAACTCTGTTGATGTATGACCCAAACTTTCCGACTACCAGGCAGCATGCACTGGACCATGTCTGGCAGGAGCAAGACTTTGAAGGCCATGAGACGATTGTCGGCAAAGTGGGCGAGTGGAGCGTTATGGAAGTGAGCAAGGATCTTCGTTCCCGACAGGGGAGTTTCTATAATATAATTAAATGCAATTAAGAAAGAGTTCTAACTTACAAAAAGTTACCAAAATTTGAAGGTAGCCAGACATGTGTTGAGTTGAGAATTAACAACGCTCCTGCTTCAAAAATTTATGTTCTAGGTAATTAACTATTAATTTCATTCATAATTCTTTTTCTCTTTTATAAGATATCATTCAATTACTTCATAATTTTTAAAATCCTCCTCCACTTAACCCAGCAGCTCCATTTCCTTCGAAATTTAAATTCAATTATTAATTCAAGCATGGCAATCCTCAAGGAAGATTCCTCATACACCCACATCATTGCAATTGATTTCGGTACAGGCGCATCTGGCTATGCAATTACTCCTCGTCTCAAGGAAAACGGTAAAGCCCGAATTGAAGTTTTTAATCCATGCGATGACACAGACGATCAAAAAGCTATCACAGCGATTCTCTTTTGACACATAAATAAAATGGCATTTGGTTCGAGTGATTAGCTCCGCTAATTTTCTCTCCCTCAAGCAATTTTATTTATGGGGTTAGGTTTTCTTTTGAGGACTTCTGTACAGCAATAGCAGTTTAACTCTGGCAGATAAGCCGAGGCACTGCTCCAATTATATAAAGAGGCTCGAAGTTTTACCTTCAGCGCACCCGAGGAAGGTGACCCTTAGGCGGAACACGCGCAGAAGCTGAGTCAAGGAAGGCAAAGTAACGCAGCCCGTCGAAGCCGGAACGCCATACACGCCCGTGCCCTGGCGCAATGAAGTGTATCGATCCAGAGGTCCATTGGCCCGACACGTGGACAAATATGGTGGCAGCTCTGGAAACGGCTACCGTAGTGGACGTTAAACGTTATAAATTTAATGAGATAAGATAAGATTCTCTTTGACACGAATTTCAAGTTTTTGGCATTTGGGTCGCAAGCACTTCAGCAATATGCAGAAATAATAGACGATGGGGAAAGTGCATTGCTTTTTCAAACGTACAAAATGCATCTTCTCCATCTTCATAGCAATGCAGTCTCTGTAGATGGCCGCGAAATGCCACTGATGACTGTGATTTCGGAAACTCTGCGATTTATATCTGACAAGGCTATTCAAAAATTATCAGAACAAGTCGGAAAAGTCGTCAAAACAAAAATCATGTGGGTGCTAACGGTGCCTGCATTATGAAGTGAAGAGCATAAGCAGTTTATGAGAAGTGCCTGTGTTGAGGCTGGAATTATAACAGAGCTAAATTCACCTAATCTCCTGTTGTGTTTAGAGCCTGAAGGAGCCTCAATTTCAGTTAGAGAAGATAGTGAAGAAAGCATTAAGCAGCAAATGACCAAAAACACTGTTGTCATGGTGCTGGATTGTGGAGGGGGGACTGTCGATATAACAGTGCACAAGCTTTTATGCGAGCCTGAAGAAAAGTTTTTATGCGAAGAACTGTTGCCGTCAAGTGGTGGATGTGAATGGGGATCAAAATTCGTAGATGTTTATTTTGAAGAATTTATGAAAGAATTTTTTGGGGAAGAATTGTTTGGGAAATATATGAGAAATGCTGTAGGAAGATTAGATATTTTGAAACACTTTGAAATGCTTAAAAGGAAGTTCTGTCCTGGAATTGATGAAAGATCAAGATTGCAGCTGAGCTACATGGGCGAAGATTTAACTGCACAAATTTTGTCGAATTTGGTTAAGAATTATAATAAAGCTCATCCACCAGAGTTTGAGCTAAAACAAAGAGGCTCGTCAAGTTTAGATCTGCCTACCCCTCTTATGGCTTCATTTTTCCAGCCTCTTTTTGAAAACATAAAGTCAAAAGTGGCTCAGCTGAAATCTCAAGTTGATGCCAAAGGCGAACAGTTAGGCTTTATTTTTATGGTTGGCGGGTTCTCTGAAAGTCCATTCCTTAAGCAAGAAATAAAAAAGCAATTCGAAACTGAGCAGCTGCAAGTTTTAGTCCCTCGACGTCCACAAGTGAGCGTAGTCCGAGGAGCTTGCCTATTTGGCCTTGACCCCCACTCTATAACTTCTAGAATTGTCAAAAAAACATATGGGATAAATACCCTTACCACATTTGACCCTGAAAGACACCCAGAAACCAAAAAAGTCATAATTGAAGGAGAAGATTTCTGTGAAGACGTTTTCGATCCTTTTGTCAGAGCTGGAGATTCTGTAGGTGCTGAAGAAGTGCATACAAAAACATATTGTCCAGTAAGATCAAGACAAACTGTCATGAGGATTATTTTTTACTGCACTGAGTCTAGAGATGTCGATTTTGTCGATGAAGAAGGGGTAGAACAGCTTGGAGAACTTACAATTGATATAGGGAGACCTTTCCAGTCAGTAGAAGATAAGACTGTTAAAGTCACACTGAGGTTTGGAAGCACAAATATATATGCTGGAGCTACGAATAAAGACGGCACTGAAATCAGAAACTGCGAATTCAGGTTTGATGACTCTTAATTTAATCATAAGATTTTAAAAATCATAATTTTTTTTAGATGTCATTTTCAAAAAGCGATAATCTCAGTTGCTCATTTTCTATGCTGCCATTAGCAAATCCACTATTAAAGCACAAAGTTTATCAAAATATCTACAACGAAAAAGCAAATTTGTCGACACAAGCAAGCCAGCAAACTATTTCAAGCAAGCTAAAAAAAAGGAAGCTAAAGCCCATAATGGAAATTCAACCAGAAATCGCCGCAAAAGTAGTAAAATCATATTTGCTGCCTATGTTTGAATGTAAAACAAGGGGGTTGTCAAAAAGGCATTCTCACGGAAAATCACTTGATATTTCAAAATCGCGTGCTGACATTTTGGAGAGTCGAGAAACAACTGCAGAGACAAGTGTATATGGTGAATTAAAACTCAGCGAAAAACTTATGAGCGAAATCGAAAAAGTAAAAACCGAGCTTGATGACTGCACTAGGAAAATGAGAGATTCAGAACAAGCTAAAATTATTTCAGAATCTGAGCTGTCCATTTTAAAATCTAAATACGAAGATTTGGAAATAAATTTCGAACTGCTAAAATTTCAACTTAACCAAAACTTGAAAATGTATCAAAAATTAGAATTGAAAATTGTTTTCCTGAACGAGCAGGCCGACCAGTATAAAAATTTGTTAGCCATATGTGAATCGAAGCTAGAAGAATACTCAGCAGAATGCCTGAATGAAAAAATGGTAAATGATCGGCTTTCTTCTGAGCTGCAAAAAATTGCTCGGTTTAATGATTTAGTAGAAATGCAAAATCAAATAATGGGTGATCGTCTAATAGGTTTACAAACCTGTATCGAAGATCTTCTAAAAGTAAGACGAACTGAAGAAATTACAACAAAAGATTTTGCTACCTTTGTTGAAAGCTCCAAAAAGTTAGCTTTATATGAAACTGAATTAATAAACTCACTAAAAACCCTAACTGAGCAAAATCAAATCCTATCTAAAGATATGATAGAAATTGCTGAAATGAAAGACTATATGAAAAATGATAGAGATAAATTTATATGTCGATTTAAAGAGAAAGTACAGCAAATAAAAGACGAGATGGCAAAAGAAAGAGAAGAAAAAGAAAAGCTTCAGATAAAATATGAAGACATTAAAAATAATTATGATGCTTTATCTGATCAATTTGATAGAATGAGAGACAAAATCACAAATTTCAAAGTTAATCGAAATGGAGAAATAGAAGAAAAGGTGTGCAAAAATTGCAAAAAATTCTTTTTTGAAAATGAAAACTTCAATTGGTCTTGCCAAATTCACACAAGCCAGTATTCAGGTGCGATGTGATGGTGCTGTGGAAGGAAAGGAGAAAATGCTAAAGGTTGTAGAACTTCTCAGCATATTGCTAAAGATGAAGAAGAGGAATTAATGCAAGAAGAGATGCGACTACGAAAGCAGCAATTTTGTACAGTAATAGTTATTTAGAGTTGCACAGAAACTGGACATGATGAGAAAAATTGTCCTTATGATCCCAATGCTAAAAGTAATTTTGATGCGGACGAGGAATATGAAAGACTTGAAAATCTCAAACTTAAAAAAAGCAAAATAAAAACCTGGACACTGATATAAGCCAAAAGTTAATGAATCTTTTAGAGAATAAAAACATACCTTTATCGTATATTGCAGAAACAATATCATCTGATAGAGATGAAGGGAATGCAATCGACAAAGAAGCTGATTTGCAATCTCAAGGTGAAGAAAAGCCAAAGTTCTTCAATGATTTAATGGACTTAAAAAAGAATTTGAACTTTAATCCCATTCCAACGGTAAAAAAAAATTAGATTGAAACTGAGGAAACACAAGAAGCAAAATGGCTAGTGAAAAGGAACCAAACAAAAGCAAGAGGAGAGCTTACTGTGCTCATGCGAGAAACACAAAATCGAAAACATTCTGTTAATTTTACAATAGAAGAATCTAATATGGAATAGTAATTTATTAATTTACTCCTAATCTAGTTTGAGCTTAAAACTATTTCAGCTGCTATATTTTAATTTATTATTTATGATCAAACAAAAATAATCTATAAGACCAACATAACATGATTATCAAAATTGTTTGTTGATATAAAACTGAAATATTCAGAAGATTATTCATCAATTTAAAGTAAAAATAGATTATTATTATTATTTGCATAATACACTCAAATCTAGAAATACCAAATAACTGAAACCATTCAAAGGTTTCTCTTTAAATTTTCTAAAAATTCTCAAAATCGAATCTCAATAAGAAATCATTATAAGCGATTATGTGCTTGATGATAATCTATGGTGTTGTAATTCATTAATATGGTGGCAAGACTCAAGCATACCAGGAAACTCAGAGGACATGTAAGCATGGGCCATGGTCGTATCGGAAAGCACAGAAAACATCCTTGTGGTCGTGGTAATGCCGGTGGTTTACATCACCTCAGAATCTTATTTGACAAGTTCCATCCAGGATACTTCGGAAAAGTTGGTATGAGACGCTTCCACTTAAAGAAAAACACAGAGTTCTGCCCTTGCGTGAATCTTGACACCCTTAATACACTGTTAACAGAAGAACAAAAGGCATCATCAGATATCCCTCTTATTGATGCAGGAGCTCATGGATTTTTCAAAGTTCTTGGCAGAGGTGTTCTTTCAAGGCCAGTCAATGTCAAGGCAAGACTATTTTCTGCTAAAGCTGAAGAAAGAATTAAGAAAGTAGGAGGATCAGTTATTCTTTCAGCATAAATAACAAACGAATTTCTTCCATAATTAAATAGTCTTAGGGGAAAATTTAATTGGAAGCTATATTTGAGAACTTTAAAAGAATTATCGCTTCTAGCCTAATCATAAGTTTATTTGTTTATTTTGATTTAAAGTTTTATATTTGTTTTATTATAAAAATATTGAAGAACAAATAACTAAGCAGCTCAAAATATTGTTAAAGCCAGGCAATATAAAACTATTTTTTCTTAATAAATATATAGCTTTAAATCATTTTTAACAAATTTATCATAAATGTCTGGACTTAATAACTCATATCTCAAGCTCTCTGATGAACTATTTGAAAATGATACACCAATTAGCACAAAAAGCTCTAAACGTCGAAACTGCTCTGCAACTCCAAAAGAGCACCATCGCACTATTTCTGAAACAAAAGGTATAGAAATGTATTTGCTTTCGCAGGAACGGAAACAAGCAGACGAAAATTTAAAATTATTAAAAAATCGAATAAAACATCTCGAAACCGAGCAGCAAAAAGCCAACAAAGCAATTGAAGCTGCAAAGATGCTGTCTTCTAAAAGACAAACGATCAGAGAAAAGCATGAACTTTTTAAAAAGGGGATTGAAACTGCGCTCAAAGAACGAGAAATTGAAACAGTCAACAAAAAGAGAGATATCTCAACAGAAAGACAAAGGAGAAAAGAAAGCATAGAAAGAAGTAAAAAAAATTTAATCGAAAAAAATAGCAAAGCAAGAGATGAAGCTATTGCTCAAAAAATATACCTGCTTAGGATGTATAATTTATAGATAAAGCTATTATAATAATTTAGTGTAAATGGAAATACAAAACGAAAATTTTTTGAAACAAAGATTTGAAGCTGAAAAAAATTTGGTTACTGAAAGAGCAAGAAAAATATTTAATGAGACGAGCAAAGCAAGCAAATCAAGAACTGCAAGCTCAGAAGGGATAAAACAGGTGCTAGACGAAATGTATAGAAGCAAGATGAACGAAACTAGGAGCAAGTCAAGAATTGCAAGAAGACAAGCAGAAGAGCTAACAAGAATTGAAGCACTTATGGAAGAAAACCTAAAAAAAACAGTTTTACTACAAAATACTTATTATCAATTTTTGTTCGAAAGTGAAGTCAGTGAAGCTTCATTTCTATCAAACAAGTCAAGGAGTCAGACTCCAAGAAATTGCACATCCAGTAGTGGATTTGAATCAGAAATTCCAAACATGAAATACCTTGATAAAATCATCGCAGAAATAAGCTCAGACCAATCAGATATGTAATTTAACTATTTTTTTATTTTTTTCAAAATTTAATTTTAATGAACCTTTGATAACGAAAGAATAAGTTTTTGAAGATCCTGCACATTTAAATCTTTTCCAAGCTTCAGTCCAACTTCAGTACTAATTGATAACTGCTCTTCAGGTGAAATGTCTAGAAATGCTTCAATAAAATCTCCATCTAAAAAGAAATCAAAATTAATTTTTTGCTTTTCTAAGTCAGGCGATCTATAATTTTTAAGACTCATATTTCCGATTTGAGAGATTTTGGAAGTTAGTTCTTCTTGGACGAGGTTTAAGATTGTATATATATCAAGAGGCAAAGAAGCGATAACGCCTAAGTTTCCTTTTGCGGTAGCAAATAATAGGCTTTCCACATTATCAGGAAATTCATCAGACCTTCCTTGGATAAGCGGTCCTTTTCTTATGCAATTAATAGTTTCTCCAATATGAATGCCTCCAATTGGATTTAATTTCATATTATTTTGAACTTCTAATAATAATAAATTTCCAAACGTATCAGCAACTACAATTAGTGACTGACAAATGAACTGTATACAAGTTGGCCACATTGCTGAATAGTTTTTAGCGACAACTGTAAGTCCTTCATCATTTGCTGAAAAAATGGTAACAGATTTTATTAGATCAGCCACTGCTACTAAGTTTTGGCAAGTGTCCATGTGGCTCCATATTACTTGATTGGGACTTTTTGGCAATGAGGCATTTTTCTTGAAAATTTAGGGGAAGTTTTTTCCTTGAGATATTTGCTCGGAAAAACAGTTAAATTTCGATCAAATACTCACCTAAAAAAAAATTCGACCAAATTTCTCTATGAAATGTCTCACCACCAAAAAGTTCAGAGGAAAAACCATGCGCCCATCCATGCTATAAACATAGGTGAGTTTATGACTGGCATCAATCAAAGTGATTTGGTTTTCATCGTCAATTCCTCAGTAATGAATCACGCTATGCACTCCTCCTACAAGTCGGTTTTTTCCGATAGAAACGATACAAGAAACTCCTCCATCTCGCACATTGAAGCGAGAAACTTCATGGAAAGCTCTGTCCCTAATGACAAAAACTCTTAAATGACCAGATTTTGGATCATTATTTCTATCATCAGTTACCCCAGTTCCAACAATTATTCTGTTTTTATCGACCAATAAAGCATTCACAGCTTCAGAATGCTCAAATGAATGCGTATTTTCAGCCACCAAAGTATTGGAAAATAGCATAAGACTGTCAATATTAGCTGAGTTTCTTGCTAAGCATACAAAATAATCATCAACCATTCCAATTCTTCTCATAGAAAGCCCTTGTGGGAATGTTTTTATAGTGAAGTTTTGCAAATCTTCAATAGAAATCATTATCAAAGACTGTCCACTTATTAAAGCTAGGCAGTCTGGAAAATTTTTGGTGCCGAATGGTGAAACAAAAGAAACTGAATCTGAGTTGACTGTAGAAGTAATCAGTCTATGGTGGTGGCTATACACTATTTTTGGTTGGTCACACCCTGCAAATACAGAAACTTTGTTTTGATATTTAAAGGCTTTAAGAATCACTTGCTGAGTACCAATCAATTGGCTTCTTTTAGTAAAATTTGGAAGTGTATAAGTGAGCAAATGCCCATCCGCTAAGCCTGCAAATAAGTATTTTATATCTTCAAGCTCCACAAACATAAGAGATCTAGGGAGAACTTCACCCCCTAAATGATCACGCCAAGTTTCCTGCATGCTATGAGGGTCAATGACAATGATGTTTAATTCTATTCATAGCCCAACAGCAATCATGTCATGCGACATTCCAATGCAAGCAATCTCATTCTGAAAAGTCTGATTATTAAGTTTTTCTAGGCGATTTTCATTAGCTGAAAATACTATCAGCTCAAGTCCATTCAATACAATACAAATTTTTTCGCCAGATGACTCCGCAAGTGTAATTTCTGAATTTTCTTTTATTTCCTCAGATCTGATAATAAAAACACTTTGCCACTTGAAATTTAAAAGCTGAATAAAAAATTTTGTTACTTGAACAATGCCGAATTTGGTAATTCCGACATAAATTGATGAAATTTTGGAATCAATGTCTGGGTAAGAAATTGGCTTCAAAGCCTCATCTTGGATTTTCAATATTCTTGTTGCATCAATAAAGCTTAGAACTATATGGGTAAAATCGCTATCTTCTACCTGCAATGTGAATAAGCCAATCACATTTCCAATTTCCATTTGGTTTTCTACAGTCACACTAATCCCTTTATTAACCAGTCTCAACGATCCATCTAGATTGTAGCCTGAGCACGAAATAATATTGCAAAGGCCCTTCCGCTCGCCTTCAATTACTTTGAAATCTAAAATTGGGCCGATATTTTGATACTTCTGCTCTACTGATAGAAAAGAATTCTCCTGCCGCTCAGTTAAAACTCTAATTAGTTGTGAATCCCCAAATGATGACCCAATAAAAAGATAGTTATTGTCCAAGTATGATATGCTGCTAGCCATTGAGCATCGCCCAAGGCACTCAACTTTAAGCTCATGATTCAAGAAAACTATAAACAGGTTTCCGTCTTGATTTCCTATAACCCATCGTGAAATATCAATATTATGAACCACATTAACTTTTCCGAATTCTGCATTTGCTGACATAGAAGGATCATTCTCTTGCTCTCTATAAATTTTTATGGAGTTCATATCAACAATCCCAATGCTTCCATGCTGTAGATTTAAAAATTTGCAGACTGGCTCTCTAATGGCAATGCTTCATATATAATCGCTAATGTTTTTCTCTGCTAAGCTAACAGGAAAAGCTTTAAATATAAATTCTGACTCCTTTTTGAAAAGAATCCCTAGCTGCAACTCTTGAGAATTGTTTAAAAATTTCATATCAATTACCCAGCTCTCCTCAATTCTTGAGTTAAATGAGACTCCAATTGTGAAATTTGATTTAATTCCTATAATTCGAATTAATCCTTTATATATGTGCATGCAGAAAGCTCTCTGGTGGGGATCTAAAGTTGCGAAAGGAAAATACTCTAGTCTTAGTGATAATTTTTCTTTAAGAGATACTGACTCTTTTAAACACAATTTTGAGTTTTCAAAGACCGCGAGACTAAGATTATAGGGATCAGTAACAATTAATAGAGAATCTGAACCAGTTTGAGGATGTAGTTTCTCGATAAACCGAACAATTCCAAACAGGGAGAATTCTTGAATTGGGATTATGTTTTCTTCGGTCAAAGTGTGAATTTCAATTCGATTCCCTTTAGCAACTATAAGGTTTCTGTCTTCAGGAGACGTAAAATTGCACACTAATGATGTAGCAACTGCGCTAGACTTGTGAGCACTAGCCAAATAGTTCCACTTAGACATTTATATAAATTTTAGTGTTGCTATATCAAACTTTTCTAAAGCTAAACAAATAGCATTCGCTGAGACATAATGCAATAATGCTAGGTAACACACTCCATAAATTTATATTTTTAAAATAATTTTCTATAAATATCAAGAGAATCTGAATTAGCTAGCTTGCTTTTTGAGAATAAAATAATTAAAATTTATCGGCTAATAAGTTTTGAAATACCAAATGAGTTAACATATTTGATTATCAAATTTTATTTTAAACTTGCCCTGGCCAATATGGACTCGTCTCCCTCCCAAACTGCTTTTGTTTAACAGCTTCATCTTCAATTTTTTTCTTTCTTTTGCAAACATAGCGCAGTGATGAATCTGACAGCCTAAACTTCGCCATTTCCTCATCTTCTTCCTCAATTTTTGCTTCTCTTGCTTTCTTAAGTTGATTTTCTTTAAGTTTCGCCCACGTATACAAATCACTAACAATTTGATCAGGATTCCTCGACCTTGGAGTTTTGTTGATTTTCGGCGAAAAAGTCGCTTCCAATATTTCTTCATCAACTTTATTAATCTGCTGTGTGCTTAGCTTCAGCTTAGCGTTGACTACATATTCTTGCTGCCTATCTAAAAAGTTTCCCATCGCATGAGCATTTCTATTGATTTTGGGAGAATGCGTCAAATTTTTCAGCTCCTCTTCAACCTTTTTTTGCCTTTCGTTATGTAGCCTTTCTTGCCTTTGGTTTTCTAAAATTTTGAATCTTTCTTCGAAGGGCACGTAATCGTTTCCTTGACGTGCTCGCTTGTTTTGGGCTAACTCTCTGGAATATGAAGAAATGCGTGGAGAGAATGGAGAGAGATCAGGTGACTCAATGCTTTGGTTTATTCGGCTTTTGGGAGATCGGTCTTTGGTAGATGAGCTGTTTGGAGTGTGCTTTTGGGTTACTTTTATGTGGTGGTTTGATGTGTTTAAGCCTGGCTGGCGATTTGATGTGTTTATGCTTGTCTGATTGTTTGAAATGTTTAAACTTTGATGGTTTGACGTGATCGAGCTGCCTTGGTGATTTGATGTGTTTAAGCTAGTCTGATGGATTGATGTGTTTAAGCTTTGGTGGTTTGATGTATTTAGGCTTGACTGATGATTAGAGGTGTTTAATGCTGATTGCTTAGACGATGCAGGTTTTATAGCATTGGTTGGACGCTTGGAGGATGGAGGTGTTACAAGTCTTGAACCTGGCTTTGATTGCTTTTTGGTAGAACTGCCTTTGGATCTTGAAGTATGTTTTGATGATTTTGACTTCTTTGATATACTTGCCTCGTAAGATAATGCAAACTTCCGAGCGGCAACAATAGCTTTGTACCATCTTTGTATTTTTATGATGCAACTTTTTTTCTTTGTAAACTTACTTCTCCAAGCTCTTTGTATCATAATGACAGCTCGATTTAATTGAAAAACTGGCTTTAATGTCATTCTGGTATGCCATCCTTTTCATATTCTTTGAATAGTTTTTGCTTTTTCATGAAGAAACTTCAATCCATTATAAAACTCACGAGCCTTGCACCCTCTTCACATAGATTGAATTCTTATAATTTCAGGCAGAATTCCTGAATAGTCCATTTTCATATATCCGCCCATAGACCTGAATAATTTTGAAATGGCATGGAATGATTCTATTTTCACAATATTTTCTTGTTGATCTTTATTTTTGCCATTAGAAATGATACTCGAATTAAGCTCTTCTGTGTTTTTCACAGACTGTTTGGTTAAGAGTTTCTGTACATAACGCTCTGATTCAGCCATAATATCAAGCTTCTCAAAAGAATTTGTTTGAATATTTTGCCTTAAATTTTCTTTTGAAGTGATTTTTGGCTGTGGACGATCATCATAGATTTCAACATGGAAATCTTTGGGCCTGAAAATAGAATTGCTTTTTTTAGCTGAAAATGGGCTAGATTCACTTATTTGCATAAAATTTGCATCAGAATGTGTCAACGATAGATCAATAGTATCATCTTTAATTTTTTGCTTTCTTTTTATTATATCTTGAAGCTGGTTCATATGCTTTTCTTTTAGTAATACATATCGTCCAGTTATTATAAAGTCTTGAGAAGGTAAAACTTGGGCTAAAACACCTTTTGCGACCTCCTTTTGTGCACCAGATATTCTTAATGCAATGTCTGGAAATTCTTTAATTACATCTTCAATGTTTATTCAGTGAGGGAAACCATATCACGTCCATAATAAGGTAGGCAAAATTAATGAATTTCTAAATAAGAAGACTGCACCAGGCTGAATTTCTTTTTCAGGAGCTTTAATGCAATAAATTATATGGGGCTCAATTTTGACAAGAGGCTGAATAAGGCTTGAAATCGATAGAGCAAGCTTTTCAGCAAAAATTGACTCAGATGGAATATCTGAAGGGACTTTCAGCTGATTAAGATAAAAATTAGGAAGCACACTTGAGAACACTGAAATCAGCTTTGAATTGCATTTTCTGAGGAAAAATGAATTTAAATGTAGTGTATAGTGCCCTTCTGCTTCATTTCGGAGATGAGTTAAATCATATTTTACAGATCCCCAAGAGAAATGATAAATAATATCATTTTTTTCAATAAAAGAAATAATATCCTTATAAGGCAAATTTTCATCACTTTGGACTCTGTGCAGTTCGTTGACATATTCTTTAAACGTGGCATTATCAGCAGAAAGAAAGTGAATAAGACCAGATCCTTTACCTAAGCACAGATCAACGATATGCTTACAATTTGGAGTGTTAAGAACAGGCATCCCTATATTTTCCCTTTCAAGTGAGTCCAAAAGCTTTATGTAATTATTGCAGCAATAATAATTCAGAGACTCAATTGTTATATTTGTTGTAAAACTCCCCATGCTTTTTTCTCTCGCAAATCCTGGAAAGTCAACTATCATGATAGAATATGCAGGCAAACAATTTTCATAAATTTCTTTTTTTTCTTTGTTTATATTTTTCTTTGCTTCTGGGCTTAATAGAGAAAGTGCAGCTTCAATTCTGATGTCAATAAGACTGCTACAATGAATTTCAAGCCTTTCGTTAATTTTGTCATTTAGCCAAGAAAATGCCAAACTGTACAAAGTTCTGGCTAAGTCTCTGATTCTGAACTCAGCTTCAGATTTTGTTTTAAAAATTGAAAAGCACTCATAAAATTTGTCTTCAGGCAATACAAGCAGTTTACATATTTTTTGGACGGTATATTTATTCCTTGGAATCCAAAAGCCAGCCTCATTTTCAACAAAATAAATATCATGAAGGTGAATTACAATTGCTAAAACATCTTCTAGCCCTAGAATTTCAGCTTTTTCTATTCCTAATTCATTGAGACACTCCATAAATCTCTCCCAGATTTCTCTATCAAGAGCTTCCATCGTCCCATCTTCTTGCTCAGGTCTTTGCTTTGGGCTTTCAAACAGCTTATGTATGACATTTCCATGGAGCCCACATTTTTGAAGAGTGCTTTTACTCGCTCCTAAAAGCGAATGCAAAAGTTGATAAGATCTCCCTTTTTTAGCGATTGGCAAGCTAAAATCCATTAGTGTTGCTTTTATTTGTCCTCCAACTGCTTTGAACTGCTTATATTTTATATATTAAATACACATTATTCTAAAAAATCCTCAAAATTTTTAAAGTTCATTATAAAAAGAATATCAAATTTCAGTTCAGTTATCATCGCGCATGCTGTAGACTCAAGATTATGCTTCCTCACAGAGGATCCCATAATATGAAGAGCCTGCATTCCTTCATGCAGAATGTGAAACAATTTTTTATCAGATTCCAAACTTTGGCTTAAAAAGTCTGAAGATGAAACAGACACTAGGTGGTCAACCAAATGAATCACGTTAAATGTTTTTCCTGAGCCTGATTCACCTAGAACTGCAATAACTTGGTTTTCTTTTGTGGTCTTAAGTTTCTCATAAGCTGATAAGCTTGTACTATAGATATGAGGAGGCAGTTCTTCGATTTCTTGGCTATATTTGCTGCGGATTCCTTTATTAAAATAAAGAGACGGTTGTGCCTCAGAATTAACTGAAATTAGCACATTCCCAGCATATGTAAAAGGAATCCCTGATTTAAGTCTTCCTCTTAAAGAATTAAGCATAGATGCTTCACTGTGTTTTTTTAGGTTTGTCATGTTATTCGATTCTTTTATTAGGTTGAGCATTTTAGACATCTCTGATAGAGGTCTTCCGTTTGGGCAATAAACCTGCTGAATTACATCATGAGAAGATAACTTCTTAGGAGTGTTGACATAAGTGAAAATATCAGAGCTAGTGTCGGACATTTTAAATGTTGCAATATTTAATACAGTTAAAACTAAAAATTAATATTTTCTTCTATTTAAACTGCTTTGTGTGGAAACTATAAGCATTTTGCTAAATTTTCAGCTCTGAGTTATCTTGGAACTTTACTTTCTTGGCTGGTTTTGGTATTTGTGACGCGTTTGCCCTCTTAACTGCGCCTTTTTCTTGCTTATTCTCTTTACTATCAATGCTAGTTGAATTTACTTCTCTGGCGCAGTCAGCCATATTTTTATTACTGGAAGAGCTGGAATCAGATTTTGAGTCAATTAAATCGCTGTCACTATCACTTTCGCTCTCTCCAGAAGTATGGCTTTTTGATGGCACGGGACTTCCTATGCTTAACTGTCTCATCAACGAAGTAGGAAGAAGAGATCTAATATCTAAATTATTGATATTTTCCAGTGTAAATTGAGATTCAGGTAGCCAGTATCAATAGCTGACTGATAAAGATAGCCAAGTTCTATGCAAAACTGGGATGTTCATTCTTTTTGCCTGCTTGAATTTTTTGGTTAGTGATCCGTCAGATATAAGATGAGTGGTTTCTTCAGTAACTTCTCTTTGGCAAATCGCCCCATATCTTTCTGCAGCTTGCCATAAAGGGTGCATTTCAGGCTGTATATCAATTGGAATCATCCCACTAAAAGCGATTTTTGCTCCTAGTAAAACATTTCCTTGAATTTGTTTTAAAATATTTTTTACATCAGCAGTCTCTTGCATGTAAAAAGAATCGTGGATGTTTGCTAGCAAATCCTTCATGAAATAAAGTAAATGGTCGTTTTCTCCCATAATCTTTTTATCAATGTCAGACAATTCATCATAAAAGTACCAAAATCTATCAGCGATAACAAGGTTTGGTGAATCTGGCCACACTTCATGGGTATCATCCAGTATTAAAACCATAGTGTTGTCTTTTGGTAATAAAATCTTTAAACTTTTTCCAGATTCTCCTGGCTCGTCATCTCTAAATATATTTTACTGTGATATAAGTCTTTCACCAAAATATTCTTTGTGTGGGTCAATCAGCTTCATCATTTGGTGGGCATATTTCCTTGATCCTTTTGTATAGACAAAGAACTCATATTTATCCTTTAGATTTTCTCTAATTCCCTACTTTGGCTATTGAGCAAGATTTTTGCTTCTTAGCAAAGGGACTTTTTTTACGAATTTTAAAAATAAAATTTTTAAGTATTTGAAATGAAAATCTAATGATATTTATAATGTTATTTATCTAAAATTTAATATAGTTTTTCTAGATTTTATTACTATAATTTTTATTATATCTTTAAATAAAATTTATAGCTAGAAAATCGTTAACTCCCCCACTCCGCGTGAGAAACAAAAATATGTTGTTTGCTCGCGAAAGGGGTTAATTTTTTTTTTCAAATTAAAAAAATTCGAAATAATGTTAAAACAAATATTAATTTAATTATAAAGTTTATGTTTTAAAATGCAAGCTGTTTAAAATTAAACAGAATTAGCTAGAGATTTCATTATAATAATTATCACTTAAATATCAAATTTTTTTTTAAATAATTTTTATATTAAAACAAAATTTGGCAGAAAAATTTTAGCAGCTAACCGAGCAAAGGTGCTAGTTTTCAAAAATAAAATTTTTTTCCGAATGGCTTTCCTGCATAATCAAGGTGTGAAGAGTAAGAAAAAATCTAGATGTGGCCTCAATCTTGTTGAAAACACTATTCCATCAGGGTGCAGGTCCAATGATCGTGCACTTTTGATAGCGCGCATTTCACCGAAGTACATTTGGTCGAAAATTTGTTGAACTTTTGATAGTGAGAAATTTGACCCAGAAAAAGACCGTTAAATTTCGACCAAATATCACACTATTTAAAAATTTTGGACCAAATGTGCACTATCAAAAATACACTGTCATTTGACATGGAGACATTCCATCAATATTAATCTGATGTATATTTGGCTTAGCTGAGCTTCCTTTAATAGTATGCAGCAGCGTGTGGTCTAAATCCAGCACCAACAGTAATTTTTTTTCTTTTAAAAGTTTTTGCTTTTTCTTGTGTTCAAGAGCAACAGCTAAATCTTCATTAAATTTCAAATTTCTACCAGTGACCCCACAGTGCAGTTTTTCTATGTCTGCTTGCTCATTCCTATATAAGCTTTACTCATTAAGAAATAAAATCGTGACGTTGACAGAAATTGAACTCCGAGGCGGGCCAGTAGGACTCATCTTGATGAAGCTGAAGCAGTGTTTGCGTCACTTTAAGCACACCTTCAGGTTTGGGGTAGCCTTGCCGAACAGGAAGCTTTGTTTTCACCTAAATGCTTTCTTGTCCCTGCCAGATGGGTTAAATAAATTGTCTGCCACATGGTTTTTCCTCATCGGGACCTCAAAGATGATAGCTCTGCCCTATGGAGTTAATCCCTTGCAGATGGCTCAGGTCGGAATCAAAAAGTCTACCTTTTTTGGAGCCAAGATGGGCGACCGCTATGGGTTTGCCAACTTATTGATAGATTAACCTTTAACTTGACTTACTCATTAGATCTATACCCACAAAATGCGCACATTCCTCCAAACTCCATTTCGTGTTTGCACTTATCAATAGAATCAGCCCCAATCGAAAAATTCGGCAAGGTTTTTTGGCGAATTTTGCAGAGAATACTCGTTTGCTGAGCTTCTTCAGCTGAATTCAGTACATATAAGGAGCCAGATGCGGTTGATTTGATCTTGAATGTTTTTGTTTTATATACAGGCATATGGATAATTTGGCTCAAAAGTGATGAGGATGATTCTGGAACATCACAAATTAAGGTGCAAAGATCGTGGCCTTCTTCTATAAATTCGTTTAGTTTAACGTGTCAAGTGATTTGCTTAATGACAAGATTGGGAATCTGAGGAGGCTTGATTGGGATTTCACTCATTAATTTATAATTTAATTTAGAATTTTTAGTTAAATAACTAAAAGTCTTAGTTTAGGTATGCATGACTTAATGCATCTTCAGGAGAAATTCTTGCTGATGGATCCCAAGCTAGCATCTTGCTTAATAAATCCACAAAATTTCGAGTTACAGTAAATGCTGCATATTTGTGTATGGTTTGTTCAACGTTTCGGGTGACTTCATGCTGCATCCTTAATATTGTAGCTGGGTCTCTTCCTTGTGCAGCTAAAAGCCCTTTACAGAATGACATTCTTCCAAATCGGTTAACTCTTGATTTCAGTGACATCCACAATGGGACTCCAGATACGATTTCTAACAAAATCATCCCAAGTGACCATATATCAAAAGATCAAGGACTGCTGAATTGAGCTAAGGTTGCTACATGATCGCCTGGAGAATGAGCTAGTTCCAAAGCTTCTGGTGGCATATATTCAGGTGTAGCTGTATTTATGCTCCCACTCCCAATGCAGCTAAAAGCAGATCCAAGATCAATTAATTTGACTCCATCATAATACTCTTCGTTTACCAAAATATTGTCAGGTTTTAAATCGCTATGTACAATATTCAATTCTGAGAAAAGCTGAAGCACTTCCAGCATTTCCTTTACAAACTCTTTTAAAATTTCTGGGTTTCTCTTGATTTCTTCATAGAGAGGGCCATGAACGACTTGATAGATTCTTTCGCCTTTAACGAATTCTCCTTTAAGTTGAAATAAAGCTTTGCTTAAGCTTGATCCGCCTACCTCAAAAATAGCTCACAGGTCTTGTCGGTCAGATTTTGAGGTAATTAAGTGGGCAACACTTTGGTTTGCTGGGTGTCTAACCTCATTGAGAATTTTTCCAAAATGAATTTCCCTTTTACAGCTTTCAACTGCTGCAGAACTACTGCAACGGCTTACTTGCTTTACTGCAACTTTTTTGCCTGTTAGTTCATCTTCGCCAAGCCATACCATGGCGCATCCTCCTTTGCCGAGAAGCTTCAATTTTCGAAATCCTGAAGGAAATCGGTCGCCATATAATTTTTCTTCTTCATTTGGTATGAATAGTCTAGGCTTATCCTGCTTAGTTTGACTGTTATGTCGAATTCCATCTAGTGATTTTAAAGGAGCAGTTCTCTTGCGGCCTTCTATATTTCTTCAATTAGTATTTTTCATTTTGAAGTAGCTCTGCCCTTTAAATTGGAACAAAAAATCCTGTTCCAATTTAAAAGTAGGCTAATGGTTTTTTTTAATATTTAAATTTTTCTCTATAAAAAATTTTAAATTCTTTAAATAAAATATAAATTGAGCAGACACTTTGAATTTTAATTAACTTTTCGAAAAATAATAAAAATCTAATCGTTTCAGTTTGACTGTTAATAGGACTTTTTCCATTAAATTAGGTCAAAACTAATTTTATAAATCTATATAATTTTTTAAAATTTTAAAAAGAATATAAATGAGACAATCCCTAAAATTTTAACTATTTTTTTATGAAGAATTAAAAAAAATTAATCAATTCAGTGAAAACTGTAAATAGTATTCTACTTGCATTTTTTTAATAAATTAGGTTAAAGCTAATTAGTATTTTTAACTTAAAATTTTCATATTGAAAATAAAATATGTATCCAAAAAATAAAAATTTATTGATGTTTTGTTCCAAATTAAAAGGGGGGATTAAGTAATAAATCAAAGCGAATTAAGGAGCTTATATTATTGCGTTAATAATAATATAATTAACTTTAATAACTGACTGGCAACGATATTAGAGGGCTTAAACATACTTCTAGCAGTACAGACTTTATAATTAATTTTTTTTAGGAGCATCATTTATTTCTTGGCTCCTCCTTTTGCTTTCTTTTCTCCTGGGGCAGCAGATATGGTTTGCCCTTCAGCGAGTTTGTTGACTTCTTTGATGATACCGACAGCTACGGTTTGTCTCATATCTCTGGCGGCGAATCTTCCAAGTGGTGGGTATTCTGTGAATGGTTCAACACACATGGGTTTGCATGGGATCAAAGTAGCAATTGCAGCGTCTCCAGATTTGACGAATTTAGGTTCTTGTTCGAGGACGACTCCAGTTCTTTTGTCGACTTTTTGTTTAAGGTCGATGAATCTGCAAGCAGTGTGAGAAGTGTGGCAATCAAGGATTGGGGCGTAGCCGACTGAGATTTGGCCAGGGTGGTTTAAGATGATGACTTGGGCAGTGAAGTCAATGCATTCTCTGGCTGGATCTCATCTAGGGTCTGAGGCAACGTATCCTCTCTTGATATGGTTGACTCCAATGTTCTTGGTGTTGAAACCAACGTTGTCACCTGGTAAGGCTTCTTCGAGGGATTCGTAGTGCATTTCAACAGACTTGACTTCAGTTGAAATTCCTGATGGGGCGAAAACAATGACTGTGCCTGGTTTAAGGGTTCCAGTTTCAACTCTGCCGACTGGGACTGTCCCAATACCTGGAATCTTGTAGACGTCTTGGACTGGAAGTCTGAGTGGTTTGTCAACGTGTCTTTTAGGTGGTTGGACGTTATCAAGAGCTCCAAGAAGAGTTGGTCCATCATACCAAGGCATGTTGGCTGATTCTTCAACCATGTTGTCACCTAACCAACCTGAAATGGGGATGAATGGTACTTCGGCTGGGTTGTAGCCGACTTTCTTAAGGTATTCTGAGACTTCTTGTCTGATTTCAAGATATCTGTCTTGATTCCATTCAACAGACTTGTCGTCCATCTTGTTGACTCCGACAATCATCTGTTTGACTCCAAGAGTGAAAGCAAGAAGGGCGTGTTCTTTGGTTTGTCCGTTCTTTGAGTATCCGGCTTCGAATTCTCCTATTGCTGCTGCAATGACGAGGATGGCAACATCAGCTTGTGAAGTTCCTGTGATCATGTTCTTGATGAAATCTCTGTGACCAGGGGCGTCAATGATTGTGAAGTAGAACTTGTCGGTTTGGAACTTGAACAAGGATATATCAATGGTGATACCTCTTTCTCTTTCAGCCATAAGCTTGTCGAGAACCCAAGCGTATTTGAAGGAGGACTTTCCCATTTCGTTGGCTTCCTTCTCATACTTCTCAATGGTTCTTTTATCGATACCACCGCACTTATAGATAAGGTGTCCGAAAGTAGTGGACTTTCCAGAATCGATGTGACCAATAACGACGAGGTTTACGTGGACCTTTTCCTTACCCATACTTTTTGTTTTTTAGAAGCAATAAACAAAATTGCTATCTTATATAATTTAAAATTATAAAACCGGTTATTTCTTATAAAATCTTTTATAACTATTTCTTTTATTATTAAATAGATAACATTTTATTATTAAATCTATTGGCCATATTTAACTTAATCTCTTATTAGGCTTAATATTCTCTCTCTTCTCTTGTTGCAAGATAGGCAGCCAGATTAGGATGGCTCTTGAAGTTCTCAGCAAACTGAAGTAGCCGTGGAGCACTTGCTTCAATAAATGGTCTCATTTTTGCAGCTTTTTGAGGTCTCAATAGCCAATCATAAAGAAACTCAAAAGTGACAAAGTCTGCATGGCTTATTGAATTTCCCACTAAGTGAGTGCTATTTGCATTTAGCCTTTTTTCAATAATTCTAAGTTTTTCAAGCAATTGCTCATGATACCACTTCTCAAGGCCTTCCATATCCTTATCAAAAACGATAAATTTGACCACTGTTTGGAAAATATCATCCACAAATCCAACAAGAGATTCAGATTGATAGTTCTCGAAAAGATCATTTGAAATTAATCCAGCTCTTCTAAGTAAGTACTTTTCAATAGCTCTGGATTGCACCAAATTATGACCGTCAATCTGAAGTAGAGGAATTTGAGAGAATTCTGCAATGCCTGTTGTTTTAGCTTGATCCCAAGTTTCGTGAGTGTGTCTAACATCCTCAAATTCGAGATTCAGATACTTCAAAATTAATCTTGAAGTTTCTCCTCTACCAAAGCTGTCGAAATAATGGAATCTAATTTGAGCCATTTATTATTTATAAAGTATGATAAGAAATATTAAATGATTATTTTGTAATAGAACTATTTTTATCAATTTATCTTAACTTTTATTTAAACTTAAACTATTATAATAAATAAATATTTTAAGTTGCTATTTATAAAATTGAATTTTAAGTAAATACTTTTCAATAGCTTTAGATTCTACCAAACAGTGACCATCAATCTGAAGCAATGGAACTTGAGCAAATTATTCCACTGTTTTACCCTGACTAGAGATCTCTTGAGTTTATCTACCATCTACAAATTCGACACCAAGGTGCCTCAAAATTAATCTAGAAGTTTCTGCTCTGCCAAGGGTGTCGAAATAATGCAATTTTACTTGAGTCATTTATTATTTATAACGCATACCATTAAATTAATTATATAAAATGTTTTTAGTAGCAATAGCTACTATTTTCATCAGTTACACTGTCTTTTATTAAATTCTAATAATTAAAATAATTAGCTCATTTCACTGTTATTTATTAAATTTAAATAAATCCAAAAATATAAATAGCAGACTTCAGTCAGATTACATCCAAAAAATATAGCATCTATTCATTTGATTCACCTAAGCATAAATTTATTTATTCTTTATTCTTAACATTATTTGCCATTTTATGCTTAATCTTAATTAAGTTAATGATCCCTCTCTTCTCTTGTTGCAAGATAGGCTGCCAAGCTAGGGTGACTTTTAAAATTCTCTGCAAATTGAATAAGCCTAGGAGAATGGGCTTCAAGAAGAGGTCTTGCTGTGGCAACCCTTTGAGGTCTTAAATATCCGTCATAAATGAATTCGAAAACGACAAAATCTGCATGGCTTATCGAATCACCAACAAAGTGTGTGTTGCTTTCATTTAGTCTTTTTTCGATAATTTTAAGCCTCTCTGGAAGCTGCTCTTGTACCCATTTCAAAAGTCCTTCCATATCTTTATCAATAATCATGAATTTGATGATGATATTGACGATATCATCGATGTACCCAACAAGAGACTCTGATTGATAGTTAGCAAGAAGATCGTTTGAAATAAGTCCAGCTCTTCTGAGTAAGTACTTTTCAATAGCTCTGGATTGAACTAAATTGTGGCCATCAATTTGAAGTAAAGGCAATTGGAAGAATTCTGCAATACCTGAAGTTTTGGTTTCATTCCAAGTCTCATGAGTATATCTTACGTCCTCGAATTCAAGACCTAAATATTTCAGAATAATTCTTGAGGTTTCTCCTCTACCGAAGACATCGAAATAGTGAAGCCTTATTTGAGACATTTATTTATTTCACCAAGTTGGAGAAATAGATAAGAAAACATTATTCTAGTAAAACTAGCTGAATTTAAGTTTTATGAAAGAATAAATAGATATATATTTCTATAAATCCTAAAACGTAGTTACTTTTTAAATATAGCCTGGAATAGATTTTTTATATTAAATTGCTTCCGGGATGTATTTTCTTCTAAGTAATTGAAGGCAGCAATACAGTAAAATTAAAATGTATCAATTAATTTTTCTAAAATTAATATTTCCCATATCTTTTTATTTAATCTAATCAATTAAAACTGATATCAATTTAAATGGAAGGCGAAAGAGTTGTTGTAATCGGAGGTGGAATAATTGGCACAACAACAGCATTCATGCTCAAATATCAAAACCCTAACCTAAAAGTCCTTCTTCTCGACAGGTCTCCTGACGTTGCCCAAGACTGCTCACATCAAAATGGTGGAGTGCTTACATACTCATTCCATCACCCTTGAACCCGACTCCAGTTCCTTTGGACTGGTTTCAAAGGTATGTTTTCAAGTGAATCATGCTCCTCTATCAGCAACAAAGCATTTTGAAACTTTAATTTCTGGGTCTGGAATACCAGATTCCTTTTTAGCAGTCTCTTCCAAAACTACAATCAAAAAGAACACGATATACACTTATTTGGAAAAAGAAGCTATTTATTGCATGAAAGCATTAGAAAGGACTTATCGAAAAGTCATAAAGAAGATCTCGATTCTTATTTAGGAAAAGATGATGGGCTATTAGATGTTATGACCACTGTAAAAAGCTTCCAATCATTGAAAAAGTGGGGATTGGAGCTGAACCATAATCATGAAGAGAGAGTTAGAGTCCATTCGACCAGACAAACCTGTGCAGAAGGCGAGCCAAATTTGAAAGACTGGAGAGGAGAAATAGTGGGATGCATTAAAAACGAGCTTGAAACACAGTGTGCATTTGACTCTTATAGCATGACCAAAGCTTTTGCTAATATTTCAGCCAAATTAGGGGTTGAAATTCTTTATAATGCTGAAGTTACTGAGTTTAAAAAAGAAGGAAACTAAGAACTAATTATCTATTAACGTTTAACGTCTCCTACGGGGTTGCCGCTTCCAGAGCTACCACCATATTTGTACACGTGTCGGGCCCAGAGACCGCTGGGCCGATTCCTTTCGGTACACCAAGGCACGAGCAAATAAGGCGTTCCGGCTTCGACGGGCTTTGCTGCCGCCACGGCTTTGTTCGACTCAGCTCCTGCGCGTGTTCCGCCTGAGGGTCCATCTCCCTTGGGATGTGCTGAGGGGTAAAACTCCAGATCTTGAGCGCACTGAGGAGCAGTTCCTTTGGTTATCCCCAAAGTTAAACCGCTATTGCTGTGCAGAAGTTCTTGAGGTAAAAACCCAACACTATAAATAAAATTGCTTGAGTGAGAGAAAGTTAGCAGAGCTAACTTCGCTCGAGCGAAAGCCATTTTATTTATAAAAAAGAAGGAAACAAAGTCACAGCTCTTGCATTGAGTGATGGGAAAATTATTGTAGCTGACAAATTTGTGATATGCAGTGGAGTACACTCAAGAGAACTAGGAGAAAAGCTTGGTTGGGCTATTCCTGTATGGCCAGCAAAAGGTTATTCTTTTAACATCAAAACAAATAGGCAGCTTAAAACTTCAATTCATTATGGAGGGTCTAATCCTTTCTACTTATGCCCAGTGAAGCAAGGAATCAGATATAGTGGAATTGTAGAATTTACAACAATTGACGACAAAGAAATGGACCCTAAAAAAGTTGAGTATATGCAAAGAACATTAAGAGATATGTCAGGGTGGACTGATCTTAAGTTTGAAAATAATTGGGTTTGTTTGAGGCCTGTCAGCAGTGATGATATGCCAATTATAGGAAAATTCCCGAAACTTGACAATGTCTTTGTAAATACAGGACATGGAAGCAGAGGATGCATATTTGCGTTTTCCTCAGCTGAGCTACTTTCTCAACTAGTTCAAGGAAAAGTGCCAATTACTGATCCTAGACCATATTCGCCTTCGAGATTCTACTTATAGCTCATAATCTAATTTAAAAATTCCATCTAAAACATTTACTCCCCCCCCCCTCCGTGAGTGAACAAAACCATTAGAAAAATCCCTATTTTTTGCCCAAAAACCCACCCTCCGCGAGTGAACAAAAATTTTTTATGGAAAAAAATTTGATATATAAATGATAATTATTATAATGAAATCTAGAGCTAATTCTGTTTAATTTCAAACGAATTGCTTTTTAAAACATAAATTTTTATAAATTAAATTAATATTTTGCTTTCCAATTTTTGCGAATTAGAATTTTTTTAATTTCGAAAAAAAATATTTTTTATAAAATTTATATATAAATTTTTTTTAAAAAAAAGATTAAACCGCCCTCCGTGAGTGAACAAAATTTTTTTGTTCACTCACGGAGGGGGGGGGAGTTAGAATTAAGGTGACTGAGAATTTATCATAGCATGAATTAAGCAATCAATATATTCAATATGAATAAATATATCTTATTTATCAGAAATTTAATGAATTACGTTTAGGCCGTCTGATATTGCATAATTAATTTTTCTTCTTTTAAAATATTGGCACTATACAATAAATAATTATTTTACTCGGGCAAAACCATTGGAAATAATAATATAATAAATATGGTCATCGTTCACTTTTTGGGCCAACTTGTTTTTCTAAACAAAATCATTGTAAATCCCGATTTTTTTGAGCAAACATTTTTCTCTTTAGTGGAGAAGGAATTAGTAAATTTATTTTAATTAATGATTTTTTTCAGTATTCCCATTTGATTCTTTAAACTATTTAAAACCAAATTTTTGATGACATCTTTATTTGCCTAACACTTTATCTCAAATACATAAATATTCCAGGAATCCTATTATTAAACTTTCCATCTATCCCTATCATGGCTACAAAAAAAGTGTAATGCAACCAACTCACCCTCTTCAACATCTCTTCTGAGGTGACCCTTCCTGCAGCTTAAAGAAAAACGGAGCAGGAGACGGAATCTAATAATATTGGGATTCATTCTGGCTGAGTTTTTCTTCCCTCACTTAGCAATGAAGACTTTATGTCTTCCCGATTGGCATTTGGGAAAAGGTTATGCCCCTGAAGGTCACTATTGCCTACGAGTAAGGCAGGGCTTATGTCAATACCAGATCGTTAGTTTATTCTTAGCTTGAAGACTAGCCACTGAAGCAGCAGCTGTTAGCTTTATAACTGCGCACTCCAAGGTCCTGAGACATCATCAAAAAGCAGGCCAAAATCTAGAACAGAACTATTTTTGACGTACCCAGGGAGGCTCTCCAGTAGCTGAATAAGTCTTCTTCTTCTTCGAAGGCTCGTCTTAGGTGAGATGCTAAGATAGAAGCCATAATCTTTATATAACCTAACTACCATGGCTATCCTCTAAAATTTCAATAAAATCCCTAAAAAATATTCCTTTTTTCCTCATTTTTCTTACCATCCTCAAATCTCACCAGCCCTGCTCTAGTAAAATCTGTGACTAAGACTTCTTTACTCCACCCCCCTTTAAATTAGAACAAAATCCAGGTACAAACTATTTTTTTTTCAAATGGGATGAAAATAAATAATTTTTTTATTATAAATTATTGTTTGACCTAGTTTAATGGAAAAATTGAAATAGAATAGTTTTAAACAGTTTTTATAGTATCAGTTAATCTATGAATTAATTCTTAATAAAATTAAAAATACTGCACAGCATTCAATTTATATTTTTTTTAATTTTTTTAAAAATTTAAAAACAAAAAATTAGCCTGGCTCTAAATTGAAGCAGGGTCTTTGTTTCAATTTAAAGGTGGGGTTATTAAATTTCTCTTAATTTATTGCTTATTCATAATCCTAACACGTATCACTGAGAAATAATTGAAATTCATAGCAATTTAATAGGATGGAACAATATAAGGATTCAAAAGGATGCAATATTTGTGGAAGCTCAGGGTTGATCACGATTTGCAGTTTAAAAGGCTGCTCTCAATTGATCCACCCGTGATGCTCCAAAAGCTATCATCTCGTAGATCCTGATGCAAATCCTAATGCTCTTATCTGTAGTTTTCACCAGTCTGATGTCACTAAAAAGGACCTGAGCCGTCTTCCCTTCATAAAGGAAGAATGCAGAAGGATTATTTCTAGCCCAATTTGACAAGGCGATTTTCGGAGCAAGGAATCTCCAACTGCTCTTTGCAATGGGCATTTGTTTTGATATCTCGTATGCATGGATTACTTTCCGCAAGGCCAAGACTTAAGTTATTTTCCTGAGTTTCCTTTAGTCCAGCGCTTCCCTCTTGACTGGAATTTCTCTGAGCTAAAAATGAAGAAAACGCGCTCTGCAGATAACAATTATGTTGATTCTTTATTACACAGTTCTCATTGAAATAGATATATTTACTATTTAGTCCATAAGCCTTTAAATTCATTAAAATGAACTATAAAATATTATAACAATGAATTAGAAGAAATACAAAAACAAATTCATCCAATCAAGCAAGAAGTATTTAAGAACGCATACGAAAGATGAGAAAAAGAAAACAAAGCTGACGACGAAGAACTTATGAAAAGATATGCATTGATTGAAAAAGAAAATGAAAAAATGAACGAAGGCGGGGAAAAAAATAATGACGAAGATGGAGGAAATAGCAAATGCCGACTAAATGTACACATAAAATGCTTGGAGCGGCAAAAGAAAAAAACGCTTGATGATCTGTATATATTGTGCAGGACTTATGAAAAATGAGAAAAGGAAAATAAGCCAAGCCACAAAGCAATAAAAAGAAAAAGAACACAAACACAAAAAGCCAATCACTGGAAAACTTTTACGCCAATTGAAGATTTAAGCTTGGAATATCGAATTCGGCAACACATACATAAAGTTAACATCACACAAGACAAACCTTTTATCTTAATTTTTAATTTGAAAGGAAACACAAGAAAATCAAAGTACAGCTTCTCGCGTCCTCAGTATTACAATTTACTAGCTCCTGAGGTCATTTTAGAAGATAGAGTGGCTATCGAAAATAGGTCACCTGAAGAGTGCTTAAAAAGGTATCAAGATTTATTATTTACAAAAATAAAAAATGATGCTTTGCTGAAAGGCGAAAAAATTTGTATATATCAAGGAAAAGGTTTAGGATTAGAAGAAGCTAAAATTCGACTAAAAAGAGCAAAATATGAAAGGAAGCACGCATTAGGAAAAAGGAAAAAGCAGAAAGAATTTGAATTAGCACAAGTCAGCAAGGAAACTTATTGTACATGCAACAAGCCTTATTATTATTTACTTCCAAGAAATCCTAAATGGACTGATGAAGAGTACGAAACAAAAATCAAAGAAAATGAAATGATTGAATGCACACATTGCCAAAATTGATTTCATCTTGGATGTGCTGGATATCAAGGAACTGTTGAAGAAGCTCAAAAAGATGATGCCTGGATATGCAAAGATTGCTCACTCAAGAGAACAAAGCTAAGCTAGTACACATATTCCAATATATTATTATAAATCTTCAATTTTATGATAACTAACTGAAATAATTAGCTTTAATTGCATAGGGGTTTGATTTTAAAATTACCGACAATTTCAAAATACATATCAATAATCATTAAATTGCGTTAATTAGAGTGTTTAAGGCACCTAACGTCAGACTCCTACTGAAGGAACAGAGCCAAAATGGTGATATTACGAGCATTTCCAATCCAAAAGAACAGACCATCACAAATAAACCGCCCGACATTCTGACCAGATCTTTTCGCCCGGAGCGATGCCATCGCCCTTGCGCGTTTTCTACCTAATGGTTATTCTCCTCTGATGTGCTGAGTGGTAAAAATCTGAGCCTCTTGGTTGCACTATGAAATAGTTTCTCTGCTTATCCCCAAAAGCTAAACCGCTGTCGCTTTACAGAAGTTCTCGAGAGAAAACCAAACCTTATATATAAAATTCTATGATAGAGAGAAAATTAGTAGAGCTAATATTTCTCAAATAGAATGAGATTGTATTTATACATATCAATTAATCATTTTTCTCTTAATAGGCATAAAAGGATACTTCAATAAAATCTTTATTAAATGACACATTTGATATATCTGACCAATTTTTTCAGGATTTTATAGCCCCTATAAATTCTAAATTCTAAGCCTTTCAGCTAAAATTCAAAAGATAGATAACCAAATATGTGTTTTGTAGTAATTTTAAGATAAAAATAGCAAAATTATTTTGATTATTTTTAGAGTTTCTTAATTGAGATTTCAGTCGGTGTAGCACTTTGAAAATAAAAATATTGATTAATGGTTAATTGCCATTATTCCACAGGTATGGCTAATTGTTTTATTGCTTTCACAGCTTAGAAATAATCATAATATAATGCAGATAATAACCACTACATCTTAAAACAGATAATTTACTTACACTCATTTGACATGAATAAGCTAATTTAAATATAATGCTTAATTTCATTTTCATTTTCTTTATTTTTACCTGAAATTTCTCTGATTTTACTTGCAAGCTTAGAAAAGAGGGAATGAGGCAAATATCCTTTAGCCCATGCATATACCAAGATCTGAAACAATGAAAATAAAAGTCCTAATAAATTTGGAATTATAATAAACCAGTCATTAACAAGAATTCCATAATTACCCCAAACAGTAGCATTGCAAATTAGAGCTGGAATAATGAAAATATCAATATATTTATGATCTTTATTGAGTAGAGCTGGCTTAATCTGCTCAATAGGAGCAATATATTGCAATGCTGAGAGTCCTACAGAAAGAAACCCTAATAAATAGCTAGGAACTATTTTGAACACTATCATTGATCCGATTAGGCAGCAGCCAAAATAAATTGAGTTAAATTTCCAGGTATCTTGTTTTATTTTGTGATAAATAATTATATATGTCATAACAAAGCACAAGCCTGATATATTGTTTATAAGTGGACCAATTAATGACTCTTTAGTCGCATAAAGGCACCAATTGAGATAATTAAGGCTAGCTATAATTAAGTAAAGGTGGGAAATTTCACTAAGATCTCTTGTTTTGTTAGCTTTAATAAGAGACGGTCACACAATATTAAAATGGCAGTTAAGAGATAGGTCTATTGTACCTGGTATGCAGGTAGGGACTTATACTCTGGCTTATGTGAAAAGGTCGATCCTCTTGAGAGTCTAGAGTGAAGTGAAGAGGCCTATGCTGAGTCTGGTGTTGATCAGAGAAGTCTTGAGTGACTTGTTAACATTAACGGTTTGACGGTTAGGAAGGTCCACCTATCGTTATTCAGAGCTGTTAATCAAGTTGGACCTCACTGAAGGGGACTGAATACAAAGAGATTTCTATTAAAGTTAAAGTTAAAGAGACGGTATTGGAGTTAAATTGAGGCCAAAGGATACAGAGATACCTATTGCACTAAAGATGGTTGTAAGGTTAACCATTTTAATATTTAGAAAAAATTATAAAAAGCATTAATGTTCTAGTGATTTAATATTTAAAAAAGCAAGTCTATGGTTTTTTAGATTTTATTTTTTGGCCTGAAAAGCTTACTTAATGTTTAATTAAAAATTTGATAAGCGCATTAAATTGATTAAAAATCATAAAGGTTTATATAAGCTTCCAAAGCCAAATTATAATATATATACTAATAACTTATCTTAAGCAATGCAAGCGTTATTTTAATTAAATAATTTCATTAATGTCTAGACGCTCTCAACATTTTGATTTGGTTGTATTTTAGCTGGTTGCTCTTCAATAAGCTGCTCTTTCCCTGACTTTGAATAAATCCACTCAAACAATGGGAATTTAATATTTCCACGAGCCCAAAAATATGCAATAATCTGAAAAAGTGAAAATGTCAGCCCAGGAAAATTAGGAGAAATAATAAACCAATCATTCACAGCAAATCCATAGCAAGTCCAAGCTAGCGCATTAAGCATTAAAGCAGGTTAGGCCAGCCATGCTATTAAAAGTCAGGCGTTAGCCATATTGGTAACACAGTCACCAAAGACCTCCCGTACGGGAGGGTCATCCGCTTTTCGACTACAGCCTGAAAGTCTATCCCACGAAGGTGGGGTCTCACTTCTGGTACCTTCTGTCTCCTCCTTGCGGCTTCAGTCTTGAGTGCTTATGAATTTCTGCTGCCCTGCTACGGGAGATTGGAGTAGCTTAATTCCAAGGATCCTTGGAGTCTTTCGGGTGCCGAAGTGCCTTCCTTCGACAGCTACAGGAAAAAGACTACTCTCCTGTGGTCTGGGCGAAAGCCCCAGTTCATCGGGAGAGGAATGCCCAAAGGATGCTGTTGAGCACCTCCATTTCCAACGACAGAAACCTACCCTGATACACATCTCTTAAGCCTGCACTTGATTCTCAGCTCGGAGTCCATTGCAGTTCGCCGTGGCCATAAGGTCTGGACTGCTGCGCCAAGAGGGCAGGTTGACACGTGTCGCTATTTTAAAGTATAGTATTAAAGCAGGTATCACATAAATGTCTATATAACGATGATTTTTCTGCTTAAAAACGTATTTCAATTGCTCTATAGGCGCCGCATATAGACAAATTGAGAAATTTAATGCAATAACACCCATAACAAAGGCAGGGCAAAGAAAATACACTGCACTTTCAATGCATCCTGAAAAAATTAAAAAAAGAGGGACAAATATCAGTAAATCTCCTTTGATTTTGTGATAGAAAATTACCCATGATAGATCTAAACATAAGCATACCGAATTGTTTATCAAATTGCCGATGAGCTGCATTTTTACTGAATAAACAATTCATGACATATAATTGAAGGCAGACACAATGAGATATAAGTGAGATATTGTTGTAAGATCTTTTGTTTTATTGGCTTTGAGGAGAGACGGAATTGGCATGAGATTGAGGCAAAAGCAAATTCCTATGCCTAGACTACTAAATATTACAGGTAAGTACTCCGACATAATTAATAATTATGGTCTATCAAAAAATCATTTTTTTATTTTATTAATGAGCAATTGAGAAGTGAAAAAGCAGATTAATGAATTTTGAAGGATATTTGCAACACATAAAAGCATAATTGATTTTTTGAACCTATTACTGGTTACCCATCTCTGCACTTAGTTCTGTAAAATGCGTCAATAAACTTTTAAATAAAGAAATAAATAAAATCGTATCTCGATTAGCAATTTTTTATAATTTAATTCTTTACTTATGCTCTAACTTTATCAGTCTTGCTATTATTAGTTAAATTATTAAAATAAAAATGTCCGTTTAAAGGAAGATTTCATGCTAAAAATCTATAAAGATTTATTTAAAATAATTTTATATATTCTAATCTCCCCTCCAATTTTGAGGTGGCACGCCAGCGTTCATTTTAGCAAACAATAGCCTTAAAACCCTTTCTCTATCTTCCCAGTCTAAATCACTCAGTTCTACTTTTTCTGAATATGCTTTAGTTTTATTTCCAATTTGTGGTAATTTCCTTAATTTCCCTTCAGCAGTCATTCTTTTCTGCACTTCTTCTTTAATCTGCTCAAGTGATTCTAGCTCCACCCCCCCTCCATGAACAAATAAAACAGTTTTGTTCGCTCACTGGTTGAGTTAATTTTTTTCTCTTCAAAATTTAAAATCCCAATTCGCAAAAATTAATTTAATTTGCTCGATTTATGCTTTAAATGCAAGCTGTTTAAAATTCAACAGAATTAGCTAGAGATTTCATTATATTAATCATCCATTATACATAAAAACATTTTGTTCACTCACAAGAGCTTTGCTTTTGTCAAAAAAAAGGATTTTTCTAATAGTTTTTCACCTACAGGGAAGCAAGAAAAATTGTTCCACATCTGACCTCTGATCCAGAATCATCTGCGCAAGGGCTTTCAAGCTTTTAAGCTCTTTTGATCTTAGCTTCACCTGCTGCCTCAAATTAAGCAGCTCAGAGTCCCTCTCCTGTATTTGTTGATTGAAATCAAAAACCATCATTTCTTTTTCTTTTTCAGTTTCATTGGTAATTTGTGTTAAAGTATTTTCAAGCACTTTTATTTTTTCTTTCAAAGCTTTTATAGTTTTTTGCATTTCACTTTGCTTAGCTGCGCATTCTTCCATCTGATTCTGGACTAATTCCAATTCTCTCTTAAGCTGCTTATTTTCTTCCAAAGTCTTTTTCTTTTCTCTTTTAATTTCTTCTACTTCTTTTCTTTGCATATTCATATCAGCGGCTAAGCTCATATTTTCATTGTGAACGTCTTGCTCTTCTTTTGAAAGCAAGTTTCTTGCTCTATTAAGAGCGTCAATTTCTAGCTGTCGGATTTCTTCTTGATGTCTGCTTCTTAATTTTTCTTCTTCTTTGCGATAATGCTGTTCTATTGTATTTTGCTGTAAAGTTAACTTTCTATATAAGTCATCTTTTTCACGTCTCAAAGTCTCGAGCTCTTCATCTATGAATTGTTTGGCTTCTTTAAATTCTTTAATATTTTTTATGATCTTTTGATAAATATAAAATAATTTATAATAATCTAAAATATAGCCAGCCAATCTAATTTTAATGTTAAATTAAATAGCTATGGAATAATTCTGACTGCAATTCTTGTATTTGGAACTTATAGTTATCTTCTTCTGCAGCTCTTGCTTTTTGGATGTCTTAATAAAAATCACAGTTAAGCTGCTCTTTATGTTCTTTCAAAAGAAACTCTCTTTCTTTTTTAGAGTTCTCTTCTATCTTCGCAATTTCTGAGCTCAATGCAATTGTTTCTTCTGTTTTATCTTCAAGTTCTTTTTGCAGATGATGAGTTATTGAGAACTTTTCTTCCTCTAACTCTTTTATTTTTGTTCGTAAATTATAATTTTCATCTTTCCTGAGTAGTAGTTACATTTGTTCAATTCTTTCTCTCAGCTCTCTAATGGTCTCACGATCTTGGTTTAAATAGTGATCTGGGTTAGGCTCAACTAATATGCGTGGGGGAAGTTTCTCTGCCATTTTATATTCAAATGATGATGAATTGCAAAACTTAAAATTGTATAGGAAAATTTAAATTAATATTTATTATAAATTTTCTTTACTTTAGCAACAATTTCCTTAATCATTTAAATATTTTTAGCGAAAAAATTATTTTTATTCCAAAAATTTATTTAAGTCTACACATAAACTTAAAATTCAGAAATGGGTAACCAAGTTCCTTACTCACAGCAGCCACAAACAGATGCCCACTCTTTACTTCTTGAATTGCCTTCTCTTTCCCCTCAAGGTGAACCCCTTAATTCCTCTCGTCTCTTCAAAAGCATAAAATGTCTCTTGGAGCAACGAAGCCTTGTCCTTGCAAAAGTATATATAAAGCGAGACCCAGAAACCGACGCAGAACTCTCAAGATACCAAAGTAAAGTCGACCTGCTTTATCAGAATATTTTACCTACCTCTCATCCCAACATATTGCTGACTCCCCCCCTCGAAGTTCGACCAAGATTTTTTTGGTCGAACTTTGAGGGGGGTTAAGAAAAATTTTTTATATATAATTTAGTCGTTAAAAAGAAAAATATTATCATATTCTTCTGTATGGTTGAGAGGGTGTAAGGTTAGAAAAAATAGTGCAAGATGGTTTTGTAACGCTTTTTTTAGAACTTGAATACAAAAATCGCAAGCTCACCCCCACATAGATTAAAATTTTTGAAAAATTGCTTATTTTCCTAGTAAATTTATATAGGTCTTGGTCAAACTTTGAGGGGGGTTTATTTTCCAAAAAAAATAGGAATTTTCCCTATATCTTGGTCGAACTTCGAGGGGGGGGTGTGAGCGAAGGCTATGACATGAAAAGAGCAGGAATTTTGGTTAGACAATTCGCTGAGTCAACTTTACATCAGAAAACAGTCAGGCCACCTAACCTGAATTTAATAGAGAAAAGGTGGATCGCTTTTCAGATGATAAATGCTGTATTTCAGCTTCACCGTGATGGGATTTGTCATGGAGATATCAAATCAGACAACTTTTTATTGACAAGCTGGAATTGGGTGTTCCTTTGCGACATTTCATCATATTATAAGCCGACATTTTTGAAAGAAGGAGACTTAACCTCGTATAAATTTTATTTCACGAGCACCAAAAGAGAAAGCTGCTATATGGCACCTGAGCGATTTGTAAAACTGCAGATTCCTGAAGGGACTTTTACAAAGGAAATGGACATTTTTTCGTTAGGGTGCTGCTTGGCTGAGCTGTATATGGACGGGAAAAGCTTGTTTTCACTGACTCAGCTTTTAGCTTATCAAAGAGGCGAGCTGGATATGGCAAAAATAATAGCTAAAGCTCAAGACACTGAAATAGTTGAATTGCTGTCACATATGATTTGTTTGGACCCAAGCTTAAGAAAATCAGCTGAAAACTGCTTGGAATATTGAAAAGAGAAAATTATTTCTGAAGAAATTTCAGGGTGTATTTATCCAGTCATGTTTCAAATAGCTTTAGACCAGCAGTTAAGAACCCCTGACAGCCGTATTTTATCTATTGAAAGAAGATATAAAGACATCGTTGGAATTCTGAGAAATAAAAATGAAATTGAGATTCTAGTCCCAGTCGTCACTTCTTCACTTAGAAATGCTTCAAAACCTTCCATACGAGTAAAAGCCATTGATTTATTGAATAGTTTAGTTCCTTATTTATCAGACGACTGCAGATTACATAGGATTCTCCCTTATATGATTTCATGTCTTACAACAAAAGAAGAGAGAAGTCAAGTAAAAATTGCATGCTTAAAGACCATTCTAAAAATTTTAGAAGAAATCAGGGAACTTTCGACAAGAGATGTATTTTTATTTGAAGAATATGTGTGGCCTGCTATAAGTGTGCTGAAAAATGATGAGAGTGAATGGGTTCAAACAATTCTGGCTGAATCTTTGCCACAATGTGCAAGACTGGGGAGGCTGTTTTTAGAGCTCTCAAGATATACAAGAAGCCAAGCAGGAGCTGAGCTCCAATCTTTTGAAAAAGAAATAGAGAAATTCAATGAAAAAATTGTTCAGATTTTCAAAGATTTATTATATGCAAAAACAGAAAATTCAGTGCAAGAAACACTTCTAAGCAATTTCGCAGAACTTGCCGCTTGTTTTGATAAGAAATTCACTTTAAATAAGATTGTTTCTTTATTGATACCTTGGCTAAACAAAGGAGACAAATATCGAGTGCTCATTATGCAGCAAATTCCCAAATTAGTCGAAGTGATAGGCTACACAGCATTTAAAGAAAAAATTTATCCTTGTATAGAAAATGCATTTAATGGGCACAGTGAAATTGTGGTTTACCACTCAATCCAGGCCTTGAGAAAGCTCCCATCAATTTCTTATGATTTTTTAATCAAATCTGCAATATTTCTTTTACATCCTAATCAATGGATTCGTGGAGAGGTTATAGAGCTCACTAAAACACTGCTTGCAAAGGTAGATCCCACAGATAATTATTGCTTTATTAGGCCAATTTTGATTCCTTATTTAACTTTAAGGTCAAAATCTGTTTATTTAATTACAAATGCATGCGTAGACGAGCACTTAAAAAAGAGCTTCAGAAGATCGATATTTGAAAAATTTATTAATAAAATTCCTATTGAGGATTACCTGCCCCACGAAGAAGAAGCTAAAAACAGCTTAGAAATGCTAGCCACACTTATAAAAGAAAAACCACAGGCCAGCAAAATCCAAGGCCAGCCTACAATCGCTAAAGAAAAATCATATGAAAATTTAGCTGGTGAAGAAGAAAAAGAATTAAGGCAAAGCACTCGGCCTTCACTGAGAATGTCAGACGTTATGAAAATCCATAACCCTTTTGACAATTTCAGTTTTCAAGGAAAATTCCAAGCTTGCTTCAACGAGCATGAAGCTGCAGTGACCCACTTGTCAGTTGTGGAGCAAAACAATGTCTTTATCAGTGCATCAAATGATGGCACAGTCAGAATTTGGGACTTAAAGCAGCTTGAAAATTTCCAGCCTTTGCGGTCTCGATACACCAAAGCAATTGGCCAAAACTTAAAGCTGAAATCGCTAGGCGTTTGTGGAGATCTCGTATTTGTTGGCTCTGAAAAAGGAATTTCTGCTTACAATATAGAGACTTTTGAAGACGTCCAAGCCATATCAAGCTCCAGCATAATTCAAGGCACAGCTATTGATAATAACAGTTTAGCATATGTCACTACTGAAGGGATTTTAAATATTCATGATTTAAGGATCAGCCAAAAAGCACAGAGCTATAACTTTGGGTACCAAAGAGGGATATTTTCAACTATTTGTGTAGGGCCAGATCCAAAAGTGTTAGGCCTCGGGACATTGTCTGGGTATTTATTATTATATGACCTTAGATTTAATTCTTTATGCTGCAGTTATTCACATTCAAAAGAAGAAGGATTTTTAAGCATGCAAGGGTTTATCCCAGATCCTAAATGCACATTTAACACTGAAGGGGATGGGACTCCTTATATAGCTGCTGCGAATGGGTCTGATATCGTAATGTGGAACATCCAGACAGGAAGGGCGTCATTAATTCTTACACAGGCTTCAGATATCCCTATATGTGTTCCTTACCTTCAGCCTGAGACTGGCTCAGTCCCAAGCAATTTGGCCTCAAAAGGCTTTAATGAAAAGCCAAAACTCCCTACAAACGACGTTTTCAGACAGAATTTCATTAGCAAGCACAGTGAGTACACAGCCAAATCCATCAATTATATCCAGAACTGGGCGAACTTCAGCCACAGACTGAGAAAAGTCTTTGAAAATCCACGGACAGTCCGCAAGGTCTTAAGCCCTCAAGGAGGCCCCTACAATGCTCCATTCTTGCTTTCGGCTGGTCATGACTCCATGATTCGTTTCTGGGATCTCAGCAACCCTCAAAAGTCCACAATTCTTGGCCAAGACGGTAGCTTTAAAGCAAATTTCTCATCACAAATGCTTCCAGATATCTTGGTAATCCAAGAAGGACCGATTTTTTCAAATTCTCACCCTTACTCCCCAATTTTTTCATCAATAAAACGACGTGAGTTTGACGACATTCCTCCAAATCGCAAAATTGCTCACACTGACGCTATTCTTGACATGGCTTTAGTTCTCAAACAAAGGACTCCGCTGTTGCTGACGGCTTCAAGAGATGGCACAATTAGAGCTTGGAATTAATAAAAAATGGGAAAACGACTAATTTTAATTTTTATCGTCGCGTACACATCAGCTTTGTTTTGCTCACAGATTGATATAGGCTCTGACAATGGGAAAATCGGGGATATCGTGTCGTCTGGTGTTATACAGCCAGGTTGGACTTTTCAAAATGCTGCTTACAAATCTCCTCCAAGTGAAGCAATTATTTATTTTTATGTACGTGGGTTATGCTTTATTTCATTGATTATCCATATATAGGATATTTTGGATAAATTATCTAAACATTGTAGAAAAGTATAGAACTTATAAGCCCTGATTTTGAATCAATTGAATTCCATCATGAAGATGAGCTAAAGCCTGACGATCACAAGTGGATATGGATGAATGTCACAAAAGATGAAAAAATTTCAGGCCTATTCAGTGAATACACAGTGTATAAGGTTGAGCAGGAATGTCTGAATAGGGAAGGAGGGACAACTCTACATATGAATGTGACTTTCGGGGCTTCTGGGTGTGACCCGATCACTGTGAATTGGCTAAAAGTTTGTGGCCAGCCGACAGCAACGAGAAGTGGGCTGTCAATTGGCTTTGGAATGAACTCAGCAGAGCTAGCTTATGATGGCGTCCCAACTTTATTATTTGATGGAAACACAAAGGATGATTCTTACACAGTTTCCAGCGATTCTGATGATATTTTGGTATATCTTTATATGACTGACGAAATTACAAAAACTTTTCTCAACAGTCCTTATATCATCACAGATCATGAAGTAATGTACCCCACACTTAATGGAAGTGCAATGACTGGAGGATGGCTAGACTCAGAAAGAAAAGAGCTGCAAATCAATTTTAATTGTCTCATTGATGATGGAATTAAAGAAGAACTGGTTTTAGTAATTGAGATCCCATATTTTCATGATATTGAGCTCCATTTCTTTAAGAAGTGTGGGGCGGTAAAGAAAAGCAAAAGTAATGGCATTTAATTCAATTTGCCTAATCTTCATATAAACCTCCGATAAGATCAGCCCACTTTTGATTCCTATTAAATAAAAAATTAAATAAAATTCAATCTATCACAATATAAAATTGGCTGGGGAACAATTTTCTTTTTGTTAGGTGCTGGAGGTGCATTGTGGTTACTATGGTATATGTACAATCAAAAATTGAAAGGAGAAAATATATGTGAAGATTCATGTGGAGAGTCGTGCGGAGAGGCTGTCTCAGGACTTTGGAGCTGGCTTAAAAGTCGTAAACCGCAATCTAGTGTTTTAAAAAAGCCAGCATTAGATAAAGAGCTTGGATCATATGAAGGCGATGATGGAAAAGTAGGGTTTAATGTCCACTCTCAATACGGAACTGTTTAATTTCTACTTAATTCTAGGATTTCTAAGATTTTATACATTAACTCTTAAACTACCTCTAAGGCCGAATAATCCTATTGCAGAGCACGCGTCGTTTGCTTTTGAAAGCTTGATCATTTTTGATACTTCCTCAAGTATTTTTTGATCTTGTGGATTCTGTAGGGTAACTGAAGCTTCTTCAATATCTTTATAAATACTTTTTATTTTCCTTTCTAAAGGCTTCCCTATAAGTGCGCACTGTGACATGCTTTTTGAATTTTCAAGCAAAACACTCAAATCAATTTCTTTATTTTTTTGAAAATTCTCAACCTCAAATTGAATCATTTTTTGCATTCTTTTAAAAGTTTCGCAGACTTCATTCATTGCAGGAAGCACTTTTTCTAAGTGGCAAATCATATCATTCCAGTATCTTGCTGCCTCTTTCCCTTCTGAACCTAAACTATCCGTATTGAATTCAATAAAGGGAAATCGGGACAAAAAATTATAAGCGCAGCCTTTGCTTCTGCAATCAGATAAAATTGCTAGTAAAAGAACGGTCACTGACATTTGAAAAGTAGGGCAGCTGCACCTGACACAGAAGCACCTGGAGAACTTCATAATTGCATCGTAGGATTGAAGTAGCGATGCGACGTTTTCTTCTAATTCTGACACTTTTGGCAAAATAAGTGAAAGAAGGGAGTCGAAATTAAAAATTCCTGTTTTTTTGATAGAAAAATAGATCATGTTTCGATAGCTTGAAGGCTCTATTTTTATTTTGAGAGTTTCACCTTTAGCAGATCTTGCGGCGGCACGATAAGATTTATCGTCGAGTAGTTTTAAATGAAAGCCAACTTTCTCATTCACATAGGTGATGGAATAATAGTTCAAAGGATCTGTCTGAGGACAATACTTGCTAGCCTTACAGTTTATCATGGTATCAAGAGATAAAAATGAATCTGGGACTGAGCGGAGGTAAAATTTGTTTTCTCCTGCAATTACTTCAATTTTAGACGGATAATTTTCTTGCTTTAATTTTAGGCAACTTATACCCATTTATTATATATAAAAATTATTGGGATGTTAAACCAAAAATGCTTAATAATTATGATAATAAAAAGCCGTTTAATCAGATAGCATGATAAATTTAATGCCTAGCTATATTTGTTTTCTTTAACAATTATGATTAAATATTTGAATTGCAATTGAATCCATTTTATAATGGCGTTTGTCTCATTTTTCGCTCATATATGTTTAAATAAATATCATTTATGAATAATCTTGCGAAATATTCAAAATCAACAGAAACTATGATGCTTTATAAAGGAATTAAAATAATTGTGATAAAAATACGTCACCAGAAGTTATAAAAAGGATTCCGCATCCGGGACTCGAACCCGGGTCTTCAGGGTGAAGGCCTGATATCCTAACCAGCTAGACAAATGCGGAGCAAACTTTAATTATTCTTGTGATATTAATAGTAGATCCTCGACAAAGAGAAATTATCTGAATGTCTTTTAATAATTTCCTGTATCCATCATATTATCAGATTTCTTGCTCCCCCTTTAAATTGAAACAAATTATTGGTAAAATTTTGGGTAATCCTTCCTTAAATTAGAACAAAATTTATTGTTTTTATAACCAACAATAATATTTCTATATAAATAGATTTAGCCCAATTTGATTCCACCAAAATAAGTTTTCCACGAGCTTGTATATTTTAAAATGGAAGTACAATTAGAATGCTATTAAAAAAATGAAACTTTAAATCGGTTAAATTCTAATTAAAGACAAATAGTAGCATAAAATTGAAATTAGCTCAATCCCAATCTCCTAATTTAAAAAAAAAATAGCTGGCGAAAATTTTGTTCATTATTAAATAGCTATTTAGTTATAATTAAAATGAATTCCTACACATAAACTTTCTATTTATCCTTATTTCATTAAAATATGAAATTAATGCATTTTTTATTTTAGCTTCAAGCAGCTCATGAACAAAATTCCCTCCCCTATTCTTACTATTATTTTATCTATATCTGGCCCTTTTCCTAACATACTCAGGCTCGCGAAAGTTTGTAAAAAGTGAAGAAATTTAATATCCAAGGCTCAGCATTATGTATCATTTCAAGGATCACTTGAACCAAAATTTTTTCCGGGAAGTATTGATATAAGGATAGCTCTTTCTAAGTTTCTTGATGGGTGAAAAATCTTTCACTTGGATCTGAAAAATGTAAAATAATATCTAATGAATTATATTCCTTGCATTATCTTAATTTTAATTTTCTTTATATAAATCGAGTCTCTAAAGATGAATCTATTATAAACCTATAAGGCATATATATTTTAGATGTCGACTTTTTAGCAAAAATAATTGTATCACAGCCTCAGATGATTTCTCTGGATCTCTCTAACAATAAAATCAATTTAGAAAACTTTTTGCTAGCAATTGAAGAATTAAATGTTGACTTATCATATGAAGGGTTTCTAGGGAAAAAAAATTTTATCTTACTCCCCTTCCGCGAGAAACAAAAAATATTGGAAAAGTCGCTATTTTTTGCCCAAAAACCCTCCCTCCGTGAGCGATAAAAAATTTTTTATGAAAAAAAAAATTGATATATAAATGATAATTAATATAGCGTTTCTAATTCTGTTTAATTTTGAACAAATTGCATTTTATAGCATAAATTTTAAAAATTAAATTATATAGGGGGTTTTTTAAATTTCGAAAAAAAAATTACTATGCATTTATACATGATTTTTTTAAAAATAAAATTAAGCCTCTTCATGAGCTTTTTTTCGCTCACGGAGGGGGGGGAGTTAGAAGTATTGAAAATTACAAACAATAAAACTAATGATTTACGATTTGATTTACTTGTCAAAATTTTCCCAAATTTAAAACAATTATATGCGGGAAATACAGAGATTTCCCCTTATGATTTAAAAGTTTTGATAGAAAACTCACATAAAATAGAAGTCCTGGATATCAGCAACTGCCCCAAAATTGATGCACTTGATGAATTCTTTTTCGATTTAAATATTAATTTAAAAGCTCTTACTATTAAAAAGCTTTTCATTTCTCCAACAAAATCAAACTCAATCGCAATCGAACTGTTAAAAAATAAAGGATTAACTGTTATTGATACTACAATAGGTAAATTATTGCATGATTTTAAAACAAATGATGATACACAAAGAATTGAAAATATGCTCAATCTTAATCTTAACCTTAATTATTTATAACGTTTTACGTCCACTACAGGGTAGCCTTGTCCAGAGCTACCACCATATTTATCCACGTGTCGGGCCATGGACCTCTGGATCGACCCACTTCGTTTCACCAAGGCACGGGTAAGTACGGCGTTCCGGCTTCGATAGGCTTTGCTGCCGCCACGGCTTTATTCCGACTAAGCTCCTGCGCGTATTCCGCTAAGGGTCCACCTTTTTCAGGTGTGCTGAGGAGTAAAGACCTGAGCCTCTTGATCGCACTGAGGAGCAGTTTCTTTGTTTATCCCCAAAGTTAAATCGCTGTTGCTGTGCAGAAGTTCTCGAGGTAAAACCCAACCCCATAAATAAAATTGCTTGAGAGAGAAAATTAGCAGAGCTAATTTCGCTCGAAGCGAAAGCCATTTTATTTATATGAAAAATATACTCAATCAAGGTTTAGATGTAAATTTGATGAGTGAAATACATAATGAAGATGTTTCGTCATATCCGCAAATGGAAATTATAAGAGAAATCAAAAACCAAGAATTATTGATGAATCTTTTTAGAGTGCTGATAAGATATGGGCTGGATTTAAGCCACCATTCACATTTATTTGAAAAAACTCTTATTAACTCTGCAATAAATTTTGATCATAAGGAACTATTAAGGATTCTTATTAGCAATGGAGCTGATTTATGCCCTGTTCCTTATGGAGAGTTATTGGAAATTTTGCGAGGGAGAAATGACCATCATGGCTTTACTTCTCGGGTTGAAATTTCAGATTTATATGAAAAGCCGGCAGCAACTTTTTCAGCCCACAAAGGAAATTGGCAAATTTGTGAGCTCTTTTTCGAATTTGGGCTGGAAAAAATTGATTTTTATAAATCAAAGCATTGCAATCCTGTCTGCAGCGCTGCTGTTGATGGGAATATTGAACTCTTCAGCTACTTGATTATAAATAAATTTCCCTATTATAAATGCCCACAGCACAGAAATTATCTTCTTGAAAATTATTCAATTGTTGAAATCGCTATAAGTGAAGGTTATTTAAAGTCAGCTGAAATTCCACTATGAATGATCTATGAAGCTTCACGCTTTTATACAGTACATCAGCACGAGTCACAAGCGATTAGATTGCTAGAGTTTATCATTCATTTAGATATTAAAAACCAAGAAAGAAAGCTTTTATATTCAGATCGACGCTTAAATATGGAAAGTATCTATTACAAACCTCTTATGTGTTTGGCAATTCAATATAAAAGCTATAAAGTGCTATCTTGGCTATTAAAAAATGGATTTGATATAAACTCAGAGGATGAATACGGATGGACAGGATTTATGTTGGCTGCAGACTCAGGGAACTATGAAATTCTTTCTTATTTATATAAGCATGGGGCTAAAATAGATAAAGTAAACCAAAGAGGACAGACATCTCTGCATCTTGCAGTTGAAAATGGACACATAGAAGTTGTCAAAGAACTGATCAGATTAAAGGCACATCTATCTCCGACCTCTAACGAAAAAAGCACACCTTTGGACTTTGCAATGATAAACCAAAGGACTGCTATTAAAGATATGCTTTTAGCACATGGAGCAGTTTCTGGGGAAAATCTGAAAAAGCGATGCGAAATGTTTTAAATGCTATTTTATCAATAAGGATCAGGCTATTTAATTTAGTGTTAAAATGCAATTTTTTTATTATTTTATACTTTGAGAAATGCTATTATTAATTTATGTTTTTAATATTAATTCAACGAGATATTTAATAATCGAAACAAAATTTAAACATTAGTTATAAATGGAAAAAGTTCCAATCCCAATTCTTTCTTTAATTCTCAGTGCAGTCGGCCCATTTGACGAGGTAATTCAGCTTTCATTAGTGTGTAAGAAGTGAAAGCATGCCATTGAAATTGCAGATCACTATTTTTCATTCCAAGGCTCAAAAAATCAAAAAAGCCAACCTGGAAATCTTCATGCGGGAACAGTGATCCGCCTATTTGACAAATCTGAAAAACATCAGATTCCTTGAAAGCTATCTTCACTTGATTTGCGTAATATAAATATAAACGACACAGAATTATCAAAGATTATTATACTGCAGCCTAGATTGTTGAAACTTAATCTCACAAATAATAATATCAGCTTGGGACAGCTTTGAAGCTCTATTTATACTTATAAAACTGATTTGCAGTCCAAAGACCCAGATGAAGATATTGAGTTTTTACTTGAGGAACTGCGATTTTCCAGAGTAAGGTATTTATAAATAATTTTTTATATTAAAAAATACATCAATATGAAAAAAAGTTTTCTAATTTCCAATAATAGAAATGCATTTTTAGGCTATGAAAGCTTAGTCAAAACTTTCACCAATTTAAAAAAGCTTTATGCAGGAAATACACATACCACACTTCTGAATTTCAAAGATATCCTCAGGAGTCTTAAAAAACTTGAAATTCTTGATGTAATGTACTGCCCAATGCTTGAACACTTAGACGTAATTTTTAACGAGCTTAAAGACTGCTTATCCGGCTCTCAGCTTAAAGTCATTTTCGTTACAGATGTCTTGCCAAAAGTAATCGAATTTTTAATGGGCTGTGGAATAGAAATTGTTGACGCAAGTGTAGGAGAAATGCTTTATGAGCTAAAAGAAGAAGCTGATTTACAAAGATTAGAGGAGTGACTTGATTTCGGAGGGGATGTCGATTTAATGTGCCATCCTTCTAACAATTTAGGAAAAGACGTGTGGAATTATCCACCGATGCAGTTTATTAGGCATAGTACAGATGAAAATTTATTAGTAGAAACTTTTAGGATCTTGATTAGGCACGGCTTAGATTTGTGCTACCATTCAAATGACTATGAAAAAACTCTGCTAAATGTTGCCATTTCTGCAGGATATACAGGACTTGCTGATTTATTAATAAGATGTGGAGCTGATATTTGCCCTGTTATATTTTCAGATCCTTCAGAAATTCCAGCAACCACTTTTGCAGCATCTAAAGGGGATATTTCGATTTTTCAGCTATTTTTTGACCATCAATTGCAAACAAAAAACTTGTATAATGAAAAGTACTGCAACCCTGTATGTGCAACTGCAAACAGCGGCAAAAAAGAAATGTTTAGTTTTTTGCTAGAAAACTCAGTTCCTCTATTTAAATGCCCCCACCATCCAAATATTCTGATATCAAGCCCTGATATCCTTGATATGGCATTATCTCCAGAATACTCTGAAGTTTTTATGTTTCCTGAAGACCTAATGTATGAAGCTGCACAGTTTTATATAATAAAAAAAAGAGAAGATTTAGTATTAATGATAATTGATCATTTATTACCTAAAGGAATTATAGATTTGGAAAAGGAAATCTTAGAAAAGGTGGTTTGTCAAGGGAAAATTGGCTCGAAAATTCCAGTTATTGGAAATGAATGCCATAAACCATTAATAGTATTGGCAGCTGAAAGAAATACCCAAAAACTGCTAAAAAGGCTTGTAGAGGCTGGGTTTGATATAAATTCTGAAGACCATTTTGGATGGACTGCATTAATTTCAGCCTCTTCCTGTGGACATTCAGGGCTGCTGTCTTATTTGTGTGAGCATGGTGCACTTATTAATAAAAGAGATAAAACAGCGAGAACTGCATTACATCAAGCTGCACATAATGGTCATAAGCAAGTCGCTTCAGAATTGATACATTTTGGAGCAGCGCTGTCACCTGTTTGTGATGGAGGGTATACACCGCTTGATTTAGCTGAACTGAATAAACAAACTGAAGTACTAGAATTGCTGCGACAGTTTGGAGCAGCGCATGGGGTGAGAGCAAAAAGATTCTGCGAGCTGTTTTAAGTTTAAATTACTCCTAAATTAATTATTCTAGATTTATTTTATTATGTTTAACAATATTTGATTTGGGATTATAGTTATGCTTATTGCAGAAAAGGATCTAGATTGATTTCTTTATACAGGTAATAGTTTATACAGTTAAATCGATAAAAATTGGCAATTTTTATTGTTATTAAAATTATTCATAATTAGTAGCTATTAATATTGATAAACTGTCAATTTACACGGTTGAGGCGGCCAAAACTATATTGATATTTTTTTACCTGTTTTTTTTTGTCAAAAGTGACTGAAAAAGTTTTTAGTATTAAAAAGCATAACGGTGGAAAAGTAAAACTACAAAGTAAGGTTAAAAACACATAATGTTGAAATTTTGACCAAACAGCATGCCTTTTGTGTCTGATTTGATATAAATTTATTCATAAATTTATTTCATGTGCTTATTATCATAAGTTTTTAAGTACTCAATATAATCTGGTTTTATGCTTTTATCTTTTCACTGTGTAGTTTTTCATACTATTTAAAATTAAGTTTTGATAACAATTATATTATATGCACTATACTATTTTTGTATTCATTTACAGATATCTTTATTTAAATTTAGTTAGAAGACAACGATTTTATTAATATATTTAATGTCAGCCTGCTATTACTCTGCTTAATATAATTTGCTCCTGAAGGTATTTTTTCTATGCTGTTTTTTCCACGTGTTTTGTGCGGATTAGGACGGTTACGTTCTTTTTAACTTCCTTTTTCATCGTTAGGTTCCTCAATACTAAAAAATTTTTTTGAAATATTCAGTCACTTTACTGGAAAAATGAAAAAAAAAAAAAATCAATGTAGTATTTTCCAATTCACCAATTTACACTTCATTTTACCTCTCAGAGCTCTAATATGGATTAATTATTCCAATAATGGAAGATTTGTCGACTAATGAAAGGAATTTTATTTTACTTGCAATTAAAGAGTCAAAGCAGCGTCTTGATGGGCGTGGTCTTTATGATTATAGGAGACTTTCAGTTCAATTTCACAACAAGCGTGGAAGCTGTGAAGTTGCTTTAGGAGATACCTTGGTTTACGCATGTGTGAATGCTTTTATAGATAAACCATATGCAGATCGCCCACATGAAGGATTTTTTACTTTTACAGTTAATTTCCTGCCGATGGCCCATCCAAATTTTGAACAAATATTAGGATCCACCTTATCAAACAAAAATAGGCGCATCCGCAATGAAATCTCTCAGGAGATCGAGCGTTTGCTTGAAAAAACGCTTAAGCGAGCTAATGCATTAAACGTTGAGTCTTTATGCATTTACTCAGGAAAGTATGCATGAAATATCCAAGTTCACTTGCATATTTTATACCTAATTATCTAAATAAAAGCATTCATATTGGCAAGAAGTTATCCTATTTTCATATAATAAATATGATAACGGCTAATAGTAGAGACTTTTTATTCTTTATATTAAGGTACATCACACAATGGTAATTTATTAGATGCATGCACTATTGCTGCTTTGCTGAGCCTTTCCCACACACGAATTCCAGAAACTAAAATCCTCCCTAGTGGAGATCTTCAATTTTTGCCAAAATACAAGCCCCTCAGCTTACATTTCCTCCCTATTTGCATTACTTTTGGCTTTTTATCTGACGGAATCATCATACTTGATCCTTTGATAAAAGAAGAATCAGTCTTAGAAGGCCGCTTGATGATAAGTATGAACATCTATGGAGATATTCTGACATTACAGAAAACTGGAGCAGCTTGTGTTGGTGCTTCGCTGCTAATGGAATGCATTGAGGTTGCGAGGCTCAAAGTGAAGGACATAACCAAAAGCATTAGAACTGCTTTAGAGGCCGCAAAAGATATAGAGCCAGAACAATTCGAAATAAATGCAGAGAGGGCTGATAGGCTGGTGGAAGACCTAATTAGTAACTAAAATTAAATGGATTTTTCAAGAAGATCGATACAGAGATATTATAGAGATGAAAGCATGCCATCTCATATAAAATCATTTTCAGTAGAACTGCCAGAAGTTATTTCTCCGAAGTCTTTTGCTGGTGCTATGCTCAGCCATAAAGAAGGGGATTTAGAACCTTTAAAGGATTTTATGAAAAAACGAAAAATGATTCAGGCTATGATGTCGCCACAAGATATTTCGCTGAATCATGGAGAAATTAGTCCTATTGACATTCATACAAAAATATATTTTGAATGCAAAAAGAAAAAGAAAAATATGCATAGGAAAATAATGAGGCTGAAGCTGCCAACGATATCTTACTTAAAATAATGTATATATCTTGAAATTAGAGGATTTTGATTCTTTTGAAGGATGCAAGAATGTTATATTATAATAATTACAGCCAAACTAAAAATAATTTTAATAGCTATTTAAATTAAGCTTAATCTCTCCATCCTATAAAGTTACCTGAATTCTGAGCAGCAACATGGTCTATTTTGGCTTTTCTCGATACCGAGTTGTCTTCTACATCTCCTTGCCAAGTAAAGAAATCAGAGGATTTTCTAAATAAATCTTACAAGTGGTCAAGCTCTTTCACTTCAGTCTGAACCTTCTTCTCAGGGTTTCACACAGTCAGCTCTCCATTATCCTGATAAGTTGGCTTGGCTTTTCCTTTATGAGTGACATACATGCCAGTGCCAACTTTGTCATATTCTTTTTGCAGTAGCTCTTCTTTCATTTTTTCTTTGGTAACTGGCGTTCCTTGGACTACATTCGGATTGCTCAAGTATCTAAAGGTATTTGGGTCTTTCTGATTCGGGTTTCCCGCGAGCCTTGTGGTTGCTTCATCTTGGTTTAAGGAATTAAATATGCATCTCCCTATCCTTTGGTACCCGACAGATTTGGTGGTTTCATGCTCTCTTATGTCTCTTTCAAGCTCCAAGGTGATAGGAATATGCTTTTCTGACAAATAATTCATAAATTCTGATCTGTCCATCCCTCCACACGAGTACAACTTTATTTTGTCTGACAGTTCATCATAATTTACGTCCCTAATTGAAGATTCTGGGTTCTCGATTTTTGGCTTTGTAAGTCGCTGGGAGCCTAAAGTGGTCAAAGAGCTTGAGCTGAGGAATCTTTGGCAGCGAGGGTTGTCAAAGAAGCCTGATTGAGTAGTTTCTTGTGGAGCCCGAACTGTATTGAGCAGTTCAGTATAAGTGCGATGAGGGTTTTCTAAAACTTTGTCGAATTTATTGTTTGGCTTGAACTGTGGGTCTTCACGAATGGCTTGGGAGAATTTGTCTTTGGTCAAGGAGCCAGACTCAAGGTTTTGGTAAAGCTCACGGAACTTAAGAAGTTGATCGCCACAGAGGCTTGTTGTAGAGGAACGGCTACTGGTCGTGCTTTCAGCTTTGAGCTGTTTTAAGAGGCGACCAAGCGTTAAATTAGACGAACTCACACGATCGTTGAATTGGTTGTTGATCTTGTTAGGGTTTGGCTCTGCTTTCATATTATTCTATCTCCATCAATGGTTATTTTTTTGGCTGCTTCTTATTTCAAATTGCTAACTCCCCCCCCATCCTTGATCGAACGACTCGCCATCGTTCGATCAAGGATGGGGGTTAAAAAAAAAATTTATAAAAATAAAAAATATATATATATTACTTTTAAATAAGAGGGTGAAGAGTATTTAATAATTATTTTTACAGCAAAAAATTGAATTAATTTCATAAAATATCAATTTTTAATATTTTGATTTATTAGTTACCCCTTTAAACTGTATAAATTTTAATTTGTTTCTTATTAAATTAATTTTTTTTTTTAAAAATTTTAAAAAACTCTAGTTTATTAGATTATTAAGTTTTTAAGCCTAGGTTATGACTAAATCACTTCGAATGGTTGATTTTGAAGCTTTCTGTCGTCTTAAAGTCTCTGAAAACAAACTTCATTATGTGCATCTTCCCAAGCTTTTGATAAATAATATATTTTTATATATATAAAAAAATTTGCTATGATATGAAAATCGTTCGATCAAGGATGGGGGTTAATTTCCCCAATTTTAAGGAATTTTTACAGTCAATCGTTCGATCAAGGATGGGGGGGGAGTAAGAAAAAGGTGACTTAAATTTAAGAAAATTGAATAAATGAGGAATAATCTATCTAATGGCGCAGGAAAATTCAGATAAGGATTAATCTTGAGACTTGTAACAGAAATAAACAAGTTTCTATTATCGTTAGAATTAGGCTTGAGTTATTTAATTCACTCGTTAGCTTTGGGAAAACAATAAAAAATATTTCCATAATGACTTTGGAGTAGAAAAACAATCATGGATGACAATTCAGCTCAAGCCAAAGTTGTTCTGCTTGGAGAAGCAGGTGTTGGTAAATCTAGCATTGTATTGCGATTTGTAGCAGATACTTATCACAGTGACATTGAGCCTACAATAGGAGCCTCATTTCTTTCAAAAATCGTGAATCTAAGTGAAGGGACTATAAAATTTGGCATATGAGACACAGCAGGACAGGAGCGATACCATTCTTTAGCAAGAATGTATTATGCAGAAGCAGTTGCAGCTATCCTAGTCTATGATATCACAAACAGAAAATCTTATGAAGCAATGAAAAATTGGCACAAAGAGTTAGTTGAGCAAGGACCCAAAAACCTAATTGTTGCAATTGCAGGAAATAAAGAAGATTTAGTTGAAAAAGAACAAGTCGAAATGGAAGAAGCCAAAAGCTTTGCAGAGTCTATTGGAGCAATTTATAAAAAAACAAGCGCAAAAACGAGATATGGGATTGAACAATTATTTAAAGAAATTGCTATTAAAATTAAGGATAACAGAAGTATAGTGACAAGAGAGAAAAGAGGCTCTATTAGAGTGACGTCAGCTGTAAGCCAGCAGCCTGGAGTTGCTTACTTACTTACTTAATTATCTGGTGTTTAAGGTGTCTAGTGCCGCAGCCCAAAAAGGACCTATGGCAAAACTAGTGACGTAGGCGAGCCATCTTGGAACAGGTCAGCCCTGGCCAAGCCTTCTATCAACTCCTGCTTCACCAGCCTTGCTGCACGTCTCACCCGGCGCGATGCCGTCGCCCTTGTCTCGAATCAGCTCCTGCGCGTGTTCCGCCTAAGGGTCATCTTCCCGTGGAGATGTGCTGAGAGGTAAAACCCCGAATCTTGAGAGGACTGAGGAGCAGTTCCTCTGGTTATCCCCAGAGTTAAACCGCTATTGCTGTCCAGAAGTTCTCGAGTGAAAACCTAACCCTATAAATAAAATTCCATGAGGGAGAGAAAATTAGCAGAGCTAATTTCTCTCGAACTGAATGCCATTTTATTTATATGCCTGGAGTTGCAAAAGAAAAAAAATGCTGTTCATAATTAATAATAGAGTCAAGCTAAATCGTTTTTTGCCGATTTAATACCTATAGCATAAATTTTAAATATTTATTTTGCCATTTTGATCTTAATCCCACTAAAATAATATTTATAATGTTTTCTACATAGCTTAATGTTTATCTATAGCTTAATCATTATTTGCAGCACATAGTATCTTTCTTTTGCACAACAGGAGGAGTCCTGACATGGACTGTTGCAGGTGGTGCATTATTTCCTTGCAAAACTGTGGGATCTTGCCTTACGATCATATCTGACAAAGTATTATAAACCTCACCCCTCCTTTAGATTGGAACTAATTATAGGCAAAATTTCGTTTTTTGATATTTTTAAATAGAGGTAATAGTTTGATATAATAAATGGAAAAGTTCGAGTAAAATTCAATTTAAACAGTTTTCACACTGACTTGATTAATTTATTGAATTAATTTTTTATAAAATAAATTTAAATCCAAAAAAGATTTCATTCAATTTATATTGTTTTAATATTAAAAAAATTAACTAGAGCAGGATATTTTGTTCCAATTTTAAGAGGGGTGTCAGCAATATTTTTGCCTGTCTTAGCACTCACCATGAAAAAAGGAATACCATAAGAATCAGCAAGCGCTTTTCCATCAGGAAAGGTAGTTTGATCAATTAAATCCATTTTATTTCCTACCAAAATAATTGCAACTTTGGGATCAGCTTTCTGCCTGATCTGCTTCATCCAATTTTCGACATGATCTAAAGAATTCCTGTCAGTCAAATCAAAAACGAGTACAATCCCATTTGCGCGACGGTAAAAAGTGCTTGCAAGTGTGCGGTGGTAGCGTTCCTGTCCTGCAGTGTCCCATACCTGTAACTTGACCTGCTCACCTTGGATTTGCACAAGTTTCGTTTTATATTCAATTCCTATAGTTGGCATCGTTACGGTTGGAAACTCGTCTTCTGAAAATCGGAGAAGGATACAAGTTTTGCCAACGCTGGCATCACCTAGTGTAAGAATCTTTAAGGTTGGGATTTCCTCCATTTAATTAGAAATTTGAGATAAAAGAGAATTAAAGAGAAATCAGCAGAAATTCGCTAAGTTCAATATAAAATTTGTGAATTTTTTACTGGAAAGGAAAATTATTGATTGTATAGCCCACCTACTCTAATAGATTGGGCCTCAATCCTGGACGGCCATAAGCCTAAGAAACCCTTCGATAAATTGATGGGACGATTCCCTATGACTGTGGAGGGGCTGGGTTGAAATATAGGCTGACGCCAAAAAGGGGATAGGGCAAATGGCAAAGTCAGGGAGGAAATAGCCAATATGTGAGAGAAGTGCATAAAGGCTCCCTTTATCATGGTTCCCAGCTGCTTAAGAGAGAGAAATCTGAATGAGTCTTACCTCTTGGGTCTCTGAATTCTGTTGTGTTCGATCCATTTTTATTTAATCTGCCGAGCCAAATCAATCTGACAAACCAAATAAAAAGTGAAAATGGAAGTGGATGAACCTCAAACACACACAAATATAATGAGATATGATTATTTCTTATTTCGATTGTCCATCAGCACTTTGGGCAATTTTTTGTCACTGGGAATCATTGCTCCTGCACACAAGACAAAATTTTATTTTCAAATTTTATTAAAATGTATATTTATACCTATTTTTTTCGGAAAAATCGTGCTGAGAAAAATTGCTAAAAGTGCTGGAGTAAAACAGACGCTGTTTTTGTACATCACTCTCAAGTTCCTACAATATGTGAAGTGCTCAGTTTAATCACACTGCTGCAAGTTCTGGGAAAAGTCAAAAACCTTGGTAAAAAATACCCTTTTTTTCGGAAAAATCGTGCTGAGAAAAATTGCTAGAAGTGCTGGAGCGGAACAAGCACTGTTTTTGCACATCACTCTCAAGTGCCTACAATATGTGAAGTGCTCAGTTTAATCACACTGCTGTAAGTTCTCGGGGAAGTCAAAAACCTTAGTAAAAATGCCCTATTTTTTCGGAAAAATCGTGCTGAGAGAAATTGCTGGAAGTGCTAGAGTAAAAAGCAAACGCTGCTTTTGCACATCACTCTCAAGTGCCTACAATATGTGAAGTGCTCAGTTTAATCACACTGCTGCAAGTTCTGGGGGAAGTCAAAAACCTTGAAAAAGATGCCCTATTTTTTCGGAAAAATCGTGCTGAGGAAAATTGTTAGAAGTGCTGGAGCGGAGCAAGCACTGTTTTTGCACATCACTCTCAGGTGGCTGCAATATGCAAAGTGTTTCAACCTAATTGAATGAGGGAGGCTGAGATTAGATTTTGCCATTTTATAAAAAAATTCACCCTATTAATTAATCGCCTAAATCTATAAGTCTAATGGCACTCATTATATGCTCCCAGCATTTTTTGAATGTATAGCCAAGCTTCTTCATGCATTTATACGCTTGATTGCAAGTCACTTTTTCATCTGTTAATTGTCTATTCAGCTTTTTAAACTCTCTCAGGTATTGAAATGGTTGGATTACCATTTAAGCAAGCCTCTGTCAAAGCCTGCGATGCTGTGTTGCTTAGCCTCAGAGGCCTATTGCTTCTTCTGTCTTCAATATGGTTACCTTCTCTATGCTTTGTGATTATTCTTTTTACTGTGCATGGGGACACCCCAAATATATTTTCCCAACATCGACATATTTGGCATCTGGATGAGAATCGTAGAATTCAATGATTCTCATTTTAAGCTTGATTTTAAAATTTCCTTTGTGCTTTTTGATTTTTTTAATAGCAAGTTCATCGACATTCATAGCCAAATTATTTTGATTGGCTTTTTCATGGTTCAGGACTCTATCTGCATGGTCAGCGTAATCAAAATCGATTAGGGACTCAATCTTTCTTTGTATTTGATGAAGATTTTCAGGACTGCTAACATTTTCACTTTGCATTGAGCTTGGCTCCCAAATTTCAGATGAGCTTTGAGCAGGAGGATTGTCATACTCTGTTGAATTTATAGTGCAGGTCTTAACGTAAAGAAACTTATCGAAGTTAAAAGGAGCCATTAAGTCTGTTTGATGCACAGTTATATTTGTGTGTGTTTGAGGTTCATCCACTTCCATTTTCACTTTTTATTTGGTTTGTCAGATTGATTTGGCTCGGCAGATTAAATAAAAATGGATCGAACACAACAGAATTCAGAGACCCAAGAGGTAAGACTCATTCAGATTTCTCTCTCTTAAGCAGCTGGGAACCACGATAAAGGGAGCCTTTATGCACTTCTCTCACATATTGGCTATTTCCTCCCTGACTTTGCCATTTGCCCTATCCCCTTTTTGGCGTCAGCCTATATTTCAACCCAGCCCCTCCACAGTCATAGGGAATCGTCCCATCAATTTATCGAAGGGTTTCTTAGGCTTATGGCCGTCCAGGATTGAGGCCCAATCTATTAGAGTAGGTGGGCTATAGTTGAGGAATTTGAAAATTGATTGTAGGTTGGAAATATTGCAATTTCATTTAAGTATAATACACCTATATTAATAGTTTTCCTAATAAAATCAGCCTCCTTGCTTCTTATAGCGCAACACAATATAAATTAAAATAAAATATTTTAATCTATTACAAATAATATGAATCAGGACCTTGTTTTTAAAGTCGCTGATCTTCTTAACAAAACATTCACAGTCACAAATAAATCTCAACGTTTATCAATTGAAGAAGAGCTTGAAACTATTTCTCAAGACCAAGAAAATTACTTGCAAGCTTTAATCGGAATACTTTCAGCATCCAGCCCCGACATAAATCCGCAAATCAAGAATTCAGCTGCAATCCAGATAAATAGGTTCATTAAAAACATAGATATGAACTCTACACCTACACAAACAATTCTATGTTATGTCCATAGCCTTTTTACTACTCTGACAAGTCCAATTCTGGACATGCAATTAAGAGCTTCATTAGGATATGCTTTGGCTCCTATTTTCATTGAGGCAAGTGATGAGATACTTTCATCTATTTTCCCTTACATTTTTGTATCACTTGATGGAGATATCCCTGCAATTCTAGGAAGTCTAAGAATTATTCGATCAATTTTTAATGGAGAAACTCAAAATGCATCACTGACTAGCCATTTTAAATATGTGTCTGAAAAATTGATAGAGATTGCCAAAAATATTGTGGAAAAATTAAGGGCAGGAGAGATTGATATGGATTTAGCTCATATTTTGTCAGAAATTTGTGGATGCTTTAACACGATGCTTGAGCATTTTGAAGTCGTGAATCGAAGGTTTCTAGGAGATGTTAAAGATATGGCCAACTTAGCTGAAATTTTTGCCGAAATCATTGGATTTGTTATTATTGATAATCCCATTGGTGATAACTGCTTGATTTATGTGACTGATCTGCCTTTTCATATAAAAATAAATAACTCAAAAAATCAGCTCTTGCAAGGACTTAATTTACTTTTGCTATATTTATCTGAGAATAAAAACAATGATTTTGATAATGCTCCTTTAATGGGTCTTGATATGCCTGATTCTCCATTTATAGCTATGCTTCAGCAATTAATAGAAAAATTGACAGTCACTTTGCATCTTATTATTTCTCAGCCTAATTATGAAGATCTTCTGCATATACATAAAAAAATGCGCTGGCAGACTACCCAGTATCCTGACCCCATTCTTAAGCATCAGCAAGCAACTGTCCATTGTATAGGAAAAGGCAGAAAGAGGTCAGAAACCCCTATGTATATCGGGCTGGGTTTTTCTCAGTTTTCAGGAGTTAATCTATAGGACTTAGATTTTTACTGGAAACATCATTGGAAAGGACAGGATCAGCAAAAAACCCGAGCGGATACAAGTGCCTTGAACAGGAATCAAAACGTGACATCTGTCTAAAAGAAAATGGGAGTTTCGACCCAGTGTTGGGCCTTAGGCTCCAGAAGTCATTGAAGTCAAGAACCCCTGCCTATGGCAGCAAGTAAAGATATCTGCCGGAGTCTCTCAAGTATGATAAATAGGGGTGATTGGAAATCCGGCCCGCCAATTCCGAATCTCTAATCTTAATCTTATGAAGATCTTCTGCAAAAAAGCTATGTTTCAGACTACTTTATTGAAATTCTCCTTATTTTATTCAAGCTTTCCTCAGAAAAGCGATTTTCCTGGCTATTTCTGCAAAGCTTCAAAGGAATCATAATCGAAATTTGTTTTCCTTTAATAAAAGCATTTGGAGAAGATTATGTAAATATTAATTCTGATCCTGAAGAATTTGCAAATGCTTCAATAGAAATTTGTGAACGACAAGGGACAGACACATTTAAAACTTGTGCATCACAGTTACTGTTAGCAATTTCAGAAAATGTTGACGGAGCGCTGAGTTTTATTATGACCTTTACTATACAAACGATAATGCTTGCATTAGCTCGTACTCCTGTTGATTCCTATGTAGGGATTTCTGAATATAAGAACACAAAGATTTTCCTTATATCTGAGGAGCAAAGAATTGAAGTCTTGCTGCTGGCCTTATGTGTTTTATCTGATAATATTTTAGCTAGAAAAGACTTAATAGGAATGCTTGAACAATTTTTATCGACCCATACAAAATCTTTATTGGACACATCATCTATTATAATTCATCACAGAATCTGTATGATAATTCAATACTTCGGTCTTTATTTATTTAATGAGCTTCCTGATAGTTTTTCTCATTTTATACAAATAATCCTGAGCTTCAGTGATCCACAAGCAACAAATCAAGCAGTTTCTTTGCAGGCTTCTAGTGCCTTATATTCTATAATTCAAGCTGATAGGCACTTCATAAGGCTGCATTCTCTTATATATTCAGTCGTAAGCTCACTCGTGAGCATAATCCCCCAGCAAAGGTCCAATAATTTTTTTGAAGTTCTATATCAGATAACTTCTCAAAGCTTTGAAGCCATAAAGCCATATTTCTCAGTGCTTATCCCTCATCTTGTGAATAAAATCCAATCAGAGCTTCAAATCCTTTCTACAAGTGAGAGCACAAAAAAGAAGAAAAAAACAAATCTGATTATCAGCAAATGCTGGAATATAATAAGATTCATTGCAGAAAGTGAAAATATTACAGTAGAAGAGACCATTGACTTAGAACAAAAATTAATCCCTTTGTTTGAGTATTTAAAAAACCCTTATGATATTGAGTTTGATGATGATATTGTTTTATTTGAAATTGCTTTGATAAAGAAGTCACTGCAGATAAGTGAGGTGTGCTGAATATTATTTAGTCATATAAAATTGATACAAGAAAAAAATGATAACACGTTTATTCAGATTTTCCCTTTATTAAGTTGCTATATATACTATGGAAAAGAGGTGCTTGCAAAAAATACACAAGCATTGCAAGTAATTGCTGAAATGTGTAGCAAATGCTTGGTTGCTAAATATAAAAAGCGAACCTCAGAAGCTATTAACTCTGAAGCAGCTTTAATTTATCAGCAAATGCTACACACTTTTCCAGGGCTGATAGATGGTTTGATTCCTCAAATTCTTTCTGTAACAATAGATCGCATGACTTCTAACGTAAAGCATGATTTTTTCATGATTCGGCTTTTAAATGTAATTTTAGCCTCATTTTCTTATAACTGCCAACTATCAATGTCAATTTTATCTCAAACACACTGTGATGATGGGGAAAACTGCTTAAATTTTATTTTACAAAAAATTACTATTAACTCAAGGAATTTTTCTCACGCTTATGATAAAAAAGTAGCAGTTATTGGGCTTGTTTCATTAATATCTCAGCCCACATTTCCTGAGCAAGTTTCAAATATGCTGACTGTTATTTTTCAAGTAATTATTGATATTTTAAATCCTGATGCACAGCTCAATAAGATTAAGAAGGGAAAAGAAAAAAATAATTTAGAAGTTGTGAAAACAACAAAATCCACAACAATTTCTATTAAAGGAATTTCAAAGAAAAAAGCTATTAGTGAAGAAGAACAAGCGAATATGGCTTTGAAAGCATTATTGACTCCAATGGACGAAGTCGATGAATGCACATACTTTAAAAATATGATGAAAACTTTGCAAGCGTCTAATGTTGAGGCGATTAAATATTTAGTTGGAAGCTTAAATGTAATACAAGCAGAAATATTGCAAAAAATAATAATGAGCAAAAGAGTTCAGCTGAATAATTTTAATGATACTGAGGTTAGAAGGATTGTTAAAGCTAAGTCAAAGCATTCTAATAATTAATATTATAAGGTTTTAATATTTTAAAATTAAAAAGGTGCTAGATTGATTTATTTCTGAATCCATTTTAGTTTGGTTTTAAGTGCTTATTAGCCTGAGAAGCAGCATATTAATATTGTATACCCATAAATCAATGCTCAAAGCTTATTTTTAATTACGATAAACACACTCAACTCTCTTTCTCAGCTTCTTATGTATTATTTATACAGATATTCATGAAGCTTAAAGAAGCAAATTTATTACATAAGTATACAACAGTGCATCCTCAAATAATTATTCGATGCAATTAAACACAAATCAGATCTCTACTTGTCATCATTGTCAGTCGCAAATTACCCAGTAGAAACTCATCATGATATTTTAATAATTATAAGAATATTGATCATATAATGGCGCAAATGCTTAACAAGACTAATCCAACTTCAAGCAATAAGGCGGCAAATGACTACATGCCAATTAGAGTATTAACCACCATGAGCCAAGACTGGGTCATAAAAGGCCGTATCACAATGAAATCAGCAATAAAAAATTTTAGTGGAAATCGCCCGGGAAAAATGTTTTCGATTATTATTATCGACCATGAAGGCACCGAAATAGAAGGCACATTTTTTAATGAAGGAGTCGACTTATTTTTTGATACCATTGAGCAGGGGAAAACTTATTTGTTTTCAGGAGGATATGTCAAGCTAGCAAGTCAGCAATACAGAAAAGTAAACAACGACTATCAAATTTCTTTTGATAAGAAATCAGCAATTGTTCAAACCCAAGACAACGGAGAAATAGCAGCAGCCAAGCTAACCTTAGTCCCACTATCAGAATTAAAAAACTTGCCAGACAAAAGGACTGTAGATGTATGCGGCGTCATTGTCGAGGTTTCTGATATGGCTGAATTTACATCCAAAAAAGGTGATAACTTAGTCAAAAGAAACATCAAAATCATGGATCAAAGCATGGCGATGGTTGATTTAGCCCTTTGGGGAGATGATGCCACGAAGGCAGACTGAAATGTTATCGATTTAGAGGCTTTTCCTGTCGTGGTGGCTGCAAAAGTAAGAATTTCGCATTTTGATGGGATTTCCCTCACCACTGATAGAGGAATTTCTCGTGTTTTAATAGACCCTGATGATTATCTTGCCATTGTCAGAGACTTAAAAGAATGGAAAAGAAATCCTCGAGATTCTGAAATTCTAGCAGAAAATCTCACAGTAAAAAGCGAGAAAAAGTCCTCAAGGCAATTAAAAACAATTAAAGAAATCAAAGAATATTGGGAAAATGCTGACCCCAGCACGAAAGAAGCATTCTACAACGTAAGAGCTTTTGTTGGATTTATTAAAAGAGACGACAGACAAAGCATGACTTACGAATCGTGCATAAATAAAGATAAGTGCAAGAAAAAGGCCATTTTAGACTCTGATGGACTTTATCACTGCAGTTCCTGCAATAAAGCGTTTAATAAGCCTATACCAAGATATATACTGACCTTAAGGATTCACGACTCAACTGAAAGCGCTTATGTTACAGCTTTCGATGATACTGCAGCCCAATTACTGAAAATTTCAGCTGAAGATTTAATGGAAATGATGGCTATTGATGAAATTGGCTTTGATAATGTGGTTTCCAATGCTTTGCAAAAAGAGTGGGCTTTTACCATCAAAGCACAGTCAAATTCAAGTGACAGAGGTGGAGCAAGGATGAAATTGGTGCTGGCTTCGGTTAGAGAAGTTAATAAAATGGAAGCTGCAGATAGGATTTTAGAAGAAATCACCCAAGCAATTCATGGCAATAATTAAAAATTGGTTCAATTAATAGAAATAGTTTGAGAGATTACTGTTCATATCAAAATTTATTGAGGTCTAGATAAAACTTAGTCTAAGCTTTGAAGATAAATGTATAAATAGAAATGGCATAGTACCTATCTATTCCCACAGTAATTTTTGTTTAATATAATAAATATTTATCATTAATCATTTTATTAAAAAATAAGAAAAAATTCTTACACTAAAAATCATTTCAAAATATTATATTAAATTTGATCAGGGGAGTAAGACTTAAAATTAATATACTTGCCCTTATTAATCTCTTTTCAAAATTTCTTCACCATTTTAACAAAGATTTCTTATCTTGCACAAATTATGACATAAACCTCATTCCAGCCAAATACAATCAATAAGTCTTAGAATACATTCCAACTCCGAGTAACCCCAAATTATTTTCCAGTTTTTTATTATTATTCAGGGGCTTAATGTTTGAATATAAGAAAAGAAGCCTCTCAAAAAACTTTAAAATAAACCTCAAATCTCTCCTTCCTTCAATCCAAGCCCAATCAGGGAAATTCACAAGATCCATAACCCTTGTCTATGAATTTCTCGTAGCTCGAGAGATCACTAAATTATCAATGGTATCCAAGCAGTGATATTTAGCTTCTCAAGACCATTTTCTATGAAAGCGGCAATGCCAATATCTTGCCCCACAGGTGTTGATTAATACCTTAGAAGTCGCTTCCAATCTAAAAATCACCAAAGAATGACCAGAAGAAGCCCGAAGGCCAAAATTCGCAGAAACTGTTAAATGAAAACTAGTTTGAATAGAAATCACATATAAATGTTGCCATGAATGCTACAATTTATTAAATAAACTTCACTATTTACCGATGCTACAGTTTACTCTATGCAAGTCTTGTGCGAAATCACCCAAATACTCAATGATGTCGGAAGAATCAGCTGAGCTTGATTATAGAATTTCGAGTGAAGAAATTAAAAGAGCAGGTTTGCCATTTATAGAAGTGCCTCATAGTCACTGGACGGGTAAAGTTGCCAAAATGTATTATGCGATAGATTTAATTAAACTTGCAAAAATCAATAAAGAGATGCCTTTGATCAAGAGAGAAAATTGTGAAGAAGTTAGGAGGACTGAAATTTTATATTATCTGAAAGAGAAAGGCTGTAGGGATTTTGATTTTATTGAGTATGGGCTGGAAGTTGAAGGAGGGTGGCCTTGAAATTATATTAAAGGAAAATCCCAAAGAACAGCACAAAAAGTGGTCAGTGATATGCTAGGGCAATATAGTCATTGATTAAAGAAGATTGAAAAGGAAGGTCAGCCAAAGAAAAGAGTTAAGACTGCTGCACAAGAAGTAATAGATCTGGATTAATATAATTTTAAATTTGAATGCTTAATTAAAATAAAATTGTGATCAAATTATCTATAATTTTAATAATAAGTATTGACATATTTATGATGATTTGATGACTCATTTACAGATAAATAAATTGAAATCGTGATGAATATATTAATTATAAAGATTTTTATACTTAAGAATGAAGGAGATTCACCAAAATTAGTTTGGATTTTCATTTTTCGATTGGAAAGAAGAATTATCTTTCGAAACTCTTTTTGATTTTATTACTTGAATCATTTAGTAAAAAATTGCAATGTATAGAGAAATAGCTTATTGAATTATGATTATCGTATAGAAATTTAAGATAATCTGAGAAAGCAAAAGATCTAAATAGGTCCTATTTATTAAAGTTAAAAATTTGCTAACAAAAGATTTGCCATTTTTAAGTTGAAAGCCAGTATTGTAGGTATATCTAGCAAATTTATATTAACTCATCTCAATCAATTATTTGTATTTTAAATAATATTAATATTATTTTGAAGGATTGAAAATATTTGCAAAAGTATAAAATTAATTTTTAATTATTTTTAATAAATTTAAAAACTAATTCTTTAAGTATGAAGGAATTAAGAAAGATTGAATGAAAAAAAATAGATTTTTTATTATTCCCATATATTGATTTATAATCTGCATTAGTTATCACACCTAATCTACGTAATTTATATAGAGCAGCTTAAAATTTCTTGATTGCCATATCTTAATTTCTTATATCCATTTCGCCTCCTAATTCTCTATAAAAATTCACATTTAATAAACTTTTTGATCATAAATTTTATAGTTATATCTAAAATCCTCCATATCCCATTTTATAAATGTTAAGTCCATTAACTTAATCTACAAATGAATAATTTTTATTAACTTATAATCAAATAATTCAGCACTAAATATGAGAGGTTTTATATTTTGCTGTTTCACTGGGAAAAAGTCTTCAAAAACTCGCCATGGTCCAGGCTCCTCTACCAAAGATTTCTCGGAATATTGCCAGCCTATAAGCCCTGATGCAGAAAGTCACAAAGAACTAGCCAACAGTGCTGAATTAGATTTAAATAATCGAAAACAGTCATACGATTCCCCTAAGGTTGAAAGACGACTGAGAAAAAGCAGAACAATCAATGATAACGATTATCATCCGCTAGCAAATTACGTATTTCCAAGAACTCTTACTAGCTAATTAATGTAACATTTTGTGTTTTAATTTGAGATTTCTCTTCTTTTTTGTATGAAATTCGTTTCGAGGTAATTATCATGATTTATAAATCAGTCATTTCTTTGAAAAGTTTAACTTAAGTTTAAGGGTTTATATAAAATTTGGTAAAATCAGACTTTTAGAGCCATTATTATTACCATTGTGACTGATCCTTTCAACAATTATGGAAGGCAAAATGCAAATAGGGAAATAGAATAAAAGATCTTAATAATTAATTGAAAAGAAAATTTTTTGAAGCGTTCTTATCTTATTCAAAATTTATTAATCCCCATCCATAAGCGAGCAAAGAATTTTATTACTTATGGGGGTTAAATTTGTTTTCAATTAAAAAAAATTTCATAAAGTTTTTTTTTAGAATTCAAGCTGTTTAAAATATAATAAACTATTAGACTTCATTATAATAATTATTATTGGTGTATTAATTTATATTAAAAAATTTTTTGCGCGCTCTTAAATTTTATTTTCTCAGGATTTTCCAATAGCTTACTTGCTCACTTGCTCACGGAGGTGATTAAGAGCTTTATTTTATTCTAAAAATAAAATTAAAAAAAAAACCTGGCGATTTGCTGACTCCTCCCTTATTTAAGCAAGATTGATTATGTTTTTTTTTATAAATATTTTATATAATATTTATTTCTGATTTAAAAAGTTCATATTTAAAATGAAAAACCTAATCTAATTAATAAAAAGAATGTTTAAGGATTGAAGTTAGAATTTAATGAGATTTCATTAGATTAATTATTTATTGTATATAAAAAATATATTTTCCAAATAGAAATAATTTTTCCTTGATCTTAAATCCCAAAATAAACATTTATCCAATGTTTTGCTCACTCTTAAATTGGGGAGTAGATAATTATGATTTTTAGGGCAATAATAAAATTTTTTAACTATAATCTATAATACCTATATTTTATTACTATTTAATTTCAATTAGGATCAATAGCTTATTCAAAAATGAGAGTGATATTTAAATTATTATAGAAAGCTCAAAGAAATAAATGGTTACCTTAAGCATTCTGTTGCTTCTTATAGCTACTTCATTCTCATATATGAGAATTCCTCTCAATTGGCTGGACAAAGAAGAATTAGCCACCGCAATACCAACTACTCTGCCTACAACCCAGCTAATATCAGAATCCTATTTCAACAACTACCTCAACAAGCAATATTCAATTCAAATCTACGCTGGCTCTCCTCCTCAGCTATTAATGTTCAAGTTAGCACAGGATCTCCTTGGCTTTGGATTCCTTCGATTAAATGCAAACTTTCATGCCACCAGGCTACGAATTATTTTGATTCTAATAGCAGCTCGACTTATAAATATATAGGCCGAATTAAAATAAAAAACGAAGGCTATAGTTTCGTTATAGGAGATTTAAGTACCGAAACATTCAAAATCGGAGAACTTAATGATATGCAAATTAAAAATCAAAATTTTATTTTAGCTAATCAAAATGATGGATATGATGGGGCGTTCTTTGATGGAGTTTTAGGCCTGGAGTATAATTTTACAATGGGGTATTTAACGTTTTTTGACCGCTTGCATAGCTCCAAACAGATTTCAAATAAAATATTTTCAATTTATTTGAGCGATAACGGATTTCAAGGAAGCGGCTATGATACCTCAACAATTATATTTGGAGGGTATGACTTGTTCTATGCCCAAAATAAAGAAATCAAGTTTTTGAACTTAACTGATAGAGCTGGAAGATGGAGTGTGCCATTGTCTGAGGTAAAATTAGATGATTTCGTCATATCAACTAAGCCATCTAAAGCATTTTTTGATGTTGGAGCAAGCGTTATTTATGCACCAAAAACAGAGTTTGACAATATTGCCAGCAAAATAGCAGAACTTGGGAGCTGCTGGCATGAAAGAGGGCATTTTGTGTGTGATTGCAGCAACTATTCAATTAATAAATACCCGTCTATTAGTTTTTCCTTACATTCCTTTTAAAGAAGAAAATTTATAATTAATAATAATTATTAGAAAAATCAATCATATTTCTCATAGAAGGTGAAGAGTTAGGACTAGGGACCGTGGAAAGCTTTAGTTTGGACCCCCAGAATTATTTTCTTAAGCATGATAGCTACTGCTATCTTCTTTTCGGAGTAGGCGACTATGAATCATGAACATTTGGAAGTGTATTTTTAAGAAAATATTATACCATTTTTGATGCGGAGAATGGAAGGATTGGACTTGTTCTTGCAAGCCAAGAATTAGGGTACCCTACTATTGAGGCTTTAGAAGCTGATTCAAAATCGCTTGATGCAGATAAAATTAAAAATATTGACATCAAAACTGAAAAAGCACTTGAATATAGATATGAAAATATTTCATATTGGGCTATAACTGGAATTTTACTTATTTGCGTATCAGGATTTGTTTGTCTGTCATCAAAGATGAGCAAAGGCTATGATGAAGAAGCCTATTATCAAAAGATTAATGCTTAATTCATTTTAATGCTAAATCTTTTTCATTAAATTTTAAATTGTCCTTGCTAAAGGTATATAGAAATAAAATGGCGACGTCGCGCTCTCTATGGAGTAATAGATTCCGCTTCGATGAAGCTAAAATTTGTGTTTTTGTCACTTTTTGATGTAGACCTTCGAGTTTGGGGATGCCGAAGAGGGGGAAGTTTTGCTTCTCCCCGAAGGTTTTCCCTTACCTTGGCAGATGGGCTAGACAGGTACATACCATTTATATCTTTGCTTATCGAGACTAGCAGAGCATGGATCCGCAAGAGGTGACTCTAACAAGGGAGCTAATCCTTTGGTTAGGTGGATTTATGCTAGATAAGCAGACTAGAGGTCTATCCTCTCGAGCCCTTATAAACTTAACTTAAATTACTAACTGTATATAATTTTTTGGCCGTAATGGTATTAAGTTTATATTAAGTCTTAGTCCTCTCATAATCATTTTGAAGTTCTTGATTGAATTTCACTGAAATAACAATTTAGAGAACAAGCAAATGAATGCCTTAGGTTTCAGGACTCAGATGAAATTTCCAGATCATGGCAACAGTTTGTCAATCTTAAAGGTATGAACAAGAAATTTTTATTTTTAGATCAGACTCAAATCTATTTTTATTTTATTAGAAATAATTAAATAGGGCGCTTTTTCGCGCCAAAAAGTTTGAAGGAGTTTGTGAGAGGTTGAAATTCTGTTGATCCTGCAGAGTTGTGGATTTTTGATGGCCTACCTTGGATGAGTTATGTGCAAGTAGGTGATTCATTAAAAATCAATCTTTTTGTCATCGTGGGGTTGCAATGGAAATATGAATCGGTCGATTCATTGGATTTTTGTTGAAGATTTTGATGGAACCTTTGTTTTTTGTTGAAGATTTTGATAGAACTTTTGTTTTTTGTGTGGAGTTGTGGTGTTTATGTTTTTTGAAGTTTTTATTGATGCTTTGAATTTATATTTTTGATTTTAAGTGAGAGAAGTGCGGAATATTCCGCTTTAAGATAAATTTATAAGTTTATTTTATTAGAAAAATTAAATTTAGATCAACTTCTCATCATTTTATCAGTTTAAATAGAATTTATTTGGAAAAGGTCAGAGTTAAAAGTCTTATGATCATAAATTAATCTTTTTACTAAAGGTACCAATAGTAAAAAAAAGTAATTAGAGAAAGATTTCCTAATTTTGATTCAGCAAGAATTCAAAAAGACGAACTGGAGAATTTTTTAGAATTTATAGACAGAAAGTCTTATAGCCATAATCTAATTAACTTAAGTTAAGTTACTTAAAGGCATGCAAGGTTGAAAAAATGAAAAGACACACTGAGGAGCAAAAAGACTTAAGCTAAACCTTCTAATAGCATCTACTATAGGGTGATTTTCGACATTTTATTTGCTTTTCTGGTAAGGTTTATTTATCTTTGGTACAAACGGAAGAAGATAGATGATAATTTAATTCATTATCACAAGATTTATGTTTAATCTATTTAAGTAAGAATTTCAATTAATTTATTATTAAAGCTCCTCTATTATAGCCACTATAAATACTTTTAAGTGAATACTCATACTTTATTTCTTAAGTTAATTAAGAATTTACTCGTTTTAAAAATTCGATTTTGCTAGATAAACACTCAGCCAATGCATTTTTTATGCATCTTCAATAATTGGCGAATTTTAATTAACGAAAAAGCATAAAGATGCTTTAGTTAATTTATTAAATTATAAATTGAGAAGACAACTCTCTACAACAAATCTGATATTTTTATAGCTTATTTAGGTCTATGCTTTGGTATAATTTAATTAAACAACAGCTATTTCATTGCAATAAAAAGATAATTTTGATAATAATTTTTTTAAAATTATAGACATCATCAAAAAATATGTAGGAATTTAGCATGATAACTAAGCTGACAAAGACATTTTATGATTATGTAGAAATTTATCATAAATAAAATGCAATCCTTAGCTATTTTAGCGCTCCTTATATGCTTATCATTTGCTTTTGTAAAAATTCCACTGAAGAAGTTTTATAAAGAGCCATTGGCAGCCTCAAACTCAACAAGCCCATTGATGACTGAACTGCTTTCATCATCAGATCTCCAAAATAATTTAAATTGGGTTTACTCAGCTAAAATCTATGTTGGCTCACCCCCAAAGTTATTTACTGTTGTAATTGGCACTGGTGCTCCCTTCCTTTGGATTCCCTCTAAAAGATGCCAAAATGTATGTCACGAAGCTTCTAACTATTTTGACCCTTATAGCAGCTCCACTTACAAAAACCTTGGCCAAAGCAATAGAATTACCTATGATTTCTCGAATTTTGTTGAAGGCGATTTAAGCCAGGAAACCTTTTACATCGGCGATGACTATGCTTTAACTATTAAAAACCAAGTGTTTACTTTAGTTCACAAAGATAGCGGAATGGATTTTCTAAACGCTGATGGGGTTTTAGGTTTGACTTATGGATCGATATCAGGGTATCCAACATTTCTTGAAAATTTAAGAAGTCAGGGTCAAATTTCGCAGAAAATATTTTCTGTCTATTTACATGATAATGATTTTGCTGGCAGCAATTATGATGGCTCTGCAATAATTTTTGGAGGCTATGATCTTGCAAGCTACGCACAAAGCACAGAAATAAAATATATCGATGTGTACCAGGATGATGGACTTTGGAACCTTCAAGTCTCTAATGTCAGAGTAAATAATGTTCCCATCCCAACTCGTACGTATTATGCGCTTTTTGACGTTGGATCCACTTTCAATTTTATTCCAAAAGTTGTGTATGATGCCATTTATAATCAGCTTTCAGCAGCAGGAAGCTGTTTATTAAATAATGGCTTCATTGAGTGTAATTGTTATGATTATCCATTAGGCAGCTATCCATCGATTAGCTTTGTGTTTGGAGGGAAATATACATTTAGTTTGGAGCCTGAACATTATTTCTATAGATATCGAAAAATGTGCACACTTCTTTTTTATACTGGTTTAGATTATTGGCTATTTGGAACTCCATTTTTAAGGAAATATTATACGATTTTTGATGCGGAGTTTCTTCAGATTGGATTTGCAATTGCCAAAAATTGGAAAACAACTAAATTCATTGACATTTTAGGTCCTGAGTCAGACCTAATCGATGAAGGCAAAATGGAAAATATTAAAAATGAAGCTCAAGCTGAAGAAAAAGCTATGGAGAACAGGTCTCAGAGTTCTACTAATGCTCTTTATTGGGTGCTTTCTGGCGTCTTGCTTGGCTTCCTATCAGGATTTCTCTATCACTCATACAAGATAAAGAAAGAAAATCCTCAAGAAATTTACTACCAAAAGATTCAAGCTTAACTAATTAAGTTAAATCTTGAAAATTATTGTTTTTCTTGATAAGATAAAAGTTCTAATTTGATAGGAAAAAAGTAAATAGATCAGTAGTAAAAATTAATATGCCCTATTATTTAATAGGGAAATTTTTAGCATTTAGCTTACCAAGGCAGGTGAAGAAAAAAAAATCAACGGATTTCTCAAGATTATAGTTTATCCTTCAAATTATGATAAATTATTAATCCAGAAATCAAAAATAAATATAAGAAATCGTTAGCTTATTTCTGTATGAGTAATATAATGACACTAAATTTTTCTATTTTAATCGATTTTTAAGATTTAGATAGCTGATAAGCTTTGCAATATATACACATTACAATACAAAATTTAGGGTAAAAAAGTAGTTTCTGATCGAATCTGTTATATAATGTAAAAAAATGAGTAGATTTTTCTATTAAAAAATTAGCTTTTAGGTCTATGCAATTATACTTAATTGCAAATTTCAAGACAGAGCGATTATCATGATGCCACCAGCTCTAATGATCTTTTCTGAAAACCCAAAAACTAATTAAAGATAATTGCTTTGCTAAAAATTCAAAAAAAAGCACATAAACAGATTAAATAACTATAGACTTATTTTTCAAATATGTAGATTTTTAATAAAATAAAATGTCGGTATCAAGATTTTTGATGCTCCTTGTAGCTGTATCGTTTGCTTATTTTAAAATCCCATTAAAGAAGCTTAATAAGGAGGCATTGGTAAATTCAACCTCCACTGATTTACCTACAACTCAATCAATGTCAAGTTCTTTATTATACAATTATTACAATCTGCAATATATAGCTGACATCTATGTAGGCTCAAGTCTTAAGTGGTTTAGTGTCTTAGTCAGCACTACATCTCCACACCTTTGGATTCCTTCTACATCATGCATATATTGCCATGCCTCTTTTAGTTATTTTGATCCCTCTACCAGTTCTACTTATAAGTATATTGGATCAAACTATAAAGCAAGCTATAGCTTCGGCTATGCTAAAGGAGATTTAAGCTCTGATATCTTTGGGATTGGGGATGATACTTTCATTTATGTTTACGACCAAAAGTTTATTCTAGCCCATGAAGATTCAGGTTTCGACGCAGCATATTTTGATGGGGTTTTGGGATTAGAGTATGGCTACTTGTCTTTTGGGTATCCTACTTTTCTCGATAAATTAAAAGCACAGGGACAGATTTCCCGAAAATTATTTTCTGTTTATTTAAATGACAACTATTTTCTGGGCTCTTCGTATGACGGCTCTGCGATAACCTTTGGAGGTTATGACTTAGCTGCCTATTCTTCAAGCTCGTCAGTAAAATATGTTTATTTGGATAAGAATAATGGAAAGTGGCAGCTGAAACTATCGAAATTATATGTGGAAGGCTGGAGTATATCATCTGGCACTTTTACAGCTAATTTTGATGTTGGAAATGGCTTGATAGTTGCTCCTCCAACGGAGTTTTACAACATTACTAGTGATATAGCGCTATATGGAGATTGTTGGTGGAGTGGTGGATTCTTGAATTGTGACTGTGGATTTTCTTATTCAATTTATGATTATCCAATTATAAGCTTTAAGCTAGGATCATATTATACTTTTGGCTTGAATCCTTGGGATTATTTCTATCAAGCAGATTCGACTACATGCATTTTACTTTTTGGAATGGGCACTGATAGTATCACTTGGAATTTAGGAGATCCATTTTTCAGAAAATATTATACAATTTTTGATGCAGACTATGCAATGATAGGATTTGCAGATGCATTGAGGTATTCAACGACCGCCCTAGCAGCTAATACAAGTTCAATCAATAAAATTAAAACTGTTGATAGAGAAGCTCTCATTCAAAAGGAAAAAAGTGACCAAAGTGGAGCTGAAAATTCTACAAGTATTTACTACTGGGCTATTTCTGGCATCTTGCTTGCCTGTCTTTCAGGGTTTATCTATCTCTCGTACAAGATAAAGAGGGCAAGTGATCAAGGAATTCCCTACCACAAGATTTCTGCTTAATAATTTAAGTAAAATCTTTTAATAGCAACTGATTTTTAAAAGGTGCATATTTATAGCAGTATGCAAATATTAAAGCATTAATTGCCAAATTTCTTTTATTTACAAAAACTTTGCCAAAAATAACAATTTTTGAATATGTAGCTTAAAATAAAAATGCTAATCGAGTTCAATTTTTGGAGTTTAATCAACTCCAAATTCATTATTTGAAAATTTGGCTTATAAAAGGTTGAATTTAATTTAAATTCTATTCTTCTCAATTAGAGTAATCACAATTTCATCTTGAGAAAGTTAATAAACACTCCACTTCATATAATTTGATAATTAATAATTAAATCAGTTAAATTTTTTTAGATTGAAAAAGCATCCCTTAGCTATATAAAAATAAAGTTCCTTGCATGTTGCGAATAAATAAAAAGTTATGGCAACTCTCTAAAAAATAAATGTATGATTTTATTTATACGTTATTATAGTCTAATTCATATAACAGTCTCTAATTAGCTTATCATACGATAAAAGTATCACTTGATGCTAGATTATTGATAATTAATTAATTATTAAGTGGCAATAAAATTAGATATATGGCAATCTTCTGAATTGTTATCTTGCTATTGGATTTAGCTTTCAGCTTATGTGAAACTTCTTGCATGGACGCATGAAATTATGCTTGTGTTGATTGCTTTCAGAAAGAGCTACTTGAAAAAACTGGAGATTCTTTCAAATTTATATGCAGCTTAATAAGAAATTCTAATTGTTCTACTCCTGAATTTGCAGCAAATCAAGTATACCAAGGTCTTCTAATTTCTATAACTAAAGAGACTCAAGAAATATTTATTGACTTTTCAAATATTGACTCAAATAGTTTCATTCAAACCAAAGTTGTCTCAAAAAATTCTGCGCCAATTGCCTTTGAGATTTTAAACGAAAAGACCATAAAAATTGGTTTGAAATTGACTAATAAACAAGATCAAGTGTTTTACCTATGAATTTTTGGAGGATTTGAAGAAAATTATAAATTTCAAGGTATTTTAGAAATTTCATATGATGAAAATTCAAAAGCATTAGAAGAAGATATTTCATATGAGCAATTCCCAACTCCCAATAGTGATGAGTGTAAAAATTGCAAACCAGCCTGCCCTTCTTTCTTTTGGGATACGAATTCTTGCAAACTTCTTCAAGAGAATAAAAGACTTTTAACGCCATCCTGCTCTATTGGCTGCACATCATGCGATTCAAACACTTATTTAATCCAAACAGTATGTTTAGATTTTTGTCCAACCGGCTTCACAATTTCTTCTAATGCCTGTGTATCATCATCACAATCGTCATTAATCTTTGATGCTTCTTTTACTAAAATTGAAGGCACAGTCACCGACTCTGTTAGCAGCCTTCAAATTTTGACTGGGACTTCTTCAGGTTTTTATCTAAATTCCGATTCAAATGACCCATATCCAGCCAAAGACAGAGGCTACTGGTTTGATGGAAGTTCTTCGTATATGACTTTTGTCGACCAAAACCAAGGTTTAACCTCAAGCTCACCATTAACCGCAGCAGATAACTCTAAACAGCTAGCATTTTCTCCACAGTTTGCTTTAGGAATGTGAATAAACCCAACATTGATTTCAGGAGCCTTAATTTCTAAGCTAGACGACAACTCTGGGAACAGATACATTGATTTAGGCTTTTCATCTGGCGCTTTAAAAATCCAGATTTACCTCAAAAATTTTGGGCCATCTACTTACATGTGCTATATTTGCTTTCTTACAACACAGACTTGAAATTACATAGGATTCAGTTTAGAGGTTTCATCTGGATCTAGCGCTATTAATTTGTATATCAATGGCGAAAATAAATACAATAATGACTTGGGAAGTTATTTCTATCAAGATTTAGTTTTAGCATCTCACTTTTCAATTGGAGTAAAGCTTGATTCATCAGGAACTCCTGACTCTTCCACTTATTTCCAAGGCTTTATTTATGAGATTAAAGCTTGGAAAACCAATTATGATTTAAATAGTGAGGTTTCAAACTCATGCTCGGGCTGTTATTGTCCTTCATCTACCAATCAATGTATAGTAAACTGCCCAATTACTCAATACTATGATGGGTCAGCCTGCACTAATTGTGATGCGTCATTAACTCATGGTTGTGTTAGATCTGAATCTGTATATAATTTGTGTGATAGCGAATTATGCTTAGATTGCACTGGTTTTACGAGTGATGCCTGCACTCAATGCATTTCAAGTGCTCAATCAATCTCAGCTTATAATCCATGCAGATGTGCTAGTGGGAAAGGATATTCAAGTACTACAAATGACTGCCAAGCATGCAACTCTATATGCTCTGAGTGCTCAACTACTGATATTGCAGGCTGTACCTCTTGCCTTGCAGACACTTCTAATCCTAGCAGTTATTATTACATGGCCCAGAGTGTTTGCATACACTCATGCCCTACTGGTTTTTCTCAAATTGGCTCTACCAATGCCTGTAGCACTACAAATAAATTGATTTTCGATGCTCTTTTTACCAAAATTCAAGGGACTGTAGTAGATTCTGTAAGTGGACTTAAAATTTTGGCTGGCTCGACGTCTCAGTTTTATCCAGAACTTGAATCTGATGACCCAATTCCTGTCAGATATAGAGGGTATTATTTTGATGGGACTGCTTCAAAAATGTCATTTGTTACGCCTGTTGGTCAGAACAGTGGAGATACTTATGCAGATGTTGATAATAGCAAGCAGCTCACCTTTAGTCCTCAGTTTTCGATAGGAATGTGGATAAACCCAAAGTCCCTCTCATCTTCTTCCACAACTCCTCTTCTACATAAAGCTGATGCTAATGGAATAGTTTATTTATATGCAAATATTAATGGCTATAATCCTAAAATTGTGCTTTGAATCCAAGGGCAGAACTCATTTACTCATTCTTGCGATTATTCTATACTTATGCAGACTAGTTATAATAATAAATAAATATTCAAATAGGGAATGCAATTCATATGTAGAGACTGTATAAGAACAGGGCAATGAAATTATTATGGATTCGCTGTAGGGTTTTCCAATAAGCATAGTAGCATTATCTGCTATATAAATGGGCAAGCTGACTCTGCACCAGAAGATATAGGTGTTGGCTTTTTCGGAGACGTAGTCCTAGACTATTACTTTTATCTTGGCTATGATGGAAGCTCAGCATATTTTAATGGACTTGTCTACGGATTAAAGGCGTGGAATTACTTTCTATTAATTTTTATTTAAATCACAGTGCCTCAAGAGTTTAAAAGCCTTATGAGCCCAACTAGTGATGTCAACGATTCAGATGGAAAAATAGCTTTAAGTAAATTGCCCCATGCCTAGCAAATGGCGCTACAGCCGAACCAGCCAACTAGAGCGGCACCTTGTCAATCAACTTCTGCACAAGTTCCACCTAAGAGTCACCTTCCTTTGGATACGCTGAGCGAAAAACATCGACCTCCTCATTTAACTTGGAGCAGTCTCTAACCCTATGCGACTAGTATTAAACTGCTTTTACTATGTAGAAATTATTTGAAAAAAAAACCAAACCCATAAATAAAATTGCTTAAATATCATTGTTTTACTAAAATGCCTAATCAATCTGATACTGTATACGGCTAGCGCGCTGGACTATATTTTTTTTAATCGGTATAATAAATTTCTATACCCTAGCAGAATGCCGACTAGAAAAATATGATCCAATGCACTTGCATTAAATATTATAAGTCTGAATAAGCTCATCAAAATCATAAGGGAGAATTGCCATTTTCGTTTTGTAATTTTCAAAAAAATTGGCAAGTATACTTCTCATAAAACCTCTTAGTTCCCCTGTTCATTCGAGAGGACATTTTTACGTCCTACTTAGGCATTTCCTTAACTGCTCAAGGAACTCAGGCTTGTGCAATGCAATATTCAACTGTCTAAAGCCCATTAGAGGTGGTATATTTACCAAATCCTCGATGAATCTCTCTCTTGCCTCTCTCTATATATTGCACTAACCTCTATTAGGTGGGCGTCATTATTGACTGCTCCAAGGTAGAGCAGTCATGATTGTCTGTCAGTCTTCGCATATAGATGCTGGCAGTACTCATGTTAAAGCCAGCTCTCTATCTGTGTATAGCTCTGATTATGTGCGAATATAATCTCCGGCCGATTGCCGTTTATTTATATAGTATGAAATTACAAATTAGATTTAACAACTGAAGTTTCAACAATCTCTCAAGGAATGTCAGGAAATCAGTATTGCATTAAATCCACAAACTATTGCATTTCGAATGTTATATGATTTGATTATATTGATTCAAATGGTAATGAATATCCATGTCCAAGCCAATGCTTTACCTCAACAACTTACACTGGATGTGTTAGAGGCACTGACTGCAATTTGTGTGACGATCCTTTATGCTACTATTGCAGTGATTATGTTGCTGGCACTTGTAGTGGCTGTATAACTAATGCTGGAATAGGCAGTTCCGGGACCTGTGAATGTAATGATGGGTCTTATTATGAAAATTCATCTTCATCGTGCAAATCTTGTTTTAGCTATTGCTCGAAGTGCAGCACTTCTTATAATGGAGATTGCTCTGCTTGTGGATTTGGATATTATATGAATCCTGAAACTGGGTTATGCCTAGACACATGCCCTATAGGGTATAGCGAATCTGCATCGGCATGTGTAAAGCAAAATGCAAAAGATTTGCAGATCCATTATGTGTTTAATAAGCTGACTAATGAAATACTTGACTTAGTGTATGGCTATAAAGCTTTTATGGGTTCTACGACGGGTTTATGGGATACTGACGCTAATAACCCAGTTACCGTCTATTAATAAAGTGAATTTTTTTATAGCCTTTTTCACATGCCGATTTTTTATCTACTCATATAGTCTTCTTTTCAAATATTTTGCATACAAAGAAAATTTGCATTTAAATCGCTTATAAAAATTATGTTGTGCATTATATCAGCTAGGCCTTTATTTCTCAGGGAGTCAATATGTGTCTTTACCTCCTAATTCAGCTGATTCAAGAAAGATTATTATTGGCAACACTCAGACTATTCTAGCATGGGTAAGGCCTATATCCAACTCATATATTTTTTCTAAAGAATATAGAGGAGTACTATTTTCTTTAAGCCTCAATTCTAACTCTTATATCTTTGTAAGCTATGAAGTATATGACGATACTACTAATTCTGCAAATGCATTGACATTGCAAAGTTCAGTTCAAGTGAACTCTGGACAATGATATAATATCGGCCTGCAAGTCCAAAGAGCTAGTTATGACATTGAGATTTCACTCTATATTGATGGAAATCTTGATAATCAGCAATCCTATTCCCATTGCTTTGTTCGAGATACCTCATCTACTTTTACAATTGGGGCATCTCTAACGGCTAGTGACTATTTTACAGGATTTATATATGAATTTATGATATACAGCTCTTTAATTTCTATCTCTCAGCCTTCTACATCATGTGGATGTTCTGCATGCCCAAGTGATGGAACCTGCTTATCTTCGTGCTCACAATTGCAATTTTACTCGTCAGGAAGCTGCATTAATTGCGATGCAGCCTGCACCTATGGATGTGTCAGAAATGGAAACTGCAGACTTAATTTATACTAATTCCATATGAATACCTACTAAAGCGAATTAAAAAACTCATTCTTAATAAAAGTCTTAATTAAAAAGCCTTGCACATCGAAGCTTGTATTTTTATCTATATTTTTGTTTTCTATTTGCCTGGCCCATAAAAAGATTAATCACAACTTCGCGTCTACCAAAACTTCTTAGTACGCTATTCATAAGGAATTAGTATAGATGAATTATGCTCAACTGCAACTGGATTTCAAGCAAGCGAATGCTCAAGTTGTGTTGATTTAGCTTCATCAGCAAATAATAAATGCACTTGCAAAGAACATTCTCAGTATAACCAAGCAGATGGCCAATGTGTATGTGTAAGTGAATATTTTGAAGCTGATAATCAGTGCTACCCCTGCATATATAACTTCCAGCAGGGAGATGTGAACTCTTATTTTTCTGAAAATTATTTATCAATTATTTATGAGATGAAATACTCAGTTTCTTATTCAGTCTCAAACACATGTGATTCCTTATTTGATGCTATTTCAATAAGAAATTTAGGTAAAAATCCAATATGCAATTGGAGCTCTGATATGAAAACTCTGACTTTAGCCCTTGGAGTTAACTCTACGGTTCTTCCAGCTAGCAGCGTAACGTTTAAAGGCGGAGCGCTACATACCGACTGGGATATATGTGGATTTCCGCCTTACGCATTATCAGTATCGATTGCTTCAAAATATCCAATGCCTATAATAAAGCCGACAGCCAAGCTAAGTCTCCCATATCAGCTATATATTCAATGTGATGATCTTCTTATAGATGGCTCTTTATCAACAGGCAGCTATTACCGACCATTTACCTACAGTTGGTCTTTTTCCTCATCTCCTTCAATTTCATCTTTAAACGAAAAAACTTCCTATACCACTTCTACAAGCTCTATTACAGTAAGTCGCTATTCCTTATCAGCTTCAAAAGTGACCATTAATCTTACAATTACCAATTGGCTCGGATATTCTTCATCAGTATCAAAAAAAGTAAAATTAATTGACGATATAGGTCTTTTAGTTATGTATGACCAATATATAAGCACCACATTAACGACGAGTGAAAGCAAATCAATTACGATACAAGCAGGTGGAAATTGTTATAATAATGATACTTTATATTATTCGTGAAAAATTGAAGAGATGGTTGGAGATTATGTAAGAGTAAATGAAAATAAGCTTTGGGGGGCACAAACATTACCGACAATTTTATATATTCCAAGCTCAATCTTTAGTATAGGGACTTATACGTTTGGAGTAGAAATAAATAACAGTAAAAAGACGTTGCCAGGGGCTACACAGATTGTATTGGATTTTTCGCCATCAGATTTAATAGTTTCTGTCACAAATACCCAAATAGCCCTTTATTATACAAACAGCTTATCAATCCCAGTATCTGTTACAGACCCAGATCAGATTCCTGGTGACTATTCCTTTATATGATCCTGCACCGTAAATGGTAACAATGTTTCCAATATTATTCCCGAAAGATATTCACAAATTCTTTATGTCCCAGAAAACACGTTCCACGTAAGCTCAGCATATATTTTTTCCGTTTCTGTATCAAAATTATCAAGAACTTCTACCCAGACGATTTATGTTTATACGAAAACTAGAGAATTTCCTACTGTAAGCTTTTCTGATATTCCTCAATATGTAAATACAAAGAAATCTTTTGTGCTGTGAGCACTACCTGAAATTTCTGAAAGCTATATAAGCTATTGGACAATAAAAAGTGGGTATACATATATACTAACCGGGGACCGAAATTCGAATTCTATAGGATTTAAGGCAGGATCATTAATGCCTGGGGCAACTTATTTGTTAACATACACTTTGTCATGCTCAACGGGGCTTTATGAGTATCCTTTATCATTTGCGACTGATAATCCACCCACAGGTGGATATGTATCAGTAAGCCCAAGCTATGGTACTGAGTTCAGCACTATTTTTTATTTATCAGCAGAAAATTGATATGCTCCTTACTCTTCCTCAATAACTTATCATTTTGGATATATTTTAAATGGGCAAGAAGTTTCATTGAATTTCAGAAATGAATCATCCTATTTATATATACCTTTGTAATTAAAATTATAATTTTTACATCTATTCCTTTTCCATATTTTATTATTAATTTTACCTATAAATTCAATTCAAAAGAATATACTTTTCTTCCAAGTGCAAAAAGCTTAGAAATTTTCGTAAAAGTCTATGATAGCTACGGTAGCTATGGAACTTCTAGTACATTTATAACCATTGACTCATACCCATCATTATATACAACTGATTTATTAAGCATTCTTCAATCCTCATACAATGAGTCGAATCCTAAACTATTTTCTAAGTTGAACTATGTGAATAATATAAATAACTATTTAATCCCCAATCCTAACAGAAATTCTACAACAGTTCAAGACGCAATTGGGACAAACCTAAAATTAATAAGCCAAATTATAGAAGTTTCTTATGTTTGGCGCTGTAAGGCCGATAAATTCTGATCGGAATTTATCGGTTGGTTGCACCAAATCAATGCCTTGGTCGGACCAAAAAGCGATTTGGTCCGACGAACTTGGAAAGCTCCTGGGAAAATGTCTGCGCTTTCAGCGCTATATAGAGGTTTCCTCTATATATCAGAAGTCCCTGAAATGGACAATCAAAATCTCGAAACTATAATCCAATCGCTAGAAGCCACCACAAGGCCAAATAGCACTCTAATAAACGATGAAAACCGAGATAACGTTTTTGCTTTGGCAACAAATATTTTAAACACCGCTAAAAGTAATAATATTTCTATTAGCAGTGGAAGTGCAGGATCTTTGATTAATGCAATCGGCCAAGCTTCACATATGGCAGAGACCACCGCATCAAGCAAACCTTCATTATTATCCCAAACAAATCAAGCAGTAATCGACATTATAACTTCATATAGTTCATCAATGGCAATTGGAGAAACTGCTACAAATGATGCTCAGTTTATTCATGCAACATCAAAATTGGTATCAGCAAGCTCTCTGTCTTCAGGCTATAAATCTCCTTCAAATTCCTCTTATATAGGAAATGTTTCTTTACCAGCGAATTCAAGTATTTCTCTTTCTAGCAACTCTGTCTCGATTTTGTATATTTTTATCATATATGACCATACCAAATCTGATGACTCTACTTATAACCGAGGTGTTGAATTTAAAATGATAGCACATTCTAATGCTGGAAATTTTACAATAAATGTGAATATTGCTCCTAATTATATTGATTTATATATCCCTTATTATATTAATACTCTGACCACAAAGCCTGTACAATGCGTTTTTTATGACAATACTTCATGGTCTGATAATGGCTGTGTTTTTGTTTCTTATGATAATTTTACCGTTCATTGCCAATGCACACATACTTCACTATTTTCTGCAGGTGTAGACTTACTCCCCCCCCCCCCCCCCCCGTGAGCGAACAAAAAAATTTTGTTCACTCACGGAGGGGGGTTTAATTTTTTTTTTTAAAAAAAATTTATATATAAATTTTATAAAAAATATTTTTTTTCGAAATTTAAAAAAATCCTAATTTGCAAAAATTGGGAAGCAAATATTAATTTAATTTGCAAAATTTATGTTTTAAAACGCAATTTGTTTAAAATTAAACAGAATTAGCTCTAGATTTCATTATACTAAATTATCACTTATATATCAAAATTTTTTTTCCATTAAAATTTTTTCTATTAAAAAAAAATTTTTGTTCACTCACGGAGGGTGGGTTTTTGGTCAAAAAAATGGCGATTTTTCTAATGGTTTTGTTCGCTCACGGAGGGGGGGGGGGGAGTTAGTTCCATATCATTCGTCTTCTTCACATGGCTCTACACAGAGTGCGAATATGAGAATGTATATTGTCTTTTATTATGTGTGTGGGTTGTTTATTTTATATATTACTCCCTTCTTGAAATTGGAATAATTATAGTTCAAATTTTTTTTAGTAAATAAACCCACCGTTTAAATTTTATTTATAGATAAAATTGAGATCCATTTTAATAATCCCAAAACTTAAAGGGAAGTGCAATAGAGTATTATTATAAACAAAGTTAGCAATTTAAATTGATATTTTTATAAATTAATTTTTTATTACTTTAAATTGGAACAGATTTTTTTGTTCTAATACATAGGGAGAGTTACTATTATCACTATATCAAGGATTATTGATAATAAAGAATGAAAAATCTTTACAAATATCGTGTCAAGCAAAGTCAAATTTATGAGTACCACATCCATTGCTCCAGAGAATATGGATTTTACATTTGTCAAGGTAAATTATGACGAGATTCCACCATCTATGCCTATTGTAGAAGAAAAAAATAATAATCAAGATAAACAAGAAGTATCTAAAGAGTCAGAAGCAAGTGTAAAAAGCCACAGACTATTTGTTACTAGAGAATCAGTTGACAAAGGCTTAGAGCATCCTATTCCACTGTATCCTCCACTTGACGAGCTGCTTGAAAATCGAGAAATAATTAATGATCTTGACACAGGAAATCTAAAAGAAGAAATTCCGCAAAAACATATAAATACAAGTATGAGCGAAACATGCATAAAATTAGTCACCCAAGAAACCGAAAGATATAGGAATACACAAGAAGACGCTGACATAGAAAACGGTGCTCTAAATCCATGGAAATATCACTTTTATATATCCCCATTTTTTATTTACCTTGTAAATCTTTCAAGATCTGCAAGATTTTCTGTTGTTTTTTTCAATATGATGCTGCAAGCTTTTATTTTGGGAATTTTTATAGATTTCTATGGGGATGGGGTGAGTTCAACTGGGAATTATGAATTTGCCAGTATTAAAGTGGGGGATACCCAAATAGTTTTTGCTTGTGCAGCACCTGTAGGATGCAATATTTTAGCTACTTGTATAGGATGAATTTTTCAAAGCGGAAGAATAAGGCCTGCTGCTGATTTAGTAAAAACGACTAGAAAAGAAGAATTGATGATTTTTATAGCATATACGATTTGTATTGCGGCAATTGCACTGAATGTTGTAGCTTGCTATTTAATTTCAGATGATATTGATGACAGTTCATCGATGGTATGGATGGCTATGGTGCTTATTTCATTGGGATTTGATATCATTATTATTCAAGGCTTAAAGGTACTAGTGGCTGTCATAATAAAAGTTATTAGCAAGACAATAATTTAATTTAACTTAAATCTTGGCGCGTATATAGAGCTACTATGTTTTTAAAGCATTCATGAGCGTCTTTGTTATCATATTCACTATATTGCAATGTTAATTCTCAATATTTATTGATATAATTAATTCCTTCACTTCATTTATCTGAATACCAGCATAGCATACAATTAACTAAATATTTAAGAGCTTTTAAGTTTCAATGCTCAGAAAATTTAGAATTGATAGTCTCTTCACAATAATGCAAAAGCATTTTGGCTCTATAAAAATTGTTATTTATCTTAGATTCAGATATTTTCCATAGATTAGCGTATGCATTCGCAATTCTTATAAGAATCAGAACATCAGCTATACATTGAGTGCTGTATTTCTTTGCTTTGATTGTAGAATCTCATCTATATTTATATATTGTTCTAATTCATATAAGCAGTTATCTGCTTTTTCTATTTCATCCTGAACAATATAAATATTCGCTAATTTGGTCATACTAGCAATCGATCTGCACGATAGGCAACCTTTGCATTTAGCAATTTCGATCTCTTTGAACAATATATCTTTGAATTTCTAAGCATTTAAATAGCATGTGACAAGCCCAGAGAAGGTGCCTTTTAACCTCTAAGCAATAGATCCAGCACTAAGGAGTCATCTCAGATACCTACCTTATTCTGTCATGCGGAGTCATCTCGAAGACGCTCTTTATGAAAAGCAATTGATTTCATAAAGCATTCTATTGATTTCCGTTTATTAGTGGCCTAATTCGAGAAGTATTTTTCCCTAATTTTTATCTATAGATATCAGAGAAAGTAGTTGATCCAAAATAAAATAAATAGCGTCTACACACTTATTGCATATCTTGGCAACGTCCTGCATTTAAATTATGCCAATTAATGCATGAACTCATGACAAAAAGAAGCAAATCTAAATTTTCAAACGAATTGCGCTTTTTAGAGTATAGCTCCGTAATTGGGATATTAAATTTTTGTAAATTATTAGCTAATTTTTGAATTTCATTAATGGCTAATTGTTTTCATTTCTTGTAAAGCCGAGAATAACTTTCTTTCTTTATAATTTTTTTAAGGATACTACTAAATAACTTTTGAGATTTCGATATAATTCATATACCATCTCATATTCAGATATTTTACTAAAATTCAAAAACAATATGCCACAGAAATCTGAGATACGGTCGTTCAGATTGTAATCGGACTTATAAGCCCAGCCGTGAATATATTTTTGATTCTCAAATCTAAAATAATTGAAATCAAGCACATGTGCTTTAACTGATCGATGAAATTCTAAAAGCTCCATCCGGTTTCAATTTTGCTCTGTATATTGCTGTGCTTTTTCCTTTGGTTGAGTTAAAAAATATTCAAAGGGACTTAAAATAAGTTTCATATAAACAAAATTCTTTTTTTCTAAAAATATCACCATATAGCTGCAGTAATTAAAAACTTCATTTAGGCAGTCTAATTTCTCCAGATATTCTTCCTCATTCACGGAGTATTCTTTATTTAAATCATCGATTCGGGCTTTAAACTTGTTCTTTAACGTGACAATAAAACCGAGCAAGATCTCTCAGGATTCAATGTTGATTGAGACCTTTATTCGTGTTAGCTTGTAACCTTGAGCTTTATAAGAAAAATAATGCTTTGGGCATGCTTTAAACTTGCCAAACTGGATGTAAATATTGCGTCTAGAGAGCAGCAAGAACAGCTTTCTTTTTTCATGCTCTATATTTTATTTTTATATATTATGGGTGAACTTAGTTTCTAGAAGTGCCGAGTATAGAGTAGCCGATTAAAGCCACTCAAAAAATAGCGAAAAAAGTTAAACCTGTAATAGAAATTTTGGCAACCTCTATATGGTTATTCATACAATATAATTTTTAATTTTTGAATTTTCGAAAATAATAAAATTTTATTTATATTCAATATTTTTCAGATTCACTCAAATATTTTTCTGCTTCTTCCATTTCATTCAGAGCAATATATACAGCTCTGCTCATTGAATAAAATATTAAGTCACTTTACGCTTTAGATAGTCCTTATTTTCTGATATTTCTTTAATATCAATAAAATGATTTTATGTTTTTCACGTCAGAATTCATGAAAATTGCTGATCAAAAACCTTGGGATTTTAAAGAAGTTTTTTTTTCTTCAAGAAATCATAGTGGTCTATAAGTTCGCAATGCTTTAGAAAAATTATTCAAACAAATCCATCTCTCAAACGATAATTAAGTTTAAATAATTATAGAATTTAGTCTCTGAAATTAGCGTTTACTAAAATAATTATGAATTTTTAGGCTCCAAATTGCAAGCTACTGATTGCTATCTATAACGCCAAAATATTAAATAGCTAATATTATGTTAATTATTTGAAATTTTATTTAAGCAATTAAAACTAATACTTATTTTCTGTCCATATCCAAGCTATCAATAGAAGACAAATATATATTCCATTAACAAAAATGAATTTTCTAATTGCTTTCCTTTTCTTATGATTTGTCAAAGGTTTAGATCTTACCTGCAGCTCGCACATTTGCCCAGATATCATAGTAATTTTTACATAGAAAGGCAATCGCCAGTGCAATCCTGAATGTATGACGTCCTTTTGCAATTATGACACCAGTTTTCAATTTAATAGCTCACTGCATAAAAAAAACTCAGACTGCTATGAAAACTGCATTTTCGATGGCTGCGATCCTCAAAATCTAGGAAATGGCATATGCGATACTTCTTGTAACACTACAAGCTGTGGATTTGACTGAGGCGATTGCACTTGCTCCCCAGGATGCTTTAATTCTATGCTCGGTGATGGAAATTGTGATGAAGAATGTGATAACTGAAATTGCGACCTTGATAATCATGACTGTGGACAGTGCGCAGATGGATGTTTTCCAACTATGCTAGGGAATGGAATATGTGACTCTGCATGCAATAATGAAGATTGTTTATTCGATTATAAAGATTGTCAATGTGCCGAAAATTGCAAATGGACAGATTATGGATTATGTCTACCAGAATGCATGATAGCGAACTGCAATTATGACAAAATAGATCAATATCCTAATAATTGATGTCAAAATAAGTCATTAGCTATTTTTTCATCTTATCAGCAAATTATCCGTAATGATTTTTCATATGTTGTGAATCTTGAAAACTGTTATAAGGCTTCTAATTATACATGCTCAAAAGAAAAAGCATTAAATTTTGTAAACTGTTATCAAGAATGCAATATTTTAGAATGCAACTATGCCAATGGCAACTGCGAACATTATTCTGATGCCTATTGCCGGCGCTCTTATAAGAATTTTAGTGGCTGCCTCACATGCATAAATAATAAATATACAATTGAGCTTAGCTGAAAAACAGTGCTTTGGATGCCTTGGCTAGCCAAGCCCTTTTCCATTTTTTGAAGCATAATCTGTCTCCTCATTAAAAATTCTTTCTACTAATTAGTCTGCATGATGCGATATTTTTGAATTCTTTCAAAATTAAAAAAAATCCAAAAATAATGACAAAGGCTTATTTTATGCTAATTTTATATTCTTTCTTTAGAATGAGCAAAAGCATTCCTACCGATTTACAAATTATAACTTCTCTATGTTAATAGAATAATGGTAAATCGTGGCATTCCTTATGCTTACTATAATTTAATATAGTAAATAATAAAGTAAGATATTAATATTGTGTTTTACTGGTTTTATTTAACTTGCTTGCTCATTTGAGCTTTAAATAAGTAGTGTGTGCAGCTTTTTTCGCACGATAATTAATGAAATTACTATATCTGGAAATAATCTCTTTTCATAGCTGGCATAGGATCTAATTTCCTTTCACTTAAAATATAATTATCTGACAAAAGTCACTATCCAGCATATTATTTAATATAAGAGCATTAGATATTATTTTACACATTGTCTTCCCTTTACATCATAAAGAACAGTAGAGGAATAAATTTCGTGTTAGTTTAGTTAGCCAAGATATCTAAAGCACTGTTTTTGGACTAAGTTCAATTTTATATCAAATTATTGCTTATAATTTTAATCGAACTTGCACTATCTTTAGCCATTGAGAGTTATATACAGGATTATTTCCTGATGGATCATTGACAAAAATAATTCCAATTGATACTTCATCAGCAAAAAATCCTCATATTTATTTTGTGAAGCCAAGCACAAATTCTGGCTGATTAAGTGGTAATGGCACTTATTTTTCTCAATTTTCATCTCTAAGTTATGCACTTGCAAACATTTTTTACAATTATTCAATAATTTATTTATCTCAAAGCAATTACTACACTGAACAACGGACTATAGAATTAAAAAATGGGCTAATGAACAGTAGATATTATGACCCAAACTATATTTTTAGAAATTTAACTTCAAGAAATATAAAAATTAAAACTTTGGAAAATTCCCCAATTACTATAAAAAGAGGAAAAGATGATATTTCTTCGTCAGTATTTTGATTTCAATTGGGAAATATTTCAAATTTAGAAATAAATAATGTCATTTTTGATTGGAAAAATACAATTTCCTCTTGTAAAAATGATGATTACTGCGATTATTGCCCTGTTGTTACATCAAGCTCAGATTTAAGTCTTTATTATAACGATAGAGGTGAAAAAATTAATGATTTTTTATCTGGCACTTGATGTTCAATAAATAACGGTAAATTTTTTTTCAATATTACATCAAGCAATTTGGTGCTAAACAACGTGGGTTTTATTAATTTTCGAACAGATTTTAATTCGATTTTTTGGGTCGCAAAAAACAGCAATATGACTCTCAATAATGTCACGTTTGATAATGTTAAGGTTTATAATAGCGATAATTCTGCAATTATTGTATGAAACAGCACAGGAACTCTACAATTTAATAAAGGCACTGTTAGTAGGGTCAATAATGGATATGAAATAAAAGACTCAATTCGTATGAAAGGATTTTTAAATGTTATTTTAGCGAAATCAATTGTTTTGAGAGACGTTAATTTTATGTATAATGTTGTGGAAGAACCGTTATCAATTGCAGCGAACCGAGGCGCATTAGTATTTCTTAATTTATTTCAGATGCTAGTCATTGATTCTTGCACTTTCATATATAACTATTGCGATTTTGGAATAATAAATATACAACAGCAATACAATGATTTTAGCAATCAAACAAATGACTATGGAGAAATTATTTACTCAACTCTGAATCATATTTTTATTGTGAGTTCAAATTTTACATCAAACTATGGGAAAATCTCAGGGGTATTATATTCATATCATAAATATGAATCTCAAAATTTGCTTATTGAAAATTCATCATTTACGCATAATGGAATTGAAACTGGACCTTTAATATATATTGAAAGCAATTATATTAACCAAAAATATTTATCAGATATTATTTTAAATACATCTTCTGCAAATAACAATAATCTTGTTGGAGGAAAATACTTACTCCCACTACCTGAGTGAATAAAAAAAATTTTTTCACTCACGGAGGGGGCTAATTTTTTTTTTAAAAAAGTTTATATATAAATTTTATAGAAAAAAGTTTTTTCGAAATTTTAAAAAATCCTAATTTGTAAAAAATTGGGAAGCAAATATTAATTTAATTTATAAAATTTATGTCTTAAAACGCAATTTGTTTAAAATTAAACAGAATAGCTCGAGATTTCATTATACTAATTATCACTTATATATCAATTTTTTTTCATAATAAAAACAATTTTCTATTAAAAAAAATTTTTGTTCACTCATAGAGGGTGGGTTTTGGGCAAAAAATAGGGATTTTTTAAAGGTTTTGTTCACTCACGGAGGGGGGGAGTTAGCAAAATGAGTAAAAATTCATAACTCGAGCTTTGTTGAAAATTATTCTGGTAGTAGTGGAATCCTTGAAGTTACAAAAATGATTAATATAGATTTAAAGGGTGTTTTTATGGTTTCAAATGGCTTAGCATCATCTGGGTCTATGAATGCTAACTCAATAATATCAAAATATTATATTGAAAACCCAGATATGTATATAAAACTCAATATTACTGATCCTCCAGATTTAAATTGCGAGTCTTTATCATCAATATCAGATTCCATAAACTTAAATCTAGACAAAGTGAGCATTCTAAAAAATTATTGTAAAAATTCTTTACCAAGAATTATTATATCAAATACAACAAATTCAACAATAAGCATATCAAATTTTGAAAATAATAGCGGATCAGGATTCAATGGGATTTGTTTAACGAGTGATAAAAGTTCTTCTATGACTATCAAAGATTCGTTTTTTATCTCAAATCAGAATAATCAGCCCAGAAACCCAGGTGCGATATATAGTCTTTCTGATTTATTGTTACAAAATTGTACATTTTTAAATAATATTGCAGATTGAGGTGGAGCTTTGTATTTTGTAGGCCAGAATCTTACCTCTTTCTGTTAGCGAGCAAAAAACTTGTTTAAAAAATTTTTCATCGATTTTAAGAATATCTTATATGAAAATTTTTTCAAGAAAAAAATCTATAGGGAAAACATTGCTACTGATTTTCCTATTTCTTGGAAAAATAAGTTATTTTAAATATTAAGAATTGAAAGTTTGGATTCAGAATAATTTAATCGATGAAATTTAAATTTAAGAATAAAAAAACCTAGATATAGTAGAATTATTAAGAGCCTTAATTATAATAATAATTAACTATAACCAAAGCCAAGATCTAAACCGAAAGTATAGGAATAAAGAGAAGTCTAATTTTCCTAAAAATGAGGATATAATAAGTTTGCTTCCTCATGAAAAGGTGATTTAGAATTATTTCTTCATATTTTGACTCAAACAGATCACCTAATTTGAATGGAGCAGCTATTTATTATTTTTTGTCTCTTTATGATATCAAAAATTCATTATTTTCTATCACGAATACAACTTTCACAAACAATTCCTGCAATCTCAATGGAGGAGGGATTTTTATATCCAAAAGTTCTTTATCAGAACTGACATTAGAGCTAGAAATTGATGGCTCTCATTTTTATAACAACAAAGCATATGCTGGCTCTTCACTTTTTATAGACGGAAATGTTCAGCTTTCTCCTAATTCTTCAATTAGCAACTGCGAATTTAAAGAAAATAAAGCAAGTTTCTCAGGCACTATTTGAATTTATTATACTTATGGGATATTGGAAATTAATTCTTGCAGTTTTTTTGAAAACAATGGGCTATATAGTTCAGGGTTAAATATAGCAATAGGTGAAAACAGCTCTGAAAACAATTCTAAATTAACTTTAAATTATTGCGATTTTCAATTCAATACGGGGAATGTGACGATATCTCTGGATGATCAAAATACAAACTCGACATTAGAGATAAATTATTGCCAATTCGAATATAATTATGGATCTGTATTTTCACTTGATAATGGTTATGCAACTGATAAAAATTCAAGGATTCAACATAATTATTCACCAAATTCTGGAGGAGTTTTGAATTTAAAAAATTCTGCAATTTTTGTAGCAGAAAATGCAATTTATATAAACTGCAGTAGCAGTCTTAACGGTGGAGTTGCTTCACTTACCTTGAAGTCTCAATACTTTTGCTTTTCGTGCAAATTTACAGAGAATTCTGCAGAATCTTCAGGAGGTGTTATATATGCTGACTCAAATGCTGAATTTCATATATACAGCTCAATAATAAATAAAAACTCGTGCAAAAATAGAGGGTCTGCTATATTTATGGCAAGCGTATTTGTTAATTCAACTATAGATAATTCTAACTCTCTGATGCTCAAACAGTACTAATGAGCAAAAATATTTTTTTAAAAATATTTTGTTTGCTTGATTGTTTTTAGTTAATTAAAGACAATTGGTATTTATAGTTACAACTGTGGTTCCTTTAATTATTTTTCATTTATTAGCAATAAACTTGCTCGTCCTTTAAGAGAGAGGGTAAGATATTTGAAAACTATGCATACGGTGAAGGGACTATAGCTCTTTTAGGATCAGCAATTTTTATCAATTCCTCAGAAATCTCTAATAACTCAGTTAGCCAAAAAAATCCAGGAATTCATCTAGAAAACTCAATAGCTTTAATTACGAATACTTCCTTTTTTAATCAAAATGGAAATGAAGGATGCTCTATTTTACTAATTCCCTTATTCTAAGCATCTGAATTAATCTTAATTTTTGCGAAAATATGAGATATTTTATTTATTTTTAAAATTATATTTTGAAATAAATTAGAAAATAGAGTAATTTTCCTATGGCGTACAAAAAAAGCAAATCTGTTTAAAATTTGACAAAAAACAGCCAAGGTTTTAAAAAAAAGCAAAACAATAGCAAAGTAAATTCAACTTTAACAAAAATTTGATAAAAAAAGCAAAATAGCAAAATTATAACCACATATTAATGAGAAGAAAGATGTTTAGATCTTAGTTTAAATATTTAAACAGAGCCAATTATCTTTTATTAGAAAGCAGGTCACTTAAAATTAGAAAAAAAATTTCGAATTTAAATTTGGCAAAATCAATCTAAATCTAACGCAAGAATTTTGCTAAAAATCCGAAATTTGTCTATTTTTTTACTAATTATGGTTTTTTATAAAAGATAATTTTCTCCAATAGGGGAGGATAAGCTCCAGCTTTGCAAAGATCATAAATTCAAGCTTTCATGATGGATTTTCTAGCAGCTCTGGAACTGCTTTGCACGCAACCTCTAGCGTTCTCAAAATTTTTTCATCAACATTTTTAAATCTTTTTTCAAATAGCTCAGGAGGCTCAATTTATTTGTATGAAAGTAGCAATCTTACTCTAAAAGATTCAATATTTATAAATACAAGTTCATCAATCGACTCATATTCAAGCTTCGTCAACATAACAAATACATCTTTTACAAATTATTCAAGTTCTTGTATTTATGGCTCTCGAATAAATTTATCATCTGAGTCATCTTATTTTTTAAACGGTTATAGTGCTGTTGGAGCAGCATTATATTGTTCGGAATGCAATAATATTTCTATTATTTCATCTGAGTTTTCTAATAATGTCGCTCAAAAAGGTGGAGCAATTTATCTAGAAAATCAAGCTGATCATCTTAATTCTTCTCAATGCAATATAAATTCCTCTTCATTTATTTCAAATATGGCTGGGAATGGAGGGGCTATTTGGACAAATAATATAAATTTGAATATTTTTTCATCAAGATTTGATAAAAATTATGCTGAAGATTGGGAGACAAAAACGATTCAAGAAATAACTGATGGTATTGGAGGAGCTATAAAAGTTAGTTGTGTGGATTCAGAAATTCCTTGCTACTTTGATATTTCCTGAAACAACTTTAGTAATAATTTGGCTGTTTATAAAGGAGGAGCTATTAGCTGGGATAACTCAAAACCAATATTGGAAAATAATAATTTTTGAAATAATTCAGCTCTATATGGAAATGATATAGCCTCATTTCCAGCTATGATGGTGTTCCTAAATGGCACAAACCAAAGAGTTCTTCAATATCGGAGAAATTTAGATTTAATTCTTAATGATATTGCATCTGGACAAATATAATAATAAAATGGTTACAGTTAGAGTGCGCTTCTGAGAACTCCTCCTACTCATAATTTTTTATTGTAGATCTCAGTTTTGCTGATGTGCCTTTACTATAATTCTAAACATAACTTATCACATATGATAAGACATCTGCCTTAGAGTTTTTACCGCTTGACGCTCAAGAGAAGATGACCCTTATATATAAGACATACTGGAGCCCAGTTTAGAGCTAATCAATGATACCATGAAATATTCTGCTCTTCTTTTGACTGTATGCTTAGAATTGTCTTAACCTATATAAAAATGTTGGAGAGATGTCCGTGACGCCACTAGCTGAAGTTAAAGGGAGGGCTCAGCCTTTATCCACGTTAAAAACGAATTAAGTAAGCAAAAAAGTGAGAATCTGGACAAAATAAAAATCCGCCATTAACTTTTGCTTTGATTGATGATATTTCGCAAATAATTATGGGTATATCCTGCAAATAGCCCAATATGGGCTAGGGATAGAGGCCAAAACTTCCCCAAAAATGGATTGGTCGAATCAAGTGGAAGGAGGCTTATTTGCCACTTTCTACTTGACTCGACTACCCCATTTTGGCCGAACCAATCTAGAAGTTTTCGTCTCTATCCCTAGCCCTTATCGGGCTATTTGCAGGACATGCCTATACAACAGATTGCTCGAGTCAGGCCCAGCTTCTATCTTCAAGTGATGATTTAATTATTTCTGGGACATCAATTGCAAATGCAGTTAACGGAATATTTCATTTTAATGAGTATATTATTACAGCAAAACCAGGATCTTCTCTTGAAATGTCTGTTATTTCTTCAGCGATAGACGATTCAAAAATGAGTAAATCTTCTTATCCGATACAAATGTCATCAAGATTGCCTATATATGTCAACTTGAGGCTGTGTGAGATTGGTGAGGCTACTGTCGGTCTTGAGTGTGAAAGCTGCCTTGAAAATTACTATAATATTGATATTAAAAATTCTAACACCTTTAGTATCTCAAGCTAATCGATTAAATTTAAGCTTCATTCTAAATAATAAAATTTATTTTTTTTATATAGTTTTTGATATCAGATATTTATAAATCCTAATCTTGGTGGATAAGAAAAAAAATTGGTTATTTACAAAGGGAATTGAGTAAGTGCTTAAGTTGCCCATCTTCTGCAAATTGCTATGGAAACTATACAATAGCCCCGAAGCATGGGTATTGGAGGGACAATAAATTTACAGATCATTTTTGGAAATGCCCATACCCACCAGCTTGCTTAGGGTCTCCAGATATTTTAAACTTATCCTTTACCGGAAAATGTGCAAAAGGATATGAAAATAACATGTGCCACTCATGTCAGGAAGGATATTCAAGATTATATAAAAATGAATGCCAAGAATGTCCTAGCATTGTCAGTAATGTTTTTAGGCTTTCCGGAATTTTTAGTTTGCTTGTTTTTATGGTGATAGTTATAATAAAAACTTCAAGGAAATCTGCTTTCGAGCAAGCATCTTTGTCATCTATTTATATAAAAATTTTTTGGAATTATTTGCAGATCATGATCATTATAGCTACTTTTAGCTTAAATTGGCCTTATGAAGCAGTTCAATTATTTTATATTCAGACTTGCATGGACTATATAGGAGCACAATTATTTTTTGTTGATTGTTTTTTACAAAAATTATATTCAAAAAGTGATATTTATTATTACAAAATATTGATTACCAGCTTAACTCCATTTTCTCTTGCGTTCATTTGCCTGCTTTTATGATTAATAATTTATGCAATAAAAAGGAAGAATCTAAGAGAGCTTAAAGACGATTACCTTTCGACATTTGCAGTAATCTTATTTTTAATTCACCCAAGTATTACTAATACAATGTTCAGTATTTTTAGTTGCAAAGAAATAAATAGTGGAGAATATTGATTATATGCAGACCTTGGAATTAGATGTTGGGACTATAATCATTTGTTTTATGTGCTTTTATTCGCATTGCCTACAATAAATATTTGGGTAATTGCAGTTCCTGCACTCTGTCTTATAAAATTAGTAAAAAATAGAAACAAGTTAGAAGATATATCAGTAAAATTGAGATTTGGATTTTTATTTAATGGGTATAACTCAAAGTATTATTATTGGGAGTTCTTAATCTTATATTGAAAAGTTATTTTGATTATACTTTCAGTGTTTTTCTCAAATCTTTCAACAAATATTCAAGCACTTACAGTAGCTCTAATGCTTGCTATATTTCTCCACACTCAAGCTAAAAATCACCCTTATTGTGAAACTCAAATCAATAAAGTAGAAATATTTTCTATAGCCTCTGCTCTTATAACAATTATAGCTGGTCTCTTCTTTATAACTGATGATTTAGATTGTTTTGGGAATATTATTTTACTTATTCTTTTATTGCTTTTTAACTTCCTATTTATCATATATATATCAGGACTGCTTTTAATGCAAATTTCTATATTTAAAAAGTGCATCATGATTTTAGCAAAAGTTTTGCACATTGATAAAGATAAAAAATATCAGGTCAGAGAAGACTTAGATTATAGAAGTGTAATTGATCAAGATCACAAGCTCATGACATCTATGAACATTTCAAGTGTTGGATATTTATCTGAGTTAAGGGATGGTGCAATGGTTTCCATGGAATTAGATCCTTTTGCTTCAGAGAACGAATCAGTTCATGGTTAAAAAAGTATAGTAATAATTTTATTTTTATATAAAAAATGCTATATTCATCACTAAAGTACTTTAGGTAATTTTATCGTCAATAGTTAATGATTTATTATTATTTAAATATCTAAATTAATTGAAAATAAAAAGTTTGAAAAATAAATATGAGTATATGATGCTTTAATTATTATTGATTTTAATATTATTTATGAAAATTCAAAAATATTGCATTCAAATTATATTTTTAATTTTAAAAGACAAATTAAATCCATTTAAAATGGAATAAGATTTATATTCTAATTTAAAGAAGAGCATAAAAATAATTAGAATATGAGCTCATTTAAAGTTTAGAATGCCTTTATATTTTATTCAATTAGTAGAGCTGCATATAACTTACAGTTAAACAAAGAAACAGAAAATATTTGGCGAAGCTGAAAAGTTATTGAAATGCAGACTAAATTTTATTTTATCTCAAAAAGGGAATTATTAAATCGTGAGTGGATATAAGTTTTGGTGCCTTAGAGTTAATCAGGGCCAGTGTAAAATGACCAAATAGCGATGGTTTAATTAATCAATTATACACTTTTCTTGGCCCACAGATAAAAGATTGAAGGCGAAAAGCTCTCATACTTCTGAAGCTTTATTTAGCCTGAGAATGATTAAGTCAGATCATGAAGGAAATAAAGCTAGTTCCTTCATGCATCAAATCCTGCTTGGGTAAAAAACATTTTCGCGTCAAACTAATGGGTGAGTCTCCATCAGTCACCACGCATAACTTCATCTTAATTAATCTCAAAAACTATAAAACTCAATGAGCTAGATTGCATTAGTAATTATAATGAAAATTTATATTAGTTTATTCAATACTTTTGATGGGAAATGTCCGAAAAAAATTTAAAATACTCTGAAAAGGTTGTTAATATCAAGGGACTCAATGATATCCTTAGCCTTAATCAAATAATAGAAGCTGTCTTGTTTGAGTAATCACCACGGATCACAGCAGGGGATTTTAGTGCTTTGTGACGTCACCATTGAACTCGGTTGAGATGACTGCGCCTGCAACTTAGCTCAGATACCACCTTGCCCCTCATTCGGACCCTGATGTCAGCTCTTCCTCCTATACCTCCTCTTTATCTTCTAGGATCAAGTTTTGAGTGGCAGACTATCTTATGCGACCTTGCTTGATACTGTTTATTGAACAAATACTCTCTATAAAAACATAAAAAATGAAATTCTTACTCCCCCCCCCCCCCCTCCGTGAGCGAACAAAAAAATTTTGTTCGCTCACGGAGGGGGGTTAATTTTTTTTTTTTTAAAAAAAATTTATATATAAATTTTATAAAAAATATTTTTTTTCGAAATTTAAAAAAATCCTAATTTGCAAAAATTGGGAAGCAAATATTAATTTAATTTGCAAAATTTATGTTTTAAAACGCAATTTGTTTAAAATTAAACAGAATTAGCTCTAGATTTCATTATACTAATTATCACTTATATATCAAAATATTTTTTTCCATTAAAATTTTTCTATTAAAAAAATTTTTGTTCACTCACGGAGGGTGGGTTTTTGGTCAAAAAATGGCGATTTTTCTAATGGTTTTGTTCGCTCACGGAGGGGGGGGGGGGGGAGTTAGCGAAAAAGAAACCTTAAGTTAGAAGCCGATTTTTCTAGGCATCGCTAAGGCTTACCCCTTGATAACTCCCTGGTTCCCTTTTCCCTCGGGTAAAATCCAACTCTGGAGTGGCTCTTTACATACCAGAATTACTACCTAGAATGACTGTGAATTTTTGGGTTAGACAAACCTTAAAACCTTGCCGATATTATTAGATATGCGCTAGAGGGTGATGACCGGAACAATATACGCCATATTTAATTATGATAAATTTTCGAAGCTCTCTATATGCTATTGTCTTGGAGCTCTATATTTTAAAGACCAAAATGGGAAGCGTTAAAACTCTACAGTCAGCTATCATTAGATTTGCAATAAAAATTTAATCATAAATCAAATGCAGTAAAAGATCTTAATTAAAGATTATTTGATATTGATGGAGTATTGGAACTTTATGACTAGAAATTCAATAAATCCAAAACGAATTAATAATAAAATTAATTTTATTAACTTCCCTCAATGAGTGAACAAAACCATTGGAAGAGCTCATATTTAATTTAATTAATGGGAAAAGGTTTAATTCTCTCATCAGAATTCTGAAAAATTATATGAGATAATTTATTATTTTCTTTATTTTCGTGAAAATCTATTATAATTCCCACTATATAATAATTTAAACTTTAAAATAATCGCTGATAAAAAACAGATCTTCTGTAAGGTTCAATATATAAATAAAAATATAAATAATTATGAATAAAGTTAGCTGCTCTCTGGATTCTTTTGATGCAATCTTCATATCAAGCTGCGGCCACTTTGCTTGCCCAAAGCATTATTTTTATTACAAAAGTCAAGGTTTCGAACTCGAGCGTATAAAGATTTCAGTCAACAATAAATCAAAAGAAATTTTGATCAATTTTATACTCGCTGTAAGGGAGAAATTTACCTTTTATTCTAATGATTTAATTAATCCAAAAAATCAAAGCGATTCAGAAGAATACATTTCTAGATTAAAAACAATAACTGAAGCCTATAATTACTGTAATAGAATCTTATTGCTCTTACTCCCCCCCTCCGTGAGTGAACAAAACCATTAGAAAAATCCCTATTTTTTGCCCAAACATGAGTGAACAAAAATTTTTTTTAATAGAAAAATTTTTTATGGAAAATAATTTTGATATATAAATAATAATTAGTATAATGAAATCTAGAGCTAATTCTGCTTAATTTTAAACGAATTGCTTTTTAAAACATAAACTTTATAAATTAAATTAATATTTGCTTTCCAATTTTTGCGAATTAGGATTTTTTAAATTTCGAAAAAAAAATGTTTTATAAAATTAATATATAAATTTTTAAAAAAAAAAATTAGCCCCCCTCGTGAGTGAACAAAATTTTTTTGTTCACTCACGGAGGGGGGGGAGTTAGCAAGAAAGCAATTCGTTTCTACAAAATTAATTTTGAGTCCTTTTGAGTATTTTTTAATCGAGCCACCTTGCAAAGCAAAGAAATACGTAAATAATTTTAGATATTCAGAAGATTTGATACATTTTTATAAATCATTTAAAACCTATGTATTTGATTTCAATTATTTTAAATTTGAGGATCAAAGATACATTCATGGATTTGAACACAAGACAAGCTATTATAAGTCTCATATATCAAGTTTTTGCTATATTTTATTTTCCAATTTTATTCAAATTTCTGAATATGAGATGGCTTATGAATTAATTCAAAGTTTGCTAAGTCACCCCAGTTATTTGAAAAATTCCTATTTTTTTAGGTAAACCCAACGTTTGTGAAAGAAAAACACATTTATTATGTATATATAAAGTGATAATTTGTATCTCTAGAGCTCTTTCTGTGGAATTTTAAACAACTTCCAACATATTACAAATTAATTAATTGGATTTTTTAATTTCGAAAAATAAAGTTATATATAAATTTTAAAAAAAATTAAATCTTTGAACAAACAGAATGTTTTTGTTCCCTTATGGAGTGGGAAGTAAGCTATAAAGAATTGTATTATCATCCTTTAATTGAAAAAACTTTATAGCCTTTTTCCTTAAAAAGACCAATAGGAAATGAATTGGTCGCTAAATCGCCTCTTTGGTTTGACCAACTTTACTTGGTCAGGACGAAATAAATAATTTTCGGACCAAGTACAAAGGTGAACCAAAAAGTCTACCCAAAGGCAATTCTTTGCCTTATGGGCTATTATAGGAATTAGATTTAGATTATATTAGATTAAATTGTGCTGTGTCTTTAAAGTCCCCGCTTAGTCGTCGTAACGTTCTATGGGTTTACCTTGAGGGATGACAGAGGTGCAACCGCTTCAAGCCTGGGCTGAAACCCCGGTTTGTCAGTAGAGGTGATGATCAAAGGGACAGTTCATAATATCATCGCTGACCACCTCCAGTTCCAACTTGTCACGTCGCCCTATTTTACGCCAACTCTGTCCGTGCCAACGCCAGATCCGCCGCTGAGAGCGCCTTAACTGGAAAAACCTCATTTGGGTTGTCTAGCTTGCCTTCCACTCTTTTTCGCTCAGCCAGAGAAAGAACTCAACAAGCTTTCTCTATTTGGGGCAAACCACAAAAGCAGCCTAGCAGGTAAGTCGCCCTGCCTTATTTCGGGCACCCACTGGGTGGGCGCTGCTGGAAAAAAGAATTCACGAGTAACTGCCCAAGGGTTTCCACCATTTTATGTATATTACTATTGGAATTAGCTATATCTATTTGTGAGGAATTTTGTAATATTCTTAAAAAATTTATAAAGAAAGAGGATTATAATAAACTCTTGGAGCAATGAGAAGCATTAGATATTAGTTCATATCAAACAAGTGAGTCAACCTTAAAGAATTCTTTGATCCGAATACTTTCAGCAATATTTAGAAATGAAAGTAAAAATAGTTGCCTCTTTAATTTTCTTCTCACTCCCCCCGTCCGTGAGCGAGCAAAATCATTAGAAAATTCCCTATTTTTTTGCCCAAAACCCCACCCTCAGTGAGTGAACAAAAATTTTTTTTAATAAAAAAATTTTTATATATAAGTGATAAAATATTTGCTTTCCAATTTTTACTAATTAGGATTTTTTAAATTTCGAAAAAAAATTTCTATGTATAAATAAAATTAAAAAAAAATTAACCCCCCCCCTCCGTTAGAGAACCAAAAAATCTTGTTCGCTCATGGAGCGGAGTGGAGTTAGAGTAAAAAACTTTTGCTGAAACTTTGGCTATAAATATGATGCAATAATCCTCAATCAAGAACTAGGCTGATTGCATTATAATAATAAAAACTACAATAAAGCAAAAATATATTTCATGAAATCTATCAATTATCATAAAGAACTGAAGAAAAGTGAATTTTCAAAACTTTTATTTGATCCTTATCGTGGTTTGGCAATGACATATAAGTCCCTAAATAAAACAAAAAAAGTGAAAAAAATTCTTGAAATCATAGAAAAAGAAGAAGTAAATTTCTTGAATAACTCCCCTCTTTAAATTGAACAAAAATACTGTTACAATTTAAAGGTAGGCTAAAAAGAATTTATAATAAATTATTTTTATCAAAAATATTAATTAAAAAAATTTATTCAATTTAAAGAGGGAAGTAAGAATAAATTTAAATTTTACGCAACTATTGCAGAGATTGATTATCTTTTAAATAGTTATGAGAAAGCTATTAAAAAGATATGAATGTGCATAAAATTATCCAAGCAAAATGAATTTAACAGCTCTGATGAACTATCAGGTTTGTACTTATATTTAGGAAAAATTTATACATTAAAAGGGGATTTTAAAAGAGCTCACATATATTTTCATAATGCTAATTCCTTGATTGGTATTTTGTCTTCCGGCGATCCCAAAGTAAAAGAAATATATAAAGCCATGGGAGTATTTTATTTAAATAGTCAATGATATAAGGATGCTTTGATGTGCTTTGAATACGCAGCAAATAATTCATTAGGACATGAGCTATTATTCCTTAAATTTTCTATAGGGATCGCTTATTTTTGAATGTTTAATTATGAGAGAGCAATTGAGTGCCTAATCTGAGTACAAGAGCAAATGCTTTATTTCGAAGAAATTTATAAAAGTGAATTATTTATAGCCCAGAAGGCTTTTTGCTGGGCTATCGGGTTTCTATCCAACCCGTGAAGTTGTTTGAAACCAAAGTCACCAAACCAACTCCACGAGCTGACATTGATAATATTTTTTATTGCCAACTCTTGGATATGATTTGGCAGCTTTTGGTTCGAAACAACTCTACGAGCTGGAGATAAAGCTGCTAACCAAAATGAGCTAAAAAGCCATCCTAGGCTATATTGTCAATGCATATATTGGAGAATTGTGCTATTTAATTGGCTGAGATAAATACGCTATATATTTTGCTGAAGCGATTAAATTTATTGATTACTATGATGCAAATCAAATTGATATATTTTTTAAGTCTTCGAATTTTGTTTTTGATTATTTTTATTGAATTTTTCAATATGAAAAATGTGAAATTATATTGTCGAAGATAAACGAAATATTAATAAATTGTGAATATTTAAAATTTAGAAGACCTTATTACTTAATTAAACTGGCAGAGCTGTATATAGCTTATAATAAAATTGAGCAAGCAGAAAAATATCTGGGTGAAGCGGAAATATTATTGATCATAGACAAAATTTTATTATGTCCTCAAAAAAATATAAAAATCAATGACCTAGATTGCATCAGTGACTATATTGAGCTTGCCAAAATTTATATTAATTTATTCAATACTTTTCCAAAGGCAGAAAAAATTTTAAAATACGCTGAAGAGGTTGTTAGCACCAAGAGATGCAATGATCGATTTTCAAAACTAGCTATATATAACTTGCTTGGAGCTCTATATTTTAAAGAGCAAAGATGGGAAGAGTCAAGACATTATATACAGTTATCATTAGATTTGCATAAAGAATTCAACCATAACTCAGACATTTATGGCTCTAAGTTCCAATAAATATTCAAATAGGATGAGAGGTAAAAATAATTCTAATTAAAAATAATACAATGTGCCTCAGATAAGAATATCAATTAATTCTTTCCTGATTTTTCTTTTAATTTGTAATAAAATTATTCACAGCGTAGATAGAGAAAACAATTGTGAATTTATTCAAATTATTTCAAAAATATAAATAGAACTTTTGATTAAATCTTTTTAGGTTAATTGTAATCTCTTGATTGCTATTATTTTTAAGAAAATTATGCACTGGGTTTCTCTAATCTTTTGAACAACTGTTTCTAGCATAGATATGCTTTGCAATCCCAACAAATGCCCTCCATCAGTCGTAATTCCTAATCAGAGAGGTGATGGCATATGCAATCCTGACTGCATGAATCCTTTTTGCAATTATGATACTGGAGGCCTTTATAATATCTCAACTACAGCTGAAAACTCAGACTGTCTTTCACAATGCTACTTCCTAAATTCTTATTGTAAACTGAGCAATCTTGGGAATGGTGTCTGCGATGGTTTATGCAATAAACCAATTTGCGGGCTTGAGTTCTCAGATTGTGGGTACTGCGCTCAATCATGTAATTTATATATAGGCCAAAAATCTCAATTAGGAAATGAGTGTGACCCTAAATGTAATACAACTTCTTGCTATTATGATATGGGAGCTTGCTTAGAATGCGCTGTAGGCTGTAATTTGACTATTTGAGGAGATGGGACTTGCAATGACGAATGTAATAACTCAGAATGTAATTATGATAATGGAGACTGCTTCAATGTCACTTGTGCACCAGGCTGCTACTTGTGAATGATTGGAAACTCCATTTGTGATGAAACTTGTCACGTGAAAGAATGCAATTATGATAATTTTGACTGTGATTGCTCTCCTGGATGCAATTTAGAGTTATTGCAAAATAATATATGTGATGAGGTCTGCAATAACTATGAATGTGAGTTTGATAATGGAAAATGCGGGTTTTGTGAGAGCGGGTGCTATTTAGATATGCTTCGAAACGATGTATGTGATGAAGTTTGCAATACTTATCGCTGCAAATATGACTACTTTGCTTGTAGATGCTCATTGCATTGTAGTTCAGATGATTATGGAAAATGCAAACCATCGTGTTTGGTAAGCGATTGCATGTATGATAGAGTAAGCAGTGATCCTAGCAAATGATGCTATGATGAAGATTTAATAAAGTATACTGTTTATCAGCAAATTTTTGCTGATAACTCAAATAGCATCGTTTCTTTTGACAATTGCTCAGTCGCATCATCTAATAAATGCAATCTAACGATGTCTTTAGATCATGCAGCATGCTATCCTGAATGCAATAGTAAGGCATGCAATTATGGCCTATGCTTCTCATTTGGAATTGATTGTGGTGATCTTTCTACTACAACACTTTGCTCTCGTTGTACAATTGATGGCTGTGACATAGATATAAGCAAATCCACTTACCGCTATTTTTCATCTTTGAGCATAGGTGGATTTCAAGTAGCTTACTTCAATTATTGAAAATCTTTAAAGCATGGAGACTTTCAGTTTTATTATGTGACTTCAAATCAGAAGGGGCCTTACCCATCAGGAAATGGAACTTTGATTTATCCTTTTGAAACACTTGATCATGCATTACAGTCTAAACTGCCAAAATATGGAGATCTCAAAAAAAGTGAAAATATCTTTGACCTTTGAAGGCATCAAACGCTCTTTTTTTATTTATATAATGATGGAAATTATACTTTAACTAACTGTGATTCTTTCTGAATAAACTCCTCTGCTATAATCGCCTCATATGATGAAAATCAGATTTTGATAGAAATAAATGGATGATCGCTTTTTTCATGCCCTTTGACCTCTTATGTCAAGTTTGAAAATGTAATTTTCGAAGGGTCTGGACACCTTAATGGGTGTAGTTCTATATACTGCGATTATTGTGCGTATAGTTTTTATGATGAAAGCGATGGGTATTACTATAATGATAGAAATCAGCGCATATCACAAAGTATATTTACAGATAGCTGCCAAATTAACAATTCTAAGAGTCTTAGCCTATTTTATGCTATAACTACGTTGACACTAATAAATGTTGATATTAGAAATTTTAGATTCAATTATGACTCTATTATATCTGGTAATGGAACAATTGAGTTATTTAATGTAAATTTTGATAATATATGGTTAAGTGGGAAAGAAAAAAATGCAGTTGTGCATCCCTATGGAAAATTTACTTATAAATGAGGCTCTGTGACTAGGCTAAATAATGGATTTGAGTTTGGAGACTCACTTGATTTTCGGGGATTTTTGTATTCTGAATTTTACTCGACTTTTACTATAAAAAATGTGGATTTTAAATATAATTTGGTCTATTTAAAGTCTCAAAGCTCTCTTTCTAGTGGCTCACTAATATATCTTAATAATATGACAAAGTTTGAAATGGATAACTGCACTTTTATGTATAATTATTGTGAAACTGGAATTTTTTACAGCGAATTAAATATAGGAAGCTATGATTATAGTTTAAATGAAACTTATTATTTGACTTACTTGACAATTTCTCATATATCCATTCAGAACACCCATTTTATATCAAATTATGGAAAATCCGGATTAATTCGTATAGAGTTTCTTGGCTTACTTCTAAATGTTCAACTAAGCAATTTGACCTTTGAATCTAATGGAGCAGAAAGTAATTCCATAATTTATATATACAACTCAGCCATATTAGATTATTATAAAACCAAAACAATCCAAAATTTGGTTTTAAAGAATTTAAGATCCATTAATGTCGTTTCAGTCCCAAGATGATGCAAATTTATTGATATTTCTTTTAAAACCAACCATGCTATGGGAATGATCACTGCGATTAATATGGTTAATTTTGACTTGAAAAACTTAAATATACATTCTAATGGATCTCCATATGAAGATGCAAATGTCAATTCTCTAGTTCTTAAATATTTTATTGAAAATAGGGATGCTTGAGACTTGTATATAAGTAAAGAAAAATATGATGCAAAAGCTGTAGATTGTGAATTTATAGTGAGTCTGTCGAAATTAGTTAATTTATATATCGAAGGTGTCAATATTTCAAAAAATACCTGCAGAAATTCATCACCTACTTTTATAATTGATAATTCAAATTCCAATAGTTTAAATTCTCTGAGATGTTCTGAAAACGTTGGAAATGGACTATCTCCAGTCTGTTTTTATTTGACAGGATCTTATGATAGAAATTTAACTAATTTAGAATTAATTGGGAATAGAAACAACTACATTTCTGGTGGGTATGGGGCACTAAAACTAGAGAGTGAAAATATTTTATATATAACAAATTGCTCATTCGTTAATAACTCAGCAAGTTTATCTTCTGCAGTTTACTTTTCAGGAATAAGTATTTCTATTGAGTCTTCAATTTTTGATTCAAATGAATCAAGGCTTGGGAATGGTGGTGCCTTATATTTTATTTCTCTGTTCCAAACTAATGAAGAATCGTCATTTATTATAAACTCAAGTTATTTTATAAGGAATTCAGCTGCTTCTGACGGAGGTGCAATTTTTTTGATTCAAAACTCAAGGCTGTCAAAAAGTATTGATATAAAAATTTCACAATCAGATTTTATAGGAAATTATGCCAATAATGGAGCAGCTTTATATATCGATAACTCCGTAGTACTTTCTAAAGACTCAATTATATTAGCTTCTAATTTCAATAAAAATACCTCTAAAAAATCAGGAGTTATTTTTTTATATTTCAACAGCGGAATTTTATCATTTATATCCTGCGAATTTATAGAAAATTCTTCATATTTGGCAGCCGTCTTCGCAATTGATATAGCAGAAGACAAGCAAGATATGCGTTCAAAAATATACATTGATCTCTCTATTTTCAGAAAAAATACTGGAAACTCAGTTATATATACATACAGTCAGAATAAAAATTCTAGCATTGAGACTAAGAACTCTGTTTTTGAATACAACAATGCAAGAGTTGTTTCTTTGAACTTTGATTATTTTGTAGACAATGGATCTGTTTTTCAGTTTAATTCTGCTCCCTATGGATCTTGTTTTTACCTTCAAAACTCTGCTATTTTGTACGCAAACTCATCGCAGTTTTTAAATAATACAGGTCAGGAATATGGAGGAGTCATAGCAATTAGTTCGAAATCAATCTTTAACTGCAATAATTGCTCATTTATTCAAAATAAGGCAAAAATAAAAGGTGGAGTGTTAGATGCAGAGCAAGAGTCTCGATTCTTTATACTAAACTCAACATTTAAAAAAAATTCATGTGAAAAAGAAGGGTCTGCAATTTATGCTTTTAATTGCAATTTGATAGCTTCCTCTCTAATTTTATCCCAATTTTCAAATAATTATGCATCAAATACAGGTGTGATTAGTTTGATCAGCTCAAAAATATTGATTTTATCATCTATTTTTAGCAATAATTCAGCTGGTGGATACAGTCCAGGATTGTCACTAACATTTTCAAGTGCAGAAATATATGATTCAAAATTCGAAAATCAAAGAAGTAATTCAGGAAATTTTATATATTTATTAGCTGAAAGCAACGCACTTGTAACTAATTCCTCTACTAAAAGAAAGCAAAGCTTTTTAGTTTAATAGCAAAGATTGAGATAAATACAAAAATTTAATTATTGTAATTGTCCGAGGATGGCGCTATCTTGCGCCATCCTCGGGCAATTACTATAAAAATCAATATATTATCATTTAATTTACCAAAAAAAAATTAAAACAAATATTAATTTAAAAAATTATTTTATTAGTTTTGCTCGGTCACTTAAAAGTGAGTTAACTCAACCTTTTATAATGGAAAATCAAATGAAAGAGGAGGGGCAATTTATGCAAGTTCAAGCACATTATTAATCAATGATTCATTTTTTAACAAATTATCATCTCCTAGTGGTGGTGCAATTTATGCTTCTTTTGATAGCTATATATCCATAAATAATTCGAGGTTTGATGATATAGAGAGTCCAATTGAAGGTGGAGTTATAAATGTAAATCAAGTTCAATTATTTATTGAAAATTCAATTTTTAATAAATTCTATCTTACTACCCCATTAGGAGCAAGCAGATGCTTTTACTTGCTAATATAAGGTTAAAATTAAATTTTCTTTAAAAATTTGTATTTGATATTAAAAATTTTATTAATTTCATTAGATTTATGTTTCCTGATAAAAGCTCTCAAAGTTTAATATAATTAGCTGAAAATCTCACTATTTTAACCATTATTCACATATCAAATATTCCAAAATTCATATCAGCATAATTTCTTGCTGAAAAAGTGTGCTAATTTTCCCAAAAATAGGATTTTTCTAGAGTTTTTTGCTCTCAGATCAAAAGAGAAGCTACAGGAATATATGGAAGCCAAATAAAAAAGCTAGAAATTGTAAATTCTTCACTAAGCAATGGCTCTGGAGATTATGGAGGTGCCCTTTATTGTGATTCTTGCAAAAATATAGAAATAAAATCATCAAATTTTGTAAATAACTCCGCGTCTTCATATGGGGGAGCTTTATTTTTAAAATCCACCAAGGATATCAGTTGCGAAGTTAATGTGACTTCAAGCGAATTTTTAAATAATTTTGCAAGAAATGGAGGAGCAATATACTCCAATAATGCAAATTTGAATATATTCTTTACTAATTTTAACTTCCCCTTCCGTATATAAATTTATTTTTAGATCTAATAAGTCCAAATTTTGATAAAATTTGAATGTTTAAAGTTCAAGCTGCTTGAAATTTAAAATAATTTAACTCGAGATTTCATTATATTATTTATCACTTATATATCAAACATTTTTTTACCCAATTTTTTTTTGGATTTGATTTTTTCCAATGATTTGGCTCGCTAATGGAGAGAGTAAGCAGAATAGAGCTATTTCAGGTCAAGACCTAAAAAATAGAAAAATTGATAGTGGGATTGGAGGTGGAATCAATATGAACTGTTTTGATGCAAAAAAATGTGAATTTAATATTAATTCAAACAACTTCATTGAAAATTTCGCAGAGTATGATGGAGGAGGTATTAGTTGGGATAATCAAATTCCTTCACTTTTCAACAATAAATACCAAAATAATATAGCTCAATATGGAATAGATATAGCTTCATACCCAATTAAGCTAATGCAAGTAAAGGCAGATAGCAGTTTAGCAGATTTTAATAGCAAAAGATTATTATCAGACCCAGTTTCAAGCCTAAATTTAACAGAAATTGCATCTGGGCAAACTATTAAAAATCAACTTCTAATCGCCTTGGTTGATGATTTAAATAATATTATAACCACTGACAATGTGAGTGAGGCAACTCTCAAACCTACTGAATTGACAACCCAAATTTCAGGAAAAACCAAAGTGACTGCATCAAAAGGAATATTTAACTTCTCAGAATTTGTTATTTCTGATGAGCCTGGATCAAATATCCAAATAATGGTTACCTCTCCTGCAATTGATATTTCAAAAATAAAATCTTCAGGTCAAAGCTTTTACAGTCAAAGTTTAATATTAAATGTGAATATGAGAAAATGCAAAATTGGAGAGGTAAAATCTGGGAAAAAATGTCAAATATGCCCTAAAGGGTTTTATAGTTTAAATCCAAACACGATTTCTTGCCTTTCTTGCCCTGATGCTGCTGAATGCTATGGAAATTATACAATGGTTCCACGTCCTGGATATTGGAGAGATAATATGCATACCGATAAATTTTGAAAATGCCCGCACCCCTCATCTTGTTTAGGTTCACCTAATATAAACAATATTTCTTATACAGGAGAATGCAGCAAAGCCTACAAGGGAAATAAATGTCAATCTTGCAAAGCAGGATTTTCCTATACTTCAAGCAATAAATGTGAAAAATGCCCAGAGTATCTAAACAACATATTAATGGTAATAGGAGTAGCAATAGGATTGCTGATTTTATTGACGATTATAATAAAAACAACAAGAAAATCAGCTCTAAAGCCAAAGTCACAAACTTCTATTTTCATAAAAATATTTTTGAATTATTTTCAAATGATCATTTTAGTGTCTACTTTTAAGCTTAACTGATCATCTGAAGTTTTAAGCCTTTTTAATATTCAAAATAATGCAGATTATGTATACCAGCAAATTTACTCATGCCAATGTCTATTTGGAACAAATGAAAACAGTAATTTAGTTTATTTCAAAATTATTATTATGGTCGCCTTAATTCCAGCTATTATGATAGTTTTGAATTTATTTTTTTGGATTATTATAAAACTAATCAAAACTTCATATAAATCGTTTTGGGATGATTTTGTATCGACCTGTATTATTTTATTGTTTTTAGTTCATCCAAGTGTAGTGAGAAAAATGTTTGCGTCTATGAATTGCACAGAAATTAATCCTGGTGAATATTGATTGGAAGATAATCTTGATATTAGATGCTGAGATTATGATCATATATTTTATGTGATGACCATTTCATTGCCAACCATTATTTTATGAGGAATTATTTTGCCGACGGTTTGTTTAGTGAATATTATTAGAAATAAAAGCAGACTTGGAGATTTAAATGTGCGTATAACTCTGATCGGCGATATTAAACAATAGTTTTGGTTTTTACCCAAAAAATAGGTCAATGGTTTTTTGGCTTATATGGGGAAAGTTAGAAAAATACGATGATTCAAAGAAATTAGAAAGAAGCAAACTAATTGTTCCTTTTGAAAAAAATTTAGGAATTATTTCTATAATGATAATTGTATTTCTAAAACATAGATTTTTACTGCAAATTTGTTTATTATAAAATTTTAAAAATATCTTATAAGCTAGTAAAAAATTTTGCATTTTCAAGGAGGAGTAAGATATGGATTTCTATTCAATGGATACAGAGATAATCACTATTTTTGGGAATTTATTATTCTGTATAGTAAAATTATTCTTATTTGCTGTTCAGTTTTTTTAGCAAGAGTATCTTTAAAGATTCAAGCAATAATTGTGGCTATTTTATATTCAATATATTTAAGACTCCAATACTCAAATAACCCTTATACTGAGCCTAATTTAAATCAGATGGAATTAAGGGCAAGACTAGTGTGTGCAGTCACTATATGAAGTGGACTTTACTATTTAATGGGATCTTTAAATGATGAAGCTGGATACTTTTTCTTTGCAATTATTGTAGCAGCAAATTGTTATTTTTTAATTTATTGATTGCTTTGTCTCATGATTAAATGTGTGTCTCGGCCCGGCATGGTCTCCCGATGATATCAGGAATAATTCCTGCAGTGTGCAGAGCCGGATCAAAATTCTTATGCATGATTGTTTTGCATCCTCAAATCGATTTCTCAATCAATAATTAAAAAATTTAAAAGCTTCGAAAAATCAAAAAAAGTGGAAAATTACTCAGTAGAAAATAGTTTTAAAAGTGATAATTCAAGATTAGATATAAGTCATATTGAAGTTTCGCTTGCATCAAATAGCCTTGAAATGAATGAGATTCAAATTATAGATTTTGATAAAGAATCAAGCAACATTAGCGTAAATGATAAAGAGAAGATTCAATAGTAAAACGCTAAGACTTCTTAAGTAAATCTTTAATGATAAATATTAGATTCATATTTTACATCTCTTCCCTTTTTTTGATGAGCAAAAGCTTTATCTTTTTTTAAAGAGCTCGCATTCATCAGTAAGCCAATCAAAATATTTTTAATGCATTTTCTTAAAATATATACAATTTTATTAAGGTAAAACATTGGGTTGGAGGATCAGTAAAGGTGTTCTGAGTTTGCAAGAAGGAGAAGCAGAACTGGAAAAATTTGCCATAAGAAAATTTTTCACAAAAGACCAAGAATTAACATCAAAACATTTTGCCTGGTAAGCCAACATTAAAATTGCTAAGGGATTTACATAAAATAATAACTTATTTATTCATCAAGATAAAGATCTGTTTTATGAATAAGCTTGCATATTAAAATTTTATTGAGAAAATTTACAATCAAATCAATGGTAAAAAAATTTGTTTATTATAATAAATATAGACCCGATTATTCAGCAAAAAAGAAACCATTCTTTAGAAAAAGAAATTGTTTATTATGAAAATACAAATTCAGGTTTAATATAAAAGCAAAGCTGGGACCTCAATAAAATGAAAACTTCTGGTTCTCAGTAAGAAAAATGGAATGACCGTTCTCTCAATGTAATGTGATACAGTCATGCCAACAAATAAGACACTCAAGCAGAATTATTTTTATTATTATTAACTTTAGGTATTTATTTTAAACTTTCTATCCATAAATTTCCAATATTTCATCAATGAATCGATTCTATGTTTAAGATCTCTCGCTACGTTTGGGTTATAGGTGAATTTCTTATATAAATCGAATGATTTTTGATTGTAAAGTTTTGAATATTCCCATCTTTGCTCTTTAAAATACAACTTTCCAAGACAGTAATATATAGCTAATTTCGAAAATCGATCATTGCGTCTCTTTTCGTTAACAACCTCTTCAACGTATTTTAAAATTTTTTCTGCCTTTTGAAAATTTGTTTTATCAGAATTATTTGATAAATTAATATAAATATTTGCAACATCTATATAGTCACCAATACAACTCAGATCCTTGATTGCTATATTTTTTTGAGAAAACAATAATTTTTCTGCTTTACTCAAGCATTTTTCAGCTTTTTCGATTTCATTTAAAGATATATATAACTCTGCTCATTGAATAAAGTAGCAAGGCATTCTAAACTTTTGATGCACATTATTTTCTAATATTTCATTCACTCTTAGCAAAATAACCCTACATTTTTCATAGTCAGATTTTCCATAAAAATAACTAAAGACAAAGTTTTGGGATTTTAAAAACATATCAATATTAGAAACATCATAGCTGTCAATAAGCTCAAACGCTTTAGTAAAGTATCTATTTGCTTTTTCTAAATTGTCTTTAAGATAGCACAATTCTCCAAGGTACGCATTAGCAATAAATAGCTCATTTTTATAAATATCAAAAAAATAAAATGTATTAAGTCGAGCTCTTACTTATTTTTTCCAGTAATTTTATCTATTTTGCTCCACTATTGCAGAGAGCAAAGATTAGGGTATTTAGTGTTTTAAGATAAAGCCCCTTTATATTTTTCTTATTATATTCCAAAATCACCATCTACAACAAAGGACTATAATCAATTATTTAATTTTTGTTGACTAGGAATTCAGAAATTAGAATGTTTTTCATGAATGAGAATTAAGTGTGTGCTTTACTGTTAATCCTACAAAATAAAGAGCAGCACAAAGCTAATTTATTTAAATAATATTAAATTTTATAACTTTCAGTAAAAAAATGCATGAATAGTTTTGCTTCAATTAAAAATTCCCATGCTTCTTCAACGCTCAGCATTCAAAAATAAACAATTCCCATAGAAAGCTTAGCAAATAACAGCTCATGATTGGATCACCTATTATTTATGAATCCAAAGTATAGTAGAGCCTCATCATATCACTGCCTATTTAAATAGAATATTCCAAATGCTTTATACATTTCTTGCTCGTTTGGATCTGCTTTAGGTAAAATGCTTAACAAAGATTTAGCATTACAAAGAGATTGGTGTGCTTTTTCAAAATCTCCTTTTCAGGTATGAATATCTGCTAAATAAAGCCACAAATTTGATAATTTGTAAAAGTTTATAAATTCTTTTTGCTTAGACATTTTAATGCATTTCCATATGGTTTCAAAAGCTTTATCAAAATCATTCAGAAGATAGTAAATCTCTGCAATTGTTGCACAATAAAAAAATTTATCTTTAACTAATCCAATCTCTATTATCTTTAGAATTTCTTTTATTTCTTCATTTTTGTTTAATGCACTATACGCTCTTGCCAAACAAAGATAAGCTTCAATTAAATATTCTATGGTGTTTTCTCAGATACCTACGATATTCTCCCATTTGTCTCCTTGAAGACGCTCTGTATGATAATTAATAGAGTTTTTAAAACAAACTATTGACTTGCTATAGTTTTTACTGCCATAATAGAATAACCCTAACTCTTGATTAATTTTATTTGCGGTATTTTTAGAATAATATTGAGAATAGTATTCTACTTCACAGAGAATTTTATAGCAATATTCAGAAACATTGTTATCAATAAACATCATAGAAAGAACTCGATCCAAAATAAAGCATAAAAAAAATTCTAAATTGTTTGAAGAATAGCCAGTTGGTTTTTTAATTAATGAAGGCTCTAATAGTTTTGATAATGCATTAGGAACTGATGCTTGAAGTGCATTATTAGCATTTTTTTGTAATGCATTAGTAGCAAGTGTTTTTATTTTATTAGTGACTAATGTTTGGGATTCATTATCAGCTATTTGTCTTCATTGTTCATAAAGCTGAAAATAGCTTTCTTTTTCTAAAATTTTTGTAAAGATATTACCAAATAAATCTATAATATTTTTAATTTTTTGAATTGAGGAATGATCATAAAGTTCTAAATAACTTTTGAGATTTTGACATAATTCATATGCCATCTCATATTCAGATATTTTAATAAAATCAAAAAATATTATACTACAGAAATTCGATAGACGGGGCTTGTTGTATGAGTACTTATAAACCCAGCCATGAATATATTTTTGATCCTTAAATTTAAAATAATTGAAATCACACAAATGCAATTTAACTGTTTTACGAAATTCTAATAAATTTGCTCGATTTCAATGTTCCTCTATATATTTTAGGGCTTTTTCCTTTGGCTGAGTTAAAAAATATTCCAAAGGGCTTAAAATGAGTTTCATTTGAACAAATTCATTTGCATTAAAAAACAAGATGATTCTGCTGCAGTAATTATGCATCTCATTAAATCAGCTTAGTTCCTCCTCGTAGTTTTTATCTTCGTTTTTTCAGTTTTCGATAAGTAAATTATCTAATCAATATATGCATTCCTGCTTTAACTTGGAAATAAAATGTGGCGCTAATGGAAAGGACTCTGAGACACACTCTCTATGAAGCAGGATTTGTCCCAATGAAGCTGAAAATAGTGCCTCTATCGATTTTGAAGTAGGCCTTCAGATTTGGGGATGACTGATAAAGAGGAAAGTTTTGCTTCTCTTCCAAAGGTTTTCACTGTCCCTGCTTAAGCTAGACAGGTTTTTGCCACCCACTTGGTCTTTGTTTATCGAGACTAACGTGCATTAGCAAGAGGTTGCTGCAATCTACAGAGTAATCCTTAGGTTTGGTGGGCTAGGCCAGATATGCAGGCTAGTGGTCTATCCGCTCATGGTCTTATAACTTTTTAACTTAACTTATCTTTTCTTTAACTTGGTTATGAAGCTTAATAAAATTTGTCTGGATTCACTGTTAATAGGGATTTTTATACGTTTTAGTTCATATCCTTGGATTTTATAATAAAAATAATGTTTTGGACATGCTTTAATCTGACCGCAATTGGATTCAAAGATTGCGTCTAGAGAGCAACAAGAACAGCTTTCGTTTTCCATTATTTTAAATAAATATTATAAGAATACAGGTAATTTAGCTACATAGAAGTAGTTTAAGAAAAGCACTCATAAAGCAGCGAAATATAGCAAATAAAAACTGCAAAGGTCTTTTTGCTTCTGGCCTGGTGACGAGAGAAGAGGTGCAGGATAAGAAAAGAAGTAGTTATGAACTTTATGGTATGCTTCAGGAAAAAGAATAAGAAACAGCCTTGTCTATCTACACTGTGAATAATTTATGTCACAATATAAAATGGTAGTTAGGGGTAAGACTACAGTCCTATATCTGAGCTCAGTGAGAGGGGTTTTGTGCTCTTTGAGAGACTCAGCATAAAGAAAGATGTTCTGCACTGAGGCTGGTGTAGATAGAGAGGTCATATAAGGCTTAGAGGCATGAACAGGCTGACCTTACCTAGTATTATTCAAGATCTGTCAGTCCAAGTTGATGTCAAGAAGAGGAACTTGTACAAGTTATTCTTATTAGCATTAATTTATGCCAATCTAGTTGACTGCATGCTAGATCTGAGCTGCTAAATCTATTCAGCAAATTAAAATTGAATCTGATCTGTTATAAATAGAATTTGCAACAATTTTAATATAAACTTTTCTTCATTATTAAAAATTAAATTGAAAACTCAGATAATTATTATATATTAGGGTTATTCCAGTAAATATGATTAAAATTAACTTATTATTAATGGATATTTATTTGAACCTTTCTAGCCATAAATTTCCAATATTCCATCAATTTCAATTAATCATTTATTAAGATCACTCACTGCGTTTGAGTTAGGGTTAATTTTTTTCTGTAAATGTAATGCCTTGCTAAAATAATGTTTTGCATTTTTATATCTTTGCTTTTTTGCATATAGATCACCAAGTGAGTAATAAATATCTAGTTTCGAAAATAGATCATTGTGTCTCTTTTTATAAATAGCATCTTTAGTGTATTTTAAAATTTTTTCTGCCTTTCGAAAATTGTTAACAGAAACATAAATTTTGGCAAGATCTATATAGTCACTTATACAATCTAGGTCATTGATTTTTATCGATTTTTTAGAAAATAATCAAATTTTGCCTATATTCAATAAATTTTCAGCTTTACTCAAGCACTCTTCTGCTTCTTCCTTTTTATTTCAAGCTATATACAGCTCTGCTCATTGAATAAAATATAAAGGCATTCTGAATTTCAGATGATTGAAATTTTCTAATATATCATTCATCCTCAGCAAAATAACTTCACATTTTTCATACTCAGATTTTCCATAAAAATAACTAAGACAAAGTTTTGGGATTTTAAATAAATATCAATATTAGAAATATCGTAGCTGTCAATAAGCTCAAACGCTTCGGTAAAGTATCTGTTTGCGTTTTCTAAATTGCCTTGAAGATAGCATAATTCTCCAAGGTACGCATTAGCAATAAATAGCTCATTTTTATAACTTTTAGTAAAACCAGACATCATTTTTTTTACTCCAGTTAGAAATTCTATTGCGTTTTGATAATCCAGCTTTCAAAAATAAGCTATACCCATAGAAAAATTAGCAAATAAAAGCTCATGATTAGATCATCTGCTTGTTATTTTTCCAAAGGATATTAGAGCCTCATCATATCACTGCCTATTTAAATAGAATATTCCAAATGCTTTATAAATTTCTTGCTCATTTGGATCTGCAATAGGTAAAATGCTACGCAAAGATTTAGCAATGCAAAGAGACTGGTGTGCTTTTGTAAAATCGCCTCTTCAGACATAAATATCTAATCTTCTTCTTTTTCCCAAATCCATTCATACGAATTTCTCCCTTAAAGGAAATTCAAAAGGAAAAGGTATGCTAATAAAAGTCATAAATTTGATAATTCGTACGAGTTTATATTTTTGTTCTGTTTAGACATTTTAATGCATTCCCATATTTTTTTAAAAGCTTTATAAAAATAATTCAGAAGATAATAAATCTCTCCAATAGTTGCATGGTATAGAAATTTATCTTTAGCTTCTGCACATTGAAACTTAACTCATTTTCGAATTTTTTTAATCATTTCATTATTTTTTATGGCACTATGTGCTTTTGCCAATCAAAGATAGGCTTCAATTAAATATTCTAAGGAGTCATCTCAGACACCTGCCTTATTCTGCCATGAGTCTTTTTGGAGGCGGTCTATATGATATTTAATCGATTTATTAAAACATTCTATTGACTTGCTATAGTTTTTTTTGCCATAATAGAGCAATCCTAGCTCTTGGTTAATTTTATTTGCAATATTTTCAGAATAATGTTGAGAAAAGTATTCTGCAAAGCAGGAAATCTAGCACTCCTTCTAATTAAATTGCCATTGTTATAATAATATTATAGATACTATTGTACGGAGAGTTTGAAAGTAATATTCAGAAACATTATTTTTTATAGACATCATAGTAAGTATTTGACTCAAAATAAAATATGCTCATTTTAATAAGCAAGAATCTTTTTACTGTCAGACTTATGGTTTTTTTAAATAGTAAAATAGAAAATATTGAATTAATAAAATTTTTTTCCTCATTAAAAGAGCATATCCCCAAAAATCTAATTTTTTAGATGAATTATCAGTTGGGTTTTTATTCCAATTTAATATTTTTCATTGTTCATCGAGCTGAGAATGATCTTTTTTCTTTATAATTTTTTTAAGGATTTTACCAAACAAAACTATAATACTTTTAATATTTTGAATTGAAGAGTCGTCATAAAATTCTAAATAGCTCTTGAGATTTTGATATAATTCATATGCCATCTCATATTCAGATATTTTAATAAAATCAAAAAATATTAAATTACAGAAATCTGATAGACGATTGTGCAGATTGTAAGTTGACTTATAAGCCCAGCCGTGAATAAATTTTTCATTTTCAAACTTATAATAATTGAAATCAAATATATGTGCTCTAACTGATCGACAAAATTCTAATAAATCATTCCGGTCTCAATGCTGCTCTGTGTATTGTTGTGCTTTTTCCTTTGGCTGAGTTAAAAAATATTCAAAAGGACTTAAAATTTGCTTCATCAAAACAAATTGTTTTCTCAATAAAAACATGACGATACTACTGCAGTCATGAAAAGCATTACTTAATCAGCTTAGTTTCTCCTTATATTTTTCATTATCTTCGTTTTTTGAGCTTTCTTCAATTAAATCGTCAATTCGATCCTTAAATTCCTTCTTTAGCGTGACGATAAAATCCAATAAGATCTTTTTGGACTCTTTGTTGATTGGGATCTTTATTCGTTTTAGATTATACCCTTGAGCTTCAAAAGAAAAATAATGCTTTTGGCATGCTTTAAACTGCTCACAGTCAGATATAAAGATTGCGTCTAAGAGGCAACAAGAGCAGCAAACTCTTGCCATGCTTGATATTTTATTTTTATATCTTATTTAAGTTAATTATGACAATGGAGACGATTTAGCTACCTAGAAGCACCTTGAAGAAAATCACTCAGAAAGCAGAAAATACCTTTTGCATCTGGTCAGGTGTTAGGTAGATCTATGCAGGATCAGAAATGATGAGAGAAAAGAATAAAGAAACAGCTGATGTGAGATACCCTGTTGATTTTAATGCCTATATAACGCTGATAAATATTATTCCTAAGGTTTTAAAAGCAGTCAATTAAGATCTGCTTTATAAAGATTATATATTTGATTAATTTTCTTTTGATTTTTTGTTGTTGCAATTTTTATGCACTCTATGCTGTGATCAGAAAATCTTGCTTATGAGAAAATCAATGCTTTGACCAGATGACAGACATGCATTGATTGCATCGAAAGAATCAAAGGAGCAGCTGAACTTTACCATAACCTTATGCTATTTTATTATGTTTAAAAATTATGAAAGCCAAATTTACGTATTGGGTAATTTGTATTTAATTTAAACTTCTTATATTCATATTTTATTTTTAGATCTTTTAATTTTAGATATTTAAATAATCATAAATTATTAACCTTCGGAAAATAAAAAATTAAGCTTATTGCGAGAATGTTTTTAACTTATAGCTTGTGAATTTTCTGAAGCAAAAGGATCTATTTCCATGGAAACAATTGAATCATACTTAATTTCAGATAAATTTTGAACGCTTGAGATGCCGACTGTAATAAACTTGCTTTCGTGGTCGTTAACATTTTTATAATCTAAGTCATCCCTGACTTGATATTTTTTTTCTTTGTTAATGTGCAAAACATTTGCTAAAATGACAAAGCATTTTTTAAATATAGAAATTTGCATTAGAAGCTGAGTTGCTATATATATGATAAATATAAAGTTGAAAAGCAATAAAAAAGCAAGTAAAATATTATCACCGATACTATCTAAATCATCAGTTATAAAGAAGAGGCCAGCTATAATTGTTATAAGAGCAGCGACTATAGAAAATATTTCTACTTTATTGACCAGTGTTACACAATAAGGCTGATTTTTAACTTGAATATGGAGAAATATAGCAAGCATTAAAGCTACGGTAAGAGCTTGAATATTTATTGAAAAATTTGAGAAAAACACCGAAAGTATAATTAAAATAACTTTTCAGTATAAGATTAAAAATTCCCAATAATAATGCTTTAAGTTGTAGCCATTAAATAAAAATCCAAATTTCATTTTAATTGATATATCTTCTAGTTTTCTTCTGTTTTTTACTAATTTTATAAGACAGAGTGCAGGGACTGCAATTACCCAAATAATTATTGTAGGCAATGCGAATAAAAGTCCATAAAGTAAATGATGGCCGTCCCAACATCTAATTCCAAGGTCTGCATATAATCAGTATTCTCCACTATTTACTTCTTTGCAACTAAAAATACTGAACATTATATTTGTGATACTTGGGTGAATCAAAAATAATATAACTGTAAATGTCGATAGGTAATCATCTAGAAACTCTTTTAGATTTTTCTTTTTTATTGCATAAATTATCAATCATAACAGCAGGCAAATGAATGCAAGAGAAAATGGAGTTAAACTAGTAATTAATATTTTGTAATAATAGACATCATTTTTTGAATATAAAGATTGCAAAAAACAGTCAGCAGAATATAGCTGGGCCCCTATATAGTCCATGCAAGTCTGGATATAAAATAATTGAACTGCTTCATAAGGCCAATTTAAGCTAAAAGTAGCTATTATAATCATGATCTGTAAATAATTCCAAAAAATTTTTATATAAATGGATGACAAAGATGCCTGCTCGAATGCAGATTTTCTTGAAGTTTTTATTATAGCTATCACCATAAAAACAAGCAAACTAAAAATTCCTAAAAGCCTCAAAGCATTACTAGCAGTGCTTTTGCATTCTTGGCATTCGTTTTTATATAATCTAGAATATCCTTTCGCACATGAGTGACACATATTATTTTCGTATCCTTTGGCACATTTTCCAGTAAAGGATAAGTTTGAAATATCTGGAGACCCTAAGCAGGCTGGTGGATATGGACATTTCCAAAAATGATCAGTGAATTTATTGTCTCTCCAATAGCCACTCTTTGGAACGATTGTATAGTTTCCATAGCAAATTGCAGAAGAAGGGCAATCTAAGCACTTAGATTTTTTACTATCAATATTATAATAATTTTCAAGACAAATTTCACAGTCAAGACCGACAGTTGCCTCACCAATCTCACACAGCCTCAAGTTTACATATATAGGCAATTTTGATGACATTTGTATTGAATAAGGAGATTTATTCATTTTTGACTCATCTATCGCTGAAGAAACAATGTTGATTTGAAGAGAAGATCCTGGTTTGGCTGAAATAATATATTCATTTAAGTAAAAAATTCCGTGCGCTGCATATGCAATTGAGGTCCCAGAAATAATTAAATCATCACTTAAAGATTGAAGCTGGGTCTGACTGATGCAATCGGTTGTAATTATCTGAGAAATATCATCAACCAAAGCAAAAGTTAATGGCGGATTTTTATTTTGTCCAGATGCAATATTATTAAGAGTCAATTCAGAGTTTCCTTGATATTGAAGAACTCTTTGGTTTGTATCATTTAGAAACACCATCATAGTTGGAAACGAGGCTATATCATTTCCATATAGTGCTGAATTATTTCAAAAATTATTATTTTCCAATTTGGGTCTTGAGTCATCTCAGTTGATAGCTCCTCCTTTATAAGCTGCCCAATTGCTACTAAAATTGTTTGAGGAAATATCAAAATAGCAAGGGATTTCTGATTCCTCACAACTCACTCTTATAGCTCCTCCAATACCATCAGCTATTTCTTGAATTGTTTTTGTCTCTCAATCTTTAGCGTAATTTTCATCAAATACTGATGCAAAAATATTCAAATTTATATTATTTGTCCAAATAGCTCCTCCATTACCAGCTATATTTGAAATAAATCTAGAAGACTTTATATTGCATTGAGAAGAATTAAGATGATCAGCTTTATTTTCTATATAAAAAGCTCCTCCTTTTTGAGCAGTATTATTTGAAAACTCAGATGAAATTATAGAAATATTATTACATTCCGAGCAATATAATGCTGCTCCAACAGTACTGCTATAACCGTTTAAAAAATAGGATGATTTGGCTAATAAATTAATTTGAGATCCATAAATGCAAGAACTTGAATAATTCGTAAATGATGTGTTTGTTATCTCGATAAAGCTTGTATATGAGTCGATTGATGAGTTTGAATTTATGAATATTGAATCTTTTAGAGTAAGATTGCTGTTTTCTCATAAATAAATTGATCCCCCTGCGCTATTTGAAAAAAGATTTAAAAATGTTGTTGAAAAAATATTTAGGATGCTAGATGTTGCATGCAAAGCTGTTCCTGAATTTTTTGAAAATCCATCATGAAAGCTTGAATTTATGATCGCTACGGAACTTGAGCTTAGAAAAATAAAGCAGCCTTCATCTCCATTTTGATTAGAAAAGGAAGAGTTGGCAATCACAGCATTTGAATTTTCTAGATGAATCCCTGGATATTTTTCGCTAACTGAGTTATTAGAAATTTCTAAGGAATTAATAGAAATGATTGATGCTAAAAGAGCTATAGTTCCTTCACCGTATGAATAGTTTTCAATTACCTTAGAATTATCTATAGATGAATTAGCCAATGCACTTGCCATGAATATAGCTGATCCTCTATTTTTACATGAGTTTTTATTAAGTATTGAGCTATATATATGAAATGCAGCATCTGAGTCAGCATATATAACACCTCCTGAGGATTTTGAGGAATTCTCTGTAAATCTACAAGAAAAGCAAAAGTATTGAGAATTCATGCTAATCGAAGCTATTCCACCGTTAAGACTGCTACTGCAGTTAATATAAATTGCATTTTCAGCTACAAAAATTGCAGAATTCTTTAAGTTCAGAACTCCTCCAGAATTTGGTGAATAATTGTGCTGAAATCTTGAATTTTTATCAATTACGTAGCCATTATCAAGTGAAAATACAGATCCATAATTATATTCAAATAAGCAATAATTTGTTTCTAGTGTTGAGTTTGTATAAGGATTATCAATTGATATAGTCACGTTACCCTTATTAAATTGAAAATTGCAAGAGTTTAAAGTTAATTTCGAAATTTTTTCAGAGCTGTTTTCACCTATCGCTATACTTAACCCTGAGCTAAATAGTCCATCGTTCTTAACAAAATTGCAAGAATTAATTTCCAATAGCCCATTAATATAATAGACTCAAATAGTGCCTGAGAAGCTTGCTTTATTTTCTTGAAATTTACAATTACTTATTGAAGAATCAGTAGAAAGTTGAGCATTTCCGTCTATAAAAAGCGAAGAGCCTGCATATGCCTTGTTGTTATAAAAATCAGTATTATCAATTTTCAGCATTAATGAGAGTTCAACAGGAGAATTTTTTGATATGAAAATTCCCCCTCCATTTAGAGTACAGGAGTTGTTTGTAAAAATTGTTTTTGTAATAGAAAATAAAAAGTTATTGATATCATATAGAGATAAAGAATAATAAATAGCACCTCCATTTAAATTAGGCGATTTATTTGAGTCAAAATGTGAAGAGATAATTCTAAGGTTCTGACCAACAAAATACAAAGCTCCGCCTAAATCTGCGATATTATTTAAAAATGAACAATTTTGTAACAATAAATCGGAAAGACTATTTATCGCACCTGGATTTCTAGGTTGATTATTCTGATTTGAGATGAAAAATGAGTCTTTAATAGTCATGAAAGCATTTTTATTTATCGTTAAACAAATCCCATTGAAACCTGATCCACTGTTATTTTCAAAATTTGATGAAATTATTGTTGAATTTGTTGTATTTGATATAATAATTCCTGGTAAAGAATTTTTACAATAATTTTTTAAAATGCTCACTTTATCTAGATTTAAGTTAATGGAATCTGATATTGATGATAAAGACTCACAATTTAAATCTGGAGGATCAGTAACGTTGAGTTTTATATACATATTTGGGTTTTCAATATAGTATTTTAAAATTATTGAGTTAGCATTCATAGATTCAGATGAAATTACGCCATTTGAAATCATAAAAACATCCCTTAAATCTATATTAATCATTTTTTTAATTTCAAGAATACCACTACTACCAGAGTAATTTTCAACAAAGCTTGAGTTTTGAATTTTTGTTCATTTTGCTAAGTACTTTCTTTCAGCAGCATTTTTGCCATTAACAGAGGTTTCTAAAATAATATCTGATAAATATTTTTGGTTGATATAATCACTTTCAATATATATCAAAGGTCCAGTTTCAATCCCATTTAATGTAAATGATGAATTTTCAATTAATAAATTCTGAAGCTCATAATTATAATGTAAGTATAATACTCCTGCTACTTTCCCATAGTTTGATGTAAAATTTGAGTTCACAATATGAATATGATTTAGAGTTGAGTAAATTATTTCTCCATCCTCATTAGTTTCATTGCTAAAATCATAATATTGCGGTTGTATATTTATTATTCCAAGCTCGCAATAGTTATATATAAAAACGCAAGAATCAATTTCTAGCATCTGAAATAAATTTAGAAATAATAAAGTGCCTCTGTTCGGAGCAAATGATAGCGGTTCCAGCACCACATTACGCATAAAATTAACGTTTCTCAAAACAATAGAATTCGCAAAAATCACATTTAAAAATCCTTTCATACGAAATGAATCCTTTATTTCATATCCATTATTAACCCTACTCACAGTGCCTTTATTAAATTGTAGACTTCCTGAGCTGTTCCATGAAATAATTGCTGAATTATCGCTATTAAAAACTTTAACATTATCAAACATGACATTATTGAAAGTCAGGTTGCTGTCATTTGTGACCCAAAAAATTGAATTAAAATCTGTTCGAAAATTTATAAAACTCACGTTGTTTAATACTAAATTGCTTGATTTAACATCAAAAAAATTTGGGTATATGCTATTTGATTAGAACATTCCTGGTGATTTCGGTCGAGATTTTTCCTCTCAAGACATTTGATCTGATTTTATTAAGTTTTTCAAGCAAATGTCTCTGGGTAAAAATCCCCTATTAAACTTTCATATTAGACCAAAAATCCTTTAATTAAATAATCACACCAAGAAAATGTTTAGATTAATGGCATGAACCGAAAATTTATAGCGTTATTCATTGAACATCACGTAATAGGCAAACATGCACTAATTTTTTCACCTCTATCGTTATAATAAATACTTAAATCTGAGTTTGAAGTAACAATAGGGCAATAATCGCAGTAATTATCATTATTACAAGAGGAATCTGTATTTTTCCAGTCAAAAATGACGTTATTTATTTCAAAATTTGGAATATTCGTTAAAGGAAACCTCATAATTGACCATTTAGAATCGTCTTTTGCTCTTCTTATAGTGATTGGAGACATTCCTAGGCATTTGATAGGAGCTTTTTCCTTATATTTATCTTTAATCGTAGCATTTCCTCATGCGACATTGCATGAGCCATTTAAATTCTATCAAATTTATCACGAGGAAAAATTTTTGACTAAAATATCCGAGAAAGTCACTCTACCAAAAATTTTCTGTTTAAATGGCATGGAGCCGCTTGGAGAATTATCCAAAGGTTTAACTTTTATATTTCTTGAAGTTAAATGCCTAAAAATATATTTTGCTTCATAATATTTATTTACCATAGGGAATTGTTGTTTTCTTATAGCCTGATGCTCAGTATAGTAATTACTTTGAGATAAATAAATAATCGAATAACTATACAGGATGTTTGCAAGTGCATAGCTTAAAGATGAAAATTGAGAAGAATAAGTGCCATTCCCACTTAATCAGTTAGAATTTGCACTTGGCTTCACATAATAAACATGAGGATTTTTTGCTGACGAAGTATCATTTGGAAGCATTTTTACGAGTGATCCATCAGGAAATAGCCAGACACCTACTTCTCAAAAGGGATATGATGTGCAAGTTTGATTTCATAAATACTTAATAACTTGATATTGATTGTTTATGCATGAGAGGCACCCACTCAAATTATTATAAGAGCGAAGACAATAATAATTATGACGAGTTTCGCAGTTACCATTGGCATAATTGCATTCTAAAATATTGCACTCTTCATAACAATCTGTAAAATTTAATGCTTTTTCTTCTGAGCATGCATAATTAGAAGCTTCATAACAGTCCTCTAGAAGCACAACATATGAAAAGTCATTACGGATAATTTGCTGATAAGACGAAAAAATAGCTAATGGCTCGTCTTGGCATCAGTTATTAGGATATTGATCCACTTTGTCATAATTGCAGCTGAATATCAAGCATTCTGGTTTACAAGCTCCATAATCTGTCCATTCGCAATCATCTGAGCATCGACAATCTTTATAATCATATAAACAATCTTCATTATTGCAAGCAGAATCGCATATTCCATTCCCTAACATAGTTGGAAAACATCCATCTGCACATTGCCCACAGTCATGATTATCAAGGTCGCAGCTTCAATTATCACAAGCTTCATCACAATTTCCGTCGCCAAGCATAGAATTTAAACACCCTGGGGAACAAGTGCAATCGCCTCAATCATACCCGCAGTTTTCAGTGTTACAAGAAGTATCGCAGATACCATTTCCTAGATTTTGGGCATCACAACCATCAAAAACACAATTTTCATAGCAATCTGATTTGTTTTTATCGATTGAACTAAAGAACTGAGTGCTAGTGTCATAGTTGCAATAGGATGTCATGCATTCAGGATTGCATTGGTGATTACCTTTCTACAATAAAAATTACCATAATATCTGGACAAATCGATGAACTACAGGTAAGATTTAAGCCTTTGGCAAACCATAAGGAAAGAGCAAGAAAAATCATTTTAGAAAATAAACTATAAATTTTAATTTGCTTAAGTAAAATTATGATAAAATAGTTAGCATATTTAATGATTTAAGATATCATCGCTAGCTATTCGTTTTTAATATGGAACTTTGAGAAAATTAATATTAAAATAAACTCTATTTTCATAAACAAAAATTCAAATAATTATTTCAAAGTTTAGCTATCATTTAAGCTTTATGATAAATTTATTTTAATAAATTTTTAATTTAGTAACTCCTCTCTCTCCGTCTTCAATCAAAAATTGGAAATTCCTACTTTTTAGAAAAATAGCTCTCATCATAATTTTTATGAATTCAACAAATTTTATAAAAAAAATTAAGAAGAAACAAAACTTTTGGCGAATATGAACTTGAAAAATAAATTTATTATACTCCCTCAAAATTTTTCATTCACAACACAAATCAAAGTATAATCAGAGCATATTCACATCGCAGATCATCTTAAATTCCTTACCTTTACCTTAATTTTCAGCAGCTTCACTGCCACAGGCCTTATGGCCTCTTAATCATCACCTATCTATTTTTATTTGCTTGAATTCACTACCCACTTCCGCTTTTTCATACCTCTCTGCTCTATCTATCAGTATCCTTGTGCGAAAAACCTTTATCGCTCTGTCATTTGGTCTTTTTGGTCTTTTTGGTCTTTTTGGTCTTTTTGGTCTTTTTGGTCTTTTTGGTCTTTTTGGTCTTTTTGGTCTTTTTGGTCTTTTCTGGCTATTTTGATGTTCCAGGCTTTCGGTCTCCTTGCTTTCCACCTTCACCCACTCAATGATCTCTATCGGTACCTGATTGATGGATCCTGTGGCTAGGATCAGCTCCCCAGCATCCAGAACCTCACCTTTCTGTCCAGCGAGTCAGAGTCTCAGACATTCCACTTCATCCGTTCCTTCTTCAACAGCTTCATCTTCATCATCCCAGGCTTCTTCTCCCAGTTCATCCTCCAAGATTTTTATTTGCATGTCAAGAAAGTCTATTTCATCCCACATTTCTTCATTTGAGCAAAATTCATTAGTTTCTGAATCAGTTTCGTCAAAAGGCTTTGACACAATCTCACAGCGTTTTATGTATCTTTAAAAGATTTAAATTTGGTAGTCTGAGATAATTAATGCCCTGTATGCCTCACTCTTTGCTTTGTAAAGTGTATTTGCCTTGTAAATAGGCCCTCTACTTCAAGAGCCAAAATGTATCTTATTGAATACTCTCTTTATCTTCTAGAGAGTGGCTTTCATTGATTGATATACTATTTGATGCTAGGGAAACTTCAATTCGATTGAAAGCTGCTTTTGAATCATCACTTTTATAACTGTTTTCGTCTGAACAATTTGCCACTTTTTTTGATTTTCTGAGGTTCTTAAGTTTATTAATTATTGATCGAGAAATCGATTTGAGGACGCAAAACGATCAATAAATTAAAAAATAGCAATTTGCTATTAAAATAGTCGCAAAGAAAAAGTATCCAGCTTTTTCATCTAAAGATCCCATTAAATAGTAAAGTCCACTTCATATAGTGACTGCACACACTATCCTCAGCCTTAATTCCATTTGATTTAGATTAGGCTCAATATAAGGGTTGTTTGAATACTGTAGTCGTAAATATATTGAATATAAAATAGCCACAATTATTGCTTGAATTTTTAAAGATATTCTTGCTAAAAAAACTGAACAGCAAATAAGAATAACTTTACTATACAAAATGATAAATTCCCAAAAATAGAGATTATCTTTGTATCCATTGAAAAGAAATCCATATCTTAGGCGCACACCTAAATCACTAAGTCTGCTTTTATTTCTAATAATATTTATCAAGCAAACTGTAGGCAAAATAATTCCCCATAAAATAATAGATGGCAATGAAATGGTTGCCACATAAACTATGTGATCATAATTTCAGCATCTTATATCAAGATTTTCTTCTAACCAATATTCGCCAGGATTTATTTCTGTGCAATTCATTGAAGCAAACATTTTTCTCACTACGCTTGGATGAATTAAAAACAGTAAAATAATCCCAGTTGATATAAAATCATCCCAAAATGTTTTATATGAAGTTTTGACTAATTTTATAATAATCCAAAAAAATAAACTCAAAACTAGCATAACAGCTGGAATTAAAGCCACCATAATAAGAATTTTGAAATAAACTAAATTTCTGTTGTCATTTTCTCCAAATAAGCATTGGCATGAGTAAATTTGCTGATATATATAATCTGCATTATTTTGAATATTAAAAAGGGTTAAAACTTCAGATGATCAATTGAGCTTAAAAGTGGACACTAAAATGATCATTTGAAAATAATTCAAAAATATTTTTATGAAAATTGAAGTTTGTGATTTTGGCTTTAGAGCTGATTTTCTTGTTGTTTTTATTATAATCGCCAATAAAATAATTAACCCTATTGTTATTCCTATAGTCACTAAAACGTTAGTTTTATATCCTGGACACTCCTCGCATCTATTGCTTGAAGTATAAGAAAATCCTGCTTGGCAAGATTCACACTTATTGCCCTTGTAGGATTTGCTGCATTCACCTGTATATGAAATATTATTTATATTAGGTGAGCCTAAACAAGATGAAGTATTTGGGCATTTTCAAAATTTATCTGTATACATATTGTCTCTCCAATATCCAGGGCGTGGAACCATTGTATAATTTCCAAGGCATTGAGCTTCATCGGGACAAGAAAGACAAGAAATTAAGTTTGGGTTCAAACTATAAAACCCTTGGGGACATATTTGACAACTTTTTCCTGATATGACCTCTCCAATTTTGCATTTTCTCATATTCACATTTAATATTAAATTTTGGCTATAATTGCTTTGACCTGAAGATTTTATTTTGGAAATATCAATTGCTGAAGAGGTAGCAATTATTTGAATATTCGATCCAGGCTCAGCAGAAATAACAAGTTCAGAGAAGTTAAATATTCCTTTTGATGCAGTAACTTTTGTTATTCCTGAAATTTGGGTTGTTAAACTTGTAGATTTAAGCACAGCTTCACTAATATTATCAGTGGCTATGATACGATTTAAATCGTCAACCAAAGCAATTTGCAGTTGATTTTTAATGCGTTGTCCAGGTGCGATTTCTGTTAAATTTAGGCTTGAAACAGGGTCTGATAATAATCTTTTGCTATTAAAATCTGCTAAACTGCCATCTGCTTTTACTTGCATTAGCTTGATTGGATATGAAGCTATATCTTTACCATATTGAGCTGCATTATTCTTGTATGTATTATTGAAAAGTGAAGGAGTTTGGTCATCTCAGCTGACACCTCCACCATTATACTCTGCGAAATTTTCAACAAAGTTGCTTGAATTAATATCAAATTTACATTTTTTTGTATCGAAACAGTTCATATTGACTCCCCCTCCAATCCCACTATCAATGTTTTTATATGTTAAGTCTTGGCCTGAAATAGCTTTATTCTGCTTAAAATTGGAAAAAATTATTTTTAAATTTGCGTTATTCGAGTATATTGCTCCTCCATTTTCTGCCGAATTATTTAAAAATTGACTTGAAGTAATATTAACGTTGCTACTGATATCTTTTGCAGATTTAAAAAATAAAGCACCTCCATATAGAGATGCAAAGTTATTTGCAAAATTACAATAAATAATTTCTATGTTTTTGCATGAATCACAATAAAGGGCTCCTCCATCATTTCCTGAGCCATTGCTAAACGAAGAATTTACAATTTCTAGCTTTTTTATTTGTTTTCCATATATTCCTGTAACAGAAAATTTATTAAAAATTGAATTTTCAATTGATAATTCAACTTGATTCGCATTGATAACTCCACCTCCATTAGGGCTTTCTATATCAATAAAATTCGAGCTATTGATGGATATTTTGCTATCAAAAGAAGCATAAATTGCACCACCATAAGGAGACGATAACTTGTTAAAAAATGAGTCACTGATTAATAATGCGCTTGAGCTTGCATAAATTGCTCCACCTCTTTCACTTGATTTTCCATTATAAAAGGATGCATTAGCTACATATGCATTGCTTTCAGCTAATAAATATATAAAACTTCCTGAAGTACTTCTTTGATTTTCAAATTTTGAATCATATATTTCTGCATTCGAATATGTTAGTGATAATCCTGGGCTGTATCCCTCAGCTGAATTATTGCTAAAAATGGATGATGAGATCTTTATTTTTGAGCTAACTAAATTAATCAAACCTAAGTTTGATGCATAATTGTTGGAAAATCGGGATAAAATTAGTGAAGAAGCTATCAAATTGCAGTTAAAAGCATAGATTGCAGACCCATCATTTTCACATGAATTTTTTTCGAATTTTGAATTTAATATAAAAAATTGAGACTCTTGTTCAGCGTTTAGTACTCCACCTTTTCTTTTTGCTTTATTTTGAATAAATGAACAACTTTCACAATAAAAAAACGATTTCGAAGTAATTGATATCGCTCCTCCGTCTTTCTCACATGTATTATTTAAAAATTGTGATGAGCTTGCATACAAAATAGCAGAGTTTCGAAGGTAAAAACAAGATCCATAAGGAGCAAAATTAAACTGAAAAACAGAACCATTATCTGTAAAATAATCAAAATTCAAAAAAGCGACTCTTGCATTGTTGTGTTCAAAAACAGAATTCTTAGTTTCAATAGTTGACTTTCTATTTTGGCTTTCTGTATATATAACTGAGTTTCCAGTATTTTTTCTGAAAATAGAGAGCTCAATGCATATTTTTGAAGGCAAATTTTTTGTATCTTCCACTATATCAATTGCCAAAACAGCTGCCAAATATGAAGAATTTTCAATGAAAACACACGATTTAAACGATAAAATTCCACTGCTGAAATATAGCATTATAGTTCCTGACTGTTTTGAAACATTTTCACTGAAATTAGAAATTAATATAACTGACTCTTTAGAAAGTGCTACTGAGCTATCTATATATAAGGCTGCACCATTATTTGCATAATTTCCTATAAAATTTGATTCCAAAATTTTAAAGTCAAGACTTTCTAATGACCTTGAGCTCTGAATCAAAAAAATTGCTCCTCCATTAGAAGAAGCTGAATTTCGAATAAAATCACTTGATGATATAATAAGCGACGACATTCTACTATTTTGCAATAAAGAAACAAAATATAAGGCTCCACCATTGCCCTGCCTTGATTCATTTGAATCAAAGATTGAAGACTCAATAAAGATGCTCACTCCTGAAAAGTAAACTGCAGGGGATAAACCTGCTAGGTTATTATTGAAAGAACAGTTTGATATATATAAAGTATTCTCACTCTCTACTCCTAATGCTCCATACCCTGAAATGTAATTGTTTATATTCTCAATAAATTTTGAATTAGTGAAATTTCTATCGTAAGATCCTGTAAAATAAAAGCACACTGGCAATTTTCCATTTCCAATATTTCCAGAACAGCTTAGAGAATTTAAGTTATTGGAATTTGACTTATCAATTATGAAAGTTGGTGATGAATTTCTGCAGATATTTTTTGTAATGTTAACACCTTCGATATATAAATTAATTGATTTCGATAAACTCACCATAAATTCACAATCTACAGCTTTTGTATTATATTTTGGGTTACTTATATATAAGTCTCAATCATCCCTATTTTCAATAAAATATTTAAGAATTAGAGAATTGACATTTGAGTCTTCGTACGGAGATCCATTAGAATCTATAGTCAAATTTTTTAAATCAAAATTAACCAAATTTACTGTAGTGATCATTCCTTTGGCATGATTATTTTTGAAAGAAATATCAATAAATTTGCATCATCTTGGAACTGAAATGACATTAACGTATCTAAAATTGTTAAAAACAATAGTTTGGGTTGTTTTGGTTTTATAATAATCTAATACTGCAGAGTTGTATATATAAATTAATGAATCGCTTTCTGCTCCATTTGATTCAATGGTCAAATTGCTTAGGTGAACATTTAATAGCAAACCGAGAAACTCTACACGGATTAATCCAAATTTTCCATAGTTGGATATAAAATTGGTGTTCTTAATGTCTATGTGAGAAATAGTCACATAAGTTAAATATCAAGTTTCATTAAAACTAGAATCATAACTTTCTATATTTAAATTGCTGTAAAATATCCCTGTTTCACAAAAATTATACATAAAAGTGCAGTTATCAATTTCAAATTTTCTCAAATTACTAATATATATTAGTGAACCAGTCGAAAGAGAGCTTTGTGGTTTTAAATAAACCAAATTATATTTAAAATCCACATTTTTTATAGTAAAAGTCGAATAAGATTCAGAATATAAAAATCCTCGGAAATCAAGTGGGTCTTCAAATTCAAATCCGTTATTTAGTCTAGTCACAGAGCCTCCTTTGTAAGTAAAATTTCCATATGAATGCACAACTGCATTTGCTTCTTTTCCACTTAGTCATATATTATCAAAAATTACATTAATTAGCTCAATTGTCCCATTCCCAGATATAATGGAGTCATAATTGAATCTAAAATTTCTAATTTCAACATTCGTTAATGTAAATGCAGATTTAGCATAAAATAGGCTAAGACTCCCAGTTTTGTCAATCTTGCAGCTATCTAAAGATATATTTCGCGAAATGCGCTGATTTCTATCATTATAGTATACCCAAGGCTCCTTTAATTCAGGATCTCAAATGACTCTCTATACATAAAAGCTATTTAGTCTCTCAAATCTATCCAAATGCAAATAGAATAACTATTTATGAAATTGGCTATCCAGCCCTTTCAGGTAAACATAGTGAGATTCCAGGAATACTGAGCCTAAAGGAGGCTCGGACTATAATAGCCGTCACTTTCATTATAAAACCTATATGCACAATAATCGCAATATATAGAATTACACCCATTATCCTGTCCAGATCCATCAATAATCACATTTTCAAACTTGATATAAGAAACCATTGAGCATGAAAGCCTCGATCATCCATTAATCTTTATCAAAACCTTACTCCCATCATATGAGGCTATTACAACAGATGAGGCTTTTCCTAAAGGATTACAGTCAGTTAAACTATAATTTCCATCGTTATATAAATAGAAATAAAGTATTTGATTTCGCAATATAGGTGGATCCAATAAGCTTTCGCTAGACAGTTTAGACTGCAATGCATAATCAATTGTTTCAAATGGAGAAATCACAGTCCCATTTCCTGCTGGGTAAAGCCCTTTCTGAGTTGAAGTCACATAGTAAAACTGAAAGTCTGGATGCTTTAAGAGTTTTCAATGATTATTGTAGGTTAAATAAAATTCACCTATGTATAAAGATGAAGGATAACAGCCATTGACAATGTTACATAGATCGCAGCTGTAAATACTACAAAAATCGCAAAATAATTGAGGTAAAACAGGACAATTATCCTTATCTATAATATGACATAAGCCATAATTACATTCTTTAAACAAGCATTCAGGGTAGCATGATGTTAAGTCTAATGACATTGTTATATTGCATTTATTAGATGATGCGACTGAGCAAATTTCAAAAGATACAATAGCATTTGTACTCCCAGCAAAATATTGCTGATAAATAGTGTATTTTATTAAATCTTCATCATAGCACCACTTGCTAGGATCACTGCTTACTCTATCATACTTGCAATCACTTACTAAGCACGATGGCTTGCACTTTCCATAATCTTCTGGCATACAATACGGTGAGCATCCACAATCAAAATTGTCATATTTACAACGAAAAGTATTGCAAGCTTCATCACATACTTCGTTTCTAAGCATGTCTAAATAGCATCCACTTTCACAAAACCCACACTTTTCAGAATCAAAATCACAATTATAGGTATTGCAAACCTCATCGCATATATCATTTTCTAATAATTCTGGAATGCATCCAGGAGAACAATCGCAATCAAGATTATCATAATTGCATTCTTCAACATAGCAAGTTTCATCACAAATGGAGTTTCCAATCATTCACAAGTAGCAGCCAGGCGCACAAGTGATATTGAAGCAGTCTCCATTATCATAATTACATGGAGAACTATTGCATTCCTCATTGCATATCCCATCTCCTCATATAGTCAAATTGCAGCCTTCGGCACATTCTGAGCACGCTCCCATGTCATAATAGCAAGAATCTGTATCGCACTCAGGATCACACTCATTTCCTAATTGAGATTTTTGACCTATATATGGAATACATGATTCAGCGCAGTACCCGCAATCTCCTAAGTCATATCCGCAAAAAAATTTACCGCACGGAATATCGCAATTGCCATCCCCAAGAATACTGAAATCGCAAAAAGGAGTGCTGCTATAGCATTTTGAAAGACAATCTGAGCTTTGAATTTGAGTTGAGGTATTATAAAAACCTCCTGTGTCATAATTGCAAAAAGGATTCATGCAGCCAGAATTGCATATGCCATCGCCTCGCTAATTATGAATTACGACTATTGGAGGGCATTTGTTAGGATTGCACAGCATATCTATGCTAGAAACAGGAATTCAAAAGGTCAGAGAAAGCCAGAGCATATTTTTATTAAAAGTAAGCAGCTGAAGAAATCACTAAGAAAGCAGAGAAATGTCTTTTGCATCTGGCCTGGTGCTAGACAGAGCTATGCAGGATAGAAATGATAGGCTATATAATTTAAGGATGCTGGAAGGAAAAGAATAAAGAAACAGCTGCTGTGAGATACCCTGACGATTTTAATTACTATATAACGCTGATAAATATTATTGAAGATTTTTATAACAATAAACTCGACTAGGCTGAAGAAGTATGGGAAAGGCTCCCATTATGATAAGATGAACAAAGATTGAGGTTTTGGACATGAAAAAATTAACTCTACATATGAATCTGCAAAATTTTGGATGAGCAGAGGAAATTGAAGAGAGCCTTGAAGTGAATGATGTTAATCTAAAAAGAAGTGAGAAATAGCAGACAATTTAGTAAGAAAATTGGATTAGCAAGGGGATAAGAATGTGTAGTGAAAAGAAATAGATCATTATTATTATGCATTTTATCGCTGTGATCCAGATTTCTCTTTTTTACTTATTAGCAGATTCTTAATACTATTGTTATCTCTACTAATGCATTTTCATGAGTTTCTTTCAGCCAGCTAATAAATCTGTGCGAATATAGCACAATCTCATTAATCGCAAATCTACTTTCAATAATTCCTTCCAGCACTCCTACCTTTTGCAACTTCATTAAAAACTCTACTCTTTTTCATCATACAAGCTATTTAGAAGATGGATTTCATCTTCCTCAATTCATCCACATCTATTGCATCTGCAACTTCGATTTAATTTTTTAGGCTCTGCGAACGGCCATCATGCTTCCCATGAGGTTCAGATAAATGTATGGGTGCTCCACCAGATTGTCGTTAATTTAAAGCATAAAATATAGTCTTGTGGCCGGCACTTCCATTTCAATTATTCGCTAGATACTGATGTCCTGCCTTCTGATCCTAGACTCTATCAACTTTTTAGCTTCCTAACAATTTCTCTAATATTCTGAACCTAAACAATTAGCACAAATGCTAGCCCATGAAAGACCATTTGCTCATTCAATAAATAAATTTTCCAAATATTGTCCCATTTCTGCTTTCCCTCTCTGTTTCGGTGATATTTCAGCATTCTGCATTTCATATTTAAAATTAAATATCCATATATAAGGTCTTATTTGCAACTCCTTGGGAGCACCTAACAGTCATCTTATCTATCTTCTTGGATTATCTCCAGTGTTTAAGCATTTTTACCGCTCTTTCAGTGATATCAGCTGTTTCCATGCTATAGAGACCTTCAGAGTTGACACACACCTTCAAGATCGCTAACTTCTTATGCAGCTGCAGATACTTTAAGCATCTACCCAAGATTAAGCCGAATGCTGCTTTCATCTTCTTTACCCTTTCTTCCAAATGATGAGAATTATTAATCCTTTTCCATACTCAGGCATCTATAACCTTCTTCTATCTTGAGCACTCTATCATTAATCCTAAATCAAGCATTCTGTTCGCATTTCAAAATATCACAATTTCATGGTTTATATTAACTTTATACTCTTATCCCAAGACTTCAATTTGCTTTTTAAGCATCTGTCCATCTTTTGCTATAAGTAAGTAATGTCATGAAGTGAATTAAAACTATACTATTAAAAAGTACTGAATATATATAAGCAGCATTGTAATGGAAATGAAGATGCAGATATAGCATTATGCACGTAAATACTTTTTTTATGCTAATCAAATGATTGGCTCAGCAAATAGTTGAGATATAAATTAAATTATTATTTCTTCAGCGCTCTATATATTTATAAGAATTAAATGGTAAAACACCTTTTAGAGACTTAAATTATTGAATTATTAATAAATATGTTATCAATGGAGGATCCTTTAAAAAATAAACCTTAATTAATGATTTTAGGGATTATTTAGCAAATTATTAACCTGAAGAGCTCTTAAATACTAATATAATTTGTAAAAATTTTATTTTTAACCTGCAAAATGTTTAAAACTAAACAGAATTAGCTAGATATTTCATTATAATAACTATTGCATATATATTAAATTAATTTAAAATAATTATATAAAAAAAATTTTTATTCATGGAGCTTTTATTCTGAAATAATGTCTTTTTAAATGGTTTTGCTAGCACAGGGTAGGGAGTAAGAAAAATTCTAACTTTATTGAGAATTTTTTTCCACTATTTCTATTTCAATTCAGCATTGTTTAGCTATGTTCATTCCTCGTATATCATTAGTATGCTGACCAGATATGCTTAATGATTTTTCAAAGCACACTTTTGCTTCTATTTCTCTTTTTCAAAAGTATTATAAAAGTCCAAGCAATAAATATAACTCTCGTTTTAAGCTCCAGCTACTTAAAAAATTTGTTTTAAATATCTCTTCAATATATTTTAATATTTTTTCTGCTTTTATTAAATCTCGAATCCTTAACAGAACATTAACAAAATCTATTCACCTTAAAATTTCATCATGCTTGGGCTGTATCTTTCCTGGAGTACCCATCAATATTTTATCAATTTTATATATTTTTTCTATTTGATTTAAGTATTTATCTACTTCTTCTCTTTCACCTTGTTCAATTTTAAGTTTTGCTCATATTAGCATCACATTGGCCTGTAAGAGATCTAAAGCTGGATTTTTTTCTAAAACTTCTCATGCCTTCACTAAAACAGTTTCACACTTTTAAATTTCATTATTAAATAAAAAATAATCAATAAGAAATTTAGCTGAGCTCAAATCATGGTCATATAGACAAAAATTGTAGTAATCAATAAGCTTAAAAGCTTCCATATAATAGATTCCAGCACTATCATATCACCCTTTTTACAATAAGATTTTCCAATCCTTGCATTTATAACACAAAGAAATGTTTTATCTATTTGATATCCGCATGATAATAATGTTTTTAGTTTAAGATAAGATTCAATGGATTTTTCATAATTTTGAATCAAAGAATAAATAGATCCAATATAATTCTTGATTTTGATTAGTTCATTATCATAACAAATTTTTTCAATAGTTTCAAAGTATCGCAAAGCCTCCTCATAATCTCCATGATAATAATAAAATCTTGCTATTGCATCATAATTATCTATAATTAGAGAATCGCCAAGAGGTCAAATCCCACAGTAAGATTTTGCATTGAAAAAAGCTATATGGGCTTTTTAAAATTATTTTTTCCCCAGGCAAGTAATTATGATAGAAGTATTAGAAGCTTGCCTGTAGACAAAGCCACAGAAGAAAGTGACATGAATATTAATTCATAAGGATAAAACAAATAAAAGTTCAATAAAGATAACTTGCTGAAAAAATAGTTAGCTAATCTTTTTTGAAAAATATAATTTCTTGATTTCCTCAATTTTAATAAAAATATGCTCTGGCTTTCTCTGACCTTTTGAATTCCTGTTTCTAGTATAGATATGCTGTGCAATCCCAACAGATGCCCTCCAATAGTGGTAATTCCTAATCAGCGAGGCGATGGCACATGTAATCCTGGCTGCATGAATCCTTTTTGCAATTATGATACAGGAGTTCTTTATAATACCTCAGCTCAAGCTCAAAGCTCAGATTGTTTTCCACAATGCCCTGCTTGGGGTGGTGAATGCACTTTAAGTACTCTTGGGAATGGCGATTGCGCTCAACATTGCCAAGATTATCTTTGCGGATATGACTTAGGAGATTGCGGGTACTGCGCTGAATCATGTATTCCATATATAGGTCAAAAATCTCAATTAGGAAATGAGTGCGATCCTGAGTGCAACACAGATTCTTGCTATTATGACATGGGAGCCTGCTCAGAATGTGCCGAAGGTTGTAATTTGACTATATGAGGAGATGGGATATGTAATGAGGAATGTAATAGTTCCCCATGCAATTATGATAATGGAGACTGCTTCAATATCACTTGTGCGCCTGATTGCTACTTGTGAATGATTGGAAACTCCATTTGTGATGAAACTTGCTATGCTGAAGAATGCAATTACGATGATGTTGATTGTGATTGTTCTCCTGGATGTACTTCAGAGTTATGTATGCGATGAGGTTTGCAATACCTATAATTGTGATTTTGATGCTGAAAAGTGTGGGTTTTGTGAAAGTGGATGCCACTTAGACATGCTTAGAAACGAGGTATGCGATGAAGTTTGTAATACTTTTCGTTGTAAATATGACAATTTTGCTTGTCGATGCTCACCATATTGTATGCCAGAAGATTATGGAAAATGCAAACCAGCATGTTTAGTAAAAGATTGCAAGTATGATAGAGTCAGCAGTGATTCTAGCAAGTGATGCTATGATGAAGAATTAATAAAATACACCATTTATCAGCAAAGTTTTACTTATAATACAAATGCTATTGTATCTTTTGAAATTTGTTCAGTGGCATCATCTAATAAATGCAATTTAACAATGTCATTAGACTACAAATCCTACTACCCTGAATGTTTTTTTGAAGAATGTAATTTTGGCTTATGCCACTTAAATGATGGGTATCATGGGTGTCCTAATATACCTCAATCTTTTCCCAATAAATGTAGTATTTACGACTGCTATTTATGCAACCTCACCTACTGTTATCCTTCAACTTTTAGCATAGGTGAATTTGCTTTAACCGACATTAATTATTGAAAGTTTTTTAAGCATCCAGATTTTCAGTTTTACTATGTGACTTCAATTCAGAAAGGGTCTTACCCATCAGGAAATGGGACTGCGATTTCTCCATTTGAAACACTTGATTATGCATTACAGTTTAAACTGCCTATTAATCAAAGTTTAGCGGATCCATCTATATTGGAAAATCAAATACTTTATTTCTATTTATTTAACGATGGAAATTATACTTTAACTGACTGTGATCCTTTAGAAAAGCCCTCATCCGTTGTAATAGGCTCATATGATGGAAGTAAGATTTTGATAAAGATTAATGGATGATCGCGGCTTTCATGCTCAATGATTTCATATATCAAGTTTGAAAATGTTATTATCGATGGATCTGGGCAAGATAATGGGTGTGATTCTATATACTGCGATTATTGTGCATATAGTTTTTATAATGAAAGTGACGGCTATTACTATAATGATAGAAATCAGCGCATATCACAAAATATATCTTTAGATAGCTGTCAGATTGACAAAACTGGGAGTCTTAGCCTATTTCATGCTGATTCTGAATTGACATTAAGAAATGTTGAAATTAGAAATTTTAGATTCAATTATGATTCTATTATATCTGGGAATGGGACAATTGAGCTAATTAATGTAATTTTTGATAATATATGACTAAGTGGAAAAGAAACAAATGCAGTTGTGCATCCACATGGAAATTTTACTTACTTAGGAGGCTCTGTGACTAGATTGAATAACGGATTTGAATTTGGAGACCCACTTGATTTTCGAGGATTTTTGTATTCTGAATCTTATTCGACTTTTATTATAAAAAATGTGGATTTTAAATATAATTTGGTTTATTTAAAACCAAAAAGCTCTCTTTCGACTGGTTCACTAATATATATTAGTAATTTGAAAAAATTTGAAATTGATAACTGCACTTTTATGCATAATTATTGTGAAACAGGAATATTTTACAGCAAATTAAATATAGAAAGATACGACTCTAGTATTAATGAAACTTTTTATTTGACTTATATGACTATTACTCATATAATCATTAAGAACACCAATTTTATATCAAACTATGGAAAATTTGGATTAATCCGAGTAGAGTTTCTTGCCTTGCTATTAAATGTTCACCTAAGTAATTTAACCATTGATTCAAATGGCGCAGAAAGCGATTCATTAATTTATATATACAACTCTGCAGTATTAGATTATTATAAAACAAAAACAACCCAAACTATTGTTTTTAATAATTTTAGATACGTTGATGCCATTTCAGTTCCAAGATGATGCAAATTTATTGATATTTCTTTCAAAAATAATCATGCCAAAGGAATGATCACTACAGTAAATTTGGTTAATTTTGATTTAAAAAATTTGACTATAGATTCTAATGGATCTCCGTACGAAGACTCAAATGTCAATTCTCTAATTCTGAAATATTTTATTGAAAATAGGGATGCTTATGACTTATATTTAAGTAAACCAAAATATAATGCAAAAGCTGTAGATTGTGAATTTATGGTGAGTTTATCGAAATCAATTAATTTATATATCGAAGATGTTAATATTACAAAAAATATCTGTAGAAATTCATCACCAACTTTTATAATTGATGATTCAGATTCCAATAGCTTAAATTCTCTAAGCTGCTCTGGGAATGTTGGAAATGGACCATCGCCAGTGTGTTTTTATTTTACAGGATCTTATGATAGAAATTTCACAAATTTAAAATTTATTGAGAATATAAACAATTACATTTCAGGTTATGGTGCACTAGGAGTTGAGAGTGAAAATACTTTGTATATATCAAACTGTTCTTTCATTAATAACCTAGCAGGTTTATCCCCTGCAGTTTACTTTTCAGGAGTAAGTATTTTTATTGAGTCTTCAATCTTTGATTCAAATGAATCGAGGCAGGGCAATGGTGGAGCCTTATATTTTGTTTCTTTATTTCAAAATAATAAAATATCGTGGCTTATTATATCATTAAGTGATTTTATTCGAAATTCAGCTTCTTCTAATGGAGGAGCAATTTTTTTGATTCAGAGCTCAAGGTCATCAGAAAGTCTTGACTTTAAAATTTTGGAATCAAATTTTATAGGAAATTATGCAAATAATGGTGCAGCTTTATATATCGATAGCTCAGTAGCACTTTCTAAAGAGTCAGTTATATTAGTTTCTAATTTCAATGAAAATGTCTCAAAACAGTCAGGAACTATAATTCTATATTTCAGCAGTGGAATTTTATCTTTTAAATCCTGTGTTTTCATTGAAAACTCTTCATATTTGGCAGCTGTTTTGGGAATTGATATAGGAGAAGATACAAAAAATTTGCCTTCAAAAATATGTATTGAGCTCTCTATTTTCAGAAAAAATACTGGAAACTCAGTTATTTATACAGACAGCCAAAATAGAAATTCAACTGTTGAAACTAAGAATTCTGTCTTTGAATACAACAATGCAAGAGTCGTTTTTTTGAATTTTGATTATTTTACAGATAATGGTTCTGTTTTTCAGTTTAATTCTGCTCCTTATGGATCTTGTTTTTACCTTCAAAACTCTGCTATTTTATATGCAAGCTCATCACAATTTTTAAATAATACATGTGAAGAATACGGCGGAGCGATATCAATTACTTCGAAATCATTTTTTTATTGTGAAAGTTGCTCATTTATTCAAAATAAAGCAAAAAGAAAAGGTGGAGTACTAAACGCTGAACAAGAGTCTCAATTTTTTATATTAAATTCAAAATTCGAAAAAAATTCATGTGAAAATGATGGGTCTGCAATCTATGCTTTTAACTGCAATTTGGTAGCTTCTTCTCTAATTTTATCCCAATTTACCAACAATTATGCATCAAACTTAGGTTTGATTAATATGGTTAGCTCAAAAATAGTGATCTCATCATCCATTTTTAGCAATAATTCAGCTGAAGGATACACTCCAGGATTATCACTAACGTATTCGAATGCAGAAATATATGATTCAAAATTTGAAAATCAAAGAAGTATTTCAGGAAGTTTTATATATTTATTAGCAGAAAGCAATGCATATGTAGCTAATGCAACCTTTTCTAATGGAAAATCAAGTGAAAGAGGTGGAGCAATTTATGCAAGCTCAAGTGTTTTATTAATCAAGGACTCATTTTTTAACAAATTATCATCTCCTAGTGGCGGTGCAATTTATGCTTCTTTTGATAGCCAAATATCCATAAATAGCTCGAATTTCGTTGATATAGAAAGCCTTATTGGAGGTGGAGTTATCAATGTGAATCAAGTCGAATTATCAATTGAAAATTCAATCTTTAATAAATTTTCTGTTACAGGAATATATGGAAAACAAATAAAAAAGCTAGAAATTGTAAATTCTTCATTTAGCAATGGTTCAGGAAATGATGGAGGAGCTCTTTATTGTGATTCATGTAGAAATATAGAAATTATATATTGTAATTTTGCGAATAATTTTGCGTCTTTACATGGAGGTGCTTTATTTTTTAAATCTACAAAAGATATCAGTAGCAACGCTAATGTGACTTCAAGCAAGTTTTTAAATAACTCGGCACAAAATGGAGGAGCAATATACTCGAATAATGCAAATTTAAAAATAATTTTTTCCAATTTTAAGCAAAATAAAGCTATTTCAAGCCAAGACTTAACAAATAAAAACATTGATAGTGGGATTGGAGGGGGAATCAATATGAATTGTTTCGATACAAAAAAATGTAAATTTGATATTAATTCAAGCGTTTTTATTGAAAACTTCGCTGAATATAATGGTGGAGGTATCAGCTGAGATGACCAAACTCCTTCACTTTTCAATAATACATATAAAAATAACGCAGCTCAATACGGTAAAGATATAGCTTCATATCCAATCAAGCTAATGCAAGTAAAAGCAGATGGCAGTTTAGCAGGTTTTAATAGCAAAAGATTATTATCAGACCCTGTTTCAAGCCTAAATTTAACAGAAATCGCACCTGGACAACGCATTAAAAATCAACTGCAAATTGCTTTGGTTGACGATTTAAATCATATCATAGCCACTGATAATGTTAGTGAAGCAGTGCTTAAATCTACAAGTTTAAGAACCCAAATTTCTGGAACAACAAAAGTTACTGCATCAAAAGGAATATTTAACTTCTCTGAACTTGTTATTTCTGCTGAGCCTGGATCGAATATTCAAATAATTGCTACTTCTTCAGCAATTGATATTTCCAAAATAAAATCTTCAGGTCAAAGCAATTATAGCCAAAATTTAATATTAAATGTGAATATGAGAAAATGCAAAATTGGAGAGGTCATATCAGGAAAAAATTGTCAAATATGTCCCCATGGGTTTTAGTTTGAACCCAAACTTGATTTCTTGTCTTTCTTGTCCCGATGAAGCTCAATGCCTTGGAAATTATACAATGGTTCCACGCCCTGGATATTGGAGAGACAATATATATACAGATAAATTTTGAAAATGTCCCTATCCTTCATCTTGTTTAGGCTCGCCTAACATAAACAATATTTCATATACAGGTGAATGCAGTGAAGCCTACAAGGGCAATAAATGTCAATCTTGCAAAGCAGGGTTTTCTTATACTTCAAGCAACAAATGTGAAAAGTGTCCAGGATATAGAACTAACGTTTTAGTGACTATAGGAATAACAATAGGGTTAATTATTTTATTGGCAATTATAATAAAAACAACAAGAAAATCCGCTCTAAAGCCAAAGTCCCAAATTTCAATTTTCATAAAAATATTTTTGAATTATTTTCAAATGATCATTTTAGTATCCACTTTTAAGCTCAACTGATCATCTGAAGTTTTGACCCTTTTTAATATTCAAAATAATGCAGATTATGTGTATCAGCAAATTTATTCATGCCAATGCTTATTTGGATCAAATGATATACTTCTTTTCTTGGAGTGGCGCTGCAAGTGCAGGCCACTCCATGTGGAATTCCTGTGTTGGTTTAACCAACATAGGAGTTGGTCGAACCAAAACTGTGCGTTGGTTCGACCAACCCATGAATTCCGCATGGAGTGGCCTGCGCTTGCAGCGCCACTCCAAGGAAGTTTCTATAGCAGCAATTTAGTTTATTTCAAAATTCTTATTATGGTGGCTTTAATTCCAGCAATTATGTTGGTTTTGAGTTTATTTTTTTGGATTATTATAAAACTAGCCAAAACTTCATACAAAACATTTTGGGATGATTTTATATCAACTGGGATTATTTTATTATTTTTAATTCATCCAAGTATAGTGAGAAAAATGTTTGCATCAATGAATTGCACAGAAATTAATCCTGGCGAATATTGATTAGAAGAAAATCTTGATTTTAGATGCTGAAATTATGATCATATGGTTTATGTGGCAACCATTTCATTGCCATCTATTATTTTATGGGGAATTATTTTGCCTACAGTTTGCTTAATAAATCTAATTAAAAATAAAAGCAGACTGAGTGATTTAGGTGTGCGTCTAAGATATGGGTTTCTTTTCAATGGATACAAAGATAATCTCTATTTTTGGGAATTTATCATTTTGTATAGTAAAATTATTCTTATTTGCTGTTCAGTTTTTTTAGCAAGAGTATCTTTAAAGATTCAAGCAATAATTGTGGCTATTTTATATTCAATATATTTAAGACTACAGTATTCAAATAACCCTTATACTGAGCCTAATCTAAATCAAATGGAATTAAGGTCAAGGATAGTCTGTGCAGTCACTATATGAAGTGGGCTTTACTATTTAATGGGATCTTTAAATGATGAAGCTGGATACTTTTTCTTTGCAATTATTGTCATAGCAAATTGCTATTTTTTAATTTATTGATCATTTTGCGTCCTCAAATCGATTTCTCGATCAATAATTAATAAAATTAAGAGTCTCAGAAAATCAAAAAAAGTGGCAAATTGTTCAGACGAAAACAGTTATAACAGTGAAAATTCAAAAGCAGCTTTCAATCGAATTGAAGTTTCTCTAGTATCAAATAGCATATCAATCAATAAAAGCCATGCACTAGAAGATAAAGAGAGCATTCAATAAGAAACATTCGAGGCTCTTATTAAATTAGAAAAATTATTAAAATAGATTCATCATAAATGCTTAAACGGTAGCTAAACTTTGAGATAATTATTTGAATTTGTGCTTATAAAAATAGAGATTATTGTAATATTATTTTTCTTATAGATCTAATCTTTTTAGAAAAATATAATTTCTTGATTTTCCTCAATTTTTAATAAAAATATGTTCTGGCTTTCTTTGATCTTTTGAATTCCTGTTTTTAGCATAGATATGCTGTGCAATCCCAACAAATGCCCTCCAATATTCGTAATTCCTAATCAGCGAGGCGATGGCATATGCAATCCTGGCTGCATGAATCCTTTTTGCAATTATGATACAGGAGGTCTTTATAATTCCTCAACTCAAGTTGAAAGCTCAGATTGTCTTTCACAATGCCCTAGCAGCGTTAGATCTTGCGATTTGAATTTTCTTGGGGATGGCTATTGCGATGATTGGTGCGATAAGTTTTATTGCGGATATGACTTAGGAGATTGCGGTTACTGCGCTCAATCATGTATTCCATATATAGGTCAAAAATCTCAATTAGGAAACGAGTGCGATCCTGAGTGCGCTACAGAATCTTGCTATTTTGACATGGGAGCCTGCTGAGAATGTGCTGAAGGCTGCAATTTGACTATATGAGGAGATGGGATATGTAATGATGAATGTAATAATTCCCAATGCAATTATGATAATGGAGACTGCTTCAATGTCACTTGTGCACCTAATTGCTATTTGTGAATGATTGGAAATTCCATTTGTGACGAAGCTTGTCATGTCGAAGAATGCAATTATGATGAATTCGACTGTGATTGCTTTTCTGGATGCACTTTAGAGTTATTACAAAATGATATATGTGATGAGGTTTGCAATACCTATGATTGTGATTTTGATGCTGGAAATTGTGGCTTTTGTGAGAGTGGATGCTATTTAGACATGCTTAGAAACGAGGTATGTGATGAAGCTTGCAATACTTTTCGTTGTAAATATGACAATTTTGCTTGTGGGTGTTCACCTTATTGTATGCCAGAAGATTATGGAAAATGCAAACCAGAGTGTTTAGTAAGTGATTGCAAGTATGATAGAGTAAGCAGTGATCCTAGCAAGTGGTGCTATGATGAAGATTTAATAAAATACACCATTTATCAGCAATATTTTTATCATAGTTTAAATGCTATTGTATCTTTTGAAGCTTGCTCAATTGTATCATCTAATAAATGCAATGTAACAATGTCATTAGACTCAGTATCATGCTACCCTGAATGTTTTTTTAGAGAATGTAATTACGGCTTATGCCACATTATAGATTTAAGGAATTGTCCTGATTTTCCTGAAGGAAATTTATGTAATTATTGTAATCTTTACAGCTGTGATCTATGTGGAGCCTTAAACAATGTCTGTTATCCTTCGGCTTTATACATAGGTGAATTTTATTTACTCTACTATAATAATTGAAAACTCTTTAAGCATCCAGACTTTCAGTTTTATTATGTGACTTCAACTCAGAAAGGGCCTTATCCATCAGGAAATGGGACTTTGATTTTTCCTTTTGAAACACTTGATTATGCATTACAGTCTAAACTGTCTAATACTGAAATACTTGATCCACCAGAATGAGATAATCAACAAATTTATTTCTATTTATATAACGATGGAAATTATACTTTAACTGACTGTGATCCTTTAGGAAAAGTCTCATCTGTTGTTATAGCCTCGTATGATGGAAGTAAGATTTTGATAAAGATTAATGGATGATCGCGGCTTTCATGCTCAATGGTTTCTTATATCAAGTTTGAAAATGTGATTATCGATGGATCTGGACAGGATAATGGGTGTAATTCTATATATTGCGATTATTGTGCCTATAGTTTTTATAATGAAAGTGACGGCTATTACTATAATGATAGAAATCAGCGCATATCACAAAATATATCTTTAGATAGCTGCCAGATTGAAGAAACTGGGAGTCTTAGCCTATTTTATGCTAAATCTGCATTTACATTAACGAATGTTGAAATTAGAAATTTTAGATTCAATTATGACTCCATTATATCTGGGAATGGGGCAATTGAGCTATTTAATGTATTTTTTGATAATATATGGCTAAGTGGTAAAGAAAAAAATGCAGTTGTGCATCCAGATGGAAATTTTACTTACTTAGGAGGCTCTGTGACTAGATTAAATAACGGATTTGAATTTGGAGACCCACTTGATTTTCGGGGATTTCTATATTATGAATCAAATTCAGCTCTTACTATAAAAAATGTGGATTTTAAATATAATTTGATTTATTTAAAACCGCAAAGCTCTCTTTCGAGTGGCTCACTAATATATATTAGCAATTTGGCAAAATTTGAAATGGATAACTGCACTTTTATGTATAATTATTGCGAAACAGGGATATTTTACAGCAAATTAAATATAGACAGTTATGATTCTAGTTTTAACGAAACTTGATATTTAACTTATGTGACTATTTCTCACATAGACATTAAGAACACCAATTTTATATCAAACTATGGAAAATTGGGATTAATCCGTGTAGAGTTTGTTGGCTTGCTATTAAATGTTCACCTAAATCACCTTTCATCTATGAGCAAGCAAGCAAATATTTTTACTCAATGGATTAATTTTTTTTAGAATATAGAAATTTTTTCGACATTCAAAAATATTTAATTTTAATGTGAGTATAGCTCAGTCTTGGCTCACCCCTCCCTTAACCCCCTATGCTTTATTTTTGATGAAACTTTCAAAATCAATTTGAAATATCAAAATGCTTACGATAGATTTCTCATTTTTTTTTCTTTTTTTCCAATTCATTTAGAATGAATCTTCCAGATGAAGGGAAGAGACATCAATTTCGATCCATGACTGCTCTCGAAGTATATATAAAAATTTTTAGAGTTAATATAAATTTAATTTGGAGAATAATGCAAATCTTCTAGTTTTTATAGAGATTTTTATATTATATAATAAAAAAAAAATTTGCTTGAGATAAATTTTATATAAATTAGTGATTTTGCTCGTTTATGAAGGGAGTATTGTAAGCAATTTGACCTTTGAATTAAATGGAGCAGAAAGTAATTCATTAATTTATATATACAACTCAGCCATATTAGATTATTATAAAACCAAAACAACCCAAATTATTATAAAGAATTCAAGATCCATTGATGTCTTTTCAGTCCCGAGATGATGCAAATTTATTGATATTTCTTTCAAAAATAATCATGCCAAAGGAATGATCACTGCAGTAAATTTGGTCAACTTTGATTTAAAAAATTTGACTATAGATTCTAATGGATCTCCGTACGATGATGCAGATGTCAATTCCCTAGTTCTTAAATATTTTATTGAAAATAGGGATGCTTGAGACTTGTATATAAGTAAAGAAAAATATGATGCAAAAACTTTAGATTGTGAATATATGGTGAGTTTATCGAAATCAATTAATTTAGGTATTGAAGGTGTTAATATTACAAAAAATATCTGCAGAAATTCATCGCCAACTTTTATAATTGATAATTCAAATTCCAATAGTTTAAATTCTCTAAGCTGCTCTGGAAATGTTGGAAATGGACGATTGCCAGTATGTTTTTATTTTACAGGATCTTATGATAGAAATTTCACTAATTTAGAATTTATTGAGAATATAAACAATTACATTTCAGGATATGGTGCACTAGGGGTAGAGAGTGAGAATATTTTATATATATCAAACTGTTCTTTCATTAATAACTCAGCAAGTTTATCCCCTGCAGTTTATTTTTCAGGAGTAAGTATTTTTATTGAGTCTTCAATCTTTGATTCAAATGAGTCAAGGCAGGGCAGTGGTGGAGCCTTATATTTTATTTCTTTGCTGCAAAATAATAAAATATCGTCGCTTCTTATATCATCAAGTGATTTTATCCAAAATTCAGCTTCTTCTAATGGAGGAGCAATTTTTTTGACTCAGAGCTCAAGACCATCAGAAAGTCTTGATCTTAGAATCTTGCAATCAAATTTTATAGGAAATTATGCACATAATGGTGCAGCCTTATATATCGATAGCTCAGTAGCACTTTCTAAAGAGTCAGTTATATTAGTTTCTAGTTTCAATGAAAACGTTTCAAAACAGTCAGGAACTATAATACTATATTTCAGCAGTGGAATTTTATCTTTTAAATCCTGTGTTTTCATTGAAAATTCTTCATATTTGGCTGCTGTTTTGGCAATTGATATAGGAGAAGATAAAAAAAATTTGCCTTCAAAAATATGCATTGAGCTCTCTATTTTCAGAAATAATACTGGAAGCTCAGTTATATATGCAGACAGTCAAAATAGAAATTCAACTGTTGAAACTAAGAATTCTGTTTTTGAATACAACAATGCAAGAGTCGCTTTTTTGAATTTTGATTATTTTACAGATAATGGTTCTGTTTTTCAGTTTAATTCTGCTCCTTATGGATCTTGTTTTTACCTTCAAAACTCTGCTATTTTATATGCAAGCTCATCGCAATTTTTAAATAATACATGTGAGGAATACGGAGGAGCCATAGCAATTACTTCGAAATCGATTTTTCATTGTGAAAGTTGTTCATTTATTCAAAATAAAGCAAAAATGAGAGGTGGAGTACTAAACGCTGAACAAGAGTCTCAATTTTTTATATTAAATTCAAAATTAGAAAAAAATTCATGCGAAAGTGATGGGTCTGCAATCTATGCTTTTAACTGCAATTTGGTGCCTTCTTCTCTAATTTTATCCCAATTTTCCAATAATTATGCATCAAACTTAGGTTTGATTTATTTGGTTAGTTCAAAAATAGTAATCTCATCATCTATTTTTAGCAATAATTCTGCAGACGGATACAGTCCAGGGTTATCACTAACATATTCGAATGCAGAAATATATGATTCAAAATTTGAAAATCAAAGAAGTACTTCAGGAAGTTTTATATATTTATTAGCTGAAAGCAATGCATATGTAGCTAATGCAACCTTTTCTAATGGAAAATCAAATGAAAGAGGTGGAGCAATTTATGCAAGCTCAAGCACATTATTAATCAATGACTCATTTTTTAACAAATTATCATCTCCTAGTGGAGGTGCAATTTATGCTTCTTTCGATAGCCAAATATCCATAAATAGCTCGAATTTCGTTGATATAGAAAGCCCTATTGGAGGTGGAGTAATCAATGCGAATCAAGTTGAATTATCTATAGAAAATTCAATTTTTAATAAATTTTCTCTTACAGGGATATATGGAAAACAATTAAAAAAGCTAGAAATTATAAATTCTTCGCTAAGCAACGGCTCAGGAAATAATGGAGGAGCCCTTTATTGTGATTCATGTAGGAATATAGAAATTATATATTGTAATTTTGCAAATAACTTTGCGTCTTTATATGGAGGTGCTTTATATTTTAAATCCACAAAAGATATCAGTAGTAACGTTAATGTGACTTCAAGCAAATTTATAAATAATTTGGCACAAAACGGAGGAGCAATATACTCGAATAATGCAAATTTAAAAATAATTTTTTCCAATTTTAAGCAGAATAAAGCGATTCCAGGCCAATACTCAACAACTAAAAACATTGATAGTGGGATCGGAGGGGGAATCAATATGAACTGTTTCGATACAAAAAAATGTAAATTTGATATTAATTCAGGCGTTTTTATTGAAAACTTCGCAGAATATAATGGTGGAGGTATCAGCTGAGATGACCAAACTCCTTCACTTTTCAATAATACATACCAGAATAATGCAGCTCAATACGGTAAAGATATAGCTTCGTTTCCAATCAAACTAATGCAAGTAAAAGCAGATGGCAGTCTAGCAGATTTTAATAGCAAAAGATCATTATCAGACCCTGTTTCAAGCCTAAATTTAACAGAAATAGCACCTGGACAAAATATTAAAAATCAACTGCAAATTGCTTTGGTTGACGATTTAAATTATATCATAGCTACTGATAATGTTAGTGAAGCAGTGCTTAAATCTACAAGTTTAACGACCCAAATTTCAGGAGCAACAAAAGTTACTGCATTAAAAGGAATATTTAACTTCTCTGAATTTGTTATTTCTGATGAGCCTGGATCGAATATCCAAATAATTGCTACCTCTTCGGCAATTGATATTTCCAAAATAAAATCTTCAGGTCAAAACTATTATAGTCAAAATTTGATATTAAATGTGAATATGAGAAAATGCAAAATTGGAGAGGTCAAATCAGGAAAAAATTGTCAAATATGTCCTCAAGGGTTTTATAGTTTGAACCCAGACTTGATTTCTTGCCTTTCTTGTCCCGATGCAGCTCAATGCCTTGGAAATTATACAATGGTTCCACGACCTGGATATTGGAGAGATAATATGCTTACAGATAAATTTTGAAAATGCCCTAATCCTTCTTCTTGTTTAGGCTCACCTAATATAAATAATATTTCATATACAGGTGAATGCAGTGAAGCCTACAAGGGCAATAAATGTCAATCTTGCAAAGCAGGATTTTCTTATACCTCAAGCAACAAATGTGAAAAGTGTCCAGGATTTAAAACCAACGTTATAATGACTATAGGCATAACAATAGGAATGATCTTTTTATTGGTAATTATCATAAAAACAACAAGAAAATCCGCTCTAAAGCCAAAGTCCCAAATTTCAATTTTCATAAAAATATTTTTGAATTATTTTCAAATGATCATTTTAGTATCCACTTTTAAGCTCAACTGATCATCTGAAGTTTTAAGCCTTTTTAAAATTCAAAATAATGCAGATTATGTATACCAGCAAATTTATTCATTTGAGTGTTTATTTGGAGCAAATAATAGCAGCAATTTAGTTTATTTCAAAATTCTTATTATGGTAGCTTTAATTCCAGCTGCTATGCTGGTTTTGAGTTTATTTTTTTGGATTATTATAAAATTAGTCAAAACTTCATATAAAACATTTTGGGATGATTTTATATCAACTGGGATTATTTTATTATTTTTAATTCATCCAAGTGTAGTGAGAAAAATGTTTGCTTCAATGAATTGCACAGAAATTAATCCTGGCGAATATTGGTTAGAAGAAAATCTTGATATTAGATGCTGAAATTATGATCATATAGTTTATGTGACAACCATTTCGTTGCCATCTATTATTTTATGAGGAATTATTTTACCGACAGTTTGCTTGATAAATATTATTAGAAATAGAAGCAGACTTAGTGATTTAGGTGTGCGTCTAAGATATGGATTTCTTTTCAATGGATACAAAGATAATCACTATTTTTGGGAATTTATCATTTTGTATAGCAAAATTATTCTTATTTGCTGTTCAGTTTTTTTAGCAAGAGTATCTTTAAAGATTCAAGCAATAATTGTGGCTATTTTATATTCAATATATTTACGACTACAGTATTCAAATAACCCTTATATTGAGCCTAATCTAAATCAAATGGAATTAAGGTCAAGGATAGTGTGTGCAGCCACTATATGAAGTGGGCTTTACTATTTAATGGGATCTTTAAGTGATGAAGCTGGATACTTTTTCTTTACGATTATAGTAATAGCAAATTGTTATTTTTTAATTTATTGATCATTTTGCGTCATCAAAACGATTTCTCGGTCAATAATTAATAAAGTTAGGAGCTTCAGAAAATCCAAAAAAGTGGAAAATTACTCAGAAGAAAACAGTTATAAAAGTGAAAATTCAAAAGCAGCTTTCAATCTAATTGAAGTTTCCTTAGCATCAAATAGCATATCAATCAATGAAAGCAATGCTCTAGATAATAAAGAGAGCATTCAATAAGTAACATTCGAGGCTCTTAGTAAATTAGAAAAATTATTAAAATAAATTCATCATAAAAGTTTAAATTATAGATAAACTTTGAAATAATTATCTGAATATTTGCCGATGAAAATAGAGATTATTGTAATAGTGTTTTCTCAAACTTCTAAATTAAAAAAAAAAGCTAGTGATAATATATTAAATAATTAAATATGACTAACTTTTTTATCATAATTTTATTTAAGCAATTGAAATTTATATTTAATTTTGAAAAAATGATTTTTCTAGCTCTTTCCTTGTTGTTTGCCAAAGGCTTAAATCTTACTTGCAGTTCATCGATTTGTCCAGATATTCAAGTAATTTTTAAAGTAGAAAAGTAATCGCCAGTGCAATCCTGAATGCATGACATCCTATTGTGACTATGACACTAGCGCTCAGTTCTTTGGTTCAATTGATAAAAAACAATCAGATTGCTATGAAAACTGTGTTTTAGATGGTTGCGATCCCCAAAATCTAGGAAATGGAATCTGCGATGCGTCTTGTAACACTGAAAACTGCGGGTATGATTGAGGCGATTGCACTTGTTCCCCAGGGTGTTTAAATTCTATGCTTGGTGACGGAAATTGTGACGAAAAATGTGATAACTGAAGCTGCGACCTTGATAATCATGACTGTGGACAGTGCGCAGATGGATGCTTTCCCGCCATGCTAGGAAATGGAGTATGCGATTCTGCTTGCAATAATGAAGATTGTTTATACGATTATAAAGATTGCCAATGTTCAGATAATTGTAAATGGACAGATTATGGAAAATGCAAGCCAGAATGCATGACATTAAACTGCAATTATGACAAAGTGGACCAATATCCTAACAACTGATGCCAAAACAAGTCATTAGCTATTTTTTCATCCTATCAGCAAATTATCCGGAATGATTTTTCATATGTTGTGCATCTAGAGGACTGTTATAAAGCTTCTAATTATACATGCTCAGCAGAAAAAGCATTAAATTTTTTAAATTGTTATCAAGAGTGCAATATTTTAGAATGCAATTATGCCAATGGCAACTGCGAAAATTATCGCAATTATTATTGCCGTCGGTCTTATAATAATTTTAGTGGGTGCCTCTCATGCATAAACAATATAGTTCAAGTTGTTACTTATTTATGAAATCAAGCTTGTACAGCATATATAAATTGAGATGTAGGCACCTGGCTATTACCTGATGGATCACTTGTAAAGATGCTTCCAAATGATACTTCGTCAGCAAAAAACCCTCATGTTTATTTTGTGAAGCCAAGTCAAAATGCTAATTGAATAAGTGGGAATGGCACTTATTATTCTCAATTTTCATCTCTAAGTTATGCACTTTCAAATGTTCTGTATAGGTATTCGATTATTTATTTATCTCAAAGCAATTACTATACTGAACAGCGGCCTATAAAATATAAAAATCGTTACACGGGTAATCAATATCACAACCCAAAACATATTTTTGGATTTTTAACTTCAAGAAATATAAAAATTAAACCTTTAGATAATTCTCCAATCACTATAAAAAGAGCAAAAAACGATATTTCTCTGTCAATTTTTTGATTTCCTTTAACAGATATTTCAAATTTAGAAGTAAATAATGTCATTTTTGACTGGAAAAATACAGATTCCTTTTGTAATAATGATAATTACTGCGATTATTGCCCTATTGTTACAACAAGCTCAGATTTAAGTATTTATTATAACGATAGAGATGAAAGAATTGGGGCGTTTTTACCTATTTCTTGATGTTCAATGAATAACGCTATAAATTTTTTTGATGTTATATCAAGCAATTTAGTGTTTAACAACGTGAGTTTTATAAATTTTCGAACAGATTTTAATTCGATTTTTTGGATCACAAATGGCAGCAACCTGACTCTCAATAATGTCACGTTTGATAATATTAAAGTTCATAATAACGATAATTCTGCGATTATTTCATGGAACAGCCTAGGATGCCTACAATTTAATAAAGGCACTGTGAGTAGGGTCAATAATGGATATGAAATAAAGGATTCAATTCATATGAAAGGATTTTTAAATGTGATTTTTTCGAAATCTATTTCTTTGAGAAATGTTAATTTTATGTATAACGTAGTGCTGGAACCGCAATTAATTTCTACGAACAGAGGCACTTTATTATTTCTAAATATATTTCAGATGTTAGAAATTGATTCTTGCATTTTTATATATAACTATTGCGAGTTTGGAATAATAAATATACAACCTCAATATTATGATTTTAGTAATGAAACTAATGACGATGGAGAAATTATTTATTCAACTCTTAATCATATTCATATTGTGAACTCAAATTTTACATCAAACTATGGGAAAGTGGCAGGAGTACTATACTCATATTATAAATATGAGCCTCAGAATTTATTAATTAAAAATTCATCATTTACTTTGAATGGGATTGAAACTGGACCTTTGATATATATTGAAAGTGATTATATCAACCAAAAATATTTATCAGATTTTATTTTAGAAATCTCTGTTAATGACCAAAATGTTACTGAAGGAAAGCACTTAGCAAAATGATTAAAAATTCAAAACTCAAGCTTTGTTGAAAATTACTCTGCTAGCAGTGGTATCCTTGAAATTGTAAAAATGATTAATATCGATTTAAGGGACATTTTTATGGTTTCAAATGGCGTAATTTCATCTGAATCTATGAATTCTAACTCAATAATTTTGAAATACTTTATTGAAAATCCAGATATGTATATAAAGCTCAACGCTACTGATCCTCCAGATTTAAATTGTGAGTCTTTATCATCAATATCAGATTCAATTAACTTTAGTCTAGACAAAGTGAGCATTCTAAATAATTATTGTAAAAACTATTTGCCAGGAATTATTATATCAAATACAATAAATTCAACAATAAGCTCATCAAATTTTGAAAACAACTATGGATCAGGTTCCAATGGGATTTGTTTAACACTAAATAAAAATGCGTCTATGACTATTAAGGACTCATTTTTCATCTCAAATAAAAATAATCAGCCTAGAAATCCAGGTGTGATAAATAGTTTTTCCGATTTATTGTTACAAAATTGTTCATTTTTAGATAATATCGCAGATTTAGGTGGAGCTTTGTATTTTGTAGGTCAGAACCTTAGAATTATCTCTTCACATTTTGAATCAAATAAATCGCCTAGTTTAAATGGAGGCGCTGTTTATTATTCTTTATCTCTTTACGATGTCAAGGACTTTTTATTTTCTATCATGAAAACAACTTTTACAAGCAACTCCTGCACTCTCAATGGCGGGGGAATTTTCATATCAAAAAGTTCTTCGGTAGAATTCTTATTAACGCTGAAAATTGATAATACTGATTTTTATAACAACAAGGCATATGCAGGCTCTTCGCTTTTTATTGACGGAAATGTCCAACTTTCTACTGTTTCTTCAATAAATAATTGTAAATTTCAAGAAAATAAAGCAAGCTTCTCAGGCACTATTTGAATTTATTATGTTTATGGGTTATTGGAAATTAATTCTTGCAATTTTGTTAAGAACGATGGGTTATTTAGCTCAGGGTTAAATATAGGAATAGGTGAAAACAATCCTGAAAAAATTTCAAAATTGATTTTAAATTCTTGCAATTTTCAATTTAATACAGGTAATATGACTATATCACTGGATAATCAAAATACAAACTCAACACTAGAGACAAATTATTGCTTATTTGAATATAATAATGGATCTGTATTTTCACTTGATAATGGCTATGTAATTGATAAAAATTCAAGATTTCAGCACAATTATTCACCAAATTCTGGAGGAGTTCTAAACTTAAAGAATTCTGCTATTTTTGTAGCTGAAAATGCAATTTATATAAACTGTAGTAGCAGTCTTAATGGTGGAATAGCTTCAATTAGCTTGAAGTCTCAATACTTTTGCTTTTCTTGCAAATTTACAGAGAATTCCTCAAAATCATCAGGAGGTGTTATATATGCTGACTCAGATGCTACATTTCATATATATAACTCAATACTTAATAAAAACTCGTGTAAAAATAGAGGATCAGTTATATTTATGGCAAGCGTACATGCTAATTCGTCAATAGATAATTCTAAGGTAATTGAAAACTATTCATACGGTGAAGGAACTATAGCTCTTTTAGCATCACTTATTTCTATTAATTCCTCAGAAATTTCTAATAACTCAGTCAGCCAAAAATACCCAGGCATTCATCTAGAAGACTCAAATGCTGTGATTGGCAACACTTCCTTTTCTAATCAAAATGGAGATGAAGGCTGCTTTATTTTGTTAAGCTCCAGTTCCGTAACGATCATAAATTCAAACTTCCATGATGGATTTTCAAACAATTCTGGAGCAGCTTTGCACTCAACATTTAGCACCCTAAAGATTTTTTCATCAACATTTTTAAATCTTTTTTCAAATAGTGCAGGTGGATCAATTTATTTATATGAAAGCAGCAACCTTACTCTAAAAGATTCAATATTCATAAATTCAAACTCATCAATCGATTCATATTCAAGCTTCATCGAAATAGCAAACACATCATTTACGAATTATTCAAATTCTTGCATTTATGGATCTCAAATTAATTTATTAGCGGAATCATCCTATTTTTTAAACGGCTATAGCAGTACTGGAGGGGGATTATATTGCTCGGACTGTAATAATATTTCTATAATTTCATCTGAGTTTTTCGATAATGCTGCTCAAAAAGGTGGAGCTATTTATATAGAAAATAAAGCTGATCATCTTAATTCTTCTCAATGCAATATAAAATCTTCTAGATTTATTTCAAATATAGCTGGCAGTGGAGGAGCCATTTGGGCAAATAATATAAATTTGAATGTTTTTTCATCAATATTTGATGAAAATTACGCTAAAGATTGGGAGTCTAAATCAGTTCAAGAAATAATTGATGGAATGGGAGGAGCTATAAAAATTGGCTGTGAGGAATCAGAAATTCCTTGCTATTTTGATATTTCCTCAAACAATTTTAGTAACAATTGGGCGGCTTATAAAGGAGGAGCTATCAACTGAGATGACTCAAGACCCAAATTGGAAAATAATAATTTTTGAAATAATTCAGCACTATATGGAAATGATATAGCTTCATTTCCAGCTATGATGGTGCTTCTAAATGATACAAACCAAAGAGCTCTTCAATATCAAGGAAACTCAGAATTGAATCTTAATAATATTGCATCTGAATAAAAAAAAATATAATAAAGTGGCTATGATCTGAACAAGTCAGATTCATAGAAAAAAAATTCTTTCTCGTATTTTTTATTGCAGAGTTCAATTTTCCTTGTGTACCTTTATCCATAATCAGATAAAAGCTCAATACATAGAATAAGATTTTTGGTTCGCGAAACAAGTAGGTTAGGCTATTAAAGACAGTCGCTAGCCATATTGGTATGCAACCACCAAAGACCTCCCATACGGGAGGCTCAAATGCTTTTCGACTTCAGCCCAGGAGTCTATCTCACCATTTAATGTATGTTTGCGGGAACAAGTAGCAATAGGGTTCCTGGCAATTAAAAAGAGATACCCTTAGGCAGAGTACGCACTGGATTCAGATTCAAGCGAGGTAATGAGTTTCATGACTATCTTGTTTACTTTGGCAAAAAATAAAGATTTTTCTAACGGTTTTGCTATTCAACAGAGGTAGGAGTTAGGAATGCTCGTGATGTCACTAATAGGAGCTAAAAATGTGCTTTGCCTATACCACACTGCGGAAGAAGACATTCTAAGAACTAAATAATTATGTAAGTAGCATCTGGACAAAATAAAAATCCACCGTTAGCATTTGCTTTGATTGATGATATTTCTCAGATAATTACAACAGATTGCGCAAGTCAGGCCCAGCTTCAATCTTCAAACGATGATTTAATTATTTCTGGGACGTCAATTGCATATGCAGTGAACGGAATTTTTTATTTTAGGTCATATATTATTTCCGCAAAGCCAGGATCTTCTAATGAAATTTATGTTTTTTCTTCAGCAATAGAAGAGTTAAAAATGAATAAATCTTCTCATTCAATGCAAATGTCATCAAAATTGCCTATATATGTAAGCTTGAGGTTGTGTGAGATTGGTGAGGCTGCTGTCGGGCTTAACTGTGAAAGCTGCCTTGAAAATTACTATAATATTGATAGTAAAAAATCTAACATCCCATAAGAAGAGTGCAAAGGCATTTAGGGATAATTGCTATTATTATAGTGAAATTTCAAGTTAATTAAATTTTAGGCTTATACTCTAATAATAATATTTTTTTAAAATTTAAATAAGATCCTTTTTAGGTGATAAGATGATTTTGATCAATTAAAAAGGAATAAAGTAAGTGCTATGACTGCCCTTCTTCCGCAATTTGCTATGGAAACTATACAATCGTTCCAAAGCATGGCTATTGGAGAGACAATAAATTCACAGATCATTTTTGGAAATGTCCATACCCACCAGCTTGTTTGGGGTCTCCAGATATTTCAAACTTATCCTTTACTGGAAAATGTGCAAAAGGATACGAAAATAATATGTGCCACTCATGTGCAGAAGGATATTCTAGATTATATAAAAATGAATGCAAAAAATGCCCTAGCACAGTCAGTAACGCTTTTAGACTCTTACTCCCCCCCTCCGTGAGTGAACAAAACCATTAGAAAAATCCCTATTTTTTGCCCAAAAACCCACCCTCCTTGAGTGAACAAAAATTTTTTTAATAGAAAAATTTTTTAGTGAAAAAAATTTTGATATATAAATGATAATTAGTATAATGAAATCTAGAGCTAATTCTGTTTAATTTTAAACGAATTGCTTTTTAAAAACATAAATTTTATAAATTAAATTAATATTTGCTTTCCAATTTTGGTGAATTAGGATTTTTTTTAAATTTCAAAAAAAAAATTTTTTATAAAATTTATATATAAATTTTTTTTAAAAACAAAAAAATTAACCCCCCTCTGTGAGTGAACAAAATTTTTTTTGTTCACTCACGGAGGGGGGGGAGTTAGGAATTTTTAGTTTGCTTGTTTTTATGGTGATAGCTATAATAAAGACTTCAAGAAAGTCTGCATTCGTGTCAGCATCTTTATCATCTATTTATATAAAAATTTTTTGGAATTATTTACAGATCATGATCATAATAGCTACTTTTAGCTTAAATTGGCCTTATGAAGCAGTTCAATTATTTTATATCCAGACTTGCATGGACTATATAGGGGCCCAGCTATTTTCTGTTGACTGCTTTTTGCAATCTTTATATTCAAAAAATGATGTTTATTATTACAAAATATTAATTACTAGTTTAACTCCTTTTTCTCTTGCGATCATTTGCCTGTTGTTATGGTTGGTAATTTATGCAATAAAAAAGAAAAGTCTAATCCTCCCTTTAAATTGGAATAAAATCAATTTTTTGGTGCTTTAATTAGAACAAATATTTTTTCAATAAGTAAATTTTATTATATAAAATTTGTTCTGACCTAATTTAATAGACAAAATGCAATTAGAATGGCATTTAAACAGTTTTCAAACTAAATCAATTATTTTGTTAATTAAGTCTTCATAAAAATAAATTAAAATAAGTATTGCGATCAATTTATATTTTTTAAAATTTCTATTAAATAAAAAACTGCATTTTTATAAAATTATTTTTGACATAATTTAATAGAAAAAGTGTATGTAGAACAGATTAATTTTTTTTTTCATAAAAATAAATTAAAATTCAAAGAAAAATTTATGCACAATAATAGATCGCTATACCCCAGCAGAATACTAACCATAAAAAATATGATCCAGGCACCTACTTATACAGTCTAATCTGATTAGGCATGCTAATACCATAAACAGAGATTTGTCATTTTCGTTTTATTTTTCAAAAAAGCTGTCAATTATAAATTAATTTTGAAAATTAAAATTGATGGTCAATGAATGATCTATAATCCGTTGGTAAAATTTCTTATGGACGTTATACGCGCCATTTTCATATAAAATTTCAAATTATGAATTTGCCGCACTAAAAAAATCTGCGTTTTGAAGCGCATATTTTTTTTCACAAAATGACATGCATATGCATGATAAGAAATTATTGCAATACATAATAAAATATTTCTTGGCTATATTGTGCTAAATTTATATTTTTTTTATATTTAAAATTTTTATCGAAAAAATTAATCCCATTTCAAATTAGAACAGTATTTTTGATCCAATTTAAATAGATTAGAGTAAGAGAGCTACCAGACGATTACCTTTCGACATTTACGGCTACATTATTTTTGATTCACCCAAGTATCACTAATACAATGTTGAGTATGTTTAGTTGCAAAGAAATAAATAGCGGAGAATACTGATTATATGCAGACCTTGGAATTAGATGCTGGAATGATCATCATTTACTTTACGCACTTTTATTCGCATTACCTACAATAAGTATTTGGGTAATTGCAGTCCCTGCGCTCTGTCTTATAAAATTAGTAAAAAATAGAGCTAAACTTGAAGATATATCAGTTAAATTGAAATTAGGATTTTTATTTAATGGCTACAACTTAAAGCATTATTATTGGGAATTTTTAATCTTATACTGAAAAGCTATTTTGATTATACTATCGGTGTTTTTCTCAAATTTTTCAACAAATATCCAAGCACTTACAGTAGCTTTAATGCTTGCTATATTTCTCCATATTCAAGCTAAAAATCAGCCTTATTTTGAAAGTCTTATCAATAAAGTAGAAATATTTTCTATAGTCGCTGCTCTTATAACAATTATAGCTGGCCTCTTCTTTATAACTGATGATTTAGATACTATCGGGGAAAATATTTTACTTGCTCTTTTATTGCTTTTTAACTTTCTATTTATCATATATATAGCAATTCAGCTTCTAATGCAAATTTCAATATTTAAAAAATGTTTTATCATTTTAGCAAATGCTTTTTACATTAAGAACGAAAAAAAATATCAGGTCCGGGATGACTTAGATTATAAAAATGTTAGCGACCACGAAAGCAAGTTTATTACAGTCGATATTTCAAGTGCTAAAAATTTATCTGAAATTAAGTATGATTCAATTTCCATGGAAATGGATCCTTTTGCTTCAGAAAATTCACAAGCTATGAGTTAAAAACATTCTCGCAATAAGCTTAATTTTTTATTTTTCGGAATAGTTTACTATTATTTAAATATCTAAAAATTAAAAGATTTAAAACTAAAATATAAATATAAGATGTTTAAATTAGAATAGTTTTTAAACTTTATTATTATCCTAAATTCTAGAAATTATGCAAATAATTGCGTAAAGCTTTCATAAGCCAAGAAAAGTTATTTTTCGCAAATTAAAAGGCAAAATATAAAGGAAATCAAGTTTTATTACCAAAGCATCTTCATAATATTTTATTTCTCATATCTGCAAAGAATTTTTCTTAGTAATAATAAACATTGTCTTAAGAAATTATCTTTAAATAAATGTTTCGATTAATTATTTAGAATCATAGACATGTTGAATTTATATAAATATTAAGCAAGCATGGCAAAATACAGATGCTCTGAAGATTCTTATGATGCAATCTATATATGCAGCTGTACGAAAATGCAGTGCATAAAGCATTTTTATTCTCACATAAAGGATTTTCCTGATCACAGCATTGAGCGTATCAAAATTCCAGTAAATAATGAATCAAGAAAAATTTTGATCAAATTTGTAATTGCTATGAAACAAATGCCTACTTTATACTTTAAAGAATTCAATAAAGAATGTATCAAAAATCCTGAATCCTATAAAAATTTCTTATTCACCTATAATGATTCTTTCGATGCACTCTATGCATGTGTCTGCAAAAATACCTCTGCTCAAAGCATTATTTTTCTCATAAACAAGAATTTCCTGATCGCAGCAGAGAGCGCATAAAAATTGCAACAAACAACGATCAAAAAAATTGAACCAAAAATATAATTTTTATAAAGCAGATCTTGATTGAAGAATGGATGGAAAAGCTTAGCAAACAAGAAATCCCTGATAATGATTAAGGAATATTCCAAATTTTTAATAAAATCATATGCAAATGTAAAAATTTTAATGACAAAGAAATATATTTTAATGAAGCTGATTTTTAGTATTTTAGAATATTTTAATTCAGCCCCAAATTGAAGAATTAAAATATGTAGAGAAAATTAAAATTTCTTAAAAAAAATATTGTCTTCTTTATTTTAGAAACAATAATAATAATATCCAAACACTTAGAGTATTAATTTTTCCGGAATCTAACTTTAGTAATAATTATCTAATATATTAAATACAAATAATCCAATAAGTATTTTGGCTTCCATATTTGTAGACTCATAATAATAAATTAGCATAAAACTTATGGAAACGTTCAGCTGCTCCTTTGATTCTTTCGATGCAATCTATGCATGTGCCTGCAAAAAATATTTCTGCTCAAAGCATTATTTTTCTCATAAACAAGAATTTCCTGATCACAGCATAGAGCGCATAAAAATTCCAACAAGCAAAGAATCAAAAGAAATTTTAATCGAATATATACTCTTTATAAAGCAGATCTTGGATAAGTGCTTTGAAAAATGAATTGAAGAGCTTAGCACACAAGAAACCCCTAATTATGATTTAGAATCATTACAATTTTTTAATAAAATCATATGTGCATGTGATAGATTTTTAAAAATTTTAATGACAAAGAAATATGTTTCAATGAAGCTGATTTTTAATCCTTTAGAATATTTTCTAATTCAGCCCCAAACAAAAGCATTAAAATATGTAGAGGAACTTCAAATTCCTCTAAAAAACGATTATGACCAATTTGTTTCAGAAGCAATAATAATATCCTGACACTTATTTGACTTCAATTATTTAATTCGAAAACAAAAAATACATTAATGGCTGGCCATATGCGACTTGCTATGATAAATATGACCTCTCAAAAGTTATTTCTTTGGTATTTTTAGATTTTGTTGCGGCACTTGAATATGAAATGGCATACGAATTACTACAAAATTGAGAAAATATTTATGAAATTTCTGAATTTAATAATGAAAAATTAAATTTATTAAGAAAATTAAAATGCATCATCTATGAACTTATTCAAAATAAAAAATTTCCTAACTTGCATGAAAAATGAGCAGAATTAAAAGTTGAATTCTCTTGTTCGAATCAATATGGAGTTTATCATTTGTTTTACTGTGTATTTTCAATTATATTTCAAAATAGACATAACTATGATTTAGCATATTGCTGCTTGAAAAAACTTATATCTATTTCTTTAAAAACAAATAAAATACATAAAGCAAATGAGATTTATTTAAAACTAGGAGCATTAGATTTGATAAATAGAGATTTGAAAAAAACGATATCAATCTCTAAAATATCAATTAAGCTTTGCAAGGATAGAGAGGATTTACATTTATTAATACAATCTTATATTTACTGGTAGCCTCTTATTCATATATGGGCAAAAATGTCAAAAAATAGTCAAGATTGTTAAAAAAATGCTAAAATCTTCGAAAAGACTACCTAAATATTATGATTATTTAGAGATGTTTTATATTACTGCAAAAGATTTTGATAAGGCAATCAAAACTATATGAAAATCCATTCATCTAGGCAAAGGAAGCAACATATATACGCTCTGGCGTTTATATATGGTATTAGGTAAAGTTTATTGGGAAAAAAATGATTTTAAAAAAGCCCATCAAGCTTTTTTCAATGCGAAATTTTGCTGTAGGATATTACCTTTTGGCAATCCTCTAATTAAATATAATTATGAAACGATAGGAAATTTTTATATGAGTTATCGCTATTTTGATGACGCTTTGTGATACTTTGAAACTATTGAAAAATTTTGTTATGCTAATGAACTCCCTAAAACTAAGCATTTTATTGGATTTCTTTATTTTTTAATTGAAAATTATGAATCTTTTCTTAAAGTGAAAACATTATTATCCAGTGGAGATCAAATTGATAAAACATCTCTTTGTGTTATAAATGCAATGATTGGAAGATTGTATTATAGCAAAGGTGATAAAGATAGTGCTCATTCCTATTATATGGAAGCTTTTAAGCTTATTTATTACTATGGTTACTGCTTATATGACTTTAATTTGAGCTCAGCTATATTTCTTATTGAATATTTTTTAATAGAAAATAAAATTAAAAAGTGTGAAACTGTTTTAGTGAAGGCATGAGAAGTTTTAAAAAAAAATCCAGCTTTAGATTGCTTTCAGGGCGATGTGCTACTAATAGAAGCACAACTTAAAATTAAGCAAGGTGAAAGAGAAGAGGCAGAAAAATGCTTGAATCAAATAGAAAAAATATATAAAATTGATAAAATATTGATGGATCCTCCAGAAAAGATACAGCTCCGGTATGAAAAAATTTGTGGCTGAATGAAATTTGCTAGCCTTAATTTAGAGATTAATTTACTAAAAGCAGAAAAAATATTAAAATATATTGAAGAGATTTTTAAAACAAATTTTTTAAATAGTTGGGGCTGAAAAGGACAGTTATATTCATTTCTCGGGTTTTTATATCTCTTTCAAGAAAGAACAAAAAAATCAAAAAATTACTTTGAAAAATCATTAAGCATATATAGTCAGCATACTAATAATGTAGCAGCAATGAACAATACTAAAAAATGCTTAATTAAAATAGAATTAATGGAAAAAATTCTCAGTAAAATTAGAATTTTTCTTAACGAATTTTTTTTCAGCTGCTTCTAGATATCTAAATTTGTCCACATTGCCATAATTTTCTTTAAAATAAGACATATAAAAATAAAATATCAAGCATGGCAAAAGTTAGCGACTCTTGTTGTGTCTTAGACGCGACCTTTATATCTGATTGTTGCCAATTTAAAGCCTGCCCAAAGCATTATCTTTCTGATGAAGCTCAAGGGTATAAGCTAAAACGAATAAATCTCCCAATCAATGTCGAATCCAAAGAGATCTTATGCGATTTTATGGTCACATTAAAGAAGGAATTAAAGTCCCAAATTGATATTTTAATGAACGAAAACTCAAAAACCGAGGATTATGAAAAATATAAGGAAAAACTAAGCTTAGTAAGCCAGGCTTTGCATGAATGCAGTCGCATATACATGCTTTTGATTAAAAAACAATGTGTTGAGATAAAACTCATTTTAAGTCCTTTTGAATATTTTTTAACTCAGCCAAAGGAAAAAGCCTTACAATACACAAAGCACCATTGAGACCGGAATAATTTATTAGAATTTTGCCGATCAATTAAAGCACATGGGTTTGATTTTAATTATATGAAATTTGAAGTTCAAGGACTTATTCATGGTGGGGCTTTTAATTCCACTCCCAATCAGCCCGATCGTCTATCAGATTTCTATTATGAAAGGCTTTTGGGACTTATTTATAATTTTAAATATGAAAAGGCATATGAGTTATGTCAAAGTCTCAAAGATTATAATGAATTTTATATCAACTCTTCATCTCAAACCATTAAAGATCTTTTAGATTTATTTGGTAAAATCCTTGAAAAAATTATAAAGAAAGAAGGCTATTCTCAGCTTGAAGAACAATGAAAACAATTAGCTGCGAATGCATTTCAAACATTATCAATGAAAAATCCAGCTTATAATTCATCAGAAAATTTAGGTGATAATTCATTTTCGGTGTATCTAGCTTTGAATCAAGCATTTTTTAAGATATCTATAGATAGTAATGTTTCTGAGCATTACCTTCAAAATTTATGTGGTGTAGAATGGATTTCTCAATATCTCCCTGAAAATATTGGAAATTTATATATCTGACTGATAGGAACCCTCTATTATGGCAATAAAAACTATAGCAAATCAATAGAATATTTTAATAAATCGATTAAATATCATATAGAGCGCCTACAACAAGCCTGCTTGCAGAATAAGGTGGATATCTGAGATGAGTCCTTAGCATCTTTGATTGAAAACTATATTTATCTGGCAAAAGCACATAGTGCCCTAAAAAATAATAAAGAGATTATAGAGATTCTAAATCTAGTTGAATTTCAATGTTCAGAAACTACAGATAAATATATATACCTTGCAGCGGTTGGAGAGATTTATTACCTTCTCAATGATTTTGATAAAGCTTATAAAAAATTATGGGAATGCATTAAACTATCTAGCTTCCCCTTGGCTAATAGAAAAACCATTTTTTTTAGGATATTAACCGCCTTTGTAGAAAGCAAAAAATTTTTCTTATAAAAACGTTTATGTGAATAATGCTGATGATAGTTATAATAAGATCTCCCAGCTAATTTTAAATAATAGCTTGCATAAATGAGCATTATATTAGGCTTTAATTTTAAATATAATTTATATTTTATAAAAAAAATTATCCTTCTTGGCAGAGAAAAGTCTTTATCTTGCTGGCTAAAGGGAGATTAACCAAAAAAAGCTCATTAAATCCTACTCCTACGAATTATGAAATTTATGAGTTTCATTAGCATACTTTTTTCCCTTGAATTTCCCTTATAGAAAAAAGATAAATGCTCAACGGACAGTTCCAAGGATTAAACTATAAATATTCATGTCTGAAGAGGTGATTTTGCAAAATCACACCAATCTCTTTGTAATGCTAAATCTTTGTGCAGCGTTTTAGATCCAAGCATGCAAAATATTCTTAAAGCATTAGGGGTTTTCTATTTAAATAGGCAGTGATATGATGACGCTCTAATATCTTTTGAAAAAATAACAAATTGATGATCTAATCATGATCTGATATTTGCAAAGTTTGCCATGGGAATTGTTTATTTTTGAAAGCTGGATTATCAAAAAGCATGGGAATTTCTAAATGAAGCAAAAGAAATGATGTCTGGCTATACTGAAAGTTATAAAAATTTAATGATAATTAAATAAGCTTTTATATATCCTCTTCAGCTGCTACTTTTAAAAGATGGTAAGTGGCGGATGGTTTAGAGTATCTGGCGAGTTTATCCACACGACGGATTTTTTCCCTCACCCACAAGCAATAGACCGAAGGCTGAAAATTGGCTCAGATTTCTGGGCGCCTAAAAAAAGTATGAGGTAGTCCAAAAATAAATATTGGGTGCTTCCTTAGTACTCTTGAGCACTATAGGAATTAAGGGAGTCCAATACGCAGAGCTAGCTTCAACAGTATAGGTAAGTCCTAAAAGAATACTTACACTACCATTTTTTGGTGATGTCGACAAGAAAAGGGCGTGGTGTGTGAAGGCAGTGCTCCAGCCACCTGATTCTAAAGCCAGCTTGAAAGGGCTGAAATAATTCCTAGCTACCGCTACAACTAAACTTAACTTAATCTAATTTAATCTAATTTTCAACTGCAGGGGTTAGAGTCAAGCCTAACTTATTTAGAGCCATTGAATTTCTTTATAATGTCTATATAGGGAAAATTTTAAAAAATTCACTTTAACCGTTAATTTTTGCTAGAAGAGACCAGTTGTGTGGATACTGTTTTTAAGGCTTAAATATACCTAAAAATAAAATTGTTTGTTCACAAAGGAGAGTGAATTTTGTTTTTAACTGCCACGTAGTCTGAGCTAAAAGCATCAAATTTCTGTCTCACACCTCTTGCATCAATACTACGGCTTTAGAAGATTCATAAGCACTTTATATTTTTGATATTTATAAAAATGAGCTATTTATTGCAAATGCGTACCTTGGAGAATTATGCTATCTTCAAGACAATTTATTCCAATTTCTCACTACTGGTAATTAGCCAAAAATATCTTATAAACAAATTTACAAAATTTAGGTTATTTTTTTACCTATAGAATAGAAATATCATGTGAAGCAGTATAGAAGACTTAGATAAATACTTTTCTGATGCATTTGAGCTAATTGATTACTATGACATTTTAAATATTGATATGTTTCTAAAATCCCAAAGCTTTGTCTTTAATAATTTTTATAGAAAATCTGACTATGGAAAATGTGAAGTTATTTTGGTGAAATTAAATAAAATATTAGAAAATGACAATCATCTGAAATTTAGAATGCCTTTATATTTTATTCAATGAGCAAAGTTATATATAGCTTGAAATGAAAAGGAAGAAGCAGAAGCATGCTTGAGTCAAGCTGAAAAATTATTGAATATAGACAAAATTTCATTATTTTCTAAAAAATCTATAAAAATCAATGAGCTTGATTGTATAAGTGACTATATAGAGATTGCCAAAATTTATATTTATTTATTTAATATTTCTGATGAAAGTCTTCAGAAGGCAGAAAAAATTTTAAAATACGCTAAAGTGGTTGTTAGCGAAAAGAGACGAAATGATCAATTTTCGAAACTCGATATTTATTACTCGCTTGGTGATCTATATTTTAAAAAGCAAAGATCTAAGAAGTCAAAACGGTATTATAGAAAGTTATTAGATTTACAGAAAAATATTAACCATGCTTCAAACGTAGAGAGATGCTCAAAATCGCTGCGCCCACCTCTCAGGACCTCAAACGAAGCGATATTGAATTTCTTTTTGCCGGTTTCTCTGGATCCCAAACGCAGTGAGAGATCTTAATTAATGATTATTTTAAGTTGATGGAAAAATAGAAATTTATAGCTAATAGAAATAATTTTACCTAGTATATAAGAATTATATGATTTTTCGTTAATTTCTCGTAATGAAGGAAAAATTTATATATAAAACTCGTTGTCAATTCTATTTATAATAGGTTTATTAACATATTTAAATTTTAATTTGTAGAGTAGATTTAGCAGCTCAGATATAGCATACAATTGACTAGATTATTCACAGTGAAAATGGAAAGAAATATCATAAATTAATACAAATTATTTAAAAGTATAAATAGAGCTTTTGATTAATTGTCTTGGAAAAATGTTAAAACAAATAACCCAATAATCATTTTGGCTTTCATATTTATAGATTCATAATAATAAACCTTATGCAAAAGCTAAGCTGCTCCTTTGATTCTTTCGATGGAATCTATGCATGTATCTGCAAAAATTATCTCTGCCCAAAGCATTATTTTTCTCATAAACAAGAATTTCTGATCATAGCATCGATTGCATAAAAATTCCAGCAAACAAAGAATCAAAAAAAGTTTTAATCGGATTAATAATCTTTATAAAGCAGATCTTGATTGCGAGTGCTAATAAATGGACTGAAAAGCTTAGCATACAAGAAATCCCTGACTATGATTCAGAATCATTACATTTTTTTAATAAAATCATACGTGCATGTGATAGATTTTTAAAAATTTTAATGACAAAGAAATATGTTTCAATGAAGCTGATTTTTAGTCCTTTAGAATATTTTTTAATTCTTCCCCAAACTGAAGCATTAAAATATATAGAGGAACTTAAAATTTCTCAAAAAAATGATCATTGCTTATCTTTTGTTAAAAGAATAATATCCTGGCACTTATTTGACTTCAATTATTTCAAATTCGAAAACAAAAAATACATTAATGGCTGGCCATATCCGTCTTATTATGATAAATTTGACCTCTCAAAGGTTATTTCTTTGATATTATTAGATTATGTTGACGCATCTGAATATGAAATGGCATACGAATTACTACAAAATTGAGAAAATATTTATGAAATTTCTGAATTTAATAATGAAAAATTAAATTTATTGAGGAATTTTACCTTTTGGCCATCCTATAATTAAATATAATTTTGACGTAATAGGAAGATTCTATTTACGTTATGAGTGTTATGAAGACGCTTTGTGATACTTTAAAACTATTGAACAATTTTATTATGATACTGAACTAATCGAAACCAAGTATTATATTGGGTTTATTTATTTTATAATTCAAAATTTTAAAAAATCCATTGAATATTTTCTTGAAGTAAAAACATTATTATCCAATGCAGATCAAATAGATAAAACATTATTATGTGTTATAAATGCATTGATTGGAAAATTGTATTATAACATGGATGATATAGATAGTGCTGATTCCTATTATATGGAAGCTTTTAAGCTTTTTGATTACTATAATTATTGTCTATATGACTGTGATTTGAGCTCAACTATATATCTTACTGATTATTTTTTATCAAAAAATGAAATCAAAAAGTGTGAAATTGTAATGAAGGCATGAGAAGTTTTAAAAAAAATTCCTATTTTAGATTGCTTACAGGCCGATATGATGCTAATAGAAGCAAAACTTAAAATTAAGCAAGGTAAAAGAGAAGAAGCAGACAAATGCTTGAATCAAATAGAAAAAATATATAAAATTGATAAAATATTGGTGGATCCTCCAGAAAAGATGCAGCTCCAGCATGATGAAATTTGAAACTGAATGGAATTTGCTGATGTTATGCTTAGAATTGAAGGATGACTAAAAGCAGAAAAAATATTATAGGAATTGCCCGAGGATGGCGCTATCTTGCGCCATCCTCGGGCAATTAGTATAAAATATATTGAAGAGATCTTCAAAACAAATTTTTTAAGTAGTTGGGGATTTAGAGGACAGTTATATTTATTACTTGGGCGTTTATATCTTTGTAGAAAAAGAATAAAGGAATCAAAATTGTGCTTTGAAGAATCATTAAGAATATATGGTCAGTATACTAATAATGCAATAGCAATGAATAGCGCTATGCAAAGCTTAATGGAGATCAGAATAATAGAAATAAAATAACAGGAAATAACTTTCAATAAAATCAGATTTTTGTTACTCCCTACCCTGTGAGCTATATACATTAAAATGGGACACGTTTCAATCTGCTCTCTTGGTGCTACAGTCTAAAAATTATGGCTATGGCGTAGGACGGACTCAGAGCAGAGAATCAAGTGTATGGGGATGTGTATCCAGTAGGTTTTAGCCACTTAGTTTGATTCGAAATGGAGGTGGCCAACAATGTCCTTTAGATCTGAGGCATACTTCTACCGAGAAACTGGGGTTTCGACACACAGGGAAGTTGTCTTTTCCTGTAGCAGCTGAAGGAAAGCACTTCGGCATCCGATAGACTCGGAGTTGATCCATGGAATCATACTATTCCAATCACCCGTGGCGGGCTCCAGAAATCCATAGCGTCCACTCAATACTGAAGCCTAAAATAGCTGAAGTCAGAACCTCCCGTAGGGAAATCTTCGTGAGTGCATCACAAATATGGCTAATGCCTCAATTTAATAATCCTAATATTATGGAGGATGGGTTTTTGGATAGAAGATAGGGATTTTTCAATGGTTTTGCTCGCTCACGGAGGGGGCGAGTTAACGATTTCTTTTAAGCTGCTTCAAGTAGCTAAATTCGCCCATATAGTCATAATTTTCTTTAAAATAAGACATATAAAAATAAAATACAAGCATGGCAAAAGGTAGCAACTTTTGTTGTGTCTTAGACGCGACCTTTATATCTGATTGTTGCCAGTTTAAAGCCTGCCCAAAGCATTATCTTTCTGATGAAGCTCAAGGGTATAAGCTAAAACGAATAAATCTTCCAAACAATGTCGAATCCAAAGAGATCTTATGCAATTTTATAGTCACATTAAAGAAGAAATTAAAGTCCCAAATTGATAATTTAATTAGCAAAAGCTCAAAAACCGAGGATTTTGAACAATATAAGGAAAAACTAGCTTAATAAGTCAGGCTTTGCATGATTGCAGTCATATACTGATGTTTTTGCATAGAGCTTCAGCGAATAAAAATTCTTAGTGATATTCTTTATAACACAGATATTTTATTTTCAATAAGCGTGATAATGCTGCAAAATTCTATTGATGGCATATTTATCAATTTTTAACTATAAACCTGATTTTAGTAAGATGTTTTATTATTTTTGGTTATTATTTAACACAAAATGCTTAAAAGTATTTTATCTATCTTGGCTTTTAACTTAGCTAGCATCATCTATGCTCATATATAACTTTTTTATGAATTCATCATTATCATAGCAGCCTCTATGCTTCCTGCTTATATCTAGTACTTTTTCAAGGAATTTCTTGGACTCGTTTCACTTTTCTTGCCTGCAATATAGAATTCCAAATAATGCGTACATATTTGCTATATTACTTCAATCGTCTAAATGGCTTACACTATAGCTTGCTTCTAAATATTTTAAAGTCTTTTCTGCCTTTAAATAATATTCATCTTTATTTAAATTAATGTAAACTTCTGTAATTCCTGTCCAAATTAGACTTTGATTTATACGATTAGGGTCGAGATTTCTATGTTGACAAGATATAATTTTTTCTAAGTTTAATATTTCTTCTGCATTTATTAAGCAGAGCTCTGCTTCTTGTATCAATTTCTTAAATATAAGTATTTTCGCCTTAAGGATTAGAAATAGAGCCAAGTCATCCTTTCTGTGGACCTTATTTTCTAATAATTTAATTGCTTGAGATACAATTATCTCACATTTCTCATAATCAGATATTTTTAAGAAAAATTGAAAAACCTTATAGAATGGGAGCAAGTTATCATTAACTTCAGAATGTTTATAAGAGTAGATTATTCTGAAACAGTTTGAGAAGGAATTAAAAGCACCCTCCATGTTTCCTTTTCTGTAAAGCAATTCTCCGATAAATGCGCTTACAACAAATAGCAAACTATTATTGGCTTCAGGCAAGGTTAGTAAATGCTCTTTGATCTCAGTAAAAATTTCTAATGCTTTATCATAATTTTCCTTTCATAAATAAATATCCCCAACTATAAATTTTATATTTCGCAATTCAAAGCTTGTGCAGTAATTTTTTATTCTTTCATAGCATTCTAGAGCGTCTTCATATAAATGCATATTATAATAAACGTTTATAAGAGCAAAATACGCAGTCTTGTAATATGTATGGCTCAGAAGTAAGAGGCCTAAACAAGATTTTGCATTAGTAATCATCTTGAGAGCTGTTTTCATGTCTCTTTTTAGTAAATAATAAGCTTGAAATAAATTGAAATATAGCATAAACATACTGCTTTTGGTTTTATTGCATATTTTTATAGATTTCCAAAAATTCTTAGTTGAGTTTCTGAAATCTGAAAGTTCTAAATAAATCGACCCAATAATTTCATAAAAATAAGCTTTATTATCAAAGCAAGGTTTCATAATTTTTATAATCTCAAGTATCATCTTTATTTTTTTAAATTTTCCAGTTCTAGAATAAATTTTTGATAACTCGAAACAGCAAATAGCTTGCCTAATAATATCAGATTTATCTTGAGAAAATTCTGTTAATAATATAATTGCTTTCTTATAATTTGTTTTTGCTTTTTTATACTCCTCATTATTATAGTGCAAGATTCCTAAATCAATATTAGATCAATTACTTTCGACATTAAGTTCAAATTCAAAAAATACACTTCAAGTTTCTCAAGACAATAATAAGCAAGGCTATAATATTTCATGCTTTGAAATAAATTTGAAAATATTGAATAAAATCCTAAAACTCAGCTATTTGAATGAGAAATATTAATTTCTAGATCAAAAAATTTTTCTTGCAGGCCAGGATAAGATTTTTGCTCTATTAATTTACCGATGATGCTTGATATGGATTCTCAAAAACTAATAAATAAATGATTCGTTTTATAAAATTCTTGAATATTGAGTATATTCTGAATTATTTCATAGGCCATTTCATATTCAGACTTTAAAATGTAATCTAAAAATACCATTAAGAGTAAACTATGAAAATCATTTTTGAGCCCTAAATCATCGTAGCTTCAGTAACTTATGTATTTTTGATTTTCAAATTTGAAATAATTGAATTTAAAGAGAAGATTATGAATATTTGAATGATAAAAGTCAGATAGATATTTTGGTATAGCTTCAGGAAATTTTAAAATTTCAGCATACTGCGCTGCTATACAAGGTGGATTAATTAAAAAATACTTTATTGGAGGATAATAAAAAAGCTGCTTTGAAATGAATCTCTTTTTCATAAGAATTAAAATGAGTCTACTGCACTCTTGATAAATCCAGTTAAAAAATATTAAAAATTTTTCATAGTTTTCTGCATTTCCTTTTTTATGTGATAATTTAAATCATTGATTGGTATAATTAGCGAAATTTTGCTTTATAGTCAGAAACAAATTTATAACTCCCCCCCCCCCTCCGTGAGCGAACAAAACCATTAGAAAAATCGCCATTTTTTGACCAAAAAACCCACCCTCCGTGAGTGAACAAAAATTTTTTTAATAGAAAAAATTTTTAATGGAAAAAAATTTTGATATATAAATGATAATTAGTATAATGAAATCTAGAGCTAAATTCTGTTTAATTTTAAACAAATTGCGTTTTAAAACATAAATTTTGCAAATTAAATTAAATATTTGCTTCCCATTTTTGCAAATTAGGATTTTTTTAAATTTCGAAAAAAATATTTTTTATAAAATTTATATATAAATTTTTTTTAAAAAAAAAAATTAACCCCCCTCCGTGAGCGAACAAAATTTTTTTGTTCGCTCACGGAGGGGGGGGGGGGAGTAAGGATTTTCCTTGACTCATTGTTTATAGGGATCTTAATACGCTCTATATTGTGGTCTTGAAATTCTTTTTTATGAGAAAAATAATGCTTTATGCATAAATAAAGCCCGCAACTGCATAGGTAAAATGCATCAAAAGAGTCAAAAAAGCATCTGGAGTTTTCCATAATTCTTAAAAATTTCAATTAGAAATGAAATTCTATAATTTGATAGAAAATGCATATGAGATTTAAAAATTAGCTTGGATAAATAATCACTAAGTATTAGATGCTTCTATTTGTGCGTTTTAACCCAGAAGGCTATGAAACATTTCGATTGGTAACTTCTATAAGAAATAATTCTTCTCGGGTGAACAGATTATTGCTTGAAAAATACTGCCTTGAAAATGAAGCTTCAGCGAGTAAAAATTCTCCATGCTTTGAAGTCACATTATTGGTATCGGAATGCATCTTCTCAAATGTATACCAGAAGACATGGACTAAGAAATAAGATTCAGTTTTCTTCAAGCTGAAATATCTCAAGGATTTTGAATCAAAAATAAAGAAAAATAAAAATTTGATAGATGTGGCTGGCTATAGCTTGACTTAGGAATAAAGGCATAAATGCATTTTTTGATGCTAAAATTTGAAATAATAATAGAAGTCATTCTTAAAATCTATGAAAATAATATCAATCTTAATGATCTATAAAGCAATCTGTTTATTCTAGTGCTTTTCTTTTGGCTCAATTTAAAATTTCATATATCAAATTGCTTTTATTCAAAAATATGTAGATTCTATAATTTCGATTGTATAAGTAACAGTATATAGACCTTACCAAACTTTATATTACTCTACAAAGATAGTAAAGCCAAGAGAAGTAATGATCAATTTTCCCTATTAGTTATCTTACTCCTTTCCTCTGTGAGCGAGCAAAAAATCTTGTTCGCTCAGGAGGGGGGTAATTTTTTTTTTCGAAATAAATCCTAATTCGCAAAAATTGGAAAATATATATTAATTTAATTTGTAAAATTTATATTTTAAAACGCAATTTGTTAAAAATTAAACAGAATTAGCTTGAGATTTCATATATTAATCATCACTTATATATCAAAAAATTTTTTTCGCTCACGGAGGGTGGGTTTTTGGGCAAAAAAAATAGGGATTTTTCTAATGATTTTGTTCGCTCACAGAGGGGGAGAATTAGGATTCTATGTTTGAGAAGCAAAAATTGGGAAAAGCCAAGGAGTATAGTCGGCTATCAGTAAACTTGCATAAGAAATTTATGCATAACTTAAACGCAGTGAGAGATCTAAATTAATTAAAGATTAAGATTATTGATATTAATTAAATATTAGGAAATTTATTTGTAGAAAGGTAAATAAATACCCCATGCTTACCTTTTTTTTTAAAAATATATATATATAAATTTTATAATAATTTTTTTTTCAAAAAATCCCAGTTAAAAAACAAATATTTATTTAATTTTAAAATTTAAGTTTTAAAATGCAAGCTGCTAGAAATTAAACAGAATCAGCTAGAGATTTCATTATGCTAATAATCACTTATATCAATTTTTTTTTCATAAAATTAAAAATTTTTTGTTTGCTCACAAATGGTGAGTATTTGATGAAATAAGTATTTTTCCGACGGTTTTGTTCGTTAAGGGAGTGGAATTAGTGATTTTCTTCAGCTGCTTCCAGGTAGATAAATTCGACCACATTATCATAACTTTACTTAAAATAATATATAAAAATAAAAATATTAAGCATGGCAATTGTTTACTGCTCTTGTTGCATCTTAAGCGCAATCTTTATATCTGATTGTGGCCAGTTTAAAGCATGCCCAGAGCATTACTTTTCTTATAAAGCTCAAGGGAATAAGCTAAAACGAATAAAGATCCCAATCAACGAAGAATCCAAAAAGATCTTATTCGATTTTATTCTCACATTAAAGAATGAATTTATGGTCCGAATTGATAAATTAATTGAAGAAAACTCTAAAAACAAGGATAATAAAAACTATAAGGAGAAACTAAACTGAGTAAATCATGCCTTGAATGACTGCAATAGTATCGTTATGACTTTGGTGAAGAAAAAATTTGTTGCGTTAAAATTCATTTTAAGTCCTTTTGAATATTTTTTGATTCAGCCAAAGGAACAAGCACAACAATACACGAAGCATCATTGGGAGCAGACTGATCTATTAGAACTTTGTCGATCAGTTAAAGTATATGGATTTGATTTCAATTATTTAAATTTTGAAGATCAAGAATGTATTCATGACTGGGGTAATAAGACCACATATAATCAGCACGATCGTCTATCAGATTTCTATTATGGATTGCTTTTGTATTATATTTATATGTTTGAATTTGAGATGGCGTATGAAGTATGTAAAAGTCTCAAAGGCTATAAAGAATTTTTTAGCTATTCTTCATTTCAAAACGTTAAAGAATGTTTTGATTTATTTTGTAAAATCCTTACTCCCCCTCAGTGAGCAGTAAAAAAACATTAGAAAAATGCCTATGTGTGCCTAAAAACCTACCTTCATAAGTGAAAAAATTGATATATAAGTGATAATTAGTATTATGAAATCTCTAGCTAACTGTGTTTAATTTTAAACAGATTACGTTTTAAAACATATATTTTACAAAAATAAAATAAATATTTGTTTTCCAATTTTTGTAAATTAGGATTTTTTTAAAAATTTCGAAAAAAAAATTAGTATCAAATTTTTATTATTGTTATTATTATTAAAGTTAAAACGTGTAAAACGTATAATTCTTTATTTCTTCTCTTCAATTTTTCAAACTTGTAAAATATTTTGAATATTCCAATTTTGATCTAAATCTGATCTATAATTAGTTTTCTGATAAAATAGGTCTGAGTCTGATCTTAAATTAATTTTCTGATAAAAGATCTCAGTCTTATCTCAATTCATTTTTCCCGATAAAATAAAAGATTTAATTTCTGATAAAATTTTTGCATTTCTGGTGCTGAATTTTGAGTTCCTATTGGTATTTTGCTCTAATTTCCAAAATCTGATGATAAGTAGTGATCTTGGTTGCATGCATAGTTCTAAGCTTGTAGTAGGCTAATTCTGAGCATTTCTTCAACATGGAGTAGTAGAGTTGATTTAAGGCTGCAGATATCAGCTGTAAAGCTGTCTCACAATTTTCTAAAAGTTTCCTAGAGCATTTAGAATAAACTGAATAATCAATTGCTGTGTCTGCCAAAACAATTGCAGTTTTCTTTAAGGCTGTATCAGGTTCAATTTATTCAATAGTAGATGCCATATTTTCTAGTATCAAATCTATATATAGATTTTAAAAAAAAAAAATAATCCCTATTAATCAAAATACCTATTTATGAATCATTCGAAAATTTAATTAATTTATTTGAAGATATAGAATTTTCGGTATATTTATATTTGAATAATGCGCTTCATATTATGCCAAAAGAAACTAATATGCTTGAATTTTACCTTGAAGTTTCCTATTTTATAGAATACATTTCTCAATTTTGTTCTAAAAATCTTGCAAGTAGACTTAGCCAAGTACTAGGAAATTTCTATTATTCCAATAAAAATTATAGGAAATCAATAGAGCATTTTATAAAATCGATTAATTATCATATAGAGCGCTTCCAAAAAAAATCATTGCTGAACGAGATGAGTATCTTAGATGACTCCTTACTCTAAACAAAAAAATATAAATTTATTATTAAAAGCGTTTCTCTTATATCTATAAATAATTTGATATGCTTGATAAAAGATCTTAATTTAATGTTTCTAATCAATTTAAAATTACTCTGATAAAAAGGATAAAATATGAGTTTTATAAAAGAATAAAATTTCTGATAAAATATAAAAATTTCTGGTCTTTTTCAAATTTTTTAGTGCTTTCTTCATCTTCAAGTTTCTTTTCACTTGCCCAATCCTAAGTTGATATTTTTATTTTCATAGCTTTTCTGCCCTTTCAAGGGAGTTTTACAGTGTTCTCATTAACCTTGATATTCATTTTACATTATATCTTATTTTGATTGAAATGCTTTCAATTATTTTAGAGTGCTTTTAAATAATTTTTTACCATTGATAGAAAACAAATTCAAATTATAAAGTGTGAGCTAGAATGTTTAATTGAACACTCTCTTTGTTTAGCAAAAGCACATAGTGCCCTAAAAAATAATAACGAGGTTTTAAGAATTCTAAAAATAGTCAAATCAGAATGCTCAGCAACTAAAGACAAAATTCTATACCATGCAACGGTTGGAGAGATTTATTATCTTCTCAATGATTTTGATAAAGCCCTTAAAAAAACATGGAAATGCATTAAAAAATCTAAGCAAATAAAATTTATAAGAAAATCCCGCTACGAAATACGAAAATTATGGTTTTTATTAGCAGATATTTATGTCTGAAAAGGTGATTTTACAAAAGCACATCAATCTCTTTGTCAAGTTAAATTTTTCTTCAACATGCTAAATCTAGCAGACCCAGGCTGCGACCTAAACATTCATAAAGCATTAGGAGTATTATATTTAAATAGGCAGTGATATAATGAGGCTCTCTGGTACCTTCGATGAATAACAATAAATAAATGATCTAATCATGAGATGCTATTTGGTAAGTTTTCTACTGGAATTGCTTATTTTTGGAAGCTGTATTATGAAGAAGCATGGAAATTCCTAAATGAAGCTAAAGAAATGATGTATGGCTATATTGAAAGTTATAAAAATGAGCTATTTATTGTTAATGCGTACCTTGGAGAATTATGCTATCTTCAACACAAAATAGAAGACTTAGATAAATACTTTTCTGAAGCATTTGAGTTCATTGATTACTATGACATTTTAAATATTGATATGTTCCTAAAATCCCAAAGGTTTGTCTTTAATTATTTTTATACAAAATCTGACTATGAAAAATGTGAAGCTATTTTGTTGAAATTAAATGAAATATTAGAAAATAACAATCATCTAAAATTTAGAATGCCTTTATATTTTATTCAATGAGCAGAGTTGTATATAGCTTGAAATGAAAAAAAAGAAGCAGAAGAGTGCTTGAGTGAAGCTGAAAAGTTATTGAATATAAACAAAATTTTATTATTTTCTAAAAAATCTATAAAAATCAAAGACCTAGATTGTATAAGTGACTATATAGAGCTTGCTAAAATTTATATTTATTCATATAATATGTTTGATGAAAATCTTCAAAAGGCAGAAACAATTTTAAAATACACTAAAGTGGTTGTTGATAAAAAAAGACGCAATCAAAAATACTACAAGCTTTATATTTATTACTTGCTTATTATTCTATATTCTAAAATGCAACAATATACAAAGTGCTTACGTTGCTATTCCAAGATATTAGATTTTTAGAAAAATATTGGAAATTTATGCTAGAAATCCAAAGCGAATTAATAATAAAAATATTTTACTTAGATTTGTTGCGAATAACCCTAATATATAAGCATTATATGATTTTTCTTTTTAATTTCTGATAATAAAGGAAAAATTTATATTAAAATTCGATGTCAATTCTATTTATTAAAATTCGGTTTTCAAGGTGTCGGGTGCTATCCCCAAAGATAGGGACTTAGCCCGACTAGTGACGTCAAGGGCCATTCTTTCACTTAAAATGATTTATAACAGATTTCAATTTTAATTTGCAGAATGGATTTAGCTGCCCAGATATATAGCATGTAGTTGATTAGATTGGCATAAATTATTCACAGGAGATGGAAAGAAATATCATAAATTTATACAAATTATTTAAAGAAATAAAGCTTTTGATTAATTGCATTCGAAAAATGACCAAAAATATATTTTAAAATTAAAGTTAGAGATATTTAAGAATTAAAATTGAGACATTAACGGAATAAGGACTATGAAGCCCTTTCCCTCATGGAGAAGGCGGACTGACATCATAGGCTGCAAAGTATCAGATAATTCAATATGTAAATCAGGTTACTTGCTTTTTTACTCTTATGAATCTGTCCTTCATTGATAATTTCTCTCCTATTTTCCTTTATCATTTTCTCTTCTTACAAATATCCCTTTGCAAATCCAATTTTATAGCTTTATTGTCCGCTATTTCTAATTTCCTCTTTATTCTAATCTTTCAGTTCAAGGGCTCTCAATTTGCTTTGCCCATCTTAAATTTTGCAAATGCATGTGCCAATATAATTTCCTTATGCCCAATAGAATAGAAAATATTATTAAGATATCTCACATGAGCTATTTTTATTCTTTTTCCTCAAGATGCCATTAAATCTCATAATACTCTTTTCCTATCCTCTATTGCTCTACTAGGCACAGGCAGATGGACAATGACCTTTGCAGGCTTTATTTTATATATTTCGCTGCTTTCTGAGTGCTTTTCTTAAGCTGCTTCTATATATAGTTAAATTTTCCCTCATTGTTAAAATTTTTATTTAATACAGCATATAAAATATTAGCATAAACCATGAAAATAAAAAGCTGCTCTTGTTGCCTTCTAGACGCAATCTTTAAATCCAGTTGCAATCAAAATAAAGCATGCTCAAGGCGCTATTTTCCAATAAAATCCAAGGACGTGAACTAAAACGTATAAAAATCCCAATTAACAATGAATCCAGATAAATTTGCATAAGCTTCATAGCCAAGCTAAAAAAGCTATTTATATCCTGGCAAGATGATTTATAATAATGAAAGCTTAAACAAAGGAGATGAAAATTATGGGAGGATTCTCCAACATGTCACTTAATTCACAACCCATCCTTTCTGATCATGCGTAGATATACTCAGCCTACATTTCTCTGCTTTTAGTAATTTATTTAATTGCTTTCTAGGTAAATTTATTCATAATTTATTTAAAGAAAGATATAAAAATAAAATAATAACATGAAAAGTGCTTGCTGCTCTTTTTGCCCTTTAGATGCAATTTTTATATCTGATTGTGGCAATCTTAAAGCATGCCCAAAGCATAAAGCTATAGGGCATAAGCTAAAACGAATTAAAATACCAATAATCGAAGAATCCAAAGAGATCTTTTTGAGTTTTATAGGCATATTAAAGAAGAAATTTAGGGCCCGATTTGATGATTTAATTGAAAAAAGCACAATAAATAAAAATAATGAAAAATACCAGAAGAAACTAAGATTAGTGCATAATGCTTTGCATGGCTGCAGTATTTTCGTAATGCATTTGTTGAAGAAGAAGTCTGTTGAAATAAAACTCATTTTAAGTCCTTTTGAATATTTTTTAACTCAGCCAAAGGAAAAAGCACAACAATACATAGAAAAACTTGGAGACCAGAATAGTTTATCAGGATTATAGGGTTTTTTCCTAATAGTCCTGCAGGGCTGTGGAATCTTTTAGTTGGTACGACCAACTCAGTACGTTAGTCGGACCAATTCACTTGTTGGTTCTACAAACTGAATGATTCCTTCCAATATCTACAGCCTTTACAGAATATAGGGGAAACCCCTATATGTCGATCAGTTAAAACACATTTATTTGATTTCAATTATTTTAAATTTGAAGATAAAAAATTTATTCATGGCTGGGTTTATAAGTCCTCTTACAATCTGCACGATCATCTATTGGATTTCTCATTTATAGTATTTTTGGATTTTATTAAAATAGCGGAATACGAGATGGCATATGAATGATATCAAAATTTCAAAAGTTATTTAGAATTTTATGGCAACTCTTCAATTAATGCTAAATTTATTTCAGTTTTATTTGATAAACTCTTAAAAACAAAAACTGATAAAAAAAGAAGATTACTCTCAGCTCGAAGAACAATGAAAAAAATTACCTCAAGTATTATTAACCCATAATCCATATAAAATTTTAGATTTTTTGATATATTTATTTTTGGATATAGCGCTTCATATGACATCTATAGACAGTAATGCTTTTAAAAATTACTCTAAAATCTCTCATATTGCAGAATACTTTTCTCAATTTTATTCTAAAAATACTGGAAATAGAATTCACCAAGAGCTAGGATTGCTCCATTATGGCAATAAAAACTATCACGAAGCAATAGAACATTTTATGAAATCGATTAATTATCATAAAGAGCGCCTCCGAAAACACTTATGGTATATTAAGGCATTGATCTTAGCAAAAGCACATAGTGCCCTAAAAAATATTAAAGAGATTATAAGAATTCTAAAACTAGTTAAATCTGAATGTTCAGAAACTAAAGATAAACTTCTTTACGACGCAACAATTGGAGAGATTTATTATTTTCTGAGTGATTTTAATAAAGCCTATAAAATAATATGAAAATGCATTAAAATATGTAAACAGAAAAAGTCTATAAACTCGTACGAATTATCAAATTTACGACTTTTATTAGCAGATATTTATGTCTGAAGAGGCGATTTTAAAAAAGCACACGAATCTCTTTGTGAAGCTAAATCTTTCTACAGCATTTTACCTATAGCAGATCCAAGTGAGCAAGAAATGTATAAAACATTTGGAGTATTCTATTTAAATAGGCAGTGCTATGATGATGCTCTAATATACTTTGGAAAAATAACAGATAGATGATCTAATCATGAGCTGTTTGTTTTTGCTAAGTTTTCTATGAGAATAGTTTATTTTTGAATGCTGAATATTGACAAAGCATGAGAATTTTTAATTGATGCAAAACAATTCATGCCAATCTAGACATATCTGCAGTTAAATCTATTCTTTAAAATAAAATTAAAATCTGATCTTTTATAAATAGAATTTGCAACGAGTTTTAATATATATTTTTATTCATTATTAGAAATAAAAACGAAAAATCATATAATTCTTATATATTAGGGCTATTCGATGCAAATATGGTAAAATTAATATTATTATTAATAGATATGTATTCTAACCTTTCTAGCCAATATTTCATCAATCTCAAATAATAATTGATTAAGAACTCTCACTGCGTTTAAGTTATGGTTAATTTTTTCCTGGAAATCTAATGCCTTGCTAAAATAACGTTTTGACTTTTTATATCTTTGCGTTTTAAAATATAGATCACCAAGCAATATATAGACATCTAGTTTTGAAAATTGATCATTGCGTCTCTTTTCGCTAACAACATCTTCAGCGTATTTTAAAATTTTTTCTGCCTTTCTAAGACTTTCATCAGAAATATTAAATAAATAAATATAAATTTTGGCAATATCTATATAGTCACTTATACAATCTAGGTCATTGATTTTTATAGATTTTTTGGAAATAATAAAAATTTTGTCTATATTCAATAACTTTTCAGCTTCACATAAACGCTCTTTTGCTTGCTCCTTTTCATTTAAAACTATATGCAGCTCTGCTAGTTGAATAAAATATAAAGGCATTCTAAATTTCAGATGATTGTAATTTTCTAATATTTCTTTAAATCTCAACAAAATAACCCCACATTTTTCATAGTCATTTTTCCCATAAAAATAATTAAAAACAAATCTTTGGGATTTTAGAAATATATCAATATTTAAAATATCATAGTAATCAATAAATTCAAATGCTTCAGAAAAATATTTATCAGCATCTTCTAAATTGCCTTGAAGATAGAATAATGCTCCAAGGTATGCATTTGCAATAAATAGCTCATTTTTATTACTTTCAGTATAACTAGACATCATGCTTTTTGCTTCATTTAAAAAATCCCGTGCATTTTGATAATCCAGTTTTCAAAAATAAGCAATTCCCATAGAAAACTTGGCAAATAACAGCTCATGACTAGGTCATCTATCTGTTATTTTTCCAAAGTTTATTAGAGCATCATCATATCACTGCCTATTTAAATAGAATACTCCAAATGTTTTATACATTTCTTGCTCATTTGGATCTGCTATAGGTAAAATGCTGTAGAAAGATTTAGCTTCACAAAGAGATTCGTGTGCTTTTTTAAAATCGCCTCTTCAGACATAAATGTCTGCTAATAAAAGCCGTAAATTTGATAATTCATACGAATTTATAAACTTTTTCTGTTTACATATTTTAATGCATTTTCATATTATTTTATAGGCTTTATCAAAATCATTGAGATAATAATAAATCTCTCCAGTTGTTGCGTCGTAAAGAAGTTTATCTTTAGTTTCTGAACATTCAGATTCAACTAGTTTTAGAATTCTTATAATCTCTTTATTATTTTTTAGCGCACTATGTGCTTTTACTAAACAACGATAGGCTTCAATTAAATAGCTTAAGGATTCATCTCAGACCAACTCCTTATTGTCCCATGAGTCTTTTCGCAGGCGCTCTTTATGATAATCAATTGATTTCTTAAAATGTTCTATTGCTTCGTGATAGTTTTTATTGCCATAATAGAGCAATCCTAGCTCTTGGTTAATTCTATTTGCAATCAAATTAGAATGAAATTGAGAAAAGCATTCTGCAATAAGAGAGATTTTAGAGTAAATTTTAAAAGCATTACTGTCTTTAGACGCCATATGAAGCACTAGATCACAAAATAAATATACTAACTCCCACCCCCTCCAAAGTGACCAAAACCATTAGAAAAATCGTCATTTTTTGCCCAAAAACCCACCCTCCGTGAGTGAACAAAAGTTGTTTTAAATAGAAAAATTTTTATGGAAAAAAAATTTGATATATAAATGATAATTAGTAATATGAAATCTAGTGCTAATTCTGTTTAATTTTAAATAAATTGCTTTTTAAAGCATAAATTTTATAAATTAAATTAATATTTGCTTTCCAATTTTGGCGAATTAGGATTTTTTTAAATTTCAAAAAAAAAATATTTTTTATAAAATTTATATATAAATTTTTTAAAAAAAAAAAAATTAACCCCCTCCGTGAGTGAACAAAATTTTTTTGTTCACTCACGGAGGGGGGGGAGTAAGCAATCTATAGGATTTATAGATGTCATATTCGAAAATAAATATTTCAACAAATCGATAGGATTTATAGTTGTCATATTCGAAAATAAACATCCCAAAAACTTTATATTTTTAAATGGATTATCAACAAATTTGTTTGATAAATTACCAACAATATTTTTTATTAATAATTGTTTTCATTGTTTTTCGAGCTGAAAATAATCTTGTTTTTGTATAATTTTTTTTTCAAAAATTTCACCAAATAAAACTAAAATACGTTTAATCATATCCGAAGTATTTCCATATAATTCTAACTCCCCCTTCGTGAGCGAAAAATAATTTTTGTTCGCTCACGGAGGGGGTTAATTTGTTTTTTTAAAAAAATTTATATAGGAATTTTTTTTTTAAAAATTAAAAAAAATTTCCAATTCGTAAAAATTGAGAAGCAAAAATTAATTTAATTTGTAAATTTTATTTTAATGTGTATTGTTCAATTTTAAAACAGAATTAGTTCGAGATTTCACTATAATTATCAATTATATATCAAATATATTTTTCATTATTTTGAAAAAAATTTGTTCTATAAAATAGGGATTTTTTTAATGTTTTTGTTCGCTCACAGAAGGGGAATAAATCACTTTTCAAATTTTGATATCATTCGTATGCCATTTCATATTCTTCTATTTTGATAAAATCTAAAAATATTCTAACTCAGAAATCCAATAGATGATCGTGCAGATTGTAAGAAGACTTATAAACCCAGCCATGAATAAATTTTGAATCTTCAAATTTAAAATAATTGAAATCAAATGAATGTATTTTAACTGATCGATATATAGGGGTTTCCCCAAGATAGCCCTGCAAGGACTGTGGATTCTGGAAGGAATTTTTGGTTGGTGGAACCAGCAAGTGAGTTGGTCTGACTAAGGTACTGAGTTGGTCTGACTAACTGAAAGATTCCACCCAGAATCCACAGCCCTTGCAGGACTATCTAGGGGAAAACTCTATAATCTTAATAAATCATTCTGGTCTCCAAGCTTTTCTATGTATTGTTGTGCTTTTTCCTTTGGCTGAGTTAAAAAATAATCAAAGGGACTTAAAATGAGCTTCGTCTCAACAAATTGCTTCTCCAAAAAATGAATTACGAAACGATTGCAGTCATGCAAAGCCTTATCCATCAAGCTTAGTTCTTCCACGTATTTTTCATTATTCTGATTTATTTTGCTTTCTTCAATTAAACCATCAAGTCGGGCATTAAATCTCTTCTTTAATGTATGGGCAAAATTGTATAAGATTTTTTTGGATTCTTTGTTGATTGGGATTTTTATTCGTTTTGGCTCATGAACTTTAGATTTATGCTTTGGGCATGCTTTTAAATTGTCACGATCTGATATAAAGATTGCGTCTAAAGAACAAAAAGAGCAGCAAACACTTTTCATACTTGATATTTTATTTTTATATCTTTCTATAAATAAATCATCACAATGTGGACGAATTTACCTAGAAGCAGTTAAATAAATTACTAAAAGCAGAGAAATGTAGGCTGAGTCCTTTTTCCTGGTGTTAGATGAGCTGCACAGGATCAAAAAGGATGGTTTATGGAACTAGGAGACATGTTGGAGGTAAAAGAAAAAAGAAACAGCTCGTGTGAGATATCCTGATGATTTTAATCACTATATAAGCACTCATAAATATTATTCCTGAAGATTTTTATAGCAATAAGCTAATTCAACGTATGAATCTTCAAATTTCGGATAACTAAACTCCGCCCCCCTCCGTGAGTGAACAAAAAAATTTTGTTCACTCACGGAGGGGGGGTAATTTTTTTTAAAAAAATTTATATATAAATTTTATAAAAAATATTTTTTTTCGAAATTTAAAAAAATCCTAATTCGCAAAAATTGGAAAGCAAATATTAATTTAATTTATAAAATTTATGTTTTAAATAGCAATTCGTTTAAAATTAAACAGAATTAGCACTAGATTTCATTATGCTAATTATCACTTATATATCAAATTTTTTTTCAATAAAAAATTTTTCTATTAAAAAAAATTTTTGTTCACTCACGGAGGGTGGGTTTTTGGGCAAAAAATAGCGATTTTTCTAATGGTTTTGTTCACTCACGGAGGGGGGGGAGTAAGGAAATTGCCAAAGACCCGAGAAGTGAATAGGAAGAAGCAAGAAATAGCATACAATTTAGTAAGAGAATTGGATTTTCAAGGGATAAAAATTTATAGTAAAAAGAATTCCTTTCTTTTTGACTAATCAACAGATATATTATTATTCTTACTCCCCCCCTCCGTGAGTGAACAAAACCATTAGAAAAATCGCTATTTTTTGCTCAAAAACCCCACCCTCCGTGAGTGAACAAAAATTTTTTTAATAGAAAAAATTTTTATTGAAAAAAAATTGATATACAAATGATAATTAATATAATGAAATCTAAAGCTAATTCTGTTTAATTTTAAACGAATTGCTATTTAAAACATAAATTTTATAAATTAAATTAATATTTACGTTCCAATTTTTGCAAATTAGGATTTTTTTTTAAATTTCGAAAAAAAATATTTTTTATAAAATTTATATATAAATTTTTTTAAAAAAAAATTACCCCCCCTCCGTGAGTGAACAAAATTTTTTTGTTCACTTACGGAGGGGTGGGAGTTACGGTTTTCGTCCAGCATTTGGACCAACTTTTTCCTTCAAATATTTTCTAATTTTAAAAATTTTTCCAATAAACTTCCTTATTTCTTCCAAATATGTTCACTATGTTTCAAACGCATAATTTGTCAAACCTTCAACCACACAGAATTATTTCGGTAAGACTCAGTAAATAAAAATCCTCCTTTAGTAATTTTTCCATTTCTTTTATTAGTTTCGCCCTGCTATTCTCATATATGTAGCAATTTTCAATGACGTGTGTTTCGTCCTCAACTTGTCCTCCATAAAATCTGCACTCTGAGTTATCTGCTATATGCCGGATGAACCTACAATGATTAGTGAAATTCGATCCAGATCTCAACCCAAAATTATGCTGACAGCCTTGCTTGTTTCACTAGCACCCTGCAAATATATAGGTAGTTTGTATCGAACTTCACAATCTGATAAATATCTGTACACCTCAGTCATTTTTCATTTTCAGTTGCCATTCTCTTCAAATGTCTTTATTATTTCAAACCAGTGATTTTCAATATCTCCATCCTCCAACCCATATTTCTCTTAAACTCCCCTGCATCTTATTTCCACGGTAGGAGCTGCTTTTCATTTATTCTTAAAAGATTTTGGATAAGCGGATTATTCTTGTGCTTAAGCCTATTTCTAAATGACAGTAGCCTCTTGTCCATTTCTGTCTCAATGTTTATTAGATTTAGGTCACCAAGAACTGTTTCATTACCCGCATTCCTATGGAAGGGAGCAATTGCATGCCACTACTATGTATTAAGTCCATAAGCATCATCCCATTTGCATTAGTGTTTTCCGAAAAATGTCCACCTATGTGTGCATTCATGTCCCCCAATAGCACAATCTGACATGAGTGAATTTCATTTCAACAACTACAAGTGTGAGCTCTTCAAAGAATTTATTCCTGCTTTCCACACTATCACAGTTGACTGGAGCATATACCTCAAGTATCACTGCTTCCTTCAGCCTAGCCACAATGACCCTGCCACCAATAGCTTCAGTCATTCCCAGATGCACCCTTTCAGCTTCCATCCATTCTTTTATATAAATTCCTACTACCATTAATTCCAAACCCACTTGTATAGCTTTTTGCCTTGAGTGGCACAGTATGGGCGCCACTTCGGCAAGCTCCTTCTTCCAGTTGGCCGAGCCAACTCAGGTTGGTTCGACCAACTGGAGAATTGACAAGTGAGGCCTTTTGGGGAGACTTGTATCCCTTTATAGGTGGAGCATTCCAGGCTTGGTCAAAGTGGGTTTCACACAGGGCGACTACATCCTGTCAAGAGCTTCTGCAATTCGATGACTTTTTGATATAATCCACATATATTAAGGTGAACAATCCTGAGATGTGTCTCCTTAGCCCGCTGTTGCACTTTACGAAGTTCGTGATGAGAGTTTGCTTTAGCTTAGGCGTTTCATTTTCAACCAGAATTTCAACTCCATTCACCTTTTCCGGTTCTCCATAATTGATTAAGGCCTCTATAGTATCAATGATCTTGCTTCTCGGCAGTTCCGAGCATATTCCAGAAGGATTGTTCTCTATAATAGCAAAATTCATTACTTTATTTGTCTTGAGTCCCTGCAATAAAGCTGTCGTTACGTTCTTGCACCCTCTAAATATTGTTGCTGTTTTCGCAGCTTCCCCTCTCCGCTGATAATTAAATGCTAGTTGATTGAGTGTCATCTTTAGGCTCGTGACTATGCACTGAAGCTATTTTAACTTCACAGCGATACATAGCGTCTCGATCTGGTTTAATGAAATCATCCTGTTTATCTTGGGTAAGTTGCGTGTTTATCGAGGCCTTCACAATAGCACATCCATTCTCTCAGTGTCCCCTTGCATTCATACAACAAGGGATGTGATATATAGGATTTGCCCTAGGATGGCGCTATATGGCGCCATCCTAGGGCAAGCGAAAATTGGCTCCACACGGGAACCGTATTCCACGTGTGGAGCCATTTTTTCCACGTGTGGAATCCACATTTTCCCACGTGGAAAAATGGCTCCACACGTGGAACACAATTCCCGTGTGGAGCCGTGTCTCCAATTGCCCGAGGATGGCGCAATATAGCGCCATCCTCGGGCAATTTCTATAATGCACTTGTATCCCAATATGACCAAGTTGTCGGTGATATCTTTAAAGCTTGCTCATTTTCAAATTTAACAAATACTACCAGTACACCATCATCCCCAACAATTCCACTTCCTATTCTAACTTCTATGACATTTCATATGGTCTCCAAGTATTTGATTGCCGCTTCAGCTGTCAAATGATGCTCAAGGGTTACTTTTATCCTGTAATATCTGTGATCAATAACACCTTCCTCAATTAATGGTTTTATTACTATGCATAGCATGCCGAAGCATATAACTCATTTCTGAGAATGTCTTCAGCAACCTCTGCACTTTTGACGTAAACAATGAGATCCTCACCAAGGTCTCTGAAGGCACCGATTGCATCACCGTATTTTTCTCGCAGGTTTAGTTCCAAGTATAGTTTAATGTTCTTTATTAGCTTCTTGTCTTTCTGTGCCTCATTACCTAGGCTGCCTAGTGTGTCTTTGGTCATGAGTTGAATCTTTTGATGATCATTTAAGTTGATCATATCGAAATGCTTCCATCTCATTCGTTCGGAGCCCTTCTAGCTGCTTCTCTAGGAGAGAGCGACACTTTTTGAGGTCTCCCCTGAGCATGGGCTGCGATGCTGCTCACTATTTCTTCCTTCACCACTTGCAGGCTCTTCTGCTGAGATTTCGCACCAGTTTCATTCTCCATCCCGCGATTCCAACCTTCATTTACGGAACGCTGATCCCTGTCGCCCTCTAGCTCTGTCGTCTTGTCCTTCCATGGGTTGCAAAATCTCGTGCTTGGCACCCTCTAATGCTACACACTCCATTATTATATGATGCCATGAGGTTTCTTGTTGCAAATCCACTATAAGGCTTTTCAGGCATTTTAATATGCAAATTTATTTTAAAAATTAAAATTATGAGTAATAATAATCTATGCAAGAGCTATATTAATATACAATATATTTATTTTTAGCCTTTTTTCACAGCGTTATTTATAGTTCTAAATAAATTGTATAAATTTAAAATTTTTTCTCTATCTACACTGTGAATAATTTATGTCACAATATAGCATGGCAGTTTGGGGTAGGACTACAGTCCTATATCTGAGCTCAGTGAAAGGGGTTTTGTGCTGTTTGAGAGACTCAGCATGAAGAGAGATGTTCTACACTGAGGCTGATGTAGATGAGAGATCTGAAGAGGTTTGGGGACATAAGCAGGCTGACAGCGAGATTCATCCCACCTACCGTTACTCAGAGCTGTCATTCAAAGTTGAGGTCAAGGAGTGGAACTTGTGCAAGCGTATTCTTATTAACATTAATTTATGTCAATCTAGACAACTGCATGCTATATCTGTAGCTAAATCTATTCTGTAAATAAAATTAAAATCTGATCTTTTATAAATAGAATTTACAACGAATTTTAATATAAATTTTTATTCATCATTAGAAATTAAATTGAAAAATCATATAATTCTTATATATTAGGGCTATTCGATGCAAATATGGTAAAATTATTTTTATTATTAAAAGATATATATTCTAGCCTTTCTAACCAATATTTCATCAATTTCAAATAATAATTGATTAAGAACTCACTGCATTTAAGTTATGGTTAATTTTTTCTGGAAATCTAATGCCTTGCTAAAATAACGTTTTGACTTTTTATATCTTTGCGTTTTAAAATATAGATCACCAAGCAATATATAAACATCTAGTTTCGAAAATTGATCATTGCGTCTCTTTTCGCTAACAACCTCTTCAGCGTATTTTAAAATTTTTTCTGCCTTTCTAAGACTTTCATCAGAAATATTAAATAAATAAATATAAATTTTGGCAATATCTATATAGTCACTTATACAATCTAGGTCATTGATTTTTATAGATGCTTTAGAAAATAATACAATTTTGTCTATATTCAATAACCTTTCAGCTTTAATCAAACACTCTTTTGCTTGTTCCTTTTTATTTCAAGCTATAAAAAGCTCTGCTAGTTGAATAAAATATAAAGGCATTCTAAATTTCAGATGATTGTAATTTTCTAATATTTCATTAAATCTCAACAAAATAGTTTCACATTTTTCGTAATCAGATTTTGTATAAAAATAACTAAAGACAAATCTTTGGGATTTATAATGCGTTGAAAAAAATGTCTTACGGTGTTGATCGATCTGATGATGCAATAAATTTCAAAAAGAAATGCTAGATGAAAAAAAATTTGATAAAAATGGCACTTCTCGTTTAAGTTGTACTCAAATCCAATGTGTGGAAAATGAAGAGCTATGAATAATAAGTTTAAATTTAAATGTTTAAAAAAGCTTATGGTTATGCAAAAAGTTCTTCGACTTTTAAATTTTAAAAAAAAATAAATTAATGATGTAGCAGATAAGCGCAAGCCGGGACTTATATTTTTATAATTTAAAATAAATTTTAAATAGCGATTATAACTTTTTCATGCTAAAGGAATGACTATGTGTAATATTTTCTATTAAAAAAATATGAGCTATCAAAGTAAGCATAAAATAGATTACTCTATTTCAGGCTATCGGAACCATGACAAAGCGAGCTTTGTTTTATATGAATTATGAGATACTGAGCTAAAACAATTAAAATTTCTTTTTAAAATTAATTGTATCATCCGATCCTATCAACACCGTTAAGAAAAATTTTCCAACGCATTATAGAAACATATCAATATTTAAAAAATCATAGTAATCAATAAGCTTAAATGCTTCAAAAAAGTAGTTATCAGCGTCTTCTAAATTGCCTTGAAGATAGCATAATGCTCCAAGGTATGCATTTGCAATAAATAGCTCATTTTTATTACTTTCAGTATAACTAGACATCATGCTTTTTGCTTCATTTAAAAAATCCCGTGCATTTTGATAATCCAGTTTTCAAAAATAAGCAATTCCCATAGAAAACCTTACTCCCTCTGTGAGTGAAGAAAAAAAAAGATTCGCTCACGAGGGGGCTAATTTTTTTTTTTTTTAAAAATTTTAAAAATCCTAATTCGCAAAAATTGGGAAAACAAATATTAATTTAATTTATAAAATTTATATTTTAAAACGCAATTTGTTTAAAATTAAACAGAATTAGCTAGATATTTCATTATATTAATTATCACTTATATATCAATTATTTTTTCATAAAAATTTTTTTTTCGCTCACTGAGGGTGGGTTTTTGGTCAAAAAATAAGGATTTTTCCAATGGTTTTGATCTCTCAAGGAGGGGTGAGTTAGCAAATAACAGCTCATGACTAGGTCATCTATTTGCTATTTTTCCAAAGTTTATTAGAGCATCATCATAGCACTGCCTATTTAAATAGAATACTCCAAATGTTTTATAAATTTCTTGCTCATTTGGATCTGCTATAGGTAAAATGCTGTAGAACGATTTAGCTTCACAAAGAGATTCGTGTGCTTTTTTAAAATCACCTCTTCAGACATAAATATCTGCTAATAAAAATCTTAAATTTGATAATTCGTACGAGTTTATAAACTTTTTCTGTTTACATATTTTAATGCATTTTCATATTATTTTATAGGCTTTATCAAAATCATAGAGATAATAACGATGACTCCCCTCAATCTTAATGTCTCTTGCAACAAATTATATAGATTAAAATGTCGACACGTGTCAACCTGCCCTCTTGGGAGCAACAGTCCAGACCTTATAGCTACGGCGAACTGGAAGGACTCCAAGCCGAGAATCAGACGCAGGCTCAAGAAGTGTGTATCCGGGTAGGTTTTGGCTGCTTTCCTGTGGCTGGAAATGAAGGTGATCAACAACGTCCTTTGGATCCGAGGACCCATGGACATTTCCTCTATCGAGAAACTGGGGGTTTCGGCCCAGACCTCAGGGGAACAGTCTTTTTGCTGTGGCTGTCGAAGGAAGGCACTTTGACACCCGATAGACTCCAAGGAGCTGATCCTTAGAATCAAGCTACTCCAATCGCCCGTAGCAAATCCGCAGAATCCATAAGCTGCCCACTCAAGACTGAAGCCACAAGGCAAGGAGGAGACAGAAGGTGCCGGAAGAGCACTCGTAAGAGAGATAGACGGTAGAAGCTTCTGTAGGGGAGGTTTTTTGGTGACTGCGTCACCAATATGGCTAGCGCCTGCCTGTAATAATCCTAATCCTATTCCTCTCGCAAAAAATTTTCGATGCGCATCTTAAATTTTTTCCGTACTTTTTAGCTAGATAAGTTTAATAAAATGGCGAGCGATGACAATAGCCGTCCAAATCTCGATGAGAAGGTCATTGGCACACCTAAAGAAGCGCTGTTTTTAAGGTTTTTTTGAGAAACTCACCTAGAGAAAAATGCATTAAATTTTTTTTATAAAAATGTTATGTTCATGAACATTTTTTCGAAAAATTTTTGTTGCAATAGACATGAAGATTAGGGGGGTCATCGTTAATAAATCTCTCCAATCGTTGCATCGTAAAGAAGTTTATCTTTAGTTTCTGAACATTTAGATTCAACTAGTTTTAGAATTTCTCTAATCTCTTTATTCTGTTTTAGTGCACTATGTGCTTTTGCCTTTCAGCGATAGGCTTCAATTAAATATTTTAAGGATTCATCTCAGACCAACTCTTTATTGTCCGATCAGTCTTTTCCCAGGCGCTCTTTATGATAATCAATTGATTTCATAAAATGTTCTATTGCTTCGCCATAGTTTTTATTGCCATAATAGATCAATCCTAGCTCTTGGTGAATTCTATTTCCAATATATTTAGAGTCAAATTGAGAAAAGCATTCTGCAATATGAGAGATACGAGAGTAACATTCAGAAATATTACAGTCTTTAGACATCATATGAAGCACTATATCACAAAATAAATATACCAAACAATCTATAGGATCTATAGGTGTCATATTCGAAAATAAATATTTCAACAAATCGATAGGATTTATATCATCTGATTTTTTGGATAAATTATCAGCAGGATTTAGGATTAATAATTGTTTTGATTCTTCGAGCTGAGAATAATCTTTTTTTTTACTTTTTTTTCCAAAAAATTTACTAAATAAACGCCCAAATGGTTTAACTATTTTAGATTCAGCTAGTTTTAGACCTCTCTTAACCCATTTATCATTTTTAAGGGCTAAAAAGCAGGCCAACTCATTAATATCCAATGAATCTTTTTGCTGGCGCTCTTTTTCCAAACCTAGCTTTTGTTTAATTATCTTTTCAGTATTTTCAGAATAAAATTGAGAAAAGAATTTTGCAGTATCAGAGATACGAGAGTAATAATCAAAAATATTACTGTCTTTAGATATCAGATGAAGCACTATATCAGGATATAAATATACCAAAAAATCTAAAGGATTTATATTTTCATATTGATTATCAACAAATTTTTTTGATAAATTATCAGTAATCTTTTTGATTAATATTTGTTTTCATTGTTCTTCGAGCTGGAGATATTGTTCTTCTAGCTGGGGATAATCTTTTTTTTGCATAATTTTTTGTTTTAAAATTTCGCCAAATAAAGCTAAAATATCTCTAATTGTATCCGAAGAGTTTTGATAAAATTCTAAATAACTTTTTAAATTTTCATATAATTCGTATGCCATCTCATATTCCTCTATTTTAATAAAATCCAAAAATACTATAATACAGAAATCCAATAGATGATCGTGCAGATTGTAAGAGGACTTATAAGCCCAGCCATGAATAAACTTTTTATCTTCAAATTTAAAATAATTGAAATCAAATAAATGCGTTTTAGCTGATCGATATAATCTTAATAAATCATTCCGGTCTCTAAGCTTTTCTATGTATTGTTGTGTTTTTTCCTTTGGCTGAGTTAAAAAATAATCAAAGGGACTTAAAATGAGCTTCGCCTCAACAAATTTCTTCTTCAGCAAATTCATCATGAAAAGATTGCAGTCATGCAAAGCCTTATGCATTAACCTTAGTTCTTCCTTGTCCTTTTCATTATTCTGATTTATTATGAGTTCATCAAATCTGGCTTCAATTTTCTTCTTTAATGTGTAGAGAAAATTTCATAACATCGCTTTGGATTCTTCGTTGATTGGGATTTTTATTCGTTTTAGTTCATCCCCTTTAGACTTATGCTTTGGGCATAAAATTTTGCCACAATCAGATATAAATATATGCTTTGGGCATACAAATTCGCTACAAACAGATATAAAGATTGCGTCTAAAGAGCAAAGAGAGCAGCAAACACTATTCATGCTTGATTATTTTTATAACTTTCTATAAATAAATTATGAAATGTGGACAAATTTACCTAAAATCAGTTGAATAAATTACTAAAAGCAGAGAAATGCAGCCTGCTAAGTCCTTTTGCATCTGTCCTGGTGATGGGCAGAGCTACGCAGGATCAGAAAGGACGGGCTATGGAATTATTTGACATTTTGGAAAGAAAAAAGAAGCAGCTCGTGAGATATCCTGATGATTTTAATAGCTATATAAGCGCTAATAAATATTATTCTGATGATTTTTATAGCAATAACTCAACTGGAACTGGAGAAGATGGGAAAGGCTTCCATTAGAACAGAAGATCAAGGTTTTGGTAGGTAAAAATTACCTTAATGTATGAATCTACAAATTTATTGATAAATTAAGGAAATTGGAAAGACCCTTGAATTGAATAGAAAAAAGCTAGAAATAGCAGACAATTTGGATTTTCGGGGGATAAGAATTTATAGTGAAAAGAATTCCTTTCTTATTTACTAATCAGCAGATAAATAAACTCCTTACTCCCCCCCCCCCCTCCGTGAGCGAACAAAAAAAATTTTTGTTCGCTCACGGAGGGGGGTTAATTTTTTTTTTTTAAAAAAAAAATTATATATAAAATTTTATAAAAAATATTATTTTTTTCGAAAATTTAAAAAAAAATCCTAATTTTGCAAAAAAATTGGGAAGCAAATATTAATTTAATTTTGCAAAATTTATGTTTTAAAAACGCAATTTGTTTAAAAATTAAACAGAATTAGCTCTAGATTTCATTATACTAATTATCACTTATATATCAAAATTTTTTTTTCCATTAAAATTTTTTTCTATTAAAAAAAAATTTTTTGTTCACTCACGGAGGGTGGGTTTTTGGTCAAAAAAAATGGCGATTTTTCTAATGGTTTTGTTCGCTCACGGAGGGGGGGGGGGGGGGGGGAGTTAATATTATTGTCCATTTCCACCAACATATTTTCATGATAGCCTTTCATTAAACTAATAAATCTGTGCTAATATAGCATAATTTAATGAATCGTAAATCTACTTTCAATAATTTCTTCCTCTTCATTAAAGACTCCAATCTTTCTTCGTCATACAAGTAGCAGCCATTTATAAGATGGATTTCATTTTCCTCAATTCATTCATCTGCCACTTCAATTTAAATGTCTTAATGTCTGTGAGTGTGCCGTATTATTGAAAAACTCTCAACCTAAAGATATATATGATTGTTGGCTTCTTATAGAGTTATTGGTGCTCCTTTAGATTGTTGTTTATTTAAAGTTACAATTAGTCCTTAGTCTGTAGATCCATTTCAATTCTTCCTCGATGCTGATGCCATGCCTGCCTTCTGATCCTAGACTCAATCAAATTTGTAGCTTCCTTCCAATTTTACTCTAATCTCCTGAACTTGACCAATTAGCACAAGTGCTAGCCCATGAAAGCCACTTACTCATTCAATAAATAAAGTTTTCCCAATATAGCTCATTTCTCTGATTTCAGGCGATGCTTCAGCAATTTAAATTTAAAAATCCAATATCCATATATAAGGTTTCATTTGCAACTCCTTGGAGTATCTAGCATTCATCTCATTTATCTACAGTTATTCAGGCATTTTTATGGATCCTTTAGTAATGCCAGCTGCTTATATACCATACAGGCCTAAAGAGTGGCACACGCCCTCAAGATCATTAACTTCCTCTGCAATTGCAGATTCTTCCCAAGATTGAGCCAAATGCTGCTTTTATTTTATTCAACTTAATAATTTGGCCAATTTTCTGAAGACAATTAGTGAAAAGTTCTATTAATACTTTTGAAATAATTTGAATAAATTCATGATTTTTTCTCTATCTACTTTAACTGACTCTAGTTATCTGTATGCTATATAAGAGCTGCTAAATCTATTCCGTAAATGATATTGAAATTGTTTCTTATTCGAACTTCAACGATAATTTTTTCCTTATCATATAATTAATAAGAAAAATCAGGAAAGAATTAATTGATAAATTTTCAGGATATCTACAGCACATTTTATTATTTTAAGTAGAATTATTTTTACGGCTAATCCAAGTGGATATTTATTTGGACTTCTACCCATAAATTTCCAATATTTCGTCAATAGCAATTAATTTTTGATTAAGATCCCTCACTGCGTCTGAGTTATGGTTAAATTCTTTATGCAAATCTAATGATAACTGACTATAATTTCTTGATTCTTCCCATCTTTGCTGTTTAAAATATAGATCCCCAAGCCAGTAATATATAGATAGTTTTGAAAATCGATCATTGAGTCTCTTGGCGTTGACAACCTCTTCAGAGTATTTTAAAATTTTTTCTGCCTTATCAAAAGCATCGAATAAACTAATATAAACTTGGGCAAGCTCAATATAGTCACTGATACAGTCTAGGTCATTGATTTTTATGTTTTTTTGAGCAGAAAATAAAATCTTGTTTGCATTCAATAAATTTTCAGCTTCCCTCAAGGATTTTTCTGCTTTTTCCATTTGATTGCGAGCCATAAACAGTTCCACCAATTGGATAAAATATAAAGGCATTCTAAACTTAAGATGGGCGTTATTTTCTAATATTTTATTTATTCTATGCAAAATAGTTTCACATTTTTCATAGCTAGATTTTTTATAAAAATAGCTAAAAGCAAAGCTTGAGGATTTCAAATAAATATCATTTTTAAAAATATCATAGTGATCTATAAGTTCAAAAGCTTCCTTAAAGTATGTATCTGCATTCTCTAAATCGCCTCCAAACTGGCATAATTCTCCAATGTAGGCATTAGCAATAAATAATTGATTTTTATAACTTTCAGTAAAACCAGACATCATTTCTTTTGCTTCATTTAAAAATTCCAATGCTTTTTGATAATCCAGCTTTCAAAAATAAGCAATTCCCATAGAAAACTTAGCAAATAACAGCTCATGACTAGATCATCTATTTGTTATTTTTTCAAAGTATATTAGAGCATCATCATATCACTGTCTATTTAAATAGAATACTCCAAATGCTTTATAAATTTCTTGCTCGCTTGGATCTGCTATAGGTAAAATGCTGAAGAAAGATTCAGCAATATAAAGAGATTGGTGCGCTTTTTTAAAATCACCTCTTCAGACGTGAATATCTGCTAATAAAAGTAATAAATTTGATAATTCGTACGAATTTATAAACTCTTTTTCTTTAGATATTTTAATGCATTTCCATATTTTTTTATAAGCTTGATCAAAATCATTCAGAAGATAATAAATCTCTCCAATTGTTGCATGTGGAAGAAATTTATCTTTAGTTCTTGAGCATTCAATTTCAACTAGTTTTAGAATTTCTATAATCTCTTTATTATTTTTTAGGGCACAATATGCTTTTGCCAAACAAAGATAGGCTTCAATTAAATATTCTAAGGAGTCATCTCAGATTCCCGCCTTATTCTGCCATGAGTCTTTTTGGAGACGCTTTTTATGATATTTAATCGATTTATTAAAACATTCTATTGCTTCACTATAGTTTTTATCGCCATAATAGAGCAATCCTAGCTCTTGGTTAATTCTATTTGAAACATGTTTAGAATAATATTGAGAATAGTTTTCTTGCACAAACATGAGAATTCGAAGGAAATAATCAGAAACATTAGTATCTATAGACATCATAAAAAGCAATTGATTCAAAGCTAAATATCCTCATTCTAATGAGCAAAAATCTTTTCACCTGTCAGACTTATCTTTTTTTATATTAAAAAATAAAATATTTTACTAAAAAATTTTTTATTCATTAAAAATTAGCATATGCAAAAAATGCTAAATTTTCAGACGAATTCTCAACTAAATTTTTGGCTGATTTATCAGGAGGATTTTTGATTGATAATGTTTTCGGCAATTGCTTTCATTGTTTATTGAGCTGAGAATCTATTTTTTTATTTTTAGTCTTGTTTTTGAGGATTTTACCAAACAAAACTATAGTACGCTCAATTTTTTGAATTGAAGAGCTATCATAAAATTCTTTATAACTTTTGAGATTTCGATATAATTCATATGCCATCTCATATTCAGATATTTTAATAAAATCCAAAAATACTGTACCAAAGAAATCTGATAGGCGATCGTGCTGATTGTAAGTAGACTTATAAGTCCAGCCGTGAATAAATTTTTGATTTTCAAATTTAAAATAATTGAAATCAAACACATGTCCTTTAAATGATCGACAAAATTCTAATAAATCATTCCGGTTTCAATTCTGCTTTGTGTATTGCTGTGCTTTTTCCTTTGGCTGAGTTAAAAAATATTCAAAAGGACTTAAAATAATTTTTGCTAAAATAAATTGTTTCCTCAACAGATGCATGACGATTATGCTGCAATCATGAAAAGCCTCATTTTAGTTTATGTAATTAAATATAACGTCTCAGCTTGAGCATGGCTGAGAGGCCATGCAATAATCGGCACATATTTAATTATATCCTGCAAGGTTTTAAAATGCTAGAAATAGGTAGCTATGCTAGGTAAGCAAACTTCTAGGTGCACGGAGCCTAGCCCTTGCCCATTTACAAACTTGGGTTTTACCTCAAGGGAGGAGGCTTGGAAGTTGGAAAGGGATTGCCCATCGGGCATTTTTCCATAGTAAACCAGGTTTATGGCCTGTCCGACAAGTTTTCCTTTTTGCCGAAAGTCAGCTAGAAATCCATTTTTTGAATTTTCTGTGCAGGCAACCTTGTCACTGTAGTCTGAAGCATGGTTCCTGGAATCTATAGTCTGCCCACTCAAACTGGAGCTACCGCGTTGTAGCAAGGAGGAGGCGACAACCAGGCAACCCGCTTTACGGTGATCGGAGTAGACGTTACCGCAAAGCGGATGAATTTCCTGGTGGGATCCTCGGCAACCGAGTTAACAAAATAGACTCTAACCACCTAATTAAGTAAGTAAGCTCATTTTAGTTTCTCCTTGTATTTTTTATTATCCTCGTTATTTATGCTTTCTTCAATTAAATATTCTTTTCGGGCATTAAATTCATTCTTTAACGTGACTATAAAATTGAATAAAATCTCTTTGGATTCTTCGTTGATTGGTATTTTTATTCGTTTTAGCTTATACCCTTGAGTTTTATAAGAAAAATAATGCTTTGGGCATGCTTTAAACTGGCCACAATCAGATATAAAGATTGCGTCTAAGAGGCAGCAAGAACAGCAAGCTTTTGTTATGCTTGACATTTTATTTTTGTCTTTCTATAAATAAATTATGACAATGTGGACGAATTTACCTAGAAGCAGCTAAAAGAAATGATGGGTCATGGAATAAAGAGGCAGGCTTGAGGTAAAAGAAAAAGAGTCAGCTCGTGTGAGATATCCTGATGATATTTAATAAAGTTTCCCATTTCTGCTTTCCTCTCAGACTTCAGACGATATTTCATGCAGAGTTGACACACGCCTTCAAGATTACTAGCTTCTTCTTCAACTGCAGATTAAGCACTATATCTACTCAAGAGTGAGTCAAATTCCGCTTTCATCTTTTTTGCCTTTTCTTCCACGTGATCAGAATTTCTAATCTTTTCCATACCCAAATACCTATAATCTTTAGATATCTTGAACATTCTATCATTAATCTAACAATAGTCTGTTCGCATCTCCAAATATCACAATTTCAAATTTATATTAATTTTATACTCTTATGCTAAAGCCTCTAATCTATAATTTGAATTGTTTAACATCTGTTAATCTTTTGCTATCGGCATAATGCCATCAGCATATAGCAATATGTCCACTTTATCTAGATTTAGCTTATTAAACTTTCAGGCAAGTTCGTTTGGGATAAAGTTGAAGGAAATTGGGGAGCGTCCTCTTTGCCTACTCCTTTGGGGTCCTTAGTCCTTTAATATCCTAATTTTATTTATTAATCTGATTAAGCTTCTCAAAGTCATAAACTAAGATTTTTTACTTTAAAAATTAAAAATTATGGGTAATAATATATAAGTAGGAGCTATATCAATCTTAATTTACAATATGTTTATTTTTGGCCTGTCTTCGAAGATAGCTATATTAATAATTATATAATTTTTATAAATTTATGATATTTTTCTTCATCTACACTGTAAATAATTTATGCCAGAAGAGAAAAAAAAGCAGTTAGGGGTAGGACTACTGTCTACATCTGAGCTCAGTGAAAGGGGTTTTGTGCTCTTTGAGAGACTCAGCATGAAGAAAGATGCTCTGCACAGAGGCTGATGTAGAGAGGGGTCCTACGAGGCTTGGGGACATGAATAGGCTGACGGCTCGGCTGACCTTACCTCGTTCGATCAACCATAGGCACAGCATAAGCACACCATGGGCACACTATACCCACCAAATATTAAAAATTACAGACGCATCATAAGCACACTGTAGGCACACTATAGGCACATCATCGACATATAAGCACACTATAGACACACTATAAACACATTAGGCATACCATGACCCACTATAAACCCACTATAAACTCGTTATAGGCACACCATGACTACTATAGACACACTCTTGCCCACTATATACACACCATGACCCACTATAGACACACTCTGGCCCACTATAGGCACACTTATGGCACCCTATGGAGCACTATAGATCATTATAGGCATACTATATACACACGAAGATAAAGATTATTTTTCATGAATCCAAAAGTTTAAAGAGATTAAGTTTAACTATAATAAAAATTAAAAAAATAGATGAAGAAGAAAATCGATCCGGCTATCAGGCTTACAAAAAAAGTTAAATTGGCTAATGGCAAGTCTGAGCAAGCTCCAAACTCAAAGAGCAATCACATATTATCGCTATGCAATAAAGAAAGTATGGCTTTCTTTCCTTTGAAAAAGGCGCCATTCTTAAATGAAAATACTGATTTAAATGAAAAGTTGTTTGCTGAGCTAATATCCTGGAAAGCTGATATAAATCAACCAATAAATATCGAAGGTTCAATTATAAAGAAAGATGACAGTGAAGAAAAGAATGACAAATTGCACTTGAATAACATTCAGAAGTTGTCGGAAGATCAAAATTCACAAAATCAGAGCCAAGCAGTAGAAGTACTTCTGTCTAATGATTTAAATAGGAGTATAAGCCAAAACTTATCTCAAGAGTTGAATATCGAAAAAATGCCTAAATACCCAAAAACAAGCAAGCCTATGTCAGATAATAGATACGCTGAAGTCTTAAAATACTTTAACAATACTCATTATATTCCAGAACGATTGGCTGATCCAAATATTCCTAACCAAAAGAGAAAGATCTTTGAATGAAAAAGATCAATTAATAAAAACTATAAATACATTCCAACAAATGTGTGTGAATTAAGTCAATCGTCCCTCTTTTATAATTTGAAAAATAGCCTAAAGAGAATCCCATACGAAGAAGAACTGAATAATATTATAAAAATTTTTCATAACTACTTAAATCAGCACTTGGCTGTTGAAGAAACTGCCAAGCTTATTGAAGAAAATGGATTTTATTGAGAATCTATTTGAAATGGCACGAAAATAGTAATCTCATCATATCCCGTTGCTCGATTACCCATGCCAAGGTATTTAGTACACCACCAGAGTTAATAATCTCAACAATGTCACTTGAAAGAGTTCAGGTTGATCTATGAAAAATCCCAAAACAAATTGTAGAATCCCTAGTTGTACCTACTGAAAGCAAATACTTAATAAGCTTTATTGACCAGTTTTCAAAGTATATAAAACTCTATAAAATAGCAAATAAAAAGGCAGTTACAACAGCACAACAACTAGAAAAATATATCACGACATGCAAAAAACCCCGCAAATCATTTAAACAGATAATGGAACAGAGTTTAAGGGTGAATTTGAAAACTTGATAAAGCAAGCAACATTCAATTAATCCATGGTAGGCCATATCATCCTCAAAGCCAAGGTTGCGTTGAAAGAGCCAATAAAACTATTCGGACAAGCTTGAGAAAATCTTTTATAAAATATAGTTTGCCAATGGATCAATATTTTAACCTGGATCTAGCAATTGATTACTTTATGACTTATTATAACGAGCAAAAAGTGCACAAACAACTGGCTTTAGACCAGAAATCTTGTTTTTTGAGACTAATGAACAGAGTTTTTTAAGTGTTGTAGAGAATGTAAAAAAAAAAGCATGAGAGAGAAATTGAAAAGTTTAGAAAACAATGGAATATTTTATGGATTACTTAACAAATCAATCAGAGTTCAAGATGGAGAAACTGTTCTTGGCAAACAGGCATATAGGTATGTCCTTCAATTGGGGTGGTATCACAAGCCATCTTGACTAATTATCAAGCTTCCCATGTCCTGATATTTCTTTACTGATAAGGATCCCCCCTCATTTATCCAATTTTCTAGTTTTTTTTTTTCTAACTCCCTCCCCCCCCTCCGTGAGTGAACAAAATAATTTTGTTCACTCACGGAGGGGGGTTTAATTTTTTTTTTTTTTTTTAAAAAAATTTATATATAAATTTTTATAAAAATATATTTTTTTCGAAATTTAAAAAAATCCTAATTCGTAAAAATTGGAAAGCAAATATTAATTTAATTTATAAAATTTATGTTTTAAAAAGCAATTCGTTCAAAATTAAATAGAACTAGCTCTAGATTTCATTATACTAATTATCATTTATATATCAAAAATTTTTTCCATCAAAAAATTTTTCTATTAAAAAATTTTTGTTCACTCACGGAGGGTGGGTTTTTGGTCAAAAAATAGCGATTTTTTTAATGGTTTTGTTCACTCACGGAGGGGGGGGGGAGTAAGAAAAAAAAATTTTTCAGGACCTCATTTGTCCCAAATCTAGTCAAAAACGATTTGTCCCATTTTCTAGTCATTTTTGGATTTTTCGAGTGTCCTAAATTTTAGTGTTTTACTGTAAAAAAACTAGAAAATGAGACAATTGAGGTCCTGAAAATTTTTTTTTCTATCAAAATTGTGACTAGAAAATTGGACAAATGAGGTCCTAAAAAAATTTTTTTTTCCTATAAAAAAAACTAGAAAAATGGACAAATGAGGGGGGGGATCCTTAGAATTGAGTTTAAAATTAAATGCAAGGTAATATTTGCAATCATTATTCTCCCCCCTCTGTGAGCGAACATAAAAATTCTGTTCACTCACGGAGGGGAGTTAATTTTTGTTTTAAAAAATTTATATATAAATTTTATAGAAAATATTTTTTTTAGAAATTTAAAAAAAATCCTAATTCGCAAAAATTGGAAAGCAAATATTAATTTAATTTATAAAATTTATGTTTTAAAAAGCAATTTGTTTAAAATTAAACAAAATCACACTAGATTTCATTATAGTAACTATCACTTATATATAGGAAATTCCCGATGATGGAGCTCAATGTGCCATCATCGGGAAACTTGTATATCTATTTTTTGTTCACTCATGGAGGGTGGTTTTTTGGCAAAAAATAGCGATTTTTTTAATGATTTTTTTCACTCACGGAGGGGGTGTTAGCAATCCAACGATATCGAAGAGATGTTGTTGCAGGCTCCATGTCAAATGACTGCGGAAATTTGATAGTGCGGCATCTCATAGGGGAAACTTTGTTCGAATCATTTTTGATAGTGAGACATTTGATCGAAAAAACCATCATATTTCGGCCAAATGGCTACACTATTTGAAAATTTTCGACCAAAAGTACTTCGGTGAAATGGGCACTATCAAAAAGGCAAAGTCATTTGACCTGCACCTGCTTTTTTGTTGTTGCAAGCTATCAGATCGCTATTTTTTCCTAGTTTAAAAATGCCACACATTGAAAAAATGTATTTAATGACGATAAGATTTCTTCTAATAAATTTTTAAGACTATTAGCATATTAAAAGTTTGAGATTAAGAGACTTAATAAAGAAAGGATTGATTTATTTAATTAATTGAAAATTCTGATTATATTTGTATTAAATAAATTTTAGAATCTTGCAAAGTGTAACGAGAATTATCTAACTCCATGAGCTAGAAAAATATAAATTGAAAAAGCCACCCTCTTTGATTGAGCAAATTTTTATAAAAATGTTTATATATAAGTAATAATCTTATACATAGTATTCAGCTAATTTTATTGTATTTTTAAAAAGAAATATATATCAAGAATTATACAATGCGTGCTAAGCAGTCTAATTAAATTATTTAATATAAAAGCATTTAATCTCCTAAGCCCCCAAAATATTTTTTTCCCCTATTATCAATAAATTTAAAATAATAAATTTTTATTTAAAATGTCAATTAAAAAGTTTTAATTTTCATTAAATTTTTTATCGAAAAAATTGTGTTAATGCTTTAGGATTTTTCAATAGTTTTGCTTATTTATGAGAAAAGGAGTTAGTAACTACAACTCAATTATTTTTTTCATTTTTGCAAGTACACTCAATTTATAATAAATATGAAAGCCAAAGGAATTTTCGAGAGGTTATGAATCACAAAAGCCCAGAAAGAAGAAGAGGACAAAGAAAAAGAAAGACAAAGCAAAATAAATCAAGAGCATCATGAAACAGTTATGGCAAGGATTAAGATGCTTAAAGCCATGAACACAAAAGAGCTGTCTAATGCAGAAATTTGAAGATTCATGAGAGTTAATTGAGCTTTCAGGAAAACTTTATTATAAGCACCCTTGGCTTGAGGATGAGTTTTACACATTAGTTAAAATCGAAAAAGATTATGATTTAAGAGTCTGGTGATATACTCAACAATTCTTGCGAGTAAAAGGTCGGGGGATTGCACGAACTCTTAGACAATAAGATAAATGCATATTTAAAAAATAATTATTTATAATTTTTGTCACTATCAAAACTCTTAACATGGAATCTTTACGATATCATCTATTATTGTTTAATTTTTCTTGCAAATCTATAACCTTAAAGATATCTTGTATATGAATTAGACTATTAAGATGTTGATGACCATCACCTTAGATACCCAAAACAAAATTTGATTTTTTAGTATTTATTTGATATTATTTAAAGTATACCCGCAAAATCTTCCTTATTAATTATAAAATTTTTCCAAATGAGGAAATTTACAGAAAGGTGGAGTTATAAAAAATCCATAAGGTTATCAATAAATTCCATTATTAAATGGGGCTCAGTCTCTTTATAAATTTAACGTAATATATGCTATCATCAAATATTTCTTATCCAGTTGTCTATATATCAATAGATTAATGCAGTCTTTATTTGCCTATATTGGAACTTTGCGCCATAAAAGATTAGATTAGGGGTAGGTGAATCAAGATGCATGGAGACCTGGGGAGTTTGAGCTCGATATTGTTGAACGATAGTCTCATTGATTTTCTTAGCCTATATCAGATCAGTTGTACGCTAATGGGAGTTGCATCAAAAAACAATTTTTACTGCAAAATTTAGCTGATGTATCAGTGATAGTTGGAATCTGTCTTCGCAGATATAAAATTTATATAATAAATAAATCAATCAATAAATTTAATAAGTGTATTTAATGATAATATCTAAATTCTACTTTCTATTCGAGAACTCATAATCATTTGTTGGCAAAATTTGCACTTTATTTTTGGAAAATCTTCTTTTGAAAAAAATAATCCATCTCTTGACTCTCCAATTTACAAATTTAAAGCAGCAATACATTTCTATCACTGCAAGAATTACTGGCAAAATCAAGCCATTTATCATCAAAAATGAAATTAATGCTTGGAGAATGTACAATAAATAAGCACCAATATTTGCTATTGGGTAATTATTCAACTTTTCAAAAGAATAAAGCCAGCAGCCTCCTATCCAAGCAAAACTAAGCAAGTACCCAACCATTACCTTCCAATTTTTAGTTGAGTCATTTTTATTCTTTACTAGCTGGTTCTCCAAAAATCTGTCCTTTAAGAAAACTTTCAAAAATAGCGGCAAGAATCCAAGGATAAATGATACAAACCATATCACTAATGTGACTTCGGGGAACTGGAAGATTAAGTCAACTTGATTGCTAATGTATTTGGTATATCCATCAAAAGCTGATATTGCAATCGCGATTTCAGTCGATACAGCAGCAAAAAAATATATAAGTCTCCCTTTTCGAGAGAAGTTTAAATCAGTGTTCCCAATGATGCCAAAAATGTCATTATTTGAGATAAAAAATTGAATAAAGGTTGTGGATGGAGTGAAATTATCGATTTTATGCTCCACAAGTTTTGTAAAAACTTTGGGTAATATTGAGAAAAAAATAGGAGTATAATCGTCATCGTTTGGGTTTTCAATCATCCCTTCTAGCTCATTGCCAATACCTTCAACTTTTATGTCATCCAGATCTATCGGAACGCCTACTGGTATATTTGTGTCTCTTCTTGAGATATCATATCTGACAAATGCAGCTTTTCCTTCAGGTTGAGATAATGATTCTTTTAGGGATGCAAAAATTCACTTTCTTATGAATCTTTCTAGCTTCAGTGTAGGAGTTCTCAGCTTTATGTATGCAAAAATATTTCCTTCAAGCTTTTTAATGGATTTAATGAGAGTTTCTTTTGATTCACATTTTAGATTAATGCAAAATATTTAAGTTCTTGACTTCTGCTAGTGGCATTCTGCATGCTGTGCAAGCAAAGCTGATGAGACAGCTTATTAGGTGGCTTCCACCTCTGGCAACTCAGAGATCAGGCTAAAATCCTAGTTTCTTGGTAGTGAATTGTGGGTAAAATCTTGTGCCAGGCGCTACCATTTTAAACTCAGTCCTTTCTTATAATTATGCCATTCCCTGCCTCATGCTCCTGACCAGATTCATCAGAAGCAGAACCCTTTCAACTAGAGGGACCGTTATAGTTATCTAGCTCTTTTCTAGGCCAACCTCTTGAAAAATACTCAATGGCTTCCTTAATTAGGGGAACCACAATAAAAGCTTGAACAGGTATATTAGCCTGCTCCATTTCGAGCACCCACTTGCTTGGGGGTTGCTTGAAAAAGAAAGTCGCAAGTAGCTGCCCATTGGAAAGGCCATAAAAAAGCGGATTTTTCCTTGATTCCCTGACTTTGGGACTCCAGATACTGCTGGGTTAACTCGTTGCTCAGCCGTCGCACGAGAAGACGAGTCATATGTCATTGCCATTGTATTTATATTAATTAATCCACATTTTAATTTAGCATCATCAAAATCATTTTTGGGGGAATTTTCATCTTCATATGGGTTTAATATATATTTTCTTATAGCTTGAATGATTCAATTATAATGCTTGTATTTGATTTTTTCTTTGAAAATTTCCATACAGTTTACTAAATTTATGACCGGCATATAAGAAAATCTTAATAAGTTCCTAATTTGCTTCTATATATAAAATGTTGAAATTAAGGGAAATTGGACAAGCACTCCTATGGAGCAAATAGGATAGCTGAAATAGTGCGTATGCTAATCTGTGAGTAGGTCTTTAGACTTGGGAAAGCCATGCAGAAAAGGGAAGATTTGTTTCTCCCTAAGATTTTCCTGTCCACTAGATGGGCCAGACAGGTTTTGCCTACCATATGGTCTTTCCTCATTGATACCAATGGCTCTGCCGAAGGGAGCTAATCCTTGGACAGGTTGCTCAGGTGGGAAATCCAAAAGGGCAACTTTTTATAGCCAAGATGGGCAAAGGCTAATGGTCTATCCTGCTTATGGCAAGCATAATCTTTTAAATTTAATTTAATTTGCTTCTGTTTTATTTTGGAAATAAATGTGAGCAATCCATTTTTTTCTTTATAAAGAAATCGCGCCCATATTAAAAAATTTTCACTTTCCTCATTTTCCGCGCTACAGAGAGCATTTATGACTGTTTCTATATCTTCCAAATTACGTTTGCCAATACAGTTCTCAATATGCATTTTAATCCTTTCAAAAGTAAGCAATGAATTTAGTATATTTTGGTCTTCAATTATGCTCTTTAATTTATTTCTTAATTGCTTTTTAAAGTAAGGGTAGACTTCATCCCTTTCTAAGTTCGTAGTTTCAGATTCTTTTCTTTCCTCATTGTCATTTCACTCGTTTTCAACCTCATATATTTCCCCTGTTTCCCAAATCTGCATAAGTTTGTCAACGTTTATCAGCTGGTTATTAACATATAGATTGCTGCTGAGCATGCTTATTTCCTTACCCTTCCAGAGGATTTGCCATCTGAGGAGACTTTTCCAGAAAAACATTGGCTCCTTAAATCCCCATCTGACATCTCCCAACGTCAGTTAAGCAGTTATTGGGCTATAGTATATAATGAGCTAGCCAACTTTGTTAAATTTCAAAGCAGCTTCCTAAATTTTAGCAAATTTGAATTTTTTTTAAATTTCGAAATATATAAATTTTAAAAAATACATTAATCTTCTGTGAGCAAACAAATTTTTTTGTTCACTTAAGAGGGGAGTTAGCAATTGTTTCATTAATGCTCAATGTTTGCTCCTTTAAAGGGTCTGCATATTTTCGCTCAAGCCTACTAATATCTAGTCATGAAAAATAAAGCACAAAGAGTAAAGATCCGAATATTACAAACACTGGAATAGCACCAACCCTGGGAATTTCAAGATTTACTGAATTAGCTCTGTCTTTCAAATTCCTTGAAACTGATGGGTAAGGCGGAATCATAATCAGTCCTGCAATTTCACAAGTACAAGTTGCCACACCTCCCGATTTGAAAAATGTTTCACAAAACTTAAAAGAAAACTGACTGATTTGCTGAAGATAGACAGAGCAAGTCATTTGTAAATCTTTGTCGTAAGCATCATAAGCAACCACAACGCTTAAATTCGTTAGCGGGGGAGCAGTTATAACTGGGCTAAAAATCGAGTTGGTGTTTTGAGAAATTCCGACTTGGACTAGGCTTGATTCATATTGATCGGAATAGTCAAAGTTGCTGTCTACAAGAGTGTCTGGGGAGTTAATATTTAAATTTCCTTCACTAAATTTAAAAGGCTCTGGATAACTATAAAAGCTTGTTGCCTCCTTTTGAAAACTATCAGAAATGCTTTTGAAGGGATTCAGGGTAAGAACAGAAAGCAAATATATGGTGGAATCTGGGTTCTTTGAAGTGTCAACGCTCCATTAGCATTAATTAATAATAGAGAGAAGTTCTCCGCAGGGCCGTTGATCACTACTAGTCTCCATTTACGTTTTCACTGATTGCTCATCAGTCATTCCACTGCCTTCTGGACAAGAATCTCCTAAGTCCAAGATCAGAACCACTATGCCGTGCACTACCTTCAAGAAAATTCAGTATTTAGAATTTTTTGGCCGGTTGCCAACCATGATGGAAACTCGAAGTAGGATTTACTCCTGCTCTCGCGATTGGGAATTGCCTGACAAGTGAGTATCTTAGGCAGCTAGGGTTTCCTTTCTAATTCCAAGTTTCCAATAGAAAAAAAGCAATCTGGACATAACTCCGCTGCACTTCCAAAATTGGCAAAAATCTGGTCGGAGCTCATCTTCAGATGCCATTCTCTTTTCCTTAAGATCCTGGGCTCTATTTTAAGTCTTTGGTGCAGTAATTAGGAGGACATCCTGACTCACCACGCCATTTTAATATATCTTTAGTGTCAATATTAAATTGGGCATCTGTATTAGGCTTGGATGAGTTATAACTGACACGATCAGATGCAGAATGCGCATTGACAGAAAGGCAAGTCGAATTGAATTTTATCCCAGTAAAGTTCACTGGTTCCTCATTTGGGTTTACAGGAATTAAGTACTTTAAGCTTGCTTCACTATAAGTCTTATTAATGAAACTATGGATTTTTATTTCTGAAAGATCTTAGATTAGACTTAGATTACTTAATTTAACTTCACCTTGAGTTGAGGCCTCTATATGACAAAACCATACTATCCATTTTGCCTCTACCTCAGATTGCTTATATAGTTTACCGTCTGGATTATGTCTTCTAGCTCCCCTTAAATTCCCCTTAAGATCATTATAATGGAATCTCCGGCTAATTCTATTAAATTTTACATAGTTTAAAATTAATCCATAAAAATAAAATTTATGCGTGAGAGAGGAAATTGACGGTGAATTCTGAAGCCATTACTTTTATCTTTTCTGAAAGATCACTTGAATTCTTTTCCAGGAGCGAGCCAAGGTTTTGCATAAGCAAATCAATATTTGGAAGGGCTGCCATATAAGCATGAGTGTCTAAAACTTTGGTTTTATTTAAAGCACTGTCTTGAGTGCCATGCAGTTTCACCAAAGTGGTTTCGTTTAAACTTGTCGCACTCCCGAGCAAAATATTGACACTATCAATGACTGTGCTGGAATCCGACAAGCTTGTGCCTTTCATAGAGTTGTTCATCCATTTATCTAGTGCATCAACAGAGTTAGATATGCTGGAATTTATTTCTTCATCGTCATTAGTCGTATTCGATATATAAAGGCCTGCAGCAGTTATTGAAGAAATGAGCAAACTTGAATCCATAGTCTCAGTCCCATTAGCCACCAAATTTTCAGTGAAGTTCTTAATAGAAATGCTGTCTGTATCATTTAGATAAACTATTGCTTCCACTTCAATAAAAGTCCCATAGGAATCATAGACTCTACCGAGCAAAGTTGCTTCCCCTATAATGCCAAGCTTTATTGTGAATTTATTTTCAGTTGTTTTCGGTATTAACGCTCTGGAGCTTTTTTCCAATTTTATGAAGATTTGGTAGGATAAAGGCTCATTGCCTTCAGGATCGCTCCATCCTGAAAATAAAATCCCAAATCTAGTTTTTAAAGTAATTCCTTCAGAATTGTTATCAATTTCAAAAGTTCCTCTATTTGGTGGGCAGTTAACATATCGTTTTAGAGACACTTTTGATTTTGCATAAGTTTCTTTATCAATTACTGTGGCTGTAAATTCATATTCTCTTCCAGGAGTTAAACTGAACTCTTTGATTGTAATCCCAGCTTGATCTGTAGGTGTTGTAGGAGTAAAAGTCAGATTATTGGCTTCTCCCCAAGAAATTATTGTGCTCGTTTCGTTTTCTACATGGGCAAGAATTCTCACAGGAGATGATCAGTCCAAAAATGGATATTTTGTTATGATATAAACTTTTGGAGCAATACCTGGCGAAACAAGCACCCAATGATTTTCAGTGACTGATGGATAATCAGTCAAACTGATAGTAAAATCGCAAGTAAAGTAAGAATTTTTATTTCTTATTTCCAAATTAAAAGAATTCCCAGCGATTTCAACAAATTTGCCATAAATGCAACTTTTTTCAGTAAATTTCACAGATCCCTTCTCTAATGGATATATTTCATCGCTTCCATAGGTTGCAGTTAGATTAACAGTAATATAAGAATTAGAATAGACCGTCGTGTCTACACCTAAAACCATCAGATTAGGAGGCGGCGGAGCTGCAACAACTTTTACACTAGCAGAGCGAGTATAAGTGCCACGATTGAATAGTACGTTTGCAGTCACAACATATTCACCGAGTTTTGAAAATAAATAAGCAAACTCAACACCTGACGTGCTGTAATCTGTATCTTCAGACAACTGTCTATTACTTTTTGAAACGCTTCAAGAAATTGAAGGATTTGGATCTAAGTCTATAAGAGTGCTTTTTTGATATTGGAATTTTAACTTTAATGGTGAGTCGGTACCGATATTAAGGGTTTCTTTATTAGCTATAGAAACTGCTACTTCATCATATATCATGTTAACTGAAGTGGTAGATAAATCAGATTGACCAAACTTGTCAGTTACGTTCAAAGTTACCTCAAAGTAATTATGATCTTTTGCGCTTTCGCAACTTTCTAATTTACCTCTCAATTAATGAATTAGGCCTGCTTAATATTTTCTGTAATTTTTTTAAAAAACACTAAGGTTTCAAAACGATTTCAAGCTAATTCTGCTAAATTTTAAGAAGAATAGAATAAATTAAATTAGTATAGCCCCTGAAATTATTTAGATCATTATTGGCCATCCATTTTAATTTCCAAAATGTCAGCTTTTTTGAAAAGTAAAAACGAAAATGACAAGTCTCCGTTTATGGTTTTAAGACTTATACTGCATAAGGCAGGTGCTCTGCACCATATTTATTCTGGTCGGTATTCTGCTGGGGTATAGGGAGCTATTAAGGTGCATGGGCTATACACTATTATGAAGAAAATTTATCCCAGCTATTTGAATGAGAAAAACTCTTGGTATTTCTGAATGAGTAAGGTAATATTGTAAAATTTTTGATTTATACCACCAGAATAGCTTAAGAACTTGCTTAAAGATCATAAAAATGTAAGATTTCCCATTCCCGTTGATCGAGATCCGTCAAGAGTCAATTCGCAAGAGCAGCAGATCGAGCTAATTTGAGTGATACTAGCTTTCGGCTTAGGGGGTTTTTCCTCCTTGATACTCATAGTTATATATGCAAGATTAGTTTCATTAGTATTTGAGTCAGCAAAAATTTTTTCAATGAATGTTAAGGATTCTGCGCTTTCTTGAATATGGCCTAGGTAAATTTCCAATTCATTTTTAGATATTTTGAAGCAAGAAACACTTTTTCCTAGGGAGATTATTGAATCTTTCGACAAAATTTTATCGCATTGAGCAGATGAGCATTTCTCATTAGTACAAAATTCCTCTGTGAAAACTAATTGATTATATAATTTAATTTTGAGATCACTTATCTCAAAATAATATTTTATGTTTATCAATTCTTGATGGCTCATCAAATACTTTGAAAAATCATCATAAAAAGCGTTAAAAGATATAGGATATAAATATCCTTGATACTGAACTTGAACAGCTGAAGGGTTGCTACTAATGCTGTAGCTTGGATTAATAGATAGCGTAAATGAGCATGTGAAATTTTCATTGAAAGGGCTAAATGAGCATTCATTACTGTTTACTCCCTTAGCTACCATTTTTTCAAATTTATATAAATTATTTCAGCAAGATTTTATAGAGTTTAAATTTATTTTCGTAAATATTTGCTAGAGATGTCATTATTTTTATTATTAAATATATTAAATATAATTTTACTAGACAATTGATACCAAAAAATTGTCTACTCGTTAGCCAAGATGGGAGGAGAGTCAGAAAAAAATCTGTGTTATTTAATAATTCAACACTCTCAATAAAACCATGAATTGTGTTGATAATAAATTCTCCACTTCAGTTTCCGACAATTACATTTTCTTGAGGTATAGAATGAAACCAATATAGCTCAGGACTGCTCTCATAAGGAGTTCTAATGCATTTAAGTCTATCTAAAGATAAGCAATAATTCTCAACACAATTAAATTTTTCAATTCCTGAAGCATGAGGGATGCATTCAACACAATTTGTTTTTCCAAAATTTGGGCATATAGCACATAAAGGATCTTGGCAAATATTACAAGTATCGTCAATTATGCACCCTTTATTGCAAGAACTGGGACAACCTTTGCACTTATCATGCTCCACTGAATAAAATTCATTTATCTTGCACGGAGATAAGCAATCTCCTAAAGAAGGCCCACAGATTCCAAGGCTTTCCGAATCTTCAAATTTATTTCCACTATTCCATATTTGAAGCTTATATAAAAACCCTTTAAAATGAGACTTTAAGCTTTTTCCTATAAAAAGGGTAGAATTCACTATATCTCTAAATAGCAAATCCGGGAATCCTCGTGTTATTATTTCTCTGTTATTTTCATACGCCCATAAAGATGTTACAGAACTTTCATATGAAATAGTGTAAGAGAGGTAAGTTCAGCCTTCAAAACTAATTTCTGATGTTTGAAAAGTAAAATTCTGAGAAAATCTGTCTTGCAGAGTTATTGGCAAAGCTCCGTTACTTGCTAATAAAAGTCTATCTCCCTGCTTAAGAATGTCTCCATTTCCTTGATTTCAAATTCACATCAAAAGCGAAAAAGTGTGAGAAAAATAATATGACTGCTCACTTTGGAGGAATGCAAAATTTCCATCAAAAAAGAAGCCCCTGTCCTTTGCTAGCACTGGGTCTTCATTTTCAGGTGAATTAAAAGGGTTATATGAAGCTTTATTAGCCCCAGCAATAAACTTTCCATAAGTTTCATTGAAATTATCCTTTGAATTTATTTCAGCCATTACGCATAATTCTTTACCAGCACATTCTTCAAGCCCAGTTGGGTATTGGCCTAAGCAGACATTATCTACTAATTCCCCTTTCACGCATTCTAAGCAAGAGAAGTATCCTTGGCCTCTACAATTTGAGCAGTAGTCCAAGTCACAATACTCACAAAAATAGTCAGAGCCATCTGTGGTTAAAATAGTATTAGCGTCACAGGCACAATTCTGTTCGTTTAAATTATGAGCTCTTTCTATGCATTTGTAGCAATTTGAAGTATCAGAAAACCCTGAGCATTCTTGACAGAGCTGATCATTACACAGTTTGCAGGATGGAAATTTTGCACAGGTAGTTTCGCATGATGAATTGCATTGTTTGCAGGCTGAACCATCTCAATATTCAAATAGTTCACAAGATCATAAAGAGTTATCATCTTTATCAGGTTGGCAAATACTTATTTCTGAATAACTGATAAAATCATGAACGGCGCCTATATAAAGCTTAAAATTATATATGAATCCAGCGAATCTGGGGTCTCCAATGACTAATTCGCTTGTAATATCTCGGAAAATGCTTTTATCTTGAGATATTGAATTATGCTGTATATTATTTAAGTAGCTATAAATTGTTGTAGCTCCACTAGAATAAGACACTGAAAATGATATATGCATCCAACTACTGTAAAAAGCTTCAGGGGTAATCATTGATATATTTGCATCCAAAGGATCTTTTAAAGTAATATTCAGAATGTGGCTGCTCGAAAACGTAAATTTACCTTCTTTTCTAATTATTATGCCTACTATTTTTGCATGAACCCAAGCCGCTATAGAAAAAGAATGAGAAAGGTAAATCGTTTTTTCTGTTTTTAAAAATCGATTATTTTCAAAATATAATCCTCTCTTGATTGCTGGGATTGGATCAAAATTCAGTTCTGGGTCCATGAAAAAATAATGCTGGCTTCTATTTTTACCAGTTTTAAAAATATCATACTCTGCAAACTCTTCAGAAAATTCGGCATCAATAACTGCATATGTATCTTCTTTAGCATTTATATAGCCATATGGATATTCATCGAGGCAAGCTGAGCCAACCAAAACCCCTGCTCTGCATTCAGAGCAGTCAAACCATTTACCAGTGCTACAGATATCGAAATATAAAGCATCACAGTACTCGCATTTATGATCATATATAGTTTCCATTAAAATAGCATTCGCATCACATTCGCATTTTTCTGTCCCATGGGCTCTTTCTGTACATTTTTCACAATGTGATGAATCGCTGAACCCTGAACACTTTATGCATAATTGGTCTGCACATATATTGCAAGATGGAGCTCTTACACAGTTTAAGGTGCAAGAACTGTTGCAGGATTTACAGCTACTGTCAAAGTACTCAGACAGTTTGCAAGGAGCTATACAATTTTTATCATCTCCTGATATACAGAAAATGCTGCCTAAGTCTGCACCTGTACCTTCAATTTGCCCCACATATAGTTTAAAGCTAAAAATAAAACCTGTGAAGCCAAAATTTGTGCCTTTTCCAATAAATAAGTGGCTTGACTTGTCCCTAAACAAATACTGTGAATAAGTATTAAGAGAGTGCTGAATGTCATTCTTATAGGTTGAAATGGCTGTTGAGCCATTAAAATAACTGACGATAAGAGTGAATAAATTTCAATTACTTGAAGAAATAGCACTAGATTCTGATAATAAAACTGACTGAAATGGATTAATCAGTGAAGCCTGAGCTGAAAAATTGCTAGGCAAAGCTATTCGGTTTTCTTTTTCTATAATATTTCCAGCTCCATAACTATTGATTCACAAAGCAATTGAAAAGGTATGCGAGAAATAGAGAGGGGCATCAGAAACCAAGTATTGAATGGAATTAAAGTGAAGTCCTCTTCCTTTAATAGGTACAGGGTCGCACTCTTCAGGATTTTACCAATAATTAAAAGAGCTTGAGCTGCCACAGGTTTTAAATACGTCATAAATTCCACTAAATTCCGCTTCAAATTCTGCGTTGATTACCAAACAGGCCGAATCAAGGCACTTATTCTCTTCAAAGCCATAAGGAACTTGGTCTAAACAAACTCTATTGATTAAATAGCCATTTTCACACTCCTTGCAATCGAAATAAGTTGCTTCCCGCTTGTCGCAGGCTTTGCAATAGCCGTTATCACATTTTTCACAAGCCCAGTCTATTTCATTTTTTATAAGAATTGAGTCAATATTACAAGTGCAAACTGAGCCTTGAGCATTGGCTACACATTCATTGCAATGACCATCACTGAAACTTGGGCACTTTATGCAAAGTATATCAGAGCAAAGATTGCAAGACTTGGGTCTTACACAGCCATTTGAGCATTTATCATTACAAGCGATGCAACCGTCATCATAAAACTCAAAGAAAGCGCAAGGTGATAGACAAGGCCTCTCGCTACCCACCGCACAAATTGATTTGCCATTGTAAAGTGATGGATCATTTATAGTACCAATAAACAGATTAAAATCATAGATAAAGCCTTTAAAATAAAAATTACTTCCCCCTTTTCCGATCACTAAATAACTCGAAACATCTCTGTATAAATACTCAGACTCTGATAGTTTTCTGGCTTGGATACCATTCAAAAAAATAGTTATTGTTTGAATTCCATTTAAAAAGCTTAATGCTAATTCAAATTGACACCAGCCACTTATAATAGATTGAATAATTGACTCTTCTTTAACTCCACCAGCGGGGCTGAACATAGTGATTTGGGCAGAAAAATCACTTCCTACCATAATTCTATCATTTTTTTGAAAAATAACTCCTTCTCCATAGCTATTAATTCAGGAAACAATTGAAAATGAATGTGAAAAATAAATCAAGTCTGAAGCCAAAAATTGGTTTCCATTAAAGTAAAGTCCTCTATCTTTTGCTGGGATTGGATCACATGCCTCAGGACTATTCCAGAAATGAAATGTATCTGAGCCACTGCATGTTCTGAAAACGTCATATACCCCTTTAAAATCTGTCTCAAACTCAGCATTGATGACTAAGCATGGTAATTCAGAACAGCGATTAGCTCCATATGGGTTTTCATCGAGACAAACTCCTTGAAATAAATATCCTTTAGAGCATTTGTTACAGTTAAAATAAGTTTCCTCTCTCATAGCGCATTCTTCGCAATATAATTCTAGTCAATCGGAGTCTGTGAACTATTTGGGAGGAAGAGCAGTGTTTGATGAGTGTGTTAGGCCAGGTTTTACTTGGCCTGGTGGACGCAATGTTGAGTTGGCCAATCGTAGGGCTCACATCCAGGTCAAGGTTTTACCTGGATTTGAAGTTGGAAAGGGATAGTCCAGCAAGGTCGGAGGGTGCTTACCCGAACAATAGGGAATTATCTTAACGCGATACCGGGAGATGCGCTCTAGGCTAAATGTTTCATCTCTGTTGAGAGCCTGACCAACAAAATTCACTTTTGAATTTTCAGGAAAGTTAACCTCATCGACGTACTGCACAGTGGCCCAATATCTTTACCTACGGCTAGCAAGTGCAGACTCTTGCTCTGAGAGAGCAGCACAAGCCTTAATCTGTGCATTCAGACTGGCAAGCAAGGGGATGATGCGAAGCAAGGGACTTGAAAAGCCATTAGTGGCCTGGCAGCGAGATTCTCTATAATATTTAATTAATGAGTCACTCTCCGCAATAATTATTATCGCATTTTAGGCACTTTCATAGGGATTTTATTAGTATTGAATCTGCATTGCAAGAACAAACAGCACCTTGAGCATTTTCTGTGCATGTAGTGCATGAGCCTTGTCCAAAGCCTGAGCATATATTGCATAGCTGATCTGCACACAGATTGCAGGAAGCTGACCTTACGCATCCCATTGTGCAAGAAGAGTCACATTGCTTGCACGAATTTGTTGAAGAGTCAAAATAATAATCATGGTCGCATCCTAGCAAGCAGCTACTAGTTGAGTCTCCACATGCTTTCTTGATATAACTTGAAAAATCAGTCACTGCGCCTATTATTAGTTGAAAACTGTAAATAAAGCCTGTGAAATTTGAGTTCGAGCTCCTCCCAAGCACTAGCTTCCCACTTAAGATGAGGAACAAATGCTTTTAATAAAAATTTTTATATAATACTTGTATAGATAATTAATAATTTTATAACGGAAACATAGCTATTATAGTAAATTCTAAAACAACTCGGACATAAATTTATAAATTAAATTTTTCCAATTGGGACTTTTTAAATAAAAATAACTCCCTCTCAAAGAGTGAGCAAGACATCTTGATTCTTTTAGAAGGGGGATAAATAATTCTGAGGCAAATCTCTGAATAGTGATTGATCATAAGTCTGCTTAAAAAAAGAGTTTCCATTAGCAAAGCTTGAGATTGTGGTAGCGGAGCTGGAGTATGCTACTATTAAAGAATAAAAGGTCCAAGCTGAAAATGAGGTGGCATCGTTTGTTATTATAGAGAAATTTGTACCCAGATTAGTTTCAAGAGTAATAGCCGCATGTAAGTTATAAGTAAGGATATATCCAAGGGCCTCATATGATATCTAAGGCTCTAGACTGTTTTTCAGATTATTGATTTAGTTCGAACAACAACTGTTTTCAAGTGCCCTCACATTATTATTAACTTACTATTTATAATTGAATTGCTAAATTTTATGCTAGAGCTGATTCGCACTTGAATGGTGTGCAATAGTATGCGATAAAATGAGGCTCTGAGCTATAACTCTATTCAATTTTTCTAAAAAGTCACCACCTTTAGGATTTATCCATAAATTCATGCTAAACTCATATGGCAAATAAACTTCACTATTTGACCTGAGATAGGCTCCATTGTCAAAATAAAGCCCTCTTTTGATCATAGGGATTGGATCTGATGCTTCAGGAGCATTAAAAGGGGCAAAAGTGTTTTTATCTGTGCCAGTATTAAAAACTCCATATGATCCTTTAAAAGTTTCTGTTTCAAAGCTCTCTTCAATTACTATTCCGTTTTGAATTAATTTTATTAGAGATTCTCTTTTGATGAAATTATAATATAAAACTAAGATAGAGTTAATATATAGCCTTAAGGATATATATATATACGGAGAACTTTTTGAGTTATCCCACCCAAATGGAATATTACGTAAGCAAATTTGCCCAGCTAAATAATAACCTTCTTGACAAGCACTGCAGCTGAAGTGTTTTGCTGATAAGCAACTAATACATAAAATGTCACAATATTCGCATTTGACTCCTGTAAATACTTTTCCACCACTGCAAGTGCATACTGAATTTATTAAATCAGCTCCTTCGACACATGAGCTGCATTCATAAAATGAATTACAAGTTGCACACTCTTTGATTAGGCATAAGTTGCATGTTCCAGCACTTCTGCAGCCATAATAGCAGTCATTTGAACAATCAACGCATTCTCCATTGTTCATGAACTGTTTGAATCCACAATTGTCTGGACACTTTAAGTTTGATGAGCATGAAAAACACCCAGAATCGCAGTCTGAGGTACGAAAATCATCAAAGTGATGGTTTGCATTGCCGTAGAGAATAATCTTTCAAATAAACCCAGTAAAACTTTTGTCTGAAGGCAGATTTCCCAAATATGTGGTCGCAGGGTCATCATAAAATGCATTAGAATAGGCCGCTTCGCTTATTAAATTTCCGTCAACATATAGTTGAGCTTTTCCTCCTGCTGATTCTAAAGAGTTTGCGATAGCTATATAATGCCATTTATAAAAGTCTATTGATTTTTGCATCTGTAATAATTTACTTTCACCACTCGTTACCAAGATTTGATAAAATACGTTGAGAATTTTGTCTTCACTAACTCCTCCCTCCATGAGCGAAGAAAATTTTTTTTGATATAAAAATTTTTGATATATAAGTGGTTATTATAATGAATCTCGAGCTAATTTTTTAATTTTAAACAAATAGAAATTGAATTAATTTTTATATTTTTTAATTTTGAACTATAAAATTTATATATGAAAGTTGTTGGTAAAAATATCATCATAGAATAGTTTATGAGCCCTGATGCTGATATATACAAAGATTGGTAGAAACTAGATGGTGTTTTCTTTGTAAAAATTCTTCCGGACGATATAGGCTTGACTCAAAATATGACTGTAAACCAAGAGTTAAAGTTATAGGCTTCTGATGACATATAAGAGTCTTTTAAAAAATAATATCCTCTAGATATTGATGGGACTGGGTCATTTGCGTCAAAGTTTGGGTAGACATTCCCACCGTCTGATCCTATCACAAATAAGGCACTTGGATCTTTATCCAGCTTGATTTTAGAAAAATCTATTGTAAATGCATCGTCATTGATAACAATAGGAGTTCGTGACATACAAATGCCAGATAGTCAATAGTAGTTCGAGATGCATTGAGTACATTCATTAAAAGAACCACCATTGCATATTTCACATCCTGCGTAGCAAAATTCACAATAAATAACTCCACATTCAGGCCAATTAGGACCTCCGCTTGCAAGGGTGATTAATAAAATCGTTGTAGATAGCCTCATTAATATTATCCTATAATTAGCTTAAAAATATAGCATAAATTATTTAAAGATTAAAATCTATTTATTTAATTATCAAATAGCTAAAACTTTTTTATGAATAGTTTGCATTCTTTAGTGATATAAGAATTCGATTAATATTGCTTTCAAATAATTTTCTAACGAAAATTTGCATCACCCTTGATAGTTAAATCATAGAGAAATCGCAATTGATAAATATATAAATAGCAAATAGATAATCTTCTTTGAATTATTATAATTTTGGGAAATAGCTATTAGATTAGTGATGCCTATTTGAGTTTCTAATTTCGTTCCATAGTCAACGCCACTTGATGCAGCCTTAATTTCTGTTTCTCAATAGATGCATATTCATTCCCATATCCTAAACAATGCAGATTTATATATAGTGGTTCAGATGCTATAACCTCAAATTTCAGCTTCAAGTTCCATATCTGCTCCTGTTTAATCATGATCAGACCAAACCATTAAAGGGACTCTTTAGGGTAGCGAGTTGAAATATCTTGTCAAGCTCTGTCTTTCTTTTTTGATAATCAAAAAATGAAATTTATAAAATTATGTAAAAATATGCGACGCTTTTCCTCACAATTATATTGTTAAAATGAGAATCTTTTGGGTATATTGTGGCGACTAATTACAAAGAAACTCCAAATCTTGATACCAATAACAAAATTTTTTACTTTCAAAAAAAAATTTTAGCAAGCAAGCCAAATTTGAAGAAGATTATCTAGGCGATTCGTGAATAAAGATCTTATAACTTCTTTTGCTAAAGGATTTCTTTTACTCTCCGATCCTTGAAAAAAGATTACTGTCATTTGATAAGCTAGGTTAAAAAATTTTCAAGTGACCAATTTCTTGACATTGAGATCATTTTAGAGTCCCTGAGCCAACAAAATTTTATTCACTCAGGTGAATAAGCAGCTTTTTCCTCAATTAAATCATAATTTCAATCAGTAAAAATCATATTATCTATAAATATGATGCATCAGTGTTTTAAACAGGGATGTGAGCTCGAAGTTCAGTATATATGCCTATGTTTGGCCTCTGAAACTTACTCCTGTGAACTCCATCTCGGAGCACATCTAAAGTTGCCAAGCAGAGCCCATTCCTTTGATTCTATTCTCGTAGAACCTCGAGAAGGAACAAAAGATGCAGTTCTTAGGTTTCTTGCAAAAGAAAAATCAAAAAAAGAGAAATTGAAGAAGATGATCTCTCCTTCCTTTGCGCGGAATATTTACGACTCCATAAATAGCGTTAGAGAAACCTTAAAGAAGCTGGATTCTGACATATCAGAAATAAATAGTATAACTAAAAAAGTTGCTCAAGCTTCAAAGCAAGAGCTAATTATGCATGAGGACTCAGAGTCATATACCAGCATTGTAGGATTTTGCAGACTAAGCGAGTTAAGAACTAGAAAAACTGCAATTTTGAGCACAATTAATAACCCAGAATTAGAACAAGATTTTAGAAAGGCGTGTTCGCTAAGCGAAAACTATATTTCTGACCCATTAATTAGTCAAGCTTATCAAGAGTGTGTCAATGCTTATCATCAGAGTACTTCTCTTTACCTTATTGGAGAAGTTGATAAAAGAACTAGCTTGTTCGTCTATGACACTGAAGGAGAAATTGAGCACGAAAAAGTTTTGGATTTTCCATGAAAATTAAAGAAATGCACGTCGTCTGTTGCTCAGCTTCCGAATGGTGAGTTATTCTGCACTTGCGAAATAGATTCATCTCCTTTCAATGTCTTTATAATTGATAAAAATTATGGAGTTAGGGTGTTGCCTACTCAGACTAAGCTAGCATTCTCATTAGCTATCTATTTTGATAGGAGTGTCTATTGCTTTGGACCAAAGGTTCATTGAGAACAAAAAGGAATGCCGAGTAGATTCGATTTGGATGGAAATAGATGATGCAAATTAGCTGATTGGGGAGCCGGATCCTTTAGACTTGGCACAGTGTTTAACAGGAAAATAGTGATTTCTGGATTTCAAGAAAGTTATCTTTGCTCATATTCGATTGATATTGATGCATTTTCATGGATTCCTTATGACTTTATAGAGAAAAATTCTAATAAGATCTTGATAAATGCAAATGAGAGATTATATTTGATTTCAAGCTGCAATGGGTCAGTCTATGAAAGCGAAGTCGGAAATGAGTATGCTTGGCAAAAAATAGGACAATCAATAATCAAAAATGATTTCTATCAAGTTTATTTCTCATATAATAAAGAAGGAGTATATATATCGTGTATTAGCGAGTCTATTAGAAAATATTATAAATTTGACCTCATTTCGAAAGTTCTTAGTGAGATTGCTTACTATGATAGACATGTAGCTCTTAGAAAAGTAAGTGATAGGATCGAGGCAATAGAGCGTCATAATCACAGCTTTAGTCTTATTCCTGAGTATGCTGCAGCTCTCATTAATGATAAGCATACACTTTTCTATTTGGGAGCACAGCTAGGAAAAATAGAATTCTACAATGAAACAATCAAAATCAATCCTAATTATCCTGGCTGTTACAGCGAGAAAGGGAGAGTTCTTTATGAGCTAAAACTGTATTCCGAAGCAATAGAATGCTTTAATAAAGCAATTATTCTTTCCCCTTCCTATTATGATGCTCACTTAAATAAAGGGTATGCTCTGGCAGGTTTAAATAGACATCTTGAAGCGATAGAGTGTTTTGACAAAGTAATTAATATAAAACCTCGAAATACTAACGCCTACTGAAATAAAGGAATTGCTCTATCTAAACTAGAAAGACATCTTGAAGCAATAGGGTGTTATGACGAATGAATCAAGATCCACCCTAGTAGTATAGCTTACAGTGACAAAGGACTTGCTCTTAATACTTTAGGAAGAAATCTTGAAGCAATTGAGTGCTATAACGAAGCAATCAGACTAAAACCTGATAATTGCATGACTTACTTTTATAAATCAGCAGCCTTAGAAGCTTTAGAGAGATATCTTGAAGCAATTGAGTGCTATAATAAATTTATAGAACTTAGGCCTGATGCTGCTAGTGGTTACAACAATAAAGGTCATGCTCTATACAACTTGGGAAGGAGCGAGGAAGCTATAGAATGCTATAATGAAGCGATCAAGCTCGACCATAACTCAGCTAAATATTATACTAATAAAGGTTTTGCTCTAAGAAAACTAAAAAGATATCTTGAAGAGATAGAGTGCTATAACGAAGTAATTAAAATGCTTCCAAATCCCTCTGGCTATTATAGGTTGAAAGGAATTGCCTTAAAAAATTTAAGCAGGGATCTTGAAGCAATAGAATGCTTTAGCGAAGCAATTAAACTTGACCCTACTGATGATGAAGCCTATCAGGACAAAGGCAATGCTCTGGATGAGTTAGGAAGGACTCTTGAAGCAATTGAATGCTACAGCGAAGCAATTAGACTCAATCCTAGCTCAGCTGAGTCTTATTTTGATAAAGGCTATGATCTTATTACTTTAGAAAGATATATTGAGGCAGTTGAATGCTATACTGAAGCAATCAAGCTTAAACCTGATGATGCTTTAGCTTACAGTAATAAAGGCGCTGCTCTGAGTGGGTTGGGAAGAAACCTTGAGGCAATTGAATGCTATAATGAAGCAATTAAGCTAAGTCCTAGCACAGCTAATTTTTACTTTGGTAAAGGAATTGCTCTTAATGCTTTAGGAAGATTTCTTGAAGCGGTAGAATGCTATTACGAAACCTTAAAACTTGATCCTAACAATGCTCAAGCTCATTTAAATAAAGGATACGCCCTTTATAATTTAGGCTTAATGTCTGAAGCAATTAAATGCTATGATGAGGCAATGAGACTCCACCCTGATTTACCTGCTGCTTTTTGTTATAAAGGACGCGCCCTTTATAGTTTAGGCAGAATGCTCGAAGCAATTGAGCACTTTAATGAAGCAATCAAGCTTAGTCCTGATGAATTTCTCTATCTCTGCTGTCGCGCTCAACTACTCAATGATCTAGAGCGAGAGACAGAAGCACAGCAGGATTTAAATAGAGCATATAACTTACTACAAAGCGTGCAAGAGAGTAAAATTACTAAAAGTCCACAGGAAGGAAATTATAATTTTAATAATGAAATATCAGACAAAGATCGCCTTAAATTGCTGCAGACACTTTCTAAATTACAGGAGAGTGTTATTGAATTTAAAGAGGAGCTCGAGAAATTTAAAAAAAGTCTTCCAGAAAATCCAGAAAAACTTAGAGAGGCAGAGAAGAAAGGGGGAAAAGCTAAAAAGCAGCATTCACAAATTCTTAAAAAAGCACTTGACTGCCTAGACTTGAAAAAGTTACAGCCAATCAGCACACTGCAGCAAATAGAAAGAGAGGCTATCGAGCATCAAAAAAAGATAATTGATATAATTGCCCAGCTTTGGCTATCACTTTCCACCAAGTAGTAGGGGTCTAGCAAAATAAGCTTAAATAATTGATTTCATCAGCAGATTCTACTAATTTTAATTGATTTAATAATATTCAAAGAGATAATTATATTTTCTAATTTTAGTCAAACAAACACTCAGTTCATCATAGCTGACAAAAGAAGGCATAACCATCAATAAATTAAGTTTAATAAGTCTTGTTATTTAAAAACAATCGTATTTTTTTGAAAATAGCAGAAAATTTTTAATTTACTTCATTTTTTCTACTTGTTATAAAATTTTCTAATCAGCTCCTCAATAATTGCAGAAAGATTTTTAAATTATAGCAAATTCCTGTATTATAGGGTTTTGTAGGAAAAAGATGGTCACACCGCTGTTACATCTGTAGCACCTTTGAAGCCCCTATCTAGAAGAAGAATTATATATTTTATATAATTGCATATTTCCGAAAGTAACATATCAGCTAGCAAAGAGGATGAGAAAATAGGCAATGATATTGATATATAAATTTTAACAGATCTTCTTTACTGATGACAGTAGCGATACAAATTCAGACACAGCACACGAAGAATGCACAAGTAACCTTAGGTTAAAAACTGACATCATTAGAATAGATAATAAAGGTAATCTAATAATTAGCTATTCGATAAAGATTTAATTGATAGATGAGCTATAATTTTAACTTGAACTTCATCTAAAGAATTTAACTTATTAGTGAAAGATTATTCTGAACTTCCAACAAACTAGCTGATAAAAAGAATTCTGTGAATATTTATCAATAGAATCTATTCATTCAGGCTAGTTGATGCTGCAAATAGACAATCAAATAGCATAAAAGTTAATTAGGAAAAAAATCCACAAATCGAAGTGCACATGGGTATTGAAATTATAGCTAGAAATTAAATAGATTAAAATTTCTGTTTAAATGTGCTTAGGGAAAAAAATTATTCTATTATGAAAATACAAATTCAGATTTCACATAAAAGCAAAGCTGGGGCCTCACTAAGATGAAAATTCTGGTTCTCAGTAAGAAAAATGGAATGAACGTTCTCTCAATGCAATGCAATCATGTCAACAAATAAGATACTCAAGTAGAATTATTTTTATTTACTTTGGATATTTATTTTAAACTTTCTCTCTATAAATTTCCAAAAATTCATCAATGAATTGATTCAGCATTTAAGATCTTTCACTACGCTTGGGTTATGGGTGAATTTCTTATATAAATCTAATAATTTTTGAATGTAAATTTTTGAATATTCCCATCTTTGCTCTTTAGAATATAGCATTCCAAGACAGTAATATATAGCTAGTTTCGAAAATCGATCGTTGCGCCTCTTTTCATTAACAACCCCTTCAGCGTATTTTAAAATTTTTTCTGCCTTTTGAAGATTTTCATCAGAATTATTTGATAAATTAATATAAATATTCGCAACATCTATATAGTCACCCACACAATCCAGATCCTTGATTACTATATTTTTTTGAGAAAACAATAATTTTTCAGCTTCACTCAAGCATTTTTCAGCTTCTTTGATTTCATTTAAAGATATATATAGCTCTGCTCATTGAATAAAGTAGCAAGGCATTCTAAACTTTTGATGCATGTTATTTTTTAATATTTCATTCACTCTTAGCAAAATTATCCTGCATTTTTCATAGCCAGATTTTCCATAAAAATAACTAAAAACAAAGCTTTGGGATTTTAGAAGCATATCAATATTAAAAATGTCATAGCTGCCAATAAGCTCGATAGCTTTAGTAAAGTATATTTTTGCGTATTTTAATTTGCCTTGAAGATTGCATAATTCTCCAATGTACGCATAAGCAATAAATAACTGATTTTTATAACTTTCAATAAAATCATACATCATTTTCTTTGCTTTATTTAAAAATTTCAATGCTTTTTGATAATCCAGCTTTCAACAATAAGCAATTCCCATAGAAAGCATAGCAAATAACAGCTCATGATTGGACCATCTATCTGATATTTTTCCAAAGTATATTAGAGCATCATCATATCACTGCCTATTTAAATAGAATACTCAAAATGCTTTATAAATTTCTTGCTCGTTTAGATCTGTTTTAGGTAAAATGCTACTCAAAGATTTAGCTTCATAAAGAGATTGATGTGCTTTTGTAAAATCACCTCTTCAGACATAAATATCTACATTTTTTTATTTGTTACCACTTATTGATATAGCGGCTATTGTTGCAGAAGCAGCCTTATGGCTTTCTTTTTCTATTCTTCTTTTCCTCCGGATTTTGTCTTTTGGGCTTTCTTTTGAGAAGCAGCCTTATGGCTTTCTTTTCTATTCTTCTTTTCCTCCGGATTTTGTCTTTTGGGCTTTCTTTTGATAATCTTCTTGCTTTTCTTTTTGGGCTCCCCAGGCTTTTTACTGTGCTTTCTTCTGAGTTTTCTTCTGGGTTTCCTGAGGGTTTTAACTGGGTTTTCTTCTTGGTTTTCTACTTAGTTTTTTGATGATTTTTCTTCTAGGTTTCTTCTGTTTTCTTCTGGGTTCCCTCATGAGGGATTAATTTTTTTTAAAATTTTAAGCAAAAAGAGCCCAATTCGAAAAGATTGAGAAGTAAAAATTAATTAATTTGCAAAATAATCCCTAGCTCCACGAACAAAATCATTCTTTTGTTTCTCTCCTATCCTATCAACTCTTTTTTGATGTAGGTCTAAATCCTGAGGCCAGCATCAATTCGACATCATCTCTGTTTCTATTCTCAAATTCTTCATTGCAATAAGATCTCATCTTCTTCTTATTCCAAATCCATCAGCTAATTTCTACCTTTGAATCTCTGCAAAAGATTATTTACGCTATTTTATAATTATGAGACTCATATTAAATTCAATAGCGATATTCATTAGATATTCTAAAATCAGGCTAGGGGAAGTAGCTCAGGGCACTAATTGTAAAATATTTAGCAGGCATAAAGACTACACATTAGTGTAATGAGAAGAAGACTTTAGGGAGAAAAAGCTCTGAAGCCATGCCGAGAAAAGTTTAACTAGGCTATGTGGTTTTATTCTAATACTTATTGGAGGGTATTTGCTGGTTAACTCGCCGTAAGATGGATAAAATAGCGTGAGGCTTATATTTTGATAAAAAAATAGCATCGTAAAACTCATAAATAACGTGCAATTTTGTGAGCATTTATCTTTATATTTAGGAAATTCAAAGGGGAAAAGCATGCTAATAAAAGTCTTAAATTTGATAGCTCGTACGAGTTTATAAACTTTTCCCGTTTAGATATTTTAATGCATTCCCATATTTTTTTATAAGCTTTATCAAAATCATTCAGAAGATAATAAATCTCCCCAATCGTTGCATGGTATAGAATCTTGTCTTTAGTTACTGAACATTTAGATTCAACTGTGTTTAGAATTGTTATAATCTCTTTATTATTTTTTAGTGCACTATGAGCTTTTGCCAAACAACGATAGGCTTCAATTAAATATTCTAAGTTAAAAAAGCAGCAATTTATCAAAGTTTATATTCACAACCATATTAAGATAATTAAAATCACATCAGTCAAAATAAAATATAATATAAGAAACTTAAAAAATATAATAAAATTTACAATCAAGTTGACGATGACATTGAAAACACTCCTTGAAAAAAGCAGAAAAAGCTATGAAAATAGAAATATCCATGCTCATCAATTTTCTGATATGCTACCAAAGCAGATTGTATAAAATTAAGTGATTGAGCAATTAAAAAGAACTTGAAGATGAAAGAAGTAGTAGAACAAATTTCTTGTGCCGGCATTCAGATTTAAATTGAGTTTTATTATTTGCCAGAAATTTTTATATTTTATAAGAAATTCTATTTAAAAAGCTTATATTTTATCGATTTTTTTATCAGAGCAATTTTATATTTAATCAAATTAACCAAAAGCATTAAGGAGTCATCTCAGATGCCTACCTCATTCTGCCATGCAAAATAATCTTGAAGACGCTTATTATGAAAACCAATCGATTTCATAAAGCAGTCTATTGATTTACTATAGTTTTTATTGCCATAATAGAGCAATCCTAGCTCTTGGTTAGCTCTATTTGAAATATTTTTAGAATAAAATTGAGACAAGCTTTCGGGAAAATCACGAAACCTAATGCTCCTTCCTATCATAAATTTCTTTATAACTTTTGATATTTTTATATAATTCATACGCCATCTCATATTCCGCTATTTTAATAAAATCCAAAAATATTTTGCCACAGAAATCTGATAGACGATCGTGCTGATTGTAAGCAGATTTATAAACCCAGCCGTGAATAGATTTTTGATCTTCAAATTTAAAATAATTGTAATCAAACAAATACGCTTTAACTGATCTAGAAAATTCTAAAAAATCATCCCGGTTTCAATTCTCCTTTATGTATTGTTGTGCTTTTTCCTTTGGTTGAGTTAAAAAATAGTCAAAAGGACTTAAAATGAGTTTCATCTCTACAAATGGTTTTCTAAAATAGCGCATTAAGATATTATTGCAGTCATCCAAACCCTCACGTGCTCATTTTAGTTCCTCCTGGTATTTTTTATTATCCTCATTGTGTATACTTTCTTTAATTAGTTTATCAATTCGGACAATAAATTCCTTCTTTAACGTGCAGACAAAATTGAATAAGATCGCTTTGGATTCTTTGTTGATTGGTGACTTTCTTCGTTTTACCTTACGCCCTTGAGCTTTATGCTTTGGACATGCTTTAAACTGGCCACAATCAGATTCAAAGATTGCGTCTAAGAGGCAAAAAGAGCAGCAAATTTTTGACATGCTTGCAATTTATTTTTATATCTTTCTATTAATAAATTATGACAATGCGGACGAATTTACCTAGAAGCAGTTGAATAAATTACTAAAAGCAACAGAATGCAGCCTGCTAAGTCCTTTTGCATTTTTCCTGGTGTTAGGCAGAGCTATGCAGGATCAGAAAGGATGAGTTATGGAATTAGGAAGCATGATCGAGGGAAAAGCAAAAATAAACAGCTCGTGTGAGATATCCTGAAGATTGTTCATGACTATTTAATATTATTCCTGAAGATTTTTATAGCAAACACTCAACTGGACAGAAGAAGTGTAGGATAGGCTCCAATCATCATAAGATGAACAGAATATAGAGGTTTTGAACAGGAAGAAATTAACTCCTGCAAATTTTGGATGAACAAAGGGAATTGGAGAGACCCTTGAAGTAAATGATAAGAACTAAGAAGAAGTTAGAATAGCGGACAATTTAATAAGAAAATTGAATTTGCAAAGGGGTAAGAATTGTAGTGAAAAGAAAGAGATGATTATTACTAACTCCCCCCCCCCCCTCCGTGAGCGAACAAAAAAATTTTGTTCACTCACGGAGGGGGGGTTAATTTTTTTTTTTAAAAAAAATTTTATATATAAATTTTATAAAAAATATTTTTTTCGAAATTTAAAAAAATCCTAATTTGCAAAAATTGGGAAGCAAATATTAATTTAATTTGCAAAATTTATGTTTTAAAACGCAATTTGTTTAAAATTAAACAGAATTAGCTCTAGATTTCATTATACTAATTATCACTTATATATCAAAATTTTTTTCCATTAAAATTTTTTCTATTAAAAAAATTTTTGTTCACTCACGGAGGGTGGGTTTTTGGTCAAAAAATGGCGATTTTTCTAATGGTTTTGTTCGCTCACGGAGGGGGGGGGAGTAAGCATTTTATCGCTGTGGTAAAGCATTTCTTTCTTTTTTACTTATTAGAAGATAAATAACCCATTTTTCAGCAATCCTGCAAAACTAGTTTACTAGAGAATTTGACTTAAGAGCCTCGAGAACATTTATTGTCAAGATTTATCTCAAAAATTAAATAAAACCACGAATCAAAAAAAAGTATTATCTTTATGCTATGAGATAAATATTTAAATGACCTAATTCAATATTTTTTCCAGTACAACTAAATGAAAAGTTGGGAAACTCGTAAAAGGGATCTCTCCTAAAACCTTCTCTACCTCTTTTTTATACTCCTCCACAACTGGTCCTACCTCTCTCTTCACTACCTTCTTCAAAATCGCTTCCAAATGTGAGACGGCCAGCACTTTTAAGCTTTCATAAAGCTCCTCTCTATTCTCCTCAGTTGGTCTCGATTCATCGTCAGCCTTTTTCCACTCTATAACTCTGTACAAATTTCCAACCTCTTCAAGTGTCCTTCTCAATTCTTCATCATTTCTGGCATATACTTTGGGAAGGTATATAGCCTTGGGGCTATCAACAATAAAGCCTGCTAATCGTCAGCTCAAACATGGCAAAAAATCTGGTAAAGCCAAATCATCAGGCCTGGATTTACCAAAATGGCGTTGGCTCATAAATTAATAGCAGAAAAACCCAGCAGATAAGTTATTGAGTTATATGATAACCCAGAAAAAACTGTATGTATTCTTAGGGTATATACAGGAATAGTCACATTTCGCTTTTCTTCTTCATTTATGACGCCTTTTGCATGCATATTTTCATTGACTGTTTGCAATATTATCGAAGGGAAAAGATTTCCAATGGTTTCTGTAGGAAAAACTATAAGAAGTCGGCCAGATGGGACAAGTTCTTTATGGCGTAGGGTTAAGAGGTTAACAAGATAGTTATGGGCGGTTTTTGAGGCTTGGGATTTTAGGGCTAGATCTGAAGAGGAAGAAACAAAAATGTGGTCAAATGCACAAAAGGGACGGGGGAGGAAGTGGAAAGCGAGAGAGGAGATGCCAATGTGGACTGAGTTGTCAGGGAATATTTGTTGGTTGAAGGAGCGGCCAAGCCCTGAGTAGAAAACCATTGGGATTTTTAAGTATTCTTCTTTATAAGAAATACATAATAATAATTCCCTAAAAAATAAATTTATTATAATACTTTTATTGGAATAGGATTCTGGAGCTTCCAAAACCGTTTTAAAAGTCTCGCCCCAATTATTTTCAGGTAAATCATGATGGACTATCATAATTGGTCTGTCTGAATATTCTCTAAATTTGGCAAGGTCTGATTAAAGAATAAAACTGAGTTATAGCCTTCAGAAGACCCGTAGTCAGCAATAACAATATTCCCAGTAGAGCTTTCATTAATATGCCGAATGGACTCCCCAAAAGGCTCAATCAGCTATTAAAGCTCTGCTTTGGTTACTTGAAGCTAGGTTATACCCTTTTAGTGCACAAAGTCCAGACATTTTATTTTTAGGATATTCTATACCCTCTATATTTTAACGTGAAAATTCGATTTTCCTAGTAATTTTCTTGTAGTTAATTGGCAGCCTTCTATATATTACTAGTAATAACTTACTTAAACTTTTTATTCTCTAGCAATTTTCTCCAGCACAATCGAATGGTAGCTCGACAAAGAATTTCTTGCATCAATGCTCTCAAATACCTCGCAGGCTTTTTTTGCAAAAATCTCAAAAATCCTCTCAAATTCTTCGCTATCCCTTTTTATCGCTCTCAACAAAGGTGTCCTCATCATCCCAGGCCCATACTTCTTGATCTGCTCTACAACCTCCCTTAAATGTTCATCAGACACCCCTTCATACCTTTTTGCTTCTATTTTTTCTATCGAAATTACCCTAAATAAACCTGAAACTTCTTCTAACACCTGTTGGATTTCTTCATTACTTCTCCTATAAATTGGCATCGTCAAGTCTCTTTTTTCTTCTTCTGTAATTACCCCTCTGGATAATAAATTTATAGAGACTTGCTGCATTACTGTGCTTGCTAAGCTTGAGTTATTATTAGAGTCAGCGAATTGTAAGAGTAAACGGCCATTATTTACTAGTTCTTTATGTCTGTGGGAAAGAAAAGTAAGTAAGTCTCTATGGGCAAGCTCTGAAGCTATGGCTTTAAAGGTAGGATCATTAGAAGAGGATGGGAGAATATGGTCTGGAGCACTTAAAGGCTGGGATAACCAATGGATAGCTGCTGAGGAAAACCCAATGTGGACAGAATTATTAGGTAAAATTTGATCATAAAAAGATCTGCCTATAGCTGAAAAATAAACGTCAGGGATTTTTATATAGGACTCTTCAGACTCCAATAGGATTTTATTTGCAGCTACCCAATTATTGTCAGGCAGGTCATTGTGGAAGACAAGAATGGGCTGGGACGAAATTTTTCTGAAATTCTGAAGAGTTCTGCTAAGAAAGACCATAGAGTTGTAGACCTCAGACGACCCATAGTCAGCGATTACTATAGTGCCATTTGTGAGGGTTGGAGAAAAATTGAGAATTTCGCCAAAAGTTTGGGTAGCTTTTAGAAGCATTTTTCTCTGCTGAGCTGAGGATTCATTATAGTTAGGGAGAGCAAATCCGCCTGTTGCCATTATTTTATTATTAATTTAAATGATTAATAAAGAATTTTTGTGGAGACGTCATTAATTAAACTATGATTAATTTTTAATTGGGAGAAAGGAGAATAATTGTGACTGTGGAGAAAAAATATTTAAGAAATTGATGGGTTTTCCTGTGAAATATAATAAATTTTCATATTATCAAAATTAAGGATTTATTTTATTTTTTCTAATACTATTGAATGATAAGTTGCTATGCAATATTCGGCACAAGCAGACTCAGCCAGGCTGTCCACTTCTTTAGAAAACTCTAGAAAAATGGCTTCAAAATTTTCTCCAGACCTATTGATAGCTTTAGACATAGGAATTCTCATCAGATTCCCAATAAATTTTTTCACCTGATTTACACTTTCTTTTCATTCCTCTTCACTATCACTAGTATTTCATTCAGTCCTTATTCTATCTATTGAAACTACTCTAAATAATCCACTAACTTCATCTAAAGCTCTTATAATTTCTTCATTACTTCTCCTATACATCGGTATCGTTATTTTTCTTTTTTCTTCGTCTGTGATTATTCCTTTATTATATATATTTATTTATAGTAACTATGCTTTTTTGCTTTGAGTGCCGCGGTACGGGCGCCACTTCGGCAAGCTCCTTCTTCCAGTTGGCCGAGCCAACTCAGGTTGGTTCGGCCAACTAGAATTGACAAGTCTCCCCAAAAGGCCTCACTTGTCAATTCTCCAGTTGGTCGAATCAAGCTGAGTTGGCTCGGTCAACTGGAAGAAGGAGCTTGCCGAAGTGGCGCCCATACCGCGCCACTCAAGGCAAAAAGCTATATTTATTTTTTTAAATGAAAATATTTTTTAGAGAAAAAGACTTAAAAATCATAGGTTTTCACAAGCTGCTTGTAAAATCATAGTGAGGACGGTATCTTTAGCATTGCGATCGCCGAATTGCAATAGAAGTCTGCCTGAGTCTACTAACTCTTGGTGCCTATGTCTTAAAAAAGTGACTAAATCATTATGAGCTATATTAGAAGCAGTTTCAAGGAATCCTAAATCGTCTGAAGATGATGGGAAAGCATGATCTGGAGCACACAAAGGCTGGGACAGCCAATGGATTGATGCTGAAGAAAACCCAATATGCAAGGAATTATTAGGCAAAATCTGTGAATAAAAGGACCTTCCTATAGCTGAAAAATAAACATCAGGGATTTTTATATAGGATTCTTGAGATTCTAATAGGGTTTTATAGGCTTTCACTCAGTCGTTTTCAGGTAAATCATTATGGATAATAAATACTGACTGTGATGAATTTTCTCTGAATTTTTTGAGAGTGAAAAATAGGAATTCCATTGAGTTTTTGCCTTCTGAGCACCCATAGTCTGCAATTACAATTTTTCCATTTGTAATTGTTTTTGTATGATTAAGAATTTCAGTAAAAGCATCTTTAGCAGCCATAAGAATTTTTCTTTGGTGGGATGAGGAAACATTGTAGTTCTGAAGGGCAAAACCTCCTGTTTCCATTATTATTTTAAGAAAATTCATAATTATTTTTAATAAGACCTAGAATATTTTCTCAAAAATATCAAAATCGCTATACAGATCTCAGCAATAGGAAATAAATACACCAAAAGCATTGCCAAAATATGCGCACTGCTTCTGTATGCCTCGCTTTTCTCACACAAATAGCTCTTCTTCGGCTTACTATACAGTTCGCCTATACTTGTCTTTTCCAAAAACAAATATTTCCCCTCAGAATCCCTTATAGCCATTTCAATATCACCTGTATTTCAGTCTACCTCAATTGTCCCAAAATTAAATTTCAGTATCCTCGGCCCAGTATTATAAGTAAAACTCATGATCCCATAAGCAGGAATCCATACCAAAGGCCCAAACGTAGTAAAAGCTGTATGGGTCATGCCACTTGACGTAATTTCATAAATAGGGAAATTCTCACATGTGTTTTTAAGAATTTCTCCCATATGGACGTCTCCAGACAGTAAAATTACTCCAGGGGTTTTATTTAATAAATAGAGAAGTTTTTGGTAGGATTTTCTATGTCATCTTTCAGTCTTTATTCATCGTTCTTGGGCGTTTATTTGGAGCCCGTTTGCTAGGATTGTGATGTCTCCAGGGTTATTCAGTTCTTTTTCAAGCCATTTTCATTGGTCTTCTCCTAGTGAGTCTCCTTCTGAATCTCATTTATTGTCTCGAAACGACCTTATATCAATTAAAATTATTTTAATTGATTTTCCTTTTTTTCCAAATGTATAGCTATACCTTTTGGGTAGAATTTTCTATAAAAATATGGCTTAAAATGCTTTTTTGGTATTTATAAAGCCTCAATATATCATAAATCCCTTCATGTCCAAGCCTTTTACTATTTTCTTCCTCCAAAAATTCCAAATACAGTGTTTTAGCTTCTTTTTTTAATATAAAATTTTTGTCCCCATCATTGATCCCATAGTCATGATCATCTCATACCCCAGTGACCATTGTGGTATTTCTCAGCTCCTTGTACCCAGGATTTTCTTTTAAATTATCATAAAGCTGTTTTCATGAGCTTAAATTTCTAGGATACGTGGCAATATAAAAATAGGGAATGTCCGCATACACAGAATCTCCAAGTCAAATGTAAAGGTCTGGGGATCAATTTGTGATAGAATAGAAGATCTTAGGGTTAGGAGGTCTTTTATGGTGGTGGCAAGAGCCAAAAGCAATTTTTGACAGTGTTTTAGACTCATCTATCCGGAGGGAAAAGATTCAGGGAATTAATAGTAAAAATGTTCACATTATGAGAAGTAAACACGTAAGCGAAAATAATAAAATTATTCATGGAATTTTAGGATTTTTTAGAAGAAAGGCAGAAATGGTATATTCCAGGACAGCTTATTGGTAGAATTGGCTAGCATTTGAAGCTCGTGAAGTCGTTTCTAGTTAAACATTGCCAAATCAAACTCAATGGGCTAGAAAGTATGCTCATCATACTTGGAATTTAACTTGTCAAGTTGGTTTGGGCAATTTTTGATGCTGAAACAACTGCCCTAGGCCATTCAAGCCTTGAGGATTCTTTGAATAGTACTACTACTAATAATAGCAGAAAGGTAAAAATCAGGGAGATTATTTTAGATTTGGTGATGCTGATTTTTATTGGAATCAATCAGAAGATGGATAATTGTTAGCTAATAAAAGATTTTAAAGGTGAATCCATTAACTTGCAACTTAAATAAGCATCTAAAGTGGTCCCTATAATAACTCTATGAAATTTATTAATATAATGGGATTTTGAATAGGATTTCAGGGACAATAAAATTAAGTGGAGAACCAAAAGGTGCCATTGATATGCCGTTACATTTATCATAACTGTTAACCGATCAGTCTACTAGTAAAAAGAAAAGAAAATTAATTCAATTTAAAAAACTCTGTAAAATGAAAAGAATTCATATTATGTTATATTAAAGTTTTTCGAGATTTATTGAATAATAGCTGGAAGTGCTATTTTCAAAATCAGTCCTGTCTACAATATCTTCAATTTCTTTTTCTGCAAAACCAAAAATCCTGTCAACTTCTGCTTGATCTGTCTTAATTGCCCTTGCAAGAGGAGTTTTCATGCTAACCGCCGCAAATTTTTTTATATGTTCAATATATTGTCTTGAAGCTCTGCCTGGAGTCCTTGGCATATCCACACTTTTTGATTCAAGCACTCTATAATAACCGTGGACTTCGTCTAAAGCTCTCTATATTTCTTCGGGGCTTCGTCTGTACATAGGAATTGTTAAATCCCTTTTTTCTTCTTCATTGATAATTCCTTTAGAAAAAAGGTTTTCACTGGCTTCTTGCCAAATGTTGCTAATTATGCTTTCGCGGGTTCTATCAGCAAATTGTAGTAGTAGCCGACCTGAAGGGACGAGCTCTTTATATCTTAGCTTTAAGATGGAGACCAAGTCTTTGTGGGCTTGCTCAGAAGCTAAGGCAAGGAATTCAGAGTCCTCAGAAGCTGAAGGAATAATATGATCTGGAGCGCTTAATGGCTCTGATAGCCAGTGGATTGCTGATGACGAAAACCCAACATGAACTGTCTCTTCTGGAAGAATTTGTTCGTAAAAAGACAATCCAATTGCTGAAAAGAACGTATTTGGGACTTTTCTATACGATTCGTTAGAGTCCACAATAGTTCTAAAGGCTTTCATTCAGTTGTTGTCAGGCAAATCATTGTGGACGACATATACTGGCTGTTGGGATGTTTCTCTGAATTTATGTAAAATGCTACTTAAAAACACCATAGAATTGTAAACTTCAGATGAGCCATAATCCGCTATAACAATAGTGCCATTTTCAGATTCTTTTACGTAGTTCAAGCTGTCATAAAGGGCATCAGTTGCCTTCAGTAGAATTCTTCTTTGATAGGATGATGATTCGTTGTAGTTTTGAAAAGCAAATCCACCAGCTGCCATTATTTATTATAGCTGAAAAAAAACCACAAAAGGAAATCCATGTCCGAAAGAAGATGGAAGACTTATAATACCTAATTGCTTCCACAAGGTAGTAAAGAACTGACAAATTAAGTTTTAATCCAATATTAAATATTAAAATTATTATATTTGAAGCCAACATATGCTAGCAAGTATATAAATAGCTCTTTTAGAAAAACGGCCAGCACTAAGTTCAATAAATTAATAAAAATTAAAAATTTCCACAAACCTAGAATACTGTGCAAATAATCTGATTCTTTGATAATTTTTCAATCAATTATCAAAGCAACTATCTTTCGAGCGCTTTTTAGCCAGATAGTAAAAATACCTTCAATTTAATTTTTTATTGATTTCTATCCATAATATTTATTAAAGCCTAAGCTAACACTTTTGATTTTGTTTTAGGCTTATTCTGCTTGAATAGGCAGCTTTTAAACTTTTTTAATTTTATTATTATCATGTCCTTTGGGAATAAATTTTTTTAGGATTTTATACCCTAAGCCAGATCTACAAGCAGGAATAAGGCTTCTTAGCCTATAATAGTTCCCATAAGCCATCTTACGATTATTTAATACAATTTCAACCAAAAAATGAAGACTGGGATTAATTTGTGTATAGGATTGAAAAATTAGTCAAGAAATTAAAATATTAATAAAAAAATTAATTTCAACAATTTTTGCAATTTATTATCTCATTTTCAAGTTAGAACGGTAATTTAGTCATTATTTTAAATTTTTTCGAGGACTATTGAATACTAGCTGGAAGTGCTATTTTCAAAATCAGTCCTGTCTACAATATCTTCAATTTCTTTTTCTGCAAACCCAAAAACCTGTCAACTTCTGCTTGACCTGTCTTAATTGCTCTTTCAAGAGGAGTTTTCATGCTAACCGCCGCAAATTTTTTTATATGCTCAATATATTGTCTTGAAGCTCTGCCTGGAGACCTTGGCATGTCCACACTTTTTGATTCTAACACCCTAAAATAATCATGCATCTCGTCTAAAGCTCTCTGTATTTCTTCAGCGCTTCTCCTATACATAGGAATTGTTAAATCCCTTTTTTCCTCTTCATTGATAATTCCTTTAGACCTAGCGATAAAAGAAGTTTTTTGCCTACTGCAGCACCGGGCCATAAGTTTCCTGAAAGGTTAAGGCAAAGTAGCTGAAGCAGATCAGTTAAAGCTGAGACGAAGCAAATAGTCAGTGAGTCCAAAATTATGTATTCTAACGGCAAAGGCCGTCCACATAGTACGGAGTAAATGTATGGGGACTCTAGAACCTGGAGGATGTGAACTGTACAGCTAGTCTGCAGCAAAGTATCTGAGTCGTCACCTGGTGATGTCCTCAGGTGAGCTCGATCATTGTAATCAGAAATTAAGTTTATAGGTTATCTATAATTCCTTTAGAAAACATGTTTTCACTGGCTTCTTGCCAAATGTTACTGATCAAGCTTTCGTGAGTTCTATCAGCAAATTGAAGTATAGTACCCCCCCCCTCGTTTGTCGCATTTTCTAGTTTTTTTTAAGGGAAAAAAAAATTTACAGGACCTCGTTTGTCGCATTTTCTAGTGCAAATACATTTGTCGCAATTTCTAGTTTTTTTTAATTTTTTTTTGATGTCGCAAATCTTAGTTTTTTAAAAAATAGTTTCTACCTTACATTTGCCTGCAGAGGGTTAGCAGGCCCGAGTCCTTCCCACTTTAATCTCCCCTTTTTAGAGAATAGATTAAATTAGCTAGCTTATTAGCTCCATTCTCCTTGCGCTTCAATGACCTGCCTTGCTCTTTCATTTTTCACCTTAAGAATGGAATTTTGCACTTCCTCAAAAGAAATTTCGTCCCATGACTCCTGAATGGCAGCAATTAGTCTGGCTTTACTGTCAGGCCTTCTTTTCTCCACTTTCCTCTTCAAATTGGCCCAGATCATCTCAATTGGATTGAGATCTGGGCTCTTCGGCGATTGAGTCTTCACATCAATCCCGTTTTCTCTGCAATATTCCCATAGTCTGCCTTGCAGTATGGGCTGTGTTACCCCATCCTGAACGAAGGTGTAGTCTCCATCTAAAGGCTCAATATAGCCCTGGAGAATGTCTCTGATATAGACCTGGGCATTGATTTGCATACTTCTCCTTCTTTATGAAGAGCATTTTGCTAAAAACGATAGAAATTCCTCCCCAGATCATAATTGAGGTTTTTCAATTGATAGGCTCTTCAATCGTTGCGTTTATCCCTTCTTTGCACCACGACAAATTAGAGTTACGAAAGAGATGCACATAGCACTCATCACTGAAGATCCATGAAGCGATATCTGAGTCAATCAAAGACCTAGCCCAGGACATTCTCTGCTCTTTATGAGCTTCAGTTAGCTGTAGAACAACCCTCTTCTTCCTATAGACATATCCCCTCTTCTTCAGCTCTTTTCCTAGCTGTTCTTCGCTGATGTCAACTGTCTTTCTTTTGAATTGGGCCCTCAAACTTGCCTTGCTGACAAAGCCTGTATCCTTCTCACATTGCTTAATGACCTCAGCAAAGTCTTCATCACTTCAATGCTTTAGGGGAGATCTGGATAGTGCCTCTTCTCTTCCAGCCGCTTCGTCAGATTCACTCTCAGTATTCTCTGCAGCAATTCGCTCAATAGTCCGTTTAGAAGTCCCCAAGATTGTCGCAAGTTCTTCGTTTTTAAAAGAAACCTACGTCAATGATCCTCTTGACTATGCTCTCTCCATCATTCCATTTTCTTAGGAGGAGGCGATAGTCCATGGTCCACAAGCTTCGCCTGAGCTCTAAAGTGTGCTCTTCAGGATTGAACTTGTTGGTGTAGTGCCTGATCGTCGTCAGGCTCATGTCCTTGCCACAAGCAGCAAGACGCTCTTGGATCTGCTTTGCATTGAGCCTCTCTCCATAGGCCATGCTTTGAATCATTGCCGGGATTTTTATCGGCTGGTCCTCAAATTTCGCGCAACTCCATTAATTAATATGGAAGACTAGAAATTAAGCTATCAAATAAGGAAATAGGCATGAAGATAGGGGAATAAGAATGGTGAATGGCAAAGTGGTGAGGCTTAAGCAATGGGAGCAGGTAATGGGAAGCAAGCTGTGGGGATTGAGGAATGGGAGCAAGGATTTTGAAGGAAGAAATGATGAAATTTCACTAACTGATCCCTTGACGAATTTTAATTTTTAGGAATTTATAGAGAGAAAAAAAAAACTAGAAAATGCGACAAGCGAGGTCCTGAACCGATTTTTTTTTGGCTTAAAAAAAAACTAGAAAATGCGACAAATGAGGTCCTGAAAAATTTTTTTTTCTCTTATAAAAAAAAACTAGAAAATGCGACAAATGGCAAAAAACTAGAAAATGCGACAAACGAAGGGGGGGTACTATATTAGCCGACCTAAAGGGGCGAGTTCTTTATATCTTAGCTTTAATATGGAGACCAAGTCTTTGTGAGCTTGCTCACTCCATATTCCCATTTAAGAAAAAAATTCATGTTGATGGCAAAAATTATTTTATAGAAATAATTTTATTGTATTAGTTTGTTTCAAATAAAAATCTTGTAAATTTATAGCAAGAACAAAAAATTAAAAAAAATATATTATACTCTGATCAATCGGAAAAAATTTATGCTTTTTTATGAGGAGAGATTGAAGCTAAGGCAAGGAATTCAGAGTCCTCAAAAGCTGAAGGAATAATATGATCTGGAGCGCTTAATGGCTCTGATAGCCAGTGGATTGCTGATGACGAAAACCCAACATGAACTGTCTCTTCTGGAAGAATTTGTTCGTAAAAAGACAATCCAATTGCTGAAAAGAACGTATTTGGGACTTTTCTATACGATTCGTTAGAGTCCACAATAGTTCTAAAGGCTTTCATTCAGTTGTTGTCAGGCAAGTCATTGTGAACGACATATACTGGCTGTTGGGATGTTTCTCTGAATTTATGTAAAATGCTACTTAAAGGTTCTTTTTCATTTTTTAAAAAAAAAACTTTTTATTTATAACTACTATTTTTGTATTTAAATCATTTTCTTCTTAGGACTAGGAAGAAGAAATTTCACTTATTTCCCCTTCCATAAGCTCACAACAATTTTCGAAGTTTCAAGAAACCTCAATCCAAAAAATTGTAAAACAAAAATTAATTTAATTTGATCATTTTATGTTTTAAGTTGCAAACCGTTTAGAATTCTATCAAGAAACTTCACTATAATAATAAATTCAAATTTTTTTATATAAAAAAATTGCACAAAAATAAAGATTTTTCCATTAGTTTTATCGATAAGAGAGCAGAGTAAGGTAAGTAGAAACTAAATTTTTAGAAATTTAATTAAAAGAATATTAATAAACAGGATTTGTATATTAAACGAAATTAATAATAAATATCACAAAATATGTTTTTACTATATTGTTTATTTTAAAATTTCAAAAAAATCATATTTATAAGTCCTTATATCAATTAAACTCAATGAGAAATTATTAAGGATTATTGATAAGCTAAAACCAGAAGCACAATAGTCCAAACACTCATCGGAATTGCACAAATCAAATACATAAATAGATACACCTTCGAAATATTATCTACTTGATTTTTATGAATCACACAAATCATAAGCAGCTGCAGTGACGTTGGAGACGCAAAAGTGACCCCAACCATAATCACCATAACACGGTTCTATGTAATTTTTACAATTATTCCAGCCCAATATAAAGGAAAAAGCATTGCAGCCCCAAAAATAGGCATGACGACCATTTTTCCGATCATAACCAAGTTTAAGCACGTCCTATATAAAAATTACCAGCTAATATCTGCTTCTGGAGGGTATCCCTGGCTTAAGTTTGACCCAAGCATAAGATTTATAATTGGTGAAGCACAGGCTCCGATGCTGGTCATGGCTGCGAATAAGTTGTTCTTAAACACAGCTCCAGACCCTGCAAAAACATATTCCTTCATGTATGGGATCAAGGCCAAGGGAACTGACACCAAAGTTGCATAAATTGGAGGGTTTAAGGTCTTTTTGACTTTCCAAAGCCATGAATTTTCGTTTACTTTACTTGTCCCATTGCTGCTAGCGCTTTCTAGTATAATTAATTGTAATAAATAGCCTTATTTTTAATATAAAAAATAATAATTTTTATTATTAATTAAATTAAATTAAAGTAAGCTGCTCTTCCTAAACAGACAGGACGGAGATTTCCGGAGCCTATTGGCCTATCGCCTGGGTCGAAACTTCCAGTTCGTCGTTCGACAGATTCCACCTCTTGAGCCATGCTCGAGCACTTTATCGTCCTCTAGGGGCTTTTGCTGGCTCTGGTCTTTCAAATGATGGTATCGAAGGAAAAACAAAGGGAGCAGCTTCCTAGGACCCGATAAAAGCCAAACTCTATATATAAAAAGGATTCCTGGCGTCTTTCTGTCCTTCCTCTTCACACTCGGCTGTTTTTTGCTGGCTTTGAAGAAAATAGGCCAGGAGGTCGAGTGGTCTATCGTCACAATTTTTATATATATAATTTTTATTTATCAAAAAGCAGTATAGCTCAATTTCATTGGTATTTTTTGGAGTAATTTCTGGCTTCATCATCCTGTGTAATCCTTACCCATAAGCAAAAGTCCACTTATAAACAGTAATAAACACTGTATAAATAAGCACTATTTCAGTTGCCTTATTTTTAAAATGATGGTCTGGCTTGGTGATTGAATTGTTCCCCAGCACTGATGCGTAAACAAGAGGAATGGCAGTCGTGTCTTGAAAAGCGATACAAGCCTTCATGAGTTTGGCCAATTCTGTGTCTGCATGAGTGAGTTTCCCAAAAAGCCACCCCACTCCATAGCCTACAAAGATGTGAACTAAATAGCTCTTACGTGAACAAAATACAAAGAGCAAGCCAAATTCGCCCATTTGGCTGATGCTGAACTCATTTATCATTTCACAGAACAGTAAGCATGGCAAAATGACCCATAGGGTCACCTTGGACATTGTCTCTGTGCCGGATTTTGAAAGTCACTGAATGATTTATACCCCTTTGCGTGTTATAAAGATCCCTGCAGAGGCCTCAGCGATAACAATAAGGGCACCGTCAATAGCGACGATAATTGAATCAGTGACTATGGACATATATTTTTATACTGTGATAGACTAAACCTAGTATTTTTAAATTAATAAAAACTTTTATTTCATAAAAAATTATTAAAATAAACTTATTATAAAAATGTATATACCATTATTCAAAGTTATTTTTATTATCTTTAATTAAATTGATGCCATTTTCTTCAACCATTTCATTATCGTTGCATTAATATGAATGCTGAATTTTTTCTCCGAACTAAAATGATGTAAATGATAAAGGAAGGCTTCGTCTAAGGGGAAGAAATTTAAAAAACTTAAAATTCAAAGCTTTTTCTCTAGTTTTAAGAATTAATAAAATATTTTGGAATAGAAACTTTTATTAGCAATTTAATTGCTTTTTTTTGAATTTTAAATGTTTCTTTTGCTTGATTTTAGAAGAACTAAAAATATCTTAATTCTTTGTCCTAGCAAAATTTCATAAAAATGGTTAAAAGAATTGTGAGATTTCAGGGAAATTTATATAAAATGGTTAATTTTATAAAAATCATTGTTTACTCCCTTCCAACTTTGAGCGAACAAGACAAACGTAAGTGCCTTAATTTTGCCAAAAGCCCACTCTCTGAAACAAAAAAATATTTTTACGAAAAATTATTTTGATATAAGTAATAATTAATATAATGAAATCTCTAGCAAATTCTGTTGATTTTAAATAGCATGTTATTTAAAGCATAAATTTTATAAATAAATTTTTAATTTTTCCAGAATAGGAATTTTTAAAAAAAATTATTATAAAATTTATAAAAAACCTCTGTGAGAGGAGTTAGAAGTAACTTAGCTACTTAATTAAATCAATTATATTTATATTAATCTCATGCAATTGGCTCTTTAGTGGTAAGCATGCATGCAATTTGAAAAATTTTGGCTCACTAATAATATTTGCTGCATTTCTTATTTTTTCTGATCTATTACTAGTTCAACAAATAGCTTTAATAACAAAAAGATTTAAATTAATTTAATTGAATATTATTACTAAAAGTTATTTAAATTTCAATCCTATTAAATTAAAAGCAGAAAATGAACCATTTTTCAAATAATTACCTCACTATAGATCTTAAATAAAGAAACTATGCCAATTTTATGAGAATTTTGGCTTGTATTGATAATTTTAAGTTTCTTTTCCATAAATTAATTTTGAAATAGATGCTGCAACTCAACAATAGCTAATTATAACCCGACCATATGCACAGTTTCTCTTTATCCAAAGGCTTAGAATTAATAAAATATATTTTTATGCTAATTATTATCAATTTCGTCCATATCAATTGAGGTCATCGCTTCAGAGTGATAAATCCCGCAATCATTATCAACTTCTTCTTCACAAAGCACACAATTAAAATGGCGAGCCATCCGACCCGTCCTTCTCCTGTACCCTCAGGGAATACGGGGTTAAGAAGTAAACGGGGCCTGGATATTGTGTCCAGGGTGGGTTTTTTTTACCTTGGTCGGGACACCACTACAAGGTTTTTTGCCCCTCACGAAGACAAGAAGACCAGAGCCGATGTATCAGGAGTCAAACTTCAGGACTAGAAGGGAAGTGAGGAAGATCTTTATGTGGGGAGCTTCGGGGACCTGAAGGAGACTCCGGGAGGCTACTTTTCTCCCTCCCCGGAAAGGACGGCGCCGGGTCACTAGACCCCTGATCAAGGAGTACCTGGGTGAGTCTCCCTGTTAGATGGCGACGTCACCATTTTTTGGTGACGTCGACAGAAAATGGAGTGAGCTACAGAGCCGGTGCATAGGGCGCGAGCCTGAAGCTGGCAGTGCTGGGTAGAGGCTGAAATAAACCTCCGTGACCCGCTCAACTAATTAATCTAATCTTCACAAAGCCACCCAGATCTCTTTATGATGTTTTCCAATTTTTCGCAATTCAAGTGCCATGAATAAATTCCCATTGATTTTCCAATGTCCTGGAGGTAATTCATTTGGCTTAAATACTCCATCGCTTCTATTTTATAGTTGTAATTTATGATGTTCAGGTACTCGATCTCCATTAGCTGAATATCGTTTAAGCAGAAATCTGGAATATTCTTATAATCTGAGGCAGACACAAAGGCATTATCTGAAACTCTTGTGCTATTAGTGTAGAGATAGACACTATATTTTTTCAGTTGCTGCTCATAAGAGGGATTTTTGAGTTTTGCAAGAATTTTCTAATGTACACTATTGTCAATATTATACATTCTGCACTAAATTTAAATTCTTTATTCAAGGATATAAGAAATTCTGAGATTTCTTGGATACTCACAGCCCTTGCAGCTTTTAAAAAAGTATTGCGGTTTTGAGAGCCGTATTGATATGAAAAGTATTCGCTTTCAGGAATCTTTTGAGGGTTTGCGATTCAATTGTTATCACACAATCGCTGGCTGAAGTCTTCGATATCCAGATATATAATTCTAGCAACAGAGCAGGTCAGGCCTATGATATCAGGATTTCTTGGACTTGGCAATTGGAAAGAAGTCAAAGGTGAGACAGATTCTTTTGAGGTCATCTTGATTATTTTACTACTGATGAATATTAGCAAATGAAATTAAAAATCAATGACTGCATTTGGAAAGATTTTATTTAATAGAATTGAACGAAGCAGGGTTTTGTGCTTAAAATGACTGCTACATCAACAAAAATGCTATTTAATTATAAATTTGATAATTATTAATTTATTTTTTTATTATAAGCTTTATTGAAAATTTTAACAAATTTGTAACAGTCAGAAGCCCTGTATCATTTATTATTATTTGATATTTAATATATATAAATATTTGATATTTTTTTATTTGTTAATATCGTTATCAGCTTCATATAGTCATTATTAATTTCTAATTTTTATCCTACTAGCTATCGGATTCCAGTGAAGGAAATTTAAATAACTTTTTTATTTATACCCTTAACTCTCCTCCTTGATCAAACCGATAGCTATGGTTCGATCAAGAAATGGATTAAAAACATTTCTTGAAAAATACTATTTACTTAAAAATTTCCCTTGGGGTATTGGATTGATTAGATAGATTTAATAATCTCTAAGATTTAATATGATTTACTTAATTTGGATCAGAATGAGTATAAAATAAGATAAATCTTTATTTGTTTTCTTGCATTATATTTATATTTTTAATTTTTTAAACAAAGGAAAAGAAGCAGCATTAGCTATATTAACTTGGCCACTTATTCAGCGAAATCTATATCTATTCAGAATATCCATTTGAGATTTGCTTCGATTTTATTTATTTGGTAGCTTTTTTTATCAATAATAAGAAATATAAATGACAAGGAAATCTTGAATTAGAAAGAAGGTGTAGGGAACAAATATAGATGAATATATCAATAACGAAAAAGTAAAAGCTGCAATAGCAAAGACTGAAAGAGTATATTTGTAGGGCACCAAAAAAACAAAATAATAGATACGATGCAGAGATGGAAAGCTAGACTTAAAAAAAGACTAGAGCATATAGACTGCAATTAGAAGGGAAACTATTTACAGCGAAGCCTACATTCATTAGGGTAAAATTCATATCCTGGTAAATCAATTAGTGCAATACAGAGCCTTAGAGCTAAATTTAACTATTGTAACACAAATACACAAATGAGGCATATAATATAGGTCAGCCTATGCTTCATATGTGCATTCTAGAGACTCAGGAGCATATATTTTCAAGATGCTTAAGATATAATTCACTTAAGATAAAATTGCAAGAGCAGCTAAAAAAACTAGGCATATATTCAAAAAATAGGTTTGTTGAAAGTGGTTTTTATATAGAAATAAATATCAAATTTGCGTGAAGAGGATATGGGAGAATGGAAGAGACTAGACGGTATGCAGAAAAATGCAGTGATTAAGCTGTGCTACAAGGAATTATTTAAATAAAGATCATAAAGACTCAAAGAAAAAGTAAAAGTAAAAAATATCCAAGAGCATAAGGTGAAACAACTGAAAATAACGGATTTGTTATAAAGAAGCCACAAGGCTTTAGCATTTGGCAACTATTGCATAGATAATGATGATGAGAGTTTTGTTTTTAACTTGTTTTATTATATTCTATCTCCCCTCAACATTTGGAAACTAACTTCCCTTCCGTGTGTGAATAAAATCATGGAAAAATCCTATTTTTTGCCACCCTAAGTAGTCTCAAAAATTTTTTATGAGATATATAATTGATAAATTTTATAATGAAATCTCTAGCTAATTATGTTTAATTTTAAGCAAATTCCATTTAAATACATAAATTTTACAAATTAAAATAACTATTTGATTTCCAATTTTGCGAATTGCTATTTTTTCATTTCGAAAAAAAATTAGTATAAAATTTATTTAATATATAAAATAATGAGCGGACAAAATTTTTTTGTTCGCTTACGGGGGGGAGTGAGTTAATTAATTCTTTAGGTAAAATATGGCAGACATCATAATCGTGTCCATTTATCCTATTTTATTGCTATAGATTAATAGGTATCTGCATACAGATGGATTTCGAAAATATTTAATATGGGCTTATAACAAATTGAGATATAAAATAGCGAGAGTCGAGCAGTCGACTCCCTCCGTGATAGAAGCCTTAGATATTCAGGGTATGGCTTTGAGCTGTGCTTAATGCCGACTATAGTAAGTAGCTTTGATTCGAGAATGTGAGACCGAAGCAGCTATTTTGGTCCTGACTCCATTGGAAGCTTAATGAATCTCTTTTTAATAGTAACAGGCCAAATGGATGCCTGATATGAGAGGGCAGCATGCTTACCTACGCTGCTACTGTGGCTTGCTTTGAATGGCAAAAGTGTTGAATTCTTTCTCAGATGAGCCAAAATAGGAAGGCAAGTTGACTGCGAAAATGACTTTGGAAGATCTGTCGTTTGAAGGGTGTAGGGTTGGTGTAAACTTGGATGACATCTTGGGTTGCAAATGGAGGCAGTCAGCAAAGCAAGTAAATGGTCTTGACCCTCACATCTGCCATCACTGAGGAGCATGCTGCTGACGAAAAGACAACCTAAACTCTTTATAACTAAAAGCTATAGTTATGAGAGCAAGGCTGGTATGTTTTAGAAACTTGAGTATGCAGTTTTACGCTCTATTTCTAAACTACTGTAATTTATTATCTTTTTTACATACAGAAACTGCCTCATTCATCTAAGTGCAAACATATAAATCAAGTTCATAAGACTCTGTACCATAAAATGTTGTATTGTAAAAAGGGCATTTAATCAAAGAGTGCTTAATCTGAAAATGTTTTAAAAGAGATTTAAAGTCTGTATAAATAGAGCGACACTTTGAACATTTTAATCTATTATTCCCAAATAACGAAAAGTACCAATATTCCCTAAGAAATCTTTGTGCACATCGTTAAAGTGAGGTTCATTTATAAAATTTGCAACAATTATATATCTTACATCTTTATTTTTACTTTCTTCTAAACTTAATGGAGAATGAGAATATAAATGATATTGTGAATACATTTCTTCAAATTCTGGAAATCTTAATATTCTTCTTTTAATATCTTCTGGATTATTTTGGGAGTTATATGAAATACTTGATATATTTTTTCTTAGTTATTCTTTATTATTTCTTACAAATTCAATATGTAAGAATAAGTTAAATATGTAGTAGATAAGGAATATATTTACTCTATAATCGTTTTAATGATTATTTCCTGCACAAATAATATGATTTTAAAAATAATTTATCTAAGTAAGGCTACTTCCTTTAATGCATTGCTTTCATTGATTTTTTGAGAACTGATAAACCTTTTTCCAGTTTGCCCCAGTTTCTTTATAAGTTTTTTTTTCCCAAATAAGCTGCAGCAAATGTTCATGAATCAATTAAATTCATATCTTCTGACAGAAGCAAAATTCCATGTATGGGATGTTCTTTGCTTTTGAAAATGAATGCTTAAACATATCCTCATTCCCAAAAAATACCCAGATCCTGGAGGATATAGTAATTTTAAACTCAGATATGCGCTTTCTGTAATATTGGTGATTAATATTCCTGAAATTGAAAATTAAAAGTTTTCCGGATTAAGACGCTTAAAGACTTTTTAATCCTTAATTAATTATTCAGATTTTCAAACCGATAATCTCTTCCACGGGAGGTAACATCAGCATCTCTCTTAGTCCCAACTGATGACGTCAACAGTCATTTTATTCAGCAAGCATTCCAGAGGACACCACCATAAAGGCAGAAAGCCTTCGTTGACCTTACCCCCTACCTCGGCTTCAGCCCGTGTCCAACCATAGTGTCACCTCCTCAGTTTGCCATGCAGAAAAAAACATATACCTCCTTTTTTCACGAACCAATTAAATACCTGGTAGGTTCGCTTGGAAAACTGAACCCATAATAATAAAATCCGATGATGAAGAACAGTTTTCAAAGGGTTCAATTCTGAGCGTATCCATTATATTGTAATAAGACGCTCAAAAGTCCTTGGCAGGTAAGTTATTGCCAGCTCTTTCATTTTGTTTAATTTTTCTCTGCAAATGAAATATGAGAACTTGGAATTTTTTAAAAAATATTAAAAAAAAATCAATTTCGTAAAATTTGAACAAAAACAGCATGAAACTTGTAATTAAGCTTAGATAACATCTGTTTTTTTATGCCTCTTTGCAATTATTAATTATTAGCCTTTTTTGATCTCATGAAAATAATTATTTGAGCTGCCAGATTTCAGGATAGGCATATAGGAAAAGGCTTAAAAAGAGATAATATGATTGTGATAATTCCTCAATCATGAGAATACATCAATTTTTTGTTTTACAAATAGATTACTAACAGAAGAGAATAAAAAGAAATATAAGTTTAATATTGTATCAAATAAGAAAATGTGAACGATTGTTGGAGCTCAATAAAAATTTGGTTTATTTAGATTTTTAACAATATACGAACCTGAAATAAAAAATATATAATTTGCTTAATTTCTGGAAATTATTCATTCTTAAATATCCAATATTTTAAGACTAATTAGTAATCTATTAGGTCTATGTCGATAGAATGCATAGCTTCAGAGTGATAAATGCCGCAATCGCTATCGCTTTCTTCCTCAGAGAGCTGCTTCGATCTCTTCATAATATTTTCCAGTTTCTCATTATCTAAATACCATGTGTTGCCTTTAATAGATTTTGAGATATCCTGAAGGTAATTACTTTGATACAAATACTCTATGGCTTCTAGCTTATAGTCGTAGCCTATAAAATTGAGAAAATCTATTTCCATTAGTCTAATATCTTCAAGGCTGAAGCCTTTGATATTATTGTAATCTGAAGCGGAAATAATGGCATTATCCGAGACTCTTTGTGCTACTAATGTAGAAATAAGTAGTATACACTTTTTATTTATTAATTATCGGCTTAGCCTTCAAATTTTTGGCTTTATTTGGGAAAAATAGTTTTGGGTTTACAAAATTCCATTAATTAAACTTAAATTGGTATATATTTTTTTCAGTTGTCACTCATTAGTGGTATTTTTGAGTAAAACAAAAATTTTTTACTCCCCGCCTCCGTGAGCGAACAAAACCATTAGAACAATTCCTATTTTTTGCCCAAAAACCCACCCTCCCTGAGCGAATAAACATTTTTTATGAAAAAAATATTGATAACTAATATAATAAATCTATATGCGTTTTGAACATAAATTTTACAAATTAAATTAATATTTGCTTTCCAATTTTTTGCGAATTGGGATATTTATAAATTTTGAAAAAAAATAAATTAACATCTCCGTGAGCGAACAAAAATTTTTTGTTCTCTCACAGAAGAGGGGATTTAATATACACCATAGTCAAAACAAAGCACTCTTTACTGAATTTAAATTCTTTATACAGAGTCTGTACGAATTCTGAAATTTCTTGAATATCTACTGGCCTTGCTAGTTTTTCGTCGTAGCAGCTATTGTAATTATCTTGATAGGAGAAATAATCGCTTTCAGGGATGTTTTCTAGATTCACAGCCCTAGGATTAATTCTTATTTCCTTGCAGAAATATTCGATTTCTATATATAGGGCTCTTGAAATCGAATGAATTAGATCCAGGATTTCAGGTGATCTTGAGTTGATCCATTGGGTGAAATTAAGAGTTGAGCTAAATGTTTTCGAGATCATATTGATTATTATATACTGATAAAAAAATGGCAGTAAAATTAAATAATCAGTGATATGATTATAAAAACAATGTTTTATAAAAGAATCGAAAAAAGTATAAAAATTACTGTTCAGATAGGGCTAAAACGTTATTTAATAAGAAAAATGGTTATTAAGTATAACAAAAAATATTTTTATTGGCGATTTTATATGCGAATTTTACTATAAGGCTGCCTATATAATAACTTTAATAACTTTAATACCTGCCTTTATAAATGTTGCGAAAAAATTCTTATAATTTTTAAATTAGAATAATCTCGCATAAGCATTCAGGAATCTACCATTTGCTTTAATTATTAGGTATAAATACTAAATTCACTTTAATTCTCCTATTTTTGAGGTCATTTTAATTTATTATAGTTGTTGAAAAATGACTAAGGATTGATTAATTGATTTTATTGACTTTAAGTTTAGGATTTTCAATTAGTTAAAAATAGTTAGAAGTCAATATGTGGTCATTGGATACAGGCCACAATTCTTAAGAATTTTGCCTTAAAATTTATAAAAATTTGCTAAGCAGTTTACCACATATTCTTCAATCAAGCCTCAGGTTCATATTGATGAAAATTCAATAGATTATTATTTCCTAAATTTAACCCAGTCTATAATGCAGAAAATGCATTTTTTAATTACTTAAAATTTTAGTTTAAAAACGCTGCATCTACTAATTTGATTTAATTTAGCTAATTAAATTAATGCTAAATATAATGCAAGGGGATGCATAAAAAGTTAAAAGTTTCATATTGGGTCATTTTGTTATAATTCTGTAACCGATAAAATAAAAGTTTAAAATTATGATAAAAATTAAAATTAATATGCTTAATATTTTAGGAAATGGATATTGATTATACTTCAATAAAAATGACTGTATAAGTATATTAAGAACACAGAAATAATAAATTGTAAAAAGGTTTATATAAATATAAGAAAATTTCAATAGCTATTTAATGAGGAAAAAAGGGCTTTTAGCGGCATATTTATCAATCTTTTGGACAAAAATCTATTGAAAAGAAGCCCATAGAACTATTCGGAAAAAAATTGGGAAAAAACCAAATATAAAAATAATAAATGCTGCAAATTGTACGCAAAGATCAAACAAAATGCAAAATATTATTTAATCATTCAAAAAATCAAATTGAAAAAATGATATATACATATAAACTTAATAATTTATCTTTAAAATAAATATCAACTTATTATTATTGAAGCTTATTACAACTATATGAATCCAGCTACTGAAAAAAAAATTCTGTCAAATGCTTGCAAGACAAGATGACTGTTGACTCACTACTTGGGGATTTTAAAGGTGAGCTTCAGTCTAAAACATCCTGATGAAGGAATAAAAACTCTAAAATCTAAATACCTAATAGTAATCAAAGCTTGCGGAAAACTCCTGGATGGTGAAAGCAAGTGGAAAATATTGCATATGAAAAACTATTAAATATACTCAATAATTTTTAATAAAATATTTTATCTAGAATGTGAACCATAAGGATGAATAATCTCTTTCAAGCAGATTGCCACCTTGCAAGCATATATATTCTGCATAGAATGGTATAAAATATGGTAGCGCCGGTATCAAGACCAGATTTTTAATAAATTATAGAAAATTCATAGCTCTCTATTAAATAAAGAGGACTTTTTTACTTATTAGTGGAGATATAACTTTCGTTTTGTATATTTTAATTTAATTTTATGAATGTTTCAGAATTATATAATTTAAAACAAATTAGAAGTAAATAAATCAGCTTAAAAGCAAAGACTGATATCAAATATTTTCATTAAAATTGTAATAGCATTAGTTGATGAAATATTCCCTTGTTTTTTAAATTTTAAAGATGCTATTTTATGAAATTCTTATAGCTTTATAAGTATTTGAGTGATTTTAAGTAAACAAATGAATTAAGCAAGAATTTTTAAATTATTCTACTTATAAAGCGCGAAAAAAACCACTATAAAACATTAGTTGGAATATAAAAAAAGTTATAAAAAAAAAGTAATATATATGCAGAAGATTCTATGCTAATTGCTTGATAAGCATTTTGATTAAAGACTCATTAAGTTTTTTGAGCTAATTTTCATCTATGTTTAGGCACCATTACAAGGCCAGCTTTGACAGAATCATAACTTTATAATTATTTTAAAATAAATCCATAAATATATATATTAATATTATTTTATTTGATTTATAAACTGATTAAATAAATATTTATATTTTCTCAAGTCTTTGCACATTTTATTTTATATTTGATGTTTTCCGACACTTTTTTAAGCCATTGTATTTTTCTCTTTGGTTAGGCTTTTTTTACTATGAACTTTCTTATTTTTCTATCAGGTTTGCAAATCTATCAAAAAATCGATAAAATGGTGGTGGAATGACCAAGAAAAACAATAATCAATTAATTTAAATTTAATATTCGCAGTAGGCAATTTCTTTTTGATTAATAATTATTATTGATTAAAATTATCCAAATTATAAATGGCTGTTCTAATAGATATAGTTCCGAATTAACATCTTTAATAGTATTATTATTAATATTTGGCTATAGGAACTTCAAAATATTAAAATTACCTTAATTTTTATATTAATATTCAAAATGCTCTGCTTAAATTGTATTTATGCAGTATATCGTATCCGAAGCATAAATATTTACTTCACTTTGGTCTTCTTGTGGGATTTCTTTAGATTTTTTTGCAACCTTTTCTAGGCTTTCTTCATCAATTTTCCAATTTCAATATGAATCTGAAGGAAAATATCCAAGAGTTGACTCAGCAATTTCTAATAATTCCTCTTTATGAACTTCATAATTATATTCAATTAGTTTCTGGAACTCAAACCCCATCAAAATATAATCAACGAATTCAATATTAGGTATAATCTCGGCAAATTCTGAGCTACCTAATTCATTTCTTTCGCTAATTTTTTGGGAATTAAAAATGGAATAGGTTACTAGCTTTCTCCAATTGGAGCATAATAAAGGGATTTTTGCTAACACCTTTTCTAGATATGCAGCTGCCAAAATCCACGTTTCTATAGTAAATTTTAAAGTATCTGAAAGAAAGCAAAGATATTCATAAATGTTTAATTGGTATGGAATATCTTTTGCTATTGAAAAAGAATACTCATATTTTTGTTCGCTGCCGAAAAAATATTCGCATTCTAAAAGCTGTGGCTTAGTTTTCTGATATGAACTTTCTTTTATTTGAGCTCTCAATTTGAGCGAAAATGCCTGCAAAAAATCATTAATACTAGGAATCTGGCAAATTACTGCTTGACTGGCTAATATAATATCTTCTTTCATATATTTTTATTATTTGATTAAATAATAAAATAATAATATTTGTAGTCTAATATCATAATAAAAAAATTTACATAAGATTTAAAGACAAAAATGTATTTGATTCTAACTTATTTAAGGGATTAAAAATGATGATTATAATAATTGAAATAATGTCTGAGGAAGAAAGCAAGCAACAACCAGATAATGGGCCAGTTAAGGCTTTTGCTTTTCATGATTTCGATAAGGACAAAGAGCTATTAGTAGAAAGCAAAGCTCTTGTAAAAAAACATCTAGAAGGGGTTGAAGATGAAAAAATTCAAAATTATTTATTAAATATTCAAAATCAGAAATTACAGAAGGATGCTTTGTACGAACTTGTGAGATGGGCCTTCCAATGTAAAAACAAGATTCTTATGATCGAATTACTTAAGATTTTATATTATTATAAAGACCTTCCCTATAAAATTCTAGAAAATGCAGCTGCTAGATTTTTTATTGATACTTTTAAACTGAGTGGACCAGAAAGTATATTTTTTTCAGAGAAAGAAAGCGGTTTACAGCTTGGAAGAAAAATTGTTATAACTATTTCTCCTTCTGAATCAAGGAAGTATTTTATTAAAACCCAGAGATATGGTGCACTCTCTGATTTAAGCATGAGGAGCGAACTAAAAGAATTAGATCCGATAGAGGCTTTTGTTTATTACCTTCTTTATCAATTAAATTTAGGTCCTGAGGTTCGCTTTTCTGGGAAGATCAGATCAATTTTTATATTGCGACAGAGGATCTGAATGAGAGAGGATTATTTAGCGAGTACAGCAAGCTTTATGAAAAGCTTCTAGACCCAGCAAAAACTGCATTAGAAGACATCCCTCAAGAATATTTCCACATTTGTGACGAAATCTTAAAATTGCATTTGATTTCAAGAATTTTAAGCTTAACTGATACCACAATAAACAAAGAAAACTTTGGATTTCTTGAAATTAATAGCGAAGTATCTTTACTTTTGATTGATTTTTATGTTAAAAAAGAATCATACTATATAAATGAACGTGTATTTTTAGAATTTTTAAAGCCATTTTGCCCAAGTAGCACAGACCCCACAAGTATATTCGCATTGAAAGAAAGGAGCCAAATAGATCGGGCTAAAGTAGCGGTTCATTTCCTTAATAGTGTCAATATCCTTCAAGCCATTGAAACTAGCTGGGAAAATATGTCATATATATTTAGAGCATTAAATATGAATACTAATGATCTTTCAAATTATATTGTTGGGATTAAGATGAACATAGAAAATATTAAAGAAGGACTAATGGGTTTAGGACTGAATTTTGATAATGATGCGAGAATCGATGAATAAATTTATATTTGATAAAGAAGATTAAAATAGTTATAGAAAAATTAAAATTATTTACTATATCCAGCATTAATAGTATGAGACTAAACTAGCATGCTGCTATATGATGTCATTAATATTTTCAAATGATAGGGAAATTTCAAAATAATTTAATGTGACTGCGTCATCTTCCAATACGATTAAATACCTTTTGGTTGGTTTTTCTAGTTAGCCTAACTAACTAATTTTTATTAAGGTTACTTATTCGCTTGAATTTGCTACAATGCATTGGCACCTACATTAAGAATTTTTTTAAAAATTTTAGAGTTTACTTGAGGAAGTGTTTCGTATTCTCATATGACAAAAAGCTTGTTTTTTTGGAAATGGCTTATTTCTAAAATTTTTCAAAAGGCTTAATATTTGTGTTTTCTCTTCTAAATTTGGATTCGCTAACAAATTTCTGTATTTTGGTTAGCATTTGGCTGCAAAATTATATTAAAATGCTTAATAATTGTCGTATTCGCAAAAAAGAAAAATCAGTATACTCATAGAAACTGCAGCCATTTTGCACGAAATCTATACAATTTTCAAAAATATTTTAATAAGGTAAAAAAATACTATTCTTCTTATCATAAGATAAATCGAATAAAAACATTTCAAGAAAAATACATTGTCATCTTAAAGTTACTTAGAAATATGCACGCCACTACATAAAAACTCTTTTTTTAAAGTCTAATTCATCACAATATCTCTGGAATTTGTATGCTTTATAGCTAAAATCTTCAAAATAAATATTAATAGGAGCTAAATACAAAAACAGCTAATCACAATAAAAATCCTACCTGAGCCGTAATTTAAGCTGTCAATTTTTATTATTTTTTCCAATAATTTCTTTATTTGAAATCCCGATTCCATCAACCTAAAGCCGTTAGCCAAAAAAAAATGAGATAGCTTTATCATTTTACCAGATTATATGGTTCATTAATTAAAATGGGAGATTTGTCCTTCCACTTATTCCAGCCCAAAAAGAAACTCTTTGGCAAGCCGAAATGGCCATTGTGAAGCTAGCTGTGCCGTCGATTCTTTCATTTATCCTTCAGTTTCTGGTCGAAATTATCAATATGTTTTTTATTGGCAATATTGATATTGAACGTCTTGATGGAATCGACCTTGACAGTATGTGGGGAAACTTTATTGGAGTCGCTGTGGGTTGGGGTCTAGCAGGAGGCCTTGAGACCTTATGCTCCCAAGCGAACGGTAACAAGCAATATGAAATGGTCGGCATATGGCTGCAAAGAGGAGTAGTTGTGCTGACAGTTGCTTTTATTCCAATTACAAATGCAATCCTCTATATAACTGAAGTTCTTATGCTAATGGGAGTTGAAGAAAAAATTGCTGAATACAGCTATAATTATTTATCCTGTGTTTTACCAGGGCTTTGGTTCTTCTTATGCTTTGATTTCTTCCGAAGATATTTGAAAGCTCAAGAGTACTTTTGGCCCTGCCTGGCCGTAAATGGAACCACAACAACCTTGCATGTATTTTGGTGCTGGCTGTTTATTATAGAATGTGACTGGCTAGAAAAAAGTGCAGGAATTGCGACATCAGTGACTTACATTTCAAACTTTGCAGTTATGTCGCATTGATTAAATATTTTAAACTTGAAAAAAAAAATGCAAATCCTGCAACTTCCAAAACTTCTGGCATGACATCAGAAAATTCTTAAGATATGCATTGCCTTCAGCAGTAATGCTCCTCCTTGATCAGCTTAACTTTGAAATTACACAAGTTGAAGCAAGCCATTTAGGGGTTAAAACTCAAGCTGCACATGTTGCAGTTGCTAACAAAGTTACTACTTTATACATGATTCCTCTAGGGCTTGCAAATCTGAGAAAAATCATAAAAAAGTGGTGGAATTAATTCAAATTCAAGCAATTTCTTTTTGATTAATAATTATTATTGATTAAAAAATTATTCAAATTATAAATGGCTGCTCTAATAGATATATTTTTGGATTAACATCTTTAATAGTATTATTAATATTTGGCTATAGGAATTTCAAAATATTAAAATTACCTTAATTTTTATATTAATATTTAAAAACGCTGCTTAAACTGTATTTATGCAGTATATTGTTTCCGAAGTATAAATATTTACTTCATTTTGGCCTTCTTGTGGTATTTCTTTTGAATTTTTTGCAACTTTTTCTAGGCTTTCCTCATCGATTTCTCAATTTCAATATGAATCTGAAGGAAAATATCCAAGAGTTGACTCACTCCCCTCAATTAAATAGTAAGTAAATATGCTTTCACATTTTTAATAAAATTTATGTCCATCCTTTATTTTTATATTAACTTAAATTAATTTTTTTATCTTTATTAAATTGAGGACTTGATAAAGAATTTAAAATAATTTATAATAATCAAATTTATAATTTTTATTAAAAGATTGATATAGTAATTTCTATTAATTCCTCTTTATAAACTTCATAATTATATTCAATTAGTCTCTGATACTCAAAGCCCATCAGAATAAAATCAACGACTTCAATATTAGGTATAATATCGGCAAATTCTGTGGTACATAATTCATTTCTTTCGCTAATTTTTTGGGAATTAAAAATGGAATAGGTTACAAGCTTTCTCCAATTGGAGCATAATAAAGGAATTTTTAACAAAACCTTTTCTAGATATGCAGCTGCCAGAATTCACGTTTCTATGGTAAATTTTAAAGTATCTGAAAGAAAGCAAAGATATTCATAAATGTTTAATTGGTATGGAATATCTTTTGCTATTGAAAAAGAATACTCATATTTTTGTTCGCTGCCGAAAAAATACTCGCATTCTAAAAGCTGTGGCTTAGTTTTCTGATATGCACTTTCTTTTATCTGAGCTCTTAATTTGAGCGAAAAGGCCTGCAAAAAATCATTAACACTAGGAATCTGGCAAATTACTGCTTGACTGGCTAATATAATATCTTCTTTCATATATTTTTATTATTTGATTAAATAATAAAATAATAATATTTGCAATCTAATATCATAATAAAAAAACTTACAAAAGATTTAAAGAAAAATTATATTTAATCCTAAGTAATGAAATTTTCTTAATATGGCATGTTTAAGTTAAATTATGTATTACAAGCTAGAAGGATAATATTATTCGAGGTTTAATCACTCAAAAGCAAAATATTATATAAAAAAAAATCAATTATTTTCATATTTTACTTTTATCAGTTTAAAGAAAATTGAAATAGCTCCATATTAATTTTCACAGGCCTTAAGAATTAAATTTTATAATTGATCAGAATTTTTACTCTTTTACGAACATTTCCTTTTCTTTGAAGTATTGATATCAAAAATATTGAGGCATCACATTTAACAAAGATAATAGAATGGAATAAAATATTATAAAAGCAAAAAGATAAGCAAATTAATAAAATCTATTTTTTAAAAGCTAAGGCATAATTTTTTTCCGTTTGTCTTACAATTAAAGTCAAATCTTATTTTATTCTCAAATATATAAAAACTTTTTAATTTCTTCGATTTCAAATAGACCACCATTTTAATCTGTTGTCATATTGATTTAGAAATTAAAGTTATTTTGAATAAAAATTACTGATCTTCTAGCTATCTTATAATTTATCTTAATCTCATAAATATCAGACTGATTAATTTAAACTCCTAATTAAATTCATAAAACATAATCAATTATATAAAACTAATATTTCACATATCACGAAAACTAATTTCCTCATACCCAAAGATCTTAAACAACCCAAAAATTGATCCCTAAAATTCAAAAAATTTCCTACTTACTCCATTAGCAAGTAAGATTTTGTTTGCTAGATTAAGGAGTTTGCAAGTTTTAAATTTCATATAAACATTGATTTTTTTTCGAAAAATGGAATATTGAAATAAAAATCGAATTTTATCTAAGATTTATAAATAAAAAATAAGAGAATTAGAGTTTAATTATAATCATGATTAATTTAAAACACATAATTAATATGGTGGTAACGAAATATGTCCTTAATGAAGATATACCACTGTGGGCGTCAAATGGCTTTAAGGCTCAGGACCTTTGATTCTAACCCTAAGCTAATTGTATGGCAGCCATATGGGTGGGTGATCTAGAGAATCTGCTGGCGGTCATTCCAGTTTATTTCATTAGCTATTCGGATGGTTTTGGACACGGATTCTTTCACTACCGGCTCAGGTGGGTTTTTAACCCTAGATGTCACTCTCCAAAAGGTGGCCAACAGGAGATATCGGGCTAACCTTTATCTCTATAACACCCGATGGTATTTGGCAGAGCGTCTTTCTGATCTGTTAAACTCTTGGGAAAACAGTGCAAGCGCAGCTTCTAGAGAAGATCACTATTCCAAATAGCGTCTGAGTTTCCGCTAAATTAGGTTGGCTTTGGTGGAAAGCGTGCGGAATTATAAAATCTAGAAGACATTAAGACTCTTAATTTAATTAAAAATAAAAAATTAATATGCCTAATCATAGAAGAAATAAAATGGTGACGTTGACGGAAATTGGACTCCGAGGCGCACCTCCTATGGAGTTGGTAGGACCCATTGCTGATGAAGCTGAAGACACAGGTCTCATTCCTGTCCTAAGTAGGCCTTCAGTTGTGGGGAAGCCGTGCTGAAGAGCAAGTTTTATTTCTCCCCCGAAGGTTTTCCTGTCCCTGCCAGACGGGTTAGACAGGTTTATCCTACCACATTGTCTTCCTTCATCGGGACCATCGGGGCACTCAGACAGAAGTGGCTCTGTCCAAAGGAGCTGATCCCTTGGACAGGTGGTTCTGAACAGAAATCAAGATGGCGTCGGGCCTAGGAGTATGGCCACATCAGAACCTGACCGGGCGTTGTCTTTCGAGCTGAGGTGTTGAGGTCCGTGGCTCAGCCGCGTATGGCCTTACAAAACTAACTTAACTTAACTTAATCATAGAAGATATAAGTATTACTACTGTTAGCTAATATTATATTATTGTATTGCAAATAATTTTTCTTCTAAAATCATAGGTTTTGCTTACCCTAACATAACGAACAAAAAATTTTGCTAGCTAATAAATGATTAATTTTTTTTAAAAATTTATATAATGAAAAGCGGACATTAATAAATTTGTAAAAAATTTATGGTTTAAAATCTAAGTATTTAAAATTAAACAGAATTAGCAAGATGCTTCCTTAAAAATTCTCCCTTATATATTAAATTTTTCATAAAAATATTTTTGTTTGGTCATAGAGGACGCTTTTACCTAGGGATTTTCCCAATAGTTTTTATGCTCATGATAAGGTGGGAGTTAGTAGGAGATTTAATAAATTTAATCTTCGAATAAATCCAAAAGACATGTTATTACCAGTTATAATAACTGGTCATTATTGTTTACAAAAATGAGGCTAATACTCCTTATCCTTCTTATCGCTTTAGTGACAGCTCAAAACAAATTCTCACCAAAATGCAAAAAAGACAGTGACTGCGACCCTATGAACCACTGCAACGAAGAGGTCGGCAAATGTGTCCACAAGGACTTGATGCCATTGAGCGGACAGGAAGTAGCAGGTACAATCCTGGTGTTTTTGATGAGTGCTTTATCCAATGCCGGTGGAATTGGTGGTAGCTCAATCATGATTGCTTTTCTGCTCCTGATATTTAACTTCGAGACACACATGGTGATCCCGATAGTTCAGGTCATTATAATGAGTGGAAGCATTATTGCAGTCTTTTTAAAATTCAAGAGCAGGCATCCTGCAAGGGACCGTCCCCTGATTTTTTACGACATCCTCATGCTTGAGGTGGCCCCTCTTCTCCTTGGAAGCTCAATTGGGGTTTTCCTCAACATAGGGTTCCCTACATGGCTAATTTTAGCAATCCTTATTCTTGTGACATTGACGTTGGCTATAATTACTTTCCACAAAGGATATAGGAATTGCCCGAGGATGGCGCTATCTTGCGCCATCCTCGGGCAATCCAAAAAATGGCCCCACACTGGGAATCGAACCCACGTGTGGGGCCATTTTTGGTGCGTGTAAGTCGATGTTGGCCACACACCAAAAATGGCCCCACACGTGGGTTCGATTCCCGGTGTGGGGCCATTTTTGAATTGCCCGAGGATGGCGCAAGATAGCGCCATCCTCGGGCAATTCCTATATGTGTATTACAAAAAAGAGACCAAAATTAAGAGAGTCTCAACCATAATGAAGGTTACCCATCAAGACACCGTTGAAATAGATACTATTGAGTTTAAGGCAGAGAACAAAAATGATGAGCTTGAAATTGGGTTAGCCAAAAAAACGATTTTTTCTGATTTTTTCCTATTAAAATGACTGAAGGAGAAAATAAGGCTTTTTCTCTCCCAATTCATTATAGAAGATCTCTTTCATTCGATGAAGGATGGACAACATAAAAAAAGCTATAAATTTTCTTGAAAAAGGAGTTTCATTCTCAATCATTTAAATAGAAAAACCCGTATGAATGGTTTTTTAATATGAGCCCTTCGAAATCATTGAGCCAGATGACGAGCTAGAGAAAGACCAAGATAACTTCGAGCATGAAGAAGAAAATTCACAAAATCAGCTAGAATATGGAAAGAAAAGGCACGCTAGTTTTGTTATTGTCGAAGAGGAGACAGGCAGACCTATAAGAGACATCCATTCTGAGCTTCAAGAAATTTACAAAGAAGAAGGCAAGGTTTACTATCCTTTTCATATTTTCATTATTTGTGCGATTTATGCGTGGGCAATTCTTGCTGCTTTTTTTAGAGGGGACACTAATGTGAAGTCCATCGGAGGCTGGGAACTTTGTTCAGATCAATATTGGGGATTTGTAGGAGGCTTTATCGTTTCTATGATTTTAATTGGTCTCATTCTTGCAAGGCACCTTAATAGGCAAACTCATCATAAGTTATACTAAATCAGGCAAATTTTACATATGAAGTTTATTATTTTATACTAATTTGGCTGAGGTAAATTTAATATAAATAGCATAGAACTGGGCTATGACTATGATGCCCATGACCTAAGGTGGCATTTCAAAGAAAGCATCATGCTTATGTGCTTTTCGTTTATCGCAGGCTTTACCTCAGGATTAATAGGAATCAGTGGAGGCGTTATCATGGGTCCTGTTCAGCTGGCATTCGGGATTAGGCCAGAAGTGTCAGCAGCCACTTCTTCTGTCATTGTTGTCCTCACATCTAGCTTGAATTTCATTTTATTCCTAAAAGCTGGCATGGTCACAGAAAATTACTCACTTTGGCTCATGGCTTTTTCTGTGATTGGCTCAGCAGCTGGGATTTTAATCGTAAAAAAGATTGTGGAAAAGCAAAAAAGACCTTCAATTATCGTGTTCTGCCTGGGAACTGTGTATATTTGTGCATTTTTGCTTATATTGGCATATGGAATAAGAAAGATGTACAAAGAGGAAGAAAAAGGCACCGCTAAGTACGGATTCCAGCCCTTCTGCTAATAAATCTTTTAAGTAGCTTGAATAATCTAGCAATCTTGTATAAACTTTTCTGAGGATTTTGGGTTGGGGAATATTTAAAAATTCTGAAATTGGGCTTGGATAAGCACTTGTGAGATCAAGCGTTAGCCAAAAAAGAGGATTTGGTTAAAAATTTGTGGTAGAAAGAGGAGTAGAAAGTAGTGCTGTCTTGGGTTTTAGTCTATTTTCTTAGAAAGTTTCCAACAACTTAATTATAAGTTCAATTAGAATTGTTAACAATTCATATAGATTATATTAGACTAACTCCCCCCCCCCTCCGTGAGCGAACAAAACCATTAGAAAAATCGCCATTTTTTGACCAAAAACCCACCCTCCGTGAGTGAACAAAAATTGTTTTAATAGAAAAAATTTTAATGGAAAAAAATTTTGATATATAAGTGATAATTAGTATAATGAAATCTAGAGCTAATTCTGTTTAATTTTAAACAAATTGCGTTTTAAAAAACATAAATTTTGCAAATTAAATTAATATTTGCTTCCCAATTTTTGCAAATTAGGATTTTTTTAAATTTCGAAAAAAATATTTTTTATAAAATTTTATATATAAATTTTTTTTAAAAAAAAAAAATTAACCCCCTCCGTGAGCGAACAAAATTTTTTTTTTGTTCGCTCACGGAGGGGGGGGGGGAGTAAGAAGATAAAACATAATAATTTCAATTAATCTTAATTTCTATCAAAATTAATAATCAGCAACTTATTTTCATTTACAATAATATTTATCTTCTACAAGGATTAAAATGAAAAATTTATCAATTTTTATAATAATTTTCCATTAATTTATTCTTCTAATTCTATTTTTTTTTCTTCTTCATCTTCTTCGCCATTTAGTTTTCTTATAATCCTATCAGCGTCAAGTCTTTGGTTTGGTTCACGTTTTAATGTATATTCTAAAACCGCACCCAATTTGGATTTTTTGTATCGATTAATAAAGTCAGATAATTCCCTCTGGCTTGTGTCCCAGCTAAACCCATTTCCTATTCCTTTCCCTCTCAAGCATTGGCCTAAAGTAAGCCCTAGAGAGAACATATCAGCCTTTTTCGGATCATAAATTATTGCTTTTTTCAAAGGGTCATTTGAGGCTTTAGATCTCTCATAAGCTTCTTCTAGCTCTGGGGCCATAAATCCTGGTGTCCCTTGAACAGGGTATAGACGTCCTTGATTTTTGCCTAAATCCAGTGAAATATTAAAATCAGCAATTTTCAAAGAAATTTCCTCTTCCCCTTCTCTCTTTCCCTTTCTTTTTTGCACGAAAATATTTTGCGGCTTTATGTCTAGATGGGCAATATTTTTTTCGTGAAGAATGGCTAGCCCTTCAAGCAGCTGCTTTGCAAACTCCAGGACTTTTTTATCTGAAGGCACGTTTTTTCTGGCATACTCTATCAAAGTCTCTTCATAGAGCTCCATCACTACCCAATACTCAGCGAATGGCTCTTCATCAATTTTTACATACCCATAATATTTCACAAAATGGTTGTCATAATGCTTATTGTCATAAGCATTAATTTTTTGTAAAATATCGGACTCAGTTTCTATCATTTTTGTATATCTCTCGTTTTTCTCAGTTTTTGAGCTGAACTTGTATACTTTTATAGCTACTTCAACTTCCTCATTCCTTGGATTTCGTCACATTCCTTTGTGGACTTTTATTGAAAAATTACCCTTATTATTGGAATAAATTTCTTCGAGGAATCTGAAATCTTGTCTATTGAGTTCTTTATTTATATTGCTATTTGCAAGGTCTTCTTTAAGCTTCTTAAATCGTCTAAAATCCATTGGGTCAATAATATCTTCGATTTTCTTTGCTAGTTTATGAGAAGTTTTGTTGTTTAAGTTTTCTTCCATGTATTTTAAACAATAATTAGCAAAAATCATTTCTGTGCCCCTCGTATCAAACTCATTTTGCCTCATTTTTAGGATATAATTAACAGAGCTCATCAAATAGCTTTCGAAGTTGGTTTCTTTGGGAATTGTGTTTATAAGCACATAGCATCGAGATTTTATATAAAATTTTTCAATGAAGGCATCAGGATTTTCACGCAATGATTCAAAAAGCTCTAGAAGGACCTGAATATCTGTGCACGCTAAAATTGGTATGGTGAGTGAGCGAAAGAGTTGATTAATAGCATCAGGATCTCCATTATTTCGTATCAATTGACAAAAATTTTTGAGATATTCGCTAATTTTTTTTGAGAGTGAGTCATAAGATTTTCCTTGTGACTTCGAAATATCTGGAATATCCCTGAATGCAGGATTTTCGCTGAGAAGTTCGCTCAAAGTTTGATATAAATCTCCCATAATTTATTTGTAATCTACAAAATTGCTTATTTTCCTTGAATTTATAATTAAGAAAGATAAAATTTTGTTAAATAACCTATAATCCAGCTTATAAATAATTGATAAAAATTTTGTTTATGAGTGAAATGATTGTTTTTATATAATAATTTAAATTAAACAAAATGAAATATCAATTTCATTGATAGAAGCTATGATAACTGCAATATCATCTCTTTTACTGCCAATGATTTTTTTTCCTGTAAATTTAGAACTTTTCAAAATAAATGGTTTCTCTTCTCAAATACTCATTCTTTTTTTGCTAACTAACCTTTCCGCTACGCTTTTGAGATCATTTTAATTTTCTTTAAGATTTTTTAACAATTGTGGAAAAATAAGCATCTTCGCTATTTTGAGAATTTTTGCCTTGAGAAATGCTATTGCTTTTAAATTGAAATTTAGTTGATGCCATAAAGAAGGCTTTACTGGCCTTAAATAGTTCAATAAAATCTCTTTCAAGTTATTTCGTTATGGATAGTCATTAATTAGTAATTTATTTCCCTTTTTGGTCGAACCCTGACTCCACCTTTGGTAGTGAGCAAAACCGAAGAACAGTCCTATTTAGGATTTGATTAGTGAGCAAAAACTGTTTTATATAAAAAAATTTTAAATAAAATTTCGAAAAGATTGACCTCTTCATTAAGAGTAAAACAATGTTGCCCACTAATAAAGTGGGGTAGTGAGGAAGTCATATTTCGGGTGAAATATTATTTGTATTTTAAAGAATAAGACAAAGGAATCTCAACTCTTCATTGAGGATTTGTATGAGAAACAATGAGGTAATCAGGCTCAATAGTTAGCTTTTTTTGAAAGAAACCCTTATTGTTCCGTTTTTGACATATAGTGTAGTATTTATATAGCCCTTCTCAAACGGTTGAAAAGTTCTGAAAGTATTTCTTCAAAATTCATAATTGTTTAAAGAGATTTATTAAAATTTATAAGAAAATGCAGACTTTATACCAATAAAATGGCGCTGAGAAAATACAGCTAGCAACCTATCTTTGTTTGGTATATTTATGGGTTTAAGAAAACTCCGAAAGTTATATAGAAAAATAAAGTTTGGTAAAGAACAGCAGCTTCTATTAAGGGTGGCATATATTGGTCTAAATAGTTTTTAATAAATCATTTTAAATTAAAATAATCTTAGATATATTTTTTTGTTGACTCTATGATTTATTTATAAAAATTTATGTTAGGTACAATTAAACGGCGATATCATTGATGGAGGCTACTATTACAGTCACATCATCTCGCTTTCCACCCGTAAAATTTTTTCCTGTGTGTTTAGAACTTTCCAAACTAAAAGGCGTAGCATCCCAGCTGCTCATTCGATTTTTAGCTTCAGAAACTATAGGAGTTTTCCCTATATGACCCGATAAGGGTCGTGGGTTTCTCCTGGAATCCCTCTGTTGGTCAAAACTAACTCAGTGCGTTGGTTTGACCAATTCACTGGTTGGCTCAACCAGCAGAGGGATTCCACGGAGAACCCACTGCCCTTATCGGGCCATATATGGTAAACTCCTATAACCTTTCTGCTGCAATTTTGAGATCATTTTTATTTTCTTCATAAGATTTTTTCACAATTGCGAAAACTTCTTCAGTGAATAAATTATCCCACAGCCCGTCAGTCCCAATGACCAAAATGTCGCCTTTTCTTATTTGGATGCTGTACTTGTCAGCATCAGAAACTTCATCCGAGAAAATTTCTTTTGGGATATTTTTTGGGTTTTTCAGAGATGCAATTTGGGAATTTGTGAATTTTTTGGAAAGCTGGTATGGACAATTAAAGGAGTGCTGCTTTGGGGTAGATTTAAAAATTGTTTCCAACTCTGAGTAGCCTTCTCGGAGGACCATTACCGAAGAGTCTCCCAAATTTGATATTTTAAGATGGGAGCCTTGCAAACTTGCTATCGTTTAGAGCCAGATATAGCTTGGCTTGAGCGCCAATCATAATTGTTGATTCATTTGTATTTTATAAAATATTTAGTAAATTTTACAATTTTATTTTCATAAAAATATTATAAGTGGAAGGTTTTAATCTAGCTAAAGCAAATCTCTAGTTATAAAAGAAAAGTAGAGCTTCCTCCGTTGATTACTTGAGAATATGATTGAGAAATAATTTGGTCTCCGCTTAAAGGGCTGCTGAGAAAATGCTTCAGTTTCTTTGAGCTGCTTTCAAAGGCAGAGTCGTATTTTTCTGCAATTTTTTTGCAATTTTCCATTAACTCATGAGAAAATGCTGAGCTTGAGATCCCGAAATCTTTCTTATAATTACTCGCATTAATTGCGGAGGGGTCTTATTATTTGTGCAGTAATATATGGAAAATTGCCCCATATGATGAAGGATGAACTTTGCATTTCAGACCTTTTTCGCAATTAATGCGAAGTGTTATAACTCCTCCAACCCCATCTGCTACACCTATCGCAAATCTTGAGGAAAAATAAGCATCTTCATTGGTTTCAGGATTTTTTCCTTGAGAAGCGCACTGGCTTTTAAATTGGAATTTTGCTGCTTGGGGTTTTAAAGTAGGCCTAGCTGGCCTTACATAGTTAACTAAAGTTCCTTCTGGGCTTTGCCTTTTTGGATAGTCATCAATTATCCTTTACTTCATTAATTTGGCAGTAGTAAGGTAATATCATCCTACTCTACGAGATAATTAAGAGACAAAAATATAATATTTTGCTTCCCTTTTTGGTCAGCAAAAATTCTGAACCCTGAGGAAGCCATAATTCGATATAATATTCTTTGTATTTTAAAGAGTACGACAAAGTCAACTTAAAGATTAGCAGGACATAAGAGGATAGGTCACTAGCCTATCTATCTGGTGTAAATTTACAAAACCTAATCATTAGCCACCTCTATTAGAGTCACTTCTTGCTTATGTGCCTTAGTTCTGATAAGCAAAGATTAAATGGAGGCAAAACCATTAGTTAGAGACAAAGCCTTATCTTCAGCAAGAATCCTGAAACCTAAAGACCTGATTCAAAACTTGTCCGCCTTAGTCGGCAACACTGCTCCGGAGGCGCGTACTCGAGATCGAGGCTGACTGGCCCCAGACGGTCGGCGGGCCCTATGCGGCGAAGAAGCAGCGGGAAGCTCTGGGAGGGGCCACCCCGTGAATGGCGTTAAATACAGAACCTAATAAGTTAAGATTCAAAACTTGCAGAGGCATTTTTTTTTTAAAGCTTTATCGGGATGGATGCTACCTTCTCCATAGAAGTGTGTCTCGGAGTCCATCTTCCTTCGACGCCACTATATTATTTTATGTACAACAAAGGAACCTCAACTTCCCATTGCGGATTCGTGTGTGAGCCGATTAAATAAACTGGCTCAGCCTGTGCATGCTTTTGATAGAAAAGTTTTGAGTTTTGATTGTGTGGCAGTTGCTCAGAAATTTTGGTATAAATTTTTAATAGAGAATTTTATATTTTAACAATTTTCTCTAGAAACTTCTGATCAATGTGATGTAGCCAGCTCAGTTGTTTGTTCTTTTTGCAAAGAAATTCTTGTTAAAAATTTATTGCTCTTTTTTTGGCATTGAGAGTAGTATTTATATATGGCCCTTCTCAAGCGGTTAAAAAGTTCTGAAAAAATAAGTTTTTCGTCTTGGTCAGTGGACATTTAAATAGATTTATTACCATTTCCAGGAATTCCTTTTATTTTGTACCACCAATAATATGGAACGTGAAAAGTAATCAGTAATATTAGTCTTTATTTCAAATCGAAAGTAATCAAAAAATTTGCTGAAAACCAATAAATAGAGATGCAAACTAGTTGTCTAGATGGAAGGCAATCTTATCGCAAGCATATTATTTTTTAATAGAAATGCAAATAAAGAAAAGAAAAATTTCAACAATCAAAAGTGAAAGAAAATAAATTTTCCTGTTTTTATATTGCCTAACTCCCCCCCCCCCCTCCGTGAGCGAACAAAAAAATTTTGTTCGCTCACGGAGGGGGGTTAATTTTTTTTTTTAAAAAAAATTTATATATAAAATTTTATAAAAAATATTTTTTTCGAAAATTTAAAAAAAATCCTAATTTGCAAAAATTGGGAAGCAAATATTAATTTAATTTGCAAAATTTATGTTTTAAAAACGCAATTTGTTTAAAATTAAACAGAATTAGCTCTAGATTTCATTATACTAATTATCACTTATATATCAAAATTTTTTTCCATTAAAATTTTTTCTATTAAAAAAATTTTTGTTCACTCACGGAGGGTGGGTTTTTGGTCAAAAAATGGCGATTTTTCTAATGGTTTTGTTCGCTCACGGAGGGGGGGGGGGAGTAAGGATCATTTTAATTATTAAAAACTTTAGCAAAGTTTGAAAATTCTCATTTATTTTTTTGAGAGAAATAAAATTTTTTGAGAGGTGTTTATATATGAAGCCTTGATTTTCCCACTTAATCTCTATAAAATTATAATAAAATAATAGCCTCACCAAATAAAATGTCGAAAATTGTTTATTTCTCAATTCTAATGAATATTTGCTGCATATTAATAGGGAAGAGGCTAGGTTACTATACAATTAAGAGAAAATTAACTTGAATCGGTTTAAATTGTCCAAAAAGCTTAATTCCCCCCCTCCATAATCGAAGAAAATTCGCTCAATGAAGGTTATTTTTTTAAATATAAATTTTATATTAATTTTGTTTTATTTTTGAAAATATACCATTTCTTAACAAGAATAAATTTAATGTGTAAAAAAAATGCAATTTATTAAAAATTAAACAGAATTAGCAACTTATTTTGTAAAACTGGCTTATTGAATCGTTTGCTAATAAAAATTAAACTAAATCTTAATTAAGTGTGATAGGCAACATGTAAATAAATCTTATTCAGTCCTATTTAAATGTTGGCAAATTATTAAAACTTTTACTACATAAAAATAAAAGGAATTGAAACCTTTTAAACTCAATAACTTGTTGTATTTTCTTCAATCCTTTTAAGAGCTTTAATAGCAAAAGCTCTCACTCCCCCTCTCTGTGGGCGAACAAAAATTTGTTCGTTCACGAGGGCAATTTTTTTTTAAAAATTTTATAAAGAATTTAAAACTGTTTTTATCGAAATTTCAATAATCCCAATTTGTAAAAATTGATAACTCCCCCCCCCATCCTTGATCGAACGATTGACTGTAAAAATTCCTAAAAATTGGGGAAATTAACCCCCATCCTTGATCGAACGATTTTCATATCATGCAAATTTTTATATATATAAAATATATTATTTATCAAAAGCTTGGGAAGATGTGCATAATGAAGTTGTTTTCAGAGGCTTTGAGACGACAGAAAGCTGCGGAATCAACCATCCGAAGTAATTTAGTCATTAAGATATGCTTAAAAACTCAATAATCTAATAAAATACAGATTCTTTAAAATTTTTTTAAAAAAAAATTAATTTAATAAGTAACAAATTAAAATTTATACAGTTTAAAGGGATAACTAATAAATCAAAATATTAAAAATTGGTATTTTATGAAATAAATTAAATTTTTTGTGTAAAAATAATTATTAAATATTCTTAACCCTCTTATTTAAAAGTAAATAAAAAAAATATCTATATATTTTTTTTATTTTATATATAAATTTTTTTCCCAAAAAATTTTTTTTAACCCCCATCCTTGATCGAACGATGGCGAGTCGTTCGATCAAGGATGGGGGGGGAGTAAGCAAAAATATTAATTTAATTGTAAAGTTTATGCTTTAAAACGTAAGATATTTAAAAAATTAAACAATATTAGCGAGAGATTTATTTAATAACTGTCACTTATATATCAAAATTTCTTAAATTAAAAAATTTTTGATTAGCTAATGGTAGTTGGTACCAAAAAAGCAGGCATTTTTCCAATGGTTTTCTTCACTCACGGAGGGGAGAGCCAACATATTTAGCCATTGATAATAATCCATGATTTTACTTTTACAATTTATTTTTCCATCTTAGATAAAATAAGTTATTATCATAGGATTTTTGATTGATAAATATATATAATCCTTAAGTATTATTTCTATGAAAAATTCTCTTTAACAAACCTTTGAATTCTTACTTAATTTTTTTAAAACAATTTAAATTAAAGCTTTCTCAACTCCTACCTTGCTTATTAATCTCTTTTTCTCTAATTTTTTCAATTTCTCTTCTATTCCTACCTTCATATTTCTAATAACTTCTTGGGCGAGATAAATCTTTTAATATGGATCACTTATACTTCAGTGACTTCCCAAAGAAAGACAATAAGAAAAAATACATATTTGCTTTAGTCGGAGCTATTGGACTTATCTGCGTATTAGGAGCGATCTTTGTCTTATCTTCTAGCCACAGCACCCCAGCCCTTCAACAATTTTCTGCAGAAGAAGACGAATTCCAAGCCTGGATGAAACTTTATAATAAGGTCTACAAGACTCAAGAAGAGTATGAGAGGAGGCTTAAGACCTCCCAAGAAAACTCCGTCATAATTCGCATTCATAACAGCTTAGACTATGATTTTGTCTTGGGAAGTAACCAGTTCGCTGATATGGACTACCATGAATTCGCAACTACTTATCTGAGAACTTTGGTGCCAAAAAGAGAAGAGACTGTCAGAGTGGCTGCGAGGACATTAAAAAGCTACCCAAGCAGCGTGGACTGGAGAGAACAAGGTGCTGTTACTTCAGTCAAAAACCAAGGAAGCTGTGGTAGCTGTTGGGCATTTTCAGCGGCGGGATCTATTGAAGGAGCCTGGTTCTTGGCAGGAAATGAGCTAGTTTCCCTCAGTGAACAAGAGCTTATTGATTGCTCGTATTCATATGGAAACCAAGGCTGCAATGGTGGATGGATGGACTCTGCTTTCCAATTTGTCGCCAAGTATGGAATAACCTCAAACAGTAGCTATCCATATACAGGCACAAACAGCACTTGTAATGAAGCTCTTGCCAGTAATAAAATTGCAACCATTACAAATTATACTGATGTCGAGCCTAATTCAGCCTCAGCTTTGCATGAAGCTATTGCATTAAATCCGGTCTCAGTAGCAGTGGAGGCTAGTTTTTGGGCTTGGCAGCTCTACAAGAGCGGAGTCATTACCAAAAACTGTGGAACCAACCTGAATCATGGAGTCCTGGCAGTTGGGTACAATGACGATGCGACTCCTCCTTATTACATTATCAAAAACTCATGGGGTACAACTTGGGGAGAAGCAGGATACTGCAGACTTGGCATTAAGGACGGAGAAGGCGTCTGCGGGGTCCAGATGGCACCTTCATACCCAGTTGTTTAGGTAGACTAATTTAATCTTTGATAGGAATTATGACTTTTAATAGATAATTATATGAAGCAAGCAGTCCGATATACAGAATATATCCGAGAGCTCGAAACTGACCTTGAAAAGCTAGACCAAGACATGAAAGAGCAGGTCTACGGGAACTATTCCACCTTTATAGACACCTTTAACGAGCTCAATAATCTGCAATCTCTATCAGTCTCTTGCTATAGAAACTTCCTTGGAGTGGCGCTGCAAGCGCAGGCCACTCCATACGGAATTCATGGGTTGATCGAACCAACGCACAGTTTTGGTTTGACCAACTCCTATATTGGTTAAATCAACACAGGAATTCCACATGGAGTGGCCTGCGCTTGCAGCGCCACTCCAAGAAAAGAAGTATATTCCCCAACTCTTGATACAATTAATAGTGCATTGGTAGAGCTCTTAAAGCCAGCTCAAATAGAAAAAATAAGCACGAATGGGAGCATTGTGAAAGGCAGCATCGAATGGTGGCAGGAGCTGCCTGACGAAATTGACACCCTTTTAAATGACGAAAAATACGAGGAATGCATCAATTTGATAGAAGAAGCTGGGAAGGTAAAAGTAACCCCAGAAAGCATCAGCTTAAAGCATGAATTTAATTTATTTGTGCTGAGAGTCATAGAGACTATTGCAAAAGAACTGCAGAAGGTACAAAATACCACCCCAAGCTTGTATATTGGATACCTTAAAAGACTTGATGCCTTGCCTGCAGCTGAAGATGCATATTTTTTAGGGAAGGCTTATCAGCTTAAACAATATATCACAAGGCTAGCAGCAGCTGATAACCCATTAGATGGATTGTCAAAGCAAGGACAAATTTTTGTGTCAATATTAAGGGCTACTATAAAAGAAAGCCAAGACCTAGGTTTAAGCTCTTCTAAATTGTATGCGTGGATGTGTGACCAAATAAACGAAATTGCTTGGGATATTGGCGAACAGTTTTATTTGATTGAAAATATCCAAGACCTAGCGAATATCTTACAAAGTATTCTTAAGTCCTGTGACAGTTTGGACCAGACTGGGCTCCACATGTCTCCACAAATACAAAAAGCCTTACTCCCAGCTACACAAAAAAGAATCCAGGAAATTTATGCCAATGAAGAGCTGAGAATTGAGACAGAGGTAAACAATGAACTCTGGAAGCCAAAAATTATACAGGCTGAGCAAGACCAAAACATAGGGATTTTCAGACTGACTTCAAGCTGTTTAGCGTTATATCAAGAAATAAATAAAATAATCCAAGAAGCTGCCTTGTTTTTAGACGAGCACTTAATGTGGTCTTCATCTTTATGTCCAGTCTTCGTCAAAACGATTTCTTTTTTATTCGAAAAATACGTAGGAAATGAAAAATTTGACGATAAAAAAGACTTCAAAATTGTCCAAGTCATCGCTTGTAATTTATGAAATATTGCAAGCTTAATCCCAAGCTTGGCGAGAAAAATGGCTATAGCTTTAAAAGTCCCAAAATTAGAATTAAATGAAATTTTGGTGATTGAGGGAATTGCAAATTCAAGGGCGCTCGATGTTTTGATGTCTTATTCAGCTAGTAAATGGATAAATGAAATTCCGAATTATTTTTTTTTATATAGAATTGGTTATTATTAATTGCAAAATAAGAGTCTATTAAATAGAAAATGGTAATTAAATCATGATATTAATAATGTAATATATATAAAAAAGATATATTTAACTACCCTACAAAGCATTGCAAAGCTTCAGACCTCAGACGAATTAAAGCAAGCTTATAATGTTAAGCACCTCCAAGCTATCAAAGAAGGTGTAGAGTCTGTTGCTAGCGCAACAGACAGAAACTCAGCCAGAATGAAGCAATTTATTGAAGCAGTCGCGAGTACTTATGTAAAAGCTTTAGAAGATTTATTGAACCAAAATGGAGGGAACTTTGAGATCCAAGAAATAGTGCCTGGAGGATTTCAGCAGCTAATTGCAGATTTGCATATGATCAATATAATCGCTAAAAATTATGAAGGGGTAACTAATATTAGAGAGGTTGCCAAAGGACTGGTGACGAAATATTCAGGGATTAAGCATTATGATGAAGACATGCTTATGTTCCCTGAAGAAGCTTATGAAGCTATGTTTAAGGTTTTATCATTAATTTAACTATGATTTACTAGAAATAAGGCACTTTTGAATATTATAATTTCTATTACTTTTAGGAAAATTCATCTTTCTTTTTATAATTAAAAAAATGGCCTTAAAAATTCTCTAACCCCCCCTCCGTGAGTGAACAAAAAAATTTTGTTCACTCATATAGAAATTTTTTTTCGAAATTTTGCTTCTCGAAAATTGGAAGGCAAATATTAATTTAATTTGTAAAATTTATGTTTTAAAAACGCAATTTATTTAAAATTAAACAGAATTAGCTCGAGATTTCATGATAATAATTATCACTTATATATCAAAATTTTTTCCCATAAAAAATTTTTCTATTAAAAAAATTTTTGTTCACTTTGGGCAAAAAATAGCTATTTTTCTAATGGTTTTGTTCACTCACGGAGGGGGGGAGTAAGTTTTTTTATTATTTTCTTTGCCGGAATTTGAAATCCATGGAAGAATATTTAGCGAAATTGGGCTTTCTATCAATTAATTGGCTCTTAAATCCATCTCTCAACAAATGATAAAAAGCTAACCACAAATTCCTAGATATACTGGACTTTTCATTTATCATCTGATTTCAAAGTTTATCCAATTAATTAGGCTAAATTGTTCAACTTTTAATTTCTAGCTCCACCTCTGGGAAAAAATAAAATTTTTATAGCTTATTTCTTAATTAATTTATTATTAAAGTAATTTTAAAAATAATTTTATTATTTTTGAATGCTAATATAGCGCGTGCTCCCCGATAGATTTTTCAAGGAAAATGCCCTTCAAAAAAAAAATTATTTTGAAATGCCAAAAAAATTACAAAAAGTCAAATATCAATTTAAAAATGCCATTATATATGTCCTATTTGTCAATTTGAAAATTGACTTTTTCTAAATTTATTAGAATAATCTGAATTTTTGTTAAAAATTATAACTCAGTCCAATAAAAAATACCAAAATATATTTTTGTTCATAAAGGGGTAGTAAGTCTTTTTTAGATTCAAAGAACATTTCTCTGTGGATAATAGTTAATGATGGAAATCATAATGAGAACAGTAATTTTAGCTCTATTCTGCCTCGGCTCCTGCTCACATCTGCCACATGACTTCGCGTGGGGAACAGCTACAGCTGCCTTCCAAATAGAAGGAGCCTGGAACGAGTCTGGAAAAGGCATAAACATGTGGGACTTTTTCCAAAGTTTCCCAGGGCGAATTTACAATAATCAGACAGCCCACGTAGCTGACGACTTTTACCATAGATATCATGAGGATATCAAAATCATAAAGCATCTTACTCCCTCCATGAGAAAACAAACAAATTTTATAGTAAAATATTTTTTCAAGATTTAAAATATTAAACTTTTTTTAATATTAATATTCGATAACCATCTGTTTATAGCAGGTGAACTTTCACTCTTTTCGCAGTTCTATTCTCCTGTCAAATAAGTTCACCATATAGGTTTAAACACTTCATCCAGTCCAAATTCTACGAATTTAAAATAAAAATTCGAAATAATTTTAAAGCAAATATTGATTTAATCTGCAAAATTTAAGTTTTAAATGCAACCTGCTTAAAATTAAACAGAATTAGCAAAAGATTTTTATTATATTAAGTATTATTTATATGTAAAAATATTTTCCTATAAAAGTTTTTATATTAAAAAAATTTTTTCTCTCTCGAGAAGGGTGGGTTTTTACCAAAAAAATAGGGATTTTTGAGATGGAAGTAAAAATAACGCCTTTCGCCTTTCCCTTTCATGGACTCGTATACTACCAACAGGGCTTAGTAACAACCCCAACCCTGCTGGGATACAGTTTTATAATGACCTATTTGACAGCTTGCTAAATGCTGGCATTGAGCCTTGGGTAACTCTTTATCATTGGGATTTGCCTCAAATCTTCAATACTCTCACAAACACAAGTGGATGGCTTGATCCAGATATGCCCAACAAATTCAATGATTTCGCTGATTTCTGCTTCAGAACTTTTGGTCATAAAATCAAGTATTGGGTTACTTTTAACGAAATTCAAACTTTTGTGACCCTTGGATATGGAACTGGAATTCATGCGCCAGGTCGGTGCAGCCCAAGTTTTGGGGCTTGGTGTCAGCCTGTAGGTGGTGGAGGAAATACATCAACTGAGCCTTATATAGCAGCCCATCACGCATTATTAGCTCATGGACTGGCAGTAAAAACATATCGAGAAAAGTACCAGAAGCGCCAGCATGGGAAAATAGGGATTGACCTGAACAGTTTCTTCTCTTATCCTTACAATACTTCTAATCCACTTGATGTCCAAGCTGCAAACACTGCGCTTATGTTTAAACTTGGCTGGTTCGCAGACCCAGTTGTCTTTGGAAAATATCCAGACGAGATGCACAACCTTATAACAGGAGATAGGTTACCCAGCTTTACTTCAGAGCAAAGCAAGTTGTTAAAAGGCTCCTACGATTTCCTAGGGGTAAACTATTACACCAGCAATTATGCTAAATATACAGGTGTAATAGGAAGCAACTTTTATAATGATGGAAGATATACGACTGGCGCTTATAATGCAACTGGGCATTTAATCGGGCCTTTTGGACAGTCATCCTGGCTAAACGTGTATCCACAAGGGTTTAGAGATCTACTTAATCATGTTAACGATAGGTACAATCATCCTATCATATACATTCTTGAGAATGGAGTCAGCTGCCCTAATGAGAATACAGCAGAAGACGCTATAAATGACTCGTTTAGAATGGACTATCTGTATGGCCATGTCATGAAACTAGCTGAAGCTGTCAGATTTGATAAAGTAAACATTAGAGGCTATTTCCATTGGTCTCTTCTCGACAATTTCGAGTGGGCTGATGGGTTTAGTAGCAGATATGGGCTCACTTATGTGAACTTTGACCAAAATCTGACAAGGACTATTAAGAAATCAGGGTACTTGTATAGGAACATTATTGATGCATTTGATGAGATGAAGATAGAAGATGTCTTGGAGCTCTCTGTGGACGATTTAATGACCCAAGATGATTATGATGAAAATGATGACTATGATGACTATGATGACTATGACGATTTTGATGAGGACAGTGCATTTGCAGATGAAGATGAAGATGAATAGATCATCAATATTTATAAGCTAATTAGGAATAATTCATTTAGAAAATGAAAAAATATTTTCTCCTCTTTATAGCTTGTGGAGCTTTTGCATCAATTTTGCCAGCAGATTTCAAGTGGGGCGCCGCTACGGCTGCTTTTCAGGTAGGCTAAATTTGGGCGAGGACAATGCATATGGGACTATTTTGAAGCTTTCCCAGGAAGAATTTACAATAACGAAACAGCTAATATTGCTGATGATTTCTACGACAGATACCCTTCAGACATTAAAATCCTCCAGCAGCTCGGCATAAAGAACTTCAGAGTCTCGATTTCTTGGACCAGAGTCCTCCCCACTGGTTCTCCAAGTGCCCCAAATCCTGCTGGGATACAATTTTACAATAATCTCTTCGATGCTTTACTTTCTGCAGGGATCGAGCCTTATGTGACCCTTTACCATTGGGACTTACCACAAGCTTTTAACAATTTTACAGATAAAAGTACATGGCTTGACCCAGATATCCCTAATAAGTTCAATGCATATGCTGACTTTTGCTTCCAAACTTTTGGGAGTAAGGTAAAAAACTGGCTTACAATGAATGAAGTAAGCACTTTTTCATGGATTGGGTATGGGGTTGGAACTCATGCACCAGGTAGATGTAGCCCTAACTGGGGATCTTGGTGTCAACAGATAGGTGGGGGCGGAGATTCGTCAACTGAGCCTTATGTTGTGACCCATAACGCTCTGCTTACTCCCCCCCCCCCTCCGTGAGCGAACAAAACCATTAGAAAAATCGCCATTTTTTGACCAAAAACCCACCCTCCGTGAGTGAACAAAAATTTTTTAATAATAGAAAAAATTTTTAATGGAAAAAAATTTTGATATATAAGTGATAATTAGTATAATGAAATCTAGAGCTAATTCTGTTTAATTTTAAACAAATTGCGTTTTAAAACATAAATTTTGCAAATTAAATTAATATTTGCTTCCCAATTTTTGCAAATTAGGATTTTTTTAAATTTCGAAAAAAATATTTTTTATAAAATTTATATATAAATTTTTTTTAAAAAAAAAAATTAAACCCCCCTCCGTGAGCGAACAAAATTTTTTTGTTCGCTCACGGAGGGGGGGGGGGGGAGTTAGCAGTCCAGACTTATAGAGAAAAATACCAAAAAACCCAAAAAGGCAAAATTGGGCTGACTATTGATAGTGGGTTTAGCCTCCCTTGGGACGCGACAAATCCTGACGATATCAAAGCAGTCGACATTTCTTTTGCATTTTCTTATGGCTGGCTTGGTGACCCAGTGGTATTTGGCAAATACCCACAAGAAATGAGCGATTTTATAACAGGAAATCGTTTGCCTTCTTTTACAGCTGAACAAAGCAAGCTATTAAAAGGTTCTTTTGACTTCTTAGGAGTGAATTATTACGCCAGCAGTTATGTTCAATATACAGGAACCGTAGGAAACGACTATGGGAGTGACGGAAGGTTTGACTCAAGCCCTTACAATAAATCTGGAAACTTAATAGGCCCTTTTGCAGCTTCTACATGGCTTAATGTGTACCCACCTGGGCTTAGAGGACTTTTAAACTGGGTCGCCAAAAGATATGACAACCCTGAGCTGATTATTTTCGAAAATGGGGTCAGCTGTCCTGGGGAAAATGACATGCCAGAAGCCCAAGCACTTAACGATACATTTAGGATGGATTATATATACAACCACATTATGAATATGGTAGATGCTATTGTAAATGATAAAGTCAAGGTAAAAGGGTATTTCCTGTGGTTGCTGCTTGACAACTTTGAGTGGACTGATGGATATCATATCAGATTTGGGATCACTTATGTGGATTATAACAATAATTTAACAAGGACGATTAAAAATTCTGGATATTTGTACCAGAGCTTGATTGGGTATTTGGGGACTCATCATGTTGAAGAAGCGAAAAAAATTTCAATGAATGAATTTGAGGAGAGAGGGAAGTACTTGAACCAGCTAATTGAATAGATTTAAATGCGTAGTTTTAATAGTCTAGTAAATAGAAAACTGGGAAATTTTGCAAACTTAGTAAAAATTAACAATTTTCATAGTTTATAAATATTTATTTTGCTGGCAATTTAAATTGATTTTTAATACTTATAGATAAAGCGCATTTACATTTAATATGAAAATTTAAAAATAGCCTATTGAGTAGGAATTTTTAGTACCATTTTTAAAAATTATTAAAATGTTTGATATTTCTGGGATAGATAAAAGATTTCTGAAGGGAGATCTACACAATGTTATTCTCCTTACAATTCTTTATCTACTACAGGGGATTCCTCTTGGGCTTTCGTATGCATCTCTCCCCTTTCTACTGAAAAAGCATTTATCATACTCAGATATCGGAATTTTCAGCATCTCTGCATTTCCTTTTTCCTTGAAATTCTTATGATCTCCTCTGGTGGATGCTTATTTTATACCTCAAATTGGCAGAAGAAAGACATGGATCATTCCTTTGCAAATTCTAACTCCTCTCACAAAAAACATATGAGTTGAATTTAAAATATTACAAAATTTTTCTTAAATTTAAAACAATTATTATAAATTTAGAATTTTTCTCAATTAATAATATATTTCGTCATGATAATACTTCATCTGAATCAGGAGGTTAAGTGGATTTATGATGATTTTTTTGAGCTTCAGAATAGATGAACTAGTAAGAAATGCAGACAATGTATGAACTATTACTCTTTTATTTACATTTTTGGTCTTTCTTTATGCTACACAAGATATTGCAGTCGATGGGTGGGCTTTGGAAATTTTGAGGCCAGAGCATAAATCTCTCGCCTCCACGTGTCAAAGTGTAGGACAAAATATCGGATTTTTTGCAAGCTTTACGATATTTTTAGCCTTTAACTCGGTCGAGTTTTGCAATAAATACATTTATTCTGAAGAAATGAAAGAGCCTGCTATCAGTTTACCCCAATTTATGTATTTTTGAGGGGTAATTAATCTTATCACAAGCATATACTTGATACTATTTTCTGAAGAAAAACCCATGAAACTCGACGAAAATCAAGGTTTTATCTCAATTTTTGGGAAAATAATGGAAACAGTGAAACAAAAACACTTTATATGGCTGATAATCCTGGGGCTTACCAATAAAATGTTTTTCGCGTCTAATGACTCAATGCTTATGCTGATGCTAATGGAAAAAGGGGTCCCTGAAGCTGATTTAGGATTAATCTCTGCTTATCAGCTTCCAATAGATATAATCGTTTCTATTGTGGTAGGGTGGTACACGAGGCATGGATACCAATTCAAATACTTTTGCTATGGGTATATTATTCGGATTATAATGAACTGTTATGGAATTTTCCTGTTGCTGCTTGATCTAAATAGTGCTTACTATTATTTTTTCTTAGTTGTTGGAGGCTTTTTTGGGTCTTTAGGGTCTAATTTGATGTTTGTATCAATTGGGTCGTTTTTCAATATAATTGTGGACGAGTCAATTGGGGGCTCTCTGCTAACGTTCTTAAACACAATATGAAATTTCGGAGGAACGTGGGCAAGGTTCGCTGCTTTGAACTTGGTTGACCATCTGACTTTTGGAGAAACTCATGGGTATTATGTGCTCACCATTGCAAGTGCAGTTTTTGGTGTAGTTTATTACCCAATTATGTGGAGCTTGACTAAGAAGATTAGTTCCGTAAACACAAGTGACTGGAAATTAAAAACAAATTAACATAATTTTCAGATATATTAAATAAATTGCATTTAGTGTGAATTATAATTAATTATTCTTATATAAACAATTTATAATTAAATTAATCCAAATTTAACCAAAAATACAGGCCTTTTTATTTATACAATTTAATTCAAAAAGACAGAGGCTATCATGCTTTATTCACTATATGGATTTTGACAGAGTTCTTGCACTTGGAGAGTTCGAGTTGTTTTAAATCTAAAAAATATCAGATACAACTACGTCCCAATCAACCTTTTAGAAGGAGTTCAAAAGCAAGATGATTATAAAAATCTCAATAATCTTGAACAAGTTCCAACACTTATAGGGAAAACATTTAGGCTAACACAAAGCATGGCGATCATTCAATACTTAGAATCAGCTCATCCTATCCCTTCTCTAACTCCTACTGACTATTTATTAAAAGCAAAAATGTTTGAAATTTGTGAAATTATTCTCTTTAATATAAAATTCAATTTTTATAATACAAAAATTTGCTTTAATCTTTTTTTAATAGTATGATATCAATTCAGGCATTCAGCCATTGCAGAATCTCTCTATGCTAAAAAAGATCAAAGAGCTCGGAGGGAATCCCAAGGATTTCGCACAAGAAGTTATTAGAAAAGGGTTTATTTCAGTTGAAGACCTCGTATCTCAACACCATGGGAAATATTGTATCGGAAATGAGATTACAATTGCTGATGCATTTTTGATTCCACAAATAAATAATGCACTGAGATATGGAGTTGATATGATTAGTTTTCCGCAGGTGATGAGTGTATTGGAAGAATTAAATAAAGTTCCTGAAATTATTAAGGCTTCTCCTGACAGCAAGACTGATGCTATTAAATAATATACTATAAAAGAATATAATTATAATTAAAGGATGATTTATTCTTGAAGGATGTTGAATTATTCGATCAAAAACCTGACATAGAATATTTTTAATTATTTTTCATAATCAAATAGATATATTATCCTCCTAAAATAATCCTCTGCTCCTCCATCTTCTTCATCTTCACAGTCACTTCCATTTTCTCTTTCGTAGCTTAGTCTGCAATAGCAAAAGAAATATGTTCATGGATTTCTACGCTTTCCCTTTGGTTTTATTTGGCGATAAAATGACTACTGGCAAGATAAGCTTTGTTAACTCCAGCTTATTTACAAAATAATAAGTCTGAGCAGACTTAGCACAATTTGGCTGAATATTTGGTAATAATTACGGTTACGGGTAATTTATATGCTGATTGGTCGAGTAAAAGTATAATTTGAGCGTTAGGCGATAGAGATAAATTAATATAAGATGGAGGAGATTGATAAATTGGAGGATTTATCTGAGGATAGTAATGGTTGACACTATAAAGTTTCCAGGATTGACAGAAATTGGGGTTGATAAAGAATTTTGCTATATGCATTGAATTTGAAAAGATTTGAGGATTCATATTAGACATGCCTGTGGGTTTTTTGCATCAACTAATTTATGATATATGCAAATTATTTACTTTAAGTAATCTAAAGGCTATATAGAAATTATAATGATTAATGCGTAAGCATACTGGACCTCTCCTTAAATCTTTAACGACAGGCTTGCTTAATAAATAATTTCATTTATAAGAAATTATGGAAAATCTTAAAAAATCATTGAAGGATCTCTTCAGAGAATTGGACAAAAAACTAGAAGAACTAGAAATCCTACAAACAAAACTTGATCCTGACTCTATAGAGGTGAGCTTCGATGCAAAAAATCCTGAGAAAGACATTGAAGATTCTATATCTCGAATTTTGTCCGATATCAAAACTCAGGCAGAGCAAATGAACGCATCCGCATCATCAAGTTTTGACACAACTCTTAGCGTTCAATACCTAAGTGATCACAAAATTTATTCCAAGCGCTTTTTGACAATTAAAAGCAATATCCAGCAATTGAGATGGCAGCAACAATTAATAGGAAAATCATTCAAAGACTCTTCTGATGACACACGGCTAAATGTTTTGTTTAGACAAGGAAGAAGCTTAGATAGCTCGATTGAAATGGGAAAAAATATTCTTGCGACAGCTCAAGAAGTATCGAACTCGCTGGCTTATCAAAAAGAAAAGCTCATGTCTGCTTCTGATAAAGTTGTGATTTTTGCTGAAACTCTGCCAGGGATTAATGTACTTCTGAAAAGGATTTCAAGGAGAAAGCGCTTCAATGCAATTGTAATTGGGTTGACAATTTCTGTGTGTACATGCATAACTTTATTATATGTCTTATAAGAAGATCCATATAAAATCCATTAACATAAAGATTATTCCTATTTTTACACAAAAATTACTTAAATCCTCAAGTAAAGTTTTTGTAAAATATTTAATTTTTTTTAAATAAAGTGGTATACAGAAAGTATATTTCATTATTAAATAAAAAAAATCGTCAGTTTCTTTAAATAATTCAAATGACGCTTATACAAATAAGCTTCGCTTTGTAATTTTAATATGAAAGTCTTTTACTTTGAAATCAAAATATATGAAGAAGAATGGCTTCAGCTTGCCTTTACACCCTTACCAAATGCTTTCTTGAATCCTTCTAATACTATTTAGCATCAGTTTCTATGCTTTATACCTCCCAATAATGCCCTCAGGACTTTTTGAATTTTATTTGCTATCATTTACAATTTTATACTTGCTCACAATTTTCTGGATTTATCTGACAACCCATGGAGACCCTACAGACCCTGTGGTTCTCCAAGAGCTGCTCGCCAAGAAAGAAAACAAGCCTTTTGATTCCAAAAAATACTCATTTATGTGTACAGCATGCAAAACCCACGTATCAATTAATTCAAAACATTGCGGAACTTGTGATAAATGCATTGAAGGATTCGACCATCACTGCAAATGACTTAATAACTGCATAGGGAAAAAGAACTATCGGGCTTTCATATATTTATTAATAACTGTTGTGTCCTTAACATTACTTGAAATTTCTGCTGGCGGATATATATTAAATGAAATATTCTTTATAATAGAAATAAGCATAAAATTTATCATCTTAAAAACCCTGGCATATGTTTTTAATAGGATATAAAAAACGACGGTGATCCAAATGATAAAATAAAATCCACGCTAGGGATAAATAATCAAAAGAAAGGCGCATATATCGCATTAATAATCGTAATAACAAGCGCTTGCTCAATTATATGTTTGTTGATTATGTATTTAATAGGCTTTCATATTTGGCTGAGATCTAAAGGATGAACAACTTATGATTACGTCATCAGATATCGGGAAAATAAAGCGAAAAATAAGGTGCTTCCAGAAAAAGACTCTTTTGACAGCACAACAATACAAAACAAATCTGACAAAATATTGGATTTGTCGGAGCCACCAACAAGCAAGAGATATCACAAAGCGCCGACTACTGATGTGAGCTTGTATACATTTTCCAGCATTATTACTGTGCCTAGTGGGAGCCAAACATTGAGAGGGTCGTCCATTGCTACTGGATATTTAAGCATGACTCCTAATAGCTCTCCTCAAAACGAGCAGCAAAATGTAATCTATTTTAGGCTGATTTTAATCATGGACAATATTTATTTTAATATATTTAATGGCAATTATACAAATATTATATAAATTAATTAAGTCAGTTTTTGAATTTAAATTTTAGTAACCTTTATCTCAATTTCTACCGATATCCCATTCTTGACGATTGTTGACTTGATTTTTTGAGATTTTTCTTTACTTATATCGAAGTCGCAAAAATTGTTTTCTATAAAGCCTTTCTCGATATCTTTATTTGCCAAAATCATTGATAAAGAATCCTGGCTTATTTTATATCCGAATTCGATATCGAGCAGATCTCTATAGTCTGATTCGCTTCCTAATGGTTTATCATATCCTGGATAGGCATTACATTTGCATGAGAATTCATGTGTATCTGGGTTATATTGTGATAGATAGCCTTCGACACATTTGCATCTTCCGTTGTCTACAACTGCGTAAAGATCTTTGCATTGCAGACAGTTGGATAGAGAGTTGCATTTCAAGCAACCCTTGAAGCATGCTAATTGGAAACTTACATTTGCAGGCCTTGGTGTCTTCATCATAATACTTCTCATCTGGGCAACTCTTGTTGTTTTCGCTATTAATTGCTTCATTTTCTTTTTCTTTATTTTCATTAGATAAAGTAGGCATTTCTTCTAATTCAGTCTCTTTTAATGCCCTTTTAGACTCATATTGACTAATAACACTTTGCAAAAAATCATTAAATCCTTCCACTTTTACAACAACTGGCGAGTCTTTGTCAGAATTTATTATAATTTCCATAATATCGTCTTCATCTTCGTCTCACTTTGTAACAGAATTTGGTATTATTTTTGATCCACATAATAATATATTATCAAACTTTGAAGACTTATCTGCATTCGGATTTAAAAGCAAAGTATTTCAAATCATAATTGGCTCACTCGAATAAATCAGCTTAAAAAATGGATTTTCAGTCAATATTTGAAGAACAGATAAGGATGGCATTACAATATCACAGCTTTTATCTTTTCCATAGTCAACTCTACTCAAAGAGAGAGAAAAGAAATAATTTGAGTTTTTATATCGTAGAAAAGCAGTCCCACTGCTTATTGAGCTTTTGCTAGTTTGATAATAATCAATATATGAGTTGCAAATATTTTCTTCACTTGTACAGTCAATGATATTGAGATTATTATAGCTCGCTAAGAAATATATGTGATAATCATCAATAATAAGAGGTGACAAATTGTTTTCTTTTCGGTTGTGATAGAGTTCTCTAATTTTTCCAGTTGTGAAGCTGTAGATAAAATGATCTCAGACATTAAAATCGTCATTTTTTATGCTAAATGAGATAAAATATTCACTCTCTAAGGCCTTAAAGACTGTTCCACTTTCAAGACTTTTCCATTTTAATGTAGGGATCTTAAGCGCATCAGGAATTTTTGTGGCACCAATAAAGGACTCCTTTTTGATTTCGTTTCATTCAGAATCAAAAAAAGTGATATAAATATAATTTAGTAAATTTGGTGTTCTAATGCTGAGAGCTACTAAAAATAATTTTTCATCTGAAAGTCAAATTGCTGATGAGTGGAGGACTTTTGTTTCATAAGACCTTTCTTTTTCTTCTTCTAAAAGAAATCCTTTAACTAAAGAAGTTAGAAGATCTTCATTCACGTATCGCCTTAGATAATCTTCTTCAATTTTGACTGGCTTGCTAAAATTTTCTTTTGAAAGTAAAAAAATTTTACTATTGATATCAAGATTTGAATTTTCTTTGTAATTATTTGCTTCAATATCACATTTTAACAATATAATTGTGAGGAAAAACATCACATATTTTCACATAATTTTATAAATTTACTTTTTTAATAGTTATTTCCCACAATTATAATAATTCAATGAAGAATTAACTATTTGCTATTTATACGAATTGAAATTTGATATCGAATTTTATTTTTCTATGATTTATCTATCAAGACTGCCTTGAATTTTCATTAGAAAATTACTTGAGAAACATTATTGATCGAATTATTATATCATATATACTTCATACACCTTCGTTTTTAAAGCTATAAGAATTTTTGAACTAGCCGTGCTTAGCAGCTGATAAATAATATTCACTATTAAATTAACTATAAGATAGCTCATCTTGCAATAAATAACTCCAGAAATGCAATTTTGCTATTTAGATAATTACTTACTTCAATTATAGCTGGGAGATTCGGGAATTTGTTTCTCTAAACTATTTAATATCAGAGAATATTTTCTGTTGTTTTTTTGGCTATATTTTCTAATTAATTATAGAATAATTATTAAATGAAGTTCTTCATATGAACTATGGTTATTTATCTAGCAAGAGGAGGAGGAGGTGACATTTATATACCTCCGTGCGAATGACAAAATGGATATACCTGGATAAACGCCGGTGACGGCACTATATGTGTTCAATGCTATCGAGGGTGCCAAATTTGTAATAGCGGTGATATGAATCAATGCACACAATGCTATACTTCATATTATCTACTTAATGGTGTTTGCTTGCCTCGGACTCCTTTGGTGATCAATGACAACTCTTTTATACTAAATTTTAGTAATTCGATGAAACTTACTCCCCCCCCTTTAAATTGAAACAAAAAATTTTGTTTCAATTTAAAGGGGGGTTAAGAAAATTTTTTTATAAAAAAATTATATATAAAAAATTTTTTCAGAGATAAAATTTTATAATTTCATGAAAAAATTAATTCATAAATTTTCTCAATCTCAAAGTGTAAACTTGCTAAATGGTATTCTTCTAACTCTCCCCATAACAATTGGACAAAATAGAGTTTAATTTCTAAATCTTATATGTTTGAAGCATATTAAATAGGGTATTAACGTATTTACATATAAAATAATGCTTTTTACCTATAAAATTTTCTATTATAATAAAATTTTGTTTCAGTTTAAGGGGGGGGGTAATTTCCCAAAAAAGTAGGAATTTACCTATATTTTGTTTTAATTTAAAGGGGGGGGGGGAGTTAGCATGGACGAAACTCAGCAATTGGTGATAGGAGCAAATGATGGGAATGCCTACCCAAATTTTGATCCAAATGACCCTATTCCATCATCACTATCAAGAGGATATTATTTCTTTCCTTATTCTTATATGCATTCGCAGAGTCTAAACCTTAGCCCTTGGTTTACAGTCACATTCTGAGTCAAGCCTTTGTCTGAAGGGAAATTTTTTAGTAAAAAAAATAATTCTGATTATATTCACTTTTTGTATTTTTCAGCAGATGGAAAACTAAATTATCAAGTGAAACTGATAAATGGACAAATAAGATTAAGATTAAGATTACGCTGGGTATTTAAAGTCCCTACTACGTCCGAGGTCGCATGCCACGGTTTCCCGTGTGGTGGCAGAGCGTTCACCAAGCCCGGGCCGAAACCCGGTTTCTCGGTAGAGGTATTGTCAAGGGCCGTATTATACCGGCTTTGCTGACCACCTCCATTTCCAACTTGGATCGTCGCCTAAGTTTACGCCAACTCCGCTTCGTCGTCCGCCAGATCTGCCCATTGAAGGGCACCTTTTAAACTGGAGAGAGACCCCCGTCTCGATGTCTAACTCGCCTCCCTCTTTTCCGGTCATCCCGAGAAAGAACTCAACAGCTTTTGCCATTCGGGGCGAGCCACTAAAGCAGCTTAGGCAGGTAATTCACCCTGCCTCCATTTCGGCACTCACTGGGCTGAGCGCGCTGCTGGCAAAAAGAAGTCACGAATAACTGCCCATGGGTCTGGTCGCAAAAACAGCGGTTCTCGCGCTTAGGCCTCTCGCTTCGAGGTCCCGGACGTTGTTGGGCGAATTCCTGGCTCCAAAAACCATGCCCGGATATACATGGGTAACCACCACTGGGAGGGTGGGTCGGTCGCCATACGCCATTTTATGTATATGATATAAATGGACAAATAATAAGCTTATGGACAACTAGTTCAAGTTTAATCGGTAGTTGGCATTATATATCAATTACCTGCACTTTAGATACTATTACGACAAAGGCTCAGTTGTTTGTTGATGGATCTTTCATAAATGAGTCAACTATTTATAATACTCTCTATGATGATCCTGCTGATACGTATTTAGGAAATGAGCCATCAGATGGTATTTTTACTGGTTTCATATGGAAAGTAGTTATTTATGGGAACGCAAATCATGCTCTCGATGACTTTCGCTCTTCAGGCTGCGATTCAGGGTGCTCCATATGCTCACAAAATTTAAACTGTCCTGACAATTGTGGATTCAAGCAATTTAATAATGGAGAAAAATGCACAGACTGTAGCAGTGACTGCAATTATGGATGCAGGAGAATAGAATCATGCAATTTATGTGAGGCCATAGAATGCGTGACTTGTGATTCATTTTATGGATGCACTTCATGCGTTGAAGGAGCATCAATAGTAAACTCAGTTTGCACTTGTGACTTGGGAAAGGCGTTTAATGGAGTTAAATGCGATTTTTGTGACGTGCTGTGCAGTAGCTGCACTTCTTCTAAGTACTTTAGCTGCAGCACTTGCGCATCGACGTATTATTTAATAGGACAAACTTGCCTTTACAAGAATCCATTTGGATGGGATAGCTCTAAAAACTCTCCTTATTTATACTAAATTTAACCTTAGGTAAGAAAAGTATCTATTTCAGCAATTTTATCTCATTCAATTAAAATTAATATAGTAATTGATGAAAGCTTTGAGACAGAAACCTTCAAAGGATGATATGGAATCTTTATAACTGGTACAAATAGTTACACTTTTGCTCCATTTAATTCCCCAGAAATATCTGATCCAATCCCTATGGTTAAAAGAGGACTATACTTTGATAATGGAGCTTATCTACAATCAAATCAAGAAATTTATTTACCGTATGAGTTTACTATTAATTTATGGATAAAATCGAAAAGTGGTGACTTCTTGGAAAAGTTGGATAAAATTATCGTTACCTATAACTTTCATGCAGTTATAACCCTTGAAAATTATCTGGCTACTAAATTTTCAATAGTGACCTACGACGCCACTTCATTTTCAGCTTGAACCTTTTACTCATTGGTAGTTGCTTTCTCCAACTCAGCGACAACAATCACAACTCTTACTAATGGAAACTCACTTTTTCAGCAGACTTATGATAAATCTTTATTCAGAGATTTGCCTTCAAATTATTTATAGCTTGGGAAAACTTATAGATTGCTCTCTCACACATCAGACTGAAACTGAGCTCGTTTGCTGCTCGGCTGATGATATAATTAGGCAGTGAAGCTGATGATATAGAGCAATTAGGCTTGGAGTTTTAGGCTCTATTTCTGTGCCGATTTTCACCGAAAGAGGATTATAAAGCCTGCATAAGCTATAGTTCTTGGCAAGAGCTCGAACTCAAATTTCACAGGCTTTATTTACAGTTTTCAACTAATAATAGGCGCAGTGACTGATTTTTCAAGCTATATAAAGAAAGCATGTGGAGACTCAACTAGTAGCTGCTTGCTAGAATGCGACCATGATTATTATTTTGAATCTTCAACAAATTCGTGCAAGCAATGTGACTCTTCTTGCACAATGGGATGCGTGAGGTCAGCTTCCTGCAATATATGTGCAGATCAGCTATGCAATGTATGTAAAGGCTTTGGTGAAGGCTTATGCACTACGTGCACAGAAAATGCTCAAGGTGCAGTTTGTTCTTGCAATGCAGATTCAATACTAATACAATCCAAATGAAAGTGCCTAAAATGCGATAATAATTATTGCGGAGAGTAAGACTCATTCATTAAATATTATAGAGAATCTCACTGCCAATCCACTAATACTTTTCAAGTCCTTTGCTCCGCGTCATACCCTTGCTTGCCAGTCTGAATGCACAGACTAAGTTTTGTGCTACTCCCTCCAAACAAGGGTCTGCAGTTGCTAGCCGGAGGTAAAGACACTGGGTCACTGTGCAGTATATCGATGAGGTTACCTTTCCCGAAAATTCAAAAAGTGAATTTTGTTGGTCAGGCTCTCAACAGAGATGAAACTTGTAGCCTAGAGCGCATCTCCCGGTATCGCGTTAAGATAATTCCCTATTGTTCGGGTAAGCACCCTCCGACCTTGCTGGACTATCCCTTTCCAACTTCAAATCCAGGTAAAACCTTGACCTGGATGTGAGCCAACTCCACAGGCCAAGTAGAACCTGACCTGACACACTCATCGAACGCTGCTCTCCCTCCCAAAAGGTCCCCAGACTCCGTCTGACTACAGGTATTAATAAGGCAGGTTGGCTCTCCACTGACTATTGCGAAGAATGTGCTATGAGAGAGGAAACTTATTTTAACTGCAACAAATGCTCGAAAGGATATTTATTTCAAGGAGTTTGTCTCGATGAAAACCCATATGGAGCTGATCGCTGTTCTGAATTACCATGCTTAGTCATCAATGCTGAGTTTGAGACAGATTTTACAGGGGTATATGACGTTTTCAGAACATGCAGTGGCTCAGATACATTTCATTTCTGGAATAACCCTGAGGCATGTGATCCAATCCCAGCAAAAGATAGAGGGCTTTACTTTAATGGAAACAAATTTTTGGCTTCAGACTTGCTTTACTTTTCACATTCATTTTCAATTGTTTCCTGAATTAATAGCTATGGAGAAGGAGTTATTTTTCAAAAAAATGATAGAATTATGGTAGGAAGTGATTTTTCTGCCCAAATCACTATGTTCGGCCCCGCTGGTGGAGTTAAAGAAGAGTCAATTATTCAATCTATTATAAGTGGCTGGTGCCAATTTGAATTAGCATTAAGCTCTTTAAACGGAATTCAAACGATAACTATTTTTTTGAATGGTATCCAAGCCAGAAAACTATCAGAGTCTGAGTATTTATACAGAGATGTTTCGAGCTATTTAGTGATCGGAAAAGGGGGAAGTAATTTTTATTTTAAAGGCTTTATCTATGATTTTAAGCTGTTTATTGGTACTATAAATGATCCATCACTTTATAATGACAAATCAATTTGTGCGGTGGGTAGCGAGAGGCCTTGCCTATCACCTTGCACTTTCTTTGAGTTTTATGATGATAGTTGCATTGCTTGCAACGATACATGCTCAAGCGGCTGTATAAGACCCAAGTCTTGCAATCTTTGCTCTGATAGACTTTGCATAAAGTGCCCAAGTTTCAGTGACGGCTCTTGCAATGAATGTGTAGTCAATGCTCAAGGTTCAGTTTGCACCTGCAATCCTGACTCAATTCTTATAAAATATGAAATAGACTGGGCTTGTGAAAAATGCGACAACGGCTACTGCACAGTCTGTGACAAGCGCGAAGCAATTTATTTCGATTGCAAGGAGTGTGAAAGTGGTTATTTAATCAAAAGGGTTTGCTTAGACCAAGTTCCTTATGGCTTTGAAGAGAATAAGTGCCTTGGTTCGGCCTGCTTGGTAATTAATGCAAAATTTGAATCAGAATTTAGTGGAGATTATGACGTATTTAAAACTTGTGGCAGCTCAAGCTCTTTTAATTATTGGCAAAATCCTGAAGAGTGCGACCCTATTCCAATTAAAGGAAGAGGACTTCATTTTAATTCCAGCCAATTCTTGGTTTCTGATGCCCCTCTCTATTTCTCGCATACCTTTTCAATTGCTTTGTGAATCAATAGTTATGGAGCTGGAAATATTATAGAAAAAGAAAATCGAATAGTTTTGCCTAGCAATTTTTCAGCTCAGGCTTCACTGATAAATCCATTTCAGTCAATTTTATTATCAGAAACTAGTGCTATTTCTTCAAGTGATTGAAATTTATTCACTCTTATCGTCAGTTATTTTAATGGCTCAACAACAATTTCAGCCTATAAGAATGACATGCAGCACTCTCTCAATACTTATTCACAGTATTTGTTTAGGGACAAGTCAAGCCACTTATTTATTGGAAAAGGCACAAATTCTGGATTTACAGGTTTTATTTTTAGCTTTAAAATGTATATTGGACTAATTGAAAGTATAGGTACAGACTTAGACAGCATTTTCTGTATATCAGGAGATTATAAAAATTGTATAGCCCCTTGCAAACTGTCTGAGTACTTTGACGGTAGCTGTAAATCCTGCAACAGTTCTTGCACTTTAAACTGTGTAAGAGCTCCATCTTGCAATATATGTGCAGACCAATTATGCATAAAATGTTCAGGGTTCAGCGATTTATCACATTGCGAGCAATGCACAGAAAGAGCCCATGGGACAGAAAAATGCGAATGTGATGGAAACGCTATTTTTGTGGAAACTATGTATGATCATAAATGCGAGTACTGTGATGCTTTATATTGCGATATCTGTAGCACTGGTAAATGGTTTGACTGCTCTGAATGCAAAGCAGGGGTTTTGGTTGGCTCAGCTTGCCTCGATGAATATCCATATGGCTATATAAATGCTAACTCCCCCCCCCCCCCCCCTCCGTGAGCGAACAAAACCATTAGAAAAATCGCCATTTTTTGACCAAAAACCCACCCTCCGTGAGTGAACAAAAATTTTTTAAATAGAAAAAATTTTTATGGAAAAAAAATTTTGATATATAAGTGATAATTAGTATAATGAAATCTAGAGCTAATTCTGTTTAATTTTTAAACAAATTGCGTTTTAAAACATAAATTTTGCAAATTAAATTAATATTTGCTTCCCAATTTTTGCAAATTAGGATTTTTTTAAATTTCGAAAAAAATATTTTTTATAAAAAATTTATATATAAATTTTTTTTTAAAAAAAAAAATTAAACCCCCCTCCGTGAGCGAACAAAATTTTTTTGTTCGCTCACGGAGGGGGGGGGGGGAGTAAAGAAGATGCATATGCAGCTATTGATGCCGAATTTTCTGAAGAGTTTGCAGAGTATGATATTTTTAAAACTGGTAAAAATAGAAGCCAGCATTATTTTTTCATGGACCCAGAACTGAATTTTGATCCAATCCCAGCAATCAAGAGAGGACTATATTTTGAAGATAATCGATTTTTAAAAACAGAAGAAATGGTTTACCTTTCTCATTCTTTTTCTATAGCGGCTTGGGTTCATGCAAAAATAGTAGGCATAATAGTTAGAAAAGAGGGTAAATTTGCGTTTTCGAGCAGCCACATTCTGAATATTACTTTAAAAGATCCTTTGGATGCAAATATACCAGTGATTACCCCTGAAGCTTTTTACAGTAGTTGGATGCATATATCATTTTCAGTGTCTTATTCTAGCGGAGCTACAACACTTCATAGCTACTTAAATAATATACAGCATAATTCAATATCTCAAGATAAAAGTATTTTCCGAGATATTCCAAGCGAAATAGTCATTGGAGGCCCAGGATTCGCTGGATTCATATATAATTTTAAGCTTTATATAGGCGCTGTTCATGATTTTATCAGTTATTCAGAAATAAGTATTTGCCAACCTGATAAAGATGATAACTGTTTATGATCTTGCGAACTATTTGAATATTGAGATGGTTCAGCCTGCAAACAATGCAATTCATCATGCGAAACTACCTGTGTGAGATTTCCATCATGCAAACTGTGTAATGATCAGCTCTGTCAAGAATGCTCAGGGTTTTCTGATACTTCAAATTGCTACAAATGCATAGAAAGAGCTCATAATTTAAACGAACAAAATTGTGCCTGTGACGCTAATACTATTTTAACCACAGATGGCTCTGACTATTTTTGTGAGTATTGTGACCTGGACTACTGCTCAACTTGTAGAGGTCAAGGATACTTCTCTTGCTTAGAATGCGTGAAAGGGGAATTAGTAGATAATGTCTGCTTAGGCCAATACCCAACTGGGCTTGAAGAATGTGCTGGTAAAGAATTATGCGTAATGGCTGAAATAAATTCAAAGGATAATTTCAATGAAACTTATGGAAAGTTTATTGCTGGGGCTAATAAAGCTTCATATAACCCTTTTAATTCACCTGAAAATGAAGACCCAGTGCTAGCAAAGGACAGGGGCTTCTTTTTTGATGGAAATTTTGCATTCCTCCAAAGCGAGCAGCCATTTTATTTTTCTCACACTTTTTCGCTTTTGATGTGAATTTGGAGCCAAGGAAATGGAGACATTCTTGAGCAGGGAGATAGACTTTTATTAGCAAGTAATGGAGCTTTGTCAATAACTCTGCAAGATAGATTTTCTCAGAATTTTACTTTTCAAATGTCAGGAATCAGTTTTGAAGGCTGAACTTACGTCTCTTGCACTATTTCATACGAAAGTTCTGTAACATCTTTATGGGCGTATGCAAATGACAGAGAAATAATAACACGAGGATTCCCGGATTTGCTATTTAGAGATATGGTGAGTTCGACTCTTTTTATAGGAAAAAGCTCAAAGTCGCATTTTAAAGGGTTTTTATATAAGTTTCAAATATGGAAGAATAGCAGAAATAAACTTGAAGATTCGGAAAGCCTTGGAACTTGTGGACCTTCTTTAGGAGATTGCTTATCTCCGTGCAAGATAAATGAATTTTATTCAGTGGAGAATGATAAATGTAAAAGTTGCCCCATTTCTTGCAATAAAGGGTGCATAAGAGATGATACTTGCAATATTTGCCAAGATCCTTTATGTGCTATATGCCCCAATTTTGGAAAAACAAATTGTATTGAATGCATCCCCCATGCTTCAGGAATTGAAAAATGTAATTGTGTTGAGAATTATTGCTTATCTTTAGATAGACTTAATTGTATCAGGGCTCCTTATGAGAATAGCCCTGAACTATATTGGTTTCATTCTATACCTCAAGAAAATGTCATTGTAGGAAACTGAAGTGGAGAATTTATTATCAACACCATTCATGGCTTTATTGAGAGTGTTGAGTTATTAAATAGCACAGATTTTTTGCTGACTCTCCTCCCATCTTGATTAGTAAAAAATTTTTTAATATCAATTGTCTAGTGTATATATTTAATACTAGCAACTATTTATAAAATAGATTTAAACTTTAAAATTGCTTTGCTTAATTAATTAATTTATATAAATTTTGAAAAAATTGGTTATCGAGCAGCTATATGCATATTAAAATGGCGACGGCGAACCAATCCTTTTTCTCAACACCTGTAGCCGACTATGTTGGGACCTTGTGGAAGTGAATTAGTGCTATGTGGTATATCCGGCTTGGTGCAATGTCAAACTTGGTTAACCGCAGCTCATTCTGATGTCAAGTTTTTTACACACGGGAAATAGTTTCCAAGGTTGAAAAGGGGAAGCTCAGCTATTCCAAGGACATCCATGTTGTCAATCAGGCAGCTCACTAGCGTGAAACTGGAAGTTACGTCTAATGCTTTGGATTTCCATTTTGGCCAGAAAATTTGTTTTTCAAATTTTCGGAAAGGACAACTCTGTTGGCATACGGAAGGTTGCTTACCTCATTCAACTTCGGGTAGCGAGTGCATATCCTTGTTCAGAAGAAGCAACATTTTGAAGGCTCTGAGACGGTTGATGGTGAGTAGCCAAGTGGAGCGCTATGGGTGGAGTTAGGTCCTTAATTGGGAATTACGGCGGACTTCTCTATATTTAAGTAATATTAATGGCTATCGAGTAGCTAAGGGAGTAAGCAGTAATGAATGCTCATTTAGCTCTTTCAACGAAAATTTTACATGCTCATTCACGCTATCTATTAACCCAAGCTACAGCATTAGTAGCAACCCTTCAGTTGTCCAAGTTCAGTATCAAGGATATTTATATCCTATATCTTTTAACGCTTTTTATGATGATTTTTCAAAGTATTTGATTATCCATCAAGAATTGATAAACATAAAATATTATTTTGAGATAAGTTATCTCAAAATTAAATTATATAATCAATTAGTTTTCACAGAGGAATTTTGTACTAATGAGAAATGCTCATCTGCTCAATGCGATAAAATATTGTCAAAAGATTCAATAATCTCCCTAGGAAAAAGCGTTTCTTGCTTCAAAATATCTAAAAATGAATTGGAAATTTATCTAGGCCATATTCAAGACAGTGCAAAATCCTTGACATTCATTGAAAAAGTTTTTGCTGACTCAAATACTAATGAAACTAATCTTGCATATATAACTATGAGTATCAAGGAGGAAAAACCCCCTAAGCCGAAAGCTAATATCACTCAAATTAGCTCAATCTGCTGCTCTTGCGAATTGACTCTTGACGGATCTCGATCAACGGGAATGGGAAATCTTACATTTTTATGATCTTTAAGCAAGTTCTTAAGCTATTCTGGTGGTATAAATCAAAAATTTTACAATATTACCTTACTCATTCAGAAATACCAAGAGTTTTTCTCATTCAAATAGCTAGGATAATTTTTATTCATAATAGTGTACTAATTTATTTTATTCTATTCTTCTTAGAATTAGCTTGAAATCGTTTGAAACCTTAGGTGTTTTTTAAAAAAATTACAGAAAATATTAAGCAGGCCTAATTCATTAATTGAGGGGCAAATTAGAAAGTTGCGAGAGCGCAAAAGATCATAATTACTTTGAGGTAACTTTGAACGTAACTGACAAGTTTGGCCAATCTGATTTATCTACCACTTCAGTTAACATGATATATGATGAAGTAGCCATTTCTATAGCTAATAAAGAAACCCTCAATATCGGTACCGATTCACCATTAAAGCTAAAATTCCAATATCAAAAAAGCACTCTTATAGACTTAGATCCAAATCCTTCAATTTCTTGAAGCGTTGCAAAAAGTAATAGACAGTTGTCTGAAGATACAGATTACAGCACATCAGGTGTTGAGTTTACTTATTTATTTTCAAAAATCGGTGAATATGTCGTGACTGCAAACGTACTATTCAATCGTGGCACTTATACTCGCTCTGCTAGTGTAAAAGTTGTTGCAACTCCGCCGCCTCCTAATCTGATGGTTTTAGGTGTAAACACGACGGTCTATTCTAATTCTTATATTACTGTTAATCTAACTGCAACCTATGGAAGCGATGAAATATATCCATTGGAGAAGGGATCTGTGAAATTTGCTGAAAAAAGTTGCACTTATGGAAAATTTGTTGAAATCGCTGGGAATTCTTTTAATTTGGAAATAAGAAATATAAATTCTTACTTTACTTGCGATTTTACTATCAGTTTGACTGATTATCCATCAGTCACTGCAAATTATTGGGTATTTGTTTCGCCAGGTATTGCTCCAAAAGTTTATATCATAACAAAATATCCATTTTTGGACTGATCATCTCCTGTGAGAATTCTTGCTCATGTAGAAAACGAAATGAACACAATTATTTCTTGGGGAGAAGCCAATAATCTGACTTTTACTCCTACAACACCTATAGATCAAGCTGGGATTACAATCAAAGAGTTCAGTTTAACTCCTGGAAGAGAATATGAATTTACAGTAACAGTAATCGATAAAAAAACTTATGCAAAAACAAAAGTGTCCCTAAAACGATATGTTAACTGCCCACCAAATGGAGGAACTTTCGAAATTGATAACAATTCTAAAGGAAATACTTTAGAAACTAAATTTGGGATTTTATTTTCAGGATGGAGCGATCCTGAAGGCAATGAGCCTTTATCCTACCAAATCTTCATAAAATTGGAAAACAGCACCAGAGCGTTAATACCAAAAACAACAGAAAACAAATTCACAATAAAGCTTGGCATTATAGGGGAAGCGATTTTGCTCGGTAGAGTCTATGATTCCTATGGAACTTTTATTGAAGTGGAATCAATAGTTTATCTAAATGATACAGGCAGCATTTCTATTAAAAACTTCACTGAAAATTTGGTGGCTAATGGGACTGAGACTATGGATTCAAGCCTGCTCATTTCTTCAATAACTGCTGCAGGCCTTTATATATCGAATACGACTAATGACGATGAAGAAATAAATTCCAGCATATCTAACTCTGTTGATGCACTAGATAAATGAATGAACAACTCTATGAAAGGCACAGGCTTGTCGGATTCCAGCACAGTCATGGATAGTGTCAATATTTTGCTCGAGAGTGCGACAAGCTTAAACGAAACCACTTTGGTGAAACTGCATGAAACTCAAGACAGTGCTTTAAATAAAACCAAAGTTTTAGACACTCATGCTTATATGACAGCCCTTCCCAATATTGATTTGCTTATGCAAAACCTTGGCTCACTCTTGGAAAAGAATTCAAGTGATCTTTCAGAAATAGAAATCCATAGTTTGATGAATAAGACTTATAATGAAGCAAGCTTAAAGTACTTAATTCCGGTAAACCCAAATGAGGAGCCAGTGAACTTTACTGGGATGAAATTTAATTCGACTTGCCTTTCTGTAAATGGGCATTCTATATCTGATCGTGTCAGTTATAACTCATCTAAGCCTAATACTGATGCTCAATTTAATATTGACACTTCAAAGAATCCAGATTCAACAATATATTTGCTTTCTGTTCTTACCCTTAATCCCTTCAAAAGCATTTCTAACAGTTTTCAAAAGGAGGCAACAAGCTTTTACAAATACCCAGAGCCTTTTACATTCAGAGAAGGAAATTTAAATATTAACGCCCCAGACACTCAAGTAGACAGTAAATTTGACTATTCTGATCAATATGAGTCAAGCCTAGTCCAAGTCGGGATTTCTCAAAACACCGACTCGATATTTAGCCCAGTAATAACTGCTCCACTGCTAACGAATTTAAGTGTTGTGGTTGCTTATGATGTTTACGACAAAGATTTACAAATGACTTGCTCTGTCTATCTTCAGCAAATCAGTCAGTTTTCTTTTAAGTTTTGTGAAACATTTTTCAAATCGGAAGGTGTGGCAACTTGTACTTGTGAAATTGCAGGACTGATAATGATTCCGCCTTACCCATCAGTTTCAAGGAATTTGAAAGACAGAGCTAAGTCAGTGAATCTTGAAATTCCCAAGGTTGGTGCTATTCCAGTATTTGTAATATTCGGATCTTTACTCTTTGTGCTTTATTTTGCATGGCTAGATATTAGTAGGCTTGAACGAAAATATGCAGACCCTTTAAAAGAGCAAACATTGAATATTAATGAAACAATTGCTAAGGAGATAAGCATACTAAGCAGCAATCTCTATGTGAATAACCAGCTGATAAACGTTGACAAACTTATGCAGATTTGGGAAAAAGGGGAAATATATGAGGTTGAAAACGAGTGAAATGATAATGAGGAGAGAAAAGACTCTGAAACTACGAACTTAGAAAAAAATGAAGTCTACCCTTACTTTAAAAAGGAATTAAGAAATAAATTAACGAGCATAATTGAAGACCAAAATATACTAAATTCATTGCTTACTTTTGAAAGGATTAAAATGCATATTGAGAACTGTATTGACAAACGTAATTTGGAAGATATAGAAACAGTCATAAATGCACTATGTAGCGCGAAAAATGAGGAAAGTGAAAAATTTTTATTATGGGCGCGATTTCTTTATAAAGAAAAAAATGGATTGCTCACATTTATTTCCAAAATAAAACAGAAGCAAATTAGGAATTTGTTAAGATTTTCATATGTGCCAGTCTTAAATTTAGTAAATTGTATGGAAACTTTCAAACAAAAAATCAAATACAAGCATTATAATTGAATCATTCAAGCTATAAGAAAATATATATTAAACCCATATGAAGATGAAAATGCTCCAAAAAAAGATTTTGATGATACTAAATTAAAATGTGAATCAAAAGAAACTCTTATTAAATCCATTAAAAAGCTTGAAGGAAATATTTTTGCATACATAAAGCTGAGAACTCCTACACTGAAGCTAGAAGGATTCTTAAGAAAGTGATTTTTTGCATCCCTAAAAGAATCATTATCTCAACCTGAATGAAAAACTGCATTTGTCAGGGACGATATCTCGAGAAGAGACACAAATATACCAGTAGGAGTTCCGATAGATCTGGATGACATAAAAGTTGAAGGTATTGGCAATGAGCTAGAAGGGATGATTGAAAATTCAAACGATGACGATTATACTCCTATTTTTTTCTCAATATTACCCAAATTTTTAACAAAACTCGTGGAGCACAAAATCGATAATTTCACTCCATCCACAACCTTCATTCAATTTTTTATCTCAAATAATCACATTTTTGGCATCATTGGGAACACTGATTTAAACTTCTCTCGAAAAGGGAGACTTATATATTTTTTTGCTGCTGTATCGACTGAAATCGCGATTGCAATATCAGCTTTTGATGGATATACCAAATACATTAACAATCAAGTTGACTTAATCTTCCAGTTTCCCGAAGTAACATTAGTGATATGGTTTGTATCATTTATCCTTGGATTCTTGCCACTATTTTTGAAAGTTTTTCTAAAGGACAGATTTTTGGAGAATCAGCTAGTAAAGAATAAAAATGACTCAACTAAAAATTGGAAGGTAATGGTTGGGTATTTGCTTAGTTTTGCTTGGATAGGAGGCTGCTGGCTTTATTCTTTTGAAAAATTGAATAATTACCCAATAGCAAATATTGGTGCTTATTTATTGTACATTCTCCAAGCATTAATTTCATTTTTGATGATAAATGGCTTGATTTTGCCAGTAATTCTTGCAGTGATAGAAATGTATTGCTGCTTTAAATTTGTAAATTGGAGAGTCAAGAGATGGATTATTTTTTTCAAAAGAAGATTTTCCAAAAATAAAAAAGTGCAAATTTTACCAACAAATGATTATGAGTTCTCGAGTAGAAAGTAGAATTTAGATATTATCATTAAATACATTTATTAAATTTGTTGATTGATTTATTTATTATATAAATTTTATATCTGCGAAGACAGATTCCAACTATCACTGATACATCAACTAAATTTTGAAATAAAAGTTGTTTTTTGATGCAACTCCAATTAGCGTACAACTGATCTGATATAGGCTAAGAAAATCAATGAGACTATCGTTCAACAATATCGAGCTCAAACTCCCCAGGTCTCCATGCATCTTGATTCACCTCTAGTTCTTTCACATGCCCCTAATCTAATACTCACTGCTGTCTTTTATGGCGCAAAGTTCCAATATAGGAAAATAAAGACTACATTAATCTATTGATATATAGACAACTGGATAAGAAATATTTGATGATAGCATATATTACGTTAAATTTATAAAGAGACTGACCCCCATTTAATAATGGAATTTTATTGATAACCTTATTGGATTTTTTCTAACTCCACTTTTCTGTAAATTTCCTCATTTGGAAAAATTTTATAATTGAATACTATACTTTACCAAATTTAATGGAGTTAGGGAAAAGAAAGATTTTGCGGGTATACTTTAAATAATATCAAATAAATACTAAAAAATCCAATTTTGTGTTTTGGCATCTAAGGTGATGGTTATCAGCATCTTAATAGTCTAGTTCATGTACAAGATATCTTTAAGGTTATAAATTTGCAAGAAAAATTAAACAATAATAGATGATATCGTAAAGATTCCATGGTAAGAGTTTTGATAATGGCAAAAATTATAAATAATTATTACTTAAATATGCATTTATCTTATTGTCTAATAGTTCGTGCAATCCCCCGACCTTTTACTCGCAAGAATTGTTGAGTATATCACCAGACTCTTAAATCATAATCTTTTTCGATTTTAACTAATGTGTAAAACTCATCCTCAAGCCAAGGGTGCTTATAATAAAGTTTTCCTGAAAGCTCAATTGATTCTCATAAAATTCTCATGAATCTTCAAATTTCTGCATTAGACAACTCTTTTGTGTTCATAGCTTCAAGCATCTTAATCCTAGCCATAACTGTTTCATGATGCTCTTGATTTATTTTACTTTGTCTTTCTTTTTCTTTGTCCTCTTCTTCTTTCTGGGCTTTTGTGATTCATAGCCTATCGAAAATTCCTTTGGCTTTCATATTTATTATAAATTGAGTGTATTTGCTGAAATAAATAAAATAATTGAGTTGAGTTGCTAAGTCTTCAGCTTTCATCTTTAATCATGAATTCAGCTTCCACCAGCTAAGTGTAAGGGAATCGGAATACCTCGAAATTGCATTAGTTAAATCTCGCAATCATCTCTCTATGCAATAAGAAACGGCTTGCAAAGGATTATTTGAAGGCATTAGTCTACGACTATGAGCCAGAAGCACTTTATTCAGTCTCCACCAATGCCAGAACTCAGCAAGAAAGTCCCAGAGAAAGCTATCCCATTCGGATATTGAGCTCACATTTCACAGCTACTATGGAGGCTCGTTTTCCGGGAGAGAAGAAAATTGGGACTGTCAGGATATATGGTGAAGAGATCTTTGCTTAATTATTCTTGCAATCGGACTCACTGGTCTTGATGAAGACTTTTCCCATTAGTCATTTGCTGCAAATCGTCCTGGTCTCAAGAAAACTATTTCTGTCTCAGCCTATGAGCCAATCTGAGGTGAAGACTATACCAGGAGCTTTAAGCATTGCAGGCTGCCTCATTTGAAGTTGCAGGATCATTAATCCCACTTAGAAAGAGCTTTGAGCATTAGCCAAGAAAATTAATCTAGGTAATCAAATTAGCTGCAAAAAGAAACTCATCACTTTTGGCTTGTGCTTCAGTTAAAATTTTAAATTAATTTTGCTTTAATCCTCATACCAAAATATCCCGAATCTGGTTTTAGATATTAATTGCTATAAATTGATGCTGAGAGGAAATGAAAGAGTTTATATATTCGAGAAAAAGGGAAGGATTTTTGAAAATGATAAAAACAATATTTTTAGTTAGGCCCAAATAGGGACTGATAGCGTGCCAGGAAATATTAATCAGTCAAGTATTGTTTGTTATAAATGTTGCCTTTATTTCGTTCTATATAATAATGCTTTGTGGAAATTTGATCTTGCTTCTAAGCAAGTATCTCAGCTAGGAACTGTTTAAAATAAGGTTTTAAAATTTTAATAACACTTTATTATCTCAAACAAAGCAATAATGCAATTATTTCTCTCTATAAGTTTAGAACTAGCCATTAACTCATCTAATAAGCAAATTAAAATGTTATCGCTAAATCTGCTTCAACCTTAAATTAAGGCTTGAGATTAATACATGCTAGGAAAAATAGTATATGGAACTATCAGGCCGATGAGATCTTGCTCTTGTATTGTCTAGGCTTTGTAGTGCCTGTTATCCAATATCATCAATATTACATCAAACCTTTCAGAGAATGAGAATTTCCCATATTATATCGCAGATAGAGTCAAGAATCACAACCATCTAAGTAGCATGCTAACCAATCCTATATGATTTCGGATAATAAGTGAAATCCCCTTATCCGAGCAAAGTAAGTGCATAATGTTGCATGAGTATATTAAATATTGGCAGAGCGAAATAAGAGTAAAATAAAGGATCCTTCTGGTGCTTGCAAGAATAATTTTGGAAAAATAGATAAGATCCTCAAACAGAAAATGCTAAAACCTCTTTCTATTTGAAATTTACGTTACTTTCTTATAGTACTTTGGCTTGAATTTTCTTGTTTTTGTTAATCTCGGACTACGTTTAAGATAGCTTTCATATGCTGCTCAAGCTAAGGTTATGCTCAAAAAAGCTTTCTTGGTTTTTTAAGATGACAAAATAAAGAAGTCACTCTATTCTTGTTGAAACCTTTCTTCTAATAGGGAAAACGCTTTGCATGCTGTTCAAAATTTCTTTGTGATCTTATTCTATTTTCTTTCCCCCTAGTTTTTCCTTCCTCTTTTTCTTCTATTATTTCTCCTTTTTCACTGATTTTTGATCTCGATATGAGACCTTCTTTGCTTCTTTTTATTGGTTCACTCTACTCGCTTGATTAGTAGCTGTTCTATTGCTTTCCTTCAACTTGGCTCTGCCGCAGTGGTTTTGGCCGAGCTTCCATTAATTCCTTCAGATACTTTTCAAGTGCATTAATTTCTTCATATGGTAGAAAAACTCGCATAACTCTAAGAATTTTCCTCTTTCCTTGAAGATTAGTTTTAGGCGGTATTAATGGCAAAAATAAAAATTCCTTGATTCAATTAAACGTTGGCTAAAGAATGCTAGGACTTTCCCTTCAGATTGCTATTTTTGATTACTCTTTTTAAAATATTCTAAGAATTACTCTTTTGTCGTTTTAAAAGGTTCTAAAAAATCTCTCAATGGCATGAGCCTTTCAGGAAGCTTTAAATACTTCCAGAAGTGCAGTTACAGGATAAAGTTAAAGGAGAGGAGCATGGGCATGCGTATAACCTCAAGATTGTACCCTAAAGGGAGCATGAGTATATATAATTATTATAATGATGGTTTATTATAATCAAATTTTATTTAAATCTGCAATTTTTGGAGCAGTTCATTAAGATCTGGGCCCAATACGTCGTTAACAAAATTGATATCATCTTCAAAAGTTTCCATTCATCCCCAGTGAAAACACCACCTTCTTGATTTTCTTGCTTCAAATTATAAGCCCTGTTAAAGTCCTGCAAAGCTCTTCTTCTTGTCTGAGATTATTAAATACTTAGCTTGGCAACAGAAATGCAAAGGAATATTGGATTCAAGAGCGATTGCCTTAGCATAACATTTTATTGCTTCTTGGCATCTCTCTAAAATATAAAGAGTATTACCTTTACCACTATAATACTTGGAATTATTTGGATTGGCTATGATCGCTTCATCATAGCTTTCTACTGCTTCTGAATATCTTCCTAATCCATTTAAAGAGCATGCTTTCTTATAGTAAGGTTTAGCATTGTTTGGATTGAGCTTGGCTGCTTTGTCAAAGCATTCAATTGCTTCAAGATATCTTTGTAAATCAAAAAAAACTGTGCCTTTATCATAATAAAAATCAGCATCGTTTGGATCAAGTTCGATTGCTTTGTCATGTAATTTGATTGCTTCAAGATGTCTTTGTAAATTATAAAACACTCTGCCTTTGTTGTTGTATAAATTAGCATTTTTGGGATCAAGCTTGATTGCTTTGTCATAACATTCGATTGCTTCTAGATATCTTTTTAATTTATTAAAAGCGTTGCCTTTGCTATTGTAAAAATATTCATCTTTTGGATTGAGCTTGATTGCTTTGTCATAGCATTCAATTGCTTTTAGGTATTGTTTTAAATTAGAAAAAGCGAAGCCTTTATAAATGTAAAGATAATCATTTCTTGGATTGAGTTTTATTGCTATGTCATAGCATTCGATTGCTTCTGCATATCTTTTTAATCTGCATAAAGCGTCACCTTTTTCTTGGTATAAGCGAACTTTCTTTGGTTTGAGCTTGATTTCTTCGTCATAGCATTCGATATCTTCTAGATTTTGTCCTAAATCGTGTAGAGGAATATCTTTTACATTACATTCATCCAGATAATAAGAATCGAGCTTAAATTCTGGCTATTTCATTTTATTGCTTCAATCTTTTTACCTACTTTTTTAAGTGAAACATGCCTATTTGAGTAGGCAATATCAATAATGATTTTTGATCTAAATTAAAACAATAATATGCTTTACCTGGCCTTTCAATATTCGAGATGAATATTCCTCCTTTATTGTATGAGCAATACACTTGATCAGGATTGCAATTGATGTTTGATTTTCCTATTCGTCTCCAATTTCATAAACTTCCAATGTCACTTTCATAGATTGATCTATAGCTTTCAATCAAATATAGTCTCTTTGCATTTATCAGGATCTTTCTTCTATTTTTTGTAAACTCATGAGGAATTGTCGAGAAAGAGTCAATATCAATTGAATATAGCAAAAGATTACTATATTTTCATCCAGAAATCAAAATATTTCTATTAAATGTTATACTATTGCAGCCATAATCAGCTTTTGGCATTGGAGCTAACTGAATTCATCGATTTCGATCCAAATCAAATCTACTAGATAGGGTTAATTCACCTATATCGTGTCCTCCAAAGCAATAGACGCTGTTGTTGAAATAGATACATGATGAGGAATTGCAAGGAGTTCCAGATGGCAGCACTTTGACTCCACCATTCACATCAATTAGTTCTGTAATTCCAGAAGGTAGATATTTACCAAAACAGAATAGCTTGCCATTTGGAAGTTGAGTTATGCAAGTGCATGCGCCTAGTGATTCTGGAGTCTGCAATATTTTTACTTCTTCTGTTTCAGTTTCAGTGTTATAAATAATTAAATTAACTCTGCTATCTTCATCAATGGTAAGACTATAAAGAGATGTCTTTTGTTGGTAAGCATTAAGATAATCTTGGTAAGCTTGCATTAGCGGTGGATCGTAAGAATTGATCTGAATTGCTGAACAAGTTGCTCTGAAATCTATTTCTAATTCTGGATTATTTGGTCTACTCAAAATCTCAGCTGTTTTATTTCTTAAGGTGTCTATGATATTTGAAGCGTTTAGATTATTAGTAGCAGCGTTCATTTGAGAATTAAGCAAGCTTGTCTCATTTTCTTGGGGTATTTTTATTGCCTTGTTTTCTTTTCTTATTTTTAAACACCCACTGTTTTCATTTATTATCAAGGAAATCGAATCATTAACGTTTGCTGACTCTATACTGGTGGGCTTGCTAATTTTATCATGCGTTTCAGGAGTATTTTGCACATTCCTTTTTTCTAGATATGCCCTGTATATTTCTGTAAAGAAGGATCTATTTAGACCCTCTAGCTTTTTATTGATTGTATAGAACAGTTTTGCACCGTTGCATCAATTTCTGCTTGCTATGTTCATCAATTTTGCTTTCTCAATAGCTTCTTGAGGTTGTAAACTCAATAATCCTAAAATTGGATCTTGCTCTGACTTTAATAATTTTGAAGCTTGGGAAATCTTTGCAAAGAACTCATTTATTTCATCTAAGTAGCAATACAACTTGCCTATAAACTCTTCTAAATCTTTCTCTGAATTGGGAAGACGCTGGCTAATGGAATCTATAATTTTTCTTCTCAACTCGCTACATTTTGAATTTTCTTTTGCAAGAAATTCAAGAACTGCTTCTTTTGTCCCTTCATAAGGCTGCATAAAAATTGATTCAATATTATGAGCTCTATTAGGCAAGTTTACATGCTCCCCTATATGCTCTCCGCACATTAAAGTTTCAGGAGAAGAGCATTTGCATGCATGCTCAACCTCGTTCATACACCCTGGCATGAAGCATTTCTTCGCCATCATATAATAATTATTAGATATCTAATTTTTTAAAGCCATTCTAAGGAAAACTGAACTCTATAATAAACTGCATGAGAGAGCTCTAGGAAGAGAACTCAATCCAACATGAGCCATTTTATTATATGAAATTTGCCAAAATGGAAAAATTTGCATTTGGAAATTGATTAATGGATTGCTATAGCTTAATTCCATATACTCTATGTATTTATATGCTTTTATTCATATTCAGTGAATTTTGATAATGAGTCTTAATATATTTTTCATAGTTTAAGCAAGTCATGGACTAAAAGCAGAAATCAGGCTTTTATATAAAGATTACGTTATTTTATGACTTTGCTCTATTTATAGTATATTAACTCAATTGAAATCTTAGATTTTTGATTTGGTGCTATAGGATGGTTTAATTGATAATTTTGATTAAACGGAGCTAAATTTAATTGGAAATTAATCAGAGTGATTTAGTGAGCTTCATATTATAATTTTTTAATAATGATTTTGGCTTTTGTTTAAGGTAAACTTTAAAATGTTTCTTAATCCTTAAAGTAAGAAAGAAAAACTATTTTCAATATGCCTATACTTATTAAAAATATAGGCGATAAGAAAATAATGGTAGAAGCATAGAGACTTTGAGGTTAATTTTGCTAATGTTATTAAGAAAAGTGAAATAATTTATAAAAATTGAAGAATTAATAGCAAATTATTTAGTTCAATCAATATAACAGATTCGCATTTTATGTCTATAAAATCTAAATTACGAATATTCAAAAATAAATTAGCAAATCGCTACATTCCTCAATAAATTAGAGACTAATATTTTAATAAATTCTAATTTTTATTTTATTACCGCAATTTACTATCTCAGTAAAAATACTGTTATTATTATGTTTCTATAGCAAAACTAAGCTTTTCTTTTACGCTTTAATATCTATGTGTAAAACAATTCCTATTTTAAATCCGATAACTTTGTAAAAATCTTCAGACTATTTAGTTCTTTTCCATCAGCCACCATCATAATATTGCTATTCTGATTCCTACTTTTTCAGTTGGGCTACCAGGCTGCACTTTTATAACTGCTAAGCCTAAAGCAGCCTGGGTAAAGCTTAATCCTGTATATGGTCTTTCGACTTTCCCTGAGATTTTTAATTGCTTTATAATATTTTTTACAAAATTAATTCAGATAAATCCCTTATGAGTCATAGATATGGTGAGGCCTTTTCATAATTAATTCCAATAATATATCTCAAGTGATTTATAAAATTTCTCCATTAATTTTTGTATTTTATACAGACATTATGCTTTGTTTCTCAGCTTCTTTAATCCCACATAAATTGCACACATCAAATTGAATAATATTTTGATTTTTGATTGAGTATCTTAGAGCAGTTAGCGTTTGTGCATGTCCTGCTGCATATCTTAACACCTTAATTTTCGCTTCATTTACCAAATTTTTATTAAGATTTCAAAACTACAGTTGACAATTAGAGTTTAAGTTAATTTATCTAAAAATTGGAATAATTATATTAAATTTTGATTTAAAAACATTAGGTGTAGGGTGTTAGGGTGTTAGGGTGTTAGGGTGTTAGGGTGTTAGGGTGTTAGGGTGTTAGGGTGTTAGGGTGTTAGGGTGTTAGGGTGTTAGGGTGTTAGGGTGTTAGGGTGTTAGGGTGTTAGGGTGTTAGGGTGTTAGGGTGTTAGGGTGTTAGGGTGTTAGGGTGTTAGGGTGTTAGGGTGTTAGGGTGTTAGGGTGTTAGGGTGTTAGGGTGTTAGGGTGTTAGGGTGTTAGGGTGTTAGGGTGTTAGGGTGTTAGGGTGTTAGGGTGTTAGGGTGTTAGGGTGTTAGGGTGTTAGGGTGTTAGGGTGTTAGGGTGTTAGGGTGTTAGGGTGTTAGGGTGTTAGGGTGTTAGGGTGTTAGGGTGTTAGGGTGTTAGGGTGTTAGGGTGTTAGGGTGTTAGGGTGTTAGGGTGTTAGGGTGTTAGGGTGTTAGGGTGTTAGGGTGTTAGGGTGTTAGGGTGTTAGGGTGTTAGGGTGTTAGGGTGTTAGGGTGTTAGGGTGTTAGGGTGTTAGGGTGTTAGGGTGTTAGGGTGTTAGGGTGTTAGGGTGTTAGGGTGTTAGGGTGTTAGGGTGTTAGGGTGTTAGGGTGTTAGGGTGTTAGGGTGTTAGGGTGTTAGGGTGTTAGGGTGTTAGGGTGTTAGGGTGTTAGGGTGTTAGGGTGTTAGGGTGTTAGGGTGTTAGGGTGTTAGGGTGTTAGGGTGTTAGGGTGTTAGGGTGTTAGGGTGTTAGGGTGTTAGGGTGTTAGGGTGTTAGGGTGTTAGGGTGTTAGGGTGTTAGGGTGTTAGGGTGTTAGGGTGTTAGGGTGTTAGGGTGTTAGGGTGTTAGGGTGTTAGGGTGTTAGGGTGTTAGGGTGTTAGGGTGTTAGGGTGTTAGGGTGTTAGGGTGTTAGGGTGTTAGGGTGTTAGGGTGTTAGGGTGTTAGGGTGTTAGGGTGTTAGGGTGTTAGGGTGTTAGGGTGTTAGGGTGTTAGGGTGTTAGGGTGTTAGGGTGTTAGGGTGTTAGGGTGTTAGGGTGTTAGGGTGTTAGGGTGTTAGGGTGTTAGGGTGTTAGGGTGTTAGGGTGTTAGGGTGTTAGGGTGTTAGGGTGTTAGGGTGTTAGGGTGTTAGGGTGTTAGGGTGTTAGGGTGTTAGGGTGTTAGGGTGTTAGGGTGTTAGGGTGTTAGGGTGTTAGGGTGTTAGGGTGTTAGGGTGTTAGGGTGTTAGGGTGTTAGGGTGTTAGGGTGTTAGGGTGTTAGGGTGTTAGGGTGTTAGGGTGTTAGGGTGTTAGGGTGTTAGGGTGTTAGGGTGTTAGGGTGTTAGGGTGTTAGGGTGTTAGGGTGTTAGGGTGTTAGGGTGTTAGGGTGTTAGGGTGTTAGGGTGTTAGGGTGTTAGGGTGTTAGGGTGTTAGGGTGTTAGGGTGTTAGGGTGTTAGGGTGTTAGGGTGTTAGGGTGTTAGGGTGTTAGGGTGTTAGGGTGTTAGGGTGTTAGGGTGTTAGGGTGTTAGGGTGTTAGGGTGTTAGGGTGTTAGGGTGTTAGGGTGTTAGGGTGTTAGGGTGTTAGGGTGTTAGGGTGTTAGGGTGTTAGGGTGTTAGGGTGTTAGGGTGTTAGGGTGTTAGGGTGTTAGGGTGTTAGGGTGTTAGGGTGTTAGGGTGTTAGGGTGTTAGGGTGTTAGGGTGTTAGGGTGTTAGGGTGTTAGGGTGTTAGGGTGTTAGGGTGTTAGGGTGTTAGGGTGTTAGGGTGTTAGGGTGTTAGGGTGTTAGGGTGTTAGGGTGTTAGGGTGTTAGGGTGTTAGGGTGTTAGGGTGTTAGGGTGTTTGGGTGTTAGGGTGTTAGGGTGTTAGGGTGTTAGGGTGTTAGGGTGTTAGGGTGTTAGGGTGTTAGGGTGTTAGGGTGTTAGGGTGTTAGGGTGTTAGGGTGTTAGGGTGTTAGGGTGTTAGGGTGTTAGGGTGTTAGGGTGTTAGGGTGTTAGGGTGTTAGGGTGTTAGGGTGTTAGGGTGTTAGGGTGTTAGGGTGTTAGGGTGTTAGGGTGTTAGGGTGTTAGGGTGTTAGGGTGTAGGGTGTTAGGGTGTTAGGGTGTTAGGGTGTTAGGGTGTTAGGGTGTTAGGGTGTTGGGTGTTAGGGTGTTAGGGTGTTAGGGTGTTAGGGTGTTAGGGTGTTAGGGTGTTAGGGTGTTAGGGTGTTAGGGTGTTAGGGTGTTAGGGTGTTAGGGGTGTTAGGGTGTTAGGGTGTTAGGGTGTTAGGGTGTTAGGGGTGTTAGGGTGTTAGGGTGTTAGGGTGTTAGGGTGTTAGGGTGTTAGGGTGTTAGGGTGTTAGGGTGTTAGGGTGTTAGGGTGTTAGGGTGTTAGGGGTGTTAGGGTGTTAGGGTGTTAGGGTGTTAGGGTGTTAGGGTGTTAGGGTGTTAGGGTGTTAGGGTGGTTGGGTGTTAGGGTGTTAGGGTGTTAGGGTGTTAGGGTGTTAGGGTGTTAGGGTGTTAGGGTGTTAGGGTGTTAGGGTGTTAGGGTGTTAGGGTGTTAGGGTGTTAGGGTGTTAGGGTGTTAGGGTGTTAGGGTGTTAGGGTGTTAGGGTGTTAGGGTGTTAGGGTGTTAGGGTGTTAGGGTGTTAGGGTGTTAGGGTGTTAGGGTGTTAGGGTGTTAGGGTGTTAGGGTGTTAGGGTGTTAGGGTGTTGGGTTAGGGTGTTAGGGGTTAGGGTGTTAGGGTGTTAGGGTGTTAGGGTGTTAGGGTGTTAGGGTGTAGGGGTTAGGGTGTTAGGGTGTTAGGGTGTTAGGGTGTTAGGGTGTTAGGGTGTTAGGGTGTTAGGGTGTTAGGGGTAGGTTAGGGTGTTAGGGTGTTAGGGTGTTAGGGTGTTAGGGTGTTAGGGTGTTAGGGTGTTAGGGTGTTAGGGTGTTAGGGTGTTAGGGTGTTAGGGTGTTAGGGTGTTAGGGTGTTAGGGTGTTAGGGTGTTAGGGTGTTAGGGTGTTAGGGTGTTAGGGTGTTAGGGTGTTAGGGTGTT